GGAAAGTCGCATGGTGATAGATTCACTATAGCTAGAGATATAGTGATTTACATAAGAACTTCAGATCTCGATGTTCTTCTCCGAATTTTTCTTTTTTTATATGATAAACAATTTCCAAGTGTTTGAAACATCGATCGGTTTGCAAATCATGTGTTGTAGATAACTGCATGATACTTAGCTGTTTATGCTATACGAAGAATCTACATCTACATGATCATATTACTAGCTATATGTGTAGAGATTTTCAGACTATATAGATGCTACGTTGTTGCGCAATTCATCGAGACACATCAAGAAATCAGATGTTTGGTCGACTTCAAAAGTTCGAATGGAGCGGGTGGCAAAATGCCACGAATTATGCAACGGAGAATACATTATTCCTAGTCAAATCTCCTCATCTTCGCTCTGAAACTCGGAGCAAGACCCGATTATTTAGCCAAGCAGGTTTGAGTATAGTAAGTGCCGTAAGCCAGGACAGCAGTAGCACAGCACTGGACCTGTTCGTTGTTGGTTGATTTGTATGCGCATGCTGCCATAGCGGTGATGAAGGTGGAAGTGGACCAACGTGCACATGAAGAACACTGAGAAGGATGAGCAGCGCTAGAGCAACTGTATTGATGGACGCCTGAGATCTCAGCTTCCTGCATCTGCTTGCAGTTACGGGCACGTTTATCGAAGATGGAAGTACGGGCAGATCTCTTCTGGTTCTCGACACTCTTCTCAGGGTCTCCAAGCTCTTGCGCCTTCTCTTCCAGTGCTGTGAACCACTGGTCTACGAGAGACTGGGGGGCGCAAAGGTTGGTGTGCTGCGCGTACTCCTCAGGCAGGTCCGGGAGTGTGACATTGACATATGTCTTGTTCTTGTCCATGTAGTCAAAGGTCCAACCGAGGGCCAGCAAGTGAGCGCCAGTGACACACTCGACGCCGTTCTGACCAGAGTAGGTCGATTGAGCGTGTGAGAGACCCAGTGTACTGGTCAAGGCCACGAAGACAGTTGCAATCGCGATTTTGGAAAACATCTTGGAAGGTAGAGGTAAGAAAGTAAGGAGGGATTGGTCGAAGCTGCTCGTCGTCGCAAAGCTGGATGCTAACTGGAAGACTCAGCAGAACGAGGATTCTATCACTCTATATGCCAATGTAAAGCACCAATTCTTCACTGGAAGAATCGATCGCACGATGGAGCTGATTCTGATGTCAGAGTCTGGTGACAGAAAGCACTAGAGCTGGTATTTGCTCGGGTATTTGACCCAGTGTTCCTGCTTCTACGGCCGGATCCTCGTGTTGAGTCCACAAAGGAGACAAAAGCCTCTTGAAGAGACCCGCAAACGGCGCTGATTATCTTTGAGCAAGAACATAGGCTCTGGAGTAGTTTTGTAAATGCAATGGACGATGAAAACTGGTTTCTAACATGAAATTGACTGTCTTTGTACCCCATTCGTATGGCTGTTCATTTGGTCTCATCGCAAGCTTGATATACTAACCTAGCTTGTGACTATAAGGGAGGGTTATGTAGTCGGTGTGGCCAGGGAGTGCCGCGAAGCTCGTCGTTACTGTCAACAGACACAGGGGAAGCAAGCAAATACCCAACTCTTTGCTAGTAGCTATCGATCCCACTACGCACAGCCGACAGATCAGTCGTCTCAGAGTTTGTCCCCCACATGAGGGGCTGCGTATTCCCGCAATCCTTTGCACATCAATCTAAGGACCTCCTAGGCGAGTGCAGGTCGGCCTCTCTGGAGTGAACCCAAGATTCTCGACATGGCATCAATTATCCCAGCAAATCCTAGAACACCAAACCCCGAGGATGTCGTATTTTGAGTTCTGAACACACGCGTCCTCTCGTATCACCATATGCTATAGATACTGACTTTGAGGCATTATTATACAGCAAAGCGTGTGATCAACCCATCGACGATCGTGCTGCTCAATTGAGGGCAGCATAACAGGCGGATGAGCCCACGCAGGCAGGACGAAGATGTTATAAAGTCTCCATAGCTCGACTCCTCCCTGATTCTGCTTTCACCAGCGACAAAGAACAATTCCGTCTTCTCCAGTTTCGACTTCCAACATCAGTTGTTATGCATTTCACTACTGCCATCGTCGCCATGTTCAGCACTTTGTAAGCATGTGATGGTTATCTCGAGTCGATGAAAGATCGCTTCTGACAATTGGGGTAACAGAGTGCTAGCCGACTTCCACCACAACTGTGGCTGCGACATTCGTGGCTCATACAGAGTGGACGTATCTCAGGCAACCTGCCAGCTCTGGAGTACCAACCAGCCCAACTGCCACTTTGACGGCTACTCTGTAAGTAAAGTTGATCACAATTGATTTCTATCGTGGTAGCTAACCGGAACCCACCCTAGTGTGTTGACAAGGGCATCGGCCGTGGCATCGATGGTGCACCCTGGGAGAAGACCTGCAAGGAGGCTTGGCAGATCGATTTTGGTGGCAACCCCGACGATGCAAAGGGCCACTGCTGGCACTAGACATTCACCTAGAAATGAGAGCGGAGAGAAAGCGTGCTAGCCAATGGTCTATGTGTCCGCTAAGGTCTGGCGACGGTACCATTCCATTGAGGTTTTGTCAGCACCATGTGAAGTCAGTAGCTCGAGATACTCTGGTTGATCATGCAGTTTTTGCTTTTATGTGACGATTCTGCTTCATCAATTGGTCCATTTTTTTGAGCGCGTCTTCCGTGCGGTCATTTTGCTTGATCATATACGCACAACATACTGTGACCGTTGTGACAAGCGTGTGACGATTGGTCGCCCAGGAGTACAGGATCAACCCGACTGAGTCGAAGTAGTGCGAAACTTGGAAATCCTAGTTAGTGCCACGTTATTGTAGGATATGGGCATCAAAGATCATGGAGGAGAAATCAGTGGTCGGAAATAACGTAGTGATACATTCACCAGGCGCAATCTCGCCTACGTAGACCGTGAATGTGGGTTTGTCAAAGCATTTCAATTCCCATGTATCATGTTGTAGTATAGCCTCTCGTATACGTACAGGTCAAAACTTGGATTCTGTGTCAGACTTTTGTATTTTTCATGTACAGATCTTATCTCCACATTTCCAGACGAGGCGATACCTGACAGGAATTGGGTCTTCTGCGAATGCGAAATTCCAGGTTGCTGTGTTACTTCTCGTCTTATATGCTCTCAGTCTTCGCATCGTATTGCTGATCGAAGAAGGGGTCAGCCGCAGAAGTTGTGAATCTCCTGGCGTCGACTTTCCTGTCGAACAGACTGTCCAGCTCAGCGTAGGTCAGTCCCTTACATTCGGGAACGCGGAAATAGACATAAATAACGCAACAGAAGCATGTGGATCCATACACAAAGGCGATTTGTTTCTGCATGTTCCACTGCGTTGGGTTTAGCATGTATAAGTTCAAGACAGACATGACTACCCCGACGATGTTGTAGAGATTGCGCTGGAGGACAATCGTTTTACCACGGAGTCTGGTTGAGGGAATTTCACCCTGTATAGGGAATACTGTTGGGTAGAATGTGACGCCGGCCACAAAGCTCCAGGCAACAAGCATAACCCCGGCGGCCCAGGACGCATCAGTGTTTGTCTTGGGCGCGAGACTCAAGAAGCCAACGATGAAGAGTAGAACACTCAGCATTGATAGACCAATGAGAGCAAGCTGCCTTCGACCAACATAATTCAAGCATATCCAGCCGAGGAAGAATCCGACAAGCAGAATGCCCAATTGGCCTAGACCAAGACTGAACGCATGACTGGGATCAAGTCCAGCTCTTGTGAAAAAATAGACGCTCAGGCCAGCTAAGGCCTGGCCACATAAGGTCTGTACGACGCCGCCGTAGATACAGACGATCTCCGTGCGCCTGAGGTTGGTGCCCTTGAAACAATCCCAGTAAGAAGTTCCCTGAGTGGACAGTTCTTCGATCTGGGTGGTGTAAGTCATCAGCGCCAGAATATCCTCGACTTTCTCGGTAGGAACTGAAGTGAGTTTTCGGATGGCATGACGAGCCTCCTCGACACGATCGTGACGAATCAGCCAGTAAGGAGACTCGGGAGCGAAGAAAACAGCGCAGAAAATGGGGAGCGGCCACATCCATTGCAGCGCGAAAGGAATGCGATAGGCCCATTCATCTTTGCGGTCAAGCAAGCCTCGCAGCACACCAGTTGCGAGCAGAGATCCGATAATCCAACACAGAGTGACGTAGCTGGTCATGTAAGCTCTGATCGCAGCAGGACAAACATCGGCAGCGTAGGCGATGGTCAAAGTGGTGAGAGCGCCCCAAGGTATGCCGCAAAGGATCTGACCGACGAGCAGCACTTGGACAGTGGGGGCAAAGAAGGGTATGAAGATCAGACAGGTCAAGATTGCCAGCGACATCTGAGTGACGAACTTGTATCCCCAGCGCTCACAAGCCCATCCATTGGCTAGAAGTCCTAGCATCTCTCCAACGAGAACCCCGTTGGTGAGAGCAGATTGCCATGGAGCAGCAAGTGCGTAGGTACCATCGTCCAGCCTCTCTCCATATTTTTGGTTGAACTGAGGGAAAGCGTAGAAGTTTCCGATCAAGGCTAGGTCATAACCAGTCATGATGATGGGTAGTGATATAACCATGGACCACATGATCGCTTTGGGATACATTCGGAGTGCTTGTCCAAGTGTCATGGTACGTTCTGCTTCGAGCTCATGCTTCGCACCCGCGGTGAGGGTGTGGTGGACGGATTGTGAGGTTACCATCTCGATGGTGTCGACTTGGTCCTTGGGGTTGGCCATACTGATTTTTGTTCAGAGAGATTGGTGCGGGGCTATGTCTTTGGTTGTAAGCTGGGGTCCCCGCATGATGTTATATATTGATGCTTATACGGGCGGTGCAAATCTCGGCGCAGGCAAACTGAACTCATCGTTTACTAGCGCTGAATAGCGGAGCACTCTGCGGAGTGTTTCGCGGAGGGTTCTGCGGAGTGTTTTGCGCGTCTTTCTGCGGAGTGATTCGCGCGTCTTTCTGCGGACCGTTAAATTCCAGCTCTAGACCGTGCAACGGTTCGACCAAAATGCCCAATGACGAGACAGCCCTTGACCTCTTATCAGTCTTGGTATGTCCTCCTGAGAAACACCTAGAGATCCAGTATTTCCCTCTCAAAAGGCTCCAGATTTAAATTCTCGACGTGATCACGAACGAGACGGTCGCCACGTTCTCACCATGGCTATCGCAAAATACGATCAATTCGTGTTCTTTGGTGATAGCATCACCCAGCTGTCTTACGCGCAGGACGATGGTTTTGGTTTCTTAGCGGCGATCGCATCAGGTATTGTCATGCAACCCATGCTATCGTCTGCGCAGGATCTGATCGTGTTTAGACTATAACAGAGCTGTTGACATTGTCTGCAGAGGATTCGCGTCAGTCCATGTACCCTCCATCCAAGGCTGCTCTAACCTTTTAAAGAGGTGCCAACACAAGGGACGCACTCGAGCTGTTCCCCCAATTTTTTCCATCTGCGGATGAGGGCCCGTCCGTGAGACTATTGGTATATTCCACTACATCCAGTATTTATGAAGCTGTGCGTCGATGCTAGCCCACCCTCACAGGTGATCTTCTTCGGTGCAAACGACAGCGTCCTAGAAGGAACCGCACAACACGTTCCGCTACTCGATTTCAGAGAGAATCTCATTAGCCTCGCAACTCACGAATCGATCAGGGCTCACCCAGAAGTTTCCTTAGTGTTCATTACACCTCCGCCCAAATCAGAATTGATGCTAAAGCGGGTACATGAAGAATATGCCAATTCTTCGAAAGAAAATGGCCAAGAGCTACCGCAATTCGCTCAACATTCTCAAGCTGTCACACACGCTTACGCCAATACGGTCAAGGAAGTGGGACAAGAGCTCAACATTCCTGTCGTAGATCTGTGGTCTGCCATCACTGGACGACTGCAGACCCTGAGCAAGACAGGCGTGTCTAGTCCAGGTGGGCAAGGTGTTGGAGGCGGGGAGAGCAAGTGGAACTTCGGTCAGTACTTGTGCGACGGGGTGCACTTGACTGGAAAAGGGTACAAAGTGCTATACGAAGAGTTCTGCAGTGTGATTCGCCTTCACTATCCCGGACTGTCTGCGGATAACATGCATCGTGTATTCCAAGATAACGGAAACCAAGCACCATTTGTGCTCAGGATACCAGGCGTTGAAAAGTAGATTATGATGGGACGATTGCTGACTACGTCTTTGTGACGCTTGGTCAATCGTGTCTTCTAGAGAGACAAGGCTAGAAATACTGTTCTTCAACCAAATCAATATCCTATTATAACACCATAGGACAATTTGTGCGGGGAATCCCAACTTTAGACCATCTGCAGCTTGTCCAATATCTCTGGTTGCTACCACATGGAAGAGACGTACATGTTTGTCACTTTGGAGCTTTCTTGATCCGGCTGCGGAAGCTTCACGGAACGCCAGATGATTGGCGATGTCGGCGCCTTATCAAGCTGCGATCTTGTGGTGATTATTAGTGTGTTTTTTGTTTTTGTTTTTTTCTTTTTCACCACTCTTGGTCATTGTTTCAGTCTGCACGTGACTCTTACTAAGCAGTACCGAGTGATTCGAGGTCCGGCGGGTTGTGGTGCGGTTGGATTCTCTGTCTCGTCATCCTCCTGCAAGAATACAGCTGCTGCAACGTTCTCCATCGTCGAAATGTCAGCAAAAATGACAGGGGAACTCCAGACTTGTGACCAGTGTCGTCGGCGGAAGAGGCGGTGTGACAAGCAACGGATCTGCATGGCCTGCGCAGACTCTAGTCTCACATGCACTCGACGCACAGCAAGACAGACTCCAGGACGCAAGAAAGGGTCGGGTATAGTCATCTCTGCTCTTCGCTCTGCTCAGCCTGCTACGTCGTCTCTGGAGGCCGAGCAAACATCAGCGCCCGCACTTGTAGTCGAGGACACACTGCAGTATAATTCATCCCTAGGCTCCACAAGCCCGATAAATTTCCTAGATTTCGTCGATCGCATGCTCTCTAAGGATGTCGCGACGACAGATTTTCCCGGATTTGAGTTGATCGACATCACGCCGCCTTTGTGGAGCAAGCAGCCTGACTACGGCATTTATCATTCTGCTGCACAAGACCTGGTGACTGCATATTCGCTCGAAGAGAACAGGATTTTCCAACATGGATCATCAACCAACGACACAAGGATCGAGCCATCATCAAGATGGCAATCACTTGCGCACTCTCACTTGACAACCTTTGTTAATCTCTATTTCCAAAACTTGCACTGTAGAATGCCCCTTCTTGAGGAGCCAATGGTACGGCAACTTCTTGGGTCCAGTCTCGATGTCAATCAGAAGGTGGAGCTGAAATGCCTCTTACTAGCAGTGTGCTCTGCAAGTGGATTACAAGAGGCGTCCATGAATCAGCCGCCTGACGCGACACTTGTTTCTCTCGCTCGCAAGATGTTTGATCAAGCACTTCTATTGCGAGCGAATATTGCATACATGGAAACACCGACCTTTGAGACAATTGTCACGTCAATTCTTCTGCATGTTTGCTGCGTTGAGCTCCGTGCATTGCGTTCATCACGCAGGTTTCTACAAGAGGCGCTATCAGACGCAAGAGAGCTTGGTATCTTCAGGCAAGACTTCTGTACCACACTGGAAAAGGATGAATCTATACGATTCAGGCGACTGAAGGTCAGTTTATTCGTGATGGAGCGTGCCAGCGTAGGATTCCAGCCGGGATTGATCACTATTCGCCAACCGCCACGCTTTCCACACGAACTACTTCCTGGCGAGACTTCAATCTCTGTTCTAGGCTTTCGGAAAGTGTTTGAACTCTTTGAAATCATGGATGGCTCGATCCTGAGCTTCTTAGAACAAGACATATCATGTGTCGCCAAGGGTGGACTGTCAACGTCTGACTACTTGAGCCGACAAATGACTCTAGCTGCAGTCTACGACATGAGTGGAGATCACGATCTTGGAAAAATTGCAGATATTCAGCAAGTCAATATTCAAGTGACACAACAGTGGCTGCATTTGCTTCTATGGCAAATTGCTCTACAGCAGAGCTTACTCTCAAGCGTTTCTACCAACCTGCTGCTCACTTACAGATACCCTGTCTCTCTTGCACAGAATCTGTGTAAGCAATTATCGGCGACGACGCCGGAGATGATGCTTGCTCATGGTATTGATCTAGTGAGTTGACTTTTAGCAGCATCGGATGAATGACATGAATAACAAAAAATCAGTTCAAGAAGGTCTTTGACGTGGCATATTCACTTATGAATATAATTGCACTGTCCCCAACGGCTGAAGGAAGTCCCGAGCTACAACAATTGCTGCACTACCTTTCTGTCTCACCACAAGCAGAACAGACGCTAGTAGGCGTCTTACGTGACAGACGTGGCTTACAATCATAGATGCAATCTGCGGTCCCATTGGCCAACACGCCCTTCACGAGCTGATCAAAAATGTCAAGTCATTTTCAGAATTGTGTCCGGCTTCATATCGTTGATGCACCTTCGTACGGGTATATCATAAGGGTCGGCCACTGTTGGAGTGTGGCACACCGCTTGCTCTGCTCTGGTCAAGCGAATGGAGCCGGCAGGTCGCCTCGGTATGCAGAGCAAGAGCTTGTAGCTTGAGAGCTGTGCAGCGACGTGCCGACACGATGGCAAGATGACAGGAGGCGGTGTGTGTGCGAAGATGAGCAATCGGCAGAGCAACAGTGTCAATCGTGTGTTATGTATGATTCCAACTCTTGCAGAACGTCGAGCACCACTGCTGCGGTTGCTTTCGGTAGGCGGAGGTGGACGCGGTAAGCGACTGCGGTGCGGCGCCCAAAGGCTTTCCTGGGTGGTTGACGTCTTGCCAGCAGAGGCGTGACAGAGTGTGCCAGGTGGTGTCCAATTGACTACGGTACGAAGGCAAGGCTGTGCCTGCGTGACTCGGAATCTCAAGGAAAACCAATCGAGACTTGGTTGAGAGACTGGAGCCATGGCGAGACTGGCGGCAGCACCGTGTCCCCTTTCTTGCTTGTGTTGTTTCCGACTCTCCAGTGCACCATGGGCAGATGGACGGGCCCCGTTCGTATGATGAAAAAAGGCGACAGAAACAAATCAGAGACGATGGCGGGGAGGAGCGGTATACGGCTTAGGGTCGGCAAGAAGTATGCTGCTCGGCCTGGTGGTCCGATGGGGACCTCTTGAGCCGTGTTACCGGTGGTTTTCGCGGTACGCAAGATGCAAGATGCGAAGCGAAGTGCAGAGGCAGAAAGGTAGAATGCGGCATGATCAATGCGACATGATCAAAGCGACTCGGCATGGAGAAGAAGTCGAAGTGGATGCACGCAAGATGCCAAAGGTATGAGCTGAGCACTGAGCACCACCGCAAAGTCAAGAGACAATCAGTTTCATCAAGACTTTACGAGTGAAGGCAGCAGGAGTGGTGGGGCTAAAGAAACAAACAAACAACGATCATCAGCCGACGAAAGCTCTCACATCACGATGTATCTATGTATGAATAGCGAGCCACTGGAGGATAGACCTCGAGCAGGTGTAACACGATAAGGCGTGTAACGCATCGGCAGAACGGCACCATGAGATGGAGTTTGCGACGGAGTCTTCGCGCGAGGGAGTCTTCGCATCGAGGCAGAAAACCACAACGTTGGTGCGGGATGAAAGAGCGATGGCCTCGATGGCGCGAAACAGCGGAAGCGGGTCTGCCGAGCTGAGAAGAGTGGAAGAAGGGCGGAAGTCGTGAAAAGACAACGGCGTGGTCAGAGCTGCAGCCCACGGTAGAGAAGATGTAGCTGAATTGCTGCGCAACAAAGACGTGCTTGAGGCGGGGATAGAGTGGCAAGCAAACGCAATGACGGCTTGAGGCGAACAAACGACAACTCGAACGACGAAACGTACGATCATCACCAAGAGCATGGGCAACGACAAAGATTGATTGTCCTCTTTGTGTACAGGCATCGCAGAAGAGACACGGGCCCGCTGAAACAGCCATTCGATCCCCCGACTTTGATGGAGCTGCACTGCACCTACGCCGCAGAGGAGACACGAGCTGGCTGAAACAACCATTCGACTCCTCTCCTTTGGTTTCGGTACACACCGCCGAAGTGTTGGGCGTCCAGGCGGTACCCTCAAACAGGACTTGATACTCGCAAGCTCGCACTTTGGGTATCTTGAAGTATGACGCTCGGCGTGGCCGGTGATTGACTTGACGGCATGATGATGATGGTCATTTGAGTTGTGTTGATGGACAAGTCGATGCAAAGGTAGCTCCTGTACGAAAATTAGTCAGAGAAGAGGTGGTGAAGTTGTGCTGCCGGGGTTTCGTACGTTTTGAACGGCAGCAAGATCCTGGAGAAGATGCCGATGGTGGAAGCGATGATGCAGATGATGAAGGTGACGATTTCGAGGCTGAAGGTGATGAAGGCGACACTGGAAGTTTTGAAGCTGGAGAGGTGAAGATCGTCTGTCCATGGCGCCAATGGGAAAAGGCGAAAAAAGGTATTGGCATCGATAAAAAAGACCATGCCGAGATGAATGCAGATGAAAGGAACATAATTGATCTGAATGTGTTTAGTGATGTGGTTGCTTTGAGATGGAAAACTCACAGCGAAGCGACCATTTTCCGAGTCTTGGAACGATTCTCGCCTTGGAGACCACTCCACCCACTGCATGAGTCACTGATGCCATCAAGTTCGCTCGTTAATTGTCCTACCAGTCACCTCGCCCCGTGCGCAAGCTCGGTCCTTGCCACAGTCTCGAGGCCTTCCAAACTCAGGACATTGCTCTGCCACGTTCACCTACTGCGGTGGCTGACGATGGTACTACAACTTCTATCGCTTCAGCGGTCCTGACTCTGCCATCGACCCTTGACGCAGTCGATGTTGACAGCGAATCATACGTTTGATCGCTTGCTTGCGGTGCTTCGACGCTGAGGCTTCTTGCTCCCTGTCTGCCAGGAAGGGGAAGATTATCGATGCTGAGACACAGAGCCGCAGCCTTAACCCGAAACCCGTCGACCACCTCCCTTTCCGTCCAACTACGCCGTGCACGTTTGTAAAGCACGTCACCTGCAACTCAGGGGTCATACTTACTATTATTGGCTGCCATCGATGTTGTCTCCAAGAACGCATAAGCCACGCAGACTCATCTGCCCGCAAAGCACTATGCCTGCGGGTGATGGCTTCCGGTCCTCTACATCGTACCCTCACCATTCACGAAGCGCCGATCGGAGGCAAGCCCTCTACCAGGCTCAGGACACTCTGCTGCCGCAGTCACCTGCTCCAATCGCTAAGCTGGACAGTTCATCACTCGCTTGGGAAGCTTTCAAGACCAACTTTTCCTGCTTGCTCCATCACAATCGAGAGATCATCAATCACAAACCCGAGGCCCGAAGTCTAGAGCCTACGCCCGTCGGCTGCCTTTCCCCTCGCGTTCCATACCGACGCTCAGCCTGGCCCAGCTCATGAACTCGGTGCCGGTGCTGTGTTCGCATAGCATGTCATTCAGCTCGAGATGGCAATACTGTTTCCCACCATCGAGTCAATCTCTACCACCTCACACTTCCTGGCCTGCAGCAGTCTTGTATCTCAGTCATGACAAAAGGAAACAGGCGAACAGCCTCTCATCCCGTATGCCAGTGTCTTAGATGTCGCGGTTCTACATCTCACCGCACAAACATATCTTTTATGCTCGAGACCATGCTTTGCACCCTTCATCAGTCGCCCTTTAGATATCATAATCACGACTTTCCAACATGTCTCGCAAGCCATGTCACAAGAGTGGCATGGTTTGAAGGTACGTGAAGCATAGAACTCAAGAGATAAGGATGGCTGACAGCTGACGCGCGTGTCGTGCAGAGCTTCTCATACCGGCAACGACAATATTCGAATGCAACATTAGCACTCCAAGCACTACAACACCTATAGATGAGCTCGTTTGGATCTGGCCTTGGTGCTGCGTTTCCAGAGAGAAACAACACTTGCAAGCACAACAAACATGAGATCCATACCGCGGCACGGTAAAAGCTCTTCTACCATAGACCCTAATCCTCACGTGAGCCTTTAGCTAGTGCCGATCATGGCTAGGTTGCCATCCATTGTAGCACACTCACTGGCTTCCTTCGACCCATCCCCTCTGAGAAGATAGCCCACCGGCCCCGTGCGACGGAGACCAAGAAATCTGCGAGCAGCGTGCACAAAGCCATGACCCCCAGCAGCTGGCACGGCTTGCATATCGAGAGAAGGAACGCCACTAAAGCTAAACGTCGAAGGGAACGAGAAGGAAGAGGATATCTTCGGATAAGGGGAGAGGAGATTTCCTACCCACAACAAGATACTAGGCACCGGCGAAAATGGCGTAACCACGGAATACTCATCGACGTGAAGGATCGGCAGAAGCATAAAGTTGTGTGCCTCCATGGATCCATTTTTGCAGTCTACCTCGCCCTCGCTTTAGATACCCAAAGCTTGCATTCGGTCATTGTACGCTGCTCTCTATGTGGTACTTTGAGATGTGGGTGCGTAAGAGTATGCCACAGGGTGTCCCGATATATCTCACACCTTTCCGAATGATCGTGAAAGCGCACAGGCAGTTGCGTTCTTGTTGGTTTCGTTTCTGGCTGTCATCTGTGGTAACGTTCTCCTCACTGTCGACTCCTGGCACGTCAACTCAGTGGCATGCTGACCAGACAATCCCTACGGACTGATGTACCCTTCTAATACGGTAGATTAGTATCTCCAAGATGATAAGTCTGGAGGCGGTACGACGACGACACTTTCGATAGAGGGACTTCAAAACATCAATCTGCACTACAAGTCTCAGGTGGGCTCGAGGGTCAGGAGATTCGGGCCGACAGAGAGACTCGATCTCCTCGTGTTCATACCTTGCGAGTCATCTAGCATATTCAACATCAATTCGCCCAATACCATACAGTGCCATCTCTTGCAGCCTGCCTACCTGTCTCTCCAGGCATATCGTCACATCCATTACAGACTCGAGCCCAGCCCTTGTGCAAGCTTCTGTAAGTAGTGTGCTGGTTTACGGATACATACTGCTCCAACAAAAAGTGTGCGGCGCTGACGGTGCGGGCAGAGGGGTTTGGGCGACAGAGGCAAGCGGTCTTCTCATCGCGACGGGTAGTGGCAAAGACTCCAGTCAATGGTCGTCGATTGGACATGGCGAGTCGACGGCCATGTCGTTTGCTTGTTTGACAGTCAGCAGTGAAATCACAAACATACACATTGGAGAATCCTACCTAATCATCCTCATGATGACTGTTGATGTATAGGCCAAGAACTGTCTGTCTTGGAAGGCGATGCGAGAGATGAACGGCCCAGATGGAAAATCGAAACCATCTGCGAGCCGATAGGCGATTATCAAAGCAAAATATGTGTTTTGAAGGTCCGCGAATGCCATCTTGTGTTAGTGTATTGCCTAGCGTAGGAAAGGGCGACGACCAGATGGAGAACTGTTCTGCGTGGACACGTCAGTGGGATACGTAAGGAGGATATCAACAGAGGTAACTCAGGTCGCATACCTTAGACGCGGACTGTGATGTGGATTTCGACCGCTTCAGGTGTATGATTCTTGCTTTGGAGGCCATCCTCTCATCGCGTGAACACCCAGGCTTGGTCTACAAATCGACATGTAGAAGCTGCTCTTCGAGGCTGGCGGCTGAAGGTCTGACGTTGCTTTTCCTCGCTGCTCTTTTCGTAGACTCCGGTGGCTGGTCCAGGGGAGGCTTGACTCGAAGAGTGAAGGTGACAAAAGCACAAGGGTTGGATCTCTCGTCTCGCTTGAGCGCAAGTGGTGGCGATATACTCAGAGTTGGGAACGACGACGGAACCGGCGGCGTGATAGGTTGAGGCCTCAGTGGAATCTTCAGAAGCCTGTCGCACCAGTGAGAAGAATCGAGTCAGTGCGGATTTGCTGTCAAGACGCCTATGAGAAAGACGAGCGAGATCGACGGTAGAGTCGGGTGACTAGCCCCAGCAGGTGGCCTGGAAAACCTCTGGCTTGGAATTTTGATCGGCGAGCAGGGCCTGTAGACGAGTGGTTACTGTGTTGCGGCAGCTTCTCTGTGCTGGGCGGCAGCACCCGAGTATGACTGATCGATTCTTCTTACTCCCGAACGGTAGACAGAGCGATGGAATGGTTGAGTCGGCTCGACAAGGATACAATGAGCGAGTGTCGGAGTTTCTGTTCTGGCAATGTTGACCAGCTATGTAGCATGGCGTCGTCGACGCGTTACCACAACTCGAGTGAGTCATTGCACGCCCACGTTGGCAAGATCACGAAGAACTCTGCACAGCAAACATGTCACATACACGAGGATCACGAAGTTAGAATGATGGCAAAAAGAATTGAATTTAAGTTGTACTCTGATGATGATGAACTTCCAAAGACTTTCTGTGTGTTGGAAGCTTGTGTAGATGAGATTGGCTGCTTCGCTGTCAGCGTCGAAGTGGTAACAAAGCAGACAAAAGACAAGCGTACCTGATGATGATGGAAATGCAGTCGTCGAATTTTTGCACATCTTGCCATCGAGCTGTTGAACTGCAAAGCATCAGTATCTTGTATTTGGGTCAGAAAACAAAGTGAGCATACCATTGTAGCGTGGTGGTTCCACATGAAAGCGGCACGGAAGACCTTGACACTGTTTAAAGCCTTGACCAAGACCTCAGACTTGCAGGACTGTGCAGTGATGTGAAGGTTGTGCAAGCTCCTGATGAGTTCGACCTCCTGATGCTCGAGATGTTCATCGCCACGTGCGTTGGCTGGAGGGGAGAGGTCGAGAGGCTTAATCTTGGAAAAGGTCAAGTCCTTGTCTTCGTCTTGGTAGGTGCCGTTGTAGAAGAAGCAGAGAAGTCTCCGAAGGAGGGAAGTCAAGATGCCCGAAGGCTATAGATAAGGAGTGCACGATGACTGGAGGTGGATGAGTGATTGTTTGATGGAGAATGGAAAAGAAAGGAAGAAAAGAAGAGGAGGAGGCTTTAAATCAAGCAGCCATCAAGGTAGCTGATTATGGAAGCGTTGAGAACGAGGCAGCAAGTCGGCGATAGCTCCAGCTCGGCGAAATTGTGGTAGAACTATGACTACGTCCGCTCGCACATGGGCCACTATTACGGTAAGCAGTATGTCACATGCGATCTTTGCCTGGAAGAATGCAGCATGGTGGCATTGATCTTAGAATGGACGAAAGATTGTCTAGGTTGCATTCGAAGCTTCGGATACAGTTCATATGAGATCTGATTACGGAGGCGTTCGAATTCGCAGGAAAAAGTCTACAAAGATTGCACATACTCACGCGTAGGCGCGGAACAAGTCGAATGATGCGATAGCGTCCCTGTACAGATCTCTTTGTTACTTGATAATCTTGCGCGGAAGGGCCACAGTATTTGGGTCTGCCAGGCTCGAGTTCAGAGGCCGCGGCTTCTCTTCCTGGTGTCGCGCTTTTTTCCGTCTCGCAAACCCACACACCACCAACCTCGAACATAACCGCGACCGCTCAACCGCACACGCCGCTGGGGTTCTACAAACGCCAAGATGCACTCATGGTCGAGATTATTGCATTTCGGCCACGGCTTTCTCGCTACAGTATCGTTTGACGCTGTCTTTCACCAGACTCGATTCTGCGACAACTTGATCGTGGAAACCCTTCCCAATGCTCCGCTCCGATCCATCACCGTAGGAAGAGGCCGTGACCCAGCTTCGTTTCCTGTCGCATGAATTGGCGCCTACGCGTTCTCTGCTTGTTCAGTCATGAGCCTTAGTTCACAGCAATGCTGGCTGTCCACCACCACCACCACAGCGCGCCAAAATGCACATGGCAACTCATGCCTGATCCTGTCCAAAGTTCAGCTCGCATCGTACACAAACGGACTGTCAACTCCCCGGATGATCGGGCGTGTAGCACTGCGGCTGTCCTAGAACCCCGAAGGTGGTGGCAAGATACTCCAGTGCATTCGAACATCCACGACCATGGCCCTGCGTATACATCATCTTGAGCACCGGATATGCTGTGAGATGAAACTATTTGCGACTCGGTTATCGTTCACACCGGAGCCATGATTTTCCCCTCTCTCTCTCTCCAAACAACCATCAACGCCGACGAGACATCTTGTCTCGCATCAACGCCGTTATCTCCGAATCTCGTCTCTTATCATTACCTCCATCCTGTCCGGCCGGTCCATCTCACGCGGTCGCAGAGCAACGACTTTCGACCGTCCTGATCAACCGCTGTCCAGCGGTGAAGAAAGACACTGAGTCATCCAAGGGACAAGCGCGTGACGCACGCTTCGAGTTCATACTTAAGTTCGGCGAAAAGCTCGCAGGAACAAGAGGTTGTGGAGAAAAGTATGACCAGAGAGCGCAGGCTACATCACTCGCCCTTATACTAATTGTTCAAATGTCTCAGGATCGTCCTAGGCCCGAACGCTACCCCCCTAACCGAAAGACGACTACAACAGAGCCTGGGAGCTCTCCTCTAGTTCGGCCACCTGTTACTCTTCGATTTGTTCGTCATGACCGACCCCTCCGACTACTACGGTTGTCTTTTCGCTCCCCTTCTTTCAAAAGAATCAAGGTCGAGAGTCCTCCGGCTGCCTCTGCTGCTGGCGCCTTTGCATCTCCCAATGTCAATCCTGCTCCCACTACCACCACAACCGACAATGACAACAACTGTGCTGTCAAGCAGCCACCTCCTGTTGCGCCTGCGTTGGTATAACCTCTCTTGAATTATCCAGACTCTGAAGACGAGTATGTGGTGAGGGGAATAAGCAGTCGAGTTGGTGTTGATGGCTCTGTCTTGTTGCACGAGTCTGATGAAGAGTTCGAATCAACAACACAACAATCCATGTCATCGTCGGAGAAAGCCCACCTACAGCCCCCACAGTTGATGATGGCAGCGAATCAGACGTTTCGTCGCCTGCTTACGAAGCTTCCAAGACAGAAATCCCTAGCTCGCCATCTGACAAGGAGGAGCACATTGATCTCGCGGTCCAGCCTCCTAACCTGAACCCCAGGGCCGTCGACTACCTTCCTTCGCTTCTTACTCTGTCCAGCAATGCCATCAGCGACTCAGAGGCCGAAACATCAACGACTGCTGCCCTGTTCCTTCCGATGGCGTCGAGTCTACTATTCAGTCCACTGTCCCGTCTTCCAACCCGTCCCCTCGCCCTTTGGACAGGTCCGTCCTCGTCACATACTCAAGGCCTTGCAGGCTCAGGACGTTCCTCTGCCACAGTCACCTGCCCCAGCCGCCAAGTCAAACACCTTCTGACGACAGTCCTGCACATCTGAACTTTTCAAGCATCAGATGTTGAGCTTGACATCGTCCAAGACATCCCGCGCATAACTCCTCTAGCTAATGATGACAACGAGTCAGACATCTCGTCGCTTGCTTGTGAAGCTTTCAAGAACGATCAATCTGACAAGGAGAGGAGGTTCTGGGGTTGCAGAAGAGGTATACGGTGTCTGCTGCCTACAATGGAATGTTCACTCTTCTTCGGAGTCAGAATGACTGAGTAGACGAGCCTTGTTCGTCAGAGGGGCCTGAGTGGGGGGCGCGGCAGCTTGGGGCCAGAGAAGTTGAATGGCGAGGGGAAGAGTAGGGTCTTGCTTGTCGACAGCTGACGTGGTAGCATTAGCAATCATGAAATCGAAGAGCGACACTCTGATCGTGATATACCGTTGGCATTGCATGCATCCCATAGGATCGAGATTCAGTCAGTTGTTCTGGACAGTCTGCACGAATCCGGACAAAAGACAATTGCTAAAAGTAGGCTCACATCGTATCTCCACGTGAGATCATCCTGCACGTGGGATGTGGCTACGGCAACGCGTCAACTCTGAGTAGTCCATGCCACTGCAGCCAGATACTGAATTCTATCCTGAAGATCCCGGTATATACGAGTTATGAATCGAGCTGCTATAACCAGGGATGTTGCTCAAAGCCAAAGCAATCTTCGAGACATACTCATGATCGCCACCTCGGAAGTCGTAGACGACCTGACTCAGACGCTGTAGGAGAGCCTGCACCGTGATGCCAGTTTCTGCGGATCTATCGACGAGCGGGTCAAGTATGGTGAAGCTAGACTCGAGGGACATCTGAGATGAAGAACCCATTGCTTTGATCAGGCTCATCGTGATGTCGTATACCTTTTCGATCAAGCCAACACCGTGTACTTCCATCGACGACGGGTCGAGCACATTGCAAACAGAAATCAGATCGTTCGCAACATGATATGCAAATTCGAACCGCAGTTCTGCATGGGCGGAAGCTTCGAGGAGCAAGCCGTGCGACATGCAAAGCTCCCAGAGCCTGTTCGTCAACCAGAATTGGGTCACAGATATATCTGCTTGTTGGCTCTCGAGCAACTGCTGCAAGGGTAGGAGTGAGGCGGTCGGCTCGAACGATAAAGTTCCAGTCAGGCAACCTTCGCGAGCTCGTCGCTGAGCTCGGAACATACGGATGGCTTGTCGCCGATCGAAAGTCTCGCATCGGCCATCACTATATCTGCAATATCCGGCCCAGCACTCCACGACACTTTCATCGATGGCATCAAACGTTTCCATGAGATACAGTAAGCCAGTCATGCCGATCGTGTCTGTTTGATCTTGATTCATGGACGATTTTGGAGACCCGAACGTGCGCATGAAGTAGGCGTTAACGGCCGGACTGCCACGAAATCCAATAGTGTGCCGCTTTTGAAGCGCGTATGCTCTACGGAGATGGTTAGCTGCGAATTCGGGCGTGTCAAGGCTCACTCATCGTACCTTTCAGTAACCGAGAGAACCAAATATGTCCGCAGCCACTGTTCACGAGTTTCAACATCCAGGCTGTCATACGCTTGGGGCATATGCATTGAGAGAGCATTTGCTAAATCTACAGCCTCTCTCAAGCGATGGTGAGCTGCTTTGTGTTTGTCGTTGCCAAAAAGACACGCAAAGATGAAGAAGCTTGTCAGGATCATGTAGACGGATGGGTTCTCGCCGAAGTCCACAGTCATTCGCATCTTTATTGATTCTTCTAGAAGCATTCGAGCTTGCACGGATCGTGAAGGTGAGGACGCGACTTCGTGGATTTGCACTGGCTGTGTCATTGCAAAAGCACAAAGCGCAAGGAGCATGGCACCAAAATGAGGATCGTGATGATGCGTTCGAAGGAGCATCTCCTGGTAGATGCCTGTGCGACTCAGCAAGGGCACTGTCGGATGTAGTCGCTTGAAGTAGACATCGATCCAAGGCAAGAGGGCATCCTGGCTGATGGTGTTTGGCCAGATCTCGGCGGACTGTACGACTGGTGGTTGATCTTGGCGCAGCATAGCAGCGAACAAATTGAACGAGTCGTCGGTTGGAGATTCGACAGGTAAGCTTGGTATCATGAACTCGGGCATTCCCAGATCTTGCTGCATTGCAGTCATTGACAACGCGGGATCTTCTGATGCTGCGACATTAGATGTCCAGCTTGGCTGAGGTACCGGATCGGCTGGTGGAGGTTGGTAAGGTGTTGTCGCGGTCGCCCAGAAGTCAGATGCGGGAGATGTGTTCGTGTCAACCATCGCAAGGTTGTGCGACGAGGCCGTCCGTGTCTGGGCGAACGACGTGTCGTCTTTTGTCGTAGGACTTTCATCAACAGTTTTAGAGATCAGCGAGACACCCACTGTCGTGCTGAGATGCTCCGGTACATTTTCTCCAATGCTTGTCACCGATTGCCGATTTCTCATTTTAGCCAAGCGGCCAGACGCAGGACCTCTCTTTTTGCGTACTTCATTGTAAGTGCATGCTAAGTTCTTACCTGAACATGTTTTGCACGGATTGGCCATGTCACAGCGGACTTTTCTCTGCTTGCAAAGGTCGCATGCCTGTGGGCGACATGGTCAATGAAGAAAGACGGCCAGCGAGTGTGAATCAGGACATACTCTATCGGCTACGCTTCCACCTCCGACACGGGGTGCATTGACAGCGACATCGAGGGTCGCAAACATCTTTCCGCCCTTTTCAGGCCCGTTGTCGCAGAAATCGACCCGACTTGTTACTGATTGATGACTCTTGGAAGCGATGATGCGAGACGAACGTCTGTCTTCAGCTCCCTCGATTGATGGTGTTCCGGACTCGGCTCGCACCAGACACAGCCGTTGCTCCAATACGCTTCAGATGCGACATTGGTTGCACGTCGTCGAGACGCGCCCGACGCTCGAACATGGCCAAGTCCAACGCTCTTCGCTCGCGCTTGGACCATCTTCACACGACGAGGGCAAGCGGCACTAGCCTCGGCGGCCTCCGGCCCCGAGTTGTACAACTACCGAGCCAGAGATTCCGATGTCAATTCCAGAACTCAACATTGTCATTCAAAGCGTTGGAAGCCGCGGTGACGTACAATCGTTCGTAGCGCTCGGTTGTGAGCTCCAGAAACATGGACACCGAGTGCGCATCGCTACACATGACGTCTTCCGTGGTTTCGTCACCCAGTCCGGCCTGGCATTTTACCCCATTGGCGGCGACCCGAACGAGCTTATGGCATACATGGTCAGAACACCAGGACTCATTCCCTCGATGTCCACTCTTACAGCTGGCGAGATCTTCGAGAAGCGCAAAATGATCCATGGGATGTTACAGGGCTGATGGAACTCCTGCATATACCCGGACCCGGACTTTGTCGACAAAAGACCGTTTGTGGCCGACGCCATCATCGCAAACCCGCCTAGCTTCGCACATGTGCACTGTGCTCAAGCACTCGGCATCTCGCTGCACCTGATGTTCACCATGCCCTAATCTGCGACAGAGAGGTTCCCCCATCCCTGAGACAAGAACTGGCCGTCCCCTTTGCCTTACTACAACAACTAATGGCCTGTATAGCAAACATGAAACGTTCGGAAAAGGTTTCCAGCGTCGGCAACGATCAACGATGCAACACTTGGGGTATAAAAGTCCCGGGAGTATAAGCACCTTGGAGTATAAAAGTCCCCATGCCCGTCGAGAAGTCCATCGAAACTTCTCTCCATCTACCAACGACACGCGAAACTATACATCATCCCGCAACATGAGATCCGCCAGTACCACCGCGCTCATGTTGAGCTGCTTGAGTTCTTTCAGTCACGCTCATTGTGCCCTTCCACTGGTACGACCTCGCTCAGATACGAAGCTGACAGAAAAAACATCACCATCGGCTCCGGAGCGATTACCCCCAACTATCTCTGCGACACCTTGTTCTCCCAAGTTCTTGCCACCCAGTTCAAAAGTCTCTCCCCTGGAGATGGATTGGAATGGGCTCAACTCAATCTTTCCCCAGGCCATTACAACTGGGACACTCTCGACCGCCTCGTCTCGTTTGCGGAGAAGTATCATATGGTCGTCAAAGGACATGGCTTGATTTCAGGTTGCTGCAACCCTGACTACCTTCTCAACATCACCGACCCCGTGGAATTCCGAGGTGCAATGAAGGATCACTTCAATGCTACCATGCATCGCTACAGCGGCAAGATGGACCGCTGATGCTACTCATGCCGCGCTGGAGAACTTTGCATACATGCCTTGATTGCGAGCATGGTACAACTTTGTCGGAGAGGAGGAAAGTTCATACATCAAGTGTGTTGGTCGGAGAGAAAGCAATCCTGAAGCAGGGCTTGTTCATCGAACCTGGGCTACTAGCACATTGGAAAGAGACATTCTTGCTTGACAGGACCGCAAATCATGTATAGTTACATCGTCATTTCTGATCATGTCTCAATCTATCGCAAGATCATCATCTCGAAATTATCTAGCTCCTGTCCACAAGCACGACCGCACCGTAAGGCATCAACGTAACATAGCTAGCTTTAATGATGGCACCATGCGGCATCAGTGTGACGTTATGAGCCTTGATGTTGGGCTCTTGGTTCGAGATGAGGACCTCAAACTCCCGCTGTGCAAAGGACTTGATTTGCACCTTTTGTTCCCGATCTGAGAAGTTGAGCAACACAACAGCGGTCTTGCCAGTCTCGTGGCATTGACGTTCGTATCCGAGCACCTTCTCGCCAGTGTCGCCTTCGCTCAACGGTGTGTATGAGCCATACGTGAGCAGGTCTGTGTTCACTTTTCTCAAGGCCAGCATCTTGCGCCAGTATGCCAGCACACTGTTGGGGTCATCGATTTGGCTTGCGACATTCCAATTGATGTAGTCGCGGTTGATGGTCATCCAGGGCTGTGTACATTCCCCAGAGAAGCCTGCATTAGCGCTGTTGTCCCATTGCATGGGTAGTCTTCCGTGGTCTCGGGCCTTGAGTTGGATTTCGCGCATGACATCTCCCATCTTCGAGTGGTCGCCGCCCCTTGACTTGAGTACAGCTTCGTAGTAGTTGCGTGCTTCAACGTCGATGTAGGCTTCAGGACCATACTCTTTGCCGAGATTCGCCATACCAATCTCTTGTCCAGCAAGCATGAAAGGCGTTCCACTCAGGGTGAGGAGGTATGTAGCAAGCATCTTTGCTGCTGTGGCACGGTGCTCTGGCGCATCCGAAGTGTAACGACTGAGAGAGCGACCGCTGTCATGGTTGTCCAGGTAGACACTGTTCCACCCATTGACTTTTGGCATCACTCTCTGCCACATATCAGTGATCTGTCTGATCTTGCGGGGATGGAAGCTGCCTCGACCATACTTGGCTTCGGCACCAAAGTCCATGTCAACGATATCGCCAGTGAAGACCATGTTGAGCTCGTGCCTGTCCTTGGCGACGTACTCACTTACGGACAGCTCATCCTTCGTAAAACCAAGTTCGCCTACGTTCATGGTGTCGTACTCGTCGAAGACAGCTCGCATCTCGCGGATGTAGTCGTGCATCTTGGGGCCCGAGGCGAAGAATTCGGCGCCTGACTGATACGGCTCGTCGTTGATGACTTTGCCATCCGGGAGATCGGGGTGCTTGCTCATCAGATTCATGCTGTCGATTCTGAAACCATCAACACCGCGGTCAAGCCAGAAGCGCATGTCGTCGTACGAGGCCTGACGCATGTCACCATTCTCCCAGTTCAGATCAGGTTGAGACGGGAGGAACAACGCAAGGTAGTATTGACCAGTGTGCTCGTCGAAGTGCCATGCACTACCGCCAAAAATAGATTTCCAGTTATTGGGCTCTTTTCTGTTACCCTCGTTGTCGATCTTCGGGTCTCTCCAGAAGTACCAGTTGCGCTTGGGATTATCTCTAGAGGAGCGAGACTCCTTGAACCAAGCATGTTCGTCACTCGTATGATTCACAACCAGGTCCATTAGTAGCTTCATGCTGTTGCTATGAAGCTGATCGATGAGTGTCTGTACGTCCTCCACTGTACCATATGGGGCGTGGATGGCGCGATAGTCCGAGATGTCGTAGCCCATGTCGTTTTGTGGAGATGCAAAGATGGGTGAAAGCCATATTGTGTCGACTCCTAAGGATTTGATATATGAAATCTTGCTGATGACGCCGGGAATGTCTCCCAACCCGTCTCCGTTCGAGTCCTTAAAGCTGGCTGGGTAAATCTGGTACACGACGGCTTCCTTCCACCAAGCTTTTGACGAAGCATTGGACATGACGGCGTGTGGTGACATTGAAAAGATGAGAAAGTATGATGAGAGATGCAAGCCAAAGCGCGATCAGTCCCTTTATGTTTGTTCCTCAAGGGACGGCAGGCATATAGGCAGTTGTCCTTGACCGGAGGTGTCGGCGAAATTGATGATCGTTGGATCTGCGACTCCACAATCGCGAGAAGTGACAAAGTCTCCCCGGCTGACGATCTGCAGCAGGCGAACCGCGCGGGCGGGGTACGGAAAGCGATCCGTCAGCGGAGAACTGCTCAAAGCGGTGAGTTTCGCCGAAGCATCGCGGGCCGACATGCATCTCGGTCCGTAAAACAAGGATTCATGACCCACTCCCTATCCCGAAGGGCTCGGGAGCATCTTCAACGAAGCCAATTATTCCTCGTGCGATGCGAAGCTGCAGCTCCCTCTTGCTATGTGCATTTATGGTACCATAAACTGGCTCTGAGTCATGTGAACCGAGGAAAATTGGGTCGGTAAACCCTAGTTTCCAGCTGCCCGGGTGACCACACCAACGAGTGTCTTCTTGGATCTATGGCGACGAACTTGATCCATGCGATGGACCTGATATCTTGGCTGGATGCTAGGTGCTTCCCAGCGGCTTCTCTATGTTCCTAGATGTTTCTCATGTGTTGAAAGTACTGGGTACTCGGCGAAAATGATTGTTTCCTGCGGAGACATGTTGAAACGTGCGGAAGCAACGTCTGTGTCACAATTTTTCAGACCTCCACGGTGCGGAGATCGAATCAGATATCAATCTGAGCATCGAAGAAATCTGCAGCGATCAGTCTACAGTAGTGCTGATGATTGAACAATTGATAGTCTGCCCACTTTGGGTACACAAAACAGCAAACCAATAAGCTATATCGAGCCAAGATACCTATGAAACTGAATCAAGCATGCAAGAAAATATGTACAGATTGACCAATACTATCTACAGCTATCCAACGAAGACATCAAACGTAACAAGATCCACAGCAGTCGACCACAATCACCTCATCATGCCTTGCGAGAGAAGCGGCTAAGGAAGCCGTCCTTGTGCTCCTTCTCGACCGCCTGACCATCAATGACAGCAAAGTTCTTGAACTGACGGGGAGGAATGCCGGCAGCGTAGAGTGTCTCAATCTCTGCATTAGTTCTGTTCTTGGTCTCAGGCTGGAAGAACCAAAGAGCGGTGATGATGAAAAGCTCAGCTCCAACGAACAAGAACATGACTCTCCCACCCCAGTTGAGCTGATCGGGATTGATGAAGTATGGGAAGATCGAAGAGAGCATGAGAGCAGTAAGTTGCTGACAGACCAGAGTGAAAGAGATGGTCTTGGGTCTGGTTGCTTGCGAAGCAGTCTCTTGAGCGACAGCCCAGCCGTAGCAGCCGACAGTTCCGGTGTAGAGCATGGACCAGGTGATCATGAAGACCAAAAGCGCAGTGTTGGCAGCAGTGTTGGTTGTACCTGCGACCGATGTACCACCAATAATGACAGACCAGAACATGAGGACTGTACCACCGCCAACAAGTCCCTTGCGTCTGGGGACGATGTCAGAAACACAGACGGCGACGAAGTTCGCCAGGAGCTGCAGGGTGGAGGAGATGGCTGTAAGGCCGAAAGGATCAGCTTGTCCGATGAGTTCGAAGTAGTAGGTTTGATATGTGCTGGAGGGTATGGGTTAGCATGGTTCGACTAGAATGTATGGTGTTCTTTCCTATGTGCAAAGCTGTGCCACGTGCTCAGCTCTAGAAATGCACAATGTCTTTTGTGAACAAGGAGCATCCGAAGAGAGTCCTGTTTCAAGACCAGGACTATCTGGGGACCTCACCACAGTTCACAAAGGACTGTGCATCTCTATAGCTTGGGAAGCGCTGGCGTGCTGCCATGGGAGTTGGTGGTGATGAGGGAATGTGCCCAAAACTGTGGCCAAAAAGGAGGTTGTGGGCAGGGATTTGATTTTTGGTGACCGGGCATTCACCCAGAGTGCTTTCTGACCACCAGGAGCTCACTTACTTAGCGAAATAGCCACCACTGAAGTTCTGGGATTGGAGGCCGAGGACAGAAACGAAGGTTCTGGTGCGGTTCTCCTTGGAAAAGATGGCCTTCCAGCTTGTTTGGCTTTTACCTTCACCCTCAGCCTCAGCCTGTTGCAGCTCGGTCCTGATGATGGCAACGCGTTCCTCGACGTCTGCGTCAGCTCCGAACAGCTTGATGATAGCCTTGCGGGCATCTGCCTCGCGGCCCTTCTTCATGTACCAGACAGGACTCTCGGGGAAGAAAGGAAGGGCGACGAGGAAAACGGTCGGCAAGAGGAACGTCATGCAGAAAGCGAGTCTGTACGACCAGGGTCCATGAATCTTAGAAGCTCCGAAGCCAGTCATGGAAGAGGCGAAAAATCCGAAAACAATAATTACGTTGGTCAATGAGGAAGCAGTACTGCGCAGACTGGCAGGAGCGTTCTCGGTGACATAGAGAGGAGGAATGGCAGTAGAAAGACCGACCGCCAGGCCTAGAAGAAGCTTGGAGACGAATAGAACGGGCAAATTGGGCGCAAAGACCAAGGCAAACGACGAGGCCAAGGACAGGAACACTGCGGTATAGAGAAGAGGCTTGCGACCAGTCATATCAGCGAACTGACCCGCCGCGTACCCTCCAAAGACTTGGCCGATGGTGGAGGCAGCGTTCCAGAGAGACTGCCAGAGGGCTGGGATGACCCATTGTTTGCCGTCTGCGAAGTAGTTTCCGTAATGCTTTCTGAACTCGGGGAAAGCGATGGCAACACCTGAGAGACCAGCATCGTAGCCCCAGCCAAAGACGAGAAGCATAACATACAAGGTCCAGATGACGAAGCGCTTGTCTTTCTTGATGGCAGCTCCTAATCTGGCATATTGGGCCTTGGCGGTGAGTTCATTGGTTTGAGCGGCACCTGCTTGAGAGTCGACGGAAGTGATCTCGAGATGAGCAATGTCGGTCTTGTCGATGGAAGACATTTCGAACTTGTTGTCGTTGGTAGTCATGTTGGTCAGCTTGCGACGGTGCTGAGGCTGTTGGTTGTAGAAGTGTTGAAGCTGACTCTGTTGCTCTGCTGATATCGATCGACATGGCGGTGGATCAGGACGAATATATACTGTACCCCATGCCGTTGCGACCCCAGAGTGAGTTGTTCAAATGATGGAGAAAGCGGGCATTTGCCTGGAGGAAGAGGAGGAGGATGGCTAGAGTTTCGGCGAATCCGTCCCAAAGCGGCCAGTATCGCCCGACGCGCCGCCGATGGCGCAAAAAACAGCTCGATTGAGACCCCACGTTTCCCCGGATCTCTCGAGTTCCCCCGGATCTTCATCAGCTGCACCCTTTCCAGTATGCTCGAGTTTCGCCGAAGGTCAAATGGTCGGGGGTACTTGACATGACCGAAACTCGAGCCGGCAGATCGCAACATGTGACAGCTATCAAAAGCAAGGACGGAGACGTAGACATGCATGCTGCGATTTCATTCTCTCCCAGCCTGAAACCGCTCTTGTCGTTTGCAATACCCTCCAAAGAGCAGCCATGAGCAACACAATCTACGCGAGCATGTCGCGCACTCCAAGCACCTCTTCACAATCAACCAACGACACCGAACTCTCGTCTCATCGAGATCTTGATACCAAGCTTTCTCAGTCAAGGTCGAAATTTCGACGATGGAGACCGTCTTACCATCTTCAAGCACCCTCAGGATGGATGAATGTACGTCACGTCTCGAGAAAAACGGGCATGAGAAGATCTTAACCAGAATCAAGGATCCTTGTGCGCCTCATTACGATCATACCACCGGCCTTTACCACGTCTCGTATCAATCTAACCTGGATCTCAACAACGCCGACTGGGGAGACATCGCATGGCGGTCTGCTACCTCTCCAGATCTGGTGTCATGGACTCCCACTCATTCATTATCTCTGAGTCCGGACGCAAATTACGATGACAAAGGCGTCTTCACAGGCTGCAGGCTGCCCAGCCGCGACAACTCGTTGACGTACGCCTACACTTCAGTCAGCGACCTACCTATCCACCACACCTTACCCCACGTGGTGGGAAGCGAGTCTTTGAGCTTGGCAAGATCGTTTGATGGAGGCCGGACATGGCAGAAGTTTGCTGGCAATCCAATTCTGCCCAGCGAGCCGAGCGGATTGGATGTGACCGGGTGGCGAGACCCGTTCGTGAGTTCGTGGCCTGAGATGGCAAAAGTACTTGGCCTGGACACGAACAACACCCTCTTCGGAATCATCTCAGGAGGCATACGAGACGTCACACCGACGACCTTTCTGTACAGCATTGACGCAAATGACCTTACGAGGTGGCAATACATTGGTCCCTTGGTCAACTTTGGCATGAACCTTCGTCCTTCAAGATGGTCAGGCGATCTCGGCAAGAATTGGGAAGTCACAAATTTCATGACGCTCCAAGATACCGCCGACTCATCTGTGACTCGCAACTTCCTCGTTATGGGCACCGAAGGTTGTTTGCCGAGTGCAATGGGACACCAATCAAAGGATCTCACAGGTCCTTCTCGCCCTCTTCGCGGACAGTTGTGGATGTCCGGTTCACTCAAACGAAGTCACCCAGACACTTCTCCCGCCTCGAGCCCTGTTCAAATGGAGTTTGACTTTGGTGGTCACCTCGATCATGGCTGTCTGTACGCTGCAAACGCGTTCTTCGACCCAAAGACAGGCAAACACATCGTCTGGGCCTGGATTACAGAAGAAGATCTTTGCGACGAACTTCGTCATGAGCAAGGCTGGAGCGGTTTGCTCTCACTACCTCGTGAAATCCATCTACAGACCATCGAGAATGTCGTCTCGGCCAGAACATCCAAACTGGAAGCTATCACATCGATCGAAACTGATCGCAATCAGAACGGTACGCATACTGTACGCACATTAGCGACAGAGCCGGTCACTTCGATGGCCAAGCTGTTACGTCGTAGAGCTTCATGCCGCAGAGCAAGACTAAGCCAGCCTCTGCCCCGTCGCAATTCACTCAACTTGGCTTTTACCTCTGACGATGTCCGAACGTCAGCATGGGAGTTAGATTGTTCCTTTTCCGTTGCCAGAAGCTGTCAGGAAATTGGACTACAAATTGTGCATTCTAGAGGTAAAATCACAGCATCGAGATATACCCAAATTCACCCCCTGCTGACTACCTCAATAGACTTCACTCAAACTACCACACTTACTTTCTCCCCCAAGCACGAAACCTTTGTTATCGAGCGTCCCTCTTTCACCTCGCCCTCGAGCACCAATTTGATCAACACAGCTCCCGAATGTGCTCCACACACCCTGTTCACTACCGTTGACCCCTCAAAGAACAACCAGCAGGTTGAAGAACCTTTGCACATTCAAGTCTGGCGCGATAACTCAGTCCTCGAAGTATTTGTCAACGGACGCACTGCAGTTTCAACAAGGATCTATGCTGCTGAGGACACGATTGGAATACGATTCTTTGCAGACGACACGCCTGATTTCGGAGGGTTTGACGGCACGGGCATATCGCAGCTGATCTATGGAACCCTTTGGGATGGCATCGGTGCATGAGAGGCTCTGTGCAAAGGGCAGCTCGATTGTTTGCTTTTGTGAATATACATCCCTCAATACCAACGAGCTAGCCATGTCGAATACTTCACAAGTGGAATGTCTGTACTGACACGAAATGATTGTGACACTCTGACGTTGCTCGAATGATATCATGTATGACATCAAGCTGGTTTTAGGTGATACCTCGACTTGCAGCGCTCGCGGAGCTATCCCTCCCCTTGTGCTACGATTGAAAACCCTCTTCTTCTCCGCCTCAGTCTTTCACCAAGCTATAGCGGCCAATGCTTGCTATAGCAAGGCGTCGTGATTTTGAAATGAGAGGACAGATTCGAAGAGAGAGCTTGAAGAGTACCGTAACTCGAGAGACATGATCCGGTCTTTGAGGGCATTGTGCGTTTCGATAGCTGTATGCGTTATACTCTGCCTCTACGTATCTCTATGTAGTAACAAATCCTCGCTGATAATATCCGCAGCACGTTCAGCAATTGCATACACAGTTGCTAGAATGTTTCCTCTTGGTATAAGGGGTATGACACTCGCATCCACAACCCTCAAATTCCGGATGCCTTTCACGTTCAGTCGACTGTCCACCACGGCGTCCAGAGCGCATGTACCACATGGGTGGTAATTTGTCATTGCAAAGTCTCGCGCAATCTCTTTAGCATCGTTGATCGTGTGGGTTGGGTATCCTTCCGGAAGCCGTCGTCCTCCAGGCTTGATGTATGATGCAAGGGGCTCTGTTTCTGCCAGCTTCTCCAGTACCTTGACGTGACGGGCATGTATCTCTAGATCAATCGGGTCCGAGTAGTAGTTGAGGTTGATCTTGGGCTTGATCCTAGGATCATCGGAGGTAATATGGACGCTCCCGGCGGAGAATGGATGAGATAGCATAGAGTTGAGGGTGATGAACTTGTCGCCTCTAGAGCCTTCTTGGGTCTTCTGACTCAGGAACGATACAGCAGTTACTTCATTGGCCGACTCGATTGCCTTTCGGATGAAGCTGTTGCGCCTGCGTGCAAATGGCGACCAACTTCCATCATCTTGCAAGTACTGGTCAAGCACAGTCTGCAATCTTTGCTGTCCTTCAAGAGCCAAGAATGGTGCAAGTGGCGTGTAAGAAAACATATAGGCGCCATTATCAATCAGAGGCCCGGAGCGATTTTTCTCGTAAAGCCTTTGTGCCTTGTCCATAGGTATTCGTTCCGTTATCGGAGCGTTGTCGGCGACCTCGAACGATTCCCATGCACGTATATGGTCTTGCAGGTTCTCCCCGATAGCCGGATTGGCGCAAAAAACATCGATGCCGTGCTTCTCGAGGATTTCAGGATCACCCACACCAGAGAGCTCTAGGATTTGGGGGGTGTTGAACGTACCGGCGGCAAGTATGACTTCTTTTTTGGCTGTGACTCGATGAAGTATACCGTACTGCGAATACTAAACACCACGGACTATCGGTCCCAAGCTATCTTTACCAATTGCCAATCTGTTGACCACAGCATTACTGATGATCGTCAGGTTCTTACGACCAAGAACGGGATCTAGATATGCCACTCCCGCATGGCTTCGCTCGTGGGTCACTCCGGTAACATGGCAGGTCGACGTGTGGCCGCCGATGGCGTGTCCAGTGAGAGGGTCGCTAACATTCTCGAGGCCCAGAGTGTGGAAAGTATCGAGCCAGGCCTTGTGTAGTGGTGTTACTTGCGATGGGAATGACGTTTGAATTGGTCCATGAGACTTCCAGATTGTCTCATCATTGTGTATGATGTTCACCTGCTTCTTGACTTCCTCGTTGGGAGGTACAATGGTCTGAAACTTGAGGAAATATGGCGCCAGAGTTTTCCAATCCCAACCATCATTGCCAAGTCCTGCCCAGGCGTCGATTTCCGCAGCTGAAGGATATATGATGGCGAGTGAGTTTATTGCGCTGCTGCCGCCTATAACGCGACCACGAGGGTGCTTCATACGTCTGTTGCTCATGCTGGGAGACGGATCCGAAACATATTGCCAATCGAAATCCGGATCATCCAGAGTGTCGCCTGCTAGACCGGGGGTATAAACACGGCCGTCGTCACTGCGATCTTCTCCGGCCTCGAGGACGAGTACTGACACTTTCGGATCCTCCGTCAGGCGATTTGCTAACACGCAGCCGGCAGTCCCGGCCCCCGCCCACTCGCCCCTCACTTCCTGCATCTTTTCGATGCATTGGCGCCTCAGGAACCCGTTCTCGTCTGGGCTGCCATCGCCCTCGTCTCCCACTCTCCTCGTTGGGACGCCACCCCCATCGACCCAACTATCATGACGAAACTCGCCGCATACCAAGAAGATCTCGACTTTGACAATAGCGATGTCGAGAACGCCATGACCTGCCTTGTCTTTGTCCTCATACAATCACCTCTTCTCCTTGCTGTTGCCAAACAGGCGCCCGACAACAAACTCTTCTTGAAGTTGACATATGCTCTTCTCACAATCAGAGAGTACCGACAAAACCTTCGCGACTTCACCACCATCTACGATAATGATGAGGACGCTGGGCTGTTGATCACCGCCCTCGATCTTCCCGGCCACAGCGCCATTCAACGAACCATCTCAGCTCTGTCGCCCGTCCGTGCCATCAAAGACTTGATCAACCTCGTTCCTGACAACCAATGGGGCAACAACACTGCCGCCTGCAAGACATATCTTCGCAATGCGATCGAGCAAGTTTACAGACTTGACGACAACCGCGGCCGTACAGCAGCTAGTGAGGATCTCAACGTCGACAAGGAGATCTTGCAGTGGATGTTCCTGTGCGGCAGGCCTCCCGTCAACCCTCACGTCTTGAACAACCATATCTGGTTCTTGATCAAGTGCCACTGGGCTACTGTGTGTGCACAGCGCCAGCCAGTTTGGTATCTCACGGGCTTCGCTGGTCGTATGTTCAACCAGTTCTGGTCAGAAAATAAAGCGGATAACGTAGGCGTGGAATGGAGATACCTCAAGGTTGCCGTTATCAACGTGGTCGCCGGTCTTGGTTGCGCTATTCCTGATCGTTGGGATGCTGTCCGCGCTGATCCCGGTCGTTGAGTTGAGAGTGCCGACGATATCCTGGCTTGTTTTCGAGGCGACTTTTCAAGTAATCATAACCTGAATGTCACCATTTTATCTTGCTCTGCTTCTATGAATGAAATGTCTGTATGTGTATGCAATTGGTGAACCTGCGGCAGACTCGGCGAGGCGTGGAGCATCAGAGAAAGTCATGCGTGATGGGATCGAAGGCCGATATCTTCATCATGCTGGTACCATAGAGTAAGCAATAGACCAGCACAGCGATTCGAAAAACTATATTATCGGTATCACAGTGCCCGCGATCAGGGTGTACATGATAACAACTTATCTCCTTAACCGCATCTGGTATGCCGATCTTCTCAAGATCTTCTTTTTGCCTCCCCGCGACAACCTTGAACAGATCAAATAATGCTTCGTGTGGCCAGCGCTTACTTTGTCCGAATCCTATGGCCCGGGAACTTATAGTCAGGAAATGCCATGCCCATTCCAGCCAATGTGCTAAACATGGTTGCGTAGTTTGGAGGCAATGTATCACTGGCACCAATGGCCATGAAGGCGCTTGTCGTTTGCTAGTAAAATTCTCCCTTGGACATTCCCAGAGGAATACGGGCTTCTCGAGTAGAATATCTGCAAAGAATGTCTGGCCACAGTGATGTTGCGGCATCGGATTGAAGCCACCCTGCAGCAGAGAGAGCGGTAATTACGGTGTGAATTCAGTGACTTGAGACATTCTTCTGTGGTACATGCTTGCTTACGTTCACCAGCGGCATCCTTCAAAACCGTTACCAATCATTAAGTACTGGTCGTAATGACGATCAATCACTCAATGATCGTAGTACAGTCATCAGCGCTTGTCAACAGAAAGTGAGCAGTTGTTTCAGATCATGCACGTAATCTGTCGTTCTGAGACTGGTGGAGTTGCTGTAGGCTTTGATGAGGCGGAATCGGTCTTGACGACATGATGGCAGTATAACAAAGAGCGGTTCTGAAGTATCGCGAAGGGGCACTCCAGCGAAAACAATTTGTATCTCGGGAGCCGCATGGTCAGTGATGAGCTTACGAGCATTCGTAATCCAGGTGGCGAGGAACGCACTAACCACATTCTGAGTCCAAGTCGAGCTGAAGACGAGGTCAGTCTCTCGAATACTCAACTTTGTAGGAGTGATACTCGAGATTGACAAGTATTAAGCTGGAGAGCGGTGGTGGCACGTAGTGGTCACGAAAGAAGCCCAGAATCGGCCACGAAGGGTTTAGGGTATTGTATTGCAACACTGATTATACTAATTGCTCTCTCGTCCGATGATCCACGTTCATCACTAAGCAGCATAAGGAGACTTGCAGCTGAAAGAAGTAGTAACACTACCACCCGACAACGCAGTAATCAAAGCCTCGATGGCAGCATAGCATCCCAGACCACAGACAACCAATGCACCAAGGAAGTAGATGATGTTGAGAGTTGTGACGAAGAAGGTCTTCCTGTATCCGCGCATCCATCTCTTGATACCGCCGTCAACGCGATGATACCTGCCCGTCGCTTCGTCGAAATTCTCTTCTGGCAACATAGCAGCTGTCTTGATCGTAACGCCGATACGAAGCAGCGCAGGGAAGGTGTAAGTAAAGTTACCGATACAGAGGGCGCCGACGAGCGAGCTGAAGTCTCCGAGCAAAGGCACGGCGGCGGCAACCACGAATGCGAGAGCCCAGTAAACAGGTACGACGACCACCCAGATGATCTTGCCGGCCTTGGCGGTAAGCGGTGGGAAGTGGAAAAGCTCCATGAGGACATTGCTGTAGATGACCTTGATGCCGATGTTGCCATAGAGCGCGGCAGCGATCATTCCGCCGATGATGGACAAGATGTTTCCAGCAGTCTGGAGACCGTATGAGCCAACACTCTGAATGGCAGTGTTGTAAGTGTATTGCCCTTGGTAAGCATATTGGAATAGGCCGAAGAACATGTATGCGATGTAGATGAAGATATCCGCCGCCATCATGCCCTTCCAGAAGTCCCATGGATTGCGCATTTCTGCGAGAAGGTTGAAGAACAACATGGCACCACCGTACGCGTAGATAATTTGATCTATTCCCTGGAAACTGCCCAGAAATCCAGTACCACCTGACTGATAGCCGTAAGGGGGAGTACCGCCGAATGTCTTGATCGGGATATGGCTTTCGACTGTGCCACCGGGGAAGTTGGTGTCGCCAAATGCTGTGCCCTTTCCGCCGAACGTACTAAACATAACTGCATAGTTGGGTGGTGAAGTAGCACTGGCCCCAATGGCCATGAAGGCGCAGATGACAGTGGTCCAGACAGACAGATTAGCAAGCCAACCAAAGCGCTGAAGGGTACGGATCTGCCCGAGGACGACTCCTAGGATGCCAAGAATCAACAGGCAGACGATGAAGCAAAGACCATTGCCGTTTTTGCCATTGTCTCCGATTGAAATCTCGGAGATGGCACCACCGTTGTTGAGGATCAATACAGCGACCAGAAGGAACATTTGGAGAGTCTGGAGAATGTTGACGAGATGGCGCATGGGAGCGCCGAACACTCGGAAGAAAGCTTGCCCAAAATCGCGAATAGGGTAGCGATCCGAATCCAGTTTCAAGAAAGTCAGGTAGACATACCAACCAGAAAGAGCAGCGAGGCCACCGAAAACGGTGTAAAGAGCGACGCCGGGGCCGAATCCAGTGTTTGCAAAAGCCCAACTGCGTTATCGTCAGTGAACGATTGGAACGTTTCTCTCGGATTAAGCTTACGGAGCACCTGTGGGACCGAGAATGTCGGTAGTGATCAGGAAGAAGGCCGAAGTCCAAGTAGCTGTCCTTGTAGCACGAGAGGCACGTCTCCAATCCAGATCAGTGACTTCGGCAGCGTTTCTGTACGTGATGATACGGCCATCCGGGTTGTCGTCACCTTCGAAGGTCTGTTTGTGTCCAGTGGAGAATCGACTTTTGATGATGCCCTTGAACGTGAACGGATTCTTTTCCACGAGCTTTTCATACTCTCTCTCCTCGGCACGAGTTATGGCAGCGTAGTGGAGGTATTCTTCAAACAAGACGTCAGGGTCGTTGTGAACCAGTGCTGCTTCAATGCTGAACCCGACTGCGGTATCTGTAGGAGCTTCGTGCCCGTTGTCAAGAGCAAAGAGAGCAGGATTTTTCTCGCCCTCGCGAGGATCACCTCCTCCCAGGGTTAGATTGGCGAGATTCTGAGAACCCATCCTTGGAACGAAACAAGTGTGGAAGAAAATTGATCGCTCATAGAAGCACTGTGTGTTGTAGCTGGGTCCAGAAGTATTTATCATTACTCGTGGGTGGGCGACGGGCAGTTGATGGGAGCGTGACCGTCCGGCCGTTGCTTCCGGATTGCTCAAGCCCAAACAGGAAGGAGGGCACAAGTCGTTCGCGAAACGGCTTGTGCTAAGGCGAGAGCCAAGCCGGAAATAAGTCTAGCGCGAGCTTATCAATGCTTGGTATCTTAACCAACCGGAGCCTGAGACTTTGAATGTTTTGATTGTAAGCAGTGACTTGCCTGTTCAATTTGTGCTTCGAATAATTTGCGTCTGAGTCTATGGCCATGGGCTTTGTGGATTGAAGAGTTGTAGCTGCATTTCGCGAAGCCGGAATTGAGTCTTTCCGTTGTACAGCTGAAGTACCGCAGAACGTTTCGCACGTAGAGACACGCGTCCTTTGCAATCTGGTTCATGACTTATCTGAATACTGAAAAGCCAATCTGATGACGTGGACCTCGTGTCTTGAAAGTCAATTGCACCCCCTCCCGTCTTTTCTAGACCATGTCTACACGTTCGTTTATGCCTCTTCCTCGTGTCGACCAATCGGACCAGTCCCGTCGCTGCGTCGCTTAGACATGCTCTGCACCAACTTACGCGATTTCGAGGACACACCTTATAATCACGACAGTCTGTAAACCGCTGTTCGTTTGTCTGTAAATGCCTCATTCTCCTTTCATCAGCCAGCGTCGGCAAACACCTTCCCACAGCTTATCAGCTCCATCAGATCCTTCCTCCTTTGCCAAGTCCAATAGATCCTTCAATCTTCCTTCCAATACAGATTCCAGCGTCAATTCCTTAGCTGGCCCCTCATTGGGAACAACGAACATCGACTCCTTGCCGCCCTTCTTGAACCTGGCCCAAGGGGCTTCTCCGTCAACGATGTACTTGATGTACCTCGCCCTCCATTCTCTGATCTTCTCCGCATAATCTATCGACAGTCTATCCTCATATGCACCAAGCAACGCTACAATGTCCCAAGTATGCGATGCAAACCTCTTCTGCTCCAGCGGACCAGGGAAAGGATTTCCGAGATCGAAAAGCTGAAAATACGTCGATGTCTTATCAGCCGTACCCTTCGCCACAGCCAACGCAGCGGAGAAGAAGCCGATATCAGACTCAAACTGGCAGATCTTCTCCAGCGCTTCTTCATCTGTGGTTGTTTCTTCAATCCCATAGATCTGCAGCAAGGTTTCAGGGTTGTTGAGGACTTCCCTAGAGATCTTGATGAAGCTTTTGGCGTGATCTTTGCGCGAATCATCCCCTCGCATCATGATGTTGGAGATACTGCCGTCATAGCTGCATGAACTGATGATCTGAGATTCCAACCATGAAATCTGGGAAACTTTGCCAGCGGCGATAATACGTTGTGTTGCGTGGCCTCGGTGCGGAATGATCTCCGTGTCTACACACGGCGATCCAACGTAAGCCAGATCTCGGATCTTGGAGACATCGCATTTGATCATTCGCTCGGCGACTTGCATACTGCTGAGGTTCTCGGTATAAATGTGCAGTTTGTTTGCTTGCTCGAGGAAGTTGTCCTGGTGTTCTGAGTGCGTCTTATCGGGCATAGTCAAAGGCGTGCCAGAAAACATGATGGCGCGCTTGTACAGCGGCATCCTTCTTCCACTCATGTTATGCAAACTCAAGCTCTCACCACCAGCTGACTGTCCAATAGCAGTAATATTGTCTTCATCACCTCCAAAGCCACCAATGTTGCGACTAAGCCAGGTAAACGCCGTGATCTGGTCATGCAACCCGTTGTTCGCAGGCATCAGGCCTTCTGCATGAGGAGAGTGGAAGAACCCGAGTGCGCCAAGTCGATAGTTGACGGAAACAAAGACTAACGGCTTTCCCATATCCGAAGCTTGGGTGCAGAAGGTGAGCGGGTCGTAGTACTTTCGTTCGCCGGAACCAAGAAAGAATGCGCCGCCATGGATAAACACCACAACCGGTAGCTTCGATTCCGGCGTCGCATCCTTAGGCACAGTGATTGTGAGGCGCAAGCACTGCTCAGATTGATCCTGCTCTTCCACATCGTCTGGCAACTGGTTCGACTTGGCGTCCATGTGAGCAGACTCCAGCGGCTGTATGCTTTGGGGGCCTCGTTCGGTGACATCGTATGTTTCTTTCGGTACAGGCTTCGTCGTGAGTTGTTTCCTTCGTGGTACATCCATCAACATTTCAGATCTGGCAAATCGCTGCTTAACGGTTCCATAGGGGATGGAGCGGAATTGCGTAAACTTGTCGGTGACGGCCACGCCCTGTAGCGGGCCCAGCAGCGGATGCTCGAGGAAGTTATTCGCCATTCTGAATGCTTTCATCTGACAGTGTGATGGTCGAAAGAACAATTCGAGAATCCATGTTGAATGTCATAGATGTCGAAGGGTGCGGTGCGGGGATCGTCATGAAATCGAAACGTCACCAACAACGGCAGACGGACCGACGAAGTGGGGCCATACAGCACTTCACTCGATACTGGAGAAATGTGATACCATACCACACGTCAGACAACAACAACCCTCACATGCGCCTTCTTCCCCGAAATTTCACCACACCGCAAACCATCATGACGCGAGCGCGACGGCAGTCCTTCCAAGAGATCGCGGCCCTCAAAACCGAAGGCTTCGACTACAAGATCAATGTCCTGGATCGCGTATCCGCCATCGTAATCATTGCTCCACACGGAGGAGACATCGAGCCCGGCAGCTCAGAAATTGCCGCAGCAATAGCCGGCGTCGATCTGTCTCTCTACGACTTCCGAGGCTTGCGGAATACCAGCGGCCATGGCGAGCTACATCTGCCAAGCCATAAGTTTGATGAACCGCGATGTTTGCGACTAGTGGAGGCAGCAGAGACGGTAGTCGCAATACACGGGCGCAAGAATGGTGATGATGCCGAACGAGTATGGATAGGAGGCTTGGATGTACAAAGGTGTAGGAGGACGATGACGGAATTGACAAAAGCTGGGTTCGGTGCTGTGGTTCGCGAGCCTGGAGAGACTTTGGCCGGGACAGCGGTGTCGAATATCTGCAACCGAGGAAAGAGGAAAATGGGAATTCAACTCGAGATTCCAAAGGCATTGAGAAAGCAGTTGAAGGACGATTGTGTGCTGCGTGAAGCATTTGCGAAAGCTGTAATTAAAGCAGTACGAGAGGAAACGCTGATTTCGAAATATTGAAGTTGAGTTTGTACAATAAGCATAACTAAGATAAAAGCTACGTAGCTCTTTACATTGTAAGGACAAGTCCAAACAATACACAAACGACAGCAAGGGCTACTGACAATGTACGAGGTGCTAGCGTTGAAGCTGAGCCAGTGTACATGTCAAGAGTAGGAACACCGCTGACAGCTGAGGTAGAAGCATTGTGCTTCGTTGATGAGGATGCAGCGACCAAATTCCAGTTGTTGTGAGGCGATACATCAGCAGTCGTGATGGTAGATGTTGCTGTCTTGAACAATGTGGCCGTGAGAGTAGTCGTGGAGACACCCACTCGTGTGCTGAGAGTAGAAAGAGCATCTACCGCTTGCACAGAGACAGCCAGCAAGGCTGCAATGGATACAAACTTTATGATGAAAAGAAAGCCGGACAACAATGTTCCGTAGAGCGGGAAGGAAGAGTGACGAAAGAAGATAAATGGGCAAAGGCAGAGAGGGTATAACAGTAAGGAATACTTATGATCCCCAGGGCAAGAAATGAACAGCCGCCACAAGAGCAAATTGTTCTGTCCCTTTTGGTGTATCCATCATGACTATAGGACACAGGCTTACCTGGAGGTCGCTTAGTTGCAGTAGCGCTTTGTGACTGACTCTTGTAGAACTCGATAGCGTGAAGCCACACTCGGCTTCTTATCCCAAACTTGAAAACTTCTCTCTCTCTCGTCGCAGACCCGAATACCACAGTTACACTGACGGATCGGGCGAGCACACGTCACGTTATAGATGTGAACAGTCGACAGTCATAGGCGCCAGTCCTGGGCTCCGGTCGTGATTGAAGAAAAGAATCTCTCATGCGTGTACTCGAGTATCACTGGAGTCGGGAAGCGAGGCGGAGTGTCGAAAAGCGATGACTCCGGTCATCTCCGCGGTCAGCCACGAGCTGAAGAAATGAGAATGATTTCCGCTGTCTGTTTGATACCTTCTGCATTGCCTCTTGTTGTCCGAAGACAGAAGTTAACAACCATTACACGTAGCGAAGAGCAAAGTGAGGAGCGAGAGAGATGTTGATATTGAACCGCAGTGCGACCAAACGAGCGTGTAATGGGCAAAGCTCATGTCTTCCGAAGAATGTCCGGATGTAGTCAGGAGCACCCTGTTCCCAGATCCAGAGAAAGTTCTCTCGATGCCAAAAGGGTTTTATAACCTCACAGACCTCATTCTCTCTGCTTGGATCGATGAGCGTAATTTGTCCAATTCATACTGTGGTCAATGGAAGTGTATGGTTGATGCCGACACAAATGGAAGGTCATGTCGATTTCATCTGCCTGAGTCTGAAGATTTGCAAAACCCTCGAAAGTACATTACCACCACGAACGTGCCCGATATTACCAACGGCCGAACATGTATGGACTACAAGATCCCTGGTTACACCTCTCTCACAACAACGAGTAGGCTGAAACAGAGTTATAGAAATGCACAGTCTTCTTAGCAATTGGGGAGCTTCCACTGAGAGCCCCTGACACAGCCCTCAAATCATGGGCCGGCTCTCTTTGGATATTCGCTCCCTACTGAAGTCACTGTGCATTTTCATAGCTATCGGAAAGACATTGAGATATATTAGAAACATTGCATTCATTCATAAGCTAGCTATTTTGCTTGTTGAGGGTGTATCATAATCTAAAGACGGGCCTGGAGCTTCTGCTCCTTTGCGACGTCGAAGCGGTCCAACTCCATGACCTTGACCCAAGCAGAGACAAAGTCCTTGACAAATCTGTCTTGGCCGCTCGACGAGGCGTAAACCTCTGAGATTGCGCGAAGCTCGGGGTGGGAACCGAAGATGAGGTCGTGACGGGTAGCCTTCCACTTCTTCTCACCAGTCTTGCGGTCTTGGCCGGTGTAGATCTCGTCGCTGCCAGCCTGCCACTCGGTCTGAGTGTCGAGAAGATTGACGAAGAAGTCGTTGGTCAGCTGACCAGGACGCTTGGTGAGAACACCGTGTGATGAACCATCGTGGTTGGCGTTGAGGGCACGAAGACCACCGACAAGAACAGTCATCTGAGGAGCGGTAAGAGTCAACAGGTGAGCCTTGTCAACAAGGAACTGCTCAGTGCGGACACGAGAGGTACCCTTGCCGTAGTTTCGGAAGCCATCAACCTTAGGCTCGAGGTGCTCGAACGACTTGACATCGGTCTGCTCCTCGGTGGCGTCGGTACGACCAGGGGTGAAGGGAACGGTGATACCGGCAGCCTTCTCGACAGCCGCGCTTCCACCAAGAACAATGAGATCGGCAATGGAGACCTTCTTTCCACCCTTGGCGGAGCTGTTGAAGTTTTGCTGGACCTTCTCGATGGCGGCGAGAGTCGACTGGAGCTGGGCAGGATTGTTGGCCTTCCAGTCCTTCTGAGGAGCAAGACGGATGCGAGCACCGTTGGCACCACCACGCTTGTCACCACCACGGAAAGTGGAAGCAGAAGCCCAGGCAGTGGTGATCAACACAGTAGGCTCGACAGCCGAAAGCAACTCCTTCTTGAGGGCAGAGATGTCTGAGTCGTCAATGACGGGGTGGTCGAGCTCGGGAATAGGATCCTCCCAGATGTAGACCTCCTTGGGGATTTCAGGACCAATCCAGCGGGTACGAGGACCCATGTCACGGTGCAGCAGCTTGAACCAAGCCTTGGTGAAGGCGTCGGCGAGCTGCTCGGGGTTCTCGGCGAAGCGACGAGAGATCTTCTCGTAGGCTGGGTCGAAGCGGAGGGCAAGATCCGAAGTCAACATGCGAGGCTTGTGCTTGACATTGGGGTCATATGCGTCAGGAATGATGGCCTCGGAGTCCTTGGCCACCCACTGGTGAGCACCGGCAGGAGACTTCTCCTGCTCCCACTCGTACTTGAACATGTACTCGAGGTAGTGGTTGCTCCACTTGACGGGAGTCTTGGTCCAGATGACCTCGAGACCGGATGTGATGGTGTCAGGACCCTTGCCCGACTTGTACTTGTTGTTCCAGCCAAAGCCCTGCTCTTCAATGCTTGCGCCCATGGGCTCGTCGCTGACGTTCTCTGTGGGGCCAGCACCGTGGGTCTTTCCGAAGGCGTGGCCACCGGCAATGAGGGCAACCGTCTCTTCGTCGTTCATGGCCATGCGGCCGAAGGTGGTACGGATGTCGCGGGCGGAAGCGACGGGGTCGGGGATGCCGTCAGGACCCTCGGGGTTGACGTAGATTAGACCCATGTGTGCTGCGGCGAGAGGCTCCTCGAGCTCGCGGGAGTGAATGTCGGTGTGCTCCTTCTTGGACTCATCACCGTCGATGACACCAGGCTTGTCGGGACCGGGCTGACCGTTGGAGTAGCGGACATCGTTTCCGAGCCATGTAGACTCGCCACCCCAGTAGACCGACTCGTCGGCCTCGAATGTGTCGGCACGGCCACCACCGAAGCCAGCAGTGGGTAGACCCATCGACTCAATGGCGACGTTGCCAGTAAGGAGCATAAGATCAGCCCATGAGATCTTGTCACCGTACTTTTGCTTGATGGGCCACAACAGGCGACGGGCCTTGTCGAGGGAGGCGTTGTCGGGCCATGAGTTGAGAGGAGCGAATCTTTGCTGACCCTCACCACCACCACCGCGGCCGTCGAAGACACGGTAGGTACCAGCTGAATGCCAGGCCATACGGACGAAGAAACCGCCGTAGTGACCGAAGTCTGCAGGCCACCAGTCCTGAGAGTCGGTCATCAAGTCGGTGAGGTCCTTTTTCAGGCCCTCGTAATCGAGGCTCTTGAATGCTTCGGCATAGTTGAACTGGTTGTTGTAGGGGCTCGACACGCCGGTGTGTTGGCGAAGGATGTTGAGCTTCAGCTCATTGGGCCACCAGTCCTTGTTTCTAGTGCCACCGCCGCCAACGTTGACGGTCTTGTGGTTGGCCTTCATAGGGCATCCGCTGGGAGGAGGAGACATGATGCCGGCTGTGTATGGAAGAGTAAGAGGATGGGAGAGAGATGGAAGGGAAAAGGCAGATGCAGGACGAACGAGGAGGAACGACGCTTGTATATGTCTGCCGAGTGGTCGATCAGGGCAATTATGGCGCCGACTCGGGGCAGCTTAAGCTGACCCCGCACCTGCCCGAACCGGATCATGCTTCCTCCCCCCCATTTATATTTGTAAACCATGTAGCTATAGAAATGCACAATGATCTCGAGAAACGAGACAACATCCGTCGAGATGCGATTGATCAGGGGCTCTCCCTGGTCACACCCTGAATCTGGAAACCTTTGTGCATTTCTATAGCTACTAACCACATACCTTTGCACACGAAGAGGCAGCAGTGAAGGCACACGGGTAAGTCGATGGAACTCCCCGCCCTCGGTTTAGACTTTTGGTCATTGCCAACAACGGGAACTGCCACCGACGGCTCTTTCCATTCGCTGACCATGATGGCGTTCACTTCCTACGCGAAGGTGTGATTGTTCTCGCTCTTCGTGTTTCATGTTTCGCTGTGTTTGTTATTCGCGATAATTTGATACATCTCCAATGCACTATATCAACCTGTATCGACCCTCACTCCTGCCGCGAAGAGTTACCCAACATGGAAACAAGTTGATGTTCAATGAGCTCTCATGTGGGGTCCGCGAGCCCGTCGATTCGCCGGCCTCGGCCAACCACCGTTGATGGATTTGTCTGGGCTTCGTCCTCGGTTGCGCAAACAACCAGATAGACTAGTCGACATCCACGGCTTCCTCCGTCGAGCTATGATATCAAAGCCCGATAAAGCTCGCGTCTTCACGGATCCCTTGACGCGATGGGGACAAATCGCTGATGAACGTCCGAGCGGCAGATGCCGTGTCTTTCGATTGCTGACCATAACCACGTGTTGTTGACAATTCGGGACAAGGGACGCGAGAATTCACCCTGATGGAAAATGATGGAAGCCGACGATCGGGAAGTGGAGGAATCGATACGTATGTTCGAGATCAATCATTATTCTCGTTGGTAATCTCTCGGTGCAATTGGTCCATCGCGGTTCTCTCTTGGTACATTGTGTTGGCCAAGCAATGCCTTGTGCTCAATCAAGAGACTATGCTTGTAAAACCATGCTATGCAACATTGTCGTCTTCACGGAACCTGTTCTCCGGTAGGGCTCTGGTTGTTCCTTGGGGATTCACTGCGTGGAGCAGTATCTCTTGCACCTCTGACACCCATTCTCTTCTCTCTATCAAATTTCCTTACACCACCTGACCATCAATCCACCTATTTCAACACCTTCAGCCTCCCCTATCTCTTCAAGTCTAACATCTACCCTATACGCCCCCACCCTGCCTTCTCCCAACACTAACTTTCTCCTTTCCAGACCTTCCCAAGCATTCCTAGCCACCTCTTTACTCCACACTCTGCCCACTCCCCCTCCTACGGCAATCTGACCAGATGCCGAAGCATTGATCTTCGCTTTGGATGCCAGAGACACATATTCGGCGTGTGCAAGAGCGAAAGTGACGGTGTCCGTGTCGTGAATGATGGTGAGTCTGGCTGCGGCGATGAGGAGGGCGAGTTGGAGGACGGACAGTGATGCTAGGGCAGCCAGTTTTGAGTCTGGAGGTTGCAATTGCGTAAGGGTGTTTGTGTCGGTGAGGTGATGTAGAAGATTCTCTGTAGAAGTCGAAGAGGCAGATGTGGGTAATGTAGAGACGGCCAACAGCATGCTCGTGTGAAACGCCCTCACGCTCTTAGAAAGATAGTACAAATTCCGTAGATGAGTGTTGAATGTGTCGAGAGAGAAGAGGTCGTTGAGCAATTCTCCCCAGACCTTCCTGCCGTCTTCGGAAATGCCGTCTGCGGAGAAAGGGGTGAGCGCGTTTTGACAGACCTCTCTGTATGCCGAAAGATGCCTCGGGGCAGATAGATGCACATATCTGTGAGAAAACCTACTCTTGACTCTCTTCTCCAGCTGCTCGACTACATCAAAGCGCGTCGTGGTGCCCAAGACTGCGATGGGAGCTTTGCGACTTTGAGCGATGTCGAAGAGATTGTAAAGCAGTGTCTGGCGTGGATGCGTGGTGAAAAGATCAAACTCCTCGAGTATGAATATAATGGATCTGTTGATTTGATCGGCAGATCTGCCCAACTCTTCTGGGTGCGAGAGCAAAGCCAGGAGAGTGGTAAGCGTGTCTGCTGCATTCTGCGTAACGAACTCATCTTCCATGTCCATTTCCTTCCCTAGCTGGCGCCAGATATCTCGGAGGGCAATCTTGTCGTCTGTGTGGATGAAGCCATTGAGCCTTACCACATGGAACAGATCTGGGTTCTGTACATGCTGATCGGCGAGAATGGAATTTATGATAGCGGTTTTGCCCGTTCCACGTGCGCCAATGATGAGCATACTGTTGCTTTCTCCTGCTACGATAGTCTGATTTACCACAGAAGCGATCTTTTCGAGTTCGGAAGCTAGACCGACAAAAGGTGTATGCGTTCGTTCTTGCAGTTGGTCGAGAACTGCTAGCTGTATGCATTGAAGGTCGCTGCCAGAAATGGAGAGGTTTGCTGATGCGTTCGTTTGTACCGGCTTGACGTCTAGATCTATCATTGCTTTCGGCCGTTGTTTCAGAGGACTGGAGATTGCTTTCCTAGGATTAAACTGAGGTTGTCGAGTTCCGTTGACGTCCAAGAGCATAGGACTCATAGCGCGATACTGCGGTTTCTTTGACGAAGCCAACTTGGATGGACTGACGGGGCCGTCTTCGTCGGCAGTACCCTCCTCTACGACAGGTTGTTTTCGTGGGCGTCCAGGTTTCCTCTTCTCAGTCGTCGGCGGCGGTAGAACCTTGAATGGGGACGACTCTGCCTTGATCGATATCTGAACCTCTCTCCGACTCGCATCTTGGACATCTCTCATCTGGTCCTCCAGAGTGCGTTTTGGCTTCCTCTTTGCAGCTCTTTCCAATTGCTCTTGCTCAAAGGTATCTCGCAACTTCTGCGACAGAGTCTTGCCATTCGTGCTCTTCGCCGGCTCCTGCACTTCTGATCTCGGTGCGGCGATGGGAGTTTGACTCTTGACAGGAGAGGTTTGTGGTGAGTGGGACTCGGCAATCTTTGCGTTCAGACGAGCCATCAAACCGCCAATCTTGCTGTGGCTCTTGGTTGCTGACATGGGCGCAGGTCTTGGTGTTGGCTTCGAAGGGGTCAGGTTGAGAGACGAAGGGGTAGCGACACTGGCCACGCGGATCGTATCGCGTGCCTCATGATGGTCTCGTCGGGGCGTCCTTGAGGTGTGTGGTGGTGGTGCTGTAATGCGCTGAGGGCTTTCTGGGATCGTCTCGAGCTTTCTGCGCTTTGCCGAGCGTGGCGACTCCATTGTGGTCGCTTTGTGTTGTTCTGATTATGACATTCGGTCGAGTCGAGGATTGTGTTGGTTTGTTGATGTTTTGTCAAAAGCGATCGTCATGGCTGCACAACTTCCTCGTGGGGAAGGAGCGGCGCTCTCACGAACCACTGGCACAGCTGGAGCCAAAAAAAATGCACGATTCTTCCGAGACAGTATCAAGGGCCAGAGAGAGTCTATGAGAGCAACACTCTCTACGGATATTGCATTGTCACTATGGCTATAGATCTGCACAGTGCTTTCGACACGGCAGCAAGATCCGCAGAGGGCAGACAAACCAAAGGCTCTCTCTGGGCGCTTCCTCTTTTCTCTGAAAGCTGTGAATTTCTACAGCTGCAACTCAACATGTATGTTATCGTGGCCGAGACTGGTTGTAGCACTGGAAAACACAGTCACACTGGACAGTGTCAAGGGAATCTGGTTCATGCAGCTAACAGGTTTGAAAATAAGCTACTACCCTTATCCATGCAATACAACACCACGAATTTCAATGCTCCCAATGCTAATGCCTTGATGATTCTCTGCGGCTTGGGTCGCTAAGCCGCGCGAACCTCTCAGTCAGCCCACCTTCGTCATTCAATGCCCGTTTTAGTGGGCTGCCCTGCGGCCTGCCATCTGGCCTGAGCAGTTGCCGACTCGCGCTCTTGCGTAGTGGGCTCGCAGCATGACTGTATACTCCTAAGCTCCCTCCGTCACCACCTCTTTTCATCGGACTTGTGGCTCGCTCGCGTAACGTTGGCCTCGTTGCTGGCTCGCGTGACATCGGCCTTGGTTTGCCTGGCGTGTTGAAGATATCTGTCGGCTCATGCGTGGCGCCAAATGATGACATGGTGTTAGTATTGAATGACGAACCCGTAGTGCTATAGCTCCCGAAAGTGGGTTGTAGCGAGGGAGTTGTAGCGCTTCTCGGCAGATTCTTAGTCGGCGAAGTGGCGTACAAGGCTCGGGGATCGTCTGTGAGGTGACTGGCATAAGCCGGGTTGGGATTGACCTTGAATCCCTTGTTGATGACCGTGTGCGGTGTGTAGACATCAACCTCTCTCGTCCTGATTCGTGCTCCTCCAGGACTTGTGGCCGTGTCTCTTGTCTGCGTGCCCACGTCGCGCACTGGACGATTCATGTTGGGATGAACGAATTTGGTGTCGTACTCGTTCATGACTTCTTTGTGGATCAAGGTTGAGTCTTTTGCCTGCTGAACGAAGAATTTCTTGAAGAAGAGCAGCTGTACGCTCAGGAGGACTGCAAGGAGGATGGTGGTGACAAACGTGACAGAGGGACGAGGGTCGGCGGCGCTGGTGGGTAGGAACAGCCAGTAGACGAGGACGTGGCCGGGCGAGAAGAGCGCGAACAATTCGAGATTGAAGGGCTTTGGGTCCCAGACGCTGATTTCCCAGACATCGTTGTGTTGGTCGGGGTGTCGTCGCGGAAAGACATTGCTGGACGAGATGATGGATGAAAAGTATGTCAAGGGCGAGGCAGAGGGTGACGAGTCAACACGCACGCGGCGAGCAGATGGCGTGGTTGGCGCTTGTTCGATGGAAGTTTCGAAGAGACGGTACTTGCGTGAGCGCGTAAAGGTATAGAAGGTATTGAACAGCGAGGCGAAGGCGAGAAAGTGCGCGACAAACGAGACCTGGATTGGATGGAGTCAGAGAAGACACGACTATAAAGGTAGGTGTGCTGTATCCTCAAGTGCAAAGATATGTGGTTAGCAGCTATAGAAATGCACAGTAGTCTCGACAAAGAAGACAGTATCCACGGAGAGCTTGCTGATCAGGGGCTCTCAGTGGAGTCTATCATCATCTCGAGGCCACTGTGCATTTCTATAGCATCAGTTGCGCCTCCAGTGTGTGTGAGAGCGGGGTGGGAGATGCAAGGGAGGTAGCAGATGAGGAGGTAATGGACTCACCAGCCAGAAGAACCAGCCACTCTTCGACTCGAACTCGCCGAATATGTCATCGTGTGGGTTCTTCTTCAGCGCAAACCTTGCGCACGCAAAGACCAAGTTTGCCGCAATGCCTACGGGCAGGCCCCAGTCGCGTAGTGCTTCATCCAGAGCGCTCTCGTGTAGTTCTTCGGCAATCCATAGGAGTAGGTCGTAAGGGTTGAGGAAGGCCTTGATACGTTCTGACAGGGGAGCTCGACGGATGATGGGCGGCATGGCGCAGTCGGCCACTCTCACATTGAGTGGGCTGGTTGGTCAACGGGAATGCATGGAAGAAAGCACAAAGCGTTTGAATGTTTGGAGAAGCAAACAGTGACGTCGGCGTGATCGGAGTTAGCCGACGCGACCGCCAGCTCGCAGCCCGGCATACAGCACGAGCGACAACAGCATTCCTTGTGAGAAGATAACAACACATTATGGCTCTTCCACAATCCGCGTACAAGGACCGTCAGTTCCTTGCTGTTATTGGCGATGAGGTGAGTTGCATCCACTACGCGTCTCGTCTTTTCACGCTGACACTCAATCTCCAGGACTCGGTGACCGGCGTCTTGCTCGCTGGTGTCGGTGTATGACTACCTTAACGGACCCGCTGCTCTCGACATACCTCTGACTTTGCTACCTAGCACGTTACCGACCCTCCGGATGCTCAAAAGAACTACCTCGTCGTAGACCACAAGACCGAGACCCACACCATCGAGGAGGCCTTTGACAGTTTCACCCAAGAGCGCAAGGACATTGCCATTCTCCTCATCAACCAGCACGTACGGTCTCCACTCTACATGCTTGAACATACCTCATCTCCGCGCCATTTACTCATGCCGCTTCCAGATCGCCGACAAGATCCGCAGCCGTGTCGATGCCTACACCCAAGCCTTCCCTTCGCTCCTCGAAATTCCCTCCAAGGACCATCCGTACGACCCCGAAAAGGACAGCGTCATGAAGCGCGTCAAGAAGTTGTTTGGAGAGTAAATTGCAGCTGCTTTCACACGTTTTCAACGATACCCCGAATCCATATTATCATCAATCTGTTCAATACTGCAATGCTCTCGTATGCTACATGCGCGTTTGAATGCCTCGTCGTCCCATTATACATCGTTCGAATGCTTCGTTCCTTGATACATGCTACAGTCTCATATCCACATCTAAGCGACGACCTCGAAAGCACCACCTCTTCTGAAGACAACGGTAGCGGTCAAGCAAGTGATCTTCTCGTTGTCCTTGGTGTAGACGTCGGCGAGGACAGTGTACTTGCCCTGTAAATAGACAGTCAGTATGCGGCTCCGGAGGGCATGTCTCACAGTGAACTTACGGGAGGAATCTCCTTGGGAAGGTCAACGTCCTTGGTCAGCTCCATAGGGCCCTTCTTCAGAGGGCACTCGAGATCGACATTCTTGAGGTTCTCGCACAAGTCGGCCTCCTGGTTGATGATGCGGATCAGACCGTACTTGACTTGCAAGTGGACCTTCGCGCCCTCCTCGACATCCTGCGACAGGACTCCAGAAGCCTTGATGGACAAAGTGACGCCACTGCAAACGAACATGAGCTTTGGCAATCGCGATAAGAGTATGGAGCAAAACCTTACGCAGAGGGAGGGTTGGGAGACAGATCGACCTTCTCAATTTCGAGAATGTTGTCTTTGGGAGCGGCGCAGAAGAGCAGAGGGTTGTCGCCTGGAACGGGGAACTCTTCTTCCAGAGCGTGTTGCGAGTCGCTGCCCATAAACTTGAGGCTACGCGCCGAGGCGCTGGCCGAGAGGAGGGCGACGCTGATAAGACCGAGGAACTTCATCTTGGTGTCTGGATGATATGTGTGTTGTGGTAGAGGAGGGGAAAGGCAACACTTTGATGGTAGGTACCTGGAGCAGACAAACGTGACAGGGCCCGGGTTGTGTCACTGGACGTTCGCCGTTGCCATGATGCTACGGCTTGCTCGCACGTGCCGCAGTGTGGCACTTGACGGTTGCCTAGCACCAACTCTCCGCATCTGACGCCGCTCTTTTCTCCGACGAAGAGCTTCTGGACTTTTGACTGCTATAGAAATGCACAGTAGTCTCGAGGAAAACGGCAGCGGCCATTGAGATGCGACACTCTCGGGGCTCTCTCTGGAAACATCTCGAGCCTAGGAACCACTCTGCCTTTTCATAGCGAGAATTACACGCTTGCCTTCGTAGGAGTCCTTGAAGGATGCTGTGGCAAGAGAGCATGTTGGGTAAAGTTTCATTCGAGTGCATGTACCTGCAGCACTTGCTATCTTGATGCTGATATACAGACATTGCCATCATCGTCGCAGTCGTCAAATATTCCTCTACTTATCGGCAGGGTCGAGAGGCTTCTGTCCCATCTTCTCGACATTCTTCTTCTTCTCCGATGCAGGTGCATTGGGGTCTTGCTTGAAAGCCTCCTGCATGCTGCTGTCCTCTCCTCTACCCTGGGTAGCTGATCCTGAAGGGTTGCTGACCGGTGTTTGAATACTGGCTGTGTCGGGCGATCCAGTGCGAGCATCGGTGGCTCGCGACTGGTTGACGTTGTTGGACTCGGGGCTCGAACTGACGGGGTTGCCGACGTTGGATGCTGTGCCAGGGCTGGCTTGTCCTGCTGTCGAGTCCATGTTCTTCTTGTTGGCATAGCTGCGCACGACTTGAGAATATGTCAGTGGCTACTCGAGCTGTCCTTGAGCTCATCCAAGACTTACAGTTTGCAGGACGGAGAGGTCGCAGAATGCTGATGCGGCTGCTGCGCATGATGGAGCTTCTGATCATTGACATATTGATTGTTGAAGACGTTTCGATTATGCGGAAGAGGAATTGAGAATCAGATCAAAAGATGAGGCATGCAGGTACGCCTTGAAGCTCTTTAGTACCCCGATGGTCATGACGTGTACATGATGTCGGCCATGCTCTCATTATCCATTTTGGTTCTTCCCAACGTTCAACCTCAATTGCACACAAGCACTACCATGTTCAGATCATTACTGGTAAGTTGTGTCTGTCAATGATTGTTCGTCCGCACCACACTGGGTGATGCTTGAAATTTCGAAAGAGCTTGGTGAAAGGGCTGGTTGAGGCACCTCCCGCCGTCACGACATGCCGTGTAACCTCAACCATGGTGCACTTCATTTATGTTTCACTTTGTTTGTTGGTATGCATATGCATCTGCGCTGACTGCCAAATTTCCCTTGCGCTTCACTTTCGACTCCCGTTTTGCAATTCTGTCTTTACCTCTCCAGAGCGAGTCCAACACAATCTGTGTGTATCAAGCCATCAAGCTTGAGGACAGCCGCTCTACGCCTTTCGTTTATCGTTGATCCACGCCTCTCTTGTTGACAAGAGGAGCGCGTGCACTTTCGCCAAACATGCCTGCTGCCACCGATCCTTCTGGCGCCGTTGGTTTCATTACCCGCGTGATGCTGTTCGACCTCATGGTTCTGGCTCGCGATACATCCTTTCCTGATGCCCAAATCCAGGCTATCTGCGACACTGTCACTCAAGAGAATCTCGGCGACTCTGTTGAGCTATTGCGCCGCCTCCACGCTAGCCAGGATACTTCTTTGGTCCTAGCCACCACTCCCTCGCCTGTACAGTCTGCCGCCAACTCCCAGACCAAGTTTCAAAGTCATCCGTTCCACGATTCGTCTGCTGGCCCTGGCGCCGCTTTGAGTTCTGCAACATTCTACAGGCTGTGCAAGGAAGACCGCAACAAGCTGAAATACCTCAGCAAGTTCTGTCCCTTCACCTTGGCCTTTCGCAAGTGTCCTCAGAGCGACAGATGTCAGCTTGTCCACATCTGTTGGGTATGTCTATGCTCCCATACGTTGGGAACACCGACTGACACCAGCTTAGGAGCGTCAATGCAAGAGAGGACGTACGTGTATGTATTCCCACGAGGTTTCTCCTACGTGCGACTCGATCTTCAACGGAACGCGCTGCTCGAAGACCAGAAGACTCGTGGATGACAACAGAAAGAAAGCTTGTCCACGCAACCATGACTACAACGTTCGACTCTTCATGGGTGCTATGCGTGTACCCCACGAGCTCGGTTTTTATGGTATCCGCCACATCCACACTCCGATCAACACCACTCCACCTGCCGAGCCGGATCTTACGTCAGATTGGATGAAGTCCGACGTGGAGGATTCTACCAGCGAGCACGATGAGCCTGGAGATGAGACCATGGCTGATGCTGAAGCTGAGGAGCACGATGAGGTCATGCCTGCCGCCGAAGTCGAGAAACTCAACATCGATCCTAGTGACCGCCCACAAACCCCAGATGGCGACAATCGTTCTGCCACCGATCTGATCCTGTTCACCTGATAGTCTTGTGCCTCGCTCAGGAATTCAACCTCGTTGTGCTTGGAAGCTGCAGGCATATTGGGTCAGTCAAGTGTGCGAATACAGTTTGCTCCACCCACTATTCGCTTCGCACTGGTGAGCTACAGGAAGTCACAAGCTCGCGTCCGACCTCTTCTCTACGCTGGATGTTCGTGAGAGATAGGCTTCAACTACACACATTCGTTTTCACTCTATAGTATCGCAATGAAAAAAATCATAAATTAGTTCCCTTTTTTCACACATCACTATCCAACCCCAGTAATGACTCTCTGATGTCCTTAGCTCAGTTGACAGTAAAGCATCATCCATTCACTTTCTCGAACTGCTCGTTCAATGTTTCCTCTCTCGTAAATTCGAAGGAACATCCTTCACTCGAATTGCTGACGCTCTCGATGCTGTACACGATAACCTTACAGTACTTCTATCTCGCTTTCTGTCTCCATTCTCTCTCAAACAACCATCCACCGGCGACCGCACATCATGGTTGCCGTCCAACCACTACCCACTCAAGTTCCTCTTGACACTCTCGACCCCAAACGCCTCGCCGATGTACAATACCTCAGCGGCTACTGCCCCTTCACCCTCAATTCCAAGCCCTGCCCTCACGGCTCCAAATGCACACTCAAACGCCTCTGCTATGTACGCATCAACTACCTGCCCTTCTCTTTCCACCGAGGACACTGATCATTCCCAACAGGTTCTTTGCGACTTCCGCTCCAATCAAAGACACTGTGATGGCTTTCACGATATTGCTCCCATCTGTGAGCAGTTTTTGACCGATAAGGGATGCAAGTATCGCAATGAGGGCGATCATCCATGGTTTCCCAGAAGCCATGACATTGAGTTGAGACGTTGCATGGATGTTATGATTGAGCCTCATCGTCTTGGTCTTTACGGCGTGAAGCATTGACAAAGAACATGAAATTCGAGCTCGTTATTGCTGGAGCAGTTTGGCAACGATCTCATCAGCACTTTCCTCCCTCACACCCAGCAACTCCGCATCCGACTCTTCTCTCGTCGCAGCAACCATGCCTCTGCTTTGTCCAACATAATACAGTGTTGCCACCGCCAACTTCAACCTCCACATCCCAGCTCCAGTCTTGAAGTCCTCTTTCCCACTCTTAATCAATTCTCCAGACGTGTGTCTCTCTACCTCCCACTTCTCTCCGGTAGCCTTTTCGAATGCAAATAGTAATTCGTTCTGGTTTGTGCATATGCTTTGGACTGCGAGGAAACGGTTTGCAGTTGCTGAGGGATTGAGTAGTGTGCCCACGACGGCTTGACCGATGCCGGAAAGAGTTGTGCCAGTGAAGCGCTCGTTGCCTGAATCGTAGATGATGGCTCGATGAGTTTTCACATCGAAACCCATCATGGGAAACTTTTTCATTGCCTGTCGCACTCCATGTCAGCCTCTCTCTCTTGTCGAGATAGGTTATGATATTTTTCTGCATTGCGACCGGGTGATACTCCGGGGTACACAGGATGAGATGGTGGGTACTCACCCAATCGATGGGATTTCCGGTACTCAAGCCAGTCCATGTAAATTCCCCTACTTCCCTTGCTTTCTGTGCTGCATAATCCCACCCTTCCCTCCTCTGCGCATGGATTGCACCAAACTCCTGGAATCCTTTCTCCGTCAATCCCCACCCGAAATCGTCAATGAGGAATCGTTTTACACCAGCCGCCACAGCTGCATCAACGAACGTCTTTTGCAGGGATATCCCACCCGGCCCGACGACGCAGACGACGGCATCTTGATTGGCGAAGGCGATAATCAGAGAGGAAAGGTCGTAATCGATGCGGAGAGTGGGAATTGAGGGTGGATGAGCTGTTGTGGACGTTGTGCGAGTTATTATTGTGACGTTGAAGTTCGCGGCAAGCAAGTCGGATGTTATGGGTGTGCCGAAGTTGCCTGAGGCCTGTGGCACGAGATGAGTTCAGCGGTGGAATAGCAGAGGATGCGAGATGGAGCTTACACCTAAGACGGCGACGTTCTTGATGATGGACATTTTTTTTGGATGACAAACAGCAGACTGATCCGGAAACGCGATATGAGGGCATTTGGTACTTATAGTAGAGCAGTTTGACAGTCGTGATTACCGCCGAACGGAGTGGGGCAGAAATCCTTCGCGCAGCGGCATTGTCAAAAGATTGGAAGCTAGGCGGCAGCTCTGGCTCTGACTACTGATTTCTTGTGTATTGATCCACGCGATGCGAATGATCATGGCAACGCGACATGATCGTCAGAGATGATGAGACTACCAGTGGTATGCATCAAGTTCAGGGTCCGAAAGTTGGTGTCTAGATGTTTTGAGGCGCGGGGCAGCTGCCTCTCCTGGACAACGAAGCTGAGCGTCGTTTCCTTCCTGCGGTGTCTCAAGCCGGTTCTCGGTGTTGTATCCCACAAGAGCTGTAGACGATGTCGGATCTGATGCCGATTATGTCGTAGTTGACGTCGTAGTCAATCCAGAGAGTATACCTGTCTTTTTTCGCAAGATCTCATTATTTTTCCACGACATGGAGAGCCTGACAGGGAAAGCTGCTGCTGTACATTCGATAGAGTGCGGCGAAGAAGCAGCCAAACATTTTGCTTTTGACAAGGAATACATCAATCTCAATCATGGTTAACTCAGATGACGCAACTTCATGGACTGTGACGGCTGACGCTCCCAGGCTCATACGGCACTCATCCCATCGAGGTCAGGACAGTCCACCGCAAGTATCAGGACCGGGCAGAAGCAAGACCAGATACATTCGTTCGATACGAGTTCCGCACACATCTGCTCGACGAAGCAAGACAGGCTATCGCAGACTATGTGCATGCCCCTGTCGAAACATGCGTCCTGGTACCCAACGCAAGCACTGGCATTGATACCGTGTTACGAAACATGGTTTTCGAGCCCTTCGATGCTGTAATATGTTTTTCGACGATATACCCAGCGTTCATGAACACATTGGAGTACTTGACAGAAAGAGACGAGTTCAGCATATACAAGATTACGCATGTGCTTCCCCTCTCCGACGATGAGATCTGTAGTGACTTCGAAAGAGTGCTGGAAACAATCAGGATGGATGGCAAGAGAGCTAGACTTGCGATATTCGACACCATAAGCTCCCTCCCAGCCATCCGCATGCCCTTCGAACGCCTCACCGAGATCTGCAGAGCTAATGCTATTCTATCATGTATTGACGGAGCGCATGGAGTCGGTCAACTCTCTCTCAACCTCGCCAAACTCGATCCAGATTTTTTCGTCAGCAATTGTCACAAGTGGCTGTTTACTCCTCGGGCTTGCGCTGTCTTATACGTACCGATACGAAACCAACATCTGATTCGCTCAACCATTCCCACCGGGTTCAACTTCTTGAAAGAGGAGAGGGCCGACCAGACCAACAACTTCGTCGCAAACTTGGCAGCTGTGGCCACCAGTGACGATACACCATATCTCTGTATCCGTGCAGCATTGGAGTGGCGTAAGCGCATCACCTGGAGAGACAAAAGTGGCGAAGAAGCAATCATACAGTACAACAACAATCTCGCGCGAGAAGGCGGCAGGCTGGTGGCACAGATGCTAGGCACAGAGGTCATGGACAACGCAGAGTGTACCCTTGGAGATTGTGCCATGACAAATGTACGCCTACCCGTCAACACAGGAGGAAAACTCATTCGGGACCTTGAGCATCGAATCAATAAGACGATGAACATCAGTTACAACATTGCGGTCAATGCATATGCATATGAGGGGAAGTTCTGGGTGAGGTTGAGTGCGCAAGTGTATCTTGAGATGAAGCACTTTGAGGCCGCAGGACTTGCGCTCAAGCAGATTTTTGCCAATCACGTCGTGAATTGATGAAAATTTGACGAACAGCTGCAGCACGCGTCTCTCTATACCTCAATGACGTATTAGTCCCGTATATGATGGTCGTGGAGCAGCAGAAGAGTTGTGGACGCAGACCAAGATGACTGATGTCCTTGATTCGGGAGAAGCTGAAACATCCTGACGGACTGCGACGAGGAACAGCCGACATCGACCCCGATTTAGCCGATGTCACCTCCGAGATTTAGAAAGCCAACTCATTAATCATCAACATCACACACCACACAGAGATCTCTGGTGTTCGAGATAACAATGGAATCACTGCCACCTGAGCTCTTGTACAAGATTTGCAGCTTGGTCGCTATCGGAGAGGCACGCCTCGCCAAGTATGCAACAATATCTCGAGCATGGCAGCGTGTGATTGAAGACCGTACATTCTCGCACTTGTCCTTGGTCAATGACGAATTACACTTTTTTGAGTCAGCTGTCCTCAAATCGACATACGAATATCGCCGCATGGCTATCGGGCGTGTGGACCTTATTATCAATCTTCCAAGCTATGACGATCATGCGTGTGGACGCTTTGAAAGGCAGGCAGACAGACACATCAACGACCAGGCTTTCAGCAAAGCCATTGCTCATCTTTTTGGCGCACTGGCGACTATTGACATTGGCGGCCGTTTCGGTCTCATTGATCTGCACCTACAACGTGTTGATTCTGCTATGGATCGTGGTCGCCGAGATAGCGAGAAGTTGAGAGCAGACAAATTGGCAATGGGTAGAGGGCGTCGAAAAGATCTCTTCGAGCTTCGCTACCGAGACTCTTACCTCCAACTGCTTGATCCTGGGAGACTCCCTCTACTGTACAATATAGCTTCGTTGACCATCAATGGTGACAACGAGCGCAAGCTAGCCCCATCAACGGTAGTCGGACTCATGTCAAGACTACCCAATCTTCCCAATGTCAACTGCGTGTTCTCGGATAACGAAAGGAGACGACCAGACCAGCGAAGGCACTTACGCTCACAACTGTCCGAGCAGTTGACAACGATGGCTCCACCGAAAGGTCTCAAAAGATTCAACGTGACCTTGACCAACAGGCAGCCGTTCAACAGTAATTTTCTAGATGCAGACATTCGTGGTGGTGTTTACGCGACCCATGCTGATGATCTGTCCACCGGGTTTCGACTATTTTCGAAAGCAGCGCCCTGTTTGACCAACTTCATCCTCAATGGTCCGATATCCGTTGGACCAGACATTTTCTGGCCATCGAACACGACGGATCCCGATATTGAGAAGTGTTGGGAACATCTAACATCGTTCACTGTCAAGCTCAGTGCAGTCAGGCCCGACGGCGGCTGGTACATTGAGCTTGACTCTCAGCGTGATACCGAGTCTTCCGATGAAGGAGAAGAGGACGATCAAGACGAAGAGGACGAGGAAGAAGAGGAGGACCATCATGGTACCTACAGCGAGGATTCCTTGTCGAGCTATGATTCAAGCGATTCATTCTTCGCCACAGATCAACAGCCACCAGATTCTTACGGCTACGCAGATCGAAGACGAGACGAGCGACTCAAAGGTAACAGGCCTTCCACGTCCAACTTTCGCACAAAGCCTACCCGAGAGCTCGAGACCTTGTTTCTCGCAGCCGCCGATGCAGCATCCCAAATGCCCATGTTGGAGTACATGTGTGTCAGCCTCGAGATTCGTCCCAGCGGACGGACAGGACGGCGGTTCCGGCGATTGGGGTTTCAGTACCGGGCTGCGAAGCGTCAGAGCGATTATCCAGGCCCAAGTGACAGACGGTTGCAGTGGAACGTGCCACGCGACTGGCGTATGAGCCAGGAGTTGGAACAGCAGTGGCTGTCCCTTCTAGGTGCTGATGGCATTGTGGTATACGACGAGTGGTAGCGACAGACTCTGAGTTCGTTCGAAATCGGGACCCCCCCATGTGCTAGAATTTGTCGCTACCACCTGCTCTGACATGAACGATAAGGCGGAATTTAAGCTTCCACAATGCATAATACTTCCTAGATAACAGAAACAGCCACAGAGAGCCCTGTTATCATGGCTTTCCTATGGGCTCTGTGGAAGCTTTATTTTGACTAGGAGGACTGTATATCTCTATGGTCGTCGGCGCGACATGATTCTGCACACTGGGAGGATGCGGCAGTGACTATCCACAACCTGCAATCATTTCCTCCAACTTGGCCCGCCATATTTTCCCGGACAAGAGCCTGGGCACGGTTTCCACAAAAGCCACACCGCCCCGCAGCTGTTTGTGATCTGAGAGACGCTGCTTGATAAAATCTTGTATGTCCTCTACTGTCTTCTGGCAGACATCAACGCCAGGGCGGAGTGCGACAAAGGCGCGTGGGACTTCTGGAACATGAGCCCTGACTCCAGCCACAGCTGCATCGGCAATGAACGGATGTTCACACAGCACTGCTTCCAGCTCGGCAGGCGCAACTTTCAGGCCATTGTAGTTGATGATTTCCTGGAGGGGCTTCTCAGTGCGGCTCCTTGTCTACGAGTGAGGAAATAAACTCACCTTCGTGCGGCCGACTACGTAAAGAAGGTCGTTGTTGTCTTTAAATCGCATCATATCACCTGTGCGGTACCAGCCGTCTGTGGTGAAACCCGCTGCATTTGCCTCAGGATTTTGGTGGTAGCCTTGGGTTATCAATGGTCCTTTGAGTAGTGCTTCGCCAGGCTCACCAACAGGAACATCGTTGTCGTTCTCGTCGACCAGTCTGTCATGGTCAATCAGCAAAATCATCATATCCAAAGAAGCCTCTGGCCATACCGTATCAACATGTTGGGCAGCAGTTCGCCTACGCTTCCGGATGTATCTCTCGCAGCAGGGGAAACATGAGTGACTGCACCAGTGGTTTCACTTGCACCCCAGGTCTGGCTAAGGAGCGTTCTTTCTTCTCCCTCGCCTCCGAACTTTGCACAATGGTAGACCTCTTTGTTCAACGGAGTGGCTCCAGAATAAGCGATTTTCAGCGATCTCAACTGATTAGTCACCGCCGGATGTCTGGCTAGTCCCAGATAGATCTTCGGCAGACTGAAAAATGTCGTAATCTTATACTGCACATTGTACTTCAAGAAATTGCCAAAGTCGAATGAGGACATCCAGTAAACTATTCCTCCGTCGTAAAAGGCGTTGACAAAATATCCTTGCACGCCTGAAACATGTGCTGTTGGAAGGTGTGCCAGAGTGCGTAGTTCAAAAGGCTTTCCTGCTGCTGCCCACTCTTTCCAGATGGGTCTGTTAATGTATGCTGGTAAGAAGGCTTCTGCTACCATATTCTGATGTGATATCAGAACCCCCTTGGGCAGACCCGTGGTACCGGATGAGTAAAGCATACAAGTCTTGCTATGCTCGAGTTCGTTGGCGTCGGTAATCTTCCTCCATTGCAACTCTTGATCGAAGGTACAGCGAACGCTTCCATCAATACTTTCCAGCTTGATATCCGGTGTAGACTCCAGAACAAGGACATTTCTCTTTGTCAAACCGACGATCTCAGCCGCCGCTTCTGCGAGAGCCTTGACATCCGTACTGCAAACAATCACTTTGGCAGGTCCATCTCGCATCTGTCTGACCAGCTCCTCGGCCGTGGCACCTGGACTGGCCGCAGAGTAAATTCCCTCGGCGGCAATGACACCAAAGAAGAGGCATGCAAGTGCATGTTGGCCAGTAGACACTGTAGCTACCACATCTTCACCGGGTCCATTCTGTCCAATGCCATACTCATGACGGAAGAAATGAGCGAATTGACGAGTTACAACTCGTGCTTGCGACTTTGTGATGACTTTGGTTGGATCGCTGGCTACCGCGTACAAGGGCGTGTCTTCTTTTGCTGCACAGTGTTCGGACTCTGGGAACGCGACATCAGCTTGAGATACTACATTGAGGGGAAGTGAGAAGTCGCACCGAACAGGAAAGTCAAAAGGTCCACGCTGGGGATGTCGGCAACATTATCCTGATTGTATATCATGTTGACGTCTCTTGGAATGTGTGAAGGAGTATGAATCAACGATTACGACGACTCGTGAAGGACATGAGAAGCTAGTTTGGCAAAAAGGCTGCAAGTTACTTAACTTAGGTCGTGCTTGCTGTTCAGGCTTCATCTCTATCGACTTGGCAACTTGTCATCTCCTGCCATATATGGCTTTGTCTTGCATCTTCAACTATCACAAGATATGTTTCCTCATTCCCTGAGTGTAATCTATGATCGACAGACCCTTTCCCAAAGCATTGTAGCCGCTCTGCTTGTGGGAGGTCAAAGCGATGAAGCGCTCAGGGACACCGGAACCGACCGACCCAAGATATTACCAAGGAGTTGACAGGGGTCTGTCTTCATCAGGGTTCATATATGGAGAGAGTCGCCATTGCGATCTGCAGTCATGGCTGTGGTATAGATTGGAGAGTGTGGAGTAAGGCATACTTTCTTATATATGACGGCCACTCTAACTCGGCCGAACTCAACCGTACCTTGATGGTCCAAGACAAACACTTTGTACCATGGACTTGCTACTATATCGCCGCTGATCTCTTACCCAGCACGGTGCTTGAGCGAGAGGGAGGATTCCTCCATGCAGGTGAAAAAGACCAATTTGATAATGAAACAAGCTGTCCCAAACTCTTGACGAACACGAATCGAGCAGTGGGTCCAAGGACGGACGTAATTTCTCGGGCGTATGCTCTGTTCATCAGTAGCTGCCACGTGGCTCACGGTGTGCTGCGTGGCTCTAGGAGGATACTGTGAGAACTACTCCCAGTATCCAATTCAAGGTCAAGATATCAGAATTCGGGGAGTCTCGCGAACGGAGCCCACGCACTTGGTACACATATAGATACATGGAAGTCAATTGAGAGTTTAACACGGTATGTGCTCAATTGAATAGATATGACTATGATCTGTATATTACTGGTAAACACAACAATGATAACAACGAACATAACCTCCCTGGAACTGCTAACAAGTTCTCACGACGAAGCAGCAGCTGCGATGATGACATCTGCTGCCTTCTCACTGACCATGTAAATGGGAAGAGCGATGTACATGCCGGGGATCTTGGGGAAGATGGAAGCATCCACAACGCGGAGACCATCAACACCGCGAACGCGGAATTGGCTGTCAAGAACAGCCATCGGATCGTCGTCAGCACCGATAGGAGCAGTGCAAGAGGCGTGATGGCCCCAAGCCTCGTCCTTGATGAACTGCTTCAGGTCCTCCTCGGAAGAGACGTTGGTGGGAGGCCAGACACGCTCGAATTTGCCATCAAGAGGAATAAGATCGTTGAAGGCCGTGATACCGTGCGTAACACCTTCGTAGACAGCTTGAAGATCCTTGTCGCCACCGACGCCCTCGCCGAGGGAGTGGAAGACAATTTTGGGAGTGTCGCGAGGGTTGGCTGAAGTCAAGTTGACGGTACCAGCATTGTTGCGAGAGTGAGCCTTGAGTGTGAGCCAGGTCCAGATGCTGAGATCCTGAGTAGCGTGAGCAGAGTAACCAGGGAAGTAGCCGTTGAAGTAGGCAGGGACACCACCGAGGAAAAGATCAGGATCGCTCTCAGAAACCGACGAGTGGTGAAGGAAGCCAAAGGCAATACCGTTAGTGGTGTAGCCTCCCTTGAGAGCACCGACGTTGTTCTTCCAGTTCCTGTAGCAAGGATCATCACCCTCAAGGAATGTGCACTTCTTGAGCAAAGAGAATTCAGTCGGGGCCTTGCCGACGACACCGACCTCGTATCTGTCCTGCATGTTGCCGCCGACACCGGGAAGGTCCACAACGACGTCAATGTCATGGGAGTGAAGTTCCTGAGCAGGTCCAACACCGCTAAGCTTCAGAATCTGAGGAGTGTTGAAAGCACCACCAGAAACAATGACCTCACGACTAGCGTGAACCGAACCAGAAATGCCGGTGTCTTCAGTGCCGGCGCGAGGATCAGCACGGTACAAGCTTTGGCCAAAGAGGTAGTTGACACCGGTGGCCTTAGGTTTGGTGTTGGAGGTGTCGAAGTTGACCTTGGTGACCAGGGTGTTGAGGGCAATGTCGAGCTTGTACTTCTTGGAGCCGTCCTTGTTGGTGGCTCCGGCGACCTGGAGGACAAAGTCGCGAGGGGAACTGCGAACATAGTCTCCGTCCATGGAAAGGGGAATCTGGTAGATGAGCTCATCGTTGTCGCGGGACTTGCTGGGATTGTTGATGTCGAGAGTCAGAATCTGGGGACACAATCAGCAATAATTCAACACGTCGGAAGTGGCAAGTATGATACCTCGGCAAGACCAGTGACGGTGTGCAAAAGACCGCCAATCAAACCTCTGCCCATGGCGGTAGCAGCAGCAGTGACAAGCGACAGAACCTTCAGGTCCTCGGCGATGAGGAGGACTGGGGTGACACGAGTCTCCAACCAACCGCTGTAGCCGTGACCAACAATACTACTAGGCAAGTAACGGTTGCGTTCAAGCCTCTCGAAGTACTTGCGCATATTACTGGCAATCCACGACTGGTCTCCGGTCAAGGTGGCAATGTCATTCCAGTCCTTCTCGGTGGGAAGGATAGTGACTAAGGCGTTGTGCTGGGCGCAACCACCAAGAGCTCCAGTCCTGGGATAGAGGATACCTTTTCTCACCGAACCCTCGGGAGGGTTGAGACCAGAGTAGTACTCACCCGAGGGTGTAAGATAGGTCATCTTCGAGTCGCGCTTCGCTTGCTCTTCATCTGCGTAGTGATCGACGAAGAAATCCCATTGAATGGGGTGGTAGGTGCTGGCGTAGGGGTGCAAAGCTGGGACTTGGACTTGTCTATCGGTACCGTGATCCTCGCCTGCATCGATAAGCAAGACGCTATGGCCAGCAAGAGCAAGACGAGCCGCAAGGGGAGAACCGCCAGGACCAGATCCAACGACAATGTACTCGTAAGTCGAGTTGGCTACGGGTCCTTGGGTCGGATAGTTGTAACCATTAGGAGGGAACTGAGGGTCGTTGGAGAGCTTGGGCCATGTCCACTCAAAACTGTCTGCTGTGAGTACGAATCATCAGGGTTGAGTGCTTGGTCATACTCACGCATTGGCACCTGCTGCAAACACAGCAATGGTGTTGATGACTCTCATGATTGAATATTAAGTTGTAGAAAAAATACGACAAGTAGCCGCGAAAGAAGACGACGAGATGATTGGCGAACGGCGAGTTGATGCAAAGAAAGGGCGGCGTGGGAACTCCAGTGGGTGAGAAAAAGACTGAATGACTGGGAGAAACCCTCGTGGATGAGAAGGAGCCGCAGAGAGGGACCTACAAGATGATATAACCTACAAGAAGCACTCAAAGCTCGAAGGCAGCGGCGGCCCAGATTGAGGTCAGGACGTCTCTGTGCGATACAGCACGCCTATTCGGCACAAAATGATCCAGAACCGTTTATTGACTGTCATCCTGGCTGATCTCAATCGACGAAGGGAGATGACATTTCCAGTCGCAAACACCATTTGATTGTGTTCGTGGACGGGAAGAGAATACGAGGCAAGCAAAATTGATGAAGGTGGTCATGAATTGAGTGGGCTTTCCTTGCTAGCTGCCGTCCATTCAAATTGCCGATCATTTGCCGGGGTCAACGTCTGTTCACCTGCACTAGATACAACCATAACCTTACTGATATGAACTCTGGGTCATTGCTTGATTATGGATTAGACGAGTCATGTAAGTGATCATGTCCAAAGTGTTGCAAAGACCCACGCTGCTCGTGTTCCCCGCGCTGCTTGCATTGCGCCGTCAAGCTTCCTGACTCGGTAATATAATATCGGGCGCGTCTAACCCACCACCTGAACCTGCAGTCTGACGACATTGTTGTTTGACAGTCGTACAGACAATCACCGCACTGCCATCATAGTATTACCACATACCGATCATCATTGGCGGGTGATACAGGCCCCTTGAGACCTGCCGACCCAGCAGACTCGATACCGAGGTGAGAAGACCGGATGTAAACCTGGTTGATTTCTTTACCGTGCTATGGGATCTTCATTTGAACTACATTTGGTAGATACAACGTTCCTTTGAGACATTGAATCAATCTGGGAGACTCGGTCACATTTGATCAGAATTTTGGAATCTGATAGTTGTGATAAGAAAGTGCTACCAACGCAAGCTTGAGACAAAGTGTGTCATTACCAGTCTGATCGCGTCGGACCCTCAGTAGCAACGTCTTCCGAAGATATCCGCTTGTTTATCGAACTTTCGTGAGAGACTGGTGCAGACAACAGCGACCTGCCTCGAGTAGATGCAGGTTGACAAAAGAGAGATATGGTCGTGCCCTCGTCGCGCTGGGGGTCTTTTGATCTCTCTCGAATTGGTGCCATCTGTCATCTTTTCCGGCGAAACCACTTGCTCTTCAGTCGCTGATGAGTCGTGGTAGGTGCTCTTTTGGATATCGAAATTATGTTTCCAGGTTGAGTCTTATCATCTTTGATTCTTTGCGAGGTCCACCAGTGGAATGAAGTCTTCCTCATCGCCGTGTCTCGGAACTCCGACTGGTTTCGCACTAACAGTGGTGGTGATCTTGCTTTGTCCCAGCGAGCTACCCGTCAAGATTGAGTTGTTTGAAACATGGTGGCCAGTCGGTCTGGAGTTGGCCCTAGTGGTGCCCAGTGACTTTGCGCCGAGAGACACGAAGAGGGCTCGCACTGATGGAAGACATGCGCAGATGATGCCGACATGAATTTCGACGGTGCTCCACCAAGCGGCGTCATTGTAATCCCCTGAGTTGGATCGTTAGATGCATGCAGTTAACAATGATTGCGAAAGCTTACATGTAATGTTTTGAGAATTGGCAAACACGATTAATGAGTGCAGGCGAACAACACTGACGAATGTAACGCTGGCGGCAATTATCAGCTATCGGTCACTGATCTCGAATCGGGATGACTTACAAGATACCAAGAGAGAACATGACCATGACCATCAACTTCTTCTTCAAGCTGGTCTGCAGCGCATAGAGCTCTTTCAAAGGAAGTATGAGGATGACGAGATCGATGACGATGTTGAAGATAGCGCTCATCCATCCTTGAATGTGGATGTTGTTGCATGAACCCGGGTAGTTGTCGTCAAGTTGCTTCCATGAGTAAGGTACCGGACTGCATTGGAAAGTAGTGGCTAAGATGAATGAAACACCATATGCTACGCAGATGGCCATAACGATGTGGATGATTCGGCGGAAGCTCTTCAAGGGAAAGACACGGAGGAAGAAAACGAGAATTGAAATCTTGGTCGCTGTGAGTGAGGCAAAGTAGAAAATCTCGCCCAGGTAGTAGTACTGGACCATGTGAGCATGAGCGTCTTCACTTGTTCAATCAGTTTGCCTTACAAAAAGAACGTTCTCGATGTTCGCCAAGGGAAGGGTCCACATGTCTTTTCCAAGGCCGTTCTTGGATACTGGTGAAATCGCGTTAGTCTTGATCAGTCACCTAATGTTGAAGGGGCGATTGACTTACGGAGAATAGAGAAGATAGTTGGAGGTGTAGCAAGGGCTACAGCAACACAGATGGCATGATCGTCCCAGCCCATCAGTCGGCCGCTCGCTGGTAAGACAGAGCAGAGTCGCAAGAGAAATATCACCAAGGCAATGGCACCACCAACGACACCGACAAGTAGTGGTTTCAACGACTCGTTGCGTACTGGTGCACCGCACATTGTCGAAGAGACGTTCTTGGTTACTGGAAAAACAAGTCAGTCACAAAGCTGAGTTGCTTCTCCAAGGTCTCAATCATTTACCTAGACCCTCGTATGTGGTACATGATGAAAGAACGCAAACTGTCAAGTTGGCGTTGAGCGGGGCATTAGTGCATAGACAGTTGATGTCGGTCAGAGTACAAGCAGATTGAGGAATAAGTTCTGCGAGACAGCCCAGCTGATTGATGTAGTCAGATACATGAGTTGAAATGGTTGTGGGCCGTGTGTTGTCCTCACTGTACACTTGGGATATGATGCCTGCGCCATCGCCAGAGCAGACGAGGCGTCAGAGTTTGCCAGCGTTGTTGCCGTCAAAGCAGCCAGAGCCACTATGGTGCTGAAGGAGAACTTCATGTCTGCAAAACTTCTGTCCTGTCTCCGAAAGAAGCGGTGGCATGAATCCACAGAAAAACGAGTGTAGTGGTGAAAGGACCAGGAGGTCAGACGAGGACTGCTTCTGCTCCAGAAATCGAAATAGGCACTATCTCAGTCCCGACCAAGTCTACTCATATGGTTGTCCAGAAAGTCTAAATACTCCACGTTGAATTCGGGGTCTGCGGCGTAAGCCGATCCACCAGGTGAGAGTCAGGGACCATGAGATAGGTGGGAGGTTGGTCCAGTTCGAGAATCATATTAAAAATGATTCCGCAGACCCGGGTAATCACTAGGACGGTGCTCGCAGGATTGTGTTGGGCGATAGAGCGGCAGTTGAACAAGCCTCTGACAGCGCAAAGAGCTGTCTCAGTATTCGCAAGACAATGTCGCCCAGGATTGATGCGACCATCATGTGCGCTAGACCTACCCGCTTGGCTTGACTTGTCAATGATCTGCTCAGTCTTTTGTCGGTGCAAGAGAACATATTTATGCTCCTCGTCAATATCATACAGTGTACCGAGATAAGAGCTTGCTATCCAGAAAGCATATGATTTTTGCATCTCCAACGAAGACACGTGAGCGTATCACTTGAACCATCTTCGGGATTGAGCGTCGCTATAATAATCAAAACAACAAAGGACATGTGCTGCCCACGTAGATTATGCTATGCTTGACAGCGGGTCGGGTAATCGGACCGTTGGAAGAACCGTAACTTGGCAGGCATGATATGTGTCGGAGCTTCTGACAAGATCCAGATATGGACGGTTCGGTTTAGTTTCGCCTCGCGCGAGTCAGCTCGAGTGGATGAGTTGCAGACAAATTGAGGTCGTCTCGTCAGGCGAAAGAGGTGGGAAATGTTGGGCGGGGAAGGTGCACGAGCAAGCACAGGCGCTTTGTGCACCGTGCGCTGCCACATCTGACTGAGTGCGCGACCGACCGACCTCTTGTTGTCTTCCATTGAGCTCAAGCTCAATCGATGGATGATGGTGCACATGGCACACACGGAGATGATGCATACCCTTCAATCGGTCACTTCTGGCGAATAAACCAGCTCTTCCAACGCTTGGATGTCTTACTTCAAAAATCATTTTCAGCGTGGAATTGACAAGCTTCGGGGTTATCTTTCGCTACGCAAAGATATCATCATGCCCACTCCAGCTTCTGGAAACAATGTACTAATTCTCCTGAAATGCTAAACGTCTAATCCGGACGATCTCAATTCCAGGTAGTCGCTGGTTTGTCCAGCGCTCGATATTGGCCAATGATCAGGTATCCCCGATACGTTTTTGATTCACATTTGGTGTTTCTGAGAACACTGTCCCCTGCCGTGTGCTTAGGGAGGCTCGATGGATTTTTGAGACCTCGCTGTCTCCCCAAGACTGATCTTGCCCGAGATTTTGACAGAACTCTCCCCCTTGACACAACTTTCTTACTGTCTTTCCTTTAGCCCACAGCTGCAGGGCACATTCTGCTTGCCTTCGTCATGAAGGTGTCCATTCTTTCCCTTGCGTCGTTCGCCCTGACTTTACTTTCTTCTGGTCTTGTACACTCTTTTCCGACCGCTGAGAACTTTGCAAAACTCACCCATCGCAATGCCTTGGACAACGCTGCTTTTGATCCAGAAGATCTGCATAACAATCTTCTACGTCTTAAGCAGAAGCGTCTTCTTTTTGATCCGATGACCACCCCCATCGATGGTATCTTGTTCAGAGGAGCCGAACTTACACCGTTGCTGACTCACGACAGTGTCTGGAAAACACGCCTTTCAAGCCCCGAACTTCGACAAGGGAGACCAACGCGGTCCTTGCCCCGGGCTAAACGCCCTTGCGTAGATAATCCTCATCGGGTGATAGAAACTGCTGAGGACTAACTTCTCTAGTAATCACGGCTATATATCTCGTAACGGTGTCGTCGGGGTATGTTGCTATGGTGTTTCTTGTTGCATGCCCGGCAGCTGACCGAATCCTCATAGTTTCTTGAGGTCATTGGCGCGGTCAATCAAGGTAAGACATCGCTCGGTATCAGTGACTCTGCCACCGAAACTTTTCTAACTCGTGACAGTTTACGGTATGGGCATTGATCTCATCACCGTTCTGGCAGTCATGGGCACCGTAGGCGTCGGCAACCCGCTGGCTCTGAACCCTGGTTTCTCCATTGGTGGCGAAAGCCGCAAGTCAAGCAACCTACTCGGTAACTTGTTTGGACTGCTCGGTACACCCAGAGGTCTGGACGGTGCTCACAACTGGATCGAGTCGGACTCATCAAACACACGTGATGACTTGTACGTTACAGGCGATGCATCCACTATGAACATGACTCTCTTCCTGGAAGCGTACAACTCTTCAGACGACTTTGTTCTCACCATGGACGATATTGGCGCACGTGCAGCGAAGCGATTTCAAGACAGTATCTCGAACAACCCGAACTTCTACTACGGCCCATACACGGGCATGATTGCTCGTAATTCTGGATACGCTTTCACTGGGCGTATATTGAGCAACCATACCAAAGAGTACCCTCTAGGAGGTCATTTGAGTAAGCACCTGCCAGAATTGACTGGATCTCCAAAACAGTTACTAACGTATGCGCAGCAAAGGATGTTTTTGCCAGTTTTTACGCCGTCAACGAAGAGGATGGTCAACTCTGCTACAAGAAAGGCCACGAACAGATCCCCGCGAATTGGTATCGACGTCCGATAGACTACGGTCTCGTCCAACTGAATCTGGATCTTGTAGCTTGGTTCCTGAAGTACCCCGTCTTGGCCAGCATTGGAGGCAATACTGGAAAGGTCGATACATTCACCGGTCTGGATCTTGAGAATATCACTGGCGGAGTCTTGAACGCAGTCACACTGCTTGAGGGGAACAATCTTGTCTGCTTTGTGCTACAGATTGTGAAAACATTCTCGCCGAACTCTTTGTCTTCGCTGTTCAAGACACTTGAAGCTCCATTGAAGCTTGTCAGTGACGCTGTTCTGGATCCATTGTTGAGTCTCAACTGTCCCGCGTTCAAAGACATGGAAATGGACGGAAAGGATCTGCTCTCTGGACTTCTCACCAGGTACCCTGGTGCTGGTAGGAGTGGTGTTGCATTCTAGGAGTTTAAAGCAAACGCGTTGCACAATCCGGAACGAGCTCAGTAGAGTTGAAGACTTGATTCTGGGTCCTAGCGATGGTTGTTGTCGATATAGAGAGGCGGACCTGATCATCCAATGATTGTTGCAACATCATGTTTCTGAGACCCGACTGTCCCTCCCGACTCATAGCATAGTTTGAGAACCCCAACCAGTTTCTCGAACTAAAGTCTATCGTGCGCCCAATAAGACAAGGCTGACGCATTCTTTGATCTGTGAGCTGTAGATTTGTCGTGTTGCCTTGCTTTGATACAAAACGTTAGAAACACCCTTATACTTGAGTTATCTAGGAAGATGCGACATCTAAAACCTCAATACAGTCAACGAGATACTCACATGACCCATGATCGACTGCAATGATGGAATCAGTTTTCGAGGCAGGGTTGTCCAGCCAGCTTCGAGGATAATCCCAATTAGTCAGCATCTTGGCGCCTTTTCGAGATCTCGAGCGCACCGTTCAAAACTCCCGATACACATCTTTGCAACATTTACCATGTCATCGCCTGAGATCTCAAGAATTTATACGATCAAACTTATGGCATCTGGTGATTTCCGACGCGTCATGTCGTTGTGCGATTCGTGTGCGACAAACGAACAACCAAAAGCGTGTCATGGAGAGGTCATGCTTCACGTTGAGAATCGCTCACAGCGACAAATAGATATCCGAAAAATGTATAGTAAGTCAGAAATGTAGAGAACATGACGTACCCACTATCCGGCGTACTGTTAGCGCAAAAAGACAAGGAACCAAGGACACAACAACGATGAACCAAGCCGAAAACCACATTCGGACAACCAGTCGAATCTACCATGGCAGAGCCGAGCCGTCAAAGGACAAGAACTTGCCCGAGGTCTCCTCTCTGGTTGCAGTGTCGATCTAGAAATGTCAGCGTACACCACTCTCGAAATAAGTGATGGAGACAACTCACTCTCTCAACCATTCCAGTGGTACTCTTTTCAAGAGTGGTAAAGACATCAGGGTTGTCGACCAGATCTGCCATGCCCATACTCTCAACAACCTTGAGTGCACCCACGGTCGCAACAGCTCTGCCAGACATCATCAGTAAAAATTTCCAGTGTCAGGCGAAAAGGAGGTCACACATACCCAGGATGCATAGCAAAGATAATCAACTCCGGATGTTCTGCATGAGCCCTTCTGACCAAAAAGTTCGAAGCCGCCTTACTCGCACCATAAACACCAGCCGAGAATGGAACATCTCCAGTAGCACCGATAGATCCAGCCATCGAAGACATGTAAGCGAAGATAGGCTTCTCTGCTTTCTGGAGCAGCGGCAAAGTCGCCTGGAACAATCTGATGGGGCCAGCGGTATTCACATCCACATGCTCAAGTAAGTCCTTAGCGGTGATTTTGGCAACCTTGGGGTCAGCAGGAGGGGTATAGTATCCTGCATTCGCAATCACGACGTCGAGGTGGTTGATTCCTTGGTTGGAGATGCTGGAAACGGCTTCGAGGGCATCGGTGTCGGATCTAGATTCGACCTTGACGATGATGAGTTTGGAGCCAGATGCCTTGGGGATGTCGTGGAGGGATTGTTGTTTGGTGGGGTCGCGGACAGTGGCTATGACTGTGGTGTCAGGGCGACTGAGATATCTTTCCAGCAGGGACAGACCGAGGCCGCTGTTGGCGCCAGAGATGAGGATGGTGTATGACATGTTGGCTTCTTTGAGGAGAAGTGATTGGGGGATCTAGTCGCTTTGTAGTTGAGTGCTTGAAGGATGTCGCGGTAACTCTGATGAATCAAATTTCTGTCAGCTTTTCAGAGTTTGGTAGTTATATATCATGTTTGGATACTATGCTTCGGAGAGTTTATTGTCCAAGGTATGCGACCATGACCAAGCAGATGCATATGGCTTACAAACTCGCGCTTCGGAAACGACGAGCATAGGGCGTGAGATTAGGAAGCAATCCTGATGGGCCGGCGAAAATGGATGCCTGGATGCCCGAGCATGCAACAAGCGGAAGGATTCTTGTCTCCGAGAGGATTCGCTCGTGTATGCTTGGCTGCCTTGACCGGTCCGCTTTTGTAAACAACAACATTTGATCAGCGAATCAATACTTTCGTATTCATACATTTGTTCATGCGTCTGTGAAGAGAATCTGGAGACCGATATGCTTATAAACTATTCTCGCGTGCCAGTGAATTAATCTCGGAAGCGATGGTGGCTTCAATCTACAGAATTCTGTCGCGGCAGCCTACTGTCTCCAAGCAGCAACATCAACTTTCGTATCCCACAGCTCCAACGCCTCGGAGCGACTCATCGTTTCTCCACTCACAGGCGGCAATCGCCAGACCGTAATACCAAATCCGCTCATCTTCAGACTGGTGACCAACGGACCCAATGTGACTCTCTTGACCGTGAATCCTCGTGTCTTTAGATCTGCAATTGCAATCTCTGCGAAGCGAGCGAGCACTTCATCACTAGTGCTGCCGAGAGAGTTGAGTAGAATCACGACTTCATTGTCCTTCTCGGGCGAGGTGGAGGAGGAGAAAGGGATGAAGGCTCGATCCTTGTCGGAAATATCAAGGAGTAGGTCAAGCATTTGGGCTGTGAGGGACTCCGGCGAAGGAACAGGGTTGAGTTGTCGCAGACCGGGCTCGCCGTGTGCTCCCATGCCGAGTTCGATGGTCGCTGGTGGTAGGGATTGCAGGTCGGTGAGCGTAGCGTTTGGCAATGCCACACTGGATGCTGTCAGTGTTGAATCGCCGTCAGATAACGGTTAAGGAACTCACCGATCAAAGGCAACCCCCACGGTACCGACGTTGGCAGCGACATACTCCATAACTTCAGTCACACGTTCCAGAGTCTCTCCTTTGGCAGCGAGCGCACAAGCACTCTTCAGCGCCATGAGATGACCACTCAAGCCTCTACGACCGACCTTTCCACCCTTCTTCCTACCGACCGCGACATCATCGCCTACAGGAACGAATCTGACTTTGTAACCACTAGCCTGTGCTCTTGTAATTGCCAACCCAGCATTCAGAATATCACCGGTGTAGTTGCCGCACACGACCAGTGTGCCTTTGCTCTCTGATCCATCCGTGGGCTGGCACATCCTGATAGCCTCGTAGATTTGAGCTGCGGTTGGCGAGGCGAAGATGTTGCCGCTCACGTAGGCGGAAAGGTAGTTGGGTCCCACGAAGCCGCCGAACATGGGTTCATGGCCACCTCCGCTGAAGCCGATTGTTGTTACATATTTGTTGCGGAAGCTAGCTAGGTCGGAACGGTAAAGGATCTTGTAGGGTGGGTTGTAGGATAGATTTGGATGGATGTGGGTCAAGCCTGCTAATGCTTCATTGATGGCATCTGCTTCTCGTCAGGATAGCTGCATCGCGAGGGGAGGTTTGGCGTCGTACCTTCTGGCTTGTTGATGAAATGGAATGTCTCTTTGACAGCTGGAGGAGCTTGTTGTGTTGCTGTTGCCATGGTGCAATTCAATATTTTACAGCTTCAAATTCAATATGTGAGTAGTCGTCTATGCGACAGATCTTGGTCAAGAGAATCAATAGAGGTGACGGAGAAAAGCTGCGAGGCTAGCTCATCATGTACACAGCTCGAGACCACCATGTCACGACCTCGGACTTGCCCGATCCATGCATCCCACCCCGAACAAGCCATCTTTCGGTGGAGAGCATCCAGGATCGCCGAGAAGAACGACAACAATCGGTTTGTTCGCCGAGGGTTCGGTGCGGGGGTGCTTCTTCGGATGACCCGAATAGGCAAGGCCGGTGGCTTACTCCATCCCGGGGGACATGCCGATCCTCGCGACTGAGAGACCGGCTCACGGAGGTGCTGATGTCGACTAGGATAGCTGAGCAAGAGAGAAAAGTGTACCCGGTCCCAGATCTTTGATCAGACTATACCTTCTTCCCCTCGATCACATCAACGCGACATTTCCTTGCTCTCGTGCACAGAAACCCGCAGACAAACACCCTACCGACCCCGCATTTTACCCCACCATACGACATGGCAGTCGTTGTTGAACAAACAATTCCTTTCGCGAAGGAACAGCTCGATGCTGAGAACACTACGAGGTGGAACTCACTATATCCTCTAATCCGGCCTTCCATCAAAGCAATCAAGACTACATCAGGTCAGACGGTGTTAGTGGACCAAACACTTGCCAATGACAAATTCGTCAGAGTTGTTGTGGTCGGAAAGGCTGGCAACTTCTCAAACAAGCTGCTCTCGGACAAGCACATCACTGCTGTCGTTACCAGTAGCGATAATGGTAATACACTCTCAGGCAGGGAGCTTGCCAAGGCAATCGATGAGGCTGGGCACCAGCAGCAAGCCGGTGTAGTCATTCTCAAATCGGGAAAGCAAAAGAAGTTGACAAGAGTCGAGAACCAGTTGGTAGAGGTTGGACTTGAGAGTGACTTGGAAGTAGATCACTTGATCCACCTTCTAGGTGCTTCCACAGAGTCTGCAAGGTACGCAAGCATTTGAGGCAAGCTTCGAAGACATTAATTGACCTCTTTCTAGATCATCCCTTGATAGAACTGTCGAGATCTTGAACGCCTACCTCGAAAACTCGACCACCGTGACATCAACATTTTCGACCGGAAAAAAGGATGGTCGACCAGCCACAACGCTCGCCGAAGAAGACTCTCGTGGATATGAAGAAGCAAGACATGCCATCACAAAAGCACTCGAACAAGTCTTACAACCACATCTCGAGCAGAAAAACGGCGTCACTCACTCAGTACATTACTCAGATGTCAACGGTCTGTCGCGCTTGGAGAACTACATCCTTGGGTTGGAAATTGCCACCTACCTCAGTGAGCTTGCAACGACCGTGACTGTGTCGCCATGTTCTAACAGCCAGCAGGAGAAGCAGGTTTGTCGTACCGTTTGTCAACTTCAACGCTCTTGCAACATGCAGATCTTGCAAGAGGGTTCTCGATATCCGCCTGTCCAGTGTCCGAGCAACACCTCGAGGCTCAATCTGAGCCGACGAACCCACTTGCTGATGAAGCCACCGAAGGCAGCAGCCTGACCAAGGTCGACTCGCGGTTCATGAAGTTCAACGACCACGCAGTCCGCAGCCGCATCGAGGATGGCTGTGAAGCAGTAATCAAAGAAGAGGCAACCATCACTCGTTATGATGAGATTGTTGGCGACGGCGATTGCGGCTACACTCTTCGCGATGGTGCAAAACAAGTTCTTAAGTTCATCGCAAACAAGGATCTCTCCGAGCTGCCTCAGACACTGAGCGAGCTTGTGCGTGACCTCGAAGTCAATATGGGAGGCACATCCGGAGCTCTGTACTGTATCTTTTTGACCTCGCTGTCTTCCGCGCTGGCTTTGACGAATACAGTAGCAGAGGCATTGTCAGTTGCTCTTGACCAGTTGCTCAACTACACGCGAGCAAGACTCGGCGACAGAACCATGTTGGACTGTCTGATCCCGTTCGTGGAAGTACTAAAGTCGACTGGAAATATCGAGAGAGCTCTTGCGGAAGCAGAGAAAGGAGTGGAGAGTACAAAGAATCTCGAGGCCAAGCTTGGAAGGAGTACGTATCTCGACGAGAGTGCGACCAGAGGCGTGCCAGATCCTGGTGCTTACGGCCTGCTTGTGTTGTTGAAGGGTATGAGCGTGAGCGAGCAGTAGTGTTTGGGTAGCAATGAAAAAATGGCAGCATTGTAACACGAAAGTCTATTCTCAGTATTCTTGTACAGTACCTTGATGGCGCAAAGGTTTGGGGATGCTGGCCGGCGAGAGTTGTTCCTCGGCTGTGATCGTCGCTCACCCCGCAGCAGCCCAACTGTAGAAAGAGCCACCTCGGCGAGACTCTCAGACTTATTGAAGCGACACGTCTGTCTACTTCGAAGCAACCTGACCTCTATACTTCGCAATCAGACTTACTTAGACAAAACTGTCAATCGCCTCTTTTCACAGTCTATCACCATGACGCCTGTACCAAAAGTCCCCGCTTTCAGCACAACTCCGCCGTCGACCAAATATTGCATCCTATCATATCCAACACCAGAGATACTGGTCGTTACATTGAACCGACCGAAGCAGCTCAATTGTATCAGTGCAGAAGGAAATGAAGAGCTAGATGCCGTATGGAAGTGGTTGGATGCAGAGCCCAAGCTATGTGTCGGCATTCTCACAGGCACTGGCCGGGCTTTCTGCGCAGGCGCCGACCTGAAGGGTATGTTCTGTTCCACTCACAAGGACGCGCTATGGCTGACACGATGAATCAGAATGGAATCAAGCGAACGCTTCCGGCAAGCAGCGCAAGATGCCAGTGACTGGCTTTGGCGGTCTGTCACGCCGTCGCGGACGCAAGCCAGTTATAGCAGCAGTCAACGGTATTTGCTTCGGCGGAGGTTGTGAAATGGCCATCAACAGCGATATGGTCTTTGCTTCTTCGTCTGCTACCTTTTCTCTTCCGGAAGTCAAGCGTGGTGTTGTGGCCATCGCAGGAGCCCTTCCTCGAATTGCGCGTGTGGTAGGCAAGCAGCGCGCCATGGAGATGGCCCTGACTGGACGTGTGTTGAAAGCTGAAGAGGCTCGTGAATGGGGTCTGGTCAATCGCGTCGTTGAGGGAGATGTGCTGGACGAGTGCGTGGCCGTAGCCAAGGAGATCGCAGGAAACAGCCCGGATGCTGTCATCGTCAGTCATGAAGGTGTAAATCTGGCATGGGACGGCCTGGGAGCAGATGCAGCGACTGAAAAGCTGATTGCAGAAATGTATCCGAAGCTGCTGCAAGGAGAAAACATTCACGAAGGTGTCAAGGCCTTTGTCGAGAAAAGGAAGCCTGTCTGGAAGGCTAGCAAGCTATGAATTAGGATACCATCCACGGTATACGATCTAACGAGATATTTCGCCAAAGCACGGCAGAATGGAAATCATCAAGCTCTTCTGGTCGTCGATTTGCACGCTGCCTGGCGCTGCTTCCAAGCTTGAGTTGTGGTCTGTGCGCATCTCTGCTTGTCCACTCTTCGCGTGAGTGGACTCAACTCGATTGTTCTCGACATATTCGCAATCAATTCAGCGTGGAAAGAGCTGTTATGTGATTCGAGCCTTGGTCGTTGGATGACTCGCGCGATGTCCTGCCCGTCAGCTGTGTCGCCTTGTGGACGTTGAAGGTCAGGCAAATCCAGTCGACGATCCTTCGTGGCATACGCGTGCGATATTGTGGTTCTACACGATTTGCTCCTCAAGCTTCCTATTCGCCTCCGCGACCATGTCTCTGATGTCCACCCTCCAGATTTTGTGATTGCGCCACAATATCTGCTCCTTGAGCTTTGCCGGATCACGTTTACACAACCGATCTCTCCACTCGTACAACTCTACGCTATCTCGGCTGCTTTGTACCAGCCACTGTGTGCGCTCTCGTCTCACTGCATCAAATACTTCCAAGACCTTTTCCAGCGTCTCTGTTTTTGCGACCTTGGTGGATTGTTCTTCGAGTCTATTCCATGCTGTATGGAGCAGCTCAGCCAAAATTGCGCTGTCTTCGATGCAGATACCCGCGCCCGCTCCGTGGTGAGGTCCTGTTGCGTGAGCAGCGTCTCCAATAACTGCTACTCGTCCTTTTGCGTACGTCGGCAGTGGATGATCTCCCAGATCAAAGATGGCCCATTTGTCAAGCTTGTCTTCCAAAAGGTCGAGGAGTGCCCGTACTTTAGCACCCCAGTCCTTGAAGTCTTGTTTGGCAGATTCTTTGGTTGTTGGGACTACAAGTCTTGCATCCGTCCATTCGTCGGTGTCGTATCTGAATGCGACTACATTCAAGATTTTGCCGTGTGCAACTGGAAAAGTCAAGACGTGACCGTCCTGCCCCATGTGCATTGTTCTGTTGGTCGCTAGATCTTTTCCGAGAGCTTTGATGGCATTGTCCATATTTAGCAGACCTCGGTATGCATATCGATGTGTGTAAGTAGGTTTGGCTTCGGGAGCATCTTGTCCAAATAATATGCCGCGAACGCTAGACTTTATTCCATCGCTACCGATCACTGTTCGATTTGTTAACGAGTTTTGCAACCTCATTCGTGTTTGAGGAAAATCATATCTCACCTATATCAGCCTCTGCAGTCGTTCCGTCTGAGAAATTCAGTGTCAGTGGGTTGGATCGCCCGTTTTCCATGATTTTGTCAAGATGCTTGTTGAATTGTGCAACTCCCTCAGGAACAAGTTTAATCATCTCTTCCAGGAAATGCGCGCGGTGACATCCATCAGCCGGAGCATCCCTCGTGACATCAAAAAGCCACTGCTCAGAGCCAGTATAGCTATCGACAAAGTCATACCACGTATTGATCTTGTCGGGTGATCCGCTTGACGTGGCGACGCGAAGGTATGCCTCGTGGACCAATGGATCGCACTGTTCCATTGCTTGCTTTGCATTGGGAGAAAAGGCAATGCCAGCGCCTATTTCAGTGAACTGCGGTGCTTGCTCGTAGATTCGTACGTCGATGCCTCTTTTGGCGAGAGCGATGGTGAGGGTCATGCCCGCCACGCCTCCTCCAATGATCGCGACTGAGAATTGAGGTTTATCTATTGGCATTGTGATCGGATGCTCACTGGTCAAGCAAACGGTGTCTGCGATCAGTCCAACAAGTCAGAGTTGAGATCGTGCAAGGAATCAGTAGGATAGCGATTTGTCTCTATGAGGAAGATGTTCCCGGAATGTACCTCGAGGGACATTCTCAATCAGGCTATTAGCTCGATCCATGGAAAAGCGGAGATACAAATACCATGACGAGCCCCGCTGAATGCGGGCTGTAGCGGGACAGACAAGACCCCAGTTTCGTCATGACGGACAGCGATCCGAAGATCATGACTGCACTACTGGCGGATATCAGATTCGGCATCGCTCTGAACCTCTCAAGCAGTCTCTCTTCTTGTGGCATCTCACTAAACACCATATACACTTCCTGTTACAGTCGGCAGGATGCCTCAGAATGCTCGTGCGCTCGTTGTGAGAGAGCTCGGAGGACCTTTTACTCTCGAGGACATCATTGTTGATGATATACGGCCTGATGAGGCCCTTGTCAAAATTGAAGCCTCGGGTATCTGTCGCACGGATTTACATTGTGCAGCCGGTCATCGTCCAGTTCAAGTACCCGCCATCTTCGGACACGAAGGTTCGTGTTCACATTCCGTGTTCAAAGACCACACCTCTGATGTTAGACAGGTGCTGGAACCGTACTCCAAGTAGGCGAACAAATTACAGATATTCAACCTGGCGATAAAGTTTTGCTGAGTTACTCCATCTGTCGTGTCTGCAAACAATGTCGTTCTGGAAACCGAGCCTACTGCGAAAGGATACTTGCCCTCAACTTCAGCGGCAAGCGAGAAGATGGCTCTAGTCCTCTGTCTCTACCAGATGGTCAAGCTCTGTTTAGCAACTTCTTCGGTCAAAGCTCGTTTTCGGATATAGCGGTGGTCAACGGGACTAGTCTGGTCAAGGTTGCTGCGGATACACCTTTGCAGCTCTTTGCGTCACTTGGGTGCAGCATGCAGACTGGAGTCGGCGCGATATTCAATACATTGGATGTACAACCAGGGTCGACCGTAGCAGTCTTTGGCGTAGGCTCCCTCGGATTATATGCGATCATGGCCTGCAAGCTTCGACAAGCAAAGAACGTCATTGCAATCGACATACAGCCATCACGTCTTACACTCGCATCAGAGCTTGGAGCGACTGCCACTATCGACAGTTCACAAGGTGATGTAGCAGAAGAGATTCGAAAAATATGCGGACCATCTGGTATTGAGCGAGCGCTGGATTGCTCAGGGGTTGCGGAAATCATCGAGACAATGATAGAGTCCTTGGGAACGAGAGGCAAAGCTTGCTCTGTCGGCTCTAATGCGCCAGGCACTCGGATAAGTATAGATGTGCATAAGCACTTTGTTCGGGGCACACAATATGTTGGGAGTCACCAGGGCGATTCTGATCCTCACGAGGTAAGTTTAGCGAGTCGCTGTCGATATTCATGCTGATCTTTCCATAGATGGCACCGATGCTTCTGAAGGGGTATTCGCTCGGGAGATTGCCTCTTGAGAAAATCACGACCGCTTACAAGGTCGAAGACTTTCAGCGCGCGTTCGACGATGTTCAATCGGGCAAGACCGTGAAGGCTATTCTGACCTGGAACTAGCTAGTAGAACTAGCTATAAAAATGCATGATACCTCGAAAACAGAATCAGATCGAGGAAGGGAGGGAAACCTTTTTCCTAGTTTCCGCTATTTTCACCGTGCCAACTGATCTGTTTGGTATTGTAATACAGATCAAGACCCCATGAAGCATTCTGTGTACCCCAGCCGCTGCCCTTGACACCTCCTTGAGGTCCAGTCGCTGCGTGCATGTCAGTATCAAGTCTTGCGGTAGTATAATGACAGCACTTACGACTGATATATACAGTGGATGAATTAGTATGCACCTGACCATACTCGAGTTCTCTTCCCATCTTGATCGCTCGCTCGAGGTTTCGCGTGTGTATCGCAGCATTCAATCCATATGCACTGCGGTTCGCTATCCTGATGGCTTCCGCATCATCGTCAACGATATAGACACTGGCGCTTGGGCCAAAGGTCTCCTCGTCAATGATTCTGAGATGATCTGGAGACGTCTTGGGATCAACCAGTACTAGTGTGTTCGAGATTGAACAGTTGTTTTGCAGCGAGCCATCTCCGCAGAGAAATTTTGCTCCTTTATCTTTTGCATCTTGGAGAATGCTGACGGCGTTCTGTGCTATGCTTTGTGAAACTGCAGATTCGGCTGGCGCTTTCTGGACTTCGTCCACCAGAAGCTTGATGAACTCATCCGCGACACTGCGCAGTACGATGATACGTTCTGTGCTGAAGCAGATCTGGCCATGGTTTTTGATGGCGCCCTGAGCGCATAGGCGAGCAGCCTTTGCCAGATCTGCATCTTCCAAGACTATCGCCGGACACTTTCCACCCAACTCTAATATTGTCGGTTTGAGATGTTTTGCCGCTGTCGCTGCGATGATCCGGCCGACCGCAGCGCTTCCTATGAACTCGACCTTGCGAATATGCTCGTTTGCAATGAGGCTCTCAGTCACAGCTGCTGCATCTTCGCGTGAGGTTTGAAGACTGTTGATGACACCCGGAGGACACCCAGCCTGACGGAAAATGTCGACAAGGATGGCGTGGGTCAAAGGAGACATTTCGGAGCACTTGAGCACAACCGTACAGCCAGTGACAATGGCAGAGCTGATGGCTCTAGTCGACAAAACAACAGCCGCGTTCCAGGGTGGGATGACGAGAACCGGACCAATTGGTTCTTTGAAGACAAAAGTCATGGTGTCAGGTTTGTCGGTCGGGGGAATGGTTCCCTTGACACTGCTGACGCATGCTGCGGATTCGTTGATATAGTTGGTTGCAGCGAGGACGTTGAATTTGGCCCATCCTTCAGTACACGCGGTTTCCTTTACCTGGGCTTGGACAATCTCGTTCAAACGTTCCTTGTATAAACCTGCGACTCTCAAAAGTAATCCTCGACGCTCTGTTATCGGTGCATTTCTCCAGGTTCGAAAGGCGCTCCACGCTGCGTCACATGCACGACCACAAGTTTCTGAGTCTGCGCTGGCATAGAAATGGACATTCTCTCCAGAGACCGAGTTCTTGACCGGTACAACACGAGCGGTATCGAGAGGTTGCTCAACGTTGTTGATGATGATAGGAACGACCTCGCGACCTTGTGAATCTCGTTTGAGCTGCATAATTGATCGACTCCAGACGGATGATAGAAAACCGATTAGTAGGATTCAAGAATCGATGTAGACAGATGGGCCGGGAGTCTGAATGCAAAAGCATTATATCCATGAACTAGGGATGATCACTGATGTAATGATGCAGGACCTCGGCAAAGCGGCTTCGTTGCTTCCACCAGCGGAGATATCAACTGCCGAGTCTTTCTTCGGTTTCGTGCAGAGTCCAAGGTCTTGCTCATCATATATGACTGCCAGATGTAGCAATACAGTTTGAGCCTTTGATGGAGATGCTTGAATTTGTTGTTCATCGAACAAGTGTGTAACCTAACCACGTCTGCACAACTTCTCAAGCCAACCCAACCATCTTCAGCGAGTCATTCCACAAACGAGTCTCTCTCTCAGCGTCATAAGTATGCGGCACATAACCCCAGCCCTCTGCACTGTGATCATCGGGTCCTTCAGGCGCAACCTCACACTCGGCCAGATACCTGCCTCCCTTGTTCTCCCAGTCCTTGGCCACAGCAGCCCAAACAGTGGTAGCTGCACCCTGCTCGACACTCTTCATGACCTTACCAACAGCCTCGTTCTGCGCCCAACCATCCAGGGTAGCAGCATCGACATGCTTCATGAGTGGTGTGCCGATGAGTCCTGGATGCACGGCATTGGCATGAAGACCTTTGTTGCCATAGCGTCTTTCGATCTCGTTTGTCATGTAAACACTTGCAGTCTTTGACTGTCCATAAGCCACCCAAGCATGATAATCCCCATTCTCGAAGTTGTAGTTGCCAGTCTCGTTGATGGATGCAATACGATGAGCCGACGACGACAGATTGACGACCCTGGATGAGAAGACGGGGGTAGCGGCATCCAACATCGCGGGCTTCAAGAGTTCGAAGAGCAAAAAGTGGGCGAGGTGGTTGACAGCAAGTTGCATCTCGAATCCATCCTCCGAGAGTTGGAGGTCAGGGAGAGCCATGATACCAGCATTGTTGATGAGGATGTTGACCTGGTTTCTAGAAACCTTGAGGACCTGAGCAGCAGCACTGCGGACACTCGACAGAGAAGTGTTGTCCATGGTAACGTAGTCTGCAACAGTGCCTGGTGCGAGCACATCTTGCAGTGCAGACTTGGCTTTAGAGATATCGCGGGCGATCAGGACGAGGTGGGCTCCGGTATGGGATAATGCTCGTGCGGTTTCGACACCCAAACCAGAAGAAATACCGGTGATGACGATGACTTTGCCTGTGAGTTTTCCTTCGGCACCTTCGTCTTTGATGATCTGAAGGGCTATAGGGCGAGCGTCGCCAGGACCGGCAGGGTTTGCGAAGGCAGATGCGTAACGAGACATGTTGATTGATATGGCTGGCCGAGGTCCGAGAAAGCAGAGGTGGGGATGAAGTAGTTGTGTTGTCAGACTATGAGGGCTGGGAAAGGGACATTTATATGTTCTCTGTAGGAGGCCCTTGTTCTGCACTTACACTTTATCGACTCACCATCTCCTCTGCGAGTTGCTACCTAGCCAAGACATTTCCTCACCGGCCTTGAATGAGTTTCGCGTCGTCAAGAATGGTATAGAGACTCGCTAATGGAAAATCTTCTTGCGGCGTTAGGAAGTTGCAACCCCGTGGATCGCCGACCGGGATGTATGTTGTACCGTAGCTTTTGTAAAGCAATTCATCATGCATACTCATGCGCATCGATCAATGCTCTGGCCCTAATATGGCTGTGAACAGAGAGGGCAACCCAAGCGAGCAAGATTCGAAAAGAGGAAAGATTGTGTCCGAGAAGGCCAAATTTTGAGTTTGGGCGCAGAAACGGGGGTGAATACGGGCCGGACGAATATCATGCCGACTTCAGTTGCTCCGGACTATTTTCCGGTAGAGCACGTTGACCACCAAGACCATGCCCTAGACGGACGTTAGCGATTGTTGTTCGCAGATGACACTCGAAAAGCGAGCAGATCTGCTCCTAGCTGTAGACACTTCGTCGTGTAAGCAACGGAGTCATGAGTTAACACGGCGTTAAGAAGCTCAGTAGCGAAAAAAGAGCAATCATGGTTTTGTCCATTAGATTCGTGACAATGATGTAGGTGATATATACAAAAGGGCTGACATATCGTAAGATGTTAGAGCTTGGCCTTGGGCGACTCTTGCTTGAGCATGGCTTCGGCGACCATACGTCTTTGGATCTTGCCTGTGGCAGTCTTGGGCATGACATTGGTGAAAAAGACCTTCTTAGGCAACTTGAACTTGGCAACGCGTTCAGCCATCCACGACTTCAGGTCTGCAGGCTCAAGCTTTTGGCTGTCCTTGAGAACGATGGCAACACCAACATCCTGGCCATACATATCGTCTGCAATAGCGAAACTGACAGCTTCCGACACAGCAGGATGTTGTGCCATGACATTGTCGAGTTCGATGGGACTGATCTTTTCACCACCCTTGTTGATGAGCTCCTTGATTCTGCCTGTGATGATGACATATCCGTCGGCGTCTTGTTTGCCTTGGTCACCGGTGCGGAAGAAGCCCTCTGCAGTGAAAGAAGACTTGTTTGCTTCGGGATTGTTGAGGTAGCCGGTAGTGACATTCTCACCGCGAATGCAGATCTCAGCCTCAGAGCCCTGGGAGACCTCCTTGCCTGACTGGTCCAAGATCTTGACTTCGACACCTTGACCAACACCAACTGAACCTGGTTGGCGCTTACCCTTGTGAGGCAGAGGGTTGGAGGTCATTTGGTGAGCAGCCTCAGTCATGGCGTAGGCTTCAAGAACAGGAGCCTTGAAGGTCTTCTCAAGGTCATGGAAGACCTTGGGCGACAGAGGCGAAGAGCAAGATCTGATGAAGCGGATGTTTGGCAGAGGAGATGGAATGGGGCTCTTGAGCAAAATCTGGTGGATGGTAGGCACAGCAGTGTACCAGTTTGCCTCATGGGTCTGGAAGTCGCGCCAGAAGTCGGAAGCCGAGAACTTGCCAGGCACGACGACAGAACCACCAGACAAAAGAGGGGCAAGGAAGCCAGCAAGGAGACCGTGAACGTGGAAGAGAGGCATGACGAGCATGGTACGGTCGGCCTTGGTCAACTCGTAAGTTGCCTTGATGTTGGACATTGTGCGTGTGAGGTTCTTGTGGGAGAGAGGGACAGCTTTGGGACGACCAGTGGTACCGCTGGTGTGCAGGACCAGAGCGACATCGTCAGGTTGCGCCAACTCGAGAGGCTTGTCTCCCTTACCCTTCAGCTTACCCTCGTCCTTGACGTCCAGGACAACCTCTTTTCCATTCCAGTAGCATTCGGCAACGGCAGCATTGTATTTGGTAGCGGCCTTGACAGCAGGACCGTCTGCTAGACCTTGAGGTACGAGGACGAGAGCAGACTTGAGATCGTCGATGTAGAACTCGAACTCGGCTTGCTTGTAGGCAGAATTGAGCGGGGCGGCGATGGCACGCTGCCAGGCCGATGCCAGGAAAGCGACGATGAAGGGGTATGTGTTGGGAAGAGCAATCGAGACGGCCGAGCCAGGAGTGATGCCGAGTTTGGCGAGCTTGAGTTGGAAGGAGAGGATGTCGGCAGTGAGTTGCTCGTATGAGATGGTCAAAGGCTCTTTTCCAGGCACAATGATGGCCGTGTCATGGGACGAGTGTGAGAAGGCGTTTGTGAGAGTCGTCATTGTGAAGAGAATTCCAATTCGAAAAGTCTATGAGTAAGACGAATGCTGCAGAAGGATGGCGAGTATATAGACAGAGCAAGTCGAAAAAAGAAAGGAGCGATAAGAAAGTAGTCGCAATCGAATGGCAGTCGCGGCGGGTAATCGGAGATGGTCGAGTGTATGAAGCATGGTGACGCATGGTGACGATCCGAGCTTTCCCCGCTCCCGCCAGAGACAATTGGAACTTAGGCAGGATCCTCCCGCCGAGTCTCGTCCACACTCTAGACATTTACTTAGCATCACGACCGATCATCACCAAAATGCCGCCATCACTCTATGCAAACCTGCTGGATCCAGCAGCGACCGCTGCGCCAGCTGCTACAATCTCAGGCGCACCGGTCAAATACTCGTTCAAGAAGGACGACGAAGCTCCGGCGCCAGTAGAAAAGAAAACACCCGATGGTACCTGAAGAAGCTCAATTATATAATTTGGCGAGCTGATGCTCAACTCGACGCAGCCTCTCTCCGCTTCCAGCCTGCTATCAAGCGACCCAATCCTGTTCAAAAGCAAAAGCCCAGGCCAAACTCGAATCCCACTCTGGTGACCAAGCCTCCCACCCTACCCGCTGCCCCTGTCGCAACCGGTCCCATTGTCCAAAAGTGGAACGAATCTCAACAGCAAGACTTTGATGTCGTCAATGAATATCACAAGTTCCAAGAAGAGCAAAAGGCTCGTCTGAAGGAGGAGCGCAAGAGCAAGAGATCCAAAAAGGCCTCGTTACAGGTAGAAGACATTGACTGGTCTGCGCCGTACAACGTCCAGCACGCTTTTACCAAGACTCGCACAAAGCTACGTCTAGATGCTTGGAAGCACTCGGACTCCAAGTTCAATGCTCGATACCAGTGGAAGGAGACGCTGCACTCTTTCAGACGCCCTGGCACTCCTCCGACGGCCAGAGACGAGCCGAGACTTACTACCGATGTCTCGTACAAGAACATGCCCCCTCCGCAAGAGCTCACCGAGCCTGTTCATCCTCCTGCTCCTTCACAGACTGCATTCGCTCCCCCTCCGCCACCTTTCGCTCCGGCTTCCACTCCTACTCCTGTCTCTGCCACCTACACTCCTCAACCTCCACAATTCGACCAATACCATGCTCCTCCACCACCTCCACCTCAACAATTCTCCGGTGCTCCTGCGCTACCCGGTCTACAATACTACCCGCCCCCACCACCACACTTTGTACCACCTCCACCACCTGCCCAGCCATATCAGTCCGCCCCCTCGCCTGTCACTGCTCAGCCTGCACCATCTCAGCCATCAGGAACCATCTCACGCGAGCCTGTACGTTACGAAGCAGCTGCTCAAACATACGACAATACAGACCGCGCTCAGGACTCGACCGACCTCGAACCATCCCCAGAACCAGAACCTGAAACACGAACCTCCGCCCCAGGCCAAAAAGGGTTCGCCCAACGCTACATGGAAAAAATGGGCTGGAAGAAGGGCGAAGGCCTCGGCAAAGAAGCAACAGGCATAACTACAATCCTGCGTCACGAAGCCACAAAGCGCAAACGCAAGGCCGATGCCGAAGGAGGCGGTTGGGCACAACCCGCAGCCATGGGTCGTATTGTCGGAGGCAAGAAGACCAAAACCGACACACCCATCGATGAGAGCAAGGCTTTCAGTCTGGTTGCTAGATTCGAGGGTATGCTGAGGGATATGGATGTAGACAGGGCTATTGAGGAGGATAACTTGATGCAGAGGATTGGCGAGAAGTTGGAAGAGTATGGGCGCTCGGAACGTGTGTTCATCGATCGGGCTACTGGGAGGGTGTTTGTGAAGTTTACGAGTGCTTTGAGCGCTTTTAATGTGAGTCTTGCGAAATCTCGTTGAGGGAACTGTTTTACTAATCAGATTGACAGGCTATCAAAGCGAGCGACGGCACAGACTTTTTGGGCAATGGACGTATTGTCCAGAGTACCTTCTTCAATGCTGACAAGTTTGAGGAGGGTATCTATGAGTAAGTAAAGCGTACACTGCCAATCTACCTCTCATATCTCCGTCTGTCAGAGAGCCCAGGGTGCCAATTCTTCTTTCTTTTGCCTCATCGAGTCTCTCGAAGACAGTTGAACAGGATCAACAGTGAAACACTTTCAACGAGCGAGTCAAACTAGAATAAGATCAACGAGAGGATGAACAAGCAAGTAGTCGAACCCAATGTAATATACAATCCTTGCTAAACAAAAGACAATGACCATAGATTTTGCGAACGAGATTTGCATCCATTTCTTGAAGTCATTATTACAATTGTCGTTGCAAAGCTTACACTCACTTTCTACGGATTTTATCGATGGTGAACGAGACCCCAGAGAGCTGATAATATCGAGTGATCGTGGATGCTTCATTTCCACCAGAGAAGACGTGCACTTCTCCATGGTCCCAAGGTTCGATGTTGATCTACCACCAAGCACCCTCTTCCTCTTCAAAATCGAAACTCATCTGGCTTAAGCTTTCAACCTTTTTCTTTTTCTTTGCCACGATCTGCCCAGCATCAAACTTGTCGAAACACTCAATCTCATCATCGGTATCGTCGTCGGTCAGGGATAAATTCTCGTTTATCGCCTGATTTTGTCGTATCTGCCAGTAGCTGAGACCTTGATGCATGGAAGCTCTTGATCCAAATTCTTCGGTCAGACCCTGGTCTACAAGCTTCTTCTGCTCTGCATGCTTGTTTGCGTGGTGCAGGTCTTGGGTGATATGGACAGACTCGCCAGTCGAAGCATTCCACAATTTATCGATAGTATCGATCAGTGGCTGCCATTCTATCAGGCTTGGCCTAAGCATCCTCAAATCGATGTAAGTCTGCCTTGCTTGGGGCATTCTGCTCTTGAAGCGCTGGTAGAACTTCTCGCAGCAGTCAAGATCCGGAAGGGCCCACCATGAACGTTCGAGCTGATGGTTTAGGTCGAAGAAGAACGTCAGAGTCTTGAGGCCGGGAAACAGATATCGCATATCCTGCCATTCAGAAAATGTGGGATCCCGGCCGTCGGCGGGAGGTGGGATAGGGAGCCACAACTCGAGCTTGTTGATGAGGTTTCGGCCTTTGACAGGCAGTGAGCGAATTAGTCTCTCGCTCTGCACCACAACTCTATCGTGTGAGTAATGGTCCGCACGAAGTTGAAGAGGAGCGATGCAGAAATTATTGACGCGATACAGCACAGGCATGGCTTCCAGGTAGATTTGCCGACATGTGAACATGATATTGATTTTGACCTTTGCAGGCGTCACTCTGGCGTCGGGCCGCAAGGGACCTGCCTTGCTGAACAGGCGCACGAAGCCACGCGGTGCCTCAAGTTGCAATTCGTAGAAGCGTTGACGAACTGTGTCTGGAAGATCGAGAAATGGGAATGGTTTGGTCAGGGTTATGCTCGTGGCATGTGAGGTTATCTTGGCAGTTGATGTGTTGCGCTCCAAGCGTCTGGTACTAGGAGGCATAGTGATTTATTGCTTGCGGAATCCTGGTGCAAAATCACGATGTCGATTGGAAGGGTGGTGTATTGTCAAGACGTCGCAAATAGACTTAATGGTTAGAGGGTAAAGCAGCAGGCCAAGTGGGTCCTTAGGATGCTTGCTGCTAGGCAACAGCAACAGGAGTCTGACCCAGTACGATCCTGCGACAACTCCACAAAGCAGTCAACACACCGACCGCAAGCGATCTGTGTTGTCGAGCCGCTTTAGAAGAGGGCACAATTAGCAGTCACTAACCGGCTAGCGGCAAGCATGCGAACGGAACTGAGTTGGTTCATCGAGACCATCAATGTCTGAACATTCCTCGGCTCTGTGGTCAACGGAATGTCGAGACGAAAGTCGCATCTGCGCTCTCCAGCTCTGTTATGGTTTAATGGTAATTCGTGATCTGAAGCAGATATACAGTACTCGAATGATCGCATCCCGGATAACAAAGGTGGATTCAGAAAGTCTTGATCAGCGCGCCGAACCGACCGAATTGTCGTGGCAACAGCCGAGTTGTTGATTTTTGGGGGACTTTCTTGCGGAGGAAGGCACAAGCTTGGACTGATGATTGACAGATGTTCACCCACAATCGACTGCGTTTCCAGTCAACGGTCGTTGAACTTTTGATATTACTTCAACAGCAGTTGGATCTGGCCGAAGTCAACATGGATATTCCTCATGCTGTATCAGCACCGGACATTTCCTACACATCAACAGCCTCAGCCCCATCCTTACGCGCCAGGGAGTCTACAGCGACCATGCCTGCTGCTTCTTATAGACCTTCCGAAGAGGGACAGGGCAATGTCAAGGTTGTTGTCAGAGTGCGCAAGTTCTTGCCTCGAGGCATGTGGGCAGGTCCCTTCATTTGGGGAGCACACGGCTAATAAGTCTAAACAGAACTCGAGAGACAAGCGCCGTGCTTGATCGAAATGGACCCCAACACACAAAAGACGACCATCCATCCTCCTCCAGCACAGGCTCTCGATGCGAAATCACGCAAAGTCTACGAGGAGAAAAGCTTCGTCTTTGACAAGTCCTTCTATTCTCACGACGAATCAATGCCACATTTCGCTCGCCAGCAAGACGTCTACGCTTCGTTTGGTGAAGACTTCTTGGACCACAACTTCGACGGCTACCACACTTGTATCTTCGCATACGGTCAGACTGGTTCTGGCAAGTCATACACTATGATGGGCACCAAGGAACAGCCTGGTCTCATTCCTCGGACATGCGAGAACCTATTTCAACGCATCGAGCAAGAGCAGAACTCCAACATCACCTACAACGTCCATGTCTCATACTTTGAAATCTACAACGAGCGCGTCTGCGATCTTCTCGCTCCTCGCACCAACCCACCGACACACTTGAGGGTCCGTGAAAGCAAGCCGGACGGCGTCTACGTCCAGAATTTGACCGACAGTCCCGTCAAGTCCTTTGGCGACATCCAGAGATTGATGCACATGGGTGACTTGAATCGCACAGTGGCCGCAACCAAGATGAACGACACATCGTCCCGCTCACACGCCGTCTTCACCCTCACTCTCAAACAGATCCAACATGACATCGCCACTGATAACACCATTGAGCGTACTGCCCGTATGCGTCTTGTAGATCTGGCTGGGTCTGAACGAGCAAACCGAACAGAGGCAACTGGCCAGCGCCTCCGCGAAGGAGCAAACATCAACCAATCCCTCACCACGCTCGGTCGCGTTATTGCCGCCCTTGCGGATCCTAAACGCCAGAAACCAAAGGCCCGTTCGAATCAGACAAGGCTTCGTGCAGACGTGGTACCCTATCGTGATTCATGCCTCACCTGGCTGTTGAAGGACAGTCTGGGTGGTAACTCAAAGACAGCAATGGTGGCATGTATCTCACCCACAGACTATGAGGAAACTCTTTCCACGCTCCGCTACGCCGATCAAGCCAAACGTATCCGCACTCGCGCAACTGTCAACCAAGATGCCGTATCTGCGGCCGAACGTGACGCTCAGATCAAGGAAATGGCAGAGACCATCCGTCTGCTCCAACTTTCCGTCAATGCATCAACAACCCGCAAACGTGACGAAGTCGATCGTGCCGGCCAGGAACTCGAGGACTACCAACGTCAAGTCACAAAGATGCAAAGAGCAATGGAAGAGTCTCGTGCCGTTGCCGACGTAAAGATTCGAGCCCTGAACGCTGAGTTGGAAGAACTTCGCCCTATCAACGATCGCCTGAGGAATGAAGTCTCTTCTCTTCGCAGACATCTTGCTCTTGCTGTTGGCGAGTTGAAGAATCCTATTGTCCTGCCTCCTACAGAAGAAGACAAAGGCTGTGATGTCCAAGAAATTGAGGTCTACAGTGATGAGGAAGACGCGGAAGAAGAGAGCGATGATGAGGGATACTCGTCACAGCATGCAGAGTGGCAAGCTGATATCGACGAACTTATGAAGGATCTGGGCTTGTTCAAGAGGAAGGTTGCTGATGACCGCAGTCGCTTTACCATGCCTGTTGCTTGAGAGGGCGATCTCTGATCTGTTTTGGTTGTTTTCGTTTCTGGTTATTGATGGATGATGTTGTTAAAGCAAGCGAGGAGTTTTCTTTTCTTTGGTTCGGGAAAATCGACACAAGGGGTTTCAATTCGATGGCAGACGACATGCAGGCTGTCCAGTATATTTCAATGTCCGTAATGATACGCAATTCTTTTTTCTCCTTGGCTTGCATACACCTCAGTAAGCTGATGATATCCAACACTCCCCGTTCCCGATCTTGAACACAGATGTTGCTCGAAGCTGTCTTGATACTTGGTATTCATTATGGCAGAATTGTCTATTTCTTGCCCTTCTTCTTACTATTGGTGTCAGGTTTACTTGAGTCTTTGACATAACCGCCCTTGACAAAGGCATCTCTCGCAGCAGTATTGATCAATCTGAATCGATCAGGACCCAAATGCACACCGCCATACCATCTCGTCACCACAACCATGACATCCCAGATATCCATCAACTGCATGAGATGCAGCAATCTTCCACCCGCAGCCGTCTCTCCATCATCATCACAATCCTGGAATGCAGTCTCATTAGGTCCATGAATACGCCACGCCGTGATGTTATGTGAAGCTTTGGCGACTTTCTTGTCTGTAGCAAGCAAATGTGCTAAGAATGACTTTGCTTCTGCAGGCGAGGACACCACGGCCGCTCTAGCAACAAAGACTGACTTCTTCTCTGTGAATGGGTCGGAGATGATCCAGGGTGGTTCCTTGTCCGAGGGGAGCAAGTCTAGCGACTGCAGTTCGTCAGGAAGAGTGTCGGATGCATCGTCGTCAGAGTGTTGCTGACCTCTCCTTTGAGCATCTTGTTGCTCTTGATGCCCTTGACTTTGGCTGCTTTGCTGCTCGTACTGCTGAAGTCTCTGGTTGACTTCCTCGACGAGATCAAAGATACATGGTGATCCTGGCTGATAGACTTCGGCGAGAACTTCCCTTGCAAGGTCGACGGCGTGGGAGCCTTGGCCTTTTGCAACATTATCACCCACGGATTGGGTGCCCAGGATCGAAGGGGGTGCATCAGGGTAGTCTGATGGGAACTCGAGTCGCAATGATATATTGACTTCTCCGGGTAGGTTTAGGGAGCAGATGATTGGGTCGTGGGATAGGACTGATAGTGTATCTGCGGAGTAGATTGCGTTTATTGCTTGACACTCGTCTTCCAGAGCAGAGTCCATTTAGATGGTATGTCGAGTTTGGTAGTCGTTGATCACTGCATGAGAAAATGGTTCTCGTTCAGATACTGCTAGAGATCAGCTATGGCCACCACTTCGATATGGGATATGACACACTTAGATGAGATTCTGTGACTGTAGTGTATGATACTTCAATGGAATGTATCTCCTATGTTAAATGATCGGAGATAATGGGTACCTGTATTCGAGGGTGAATCAGAAGATACAGCGATGCCAAGACCATGGTGAACGTCAGGCTTGGGCGAAAGTGCTCGAGGTTAAGACTTCTGCATACCGCATCAACACCAACATCGCATCCTTGGTCTCTGTTTAGACTCCCTTCGGATTGAACCGCTACTACGAGTAGTCTCGTCACAATAACAAGCGACATCTTCAGGCATTCGTCTCGCATCCGTCGTCGCGCGTAGCCAGGCTCGCGAGCTCACGCGCAGCCACTTTTTACCACCTTGACCTCCAACCGTCAGCAACAACAACTGCGACAAAACACAACAGCATCCATCATGTTTGCCGCATTGCCCCGACCGCGGTACACTGGTGATGAGGAGGAGCAGAAACAGTCGGTGGGCCCTCGGATCATTGCCGCCGACCAAGCAGCGTCACAGCAATTGCAAGTCGCCAAGCGCAGCGGCATCCCTCCATACGGCCAGCGCAACAACTGGCGTCCTCGCGGCAACGAGGACTTTGGAGATGGAGGCGCTTACCCTGAAGTCGCGGTCGCTCAATACCCTCTGGACATGGGCAGGAAACACGCATCCTCGTCGAATGCCCTGACCTTGAGCGTCAATGCTGAAGGTCAGGTTGACTACACCGCTATCGCCAAGCGCGGCCACGCAGAGAACAGAATCGTGCATGCTTCCTTCAAGGACCTGATTCCGCTCAGACACCAAGCGAATGCCGGCGAGATCTCTCTTGCGCGTCCCGACGAGGAAACTGTTGCAGAGACTAAGAGGAAGACAGAATTGGCTCTTGCAACTCTGGTCGCTGGAGCGAGTGCTGCCCAGCGTCCCAAGAACGTCAAGGGTGTCGAAAAGAGAGAAGCCTCATACGTCCGTTACACACCCGCCAACCAGATGGGCAACGACAACTCCAAAAAGGGTGACCGCATCATGAAAATCATGTCCCGCCAGATCGATCCCATGGAACCTCCAAAGTTCAAGGCGAAGAAAATTCCCGGAAGACCCCCATCACCTCCTCCTCCGGTCATGCACTCTCCACCCCGCAAACTCACCGCCGAGGACCAGGAAGCCTGGCGCATTCCTCCCACCGTTTCAAATTGGAAGAACCCCAAGGGTTACACGGTGCCCCTGGACAAGAGATTGGCCGCAGATGGACGAGGCCTACAAGACGTCACCATCAACGACAAATTCGCTTCCTTCGCTGAAGCCCTACAGACCGCCGACCGTCATGCCCGCGAGGAAGTGAAATCCAGAGCATTGATGCAACAACGCCTCGCCGAAAAGGAAAAAGAACAGAAGGAGGAAAATCTACGCTTGCTCGCCCAAAAAGCCCGCGAGGAGAAATCCGCTGCTGCAAGGAAACCCTCTGCTCGCGACGACTCGCGCAGCAGAAGCCGAAGCCGAAGCATCGACAGCTACGATTCCCGCTCCTCCCGCTCTCCCTCCGAAGATGAAACCGAACACGACCGTTTGGCTCGCGAAAAGCAACGTCAAGAGCGCCGCCGCGACGCCCAACGCGAAATGCGTCAGAAAAACATGGGCCACGAACGTCGCATGCAAGCACTCGCTCGCTCCCAGAACCGCGACATTAGTGAAAAAGTGGCTCTGGGGTTGGCAAAACCAACACAATCCAAGGAAACAATGTACGATTCGCGCTTGTTCAACCAGAGCTCTGGGTTTGCAGCTGGATTCAACGAAGATCAAGCTTACGACAAACCTCTTTTTGCGGATCGAGAGGCATTAAATTCCATCTATCGTCCTCAACTTGATGCAGATGATGGCGATGATGGCGGCGAGACTTTGGATGCCATTCAGAAGACGTCGAGATTCGAGACGTTGGGTAAAGCGCCTAAAGAGGGCATGAAGTCTGCCAGGACTGCTGAGCAAAGAGAAGGACCCGTCATGTTTGAACGCGACAATGGGGATCCGTTTGGCGTGGAGCAGATGATTGCTGATGCGCAAAACAAAAAGGGAGGGGAAGCAGCCGCGGGTAGTGCGTCGGTGACTGGACAGGGGGTCAAGAGATATGGGCTTAATGAAGGTGGTGGCGAGCAGGAAGAGAGAGGGAGTAAGAGAGCTAGGATTGAGGATGATGATGAGTAAACCTCAAAATCCTTCTCCTTAGTGGCAGTCTTGATTATCAACAAGTCTTTCTCCAGCTCTGAAACGACAGTCTTGTTCCACTTGGGATGAACAGGATATGCGCGTCTACTGAACGGTATTGAGTTGAGCTGTGGTCGATGTTGCTTCCACCGTTATAGGAAGGACACAATGGGTCCGATGTGTATGTTGGGTGTGCTCGAGCATCGCGTTAAGCAGTAGAGATCTGGCATGACATAGCACTGCGGCTGTACATTCGCGCAGTTTCAATCTTCCCTTTCCGATTTGATCTTGTCATGGTGAAATGAGTGCCTTTTTATTCGGATTTCGAGGCCAACATCTCATAGTGACTTTCAACCCGTGTACTGCCCTCTTTAACTCCACACTCTCCCAAACGCCAGAAACCCAGTCATCAAAACGCCACGCTTGTATGCAGGTCCCCATGCTCCTTGCTTCCTTCCATCTTTCAAAGCCCCAGCGATCTTCTAACATCAGTCTTGACCTTATTCTCAAATTCTGCTCTTCGTTCCCTCCACATCCTCGCCGCATCAACATTGGCAGGCGACTCGTCGTTGGGCTCGGCCAGCATGCTCATGACACTGATCAGAATCTTTTCGACGCTTTGGATGGGGCTCCATCGTTCAGAGGCATGTTCGTAGTGGTTTGGGTCGTCGCCGGGTGGGTGGAGGATAGAGATGCAGACGACGCCGTTCGGGTATACTGTCTCCTCTGTCAGTACTGTCCTTTACACCCAAGCCCTCTTAAGCCTTGATCCCACCGCTGGGTGGTGGGGCGGGGGCAAAGTAACGAGAGACACAAAAGCACGCACCATTCGGATGCCAAAGATCGGTCAGAAACCTCATGGTCGGCGGCATCAAAGGATAGTCCTTTGGGAATTTGAGCTCGGCGGGGAAGATGCCGCCTTCGTAGGGAGTGCCCTCTGGTCCTTCGATCAGCGCTTCCCATATGAAGAGGTCGTCTTCGGTGACGGGGCCTGCGGTGATGCCGTCCGGTGGGTCTTGGGTGAGGTGTTTGTATTCTTGGAAGAGGCGTTTGGATGCGACTGATGTTGTCATTGTGTGTGAGTGTAGCAGTGGTAGGTGGATGTGAGGTGGTGCGTGTGGTTTGGGAATGGGTGGTGATTGTGAGTGGTGATCGGCGGTCGTGGAAGCTGGTGGAGACCCTGTATTCGAGGCTGATGATGCGTCTTGATACTGAACACCTTGCGCTTTTTATGCGGCGTCCCCAGAGGACAACACCACCATATGTTGCTACGAACGGAGCCTGACAGCATAATTGTGTGTGAACTATGTTTTATCGATTTGAGTGGCATATGACTTTGGTATCTCATTGATCGATAGACAATCAGGAGCCAGAATCTCCTGGAGATGTGCATGAATCAACCTGTTCTTGCTGATGATTTCGACTCAATCACGGCTTCTATTAGCCAACCATCTCCTAATCACAAACTCCCTAACCTCATAACTTCTCATAATTCTTCCGATATCCGCCTCTCCTTCCTCGACGCTCGGTAACTCCTTAGGTACCTTGACATACACAATGACCAGGCTCTTCTTGACTTGACTCTGCACACGGTTCACGCAATGCAGCCACCACCAACCCATCTTGCCCTTTCCTTCTGCTGTTTCAATACTTCTCTCTGCATACTCAGGAATGATGATCAAAGCAAATTCAGCATGCGAGAACACAGGACCGCGGTTGTAGAGGAGAAAGTCGCACGAGAACTTTACACCGGGGCGGACCACCCAGCCTAGAGAACGGTAGTGGTGATAGACTACGTAGTTCAACAGGAAAGGGTCATCGGGATGCAAAGAGGAGATCTGAGCGGTAGGGAAGTGTGAGTGTTGGCGGAAGAGCGTGAGTAACGAGGACGTGGAAAGAGGTTGCTTTGTGTTGGAGTCGAGGATCTGGAGGCTACCTAGCGCGTAGGATAGGAAGAAGGATTCCTCGAGATTCAATTGTAGGTGTTCTTGGTTTGTGATTGGTGCTTCTTCTTCCTCTTCGCGTTCGGCGATGGCAGTGTTGTTGAGAATCCCGGTTGTGTGGATCGTGCTGCCTGTAGGGAGAGTGGGCACTTCCACCATGTTGATTGCAGGTTCTTCGGGCTTCGTATCGTCCGCAGGCACAGCTTGAGTCTCCTCCTTGAACTCAGCGTTGCTCTCTTGCTGTTGCATCCAGGGAAAGACGTGAGAGATGGCAATTTCTGTTGCTTTATCCTCGTCCTTGTCGCTGTTCACAGTATCCAGAGCTGTTCGTTCTCTTCTCAGAGTTTCCTCAATCTGCTCAGCTTCTGCTCTGGCTCTTTCAAGCTTGAACAACTTTCTCTCTTCTCTTCTCCTTCTGGTGTTTTCTTCCGCAGTACCACCGCCATGCTTGTTGGCCTTTAGCCTAGCCTTCTCTCTGTCCAGCCAACTGGGTTCACTTCGCGACATTGTGCCTTTACCAAAGAAACCCATCTCCCAGAGAGCACGAGCCGAGGCATGATCTGTAATATGCACAGATCGTGTTTCAGAGCTGAAAATGCCAGTGATTGGTTCATCTCTGTGGGAAGATGGTGAAGAGATGAGTTGAGAAAGATAAATGTATGCGATGCGAAGAAGAGAAAGTGGGTTTTGCGGTACAAAAGCTGGGAGAGGATGTGTCTCGAGAGGAAGAGGTTTTGAATGGATCAAGAAGTAGTTGGGCTTTTGTGGTCGGGTTCTGACAGGTCTAGGCTTGTCTTGCGCAGCCGAGTCTTGAACAGGCGCGTCCTTGGTTGCGGGAGATGCTGCTGTCGGTACATCAAGCCTTGAGCCTGAGTCGACGCCGGCTGATGGTGCAGTCTGAGCAGCCATCTTGTCTCACGAGCAGTGATCCTCAATATATCAATGTAGCAATCCTGCAAATCCTGTTAGACTGATTCATGATCTGTTGCATGCCAGAAAGATTCTATGGTGAGAAATGATGACACGCCTCAATGAAGGGCTTGATAAGGTTGGTCAAAACATCAGAAAGAATACTGGTCAATGAGCCAACAGAGAGGAAGAGTGGATGAGTGCAAGAGAAACATCGCTCGAAATCCGGGTGGGAGAGTATGACACCGTTCCAGCTTTTCCACCAAACAGAGCAGCACAAAGACCGAGAGCAGTTTCGACTATCGGTTCGAACGATCCCACTCGAGCGACTATACGAGTGTTCAATTGCTTTGCTGATGCTATTTCGTCTTTTTTTTTTCCGCATCTTGTGCTTTTCCTTCTGTGCCATTCGGACTGACATGATATTTGTATGAAGAAAATGAAACAAATGACTTACCGAGCTGGTGGAATGTTTCCCAGAACAGAAATGAAAACGCTGTCCAAGATATCAACTGTACGTAGTAGTGACCACGGCGAGCATGAACGAGAGCGAGAGTGTCAGATTATTCTCCAGATATGGCCCAAGCTTCGAGTGCCTCGGAAGGCCGGACCGAGACGGAGTTAAGAATGAATAAAGCATCGTCATTCTTCGGTATGCTTCTCCCTCTTGACAACTCACACAAGCATGACAGGACTACGGCCGACAATCATGCTGTCTAGAGCAGCTCGACGTTACATATCGACCTCCAGAGGTCCACGGGGTCCGCGTGGTATCCTCAACAAGGCCCGCACGCCGTCTCGAATCACGCCCCGTTCATCGAGAGCATCTCCATTATCTGCCATTTCCCGCCACCAGTCCTCACAGCAGCCGAATCAGCAGAACAAGCCGGAGGATCAACCTCAGAAAGTCCCGGAAGAACAGTCCAAGAATGCTCTTGTCGCTTCAGCACTTGCTGAGACTCAATCCTCGGATCTCATCGCACCAGTAACGATACCTGACGATCCGAATGGTGTCCTCACACCAAGCCACCCAGCATGGCATCTGCTCAACAACAGCTCGCTGGTCATTCAGCGACAAATCGAAATGATGAACGTTTTTCTCGGATTCGAGCAAGCCAACAGATACGTCATTATGAACGGCAAAGGAGAAACAATTGGATACATGGCTGAGCAGGATCATGGCATGGGCAGCATGTTGGTTCGACAGATGGCCAAGACCCACCGCAGCTTTACCTGCCATATATTCGACAATAGCGAGAGGGAGATCTTGCGTATCCATCGACCTTTCTCTTGGATCTCGTCTCGCATTCGTATTTATGATCCCACTACTCCTGGGGACTACACACAATCAGACACGCTTCAGGGCACATCCGTCCAGTCGACCATCAACCAGACCTCTGCAGCTCAGGTCTCCCCTCTTCCTCTGAACGACATGAGGATCATTGGAGAAGCACAACAACAATGGGCACCACTCCGCAGGAAATACAACCTTTTCAACTATCGTTCCATTGCTCCCCCCAATGACTCCACACCAAAGCTCACATTAGGCGACGCCCCCAACACATCCACCAAAGCTCTTGCAGTCACGGAAGGCGAATCAGAACAAGCAATCGAGGCCGGCATGCAGCAATTCGCCTTTGTCAATGAGCCCTTCCTCTCCTGGGACTTTTCCCTCAAAGACGCGGACGATCGCAAGATCGGCAGTGTCAACCGCAATTTCGTTGGGTTTGCTCGAGAGATCTTCACAGATACTGGTGTCTATGCTTTACGCATGGATTCTGCTGCGCTCGAGGAAGCTTCAGAAGAGCAAATGGCGATGACGCTGGATCAAAGGGCTGTCATGCTTGCCACTGCCGTTAGCATTGACTTTGACTACTTTTCCAGACATAGTGGAGCCCTGGGCGGCGGAGGCTTCTTCCCCATTTGGTTCCCTGGTATGGGAGGTGGTGCTGCCGAGGGCGGTGCAGTGGCCACTGAAGTCGGAACTGCAGAAGGTGCCATGAGTGGAGCAACAAGAGGCGTTTCGGGCTCTGAGGGCGCTATTGGAGCTGCAGGTTCAATGGCAGGAGTTGAAGCCATGAATCGTGGCCGAGGCAACCAACCAGCGGATGACGCTAGTCCACAGGCTCCTGTTGAGCCATTCCAAAATGATGGCAGTGTTGGACAGTCGCAAGGAGATAGTTGGGGTGAGCAGAGTCCTTGGGCTCAGCAATCGCAACAGCCTCAGGATGATCCTTGGGGCAATCAAGGAGGTTCTGATGGCGGTGATGGAGGAGGTGATGGTTTTGACTTTGATGACTTCTTCTAGATCATCTCAGTCCTCTTTCATCTCGGTGTATATATTTTAGCATAGCGCAGCATATTCAGATACCCATTTCCTCTCTTGAACAAGCAAGTCACTTTGTCTCAAGATCTTCACTCTTTTCTTTGATACAACAGTCGAATCCTCCCTTTTCCACCATTTCATCACACCAAACCACAAAGAACGTACGCCACCAAGCCAGTGCAAAGAGCTCGCATATCCTCCAGGCTCCTCTCGACGAGGACACCGATGCAGACGACCCGCCGTTCGTATGCAACCAGCCAAACTCTCCTGTCCACAATGGGGAGTCAAGCGAATCAGCTGAAGACGACTAACCACCTACGCGCTGCCACACAAGATCAATGGGGCGCCGTGCCAACCAGATGGCCGATGATGACGGAGAGTCAAGCGAACTGGACACACGTAGCCGACCTTCCACGCCTCGCCAAACAGGAACAATGGGGTTATGTGCTACCCAGGCTCCCGATGGAAAAATGGCATCAACCCAAGATGCGCTCGTCATCGTAGAGTTCTCTGGCATCAAGATTACTCTAACGAAGATCAACAAGTACAAGGCTTCTGATCTCGCCATGGCTGCCGCGGACGTTGACACCCACCCGGATGGCCTCAGATTCGTATGCCCGGTGCGATCTTGTGCCACAGTATTCGGTGCAAACTGTACCTACGAGCAATCCACCAAACATACCGGATTGCACCAATCCGTCCTGTACTCGATGGGATGGCACGTTTGTCCTTTCGGATGCCGCTCTGGCTTCGCCGATCCGTTGCAGCAACGCCAGCATATCTCGTCTAACTGTTCCCCTATTCCCCATGATCCCCTTACCAGAACTGTACAAGGCCGGACCGCAGCGCTGCGGATACGATGATTGTGACCAGACGTACAATGAAGTTGTCTCGATGCGCCAGCACTTTGTCAAGAAGCACGGCCACGAGGCGTATCGCGATCCCGAGATCACCCACAAAGACCACACCTACAAGAAGGGCTTTTCAGATGGCCGCGACCTTTATCAACACATGACTTCAAGGGTTAGCCGCGATTGTATCCACCGAGTGTTAAGCGGGCTGAGTTCGCTCGTTCGTTAGCAGACACAGCAAAGGTTTCGATGCCCGTCTAACGGTATACGATTGGTTGGTTAATGACGATGACCAGATTCCATCGCTTGTAGCAGCCAAGGCAAGAGTATGTGAGATGGTTGGTGCTCATTTCATGGTCGTTGGGTTTCGCAGAGCAGTGGACCTGTATGGCTGACCAGAAATAAATGTACCATGAGATACCGTTACAGGCAGGTAGCTGTAGGAATACACAGTAATCTCAAGAAGTATGACATTGACCATCGAGATACGCTATATTAAGGACTCTCCCTGGACAAGTCCTGTAATCCGAGATCGTTGTGCATTCCTATAGCGGGAAATTCGCTCTATACCTCCATGAGATGAGTCTTTGATTCGCAAGATTTAGTACACAGGAAGGCCCATTTCCTTCCTTCTTCTATAGTAACAAGTTTACTCTACCCTAATATTTTCAATCTTTTCCTTTTCCTTGATGCAACAACTAAACCCTCCCTGCTCCACCATCTCATTACACCAAATCACAAAGTCCTTGGCTACCTCCTGCAACTGCACCTCCACCTTTTCCTTATCCTCCTCTGTGCTCGGAATTTTGAGATTCAAGTATTGCTCATGCAATTCTTGCATAGTCTTGGGGATATATCTTTCCCTCACTCTCTTCAGTTCCCCCGTCGCATCTTCTTCCTCTTCTTTTGCTTGTCTCGCACGCGAAGCTTTGACGTACTCGTCATTGAACTTTGCCGTCTTGCCTCTGCCGACAGAGAACAAGTACATCGTGGCAGGCAAGTCAGAGGGGATGGCGCGACGGCCATACATTTCTGCGATTATCAATTCTTCGGCTGTGTTTATGCCGTAGAGCTCGTCGTATTTCAGACCTGTGGTTGCTGAGTCGGTAATGCCGCGGTATTTGAGACGCTCGGCGGCAGTGAGGGGACGCGACATTGAGAGACGCGTGGACTCGTAAGTTACTGGACAATGACGGTGCGGAGGCATGATGGAGGGCTGTCAGGGAAGGAGATCCAGGGTAGGGTTGGACGGGGTGTGTGTGGTATGTAGAGGCTTGTGAGTGGGAATTAATCAGGTGAGATAACCTGGAGGTCAAAACCAGGATGATGCTCTTTTATATAGTGAGGTTTCCAAGAATTATCGCGACGCTCGTCAGGGAAGGATTTATCGGTTGACCAGCGGTGCTGCAAAACCATGGTACGTGGTGTCGATAGACCTAGATAACGCTCTACGGCCGTAGGGGTGCGAAATGCCAATCGCCCTATCGGGCAGGTCAACTGTGAAGGATGAGAGGTGCATGATACAGTCAAAGGTGTAAGTGTCCAGGAAAGGACCAGTGGCTTCGCACAAATGTACATAATGATATTTCTTGTAGACCGATTGAGCGAGAGATCGGTTGGAAAGTATACTCTCGTAGCGTTTGGCTCTTAGGCGTAAAGACTGTTAAGACAAGCCAGATGTTGAACTCCATGGACTCCCGCTGTATGCATAAAAAATTCTTGCTGCCCCACGAATGTATGATTATTTTGTTTGCGAGCATTTTCCACACGTTCATATTCAGTCGCTTGCACCTCACCACTTCTTGGCTTCCATGCTGTCAGGAGGATTCGTCTCGACCTTTCCCTTCTTGACCTCCTCCCAGTTGGTACTCAGAGCTGTGCCGTTGCTCTCACTGAACGACTTCATCATGGCACGGCGAGTGTCTGCATCAGCACCAGCGTAGAGTTTCTTGAAGAAGCCATTGACTGGATCGCCGCCTTCGTCGTCCTCTTCATCTTCAATCTTGGCTCCGGGCTTCGAGTTGTCGGTCTTGGGTTTGGCTAGAGCCTCGGAGGCAAGTTTGTCCCAATTCTTGGGACCGCTGCGAGAGGATGTGGGGTATGAAGGAGCTTTTTGTGAAGCTGAGGATGGTTGTGCAGGTGCTGAAGCGGTGGATGTGGTGGTAGTTGAACTTTGGTCGACAGGCTCGTTTGTCTCGAGAGCTGGCCACTTCTGACCGGGTTGTGACTTCTTGAGAACGACTTCGACTTTGGTGGACATGATGGAGAAGGATGAGGCTAAGGGGTCGATCTCGGCGAACAGAGGTTCCAGTGAGAAGTCGTAGTCGGAGGAAGTTTGCAGAGGAAAGGAGATAGTCAGGGAGCGTGGTTGAATGTCGATTGTAGCCTTGTCTTTGGGAACGCCCTTTGCGAGTAAAGTGAAGTAGACCTTGTCGTTGTTCTGGTACCAGTCGTGACGGATCTTGTCGGCAGGTGTTCGAGCAACGGCAGCAGGTTGTGCAGGCGTGGCAGCAGACGTCGATGTCAATGCCGCCTTTGTGGTCTGGATTGCGACTGGCGTCTCTTCCTCGTCTGGTATCTCCTCGATGGTCACTCCATTCTCGCCAGCCATAGCAGCCATCTTGGTTGCAACCTTGCTCTCCCATATAGGCAGAGTCTTCTCTTTCGGGTCCATACGTTTGACGATGTCCAGGCAGAAGCGAGCATCTGGGTAGCGTTCCAGACCAAACAGTGCTATGGCACGTCTGAGCTGAGCCTGAAGGATGAGCTCACGCTTGCCTCTCTTCTGTGCATTGATAACGGCTCTGTTGGCATCGGCGAGAGCGGATGTATAGTCAGCGGGAGTGCTCCTTTGGTACGCGGTAGATCGTTTGATGAGATAGTCGGGTGATGTGGGTGAGACTTCCAGGGCGGCTGTGTATTGTTTGATGGCTTCAGGATAGTTGGCTGCGCTGAGCGCTTCTGCTCCGAGCTTCGCTTGGTCCATGATTATGGTTGTTGTGTCGCTGGATTGAGGATAGAACGAAGAGATGGATGGAGTGTTTGTCAAACAGAGAGTCAAAAGGCACGCATGTGATTGTGACGAGCTTCTAGAATGCACCAGGCGCTTTCACCACACCGATGGAAAGTTCAGCCGAGCGTGGACAGTTTAAGCGAGTCGGACACTCGTGGTGAGAGTTTCATCTCTGCGCTTCACCTCCCTCCGTTGCTTCATCAAACCAAATTCTAAACTTCTTCATGTTCAATGCTCTGATTCGGACGCACCACATTACTTCGAGGAAGAAGGTGACCAAGCTAAAACAGGCTGCCGATGCGACACAGGTCTTTGCTCTGCTGAGAAGCGGAAGCTCACCAGGCATCATGTATGTCGAAGGTGCAGAGAGTGGTGTCAGACAGTGGGTTGATTCTGTCCATGTATGTGTCAGGAGTCCAAGCATAGTTTCGACAAGACCGCTGATTTGAATAAACAGAATCTTCGCTACAAGGACTATCAGCTAGTTGCTCGACCAGCGGCCGTTCAGCATGAGAACCAGCCTACCAAGGAATCGCAAATAAGACCTGGTCTGTATGAGACTGATACGGTGAGCGATTTTGGTAAACAATTGCAGGACCGCGGTGTATATGCTTGGTGGCGCAAAGCTATGGGCTATGCAAAGGAGTAGATGAATACGTTGATGTACGATCAGTGGTCAGATAGACTCTAGCTTGACATGGGTTTGATCTAGCGAGTCTATTGAAAAGATATAGACTCCTTTCTCCAAGCTGGATTATCATGGGTATGATTTCTCCGCAAGAACTCTGTGCATGTTTAGCTGCTGTTCTGCCCCTCATGTCAAGAATGCAAGCTACCCCACAGTGTTGATGTGCCAAGGCGGGCACACACCGCTTGGAGGGGTGACGAGGCAGGGGCGTGCTCCGCTGCTACTCGTACCTGTTGAAACGGAGCCTCAATCTATTCACGTCTGGCCTCAGCTTCCTCTAAACAAGTCTCCTGAACAACACCGCCCCTTCTTGAACTCGTCCACTCCGTCTCCTTCTTCCTCCTATCTCTCTCTCGCCGATACTCGAACCTCCATCTCCAACACCAACCACAGACACAATGACAGCAGTTCCTCCCGGCGGTACCTTCTTCGACACCTTGAAGCGTAGCTTCTCAGATGTCCCAATCGAGTCTGGCAAGATTGCCACCACAGAGTTCCTCGAGGCCTGTGAGGGTCTGACCACTCTTTTCGGTGTGTATCTGCAGTCTTCAGTACTGTCATGCTCTAACAAGGCCAGATGTCCTCGGTTCCGCTGCATTCAAGCCTGTCAAGTCGGACATGGCCGGCAACATCAAGGTACCCATTCCGCCCTCGACTCCTAAACCCAGCCTCTGACCAGTCTAGAAAATCCGTGACCGCCAGCTCGCTGCTCCCATCGACTCTGAGAACCTCCAAGATCTGGTCCGCAACGAGCTTAAGACCAAGAAGCACGTCGCAACCGAAGGTCTCGTCTGGTTGAACCGGTGCGTCGTCATCCGAGCAGCTCTACACAACCATACTGACCAAGTGACAGTGCTCTCGACTTTACCGCCCAGGCTCTTCGCCAGAACCTGACCAACAGCAACGAGGAAGTCAGCGTCTCGTTCCGCGCCGCCTACGGCAACACCCTCAGCAAGCACCACAGTTTCATGATCAAGCCCATCTTCAGTGCCGCGATGAGCGCAACTCCCTACCGCAAAGACTTCTACGCCAAGCTCGGCGACGACCAGCCCCGTGTTGAGAAAGAGCTCGGTGCTTGGTTGAGCAGCCTGGAGAACATTGTCAAGAACTTGAACGACTTCTTGGCTACTAAGGAGGCCAAGTGGTGATTTCTACAACAGAGCCCTGGAGGCCAAAGAAAAAATAATATGATATGACAACAACAGATCTGTTTCTCCTTCCAGAAATGACTGCATGGCTGTTGTGTGAAACTATACCGTTCCATTCAATCTTGCTGATATCGTGTTGAGATTACGTGATTTAGATATTCACCTTCACCTTCTAGATTACCTCCTTCTGACCGAGCTCTATTAGTCTTTATAAGTCGGCTGTTGCATCTTTGAGACTTGTCTTCCAAACAGACCAACTTGGGATCCTGGCCCTGGACCAGCCCCAGACAGTCAATGTCAACAAGTAGAGTGCGTCGCCTCAAGTTGCAAGCAGCTGCACAGCCGCAGAAGCAGTCCGAAGTCGCGCATTCGGTTCACGTCGATGGCTTCGCTCCGTAGACATTTCGTGTAGTCATAACAGTATAGATGGCTTCCGCTGCTGGGACGCAAGATTTTCACGACTATCAAAATGCGCGGAGTTGACGAGAGGACTAGTTGCGTCCGCTGAAAGCAGTATCCTCCGGGGACTTCTGTGGGAAAGTGTGGAACATACAAGGACTATGCATTCTGATAGTTGACAATAACGCACTACTGATAGGAGAGATGCTACTTTGTCTACCCGTTCTGTTCTCTGTGAAAACTTGAGGTACGCGAGAGAACATCATGCACCTCAATAACTGACCACGAGAGCGGACGGAGAAAAGGTCTTCATGTACCTGTGATGGTTTCGATCGTTGAGGTACCTATGCTTTCTCGTTTCGAGCCTTATCTCAGTATCAGTGTAGCTCTTGCCCTGTCGATCTCTGCTTATTTCCACGGTTGACGGCATGGGAGCTCTTCGTCCTTGGAAGGGCTCGTTCCGGGCAGAAACTGTCACCTCCACGATACAATGTGAGAGTCACGTTTGGCTGTCGCTATCTCCAGAGGCCAGCCCGGCTTCACCGTATAGTCGTGTAGCATACAATTGTGCATCCTCGGAGACGACATATCTTCTTCGAGGCCCAAGGTCCGATATCCTTGCTCCAGGCGCATGCGGGCGTTGATCGGCTGCACTCTCTGGCTCTATCACCGCCAATCGAGTCAACGATCGGTAAACTTCATAGCTATATCTTTTTCAGAGTGTTCTGCCGGGTTTCGACGCGCGTTTGCCGGGTCGACAACACGCTGAGCTCTACTCGTTTTGTCTTGCATCCAACGTGTGGATGGAAATACTGTTGATGTCTTGCGTCATTCATCAACAAAGGTGGCCTGATGAAGAAGCTCCTTAAGGTCGGCCATGCACTCGACAATTCTGTTAGAGTCATCCGCTTCTTCACTCAACGCATCTCTGAGTTGTCCAACCGCGTTTCTCATATCCTTGTCGACAGCTTCTCTGTTCAGCGCTTCCTTGATCGTAGCAACCGCTTCACCGTAGAGTTTCCAGAAAGCTTGCGTGTCTTGAACATATGTCGTTTGCTCCAGCGGCAAAGCCCAATCGCCTTGACGGTTCTCGACCAAGTCCAGCCAATCTGACATGAGCGGCTCACGATCTCCGAACAATCCAGGCAGATGAACGAGAAAATCGCCTTGCTTGCCTTCATAGGCGTGTGGTTCCACGAATCCAGTAAAGTTCCTTAGTACATCTGTTCTGCCATCTCTCATGTATCCAGGCAATTCATAGGCATTGAACATGCTTCTGGGCAAGTAGACGATTCCTCTCTTGAATCCATAACCATCAGGACCACCAGAGGACTTTTCGATGGTGCGGGCCATGGCGGCTTGATCGGCGTCATTTCCGAGTTCGACTTTGGGGTTGCAGAGGGGGAAGGCCATGCCGTCTACAAACATTGAGATTGTCCAGGGATGTACGCGGACGAAAAAGACACCGGTGTTTAGGCCCTGGATATCGCGTGCTGCGACGACGTTGATGTGGGAGAATTCGCGGGGTGGGAGGAAGATGTGGGCTGGGATGTTTGGGTTGAGGATGATGGAGTCTGCGTCCACCCACCTGTGTTGTTGTCAGTGTTGTGCTTCTTGTCAAGACGGGGGGGCAGTGGGGAGAGACGTACATCAACCATTCTGCTCTCCGAGACTCTGGTTTTGCGAGTTCCTGGGCGACTTGTTGAATCATGAAGGTTGGTTTGTTCCAGTATCCGCAGTACTCGTTTTGTCGCTTAATGTATGTGGGATAGCCCCATTGCTCTCCATGTCGAATGTGTGATTCTAGAGCCCTCTCGTAGAGTTTGTTGTCACCGTATAGCATGGATACTTTGGCGATGCGATAGGGTCTGGAGCCGTAGATGAAGGATGGTTGATGCCAGAGGACCCCGAGGAAACTGAATATGATGAGAATTGTTGATATCACGACAGCCAGTCTGTTGTTAAACCACTGTGATTTCATTAGTTTGGTGCATCTACCATGGCTGTCTTGGACGAATGTACCCCGATGGTCAAGAGAGGTTTCCGAGGCGACTGTGAAAACACATCGGAGCTCGTCGTCTCAAACGACCGCTTCGATTCTTCGATGTCAAGTGCACTATAGCGAGAATCACTCATAATGTATAAGGTGTGGAATGCAAAAATCGGGAAGCTCGGGAGAGCATGGCTCCAGCCAGAGGATAAGTATCATGCGCTTCGTATATTTCGCCTCTTCTCGACCTTTGGCCGTTTGTTATGACCCATACGACCGTTCTGTGCAGTCCGGGTTTTTGGCCGTTGGACGTGATTTCAAGAATGTATCCTCGGCTGCCGCGTGTCGATGTCGCTTACCTTTGTGTACTCCCCAATACGACTGCTTCTCTGTGAGCATCTGAAAAAAGACTGACATGTAAGACAACTCTGGCGAGACGTCTATCATTACAAAGATCGTGTTTTGCTCAAGATGCATACTTAGAAACATAGGGCCTTGTATAAGCCAGATGCCGAATTGGGCGACTGTCAACAACGGTCAAACATGCAAAAAACGACATCTTGTCTCTCGGCAAAGCCTATAACATTAGCCATTTCCCATATAGAACGTAAGCTTTCGTATCTTTGCAACAACGATAGTCTCCGATTCTCAGATGACCATGTGAAGGATGTCAAGATCGTGGTTATTTTGTATAGTGTGAGGTCTGGCAGGAGGCAAACGCCAAGCCAATTCAAGGCGGTGATTGTTCTGCCGAACACCTCCTCTCCTTCGCGTCAGATCATCAACGTAGTCATGTCGTGACTTGTCTCCGACAGCATACAAGCACTTTGGCGCAGGACCCTCAGAAAGGCACGTCTGTCTTTGTGCTCCATACAATCCGGGCTTAGACAGCAAGATATGTTTTTTGTTCACACCAGTGATTAACTAGAAGCGGTCGAGACGCAGAATACTTTCCCGCAGACCACAATTACTCACGGTATTCTTCGATCACTTAGGCGACTTCGACGGACGGCACCGGGTCCCACGTCGACTCTTTACATCCCGGTGTTTCTACAACTTGACTACAGTCAAAAAGAAGCCGCTACGGACTGCTTCCTCAGACGGGACTATGTACAAATGAGCAATCGACGTGTACCGGATGCGCGACGTACGCGTGACATTTCTTTACGGCCACCGGACGTCAATGGCTAGTGTCGCCGAACTCACGGACGTTGGTAAAGGCAAACTCGCCAATCTGAGAGACCAAGAGCCACTCATCTGAGGAGTAAGCGAGAGTAAGTAGAACAAGTTCTTCATGGAATAGTCTGCTTTTATTCTCAGACTGAGTAAGCAAGAGTGAGTATGACAAGTTCTCCATCAAACAGTCTGCTTTTGTTCTCACACTGTACTACATACCAATTCTCCGCATTTTTGTGGAACTTAAAAGTCCGAAATGGGATTGCTACACCTTCGTCCTGTCTTTCTCATACATCCACATCTTTGAGGATTCAAGTGACACCTCTGAGCTTGCCTATAGAGCTTTGCTCAGTCAGCTCGCTTCCAGGCTCACTGGAAAGTGATCGCAACCGAGAAGTAGAACTCGGGTCGACAACGCGAGTCATCTTCCGTTCTACTCCACTGCGTTACGTCTTGTGATTCATTCCGCGCAGACAGCGGTCAGGGCCCCGGAGGTTCAACCAGCGGCTTCTTCGGAGAAGAGCTATACAAACGAGCTACGATACGTACCGGATGGGCGATCTATGCGCGGCGTCTGCCCACGGAGTTTGGACAATCCGCCATGACCATGGGTCTGGTATCCAGATCTCCCGGAGAAGAACTGAGCAGCCTGTCTCTGGAAGAAGAGACCGTTGGCGAAAGCGAATCTTCTGAGCTGGGAGGCCAAGAAGTATTCATCGGATCAAGCAGCGAGAAGCGAGAAGGACGAATTTTCAGTCAGTCAGTCGCCAACTGTTTCTAGGCTGCTGTTTCTGGGGAGTTCATCAGACTCAGTTGGACCTCGTCCCATGAGAGTCTTTGAAGGGGCCACTGGCCCACTGGATCTACACAACTCCTGCCGCTGATGGAGTTCTCTGTAAACTCTACGCAACCCAGCTTCCCTGTAGGCTTCCCTTCTCTTGGCTTCTCTGACGTTGTTCCTCAGCTCCTTCCACCTCCATCTCAAATCCCTGATGAACGCATCAGTCCACACAGCCGAGTTCGCCTCTTCATTACCTCTCCAGTCCTTAGCTACTCTCTCCAGCATCTTCTCCGCATCTTCGGACGCCACGCGTGTTCTCGCATCAACAGAAAGCCTGCATCTACACTCCACATCCACATCCGGCGCAGTCTCAGCCTCAAAGATGATCCAAAAGGTAGTTTTCAAGGATGGCCACCTTAGCATCACCCTCATTGTTCTCGCCAGCATCTGTCTCCCAGCCTCAGATCCGCGGAACACATTCCATCCCGTGTGGAAAGCAAATCTTGAATCACTGCCGGTGACTGCGTCTTGGAACCTAGCTTCTCCAGACACGGAAATGTGGAAGCCGAGCTCGAAGTATACCGTTTTGTTCTTGATTTCCACAGTAAGTTGTGCTTTGTTGCCGAGAAGGCGGGTGATGGTGTCGCCAAAGTCGGCGGAGATTTGCTTGGATACGTGCGCAAGAGGATGGAATAGTCTCTGTTCCTTTCGATCGGTGAGGAGGTGTGAGTAGATCATGTAGCGTAATTCCGGCGGTAGGTTTTCCAGCCGAGAGCAAGGTGTTGTATTGCGGGATCCGAGTGACATGGTCGTCTTTCTTCTTCGATGGCCAGAGTTGAAGGGATGGAGTGACACCAGTGACGCATGTGGTCTTGTCATATTGCAAGAGTGCTTCTGTTGCACAGCCGCGAATGTGCTTGTGGTCGTTGAAGACGGTGATGCTATTGTAAGTGCAATCTCTCAGGCTTCAGTCGACGACGAGGTCTTGAACCAGGATTAAGGAGGAGGCTCTGTAGGATATATAGACGGAGGTCATCAAGTTAGTCATTCCTTTCGCGCAAAAGAAAAGATTTCTTCTACAAGTCAGTCACACGGTCAGCCACCTGTGAAACTTGCTCATACCGGATCACCCAGCCAGTCGCTAGAAAATACTAATAACATCCACGTGATTGACTGATAGCGTACATCGTACTGATTAAATTCACACATGCTAGCATGGAACGGACATGGTTATAGTATAGAAGCCACAAACTGTAATCTCAACCACTACCTCTACCTCATATATTCGTAAACTTCAGACTTTTTCCTCCTCTATCATTAAACATCACTAACACCAGCAAAACTTATATTCAACACTCATAGGCACAAAAGAGACTCTCAGATAGCTGTCCACTCGAGAGCAAGCGGCTACCGAAGCTTAGGCACAGTGAACAACTCCGTCAGCATGGGTATGGCATTCCTAGAACGGGAGTCATTAGCAATAGACCCAAGTTCGTGAACGGTTAAAAAATTAACTTACAGTGCCAGCACTTGTGGTCTTGGTAGCCGTCTCAGCGGGAGCAAGATCTGCGCAGTGGACCTCGCCGCCAGCGTGGGTGTGGCATTCCTTTAGATAGAAGATCAATATCTCGTTTGATAGGTTTGTGGTAGGAATGGGTGATAACTTACAGTAGCAGCGCTCGAAGTCTTGGACGCGGTCTGTGAAGCAGCTTGAGCAGCCGTGCTACTAGCAGTAGCAGAACTTGCCGACGAGGCAACAGATAAGGCAGCTGAAGAAGCAGAAGCAGATGACGACGATGCAGAAGCAACAGCAGAGCTTGCGGCAGACGAGGCAGGAGCAGCATGAGAATCAGCCTGCTCCTCAGCAGGAGTCCCCGTGCATCCCTCACCGGGCAGCGCAACCTCCATAGCGTAAACATCAAGAGCAAAGTATTGCAAACTGTGCGTGTTGCGAACTGCCTCTGCGGAGTTGTTCTGCGCCAACTCCAAGCACTCGGAGTAAGTATCTGCGTAGTGCTCGGCGGCACCTTCACCGATCTTTGTAGTATGGTACAGACGGTGCATCAAGTCCGCGGCGAAGTATGTTGCGAGCTTGTTGTTGGCGATGGTATAGCCATTGCTGCACATGGCCTCCAAGGGTTTGCGCGTTGTGTAAGAAAGAGGACAGATGACTGTTTCATCAGTGGCATTCTCACCGCGCCAGTGGCCACCCCAACCTACAGGAAAGTAAATGTCAGTGTTGTTGCACGCATAAAAGGGTAAAAAGAGGAAAATGTACCTTCTTGGTGGCAGTTTCCATCGATGTCATCACAACGGAAAAGGACACCCTCATGGTCCCCGTAAATAAGCTTCTCATACCATCCAATTACTTCAGCAGTAGGTGCTTGACCAAAATACTTGCTGTAAATCTCGGATTGGTTGCCGTGGGTGTAGACGTGTTGGGCAGCTTGTTGAGCAATCTTGATGGTGTCACCAAGAGCCTTTTCGAGCTGAATTCTCTCGGTGTTGTTGCACGAGGGATGGATTGGGAAGCCTTGGATCTCGACGGCTGGCTGGGGGTAGGTAGTCGCTGTGGCACCAGAGACGGTGACGGTAGTGACTTCTCTGTTCTTGATGACTGGAGAAGCAGCAGCGGTGGCAGCAAGTGCTGCACTGAGAAGGAATTGGGTACGCATGTTGCGGAGAAGAGATAAGAAGAAGGAAGCGTTAGAAGCGTTAGGGGAGAGGACGCTGAACTGCTTTGAATGCTTGGTGCTTTTCTTTCAACGTATTTGCATTGACTTGCCTCCTTATATACTTACATCTTCTTGCGAGCATCGGCTACAGCAAACCACTGATGAAGATTCTGCATACCTACCACATCAGTTCTGGGATACTTTACCCGAATCCCAAGTGCCCAGAAACACCCGAGTGGTCAATATTGCGGGTCAGTTCAGGGAAGAAAGATGGTCTTTTCCGTCGTTGGTAGAGAAATGTCTCGATCGAGCTGTACCATTACATTGTGGCTTCACGAAGATTCGAGAGATGCCTGCACGCCAAGTACACAGGTACGACAGACGATAGAAGCGGTGTCGGTGGAGTCTCCACCCCGGTCGAGGTCGCTAGAAAATATGCCTTGGCACTGGCCATCAAGGTAGCCAAGCAATACTTTGCTTCTCAACGAGGCAGTGTAAGTATGGTTTCGTAGCAATTTCATTGCTCAGTCCGCTCGGGATGGCGTTCCCAAGGCTCTTGGTATGCTTTGTAGGTCTTGGTTGCCTCCAAAGTCGGCAAGAAGTCCTGGTTATCGCACCTCTCTGCCAAGTTTGTGAGGACTAGTGGAGCATTGTCTTGCCTGCAGAGAGCGAAAATTCAGCCGTACGGTGAATGAGTGTCCATGAGGATGCGCTGAATATAAAGAAGCATAGTTCATCGCGCGAAGATAGCGTCCTGTCAGCAATCCTGCAAGACTTACACATTGGTTCAAGATGCGTGCTTCTCTGTTTCTGCTCCCAGTCGGAGCTGCTTTCGTGCAAGCGCAGTCATTGAGCACGGTTTCTCTCACAGCATGCGCCACTCAGAGTGGTGTAGTGTAAGTACTCCAGGTCCATGTCCTCGACATTAGCTGATCACACATCAGGAACTGCTTACGAGACGGCACCACGGTTCCTTTCAGAACTCTGACCCCGACAGAAACGGTGACAGCAGCGCCATCAACAACAGTGGCCCCCAGTACTACTCAAGCAGCCTCGTTGACGGCTCCCACCGCCATCACTGGGTGCCACATGCATGATGAGGCTCAGTTCTGTTTTGCAGGAGGCGCGGAGTACGAAGTCTTGACGACTGCGACGGCCACTGGAGAGCTCCCATCAGAGTACACTGGTTGCCATGCTCACGGAGCTGACTTGTATGTATTACCGAATATCCTCTTGCTCGCCGCTATTTGACAATTGTAGATTCTGTTTCGATCCCAAAGGCGAAGAGGTCGAAGTTGTTGCGGAGGGTGCTTCCCACGACGATGCGCATTCGAGCGGCGCGATTTCTCCAATTGTGACCTCAGCCGCAGCTACCAGTGCTGCCGAGACTCCCAAGGTCACAGCCCTCAGTGGTTGCCACATGCACGGAGAAAGTGGTTACTTCTGCATGGGTCCTTCAGCCACAGAATATCTCATGAAGATCCCCGCGACGGCAACAGGAGAACTGCCATCTCAATACACAGGTTGTCATGCGCATGGAGTCCAACTGTAAGCCAAGTCCAGCACCATGTAGAACCATGTCTGACAACAACAGCTTTTGTATGTCTCCTGCGGGCGGTGAAGTTCTTGCACAAGCACAAACGGCGGATGGAGAAGAGCCTGCTGGTGGAGTCTCGGCCGATGGAGTCAGCTGTCATTTCCACGCGGGTGTTGAGTAAGTTCCATACAAATTCTGCTGATGTCTCCGAACTGAAATCGATCAGGCATTGCGTTGACGCCAACGGGAACACAGTCGAGGGCACGTGTGAAGCCGTTGATAGGGACTACAACATTCCCTTGCGAATTGGTCTTGTGTTCGCCATTCTCGCCACGGCATCGATTGGAGTGTTCGGGCCGATATTCCTCTCGCTCGGCAGATACAAGAATGGTAGTATTGTCATGTCCGTGGTCAAGCAATTCGGTACCGGTGTCATCATCTCGACTGCACTTGTGCATGTAAGTTATCAAGTTGCGCACGATCAACTCGGATTCTGACAAGTTGCAGCTCTTCACACACGCTGAACTCATGTTCGCCAACCACTGCTTGGGTGGACTTAAGTATGAAGCCACAACTGCGGCAATTGTTATGGCTGGTATTGTCATATCTTTCGTTCCTGAGTACGTTGGAGCCAGAATCTTCCTTTGGCGACTGTCGAAACATAGCGTTCCTGCATCATCGACACCCGAGCAAAGTCATGACTCAAAGGGAGCCGAGACCAATGCAGCGTCTGTTGGCCATCATCTCATCCATTCTGGAGATGCTCAGGAGCAGTCACCTGCTCTCCAAAAGCTCAAGGTCAACATTATGGAAGCAGGAATTATCTTCCACTCCCTGTGTAAGTTGTCTTCGGTCCACGCCCACAATCAGTTGCTGACGAAAGGTAGTGATTGGTCTTACACTTGTGGTCGCTGGTGACTCTGGGTTCATCACTCTCTTTATCGTGATCGTTTTCCATCAGATGTTTGAAGGCCTCGCACTTGGATCCCGTATCAGTGATCTCCAAATCAGAATGGTGGAGAAAGTTATCATGGCGGGAGCGTTCGCTGTTGTGACACCAGTCGGCATGGCGATTGGGATTGGGGTGCTGAACCAGTTCAATGGCAATGATCCATCGACCATCATCGCGATTGGTACACTGGATGCATTGAGCGCTGGTATCCTACTCTATGTAGGATTGGTGGAGATGCTGGCACATGATTGGATGCATGGAGAATTGAGCAGAGCGCCGATCAGACATGTGGTTCCAGCGGCGGTTAGTCTGGTTGCCGGATTGGTGCTGATGAGTGTGCTTGGAAAATGGGCGTAAGGTACGAGTAATCAAGCAAAGGTTTGAGGGTCGGAATGCTATACGGATTATGACATGGAGGTTGATAGACGACGAGAGCAGGAGGATGATGTCTCGTTATGGAAATTGTTCAGTAGAGTAGCAATGTCGACGCGAGGTTTTACATATGTGCTCTGATGATGCTTGTGTAGAGATAGATGAGGTTGTGTGCGTGCCTGATTGAATGCTTGAGTCGTCGTGGCAGGCGCGTCGGAAGTCGCGTCAACTTGTGCCGAAACGACGTCAAGATGGCAGAATTGCGACAACGACGACCATCACCAACTCATGGCATGGACGGCGACCATGGCCCGTTCGACGTGCCCGACTTCTGGCGTGCATCGGCCTCGAGTCTGTCTGACACGCCAGGTCAGACCTTGTTCACCGACACGCGTTTTGGTGAGTTGGACGCGCTGCCTGCGAGACCAATTAATACTCATCGAGCCACAGAATTGCCCTTGATAGACGACCACTTTGATGCTGCCCTGCAGCTTCCAGACATTCATGACTTCCAATTTGGCAAACTCGACAAGCTCGACACGCTAGATGAGCCTGCTCCCAAGCCCACCGACACCGACACGAGTCCTGTTGTCACCAGCGAACTGGACGATTTGTGGAAGCTCGACCTCGCTACACCCAACAAGCAACCTTCCCTACGCACATGGGAAGCCTTTGCCCATGAATGCTGCACTGAGTCGCCCATCTCGTACATCTCCGACGCTGCTTCCTGTGCTTTCGATGCTCTCCAGCCCGACGACACCAATGTCTTGCAATCCGCCTTTGCCCTGAAATGTCTGGCTCTCCTAGGTCAGGGAAGATCCTCTGCCTTGTACCAATGGAAGGAAAAAGAAAACACATTCGTGCCCACTCTCGACAATGTGACTTTATCAGGGTTGAGCAGCACTGCTTTTGACAGCCTGGTCCACCGACTGATGGCTACTGGCTGTGCTTTCGTCCATCTCAGACACTTTGTCCACACTTCGTATGCCAATAAACATCCCTTGGCTGCCCGTGTTGCTCTTGCAACCACGATACAAGCTATGCTCGAAGCCATGGAACAAAATCTGTCTGAGCGCCTTTTGACTGCCACATCTTTTCTGCGACTGCTAGCTTGCTTCCAAGTACCCGCTACTTTGCTGTTCGAATTGAGAGACATTGTTGCCGCCACCGCTCATGAGACTACCGATACGGCTTTCTTGTCTGTTTGTCATGAGACTATCGATCGATTCGCCCATGCTTGTTCTCCTTTCCGATCCCTCTACACTGAGGTACTGAATCAAGTCTCTCAGCCGTGGTCTCGAGTCATATGTCAGAAGACTGGTCTTACACATCACGGCTTTGCTCTGCCTTCCCAAGATGATATCCTGGAGCGTAGTGCACATATTTTGGTTGAGGATCGTGATTTGATCACAGAAATCATGACTGGAATCGCCCTGCTGAGAGACTCCACATCAGATCATCCTTTTCTATCTCCTGCTTCGTGGGGAGTTGAAAGTTTGAACCTGGACTCCGCGTCTACAAGTATGAGCATCGACCGGGTCGTTGAAAAGGCGAATAAGTATCAGCGGGATCTACTTGTCGCCATAGCCATGTATAGTAGTGGTGCGCCAAAGCCGCGTGATCCCGAGGTCAGGTCGCAGCCATATCATCTCACATCAGAGCAATTACCATGGAGTCTCGATCAAGGTCAACAGACTTATTTCGAGGACGTTGGAAGTCAATTCTTGGAACCTCCTGCAAAGCCGACCGATACATCTCACATTCGACTTCTGGTCACGAGCATCCTTGAAGCTGACGAAACTCGAGAAATGTCATACCTCGACCTACGGCATACCACGAAGACCACACTACATCATCTTCGACCCTACCTCCACGTACAGAATCGACTATTGAATGGCACACTTTTACGCCTGCTCTTCCGCCAATTCTCTCTTCGTGACAATCTCACCCTGAATCACTCTTTTCACCTCCTAGGCAACGGTCTCTTCGTCCAACATCTCACACGAGCATTATTCACGTCCGATTCCGAAGGTAGCGGATTACGTCTGGATAATCGCTCCAAGCAATGGCCACCCTTATCTTCAGAACTGCGACTCGGTTTGATGGGCGTGCTATCTGAGTCTTATGGGTCTAAAGACATACCAGGCAGTCTCTCGTTCGCTATCCGTGAACTCTGTGACAAAGAGATCGAAAAGTGCATGGATGTTAACAGTATCCATGCTCTTGACTTTCTGCGCCTGCGATATGAGGCTGCGACACCTCTTGATGCGGTTTTGTCAGACACCGCAATGGCAAAGTACGACGATTGCTTTCGTGCTTTGCTGGGAGTGCTTAGGATGTTACATTTTGTCACTCTCCTTCGCAATACTGCTCAACAGGAGGATAGTTCATCTGCATCACAAGCTTTTGCCCACAATGCCTGGAGTTGTGTTTCTGGACTTTCATCCTATCTCCTCGACATTGGCGTTGCTGGTCCATGGAAGCGATTCCAATGTCTTCTTGACAGTGTGGAAGCAGATCTTGCTCTCGAAGACGAGCAGGGAACGTTTGGCCAACGAGTCACATTCGGCATCTCTCACCTGCGAGACGAGCACAACAAAATGCTGGACACCATTCGCTCACGCTTGTTCCTTCGTTCTCGCCACAGCAAGCTACGCAACCTCATCGATGAAATATTCAGCCACATTCTCAGTAGTGTTCAGATCGATGTTCCTGACGAAGATGTGCTCTGGCAACAGAGGACCGAGTTGCGAGCATTGGTCAAGCAGTTACAAAGCACTCTGCAAGAGCTCACAAGGAAAGTCGGCAAGAAAAACGAGTTGGGACCACAGGACAGGGATGATGTGTTTGCAGCCGAGGTCTTGAGCTTCAGACTCGGTGGTGAATGACTACTCTGCCTATCATGGGAGCCGGCAAGGATAAACCTGAACACTGACAAGGTGAAGCTCTACAGCAAGCGATCAAAGCATGATTAGGTACAGAGAAGAGGCTGAACATGGCGTTGAAGAGTGTTACGGGGTTCATAAAACAAACGGTCGAAAAAGGTCCATTACGCGCGACCTAAGGGGGAAGAGTTCCCAGTGGTGTGTCGTGTTATTCTCGAAATACCAATGATACATCAATTTTCATACAACTGAGTTTTGTTCTGGGCGTGGATTCTGCTTTGGTTTCCGCTTTCCGCCCCCCTCACACTTGTGCCAAATGGATATGAAGACGAGTAGAGGTCTTTGGAAAATGGGGTTGTTATGATAATGATGATAGCACTAAGTTTTTTTGCAAACTTGGGCAGCTCAAAAGCTAGCTTTGTAAGAGGAAGTGGGGGGGGGGGGTATATTCCAAAAGAGAAAAAAAAAAAGAAAAACCCCATCACATGATGTGTTTTCCAAGAAACATGAGAAAAAAGGGCAAGTAAGAGATGAAACGATGCTCAGTGTGGAAAATCCTCAACCCGAGAAAAGGACGCCCTGACTCCTTTAGACATTAGCGCAAAGAACAACAACAATGCCAGCATAGGGCATATTCTGGTGACCAAAAGGGGGGAAATCTTTCCAACTTGTCATCCGAGCGACAAGTACAGAGTTTCAGTCAGGCATGGAGAATGCTGGCAAACTTTTTTCATCGCCACAGATCTTGTCGACTGCCAGCACGCTTGTGGCCACCACCTTCGGCACCGGGAATCTTCGGCGGAGGCTTGAGCCAACTGCCACGGCTTCCGATACCACCAGCGCTGCTGCCAACACTAGTGCCCATGGTAGCAAGAGCGGCGAGCGCACCGCCTCCATGTCCAGGACTGCTACTGCCCCAGCTACGAGACTCGTGGCCGGCTGATGATCGTGGTCGTGATTCTTCTTGCGGCAGTGCTAGGAAGCCGCCATAGCCGTTTCCAACAATGACGCTCTTGCGCGCATCGCCACCGAATCCACCTTGTGCCCATTGAGGACCAAGACCACGAGCAGCACCATATGCGCTTTGCGGGCGTCCAGTACTTCCTGATCCGTTACGACCATGCGACGGAGGAGGTGGTTGGTAGGCTGTGAAGGCCCATTCGACCTCGTCCAGACCCTTGGAAAAAACTTCAAGGGGCTGATGTAAGCCACGAGGAGGGTTCATGGCTCCAACGACACTTTGGCGTTGATTGCCGCCGCCGTCCATGAAAGGCGTGGGAGGTGCAGGTAGGAGCATGATCTCAGCAAAGTCGGGATCGCGGACATAGAGCTGCGAAAGAGCTGGCAGACCATTGGCATGTAGTGACTGAGCTAGATATGCATAGTATGAAGCAGCGGGTTTTTGTAGGCCATGGGCATCTTCTGAGTCGGTAAGTTCGAAGTGGAGAATTTTGAGCGAGATGGACTCGAGAGGTGGCAGGTCGTTGAGTGAGAGCGCGAGAGAATTGGAGACGGTTTCGATGATTGATAGGGAGTGCAGAGAGGAAGCGTCGAACAGGAATTGGTGTAGATGGACGGGGTCGATACCGGTGCCGTTCAGCGAGAGATCGTAGAGCGTGTTGCGGTTGAGGGGTTTCTCGAAGTAGATGCCCATGCCCTCGGCGGTGATTCTGGGTGTGTTTTCCAAGGCCAGCGTGTGTAGAGCGGGGAAGTCTGGAAGCATGGGGGATTGGTAGAAGATGGTGTCGTCCAGCCACGGGAGGTCGGTCATGGTGAGTTCGCGCAGAGCCGGTAGGGAGCCGAGGACAATACGCAGAGTGCTGGGCTCAACGTGAATGCCTGAGATCTCGATGATTTCCAGCGATTGCCAGTTGCGACGAGCGAGTTGTTCGAACGAGCCTTCTGAGCCTTGCCTGTAGCTCATTTTGCGGACATCTGGACAGCGTGCTTGTAGCTCGTGGACCAGCGGCATGCAGTTGGGATCGCCATTGAAAGCGCCGTCTGGCAGATCGACGTACTTCAAGTTGGGTAGAACTGATATGGTACGGGCAAGGTCGGCCTTTGCTGTTTCTCGTGTCATGTAGGGTAGCTTGAGCATGGTCACGCCATGTCCCAGGTTGGGGTTTTCTCGGACGGTGCGGCTGAAGAGAGCCAGTCTGATGGTGGGAACGTCGCCAGACTCGATGGGAGCTTTCAGGAATGTCTTTTTCTGTCTTTTCTCGGCGAGTATCTCCTCGAGCTCGCAGTAGTGGACGGCATCGATACGAACGCTACTGTACCTAGGCAGGGGTCAGCTCTGGCATGTGCTGCTGCAAAGACGACTTACAAGACAGTGGCAGCGGCGTTATACCAGCGGCGACAGACTTGGCCTGCCTTGGCCAAATCTCTCAAGTCACACAGCATACACCCCTCGCCGACGGTTGACCTTTCACTAGGCTCGTATGTCGTGTCCTGGGTATGCGGCGCGACCTGCACCATGATCTTTGTAAGAATGTCATTGGGGAGCTTGGCAGCAAAGTCACGTCCGGGGCGGATAGCAAGGGGAGAAGATCGCTTTGGACTGTTGTTGCTGCTTTCGTGCTTGTTGTGAGATTTGGCACGGAGATGCTTGAAGAAGCCCATGTCTGCGGCTCTTTCTGTTGGCGCAGCCTGGAGTTGATTGAGGTTCAGGAGGGAGCGCGTCTTTCAAAAAGCCATCTTCCTCAGATACACAAGCACAGTCACGGGCCACGCAGACATGGCCGTAAATGCCGATAGACGCGCGAGCCCCTGAATCCACCTGCTAGACATTCCTCAGCTGCCTCGTAACAATTCCCCGCACCGCGCCTACCCTGTTCCTGTCCGCCCGGTGCCACCCTGAGACGCCGCACGGACTCGAAACCTTGACACATCAACTCTCCGACACGTTTCACCATCTGAAACATGACAAACAAGACTGTAGGGCCGCTCTATTTCATGGCATCGCGACTCGTGCCACCATTCTCTCTACCGCGTTACTACTCAGGTCGCTTGCCTCCATTGCGTAGTACCCTTGCCGCCGCAATTCCCTGCTCCTCTGACACGCTGCTTGCTCCTTCGCCGCCTGACCCTGATCCTGATTCAACAACGTCCTCATCGTCATCATCTTCGTCAGATCCCTTCTGCTTGGGAGTCTTGCCATTACCTTCGCTGTCACGGTTCGAATTGCTTTGTGAACGGTGATAGCTGCCGTCCCTCTCGTCTGCCTCAACCGTAGCACCATGATCCTCGTCACTGTCATCGTCGTCATCGTCATCGCCTTCAAGCGTATGAGGTATCTCTGACTTTCTGCGACGTTCAAAGTCTTGAGCGTGTGATGCACGTAACAATGTGCCAACTCTGGTGATTGCTCTTACCAGTGGCGATGCTTCGTGAGACCCCCCTTTTCTGCGTTGGCGGATCGAGCCTGATGACAGATCAGTGTTGGACCCCTTACGTGCTGGGTCCACTCCAGTCGCTGTCGAAGGCGTAAGTGTAATGTCGGGAGGTCGTTGTGCTTCGACGTCGTCTGAGTGTCTGCCTTCCACCTCTTCTGTTGGTTCTGCTTCTGATTTTGTTGTGCTAATCTCGTACGGAAGAGGCACATCTCGTGATGCGCGATAACGGCTGACGCTGCGAACGTGTTAGCATACAATTCGTCGTCTCCATCTTCTCGCGCAACATACTTTGTGCAATGTTCATTCTCCACTCTGAACAGCTGCCATACACCTCTTCGGACGACCTCGGATAAGGCTACCAGGAATGCGACTTTTGTCGAGTGCTGGACATTATGCCCGTATATAGCGTAGAATATCCAGTTGAAGCGGAGTATGGGATCAATAAAGATCGCACCGTAGTACCACCAAGCATATTTGAAGCCGAGTGTGTTCCGCAAGAACGGATGCTTTGCGTACGGGTCCATCAAACTCCAGTCCATGACAATATCCCAGACGCTGCAGTAGACGCCATTGATGGTTGCCCAAAAGATGAACAGTATCCGTAACTCTTGGCTCTTGTTGTGGCGCCACAGACTCAAGCTCATGTAGTAGAGGATGGTGCACATGTATTTTCCAAAGTTAGCCATGTGAGGGAAGAGACTCCTCGTATCGGCATATCTGCGAAGACATTGAAGAGCACGCCAGATACCGGGCAGAGCGGTGAAGAATCCAAGGAGCCTAGAATGCGAAGAATTACACTGCGTAGGGTTGTTCCAATCCTTGGCGTAGAGGCAGAAGAACAGCTCAATATTCTTGCTGGAAGTTAGCTTCTGGTCATGTCTTGTTGCTTTGTTGCTCGAAAGTAACTTACACCAAGAGCATATGTCAATGAGCAAAACATATCGCCCAGAAAGAAGTCTCTGAACTCAACAGGAAAGAAGCCAGCAAGCAATAGACGCCACTGAATGTATCAGCCAAAGCAACCAAACTCTAAGAGATGCGACCTACGTTCGAATAGGCGAACCATAGACGACTGCGGTGGTAGAAGATAGGGAAAGGATTGAAAAGAATGACACCCGAGACACAGACGAGAGCCACTGGCCACCAGGTGTAGAAATTGTCGTCAGTAAAGCGGTTGAAGTTGAGCCACATGATCAGTCCGAGAAAGAAGCCAAGTGAAGCGGGTATCTGTGAAGCGGTCAGCAGAGTCTACATATGATATTAGAAGGACGTACTTCTGCAAGTTGGCGCCAGTCCACATGATGTCTTGTATCGAATTCGAAGATGAACGAGTAATTGACTTTGGACCTGGACCATACTCTGCAGGCACCACAGAAGAGCAGTGCGAGAAACCACATCAGGAAGTAACCGCCATAGATCTGTATGTCATATCAGCAACAAGTCGAGTAGATGATGATATAGTCTACCACACACCTGTAGCAGGAAAGCTGTGTGAGAAGCGATGGCAGGATCTGAACTCCACAGTAGCTCAGTCCCATAGACGAGACCTTCAATACCAAAGACGGTGCCCGTAGCCAGAAGCACTCCGTTGCGGAACACACTGCCAGTGTAGTCACCCGTTCTTGCGACTTTGGCACGCAGCTTGCCAACTGCGATCTTGTGATTACCACGTTCGAAGTAGCGAGCATACATGTCTTCTACAGCTTGGATGTGGCCGTCCACGATCGAGCTGGTGACGAAGTAGGCATCGTTGACCTTCTCGGCCATGTATCGACCTGACGGCCGGGCGTTGACAGTCTTGTCGAATTTCTTGTTGATCTTGCGGAAGGCTGTCCTGTTCAGCAAGGCGTATGACTTGAGCAACTCCAAGCCTCTGTAGTATTCTGCCAGAGCGATCTTCAGCTTGCGCTTAGCAGTTCTATAAGGAACCTCCGGATGGCCGCTTTTGCGAGTATAGTCTCTGCTGTCGTCCATTGCACGAGGTCCACTAGGCGTGCCCAACTGCCGCATTGCTTCGAAAGTCTTTCCTGACTGTGGGATCCTCTTTCGACCAGGGATACCGTTGATAGCCTTGGCCCAGCCGTTCTTCATGTGGCCATTCTTTGCGATGAGTTCTGACTCCTCTCCCGCAGGAGTACTGTTTCTGGAGAGGGGGCCGTTAGACAGGAGATCGGTGTTGTGCGTTGGGCGCTTAGTCCGAGAGGTTGCGTAGAGGATTTCCTCCATACGCTGATCGCGCATGACGTGAAGCTGCTCTCGCAGGACCTTGAGTCTTTCTGTGGCTTCGTCTTCCTTCGACTTGTAAAAGTCCTCGATCTTGCCCATCTCTTTGTCCAGGAATAGAAAGAACTGACTCTGACGGACATCGATTTCCCGGTATGCTTCGAGCGCAATATCGTCCGAGGAAGGGTCGCTGCCACGGAGGCCGCTGAACATTCTCCTTGTGGGCGGTCGGGTAGGTTGAGCATCGTCAACGCCGGGCATGGAATTGACTCGCTTCGGCTGAAAGACACTCCTGTACCTAGAGGGAAGAGCGAAGCTGGGATGTTTCGGTGTGGTTTCACCGACTTGATATGCGCTACCGGAAGACTCTTGACGCATGGCGCTGCGACGAGCTGGCGTGCCCAAAGCAGGACCGGGCAGTCTCAATGACCTGCCGGAGTCTTCGCTCGCGCGTGGAGCCTTGGTAGGAGTCGCGATATTCGGCGGAGAGCCAATGATACTCCCATAGCGTGTCATGTGTCTCCCGTCGCCGTGGATCTGGAGAGGCGTGCTTTCTGCGTCTTCTGCGCCTGGGATAGGCACCGCAGCGCTCGTTGATTCATGTTGGTCGTCCTCTGAGGCACGGGGTACCGCGCCCAGGTCTCCACTGCTGGCTCTTCTTCCAGTGTGCTTAGTCGCGGTTCGGTTCAGGAAGGCGTAGAAGGGGGCTTTTCCAAAAGTCGCGAGCGGCGAAGAATCGCGACGGCCATCAGGCGGACTGGTACGCTCGACTTTTTGCAGGGCGCGCGCAACGGCCTTGAGCTTCTTCTTTCCTTGCTGCTCGAGTGTCAACGTGAATGCTCATGTTGGTGTCCGCGGACTGTGTGGAAGCGCGAACCTTGTAATCGAGATATTTAGCCCGCCATTCAGGTACCAAGTCAGCCTCCAATTCTCTATGCATTCGTCAGTCCGAGTCGGCAGGATTGAGCACTTGTTGACCGGTCTTACTTGGCAAACTTCATAGTTGCTCGTGTACACCTCACGGCTTCATATCAATGTCATCTCCTTGTGGCACCGGACCGTGTTGATTTTTAGGTACTTATCTCTGCCATTCGCCAAGGTCTTGATTGATGAGGAACCTTGAAAACAATCTCTCGCCAAGCTTTCTGGGGAACACAGCCCCGCTGACGAAATCGTGACGCAGATCAGCTCTGCCATTGGCCAAGTCTTGGAAGCTCTCCATCCATATCTCACCGTCTTCACATGCATTGAATGTTGATGGTATCTGTTTACACAAGTCACAGGGAAGAGAGCAGTGGTGAAGAGATATGACTGTTTTCATTTGGCTTGCTTAGTTGCAACCATTGGTATTCATGCTTTGATCATCATGCATTCGTGCCTGAGCTCTTCAAGAGACCAGGTTGAGTTGTTTAGTAGTTGTCGTAACCACCGAACTGCTGCTGGAGGTGCTGAGGAGGACCCTGCTGGTTGGGGTCGTACTGGTCGTACTGGCCGTACTGTCGTGATGTCAGCTTGTGCGCTATTGGAGCAGGCTTAGATTGTACATACCTGGTCGTCGTAGAGAGCCTCAGCGTTCTTCTTGGCCTGGTGCTTGGCCTTCTCTCTGTCAACGTAGTCAAGACCCTTGGTCTCGCAGAGCTTGTCGACTTCAGCGCCGGCGAACGAGGCGAGGAGCTCCTTGGCGAACTCGTGGTTGACAGGCTTGCCCTCCTTGCGCTGTCTCTCTTCGAAGGCGTGCATGGCAGCGAATGAGGCACCACCAGCGAGGATCTCGTGGGAGAGCTTGCCCTCGTGGTCGTCGTTGTAGGCCTGGTTGTAGGCGTCAGATGATTCACCTGGAAGCTGTTAGTTTGGCTGATGCAAGATGATAGCTTCTGAGTTGTCCTCACCCCAGCCGAACATGTTGATTGATGTGATGTGAAAAGATTTGGTTTGAGAAGTTGTTAAGTGGTGCAATGAAGCTTGTGTTGATGAGAAGAAAGGAAGATGAGAGAGGGGTTGTTGTAGAGCTTTATACGTACGTGTCGCTCAGCAGTGGTGGAAGCCACCGTCCGCAGCTGCCCCACCCATTCGCTCACAGCTTCTCTGAGCTAATACGAGCTTCCATGATGTGGCCTCACTTTGCCATCTTTGGTTACATGATGACGCGGCGGTCCCTGGATCTCGTCGCTGAAACGCATAGTCTAGATCCTAACGACCCAAAGCCAATGACGAAGCGGGGCTTAGTCGCTACTATGAATACCTTGACCAATCTGAAGAGCTGCCCCTGGAAGGAGGAAACAGGAAACCATATGCGGCAGAGCGTCAAACAGCGTCACTCACCTACGTATCTGCGTGTAGTTCGATTCATTTCCCATATGCAGCAGGTCGATCGTCGGAGTGAACGGCAGCATAAGCCTTGTCCAAGCCGGCTAAGCATCGTCGGACACTTGGCCAAGCATGTTCTGTGGAGTCTCGAGCACCGCCACAGCTCCACCATCAGCCACACCAGCAGATTTGAGAAACACAAGCGACGGGCTGACAAAGGAGGAAAAGTGAAAGCCCGTTATCAACAAACAACGTGGACAAGCGAGGAAGTATCGTGCATGATCAACATGTCGACCAGCAAGAATCTACCCAAGACTTCCGACTTCCCATCATCTTGGACTTTGACGGTGTCGCCTCGTAAGTTCTCATTCTCTGCCCTCAGGCATGATGTTCATATCCACTTCGCCGAAACGTCCATTCACCGCTTCATCTTGCCTGCGCCACGGACCACGTCGACATCATATGTTCTCGACTAACCCACCACTCAGCTCCGAGCTCGCAACGACCGACCAACGTCCTCATACTGCTCCATGGCTTGGGTGATGCTCACCTTCCCTTTGCTCAGCTTGGCACTCAGATGAATCTTCCTGAGACGGCATGCATCTCCATCAAAGCTCCCGAACCACTTCCCTTCGAAGCTTCGTCATTTCACTGGGGCGACGATGTTATCTTTGACAACACAGTCGGGACTATTGATCCTGACGGTGGCTTCAAGAAAGTTGTTCCACGACTTATCAAGGAAGTCATTGAAGATACCTTGATCAAGAAATGTGGCTACCAGGCCCGCGAATTGATGATTTTTGGCTTGGGTCAAGGTGGTATGGTAGCTCTCAGTACCGCAGGTAGGTTATACGTCTCACAAATCACGATATACGGACAATCTTGACGCGCCTCTCAGTAAGTATGGAGCAAGAGCTAGGCGGAATCATCAGTGTCGGGGGCCCCTTGCCCAATGAGACTCCTGCTTCTCTCTCCCCGAAGCGCAAAACCCCCATCTTGGTCTGCTCTGGCAACGACAGCCCTTGGGTCAATTCCTCTGTTGAAGCCAAGCTCAAGGCAGTATTCGAGTCTGTTCAGCTCAACCGCTACAAAAGATCTGGAGACACCATGCCTAGGAGTCGCGACGAGATGTATCCTATCATGCAGTTCTTTGCTAGGCGTCTCAAGAGCTCAGCGGGTGTTCCAGAGGGTAGTGTAGAGCTTACAGCTTGATCTTCCTTGCTCGCTGTTCGGCGGAATGTTGGTCCGAAGATCAGGGTTGTACGATCGACAACAATTTATCAGACAGAATAAACTCTCCAGCTCCTCGCGGACAGCATATGACCAGTCCGGCTGTGCTCTCCATATCAGCTATCCCGAACTATCGTCTGGTTGTATTTGCGCTCGTCATAATCAAAATTCGATAGAGTTGGGGCTCATAACCGATTTCCTCACCAGTTCTGTTCCAACATACCAACAACCTCCATCAATCACGTGTCTTACTTGGTCTTCAGACTTGAGTGCTACACACGAAAGCAATCGAGTTCAGACTCTAGATATCAAACTTGGATATCTTCACGAGTGGTATCTCATTGCCACAGTGGTTGGACAATATAGTGAAGGGCGGTTTACGTTGTGGATGTTCTGGTGTTGCCAACGTCGCGTCATCTACCCCTCGATGTCGTGATCAGTCAATCCTCCTCCAAAATCATCCTCAGAAGTACAGGACAACCAATAAGAGTCTTCTGCGACTCAAGCACCCTGTGTCAAGCTCATCAATTGCTTGTTACAGCCACGTTGTTGAGCATGGCCAAGTACAGCAAACCCGCTATTCAACTCGATATGCCGGGTAACTTGTAAGTACCGATGCATGAGATTTTTGCTTAAGAAACCAGATGTAAGTCCTTCTGAGAAAACCTTGTGTCTTTCGTGTGTCTATTTCATCCTCCGCCAACCTCCCCGAGTAAATCTCGTGACGATGTCCGACCTCGACAGGAAAGCTCAGCCCGACCCCTACGCCGAAGAAAGGATATCTCCAGCGACGACCGCCGACCTAGATGCCAGCTACGAAGCCTACAAAAGCCATGAAGGCTCGCCAATTGACCCGGCCGAGGCCAAAAGAGTACTACGGAAGATCGATATGCGTATCGTTCCCATCCTCTTCATGGTGTACCTCCTTCAATATCTCGACAAAAACTCCTTAAACTTCGCCACAGCGTATGGTTTCCAAAAGGGCACGAATCTACGTAAACAAGACTACTCCTGGCTCGGATCTATATTCTATTTTGGGTACCTTTGGGCGCAGCTACCTGGCGGATACTTGTTGCAGAGGTTGCCCATTGCAAAATTTCTGGGAACAACTACTATAAGTGAGTGGTCACCTCCTCCCTTGTGCTGAAGCTTGTGTTTCTTTGTCTCCTATACTGCTCTCTCTCCACCGAAGTCATCGAGCACGATGCTCGCTATAAAGACGCACAATGTTCTCGAGAATCGAATCGTATCCACTGAGATGCGTTGTTTGCTAGACTCTCTTTGGACACGACCGGTTCTTGAGAATATTGTGCATCTCTATAGCTGTACTTATTTCTATAGCTATACTTATTCAAGACCCTTGCATACGGGAGGCTGTACGGGCAGTAGTTAACGATTGCTGATACGTTTGTAGTCTGGGGTGTCATTCTCATAACCACACCGGCATGCACAAACTTTGCCGGCGTGGCCACCAATCGCTTCCTGCTCGGTACCTTCGAAGCTGTTGTCAATCCCGGTTTTATCCTCATCATGGGTAAGAAGACTCTGATTCTGTTCTCCTTTGGTGCAAGCTAATGCCCTACCAAGGTATGTGGTGGACCGCCGCCGAACAACCCCTCCGCCTCGAAGCATACTATTGCACCAACGGCATTGCAACAATGGTTGGCGGACTCTTGGGTTACGCAATCGGCCACATTACCACCGGCGCTCTGGACCGCTGGATGTATGTGTTCATCATCTTTGGCAGTGTCAGCATTGTTTGGGGTGTTGTGGTTCTTCTCTTCTTGCCTGATCTACCTTCTACCGCAAAGTTCTTGACCGAAAGAGAAAGATATATCGCTGTGGAGCGAGTGGCCAGCAATAGACAAGGCGTCAAGAACACACACTTCAAGAAATATCAGTTGATGCAGGCACTGCGGGACCCAAAGACATGGATCTTGTTTGTCATGGCTGTCGGTGCACAGGTGCCCAATTCTGCTCTTACCAGTGTAAGTGTCTTTTCCTACCGCCCCTCCTCGGCTTTCCACACAAAAAATTGGGAGCGCTGACTTTTTCCACAACACAGTTCACGTCCATCATCCTTGGCTCCTTTGGCTTCGACACACTAGGCACACAGTACCTCCAGATTCCAAGCGGGTTCATTCAATTCGCTGCTCTCCTTGGTGGCGGAATCATCTGCTCTCACTTCCCAAACACCCGCTGCATCGTCATGATTGCTGCAAACTTGATCTGCATCCTCGGAGCTGCTATGCTGGTCGGTCTACCCGCAAGCAACAAATGGGGCAGATTAGTTGCATTGTGGTTGTGCTATTTCCAAGGCCTAGGGTTCAGTATGAGTTTAACGATGGTGAGTAGTAATGTGGCGGGGTATACGAAGAAGCAGGTCACGGGCACGATTCTTTTTGTGGGATATTGTGTGGGTAACATCATCGGTAAGTTGTGCTCTTTACTGGAGGAGTGTACAATGGCTGACTGATCATTAAAACAGGTCCTCAAACTTTCAGAGACAGCGAGAAGCCTGGCTACCACAGTGCTTACATTGCCATGCTGGTTGGATATGTGGTCAAGCTGGGCATGGTTGTCGTTCTGTATGTATACATGTTCACGGCAAATAAGAAACGCGATCGCGAGGCTGGTGGCATGACTGCAGAAGAAGAGAGATTGGCTATCGAGCAAGGTATGCAGGATCAGACCGAGTTGGACAACAAGGGCTTTAGATACACTCTGTAGTGATAAGCGTATACAAGACGCAAAATCGTGACGGTGTCCATGGCGAGAAAGACTTGTTACTGTATAAGCATTTCTCGACTTCATAATTCACACGGGTGTGATTGATGCTTATGGCTGTCCCTGCTTGCTTTCGTTCTTTGGGAAAGATCCGCTCCCATCATATCGCCAGCTTGGGAGCGTGACCAAGCAGGCTCTGGACGAACAGCTCTGCAGCCTGATTCTGAAAAAGATCATGAATCCGGTAGCGGATGATGGCGCTCCGGGCATGTTGGCTGTTGGCTGTCGTCGTGTCTGATTTGCCGGAAGTTGTTACTAGAAGGGTATCAAGTCGCGAGCAAGCAGCGTAAGACGTCTAGCCCGCAGATGCGTAGATCATTTTCAACATGTGATGGGCGTCAATAAATTCCGGCGTTGAGACGAGGGAAAGCATGGGGTCTCGCCATCGGCTAAAAGTGGTGGCGGTTATAGCTACGACTCTCGAGACCGCTCAGCCATTTGCGGGTTCAACTCAAACAGCTCTTCGAGTGGCGCAGACTGACTGCCGAGAGAGGCAATGCTGTATGCAAGCGACGCGATGACCTTGAGAATGTCGGGTGTTCTCTGGATCGGGCCGTGCCCTCAGCGCCCAGCCTCAGGCCAGGCACCTTCTCGCTCGGAAGAGGAACGGGGAGTAGTCACAACTCTGGTAATAAGAGAGGAGGAGTGGCCCCAATTAAACCATAGCTATTCCGCTTATGTGGCAGAAGTCACTGGGTACGGATAATTAGATATATCAATCAATCAATCAGTCAATCAATCTCGCTCGGAAGCCAGCGACCGGTCAAGAGCTTGTTTGCATGCATGTTTCCGTGTGTTTGCTCGCACGCATGCACAAGCCTTTGGTGCTTACTTGCGGCGCCGCAGCGACCCTTCGTCGTTCTATCAGATATCACACCTGCTGCTCGTGCACCTACAAGCAAGCTGAGCCGTTCATTCTGAGTCTCGGGGGCCTAAGTAGACATGCCGTCGAATACCCTTACGCCCATGCTCGCCTGCAAGTACAACTTGCTGATTTGAGCGAAGCAGCAGGATGCGATCTGCAAGCTATGCAAGCCGCTCAACGGGTCGTGCTCGGGGCCTTTGTCTCTATGATCTTTGCCCTTCCACCGCGCAGGCCGGGCACTCATCCTTCACGACGATCAGTAAGCACTCTTGAAATCCTTCTTCCTGACGCGACCCCCCAGATTGTGCTGCATCTGCGCTTGTGGCCGTGATGGCTCATCGAGTCTCGTACGCGTCCTGTTCGTATTCACCTCCAACCACCAACATCCTTTGTATGCAGATGCTAATTGATCCTCCAACAAGACTGGCTATTACTCCGTAGAGACAATGATACCCCGATGCAAGCCTCGCATAACGCCAACTGCACCTGCATCTGAAGACTAGCATGAGCTGAGAACAATGCTCATTAGACCCTGGTAAACATTGTCATTCGTCAGATATCAAGCTCAACCGACCCAACGCCATGTCGCTCTTATCCACAATAAAATGATAACTGGCGGTTTACTGCAGTATGTGGGACCTCAGCCGAGCACTATCATCTTCGAAGGATCAAGGAAGAACCACTTAGCCTTGCACTGACTGATTCACACTCCTTTGGCTGTGATATGCCCACGTCTCTCAGGCGTCCGCTATCTCGAGCGGCATATACAAGAAAGCTTCTGGGCACGCCCCCTGCTAAAGAACTCCAAAACTGATGTTCTCATCTCGATGGGTACCATGTTCCCCACTCTCAAGTTCAAAGACGCCAGCTCCATGACCCAGATCGATATTCAAGCTGCAAACGAATCTCTCAACAGAGGTAAAGGTGTTCGAAAAGCGTGCAACTCATGTCGCATTGGAAGGGTACGTTGATTCCACATCTGCTGGAAGCGTATTCACTGACAAATGCGGAACAGTGCAGGTGTTCAGGCCAGAGGACTGGCTGCGACAAATGTCGGGATAAAGAGCTGGAATGCGTGTACGAGGAAGCCTCATTGAGAGCCAAGAGGAAATCTATCGCACAAGACCAAAATGATACTAGCAACAACGAACAAGCGAATCCCTCAAGCTTTGAGGTCGAAGGCTCGCAGGATCAATACATTCTTGATACAACGGTATGGCCTGCTCCACCCGAAAGTCTATCGCCATACTCTCGTCTGCATCACATCGAACAAGGCATTTGTCCTTCCGTCACACCCACGATCACTACTGTGGGTGTAGACACGTATGAAGCCAACATGCTCGATGTCGACAGCACGAGCACAAACTCTACTGGGTCGTTCAACCTCGACCCTCAGTTTGAATCGTCTGATCAAGGTTGCGATGTCGATGTTGGTATTGCGTATGACTTCGAGGATCTGGATTTCCATTCCTTGATACCTCAAGATGAACCTTTTCCCTTCGCCGCCCAGATCTGCGGAGATTTTTCGAACCTTGACATACCGACCATGCAATTGTCAACAGAACTAGATCTACAGAACGTCGACACTGCTATCGGGGATAGCAAGAACTTCGATTGTCCTGTACCACGCGGTTGTAGAAAGCTGACCCGACCAATCATCAACTTGGACCACGCGGCTCATATACCTTCTGGAGATGAACGCTACTCACCAAACACTGTAGAGGCCTCTTCCAACCATACATCGCCAGCTGAGGCAGCGCGGCCATCAATCCCGCCGGCCTGGAACTCGTCCAATTCTCCGTGTGACTGTATGGCAAAGGCGACGTCACTGCTGGGAAGATTGGAGGACATCGCAACGCAGGGCGCAACACAACCTGATTGCTCATTGAGGGCCCATCGGCAGGCACTGTCAATCATTGCGAAAGCTCTAGACTGTGTTCTGTGCCGTAAGACAAATTCCTTGATTGCCTTGTTGGTCCTTGTCGTGGTCCGCCTGGTTGGTGCGATCAACCCGTTGTGTCAGACTCCAAGCGCAAAGATACAACTCAGACTAGGAGAGTACGATATCGATCCTACCGAAGAATGGCCCCAACTGGTTCGCTGCCTCATGTCTATGCAGCTTGTCAAGCTGCGTTATCTACTCAGACGATCATGGTCTCTTTCGGACGGTCCCGCGTACGAAATGCATAGGGAAATGCTTTCTCGCGCTTGCAATGGCTTTCGTAGATCTTGGGTCCAATTGAACGGAGAATAGACATTGCTAGAAGATTATCCACAAGACTCTGCCCGCTCAGATTCTTTCTCTAGTAACAGATAACACTGCTGGCATCTAGGTTGTGGTCCCGACACTTTTCGTAGTAGATTACCATCCGCCGGTGTGACGGAGGATGGCAGAGGAAAATCTCAACGTCACGAGATCAATAGTCGCAGACTGCGAAACGGGAGTCCGTGACAGGCCATGAAGCTACATTGTGTCCCTCACAGCATATCACGTTGGGCTGGCCACTTGACAGTAGTGCTATATATGATCGTCAGCGTACCCGGAGTCGGATAGGGGTGTTCCTCTTGCCTCATGAAAAACCAATCTCGGATAGGAATTCTCCAGTATGCAGCGACCGAAAGGGGTAATATCCGGTTCCTCGAGCTAGGTACGATGAGTAGGTGGCGACCGACCATATCTTTGGTGGGTCGTATCGATAGAACTTCTGGTGGTCCACGCGAGGTTGACTACGCTACCGGCCTCAAAGATTCTGATCATAACTCATATTCACTACAATGAACTTTCCAGAGACACGTCCTAGGAGGGTCGGTATCAAAGGCATAGAGGTGTACTTTCCACCCAAAGTATGCGCCAACAGTCGACCACAGTAAGGTGTATTGCGGGCTAATGGAGGCATAGTTCGTAGACCAAACAGATCTGGAAGCACATGATGGAATCAGCGCTGGCAAATATACCATCGGCTTGGGACAGAAGCAAATGAGCTTTTGCGATGACCGAGAAGGTCAGACCAAGACCCAATGATTCTGTTTCATTGTACGGCTAAACCGCAGTGCAGATATCTACTCTTTCAGTCTGACGGTCGTATCCTCACTGATGAAAAAATACGCCATCCAGCCAGAATCTGTTGGCAGACTGGAAGTCGGCACCGAAACTTTGCTGGACAAATCCCAATCCGTCAAATCGGTCTTGATGCAACTTTTTCGGGACTCTGGAAATTCTGAAGTCGAAGGTATTGATACCATCAATGCTTGTTATGGCGGTACCAGCGCCTTCTTCAACGCGATTCAATGGATAGAGTCGAGCCATTGGGACGGCAGAGATGCAATCGTCGTGGCCGGCGATATAGCCATCTACGACAAAAGTCCGGCTCGTCCGACTGGAGGGGCTGGTGCAGTTGCTCTTTGGATAGGACCCGATGCACCAACTGTCTGTGAATCTGGTCGCAGAGGATCTTATATGCAACACGCATACGACTTTTACAAACCAAACTTCAACGCTGAATATCCCGTTGTGGATGGGCATCTCTCAATCGACTGCTACTTTACAGCTCTTGATGCGTGCTATTCGGCGTATGCCAAACGTGCATCACTGGCAGACAAGAGAACAGCGGATCTTCGCAAGTACAGCCTCGAGTCGGAGCAGGATGGCAAGTTTGAGGGTAAAAGACCTACTCACCCTCCAAGTCCTCCTGTAGAAGATAGCTCTGAGCTGTCTCTTGATGACAACAAGCAGCAACTCTCAACGCTCCAGAAGTTTGACTTTATGTGCTTCCATTCTCCTAACTGTAAGCTCGTGGCTAAATCCTTTGCCCGACTGAGCTACCAGGACTTCAAGAACAACCAACAGCATGACTTACTTGGAGAGCTACGAACCAAGTTCAACCCTCGCGACGTGGCTGATCCCACCAAGGATAAAGCGGTGGAGTCCGCCTTCATGAAGGCCACCTCGGGGTTGTTCTTGCACATGGTGAATCCAAGCTTACTGCTTGCACGCTCATGCGGCAACATGTACACGGCGAGCCTTTTCGGTGGCTTGGCTAGCTTGATTGCTTCTGTGGAAAGCGAGGGGCTCCTGAACAAGCGTGTCGGTATGTTCTCCTATGGATCAGGGCTAGCGAGCTCGCTGTTCTCGTTCCGTGTTGTTGGAGAGACGAAACACATCAGACAGGCGTTAGATCTTGAGGCCCGCCTTGCCGCCAGGACAAGATGTACACCAGCAGATTTTGAGGCCGTAAGTTGATTGATCAATGGACAAAGTGAACAGTTGCTGATTTGCGTTCTAGAGCCTCGCCTTGAGGGAAGACGCTTACGGCAAGGCAGATTTCCTGCCTCGCGGTGAGAGAGCGGGTCTGGGATCTGGGACTTGGTATCTCACAAAGGTTGATGAGCGCTATCGTCGCACTTATGATGTCTATCACATACCGCAACAACAAGATCGATGTAGGACAAAAATGCACTTGGAAGTCCAAGTTGCAAGTGCTGGATCGGGAGCTCTTGAGACGACATCTTGGCCGCGAGTCAAGTACCAATAAAGGACCAGTAAAAGCTTTCTGGCACAAGTCTAGTCGTGAAAAGAGTGTTGTTCACCCCGTCATTGTTGCAAAGGACATGGATGGTCACGCTGGCGTTACGGGAGTTACCAAGAACAGGCAACGCCGCAAACGCAGATTTGCAGCCCGAAAGCAGCCGCTGTCAAGGAAAGCACTTGGAAAGACTCCAGTCATAATTGGGGCGTGTATCAATTATCAGCCCACGATCTCGATGTGTTGAGCCAGCTCGTAAAGACCTTGCGCACTGCTTTGGAGACATGACTTCTCTTATCTTGAAAGACGCCGATATCCCCGATCTGAGTGGGAAGGTCGCGATCATCACCGGTGCGCATTGGAGATTGACGACGTTCCATGATTTATCGCTGATGCTCTGAGCAGGTGGTGCTTCTGGAATTGGACTCGCTACAGCGCGGATTCTGGCTAAACATCACGCGACTGTATACGTGCTTGACATCTCAGGTGCTCATATAGACGATGGACCCGATCCCGAAAACATCCGGTTCAGAATCTGCAATGTAGTGTCTTGGGTCGACCTGCGTGCAGCATTTCTTGAGATTGGTCGTGTGGACATTGTCGTTGCGAATGCGGGAGTCAGCCAGGAAGTGGATCACTTCGCCGACTCTTTCGATTGCGAAGGACTTTTGAAGGAACCGGTGTATCCCGTCATCGAAGTCAATCTCCGTGCTGTTTTCAACACGGTCAAGCTAGCTCTCTCTGCATTCCGCAAGCAAGGTCCTGGTGGTAGTATCGTCGTCACATCGAGCGCCACCGGTTTGTCGCCAGAACAGAGTTTGCCCGTGTACTCGGCCGTCAAATGCGGTGTCATTGGCCTTGTACGTGCTCTACGATCGACAATCCCATATACTCATGGAGCCACGATCAATACAGTGGCTCCTGCAGCGACCATCACCAGACTGCTGCCTGCAAACCTCGCAGCCCCGATCATGGCAGCCGGTGCGCCAGTTTCGAGTGCAGAACATGTTGGTCTTGCGGTTGCGTTCTCCGCCGTTGGCAATCAAGATCAGCAAGTCGAAGCTTACGGGAACGATTCGCAGGAGACAATCTTCAGCAGGGGAAGATGGAATGGCAGGACTATCTTGACTCTCGGTAACACGTGGACCGAGGTAGAAGAGCCTCTTGCTACTCTACGTTCTCAATGGTTTGGCCAATATCCGACGGCAATGACTGCGTTCCAGCAGAGGCTTACTGACATGAGACCACTTCCGACTAGATTGTCGCGCCACGAGGAGAACCTGGAACACGAGTCTCGCCTTTGACTCCCAAAGGGTTGGACGTGGCATCTTCTGTAGCCAATTTTTTCATGATCTCTATTCATAAATTCCATGTTTGATCATTACACAGATGATGTACAGCTCTCCCATTTCCAATGTCCGTACGGTAGAGACAGATAGCACAGGTACGGAGTTGCCACTTTCCGTTTTGGGTAAATTCCGGTTCACGACTTCGTACGACACAACAACTTGACAAAAGATGATGCCAACGATAACGGATTGTAGTACAAATGGTATGCTGAGATTTATCACGATTACCAGCAACATGGACGCTTCCCAGAGCTTGATAGCCCGTCTGTCTGATGTCAAATGGTGGTCTGAATGTTTCGCGAAAGGATTGGACATAATATCCATCCTCAGCGTTGGCTTCCTCTTGGTGATCACTCCCGCAAAGTTTTGTGAAGGGGAGATGCTGACTTGCTATATCTTAGGCGTCTCTCTACATATCGTGTCACATGGTATACAATCTTTACTTCCATCCTTTGGCATCATTCCCTGGACCATTTTGGGCCAGGTCTTCACTGGTAAAGCTTTCGACTGTGGGGACTTAGTCATCTTGCGACTGACTTGGGTGTGTCCAGTTGTGGCGAATTTATCATTCTTCGGGTGGTCGCTTCCATCGTCGCATCTACGAGCAACACAAGATACATGGTAAGATAATCCTCGCGTCGATGGAGCTTCAAGCCAGCTAACTAACAACATTTCGCAGGCTCTGTCTTCCGCGTGTCCCCAAATGAGTTGTCTTTTGCTGGTGTAAATTCATGGAAGGCCATCTATGGCCATCCTGCCGCGGGCCAAGCCACTATGATCAAGGCTGAATTCTACGACATCTACGGCTCTGGCTTCAAGTCCCTGTGCATTGGTAGCGAGAGGAAGCCTGAGAAGCACAGTCGGATGCGAAAGTCTCTTTCCGCCGCGTTTTCTACGAAAGCGTTGATCGAGCAGGAACAGATCATCAATGGCTGCGTGGATGCTTTTGTCGACAGACTTGGTGATGGGACCTCTGACAATGGCATCAACATGACCAAGTGGTTCGAAATGGTTGCTTTCGATATACTTGGAGAAATGGCATTTGGCGAAAGCTTTGGATGTATTGATTCTGGTAAATCACGCACTTTTCGCTGCTACTAGCATACTGACTAACCTGAACATGTAGGTAAGCCACACTTCTGGTCGGAACTCATTGAGGAGCATCTGTTCTTCATCACGGTCGTTGACAATCTTCGACGCTATCCATTCTTTGTTACATTGGGACGTTGGATCTTACCTCTCACTGCTTCTCTTCGCGATAAGCACACTGGACTGAGCAGAGAAAAAGTGGCAAAGTAAGTGCTCTCGTTTCGTGGTAGTCAGGAATGATTGATGATCAATTTGCTCCAGGCGGCTGTCAATATCCGAGCCCCGCAAGGATTTCATGTCTCACCTCATCAAGAAAGTTCAAAATGGTGAGATGGACCGAGAGGAACTGACTGCGCACGCATCGACTCTAGTGTATGTATGACGTTGACAGATGTACAGATCAGTACGATTAACCATCAACAGGATTGCTGGTGGAGAGACTGTGTCCACATTTCTAGCTGCATCTACCTTCTATCTGCTGAAGAATCCCCAGCACTTGCGCCGTCTGCAAACCGAGATCCGTGGGAAATTCCGCTCATACGGGGATATAGATGCGACTCGAGCTCAGCAAATGCCTTTCCTCCAAGCCGTCATCTCGGAGGGCCTTCGCATATATCCTCCAGGATCTCGTGGCTTCCCACGAGTTTCGACGGGCGGCACAATTGATGGTCACTACGTTCCTCCAGGAGTAAGCATGGAACTGTTGGCTATTGCATCTTGGCACTGACAACCGTAGGTCGATGTCTACACTAGTGCATGGACAGTCACGCATGACGAAGCGTACTTCAAGAACCCCTTTACGTTTGATCCCGAGAGGTGGCTTGATCCGATGAGTGAAGAAGTCAAGGAAGCGAGTCAACCATTTTCACTGGGTACCAGAGGATGTTTGGGAAGAAAGTAAGTCTTTCACGGTACAGGTTGCCACGAATGTTGAATCCAGCTGACCTTGTTTCCCAATTTCGCTTACGTGGAGATGAGCTTGATACTTGCAAAAATGCATTGGAGATATGATATTGCGCTTGTGAATGAGACATTACAGTGGGAAGAACAGAGTAGGGAGCATGTCATGTGGACAAAGCCAGAGCTATTCGTTCGCTTCCAGGAACATATGTCTAGGTGATCAGATATGAAAACAATGTCAGTCAGGCGTGCAGGCTTGAAAGTCACACGTTCGAACAAGACCATTCAGACACCACCCCAAAGACTCAATCGCATGCTGCGTACCTGCATCACACCCGGAATCTAGTGTAAACCCAGATCAACTCCTTCCGAGGCAGCGCGAATTTCCTCTTCAGGCAAGACGAGCTACGCTACAGTCTAGTGCGATGTAGTGCAGAATGAGTCGACTCTCATCACGCTATCACGCTCTTCAAAGACCTGCCTGCAGACGTAGACGGAGACGCAGACGATTCTCGCTCGAGTGCGACGATCACAGCACGCGAAAATGATCAGCCCCTGGGACGCAGCAGCAATCGCAACACTCGGAGCACTGGTTTACAAAGCCACACTTTGGATTCGAAACATTAGGCTTGCACAAGCAACCGGACTACCCTGGACATGGACGCCCATTCTGGAAACCGAGTTTCTGGGATTTTGCTTGACACCCTTGCTGCGGGCGTTATATCATCGGTATTTGGACAAGGGAGAGGGGTGGCCACGCTGGTGCAGATTGGTCATCAAGGATTGGCAGTGGGAAGATAAGCGAAGGGCTCATGATGAGTATGGTGATGTGTTTTTGTGTGTTGCTCCGCATGGCATTATATGCTACTGTGCGGACGCGGCCATGGCTTGGGATGTGATGAACAGACGTTACGACTTTACAAAGCCAATGGACAAGTACAGTAAGTGTCTGCTACACAGAGTTGGGACAAAGCAATTCCACTGACAGGACAGAACTATTGGAGCCCTATGGCCCGAATGTGGCCACGACCGAGGGGAAGAATTACCAGTTCCACGTTCGTATAACTGCGCCACCTTTTGGTGACATTAGTGGTGTAAACTCGCTTGTCTGGAGGGAAACCCTTCGCCAGACCGAAGTGCTCTGCGAGGCCTGGTCGAAAGAAAGCTCGAGGAGTCTGTCTGGTGATCTGAATGCTCTGACTCTGTCAGTCATCTCGCTCGCGGGATTCGGAAAGCAGATTGACTGGGCGGCAAGCGACGAAACGCACCAAGAAATCCCTCAAGGATACGTCATGAGTTTTCTCAAAGCCATCAGCGACACGACTGGTTACATGGTTGCGATCCTACTCTTTCCGGGCTGGCTGCTTCGATGGAGTCCGTTGAAGAAAGCTAATGACGCTCATGTAGAACTCGACAAGTATCTCCGGGAAATGATCAGGAATGAGAGAGCGCGCATAGCTGTCGGAAGATCTGCAGATACCGAACGAGTTGCTGCTCGTGGGAACCTGTTGACATCACTGTTGGAAGCTTCCCATTCCGAGGCTAGATCGAGCAACAAAGGTCCAGACGGGGTTCAAAAACGTGCCTTTACGGAGGATGAGGTCATGGGTAATTTGTTCATTTACCTTCTGGCGGGTTAGTACTCAAACCCAGTTTCGGGTCCTGTTTGACTGCTAATCATAAGAGAGCCAGGTTACGAAACAACTGCCAACTCTATATACTATGGTCTCGCGCTTCTGGCGCTCCGCCCTGATATTCAGGACAAGACGATAGCAGAAATTGACCAAGTATACAAAGGCGCCAGAGAAGAAGGAAGGAGCGAACTCACCTACGAGCAGGACTTTGAGAAGCTGCACTACCTATATGGCTTCATGGTAACGAGTTCAAAGGGTTTTCCGGAGGTTGGCAAACACTGACACTTTGCAGTACGAGACGTTTCGACTTTATCCGGGTGTTCTTCTGATCACAAAGATGGTCTCGACGCCACAACGCATCAGCGTCTCTTTGGGTGGTGACAAACTCAGCTCCCACATGCTGCCGCCTGAGACCAGAGTTTACTTGAATACCCCAGCCGTACATTATTCGGAAAACTACTGGCCGAATGCGAATGAGCTTAATCCACACAGGTGGATGCCTGAGCACAAAGTCGGCACCGCGAATAAGAAGGTCGTTGCTGCAGACAGGACGAGACATATGAGAGGAACACTGTTGACATTTTCCGACGGAGCGAGATCCTGCCTGGGTCGAAAGTTTGCTCAAGCAGAGTACATTGCGTTTTTGACGGCGCTGCTGAGGAAGTATCGTGTGGAGCTCGCCCCGGGGCAAGATATCGAGGCCGTTCGGCGTGACTTGGACTATAAGTGCGCCGGTAAGGTCACTCTGGCGCCACTAGACACACTGCGTTTGACTTTGAAGCCGAGAGAAAGATCAAAGTAGGAAAACAACTAGATATCGCACCACTCAGGTCACTGCGCAGACGCTAAAATTGGAGTCATCGACGTCGATTCCGATGTTTCTCCGGCCCGAAACATCTCTCTACTGTCGTGTCATTCGATTGTGCAACCCCTTGTGAATAAATACACTGTGATTCGTCGTTCTCTTGTTAGCCTTTGCTCTCGGCACGGGATGCTTGATCAATATTCCATCCAACCATGACCGGTGGGTCCAGGTTACCATTGTCCAGATGTATGCTTGCGTCCCTTATGCCCAACCGGTCAAGGACACGATAGAAGTCGGATCCGCAAAGCCATCCGAACAGAATGGCTTGCAGCGGTCACTGCGTTAGCTCGGCCATATCACCGCTTGCACCTCAACGCATGCAAGGAGATTAAGTCGCAGGCGCTGAGACCCTTTTCGAGATTGTCCTTCCGACCTCACGCACTGGAGTATTCCTGATCAGGCAGTTTCCAACCACGTGAATTGTCAACACGTGCAGCAGCGGCTCCGATGGCTGCAAGTAGCTTGGCCATGGGGCGAACAATACTTCGCTGCTTGTTCTATCTAGATTGCGGATATCCATGTCACGTCTTGGCACTACAGAGTACTCGCTGCTGATGCACCGCATGCCGAGAGACAAGAACGTTCTGCCAAAGAATCAACATGCAGGGCGGAATATCTCGAGCCTGACAGCACTACACACCAGACACATCTTGATATTTGGTTCTTGGGGAACAAAACTTCACCATGAACGATTCAGCAATCAAAGATTTTGCTGTCTTTGCCCAACAACAAGGCGCATCAGACAAAAATACTGCACGCTTTGATGCGAAGAGTAAAGCTATCGATGGTCATGACAGTGTCGAAGCCTTGTTGCAAGGTTTCGCCACTCCCCTGCCTACTCCTGCGCGATCTGGCTCTGACCGCGGGTTTCCACTTGACGACTTGGACCAAATCGGTACTTTGCGCGGCCTAAAACGCTCGCGAGAGGACAGTCTCGCAAACTTGAGGGTACAGAACAGAGACGATGAGACTGGATCTAGAGAAATTCATCAAGGAGCGAACCAAGGTGGCGGGCACAGAGGAAGAGGAAGAGGAGGATTCGAGGCTCGAGCTGCTATGAGCAATCCGCCCACGCCACGTTCGATGCCACGAGTACAAAGTGCCACAACGCCTTTGTACGCTACAGATGCGCTTGCCAAACTTACGAATGACAACCGAGCATCGAGCAGATCTGATCCATCTTCCTGCGGCAATGGATGTCTAAAACTTCTCATGACATCTTTTGAGCACGTCGGCGTCATGGTCGGGCGACTGCAACATTCCAGTCTTCTCAACTCGTCTCCCCAACAACAGCAACACGCAAACCCAAGATCTCACATCAACAGAGACAAGATGGTCTCGCTAGACGCCGTATTGCAATGCACCAAGCAAGCTCTGCACATATGCACCAAAACCCTTGACTGCAACTTTTGCCCCACACAACAATCCTGTGTGTTCCTGATCCCCAGGCTCGCGGTACAGATGGCTGTTCTTGTGGATCAAGCATGCAGAGACTACAAGCTATGTTTTGGACATCGGAAGCGCGAGTATCTGGGTCATGACGTCGACGCCCACGTTGCGGAATCCGGTGTGGTGCAGACTAAATTGGAGCAGCCGATGTTGCTGGGACAGTATAGTCTAGACACTCTCAGCGAGTGGCTTGCGGTGATGGGTCCTGTAGTTCTTCTCCAAGCAAGAGGTTGGGAAGCTTTGCTGAGTAGATTGACTGGGTTCGAAGATCTGGGGCGAGAGGAAATGGTCAGGAGTGCGATGCAGAGTACGCATAGAAGCGTGACGATGATATTGCAGCTTCTTTGATCTAATAGGGGCTTCCTTTGCGCTCAGTGCCCGCCACAGATACAAACATCTCTCGAAGTTTAAGCTCCTTGGGCCATCGCTTTGAGCAGATGCTCTTGCCGGGCCATACCCTGATTTGGAAGTAAGCAGCCTCTGACCAAAAATCCTTGGATTTCGCAATAGAGCTCACGAAAGAGGAAACTGCCGGTGTGTTCGACCGCTCGTAGGTTTGATGGATGGAGAGGTGTACGGGGGAACGTTCTTAGCTCTCGAACCCCGACTGACTGACCCCCTGAGTACAGATCCACCGACTATCAAACTGCACCGTACGACACGATGAAAGCCTGGACTAGAATCATGACTTCGGCCACTCCATCAGCGGACTCGGAGTTTCGGACATTGTGCAAGGGCCCAGATGCTCGGGTATTGTTGTCGTCTCTTCTTCTGCAGCTTGCTTTGTCTGGAGTTGTGCTCCGGTTCCAGAGCATATGGGCACTTCTGTCGTGTGCGATTGTCAGTACCGCGGGAGTTGTTAGCATCATTGGCATACGCTCAGTCCAACACCCTCGTGTCAAAGCCTCCCGACAGCCTCTAGCATCGATCGAGCTTACAAGGACAAAGACTGGGTCTCTGGAGCAAAATGTCATGGTCAAGCTGTGCCAAAGCGACGAGGGAACTGTAGATTCAGCATGTAAGCATTGGACATAATAGAGATCGAATTGTCACTAATTAAGTGCGGTCCACAAAGATGCAAGCCGCATAGCAACACCTTCTCTCGATCCGACCCGCGAGGCAAGCGGGTTTCCAGACCACCAAACATCTCTCACAGCTTCACTTGACGCCGATGACCTCAAAGTCGTCGAAAAAGTGCTCGCCAACAACATGCCACTGCACAAGCTCGAAGCTTTGACAGCAGGCAACTTTTACCAGGCCATTCGTATCCGTAGGGCTCTGCTTTCATCGATAAAGGACACGGGCGACAACTGCGGCCGAAGTCTCTCGGACTCGGTGTTGCCAATGTACCATTACGACTACTCACAAGTACAGGGCAGATGCGCAGAGAACGTGATTGGTTACATGCCCATACCAGTGGGCATAGCCGGTCCACTGCGGATAGACGGTACAAGCTACCTCGTCCCACTCGCAACCACCGAAGGCGCACTGATCGCCAGCACAAGCCGAGGAGCGAAAGCGCTGAACGCAGGCCAAGGCATCCACACCGAACTGCTCGACGACGCAATGACGCGAGCCCCGGTCCTGCATTTCCCCTCTTTGCAGCACGCGGCCGCAACGACAAAGTTTCTAGCTTCGACGCAGGGGCGCCAAATCCTCAAGACGGCGTTCGACTCGACCTCTGCGTATGCGCGGCTGCTCGACGTGACGCCAAAGGTCGTGGGCAGTGCCGTCTACCTGCGCTTCCGCGCCACGACGGGCGACGCCATGGGCATGAACATGGTGGGCAAAGGCGTCTCCCACGCCCTGGCCACCCTGCCACGATACAGCACCCTGTGCCCGTCGCTCGCACACATGCAGCTCTCGAGTCTCAGCAGCAACACATGCACGGACAAGAAACCCGCGGCGACCAACTGGATCAACGGCAGAGGCAAGAGCATCTGCGCCGAAGCAACCGTGCCGGCCAAAGCGGTAGAGACGGTGCTGAAAGCATCCGTCGACGCGCTGGTGGCCCTCAACACGAGCAAGAACCTCGTCGGCTCCGCGCTGGCGGGTATGGGCGCCGGCGGCTACAACGCCCAAGCCGCAAACATCGTCGCCGCTCTCTCCATCGCCACGGGCCAGGACGCCGCACAAGTGGTCACGAGCAGCAATTGCCTAACACACATGGAAAAGTGAGTCACCCATCCGCCCCTTTACCCTCCATCGCGTAGAACCCTTCAGAATCACGCGCTAACCGACTCACCTTCTTCCCACCCACAGAACCCCCGACGCGGACCTCAAAATCTCCGTAACGATGCCCAGCCTCGAGGTCGGCACAATCGGCGGCGGCACCTCCCTATCGTCTCAATCCAGCATGTTGAAGCTGCTGGGCTGCAGGGATGCAGACGCCGCATATGGGGCCAATGCAAGTAGACTGGGTAGAGTAATCGCTGGTGCCGTGTTGGCTGGAGAACTGAGTCTGATGAGTGCGTTGGTGTCGCAGGATTTGATTGGCAGTCATATGCAGTTGAACAGGAAGTAATCAAAGGTGCGTCTTTTTGTGGCGGGGCAGCGAGGGGGAAAATGAGCGAGAGATGAGTGGATGCTGGCACAGGGGTTATTGTTGACAAAGAGACGGCCGGGTGTTCGAGAAAGCCTTGTTTGTTCGTTACACCGTTCGTGGCTTGCCAGAACTCACGCTTTGGCAAATCTATACCTAAACTTCTGACTCTTGGCCTCCGTCCTTGGTTCTTTGCCTTGTCCACCCACATTGTCGTTGTCAATTAGACCATACCCTTGATCCTCGGTTCCAAACTCTTCTCGGCCCCAGAAGCCCATCAAAGCTTTCACCATACCCTTCCTCTCTACCTCCAACTCTGCAATCCGCCTTGTCAAATCAACAACCTCTTGTTTCAGACCCTTAACTTTAGTTCGCCAAGATTCTTCTCTCTTGTCAAGGATTGCCGAAAGCTTGGTGTCGAAGTCCGAGTTCAAGGCGTGCAGGTCTGATAGTTCTCTTTTTGCTAGCTGAAGGTCTGATGTTGTGGTTGCGAGGGTTTGTTCTAGGGTTGCAGAGGCAGAGGTGAGGAGGTGTAGTTCGGTGGTTTTGGCTGCGAGATCTGCTTCGGCGAGGGTAAGTGAGTTTGCGGTAGTTTGTAGTTCCGCTGCAGTTGTGGTGAGGGAGGTGGAAAGTTCGTTGTTGCGGAGGGACAGTGTGTCGCGGGAGGTGCGCAGACTCGCCATGCCTTCTTCGATGAGATCAATGGTACGACGATGTTCTGCGCGTAGCGCTTGCAAAGCTGCAGAGTCAGATTGTGGTGATGATGGTGTTGCTGCAGTCCAGGATTTACGCAGTTGTGTCACTTCTTCATGATGTTGTCTTTGCTGGGACTCGAGTTGGGATCGTAGAGCTTGAAGATCTTTGCGGAGGGAGTCTGCGAGATGTTGTGTTGAAGCGTCTGGTGTTGAAGAAGGAGCCTTGTCTTCTATGCGGTCGAATCGTTGAAGTATATCCAGTTCTTCGCGCAAAGAACGAATCTCTTCGTGCGCCTTTTTGCGAAGGTCTTGTTCTTTTTTGAGTTGATCGTAGACGCTGGCTTGTGATTGCTGGGCTTCGCTGTCTGCTCTTGCCCAAGCGTTCTTATCGGACGAATGTTGTTGAAGAGCAGAGTTGAGTTCGTCTCGTGCTTTTTGCAGCTGTGCTTCCAGTTGGCCTAGTGTTGCATCTGCTTTGAAGTGGTCTTTTTCGGACTCGTAAGCCGCAAGTCGCTGGTTTGCTTGTTGCAGTTGTTGTGCTAGTCCTCGAGTCATGTCTGCTGCTTTTGTATCGGCATCCTCGTGGGCAGATTGCACTGCCTTCTCTTTGGCTTCGAGGGCATCTTGAGCTTCTTGGAGTCGTCTCCTGAGGTTGTCGCCAGTCAAGTCATCCTTGATCTGAGATTTGAGATCCTCGATGAGTTTGTCCTTGATCTCTAGTGTCTTGCGCAAGTCGTCAAGCTGAGTTTGTAGGCTTGCGATTTGACGTTCGAGTTCTTCTTGCTGCTGCGATGTTTGAGGCTCATTGTCCACATCGACCTTGGTACGGCTGACTGATACATCCTCCTCTTGATCATCTTGCGCCTGCTGAATCTCTTTTCGTGCATCAGAAAGTTCCTGTTGTACACGTTCAAGTTCATTGCTCTTCACCTTGCGCTGGCCCTCGTTCCAAGTCTTCAACTCTTGCATGTCATTCTCGGTTTCTCGAAGATTGGCCTGCGATTGCTTCAACTGACTTTGAACATCTGCAAGCAAGCTGTCCTTTGCTTTCAATTCATCCTTGACCTTATCAAGCGAGCTGTGCGTTTGACGTTCAGCATCGCGAGCCTGACCGAGTTGAACTTGTAGATTGTGTATCTCAGCATCCTCGCTGTCGTGCATCTGGTCCAACTCTTTTGCGCGATCCTCTGCAAGCTTGACAGCATCCCTCTCGTCTGTCTTTGATTGATTCAATTGAGATTGGAGTTGCTGCATTTGATCCTGGTAGTCTTGAGATTCCTCGCGCATGCGCTTCAGTTCGTTCCGTAGCGACTCCATTTGATTTCCATCCTCGGAACGACCTCTACTTTGTGAGCGATCGGGTCGCTGGTACTGGCGAGAGGCGCGTTCTGTGTCGAGTTGAGTCTGCAGAGACTCGTTGAGTGCGCGCAATTTTTGCAGCTCTTGATATAGACTATGCGGTTTCTGGTTTGGTGTGCTGTCATAGTGCGACATGATGGATCGCATAGAGTCGATCGTGGGAGGACTCGAGGGTCTCTGGTTCTGGGACTGGCGCAATCGCGAGGTAGAGTATGATCGTCGTTGGGCAGGATCTGAAGCGACATTGGCGGAAGTAGGACGGCCGGGAGTAAGCTCAGAGTGATAGTCCTCGACAGTCGGCTGCAATATGTTCTTTCTTGGGTCCTCGAAGGCACCGTGATCGAGACGAGGGGTCGAGTCGTTGGCGCCAGATTCACTCTGCGTACTGCGATCGAACTTGGGAGAGTGATTGGGCGACGAGTTTGTCAAAAAGTCTGCACTGGTCTCGTCGAACAGATCTTGCTGCTCTTCCCATGCGGGTAGTGGTTGTTTGCGTGGTGTCCCCTTGAAGTATTTGGCTAGGTTGACAGTGAAGTCAGTCGGGCCATCGATGTCATCACTGTGGATCTTGTCGACAACGCGATGGACACTGGGCGAGTCCAGAGCGCTGGGTTCATCATCGAGGTTCAAAGCGTCCAGATCCAGAGAATATTGTGTTTGATCGGGCTCATCGCCATGAGTCTCGCGATGCGGCGGCGGCGCAGGTGGTGGAGGCGACGACAACATTGCTAGGTACTCGGTGCTGTATCAATACAGCGATCGTGTATGAATATCTGGTCGAGTCGCGTTTGTCGAAAAAGTACCAGTCGCGATGACTTGGACTGTTTGTTGTTGTCTGTGCACGCCATGCGCACCAGAACGCGGGGTCGGCATTTTTGTGCCTAAACTCCGCTCATGCATGTGATTGTCAAAGATCATGGACGAGTATGTAGGTACTCTACAAGAAGACATGCGGTGCTGCGTACGAGAACGAACACTCGAAGCCCAATCCTTGGGGGGTCGTATCACGCCTCTGGGTATCCATTGGCCCCGAAGAGTGCCCGCCTTATATCTGAAACCATCATCACTACACTTCCAGTGCCTCGACTATAGATGGGTAGGTACGCATATAGGGCAGATCGTTTTCGTGTACCAATCGTGATTTATCCGCGTTGAACTCCTTTGCGTCGCATGTGGACCTTTGTCTCAATCGAAATTCTTCATGAGATCGTCGACAGCTCGAGCAGCATATCTCTTCCGCTCATTTTCTGGCATACCAGCAGTCGTCTCTGTTATGTTGTTAGCATTGTCCGCGGCAGCATAGTGCTTTCTGATCATACCTTTGATAGCCATCAACTGACTCATCATCTGTTCCATGCCTTCAATCTGCAAAGCACTTCCCTCATCCTCATCTCCCTCATTGTCCGGATCTAGTAGAGATGCCTTCAGACCCCAAAGCTCGGCGTTCATCTGTGCTTGCTCATCGTCCAAGCCTCCAATACCGTCCTCGTCGTCATCTTCGAGAGATGATGCTGACCATTCGTTTGCTTCAAGTGCCTCCTTTGCCCTCTCTAGACCGAGCTTTTCTCCGTATTCGTTCTTGCCCGTCGCCTCGATATGAACGTACTCGAACCCGAGATCCAGACACAACTCTTCAGCCACGACGGTAGACTTGTCTTTGTTGGAGGGTGTGAGGTCCACGGCAAGTCGCGTACCATCCCACATCATACCACAAGCCCTTTCCACCACATCACTAACAGCCTTCATGGTCTTCTCCACCACTTCGGGTATTGTGACTTCGTCTCCCAACTCTTGCTTTTTGCTGTCGAAACAGTAGATCCATGCGCCCAAGGCATCAACTACCTCTTTGGCCTCGGGCTTGAGAAACTCGGCTTTCCAGGCGTCGACGTCAGTGATCTCGTCGATCCAGATGGGGATGACGGCTGTGTAGTAGGAAGTCTTGAGGGTCCATTCGTGGGATGCGCCGGCGAGAGAGCCGGTGGATGGATCGGGGGTGGGTGCGGAACCCGTCAGATCTGTCGCATCATGAGCCTATGCCATCGTTAAACGTGCATGGGTGTGCGGAGGTGTCGAATATTTTACCTTTGACGACGCGAGAAATGTCACCGTCTGATCTGCCGAGGACGAGGATGCGACGCGGGTGTTTGATCTCCATTGCTGTCTCTGGCAAATGCATGTTCACGATGTGTAGGAGGAAGATGAAGGGAGGTCAAAAGATGGAGAGAGCTTAGAATTGTTCATTGGATTGGCCAACCACGTGACTCGTTTCTAATGTGAGTCGTCCTTCCTTCTTGCGCCTGTCGATAGACGGCTATGGGAGTGGTGCAAGAGTGTGCTTGGGGCGAGTCTTTTGCGCCTTGTCTGGGTGCTGCCACCAGATGCAACCTCTGGCTGGCACCAACACGCGAAGCGACATGTCTAAAGCCAAACTTCCCTTCTGACATTGAACTTTTGGCTCTCTCTTTTTCGTGTTTATAACCAAGACAATGAGATCGTCGCTGGCATTTATCCGCGGGGTCCACCTCTTTGGCCTCTAGCTCTGATGACAGTAGCGCGACCTCTGGCAAGACCGACACCTCTTCCGCGCACATTCCTGGCTCTGAACATGGGTGCATTTCTGTCGTGGACTTGTCAGCATAGCTCCTGTCTCACTCGATTGCCTTCTACCAACCTCAACATGTCCGGAACAATAAAGTATCGGACGTGCGATCCTCTGATGTAGACCTGGTCCAAATGTGATACGCGACCATCTCTTGCTGTGACGGTGATGTCTCTGAGTTGGCAGTTCATGTTGTCCTCGGCTGTTCATATCGTTAGTGTTCTGTTTCTTTTTCTGCTCTTCTTGATGTGGGAGGTCACACCTTCGAGTAGCTTGCCACGGTAGACATTGCCAGATGTGATTTCGACGGTAACAATGTGACCCTGTGATGTTGTCCGTCAGCATGCGCCCTCTTGCTTGCGACGGTGGATAAAGATGCGCGTACGGTGGCTTCGTTGAGCAGCTTGATCGGAATTCCAATGGTCGAAGTCATGGCGGGGGTGTATGGATAGTGTCGTACGATTCGGAGATGGTGTGTGAGGACGTGGAAAGGGTGAGATGAATGCGCCGAGAAAGAAGGTCGTGGTTGAATGAATTGAGAGCAGTCAAAGTCGTCGCCAGTCCGAACTGTGATGCGCGCGAATCTCCAGAGCTTCCGGCGGACCAGCCTTGGCATGATTCTTAGCGTAAAACCACCAGCGACGACCACGCTGTGGAATCATCTTTCCGACACATTTTTGATATCCAGAATGAACGTGTCGGGGACATTGAGCTTCTTCAGACTCTTCAGGGATCCATCCCTATGCTTGCCTCACCATACTGTCTCCACATTCAACCATCTGCCAATTCCTTTATCTCGTGCTTTTAATAAAGCAGATGGCGCGAATAAGGTAGATATAAGGGCAGTCGTGCTTGATAAGGACAACTGTTTTGCTGTACCAAAAGAGAACGAGGTGTACAAGCCTTACGCGGTAAGTTCAAGATTCTCTCAATTCAGTCCACAGCCTTTCGAGCAAGCATGTCTGATTGTCTTGTAGGAACGCTTCGAAGAACTGCGCAAAGCATACCCTGGCTCTCGTTTGCTGATAGTGTCAAACTCTGCCGGCACTCTATCAGATCCTACTGGAGCAGAAGCAGACCTTCTGGAAAAGAACACTGGAGTCAAAGTACTCAGACATAACACAAAGGTGTGTATGTCGAAATCACATAACTTGATTCTGTCTGACCTTGCTCTCAGAAACCTGGCTGTCATCCTGATGTGCTATCGTATCTTCGAAATGCTCCTGATACAGGAGTCACACATCCATCGCAGGTTGCCATCGTAGGAGACAGACTTTTCACTGATGTAATGATGGCAAACATGATGGGCTCATACGGTTTCTGGATTCGAGACGGTGTGGTAGAAGAAAAAGGACTCGTAAGTCAAGATTTATGAAAAGTCGTGATTTTGTTACTGATGCATTGTACAGTTTGTGAAACTCGAGAGAAGTCTTGCAGGCTTCCTTACTCGCCGTGGCTATGCTCCGCCATCCCCCCAGAACCAGTTTGAGTAATCGCTCAGTGCCATGTTCTGTCCTGCAGGGATCTTCCTCCGATACTGCTGAAATGGCAAGCTCCTGAAGATACCTTCTCGTGATCGGGTACCACACCATCAGGGAATGGAATGCTCATGACGGAAGTGTACTGCTCGGACGGGTATCCGGTGAAATGGCCCTCTCCAGTCGTGTCAGCCGCGACAAGCAGACCCTGGTTTCCTCCAATGAACCACGCTTGGTCGTCAGATGAAGGTAGTGAGATGTGTGCCAATCCGGACGTGTACACAACGAGCTATTGATGTCAGTAAAAAAATGGCATTTGATCTGTGCGAAGCATCACTACCTGGGGAGTAGGACTGTTGTGTCTGGTGGCATTGAATCTGGGTGGGATGATGGTGTACGAAGCACTGCTGGCGTTGAAGTTGAACCTCAGACTACCGGCAACACCAGGTTCGGATGCGTCGATCAGTGGTGTCGAGAATCGCCAACACTCGAGCGCTGACTCATTTGCAGCATTGGTAACCAGTGCAGTGACTACGAGGTAATCATATGCTTGTGCGCTCGCACAAAGCAGAGCGATAATAGAGATGAACAGTTGGAAATGCATGTTGAAGATCTCTTTCGTAGAAGAAGAATGTAAGAATATGATTTGGCTTCGAAGCATCAGCTTTTTGAGCAGTGAGAAGATGTTTATATGGTATTGAGGAAGCTGCAAAGGCCATGAAGTCATACCGCATGACTTGCTTTAGCACCATCAATGCCTCCACTCATGCGTGGGAGTTGGAAAAGCCTGTCGTAATGCGAGCATGCTACTGCAGCATCACCGTTGCTATTCACTCACTGGATGCCGCTCTTTCACTCCACCTTGAACCCCTCAGTCACAGGGAGTGTCAGCACGGTCCCGCAACTCCCTGATGTCATAGCTAGACTACTCAGAACTATACCGCTGAACAAACATCTCTCTTTGACTTTGATAGAAGTCGCGAATATCGTGATCGCGCGAGATCATAGCAACGCGACGGACTCGTGAACATCGAGAACGCTTTTTGACGTGCAAAGCGATTACTTCTTTGGCTCTAGCTTCATGTGGTCCGGCTCGGTTCGCCTCCACAAGTTGTGCTGCCGGCTTTTCCTTCCCTTCTCGCATCACTTTCCTCCGAAACATAACTCGATATCAACATCACAAGAAAATCATTCAGAAACAACGGCGATGGCGGAAGAAGACAGCCCAACCATGGAGATACCTTTGCGCGCTGCTAAGGGCGTGTCGCAATTCTTTCTCTTCGAAGCTCTGCGCACTGGCCGTGACGAGTTCAGAATCACAACCTCGCAACTCGGAGACGCGCGTGATAAAGCCGAGAAGATGCTCGCTCAGGAGTCACCTGTCGAGTTCGAGTCCTTGATCCGGGATGTGCGTCTCTGCTCCCTTAATCTTTCATGCCGAGAGAACAATCCGCTGACAAAAACAATTGCAGATCCTGGACACTTGTGCGAAGAGTTTGCAAACACATGCTGCTATTATCGAGGCTATTGCTGAGACATTGCGTGGTGATGCTGATGACCACGATGAGAGCGGTAAAGAAAAGATAAACAAATCCTCATTGCTGGTCGCTCAGATTAAGGATGCTGCTGCCGGTATGGAGGAGTTGAGAGACGTCAAGGTAAGTCACTCTATCTCTAGTATTCTACCGTTCCTTGTTGCGTTGCTTCGATTCAGGCACATGAATCACTGCATCTATAGTTCATGTTGGACCGTGTGCGTGTTATCATACACATCACAAAGCCTGGAGCGATTCTCACAATCTGACACTCTACATCTTCTGACTCATTGGCTGACTGACTCGTTCAGGTTGACAAGGAGAAGTCACCTCCGCTACCAACTGAAAGCGACTTTGACTCGGAGCCGGAAGTGCTATCATCCAAGAGATCAAAAGCTAGAGGGGTCGAGGAGGCCACTCTTCCCAAGAAAGAAAAGACCAAAACCAAGCATGCTCCGAACACATCAGCACCAATCACAGAGAATGCTTCGCCTGAAGTTCTGGATGACAAGACTATGAAGGGCAAAGGCAAGAAGCTTAGCAAGCCTTCCAGGATGTCAGCATCCAAAGCACCCGAGGGAGCCGAAGAATCTGTCAAGATGAAGGCTGCCAAGGTCAAACATTCATCACAATCTTCTGAGACAACTCTTGAAGAAAAGCTCGACACATCAATGGTCGACAATGACTCCCCACCAGAGACTCCAAAACCAGTCTCAGCGCAGCACACCCTTGTCGTCGACGATAACGACATCAATGCAGAAGTGGACGCGCGCCTTGCGGCCAAAGAAGCGAAGCGAGCTAAGAAGAAGGAAGCAAAGAAACGCAAGCGCGATTCTGTCGCTTCCGACATCTTCTCTCCGGATCCCAAGGCTGAGCCTGCACACATCACACCATTACCCGCTAAGAAAAAGGCTCGCGTTGACAAGGACGATGGTGATGTCAAGGAAAAGCGCCAGAGTGTTGATGACACACCAAGCAGTAAGGTTAAGACGAAGAAGCAGAAGACTGATGGCACTATCGAGAAGGCAGAGAAGACCGTCGAAGCAAACAAGGCGAAGCGCAGACGCTCGTCCAACACAATTGCGGCAGATGCACCTACTGCTGTTCCACAGACTAACAATCGCAACAAGAAGCGTAAGGTGGGATTTTGAACGATGGGTTAGGGGGAGGAAGAGATTGAACTCTCTGCTATGAGATCGCGAGCAATCATACATTTTCTTCACGGCATGGCTGTCGGTAGCAGAGTTTCGAGACGGGAAGAAGGAGATCGATCATGGTCACCGTTGCTATTGGCTCCAATAGGGCTCTACAGTGAAACATACAAGGATCATTGGACCTCCTCGTCAAGAGGACCTAAACAAATATACATTACAAACCCATTGCTCATACAATCAGAAGCAAACATCCATCATATCCTCGCATCCTTGCAAACATCTCCCCTTCTAGATCTTGCTCGAGTCCTTCTTACCCCAAGCCTCCTTTACGAATCCCTCAACATCACTCCACAAGTCTTCCGGTCTCTCCATAGCAGCGAAATGACCTCCCTTGTCATGCGAATTCACGTGCACAAAGTTTCCGGTTTCCTTGACCCAAGAGACCGGTGTGGGAGAAATTTCGTAGGGGAAGTAGGAGTAGCCTTGGGGTTTACCGGAGGGTTTTGCAAAGCGTGGTTTGCTGGAGGGTCCGGATTGAGAACCGAAGAGCTGTGTGAAGGGATATGTTAGTGACTGATAGCATAGGGGGGGGAAGGTGGCGACAGTCGGGCAGGAATAGGATAGAGGGGTTGAGGAGTAAGACTTACACTGCGATAAGGATAAATGCAGCGAGCGTACGTTTCCGTCAACCAGTACAAAGACACGGAATCGAGTATCTCGTCGAGTTCTGGATCCTCATCCGTCCACTCCAAGAACTTCTCACCGATCCACGACAACAGTGCCAAAGGCGATGAACTCAACGTCAATCCAATGGTCGCGGTTCTGGTTCCATGTTCCATCGCATAAGCGCTTCCAGAATCCCTGAAGGCTCTGCCTCTTTCCAATCCCTTTTTCTCTTGTTCAGAGACAGGAAGGGAGTCAGCGTTGGCAGGAGCAGGTAACTGATAGAGATTCAGATGGAAAGCTTTGCAGGAGGGGCTTTCGACGCCTAGTTGTCTGGCGATGAAGGAGCCCAAATCGCCGCCTTGAGCGATGTAGCCGTCGCCAAAACCGAGGGCTTGCATGAGTGAACCCATCACTGGGGCCATGTGCTCGGCTTTGAAGTCTCTGTCTACTGGTGGTGAGGAGGAAAATGCATAGCCAGGAAGTGAGGGCACAATGATGTGGTAAGGAAGTGTTGAAGGGTCGGGGTAGCGTTTTTTGATCAAAGAAAGCATAGAGAGGAATTCGAGAATGCTACCTGGCCAGCCGTGGAGGAAGATTAGGGGGATTGCGGTGGGGGAGGTTGAGAAGAGGGCGAGGAAGTGGATGGTAAAGTCTGAGCCTGAGGGGTCGGTGATGGGGATTGTGAAGTTTGGGAATGAGTTGATGTGGCGTTCGCATTTTCTCCTGCATTTGACATATACGTGAGTCCTGATGTCTCTGTTTCAAGGAGCAGGAGGCAGAGAAAAGGTAGCATACCAGTCGTAGGTTGTCTCCCAGTGTTTCTTTGCGTTGATGAGCCAGTCTCTGTTCATACCGAATCTTCGATCTGTCTGTTGGTTCTCGTATGTTGCAGGACCAATTTTAGAGTGGGCAAGCAAATGTTTCATAACTTGAATCTCATTGGCATCGATTTCGACCTTGAAGGGCTTAGGCTGGACCTTTGCGGTCGATGGAACTTGAGCGTAGTCTGCCATGTTGGGAGTTTGAACTCTGATAATTTACTTGGATGTGTTTGGAGAAACTGTCAGGAGGAATGAATCATATATATACGCCTACCTGTGGAATTGACGATAGCCATGGCCTTTGCATTTGTAATTGGACGGCATATCGATGATGTAGTTCCCCGCTTGGGAAGCTTATCCCTCGGATGTCTTTATCTGAGCCTGCCAATGGATGCAAGGTCCGAGAACTCATGGCTGATGGGTGGAGAGTGATTTTGTGAGATACCTCGAAGTCCCCATTGCCATGGACGAGAACTCATGTCAATGCGAGGTGGTGTGACAAGACAGACAGGGTGACATGGGACCGAGAGTTGGTCAAAGTGAAGCTTGGCTTTCTTTTCCCCGCAAAGTCCGTTCGTGCCTGGCGACTCTCGATAAATTTACGAAGCTCTTTTTCCCACGCGCATTGCTAAACCGACCATAATCTTTCAGCCACATCACACTCGACAAGCGAAACTTTGAGTGTCTCTGGATCGCATTAGTCTATTGTTCAGTTCCATCAATCCAACAACAGCTCAGGGCACGAACACATCAAGATGCCACCCAAGACGGCTACGGGCAGAGCTCGCGGAACGGGCACAAGAGGAAGAGGAGGCAGAGGAGGACGAGGAGGTGCCGCTGCCGCAACAGCAGCTTCACCACAAACCGAACAACCAGCGATCGATGCAGCACCAGCAGCAGAAACGTCCACACCGGCTCCCATCGCTCAAATGACAACAGCCCCAGTCGCAAACATGACTGCCGATCCTACGGCATCATCCTCGACTGCAGAAGCCACACCAGCAGCACCAGCATCAGCTCCAATCAAACGCGTAGCCTCAGTCCGTCGCGGCGGCGCATCAGCCTCACCAGCACCATCATCCTCACGCGGCAAGAAACCAATCGTGCCTGCACCAAAGGCAGTGCGAAGAAGCAAAGAAGACAGAGACGCCCTGCAGAAAGAAGCCAATCTCAAAAAGGCCGAGGAAGCAAGAGCTGCGCTCAGAGATGCAAAGAGAGCTGGAAGAGGCAGAGGCGACAGAGGCAGAGGAAGGGGTGGTGGTAAGGCAAGAGGTGGATTCATGGGTGATAGTGAGAGGACAATCAGAGATGTTGTTGCCAGTGGTCCTTTCTCGGCTGGTCAGGTGGCTGCTGACGCTGGATACCGTGGACAACGAAGAGGTGTAGGCGGAGGCGGCAGCGGCTTTGGCGGTGGAGGCAGTGGAGGAGGTTATTCAGGAGGATCAGGCGGTGGAGGTCCTCGCATCAAGAGCGAAGGTGGAAACATCTCATACGCCAATATCGGCATTGAAGACGGCGGCTACATTTCTTCGGATCTGGACGAAGCAGACGAAGGACCACGCAAGGATATCGACTTTATCAATCTCCTCAGCGATGATGAGCAAGACACGGCAACCCCCAACGCCGGTATGGCTCCCATCCGCGTCAACCGTGTCGAACACCGCGAACGAGAAAGGCCAGTCGCCGCAGACGCTTCAAAATCAAAAGCAGTCACCACCGACCCCTCGAATATATCTACCTCTGGAGCGGCATCAGGAGACGCTTCATCAACAGCAACAACGAAAGAACGCACAGCTTCCCCAGAACTTGTCCGCAGTAAAGCCCCCCGGGCAAAGGAAGTCCAAGTCGTCCGCAGCGAGAGAAAATGGAAAGGCGCCTGGGAAGACAGCTCCGACGACGACATGGCCATAAAGCCCGAACCTGCAGACGAGGATCCATCTTTCATTGCAGCACTACCACCTGCCTCAGACACACCCGCAATCAAGGAATCCGCATCTCCCGAATCGCGTCGCAAATCTAAAGGAAAAGCCGTAGCAAGAAAACACACCCTACCCACCGAAGCACCAGCTCTTCAAACCGTAGAAGAAAGACGGGAATGGGAGCGTCACCACCTGGATCTCGAAATCCTGCGTCAAGAACTTGGAGAAATCACTCTACCTTCTGCTTCTGCCTCGGCTCCAGCAACTCAAACAGACGCAGAAGGCGATGTGAAGATGGGAGAAAGCGCCACAGCAACAGAAGAGCAAGATTTGCAAGAAGGAGAAGACGCGACTAGTTCTCTGCCTACCTCAACAGCAAATGGTGCAAACCCACCGCCAGACCGCCGCACCGATCGCGTCTACCTCTTCCAATTCCCGCCCATTCTTCCTTCTCTGGCGCCTCAGACTGTAAAACCGGAACCTCAATCGCCCACTCTGTCGAAAAAGATTCCCGCGGCAACATCCTCATCCTCCGCTATCGACATCGATGCCACACCCACTTCAACAACCACCCCCAAAGCCGCAGCAGCACCCGCAATCCCAGAATCAGCAGGACAAATGCACTCACCCTTCCCCTCTGGCCTAGTCGGAAAACTGCGCGTTCACGCCAGTGGCAGAACAACATTGGATTGGGGAGGCACATCACTGCAGGTCGGCATGGGCACAGACGTGCAGTTCCTGCAAGACGCAGTGGTTGCAAAGTTCAACGACAAGTCCGACGTGCAGGGTGCCAAAGGCAAGGAAGAGGAACAAGACGAAGGTGCCTACGGTGGTGAGGTCATGGGCTTGGGTCAGGTCAGGGGCAAATTCGTCGTTACGCCGGATTGGGAGGAGATTGTTGGCGTGAGGATCTAGAAGTTGAAGCAAGCGAGCAAAGCATAGACATGGATGGAGCCTTTTCTCATTACATGCAGAGCAAATATCCTCCCTATGCGCTGGATTTTGTCACTACTACCTACCCTGGAGAACAGCCACCATAGGGCGGAGTTGAAGCCATCGCGATGCACAATTCTTTGTAGACGATAACGACAGCCACCGAGAGCCCCTAATAACATTATTTGCGTGGGCTCTCTATGGATGCTTCCTGTTCACCAAGAGGATTGTGCATTTCTGTGGTTGTCGGAATTTTGCACACAGGGAGGATGGATATGACTTGATGTTCATAGATAACGTTTTGCAGAGCTACTGTAATTCCCTCATCTTTTGACTTGCATCTCTACTTCCCAGATCCTCTTTCTCTTTTCGCCGGGCTGCTCAAGGCTCAGTTGCGCCGTCATAATCGCTAAGACACAATCCGTCTGCTAAACAGCTTCACCAGAGGGCTTCTCTTCGGTATCAAGGCTCAGTTCCTAACGATCCTTCTCCTTGAGTTCATCCTCTGCGTTCTTGACAACGACCGCCATGTCCTTTCTAGCCCACTCCCAGTAGTCGTTCCAGGCACGCGCGTGTTCGGCGGTAGTCTCGGCAGGGAAGGTCTTGTTGATGATGACACTGACCTTGGCGATGGCCTTGTTGTGTTCACCCAACTTCTCCAATTCCTGCTTGACAGCTGTGTCCTTGGGCTTGAAGGCGAGGACTGCTCTGAATGCTGCGGCCAGTCCTTCAAGACGATGAACAGTCTCTTCTGGGGCAAGAGTGACGAGCTTGGTCAGCATCAAGCAACACAGAATCTTGATCTCGTGCTCGTCGCCAACACCTGCTTGGATACGATCATAGAATGCAGAAATGGGAATGCGAGTAAAGGCGTTCTCCATCAGAGCATACAATGTCTCGTATGCAGACTTGCGAAGCTCGAGACCATCATCGACCTTGTGCTTGAAAGGACCCATGGACACCTCACGAATAAGATCTGCGTTGATAACAGTCTCCTTCAGAGCGAGTGGCAGAAGAGTGTCGAGGTGAGGCAGGATCAGATCAGGCTTGTTATGAGCTGCAGAATTGAAGGTGGTCAAGGCAAGACGACGGTTGTTCAGATCCTCTTCATTAAGCATGGTCGTGAGCATAGGCACGATGCTAGGTTGCAGGTAGATATCGTAAGAAGGATCGGTATCCGAGAATGTGTAACGAAGAGCCGAGATCACCATGCCACGGACGGTGGGAGATGAGTCGCTGAGGTACGCTTGCAACTGAGGCAGGTATGCAGCAGGATCAATCGTGGCCAGTCTACCAATACACTCAGCACCAACGACCTTGTTGTCCTCGACCTGAGAGGCAGTGATGATGCTATCCCAGAGCTGTTTCGAGTACTTGATCACTTCCGTCTCGGCGGCGGTGTGCTGTAGAAGTTCCTTGAGCGTGTGAAGAAGCAGGTACTGCTTGCCTTGGCTCATGCTAGACTGAATTTGAGGCAGGTAGGTGGAAACATTGCCAGCTGCAGCACGGCCCAAGGCGACAGCAGCAGCAAGAGACACCTTCTCAGTAGTCGAAAAGTAAGAGGTGAACAAATCAGGTCCATAGGGGAATGATGGACCCATGCGCAGACCAGCTTCACCGAGAATGTAGAGGGCGAGACATCTACGCTTCTCATCGGAGGTTGACTTCAACTCAGCTTCGAAGTCGGCAAGTGTTACTCCGACTGTGTTGCCTCCAGCGACAAGAAGAATACCGATCACTTGGCCGACAAGCTCAGGGTTGCCATTAACACCAACCTCAGCCAGCAGAGATTTCATCAAATTCTTGCCAGCACCCTTCTTGCCGATGATCTCGAGCGAACCAAGCAAGGCGTCGAGAGCAGCGCCGCTAAGATCCATCTTGGACACGAAGCAGTAGGCGTGAATAACCTCTTCGTTCAGTACAAGTTGTGGTCTCTCGTTGGCGAAAGAGCCGATGATGACCAGCGCGGGACCGATGAGGTGAAGATCCTGATCCACCAATATCAAAGGCAACAATAGTTGCACAATTTTCTGCACAGTCTCGTCATCGATGTTCTCGCGGCATGCTGGATTGACGGCCATGCGCTTCAAAGCAGTAAGACTGGCTCCGCGCAAAGTTCTGCTGGATTTGCGCAGCTGAGCACCCAACTCAAGAGACACTTCGCGGACCCACTCAGGTGAGAACTCCTTCGGACTCTGTGCCAAGACCGCGATCGTCTCAATGGCTTTGACGGATGCCAGACGGGTAAGCTCATTGCGAAGTCTGTCGCCGATAAGCTGCAGACCACTGAGTCTGCTCTGTTGGTTGAGAAGAGCCGACCCTTGACTACCAGAGGTACGACCAATCAACAGACCGAGCGACTGGACAGCCTTTTGGCGAACTTCGGTGTCAGTATCAGAGGCTGAAATGCGTTGAGTGACGATATCGTAGATTTGTTGCAGATAAGTAGCGTTTTGCTGTTTGGAGCCAGCGGAGCGAGGAGGTGTGAGAGCCTTGATATATACTTGGATTGTGTCGAATGCCTCGCTCGAGACCTTGCTGAACTTCTCCTTGGATACGGCGGTCAAAGCAGGTATGGTCTTTGCAAGATATGGCTCGATGACCTTGGAGGAGTGAGTATCAGCAACAACGCGCAGCAGATGCAGAGACTCGATACGGAGAGCATTGTTCGTCACGGAAGCGCCACCCGTTGTGCCACCGGTTGTTTTCATAGCATCGAGGACTAGATCGATGACCTGATCGATGCGTTTTGAAAGACCACCGTGTTGAGCAGTAACCAGATCTGTCAGTAGGGAGATTACGGCATGTTTGGTAGGGACAGTGCTCGACTTGAGCAACTTGGCTGAACCCTGCACGATTTGAGGATTGATGGCCGACAAGCTGACCTGAGGACCTCCTGAAGGTGGAGGCGTGGAGGGAGAAGCATAGCCATTGGACAGGGCAAATTGCGGGCGTTCGCTGGAGAAGCTACTGTCACGACGACGCTTGCGGCTGACCGGAGGACCTGTGGCTGAGGACATTCTGCGGAGACCAGGCGTAGAGCTGACTTCTCCGGTCTTTTTGATAAGGAAGGCAAGAGTGGACAAGACTTCAAGGCGCACACTCTCTTCGCGTTCTTGGAACCGTGACAGAAGAGCTGGTGCAATCCTTTCGTAGAGAACACCGCTATCAAGCAAGTCGCCGCTTCCTCGAGTAGCAATCAGGGTGTAGATGAGCTTGGCAGCACCACGACGAACCTTCCAGCTGACATCGTCCTCGTCGTCGAAGCCGGTTTCTTCCTCGAAGTCCTCGTCAAGATCAAAGTCGTCCTCCTGGTCGCTTTCTGCTCCATCCATCTCATCATCCTCATCCGCAGCATAGTTTGGGTCGTACTTTGCGAATCGAAGGCACGAGTCGATGACCTCTGGGATGTATGGTGTCATGTCCTGACTGCATGATGCCAGGAAGGATTCCAAAGCGAGAAGAGCAGCCTCACGTACTTCCTCGACCTGGGGATCGCGGCCTTCGTCTGACTCGGCAGCCTCCTCGTTCTGTTGATCCAACTCTTGCTCACTCAGAGGTGATAGTACAAAAGGGGCCAACGTTCTGAGGTATGGACCGAACTTACGAGGTATTGACTTTGCCATCGAGGCAAAGATTGTGAGATAAAGCCTACGCTGGGCGGTTGTGAGGTGAGGCTGGCGCAGAGTCTCGATCGAGTGTGACACGACTGAGCTAAGGAGCGAGTCGGAGAAGTATGGCGAGAGAACGGAGAGGGCGGTGACAGCCTTCTTTTTCATGACAGTGCTGCATCGGGAGTTCTCCAAGACTTCGGCTGTGACTTTTTGTAGAGCTTCCACCTCGGCTTCTTGCAGCATTGGACCGAAGCAACGCGCAACTTCAACCAGGACGTCCAAAGCGTTACTGTCAATGCCAGTCTCGACCTCGACCTGAATCATGCCCTTGGGAGGTGCAGGCAGGTTCTTGCCAGTAGGAATGACGGTGTATCCGACGAGGCGAGGAATCAAGGCGCGACTGACTGCTGAGTACGATTCTTGGACTTTCTGTGTGCGAGGAACGGCTGGGGTAGGGCGAGGAAGAGCGACGACCATAGCTCTGACGGCAAGGGCAGGTACAGAGCTGTCGACAGCATTGTCGGTACGGAGGTTTGAGATCTTGTCGAAGGTCGGGCACAGGATGCTCTCTGGAGCCTTGTTGACGAACGGGCCCAGGCACTTGATGGCCATGTTTTGTACGTCGCCATTTTGATCGTTGAGGGTGTGTAAAAGGCCTTCGACAACGCGTGCGCAGCAGCTGTAGTCGTGGGAGATGAAGGTGGGGTGGCCAATAGTGAGCATTTGGTTCAGGTCGTTCAACGACATGTAACGGATATCCGGATCCGTGTCTTGCAGCTTAGGCAAGAGAGAGGCGACATGGTGCGCAGTCGGATTGGCAGGAATGGCAGGAGCCGTTGTGTTGGCCATTATGGTAGTTGATCGGAGTACGAGAGATGGCTAAGCTGGAGTACTGTAGTGGGGGGAAAGAAGATTAATAAAGCTCTCTCATGCAGGGATTTGGTGAAGAGAGATGCGGATAAACAGAGTTGTCGGTCTGACGCTGCAGAGGAGATGTAAATGGGAGATGGAGAGAAATAAGTCGACTTGTTTCACTTTCCGATGTCGAGCAACTGGCACAGTGCCGCTGCGTGTTTGTCTCGTGCTTGATGCCTGAGGGCACAGACCAGGTGGTAGCTTCCCTTTATGACATGGACAAGGTGAATTATGACGGAGGAAAGAGAAGCTGCCAAGCAATGGTCATTCGACAGCCGGGAGGCACTTTCAGACCTCGACAGCCAGCGCGTCAAGACCCATTGATCGTCTACCACAACCCTACCTCGAACACCTCGAACACACACATACAACATGGTCCTTCCTCGATCTGCCATGCGCGGCTTCTCAGCTGCCCGTCTCCTCCGCTCCTCTGCCCGTCCTGCCGCTCGTGCTGTTGCCAGAAGAGGTTACGCTAGCGGCCACGGCCACTCAGCTCCCAGCAGCGACGTCCCATGGTAACCTGCTCACCATGCCACAATCAATCCAATTGGATCGCCATTGACTCTTACCCGCGCAGGATTCTCGGCTCTGCCGGTATTACCATCCCCGGCGCCTGGTACCTCTGGCCCGATTCATCCAACGGTGATGCTCACGGTCCTGGCGATGCCCACGCTAAGCAGGTTGAGGAGCACCCTCACATCGCCGAGTCTGAGGAGTCCGAGGATAAGCCTCAAGAGGAGTCCAGCGAGGACGACTCCAAGGACGACTCCAAGGATGACTCCAAGGATGAGTCCAAGGACGAGGCCCAGACCGAGGCCCACGACCCCAAGGACGACGGCGAGGAGAAGGATGAGGGCGGTGCTCTGAAGGATGGCGAGGGTGAGAAGACCCAGGAGCAGCCCCAGGCCAACAACGAGCCCGCCGCTGGCGAGTCCAAGTCTAAGAAGACCACCGACGGCAAGAACATGCCCGAGAACAAGGGCGATGTTGAGGGTGTCTCGTTCAAGGGCCCCACCAACGAGGGTGATTCTGACAACAAGATGCCTGATGAGCGCAAGCGCGAGCCCGACGGCAAGGGTGGCTTCAAGAAGCGTATCGACTCTGGCTACGGCAAGAACCTCGGCGAGGGTCCCGAGCACAGAGATGATGGCTCCACAAGCGTATGTTATGGCTCTCTGATCCTGATGAACCAAACTCACATCTCCTTAGGCTGCTACCTCCAAGACTACCGCCTCTGGAGAAGAAGGTGATATCAGCACAAAACAGAAGGGCTTGTCGACCACCCCCACCCGCCACAGCACCCGTATCGACTTGGATCCTGAAATGTCGAAGAAAGGTTCCAGCTTCTTATTCATGCGTTTCTGACCCCAAACTAACGTGTTTGTTACAGGCGAGGGGGCTCCTGACACCGCCAAGTCCCAGGGAACTATCTCAGTCAACAGACCGACGTAAGTCTGTCCTATACAAGTCTCGCAACAGCAAGCTAACCTTGTTGTAGCCCCGAGCAACAAAAGGGTCAACCTAAGGGCGAGGACAAGAACGACCAGCCCCGTGCTGACAAGAAGAAGGACGGAGAGTAAAAAGCATGACACAAGCTTTAGAATTGCCTGTTTCTTCCTCTCAAATGGTTGTTTTGGCCACATACCAACGAAGGTAACGAAAGCACCACGTTTGCGCAATTTTGTACATATGAATACATGTAACAACACTGCCGGTGGGCATGAGTCTACCTCGCTTGAAGCACAAAGATCGCGTACAAATGGAGATGTGAAGCCTATCGAGTAAGCGAACTGAATTTGAGGAAAGATCGCAGGTCTTGTGTCGAAACACCAAAGTTGATATGTCGAGCATGTGAATTCGGTCATGATTTCTGGCTTGAGCGGCTAAAATCATCCTGCCGAAATGTACAAGAGAAGAGTCTCAGCACTTTGAGATACCCAAAAGCGTATGAATTATTGTACAGTACGTTGGCACAGTAGCTTTGAGGTTGTTTGGGAGGTATGCGAAAAGCAGATATATCAGTTGAGAGCGGTGAAAACGGCTAAGTCAGCTTGTCCAGTGTACAACCCTGGTCGCAACCGACATCATCCACAAATCAACAATATCGCTTGTACTTTGAGCTTACTGTCCGGTGTCATGCTTTCGTTCAATGCTCTGATACTATGAGTATGTTCGTTGATAGCAATTGATGTCCTAGATCCCCGAAAATGCGATGCCAAAAATCTTGAGAACCAAAACTGAATTTTAGTCAAGATTCGCAATGCTCTGCCTCATATCGTCCTCCAATATCACGACGATAGATAAAAAGGAGTTTTTCAAAACCGAAATCAAAATGGCAAAGATGGTAAAAGGGATAGTCAAAACTACCACTTCACACTCTGCAACCCAACCACCCTTCCCGCAACAAAATCCTCGCAAGTCCACCACTCTTCTGTTCCTTCTGCTGTCTTAGCAACCCATGCCCAAGCGATGATGTCATGGCGTCTTCCATTGCTGTCTTGGACCTGTGTGGTGACTTTCCTCATCCCCATCTCTGGGGTTTGGGTAGGTTCTTGCATGGGACATCGCGTAGTGAAGAAAGCGTTGAGCTTCTCGATGCAGGCAGAGGTTTTGGGAAAGTACACAAGGCCATTGACGTGGTGGTATGTTGATTGGAATGTTGATCTCGCCAGTGAAGGAAGGAGAGTTGTAGCGTCAAGATATGTGGTGTGGTTGAGTAGGATGGCAGGAGTCAAGCGGCAGAGAAGGTCTGATGTAGGGAGATCGAGGACGGCGGAAAGGGTGCAAGGTAATTGTAGCATACTGTGAATGAAGATTGGAGTTTGGGTGAGGTGAAAGAGGGTAAGGGTCGAGGGATCGAATTGGTTTGTTAGTGCGAGGTGAGAGGAGAAAGGGAGGTAGGCGGATGTCAGGGTATTTGGTTCGGGCAGGGGGGTGAGAACTGTAGTGTGAGCTGATGCTGGTGTTTCTGGCGCTGATGGAGACCAGAGATCTGTGGTGACCGACCAGAGCGTGGTGTCTTGATCCAGCGAAGAATCGTCGGAAGTTGTAGGAGACCAGCTTTTCTCGACTTCATCATCGTCTTCGTTGTCTGGTTCGGTCATCGGCGAGCTTGCTTCTTCGGAGGTGTTCTCGGTGATGTCTTCGTATGTCTCACCACACGTAGATGTAGTGACCTCTTGAGAGTCAGCGTCCGTCAACTTCCGATCGAGCACGATATAGGCGCATGCTCCATCAGACGAGTCTTCAAATGGACGTCCACACACAGATCGTGATCTGATGTTGGATGGAGCAGCATTTTCTTGTGCTTGCTCAAGAGCTGTAGGAAGATGAGCTGAATTTTGCTGAGCCTCAATGTCGCCGAGCGACTTGCTTCTGTCACCACATGTTACGACGGGAGCTGATATTTAGAGAGAGAAAATGTGTTTACCTTGGTCTTTTCCATATGATATGCAAGTTTGTGGAAAACACAGCTTCCATATTTGGATCGGAAGAAGCCTTGATTCGCATCTTTGGCGACCCACGAGATCTCTAGGCGTATCGAGGAGCTCTGGGTATCGTCGTGACGAGATGTCGACGTCGACGTCGTGTCTTGCAGGCAGGGTTGAGATGCTAAGCAGAATAGGAGATGCTGTATGTTCTTTGTGCCTCCAAAGTTGTAGATGCGCGTACGGAGCAGGACAGGACCTACCACAAAGTCGCTTTCTGACCCGAGATATGACTTTAAATATAGAAAAATGCTAGATCGTGAATTGATGCTTCGTGTCTTGACTAGAACTGCACAATGTCATGTGTCTGACTGTGCCGATAGATGTCGACGCAAAGAGGGGATACGATGGCTTTCAGTCGCGTACGTTTGCACAGCAGATGTCGATGTGATAAAGAGCAAACTGACCTACCACTGGGATTACCTACTAGATGTAGGACCTTCCATGTTTGCTGTGAAGAGTGTGAAAGCACACGTCGAAGAGGTCGGCTGGCTCGACAGTATCGATCAGATACGGTAGAGAGCGGGCTGCTTGTTATCACTTTGATCAGCCGAATTTGCAGCCAGAGAAGGGTGTTCAAGCATTCGACGGAGATGCAAATGCCAGCCACAGAGTTCTTCACCAAGAAGCCATGGAAAGCGACTGGCGATACTTCAAAGCCGAACTTTCTGTTTCGAGATAGATCAAGGCAAAGCACAGTTGTGTCCCAGAAAACGCTTAATGCATTCTGCAAACACTCATGACCTGTTGGCGCGCAAAGTGCTGGTGATGGCTGTCTCATCTCAGAACATGTATTTACTGTAGGCAGCAGTGGGCTTGATCTTGTGCAACACTGGCTTGGTTTTGGTGGTGAGTAGAGACATGAGTTGGTCTATCAGATTCCATCGAGTTCTTTCACGGTGGCGTCAGTGAAATGGTAATCGATCGGGAGTAGTGGAGTGAGATGGCGGCCAGCTGGCGTTTGAAGTGAGCGGACTTGTGAAAACACCGAGCGGTGTCTTGGCACGAGCTGTCTCGCATCGTCATTGCCTCACATCGAGCACCTCTCTACAACTCTCTCTGCTCACTCGCCATCTCCCCCAATCATCACATAACCCTTGTCCATCAACTCCACCACCTTTTCCCTCGTTCAGATCTTGAACTTCTCGTCTTCATCAACACATACGCCGCAACAGATCTACCGCCATCATGTCTGGCGAGCCGGATCACGTCGAGACCAAGAACAAGGTCAAGCTCGAAGCGTACGATAACCATTCGCTCCACCTTGCATGTCACGCGCATACTGACAGGTCTTTCTAGTGACCCTTCTGGCGCTGAGCAGAAGCACGTAAGTCACCGATACCACATCCTCGACCACCAAAGGCACCGCAACTGACTTGCCTCCTAGGTCGAGAACGACGTATCAACGGCTATCCTCAAGAAGAAGAAGAAGCCCAACTCGCTCATGTACGCGCCGCCATCTCTATGCTTTGCCACAATCATACTGACCAGCTCTCTAGTGTCACTGACGCCACCAACGATGACAACTCTATCATCGCCCTCTCAAACAACACCATGGAGACTCTCCAGCTCTTCCGTGGCGACACTGTCCTGGTCAAGGGAAAGAAGCGCAAGGACACTGTCCTGATCGTTCTCGCCGACGACGATCTCGAGGATGGTCAAGCCCGCATCAACCGCGTTGTTCGCCACAACCTCCGTGTCAAGCACGGTGACATTATCACCGTTCACCCATGCCCCGACATCAAATACGTGAGTCGACCATAATACTTCAACTTCTTTCATCACTAACACCCGCCGCAGGCCAAGCGTATCGCAGTCCTTCCCATCGCCGACACAATCGAGGGCATTACCGGTTCGCTCTTCGATGTCTTCCTCGCTCCCTACTTCCGCGAGGCTTACCGACCCGTCCGCCAAGGCGATCTCTTCACATGCAGAGGTGGCATGAGACAAGTCGAGTTCAAGGTTGTAGAGGTGGATCCCCCAGAGTTCGGCATTGTCGCACAAGACACTGTCATTCACTGCGAAGGTGAGCCTATCCAGCGCGAGGACGAGGAGGGTAACCTCAACGAGGTCGGCTACGACGACATTGGTGGTGTTCGCAAGCAAATGGCTCAAGTTCGTGAGCTCGTTGAGCTGCCTTTGAGACATCCTCAACTCTTCAAGTCGATCGGTATCAAGCCTCCTCGTGGTATCCTCATGTACGGTCCCCCCGGTACCGGTAAGACTTTGATGGCCAGAGCAGTCGCCAACGAGACTGGCGCCTTCTTCTTCTTGATCAACGGTCCCGAGATCATGTCCAAGATGGCCGGTGAGTCCGAGTCAAACTTGCGCAAGGCCTTTGAGGAAGCCGAGAAGAACTCTCCCGCCATCATCTTCATCGACGAGATCGACTCTATCGCCCCCAAGCGTGACAAGACCAACGGTGAAGTTGAGCGTCGTGTTGTTTCGCAACTCCTTACTCTCATGGACGGCATGAAGGCTCGCTCCAACATTGTCGTCATGGCCGCCACCAACCGTCCCAACTCTATCGACCCTGCTCTTCGTCGTTTCGGCCGCTTCGATCGTGAAGTCGACATCGGCATTCCCGATCCTACCGGCCGTCTGGAGATTCTTCAAATCCACACCAAGAACATGAAGCTTGGTGATGAGGTTGACCTCGAGAGCATTGCCGCTGAGACTCACGGTTACGTTGGTTCCGATATTGCAGCCCTCTGCTCAGAAGCTGCCATGCAACAGATTCGTGAAAAGATGGATCTCATCGACTTGGACGAGGACACAATCGACGCCGAGGTTCTCGACTCGCTGGGTGTCACCATGGAGAACTTCAGATTCGCTCTCGGCGTCTCCAACCCTTCGGCCCTCCGCGAGGTTGCTGTTGTCGAGGTTCCCAACGTTCGCTGGGAGGATATTGGTGGTCTCGAGGAGGTCAAGCGCGAGCTCATCGAGTCCGTCCAGTACCCTGTCGACCACCCCGAGAAGTTCCTCAAGTTCGGTCTTTCACCATCAAAGGGTGTTCTTTTCTACGGACCCCCTGGTACTGGTAAGACTCTTCTTGCTAAGGCCGTCGCCAACGAGTGCGCTGCCAACTTCATCTCCGTCAAGGGTCCCGAACTTCTTTCCATGTGGTTCGGTGAGTCTGAGAGCAACATTCGTGACATCTTCGACAAGGCTCGTGCCGCCGCACCTTGCGTTGTCTTCCTCGATGAGCTGGATTCCATTGCCAAGTCGCGTGGTGGTTCAGGTGCTGGCGGTGATGCTGGTGGTGCTTCCGACCGTGTCGTCAACCAGCTTCTCACTGAGATGGATGGTATGACCTCGAAGAAGAACGTCTTCGTCATCGGTGCCACCAACCGTCCCGAACAGCTCGACAACGCTCTTTGCCGTCCCGGACGTCTCGACACCCTTGTCTACGTCCCCCTTCCCGACGAGTCATCTCGTGAGGGTATCCTCAGAGCCCAGCTCCGCAAGACCCCTGTCGCTCCCGACGTCGATATTGCCTACATCGCTTCCAAGACCAACGGCTTCTCCGGCGCCGATCTTGGTTTCATCACCCAGCGTGCTGTCAAGCTCGCTATCAAGGAGGCCATCTCAACCGACATTGAGCGCACCAAGGCTCGTGAGGCTGCTGGCGAGGATGCTATGGAGGAGGATTCCGAGGACCCCGTCCCCGAGCTCACTCGTGCTCACTTCGAGGAGGCTATGCAGAGCGCTCGCAGATCCGTCACCGATGTTGAGATCAGAAGATACGAGAGCTTCGCCCAACAGATGAAGCAGTCAAGCGGCAGCAACTTCTTCCGCTTCCCTGACGCTACTACTGGTGGCGAGGCTGGCGGTCAGGACAATTTCGGTGAGGCCGGTGGCGATGACGATCTCTACAACTAAGGATAGTTTTGAGAAGCATATATCATGGTAAAAGCAAAGCACTTTGATAGAAGCGGAGGAAAGGTTACGGGGGAGTTCTCTACTTAATGGCAGCCGCGATGGCACCACTTACTGATGAATTGACGGCGTGAAATGGCTTGTCTTTTTTCTAGCTATTTACCTAGTGCACACAGGAATGTATTTCGATCAACTCAATTTTTCCAATTGATTTGTGAAAGCTGCAATAGAATATGGATGTATGAATTGTGGTCATAAAACAAGAAGTGGTATCATTGATGAGTAGCCCTCAAACGCTGTACGAATGCGGTCAGTCACGGCTTTGTTCGTCCAGAGATATTGGTATAGCTTACCCTTGTTGATGCAAGAGAAGAGGAGGAAAGGAGACAATTATGAACTGCTCAAGCGGTGTCGACTTGACAGATCTTGTCCAGCTCCTTCTTGACGACCTTGACAGCCTGAGTAATTGCTTGATCGGGAATGGCTAATGAAGGACTGCCATCTTTGGCAGCACTACCCGAATCCGCCAAAGCTTCCTCCAGAATGCGGTCCATCAAGTCATCGTACTTGGTACACTCGCCAGATCGCATGAGTTGGGTAACGTGGTTTTTGAGATTTGTGGCCCATCCTGAAGCCTGTAGTTCGTGGAGCAAGGCAGTTTGAATGGTTTGAATGCTTCCAGCATCGACGAGAGCGGTAGTAAGTTGTGTTTGAGTAGCTGGTTGAGTTGAGAAGCTGGTGGACTCGTTGACGGAGAGTTTTTGCGACATGACTGATGTTTTGTTGTGGTGATGCTGTGATGCTGCGATGTGCAAGTTGGGTTTGATGGGCCGATGGGGAAAGTTCTTGGATGTGTGGAGATTTAGGGCAAGAGGTCGGGGTTGTTAGTGCCTGGGCCGATGCTTTCAGGCTGTGATGGACGTCGTCGACCGGCCAAGAGAGCAAGACAGCAACACTCGACTCACTCGGCACACTCACAGATACTCTCACTCGGTATAGACGTCTGCACACTGTCCAAGTCTCCACCGGGCATTACTCAGCCGCCACGTTTGAGCACAAACGGTCCTGCCCCAGTTAGCGCCGCCTTTACGCCAGGGCGCGCGCAGTGGAATGTCAATGGCCGCCTACAAGACGACGCAATACCACCATGATTCAGACCCCGACGACGAGTACCTGCGTCCGACATACCACTCGCCCACTCTGCCGCGCTCCCACTTGCAGAACGATCATTCTGACGACGACGACGACGACATGACGACCAGTGCCGAGCACACGCCCACCACCTTCAGCCACTCCCTGTCGCATTCCCTCAACCCAAGTCCGACCGGCCTCATCACCCAGTGGACCGCTGAGCAAGTCGCCGACTGGGTCGCTGCCCTGGGTCTGAGCCAGTATGCCGACGCTTTTGTCGACGAGGCCATCACCGGGCTGGCTCTTGTCGAGATGCAACACCACGACTTCAAAGAGATGGGCATCATGAGTGTTGGGCACCGCTTGTCTCTGCTCAAAGGCGTATACAATATCAAGATCAAGCAAAACATCCCTCTGGACCCGGATCATTACGTACCCCTGTGTCAGTCACAGTCTTGCCCGAACCTCTTCAATTTGACTAACAGCAATGCGCAGCCGCTGGAGACAACGCTTCGGACGGAACAGCTACCCAGGACGATATAACTCGCATCATTGATATCATTCGCCATCGCGACTCTCGCATTCTGTCAGCCGAGATCGAGCTCCGAACTCTACGTGACCAGTTCGACCGCATATCAGAAGAGAACAGAAAGCTGCGCGAGGATACTCTGCCCGTAATTCGCATGGTCAAAGATCGTTCCCAGCTACCTCCGACTCCGGCAGATGGACTCGGTACTCCTCCAGCGGACATCAAGCCTGAGAAGATAACCAGTGGCTTATCGCGCAAATTCTCGACCAAGAAGCTCTTCCTCGGAGGTGCTCCAAAGAACCCCTCGCCTACCATCCACGAGTCCTCCACCCTTGATCCTTCTGCCGCAGCGATCGCTGCAACTTCTCACTTGAATCCATCGCACCCCCAGAACTCGCCCAGTCAACTTTCACAACCATCTCCTACATCCCCCGCATATGCTTCTTCGGCACAAGCCATGTCTGCTGGAAATCGTTCCTTCCCACGCGACGTCCCTCCATCAGCTCGCCCTTCATACGTCGAGGACCCGCGTCAATCACATGTGTCCCACGCGCCCTCTACGATAGCACCTTCAAGCCGTCGTCAAGCGGTAACACCGGTACCTCCACAGGAAGACCCGCCGAACAGTGCTCCACTCCCACGCTCTTCTCGTGAGAAGGACAACCCACAAGTCGAAATATTCAAATCTTTCCGTGTGAGTATCGAGGATCCTTGCCACAAAGTCTTGCCTGTAGCTCTTCAGCGGTACAACATCAACGACGACTGGCAGCAATATTCTCTCTACATTGTCTATGGCGATCAAGAACGCTGCCTGGGCCTAGAAGAGAAACCGCTTATGCTGTTCAAACAACTCGAACGTGAAGGCGGTAAACCCATGTTCATGCTTCGTAAACACGCCGCTCCTGTTGGTCAAGGCTGGTCCGCCAATCGTACTGTTCCTGCCTCAGAGATGCAGAATCTCGGCCCCAGTAGGGAAAGCCTGAGAAGAGATAATGCGGATAATGGCCGAGCGTTACCTGGAGGTGTGCTCTAGGCGAGCACTCCTTTCTCAAGGTTAATGCAGGACCTCGTTGGGTTTCACCATGGCGGTGCCAAAGTCAGAGGCAGAAAGCTATGGTACTACCCAGCACAACAAATTACAGAGCACGCGTTGAAGCATGGTGTCGAAATCGATTTTGACGACCTTTACAGTGCCGGGAAAAGGCAGAAGAGAAAGACGAGTCTTTGCCAGAGGAGAGGAGCACTTGAGCTGAAAGTCTCGATCCCGAGAACAGTGTTGGAGTAGGAGCAGGAACTTTCTTCTCAGGTGGTCATGGGCTCTCTCCTTGGTATAGGGATTTGATTTGCAAGCTTGATTGACGATTCACAAAGTCTGATGATCTAGAAATCTTAGACCATCTGTTCTACGATTTGGTTTTGTACTGTTGGTGCTATTCTGACACGGCACCGAGGGAAAGATGTAGATATCCTTGTCTGGCGATACAAGACTGTACGCGAACCAACATTTGTCAAAGTCACATGTCCTTCCTACCACAAACTTTCGTATCGTTCGTTGTCAAATGTTATTGTGTCTTTCTCCCTTATTTGTCCCGATATATCAAGGGCACACATGATGGTGGACCCTGTCCATTCTCAATTAGGACAAATAAGTGAGAAAGCTTATTATTCGATATCAAAGCGACAACCACAGAACTTATCTCACCGTGGAACAGTGCGCAATCGTTCCGAATCACTCGCCCTACAAACGCTCAGATCACAGTCAGGATATGACAATCAGACGCAAGGAGCCCTCGGGCGCCCGAGACCGGCCTTTGTATCTGCCGTGATGGCCCCGCTTTGTCTGACGGTCGCGCCCCAGATTGGTATCTCCATGCGACTCTATCTTATCGCTCTCCGGCTATACCTCCGCAATCGGGTATAGCGTACTTTTCTCACAGTACCGCTGCTGGCAGCTGGCAGTAGATATAAGAAGAGGTGTCTTGTCCTCGTTGGGAGACCGCTTCTTTGTGTATACCTCTTCCCTCTCTACTCTCGCCAACCATGGCTCCTTCTCATCCTCTTTCTATCCTTTCCATCGACGAGACCAATCTCGCCAGAGAGATTGTGCTTGCTCACCACGACAAGGAGGTCATTGACTTCAGAGAGATCTTCCTCCAGGAACCTACCAAAGCGGAGTTGGTCAAGTATTTACAGCTTGAGCACTCTGGCCGCTTGTCTCCTACTTCTGCTCGCCCTGCTCGTTTGGCTAAGTGCCAGTATGATGTTATTGGCCAGGATAGGATTCCTTCGTACCATGAGAGTGTGGTGGATATTGGATCCAAGCAGAGGGTCAAGCATGAAGTTATCGGCAAGGAGCATCAGGCTGCTCTGACTCTGTAAGTTATAAGACATCTGGATCATACATCAATGCTAACCCCTGATACAGAAAAGAGTTCGAGGTTCTTGTCAATGTCTGCAAAGCCGATCCTAAATTCAAGCAAGCTATTGCCGACCTGAACATTCCCGACTACTACGAGATTGTCGTCGAACCCTGGCCCTACGGTGGTCTTGACGAAGAGGACGAAAGCCGTCGCTACTTCCAAGGCCTCATTTTCGCTCAGGATACACGCAACAAAAATGCCGACTCCAACTTCTACGCCTTCCCTCTCCCTCTCATCCCTGTGCTGGATATTCACAAGAAGGAAATCTGCCGTATCGATAAATTGGCTACTGGAGGCAAGAACGACAGTTTCACGGCCAAGACTCATGCGGAAAAAATCCTGGATCATTGCACCACGGCTGAATATGTTCCTGAATTGTTGCCTCAAGGAGTCAGAAAGGATCTTAAGACGTTGAATGTGTTGCAACCTGATGGTCCTTCGTTCAAAGTCACCGATGAATCCTTGGTCGAATGGCAGAAGTGGCGTTTCCGTGTCTCATTCAACCCTCGCGAGGGAGCTGTTATTCACGATGTGCATTACGATGGCAGAAGCGTTGCTTACAGATTGTCAGTCTCCGAGATGACTGTTCCTTATGCCGATGCTCGTCCGCCGTTCCAACGCAAACAAGCCTTTGACTTTGGTGATGGTAAGTTCTTCCATCTTTGACTCTCTCAACAGTACACTGACCTAAATTTTCGCTAGGCGGAGCCGGGAATTGTGCAAACAATCTGTCTCTAGGATGCGATTGCTTGGGTGTCATCAAGTACTTTGATGCCGTGATTGTCGACGACGACGGAAAGGGAAAAGTACACCCCAATGTCATTTGTTTACACGAACAGGACGAGGGTATCGGTTGGAAACACACTAACTGGCGCACCGGCCGTGCAGTGGTGACTCGCAGTCGAGTGCTGGTCGTCCAATTCATCATCACCCTCGCCAACTACGAATACGTCTTTGCCTACAAATTCGACCAGTCAGGCGGCATCGATATCGAAACACGCGCTACTGGCATCGTCAGCTGTGTCAACATCGACGCTGGCAAGACCTCCAACTACGGAAACGTAGTCAACCCAGGTGTTTTGGCACAGAACCATCAACACATCTTTGCTTTCCGCATTGATCCCGCCATCGATGGTCATAACAACACAGTCATCACTGAAGAGTCTCATGCAGTTCCCATGAACCCTAAAACCAACCCTCGGGGCAACTACTACGAAGTGCGCAAAACACCCTTCGAGAAGGCCGCCTGGGCAGATGCCGAACCCAGACTCAACCGCGTCTTCAAAATCGTAAACGAGAGTGTCAAGAACCCAGTGTCTGGCAACAGCGTAGGCTATAAACTGGTACCCCCAGCCACACAGCTTCTCCTCGCCGACCCCAACTCCGTACAAGCCCAGCGCGCGCAATTCGCCCAACATCATCTGTGGGTGACCAAATACCGCGATGACGAGCTCTACGCTGGAGGACGCTTCACCATGCAGTCACGCAAAGAAGTCGATGGTGTCGCTGATGCAGTGGCCAGAGGCGACAAAGTCAAAGATACCGATTTGGTGGTGTGGAGTGTCTTTGGCTTGACGCACAACCCTAGAGTGGAAGATTGGCCGGTCATGCCGTGTGAGATTCATCAGGTGCATTTGAGGCCTGCTGATTTCTTCACGGCAAACCCTAGCATTGATGTGCCGCCTAGTAGCAACAAAGCCTCGGTTGAAGTGCAGAAGAGCTGTTGTCAACCTTCGCAGGGAAAGCTTTAGGGGAAAGCGGGAGAGGAGTAAAAGAAGAAGAAGGAGAGCAATGGTGACAGTGAGGTGCAAGTCCCTCGGATGAACAGCTAACGACTTTGGGATGCAAGTCTCCCTCTATGACAAGTACAATAATGACTTTAGATATCAAAAAGGATGCAAGTCTCCTTCGCAACGACTTTAGAATTTTTCTTTATTTTTTATCTACAGCAGAATTCTATAGCATGGATTTGCGTTCACCACTTGCTTGTTTCTCCTCTCCCTTTTGCTTTCTAATGTGGTTCAATTGGCTTGGGGGAAATTATGTCATTTTTTTTTCCCCAGTTGAATGGTCCTTTGCTTTGCACACGATGAATTTTGGAGGAGGAGAACGGTGTTCGTTTACATCAAAGACTTTACGGAATACGTTGGAGCACATCCCTCGGACAGCATGGGAGTCCATCCTCTTGCATCCTGAATTACTGACAATGATCGTATAAGCGATGCTTGAAGCTCGCACTAATCTTTGAGTGAAAGTCGAGGTCTTTTCTACTCGTAGAGCTAGCTTTTCAATAGCATAGGTCGATGATTCTGTAGCACACTCTAGTAAGGCTTACTATAGACCAACTTGGTGCCTGTACAGCAAGAGATTGAAAAGCATACCTGAGTCTCACATACTTGACCATGGTTCCGAGTTCTTTCTGCCTCGCAACAGAGTTGGTCTTATATGGAAACCGTCATACTAACTTGACGATGCATTCGATGGTGAGTATAAACTCTGAACGCTGCTCAATTGCAACGATATTAGCGAGAATCGCTGTTGACTGAAGACTCTCTTTCTCTGAGAGAGTAACTTCCCAAGCCAGTCAGCGAAGGTGACTCGAGTATGTAGAGCAAGCCCTTCATGAGAAGGGATTGATGAGTCTTTGACACACTCACTTGAGATTTGAGATGGAGTGGTCCAGGGCAAACTTGTATGCACAGCAAGAGATTGGCAGGGTTACTTGAGCTTGCAAGATCTGACCATAATCACAAGTTCTTCTTGCCTCGAAGCAGTTTTGCTTTAGTATGAAGAAACGTCATGCAAGAAAGAAACTATATTCAGCAATAAGTGTAAGCTTCGAACACTGCTTACAATGGCCTTAGTAAGCATTAATGTTAGTTGAGTGTTCTTTTTATGCAAGCAAGTAGGCTCCCACGTCAAGCAAAGCTTCTTGGTTTGAGTCTGTATAGCAAGCTCTCCAAGTCCATCAAGTGCCTTTGAGATACTCAAGTGAGGCTCGATATGGTGAGATCTGACGCAAACCTACATGTATACATAGTACGAGATTGAAAAGTATACTTGAGCCTCACATACAGGTTCGAAGATGGCCATAATGTTCTCCCTAAGGATTTCTCGTAGCAGAGTCAGTGGTGTATAAAGAAACGTCGTGCTTACATGATCCATCGCCACTGAGTCACTGACCAAGGTGGAGGGAGTTTTTATGAGGACGAGTCGGCAAGAGCACTCTTCCAGAACATCTTCTGCACGTGGAGATTGGAGAATCGAAAGCGTCAAAGCCAATTCCATCCGTGGCCTCGACCGCTCTTATATGATTGCCTTTTATCGAGACAACCGACCCGCAATCAGAGCCTCTGAAAGCAGTCTTTCGGTGGAAGATAGCAGAATGTATCGGTGTGTAGATAGCAATCTCGCAATCTTGCAAGCACATGTCATGTAAAAAAAGCCTCCGACGCCAATAATTGCTTTTGTTTTCCCTGCCGTGGTATTTTTAAACCACACTCTATCGACTGTGTCAAGATGAAACAAAAGCCTCTCGGGTCATGAGTTTTTGCGGCTAGAATGATTCAGAGCGGCTGCCGGGACAGCCAAGCATACTCGCCCGTGGACTTGACTCCTTGTGCCGAATACTTTTGCTTCTATTGTCGTGATTGCTTGGCTGATGATATCAAGAGTCTCGTCCTCTGCATGCTATTACGCGCTTTGTTGGTCTGTGAGAGGGACAAAAAGCCCACAAATATGCGGTGGTTGTGGAGTTGGGTGCGGATGATCGACTGAGAGACAGATTCGATGACAAGGGGTGTTGCTTACGCGACGTCTTGTCCCGGTGTTGATATCAAGAGTGTCTGTGAAGTACACTTGTATACTGGTCAAGTCCGATGTAGACATGCTCAACTGACAACCATGTCCGGACAGTGCGGAGTAGACACGAACATCTTCTTTCGCAGGAAGTCCTGTCATTGAATGGTTTCTTGTGAGGGCTGGGCTGGGCTGGTCAGACGCAAAGGTCAAAAGAGACCTGCATGACGAGCGTCACACAACACAGTGTCGACTGGGAAACATGAGAAAGCAAGGACAGTCAAGCACGCTGGCCATCCAATATTCCAACACGAATTGTGATGAGCAGCTAACGTTTCTGCGCGAGAGCGACGCATGCATCAAATCTTCTGAAAACGCCGGACATTCGACTCGGCGATAAACATGTTGATCAACACCTTGCGAACTGTTCCCGCGGCGGCGGCGGCGGCGAAAAAGACACTTTTTGCTGTCTTTGAAACATAACTCCCAACAGACAGAAACACCGAGCAGTAAGATTTTTTGACTTTTCGAAAGGATGCAACACGGTTTTCTGCCACGGTTGGCGGAACCTGGAGGCGATCTTTTGCTTTGCAGAGATGTGCCAAGTCGGAGGGCTCGATCGAGCGACCGAGAAAGCAGCCACATTCTACTGACGATCATGCGTGTTCGTCAAGGCTTTAACAACGGGTATCACGGGACCCGCTGAGCTTGAGCAAAACTCGGAAAGTATGATTGGACAATAGCGAGATTTTACGAAGACTGTTCGTAAGACCCAAAACCTTGACGCGACGTCCAGCCTGCTGGAGGCTGGGTGTCAGCCATTGGATAAGCAAGATTGGTCGAGAGGGCAACACCTCCCAGCGAGCAGCAAGCTGGAATGGTTGGTGTGCTCCACACAAATCGCGAGCTCCGCCACCGAGACCAAGAGAGCTAGGGCAAATCTTGTTTGTTTGGAGACGGGAGAAGCATCCCGGACGTTGATCTGAGCCACGACTGGGGAGATGGACAGAACTATTGGACTCTCCTGACAGAAAATAGATGGGTATCGAACAAGATTAGGCGCAGTACGAGAGGAAATTTGGAGAGCTTTAGTTGAGCAATCAAATCGTTACTGATAACGGACATGTAATTGATCGAAAGGAGAGTCAGAACGATGCGAGATTGCGGTGGCTGCAGGGATGACATCCAGCCGAAACAGTTCGAGCGCACCGGGATACGTCAAAGCGTCTGGCCAGCAACAAAGCGAAAGCACGAGATCGACCATCGCATTTTATGACGGCGGGACGTGAATGAGGTTGGCAGAGGCAGAAAGCGTCGGATTCGGCGACAGGATTGTGCGCAGGCTTGGATGCTTGAGTTTTCAGTGGGGAGGGCACGCGGATTCTACACGTTCGCCACGCAGGTTTTGATGCTAAAGAAAGACAAGAGTTTCCATTCCGCGGCGCTGTAGGGCGGCCAGAGCCTGGGGAAACCTGATGTTTGGTGGTGGAGTTTGTCGGTGGTGGTGTTTGTGCAGGAAATAGCCGCGTAACGATGTTTGCCACTAAAATGGCACTAAGGACTTGGCTAAAGCTCAACCCAGGGCGGACATCTTTCAAAACAACCCCCTGCCCGGCCCTCTCTTTTCGCTGCCACCTTCGCACCTTCCTCTCGTTGTTTCTATTACGAGTGCTTTCATTCCGCAAAAGGCCGCTTCTCACATTCGCTCTCACATTTCTGTTGCATCTGGTCCTTTCCACTTGCACTACACTTATCCCAGCGCTTCTTCACCTGCAACAGTTTATACACTTTCAAGGTATGTTTTTGGCCGCTCTCTGCTTCCGCAAACATCCTTCTGTTTGTTCCCGACACTCCTCGACGTGTCCCAACTCGTGCGCTTCTCATTGAGTCGCTCGTGGCACTTGGAAAGAAGTTTCGGTTGCACACAATCCCCTCTTCTGTGTACACATCACAACAGGCCATTCTTGCTGACGCGCGGCCCTTCAGTTAATACCCTCTCACAATGTCGATGAAGTACCTTGTTCCGGCACTCGCTGCCGTCGGCGGTGCCTACGCGCAGAGCTCTTGCAGCGTTTCCGGTACCACCACCATCAACGCTGCCGCTGATGCCTCTGCCCTCTCCGCCTGCTCCACCTTCTCTGGTTCCATCGCCATCGCCTCGGGCCTTGGCGCACCTGTCTCGATCCCTGGTGTTAGAAGAATCACGGGAGACCTTGTCGCAACCAACAACTCCCAGATCCCCTCCATCTCGGCCGACAGCCTCCAGACCATCGGTGGTGCCTTCATCCTCAACGAGCTCCAGATTCTTTCGACCCTGTCGTTCCCCCAGCTCAGCCAGGTCGACTCCATCCAGTGGAACGCCCTCGCTGGTCTCCAGCTTCTGTCGTTCACCACCGGTGTCCAGCAGGCCAGCGAGCTCAACATCCAGAACACTCAGCTCCAGACCCTTGACGGTATCAACCTTGCTGTTGTCGACACTGTCTTCATCACCAACAACAACTACCTGAACGACATCTCTATGCAGCTCGGTAACATCACCAACTCGCTCAACATCGAGTCCAACGGTGGCAACGTCTCGGCCATCTTCCCCAACCTGATCTGGGCCAACAACATGACCTTCCGCAACGTCTCCCAGATTGCCCTCAACTCGCTCGTTTCCGTCAACGGCTCGCTCGGCTTCTACTCCAACGAGTTCGAGTCGCTGCAGTGCGCCAACCTTACCACTGTTGGTTCCAACAAGGGTGACTTGACCATCGTCTCCAACCAGAACCTCAACAACGTCTCCTTCCCTTCGCTCAAGAAGGTTGGCGGTGGTTTCTCCATCCAGAACAACACCGAGCTCATGGTCATTGACGGTTTCCCTAAGCTTGCCACTATTACTGGCGCTTTCGACCTTTACGGTGACTTCACCAAGTAAGTTTCTCAGCATGATTGAATCACGACCATTTGCTAATATATCGCAGCGTCTCTGCTCCTGCTCTTAACGAGGTTGACGGTGCTTTCAACATCCAGTCTTCTGCCCAGCTCGGTGGTTGCGACGCCTTCCAGAAGCTGAAGTCTGGCTCCCAGATTCGCGGCAAGTACTACTGCAACGGTACCGTCGCTAAGCCCTCCGGTGTTGGTTCCAGCCCTAGCACTACTGGCTCCGGCTCCTCCAAGTCTAGCTCCACCGGTGCCGCTAACGCCATGTACATCCCCACCGCCGCTGCTGGTGTCATGGGTGTCGTTGCTGCCATGTTCGGTCTTCTGTAAACGGGTCTTTACTTGACTTGGTGTTGATCCAATTGCATGGCGTTTCGATTTCATTTTCTTTGTCTTGCGTAGACTAATCCACGGGACATTTCCAATCTATCCCAATGGCCCGAAGGGTTATTCTACTCACATACCGGCTCCGAGTCTCATCTGAGCGAAAGCATTCTTTTAAAATACAGGATAAGCGTGCATTGAGTGGTCCTCTTGCTCACAAATTTTATTTCTTTTTTCTTCTAATGGCTTCTAACGAGTTTGGCGGACGGTGTTTATTGTAATAACTCTTATTATCGTATGAGATTCTTCGTGTTCATACTTCTTCAAAACGCTTTTGTTAACCTGAACGTCAAATTTCGAGAAGATTTCAGGTACTGGCTGTAGACCGAAATGTTCAACCTGAGGCGACCAGTGCATGAATAGCTGACGCGATGTCTCGTGCAAGGGATTTTTTGACTTTTCACCAAAGGGATGCACGCTGAGCTTCTCTGAACGTCACGCCGTATCATGAACAATTGACAATCTTCCCTCTGGTTGTTTTTACGATGAGTGATGATCGGACGTCTTCGATGACCTCAATCTTGCACCAACCAAACTTGATCCAACGATATCACTGCATCCAGCCGGGGACCATCAACATGAGGTCGGCGAACAGGCGCGTCTGCATCATCTCGACATAGCCAAGACGACGGGACGAATGTGCACTCATGACATGACAGTACGCATCGGATGTTGGTAGCCTGCGAGGGCTGTTTCATCACTCTTCAGCGTCTTTCTTGTGCGACCCCCAGCACTATCGGCGCGCCTGCCAAAAAGAGAAAACGTATCAGAGACGTCTCGCGCATGAGCTTGTTTATTGAAAGTGGAGTATGTATGCATGAGCAAAACGCCTCTTTGCAAGGACGGCTGAACCAAGCGGGGAGTGTCCGGGATGCAAGAGCCGACAGTCATTAGTTACGGTTGCACGACACTTGCAGTGCTCCTGATTCAACAACCGCTCTCGCAGACCGACCATTGACTTCCGGCAGTTAGTTCATCGTGCATCACCCTGGTCAATGCCCTCAAACGATTGGACCATTCATACCTGCGCTTCCTGGAAGTAAGCAACCTACATCGGAACAGCAGACCTGGTGGTCTTCGCTTTCTAAAAGCACGACTCGAGCAAGCCAAGTCCCACCGCGTTCCAAGAACTCGGTCAGGCAGTTGGTGCATATCTCCCGACTCATTTCAGCCTCTCCGTCTCCACCTCGATCAGCATTCGACGCCGTGTGAATACTCAGTCTTTGCTCAGCGGTTTGGATCATATCCCATCTAATACTCTAGAACAGGCGCACGCTCCCGGTTGTGGCACAAAAAGTCTGGTATGCATTTCCGCTTGCAGTTCGCATGGCGAGGTCGATATTCAAAGCAGCTGCCCGTCCAGCAACGCCATTTCGACAGCATTCGAAAGAGCGGTATACACTGTCTGCTTGTCATGATAGGCAGACAAGGGACACTCGCATGACAGCTATAGTGCAGATGGTCTAAGATGTCAAGCACTGACGGAAGATTTTCCGATGTTTGCGGCACAGATTCTCTCCTCATCGATGGCGGCGGCTCTCGGATCTAATCCGCGGCGGCAAGGGGCTCAGAACCTGGGTGCCGGACCCTCACATCGACAACAGCCTATCGCAAACATGATGAGAGATGAAAAACTATGGATCCGGTCAGACATCTCGAGCTAGCGCTCGTTCTTTTTTGCAAGCCACCAACCAGTCAACTTCCTCGGCTGATCTTCTGATCCTTCGAGTCTGATATATCATATTTTGCTCTGATCACAACTGCTCGTGCACGGCTAATATACTCCTATCCCTCTGCTGCGCCGCGCGCGCGCAAGTTTGGACAAATCACAAGGACATGTCTGCGCAGGGCATGGAGTCAGGCCCGCTTTAACAACCGCCGCACTACCGGCTTCTCATGTCCCGTCGCTAGTTGCATCTTACAGTACGATATGCCTCTTGACGGTATGCATTTGCAAGTCGGCATGCAGAAGAGTGCCTCACATTGATTTTGATGTTCTCTTCTGCAGAGTCCCCGCGTGTATGAACGAGAGTAGACTGCTCAAGAAGCAGCGGTGAAGAAACATGATGCATGCCAGCAAGCCCAAAGATGGAAGGCCACTGGCGGTTGTGTGACTCAAGAAGATCTGGAAGGAAACCGACCAGGTTTGCGAACTGTGTCCCTGCAGGTTGGGCTCAAGCGTCAAGAGGCTTGCACCAGTAAGATCGTCTTGTTGGCACTTTCGGCACAACCTGTAACTGCCCTGAGCGGCAATGGCTGCTGTTCTAACGTTAGTGTATGCTGTGTCCAGCGCTATACACTGACCCGGCATACGGTAAAAAGTGACATGATGGAATAGACGCGATGCCGACCATGTCCTGAGCTTCTATTAAGTATATCAAGTCGGTAGGTACCTTCCTTTTCATCTTCATCCTTCATCATCCATTCAAGATCATAGTGCGTCAATTGGTTTGGTACTTTGCTCAATCGTTCAACGTTCTTGTTCTCTTTTGGGTTGGCTTTCTTCTTTGACTTTTGCTTCGCTCGAACGTGTTTACTATTCCATCGACAAACGCCAAACACGTGATCTCACTCTACATACCACACTACACAATCTCTCTTGAGACTTCGACTATCATCTTGCCCTCGGCACAACGATACCTTTCCAGAACATATCAACATGATCTACGAGTCGTCAGTCTTTAGCTTGTGCAACACAAGAGTCATCGAGACTAACACAATGCAGACATAACCAGGCTGTCTTTGGACGCAGAGCAGTTGACCGCGTCAGGCAGGTTGGAGACCATCTCATGTCTCGTCCTGTACATGCTCGAGATGATATGGCTTCATCTCGGATGCAGCCAACGACTGGTGCTTCCTCTGTTCTGCATCATCAGAACGGTCTGCCTACAAGATTGGCACCTACTGCATCACTGCCTTCCTTCAAGTATCTTGCTGAGGTCGCCGATCTCCAATACATGCGTGCTCCTTCGGTGGGGTATGACTACGTTCCGGTCCCCCTCATCGGAGCAGAATCCACACTTATCTCACCTCCCGAATCTGTTATCTCGCCTACTCCGACACCATCCAGATCCGTATCGCCAATCATGGCCAAAACGGCTCCATCTGCAAGCCGAGCTAAGAAGCAGAGCCCATCTTACAGAGTCGAGAAGACTACCAAATCTCCGAGGCGCAAGAACTACTCTGACACGGCCAAAGCACAAGGAATTGAGAACAACAGACGCATCGAGGCGGCCCAACGTCCCTACAAAGACGGCGTCCAAGTGACCGCCGGTCACCACTCTTTCCCTCGGTTCGATCATATGTATGCACCACCTGGCGAGGCCAAACGCACCAAATCGGCGACTGGCAGCAGCGATCCCAACACCCGCCACAACATGGCCCAGACTCATCTTCGAGCTGAGAAGGGAAGCTACAGAATGGTTTTGCAGCGTCTTCTTGTCAGCTCACTGCACTGGAGAGACGCCAAGCTGCAAACTGTGGTCAACGCAAAGAGCAGTGGCATGGTGTACGAGGAGAAGGATCTCCTGAGAAAGTGTGCACAACTCAGCGCGATCTGTCTCATCTTGTTACAGCCGTTGTTCGACGAAGAGGGCATGCAAGAGCTTTGCAACATGCTTGACCTGTTCGAGCCAGAAGACGTGGGTCCTGCAGAGGTGGTGAGAGATGAGCGCGACGACGACAAGACCTACGAGCTCAAGTGTCAAGCCGCGAGGATCCAGGTCATCGACGAGGCACATCTGCCGCTCGGTTTGAAGCATATTAAAAGTCGAGACGAACTTCTTGATGTTGTGCAGCAGAAAGTCATGCCGATTGCAAACGACTTTGGCAGAAGCGTACTGCAAGAGATGTTCTTCGGCGAGCCCAGAGAGATTCGCGCTAGGCTTTGAGTGAAGAGGGAAGGCAATTTGATTTTGGAGATGGCTTGATGATTTTAACGACTACCCTTTGTTTTGTTTTTGTTCTGGATGAGGTTTTGCGACGCTTCAAAAGATAATGGGTTATCAAAGGAGGAGATGAGCGATGTTCCGGCAGCATATTTACACCAACTTTACAGCATATATTGTACTTTAATAGATCAACAATGATTGAATCTTGACAAAATCTTGGATGCAATGTGATGTTATTGAGATGCCTGACTCGAAGGCTGGAGAAGAAGGCATAGATTGATTAGGTGGCTTTGAGCAGGAAGAGGATTCTGGGGCCGGCGAGATAATCATTGCCAAATGAGGAAACAACGACTGTGGCAGAGACAAGAGGCCAGCCGTCGTCGCAACAGGAAGCAACGATTGCAGACAAAACTCACAATTCCCTTAGACAAGGCTGGAAGGAGCTGAACATTCGAAGAAGCTCAAGCATCTCCCTCGCCCCTTCCTCGACAATCTCACAGACAGTAGCTTGCCAAGGCGTACCTGCCAGATTCCAAGCAAGCCAACGCTCTTCGGGATCCCTGAAGCGCCAGCCAGCGAGCGCGCCGACGAGGTTGCTGTCATCTCGAGTTTCCCGCGACAGGCCGCCTGGTTTGAAGTGGTCATAACTGCATATCGCCATGCTTTTGCCAAAGGACGGCGTATCATGGAAGGCGGCACAGGCCAGGCTGCCTCCGACTAGAGCTGTATGGACTTTTCTCACACGCACCCGCTTCCTGTTGGTCGTCGCCATAGTCGGCCTCGTCATCTTGTTATGGAGGGGCGTTACAGGCACCGCAGAGGACCTGCAAAAGTAAGCTTCATCTTCTCCTAGAGTCGCATGCGACAGACCATCTCGAGCATCTCGACGACCTCGACAATTGCTGCGCGCTCTAACTGCAGTTGTCTCTCCGTCCACCATGCTGACCCGTCAGGTTCTACTGTTTCGGCCCAGCCAAGTCGCCCATGCAAATGACACCCAATGAGCAGATGCTATGGACAGGAAGCCTACAAACCCCTGTCATCTTCAACCACCACGCTCCTGTCGAGATCAATCACACCACCATCAGCAGTGTCGACCTAAACCCCATAAAGAGCACGAGACAGGCCATTGACAACAAGGAGCGCGTTCTCCTCCTCACCCCTCTACGCGACGCCGCTCCCTACATCAACGACTACTTCGACCTCATCTCTCAATTGACCTACCCTCACGAGCTGATCGATCTCGCTTTCCTCGTCGGCGACAGCACCGATGACACCCTCGCCGTCCTCTCCAAGGAACTCGAGCGCATTCAGAGTCGCCCTGACTCCATCCCCTTCCACAGCGCTACCGTAGTGCAGAAAGATTTCGGTGTTCATCTGAGTCAGAGTGTCGAAGATAGACACGGTTTCGCTGCACAAGGTCCTCGTAGAAAGGCCATGGGCAAGGCTAGAAATTACCTTCTCAGTGCTGCCATGAAGCCTGAGCACAGTTGGGTCTACTGGCGTGACGTCGACATCAAAGACAGCCCTTCCAAGATCATCGAGGACTTTATCGCTCACGATCGAGATGTCCTTGTTCCTAGTATGAGCATATGTTGATTTCCGACTGTCGAACAATTCGCTAACCACATTGCAGACGTCTGGTTCCACCGCTACGAGAATGGTCGCGACATTGAAGGAAGATTCGACTACAACTCATGGCAGGAATCCGAGAAGGGCCTCAAACTAGCCGCAACCCTCGACAAAGACACGGTTCTCGCAGAGGGTAAGCCTCCCTCCATATCTCTCCCCTGTGTCTCTCATCCACTAACTTCCCCTCTTCTCAGGCTATAAAGAATACGACACGGGCCGCACCTACATGGCCAAAATGGGCGACTGGCGCGAGGACAAGGACTACGAGATCCCCTTGGATGGCATTGGCGGCGTCAACATCCTCGTCAAAGCCGATGTACACCGTAGCGGCATCAACTTCCCTGCCTATCCCTTTGAGAATCAAGCCGAAACTGAAGGTTTTGCGAAGATGGCCAAGCGCGCGGGATACGGGGTCTATGGATTGCCGAATTACATTGTGTGGCATATTGATACAGATGAGAAGCCTGGAAATGCGTAGATGTAGAGAAGAGTGTTAGTGAGATTTTCCGTTTGATGGAAGAAATGTTTGTATTCCTTTTTTTGTTCTCTACATTTCCTTTTTCTTGAATTCTTCTCGCATCCTTCGATCGATGGACCCATTCATTAGTGTAATCTGGTGTTTCTTTCCGGATGGTAGAGGATTCTCGAGAATGGCATTGTTGAGCAGAAAACAAATCAAAGCCAAAGCATATATTAATCATGGTCGAGAAATAAAACGTCTATTCATATGCCTTTTGTGGTATTCGGTCGAGAATATGCGGGTGACAACAACGATACCGTCGTTTGGTTTTTGAAGTGAAGCTGAATGTGTATTCTATCATGTGTCTTTCCACCTGCTGTGCGACTTTCTCTGTTGCTGTCCGCTTTATTGTGGCTGTCTGATGTCCGGGTATTCTAATTCTACTCTGTTCTTCCTCTGGTGTATGGCACTATCTCCTGTCTTTGCAATTTATCATTCTCCTCCCAACCTGATCTTTCCATCATGGTTCTCTACCTCTGATGTGATCGTTGCTTGCCAACTTGGCCGTGCTTTCCGAATTGATTCGTTCCTTCCTGTTTGACGGATCCTTTTCTGCGCAATCTCGAAGTATGTGTGGCTTTTGTTTCTTGTTTGCCTCCTTTCCAGTTCAAAGGCTCTGCAGTAACAGGTCATCGACATGCAGAGATTGATGTTTGTAGTTGGGGTATCCACTAAGAGAGTTGACTTTTTGGTCTCTCCATGGACTGTTGAAAGCCAGGCAGATGTGATCTTGCATCGGAAGTTTAACTGTTCATCATGCTGAGTTCGGTCGAATTGGCAAAGGATCCTCCTCATCATCCCTGAATTAGTTTTCGGCCTTCTGAACACCCCTGACGATTTCGTCTTGAACAGCTCCGTCGTGAATGATCTTTTGACGCTTGTGATCTTCTGCAGCTCTCACGTAGTGCGCCAGATTCAGAAGCTTGTCCTGAATGTCTTCACCACTCAGTTCATTTGAATCTTTGCCATCGAAGAACCTCAGCTTGATGCCCAAGCAGTCGCAGGGGATGTTTACAACTCCTGGATAAACGAGGTACCGCATCTGATCATTGCCTCATGCAGACTCGATGCCATATGTGATGTCGCTGAGTCTGCAATACTCCAGGTTGGCCAACTGGGGAAATGGCCGTGATGGTGTCACTCCAGAGGTCATGGCTGAGATGGCCTGTGTGTGCGTACATCCTGGAGAGGTCATGATGCTCCAAGGGTGGGGTCAAGACTGCTTGGAGACAGCCAGGGGTATAGTTATCAAAGAGCTAGACCTTGAGGGAAGTGACTGGCTGGGCATAGCACAAAGATGACGAAAATGGCACATGGGAAGTTATGTAGTCATGTAGTTTCCAGAAGAAGTTGATATGCATTTCATTGTATGTGACTTCCTCGTGCTGTCTGCTTCTTTGTGTCTTGATTGTTCTTTCGATCATTCTCTTCGATCCGTCCCTCTTCATGTGGTCGTCGTCTTTTCAACCTGATCGTTCTTTTTGATTTGTTCGTTGTTCGAGGTCGATCGTTCTTTCTGATTCGACGTTTCCTTCCCAAGTTGATCGCTGTTTCTAGTTTATTCTATGTCTCCAGTGTATCTCTGATATCTGATCATTCTGACTTTTTGTATCAAATGCCAGTTCCCTGATTCAGAATCGAAGGCTCGACCAGAGTGGTCCATCTCTATGCAGAAAACAGTTCGTGTAACCGAAGGGTTTCATTGAGATAGCTGACTTCTGATCCTTTCAATGATCACTGCGGTTCGTATATCTGTATGTGCATGGTGATGATGGGTATGCTGTCTGAAGAAGGTGATGTAGAGACCACGGACTCCTGATGGCTTTGAATTACTTCTGATCTTGACGCTGAACTCCCACGATGTCGTCTTTGACGGCTCCATCGCTGACGATCCGTTGACACTTGCTGTTCTCTGCTGCCCTCACGTAGTGGCTCAGATCAAGAAGTCTTTCGCAGATCTCAGGACCATCCAACTCAACGCTGGTGGCTCCACCGGGGAGAAGCAGCCTGAACTCTGCAAGTCTGCAAGTCCATACGTATTCTCCATGACCGGGGAGTACCAAGTACTGTACGAAATAACCAGTGTGATCGACTTCATCACTTGAAGTGAGATCGATGCGATAGGTCAGGTTGCTTAGTCGACAGTACTCCAGGCCAAATGAATTCGAGATGGATTCGATGAGGACGCTCCAAAGGTTTTGATCGAAGGTTGGTGCGTACACAGATGCATTGTCGATGTTCAGATGCCTCAGGTGGAGAGAGAACATGGGTCGAAAGGTGGGAGTCCGAAGGTCGCAACTGTTGGTAAGGCTGAATTTGGTCACCTTCTGGGTCTGCAGCCACGTGTATAATGCACGCGCACCATACCCGGACATACTGTTGCGTCCGTCGGTAAACCAGCGAAAGTTCAGTTGTTGTGAAACGTGACTGTATGACATCTGCGGTATGTCTTCACCGCCCAGATTGATATTGAAAGGCATAAGACTGGATCTCAAGATCCCGTGCATAGCTGCATCAAGCTCCTCGTACATGATCGGACTGTGGAATCTGATATTGAGATAGGTGATCTCCAAGCATCTGACGGGACATCTTACACGTCGAGCTGCGTAGATAGTCTCTTCAAGGGTCTCCGCTGTCCGGCAGGTGACGAAGGTCGAGAGCGATTCAGAAAAGATCGTCCATCCGCAGCATCTCATCGGCGCTACAAGACTGGGAGAGTAGTTGTTCATGCCAAATCGATCCCTGCCCGGATTGTCGTAAATACTGATGCTCACAGAACCATGGCGAGACTTGATGTTGCCAAAGACGCGCTCCATACGGCGTGCAAATCGTCTTGTCTACACGTAGGAACTGAGACATGAGTTATGGTTGATAATGGCGGCTGGCAACTCATAGGCTGTGGCAGGTTGCTGGGTGCGCCTGGCGCTGCAGATAGCAACGTGGTGTACGTAATCACCGAACACAGGATGTTCCATGATGTTTACGAGCGTATCGATGCTGTATGGTGAAACAACGTGGACCGTCTTCGTAAAGTTAACGACAGCGAAGCGTGGAGTGGAGACATCGTAGAACCGCTTGCAAACGAGACGCAGGTTGGAAAGATCGGAGTCCTCGGTTTCGTCGCAAATGCGACTCAAGACTTCAGTAGGAAGCTCCAAGACGTTGAGAGACTGGTCCATATGTCAGTATATAAATGCAGAGTGGTGACGAGGAAAGATGTGGCATCCAAGGAGAGTTGTGGTGGCATCGCTTTCTCCTTGGACACGGCTCAGATCTGACTACGATTGTGCCTTTATATAGCTCTCAAGGTTGATGAAATACACAGAGAGAAAGGAGGCCAGAGGTGATAAGATATATAGATTAGGCGAAGAAAGGAGTACTTAGCATCTTTGATGATGTTTGTTGGTCGATCTTTCCAGAAGGATTCAGTGCTTGCTGATGATGTGTATGGGTTGTATCTGTCGTTACCTTTGTCGTCTAGATGAATGTTGGAAGTGGACCTTGGAAGTGGAAGTTGAGAGTGGAAAAGGAAGCTGGATGTGGAAGCCGGAGGTGGAAGTGGATGTCATCGGACGTTGTCGGAAGAATTAGGGAGGAAATGGACCAGTGGAGGTGTTAAACACAAGCCCCGTCAGCAAGAGCGAAGTACGATGCAAGTGATAGCGGAAGTTTGGGAATCGATGTGATCCGTGATGGTGTAATTAGGTGTGAAGAACGCTCGCAAAATGCTGCGATGGGACGCGAACGAGTGAGGGAGCTGAGATTGCTCTCACTATCCTTTGGTCTGCCAATTAAGGCAATGTCCTTCTCGGTAAATTTGAACACAGTGAAAAGTCGAGTAGCAGCATTGCAGAGCCTTCGGCAATGCAGACGCACATTAGGAAGTTCCTGGTGCCGGTGGACATGCTGTGAGTACTTTACTGTGAAGTTCCAGCAGATTGAATGATCGATCATCTATTGCATCCTCCAGTCAACTCGTTTTCACACACGGCCGACAACGATGGACACGGACCGAAGCACTGATCTACCATGTTCGATGTTTTGGGCAGTTTCGGTGACATAGTTCCGGTGGAACAATTCATTGAGAAGATGGGACCTGCAAGTTGTGTGAAAAGTGCACGGCCAGCAACTGATGTCATTGTGCAGTGATGATTGGTATTGTTCTGTTCGTTTACCAGGTTGTGGTGATAAATGAGCAGCTGTGTTATGGGTGCTTACAAATATGAGCTTGGTCGAGTGAGCGCAAGCACATCAAGCTGTTTCTTACTGTTTGTTGACCAGGGACGAAACGACGCGAACACCGGAACAGGTGTCAAAGAAGTCTGAAAAGATCGTTCTGGAGAGATTCGACACGTATCGGGCTTACCAGTGGTGCGTTTGAAGCAAAATAAATGACTCTGCTTTCTGCTATCTTTTTGCCTTAGCTGTTAACTGTCTCTTGGGCTAACGTATTACCTTCTCCATGCTTATCTCTGACCGACTTTGTTGCAGATGCAGAGCCTTGCTCAGGTAATTGCCCCAGTGATGACATACTCGATGTCTTTATCCTCAGTGATTGGTGTGTCCGCGCCCATGATTCTGTAATCAATTACCTCTCCAGCTGCTTCTACCTCGCAGATCTTTCTTCTCTCAGCCGCAGCTGTATAGGCGGCTAAGTCCTCCAATTCTCTGGAGATATCAGTGCCTCGAATCTCGTGTTCGAACTTGCCATCACGGAAAATAAGAAGCAAGCTAACCCACGACCTCTCGAAACGTCCCGAAGTGAGCTGCATCGTGTAGAGTGATACGCCGCCGGCAGATGGTAAGGCATAATGAAGTCTGGAGAATCTGCAGTGCTTCGGGTTTGGAATTTGAGAAAGACGCTGGAAGAAGTTGCTGTAGAGTCCTTGCGCGAAGAGCACCGAACCCAGTCTGACGTCATCAAGGGTGATTGTCTGAAGGGACTGCAGTAAGTACACGTCGAGGTACAGGAGAAAGTCGACATCAAGATCTTCCAGATGAAGGTCCGAGAACGATGTATTTGAAAGCCATCGAACAGTTTCTTCGATGAACAAGGCATCCGGGCGACGAGCTTCAGCACCCATGAACATAGACGAGCTTGAGAAGCATAGGCGCTTCTGCATGTGGTTATACTCTAGTACGCCATTGTGTATCCATACGAAACATAGGTTGATGGAAGCGTCGCGTGACTTGAGGAATTTGGCGACCACGTTGTATGTTTTGAGTTTCGTAGCATATTTGGAGTTCCGGTACGCCCAAATGAGCTCAAGGCCATTGATATCAATCCCGGCCGTGAGCATCTCCACAAGGACTAGCTCAAGTGTTTCGGATGTTCTGTAGGCAGTCCCGTAGTCGCTACCATCGAACACGCCCTCTCCATGGAATCGTTGGGCTTGGTGATTCGCAAATTTGAAATAGTGAGGACCGTGTCCCAGACGGGAGTCCTCGGAAATCCCAACGGTAATCGAGGAAGAATGTCGTTTGATGTTGGCCAAGATACATTGCATCAGGACACTGAATCTTCCAGATTGGACGAACGAGCTTTCCACCACGGTGGATTCGTCCTCTTCGTCGTAAGGCTCAAGATACCGGAGGATGGTCTGGGCAGGACAGAATATGATTCTTTGATGTACGTGCCGAAGACGTTGTGTGTACTGATTGCGAGTAATGCTTCAAGGCTGTCCTGGGTGAGGACGTGATGGCGACTGGTGAAGTTTCTGACAGCGAATGGCCTGTTGGCGATGGCGCAGATATGTTTCGAAACAAGGCGCAGGTTGACAAGGTCTGGGTTGTCGACGGACTGGAAGATCTTGTCAAGCATCTCGACCGGAAGAGATGACAGTGAAGGGATTGTGGAAGTTAAGCGTGCCATGGCAGTCGAGCCACCAGGGGCAGTTGGACAATCCATCTGTCAGAGCAGTCAGTGATGAGAAGCAGTTGGCAGGTCGAAAAGGTTCGTGCAGAAGCAGAGATATGCGCGGTGACAGCTGTGGATCACACTTACGTTCGTGGAGGCGAGCGCGTGCTGATGTGACAGATGCTTGATCGGGTGAAGAAGTAGTTGTGATGATCAGAGAAAGTGAGATTGACTTGTTGGTGTCGATAAACTCGAGTGTTTTAGTAGTGAGGGCGGAGCAAAGTGACCAAGTGAAATCCAAAGGAAGTCGCGACTGCCGCTGTGAAAGCACTTGGACTTCAGTGTTTGGCGCCGGGAAACATGAAGTTCTGTATGCGTCGTTTGCAATGCATGTAGCTACCTTGCGACAACCCGCGGGAGGATCGCTTGTGAAGAGCGGGCTCTACCTACTTCTTCAGGATCCGATCTACGTATGTCCTTTCCAACACTACTCAGCGCATTTTCTGTACTAAGCGACAGGCCCAACTATTCCTGTGATCTCTGTCTCTCAATATGCTACTGCGGAGGTAATCTTCAATCTCTCTCTGACCGCTTGAACGATTCGAGAATGTGCAGACAGCGCGCGTAGCTCTAGGTGGAGGCGACGGCTCGGCCTCTGCAGTCAATCATTATCGGTGACTATCAGCAGCAGTCTATTCGGGGTATGCCGGCGAGCATGGGTGTCAGTCAGTACACTGGGAGTGCGTTAATCGTCGAAGCGGTCTTCGAACTCTTGTTCTGAGTAAGGGCAATCTTGGTATTGACTGGAAGCATGTCTTGTCAGCCTTGGCTCAGGTCGGAATTGAATCGCGAACAGCACTAACCGTGTTGGCTACATGGCCCATTTCCTCCAACTCTATGCTCTCAATGGCAATCTCTGAAATCCAGCGGACTTTTTATAGCCCGGTAACATGCTTGGGAAACAACGTAATGCATAATTGAAAAGGCCGACTGCTCAGGTAAGAAGGTCGGCGACTGCGATATGTTAGCAAAGTGTGATTGCCGTTGTGCAGGTAGAACTTACCGTTCATGGGCATCTCGTCGATCTGGGTAGAGTAGTACAACTCGATGTCGCGAAGGATTCTAACGTCTTCGCTGGTAACGAAGTTGATGGCAACACCCTTGCGGCCGAATCTTCCACTACGACCAATTCTGTGGATGTAGTTCTCACGGTTGCTGGGCAAGTCGTAGTTAATGACAAGGGAAACTTGCTGAACATCGATACCACGAGCCCAGACATCAGTGGAGATGAGGACTCTGGAGTTGCCCTGTCTGAAGTCTTGCATAATGCTGTCGCGCTCCTTTTGGGGCATCTCACCGTGCATGGAGGAGACGGTGAAGTTGGCTTCACGCATCTTGTCGGTAAGCCAGTCGACCTTGCGACGAGTGTTGCAGAAGATGACGGCTTGTGTGATGGTAAGAGTGTCGTAGAGATCGCAAAGTGTGTCGAACTTCCATTCTTCCTTTTCAACAGCGATGAAGTATTGCTTGAGGCCCTCGAGAGTCAACTCGTCACGCTTGACGAGGATACGGACGGGGTCGGTCATGAACTTGGTGGTCATGTCGAGCACATCGTAAGGGAGGGTGGCTGAAACGACAACGACTTGAGTGGCAGGAGGGAGGTAACGGTAGACGTCGTAGATTTGCTCGCGGAAACCACGGTTGAGTAGCTCGTCGGCTTCATCCAGAACGAGCATCTTGATGTTGCGAGTGCGTAGGTTGCGGCGACGGATCATGTCGGCGACACGTCCAGGAGTACCAGAGACGACGTGTTGACCGTGGTCGAGCTTGCGAATATCTTCGCCAACGTTTGTTCCTCCAATGCAGGCATGGCACTGAACGTTCATGTAGTCGCCGAGGGCCATGACGACTGACTGGATCTGGGTAGCCAATTCACGAGTGGGAGACAGGACGAGGGCTGGAAATGTCAGCACTTTGACGAGAGACAAGCACACAAGTAGACGGCATACCCTGAGTCTCGCGCACAGCGGTGTCGATGACCTGGAGAATGGAGATGGAGAAGGTGGCAGTTTTACCAGTACCGGACTGGGCTTGGGCGATGGTGTCGCGACCCTTGCAGATCTGGACAATGGCGCGCGACTGGACGGCAGAGGGAGACTCATAGCCGTATGCGTAGATACCACGGAGCAGGTTCTCCTTCAAATGCATGGCCTCGAAAGTGGGTGCGACGCGAACTTCCTTGGATGTCGAAAACTCCATGCGCTCCTCCATCTTGCGGTCGATTCCTCCTTCCGCCATGGTGGGTGGTGTGTGGGTTCTGTTTATTTGATGGTGAAGCCGGCAGGCGCGATGGATGAACCGATCCGGTAGGTGCGAGTCGGATTGGTAAAAAGTGGCAGTGACGTTCAAGTTCAAGAGGAATAAAGCTCGAAGGGCAAGAACGAACGAGGAAGCATCGAGTGCACGGACTTGCTTCCTCCGCGCGCCGTCTCTCGCCGCGCCAATTCAGTAACCATCCATCATCGTTCTTTTTGTCCTCACCACACACAACTCACTATGCTGTCAGAAGACCTGCGCAATACAAGGGAGGACCTTGAGCGTCTCGAGCAGGCCATAGCCGAGCGCTCACTCGAAGATCCCAAACATGTGAGTTCTTCTATCTTTCAACTCAGCGACAAAGTGCTAATGAGCTTCCAGATTCGAGACCGCCTGTCAAGAGACCACCAAATCGCTGCTTTCCTGGATCGCATAAAGGCGCAATCAACCCGCGCAGTCGACCTGTACAAAGACAACGATGGCAGCCGTCTACGCGAAATTCAATCCATTTCCACTGGCGACACGTTCGACGAATTCTACAAGCAGCTGAATAACATCAAGGACTTCCACAAGCGCTATCCGAATGAACCTGTCGAGAATCTGGAGCGCGCATACAAGCGTAGAGCTGTCGGCGACGATGTGCCTCTACCTTCAGAAATTGATACTATGTTCACTGGAGAGGAGGCCTTCGGTCGCTACTTCGATATGAACTCTTTGCACGAAGATTACATCAACCTGCCTGGCTCAAAGAGGCGCATCACATACCTACAATACTTGGACACATTCGACGACTTCGAGGGCATGCCCAGGCCGGATAAGCTAAAGGATCAATACTTCCAATACCTAGGAAACCTGGCCACATATCTTGAAAGCTTCATGCGCCGAATTAAGCCTTTAGAGGATCTCGACAGACTATTCATCAGCTTCGACGAAGACTTCCTAAAAGCATGGGAGAAGGACGAGGTCAGAGGCTGGCAACTCAACGCGAAATCAACAACAGACGGACCCGCAACAGAAGGCACAGGCGAAGGAATATGGTGCGCAGACTGCGAAAAGGAATTCAAGAACGACAATGTCTACAAAGCCCACTTGACAGGAAAGAAACACATCAAAAATGCAGAAGCAAGAAAACAACGCACCGCAGACGGCGAATCAACATCTACAAATGGCAACAGCAACCATGCCGCAACCTCAATTCACCGCTTGAAAGAAAAGGCTGTCGCGGAACGCGAACACCGCATCCGCAAACTCGCCTCTGCAATGCAAACCGAACGCTCCGACACACGCGCCAACGTCGAACGCAAACAGGGCATGACAGACAAGGAACGCCAACAAGAACTCGCCGCTCTCTACGCCGAGACACTCGACCTTCAATCCGCCGCCCCCGCGGCTGCAAACGACACGGAAGAACAAGACGAAGACGGCAAAGTCTACAATCCGCTAAAACTGCCGCTCGGCTGGGACGACAAGCCCATCCCCTTCTGGCTATACAAACTCCATGGCTTGGGCGTCGAGTTTCCCTGTGAGATCTGTGGCAATTACGTATACATGGGTAGAAGAGCCTTTGACAAGCATTTCGGAGAAGCACGCCATTTGTACGGCTTGAAGAGATTGGGAATCACGAATTCGAGTATGTTTAGGGACGTTACGGGAATCGAGGAGGCGACGGAGCTGTGGAGGAAGTTGCAGGTTGACAAGAAGCAGGAGTCTACGGCTAGTGATCAGGTTGTGCAGATGGAGGATGGAGAGGGCAATGTCATGCCTGAGAAGGTGTATTATGATTTGCAGAAGCAGGGATTGCTATAGATGGATTGGAGGCTTCTTGGCTCTCTGGTTCAAGTTGAATCAATTGGAGAAGGAAGATGTAGATCGGAACTACAACGTTCTTCCATCTGAATGATGCCTGATTGTTTGTTGTGCATGTGCGGATCGTACATCTAGACATCCGTGTTCAAGTTTTGCGATTACTAACGCTCTTACGCCAGGTAGTGATTATCGGGTACCGAGTGGTGGGTGATTTAGAGAACAGGTAAGTCTTTGAATATGGACATGATTCCAAATCTTTCTATATCAAGATACCAACAGATCCAAGACCAATTATATCTGACCAGCCACTCTCTAGATCTTTGGCTGAGCGGACAAGAAGCCCTTTTCAACCACAGCACTGATCAACTGATTAGCGATAGCAGTCTGCGGCGGCAACCTCAAATCCCCCTCTTTGTACTCTGCCTGCGGTCCCTCATCCAACCCACTAGTCCCCACCTTCAATGCCTGCCTGACCTCGTCAAAAGTAAACCACTTGGCATCCTCCAACTCGGGATCATTACCCAGATCAATGGTTTCGCCCTCAGGCACACTCTGTCCGATAGCTCCAATCATCAAGTTTGCAGGGTATGGCCACGGTTGAGTAGAGTGAATGATGACGCGACCGAGGTGGATACCGGCTTCCTCCCAGACTTCGCGGCGGGTGGCTTCTTCGATTGACTCGGCGGGTTCGCAGAAACCTGCTAGAGTGGAATACCAGTATTTTGGGAAACGCTTGCTGCGGCCCAGCAGCAGTTTGTCGCCGGCGGCGTTGACGACCGCGACGATGATGGTTGGGTCGGTGCGGGGGAAGGAGAGGTTGGAGACGCCCTTTCTGGTTGCGCAGGCGGGGCGGTCGATGGATGATGCAGGGGTGTTGGAGGTGGAGAGGGCGGTGGAGGGGAGAGCAGAGATATCGGTTGGCGGGCAGGTGCGCTTGAAGCCGCCGTTGACGGAGAGAGTGGGATGGCTGCATTGAGCGCAGAAAGGGTTCCGCATGTTCCAATCAAGGAGTTGGCGGGCTTCGGCGTAGATTGCTGCGTCGCCAGCGACTAGGTCCATGGAGCGGCCTTGTTGGAAGGTGAGGCCTTTGTCTTCGCAGGACTTGATCAGGTCGTTGCATTGCTGGGTCAGAGGATCCTTGGGGGTGACATCGATGGCGAAGTAAGGGGCACCCTTGTGAACGGCGTTCTTCGCTTCGTAGCTGAAGGAGTTGTCCTTGACTGATTCGTCCAGACCGAGGAAGATCATCTGAGGGATGAAGGTTTTGGAGTTGAACGTCTCGATCATCTTGGACTCGGGAGTAGCATAGGGGTCTTCGCCAATGATAGGCTGGACATCTTTGTATTGGATATAGGCGAGGTTGGCCTTGTCCTTGGTCAATGGCTGCAGGTTGTTGCAAGCGAGGAACTTTGTGGACGGGTGCTTGAGAGCTCCAGACAGGAAGACATTGTCGCTGCGGAGGAAACCAAAGCGATTCAGCGGAGAGCCTGTGTTACTCTCTGTCAGCTTCTTGTTGCTGTTATCAAGAAAGGAGCAGATATATGTTACCGGCAAAGTAATTGGCAACCTCCTTGCCAAACTTCCTCGTCAGCATTGAATCGAGCTCTGGGTGTGCGGGCTGAGGGAGAGCAGGTGTAGGCATCGTTTTAGTTGGTCTTTCTTCGTCTTTGCACGTTCAAACAGGAGGAAGAAGACAAGATCGCAAAGACACACTTTCCTATGAGATAGCACATGTCGTCACCAGGGCCTCGGCTATTGGTAATCCATGTAGCGGAGATAGCAGCGAAGCCAATCTTATCTTATCCATCTGTATACCAACACCTTTCGTTAATGTCCATCTATCCTTTGCGACACTCGCATTGCACCTCGCTGTCGCATACCTACGCTAACGTCGCCATCATGAGTGCTTTCTACGTGACCCTCTCCACTCTTCTAACCAATCCTCGCCGCTAACCATCCACAGCTTCCCTCGTCAACAGCAACAACAGCAACCCCCTCCCCCCTCACCTCCCCTCCATCTCCAAAATCGAACCCTTTGGACAACCGCCGCTCCAACCACGCCTACTCCGACTCAGATGACGACGACGACAACACGCCCCTCCCCTTCCCAGCAACCCTCCCCCGCAGCGACTTTCTCACCCCAAACTTCACACCAGAAACCTACCTCTCGACTTTACACAACAGACACCAAACCCTCGAAGACCTACGCTCAGACCTACGCCAACGCTCTTCCCTCATCACCACAGAACTTCTCGATCTCGTCAACAGCAATTACGAGGAATTTCTATCTCTAGGCACAAAACTCAAAGGTGGAGAGGAAAAGATTGAAGAAGTTAGAGTGGGTGTACTCGGATTTGGGAGAGAGGTGGAGGCAGTCAGGGATGTGGTTGCTGCACGTGCTGAGGAGGTTGGTGTGTTGCTAGACGAGAAGAAGCAACTCAGAAAGGATATTCTGGTTGGCAGAAGGCTACTGGAAATCGAAGAACGATTGGAGGACTTGGAAGCGAGATTGATGGTGGAACCAAACAATTCTTTGTCTGCAAACAATCCTTCAGCAAATGACGAAGACTCGGATGATGAGGATGAGGAAGACGAAGAAGGAGATTCGGCTACGTCGACCACACTCTCGCGACTACGGAAACACGCACAGGCATATCTTCTGCTCACACACCTCACCCAACAAGTACTCGAACATCCTTTCGTGATAGCACAGCAATCGCGACTCTTTCGAGTAAGAAACACGTTGTTGCTGGATCTCAGGACGGCGGTCAAGCAGGCTCAAGCGACAGGTGTGTCGGGAAAACAGTTACTCGACTTCTTGGTCATATACAGGGAGTTGGGAGAGACGGAGGAAGGTGTAGGAGCCTTGAAGGGTGTATGAGCTGTTCACTTAGGAAGAGATTGGAGGCAAGCAATGTTGGCAGTCGATCAAGTCTCTTTTGTGCAGAGCACGACAGATAAGACTCGAAATCAAAGCAGACCGCCCGAATCGCATCCCAGAATTCGGCCGTCTGTATCTGAACAAGCTTCAGGCTTGACCGTCGAACACTCTGTGTGGATAAGACCTCGTTTACGTGGAAAAGAAGACTGATGACTCGACTCAAGGGCACCATCCCCAAAAGCCTTGTATGTGTGACGGGATCAAAGTTCATCTTGTGATCCCCGTTCTTCAACACAGATAGCAATCTCCTACATCCGGCCTGAAGATGACAATATAAGCTGTCTCTTAAAGTCAATAAGAACAACAACACGGTTGAGCAAATGGGTTTCTTATCCTTTGGTTGGTTTGACGTTCTTGGAATCTGTTTGGTCTCCTATCTCACATACCGAGGCAGCAGGTTTGTCTGTCGTTAGTGGGTTGGCATTGCCCCTCTGTAGTCGATTGCATTCTTCTTATCCTTGTCGTATCTCTGTTCTTTTTTGCCCCTCGTTTCATCTCCATTGTCGAATACTGGTTACCCTCCATCTCCCTGCTCTCGTGTTGCTTGATTGGATGATCCCTCTTTCGACTTTATCTGTCGAAGTTCTTCTTGATCGACTCTCCAGAACCTCGCATCAGGCGCTGTCATTGTTCAGCTCGTCGAGTTTCTTCTTTGCAATGACTCGCCGATCCTGAATTCCATCGCGTTTGTCTATGAGCTCGCCGTGTTTCAACAGAACCCGGTCGCGTTGGATCTCTACCTGCTTTTTCTCTGATCGGAGCACATTCGTCTTTTGCTTGCACTCGTCGCCTACCGAACTGAGTCTCTCAGTCTCTTCCCGGTATGTCTCGCTTTCTCGGCGACATGCTTCGCTCTCTCGCTGAAGTCTTTCACTTTCTAGCAGAAGTCTTTCTCTTTCTTGATCGTGCCTATAGCGGGATTCGGCAGCTGTTGTTTCGTCCTTCCTGACCGTGCCAATCATCGCGTGGTAATCGCCTACCTTTGAGCCAAGCTGCTCCCACTGTTTCTCAAGCTCAGGTAGCTCCTTCTCGATCGCTGCCTTCTCAGTGTCCAGGTCTTTGATTTCTGTCAAGAGCCTTTTCTTCTCGGCCATCCTAGCGAGCTTCTGCTGGCACTCTTCGATTGCCTCTGAGAGTTGTCGTGTTTCCTCGTCTCGTTTGCCAGGCTCGGATGTCTTTGCGTCTTCTGAGTTCGAGATTTGTAGCGGCTCATCCCGAATCCAAAACAGTGAATCAGAGATGTCGACAAAATCGCTGCCTACAATGTCGTTACTCGTCATGTTGTGGTTACCAAAAGCATCCTCGAATGTGTCTGCCTCCTAAGCAAGGGAATGTTTAACAAGCTCATTTTGAACAGAGTCATTGATGCTGGCGACTTTGGACTTCTCTGGTGATAGTGTGCTGACTTTGGTTGGACCGTCTGTGACATCTGATGCCATGAGCCTCATGTCATCTCTGGTATATGCGGTCAATGGTTTTCCGTAAGGTCCGATGGGGCACTGCTTCAACCGGTCACAAAAGCACTTCAGGAACCTACGCGCAGGCGCCGGATCGTGACGTTTGCAACCATTGATCCAAATCACGTTGTGGATCATAGTTGTAAAGTCGATGAGCAAGTCTGCCACAGACGGGTACCCGCCAGTATCAAGGAGGTTTCTGATGGTGGAGAGATCCGTAGGCCCCTTGATCTTGCTGATATAAACAGGCACATCCTTCCCAGTTCGGGGTTCGAGGAAGTCTGCGGCTGATTTCAACGTCATCAATTCTTCCATCTTCTTGGTGAGAAAGCTTTTCTGTTGCTCTGTCATCGGTCGTGACCAAGTGATTAGTAGGTACTCTCTGACCATATCGGACTGTTCTGCGCGATGGCATATTGAACCAGATGGGTCGGCAGAAGCTAATCTCGCACGTTTGCTGGTAGAAGGCATAGTATCAAACCCGTCCTCGGACTCATAGTTGCGATCCCGCTTCCAGCTTGACATGCTGAGGTATGTGTGGAGAAATCCTAAGTTCGGTTCTATCTACGCGTTAGCATCCATGCAGGATCGAAGTGATGACATGACGGTCCTACATGTAGATCTCTCGATTGAGCTGCGTTTCCTAATCGTGATGTAGAGAAGCCAGCAAGTCTCCTTATAGCTGTAGAGTTACCACGATCTTGATTGCTGTGGTCTTGACGAGAGCGAGGTGTTGAGTATCGGTCTCGGTTCGTGTCTCTCGAGTCTAGGAACAGATCCTCCGAAGAGTGATGTTGTGGCCAAGGAGACAATGAAGCCAGTATATGACTGAAGCGTCTCTCGAAGAAGGCAAGTTGCAGTTGTCGGCGTCTCGATGTCGGAAGTGAAGCTGATGGACCTACACAGCCAGTGCAGAAAGACAGCAGCGGCAATATGATCGTGCACTTGAACTGGGCGTTGTGACGAGTTTAGGGTCAGTGGAGATCGAGAACAGAGAGTGTCTGGCCACCCTTTGGACAGTCTAGTGTCTCGCTGTGTTCGATCGACTGATAGGATCTCGCAATAATGAAGAGAATGAAAAGTGCGTGAATGCACACCTTGGCTTTGGCAAGATTGAGTGGAGAGATAGGCAAGTGTTTGTTTGATAGATGCTGGAGATCAGAGCTATCCTGCGGTAATGAGAGCAGGACGAGAAGATGAAGCGTCGAAGGTTTTGTGTTGTTTGAAGACCGCATGTGAACTGAGAGTTGATGAAGCTGCCGTGGTAAGTGAGACCTATCGCGCCTTGCACTGTAAAGTGAAGGCAAATCACGCGCAAAGCTAACACTCAATCTACCGTTATGCTGTAATGTGATCGTGAACTTCGGAATGGTGATACAAAATAGTACAGAAAGAAGGAGAGCACATCGAAAGGTCGGGTATATGTACAATGCTTTACCTGCTGCTTTTGTTACATGGCAGTCGAGACGTCCTTTGTGGGTATCGAGTCAGGACCTCTGAGATCGCCGTTCAGACTGAGGCCAGGTCCGTTGGTCGAGGATAGGACCTATGATTTGTTAGCAACGATTCTTCCAGTCTACGGCCCCTTCTGCAAGAAAGGGCATAGGATATCGCTATAACTCACCACCTCGTGAATGTCCTTTGCGATCCTGTCGCTCATACCAGCCATATCCTTCTTGACGTTCTCGATGAAGCTTCTGATATTCCTCGACAACTCCTCAGGGGTCATGCCCAACTGTCCGATGGCCATTCTGATAACACCCAGACGTTCTCTGTACTCGCTTGCACCAACCATATCCTGCACACTCGCTGAAACATCCTTGACGACAGTTCCAGTCTTTGCACTGGGCATCAAGCCCCTCGGACCCAGAATTCTTCCCAATGCTGCTTTGTTCATTTTTGCGAGCGAGTCCTGGTGGCACAGACAGCGGTCGAACTCGATACGGCCCTCCTTCACGGCGTCGAAAATGGCCTCCTCGCCAACCAGAGTGGCTCCAGCTTTCTTTGCGGCAGCGGCGGCGGAAGAGTTGGGATCACAGATGACGGCGATGCGTAGATCGGTCTTTACAGGATGTGGGAGGCGGATACGGTTACGGACCACCGGACCGTTCTTGAGAGATTTGAGGCGGAGATGAAGTTCATACTTGGAGGATGTTGGCGCGCGACCGACTTCTGTTGCGCGAATGTATCTAGGTGCTGTCAGTTTTGTCCTTCTCGCGGTCCAGATCGAACGAAGAGGGAACGAATGTGGTGTAGGACAAGCAGGGGCTCGTACCGCATGGCATCGACCAGAGGGAACTGGATGGCGTCTTTCAAATCATGGTTGACGAAGGTGGTTCTGCTCTTCTTCTTGCGCTGGGATGTGGGCAATTCCTTGCGCTTGTATTTCTGAGCGTTGGCACTCTGTGCAGCACCACGCTGTTGTATCGAGAGCGAAGGGACGTAAAGGTTTGGTCGTGATAGAGTCGTTCGTGTCAGTTGCGACAGACAGGTTCGTGTGGATGCCATTGCGACGGTATGTGATATCAAGTGTTCGATACTCGTAAATTGTTGTTCGGCCTTCAACTTTCGGAGTCGACTTTGCCAAGATTTTTGGAGTGTCGCGGCTGATCCCGCTAAATACCATCTTTCCATTCTTCACGCGACGACAGCAGTCTACGCTCTTCATACACAAAAGTCATCGCGACTACGTGATTCGCATGCTTAGATGTCACGATTACTGAGCACTATCTGACCCTGATCTTTCTCATAGCAAAATGCGTCCATGTATGCACTAATCTTGGTCTGACAAGAAGAACATTCAGGCCGAAGCTCATCCTCCCTGCTTGAGCTGAAGCCAATATTACAGCAAACCATGTGTGTAGAGCTGCTTCTGCATGCGATGGCTTCAATTGAGCTCTTCAGAAACAAGGTAGGTCAAGATACTATCAACCATCGATATTAACCATTCTCCCGCCGGATCGATCTCCATCATGATGATATCATGAGAGAGTCGTTTTGATTGATCAAGTGAACCTGCTCTTTACTTCACCCTCTGCCGCGATATTTTATCCTACTCCTCCCACGATCTTCCGATACTAATCACACACAACCAACATCATGTCTCTACGCACTTCCTTCATGCGAACAAGCCGCTTCGCCTCCACACGCCCTCTGAGCACTACCTCGCGCCTGCAAAAGGATGCTCCTCCGCCACCAAACATCCCTCCTGGTGCACAACAAAAGGGTCGCACACATTCCCCAAATGTCGACAAGCAATCTTCTGCCTCCACCCACACTTCTGCCGAGAGCAAGTCCGGCGATGACCACCCCGCGAAGCAGCCCGATCCTCAGCAGGCCAGCGACAGAAGCACTGGGTTCCACGAAGTCAAAGAGGTCAAGGGTGGAAAGGAGGGTCTTGGAGCCAGGAGCGACAAGTAGTCGATGGAAAGAGTCACTGTAGCTCACTGTGAAGGAGGCGGAAGCACAGGCATGATATCGATGACGTTGATGGAAAAAGACCAAGAGGTCGCAATGAAGCATACGAATCTACTCGCATTGTACTTATACCGAGACATGGAACACGTCCTTGACTGTGCATACCTCTCAATCCTCAAGACTGCATGATGACGTGCTCACGTGCTATCAATCTTCAAGAGGAAACCAGAGCGAAGCCATAGCGATTTCAGACATTGACTATGCATCAAGCTTACGGCAATCGCTAAGAGAATTATTCTAGCTCCGTTGAAAGCCGCTTATGACACTTTTAGCCATCTGTTGAGTTGGTCGCGTTGGACTACAGTTGTTGCGGCCGTTAGAATGCTCCACCAGATCCACTCAGTATCAAGTCAGGGTTGTACTCTTAACCACCGTCAAGATATGAAAGTTGTCCACCATACGGCGCGCGTGGGTATTTGCTTAAGATTTTCATTTGCATATGATACTTCTGGGTCTGTCACTCAGCACTCTCGAGTGTCAACTGGCTGTCGGCACTGTGGCGGTAGAAATCGTGGATCGATGGTTTCGAAGCGTCGATGTACAGAAACTGCAGTGCATTCCGTGCGAGAGAGGTCCTTCCTCCAATTTCCAAGACATACATCGATCAAAGACAGAGAACATGATCACTAAAGACATTGTCGGTTCGTCTTTGATTGTAGCTGAGAGCTGAAGTAGAGTTCTCTTGGCTATACTCAAGTACAATGTTCCTCCAACCTAGGTGACAAAACAATTGATGATGCCCATTCACAACCCCGCAGAAGCCACAGCAAGAATCCTCAGATGGAAACAGCACCCATCCATCATCGACCACTGACCTCTAAAACCAAGAAAGAGCCTCGATGCCGAGACACCTGCTACAAACACAGAACAACGATTTAGGCCATCACAGCCGGCGTATATCGTAAATGCTACCTATCTGATAGGATCAGGATCTGGGAAGGATCAGCGCGGAATGTGTTAGGGCCGGATGTAACCTGCAGCTCGCTTGCGCCGCTCCGTCATCATCCTCACCATCTGATTGGAAGAAAGGCATGACCACTGACTCCACGACTCCCACAGGATTCAACCTCGCAAACATCGCTAAGCACGTAGCTGCGTAGAATAGCGCGGAATACGTTTTTCGCACGCCTGTTAGCGGGGGCGTTGGCTTATATCTATCTCTGAGATCCTTCTTGCTGACCTTTGATCTTTTTGTCTTGCCCCTCTACCTTTGGCTGACAGTTGACTTGACGAGTACGGAGCAATGGCATTGACGGAAGTGCTAAGCGGTCTTGGTACCTCGCAGACGGTGCTGACTGTCGCTTCCCTTGCGCTGGGCTTCTTCGCTGCTTACCTATATGTCACTCGTTCTCTACCTGAAGGAACACCACCGTCGATCAAAGACAATTGGCCTTTGATCGGCCCCATCAAATACTGGACCAAACGATGGGACTGGTTTCAAGAGGCCACCAAGGCTTCGCTCAACGGCAACTTCACATTCAACGTAGGCAAGCATGTAGTCGTGGGAGTTTCTGGAGATGAAGGTCGACGGATCTTCATGGAGAGCAAGCAACTGGAGATGGGATCAGGGTGAGTGGAAAACCAACATTACGAGGGTTGTACATGTTACTGAAGCTTGGGTGTTCATATAGATACGCTACCCTGTTTGCTGGCGCGCCCACAGTATCCAAGAATGTTGACCCCGAAGGAAACGACATTGAAGGTCAAGACTTTGCCAAACGTCTTCTTGCCATGCTCAAGAGGGAGAACTTTGTCAAAAGTGAGATCGGAGTGTTTTGAATGGATCGTCACACAATGCTTACAATCGGACAGGTCTGGGTGGACTGATCGCAGACACAAGATCGCGCTTGGATGAGCTCGCAAAAGACCCCAAGGGCTTGACTGACCCATTCGAGAGCATTTACGGCATCGTCTATCAACTCACCATGCGAACAGTCGCTTGCAACGAGATTGCTGACGATCGTGTTCTACTGGATCAAACGCTGGATATGTTCGAGAAGATAGAGGCGTCATCAACTCCTGAGCTCATCATCTTCCCCTGGTTTCCTTTTCCCGGAAAGCTCAAACGTCTCTGGTACGGCGGTAAGCTTTACATGATCTTCAAGGGTATCGTCGAGGATCGAGCAAAGAGCGGTCGCAGGGAGGAAGATCCTCTGCAACTTTTGATCGACAAAGGCGACAACATCAAGGAGATTCTGACCTTTATTCTGGGCGCCCTCTACGCTGGACAATTGAATTCTGGCATCAATGCTGCTTGGGTTATCGTCTACCTTGCCAACGACCATTACTGGCGTGGCAAGGTGTGGGAAGAGGTCAAGGCAGTCATTGAGAAATACGACAGTGACACTTCGAAATCATATGCAGACAGGCTGGCATCTGCTCCACTGGAGGCGTGGGAGAACGAGCTCCCCACAATCGACCTGTGTCTACGAGACAGCATTCGGCTGAATACAGCTGGCAGCATGTTCCGCAAAAACGAGTCAACAAAGGCTGTCACGTTAGCAGATGGCACGAAAATTCCGCCAGGAGGCTTCGCAGCCTATCCGGTAGGCGACATCCACCTCAACCCCAAGATCTATGTCAATCCTGAAGAATGGGATCCATCCCGTTACCTACCAGACAGAGCAGAGGACCACAAGACAAATCATGCATACATCGGTTGGGGCGCAGGCAGACATCCATGTCTCGGCATGCGTTTTGCGAAACTCGAGCAAAACATCATCCTCGCCTTCTTCCTCGCTAGTTTTGACTTTGAACTGGCCGACGAGAATGGTAAACGGGTCCAAGGAGTTCCAAAAACCGACTTCAACCAGCATTCTGCGGGCAAGCCAAAGGACAAGATTTACGTCAAGTACAGCGTGCGAGAATGAGAAAGAGGGTCGGGGGACGAATGTTGGTACATGTCGCAGTAGGAATACTTGTAACAAAACGTCAAACCCTGTGGCTTGAATCAATGCATCACTATACTGAAATGCCGATTGTCATGTCACCGACTCAGCGTGAAACCCATTGTTGCGATTGCAAGTCCCGGCCGAGTTACCAAGCGGGGCTGTTCATTAGCAGAGTAGGGGCAGTGCATGAAGGAAGCGAACGCCAGGGGAACCGCCCGTTACCAGTTAGCAAGCAGGACGGGATGATGGCAAATCGATTGCATCGAGAGGGAGCCTCGATGGTGACAACAAGAACGTCATGGTTAGAGGAGTTGCCATGAGATCTTCTTTGCCTTGCGGGTCCCGTGGACTGCTTTGACACGAAACGATCGACGTATCCAGGGGATATAAATGGCAGCGATGTACGAGGGGTGACCAAAAGCAGGCCATTGCCTTTACGATGAATATGGGGCTCGCCACAGGTTCCCCGTACAATATGGACCGGACATCCTTAATTGGCTGCGACTGTTGCATAAGGGGTCGCACCTGGAAGCGGCGGGTATGCCAGACCGGTAGAGATTCTGGAAGAACGGCGTGCGCAATCATATCGATTGTTATTGCCAGACTCTTGGGCAGCACAACGACGAATAAAAGAATCCCAGCCCTGCTGTGCCGCAGGTTGTCAATTGCCCAGAGGGCGCCCAGTGGCTGCCCCGTATTGGCAATAACCGCAGCCTCGTCAGTGCAAAATTGCGCTTGAACGCATGGAACAGCATGGTCGATTCATGCGCGGCAGTGTCATGTGCGGCAGTCGAAGAATGTGAACCAAACGTACGGAGTAAGGGGCGCCGCAATGAAGAAAAAAAGACTTTGGTTACGGTTTACTGTTGCTGTGGAAGAAGGAGTGATCGTTGTAGACGTTTCATTCGTTGCAATCACATCCAACATCAACAAGCAGGATGACACGCATTTCTGCACCTCCGTGTGCGGCTGCCCTGTTGCTCCCCTTCTGCCGCCGTCCGGCCGTTGCGTTTAACAGAAGAGCTAAGCTTTGAGGCTTGCCGCGAAACCAAAAGTTGAGACCTGTTGTGACCTCTTCCCTCTCCATGTCAACAACGACTGGCTCGACTGTTTGACAAGTCCAATTTCCGAATATGCAGATCGGTATCCCAAGAATACGCGAAGATCACCAGCTCCCTGATTTGCACAACATGGACACGCAGGTCGCAGAGCACAATCTGCGCGCTGCCGACACGAGGTAGGCGGCGTCGCGGCCACGGCCACGGCAAGTGACAGACAGGTCGTTGGTGTGACCGTGAGGCGGCATGACAATGAAGGCAGCGCGCAATCGATAGGACAAGAGTCAAGGCAAGGCAATAACACCATTAACACGGTTCTGGACGCAGAAGCCGCAGATTGCATCGGGGGTTACAGCGAGATGAAACGCTCTAAATGGTGGCGGCGCGTGCTGAAGGAACCGTGCCCCTTTAGAAACAGCTTCATTTCCTTAAACACCCATTCCCCTCTGCCTCCCCTGCACGCCTTGGTCACCTCATTTTCGTCTGTTGTTCACTGTTGCTGCTTCAATCTACCGTCACTCTTTTCATCTGGCCTTGCTACGGTCAAAAAATCATTCATTATCCACCTGCATCCGCTGCAGCCCAAATCTTGGCACCATCTTCACTCGTTTTACACTCTCTCACATCCCACATTCCTTAGTCGCAGCAGCATAACATCTCGAGTCGTTCGTGGCTTGCGTATTCTTCTCCACCTTCACCTGACAATCGACCGGCCAAGCAGTCAGTCTTGTCACGTTTGATCAACCCTACTTCATCCAATCGATAAAAACATCACCCTCAATATGGTGAACAACAAAGCCTCCGCGCTGTCTCTGGCAGTCAGCGCTCTGTCGCTTGCCGGCAGTGCCGATGCTTTCTGGCGTCTCCCTTGCCGTGGTCGCAGTGGTGTCGGTCGTCTTGACCCCATCATGGACCCTGGCAAGGTCTCTGACCACGTCCACGTTATTCACGGTGGCAGCAGTATGTTATTGATGTTGATATCAAGCCTTGACCCTGACTAACATCCAACCAGACTTTGGCATTGACAACACCCCTCAGGACCTTGTCGACTCTGACTGCACCTCATGTGCCGTTACTCAGGACAAGTCTGCCTACTGGACCCCTCCTCTTTACTTCCTCCACTCCAACGGCACAGCCGAGATGGTCGAGCAGGTTGGTGGTATGCTCGCTTACTACCTCCTCTACAACGACGCTGCCAACCCCAACGGCAAGATCACTGCCTTCCCCGAGGGCTTCCAGATGATCTCTGGTGACAAGCGCCAGCGTAGCTTCCCTTACCCCATCCCCGACAACGACAAGTCATCGTGGACTGCAAACCAGAAGACCCAGACTGCTCTCTCGCAGAAGGCTCTTGGTTTCAACTGCTTGAACTACGCAGCCACCCCCGAGGCATCTCTCTACCGCCACTTCTTGCCCGACAAGGACTACCTTGATGCCAACTGTGTTGACGGTATCCGTCTCGAGCTCATGTTCCCTTCGTGCTGGAACGGCAAGGACGTCGACTCTGACGACCACAAGTCGCACGTCGCCTTCCCCGACCTTGTCATGAGCGGTTCCTGCCCCGAGGGCTTCGGCACCAAGCTCCCCTCGCTCTTCTTCGAGACCATCTTCAACACCTACGCCTTCAAGGGCATGGACGGCCAGTTCGTCCTCTCCAACGGTGACCCTACTGGTTACGGATACCACGGTGACTTCCAGATGGGTTGGGACAGCGTCGACTTCCTCCAGTCTGCCGTCGACACCTGCACCAACGCCTCTGGCCAGATTGAGGACTGCCCTCTGTTCAACATCCAGACTGAGGCCGAGGAGGGTCAGTGCAAGATCAAGGACGTTGCAGAAATCGCCGACGACAACCCTCTCGGCCCCCGCGAGGATGGTCTCCCCATTGCTGTTCCCATCCAGTCCGGTCCTGACTACGCTACCGTCTACCCCGTCGTCCTCGCTGGCGATGCCACCCAATCTGCTGCTGCTTCCTCGACCAAGGCTGCCGCTTCTTCTCAGATCACCTCAGCTGCTGCTACCTCCGCATCTGCTGTCGTCCCCACTCTGAGCTACACTCCTGGCACTTCTTCCATCACCGACAAGTACGGCGGTGGTATCCTCCTCGCCAACACTGCCTCATCATACGTCCAGACCGAATCCCTCTCAACCGTCACTGCTGCTCCCTCGCTCGCTGACGCTGAGACTGACGCTGCTGGCAACATCATCGCCACCTCCTGGTACACCTCTGGCAACCAGGTCATGGAGATGATGATCGAGGAGGTCGACGTCACTGTCACCGCCACTGCCGTTGAGACCGCCAACGCCCACGCTCGCCGCCACATTGGCAAGGAGCACCGTCGCGTCCGCGGCCACCCCCGCCGCTAAGCATTCAATGTTGATTACCAATATCGGGTAAACTGGCCGGCCTGTTGTGTGTTTCTGGATGTAGCAAAAACTCCTTTTTTATACCTCTTTTTACTTTTTTGATGACCCCCCTTTCTCTGCGAACCAAGTTATATCCCTGTTTCGTTTGGCTTTTCGTGATCCAATTTTCTGTTCGTTTGTCACTTTTATCTTCTGTTTTGTTCGATATACAAATGCTGCAAGTTTCATCAGGCCCCCAAGTTTATGATCACACGATCGCGCGCACTTCAATCACAAGGTTACTATCATTGCGGGCAGGTTCCTGCAGTTTTGTATAAAAGAATCATTCTATCATTCGATTTGGTCTCTCCAATGGTGTCTAGTGCTTTTGCCAAGTGATCGTTGATGGCTTCTGATCTTGCCTTGACTTGATGCTCACCAGCAGCCATGGGCATGCTTCCTTCGATCAACTATCTTCTCGTCTATACTGTTCAGGCCAAAGACCTCCGCCGGTAGTCGTGTCTCTTCTAGTACGTCAACTTTTGATGTTCAACCTACTCATGTCTCACTCCGTTGTTGTCGCTCAAACATCCGTACATAAATTTCAACCACGACACCGGCCACAACACCAGCCACACCGTCTAGGACATGTCTTGCTGCCACCGATGTCTTTCAAGTCTGCCAAATCATTCTCTTTGACAATCCTTCGCCATGACTCAAAGTTTCGATGACGTACGCCGCTGCTGCCTAGACCAAATTTACGATGTCTATTGCAATACTTCCACCAGCACATCCTGGTCCATCGCTATTCACAATGGAAGAATACATCAGATACCTGCACGATTGGCTAGGACCGCTACACCCAGCAAGCCCCGAAAAGCTCGAAACATCACCCACACAGATAATGCTAGACCCTCAATCACCTCAATGGCACATCATTCAAACCTTCCGCGATGTCTTGGAATCAAACTGTGAGCCTCGACGTGCCGCAGAACGTCTAGCAGATATCGTCCGGTGGACAACAGATATCCCTACATGTTACAACAACATGTGGGGTTGCTTTTTCAAAGCTGCAGAGCACTTTTCAGACATGGAGACACTGTCGAAACTGACAGATTTACTCGCTTGTCTGGCAAGTCTACCCGGATCCATCAACACAATCAGAGATCCCGATGATCCGAGCAAGAAACCTATAATCATCGATGACGAAACCGACGTCGAAATCTTCTGGAAAGACCTCCCCGAGTTCTCTATGAATCTTACAGAGAGAATGCAAGGACCAGAAGCCTACCTTGCCTTCAACGCCACCCCTGAAGACGCAAAACGCAAATGGACAAATATGAATACCTTTGTCGCACTCCTCGTTCGCAACCACGGATCAGCTTTCCCGAATCAGTTCGGCGGCCTGGTAGTTTTTGCTTTTTGGACCTTTGCAGCTTCGCTCGAACAACCACCTGACTCAAGGTTTGGGAAAAACATGCCCCTTCGTTTGCCTGCGTGTTGCAGGTGGATCCTGTTGGTCAGGGACGTGGCAAGGGAAAAGATGGACCAAGGGTATCGAGGAAAGCCCTGGACGGCATCGGTGGGAGAGCTTTGGGGTGATCCAGCTGAGGTGAGAGAGGTGAATGAAGCGAGGTGGGCGTTTTGGAAGTCGAGGTTTGCGGCTTTTAGTGAGGACTCACGGTTGGATGCTGAGATGGCTGATACAGCTTTGCAGGTATCGAAGTTGATGTGAAATTGTTGGACTTGCGAGTCAGGTGGCTATGTTGGACGAGTTCAGGGAACCAGAATCACACGCAATGAGACGTAAGCGTCAACTAAGACCATGATGCACGTAAAAGGCGTCAGAATAGAAGATACAGACGAGTCGACCTTACGACAGCATGGATCTTAATCATCATCCTCTGCACAATAAGTCGGCATCATCAGGCCCAAGGCCTTCAAGTGCAGTCATCCATTCACGTGGGAGATGGCAGCCTACATCCAAACCCACCCACTGCTGCCTAAAACTCACTCATGACTCATCCTCCTCTTCCCACTCACCTATAAGTACCTCTTGCCCTGCTTCTCAAGTCCTCTTCTTCCTCTTCTCATCCAAGTGCAAGGGCAATATCCGCGTCAGTGAGGAGCAATCCGAGGCCGAGATTTTTGCTGGTTTAAAACTATCATCATGACTGCTTTTCTTGTTGGTTTCCGACGAGAGAGAATTTTTGAAAATGTAAGGCTTTTCGTTGATTGCTTGGCTGAAGGAGCCGAGGGTTGAAGAAGAGTGTAAGGGAGAGAGAGAGGATGAAGATGGATGTAATGGATAATATAGATGTCTACAGACTGCGACCGCGTCCGACAGTTAGTGTGAGCATTGAGCATTGCTTACAACGACCTCGGTGATCTTGGTGACCATTGTCATCAGCCAGACACCCTTGTTATGGAAAGCAGTGGACTCGTACGCTACACCACGCTAGTTTTCCAATGTGGTTCGAGTGTGTATGCTTGTAGTCAAAATGAAATCGAGGTCGAACGGAAACACGGCTCGACGAACCGAAAAGATCCCCACGTGCCAAGCGTGCGGAGGTGAGATTTTGGGGATCGTCTGGTCTCGGACCGACAAATATGATCACTTGGACTGCCGATGCTATCACCTTTACGTTTCTCTCAGCTAAGACGATCAAAACATAGAATACGTTGCTCAAACTCTCGACATTAAGACGAGTCATATTGACATTTCATTTTCCTGATGTATGGATGTACTTAGGGCTATCGCGAAGCCAAGCTTCCTTCCTTCCTTCCAAGCTTTTGAAAAGGCGCTCGGAAATACTACAACCATACATGATGGACACACCCATCCTTTGGAACGTGGCGGCATCGACTTCGAAGTGACATATAAAGGCTGCTCCCTACATAACAAAATCAGGCCTGTTGCTTAGCATACAAACCATCTTCGTTTTCGAGTACATCTTCGTTCTTACAATATGGCTACTGCGACCGAAACCATCGAACTCCAGGAAAGAGAGACTGTGGATGTGCCCAAGGACGATCGCTCGGACACAGCCATTGTCGGATCGCAGCAGACATGGAAAGTGCCTTCGATAAACAGATACCGAGTCCCAGTCACTTTCTGGTCCCTAGCAGTACGTATCCGAAAGCACACGCAGCGCACGTCAATCCATGACCTCTGTGACAGAAGTCTGTTATACGACAGTCGCTACACTACTCCATTCCTTATATGGTCAGTATGCTGATTGTACTCGAATCATAGGTCACAGGCATGAACGATGCATCTTACGGACCACTGCTCCCCTATCTTGAGTCATACTATGATCTCAGCTACCTCATCGTCTCCCTCGTCTTCCTTTCGCCATTCGTGGGCTACACGCTCTCTGCTCTCATCAATAACTCCATCCACATGAAGTTTGGACAACGGGGTGTGGCTGTCATTGCACCCACGGCTCATCTGCTCGCATACATTGTCATTTGTCTGCATCCACCATACCCAGTCCTCGTTGTCGCCTTTGTACTCGCAGGTTTCGGCAATGGTCTGGTCGACTCTGCTTGGAATGCGTGGATCGGTGCTATGCAGAATGCAAATGAGATATTGGGATTGCTTCATGGTGCTTATGGTGCTGGAGCCACTATTGCGCCGTTGATTGCGACTTCCATGATATCCAAAGCTGGGCTACCGTGGTACTCATGGTACTACGTTATGGTATGTCGTTGAGTACAAGATACGGACAAATTTATTGACCATCCTCACAGATCGGTGCTGCCACCATCGAACTGGCCACCTCCGTCCACGCGTTCTGGTCCGCTAATGGGACTGCCTACCGTTCTTCCACCTCCGAGGAAGAAGACACCAAAAACGGACTTGCCCAAGTCACGATGAAGATGCCCGCAGCTCGAATCACATGGCTCTGTGCAGCATTCCTTCTTTGCTACGTGGGCAGTGAGGTTGCTTTGGGCGGTTGGATCGTGCAGTTCATGATCAAAGTCAGAAACGGCAATGAATTCGCCAGTGGTATGGTGTCAGTAGGCTTCTGGCTTGGTATCACTCTAGGCCGCATCGTGCTTGGATTCATCACACCACGTATCGGTGAAAAGCTGGCAGTCTCGGTGAGTCTCTTACGTTCAAACACCACTGCAACTTTGCTGATAGAAACCAGATCTACCTCCCCATCGCAATGGGCCTTGAACTTCTCTTCTGGCTGGTCCCATCATTCTACGTTTCGGCCATTGCAGTCAGTTTCCAAGGCTTCTTTTTGGGTCCAATGTTCCCTGCCATTGTGATTGTAACGACAAAATTGCTGCCGAAACATCTGCATGTACCTGCTGTTGGGTTTGCAGCTGCTTTTGGTGGTTCGGGTGGAGCTATATTCCCTTTTGCTATTGGAGCATTGGCTCAAGCTAAGGGTGTTCAAGTGTTGCAGCCGATCATTCTGGCGTTGTTTGGTATGCAGTTGGTGTTGTGGCTGTGTCTTCCCAGGATTGGACGTAAGAAGGATTAGGAAGCGGATGATTTACAAGCAAGGGTGAAAAAGTAGAAGTGAGCGTGGATTAACATTTGTAAACGATGTGTACGAGATTCAAACCCATCCGCAAGACTCCTGACTCGAAAGGAAACCAACTCACTCATCAATCACAACAAGCAAAGAACGAGAGCCGCAAACTCTTTTGAAGAACTCCTGTTCAGCAATCTCCTTGACCTTAGCCACCAGACTAACGGTCATCTGGGATACGAGGTGCATGTCTGTGTTGCATAGAAGCGAATCGACATCAGGTCTTGATCCAAAACTGTCTCATTCTGTTTATTCCTGGTGTAGCTCAGCATTCGCAGACTTGGGCTGAGGCACAAGCAGCCAGCTGACCGCAGTTGCCGTGACCAAGCCCACTAGCATCGGTTGGAGCACCCACACACCCTTGCTGGAACTGACAAGTCCTGTGATGACTGGAAACAACGAGCCACCAATCTGTGCGAACACGAAAACCATAGAGAGTGCTGTTGATCGGATGTCTGCCGGGTAGAGTCGCGAGCCGACAGAAATGCCCTATCATCATCATCAGCAACCACATGTGTAAGACATGTTACTCAACTTACCGTCGCAAAAAGAGGGCCAGAGAAGAAGCCAAACAGACTGATGGCAACAGCTGCCGCAATTAGGTTTGGCACGCTTTGTTGTTTGTCAGCATCAAAGGTCGCTCTTCTGATTGTACTTCACACTTACAGCCAGAACATTATCTGCAGGCCGATACAGATGACACAGTAGATGGTGATCATCAATCTCTCTCCAAAACGACGAGTAGGCTCCGGTAGGATCAGTCTGCCCAACAGAGCACCTCCACTGAAGCCAGCAGGAACGTACCCCATTGCAGATATGTTGCCGTTGCGTACGTTGACCAGATACTCGACGACCCATCCGCTAGCAGTTATACTAGATCCGAGATAGAAAAAGTAGAAGAGACTTAGGTTCCAGAAGCTTCTCTGTGTGAATGTCTTCTTGATAAGTCCGATCGCGTTCGGCACCTCGAGTGTGTCATCTGGAGACTCGGTCGAAGTCATGGCAGTCTCACCATGGCTCGATGACGAAGCCACAGCTTTCGACTTCAGCCGTAGTGTGTCGCTAAAGGCAAACAAGCATAAAATGACGTTGAAAACACCTAGTCCCAGCGGAATTGTGTAGAACAAGTACCAAGGGGAAGAAGAGCTAGAAGAACCTCGAGATGATGCAATGGGGGATACAGCAAAAGGTCCAATCAAACAGCCAGCCATATACATGGCATGGATGAAGCCCAGCCATTTATGCGCTCCCTTTGCAGCAACAGCAGCGTATGCATTGGCGTGAGTATCCTGATATGCTTGACCCAGACAGGTGATCCAGAAAGTAAAGACAAACAGGCCGAAGGGTGTTGACCAAACACGCAAACCTTGAGCAACAACTTGTAAAACAGCTCCAAGGACAAGCATTGCACCAAGATCGAGATGCTGACTGAGGTGTGTGTTGGTCAATGCAGCAGTGAACCATCCGAGGAAGCTTGCGCCATAACTGCAGTACCATCAGTACGCTTTCCAGACGGTGGGGAGCGACATCTTATGACTTGCACGCTTGAAAGGATTGCTGTATTGATACCATAGTCCCGGATGATCCAGGGTATGAGAGCACCAAGACTACCATCATTGATGCCGGCAACGAAGAAAGAGAAGCCAGCACTAATCAGTCGCAGCAACGTTCCTTTGTCGAGAGTAGAACTTTGCTCGGCTCTAGTCTCCAATCTGTCGTTAGAAGACAACTCTGCGAGTTCGACTGAGTCGTCATTGAGATTCTGAGGCCTGTTGTTAGGTGATGCTACCTGAATTATTGCAGTATCACGCATTGTCGATTCTAGTATATTGATATATTGATCAGAAGGAAGAAAGATGGACCAATCCCTTGAAGCTGATAACAGAAAAAAGATCCAACAACCAGGAGAGTGACTATGCCAACAAATATATAGGACAAGCGTCCTGGAGTCATACGACAAAGGAGGGGCAGCCTGGGGAAAATCCAGAGGAAGTAGTCGCGGAGCGTCGGATTGACGGGCCGTCGTGCCGTTCAGCTTGAGGACTGATGATGATCATCAAGAAATAAGGTATATTATACAATATTTATACACATTAGCAGTTGCTTTGGATCCATTCGTGAACGACATCAGCAATCTGTTCACTGTTTTTCTCAAGATAGCCAAAGTGACCGTTACCAAGAATGCTTCTATCAGCAAGCTTGATCCATTCGGCAGGCACACCAGCCTGTTGCAGGAAGTCGATAACACAGTGCTCGTATGTGATATGAGGGCTAGCACTGCCAGTAAGTGCGACGTACTTGACTTTAGCGATCTCTGTGAGCTTGTGAATTGTTCCAGTCTGCATGTAGCAGCTGCGTTTGGCAGGTGTGTCGTCTCCAACGAGCTCGTGAGTAAGCTCGGAAGTACCGTTGATAGCAGGCTCGTATGTGACCCAGGTATTCGTCATGCCCCAGGGGCGAGCGGTAGTGCGGCCAACAGATGAGGTAGCATTTCCGACATACGATTGGAAGGGAATGTTTCCAGGCTCCAGATTAATGTTGCCGGCGACCAAAGAAGGGCAATCGTTGGACAAGAGCAGAGGGTGCAAAGCTCCAATTGAATGAGAGACTAGGAATGAAGGGCCAATAAGAGAAAGCAGTTGACAACCCGAAGATCTCATAGAAAGCTCCTGGACAGTCATGTTGCTGGTCAAAGGAATAAATGTTGATTCGAAGGCGTCAAAGACGGGATCGCCCTTTACTCCTGAGCCGGGCCATTGAGTGTGCTGCTGAGATTGTGGGTATGCGTTAGTGAGTTCAGGAGCAGTGAATCCCTTCTCGGTGATCTCGGCGGTAGATCCGATACGCATAACGTAGTCGACAAGGTTCTCTGCGCTACCTCTACCAACACTAGTCTGATCGACGATATAGACTTGGTAGCCAAAGTCTAGGAAATGGGAGGCAAAGCCCTTGCGATTATCAGGTGTGTTAAGCCATGTCTGTCCAGTTAGCCACTGTTATCTTGGTAAATATGACTAGACATGACTCACCACTCCAGAAGTACCGCCTCCGTGGAAGAGCACAACGGGGTGACTCTGGTTCACGCCAGTCGCAGGAGTCAACTTCTCGACGTAGAGTTGGTCATAGGTGAGGTTGCCAGCGGCTCCAGCTACGTAACGTCCTCCAATGTAGAAGAAGTCACGTTGGTGTGATGCTTCTTGCGAGGCACAACCAGGTGCAATAGCATTGATGCCAGTACAGTCAGTCGCCGCGAGGGCGACGCTCGCAAGAGAGGCGAGGCTGAACAAGGTTGAGGAGATCATTTGCTTGAGCGAGATAGAAGTCACGGTACTTGAAACAGGCCAAGAAGAAAGAGTTGCGGGAGTCGGTTGTTTTTGTATTCCGCTCAGAATTGGCTATCCGTGGATCCGCCTATCCAGAGTGGTGCAGACATGTCCGTCATCTCGCGAAGATCCACCTTCAAGACCAATAAGAGCTCGACCCTTTTGGTCCAGGAACGATTACAGTGCCATGGAGGACGGAATGCTGCGACATGGACAGCCTGATATTCTCCAATGAAGATTTCCCGTCAGCGCAGGCAGCGCAGCTGCCCGAACTCGTGTTGCTGTGCAAATAGATTCGTGCCCTCCGACAATATTACACGTCCAGCGGTGTAAGGGTCAAAGTTGGCAAGCTTCAAACGCTTGGGTTGTCTTTTTTAACCGACACATGATGAACCCCATGCTTGGCTAACCCGACTCGAGGCTTCCTTCGCACCATCGCAACTTCCTAATCATGGAGCTTCAGTAAGGGACATCGATATTTATCCATGTCAATGAGATATCTTCCTCAAACGTCGTGAGAACTCAGCCTTCGTGGCCATATCCTCGAAAATGCGTGCTATTGTGAACTTGCGTCAACGCGAACACCCCTGTCAACGAACGGACCATCGTTTGACAGACTTCAGATCAAGCTGCTCATGGATCACTACAAGGCTCAAGCGTATGCCCCAATCCACAACAACATCGCGCCATCGGCAGGACAAGCTAGAACTTGCGAGATGCTACACCTCCGAAACATCCTATAGCTAGGCGACGCCCTGCCATTGGTGACTTGTCCTGTAGCGATGGAATCGGTTGCCCGACTAACAGCCTAACGACGATCCTAGTCCTCAATGAAGATCCAGCACATCAGAGTTTCTGCCCTACTTGTACACCCAAGGTAGGATGTTTTCAGTCCATGCTTCAAGCGTACGAGCCCGAATTTCCGGCAGAGGTCGAGATCCTCTGGTGATCTTCTGAAGCCCATGGCCAGATTCTCTTAAGCAGGTGAGACAACCCGTTTTCTGGGACTCTTCTGAATTTTGCTTGCATATGCTGCTGCATACAAGAGCGGAACAGAGATGCCAAACTCGGCCTTGTTGAGACAACCGCCGGCCAACGAGGATGACTTGTTCATAATCAAGGGCATGTACAGAGCAGCCTACGCTTTCGACAAAGACGCAAGCAAGGGCTACCTGTTCGTTCCGAAGAAGCCCGAGGACTATGAGTACAACGACAAGCAAGCCAGCATTGTTGTTGGCTTGGTTATGGCGATAGTCATAATGTTGTTCACCACAGTTCTACGACTCACCCTTCGACGGTTCAGGACGGGTGTGAGATGGGGTGCGGACGACTGGATCTTGATTCCAGGAGTGGTATGCGGCGATGTCTTAGTACCCCAGCACATCCCCCAGTTGCTGACGTGCAAGCGCAGATCATGGCCATGCTATATCCGATACTGCAAATAGCAATGGTCGCACATGGTGGAGGCGGAAAACATACATGGGATGTGACCTATGCCGAGTACTACATCTTCAACAAGGTGCGCAACACCTCAAATCCAGAAGATACATGTTACTGACCTGACACGACACAGCTCGCAATCGTCTGCAAGATCATCTTCTTCACCACCGTCGGCATTATCAAGATATCCATCTGTCTTTTCCTCCGCCGTATCTCCGAAGCCACCTCGAAGTATCCTAAGATCGCCAACGACATCTTTCTCTTCCTGCTCATTGCATACACTTTGCTTGCCCTGTTTTGGTCATGCTTCCAATGCTCCCCGGCGCCAGCAATGTGGGACAAGATATACTCTGGTAAACTCGCGCAACCTGCCAAATGCTGGTCAACACTGGTGGTCGCGAATACGCTCAGCGTTATCCACGTTGTCATGGACTTTGTCTTACTTCTTACACCAATCCTGGTGCTCTGGAACGTACGTCTGAACAAGAAAACAAAGATCAGATTGTTCATAGTATTCTCGATGGGGTCATTATCTTGTGTGGCTAGTGTTCTGCGAGAGCTTGCACAGAAGAGTATAAGCAAAGACATCACCTGTGAGCTCTATCCGCCCAAATTCGATGATACGTTTGCTAAACGCTTTGCAGACGGATATACAAGTCTGCTCGCATGGACCGTAGTCGATTTGACACTCGCAGTAGTCGTAGCATCTCTACCAGTGATCAGTACGCTCATTCCAAAAGCATGGGGTGAGATCACCCATTCATCGCGCATTCGCAGGACTACGCTGGGACAAGCAACATCAAAAGGAACACAGGGACAATCCATCATTGGAAGAGCTCGACGTAACACGATCGATTCAGAAGAAGATGGTATTCTACGCGAAGATCGTATCGAGTTGACCTATGCTCGTAACTCGAAACGACTCGAGCCGCGAGATGCTTCTCAAACTTCTTTGTATGCAAGTCCTCATGCGAGACATGCGATTTAATCTTTTTCGCCATGAAGACAGTTTCAGATGTTACAAGAATGAATCTCTATTACCCTTCTACGTTCCTCAAACCTTATACATTAGATTTATTCTATTACCCTTCACCTCTCCATCTAAAACTTCACCCACCCACCCTCCCTCGCAACCAACGCCTTCACCTTGCCAGCAGCAGTACCATCTCTATACCACACAATGCCAACTTTACTATGTCCCCAAAAGCCATCAATACCAAACAAAGCAGTAGTGACTTGAAAGCCCCATCTGGTCGCTTGCTGATAGTACACTCTGTCCCAGACACCCTGCGTCTTTATCTGCATGGTTCCCCAGACCATGCCAACGATAGAGATGCTAGAGCCATGGGAAGCAGCGATGACAGGAGTGGCTGCAGAAACGGGGATTGCAGAGGCAGTGATTGTATAAGTACCGCTTTGTTCTGCTTGAGAAAAGATGTAGGTGTTGTTGCTGGCATCGGTGTAGAGGATAGACACAGTTTTGGTGGTACCCCACCATGGATCGCTGATTCCAAGGGCAGAAATAAGGGTATAGGTGTTGACCACCAGATTTCCGTTTTGGATAAAGGCGGTGGAAGCAGCGGTGGTGACGTCTTCATCGGCGAAGAATGCGCTGAGGATGGTGATGCCCGTGGCGCTTGCAGCAGGGGTGGAAGTGGCTTTAGATACTGTGGTTGTCGATGACAAGAGGGCAGATTTGGTGGAAGAGGGAGAGCTCGATGCCGAGGGCATGGCAGAAGTTTTGCTGCTGATGACAACACTTGTCAACGCACTAGTCGGTGCACTCGTAGTCCTTGAGGAGGTGTAAGTGGATGATTTTGCAGAAATTGCAGATGATGATGATGACGACGACGACGAAGAAGATGCAGATGGCACAGCCATCGATGCAGAGGAGGAAGAAGACAGCGCAGCTGTCGCAGAGGCAGAGGTAAAGGCAGAGGTCAAAGCAGAGGAGGAAGATGCAGCACTCACCTCAGGGTAGGAGTTGTACATGGCGCCAGTGTCGCTCATGCCACTTCCATCAGAGTTCATCAACATGTTGGTGGTATCCATGAAGTAGGCGTAGCGCTGCACGTAGGGTTGCGCATCCATCCAATCCATGACTTCCTCGAGGAAAGATTGGAGTTCGGCGTTGGTATAAGCAGTGCTGGAGTCAAGGCCAAACTCGGTGATCCACACAGGCCTGCCTCCAGACATCTCGTGGGCGGCTTGGACTTGCTGCTTGAAGTAGTTTGCTCCAGCCCACTTGTTGGAATACCAGTGGATGTTGATGAAATCAATGTGGCAGCCTGTGCAGTTTCCCATGAAATTGCTAAGCCATGTAAGTCCCATGGGAGAGCCACCATTGGTGACGGCTGGAGAACCGAGAAGGGCCTTGCCGGCGAAGGGCTCCATGTACTGTTTCCAGGCCTTGACAGCGTCCGACATTTGCATGCACGAAGATCCGGCACCTGCAAGGCAGAGATCAGGCTCGTTGAAGCCTAGGAGATGTTTGCTACCAGCATTGATAGAAGCCTGTGCATTGGTGGCCCAGCTGTTTGTGAGGTCGGAAGCGTCACTCCACAGCATAGGTACATATTCGAGTGCAGGGTTGAAGCCGCTGCCAGAAGTCTGGTACCAGTTGTATGCCCAAGAGACCTGAGAGTTCTGACCCGAAAGAGAGAAAGGCATAGTGTATGCGGCGTTGTTGTAGGAGAGACCACGCTTGCCACTGTTCTTGACAGGAGTGGCGGTAGCACGTTCAATTACTAGAGTAGAGTTAGCATTCTGAGGAGATGACCCTCGTAGAGAGTAAGCATACCACGACCGGCAGCATCTTGCAGGAGGAAGGCAGACGCCACGATAGCAGATGCAGTGAACTTCATGATTAAGGATTAAAAGACAAAATGTAAATTAAGAATAAATCAGAATTTGGCGACGGCAGCAACGCACCAGGCGGAGCTTTTGGTATGCACTGTTAGTGAATGGACGACCTGAAGAAACACAACATATGGCTAGGAGACTTCAAGCTTATATATCAACCACACACCCTTGACAGCAGATAAAGCATAAAGAAATGATACAAGACATGTTGAGTGTCCAGGAGCATCTCGCCGGTAGACGTTTGGATCTCGGTGTATCGAAGACAAGCCCAGGCACGAGGTTCGCCTCCTACAAGATAGCTGATGCAGGGTCGAATTGTTGTCGAGATGGCAAAAGAACCAGTAGAAAGAGCCATTTCAGCGTGGCCGTTATAGACGTTGTGGTTATCAGCCGAGTATCGAAACGGCCATATCAAAACTTCATACAATTGGGTGTGGGCAAATTGGAAACGGTCAGATCTTGGCAAGATACAAACGCCGGTAGTTGGAGGTGCATGATAGTTCGGCAGCCAAACACGTGTAGGGTTTGCATGCAAGTCCAACTCTCGCCCTATATCGACGTCCTGGAAAGGAAAGATTGACCTATAACAAGACGTTGCGACTCGCCCGTTGTCTCGTTTGGGATGACATTTTGTGGAGCAGTAGTCGTGGCCTCTGATACCATATGGGTTCACTGATGCATTGTGAACCGGGTCGGCAAGGGGGCACAGTGTAAGGCATGTCGTGGCCCTAAATGACAGGACACATTTGGCTTGAACTCGGCTGCTTGACACCGTAACCAAGGCATGAACGATGGGAAAAGCATAGAACACGGATGCAGAAGATGCAGAACAAGAGGATGAGAGATGAATACGAAACCCACAAACGACAATGCTGTACCTACGCCAATAGTATATGATAACGCCATTTTCGTGCTAGAGATGAGATGCTAATCGTTAGACGTCAGATGAGAGATTCATTGTTGACTTTGCTGAGGTGGGCGAGCGGGCTCAGAGACAATAGGTGGGCTCGTCAAAGGGGAGATGACGGCAGGACTGTGAGGTGTGGGTGGTTGGTGATGTGTAGGTGATGAGTCTGGGTGGGCCAGTTGACGTTCTGGAAGTGGGTAAGTACATGGTAGCAAGTAGCTGAGATGTTGCTTACCGAGTTCACGGATACGGGCCTTGAGCATTTGGTTCTCGCGGGTCAACATCTGGGTCTCAGCTTGGTAGAAAGCGCTCTCGTCGCGAGTTGGGCCGAGCAGGAAGTCTTCGCGTTGATGCTCGTATGGTGAGGTAATAGGACGAAGAGCGGGAGATCTGCTACTGCTTCGGGGACCACTTGTGACGGAGACGGCCTGAGAAGAGTGGCGCGATAACGAGACTGGACGTTGGGGCAGCGGTTGCTGTCTGCTCGAGCTGGACAGAGTGCGCGGCCTGGTGTCGAAGTCGGAGACTGGAGCAGTAGAGTGATCGCCGTGCAGCTCATCGATCTGGTCTTGCTGCTGGCGGATCATGTGCAGCAGTCTATTGACTTGGTGTTCCTGCTCGTTCTCCAGGTCCTGATGCATCTGACCCAGGCTAGGGGCACGGTGGTGATGGGAATCTTGCATCTCTCCGGGGCCGGGGATTTGGGCATCATTGAGATGCAGGTTGGCCAATAGACTGGATCGTCTGCGTTGTGTGGCGCTGGCCCGTGGAGAGTTCGAGTTGCGCATGCCGGCATTGATGGTTGCAGCTGCTTGGAGCGACGACAGCGAGGGCGAGTGCGGAGATGGCTGGTTGTCGCTCGCAGTCATTGTATCGTCGGGGGTGCGTCGTAGGGTTGGTGAGGGCGGAAGAGAGTTGAGATCGGGAGGCATCGTGTGTGTTTGTATCGGAGCGCCTTCGTGATTGCCTGATTGTGCTGCTCGATTGACCGCTTGCTTGCTGCTCGAGCTGCTGTGCCCCACTACTGTCACGCCGCATCACATGTCGACGACCAGTCACTCCAGTTCGATATCTTCACCTACATGCATTCCGTGACTAGCAAGAACGAATCTTCTGATAGTCGTTGTGTCCATTCTCTAGCTACATGAATAATACTCGAACTATGAATGTATTGATTCATACACGTTCGAGTCGCGTTGGCTGTTCGAAGACCAGGCTTCCATGTTCCGTTTGAAGCTCGTCCATGTCTGCTCACCCTGTTTGACAAACGCCCCTCTACAAAACCCTCATCCTTCGCACTGCCACCTCGTACTCAACCACTCGCTAAGGCCAGCCATATGCTCGCTCGTCTGTAAACACAGTCTCTTGACTACAAGCTTAAATCTAGACATCTGTAGCTGTCCTATTGTTCAAACCCTTCTCCTCTACACGGCCACATGCATGCAACGGTGCTTTGACCCTTTTTCCAAGCAACCCACTTTCCGCCATTCCCCCAAGTGCCTATGGTCATCTTTGGTACGCTCCCGATAACCTACATTCTCGACTCTCTCTACAGTCCATGCTCGATGCTCGAATCGCAGACGGGACACTTCTGGCGCCCCTTCCGCGACTTGCTATCGAGTCTTGACCCGCTCCGTCACTGGCGTCTGGGCGTTTGGCTTCGCTCATGCAATTTACCCTCGTTTCAGCATGCCAAAAGACCCCGATCCCAAGCTCGTCCCTCGTCCCTCAGCCGAGTTTCATCTGCAGCCCACCGCACCCACGTCTATTCCATCACTGCCACTGCGAACTCGTCCGTCACAGTGCTGCCTGCATATTGACTTTTCTACTCCTTTTTCGTGCTGCAATGCGTCCCGTATCCGATGACCCATTCTGCGCTCCTCCGACAGATCTCGACTCGACCTGACCTTTCATCGCTGTCAGCGCCACATACAGCACCAACTCCTAACGAGTCCAACTAAATCCGCTTGCGTGCGCGGTCCGCATGGTCCGCCTCCACTGTCTCGTTTGCTTCAGATAAAATCTTGGGCAGACTAAGCCCTCGACATCCCAATGCAATATGGCTAATCTAAATTCTGTTGTCCCTTCATTTTCTTTCCTTCTATTCCACGCCTGTTCACCCTCATATCCAAATGCCGCAAACACGGCTCTTTCACTTCTTTTCTTAGCCATCCCGCCGATCTTCTCTTTTCCTTCCATTGTTCTTCGCGACTCGTCTGCCTCGATCCATAGAGTCTCAGGTCTTTGAATGTAACAAAGGCTTCAATGGCCGTCGATCAGAATGATGCTCTTGATGCTATCAATATGAGCAGGTTCAAGGATCTGCCCCCCATTCAGACCACTTTCAAGGATAAACCTTTGCCCGCTCTAAGAGAACCCTCAAAGGATAGTGGAAGAGATACACCTACTTCGAACCGGACAGGACGTGGTTCTCGGCGGTTGAACGCAAAGTCTAGTCTATTCAATCTTTTCAGCAGACCTAGAGTTGAGAAACAAAGAGGTTTCAACGAGTCTGGATATACTGTCACTCCCATAATCGAACCTGGAAGAAGCACGCCGAGTCCGGACCTGATCGTACGCGTGCCATCGCTTCCTTTCAATCCTGCACCCCAAGCACCGTACAGCCGACCTAGCACTTCACTGTCCATTCACGAGGATCGTCGGATCTTGGCGCGGAGCCGTACAACAGCTTCTTCTGACCATGTCAGAGAAGAGGACGAGACGCCAAGCCTGCCTACGCTATTTGACATATACACAGACTCAAGCAAGGTTACCATCGCGCAAGCCATCGATGAATCTGGTCAATCTCGTCTCACAAGGCCTCGCAAGTCAAACGCATCGCACATCATACCTGCGCACATTCACGAGGAAAGAAGAGGCAGTGTGGACAGCATCAAGACAGAACACAAAACGCAGAGCAGGAGCGGCAGAAACTCTCTCAGTCAGGGACCTTTCCAGAGGAAGATCTTCGCACTTTCCAACGATGGCATGATCCTCCAGTACCCAGAAAAGGGTGGTGGTGAAAGACTGCCAGAACGTGCTTTGCAACTATGTTCCGAGTCTGTCGCTTTTGCTTGTGATCTGGTGCCTGGGCGACCCTACGTTCTACAAGTCGACCAGAAGCCAACCGTTGCTTCGGAATATCACACGCTTCATTCTCAAACATCCCTTCTAACTAAGATCGGACTCAAAGACAACCTTCCGCGTGTTGGTGAACACAGTATACTCATCATTCTGGACACTGCTGAAGAACTCACTTCTTGGATGAACGCAGTAAGAAAACAGATTCTTGTCCTAGGTGCTATCAAGGGTGATGATCTCAAGCCGGAAGGAATTGAGAAGCTAAGCACCACGGCCCCTAAGCTGCGTATCAAGCAACGTGTGTCCATCAGCCAACAGGACCAGCCATCTTTCACGAACTTCTCCTTTCCGACCAGCAGTCCTGAGAAGGGCCCTGCAGGTAGACTGAGACGTGATTCTAGCGCCGCAGTCGCCCCAGCCACCCAGCCGGAGGTAACCGAGTTACATTTTTACTCGAGGAGGAACTCGAACGCGGCAATCTCTCGCAAGCCTTTGTCAGACCATGATGGTGTGGACCGACTTAGAAAGATGGCTTCCTTCGATACGAACGACTCACCGCTATCTGTCACCACCCATGACTCGGCTATCAGTTTCGGAATGAGTGCAGGAAAGCGCATGATTCGTGACATGAATGCATCACAGAAGTCATCGACAGGATCCTTGCGTGACGAGTACGAGACCGACAGTCCCGTCCTCCCAAGATCGGCAACGACTGGCCAACTTCAGCGACCAAAGCCTAACCCTGTCGTCGATAGACCTCGTCCCGACTCATTCGTCGCGGATATGTCTCTACTATGGCCAGCCCGCAAGACTTCTGAAGGTGTTTCGCAGTCAAGCAACCAGCAAACGCCATCGCCTCCCATCAAACGCTTGCCATTGAAGGTCAACCCTCAATCTAACAGCATGTCACTACCTCGGCAGAGGCCTTCACAGGCGTCTCAGAAGCCAGCTCCCCCACCTACAAGAGCGCTGCCAGCAGTGCCCACTAGATCTGTTGAGAACTTCTCACGCAAGCCTCAGCGCACAGCTTCGATCAAGCTGTCACTCTTTCCTACAGCTGAGGCCGTACCCGTCCCGATGTCTACTTCTCCGGTCAAATCTCTTCCACCTTCTCTTGCAATGACATTCCCGTCTTCGCCAGCAGAAGACATGAAGAGATCGCAAGATCGCCCTCTCCGCCGGCCAGCGAGCATCCAGATTCGTGCCAGTCACGCCCCATTCCTCTCTTCTCTGCGTCCCAGGACCGATTCCAACCGTCCTCAACTTTCCAAGGCCGAATCTGTGCCATGTCTCCGTGAGGCTAGCACGCTACCTAGAGTCCCCATGGCTCAGAAGCCGTCATCTTCGCCTTTACCACCACTTGATCTGGGGATGCCCATCGTTGGTCTAGCACCACCTGCACCACCTCCATCGCTTCCACTCCCCAAGCTGCCGCCCGGTACGCAGTCAAAGGCATTGGTTGTCCGATAGTACCCTTCACCTCGTGTCTCTTACACTGCCCTTTACTTTGCCAATCATCACGACTACGGACTGGGTAATGTTTGTTCTTGGCGCAATGAACGCCGGTACTTTTTCACTTTACAACATTTTCACGAAGGATTTATGATTTTGGGGGATCACTAAAATTTGCTCTGACATTGATTGTCTTTTTCCTATGCTCGCTAAGAGAGTTCTAGCTTTTGTAGATACTTCTTGAAGACATGGAACTTCTTTCCAACAGTCATGTTGCAGGTACGAGATGTCGCTAAATCTACGCGAGTCGCGCTCCCACGTGACATGAGTCAGACCACTGTTTGCCTTCCAAGCCAAACTCTTGATACTCAAGAATCCGAAACGGCCGAGAAGCCCTCAGGCCTTTCCTCCGTATTATCCAATGAACTGAAATTGATTTCCACCGCCTCTCGTAACCTTTGTACTGTCTTTACGTGCTTTCCCTTTTAACTTGTCGGACATATTGCCACATCACTCTCAACTATCGAGACAAGCCAGTCCAAAGATATGAGTACGGAAACACAGACTCGTCAAAAGACCACCTCTGGCATCCGGAAAAAGCCGTTTGCCGTCCCTCCTGTCAAAGTAGCCTGTCTATCATGGTGTGTATAATACCTTGGGCTCGCATGATGTATTCTTTGCTGATGGCGTGTGTCAACAAGTCGTTCTTCTCGTGTTCGATGTGATGGCAAAGAACCATGTTCGGGTGTAAGTCCTTGCTCTAGGTATGCTTCCTCAGACTCGACATCTAACTTTTTTCCAAAAGTGCAGTCATCGAGGCAAGGAATGTGTATATGTTCAAAGTCGAAGAGGCGGTGCTCGAGTCCCGCGCAGCAAGAGACAAGATTTCGAGAAAGTGGATTATGTGAAGATTGCACAAGAATGTATGTTTCTGCCACCCTGATAAATTCACAATCTACTAATGGTGCTCTTAGGCTTCGATGATGCGGTACCGACGATGGTACATCCTGGTGCTGGATTGACTCAACTGGATTTGAATCTTGACAACACGGATACTCTTTTCGACAGTATATTCACAGCAGTACCAGTGCCTCAGACCATTGAATTGGAAAACCATACACCTCGACAGACTGGCTCGGTACGGACTTATCGATCAGATGAAGACATGTAAGTTCTAGATATTCAGGGTTGATAAGAACGCAAAAGCTGACATAACGCAAAATAGGTTGGACGCATATTACATCTGGCTACACCCATATTTTCCTATCCTTCCTCCAGCCAAATCCTCTCAATCCAAGGACAACCCACACCTCTGGTACCCCAAATCCTCAGAACTTGCTTTCGAATCTATGTCCCCCACCGCTCTCGCGATCTCAGCAATCCTGGCTCTAATACCTCATCCAGAGGAACCCGCACCCTTCGAGCAAGAAAGCATCATCGTCCGTCGAGAAACTGCTCACCGTTTCGCCAAGCGCACGTTGGAGTGCATAGAACTTGACTCCGAGATACCCAATTCTTCAATCTCACCAGCACAGGCATTGATAGATGAACACTCATGCATCTCACGCCCCGCATTCCACCCTTGTGTACCGCTAGAGTTGGAAGCTGTGATTGCGTTGAGTATATTGAGTGTGTATGAGTATGCTCAACGTGGCAATATCGCGAAGATGAGAGATCGGGCTAGTCAGGCTTTGATGCGGGCGATGAATTTGTCGTTGCATGATCGTGGTACGGAGATTGATGGGTTTGCTGAGGCGAGGAGGAGGACTTGGTGGATGACTGTGAGTCTGTCCAGATATTGATGTGTCGATGAAGTTTTGCTAACTAGAGGATTGCAGTACATCTGTATTTGCCAGGCTTCGATTGTCAGCTCTATGGTATGTGTTCATAAAGCCAGGTTGATATATTTGGGATCACTTACTCACACCTTCGTAACAGCCACCAGCAATACCGCTGTTCGATTCGCGCTTCACAACCAGCTTCCCACAATCACCAGACCCAGAGGTATATTCCCTGCCATCCTCATCAGAACCCCCAGAAGACACAAGACCTAACATCACATCAACAAAAACAGGCCTGGCCCTTCTTTATCAAATCCCAACAAACCATCCTTCTCGCTACCCAATTCGTCACCGCAGTGGGCCTCGCGGTAGACGGTAAACAAGACTGGACAGAAATTTCCTCGCGGATGCAAAACCTACACAACACCATTGAACCACTGCTATCGCAATCCAACCAATGGACAGACGCGAAACCATGTTCTGCAGATCCCGAAGCCGTGGTTGCGTTTTCGTTAAAGCAGATGAGCAAGATCAAGCTCAACAGGTGAGTGCATCCTCAACCCGACCTCAGGCGAAGAAATGGAAGAAGGATCCTCTTTGCTGACAGAAGATGCAAAATAGTGCGAGGATAAAACTCCACCGTTACTGCGCTTTCTACGACATACCCGTGTTCTCAGAAACCCACTGCGATCTCAAAAAATCGCAACCTTCCCCTGCTGCTGTCGGCGACCCCATCGATCAACTCTCCCTGAATTCCTCACCTACTGGCTCTTGTGGCTGCAGTTCTTCCCTACCCACCCAAGTACCAGCTCTCTCAACCTCAGCCTCGCCGGTATCATCCACCTCGAGCGCAGCAACAACAACAACAACAACGGAATATCTGCATCCCTTTCCATTCAGCAACCACGTTTCCTCACGCTTGTGTTTGAACTCTGCATTGGCCATCGCAGCTGCATTTGAAGCTTTACCCACACCTTCTTCTTCTTCTTCTTCAGCTGCGTCCGGAGGCGCGTTGGGCTTGTCTCCTCGCACAATGCCGAGTTTTGCTTGTTGTGCGATGCAATCAGCGTATACTCTACTCATGATATATCACCGTACTTGGGTATTGGCTCAGCAGCAAGAAGGAGATACACAGGGTAAAGCAACACAATTGCTGCAAACATGCGATCAAGGACTCCGGGGTATTCTTTCTGCATTGGATAATTATAGCATCGCTTTTGAGGCGTTGGGAGGGATGAGAGATCAGGTGCAAGCGGCACTTGATTGTTTGAGTTTGGCTGAGTAGCAAGCACATCAAAAAGGAGTCAGGGAAGGGGCAGGCAAGCAATCTTGGGCATTCGTTTGTCTATCTGAAATTTGGAACAGTTTTGATGAAAAGCGAGTGCTGAGTTCTGGATCTCCTTTGGAGGCTAAGGCTTTTTCTGTGCCACCACTGGACGAGTTACTGTTGCTAGCTCGTGTCATTTCCATTCACGCATAAAGGTTCGCTGAAAGAAAAACAACCACTAAAAGGCATTTTCATGGACTGCGTATCAAATAAAGTAGATGCACGACCTTTTTCATGCATGCCAATCATGACTCAAACAAAGTTGCATTCTAGGCTTTGCGGATACCCTCTGATGAACTCAAGCCTCGAATCTCCCTAAAGAAAGCTAGAACTAAGAGCTTAGCTATACTTTACGCCGCTAATATCTTGTTTGTTCTGAAATTTCCATCTGGGCCTCTCAAGATAAGATGGCGAGATATCACTACCATGACTGCCCATCACTTAATACCGCCTTGTTTATCCCAATAAGAAATTTTAGAAGAGTTGGTAAGGATATATGTACCTTATGCCCATATACTCGACTATCAAAGAACTAGATTGCTATAGGGGTTTCCTTTTTTTTTTCCAAAGAGTATCATAATTCGAAATTGTTTACTGGTATACTAAAGTGATTGACGTTTATACAGTACCATCATACACTAGCCTTGAAACTTTTGTATAACACGAATTTTGTAATGGATAGATCTAACTGCCAAAGTCTAATTTGCTGAGGTTTTCTGAGATGCAGACTTTTGTGTGGGACAAAGAGACGAATGGAGAGATTGTATATTATGCAAAGAGCAAAAGTGGTAAGTGGGTTATAGAAAACCAGCAGAAAAGTGGAATACCAAGCAGTGGGTGGTGGAAAAGAAGAGAGTAAAAAAAGGCGAAGATTTCTTTGTTGGTTGCTCACATAGAAAGAAAAGGGTGAAATTTCATTCATAAATCCAGAAAAAAGGCTAAAAACTAATTCTTACATGTCAAAGGAAGGCGCGAGCCAAAGCCTTTTGTTTTTTGCTGCTGTTCATGCCTTGCTATCGTTATTCCATCTAAAGCTTGCTCTTGAACTTATCGCTATCATTACTCTTGAACAGCACCTCGCTGTTCGGGTAAGGATCCACCGTGATGGCGTTCAATGGGTTTAGCTCGCTGGCTCTGTAGAACATGTCCTCATACACCTTGCCATCGTAACGTCCCAATGACGAATCCAACTGCCAGTCTGGGAAGTCCCAGGCGTCGACTAACCTCACAGCATGAGGACGGATCTCAGCAAGCAACTTCATGACTGCATTTGTGCGAGCAAGCTGGATCTGGCGAACGGTGACGGCAGCAGAAGTGTAGAATTCAGAAGCCTCGGACTCGAGGGTGTGCAATGCATACAGGCGGAAAAGCTTGTGCATGAGATCCAGGGTAGCGGGGTCGAGGTCAGAAGTGATGGATGACGAGTTGAGTGCCTCGTAGAAGTTCTTCACCACCATGTACTGCGAGTGCGCGCGCGACAAACGGTAAAAGTCAACCAGCAAATCGTTCCAGGCCTTCTTGTTCTCGTCTCTGTGCTTGAGGGCTTCGAAAGTGAGGAAGGAGGATCGCCAAGCGAATGCCGCAACGAGATCTTCGTCTTTATCCATGATGTTGAAGGCGGCGCCAGATTCGGATTTGGCCAGGAAGTTGGCGAGGATGGCGGTGGTGTCGTTGGTGGGTTCGTTGCCCTTGAGCACGCTGCGAGCTGACTTGAGCAAGTAGCGGGCGACTTGCTGGGTCAACATGTAGTTGTCGCCTTCCCAGGTGGCGGTGGGCAGGTAGTCGGCGTACCAGGGCCCGATGCCTGAGAAGTTGCTGTAACCGTGGCCACCGCATGCGCGACGACAGACTTCAAGGCCATCGACGGCCGTGGATGAAGCCAGAGACTTGAGACCGCAGGAAGTGGCGTGGAGGTCGGCGAGCAGGTCGCTGCCGGGAGTGACCTCCTCGGGACCAGCACCGCGCTTTGTGTTTGACTTGCCGGCATCTTGGCTCATCTTCTTCTGGTTGGCTTCGTAGAGCTGCATCATACCGCGACCGGTAAAGTGCAGAGCGTAACAAGTAGCCAGCAGAGTCAAAAGTCTGATCTGCACAGTGGTGTAGTTGAGAACCTGGTTCTCGTCCGACTTGGGATCTTGAGCATCACGGTCCTGGAACTGGCGGCGGACAGCAGCGTAGCGGGTAGCGATAGTGACACCACGGGCCAAAACACTGCCAGATTGCAAGACGATGGTGCTGCGGACCCAAGTGAGGGTTCCGTAGATGAGCGAAGGAGAGGCAGGACGCAGGTACTTGCTGGTGCTGGGGTCGACGCTGGAGAAGCGGGCCAGCATGCTGATGTGGGGGACCTTGACCTTGTTGAAGAGCAAGAAACCGTTGTCCATGGTGTTGTAACCAAACTTGGGACCAATATCACCAATGTGAATGTTCTCGAGCGGCAGGTGTGTCTTGAGATCGCGAATCTGCACAACGAAGGGGTGGGGGCCGTAAGGCTTGTTGCCGATGTATAATTGAGCCATGACGACGGCATGGTTGGCGGTGCGGCCGAGGGAGCCGATCCACCACTTGCTGGCGGTCAGGGTGGGCGAGTTGATGACGAAGGTCTTGTCTTCGGGGCTCCAGGTGGCTGTCGTCTCGAGACCTCGTACGTTGGAGCCGTGGCCGAGCTCGGTCTGGGCGTAACAACCAATGTACTCGTAGTTTCTTGCGGGTTTGAGGAACTTCTCGTGCTGCTCGGGCGTGCCCTGGTCACGGAGGGTGATCTGTTGGAGCTGGTTAGCGGCTGGCTGAAGCCTCTCGTCTCGACACACAACTCACCAGGAACATGCTCTCGTGCAGACCATACGGACCGGGCTCACTGATGAGCTCGTTCGCAACCGACTTGTCCGTGTCGGTCCAGTTGTGCTTGACCTGCAGCTGTCGGAGTCTCTTTGCTCGCGCCAGAGCTGTCTCGAAGCGATCAATACGACCAGCAAAGTAGTTTTGCGACTTGTCAAACACCTTTTCCTGCTGGAGGATCTTCAGAATCGTGCGCTTGCGGTCGAGTCCTTCTTGAGTGTGCAGGAAGGTCGACAGTGCCTTGACATCGACATTCGACTTTGCTCGCTCTTGCGACAGGAGCTCGGTGCCCTGAGGGCCGGCAGGCTTGAGGTCTTTGACCCATGAAGGTGTGGGCGCCATATTGTAATGTGTGTGATGGAATTGAGAGTGCAAAGAAACAATCAAGGTGATGATCGCTTCATTGTACTTATCACTGCGCCTTCGGTTGTTTAGACTCGGACCCTATCCCCCTGCCTCGGTGCCGAGGTTACCGTCATCTTTCTGGGGCAACGTCCGACTACCTAGAGAACGCTGACGTGAACCATTCTACGTGACCACAAAACCAAGCCGGATCTCGCCTCTGAGGGCTGGACTCGACTTTGCAGCAGAAGCTCCCAAGCCTCTACAAGATAGTACCTCGATGCGTGTGCTTCGGAGGTAGAAGAGGGCTTGCTGTTCGATGTGCTCTCTCGCGTCTCTTACCGCATTAAGCCGCACACGTTCTCAAAGTACAGCCTGCCGTTCACTGTCTAGTCCCAGCGGCCCCATATTGTCATTTTGTGGAGATGCAAATGACCATCCGGGGCAAACCGTCCACTCCGTCTTCGCTCCGTTCGCTCCGTGTGGCTTGTGACAACCCTCCCTGCTTGCACATGAAGCATGATGAAAACCCCATGATTCATGATCCCAAGAAAGGCCCTATTCCAGACATGTGCTTGGAAAACTTATACTTCTGATACTCACTCTTGCATTCTCTACCTTTGTCTTGTTGAAACGATTGAAGAGAAACAATGAGCTCCTACCTAGGCATAATGTTTACAACATGTGAGCAAGTCTTCTATGGTACATACCAGATTCATGCGTCAACGTGTTCTCGCATGGTTCAAACATACCAAACATGTTGACATGAACACCCTGGTGCAGTCTCATAACGATACAGTCCCCGCCGAGGAAAGAATGGATAATAGACAGTCAATGCATTGAAATATGTTGCGCATCGCTTAGGCTGAGGCATGATCGGCCGTCGCCTCCAACAGACTTGTAGCCTTGGAATGCTATCGCGGATCAGATTATGCCTCGGATATGACTTCGTCGTCTTGAAGAGCCGAGAGGTCGACATCACTAAGTCGCCACATGTACCACATGAACAGACTCCTGTCATGGCTGTTAGACAATGATCGTGAAGAAGAGTAGCATCAGAGCAACGGTCACAACAGACTTACCTGTATGGTGCGAACTTTTCGGCAGCATCTAGCATGGCCTTCTCGGAACCCATGTATTTCCACTTACCTCCGCCCTTGGCTTTGAGCTTGCTGACATCTTTTCCCGTGTATACTGCCAGCCCGCGTCTGGAGTGGGAATGTCAGTATGTTTTCCCTCGAGCCATTTTTCGAGTCATCACACTTACTGCACACCAAGATCTCCTGTAGAGAATACATTCATCCTCTTCAGATCAAAGCAGGCGAACATCTCAACACTCCATTTGCCCAATCCTCTTACCGCTATCAGCTTCTCCATGACTTCCTCGTCCGAGGCCGTGGCCAGCATTTCAGCGCTCAATCTGCCATCAGCAAACTGCTCGGCCAAGCCCTGTATGTACTCGGCCTTTCTCTGACTCAAGCCAGCCGTCCTGAGGAACGGAACGGTCATCGCAGCCACCATCGCTGGTGGAGGAAACTCTGGAGGTCCAGCGTAGTTGTGCTCCTCGGAAGCTTCGAACAGACCAACAAACTTCTTCTTGATACTGCTTGCCGCTGCGCCGGAAACTTGCTGTGCAATGATGCCGGAAGCTAGAGAACGGAAGGGATCAATCGGCTGAGCCATTCCTTCGGCGTCGAACACTTTGCAGTGGAACTTCGCGATGAAAGGAGCCAGGCGTCCGTTGTCGTCCATGCGTTTCAGGTGCGCTACGGCATCATCTAAAATTGAGTTTGTTGTACTTGTAGGAGCGGGTCCAGCGACATCGCCGCTCCAGGTCGAGTACGCTGTTACGACCTTTTCTGAAGTAGGTGATTTAATCGGAGCATTTGCAACATGAGGTTCTGCAGGTCTGATGTATGAGTCCTGTGGCACAGTGTCCCCATTCAATTTGCTGGCATCGGTAGATGATGGGATCACCGCCATCGGGCTGTCGACTGAAGTTGTTGGCACTGGTGGCGACACATTGATCTTCTGACGTTTGCGAGGCGTCTCTTGCTTCGACGACTTCTCCGATGTACCAGCGTGTTGTCCATCTGATTTCAGAGCACGATCTGTGATGTATTGCGATGGCTTTGAATCCGTAGCAGCTGACTTGCGTTTGGTGACTTTGAGTTGTGAAGTAAGCATAGCCGCGGTATTTGGCAGCGCCTGTACACGAGCAGAGCGCCTGAGAGACATTTTGCTGAGATTTGTCACGAGCGATAGAATAGGAGCCAGCGTTTGTGACAGGTGTGATTATGGTGGGAATTTGATGGTCTAAGTGATTGATGTTCAAAGAGAGGTGGAAGGCTCGCTAAAAGTCACTGGTCGTGGTCTGGTCGAGGGATCCAAGGCTGACGCAATGACGCATGCGAGACTCTTGTCAAGTCCACTGGCGATTTACAAGGCAGTTCGAACACAACACAGAATTGACAGCAGTTTTGAGAAGAGTCATCGCAACCGATAGGCGAAAGCCAGACTTTGGCGAAACACATTCGAGCACGCAAGGGCAAAGAGTCACATCGACTGCAAGAAGCACAGACCATGCACGAAACGCGTGAGGCAAAGGGTTTCCCATAGTCGACTCATGCCGAGCATCTATGGCTTGGTTTTGGTTATTCCAAGATAACAAACAGCACTGAGCCTGTACTCGATTGTAGAGCTTGTAGCATGTCTAGTACTGACACTGCAACCAAGTGAAATAGAGCCTGTAAGGACAGCGCTATGTGGCTGCGAGAGAAACAAGGACGATCGTGACAGAACAGGGATTGGCTCTCGTTGTGAACTGTTGTCGGACTAATGAAAAGGCGGTTTTGGACATTCTAAAGGTATAGAGTACATGAAAAGCGGCGGCGGCGACTCGGGGGATCAGCGAGTTGAAGAGTTGTAGGGCGATTATTTCTTGATGACCATGGCGTCAAGGTCCATTCTCTCCCTTCTCTCGGCCTCGATCTCCTTGATGATGGGGCTCAAGTATGCGATATCCTGGTTCACATGTAAGTAACTGGGTAGCAGATGTACGAATGTATTGCAGGGGACGTACATCCTCGGGCTTGGTCTGCTCGTTCTTGGGGAGAAGCTGGTGTGAGATAGAGCACTGCGAGAGCGTGTTAGCGGCGTGTGGTGGACGATGTGGTGTGTTCCGAGTTCGGCGGACCTGGAAAGCGCGGCGCATGCGGAAGACACGGTCGTAGGCCTCCTTGGGCGGGAGACGCTTGAGGGCGAGAAGGACGGTCTCGGACTCCTCAGGGATAAGGTCGTCGGCTCTGCAGATTGGGAAGGTCGTCAGCAATTGTCGAGGACGGGAGCTGGCGCAATGGCAGGGGCGACCAACCTCAAGCCCAACTTTCTGTAGCCAGCGGTGTCCGAGTACCAGTTGGCGAGAGGGGTCATCCAGCGCTTCAACCAGGGGCGCTTGACGATGAAGTTGGTGAGCGAGGGCTGCGACATGACGGCGGTGTGTTGTGTGGATGTGCAAAGGCGAGAGCTCCAATGTCGACGACGTTCTTCGACTCTGCTTCAACATGAAGTTGCAAGCCAGACCCAACTGCTTACGACAGGCCAATCAGCGTCGCCCAGAGCCCCCCGCCCGCTTTATGCCGACCTCCGGCTGTTCCCTTTGATACTCCACGGCCGCATTGCGCGACACCGACGGCATTGTTTTGACACAACCCTCTCTGTCGCTATACGCCAGACACACACGAGACACACCTCCTGCTCAGTCCGCCATCCGCAACTGCTTCCACTCCCGGCCATTGTGTGCAGATTCATGGAGACGCACAATCGCTAACCAAAGCTGCTTGAAAGCGGTGCCGGGCCGCGCGCGCATACAACCGCCCTATCTACCACCTATACTATTACTCACCCTGACCTCACACACATCCTCGACCTATCCGTCTTTTCGCTTCCAGCCTGCCCGATCCGCCTCTGGCTTGAACATGCGCAGCTATTGAGGCACTCCCCTCCGATACAATGTCAGCCCCGGCATCCGACTCCCGTGATCTAGCCCTCCATAAATCCCCACCATCTACCGCAACCCTCCTGGCTCAAAGATTGCCCAAGCCATACATCAACAGTTTCTGTGGTGCCGCTGCCGGTGTTGCTTCGGGCATCATAACGTGTCCCCTCGATGTGATAAAGACTAAGCTCCAGGCCCAGGGCTCTTTCCGTCACCAGCAACATTCGCAAGGCGCTCCCTCCACTGCACAAGTCTATAGGGGTCTTGTTGGCACTGCTAGAACAATCATCCGTCAGGATGGCCTCAAGGGCATGTACAGAGGTCTTGGGCCCATGATACTTGGTTATCTGCCCACCTGGGCCGTCTACATGAGCATATATGACATAGCAAAGACAAATTACGCAGAACGTATCGGTGAGTTGCTTGAGCTGCCAGTCGTCACCAACACATGCTAATCCTGAAAAGAACCGCAATGGTTTGCTCACGTGTGCTCATCCGTCACCGCTGGTGCCTGCTCGACGCTTGCAACGAATCCCATCTGGGTAATCAAGACTCGTCTCATGTCTCAAATATCTGCGAAAGCTGTCGAAGGACATCGTACGCCCTGGCATTACAATAACACTTGGGATGCTGCTCGCCAGATGTATAGAGGCGAGGGTATCAAGGCTTTCTATTCAGGCTTGGCTCCTGCGTTACTAGGTCTTACGCATGTCGCCATCCAGTTCCCTCTATATGAGTACTTGAAGCTCAAATTTACCGGCGTCGAGATGGGCGCGGCTCCTCCGAGCCAAGGCACAAACTCGGTCGGTGTCCTCGCTGCAACCTGCATTAGCAAGATTTGCGCTACCACGGCCACATATCCTCACGAGGTCTTGCGGACTCGTTTACAAACACAACAACGAGGCATCCCCAGTTCCGATGGCATGATCAACAAGCCTCGCTACCAGGGCATCATCAAGACCTGCAGACTTATCTTATACGAGGAAGGCTGGACGGCCTTCTACAGCGGCATGGGAACCAATCTCATTCGAGCCGTTCCTGCCGCCATGACTACTATGCTTACTTTCGAGACGCTCAAGAGCATCATCGTCCGTATGCAAGCTGAGGAGGACGAGCATGTACCCGGCACACTTTGAAGCAATTTCGTCCGACAAAGCATTCTCGCATCCTTACCATCTCACGAGCCACGCCCAAATGTATAGAAGATTCTTTATGTCTATGCCTAGGATTCATGATATCCTTGGTTTTCGCTTGAACTCAGACGACGCTTCTCGGAGAGCCCTACTTATCTAAATGGTGGCTTTGCTTTGCATTTAACCCCGGCTAGGGTGTTTACAGCATGGCGTTCTGGTGTATTTTGTTCCATGCAAAGATCTGGCTTGCATGGCTTTGTTTCTTTTCTTATGCAGAAAAAATATAACGTCAAGTTCCAACATCGCCTTGAAGTTTCTTGCTACCGTTTTCAGAGTATCGTAATGTTTTTCATGATGAGTATTCTAAGACGACTTCAAGAGTGTGTACAAGGGTGTCTGAGTAGGGATTCTCGGCGGATGTGCTTAACTTCCAAAGGTATCGTGAGTTGGAATGGCTTACAAAGGGGCAAGAGAGAAGGCGGCAACCACGTAAAGCTTATGTTCGTTGCACACGTTGCTTTACTCATGTGTCTTCGCCTTTGACATTGGTATCTGTATCTGGGTTATTTGGGCGAGATGACTGAATTTATGCAGAGAATTTTGTGCAAGCTGATAAGGCGTTATGAAATGTCAATATAACGCGTGCCGCCCACGTCGCGTCCATCTCTTGGAAACGCTTGACGAACATGTTTGTTAACAGTGACTACCTATGAACTTATGAATCAATGAATGTTGCTGTTGAAGAACCGACCTTCTCAGATGACATAGCAGCGCTTTACGATCAAGAAGCAGAAACTCGAGCTGACAACAAACGACGAGGAATTGTCATCCAGCATCGTGGCTGGTCTCTGGTAGACACTTTCCGCAGTGAAGACGACTATTCGACCTGTATGTGCACTTCGAGTGGCTCTTGACGAACAGCGTCTTACCAGCGTACAGATATACCTTCGAGTCAGCCTCTGGACAAAAGAAAGCACGATCCGCCTTCGAGTCCACCAGCTATGCCCTTCATGTCCTCGGCCGTCGCACCTCCAGCAGCACCCATGTCGCAGACCCTATGGAAAGAGAAGGCAAGCAACGTCTTCATGGAAGATTCGGACAGTGAGGACGATACAGTACCACCACAGCAAGAAACAAACCAGAGTCAAGAACAATCACCCTCGGACGCTCAACAAGCCCCTGTCCTACCACCTACACAATCGCAAAGTAGCCAGCAACCGCCAACCCAGAGTCAATCTCAGGATCTGGGTCTGTCACTCTTCGCCAAACGTACCATCCACAATCCGTTAATCTCGTCGACCAAGACTCCTGCGACAACAAGAGTCGCCATACGCACATCTTCTGGCAAATCCTTCTCAGTAAGAAAGAAGCAAAACGCCGAAGCTCTGTCAACAGAAAGGTTGGCAGCTTCACGTTCCGAAGCCGCCGAAGGAAGAGCTCAACGAAGTTATTATGGCATCGACATTCACAATCTGGTCAAGGAAGCCAAAGCTCAGCAAGTCATTGACCAAGCGGAAGCAGAAAGGCAAGCCGCTATGCCCTCAATAGAGCCTACTCTTCCTCGGGACCCCGCGCAAAAGAACCAACGCACATTGATGTGGACGGAAAAGTACAGGGCTCGCAAGTTCACAGAGCTTGTTGGAGACGATCGTACACATCGGTCTGTCATGCACTGGCTCAAGCGCTGGGACGAGATTGTCTTCCCGGGCTCGAGCAGAAAGCCCAAGCATCGCAAGAATGCTGAGAACGCTGAGCAGGAAAGACCACATCGCAAAGTCTTGCTCCTCACTGGTCCTCCTGGTCTTGGAAAAACGACGCTTGCTCATGTATGTGCTAAGCAAGCCGGCTACGAAGTCCAGGAGATCAATGCTAGTGATGAGAGGAGTAGAGACGTCGTCAAAGGCCGTATCAGGGATATGGTCGGTACGGAAAACGTCAGGGGTGTCGACCAAAAGACTGCTGCGGGCAAGGTACGCAAAGCTGGCCGTCCAGTATGTGTCATCGTTGACGAAGTCGACGGTGTCGTTGGTGGCAGTGGCGGTTCCGGTGAAGGAGGCTTCGTCAAGGCCCTCCTTGACCTAGTCGCGTTGGACTCGAGGAACTCAAACAAAACTCGATCACAACAGCCCTCTGGAAAGAAAAAGGGTGACAATTTCCGCTTGCTACGACCACTCATTCTGATCTGTAACGATGTCTACCATCCTTCTCTTCGACCGCTTCGACAAAGCACGGCTGCAGAGATTATTCATGTTCGCAAACCAGCCATCAACTCTGTCGTCTCTAGGATGCAATCTATCTTTGAAAAAGAGAATATTCCCTACGATGGCGATGGTGTCCGAAAGCTGTGCGAGGCGTCTTGGGGCATGACAAACCGCAAAGAAGGTGGTTCGGGCAGCAGTACAGGCGAAGGCGACATCCGTGGTATCTTGGTCGTTGGCGAATGGATTGCAGGTCGACTTCGAGCTACCCACGATCCGCTCGCAAATTCCATGCAACGGCTAACTCGCCGATGGATCGAAGCCAATATCCTGGCTGACCTCTCACACGGAGGTGGCTCAGCAAGAGGCGTGGGACGAGGTGGGCCAAAAGAAGTAGTCGAGCGCGTCTTCAAAGAAGGCGCCGGCTTCTCCAAATCCACCATGCTAGCAGCTCCTTCGGCCACAACCGGCATGAAAGGTGTAGCAGAGTCAGGAAAACGACAAGCCATGGACCGCCTTCGCGAAATGGTGAACACATCCGGAGACATTGATCGTATCATGCTCGACTGCTTCTCTACATACCCAGATCAACCATACCAAGACGACAATTACCTCAGCAAACCCGATGCTGCATACGAATGGCTCAACTTCCATGACCAACTTTCCTCTGCGGTGTTTAGTCACAGTGAGTGGGAATTGGCTACCTATCTCGCCCAACCTATTCTTGCTTTCCACCATTTGTTTGCGACGCCCAATCGCTCTCATGCCAATACCAACAACAACAAGTGGAACGAACAGGGTACAGCTGAAGACAATGAACCACCCACCCCCTTCTCCGGCCCGGGTGCCTCCTTCCAAGCCCACGAAGCTCAAAAGTCGAATCTCGAGATCTTGCAAACGCTACAGGCATCACTGTCTTTGCCTTTACTTCGCATGTTCCCCAGTCCTACTTCCATGACTACCGAGTTCATCCCTTGGCTGTCCCGCATGCTAAACCCGAATGTCTCGCCAGTGGTTGTGCACAATTCAGGCACTTCAACCGCTAGCGTGCGCAGAGCAGCCGAGAAACTACTGGTCTCTCGCGCAGTAAACGCAATGGTGGCTTCAGGCATCCGATTCGACCGCATACGTCTCGATTCCGAGACTTCGTCTCGCTCAGGCCCTCAGACATGGGTATTCAGAATGGAACCTGCCATTGACGAAGTCTCTGTTTTCGAAACTTTGGACACCAAAGCCGCGGGTGTGGAAAAAGTAGATCGCACACGCTTTGCTGTTCGGCAAGTGCTGGATCAAGAATTCACTCTCTACTCCAAAAAATCAGCTGAAGCTGCTCGAGTCACGAGAGGAGGCGGTAACTTGGTCTCACTTACTGATGCTGTTGCTGGCGCTGCTGTGCCTTCTTTGCCTAGTGAAGGTAGCAGAAAGCTAAAGAGAGATTTCTTCGGCAGGGTTGTTGCTGAAGAGGCAGAGAAAGAAGGGGAGGCGGATGATGAAGCTGCAATTCAGAAAAAGAAGAAAGCGAAGATAGATGACGGTGGTGATAAAGAGAGGGTATGGGTCACTTTCCACGAAGGATATTCTAATGCTGTTAGGAAACCTGTGTCGCTTAAGGAGTTGTTGGAGGCTATGTAGATATTCAGGGGGTTGTTCCGAAAAGAAGTAGAAGATGCAAGAGGGAAATCAACGTTCGTTACACCTGCCCAAACTGCTATCTGCATGTATGGAAACCCGAGTTCACGTTTCCATTCCGCAAGAGTAACCCTGCTTTTTCTTCAACGATTGTCTTGCTGTAATCTGATAGATATTAACGACCGATTGCCTTTGACATTTCCTTCTGACAAACGTGTCTTTGTACTGAATACCCTAAACATCACCGTGCAAGACGACCAAGACCTACAGCGGTTGGAAGTACAACAACTTGATATACGTGCGGAAAAAGAAAAGTCTGCCCAAGTGAGGATCGTGCTGGAAACAAAATTTGCATAATACGCCGAACCATCCCCTTTTGAAGCTGCTTTGAGATTTTTGCATAACAAGGATTCTGCCATTCTGCATTTTCTTGACTTCTTGCCATTTTGCTGGAAGTTCCGGAAACTTTTTCTTGGTCCCAATCTGCGAATCAGAAAGGTTTTGTTCTCTTTTTGTATACTAAAGATCACTACAATTCTGCATGCGTACATCCAATAGCACTCACTCTTTCTCGTGAGATGAAGAAACAAGTAGTACCATCAGTTGTCTCGTGAGTGAACCAAACGAAGACAACACAGGAAGCATCGGTTGACACGCACGTACAGAACCAGTTCTATCGACTGTGGGATAATCGGCTATTCCAACTTCATCCAGATCTAGACCATCAAGACCTGGATATCCATAGAAAAGGGCAATCATGAGGTATTCTAGTGGCTACACTTGTGGTTGCAACCATCCTTTGCATTTTTGATCGAAGAAAGAAGCAAGCAAAGGTACTCAAGGAGACAAGAGAGTGTATACTCCAGATCGCCACATATATGCTTATGAAATACGAAAAAAGTTGCGTCTCAGCCCAGCCTTAATCAAAATTGAACGTGGTCTTTCCATTCTCCAACGCGTTCCTCACATCCTGCTTGACAATCTCTTCGACATCAGCAAGTCTCTGCTCAACGGCATCTTCTATTTTAACCTGCAAGTCCAGCTTTTGGCTGCCAATGGCTTCGTTGAACTCTTTGCGCAAATCGTCCGCGAGACCTTCCTCGAGATCGGTGACGCGGGCGGCGAGAGTGTCGATGTTGTGTTGGAGGCCGTTGCTTTCGTGGTCGAGGGATTCTTTGAGCTGGGTGAGCTGGAAATGGGGTAAAGGTTAGCATGACTTGCGTCCGCTCCACGACCACGGATGAGTGGAGTCGAGGTTATCGAGGTGCACAGTTTTCTTCAGACAGCAGAGAGGTCCACAGAGAGCACGTGAGATCTCAGCTTTAAGTGGAAGCTTCCTTTTCGCCAAAGAAACTGTGCATTTCGATAGCCTCCCGTGGGATATACTCTTGCACATGGATGGTGGGTTGAATAAGATACTGATGGCCTTCTTCCAAGCCTCAAGCTTCGTGGTCAATGTTGTGCAATGTGATGGAGAGAGCTGCAGTAATCTCCTGATGTGAAGTGGGAGAAGTGAAACCACCAGCCAGTGGACACGTACCTGCTTGTTGCTGTCCTCAAGCTTTTTCTCCAAGTCCACGCGCACATTCTCGATCTTTCTCCCAACCCTTTCCTCCAATTTCCAGCGGAACGGTCCTTGGTCCAACATTTCCATTTCCACTCTGTAGAGACGGCCCTCGAACTTTCTGTCGAGAATCTCGTCGAAATTCTCCTCGAATACTTCTTCGAACTTTTGCACGAAGAGTTCCTCGAAATTTTCCGCGAATCTTTCGTCAAATGTTTCTCCAAACATCATGAATTGGTCATGGGTGGGATCTTCTACTGTGCTGGCCGGAGTGTGAGCTTCGTCAGGCAGGTCTGCCTCTGCTGCAATCACAGCTTCGTACTCGAGAGGGTCACTCTGTGTCTCGACGTCGACGCCAGGGGCTCGCTGAGGTTGCTGTACCTGTTCACGTAGGGCTGAGACTTCTGATCGGAGAGCAGTTATCTGAGTCTCCTTAGTCAAGACCTCTGCTTGCAGAATACTTATCTAAGCCCCTTGAGCCGAAAGTTTTGCTTGGAGAGACGCTAGCTGAGCCTCTTGAGCCTTCTGAGCTACGAGTATCATCTTGAAAGGGTTTTCAGCAGCATCCTCCGTCAACGCCTGTCGCTTAGGGGCCATTGGAAGCAAATCAGGAGACATCGATCGTCGCTTCCCGTGTCCTCTGGAACCGCTTGAGGGTGTCGGATTTGATGAACCTGCCGATACATTGTTGCTGACCCCTGAAGCCGTTGAGGGTTCGTCAGAGGATGAGCTCCCAGTCGGTTTCGAGCTCCAGAGTTGGTCGACATGCGTGACTCTCTTGTAGCAGCCATTCAGATAGAAATTGCTGATCACGCCTTCTGGAGCTGGCCGTAGCACACCTTTGGCAAGTGCGTTACAGAGACTTGAGAGATGATCTCTGTTGATGGCGCTTGACAACAAATAAACTTTCAACGTTTCACACTGACCCAAACGCAACAAAGCTTCCAAGTCTTCACATGTAGCTGGTCTTTTCTGGAAGGTCGAGTCAGGGGCAATGAGGGTTGCGTGGCTTTGCAGACCAAAGCGAAGCCCCATAACAGCATTTGAAGGCACGTCGGATGCTCGTTTGCCGAAGACGTTCATGATACTAGGCGGAATGGCTTCGTCGATGCCGCAGATTTCTAGACTTTGGACATGGCTAGCATCGAGGAAGAGATAGACAATCGCTCCTTTGCCGCTGTGCGCGTTTATGCTGAATCTACAGTGGAATACCATAGTGTCCAGGTTGAGACTCAAACCCATGATGTATTGGCATGATGCTGAGCCATTCGAACCTGGGGTGCAGACTTGTACGAGCGCCTTAGAGGCGACAATCTTCGGGCCCATTGGACTCGAGTATAACTGCAAAAAGAGACACGTCAGCTAGGAACATGCGGTACGAAAGAGCCATCAGAGTCAGTATGAGTAAGAATGAGAACCCCACGCTGGAGCGTAGAACCCTCCCACCCGGGCTTTAAGAGGAGCCCTGACTCGCTAGAGAAACGAATGCAAGGCGGATTAGTAAGGCCCGTCGCTTCGGAGCCGGCTTATAAGCCCCTAAGATCAGCCGGTCTGATCTGCCACGTTAAAACTTAGCTTGTGACCGCGCTTAACGACCGGCGACTTGGACCCTACAGACCCCATTATCACTCAGAGAGCGAGATCCGGCTCGTAATGAAGGGCCTGCCTGCGAATACCACTATCCTGCTAGTCAGCGCTCGAGCGGCCCTGAAGCAAACCCCAACCACCCGACCGGGCTTTGAGAGCAGCCCTGACCCGCCAGAGAAACAAATAAAAGGCGGACCAGCAAGGATAATCGCTCCGATGGTCGAATCGTTGCACCCGAACAGATCAGACTAACCGATCTGCTCACTGAAACTCAGCTTGTGGCCACGCTCGGTGATGGATGGTCAACAGATCCTGCAGGCCCCAGAAAGACTCAAGGAGTGTGACTGAACATCGAAATGGTGGCCTGCCCTCGAAAACTACCATCCTTGCTGGTCGAACGCTCAAGCAACTCTGAAGCTGTTCTTGTCGATGGAGCCGTTGAAAGAGCAGCCTTGACTCGGGAGGGATAGAAAGAAAGGGAGACATCACCTAGATAGTAAGCGTATGAACGATGAAGGTCGACAGAAGTAAGACAGATGGCCAACTCACCAGCTCAAGGTCGCGGGTGAATGTTATAAAGCTGAAGTCGCGAAGGCAGCAGGCTTCGAAGCGTGGGCGCGTAGGATGCCAAGATCACGCGTCATTTTTTACGATTGGACAGGGTGCGCAGAGACCAACAACGACTGCATACTGGGAGGCAGTGCATTCGAGGGATATCGGAAAAGACAGGGTTTGCTGTCGCAAGTGGTTTCAAGTTCTAGGCAGAGATGGCAGGAAGCGCTGGCGAGAGCGGCTGTGGCATGGCGCAAGTTGACAGGCGGGAGTCGGGAGTCGGGAGGTGGAGCAGAAAGTACCGAAAGCTTGTCACCCCTTCGATGATGACGGAGCCCACCATTTCAAGTTCCAACTGCTTTCATTCCCCCCTTTCAATCCAATCGCATCGTCTGTGGAATGTCATGATTCGCTTCCTTACCTCTCACCAACCCTACTTAACGCTTGCTCCACCGCATGGGTTCGTGGTTTGAACAGGCGCCTCAGCAAGTTTATCGATATCTTCCACCAATCTACTCGCGCGACTTTGCGTATGCCAACAACGCGCCCGTCGTACTTCGCATGGCCAGAGCTAACGTCAGCGACATAACCGCAAAGACCTTTGCCGAGTACGTTTCATCATACTGCACTGCTTGCGCTTGAGCTCTGTCCGCTTGTTTTCTGTTGGCCCAAATGCCTGACGAAGCTAAGACTTTGTGGAAAAGGCTCCTCTCTGGCCCGACCATCGACTTTTACGTCGGTGAAGAGCGTCGGCATTGGTCGCTGCATCGCAACCTACTATGTCACCATTCGCCCTACTTCGAGTCCGAGTTCCTCGCCGACAAGACATCCAGCCCGTCACAGAGGTCAGAGCTTGAACTGCCTGACCAAGACCCCTCTGGCTTCGAGTTGCTTGTAAAATGGCTGTATCAGGGCACCTTGGACGACACGTCCGACATGACGGATGAGAAGAAATACGACTACTCCGTAGCCTGCCACAAGTTATACCTTCTCTGCAACAAGTTTGACCTCCCAGTCTTGAGAAACGAGTCCATCGACCGATACAGACAGGGCTTGCTCGAAGCCCAACTCGTCCCCGATGCCGAAGAGATCAACGAGATCTATCGCAGCTCTCCAGTCGGTTCGCCCTTTCGAAAGCTCATGGCTCAAATCGCCGCGCGACAGATCATGGATCCGGACAGTGACAAGAATGCTGAGAGTTACCGAAACTGCTTCAAAGACAATCCCGATTTTGCAGTCGACATGGTCAACGCGATCAAGGCTGGTACTGGAGGCATACTGTTTGACGATCCGACAGACGGCGACGAGGCTGCATACCATGAGGACCCCACTATACGCCAAAACGGCAGCGGTAAAGGTACTTAGCCCCGAACCTCTCCTCACTCAGTGCCCATCTCATTTCTGCCAATCTCCACGCCTCTGAACTCGAATAACAATGAGTTGAAGGTCCTGCAACGAAGTTGACGCCAACCCCTCCCAGACGACGAAGATCATCGTCCGCAGACGCGGGCGCGGAACGACTCTCTGATGAAGAACGAAGACACGAGTCCTCGGAACGAGAGTCTGGCCCTCCCACCCCGCCAGACTCAACTCGACGAGACAACGGATACGGAGTCCGACGATTCAACGGAACCAGCAGAACCATTGCCAAGAGTCCGATCACAGGAGAAAGAGTCGAGCCACACAATGTCAACGGAGACGCAGAAAGCCCCTCACGAAAGAAGCCAAAGAAGCTTGTCATACGTGGAGGCCCTCCGTCGCCGCAAAGATAGGGGACAGCTTGATTCGCGCGGCCTGTGGGACTACTGGCACAACATGGCGTCCATGGGCGTCAAGTGACGATTTACGACTTATGGTTTTGACGGTGGTTATTGACTGCCTGCCTTTCTTTCTTCTTTTGTGCGAGATACCCAGTTCCACAAACATCTCTTATTACTATTTAATGATGCTTAATTTACTGTCTTTTCTCCCAGCTTGACTAAACCTTACCCCGCATTGTGTTTTGTCACCAGCCCCACTCAGATCTTGTGCCTGGCAGGATCAGATCGTGGTTTTTGTGCCTCCAACTTATCAATCCCCGTCGCACATCTCACACCGCTTATTCATAGCACTCGTACAATGTTATCAGCAATTGACGACCACCTTGATTGATTTCCACGATAGGGGCAGGTGTGTTTCTAAGCAAGTGCTTGCTTAACACCGAGTGCCGAAACCTTACACCCGCAGCGACATCATGGAAGCTTCGATAAACCGTGAGTGGGGCAAATGGCCAACGTATCCCTAGCTCAAGAGGTCTAGAAGGGGTATATAAACTGCCGTGAGGAATTGCTTCGATTGAGTTTCTTCTCAATTCTCCCTTACCATCAACCACTCTCACAAACATGTCTCTCAAGCCTATTCTCATCCACGGCCACGCTGGTGGTCCCAACCCATGGAAGGTTGTTCTGCTCATGAAGGAGCTTGGCCTCTCCTACGAGCACAAGCTATGGGACTTTGCCGACCTCAAGAAGCCCGAGTACGAGAAGCTCTGTGTCAATGGAAGAACACCTACCATCGAGGACCCCAACACTGGCATCACCCTCTGGGAGTCTGGTGCCATTGTCGAGTATTTGATCGAGGAGTACGACAAGGAGAACAAGTTCACATACACTTCCACTCCCGAGAAGTACCTGTTGAAGCAATGGTAAGACGATCTCAATGTATCTGCTCATGCAAGCTTGACTAACATCCTCATCAGGCTCCACTTCCAAGTCTCCGGACAGGGCCCTTACTTCGGCCAGCGCGTCTGGTTCACCAACTACCACCCTGAGAAGATCGAATCGGCAGTCGAGAGATACGGCAACGAGATCAAGCGTGTGCTTACAGTCTTGGACAAGCACCTCAAAGAGTCGGGCACGCAATACCTTGTCGGTGACAAGTACACCTACGCAGACCTGTCTTTCGTTCCCTGGAACATGCTTCTGCCCTTCATCTTCGGAGACAAGAGCGACGCTTTCCACGCCGAGATTGAGAAGGACTTGCCGTCCTTCTGGGCATGGTGGCAGAGAATCCTGAACCGTCCTGCTACACAGGAGATGAAGAAGGAGAGAGAGGCCAACTTCCACTAAGGTGCTCAAGTTTAGAAAAGGAATAATAACCCAGCTGAGATATAAAAGCTACTTTACCATAAATATACCCCAATCAGCTTCGTCTTGTTCAACGTTGCGTCTTGTGAAGTATGCTATTATTGCTCCGCGGACAACGTATCCTGTACTCAAATACTTATTGGGATGCCGATTTCGGGTCTCTTCCCGTTCAGCTGCAGTAGTTCCCCAGCTTCAGAATGCGCCGCAAACCGTCGCAATGACTGCACTGCCTTCTCAGCCCTGGTGCTATGTCAGTGGTATACTTCAAATGTATCTGTTCCGACCGAGGCCAGACAACATTAGGTTTGTTAGTGGGTTGCTTGATTCAACGACATGATAACCGGCTCGGAGGATGTTGGGAAAAATTGGCTTGGCTTTTTTCGCTCTCTAGACCATGACATCCTCGGTCGCCCCGGATGTCCTCGACAAGTCGTGTTCTTCCTCTATTCCCGGGGCTATTCAGGCACTTCTAATATCAGATTATTCCCACCAAGAAGCAGGTTTCGAAGCACGCAGATCAATCCGTCTTACCCATTCTCATCCCACAGGAATACGCAATAGCGCGGGGTCGAGGCAGAGAACCCACGAGTTGTTCCCAGCCCGCTGAACACGGCAGGAACCCGAGTCGACGAGAATGACCGGGTTACCTGATTCTGAATCGTCGGTCTTTGCATCACATCAGCCTACTCAACTTCCGCCAGTGCAACAGTTTGCTCAACAACCGCCATACCATGCTGCGACTTATGGATCTGTACCTGTGACGCCTATCAGCGCATTTGCGCCACCGCGAACGAATAGTATCAGCCAGTCGCCTGCTCAGGACTCACGAACAGACACGCCTGATGGCGAGCGCGCAAAGCCTAAGCAGAAGCGCAATAAGCCTACGCTTAGTTGTGAGGAGTGTGTGGAGCGCAAGACCAAGGTCAGTATCCTTCTCCACCTTATCACTACAAATTATGTCTCTGGTTTTGAGAACAAAACATCGGCTTGGCTTGCGACACTTGACTATGAGCAACATGTACTAACGTACCTCACAGTGCGACCGAGGACGTCCGGGGTGCTTGGCTTGCCTCAAACGGCAATCGACTTGTAGATACACCCACGTTGCCAACTTGATTGCTGATGCAAGGTACGTAGATGTGCCACGAGTTGAGAGTGATCGAAGATGCTAACATCGCCCAAAGCCAAAAAGATAATGGCGTCGACAAGCAAAGGCATATGGTGAAGCCTCCACCGGCCAAGATTCGGAAACTCGATGGCTCTTTCGATGGCTCTTCGTCCTCACCAACAAGTGCTTCTGGCATGAAGCAAATAAGAACTGACCTGTTCTCAAAATTCCATCATCGTTCACCCCGCGAAACCTCTGTCGGTTTTGGTTCGCCGTTCTTGCAATCACAGGTTCCATTTTCCAAACAGACACCATCCAATATCTTCGGGATTGGATCTTCACATCCTTTCACAAATTACTGGACCTGTCAAGGCGGACTACCCGAGGTTCTTGCGGTACTCCCGAGCAAGCAACAGGCTGATATTCTGATCGCCAAGTACTTTGAATGTGTGGCTCCTGTATATCCATTCCTACATCGACGAACTTTCTACGTGGCGTACGAGCGCTTTTGGGCCCTTCCGGAAAGAGAACGTGAGACCGCGGATGCTGATCTGATCGCTCTACACTTTGCGCTATATGCTATGGGTACACAGTTCATGGACCTTGCAAGTTATGATGCGAAAAGTTCGAGCGCCGAGTTCTTGGGTAAGCCTCACACCCGATTACGTGTCAGAATAGATTACTGACAGAGCAACAGCCTCTGCTGCTAATCAAGCACTCCGGATCTACTCTTATCTGAACAGATCGTCTCTCAGAGCTCTGGGTGCTCAGATCTTGCTCTGCTACTTCTTGATGAATGACAACCACGCATCAGACGCCTACGCTTGGTCCGGAATCATCGTACGACAAGCCTACGCACTACGCCTCCACCGCGACCCGGACATCATTCTCCCCAACATCTCACCCGTAGAAAAGCACACCCGACGCAGATTCTGGCAAGCCATCCTCTACCAAGACACCTTCCTGACCGTACTCCTCAAACTGCCTCCAACAGCAACCCACAGCGACGTCTCCATTGACTCCCTCGCCAACGAAACAGAACTCGAAGCCCAAGACTCGACTCGCTACACGGGCAGCAGCGCCCGCATCGAAAACCTCATGAGCATCTCCGTCATCGCACCACCCCAAGACACGCCCAAACAACCCGAACCCCCCATCCTGCCACACCAACGCATCACCGAAGACGTGGACAAAGCAGATGTGCTATATATAAAATGCCTATGGCGTCTCGCCCTCAAAGTGCAAGAACACCTCTGCTCGCCAATCTCCCTCTCCATACCCATAGCCAAAACCCCTCGCGCAAAAACCTCTCTCGCCAATTCCTTTCGCGAGATTTGGAAAGCTGCTCCGAGTTTCCTTACCACTTCTGACTATGAGACGCTGAGGCAAATGTCTTTGCATAGTGGAAGAGCGGTGCGTCAGAACTTGTTCTTTACAAGTAATTTTTATCATTGTTTGATGATTATCCAAGCCTTTGAAGATGCGGAAGTGGGCGTAGAGTTGAATTTCAGAGGTGCTTTGGAGGCCGCTCATGAAGCTATCTGGGCATACTTTAAGCTCAATGACTTTTTCGAGGGTGATGCGGGCGTGTGGTGGGCTTTCCAACATCGGGCTTTCGAGGAAGCTGTAAGTGTTTCTCTCTCTCTCCTCCATTTCCAAATTCAATATCTCGCGGGATATTGGTTAATTTGTAACACAGCTCACCATGACCGATCTACTGGCCACTCTACCAGCCAACGAAGCAAATTCCAAAGATCAGCTGTATACAAAGTGCAAGGAGGCTGTAAGGAGAATGATTGATCTGTTGCAAAGGCAAGGAGGTTCTCAAGAGATGAATAAGCATAGACATGGTGCTTTGCTCACTGCTTACGAGCATGTTGCCATCTGAGGCATGCTACTAATTTTCTTCATCTGCGTGCTATCCATCTTTTTTTTTCCTCCTTGCACATATCATGTATTATGCATTTTTTGAGGTAGCGTTATTGTAGCTGTTTAGTCTCTTCTCATCTTTTCTGTTTTGTATAGGATTCTTTTTCCGTTGCTTTTCATCTTGCTCTCATTGTATATATTGTAGCCTACCTAGCTTTTTCCCCTCCTCAAATTTCTTCTTCTTCTTTTTTCTTCTTCTTCTTCCCAGCGCACACCCTCTACCGACCATACTACCCCCCAGAAAATCATCTCGATTGCGAACTTTTTCCTCTCTTCCCCCCAACCCGCCCTTGGGGTTTATTCAAACCCGAGATACATTTCCTTCATCATCCTTCTAGAAAAAGAAGAAGAAGCAGAAAAGCAGAAGGCGAGGCAATACAGGGTTTGAAGGCCCGGCCCGCGATGCAGCCACGTACCCAGCGCTCCCCCATCGACCCACTCAAGCCGCCCTCATCACAGACTCTGGGTTCGGGCCTTGATATGTCTTAGATGCATTTTCCCTCAGCCATTCCCGTGCCGTGTCGGCATCTCTAAAGATAACAACAACATGTCACGGTATCTCCTCGACATGAGCCTCAAAGAAAGTCACTCAAGTATACATCACAATCTATGAGGAACGAAGCGAGAGAGATGTTTTAAAAAAATCAGAACGAGCCGAACCCAGCAGCGACTCTTTGGTATTCTTGGTATAACTATCTAACTAAAAAGGGTAGGACGAAAAGAGACTAAAATTTCAACGAACGTCGAGGTCGGGTATAGCAGAAAATTAACAAGGGGTATCTCAAGGTATGCTTGCCTCTTTCTCTAGGAAAGCGCAAAAAGCCGAAACAACCGAAACACCTCTGTGAATGGAAAAGGCAGCAAAGCAAAGGAGAAGAAGAAGAAGAAGAAGAAGAGATGGAAAAAAGCGCCCAGATGCACCGTCCCTATCAAGTCTGTGTGTCTTGTTGGTTTTGTTGATTAAGTGTAAGGTGTAGTTGGTGATAGTGTAGGTGTGGTGACGACAACGCCGGAAGGAAAAGTGGTATCAAACGCCCGCCAGTCTCGTGGGAGATATGCCCTGTGCAAATCTATTCGCAGAGGTTGTGTGTATTGTCAGAAAAGAGATGCTCCGAAAGGATGTGATGAAAATGCGCCGTCGATGATGCTGTCTGTTCGTCGCAAAGAGCAAGGCGACGAAAGAGGTATTGTTGGCAGATGATGTCGTCAAGGTGAGTCGAGGGCAAGTCACAAGCCCCACGACGATCATCTGCAAGTGTGACCAAGCACCAGGGCGCCGAACGCCAAGAAAAAAACAGAGTAGCAAATAGGTGTAGAGGAAACCGGGATTGTTTAGCGCCGTCGAACCACATGACTGTTACTTATGCATGCAAGACTTGAAACTCCGCCGTATGCATTCGCAACAAGTTGCTTGGTCGGATTTTGAATGCGCCCTAGGCTTGCGTCGTGCGGTAATCTTTCCAGTCTTGCTGCGGCCACAGATGAGGCAACGACTGGCTGATTGATGGGATGCGCTGCTGTTGGTGACCTTGAGGGACCTGTGGATTTGTTGTCTCCCACAGAGTAGCGAAATCTATGCTGCCTGTACGATTCGGCGCAATGGGCTCAGTTGTGTAGTGAGATGATGGCTGGTGCCATCCGACCCCAGGTTGAGGTGCCTGGGCATGTGGATGTTGATTATGGTGCTGATAGTGATGCTGCGGCTGGTACTGGTGTTGTTGCGGGTGTGGCTGCTGCTGCACATGCGGCTGCTGCTGTTGTTGTTGCATCATGAGGCGTGAGTCGCCAAGTCCAGCTGACATGGCACCCATACCTGCTGATAGGTTTGATCGATGCATAGGCATGCTCGTTGCAGTCACGCTGGTAGGAAATGACATGGAAGTGTTGCTTGTGACTGAAGGAGGGGATGAGCTTTGCAGCTGATGTCTGGGTGGTGCGACCGAGCTTGGAGAAGGCAGAGCGCCAGCAGTCGAAGAGTAACTTGCAGACTGAGATTCTGTTAGCACGGAGGAAGCAGATGCAGATAACAGGAATGTAGAACTTACATATTTGCCAATGATCTTCTTGAGGGCGCCTGCAAGAATTCTCCAAGGGAAGACCTTGACGTCCTTCTCGATGTTGCGAGGCTTGGGACTCGGGAATCCCATGATGATCTTGAAGAACTCCTCGCACTTGGTCTTGGTCTTGGACACTGTCTGAGGTCTGAAACCTTCGAGGTTGCGACGAATGCGGTTCTTCTCTTCGACGGTGAAGCGAACAGCGACCAGCGACTCCAAGAGCTGAATGGTGTCGACACTTGTGATGTAGCAGCCGTTTTCCTCTTCCCACCAAATGCAGTTGACGTAGATGCAGCCAGGCGCTTGTGCATGTTCCTCGGGTGTGACGGGCTGGAAGGATGCAGAAATGATACTACCATTCTGACTGCGGCGGAAGCGTACAATGCGACGTCTTGCCGAAACCTCGTCTGGAGTCCAGTCGTTGGCCATGCCATTCAGGTCGCCCTCCAGCTTGAGAACAGCTTTGATGTTGGAAGGGTACATGGCATATGGGTTGAATGGCTGACTCGGCGACATGCCAGTAGGCGACGGCTGCAAAGCAGTGGTACGAATGAGAGGTGGGTTCGCGCCGCTGGACGAGACATTGGTGACTTGCGCAGTGGGTGCTGCTCGATCACTGGTCATATATGTCGAGGGATACGAGTTGAAAGGCTGCGGTTGAGGCATGCCGATCGAAGTGGGAGCGATTCTGTATGTTGGAGCTTGCTGCAGTGTCTGCGAGTACTGAGCAGGTGCAGGAGCGTTGAAACTGCGAGCGTAGGAGATGGCGCTGGAAGCTGTCTGGGGACGGGAAGAATATGGGTCGACCATGTTGGACGAAGGCGGCGAGTACTTGACGTCGGCAGGGTTATGAAGGGGGGAGTCACGGAGGTTTTGCGAAGAAGGACGCTTGTTTGGCGACTGAGCATCTTCTGACATCTTTCTCTTGCGCATGCCGCCTTGCGATGGACTCGAAATGGCGTAGGGTGTCGCATCCGTGTAGGTGTATTGGCCAACCTCGACAGGCACATTCAGGGCTTGCTTATTACTGTCTATCATCTCTAGGAAGACGGTGACTGCTGTACTTGATGATGCAGTAGCCTCGAATGCGGGGACGTCAACGAGAATGGCAAAGTTTGAAATCTGACCTGAGCCGGGCAGAGTGGTAAGACGACCTTCGCAGCGCTTGGTACCGAAGGACACAATGAAAGAGACTCCGTTGCTTTCCAGGTCCTCGGTGGCGTTCATGTAGATGATGGTTCTACCTCCTGCAGGGCCTCGCTGTGGCGTCAAAGAGACGATTTCAGGCAAGGTACGGGATCCAGCAGCCATGTACGAAGGATACGCGGGTGCATTCTGTTGAGCATAGGACGAGTCATGAGATTGGTACGACTCTTCGGTGAGCAAGGGAATCTGGGCAGCATCAGGGAGGCCAGATGGGACCTGCGCGTGTGAATTTGAGTATGAGAGACCATATGATGATTGGTTGTATGCAGGGTAGCCGGGTGCCTGATCAGGTCGTGTGGCAATGCCGTAGCCTAGTCCGGTAGTTGTCAGTCATCTGAGCCATAATGAAGCCTCGCGACCTCGGGTAGATCCGTTGAGCGGCCGAGAGTCTTTCTTGGAAGCACCAATAACAATCAATAACATACCGTAGCCATAAGAAGGGGGTTTTTCGTAACCCGACATCGATGCGAGAAGATTTCCGTAGTTCGAAGAGGCCAGGAGGCCACCCTTTTGGGCCTCCTGACAGGCAATGATGACTGACTCTGGGATGGCTGATTCGTCGTCGACGATGACAGGCGCACTGCTCAGTTGCGGTGGTGTCTGCAAGGAAAGGAATGAAGGTCAGGATAAGATGCTAAGGCAAGAATAATTGAGAAAGAAGAGATGGTCGACGAACCTGAAGGCGCATAAGAGTGCTGACCGCCAGGTTTGCAAAGTAGCGGAGAAGAGAGTCAAAACGAGGCACGGAGCGACCTCAAGAATGCACACCGCGACGATGGTCGACTTGCGTCAGGTGGGCTGGGATTCAGAAACCTGACGAACGCTTTTGCTGGAGTGATGAAGCAAGAACCCGTCGATGGCTTGCACGCGCGAAATTTGATGCTTGATGATTAATGGATATACGAGCCAAAAACAAGATGTCGTCTGTAGATCCAGCCAGGTCTTGCTGTGGAGTTATCAAAAGAGACAGTCCAGCTGAAGTTGGGAGGATTGTCGATGATAATACTCGGCGAGGGCGTTCGCAGGAGATTGCAGGTGTCTTCCGATGATGGACCCAAGGCTCTGGATACACGGCTAAGGTAAGTTCCCGTTCCGACTTTGACGATGTTGGGCAATGATTCAAGACAATGTGTGATGAAGCAAGACCTGGTGCCTTCTGGGAGAAAAGGGAAATACTGACTATCGTTTCGCGTGGACAAAGAGATGGTCGAGCTGGAGTGAACCGGATGGCACGATGAATATTAAGTCTAGGCTTGCCTGCGATTAGCTTTTTTGGACGATTGATCAAGTCTGTCGGGACCGTTGCAAGCATGCAAGGAGGTTGAAGAACCATGTCCCGACAGCCAGGATGGCACTCACATTATTTCAAGTAGAGGCTGAGTGGATCCGGTCCTTTGGTATTATGTGCGACAGTAGATGCGCAAGATGAAGACAGTGGTGGGTGTATTAGTTTGATGTCTTGGGTCGATAGATTATTGGCTAAATGCTGGCCGGTCCAAGTATATGCAAGGTTGAATAGGAAGCAGCTGAAAGTATGGATGATTGAGTCGCTATGCACGCAGCCGTGATCCGAATCTGAATCAAGGTGTTTCAACAGGTCTCGCAAAAGGCAGGTAGGTGCGATTTGAGAAAATGTTGGTTGACAGCGTGGGGCGTGACTCTCTTGAGATATGTGGAGACAGAGAGAGGCTGCTGCGGTGTTAGTGAGAGTGTGTCCTCCCTTCGCCGGGTCCTGGGATGCTGGGGGTGAGAGGCAGCGAGTCGGGTGGAGAGGAGGAGGGTTTAGGCGGAGAGGAGGGATCATGATATGTTAAAAAGAAGGGCACCGAACGGTATCAGTGCATTTTGTGGAAGCCATTGGAGCGCATCATCGACCGCTGAGTGGATGACGGGGAGCTTGGAGCAGCTCCCGCAAATCGTTCTAACCGGTGACAGATGGAACGCTAGAGCCAGCAGGGAGGAGAAGCAGCACGGGTTCCTGTGGGCGCCGCCTATTCCGGGTCCTAGGCTTGCGCGCCGGTGCGCCGGTCTGCCCTTGCATTTGAACAGAAACCTTAAGCAACTTTATCACGACGGTTTGGACCTGTCAACGGTCTGCTCGAAAAAAGCTGCAACTGCCTTTCGCAATCGCTCAGAAAAGGACGACCGCGTTGGCTGTCGACACGACCCTCGGCCATTCTCGGACGCGAGCGTCCAACGGCCGCGCGCTCTGGTCATCAGCTATCAGACGGCCTTCTTCGGCGGTCAAACGGCACTGGCCGGGCCTCGAAAGTAAAGGCCTTCTCTTGGCCGAAGAAGCATCCTAACCTTGACAGGTAGCGTTGCGCAGCGCAGCGCAATTGACAATTCGAGTGGACCTTGCTTGACGCGGCCGCTGGAGCGTCTTCTGCACACCCCGATCAGCGGCGACGACAGAAAACTGGGAAACAGATGTTGTAGATGTGCTGGTTCCTGCATACAGCGATCTGCACGGTTCGACGGCCGCAGAGAACCCTGAGTGCTTTTTTCTCTGACCCTTGCCTCTGACACTGGCCAAGCACTCAGCAAGGAGAATTGCAGATGGAAGAGGTTTGGTGCCAGAGGCTGTGTAGCGGTAGCTTTGCCGCTTCGGCGCCGATCTACTCTATAGCGTCCCAAACGGGACGAGATCGACCGCTTCGTCTTCCCGGTCCTTTCTAGTTGGTATCTCCACAAATTCAAATTTCAACCGTCGACTGCAGCAAAATGTGCCTGCGACGTAAGCAAGATGGCGCGCATTGGGCTCCTCTGTCATCTTGGCCGATCGCAACTTTACACGAACTTCTCCTTTCTTATTTCCTTTCTCGTTTCCCAACCATGAGCACTCGCAAACAGACGCTCGCTCTTGCAAGGCCATCGAGAGTGCCTCGCAAACGCCGAATTGCACCCAGCCCTCCATGAATCGCGCGCACTTGTTTCGCAATTACAACGGTCATTGTATGCGCCAAACGGCCTTCGATAGCACCAAGAATGACCGTTGCAATCCCTTTATCGATATTGGTGATAGGTTCGAACGCCCGTCCTTCTGCTGCTTCCTTTCTGCTTCTACTCGAGAGCCAATATCGATACCACCGTTGCTGCGTTATCGCAACGTCTGACATGAAAACGGTGCCGAGTGCCCTACCGTCGGGTTCATTGGCGTCCTGCACGACATCTTCCACTGCACACGTTTGCGCCAATACCTATATTGCAACTATTCGACAGCTACTATGGAATCTGAGCGACTCTATTCAGGAATGGCCCTCTTTTTCAATACGTGTATGGCAATTCCTGTCATGCTGTGCTGAGAAAACGTGAGGACTTTTTTGATCAGTCACGCGTATACCATATAGGCTACTGACTTCTGGCCAACGGAGTCTGTTACTGCTCCACTATACGTACAACGATTTTCATTCTGGCCACTCCTTTCCGAATCAGGTTGGTGACTCCTGGAAGTACAAGGATTCTGATCGTGTACTCATACCTACTTCTCGGACAAGCCGCGATTGTAGCGCCCGATCAAATGGTCTTGATCCTGCCCGTGGAGTATCTGTCTCAGCAATCTTGTTGCTAGCTATTTATCCAACGGCACCTGGGCAAAAGTAATACTGCCAGCAACCCCACTGGTCTTGTTTCTTGGTAAGGAGGACACCAGCTTTCAGCAGAGATGGACGATTGACCTACTGCCGAAATCAGGCCAGTGCATATCCTCGGATAAGCCAGGTAATCATGATGGTTTCCTCATTCCAATTCTGAGTTGGTACCATCGCGAGCCTCATGCTTCTTCTCCTTGCTTCCAGAACTCTATCTCTCTTATCCTGCCTCTCTCCACCCCGTTTACGCGCCGGTCGTGCCCGACGGCACACCCGGATATCTACCATACTTTTCTTCGAGCGACCGTTGTAACCAATACTCACTCGTGACCATCGCGAGGAATTCAAAAAGATCGCCAACGGTCGCACTTCGCTACGACGAGCCAAGAGCAGCGTATCAGGCAACGCTTTGTCTCAAGCAGAGCGGGGACACAGCTCGAAAAGATCCGCTTGTACGTGCGAAGCACAGTCGGCGAGGTTGGTGTTCTCTCCTGCTGTCCGTTTCTAGCTCGAGTCACCAAGGGCTACAATCTCAAGCAGTTACAGCCAGTAGGCATTTCTGTCTTAGATGCGAAGGTATGTCTTGGTCTCACGGTCAGCTCATCCGCACGCTGTTTCCGAGACTCGGGAGCAACCCTTTGGGTGATTCATCTTCTCTTTGCACACGATTTTGAACTCTGTCTGGCATGTTTCTCCCTGTCTATCCTTACCCGCTCAGAAACACGTCCATCTCCCACGACGATATCCATCAACTTTCACGTTGTCACATCTGAGTAACATGTTCTAGACATGCCGGGGAAGGTTAACCTGCCCTCGTGTCTCGGTAAGTCAAACAGGTTCGTTGTTTACTTCTTGTATCTCCCTGCCTCACGATGTCGAAGTCAGTCTGCCGTTGGACTAGCCGTCGCCTGTCCACCTTGACCAGGTGACCGGCCGGCCTTCAAATAAAAACAAACCAGCCTCTCTCTCCCTTGTACATTGATCCTTTGCCCAGCCTCCAAAGTTGCAATCTGGCGACTTCGAGTGTCTCACTTGATCATGATTTGATACGCACTTCATAACATCATCATTGTCGCGCTTCTACGCGTGAGGTCAGTCTAGGCAAGCGTATGAAATCAAATCAGGGGTGAACACTCTGCCCGACGTTATCGCTGCGCGATTTTTCGAACGACAGCTCCTGATGATTATCAAGGAGTAGCGTATCGTGATCCATACGTCCAATCTTGCTTACTTTCCTTGCGCCAGGTTGCTCGTTCGCCAGAGGCTTTGCATGTTGATTGAACTAACCCTCCAGAAAATATTGAGCACCCTTAGCCCAGTATAATCACCGACATTACCTACTTTGTCTGCCACATGTGAGCTGTCATGTTGTCTCAGAGCTGGGATGTAGCAATCAATCGTGACGGGAAATACGCAGTGCTTCCCTACCATCCTCTACCTCCACCTACTACTGCAAATGACTGACATCTCAAACTCAGCAGACAACCTCCTATGCCAATATACTATCCCAACTTACATCGCATGAACCTCCTTTGAAGTCGATCTCCAACCCTGAAACACATTGACCTCTCACACTATCATATTCCCGAAACTCACATCTGCAAATCCCGACGAAAGAATACAACAATCTACGGTTTACCTTCTTCTTTCCACCACAACCAACCTTCCACCGTGCTTCTCTAGATCCACCCTTCCAACCAACCTTCTCCACAACCAACACATGAAACACAAGTGTCGCCATCTACAAAGCGCACGCACCTCTGTGCCATCAAGCAAAAGAAACTCTATCAAGATTTATCCCCTCCTCACCGGCACTTCGCGCTGCAAACCCCCTTGTCTATACGAGTCGAGGTCACAGCAAAGAGGTACATTGGTGTCACGACTCATGACGCAAAACGCTCATCCACACTCGCCCGCAAATGGCGCCTGTCAAATTATTAAACCACACGACCATAATTTCCAAAGTCACCACCAAACAAAACCACACCACGTGAGACGAGAGAAATCTCGTATTCGTTAATATACCTAGCCATTTCTACGGTACCCGCGTCTTTCGGCAATTGAAGATAGAGATAGAAGTATACAAAATCGATTCCAGGTAAGTATTTATTGTCGCATCGATTTGTTGAGAAGAAGCCATGTCGTCGGCCTGCCTCGGCGATACCCGCACCCTTCTTTTCTATCACAGTTGCCCTGCATATTTTCCGCCCAAACAAAATTTCTTGGGTGTGCCTGGCTGCCACCTTTTTTTTTCCTTTTGCCTTTCCCGCAGCATCTACGTTTTTTGACAGGCCAACCTTCCTTGGGCAGCAGCGGCAGCAGCGGCGTCGGCGCAAAAGGAAAGTGCCGCCAACACATTTCCAAAAGCAGCGAACGACGGAAGTGCAGCCAGCATAATAAATTAAACTTGATCAGCTGCAATATGTAAATATATTGTTTGGACAGGTTGATCAACTGAGTCGTGTGGGCGGCAAGTGTGTAGTTGTCATCTCCTGTCAAACAGTTTGTTTACACTGCATAAAGATGTTTGGATATGCAATAACATTCATAGAAACACAAGGCAGAACATCCATCTCGCTGGGCAGAACCTCGAACTTGGAAAACCATCGTGCAACTTCTATGATGCTATGGTGCTTAGTACCATTAGTCCAAGAAATTGAGATAGTGTTTGCAATCTCATCAGAATCGACAGGTCCAAGAACGTACCATAGAATTGCACAAAGAAGTTCGAGTTCCGGCAACATCCAGAGAAGCATACTCAAGACTCACTATTTCGCTGGATCATCTCATCATCCAGCAAATCACCTCTCCTTTCGGTAGTACCATACGTCTTAGTATTGTCGTTGTGAGACACCGAAACAGCATACAACCTATCACTTTCATCAACGATGACAGACAATACCACACCTAGCAACGACAGCCAGAGAAGTACAAACAGTCACAAGGAACTTCATTGTCTAGTATAAAGATTCAGACAAACCAACGCGCTGTCATTCGCAAAGGTACAGGTGTATACTCTTTCTGTAAGAAATGTGGTGTAGGAGATATCCAACAACGGACCTGTTCGATCACGCAACCGCCACGAAAGTCATGGGAACAAGGATACCACGCCGCATACATTCGCAAACGTTTAGTGAGATGCATTTCTTAGAAAAGATATGGAAGTACGGAAGTCAGCAGGATATGGGCCTGGTCGTTCGTGCATATGCTTCAAGAGTTACAAAGAGACGCATGGCGCGTTGATGACACTCGCAACGTGCGAATATTCGCTTTTTGGAGGAGAGAGACGGTATGGAATACAGCCTTTATCTAGGCCTGATCGATTGCTATGCAACTACAACAGAGCAACAGCGCCACGCAACCGCTCGCAGCGTTAGCATTCGCTCTTCAAAGTGAGAAAGAGACTCGATGCGAGACCAAACCCTTGCGGGCCTCTTCGATCGAGTCGTGTTGATCAGTAGGCAAACGAGCCTCCAACGCCATCATCATCCCCGTCATCCATGTCCATCTGAGGGTACTCGAACTGCTCTTCGCCGCCTCCGTAAGCATCATACTGCCCTTCCTCTAAATCCTCATCATCCACATCAGCTTCCTCGGCCTTGAAGTCATTGTCTTTTCTAGCCATCAAGCTTTCGGCATCGAAACCGCTCTTCTCCATCAGCTGCTTGAAGCGACGTCTCAAGTCTTGAGGGTGGTAGGTGTCACCACCCTCGTTGGTAATCTCTGCGGCAATCAAGGCCCACTTTCTCTGGTCAAAGTCTTCTTCGATCTTCTTCTTGGCGTCAAAGAGGCGGAGGTTGTCTTCGTCGCGCATGTTGATGAAGGCGGTCTTGAGGCGCTCGTAGCGGTTGGGGATTGTGCTGGCACCGTGGACGACGCCTTCCATCTCGGCGTAGCGTTCTTTGCACTCGGCCCAGGTGTGACCGCTCTGGATGAAATGTCAGATGGAAGATCGGTCAGGATGATGACAGAGACTCACTTCGCGCATGGTGATCAAGGTCTGGTCAGCCTCGTCACATTCGTCGAAAGAGTGAGGGATAGGCTTGGTCTGGGCAATGCCACCTTGAGTTGCCTTGATGATGTGTCAGTATAGATTTTGGGTCAGATGAGACAAACGGCTTACTTTACGGAGGCGCTGGTGGCCCATGGAGTTCAATGTATCAGTTGCGACCTTCTTCCTGGGAGTCTTCTTCTTGAGCTTCTTGATAGGAGTGTTGGTCGAGGTCTTGTCGGCGGCAGCTCCCTTACGACCCTTGCCCTTATTTGCGGAGCTAGTAGCAGGGGTCTCTGCATTGGCGTCATGTTCACCGTGCTCGTCCCCGGCTGTAGTTGTCTTCGCCTTAGCTTTTCCCTTAGCGCGAGAGGTGAGGAGTGGACGGCCCTCGCCCTCGCTGGCTTCTTCACCAACTATGGCTGCCATAGCTTTGGTCTTGGCTTTACGAGGAGTAGAACCCTTCTTGGTAGAGACTGGCTGGGTGGCGGGAGTAGGAGGTGCTGAAGGAGGGAATGTTGTGTCCATAGGGCTGACGAGGGGGAAGAAGTCGGCTTCTTGAGGGCCGGAGGAGAAATCGACGAGTGGCTGAGCGCCGAAGAACAAGCCGCCAGAAGGCTGAGGGTTGTTTCCGCCGACGTCAAGGTTGAGATCCGAGATCTGGTTGGAGTTCGCAGTGAGAGACTGGTGAGGCGAGCTGTAGGAGGCGACGTAAGGTGTCTTTGCCTCGTAAGTGCTGAGCGAGGGTTCGAAAGGCACCTGAGCGCCATAAGAAGGTTGGAACTCGTGGCCGACTTGGGCTGGAGACGAGTGGTAGTTGTAGCCGGGATAACCAGGCGTCTTCGCATCGGCGGCCTCCTGGTAGTCACGAGGAAAATGATTGCTCAGGGCCATGTCGTCGCCGATCATGTTGTTGGTGCTGGTGTAGTCATATGTCGACCCGCCATCAAACATAGAGTAGTCAGGCAAAGTGCCGTGTTCTTGGTCACCCGACATGGCATTGAAGTTAAAGTTAGAAGGCACTAGATCGAGCTGCTGATCGTTGTTGGATGGCATGTTCGGGGATTGTTGGACAGGCTGGTCTGTATTGGCGCCATTGGCCATAGAGTCGTCAACCATAGGAGCAGTGGACTTGGAGGAGCTCATGTTGCGTATAGAAGTGGAACTTGAACGCAAGTATTGTTAGAGCAGGAGGAGGAGAGAGTTGTTTGGAGGAAGGAAGAGTGTTTTTGTCGCAGAGTGTCGAGTGCGCGCGACGCGATGTCGACGACGGATTATTGATGTAGAGTGAATGTTCCGGCGCCTGACGAGCTTTTGATGTAGTGTCCGGTCAGTACTCGATCCGGTATCCAGTTGATGCACGACGTCGGAACTGTGAATGCGCGGTGTCCTTGCAATCACTCCAGATGTTGATAGCGAGCAAAAGGAGAAGGTTCGAGAATAAAGTGTTGTATCTCTCAATCTCACGTGGGGAGGAAGTCGTTTGTTTATTGAATTTCACCCCACGAGTTTGTCGCATCTTACTACACGTCGAGAAGACTGCGCTGTGTGAGAGTGAAAGTGATGGCAGTGCCAACACATTTCGACGGTATGTCGTCCGGCAGTCGAGAGGCGTCGGCGACGCAACAGGCGATTGAGGTTTGATCCAAGCTATCACTGATCAACGATGCCATAGACCAGTATATGGAAACTGTAAGGACAGGATCATCCTTTGCGTATGACTGATGTTGATCACTTTCTGATGTCTTCGACACAAGTTTGAGGCACAAGAAAATCTGCTCAACCACTGGTTCTCGAGGCGATTGCAGTCTTCACCTCACACAACGCAATCCAGTCTTCGTCCGTACAGTCGGGGTACATCGGAGGATCATTCCAGCTGCCGTCATAAGATCCGTTCTCGAATGGTGGCCTTCGCCATTCACCATCGTCCAGAATCCGATATCTTTGCGCCCAAAGTCCAATACCAAGCTCTTTTGAACTCGAAAACGCCGAGTTGTCATACCAATCGCCAAAGCCGCAGTGTATAGAGCGTAATTTGACCAGTCCAGTCGCGAAAGAAGAGAAGTAGTCATGCCATCGTGCTGGGTACAAAAAGCTCGATGGTGCAAGAATCGATCCTGTAGTGCTTGAGTTGAACAAAGGCTCAATAGGGTAGTTGTCCGAGTCCAGCGTGGACGGTATGCGCACGCCAATAACAATAGGGCAATTGTCCAGGACAAGCTCTTCAAGAGTATTGCAGTGTGCCAAGATCCAAGTAAGTTGTTCATTGTGGCTAAAACTCATTCCTCCAAGCATCAAAGACCGCAGATTTGAGAAGATGGGCAGACGACACTTTGGCATGTACCCAAAATATATGTCTCGTGCATAGAGCTTCAGATGTGTCAAGTTGTCGCGAATCGGATCGAGCCACTCTTGCACAAGCCGATGTCCGAAGAATGAATGAAGTTCCTTCTTACCGAGGTTTGCAGGCAAGGATCCATCGCCATCGACATCTTCAGTGGTAACCTGAAGCTCCAATTTGCGGATGCGCGACATGACCGATTTGAAGTCTCTAGAACGAGCCACTACCTCATTTCCGCAACCTTGCAGATTCTCGACACAGAGATGCTCCAGCTTCGACGTCGCATGATTGGCGTTCAAGCCAGCGAACAGACTCTGCAGCACATCTGTCCTGAACTTGATACTCTCCGGTACGTTTCTCGCCCACCAATGTCGTCTTTGCTGGGGGCCGACACATTCGCTGCTGCATTTTAGTGTCACGGAACGCAAATTTCGAAGTCGTCCCAGCTTCTTCAGCACGGCTAAAAAGGACTGCAACAACTCTTCATCGCGGTACTCCCAGTCGTACGTGTCCATGCATGTATCCGTGTACTCGGCTGTATCGATGGTGAGCTGCGTCACCGCGGAACACAAATCCGGTTTTTCGAGCAAATTCCTCAAGTTGTTGATACTCTTCTGCCTCAGCAGTAGTGTTGAACTGCGAAAGACCAGACCAGTACAAAGATCGGCACACGTCTTAGAAACACATCGTAATGATTTCGTAGCATCATGGCCACGTTTTTCGACCTCATACGCGATGATTGTCAATAGTTCCAAGGGGAGTTGATCGAATTGGGAGATTGTTGATATCATAGGTGGTTGGTAACTTCTTGGTGGCTGGGAGATTGCGGGGTGATGAAGCGATGCCTTCTTTGATGGGCCGCTCTTCTCTGGTGGAGGAGTCGCTTGCTGCTGAATGATTTTCATGTTACGACTATATTGTTGTGTTGTGTGCTCTTACAGTTTGGAAGTCTAGTATACAGATAGATGAGGGGTTAGGGGTGTCACATTGCGTGATGAATCATGTGGTCTCCAGCTCCGGCTCGGTCTTCAACTGCCTCTCAAGGAGCAATCTCCGTAATCCCCGATACCACTCCTTGCTCGAGTACGCATTCATCCTCTGTCTCTGTGAAGACGAGTGTTTTGGCTGAGATCAGTTCTAACAGCATTCTGTAAGTATCTCACTAGGTTTCGTGACTATACGGTACTTAGACTCAGTCTTACAGACATGCTATCGAAAGATCTGGACAACAGCATCGACGTCATACAGACAGGGTCGTCCCCTATACAAGGCTCGACAGCATTGATTCATCTCTCACATCTTTCCCTCTGACTAATAATGACTATTATATACAAATCTGGGCTCGGTGGCATGTCATGTATAACGATACGACTCTTGGACGTGCGGCGGTATACGTGTGAAGAGATAATTCTGATTTTGTACTTTCGAATGACAATGTTCTCGAGGACGTGCTGAAACCGTGCAATGGCGTTGGAACAACACTCAAACCGCAGAATACAAATGACACCGACCTTGGAGTTCATATGTTCAGGGCGCTTCACCATCGTCAACAGGTTCAAACATATAGGACAGAACCGAGCAGGCCGAAAAGACGAACTACGACGCAAATTAGGTTAGATTTGCTTCGTAACAAGACATGATCATCAACCATTGCAAACCACCATCAGTTCTATGTCATTCTATACGGAAGTTCATACACGGACACTACTCGCTCGCGAAGTACTAAGCTTATACACTCACCAGCGGACAATAGCCAGATATCAAGGATATGAATGTTGACATAAGTCTGCTCGAGACGTTCGTTAAGACAAGCAAAGCGACTCAAGTCAGCGTGCTCGAGTTCTTGACCAATTAGAATCTACACTATGCTCCATGTCAGCACAGCAAGTTAGCCCCACTTAACCTGAATTTCAGAGCCAGACAACGGCATGACAAACCTTCGGCATGGAAGCCGTAGAATAAATATCATAATCAGAAACGTCCCATTCAATATAAGTATCTTTCCAACTCATCATATCTCTGCATGTCTTCTCAACCTTCAGACTCCAAAACCATACAATCTCCTCCACCAACAACCAATTTCAAAACCCTCGCCCTTCTCATCGGCATAGCAGCAATCACCCTGGCTATCTTCACACCCCTCCGAACAACCCTCTCAACAATCTTCTCCGCTGCCCCAAAACACACCTCATCAATCACACGCACCATGTCTTCCACCACCCCCTCTTCTTCCCTAAAAATCACAAAGCGACCTTGGAACCACCGCGGCCACGCCGACCACGGCTGGCTCTACACCTTCCACACCTTCTCCTTCGCCTCCTACTACGACCCTTCCCACGAATCTTTCGGTCCCCTCCGCGTGATCAACGAAGACCGCGTAGAGCGCGGCACGGGCTTTGGCACGCACTCGCACGCCGAATTTCTCATCTGGAGCTACATCGTCCGCGGCGAACTCGAACACAAAGACTCGATGGGAAACCTCGAAAACCTGAAGCGCGGAGAAGTACAGTTTACCTCTGCAGGCACGGGGATCAGGCATTCAGAGTACAACCGCAAAAAGGACGAAGACGTGCATTTTTTGCAGATTTGGGCAAAGCCGTACACGAAAGGCCTGCAACCATCCTACGTAACCAGAAAATTCACGGATGAGATGAAGGAAAATAAACTCGTCAGGATCATGGAGGATGTCAAACGCCACAGTGGAGCAGACGCACAAGATCAACCTATCCCTCTGCATGCGGATTTGAGCATGGATGCTAGTATCCTAAGCCCGGGCAAGAGCGTCACTCACGATATCGTGGCGGAGGGAAAGAGAAATGTATTCGTGCATTTGGTCATGAGTGGCAGAACGCAGCCAAAGACCGGTGGCGCAAAGATCAAGGTCGGAAATGTCGAGTTGGGTGAGGGTGATGGTGCGTATATTATCAATGCTACCGGACCGGGAAAGATCGAGGTCGAGAGTGTTGGCGACAAGCCCGCTGAGTTTTTGCTCTTCGATATGGGGCTGTAAAACGAACAAAGGTGTATATAGCTTTGGCCTCAGCCCATTCATAAGGTATACCTTCGCATTAGACTTACTTGACCACTGCTTTATGCTTGCTTTTGGCACTCGCACACACAAGATTCATCGAGTCATTATTATATCAAAGACCAACATGTGGGAGAGCAAAGCGAGAGAAGAAAATACATCAATCGTAAGCAAAGATAAATCTAATCAATAATCTCCACATAGAAAAAGAAGAGAAGGCGTGATGTAAGCAACATCAGAAACTCATGAACAAAAAACCCCCGAGCTCGATATCCTTCGCAATCGGCTGTTCAGAGAAGAAGAGAAAACTCAGAAAACCTCCCTCAAGAAAAGAAGAACGCCTTGCCTAGTATAAATATAGTCAAAAAAGGCCATCCCCCAAAGTATATTCACAAACCTCTCCTATCGTCATAAACATTTCAAAACTTAGACCTTCTTGCTCGTTTCCACTTTTTCCTCTTCTTCAGCATCCCTCTTCTCGAGAGCTTCTCGTTCCCAATCCTGGATCTGGATACCGTAGTTCGACGGCTTGCGTTGAGCAGCACCTGTTTCAGTCGCCTCTTCCTTGTCCTTTCCCTCCTCTTGTTCTTTGAGAAGCTGTCTAGCACGAATGCTCTTGGCGCCATCGCTAATGCTTCTCAAACTAGCCTTGTCAACATCTGCGTTGACGACACGCAGACGAGCTTTAGGAACTGTGAACATGACTTGGATATCACGGTTGGCAGCTGCCTCTTCGACGTCCCAGTCCTCACGTTCGTCTTCTGGTGTCTGTTTCTCAGCTTCCGCTTTTGAGGTTGTGGTTTCGGGGACATCGCCCCAGTCGCCGGTATCAGGGTCATCGCGGTAGGGTTGCCAGCGAGGATCATTCTCGTCGCCTTCCCAGTCACGCGGACCACGTCTGGTGCCTAGGAATTGTGAACTGTCACTAGCCGCACGGCGGGGAGCGGAAGCCGACATGGATGATCCTGCGCGAGTGTGGCCCTTGACAGGACTGTTGCTGCGATCGCGGTATTGCTGACTGACGAGCGGCACCATGGGAGCACCAACACGTCGTTGAGCGTGCGAGGCGCTCATGCTGCGATCGCCGCTGAACACTTGACGGATACTGCCCATCCAGCCACGACGGCGAGGTGGAAGAGGAGGTGTCTTTCCAACGGCAGCTGCTATAATTTCTGTCGAGGTTGGTCGCACCCTAGGATTCAGCGGCGCTGTGGGTTGGTTGTTGGGCGCAGGTCCAAGAAGCACTTCGCTTTCAGCAATCAGTTGACCAAATGTCGTGCACTGAGTTGATGAAGAGTCAGGTGCTCTATCTAGACCAGGACGCAGGCTAGGTGGATGCAAGCTGTTAGTCTGCTTGGGTCTGTTCTCCCAATATGCAGGAGACAGACTGCGTGACATTACAGATGCGCTGGGTGCTTGCGATGGCGTGATCGATGGATGACCTGACAAACCGAAGAACAATCCTGAGCGAGTCGAAGATGTTCTGGCAACAGAGCGACCGTGACTCGACAGGCCAGAACGATCGGAATCTTCGCTCAAGCCAGAGGATGTTCTTTCGTCAATCTTATCAGGGGAACTCGATCTGCTGACCGGGTAAGGAGAGATTGTGCGTCGTAGAGATGCAGCATATGAGTTGGTCCAGTGGTTGATCCAGCTGCTGACCTGATCTGTACCGTTCGTTGTGCTCGTCATCACACTAGTGTTTGTGGGCTGCCTATGGATGGGAGAGCCATTAGAGCCTTCTACCGTAGAGCCGAGCTCTGGAGTGACCGGATGGCTGCGAAGAGGGTTAGGAAGAGGATCTTTGAAAGGATCTTGCTCGTTGCTCTTCAGTCCGATCATGTTCCCGAGCCCTCTGAATGAGCGGTTGCTATGCCTAGAAGACAACCTCTCCTCCTCTTCATCTCTTTCCTGGATAGGATGGATGTTGCCACTGGCCTTGCTGATCCTGCCATCGTCGTAGCGAGGAGCGGCATGGTACTGGTACTGGCTGCGAGTGAGGCCGTTCTTTCGGAGACCTCGTGTCGGGCTCGGAGCATTGATCGATACACCAGATCTCTCGACCTCGCGATTTCCTTCTTTCATCTGCGCGGGACTCTGTTCGACTCCATTAGGCGTCCAGGTCGTGAAACCATCATGCATATCCTCATCCTTCTCTTGCCAGACTCCACCAGCTGCGTAATCCGCGTTGTAGGGCTCGTAAGTGGTGCTGCTACGATAAGGCTCATAGTTGGTATTGCCGAACCAAGCTTGCTCGTAGCCATTTCCTCCCTGCTTGTACAGACGTTCTCTGTCACTCTCGCGAGCATCCCGTCTTCGTTTGAGATGACGCTTGTACCAGAAGTAGAAGATGATCAGGAGACCGACCGCGATGGCCCCAATCGTCAGACCGACACCAAGACCTGCTTTCTGAGATGTTGTAGTGAGCGCACCTTTTCGTTGGTCTTGTGCTGACGAACCACTGTCTGATGTGACTGCTGGAGGTGGACTGTAAGATTGTATCCAAGTTCTCGAGGTGACGTTGTAGAAGAGATTTTGCGAGTTGGACGTAGACGTCGACCGACGCAGGAAACGCTTGGATGATGTTGTGGGAATGTTGTAGCCACCCATAATCATCATGACTCCACCAGGAAGCATGGCTGCGCCGTGTCCGTATATACCTGCTCCAGACAGACCAGAAGCTGTTTGGAGAGGTACCGACCACTCCCAATCTCCATCGCCTCCATAGCCTGAACCGAGTTCCAGCACGGCCAACTGAGGCGAGGCAGCATTTGTGACATCCCCAACCCATCCACCAAACAGAATCAAGCTCTTGCCATCCTCAGTCAATACTGCAGTATGTCCTGATCTTGGCTCGACGGCCGTGATGGCCCCTCTGACTGCGAGATCCGTATTTGCTGCTGAAGGTTGATCCACGGGCTGATAGGTCCAGGTTTCTTCGGGGAGGGAAAACAGAGCTACGGACGACATGTTGATGAAAGCAGCTCCAGTGTGGCCTCCAACCAGTACGAAACTCTGACGCGCGCTTTGAGTGCTGCTGGAGTTATCTGAGAATGCAGGGGCCAAGGGAGTCATACTGAAGCCAGCCTCAGCGACAGGTGGACCTTTGCTGGACAGAAAGGCAGGAGTATAAGCGACTTGCTTCGAGCTGTCCAATTCCGGAGAGAAAGTCATCATCTGGTTAGTGTAGTTTGCTGCAGACATCCAGGTCTCGTCGGTAGCGTTGGCCAGCGGACACATTCCTCCGAACACATACAAACTTGTCGTCGAAGCATTACCCTTGGCCAAGTCGGAAAATGCGATACCTGAGCTCAGAAAGTCGGGACCGTGGACCTTGTTCTTTGCAGCTGCTGCGGGTGTGCTTTGTAACCATGTTCCGTTGCCATTCTTGCCATTTGTAGCCGGGATGAAGGTCCACACTTCAGGAGCATCGCCACTTGTAGAGCAGTCGCCAGCAACGACAGTAATGTTCTGTTCGCTTCCCTTTAGTGGTGTGTATACCCGATTTGATGTCGCTGACAGAAATGGTAGCGAGTTGTATAGCGTCGTCAAGGAGAGTTTTGAAGCCTGGAGCGATCTGGTGAGATCGAGCGAAAGTAGACTGGTTTGGCCATTGGCATTCGGTTGTAGGATATATGCGTAGGATACTGTTTGGTCGTCTTGGTCGTTCTGCTCAGGTATTACGATATGTGTCGGGTTGTATGGTAGATCCAGTGCTGAGACTTGGGCGACTGCGAGGGCAAGAAGTCCGGCTATATGCCTCGGAAGGGCCGGTCTTGACATGTTTTCGAGACAGTGTATCACAACTCAGATCCCTCAATCCGTATACATTGTCAGAGTCGTGATGGCCGCTTGTCTCGGTAGTTTGGTCGCGGACGCAATAATTCCACAGAACGAGCGGACGCGGAAGGGCGAGATAGTAGTGTCAGGGCGAGACAAGAAGTGGCTAGGTAGGTACCTTGGAGGTAAATAGATGGCTGGGGACAAGACAAAGGAAGAAACCCAATCAATCGAGGGCCACAGGGCTCTTCTGCAGCTGAACAAGGGCCACCCAGATGCGACCGCCCGGTCATTCCGGTCCTCAGAGTAAACAAAGCTCGTCACGCAACATGGGTGGGTATCCACTCCCACGTAGTAGACGAGAGGCACCAGCCACCGTTCGATACCAACGTCTAGGCCCTGATTATATTGACCCGTCGCCGAGCAGCAAGCAGTGAAGAGGCATGCTTGGATAAATTGGCAGCCACAGCTCCTTTGACAAAGTGTGGCACCTTTTTGCACCCTGGACAAAGTTTGTCAACCCATGTTGCCAGAGCAACCCCCCAAATCCGAACCCTTCTTTCGCTAGCTTCTGGCCCTCCAACCTGCCCCAGCACTCGATTTATTCCACCGTCTCCGCTACTCGACAGGATCCTGGCATTATGACGGTCATTCCCGCAAAGCTGAGGTTCGTAGGCAAAGGCTATGTTCAAGTACGAGGGTGTCCACTCTTTCTGATGACGATAAGAGACTCGGCTTTCTTGACGCGTGCTTGCAGCCGAACCAGCCACCTCTCGGACTCGGCGGTTGTGTCATCTACATATTTTCTTGTTTCTGGAGCAGAGCGATAAGTATGTATCTGAGATTACTCGTTACTTCTCGTAACTGTAGGACCGAATTATTGTACATGATGCTCGGTTGTCAGGTCTCGCCAAGGTCCTGGAACGAACAGACGGCCGCTCAACCACGAGGTTTAATCGAGCCGTTGTGGGATTTATAGCATTGTGCAATCTCCAAGCTGTAGCAACCACCGTTGGCATATCCGAGTATCACGAGCAACTGAACGGTCAGATAGTAGTGAATTGAATAGATAATCTCCGATGTATAGTTGAAGTAAAAAGAAAGCGATGCCTAGAAATTCAGCAATGACCGTATCTCTCTCTCTCCATCCCTCGTATCCAGCAATGTCCCTAGTATAGTACAGCTCGTGTGTCCGAATAACGCCGCTTCTGAGGTAGTCGTTTCTGACCACCTCGTGCCCTCCAGCGAAAACTCCTTCCATGCAATGTTTCGTGCGCAATCGTTTCGTGCGTAAATAAATGATCCTCCCTTTCCCGTATGACGCCTCGCTTCACATGTACATTTCTCAGACACTCAATTATATGTCTCCCGCGTTGTTAATGCGCTTCTTGATCTGCTCGAATGAGGAGAAGAAGATCATGTTGATAAGAGCCGAACGTCCGACACTGACTCCGAGGCCTGTCTTGTCATCAGTTGGTGCGCTTGAGCAAGTAGCTTGAATTGGCTTACCTCTGTATGATCCAGGCTGGAAGAACTTGATGTTGGGACGCGAGACTTGAGCGCGACCTGTTTCCAGCTGGCGCTTCTGGAACTGAGTCTTGACGACATCAATGGGGTAGATCTGCACCTCGATTAGCATCGGAATATAACGCTTGATCTGTCATTGAACATACCAATACCCAACTGACGATGCCACAAGTTGCTCCAGCAAGAGCGACGGCACCAGGTTCGGCAGGTCCGTTTCCGCGAGCGTTCGAAAGGATCTGCTTGACGGTTTCATAGGTGCCGAAATATATAGCCGTGCCAATGGTATCGCGGACTGTGTAACATTCTGTTAGTCGTAGTCGGACATGCCAGGATCATATGTTGTCAATACTCACCAAGATGCAGCCGATAGCCGCAGTACAAGCCACGAATGCCGCGGTCACGGATAAGCTGCTGGGCAGTTCTGAAAGCACCAGTGCGAAGGTCGCTGATTGGTTGAGGGCGATCCGAAGGGTTCGCCTCTCTCTTCATCTTTCCAGCAAGCTGCGCGTTAAGCTTGATGAGCTCGAATGGACCTTCGCTCAAGTCAGTAATTGTTCGAGATGACTGCCGAGATAAACATACAAGAGATGAATGTAATGACAGCGCCAGCGGTTGCTCCAGCACTACTGAAACAAGCGATAGTCGACAGAGTAGGATATTGGCCTTTCTGGTTGGCCAAGTCAAGAGGCGACTGGCCAGTCATTTGGGTCATGTAGTGATCAATCACATGCTTAGAGCGTTGATACAGACCGAAAGAGATGGTGCGCACCAGTGTGACACTGGCCATTGGCGTACCAACACCTGCAAATTGAGCTCAGTACAGGTAGAGGCAATGCCCAACAGCATGGAAACATACCTCTCCAGAAACCACGCAGGCCTTCGACTTGGTAAGCATCCTTTACGGTTGCGAGGAAGCGAGTGTCGTATCTTGGGAAGTGATCAGTAGTGGCGCGCACGATAGTCATGACGCCTACTCACGATTGCATGCGTACTTTCGCAAAGTCGAGAGGGAACTGCACAAGACCCGTCAGTGTCGAGGCAGAGCAAGAGCCAGATCATGCGACTGAGCATACCGCTACAAAGGTAGAGAGGACGCTGGATGACATAGAAGCCAATTCTGTTTTCCACTTTCTAGCCCATCTCTTGACATCATCACTAGCCTCATACTCCAGAATGCCGAACCTAGGTGGTTGAGTGGGCGTGTGCTGCTCGTTGTGGGACTTTTCCGAATCAGAGTTGGAGTCTCTCATACTGGGTGGTGCGAGGTGCGGGTGGTTCGCGGTAGAAATGTTGCTGAAGACAAGAATGTCTTTCAGTTCGCGCGCTTTTGAACCAGCGGCGAGCTGCGCTCCATTGGCTCTCGGCGGATCCGACGACTAAGCAAGGCAGCGGTATACGTGCTTCTCGGCAGGCTTCCAAGACTCTACAGGCTTCCAGCAGGGCGTACGAGACTCTGGGTTCGCTCGTGAGCGAGGTCTAGTCGTAGATTTATGGGGAGCGGGCGCTAGTCGAGCTTCGGACGACGATTCGAGCGGGCACGCCGTCGCCTGTCGAGACTGGTTTTGGGTGCAATTATTCGGCAGGAGTCTGTTGGGCAGTGGTTTCGACAGAATCGGCGGCGGCGGCGTGGGCAAAAGAGCTGGATAGAGGTCGACTTTTGTAACAGGAAGAAGCAGCGTGAATTACTGTACCGCCGTCTGATTGGCCTGTACCCCGCCGTTTTGTACCTTCTCTGAAGCCTCCCGAGTGCTCGCTTACACTTACCTGTATACACTCTCCATCACGCGGCTGCTTTTGCTTTTGAGCGAGTACATGTGAAAGTGCGTGACGTCGGCATGCTTTGCTGTTGTTAATGCCAATGTCTGAATCATATATTACATTCTGCATCGAGTCATCATTCTCCCCTCCCATTCATGCCTGAGACCACAAACAGGTCGCTTATGTCGATCAGCCGAGACTCGAGTACAGGACGAGTCTTGTACTGTTGTGTGCGTGATATTCACGCATCATAGAAATACCACTCCAAGCCCCGAAATAACACTTAAGCCCAAAAGAACCCATCCACACGCTCTTGCATTTGCTGCCTCACTAGGCGCTTCTTTGCCAACGTTGCTCTGTCCACTAGCCATGGCCGTACAGCTTGTCCCACAACCATAGCCAGATGGACAACATCCTCCGCCCACACTGGCCGGACAACTAAACCAACCGTTCGCACAGTGTCCAGTGAGAGCTGCAGAGCTGGCACCGCTAGGAGCGATCACTGTCAGTCCGGAGTTTGTGACCACAGCTGTGCTTGCAGAAGTAGGGCAACTAGTCGTGTCGCAGTTCCTTCCGACTCGGCAGCATCCGCCCAAATAATATGCTGAGCACATATAGAACCCAGTCGGACAGCCAGAAAACGTGACGGTACTTGATGTGGAGGTAGTCTTGCGGGACTCGGTGCTTGACGGCAGAGCTGAAGTTGAGACTGGCCCAGACCCACTTGTTGGCAGAACAGGTGGAGCAGCGGTAGACAACGGAGGGCAAGTCACAGAACCACAGGCTCGATCAGTATGGCAGCAACCGCCTCCAAGACTTGCTGGACATGTTTGGAAACCAGGACTGCAGGTCAATGGGCCTTGGCCCGAAGACGAAGGGCTGGTCGGAGTTTCAGAGACAGACGATGTCGTCGATGCCCCCGAAGATGCAAGTATGGTCGTCGTTTCAACAATCGTCGTTGTCAAGGCGTTTCCAGAACTTGTCACTACTAGAGTAGTTGTAGTAGTGCAGACCGAAGCCGTTTGTGAGCCAGAACTTGCTGGCACAACGAAGGTTTGGGTAGTCGTGCTATCGGACAACGTTGACCATGAAGCTCCAGTAGTCACGGTGACTATTGGTAACGTGGTAGTGGTTGTAGCGGTCGATGCATATATGCCTGGATGTCACATTAGGAAAAGTAAACCATCAAGATCAGTCTAGTTTGCTCACATCCAGCACCCTGACATGTATAGCCGGGAATGCAGCAACCGTCATTTTCATTCTCACAGTCCGTGTATCCTGCGGCAGTATCACACAATCCAATCTGACCATTACAGTTTGCACCATCCGGGCAGCAGCCTATCGTTGCTCCATCATTTTCTGGGAGCGAGATGCAGGTTTCGCTAGTAGCACAACAGCTGTTGGGGTATCCAATCGATGCGCAGCTGTTGGTCCCAGTAGGGCATTGAAATGCCCGTTCGGATAAGCTGCGACCAAAGAATCTGTGAGATGGAACAAACTGTTGAGGTTCTGCATGCAAGAGCAGCGGTGGGAGCAATTCTTCAACGGTGGAGATGTTCGACAACAGTGCTGCAGAGCTGACCGAGCGTCGAGCGCTTAGAGGCCGAGCCATCTCAATGGACTCAAATGTCTGCTCGTCAAAGTGCCAGTAATCCAGAAAGAACTTTTCTCCTTCATGGTCGCTCATCTTGCGAACACCAGATGGTGTGGCTGTATTGAGTTTCTGCTGTATTTCGAGATCTCGTTTGATGTGGTGTTCGTGTTCAGGATAATATTTCGCACTGAGCGGTAAGTTGTAAGGCCAGTCTTGACTGTAAGATGGTGTCGCAAAGATGATGGCGAACAGAGCAGAAGGCAGGGCTAGAAGCCCAGTCATTGTATCACGCATTTTGAGCTTGGGATGAAGGTCTCGTAAGCTTGGAGAAGCACATCAACATGGGAGAGAGCAATAGCGACAGAGAAGAGTGACTATTATTGTCTAATCTTGCTTGTGAGCAAGCAGACATGGCAAGACGACACGGGAAAGGAAAATAGATTGCCATCGCAAGTGATACTTAGCGTTGCCAGAGCTACAGTGCAGCAAGCAGGATGTTGGCGTGCATGAATACTGAGCGACGAGTGAGAAGAGGGCACAGAGTGTGGAGACTGTGAGCGAAGCAGCTTATCGATGTGGCTGATGGGCTGTGGCTTGGACTCAGTCTGACAACGCCAAGCAAGAATTCATCGCTTGCGTGTGGCCGACCGCACGACGGAGAAATCCGCCGCGCCCACAGAAGCACAGAATTCGCCGCGTTCTTTTGAATCTCTCGTTCGCGACCGACGCTGTGATATCGACATCCACCGACATCGACAACCGGTACGTGTCCATTCCATATCCTCCCCGAGCCCGTCAACACCACAACCGACACCGCTTCCTTCTCGCCGCATCGACAATTGCTCTCCTTCGAACCGCGCGCGCGCCCGCCACTGCAAAACACAATCCTCGAGAGAGCACATCCACTAACACACCTCGTCTGCAGCAATCATGGGTAAAGGAAAGCCAAGAGGTCTGAACGCCGCCCGCAAGCTCCAGAACACCCGCCGTGAGGGTCGCTGGGCCGATCTCAACTACAAGAAGCGTCTTCTCGGTACCGCCTACAAGTCCTCTCCCTTCGGTGGTTCGTCGCACGCCAAGGGTATCGTCCTCGAGAAGGTCGGTGTCGAGGCCAAGCAGCCCAACTCGGCCATTCGCAAGTGTGTCCGTGTCCAGCTCATCAAGAACGGCAAGAAGGTCACCGCTTTCGGTATGTGAAGGACGCCATAAGGACAGCGCACACAGCACATTCTAACATCTAGTTCCACTAGTCCCCAACGATGGTTGCTTGAACTTCGTCGACGAGAACGACGAGGTCCTTCTCGCCGGTTTCGGTCGCAAGGGCAAGGCCAAGGGTGATATTCCTGGTGTCCGTTTCAAGGTCGTCAAGGTCTCTGGTGTCGGTCTCTCCGCTCTGTGGAAGGAGAAGAAGGAGAAGCCCAGATCGTAAACAACTCGCTCCCCCCCACTGCGTTGTTACGACTCTTACGCTTTCTTCTATTTCGCGCGGCGGAAACAAGCAACAACCAAAAAGATTTCTCTCTTCACATCATCTACACCTGGTGTCAACAAATCATACATGCTTGCGGGTTGATCGGCTTTGGCGAAAATGGGAATTTTGCGAACCAAAAATGAAAAACAGTTTCCAAAAACACCCAAACCACCAGTCCCTGTCTGCTCGCCCGCATACTAGAGCGTCTTCTTTTTTTCTCGCCCTGCCTGCTGCTGCTGCTTCCTGTCGTTTTGCTTCTGGCATCAGATCATACACAGTGTCTTGTGACATAGCTTACGGAATGCACTCGTCCAGCTCTGGCTGATGAACGAAAGATACCCGCATTCTGTCTACTCTTCCGCTTGCCACTCTTTTTGACTGACCATCAATGTGTATCCATCTGATTATCAGCAACTGACTTCTCAATCTTCAATTGACATTGTATAACTCTAGTCTCTATCCTTCGGCCATCACCATTCTCTCCAAGCATCACCTCTTGCTCTTCGTACCTCGCATTCTCCCCCTCTCCGCCTCTATCTCCGTCTCTTCTCTTATCTGTTCGTATTCCTTCCCTTCCCTTTCTACACAATTCACTTTGCCACACTCTGGACCTCGCCCATTTTCCTGTGGCCTTGTCCAATTTTAAGTGCAAAGAAGACTAAACTTCTTGTCCTACTACTCACCGGCATGTCTCCTTTCTTTTCAAGGGAAGCGTGGGCATATCGGTCCATGTTTAAGGTCTACATCTCCATTCGGAAACTACAATCTTTTGCTCTTGTCATCATAAACAATCTACTCGTACAATGATGTTTGTTGCTGACTCGAACTTGCTATACATACACAAATACATATCCACATCTAGAACAAATGAAGCTGTGTGTATACAAACCCCAGATACTCCGTTTTATCTTCCCAGTCAACTTCGACCTTGCCTTGCCCTTGTCACTGTTTCTACTTGCTCTCCTTCTTCCTATCCTTCAAGCCCTCAACACCCTGGCCCCAAGCTCCAGCCTTCTTGCCCCACTTCATAGTGCCCCAAATGTGCGTCCAAGAAAATTTAGGCGGCGGCTCTTCAGACCGTCTAAACGGACTCGCTCCATGTCTAAACATGACTTCATCGTTAACCTCATCCACATTTCTCGAATCGCCCATTACTGCATCATTACCCGCTTCTGCATGCGAAGGCTCAGAGGAAGGGAGGGCAACAGAAGGTGCAGAAACCTCCCAAGTGCGTATGGAAGCAGCAAGAGGTCTATGCCAGTTTTCCTCGTCGCGCAACCACCACTTCCTACCACACATTTCCCAGAGACGGGATTGAGCGCGGCGATAGGCAAAGCGTTCGTCTTCGCCGGTGAAAGATCGCACATTGCTGAAATCGGGACCGCTGTTGCCTTGGCGCAATCCTCGCATTCTCAAATCGTCGTCTGGGTCTACGGGTCCGCGTTCACGTTCTGAAATGCGTCTGATGCGATTGGGTGGATCATCTTCGAGGGAGTCTGCGGCAAGCAGTGGCGAAAAGCGTGAGTGGGTGTAGTCTGGTTGCGAAGAAGGCTCCGAGTAATCGGGGTTGGAAGAGAGAATGTTGGGGCGGAAGGGAGCAGTGGCGTCTTGATATGCTTCTGCGAATGTTTCGGCGTAGACTGCATCTTGCTGTGCTTCCGCTCCTGCGGCCTTTTCGGGGAAAAAGATTTCATCAGGGCCGGCGTGGGCGTGTGTGATGAGTAATTTACAGCGAGCCTCGTAGAGGGCGTCCAGAAGCGTTATAAAGCGCCTGGCTTCGTTTTTCTGAAGTAGAGAGAGGATGGGCACCGAAGAGAGAATTATGGTGTGGTAGGTTGAGGCGAGGGTGATGTAGTCTGCGGGACCGAGAGCCGAAGCACAGAGTTCAGCGAACGTCCAGGAGGAAATGCCGGCGTGGGAGCGAGGGACGGGGATGGTGCGGCCGTAGACGCGGAGGCTGGAGGGTTGCCAGTTTATGGATGAGGAAGAGGTGCCGAGGAGTGTTTGTTCGACTTGTGCGAGGTTGGTGGCGAAGGTTGCTTGTTCTTCTTCTGATGCCGTGGGTTCGGGTTTGATCAGGAAGTAGGTAGGTGCTCGTGTGGTCTCGACTGGTGTTTCTGAAGTTTCCTTTGCAGCCTCTTGCGGAGTAGCAGAGATGGCAGAGTCGCTCTCAAATGCTTCCAGGTCTGTGACATCTTCAAATCGGTCTTCTTCGGCAATAGGAGGAGGTGCTTGCGAGCTGGCTTCATATCTGCGATAGTCTTTGCCGCTGCTCATCTCCCAAATCTCGCAGCGAGCCTTGAGAACCTCGAGGAAGCCAGCAAATTCACCTTGGCCAGCAAACATGTTTTCACTCTTGCCTTTGGCAGCCTTTCCCAAGCCCAGTTTTTGGGTTATGCTTTGCAAGCGCGAAGGTGGTGGAAATGCCATACCAGCGGCTTTGTGCAATTCCTCAGGCATGCGGTTGCTCGTTGCTATAAGCACACCGCCGAGTTGGAAGAAGGAGGTCATCAAGTTGGTCATGATCTTCGAGGCAGCTCTATCCGGTAGTTGGAATTCGTCGAGGAAAAGGATGGGCGAGTTGTTGATCATATCACGAGCGAGCCAGAGCAACGAATGCTCTTCCACATCAGCACCAGCGGCTTGAGGTGATCTAGACAAGCGGCTTCTCCTCAGCTGCTCAAGTTTGGCAAAAGTATCTAGCATAAAGGTGTTGAAGTGCCAACGAGCCTTCTTCCGATTTGGCAGGCAGTCAGCGAAAAGATCGATTAGCATACTCTTGCCAGTGCCTACTTCACCATGAAGCATGAGGCCTCGAGGCGAATCGAGATTCATGGCGGCTTCATGGCTGGTGAGGACTTTTGTCAGAGCCAGGCTGTCTCGCTTCTCTCTTTGGGCAATGAGGTTTTGCCAGACACCTCGTTTCGTCGGATCTGGATCTACATTTGTGTTTACTGAGGGTCCCACGGCGCGTGTTATCTGATCGAGTCTGTGCTTGTACTCGACAGTGGGTTCATAGTCTTTCAATCGCTCATATAGTTTTTGAAGGTGGATAGCTAGAGGAGGTTGGTACACAGACAAACAACTTCAATGCCCGAAAGACTTACCAAGTCTATGTTGGGCAGGATCTTGAGTTATACGGTTGGTCGCGAGCAGGGCCCGGTACAAGACCAGAGGATTGGTGATGGCAACACCCGTGTTTGGTATAGAAGACAACGACATTGAAGTGAGATGCAAAACATACAAAGGAAAGAAGACTTGGACCTGATACGATATTGGAATTGAGAGAAAGTCGTCGGATGCAGTTGCACGATCTCTATGATGAATCGAGTCTAGGCGCGAATCGACGTCACCCTTTCTCGCATGCGGAGGGCTTGAAGTCTAGAGGAGGCTCAAGCACGACACATCGACGTCGCCAATGGACTAGAGGCACACCTTAACATGGACGCCGAGCAGTTCACGCCGGCGCAACTGTCCTTTTTCGCAATCTACAGCCCGCCGCTGGGCCCGACCGACGAGACATTCGGCGACCAAGTTGTCTTTTACTATTCGCGATCAGCCCGGGATGGACGCGCCAAAGCCAAAGCAACGGCCGACGAGGAGCGACTGAGCGAGAATGAGAAGCTACGACAGATTGGCCTTGCCCAAGGCATGGCAGGCTTCGCCAGGTACCACCAGCCGCTTGCTTGACCAACTGAGGTTCGCGTGTTAAACATGGTCCAAGGAACTTTTCCGACGGCGAGCCCATTGAAGCCGTCGAGACCGAGAAATCGCGCGTCCTGATGCACGAGCTGGAGAAGGATTGGTGGGTCCTGGCTGTATGTTGACTACCATCTCCTACTCATCCGCAGCTGACCCTCTGTCCTGTAGTCCGTCGACCTCACACGTCTCCCCTCGTCCAACAAGGACCAAGAATACGAATACTCGTCGCGCGAGGTCAGCCCGGCACCTCTCCTCCTACAACAGATCCTCACCGCCTATCGCGTCTTTACACTCCACCATGGTCCCTCACTCAGCGACATGTACGTCAAGCTCACGACAGACAAATTCTCAGCCATGCTCGATCGCTTCTGGTCTCGTTTCTGCCGCAACTGGGACGTCTTGCTTCACGGCAATCCCGCTGTCGATATCTTCGGAGGCTTGAAGCTTGCAGCAGGCGGAGAATTGGGCTATGGAGTAGGCGAGGAGGACTGGGGCAGTGGAGATAGAGAGGTGCTCGAGGACTTGGTGCATCGCACCGAAGGCCTGGTCGACTTGCTGGTCCACCGCTTCGGCGAAGCTGTTCCACCCGAGGAAGACTACAACATCGACGATCCTTCTCAAACCACCCTTCACGGTGCTCGTCAAGGTCTTCCATGGCTAGGCTGCGGATCAGAACCCCAAGCCCCTGATGGCCTCATCTTCAGCGGTGTAGGTGCCATCACACGTCCTTCAGTCCGTGACATCTCCACCTGGGTGCGCGACATTTATGCCTACGGTGAGCACGCTTACGGCGTCAAGGACAATCCCCACCGACAGCGCCGCAAGAAGCGCAGGCGCCAGCCAGTCCAAGAGTCCGAGACACCAATTGCTACAGATGAGGAGCTCAAGAACAAGGCTATTGACAAGTTGAAGGGTATTAAGCTGCCGCCAGATCCTCGTCCGCAGATGCACGACAGAATCGCCTCTCATGACCATGCCACCGGTACTCCAGGCACCCAGGTTGCTTCACATCCCGGCATTCCTCCACCTATTGTCAGCGCTGTAGAGGCCTCTCTTAACAGAGCTAGTGCCTCCGCTGAATCCAACGCTTCCAACCAACCCCCACCACCCTCCGAACAATCCTCAAACTGGAACCTAGGAAGCTCGGACAAGTGGGTCAAATACCTCACATTCGGTCTGGCATCAGGCGGAAAACGCTCCGAATCGCCAAAACGACCAGAAGGCCCCCGCCGTACTTCGACCTCAAGCTCAAAGACCGTCAAGGGCGTCTCTTTCCCAAAATCAAAAGACGACAGCAAAGACGAACCTCCCATGCAACATCTCGATCCGAATCCAGACGGCTACCAAGCAATGGCGGCTTTACAGCGGCAACGCCGACAAGAGAACAAAGGCCACTTCCTCATCGGCTACCGCGGTGACCTCGAACTCGAGCCCGTAGAAGAGAACGGAAACGACAGCGACACCACAATCAATGACTCCGAATTGCCCGAAGCTGAAAGCAACCTCCTACGCACTGTCAAAGTCGAATTGACAGACAAAGGTGACACCGTAAACGATGACTTGGACTCGCGCGACAGTTTTGTCAACAATGATACTTCGTCGAGATTGAGGGTATTGGTGTATATCCATCGCCCATTCATCCATGTGTTTTTGTTTGAGCAACGCACACCCTCCCTCAGTATCACAGCGTTCTACCGCGACTTGCACAAACACTTGCGTCCGTTGTATAAATCGTTGCTCAACAGCACTTCGGCGCAAAAAGTGGCAGATCGCATAACAGCAGCACATACCTCTCCGCCAGAGCCCACATCCATCAACACTGCAAACCCTCCTTACTCACCTCCTCGCGACAGCCCTGTTTTCGACTTGGTTTACGACCCTGTAAACCTCTCTTGCCACACTTCTTTGCCTAACATCCCCGAGCCAGGCCAAGTTCTACCTCTAACCGGCGCCATTTCAACATCCTCATCAGGTAAGGATGGACCACCCCAATGGACACGCTTGGAAGCTTTGAACATCCACTCGCATATCCTGTTTACTCTACACCATTCGTCACGCAACGATCAAGAAACGGAAAGGACATCAAAGACAACCAGGCATTGGTGGGTCGTGTGGTTGCGCATACCACAGCCCGGAGAACAGGATGCAAGGCGTCCGCGCCCCGAGTATTGCAGGACTGCGTTTTTGGTGCGCAAGGCTAGGGATCAGGTTGTCGAGAGAAGAGGCTTGGGGATGGGTGGCATGGGCAAGGGTATGGCGAGCAGAGTGAGCAGTGGGATGTATAATCTGGTTGGTGTTAGAGGAGGGAGCAGTGCGGACACTGAGGGTGCCCAAGGAACTGCAGGATGGGGCAGTGCTGGCGCGTTGGCGGGTGGAATCGGCATTGATGCCAGGAAGTATGTTGAGAATCTGCTGAGCTTGAATCGGTAAAGGAGAGAAAGACAGGGTGGATTCGATGGTTGCCCGGGTTTTTCTTCGCACCAGAGTAAGCAGGTGATGTGTGATACACTTTGACTCGTAGATCACCATCCTTTCAACAACTCAACCCTTTTGATCTTATCGCCTTGCGAACGAGTCATGTGTATCTGCTGTGGTGATTTGGATACATTTTTCTGATCGTCAAACTTGGGTCATGTTGATGGTTATGGATATTCTTGCAGGATCTTCGTAACTTCCGCGTTTCCCTCCCGACATGCAATACCAAGTGCCGTCAGACCGTCGCCATTCTCAGGCCTTCTGTCTGCTCCATGGTGCAATAGAAAACTTACCATGCCATGCTCACCTTGCTGTGCAGCAGCATGCAAAGCAGTGCCAACATTGTCTCTCTCGTCATCCCAGATTTCAAGTCTATTGATCTCATTTACATCGGCACCTTTCGACAACAGTCTTTCCGCCGAAGCTATGTTCCCAGCTTCCGCAGCAGCATGTAAAGCTCCAGATTGGGCAACGCGAGCTCCATGCTCTAGCAATGCTGCTAGAATGCCTTGCGAAGGTAGCGCTGCCGCGGTGGCCAGGAAAGTGACTGGCGGAAGCCAGCTCATCCCATTGGGGTCGGCCCCGCTGTGCAGTAGGAAATCGACCATTCTCTGGTCATTCTTCCATATTGCGACAACGAGGGGTGGCCCTATCTTGTCCATTTGATGATCCACATGCAGTCCAGAATCGAGAAGTGTTTGCATCTTCGCTATGGACGACGATTGCACTGCCTGTAGTACGACGAGATCTCGAGAGAATGTGGTCCCATGACTTCTTGAACTCCTAAGATTGGAGTAGGAAAGCGGCATTTGTCCCATCCGGAACGTTGAAAGCGATTGTAGTGTAGCACTACGAACGGGGCTTACTAGAGCCAGTCAGTGATGTCTCGAATGAAGTGGTAGTCAGTCGATTACAGGCAAATATCCCAAGCGACAGTTGCATATTGGGTTAAAATAGATGCTTCCTTCGTGTGCGTGTCGTGCAGTAGTGATTCAATCGAGCGGGATGTGTCTATAGATGTATTCACGACAACGTGAGTCATACTCATTGAAGACCACATAAATAAGCTCGAGATTAGGCACGCGCTTGTAACAGTATATCCGTTCGAGACTCAGTACTCGTACTCGTATATCTCGGATTAGATTTAGGACAAGGTGTTAAGCAAATAGGGCATGTTAGCAGTTCCTGTTCAACACCTAAACAGGAGGAGGATTCTATACTTCGCAGGCAGCCAAGCTTCGGTCGGCGATATCATTAGTCTAACTACACACGATATTATACAAAAACTAACCCATAGAATCTTTCGAAAAAATCATAGCATGTTATGATAATAAAGGAAGTATATGGTGTAGTTTTTTTCATAAAAAAATGATGTCAACTTATGGTTTTACTGTTCTATGTTATAGATCATCTATGAGATTAGATATTAAGAAGCTAAAGCTACGCTTAAAGGAGAGAAGGAGAACATCTCCGGTGACCAGCAGCGCTGATGTCATTGATATAGCTTGGAACACACACAAGAAACGGGCACACTCTCACCTCTAACAACGCCACCTCAACCTCTGCATACTACAATTATCTTTTCACCAATATCAGGCTTTCACAGTAATAACATCTCAAAAACATGGAGCAACAGCAAAGCATCAATGTTGTAGAAGACATCATGGACATGGCAAGCAGAAGAAAAGCCTGTTGGCGAGAATCAGACTGCAAGAGCTGTCTCAAGAGCAAGCACAATTGTGGATGGTGTCCAAGTGTAAGTGACTGTATCTTCTTTTGATCAGTTGTATACCTCTAGTCATCAGTCGGGGGTATCGGGTTCTGAATGAAACTAACCCAACCACAGTCCTCAACCTGCGTCCCCGTGTCAGGAACCCTGCTGTCCCCAATCTCGCACCCTGTTTGTCCTTTGGCTTCTGAACGCTACGAACTACGTACCGCAACATTGGGGTGTAATTGCAGTACTTATACTCTACTCAGCATCATCATTACTGTATTTGCTACCATCGGAGCACTGATTTTGTTGTCGGGGATTCTGTGGTTGCTCAAGTGGTGGGGTAGGTTGATGAGGTCGGGTGGTTGGGAGATTGTGGTTGAAGAGGATGGGAGGGTGAGGGAGGGGACTTGGAGGAGAGGGGCGTTGTGGCCTAGGTGGATGGTTGCGAGGAGGTGATGGGATGGGAAGAGTGGCGAGATAGAGGATCTTTTGAGTTTGTTGGACAAGGCTCACTCACTTTTTTGATGAATTGATAAGGGATGATATCGCGACTTGCTGGTAATGGATCACCTTTTGAAAGATGTTTTTTACAATCTAGCTTTTATGTTTGTGACTTGGTCTGCATCCCTCTTGGCCCACTCGCGCAACACAACTCTCTGGATCTTTCCACTCGGACTCTTGGGTACCTCGTCGATGAACTTGACTCCACCGGAAAGTCTCTTGTGCTTTGCGACTTTTGTCGCTATCCACTCGACCACATCTTTCTCGCTGACTTTGCCTTTGGCTGCGTCTTTCAACACCACATATGCCCTAGGCAAGTCTTCGTGGTCTTTGTTCAAAGCGCACACGGCGGCATCAGCAACGTCGTCATTTTCGAGCAAGACTGCTTCGAGTTCGGCAGGAGCGACTTGGAAGCCATTGACCTTGAAGATTTCCTTTGCGCGGTCGACGATCCAAAACCAGCCTTTGTCGTCGTAGATGGCTACATCGCCTGTTTTTAGGAAGCCGTCACTGTCGAATGAAGCCTTTGTGGCGCTTTCGTTTCTCCAGTAGCCCAGATGAGTGATCTGTGGCGAGTCAGTGAGATTCTTTTGCAGAAGAATAGATTCTTGCTTCTGGATACGTACGTTTGGACCGCGCACAAAAATTTCTCCACGCTGGCCTGGTTTGGTGACTTCGTTGCCGCTTTCATCGATGAGCTTGATGGTCGAGTTTGGGTCGACTTGTCCGACGCTGCCGCTACGGTCATCCATTCCACCGGGTACGTGCAAGCACGAGCAAGTCACTTCTGTCATTCCCCACGTCTGAACGACTTTGAGATTGAATTTTGTGCTGACTTCATTCTGGAGTTCCTTGCTGAGGGGTGCAGCACCACAGAGGATATTAACCAAAGACGAGAGATCGTACTTTTTGGTCTCTGGTCGTTTGGCCAGCATGACTAGTACTGGAGGTGCTGTCTGGATATGTGTGATACGGTGACGCTGGATGTGCGATAGGAAGGGTTCGAAGTTGAAAGCTCTCATATAGTAACATGGCGTTCGCGTGATCGCAGCAGCAGTGATGGACCATAGTTGTCCATAGGCGTGATATCTTTTCAAGTCAGTCGTGCGATCTACTCCTTTGTGTTTATCAATTACTCACAGTGGTAAGAATCCTAGGAACCTCTCTGCTGGTTTTTGTCCTTGGGAATAAGATTGTGACAGTTCTCTCATGTATAATGATTGACAGACATTGGCGATGATGTTTTGATGAGCGACCTTCACGCCTTTGGGTAGACCGGTGGTGCTGTCGGAGTCAGTCTCAGATGTCCCGAGAGGTCGAAATCAGCTCTTCTTACCCTGACGAATAATTCAACACCGCTGTATTGGAGCTTGACTCTTCAGCAGACATCCGGTGCCATTGCCAGTTCTCTGCAGCCTTCGGTGCTGGAAGAAAAGAGCTCCAATCCTTAATTCCTCGCTGCGTCTTGCAGGGCTCGTCCAAGAAGAGGTAAATCTTATCGTGAGGAAACCCAACCTGGTCCGCAGCCCTGAGGAGATTGTCGAGAAGCGCCGGGTCAACAAGAATGATCTTGGCTCCAGTGTTCGTGATCTGGAAGGCAGTCTCGTTGACAGTATATGCTGGGTTGGTTCCACTGAACACACGTCCACTTCCGGCAACACCCAGATACGCCACGGGACAGAATATATGGTTGGTGGAAAACATCATGACTACTTCACCCTGACCGATTTGGAGGTTGTCAAGACCCAAGCCGAGTCTCTTGATCCAACCCAAGGCTTGTTTGGGTGACAATGACTTTTCGGTATCGTCGGCATCGATCCATATTGGCTGATCATAAGGCTCCGTTCCTTCAGGATAGACATATGAGAGTATGTCGGTAGCTGGGATATCAATCTGGTAGGGCGATTGCTGAGGCATGATGTTGGTACTGGCGACACAGATAGAGCATGATCCAATTCGTGACGACTGCCATTTTGTGTCTCGATGTACAATGAGGGGTACAAGTCACGAAGGACCGAGGAAGACGACGTTTGACTTCGATCGAGGTTCCCCACGTGCGGACATGCGGGGGGGACAGCAAGAGCCGCATCAGTCAGCCAATCTTGCACACGAGCGGTTCAACCTGCTTATGTGATCTTTTTCACCATGCATCTTCCGAATATGCCATGTTAGATCTTCCATGCTGAGACGCGATCAACAGAAGGATCCGGAAACGACACGGATACGTAGGATTCCGCGTGTCAAAGAGGTGGGCATTCGGCTCGCTTATGTACTCAACGACAGCTGAAAGACTCCTCTGCTACAAGGCAAGTAGTGCCTGACACATCTCAACATGACAAAGTGTGTAGGAATACGAATGCGAAGATAGGTTCTCTTCTCGGCGAATTTGCGTCCTGTTTCTGGGGCTTCTACTTAAGAGCGAAACACCTAGACCGGCAAGTGACTGTGGTGAAACGCAGCTCTGACAGTAGCGTTGGCTTTACTTGGCTGGATACCTCAATTCACCCACCAAACCTTCTTGAAAAAGGCAAACCATGATACCTTGCTGGCCAAAACGTAGAGTTAGTCTGACACCTAGCATTCCAAACATGGACATTGTTCAACCTGTCGATTTAGGCCTCTGTTCAAAAAGCAAGCACGCGACGCGTACCTTGAGGAATTCAAGCCTCTGCTTCCCTCGCTCCTCCCTTTCTCTGCGCCCGCCACTTTCTAGAACAGGGTGGTACTTTTTGGAAAAATGACATGTCCTGGATGACATTTTTTACTTCACCTGAATAATTACCAAACGCATCAGCAAGTGTCGGGATGGAGACACCAACGACACACAGCCCCAAGCGACACTCTTTTACGAATACTCTAATTACGATTTCCCTTCAACTTCTGCTCTGGTCCAGCCTATTTCCTCTTTCAGTTCAAGTCTCTCTTTTCGGTCTCTCGAAGATTGATAAATCTTTGTTTCTCGCCGACGTGATTTGCATCGCAGCAGTAAGTGATCAAGTCTGGATATGTAAACGCACAGGTCAAAAACTGACTCAATGCATAGGCCGGCACATCCATTCTTGTTGTCCTTCTACACACTCTGGTTGCACGGCTCCAGGACAAGGTCTTCAGTAGATGGGCCAAAGTAGCCGCAGCAATCTTCAAGGTCACAACCCTTTTCTTTTCGTGCATAGCAGTGCTGTTATGGATCACAACCGTCGGGCTGAGCATAATCTTTGCCTTCGCAAGACAGCCGACATGTCGGCCAGCCAGTTATGACACACACGATATGTGGAGGAAGGGCAGCGTGTGTTATGCTCAGCGAGCGGCCCTAGTTGTCAGCATGCTGGCATTGTAAGTGTTTCCCCATACTCTGTCGCCGTTGGATTTGACTGACCAGATTGATTTGGATAGTATCGTTTCGTTCGTCCTGTGTTTCACGTATAATGTTTCGCACGATCCATTCGCAGCAGGACTGTTTGGACCAACACAGACTGGTGTCTGTTTGACGAAGTCAGATCTTGGGAGGACAACTCCTATGGTCAACAGGCATTCAACCCTCTCTTTCAAATGCCGTTCGATGCTGTCTCCGATCGCCATTTCGTCACCCATACGGATATCATCGCCTCTACGAGCGATGATGAATGCCAATGATGAGAAGTCGGCACGCCCATTGTCAATCGACAAGTCTCCTCTGCTGTCCAAGACTCCGAGTCCATTGCACTCGGCAACAAGCTCTATTGACAGTGTGAGCGGTCAACCTCCAGCAGCATACATACAATCCGCTCGCTATCAGCCGTCGCGCGTGCCGACGGCATATGTGCCCTCGCCTCACGGGACACATCTCTACTCGCCAAAACATCTCCCAAAGGCAATCGTGTCGGCCATGTCGGCAGATCTAAAGCCGCCAACGGCAGCAGCTGCTGCCTACCCGCCACAAAGAGCTCCCACTCTGCCGAAGATAGCTCCTGCGATATCGTACCCAGCTCCTTCTGTGCCTCGACGAGCTCCGTCATCATCGCGACACATTCCTATTGTGCCGCAACAACCTCCTACCTCACCGCAGCGAGATCCTGTGTCTGAGATCACACCCATCCAGACAACAAGTCTATATACATCACGACGAGTGTCTTCAATGTTCATGACCCCCACCGCCCACATGGCTCCACCACTAATAAACAAAACTCCTTCTTCCGAGAGAAAGCTCGACACCTTTGCTTCCTCTCCGCTTGCCCACATGCCTCCAATCCAGCCCAAGAATCTATACTCGACAAGACGGGCCCCAACGCCATACGTACCGTACAAACCTGCCACCCCTGCCCCTTCGCAAGTCAGCTCAGATGCACCGAGAAGATTCCCTGTGGCATCGGCGTATGCGCCCTCGAGTGTGCGTGTGCCTTCGTCGCTTTTGCAACCTCCGCCTTCGATTAGACGGCTCAGATCTGCGGACAGGGGTGTTAGTTATGCTTCTAATACAAGCAGTATATACAGTCGACTTCCCACTGACGACAAGTAAAGTTCCGAGGTTTCGAGAAGAGCACATATCGTCAATCATATATACCCACATAGTTTCCTATCTAAGCAATATCACGAGTTTCCTTGTCTTTGAAATCTGGTTTCGAAAAATCAGTACATGAGGCCTCTTGTTTGAAGCCTGACCATTTGTTGTTTTAGTTATCCAATCTGGAAATCTATCATACAACGACATGTTTCGTACCAAAACATTGTGTGCCAGATTTTTCCCTTCTCGTTTTACATCTACATGATAACATCTTATACACATACAACTACTGCACAGATCTTCCTCTATCCTCCTCCTCTGCAACAACGACTTCAAAATCTTCTTCATCATCATCCATACTCCTGTAAATGAAGAACTGTGCAAAGACGCCAAAGTCCAAGAAGAGCGTTCCCAAACTCCCCAGCAACCAACTCAAATTCACCAGAATGTATCTGCCGTAAATCGCACTAGCTTCTCCAGGTCTGCATTTTTGTCCATGCTTGCCATGGTGGCAGATAGGATTGAAGGCGAAGATACTGAGCACATATGTCAAGTTTCCAATGCAGGCGAAGAGGAAGAAAAGGGCATTGAGGCCTTCGGTGCTTTTGCGACGGTAATTGAGCAGGAGTTGAGGAACGCGGCTGCCGAGGTACAGTGCAGCGCACAGGTATCCGAATACCTGGCCCACGATATTGAAGTGCAAGTTGTCGTTTTGCTGTTGCTCGGTTTCGTTGCTGTTGGACGAGGGACTGAGGTAGTATCCGGCGATTCCAGCCGCAACGACCAGAACAATGCAAGTTAGATTGAACAGCAGTTTTTGCATGATGCTGCGTTTGGCAGAGCGAGGTCTGTGGACTTTGGGGGTGGGGTGCATGGGATTTGCGGGGGACATGTGGACGCCTTCGTTGACGAAGCGTTCGCCGAAAGAGGAGGTTGAGCGAACGCGAGGGAGATCGCTGGTGCCGTTGCCGTTGGCTGAGAGAAGAGCAGAGCGCTCGGTGGGAGTCTCTTGCTCTATATCCGAAGGCTTGACGGGCTTGGGATCTCTAAAGTGGAAGCCGCGGTAGTAGAAACATTGGGCCAGCAAGACGATGTCCGCGAATGTGTAGTAGATTGCCAGGATGATCTGGAAAATGTTTCATTAGCTTTGGATGATTTCTGTGGGACTGAGTGGGCGTTGGCTTACCATGGTGGGAAGAACCCTTTGCATAACGGCACCGATGATGTTGGCAAAATCACCCAGGAGCCATATGATAACAAACTCTATACTCAGACCCTCGGCGCTGCTGCGTCTGAAGTTTTCGATAATCTGAGGTGAGAAGACGACGACCCAGCAGGCTATGATTGCATCAGCGATGCTCTTGAAGACAACACCAATTGCCTTGTTTGGCAGCACTCACCAATTGAGATGGACCCCATGATGCCACTGATGGCCTCGATATCGAGGTTGTACCCTGCCGATGGCGGGAACATGATTGCGTGAATGTTGATATACCCGGATAGAACTGTAAGGAAGGCAGTAAAGAGTGAACTCTACTGTATAGCAATGGGAGGGCGGTGGTTTTTGGCGAAGATCTAAAGTCCAATTGCATGCAGTCTTGTGGTTGGTCGTGGGGAATTCTCTTTTCATGTCTTGAAGTGGCTGGGCCTTGAGTCATAAAAATGACGCCGTTTATGACTCTTGCATAAGTCAAGCACCGGCTTATGCATCTCGTGGCTATTCGAGCGCGAGATTCAACCTCTGCTTGTCTGTATTTATGGTATACGAATGAAGAGCCAAGTTGATCTCCAGACGAAGCGCTTGAGTCCGTAGTTCGTGATGGACTCAGGTTGATGAGATGCAGGATAAATTGTACCAGATGCCGTGAAATGCATTATATTTATTCTTCTTTTTTTTCCATTTTTCTCGTCGCTATCAGATACCAACCCCCGCATTTTCAGGCATCTCGACCAAAGAAATCTTTCCCAAAAGTTCACCATCTTCACCACCTTGATATTTACTGTACACCACTTCACTCAATCTCTCGCAATCTCTCGCAACAACTCACGAATCATTCATCGACCTTCCGAAGCATACGCAATCACTCCATACCCAAAACTATTTGTGAACGAATTAATCCAAATATGGCATCCGGAAAAGCAGCCAGAATCCAACTTAGCGACGACGAGGTCGACGATATCCTCTACCTGACCCGCACAAACGAGAGCGCCGAACTCCAGCAATACCTCACTCAACTGTCACAACAACACAACTGCAGTATTGCCGCCCTGCTCGAAAGCACTGTCGACGAAGACAATGCCAACACGCCTTTCCACTACTGCGCTGCCAACGGCTACGCTGGTACGACAGATATTGCGACAACAGCAGACAAAGAATGTATACTAACACTTGTATTACAGATCTCCTCAAAACACTCTCATCACAACTCGACCCCTCGACAAGAACAGAAGTCTTGAGCCGCAAGAACGAAGCCGGCAACACAGCACTGCACTGGGCATCCGTAAACGGCCACGTCGAAGCCGTCAAAGCCCTCATCGACGGTGGTGTAGACGTCTGGGTCAAGAACGCCGCCGGACACCTTCCCGTTTTCGAGGCCGAGCGCGCGGAAAAGGACGAGGTTGTCGCAACTCTGTTGATTGCTGGCGGAAAGGAAGATGAGGAAAAGTCAAGGGCAGAAGAGGGTGAGGCTACAGAGGAAGACAAGGCTGATGTCGAGGGCGTGACGAGTCAGATGGGCGAGTCGAGTTTGGAGAAGTGAGAGCTTCATTCGTGCTCTTGGTGAAGTTTGTCAAAGATGTGTCATGCCATGATGCAGTTCTCCCTGTGGTACTCGCCCCGACCCGTGTTGCGAGGTGTCCGAATATCTAGCACTTCGCTTCGCATACTCTGGAGAGATCTAGAGATGATGCTCATTGGACTATCGCATGGGTACGGGTCCAAGGGGCCTTACAGGAGTCAAGGAGGCACATACTCAAAGCTAATATCTCGTGATTAGAGAAGAAGCTATAACTTTTTTACATAGACGCCAACACAAAGTATAGAAATCCAGCTGTAATGCTTGGACGCTCCTCTTGTTGACGCCATGTGCTAGTCTAGCTGTCACAATGCATGAATGTTCTGAGAGTGGAACAGCAACCAGAGAGAGATATTGTCTGAATGACTCTGCGCGAAGACACTTCTGCTTGAGAAAAATATCGTGACATGTCACAGCCTTCAAGTTCACTACACGTGACCGTGAGAATACGATACAACACATCTACTCCTCCTCCAAGAACCCCCTTCTTCCAGCACGAGCAGCCTTATGCTTCTTAACCCTAGTCTTCTTCTCATAGTTCTGCTTCCTCTTCTCGCTCTTACTCAACTCCCTAACCTCCTCCTCAAAATCCCCCGACATCCATTCTGCCTTTCCATGTTTACCCCCTCCTTCGTTCAGCAAATCCACAAATCTGTCGTGCCTAGCACAACTGACTTTTTGCTGTCTTCTGACATCTCTGTCTCTGATGATTTCTTCTCTGATGCCTTTGGATTTGTCGCGAGCGTTGATTTGGCGTGCCATCATGTTGAACAGGGACATGGGGAGTGCGTTGGCGGTATACAAGTCTTCGATTTTCTGGCAGTGGTCTTTGAAGACTTCTTCGTTGGAAGCCACTTCTTTGCTCTGAAACACTTCTGCGCGAATCAGATCTACGACTTCGGCTTCGAAGCTGTCGACGCGGTACTCGATTGCGATGAGATAGAGTTGGAGGTACCAATCCAGATCTTCTTCTACGCCTGAGGGTTCTTCGTAGGGCAGAGAGTAAATGTGCTTGAGCAGTGCTTCTACGGCTTGTGGACCGTATTCTGCGGTGGTGATTGTGTAGGAAGCTGTTTTGGCAAAGGGGCCTTCGAAGGCGCGGTAGAAGGTTTCGGAGTACTCGGATAAAGTGGCTTTGTGTGCGTGGATGGTTTGGCCGCTGAAATGGATGGTCACGTCTGAAGTGGTGGGGTTGTCGTACATGCGCGTTCTGCGGCTGTTTTTGCACCATACGCCTTTGGATGTTTGACGAGTGGTGTTCTTCATGGTGATTGTTGTATGGTTGATAGTCGATAAGTTGATGTGTGTGACGATGGATGAGGATGAAATGTGATGAGAGGAAACGTTCAGAACAGTACGATGAGAGCCATCTAAATATGTTTTGCAGCTGCTACCTGGGAAGTATTACTCACAGGCCTGTAATAACAACTTACGCTGAAGAGTCATCACGAGACACGATTGAGCAAGATAACATCTTGCATTCCGAGAAAACCAACAGTCCTTACCGACGGAAGCTTTGATCTTCTCGGGCAGTCTTCACCACCGTTGATCCAGCGATTTGTATTCTAAATGCACTGCCATTTCCATGGAGCAAAGTTGCTTGAAACAGAGTTCTCGGTACAGACCATTTTTCAACCTTTTCCAACCACGTGGCAACGGATGTATTGAAGAAGCCCGCGAGCGGGTGAACGTCGAACATATAGCACAAGACCTTGAGGTGTAGGCGTATAATCTGCATCAGATAGACTGGCTGCTGGTCGATGCGATTTAGAGTAATGACTTTGTGGTGACTTTTTCGGCTCTCGTGAATTGTTGGCAAGCTTCAAATAACCATTAGTGTCGTGCTCTGGGGAACACAAATGGCGAAACTGTAATCGAAACAGAGGTAGAGCATGGTTTTGACACAATGTACATTGCTGCAAACAAGATAGACGAGATCCAACTAGGAGCCTCTCCTTTGCTTTCGGCGGTCTTCGAACCCAAGGACATAATACATTTCATCTCTCGTCTTTCGGACAGCTTCGGGCGTTCTTCAGTGGAATGGCGTTGATGATTGCTCCTCTATCGACAGGTTTGGAACTTGAATAATTTACGAGGACTCAGGGTACATGGCCTCTCTGAGCTCGATACCGAGCTCTTTCCTGATGCTCTCGAGCTCGGTGAGGTACTCGTCGTACTGGCTCTGGTTCTCGACCTTGGCCTTGATGCCTGATACGAAGTGTTATGTCAGCATGGCGTTGGAGTTGGCGAGGTATAGGATGACGCACCCTCGAAGATTCTGACGGCAGTGGGGAAGTCGTTGACTCTGCGGGCGGCCTTGAGGGCGGCAACGATGACCGAGGGGGCGGGGACCAAATCGTAGGCGAAGGCGTTGTTCAGGTTGCGCTGTCGGACAGTTCGGTTAGATTCGGGAGCGATCAGACGGAGAGACTAGCAGTGTGAAAGTACCTGGAGCTCGAAAACGTCCTGGACACCCTCGAATTCCTTCTCATATCTGGATTGAAGAAGACCGTCAGCAATTGGCAAGGACTGGGTCGCGTAGAGGTGTGTGTGAGAGTGGAGGGTCGGAAGCAATTGGCAGTCTCTGAGTGGTCCCTGGGTGGCTGGAAGGAGAGTGTATGGCGGATGTTGGGGATATCTGAGCGACTCACCTGGCGGTGAACTCCTCGAAGCTCTCCTCGTGGTGAGGGTCGTGTGCGTCGACGTCGGCACGCTTGATGCTGGCGACGCTGAAAGTTCTGGCCTGGTTGAGACGCTGGATGCGCGATGCGACCTGGATACGGGGTTGTGCGGGAGCGCGGACGGCGCGAGCGGCGATGCGGAGGAAAGACATTGTCGTGTGTGAGTGCGAGGATCGAGGAGGGTGGATTGAGTCGACGACAGAGGGTGTTGCAGGGCAGGAAGCTGCAATGTCAATCGCACACTCGCGGTCGGAAGTGCTTGGCCCGAGCGTCCCAAGAAGCAATTCATGACCATCACCTGAGAAGCCGCTGTCCTGACCCTGTTCGACTCTGACCACTTATTAAATACATCCAAACCCACCCGTCAATTCATCCTCTGACTTCTCTTTGGCCATGTGACTGATTTGCTATATATTCTGCTTGCTTATAGTGTCATATGTATGACCACTCACTCGTGGGAACAGATCCAATGGTTGGGACAGTGTTTGTTTTGAACATGTGGTGTTTTGGTCAGCCAACTTGTTGGGTACTACCTGTATGTTTTGGCACAACAATCGTCACACAGAACAGAGAACAGTGAGCAACACCTTTCGCATTACAAGCAACCAGACATGACCATTGGCCGATTCCACGAACGGAATTGCTTGTGACTAATCACCAAGACATGAGTACTGCGTAGAGCCTCGTTCGTGAAATGTCATCTCGAGGCTGCCAAGCCAGACGTCCCTCGGCTTCAATTAAATTTCAATCTCCCGACCTCCTTTATAATGAAAGCTTCCTCCTCCTCAACACCCTCCACCCTGTCTCCAGGTCCAATTCTTGTCTTCTCCACTCTCTGGTAATCCCCTCGTTGCCACCTTTGTCGCTCCTTTGCTGGCCGCCGGCCCCGTACTTGCCTCTGTAAACCAATTCCTCTATACGCGTCTCGAGCCGCCCAGTCCCGCCAACCATGTCTACCCCCGAATGGATCCGCTACGGCGTGCCCACTCTTGACCGTCCCTTCGGTCTCGAGTTGTGGCCCATCTTCGAGAAGGCCTTCACCTCGATCAAGGGCTACAAGCCCCAGGACTTCCGCTTCGTCCCTGGAAAGACCCCCATGGCTACCTTCAAGGAGACTGCCACCATGCTCGTCTGCTACTACATCATCATTTTCGGTGGCAGAGAGTTCATGCGCGGTCGCGAGCCCTTCAAGCTCAACTTCTTCTTCAAGGTCCACAACTTCTACCTGACCCTGATCAGCGGTCTTCTTCTCGTCTTGTTTGTTGAGCAGCTCCTGCCCGAGATTGTCAGAAACGGCATTTTCCACGCTGTCTGCGCCTACGAGGGTGGCTGGACCGACAAGCTCGTCGTTCTTTACTACGTACGTGCAGCAAATTCCACTGCGCCAGAATCCGCTTACTGACAGCTGGCAGCTCAACTACCTCACCAAGTACCTCGAACTGATTGACACTTGCTTCCTTTTCCTCAAGAAGAAGCCCCTGAGTAAGCGCGCATCGTTTCGATACCCAGTTACACGAGCTGACCAATTCTCTAGCTTTCCTCCACACCTACCACCACGGTGCCACCGCCCTCCTCTGCTTCACCCAGCTTCTCGGCCACACCGCAGTCTCATGGGTCCCCATCACCCTGAACCTGATGGTCCACGTCGTCATGTACTGGTACTACTTCCAGGCCGCACGTGGTATCCGCATCTGGTGGAAGAAGTACATTACCGTCATGCAAATCACCCAGTTTGTCATCGACCTTGGCTTCGTTTACTTCGCCTCATACACCTACTTCACCTTCAGATACTTCCCCAACATGCCCAACATGGGTATCTGCGCTGGTGAGGAGTTCGCCGCTTTCGCTGGTATGGCGATCCTCAGCTCCTACCTTCTCCTCTTCCTCTCCTTCTACGCCGCAACCTACAAGAAGCCCACGAAGAAGGGCCGCAACCGTGCCACCAGCGCCCTGGTTGAGATGAAGGACGAGAAGGTCCCCACTGTTGGTGAGGCTAGAAGACGCTTCAGCGGTGGTGAGGCTCACTTCACTGGCCGTGACGCCCCTACCCCCAACGGCCGCGTTACCAGAAGCCGCAAGGCATAAATGCACTGAATAGTGCATGTTTGCGCCTGAGGGTACGCCAAGTTGGACGCACCCAATTCCTCGAGATGCGTAGGTGAAGATACGCCATTTCGAACGCACATTAAGAAACAGCCAGAGATAGCTGTAGGTGGATGGAGGGCACGATTGCCAGGGGTTGCTGTCCCGGAATCATCGTCGCCAGCTCCTCTTTGGCCTTGGGGGTGTTTGGCCGCTTCTTGAGCACCTTGCCCTTGCAAAGTATGCTCGCTTTATTACTTCTTTGTAATTTCTCTAGGGCCCGGGTTTCGACAAAAAGGAGTATTAGGCGGTACAGGTTCGACATGATTGTGTAAGAAAGAATGCGAGAACAGGAGAGACTAGGACCCATGCGTCATGCTCGCTGTATGATAGAATCATGTAATCAGAGAACGAGAAAAAGAGTTATAGATCATACCCCAGTCTATGTTTTTGAGCTTGCCAGTGATGGTGCATAGAGAAGTCACAATGTTTATGTCGTTCGCGGCTGGACCAGACTCCGAGGAGCATGTCCATGACACGTGAAGGTTGCATGACTGTTATTTCCATTCAGTCAAGCGTGCGATCTGGAAAACATGTTGAGAGCTAGTCTCTGACCCGCCATGTACTGAGGGGCGTCCATTAGTATAGGTACGAACGGCATTCTATTCTTCCTGCAACCAGAACCTTCTGAGCGAGCCGTAGCTCCCCATGCAAGCGTTTGTGTCAATGTTCTGTAGTATGCTGACAAAGAGCCAAGATACCAATGCCCGTTGAGTCTCTGCCGTTCACTGCAAAAGACCGAATACCGTTTGGATTTGCATGGGCACACGGAAATCTGTAGGCATCTCTAGCACTGAGACAGAAGGCAGCGCCAGAACAATTCTGGAAAAAGGTAGTTCAGGAGAAGGAACTTGTGTCACACGGTGCTTAGAAGGCGGATCAGATGCAGCGTTTCCTGTTCATCGAGTTCGAGGCTTGGGATACAATGTTAAACTGAAGCTAGAAGATTGAGAGAAGGCAGCAGAAGGACGGAAGCAAGATGGCGTGGGGCGGCTCATGCTAGGTTCAGCATAGAGAGTATTGAGTTCTTTGTGCAAGTTTGCCAATTGGAAGTTAGATAGCAAGTGCCGGCTGATATCGACAGTTACCATGAATGCTTGATAGTCTCCACTTGCTGTGTTCCTATGGTTGTTGACACATGATCAAGACACGGCCCAGGGAATCAACCCTAACAGCTTCAATGAAAGCAGTTAGATGATATTGAGATAGACGCTGCAATTTGGTTGTGGAGAGTTGAGAGTGAGGCTATCCGTTCGCGAATCCGATGACAAGGCCCAGATGCGGAAGTCGTTCTGCCGGCCACCGACGCAACTTCTCGCCGCACAAACCAAACCGGACCCCATCATACCACAATCATCGTCGCACATCACGACAACCGTTGCGCATACCCTGCTGTTCGCTGGTCGAATACCACCGTGTCATAGCATAAGCAGCATCTGTCATAACTGACGCATATACAGCAAAGATCTATCCGCTAGTCATGGCAGAATCTCAAGGCCACACATCTCCAGTTGTGTCCGCGACGGCGCCTGAGCGCGACACTTCGCAAGAAGCACCTGCTGTCACATCACCCACGCCACAGCCAGAAAGATCACCGTCTCAAGAAGGTTCGGAAGAAGGCGAGATGGCCGACACCGAAACCGCTCCTGCGAACGACGACGATGCGCCACCACTTCCTGACGAGCCATTACCTGAGGATGCTCCACCACTTCCTGACGAGCCTCTCCCTGCGCCGACCGAAGAGGATGACGGTTGGTCCGCTCAGCTTGACCCCTCATCCGGCTGCTGGTATTTCCTCAATCGCTTCACCGGGCTGTCGCAATGGGACAATCCACGAGTTCCCACCGCTGCTCCAAGTCAGGAGTATGCGCCAGGCACTGGTCCGACATCACACGCTCCTGGCACTTCCGAAGCTGTCGCAGCACCCCCGCCTCCTCCAGGAGAACCATACTTGGGCTACAACCCTAAGATCCACGGCGACTTTGATCCCAACGCGGACTATGCCAAGTGGCATCAGGAACATCAAACGGAAGAGTGGGCTGCTTCAGAAGCTGCCCTTGCGCAACGTACTGCAGCATTCGAGCAAGCAGGCACATTCAACCGCTTCACGGGAGCCTTCCAAGCCGCCGACAAGAGTGCGGATAACCACAACGATGAGAACAAGTCAAAGCGCCAGTTGAATGCCTTCTTTGACGTAGATCGCGCTGCCAATGCTCACGAGGGTCGCTCTCTCAAAGCCGAACGTGCAAATCAGAAGCTGAGCAAGAAGCAAGTCAAGGCCTTCAACGAGCAGCGACGTGCAAAGAAGGAGCAAAAGCGCCGCGATTTCCTCATGAGTTGAAGAGCTGAAGTGTTCCGAGAGAACGTAGTGAGTGTCGATTACGTGACCTTTTTGTGCGTGTACAGTACCATTTACAGAGCAGATCCTGCTCGCCCATGACGATTGTCTTCTACCATAATGACTAACATGAAATTCCGCAGGATGAATTTCTGGTCAGAGATTTCCTTCTTTGCTTCTAGCAAAACGGCGTCTCGAGGCTAGGACGAGCGGACAGGCGTTGGAAACCACTGCAGACTTGACTGGTTTCTCTATGCCAATTTCTACCAAGTTTTCACCATTGCAACTTGATTGCATATTTCCGCGTCGGCCGATGTATGTCACGATCTGGCTGCCCTGGCCGAGTCTCATCTCGGTCACAAGCGCGAAGTAGGAACAGCAAGAGTCTAATAGCCTTCAAGTGGGTTGGCGAAGAAGAGCATCCACATGTCATGCGATATTTAAACACGCGCTCGAGCCTCTTTTTGACTCCGAGTCTCGCCAAAATACAAGAATTCCACCCCCAACATGTTTAATCCAATCTATATCTGCGCCCAATACCATGAAACGACAGATATATGTACAAGACGCCATCCACCCAGTGAAAGCACGTTAGGACAAGCTGTCCATTGATCTGTACAGGTGTTCATCCCGGGCTCGGTAGTGCACCACTCGATCCATGAGATTATATTGAGAGGCTTCCACAATTGCCTATTGGGCGCATGTGCCATTTTAGCTAGCGTCAACGGCTCGCAAGCGTGGAGAGGAAGGTAAGGGTTTCGGTCGTTAGTCTCGGCACTGAGTCAGTCTCAGAAGTTTACTGTGTTTTGTTCCGTCCAAAGCAGCCTGCACGGATGAAGAACAGTTGTAGTCGTTAAGAGGCAGGTGTAGGAAGGATATGGCCACTCTGCAGGAGTCACAGGCAGATCTAGCCTCCTTTCACGGCGTCTTGTCTCTGAGTGGCTATGGGTGACCTGCATGGTCAGAGATCATCAGGTACATGCAGGGAGGGCACGCAGCGGTCTGTCCAGATCGCGTTAAATAGAGATCCGGCCCGCTGCTGCCGAGTCACTCATGGGCCCGTTCCTCCAAAAGGCAATGCTCGCTCGCAAGGAGCGACATGTGCACTCTGCCCCTTCCCTGCCAAATGGTAGTGTAGCCGGGCCGCGAGCGATCAACGGGGGTGGAAATGGTCCGATGGAGATCACTGCTCGGTGAAGACGAGCGCGGTGGCTGCGAGCCGTCGAGGTCGCTCGAGTAGAGGAGTGGTCGCGAAAAAGACGTTGGTGGGCGGGCTAGCTCTGGAGCGGGTGGTGAGTAAGTATGCTCGCTCGTGCTCTCCCAGACTGCAGATCCGGGAGCCTGGTCGTTGAAATTGTTACGGGCAGCAATAACGAGAACGCCGCAGTCTACTTCCTAGAAGGCGCCACCAGTGAAAAGTCCCCGCGGGCAGTAGTCGACCAACTAGCTCCACAGTCCACTGATTTCTCTTTATCCCTACTTTCTACTTTTATCGCGGACGTCCCGTCCTTCTTGTCCTCTCTTTTCCGCCTGCTGCTGCCCGTCATCATACCAAGCACTCGACGTAATAACAGAAACATCCGACATTGAGCTTCGACCTGACTCTGAACTCTGAAACATCTCACGACCCTCGATCAACCTTCTTCTTTCCATCCCACCAGCCGGCCAAGAAATCCTTCCTGGCGCTGCGGACTGCTCTTCTTGACAGTACTCTAGCGTTGCACAGAGATAGAGACATTCAACGCAATGGGTCTCTTTAGTCGCAAGGACAAAAAGTCGGCAGTAGATTCAGCCAAAGGTCCTGGATCAGATGCTGGCTCAATTCACAAGTCGCCCTCCAGCAAGCCCATGAATGGCAACCCCTCGGCGAATGCCTCCCTGCCACATGTTCCTCTCCCTAGAGCACCTGATCCGGCTCTCAATCCTGCCGCCTACCTGCGCAGCATCTACGCTGTGCGCGAGAGATCAAAGTATGTCTTCGAGCTAGCTAAGCGCAACAAATCGAAGCACTTTGATGTCGACATGACAAAGTTCGCCGACACGGCTCGCTTTGTCGTTTCAATCATTAACGTAAGTTGTTCACTGCGAGTGGAAAGAAAAGAAAAAAGACATGCGGAGCCTCAAATCTAACGTTTGGCTGATAGAGAGATTACGCTCCCGACTACGCTTCGATCCCCCCACATGGCCGTTGGCAGCACTTCGACGTCGGCGGCAGACCAAGAGTTGACCAGCTGATGGCAACATGGCCAAAGTCTGTCAACGACCAAGAACGTACTCGCAGACTCATCGATCTGTTCCTCGTGTCTGTTCTACTGGATGCTGGTGCCGGTCAAAAATGGGTTTACAAGAGCAAGGAGTCTGGAAAGATATACAGACGCAGCGAGGGTCTCGCAGTTGCCAGTTTGGAGATGTTCAAGGCTGGCGCATTCAGCAGCAACCCCGACGAGCCATGCCAGGTCGACAGTGCTGGTTTGAAAAAGATCAACGCGCAATACCTGGCCAAGGGCTTGCAAGTAACAGAAGCAAACCCTCTGGCCGGTCTGGAAGGCAGAGCAAGCCTTCTCGTCAAGCTCGGAGACGCCCTGCAAAATCAGGACATCTTTGGAATCGAGGCCAGACCCGGCTACCTACTTGGTGAGTTGAGGCCATGGTTCGCCAATTTTGCAATTACTGATATCCTGCCTCGCAGACTACCTCCTTTCTCACCCATCGACTCAAGCTTCATCAGTCCCTGTCGTCCCATTACCAACTCTCTGGAATGCCCTCATGGACGGTCTGGCACCCATCTGGCCTTCCACACGCACTACGATTGACGGTGTCTCGATCGGCGACGCTTGGCACTGTAACGCAATGCCGGCAGCGACGAATGCCCCCTGGGAAAAGATTGTGCCATTTCACAAGCTCACACAATGGCTTTGCTACTCTTTGATGGTTCCAATGACCAAGCTCATGCACGTGCATTTTGCTGGTACAGAGCTTCTGACCGGACTTCCGGAATACCGCAACGGTGGTCTCCTGATCGACACTGGACTCCTCACACTCAAGTCCGAGGATGCCAAGCGCGGTCTCGAACAATACCAGATCAACGCCATGAAGGAAGGACAACCCAACATGGAAGTCGTTCCCATGTTTAGCGTTGACGACGATGTGATTGTGGAATGGCGAGCGCTTACAGTGGGCTTCCTGGACGAGCTGTGCTTCGAGGTCAACTCTCAGCTCGGATTAGTAGGCAGCAAGAAATTGAGCCTGGCGCAAGTTCTCGAGGCCGGCACTTGGAAGGTGAGCAAGACTGCAAGATTTTGGGGAGAGAAGAATACTCGCTAACAAACAGTACAGGCAGGCAGAGAACTCGCAGAGGTCACACGACCCAACACCAAGGAACCCCCGATCATGATAATGTCGGATGGCACCGTCTTCTAATTGATACCCCTCTCGCACCGCAGGCCTGGTCGTTTTATTCCGTCCGATTGTTGAGCATCATCACATTTTCCATTCTCACGGGGAGACATTGTATCTTCTCTCTACTTTTTCTTCTAATGATTCCCTTTGTTCCTATGTCTATTTTCACCCTTGTTTTTGTGTCCTTGTTCTGCATGCACCATATCAACACCAGTCTTCAGCAGCACTTTGTTCATAGACTGCTTGTTTTCACCAACCCATCCCCAAACCTCATGAGCTCAGAGAAAAGCTCCACAACAACAGCAATATCAACCAGGAGGGAGGGGAAATACTGAAGTCCGACGACAAAGATTTGTCAGGGCTAGAAAAGCGTTCATACTCTGCATGTAGATAACGATGAAATCAAAAGAGGCAGGTCTCGATCCTGATACACACATTCCAGACATGTAGAAGACCCATCGGCACGCTTGGCCAAATCAAGTGATCTAGCCCCTGTTTCCACCCGTATAGCAATACGCAAGTGTGTCGCGAGCTATTGGTTGAATTAGATGGATGTATAAAGTTTAGAACGAGATTACCTCCAGGTTGCGCCGATAAGGATAGCGTTAGGGAAGTTGGTATGGCTTGGCGCAGGTCATTATCGACCGAGGCTGGCCGGCGTCGCGACTTGAGCATGGTCACTCCAAGATAGACACGACAGACGGACAAGATGTTGAGCTCGGGGTCAGCTCGTCGGCAGAAGCAGCGCAAGGTGCTGCTGATGGGCAAGTCGGGCGCGGGCAAGTCGTCGATGCGCTCAATAGTATTCAGCAACTACGTGGCCAAGGACGTCCGCCGACTGGGAGCTACCATCGACGTCGAACACAGTAACATCCGCTTCATGGGCAACCTCATGCTCAACCTATGGGATTGTGGAGGGTAAGGTGCTGGTGCACGGGGTTACATCGAGCTTCGTAGCCAGGCCAAGGCTGACTTTTGTGGCCGCAGACAGGATGGCTTCACCGAATCCTATCTCACCAACCAACGCTCCAGCGTCTTCGCGTCCGTCGCCGTCTTGATCTTCGTCTTCGATGTCGAATCGCGCGAGTTCAATGCCGACCTCATCAACTATGCCTCGATCGTACAAGCCTTGCGCGAAAACTCTCCCCAAGCAAAGATCTTTGTCCTAATCCACAAGATGGATCTGATCATGTCCAACATGCGCGATGTCGTCTTCGCCGAGCGTAGCGACGCAATCCGCAACATCAGCGTCGAACACGGCTTCGGAGGGGACCAACAAGATGCAGGCAAGCACGTCGACTTCTGGGGCACGAGCATCTGGGACCAGAGCTTGTACAAGGCCTGGACCCAAGTCATCTACTACCTCGTGCCCAATGCTGGCGCAATCGAGAATCTGCTGCGCCAGCTGGCTGAGGTCATTGACGCCCACGAGCTTATCCTCTACGAACGCACCACCTGCCTCATGGTCACACACGTCTCACGCCCTTACGAAGCAGACGGCAACCCACACCCGGATCGCTTCGAACGCCTGTCATCCATCCTCAAATCACACAAACACTCTGTTGCCAAACACACGGGCATGCCTGCCGGATCAGCCAACTTTGCCGAGCTCCAGATCAAGACTGGCGAATTCATGTTCTTAATCACTCGTCTTAGTGAGAACACAAATTTGGCTGTTGTCATGGGCAGTGGAGAAGCCATGTACAATGCCGCCCGGATAAACATTGCCAACGCACGCGACAAGTTCGCCGAGCTCGATATCGCTAGCAAGAGTCGCGAAAAGGCCGAGACCAGGGCCACGGATGACGCCGCGAGAAATGGCTCGTTTGCTCATTGAGAGCACGTCGGAACTGCCACATCTGGTCATCGTCCTCGTACTCTCACTCTGCGGTTACATCTCCATACCCACCTTGCCACGTGCGCCTGGACCTGCGCCTTTCTTTTACCTTTTTGCGTTTTCCTCATGCCCGTTTTTTTGTTCAGAGATACCCACAAATCTTCCACTGCTGTTGGTTGGCTCTTCTCGCTACATGTAACATACTTGGGAGAAAAGCATAACTTTGTTTCCTTTGCCTTTTTTCCACGCTGTGTGGCCGTTGATCTTTCCGTCTTCTGCCGCGTGGGGCTCGAAGCCTGTTTCAAAGTCTGGTTAATGTCCGGCATGAATGCTACCCGAACTTCAACTGTCGTCGGCAACTCTGATGTGCGTACCCTCGGCGATGCTGTTCGGGTATAGCCACATCTGGAATGTAGACTTGGTTTGATGTTGCATCTCAGTCTTTGAAACGGTGAGTTTGTCCTGCCCCGGCTTGAAGTGGGAAGTGGGGGATCCATGTCAGCCACCAACATGTCAGAAATTCCAACAGGCTTCGAGATCTACCTAAATACAAGCACAAGGTTAGCTGATCAACCGACTTCCGAGCATCCAATCACGAACCTCGTACATGGAGACGTTTTGGCTGCGCCTTGCAAGATGTAGGTATGCATGCACGTCTGACATAGCTTAATGCTATTGTTCGTGGTGCTTGTCTAAGCTTGGCCTCTCGACATTCTGTCAGATCGCGTCTCACTCAAGACGAGAGCTGAAGATGAGAAGCGCTTAGCTGATGTTATACCAGGTCTTAGTAGCTGAGTACGTGGCTATGCCCCATGCAATGGCGTGTATACAGTAAGTTGTCATGAGTATAAACAGTATGAATCTGCTGCAGAAGGTAGGAATATCATCGAACCAGCAATTTCAATCAGTGCTACAGTCAAGCTTCCATCTACCCGATTAGCAATTTCTACCTGTCCGCTATCATATTCTTTACCATCAGCGAATCACTCCACATCCAGCAATGTCATACCGTGCAACAGCTCTCTTGGCCCTCTCCGGCCTTGCCTCCTTCAGCAATGCCAAACCCATCTCTTACAGCTCCTCTTATTCCAACTATGGTCACTCCATGACTTCTGCCTCATCCCACTACTCCACCTCTGCCTCCTCCTACCAAAGCTTCCCCACCCAAGTCTCCTCAAGCAAGAACCTGCTCCTCAGCAACGGCTTCCCCAACCTCTCTACCTCTGCTCTCACCGACGTCAACAACGCCGCCCACGGCACCCTCTCCAACGCCACCGGCAAACCAACCTTCTCCGCCAACGACCTCACAAACTTCCAACTAGTCGCCTTTAATGAGTTCTTCGAAGTTGCGTTTTTCACTTCGCTGCTCACCAACATCACTACCAACGTCCCTGGCTTTGAAATTCCTGCGCACCTCAATGCAACGTACATCCTCGATACGCTCATTGCAGTCCAAGCTCAGGAAGAGTTGCATGCGATCAATGCAAACAACAAATTGCCCGTGCCGCTCAAGACCTGCGAGTACAAATTCCCGACCAAAGATTTCAACAGCGCCATCGCTTTGGCAGCAACATTCACAGACGTGGTGTTGGGAACTCTGCAGGACATCGCTACAATCTTTGCTGGCGACAATGCAGGCGTAGTCCGAGGAGTCGCTGCGACCATCGGGCAAGAAGGAGAGCAAAATGGCTTCTACCGCAGTCTCCAAGGCAAGATTCCCTCAGCTCAACCCTTTCTCACTGCATCCGCCCGCGACTTTGCCTTTTCGGCTCTGAATCAAGCCTTTGTTGTTCCCGGCTCTTGTGATATTTCCGGCATCCCTTTGAAAGTCTTTGGTGTTTTGACTCTGGAGACTCCCAATGTGGGACTTGGCGATCAGACCATCAGTCTCAGTTTCGATGCCAGCGGCTACAAAGGCGGCAACAACTACGAGGATTTGGAATTTGTGTTGATTTCGGGACAAAATGTTCCGATTGTGCAGGATCTCAAGAATGTCAAGAGAGAGGGGGATAAAGTTACGTTCGACGCGGAGTTTTTGCAGCAGACTGATCTGTTGTTTGGACTCACGCTTGGTGCTGTTGTTGAGAAGGGAGGTGCTTTGGCTTCGGTTGATGATGTGGCTGGTGCTGCTGTGTTTGGTCCTGCGCTTATTGAAGTTGCTTAGAGGGCATAGGTGATGTTCTGAGGGATGAGGGTTGGAAGGGTACGGGGTATGAGGGTTGGTAGGGTATGGAGTATGAGGGAAAGCAACGATAGAGGGTGTTGTTGTTTGCTTCTTTTCCTTTCTTTTCAGTCTGTCGTTTCCTTCATTTTCGGGTGTGTTTTTCTGCTTTATACTTCTTTTCTGGTCTGTTATACTCGCATAACAAATACTAGGTAACACGCTCTTTCAGCATTTCACAGGCGTTTTTTTTTCTCCCGGTCTTGTTTGGCATTTCTTAGCTAGCAATATAAAAAACACTTTTCTCCTCTACACCTTTCTCAATCTCCCTCACACACCCAGCCATCTCATAATACCCTCCGCGACGATCACCATACCCAACTGTCCCACCATCACAAACACTAATACCATAACCCACTCGACTTCAGCACTGGCTTCGATGTTGAGAACATCAACTCCTTCATCTTGCCAGTCTTCGTCGGTGGAGGTGACTTGTGTAGCCTGAGTACTATTCTCTTCGTTGTCAGAGGTTTGAATATCGTTGGCCCAATAGACTTCTCTCCAATAGCAGTCGTTTTTTTGTTGTTGGGTGAGTGTGACACCACTGTTGCTGTCATTGATATCATCGCCGCCATTGTCATTGATTCCATCAATCCCAGTAGAGGTGGAAGAAGAAGCAAATACAGAAGCAGAGAGGGAAGAACAAGTATGTTCGCCTCCATTCAACCAATTATACACTTCCAACAGAATCTGTTGTCTGATATCTGCATCGTAGCTGTCTAGTTGGCGTTTGAGGATATAATGGCATTGACATTTGTTGCTGCTGCTGTTGTTTTCTGTGACAAAGGTTGCAGAACTGGGTGTCTGGTTTATGGTTGTAGTTATGGAGATGCTGTTTTTGTCGGTGATGCAGCTGTCGCTTTCGTTGGGAGTGTCGATTTTTGTGCTTTGTTCGTTGTCGTTGGTGATGCAAGTGTCGTCTTCGTCATCTGAGCTGTCTTGTTCTACGTTGGATGAGCTGATTGATGCTTCGGAGCTGGTCTCATTGCTGTCTGAGAAGGCGTATCTGGTGTTCCAGCCTATCCTGTCATGCTCGCGGCTGTTCTCAGACCAGAAACTCTTGCGTGCCTTTGGCTTGCGGTCTTTTGGCTTGGTGACAGACGTCGTTGGGTCGCAGCGCGAAAGGGAGGGGGTGTTTGAGTTTGCCATGATTCTTGTAGGTCAAGATATGACGGGGTGTGCTTGGATGGTCAATGTCTTTGTGAGTAGGCAGTAGATCTTTTGTTTGCATGGTGCCAGATGTGAAGTGGAAAGAAGAGCAGAAATGTGCAGAGGTGAGATCTTGTCATCTTTGTCGCCAGTGACTCAAGATATGGCATCCAGTCATCTTGTGGAAATCAACTCAAACTAACGCACATCTCAAGATTCTGGTAAGTGTCTGTCTGAAGCAACATGTATGTGTATGTACATACTTGTCGGCTTTTTGCACCAATGACAATAGACACTTCTGAGCCATCGAAGCGAAAGAGCGACTGCAGAGTGCTTGTATGGTGTCGTCGAGATTTGTAGTCAGTGTTGTGTTGGTATAGAGTTGTGACTCGAGCAGGGTGGCGCAGCCTTGCACGTGGCTGTTGTGTGTATTGAGAAACGACCAAAGGAAGTCGCGAGTCACAATATGTTCCGAGTCGACATGGCCACAATCACTACAAGTCAGTTGTGCAAGAGGAACTTGATGGGAAAAGAGAATAGAAGTTGCGCCAAGCAAGGCTTCACTACCTGATATACTCCCCTGACTCCGACTCCATCGCGAATTCTTGTCAAGAACAAACAACCTCAAACTCCTCACACGTGTCTGTGTCTTATCCTCTCGACATCGTCCAAAGTGCCCACCGAATGAGTTGTACTACTTGAGCGACTCCGTGACTTGCTCCTCGAATTGCTTCTTGACACTTGTGAAGTCGAGCCGACGCTCTTCGACGATGTACGATTGCCGCTGCGTTTCCGAACGTGACTCGAACTCGAACCGCTCGTGTTGCCGCCGGTGCTCGACGATTGTTTGTGATGACTGTGACGGTGGTCTCGTTTCTGCACATTCTCAAAAGACCATTGTGTTAGGATTGAACTTGTCATGGCAATTTTTGTTTGTAGCGAGGAGATAATTTTTGTGAACCGCCCAGGCAACAGACAGAAAGAGACGATAAAGAAAAAAAGTGCTTGAATTTGGATACAGGAATCGGGAAAAGTGAAACAAGAAGTTGTGTGAGCTTGAAGATCTCCAGAAGTTCAAGGCGACAGATTGTGATAGAAACGCCCAGCGCCGGTATGGAATATATTCGTCCTGATAAGACCCGATAGCAGAAAGAACAAAGAGGATAATGCGAGACAAAGATGTGATAAGGGGAATGTGAAGGGGATGATGGTGTGTTTTGAATGTCTAACATATACTCATTCACAGACCCAATGATCGAGAGGGAGAGAAGATACTCGCACTTGATCAACGTACCGAGCTGGTCTGTCTCTCAAACTCTTTCGGCCTCCTTTCAGAGTCGTCCTGTAATCTGAGTTGTTCCAGACGCAGTGGGTCCGTATCGTCCGTGCGTGCGGGTGTGGCGCTCTGTGCAGTACTTGAGTTGACGGCGGCTGATGGGGGAAGACCGCTCTTCATGGACTGAGCAAGAGAAGCAAGTCTATCCCATTTCTCTTGTCTGGCCTTCTTGACTTCGGGTGCGTTGTTCTGTTGCTCGGTGTAGTCGTGAGAACAGTCGTCAAACAGCTGAGGATTAACTTCCATGAACAATTTCATAGCGTTATATACCATTCCGTGAATCGTTCTGTAGTATGTCAGCCAGAATGTTCCTTTTGCAGTAATCATCAACAACCGCATACCTGTTCCAATGCCCCTTCGAGTTTTCGTAGAGAGGAGCAAACATTATCGGTAGAATGACATCTACGTTGTCACTGACAAGGTTGCAGAAGTACTCGTTGTTCCAGAAGTATAGGGCACGTTCGGCCACCTGAAAATTTGTTAGAGTTGGCTTTTACGAGACGCTGTAAGGACGAGCATACTTGGAAGTGTGGGCTAGCCACAGATTTGGCGAGTTGACTGAACAGAGCTTCCTGGACCTTTGCAAATTCGGCAGGGTCCATGACCTCGAAAATATCTTCGACCTCGTTCAAGAACATAACTTCTTTAGTGCTGTTGACCTTGGGCCAGTAACGCAAGAGACCAAGCACAACCTCCTCAGTCAAAGCAGCATCTTTCTCCAAGAACTGAACAATACAGTACGCGAGTTGCGGGTGGTACATGCTGAGACTCTTGACTTTGTGTAGAGGGATGAGGACGCGGGTCAGGAAAAGCTTGTGTTCCTCCTTGAGTGGTAGGGCGAAACCGTTGATAATGGAGCCGAGTATTTCAAGAAGCTCAGCAATTCCGTTGAAGCGCTCCGTCTCGTAAATGAATTGGAAGAAGACGTTGTTGATGGAACGTCTAATGAATGATCTCAAGTTGAGGAACTTGCCGTAGATGCGGTGAAGAGTGGTCTTGAGGAAATCGCGCTCGCGAGGATCCTCTGAATCAAACAGGTCGAGCAACGCCAGGACAAAGCTGTGGTCAATATATTGCTTGGCGTAGTTTGTGTTGAAATCGGGACTCTCGATGAAGCGGAGGAAGAACTCGTAAACCACTTGAATATGGGGCCAGGCAACTTCAAGGACGGGCTCGTCTTCTTCAGGGTCGAAAGCATCGCCCTGAGGGTTCATTGGAGGAGGAATTGGGCGGAACAAGTTCTTGCTGAACATCTCGACGACTCTGGGATACATTGGCTCGGAGATGACCTGGCGGTTCTGAGCGACGTAATCGAGCAGTTCGTGGAGCGCAAGACGCTTGATCTCCTTGGACTTCATGTCGGCGCTTGCATCATTGAAATCGAAAATGATGTTGCACTGGTCGAGTTTCTGCATAAAGAGCTCCTGGCGTCTGTTGGGAGGAACCTCGTGGAAGCCGGGCAGCTTTTCCAGCTCGCGCTGTCTCTGATCTGAAATGTCGAATCTTGACGAATGTTGGCGCTTGGGAGTGCGCACGCCCTCGGGCACAGTATCTTTGGGGGTGGCCTGCAGTCTGTCGAAGAGCAGCGACTTCTGGCCAGCCTTGGGCGGGGCGAGGTCGTGAGGCATGGTTTCGGCGGCGCCGGGAGGAGGCACATGCTGAAGAGAGTGAGCAAAAAGGATCGCATTGTGTTGGGCAACAGACATGACTTACGGGAGCACTTGGGCTGATGACGACACTGGGGTTTACACCCTGCTGGTTGTAGCGGTTGGGACTTTGAGTGCCATTAGCACCCTGGTTTTGCTGGAGGTATTGGTGTTGCGACATGGCGGGCGGCTGCTGGACTGTTGGCACAGCATCGCTTGATGATTTGCGGGTCTCTGCGAGATTTTGGGTCGAGGACGAGGGGGTGCCGGCGGGCGACTGGGCAGCGGCGCCGTGAGGGGAAGCGGTGCCAGAGGGTTGCTCCTTGCTCGCCTTCTTTGATATCTTGTTACTGTCCTTAGCTCGCGAGAGCTGCTCATGCTGAGACCGTTAGCCATGCTGTGTCTTGGCGATGGGAGTTCAATGGGTAGCTGGAAGGGGGAATGCCTACCACGCGCTGTCTGAATCCCTTCATCATGGGTGGTGACGAGTGACAAAGTGTTGGCGCTTGGCCTGGGAGGTTCCCGCTTGGTCGCGGCGTCGAAAGAGTGGTTGTGTGGTGGACGAGGCGCTGCGGACGTGGTTGCTGAGGGTGGTGTGCAGGGGATGATAATACGGCAGCGTGTCGAACTGCTAGACGTCGGTGCTAGGGACACGGCACGGGTGTCGGACAGAGTACCGGACTTCTCCAGGAGCTAGGGCAGCAGAGGCTCTGGGGATTGGAAGGGTGATAGGAGAGTGGTGAACAATGGCTTGTCTTGGTTGAAGCAGGACAATTAGCTATCGTCCATGGTTGTTGACGCTTCCAAGTCCCTACTCACACGGTTCCCTGAGCCTCAGCCTTGGCGCGGCGGGGGCTTGCGCCAATTTATCATGTATCAACCCAGAATGCCACTCCCGCAGCAACAGATCCGTTTGCAAATCTCCCTCGCCTTTTGACCCCTAGTCCGTTTGTTGCCGGCTATCGTATCAGTATCATATCGTGCCCGTAACGCATCATACCCATACTGCCTCCACTGTATCGCTCTCGCCCTCAACTCCGCACTTTCAACAACGAGTCAGGCCAACCACATGCCCTTTCTCAAAACACAACTTATTCTATCATGACCGATCAACGGCCAGATCCGGCTCCCAACCGCCATCAATTGGCTGACTGGTTGAGCGTGTCTTGCGACAGAGTCGTCACTGTAGAGCACCCCTCTGTTGTCAGAGATATCGACAAGGGTCTGCTTTCCCTTGGCGGTGAACACCACATCAAACATGTAGGTTGCAGCTTTTCCTTCAATCTATCTCGCCATATCATCTGATCGACTTGATATGACAGCTGCTTGCTCCTGCCGGCCAGACATTATCTGTCGGTCTTTCGTTGCGTCCACATGATCCCCTCGTCAAGAAGCTCGTCTCGAAAGAGATGCCTGTTCAAAACGTTCTTCTTCGCGTGACCATCCCAAAACGAACTGGTCGTAAACGGAAGCGAGGTTCGAACGACCCTTTTGAATTTCATCGTGACAGAAATGAGACATCAGAGGATGATACTATGTCGATACCCTTGACGGCTGAACAGCTGCGAAGCCGACTTATTGACAATGCGGATACATACACCATCCAGCCTGTTGCCACAATCAAGCAAACCCACAGATTCCGTGCTCTACCAGATTTCCAGCTACGTGCTGGTTCCCAGCCAGTCATGAAGCAGATCGGCAAGAGTCTTGTCAATCCTACCCGTGAGTTCTATCTTCTCATCAAGAGCCGGTGATTGTGGCCTAATGCAGATAGTGTCGAGTATCAAGAACTTCAAAGTCGACATGACTCCTGGTCGACCAGCTGACGAAGAGCTCATTGCACCGCCAAACTTTACTTCGTTCGAGCAGTCTTTGAACTATCTGTACAAGCAGAACCCCGGTGTCACACATGTGACGGACGAAAAAGGTCGCGTCAAGACTGTCAACACACAAGCTGCAAAGAAGCGCCAAGTCGTCTCGGTAGCTCACGATGTCAAGAACGTGCCTACGAAGCCACCCAAGGGTCTCATGGCCATTGAGAAGCAGTCTGAAGCTCTTCAGCAATGTGTCAAGAACCTGCTGGAACTTCTCGAGACCAGACCCGCAGTCACTCGACGTGTGGCATGCAACCTCGTCGATTGGGGTAATGAGGCCCTCTTCAAGGAAGCTACGCAGTATGTGGGATACAGCTTCAAGTCTGGTCCCTTCCGCGATACGCTCGTCAAATACGGTCTCGATCCTCGGGCCGATCCGAAGTATCGTTGCTATCAAACTTTCTCCTTTCAGCTTGTAGCAAAAGACAAGGTCGTTGCTGCAGCAAAAAAGATGCGTGATGGCAAGAATCAGTGGATCAGGAGTGATCGCTACAAGAAAGATGAAGAGCCGTCACATGTTTTTGATGGCAAGAGCATGACCACAAATGGCAAGACATGGCAGGTCTGCGACATCAAGGAGCCTGTCCTTGCAGGTCTGCTGGCGACCGAGAATTTGCGATCCGAATTCGACGTATGTATTCTTTCCTCCCTTTCTTCAGTACTATGTCTAATATCCACAGCCTGTCAACTATGGTTGGTATCTCAACGGCACAGTCGCCAAAGCACGTATCATCATGCGAGACATGATCGGTATGATGCTTTCTGGGCAGGCGCCTGACACAGCATCGTACGAGACAGTGTCCGCTATACCGGATGAAGTTGACAAGACGACCTATCCACAAACCTACTTCGAGAGAAGCGCTCATCCCGAAAAGGTGATGCAACTCTCAGGAGAAATCAGAAACTTGGTAAAGACGGACATTGCTCAAAGAGTTAGAGACAAGTTCAGGGGCGAAGGAGAGGTGTATGGCGAGAATACACAAGGTGGTGCAGAAGACGGAGAGGTTGAAGGAGATGGGATGGAAGACGATGGTGAGATGGAGGGCGACCTCGAAGACTTTGGAGGTGAGACAGAGGCTTAGTCTAATCGTCCATGCATCAACGAAAGTAGGTACGAGGGTAAGAAAGAAGCGGTGTCTGACCTGTGTTGCCCTTTCCGCTTTTACTCTCGACATCTTTTTCATGTCTTTCTTGCTGTCGGATAAAGCCGTCTTGCAAACAACCGTGCTTTCCTTCACTACCTCCTTCCATTCAGGACAGCCAAGGGTGGAAGTCCATAAATGGACATGCAGCATCTCTATGTGTCTTGTTCTGTGCTTCCGATCCTTTCCGTCACACTCTCCCGTTTCTTGCACTCTCAATGGACTTTGTTTTATCAAGACATCTATCAAAATGCACAGTAATTTGGCGGATTGAGCAAGAACCGCTAAGTCACCAGGTCCATGTGGCTCTTTCATATTCAAGTATAGCAATCATAGCGGCGATCGTAACAGGTGAGTATATATCTTCGTCTCTGGGGCCTTGCAATGGGGGCTATCGCCTGCTTCAGTCTCAACAAACTAAGCAGTCACGACTCTGGTCTCTGTGTATAATGCTTCAAGGCAATATATATCGAGCCCTATGAGTCCAGGCGATTGTCGACTTCACTTGCTGCGGATTTGCAAGATCATCGAATTTTCCGATCACAACAAACAGGATTCGACTTCACTTGCACTCGCGCGCGACCTATAAGGATTCACAATATACAGCTCCGTCGCCAATCCTCCTTTCAGCCTTGTTTCTTTCATCACTATACACAAGTTCCAGCGCAAGTCTCCCTTCTATGGACATCGCACCTCATCGACACGATCCATCCATCGCAGATCGAATGCACGCGAATAGTTCAACTGTCGTGGCCACGGTGCGTAGCACTCTGATGCATTCATTGCACGCATACTGACGCGCTCCCCAGGAGCCTCCTGGTGATGATCATGGCGGTCTTTCGCTGATCGACATGCCCAACGAGATCCTTTCAACCATCGTCGACTTGGCCGGATCCGAATCCTTACCAGCCCTACGCCTAACGAACAAACAACTCCGTGTAGTATCCGATACACCATTCGCGACCACACATTTCCTCGAACGCAGGCATGTACAAACCGCATTCAGCATGAATGGCCTGGCTGAAATCACTGCCCACCCATTCTTCGGCAAATTTGTCAGAACGGTGATAATTAGCGGCGTCAGACCAAAGCTCGGCGGAAACCCTCTGCTGAATGGTGTTCCTCGAACTTGCATTCATTGTGTCAAACAGCGTGCTTCACCTCTTTGCATGCACCTGAATCCCGAGCATGTCGTTCTGAACTTCGATCAAGTTCATGACAGACTTAACGAAGCACTATCCAACCTCGGGCGTCGCTCATGCTCCATATCCGTGGGAGTCTGCGACACCACAAGCTCGTGCTATGGCTCTGCGCTCTACAACAAACACTGTCTGATGATCACTGATTGGCAGCTCGTCGGAAACAAACTTTTTCTCTCGCGGCCTGAGTTAACTCACTACATGGAGACTTATACAGAGGTATTGCAAGCAGCTCAGGAGGCTGACTGCCAGATTGAGGGCACCATGCTTCGTGTCTCCAGCATGAGCTATCCTTACGCTACGTCGCCAGACGAGGAGAGGGAGGAGCAGGACAGGATGCGCCACTTCTTCGATTCACTGTCTGACACTCTGAGCTTCGAGTTCAGTTTCGGTATCAATCAATCGTGGCCACCTGGGTATCAAGCCAAGTACAACCATCGGACTGGCGAGCTTGATGTCTCTGGGCTCGACTTAGATTCGGACCATTCTCTCAACCCAGACATTGCTCGAATGCTCACCCGGCTCACAAACAAATCGATGAAGCGAGTCAGGCTCTCGAGTATCGAGTTGAGAGATACGGATTTTCTCATGCACTTCTGCAGTCCGACACTGGAGAAACTCACACTGCACGATGTAACCTTCCACACAGACCACCTTGACAAAAATCTATGGAGCAGTCTCCTCGATCAGCTCTCGCGCACGATCAACTTGAAGTACCTCGAACTCTCCCAATGTCAGTACGGAATCTGCTGGGAAAAGAACGAGGACGCGGAATCGGATGACGAGAGAGCATGGTTTGAACTTCCCAGCGGTCTGTATTACTTCGACCCCGAGATCCAAGATATAGAGAGGTTTTATCTAGCGCCTTCTGGAGACGTCAGAGAAAAGCTCATCTTGAGTGACCGAGAAGACATCTCTGCCCAGCTTAAAGAACTCGCAGATCAAGTCGCGCAATTGGAAGTTGACAAAGTCGCCGGTATTGAACGTGAGGGATGGGTTCGCACCGACATCGTCGGTGTGTCAGCGGAAACTGCTTCGGATGAGGACGATTCTCCTGATGAGGATGATTCTTCTGATGAAGACGATTCTTCTGACGAAGACGCTTCTTCTAATGAAGAAGATGATGACAGTGTTCAAAACAGCGATCCGGACGAAACCAAAGATACCAATGGCGAACATTCGAGAAGCAACAACAACGACCACGATCAGCTAGAACACACACTTTGAGTTGCACTATGTATATTCTGGAAGTCTGACACACTACTGCATCAGCGAGATTTTTGGATGGAAAAGATATTGCGATATACATAACTGCAAATGGAAGAGCGAGTCGCATATTGCAGGGTTGATGCATCGGGCGCGCAAAAACTAGACGACGATCAGGAGGATTCACAGAAAGAGCATACATAGAAGTCGGAAGGAGAGATCGTTCAAAGGTCAGCTACAAGACTCAGTATTGAGAAAGGTAGCTCTCCAATCACAATTCTTCTTTCCAATCCACTTTTTGCGATCTTCCCATGTGCAAAGTCATGTCATTCAGACAGCCCATGCAAATGCACAGTCCCTCCAGTAACCAGAAGATGTACCATCGAGAGTCGCGATATCATCGGCTCTCTATGGTCGCTACTACTTTCTAGAAAGAACTGTGCATTGTGCGATATGAGTTCATATAACAAACAATGCACGATATTCTCGAGACATAGATCGTATCCACTGGAATACGCTGTTTTCTAGGCTGCTCCTTGGATAAACTTGTTTCCTATAAATCACTGTGCCGTTTCAACAGCGAGCATTACATTCTGTACGCTTATAGGAAAGAAGAGTGTAGCAGACCAGGCAGCAGCGATAAGCTATAGCAAATGGGAGATATCACATCGACCGTCAGACAAAGACAGCGGGAACTGGGACATTGATTGTAAGATTCAAATATCCTGCAACTACATTTTCTCGAGATTGTGCAAGGTAAATACAAACCCAGAAACGCCGACGCTATGCAACTGAAAAGCAGAAAAGGTTTGGTTCGGAACGACCTATCTTCTGCCACCGCGTCCGGCACCGCCAGCGCCGGCACCGCCCATTCCACCCATGCCGCCCATCATCTTCATCATGGCATTCATGTCCATACCGCCAAGGTTGGGCATACCGCCACCAGCGCCACCGCCAGGGGCACCGCCTCCCATGCCCATACTGCGCATCATGGCGCCAATATCCATACCGCCGAGGTTAGGCATACCAGGCATACCGCCGCCTCCAGCGGCGCCACCGCCTCTGCCTCCACCCATGGACTGCAAACGCTTCTGCATGGCGTTCATCTGCTGCTGGTTGTTCTTTCCACCCATAGCGCCCTGGGCCTTTTGCATATTCTGCATGCCGCCCTTGAACTTCTTGGCCATACCACCCATGACCTTTTGCTGCGACAGCAATTCCTCGACTTCGCGGACAGAGGTGCCGCTGCCTTTTGCAACACGCGTCATGCGCGAGGGCTGATCGACAAAGATTTTGCCGTCAGAGTCCAGTTCTTTGGTGGTCATGGAGTCGCAGATGTAGATCATACGTTTGAGCTTCATGGAGCCTTCGTCGTCGTCCATTTGACCCATGAGGCCGCTGAGGCCGGGGATCATGCCTGCCATCTTGGACAGAGGGCCCATTTTCATGATGTTGTTGAATTGATCGCGGAGGTCGCGAATGGTGAATTGGCCTTCGGCGATGTGCTTCATCGTATCCTTTTGGTCAAGCTTCAAACTTTGGACGTGCTCGACTAGACCGGCCATGTCGCCCATGCCCAGCAGCTTGGAGACAAAGGATTCGGGGTTGAAGCGCTCGAGATCGAGCAAATGTTCTCCGGTACCGATGAAGACGATGGGAGTGTGTGAAGCAGCGACGGCAGAAATGGCACCACCACCAGCGGCAGCACCATCAGTCTTTGTGATGATGATGGCACCGTAGTCTGCAGTCTCCTTGAAGGCTCTAGACTGAGCCTCGGCAGCCTGACCGATGGAAGAATCGAGGACCATAATGGTCTGGTGAGGCGAGACAGCCTTCTGAATCTGGACCATCTCGTCAAACAAATCCTGCTCCTGTCTGTGACGACCCGAGGTATCGACAATGATGATCTCGAACTTTTCCTTTTTAAACTTGTCGACACCCTCTCTTGCGACAATGACGGGATCAGTCTGGGTCAGACTACCGTAGTAGGGGATCTTTGCCTTGGTAGCATTCTGCTTAAGCTGGTCGAAGGCACCGGCACGGAAGGTATCGGCGCAAACCAGGGCAGTCTTGAAGCCTCTTGCCTGGTACCAGCGGGCGAGCTTGGTACAAGTGGTGGTCTTACCAGCACCCTGGAGACCGACAAACATGATAACGTTGGACTTGCCCTTCTTGGGTTGGTAGGCCGGGGTGTGGGGGTCGACGAGTTTGACGAGCTCATCAAAGACGGCCTGTCGTAGAGTCAGTACAAGGGCGATGATAATGCAAAATAGAGAATGTTGATGACCTTCTGGATGATGCGCTTCTTGTTCACACCAGGCGCGAGCTCGTTGAAGTTGACCGACTTCTTGATGGAGTTTCTCAGACCAGCGACCAGCTTGATGTTGACATCTGACTCTACAAGGGCGTTGCAGATCTCCTTGATCATGGCCTCGAAGGCCTTCTCGTCCAGAGTGGCAGCCCTGGTGAGGTCGTTGACGGCGGCATTGATGCGGCGTCCGAGATTCTGCAAAACCATCCTGGCTAGTTGACTGCGATGAGATCGAGCCTAGTTGCTATGGTTCCAGTGACAGGAGAGAGGGAGGTGGGCGGGAGGGAGCGTGAAGGATCGTGTGCGCGACGAGGTGTGCGGTGTGTGAGTGCTGATAACAGAGAAGCAGCCGGCGCGAGCAGCACACGATGGATGATTGCGCGCATGGCGGGGCGAGTCGGCCAAAAAGTCCCCGGCCGAGCCGCAACTTTCCCCACGTTTCGTTCTTTTCGAGCGCCAAAGTCGCGACAAAAAATCCCAGCGCCGTCTTCGATACTCTCATATATCACAACACACATCATTCACCATGGGTAACCCAAGCGCAAAGAGAAAGAGACCAGAGGGCATGGGCTACCGTAAGCCCAAGAAGCTCGTCAAGAAGTTCAAGAAGCAAAAGGCATACCACTCGGACAGCGAAGACGACGACCATGTTGAAGAAACCACCACCACAACCGACTTCCAGCCCGTCAACATGGACGACTCGGACGAAGAGGAGATCGAAGATGCTCCCCCTGTCACGACAGCTCCCGTTCCTGCTCCTGAACCTGTTGTTGAGAAGAAATCCACACCCAAGGCCGCCGCTCCTGCAAAGTCAGAACCTGCATCCGCCGCAGTGCAACCCAAACTCAAGTCAGCCTTGAAAACATCAAAGAAGGTCGATCCGCCGTCAGAGAGCGAAGACGAAGACGAAGACGAGGACGAGGACGAAGAAGAGGAAGATGACGATGATGTTGAGGACCTCGATGCGCTGGACGACGAGGACCTAGCCGACTCTGATTTGGAAGACGACGACGAGCTCGACCTGAGCGAAGACGAAGACGGCAAGCCCAAAAAGACACGCAAGCGCAACGATCCCACCGCCTTCGCCACATCCATGTCCAAGATTCTGGGCACCAAACTAACCACCGCAAAACGACAAGATCCCGTCCTGTCAAGAAGCGCTGCTGCAACCGCCGCTTCCAAGGAACTGGCCGACCAGAAGCTCGAGATGAAGGCAAAGAGGAAGATGCATGCTGAAAAGAGAGAGGCACTGGACAAGGGCCGCGTCAAGGACGTTTTGGGGTTGAACACACCAGAGGTCAGCACGGCTGAGATCCAAGAGACGGAGAGAAGACTGCAAAAGACTGCTCAGCGTGGTGTCGTCAAGCTTTTCAACGCTGTCCGAGCCGCTCAGGTGCAAGGAGAGAGTGCCAGAAGCGAAGCAAAGAAGGAAGGTGTGGTTGGTATTTCGCAGAGAGAGGAGAGAGTGAGCGAGATGACCAAGAAGGGCTTCCTCGACCTCATTGCCACTGGAGGAAAGAAGCCTGCTGCAGTAGAGGCTTAGATGTAGATTCACGATACCCGCTCATATTCCTGTACCTTGTTCGATCGACATGCGTTCAATCGTTGCTCATGGGATTTCTATCTACAGTGCTCAATCCTCTATTGACCCTTCTGGGCACGGTTAATGGCCACCATACCCTCTACACCACCATTGCTGTCGTCTAAGACGCCGCCCTTCTTCAAGATGCTGATCGTGTGCTCCACAACGCCTGAATCTACGCCTCGGACATTGTCTGAAAACTTGACCGTCTTGAGCCACGCATTGGCGTCTTCTTGCGAGTACTCCATGGTACCGGTGATGTGTTCGACCGACTCTTCTTGGTGCTCACGGAAGTACTGGACTCCTTGATTCAGTTTCTCTGCCATGACCTCCAACTTCTTATCTTTAGCGTCTCTTGCAGCAATCATCCAGCTAGGCCAGGGGGTGTAGATATCGCCCACACGCTTCAACTCGCCATTGTCGTAGAACTTCTTGGTTGTGAACTATGATCGAGACATGTCAGCATAGCCCTAATCCGCTTGACTTTGAACATGACTTACGTGCTCCCACATGAAGAAGTCGGCCTTGTCTCCTTCATTGACACCATTGCGCAGAGCCTTGAAGTCCCCCAATGGCACAACTTCAAAAGGCGACTTTGACTTCTCCAACCAGCCCTTCTGATCAGCAAGGACGTATGACATGACATACGATCCACTGCCAATACGTGAAACACCGACTCTCTTGCCGTTCAACTCATTCTCATCATTGATGGAGCTCTTGTTTCCCACACTGATGGCCCAGCACAGCGGACTCTCAACGTATGTTCCCACCAGCTTGTATGCAGGAGTCTCTTTGCTGGCATTTGTCTTTCCCAAGTCTGCTACGAAGCCCTCGGTCAAGCCGATCGCCACATCAATGCTGTTGTCTTTCAGAGATGCTGTGAGGGCGCCTGTGCCAGTAGGAAAGGGCTTGATGTCGGCTTCGAGACCAAAATGCTTGATGGCGAAGTGGAGGGGCGTTGAGAAGTGTTCTTGTGCTTTGTGTTAGCTTGAACATGCATACAGCTGCTAGAGAGATGCTCACCAGGAATGTATCCTATGCGAAGTCTTTCTGAAGTCATTCTTGAGGTTGTAGCGAATCCGCGAGTTGTAACGTTCCGAGCAGAGGATAGTGTCTTTGAGAACATGTCATGGAGTGAAATTGAAAATGGTCGATTTGATTATCCGATTGTCTGTCACCCCGCAATCACCATCATCGATGACATCGCACGCGACCCTGTTTCCCGGCTCTCCCTTGCCCACTCTCCCTCGAGACAAAGATACTTTCCCACCAGTGATGGCAATCCCAAGAAACTCCCTTGGTGCCTTTCTCAAGCAAGCAAAAGCCAGCTTGAAAAAAGCCATAGACCAGAAGGAGAAGGTCACCTTGGTCATTGGCAATGAATCAGCGGGTAAAATTTACCACCTCTGACTGACTGAGAATACTTCTAATAGCCTTGACAGATCTTGACTCAATCACGGGCTCAATAGTCTATGCATACCTCAGATCCATCACACCCTCGCCACGATCCTCCACCGCTCTTCACATACCAGTCTTGAATATTCCTAGAGCGGATATAGACCTAAGGCCTGAATTGCTCACTCTGCTGCCTCATGCAAATATTTCGAAAGACCAACTAATCACTCTGGATGATCTTCCCGACCTTGGCTCCATCAAAGAAACTCTAGCTCCTGAATTGACCAGATGGTTCCTCGTCGACCACAATGCCTTGCAGGGAAAACTCGGCGCCATCTACTCTGATCGTGTGGTAGGCGTTATCGACCATCACGTAGATGAGAACAGAGTTCCCAAGGACACTGGCGACGAACCACGTATCATCGAGACCAGCGGAAGTTGCACCACTCTGATCATAAACCATTGCCGTGAAGCTTGGGACAACCTGTCATCAGGCACATCCTCTACAGGGGCAGCTCATGCGCAAGGCGATACCTTGATGGAAGACGAAGCCGTGACTTCGCTCTGGGACGCACAGGTAGCTCAGCTTGCTCTTGCTTCAGTACTCATCGACACCATAAATCTTGAAGACAAACACAAGACGACAGAGCTTGACGAGCACGCAGTCACCTACCTCGTGGCCAAAATCAATCTATGCGCAAAACTCGCAACTCAATTCGACAGAAGCGCCTTCTTTGACGAGATCATCGAAGCCAAAAGAAACCTCGACTCCCTCACTCTGGAAGAGATATTCAGAAAAGACTACAAACAATGGACAGAGAATGGATTGATTCTAGGCACAAGCGCAGTCGCTCAACCCATACAGTTCCTCAAGCGCAAGATTAATGACGACAACAGCCCTACCGACTACAAATCCCTTCTGGAAGCCGCAAAGAAGTTTTCCCGCGAGAAGGACATGTGTATTTTTTCCATCATGACAGGATACGCAGACGAGGAAGGCAAGCTCGCCAAACAATTGGCTGTGCTGGCTGTCGACGAAATGGGTGTCAGCATCTGTAACAAGTTCCGTGACGATGCCATTGAGAAGTTTGAGCTAGAAGAAGTGGACACGGCTGAGAGCGATGGACAGTGGTTCCATGTGTGGCAGCAGCGCAAGCTTGGTCCTAGTAGAAAGCAGATTGCTCCTTTGATTAGAGAAGCCATGTCGGCTTGACGCTTGTGGACAAATATATGAGATGAGGGAATACAGTGTGCTTTTTATAGATCTGAATATATGCATTCATATAAATGTCAAGAACCTTATTCCAGAGTCTTTCACTCAGAGTATTGAAAGTGAACACAAAGTAAAGATGCTGCTCTCTTGAGAGGTCGGACTTCTCTCCACAAAACTTCAAGCCCCTCCTCCACACTCGCAACAACCACATCGCCGAATCTCGGAACAACACACTCCTCTTCCTCCTTGTCTATCAACACAACTAATGTTTGCACTTCGACGAGCTACTCTACTTTCCACAGGACGCAATTTCTCTACCACATCACGCATCATGTCTCAAAAATACGAATGGATGGTTATCTTGCCCGACAATGTCGGTGCTTTGGACAAGAGAATGGCTGTTAGAGAGTAAGTTGCACTCTTCGATCCACTTCCATATACACTGCATTGAAAGCAGGCACTTTAACTACCGTCTTCCTCGTGTTGCTGTTTGAGCTTGGCTACACGTCGATGTCATCTTGCGGAAATCATTGACGCCGTAATTCACAGACAACATCTCGCAGCCGTCAAGCCCAACGCCGAAAGCGGTTTCTGGGTGTTGGGCGGTGCAATGCTCGAAGACACTCCCAAGGAAGGCTCGCCTCTCAAAATCACTGGATCGGTCATGATGGCTGTGGCTAGCTCCAAGGAGGAAGTCATGGAGAAGATCAAGAGTGATATTTATGCCGACAAGGGAGTTTGGGATATGGACAAGGTAAATTGACGATATGGATAGATTGAGTAGAAGAGGAGTTTGCTGACGAAGAGTACAGATTCAAATCTTCCCTTTCAAGTCGGCTATTAGATCTGCTTTGTAGAGAGATCAAAGGGTTGGGGGTTAGGAAGCTTGACGATGTCACGTAAATCGTTTGTACATGATGTATCAATCTCATCTAATAAGCTCCTCCTTCTTTGACGACAAAGGTTCACTTGTTATACCGACACAATTTCTGTCAGAATTCGGACTCTTGCACTGTGCTTCAGATTATGTACAATTCACACTGCTTGAGTATGGCAAGAAAGATACACTCTGCATTGCCGAGGATGCTCCGTCCAGCCACCTCTTGAGCTCACTGTCGCCATCAGCTTTCAGCATCGCTCGCATAGATGATTGTCCTAACTCCATGTGTCCGTCGTCCGGTACCGGCATTATTCGACTGCCGGAACATGCTGAGCGTACTCGCATGGACTTGCGGGATGGCCATCATGATCTCTTTTTAGCCTAAAGTCTCTAGCCCCAGTTTCTCACACCTCCGATCATGATGCGGATCAGAGGTGGAGAAATCGCGGGGATCCTTGACGTCTTGACACGTCCATCCCGCTTCTCTTTGCACGAAGAAAAAGCTTGTGCAGCATGGCAGACCATGCTTTCTGCCCTGCCGTGTGAAGAAATGCGAGGGCTGGATGGGCTAGCGGGACTGTGCGGTGACTGCATCTCGTTGCCGTAACCGAGATAGCCTGTATGAATGATGCTTTTCCACAGGCTCTGGTGTTTGGGGAGGAGATGCAAAAGTATAAGAAGGTAGAGTCGTTCTCTTTGTCTTGCTTGACTGCCTTCTTGTGTATCCCACTCCACATCTGATCTGATCACCATGCCTACTCTCTCACTCTCAACATTGGTGGCACTCTCCTCCGTGGCATCAGCATGGCCACACTTTGGTCCCCCAGGACCTCCCCTCCATTCCGGTAGCCCCCCACCTCCACCTCCGCCCCCCGGCTCCAAGCCCTCTTCCTGGGGCCTCAAGAAATTCACCAGCCTGGTCGCTTTCGGAGACAGCTACACCGACGACTCCCGCCTCTCCTACTTTGGCTCTCACAACGGCAGTGCTCCCCCCGTCGGCTGGGAGAACCCTGCAAACTACCATTCCGCAGATGGCGGTCGTCCCTGGCCCCAATATGTTGCTCAGTACTCTGGGGCCAAGGTGTACAATTATGCTGTTTCCGGAGCGGTGTGCAGTAATGATATCACTCCCCGCACATTTGCGAGTATCAATGCCGATTTTCCTGATATCCAGGGTTATGAGGTTCCTGCGTATCTGGCGGACAGCAAGTATGTGTATCCCAATGGCACTAAGGCTTTGAACGTCCCTGTAGACTCGACTGTCTATTCCATCTTCATCGGCACCAACGACCTCGGCAACTATGCATTCATCGATGATAGCCAAGTCGCTGGCAAAGTCATCCCCGACTACATTGACTGCGTCTACTCCCAATTTTCGCGTCTCTATGACTCTGGAGCCAGATACTTTGTGCTCCAAAACGTTTCTCCCTTGCAACTGAGCCCTCAATACGGCTTACCCAGTAAAGGTGGTTTGAATGCAACTCAATACTGGCCAGAGAAGATCACCAAGAACACCACAGAGGTCTCGGGAAGAATGCTCGAGACCGTCACTACCGTCAATGATGTATTCAAGTACAGAACTCCTTACGAGGTGCTGCTTGCAAACAAGTATCCTGGTGCTCATTTTGCGTTGATGGATATGTATGGATTGGTAAGCTTTGATCCCTTTCCCCCTCCCTCACTATAGCAGAAAGTGCAAGAAAGCTGATGAATGCAACAGATCACCGACATGTACAACAATCCCTCTGAGTACTTGAACGGCACCAACCCTACTGTGACTGGCTACGTCAATCACTGCACTACAAATGGCACTGATTGTGTTGCTGCTACCAACCCAGACTCGTACCTTTGGTATGATCCGCTGCACCCTAGCGAGCAGGCTGACCGTGGCTTTGCGAGAGCGTTCATCGATGTGGTGAACGGAAACAGCAGGTGGGCTACTTATTACTCTGCTTGATTGAACATGTACGTAGAAGTGGATAGGCTTTGAGTTGCGAAATTCAATGATACGATATACATGTTTGATGTTGTTTTGTTGTCGAATTCGAAGATCATCTCATTAACTATGGGCCATTATTGCTTTCGCTGCGATATGTGTTACATGGCAGACAGCCAGTCATCAGCTTTTAGCTCTTGGCCATGATCGAGAAGGAGGTGAAACAGTATAAAGCTAGCATTCTTCCATTTGTCGCAGACGCAACAAACCATGATTAACACCAGACCACTCCCTTGTGAGTTCCTCATCGATCACACAGACCTTCTCGCACCACCTAGTTCAGACCGAAGGACTCAGCAGCAGAGAAAGTAACCTCGTTCATGACCCGCACTCCACAACCAGCTTTCCTCATCTCTGGGAACAATCTCTGCCGAGTGTTTGCGTTCAAGCACGACGGTCATGAGTGTAGCCACTCTGATACCAAGATCAAGAGGCTGGACTGGTAGTTACCATAAACAGCCATCGCGTGATCCATGGTCTGCAATGAGCGTTACTCATTGCTAGTTACGATGCCTGCCAAGCTTTGCGTACAGGCACGAGAGATACAGGAAGAGTTGCTCGAGCAAAGAGTTTAGAAGGCTGAATATAATAGTCATGGACGTGATGGCTTTCGGTGGAGGTACCCGGCTTCCTTGTTGACATATTAAGACGGACAGCAGCCATGAGATTCGTTCGTTCTCTTTTCCCTTTTCTTGATGTTAGTGGATACAGAAAGGTGATTCTTTTGCATAGAAGACGTGCCTTTAGACGCGAAAGACTTCGGGCGTGGTGTCATTTCCGGCACTTCTCTCTTATGGTGGTACAGGGCGATATACGAGCTATCACAATGCAAAGTAATTTCCAAAACCAAATACATATCCCGAGAGACAAGATGAAAGAGAAGCATATAGTTGAATATTGCGATCAACAACAAGTCACGGGCATTGTTGATCTCAACTTGTCATAAATGACAGTCGCCTTCTGTTTGGAGCTTCCCTCAATAGTGACTTCTGCCGGGCTGACCCACCCATCCTTGGAACGGAAGTATATGCGTTTCTCCTTGTCATGTCTGAAGATCGAAACCGCACCAGGGTCGAGGGGATGGTTGCCCATCCTGAGCACAGGTCCCTTGGCTTGAACCTGTTCCCAGCAAGCGTCGGTAGAGTCCTCGAATCCATGGAAGGTGATTCGTTTCGTCGGTGCAAGACTCGTGTCTATTGCAAACAGTCGGCCGAGCACACGATCTCTAAGAAGGATCTCCGATGATGGCCAGCGGAAGTTGACGTGGCGATCTGCGGGTGTGATCTTTCGGGCATGACGAGGGTAGTCGGCTGAGCCATCTAGTTGGCCAAACATGTCGTTCTTTGTGTTCCTGAGGCTTCGGCTGGCTGCAGGTTTGATGTCGGGGTTTGTAGCAAAACTGCCTGTTATGATATTCTTGTAGAGCATGTCCGCACCGAGGGGACCGATCCAGGTCAACAGTGAGTCCAGAGTGGCGGAGGCTTCATTTGGGATGGGGAGTCCAGGAGCAGCAGTTTGGTCAATGATTCTGCCTTGGTCAAAATGCTTGGGATGCAGTGTTTGTAAAGTTACGCCGGTTTTGTTCAGTCGTCGCAGTAGTGTGTGATGTAATGGTGCTGGACCAGGCAAGCTGAATAAGTGTGGTGTTAGTCGAGTCTAGAGAAGACTGAGCATTGATCGAAGCATTACTCAGGAAGCATTGAAGGGTGCACGTTGAGACCGCCGTATTTTGCTGCATTCAGAATGCGTGGCGGGACAAGCAAGCCAAAGGACACCGCAACCACCATGTTGAAAGGTCGAGGCGGCGTCCAGCCAGTGAATGTGTCAATCTGGTGTACATTGAGACCCAGCTCTGTGCCTGCTACACTTTTGATCGGAACTACGCATGCTCAGCGACGAGAAAGACAAACTGAGTGTGGAGGCAGCTACCTTCCCGAATCTGCTTCAGTCCTCGACCAACACGTTTGTCTTTCCTACAAACCACATCGATAGAGGCTACTTTGTCAGGATTCTCTTTTCTGATCTTGTTCAGTGCTTTTAACGAATAAATGCTGAATTCATCTGCGCCACAGAAGAGCACGCGAAGAGGGTCATGCTGGGGTGAGCTTGACAGATATCGTCTTGACGACGCACAACTCCAGTTTGTGAAAACTCTGCTTCTCGCGACCGAGGAGACAAGACCCACAGCTCGCAACATCATCTTCAAAGGAGACTATCAAGTTATATATGAATGTGATCGCGTGGTTGGTTGGCGGTCGACAGGATTTGGACGGCGCACGTGACTGGATGAAATTGCCAAGGCTCGCTTGGGATTTCGCCAGCTTCGTGGGAAAATCTTGCGAGAAATCCATCTCCGCGACGACCCACGAAGAGCATCTCGACAAGCATCATCGCCCTCTCGCCCAACGACGACGTAAAAATGTCCACCACCCAGAAGACCCAGAAGCCCAAGGCTGGCCGTTCCGCCATTGCCGATGTTGTCGCTCGCGAGTACACCATCCACCTGCACAAGCGTGTACGTTCAGTTTGATGAAGTCCATCAATGGCCGCTCTCCAACATGAGCTGGTATCGGGCGGAAGACTGATTCCGGATTTTTAAACAATATAGGTTCACGGTGTTTCCTTCAAGAAGCGCGCTCCCCGCGCCATCAAGGAGATCAAGGCCTTCGCCGAGAACGCCATGGTGAGTCTGACCTCTTTTTCTTGTCTGCTAACGTGTTGTGCGCATGTGCAGAGTCTTTCTCAGGCGATGCGCTTGCGCAAACACTTGCGACACTACCTTCACAATCTTATAGATGCTAACTCGTTTCTCATCACAGGGCACTCGCGACGTCCGCCTCGACCCCCAGTTGAACAAGAAGGTCTGGGAGTGTGGTGTTAAGGGTGTTCCTTTCCGCCTCCGCGTCCGCATCTCGCGCAAGCGTAACGACGAGGAGGGCGCCAAGGAGAAGCTCTACTCCTACGTCCAGGCCGTCAACGTCAAGGACCCCAAGGGTCTCCAGACCACCGTTGTTGAGGACGCATAAGCGTATCGCTCACGGGATGCTGGATACTTGACTTGATGATACCAAAAAGGAGGGCGCTGGTCACATTGGAACGGGAATGAACAACTGTTTTTACAATTTTTTTTTTACTGAGCTGGGAATGCATAGGTTCACGGCCATGAACCATGGGAGTCACGATATGGCGGGAAAAGCAAAGTACTTTTCTCATGCTGCTTCAAAATACCACAACAAATCAGGAAAAAACAGTTCGACCCTTCCCGTGATATTTCTTGTCTCTGACATGTGATTCTTGGAATTATCCTATGCACAACGATCTCGAGCTTATGGCAGTTTCACATGCGTCGTTCTCCGTAGCAGACCATTTGTTTTGAAGTCATTATCCTCTTATCTTCTTTGATCCTGTTCTCTTGCTCGTTGTAGGGCTTTGATTATTACTGTTCGAGTGGCAGCTCTGAACTGCACGACTCTCGTCCGCTCTTGTCCGCCTTCTAGAGAAGACGTTAGGGCCGATCACCGGTCGTTGCGAGGTCAGACCCTCACAGCTCGACTCCAACAACGTCGATGCAATGCTGGTGAATCGCAGTCATGCTAGTCCCAGGAACAACACTGAACCACAGGGAGACCCAGTGTCCGATCGTTCGGGGTCCATCTGATCGACTAATGACACCTATATTTATCCATCTCCTCGATCACATGTCAATGATCCAGTCAAATGTATGAATGTCTCTGCAACGGTGCATAACCTTTATCACAACCATTTTTGTGGTCGACATCTACATGACTCGAAGACCATCGAGAGGCACTGGTGTTATGGCCCTTGGAAAAAAACTCATTTTCATCGAAACGCAATAGCGATACCGAGACGTTACCCATCTACTGCTCAAACGATACCACCAAACGACTCCCCGTCTTGGCAATCCAGGAAGGTATTCCGAGTCAGAAGATCACCGAATGTAGATGACATGCAACCGGATTCCTGTGCAGCAAGTTGCAACAGTTCCATAATGACAGGGCAACCAATTCTCGCCGTGTTGCGAGTTGGTCGGCTCCTCGAATCCATGTCTCCCCGAGGAGGTCCATTCTTCACTCGATGTCTTCTATCAAACTCTCTTCCCAGCGGTCTGGCTCCGCGTCCCGAAAATCTAGTGTCTGGTATTCTCAGGATCCTAACATGACTTCGACTGAGTCTATCTTGAAGCGTCTGGCAGAAGTGGAAGTCGAAAAGGAATCGTTACGAGTCCGACTCCTCTCCAACCACATGGACAGTAGCCAAGGAAACTCCCGAAGACAGACTATCTTCGCGCATAAGTCAACGGAGATTGAAACACCAACAGCAATCAGAGACAAGGTGGCCGGATGGCTCAACAAGCCCAAAAAGCAATCGTCACACTCAGTTCTTTTGGAAATCTTCACACAGTATGAACGGTACAACCTCGTCTTCGACAACATATACCAGCGACTCGAGATCCAAGACGTCATTGCTATCAGTCGAACATGCACAACCCTGTCTTCGTTCTACAAAAATATGCTACCATGTCGATGGAACATCAACCGGAGACTGGCAAGGTTCGTAAATGACCCAAGAGACTTTAGAGCCAGATTGGGAACCGCAGACGCCCTCATATCTGGTACCTTCGCGCTGCTGTTCTTCGCTCAGCTCTACTGGCTGGATTCTGGACTAGACATATACGTTCGGCAAGGACCAAAGGCTGATGCGTTGATACGATATATTGGAGAAGACAAAAGCTACGAGTTCGATCACAGCTACGGTTGGTCAGACAACGATCAGCATCGTACTCTTACCAAGGTGAGTTCAGTATTTGTATCTACAAGTCTCGCTTGGTTCCATGACTTACCAAGCCAAGGTCCTCATCTTCCGAAGAACAGTCCCACCCGGCTCGCCACAAATACGATTCCATCTTACTCGAACATTACCGTTGCACAGTATCTTGATCGATTGTGCCTTCTCGACCGCTCATGTCAACATCATCTCTTGGAACAAGGCATATTGCATGTTCCCGAATGTTACGTTCATGGACCGTCGAATGTACTTCTTGCACAACCCGGACGAAGCTATGGGACAGATCTTGAGCAAATACTCGGCTCACGGATGGCGTACTTCTGACTGGGTGGACTATGACCAGGCTAAAGGGTGCAACAGACCTGGCATTCGAGAGAACTTCAGGAGCATAGGCGACTCATCAACGTGGACCATACCACTCAACACCTACAAGATACGCGCACCCGCATGCCCGGACTCTGTGCTAGAAAGCTGCACATTTCAGATCTTCCCAGACTCTGGACCTCAAGAATCACCGCATGCTGTCACGGGACTCAAGACTTTCGGTCTCGGAGCGCAGATATTCTCATGCTGCATGTTGAAGCAGACCTATACGTTCCACGCACCGGACATTAGCTGGATCGTGTTTCTTCGAGAGAAGCTCAGCCGGATGATCATGCTCGAACTTCTCAAAACTGGAGATACAGACTTGATTGCTAGAGCAAAGCAACCAGACTTCATGTCTGGTGATCACAAATGCTGTCCTGTACTCAGACTAAGGTCACGGTTCCAGAGACCTGATGGATGGGAGTGTGTTGATCATATGATACCTGCTTGGCTCGAAGAATGGAAATTGGCTAAGAGAGACAGAACGGAAAGCCTCGATCTGAAGCCACATCCGTTGACTATTGTCCGATCCAAGAAACAGCTACAAACCTCACAGAAGGCGCTTGAGTCTGTACCTCCACCAGTACCACCTCCACATGCAAGGTCTATGACGACGAGCAGACTACCATCGAGGTCCATACCAGTCCCGTTGTCAAGCCCTGTGAGCGATCAATTCCCGGTGTCTTTGAGGACGACTTCAGTATCCTCTGCAAGACTTCCACGATCGTCCTCAGCTAGCCACATCAGTGCATCTAAACCCGTCTCAACCAAGCTGCCAACTCTTGAATCACCAACGCGGCGCATCGTATCGGCTCAATCTCAGCTCACGGAGTCTGGGCCGTCGCTTCCTCGAGTCCCCTCAGCATCTTTGCCGTTGAATAAGAAATACTCGGCTCAAATCCCATTATCGAGTGACCTGCAACCTCTCAGACCGCAACTCCCCAGATTTGCAACAGCAATTCCATTGCACAAGCCAAGGACATCACTCCGAGATACTACACCACCAAGGTCACCCGAGAAGCAGAAGGGCGACTACTTTTCATTCATACACAGACGACCAAAAGCGTTGTTACCACCGAAGTTAAACCTCCCCTCGGCAGAATTCGGCCCTCTGATACCTGATCTATTGACACCGCCACCGGATGTACCTCTGCCTAGATCTGCTGGACACCAACGCAAGACATCGCCCCTATTTTCCCCCTCACATCTACCGTGGTCGCCGTTCGAGAAGAAGTTCCGCAACGTGCATAGCAAACCCGGTTCTCTGAGTTCTATGTCTGCTCGATCTGAGAAAATGATTCCAGGAGAGATGAACTGGCTTTGATGGGTTTCGCAATCATGGACCGCTATCCAAGAACGGTCTGTTCAAGGAACCACTTTCTCTACGAGGATGTTGCTCGTGCCAGGCTGCACGCTGTAACGTCCCTGCCATTTCCTATACCGATAATAGTAATGTATACTCTTTACTCGCCAAGACTCGGTCGAAGCATCTTCATCCACGAATTCTCAGGCAAATCAAGACACATTTCGCATCAACTGTCTCCCTTCACTCCGATGTGTTCTCGTGACCGGATCCTGACGATAATGACCTGACCGGTTGAGCAAGATTCTGACGAACAGGTTATTATCCATTCCTGAAGCCGCTGGACAAGCTTCACAGGGCAAACTCTAAATGTGTCGTGCATGTTTCCCACATTTCCGAATTTCAACGGCTATACCATTCTACCCCTGAATATCACATCGAGAAAAAATCCGCTTCAGCGAGCGCGAAAAGAGAGGCTGTTGTTTGGGAAGAGTATTAGAGCAAAGCAGTATGCTTGAACAGATAGATCCGGCAAGTTCCTGTTCCAAGCGCAACGACATGCGCGATAGGCTGTGAGCTCTCGACGTGAGCAAGTTATGTTTCCGAACTCGCGCAGATCGGTCAGTTGGCACCTCAGGTCAGGTGTCCTTAGTAAGCAGAGTGTCCTATAAAAACAGCACCGTTCTCCTTTCTCTGTCTTTCTTTCTCTCAATCGTTCCTCACACGCCACTCCTTCCCATCCAAAAAGCAGCTGAGTACTCTTTTCTCCCCTCGCACCCCCAAAAGCTCCCCATCACAATGAACTCTCACCTTCGGGGCGCCTAATAAGACACACACTCTTGTTGTCCTCCACTGCATTCGCACTCTGTTCTTGTTCCGCTTTTTTTTTCCTGGGAAGGCAAGCAGAGTGTGTCTGTACGAGTCGACTGAAGCACTGGGCGGGCTCAGGGATCTCATTTCAACATAAGGACCCCACCTGGCAGATTGGTAAACGCTAGAGAGGATTGCGCGTGCTAATAATGAAAGTATCTTGTTCGAGGCTCTGGTTTTTTTTTTTATAACTTACTCTGATTTCTCTGCACTTCTGCTCCCTGGTAGGGAAGTGTAGAGGGGAAAGGGAGAGCTAGAGAGGCTAACTTTGGTTCATTTTAAGTGATGAGTTGTCCGGAGCTTTTGGGGAACTTCTCTTGCACTATGCCGCTGATCTTGCTTGGTTGAATAGGTTTTGAGTGCTTTTTTTTTGCAAGCAACTGTGATCCGAGATTGAGTTGTTTGTGAATGAAGGGATGTTCGGAGAACAGTCCTTGGTGGTTTTTGTCTTTTGACAGAACCATCAGAAGAAACTTTTTTCTCAATGAGTTGCTGGCATTGTTTGCTGGGACTTGTAGAGGATTTGGTCTTACCAGATGTTCCAATGTTTCATGGTAATGAGGGCTGCAGTGCTGATGAATGTTTAAGGCACTGCCCTCCTGTGTGCTAAAAACAGTTGTAAAAATGCACAGTGGTTTCTATAAACGAGCAGTGTTCATTGAAAGACCGTGTGCTCTTGACTCTCTTCGGTATTGTCCCTAGCTTGGAAACTTTTGTGCCTTTCCATAGGCAGATCATTCTCTATGCTTTTTGCAGGAGAGGTGTGAGAGAAGCGCGCGAGCTACAAACTTCAGCACACGGAGAGTGGTGATATCAGCGATCGGTCGGCTGGAAATCTTGATGACTTCACATCCAAGACTGCCCACACGAGTTCGACTAGTAGAATGCATCAAGTCCCTCATACCCAAGTATCATCCGGCCCTGGGTACAGTCTGATTGTAACCCTGAGATACGGGATAGTGAAATGCGGATTGCGGATTGTCCAACCACAATCAAAGCCTGTCACAAACGCATAATCAGGATATTCGTTGGATGCATCATCCCAAAGGGTGGGTCGGAGTCCAGTTCGATCCTCGAGACTGCGAGACAGTTTCAATCTGAGGATCTTCAATGTCAAAGAGGGTCAACTAAAAGCTATCATAGAAGGCCAGGGTGGCGCAAGAAACATACCTTTTTCTCTTGCATCGAATGCCCGTCCTGAAAGGATGATCAATACCTCTCCATGATCTCTCGTGAGACCCTCGCGGCTTCTCTAGTTTCCTCCACCAATTCGACATTCTTCTCGATATCTCCCAACCTCTCTTTCCAGAACCGCCATCTCTCCAAACTCGCACCACCCTCTCCCTCCCAAAGTTCTCGTTGCCCCTTTCCACCATCCTCTGACAACTCTTTCGCGTTGCACAGACGATAATCCTGCAACTCCTTTATACACATCTCAAACATCACCTCCCCAGCATTTTCCACCCACCCCCTGACTACGATCATCTCAATAACCAACACCGCAGTTTCATCCTCAAGTGTATCTGCCAACCTCGCCAACCCCTCTACACACTTCCTGTCTCCAAAGATACCAGAAACAGCGAACAAAGCATCCGCACAAGCAATATTTGCAATTCTTACTTTTGTGTCTGCAGTCTGGTACTTCGCAGATTCGATTCGCCAATGGGAGCAGTACATCCACCAATTCAAATCGAAACCGATCATGTCCAAAATGCGGTAAATGTTTCCACAGTGTCCATTGAGAGTCACTGAGCGCACCTTCCCTTTGTTGCTCTGTAATATGCACATCAGGTCGATTTTGTATCTCGAGTAACAAATCCACAATCTTGCTTTGACAGCCTGGAATCTCGATTGCGGCGTATTGAAGCAGACCCCACAGGTATAGCAGAGGAATACCTGGAGATGCGCAGTCCTCTGTCGGTTTAGTGATTTGTTCGGCAGCAGCGGTTACGGGGATGAGGTTGCGGAGGTAGTTTTTTGATGTCATTGCTTTTGAGTGACGGCAGCCTTCGCCGTCGGGGCCGGACTTTTCTATGCTGTTTTCGAACCAGGCGTCTGTCATTTGTTCGGAGTGTAGGAATGTGTTTGATGTTTGAGAGTCAGGAAACAGAAGTTTTGGGGTTGGCAGTCGTTTTAGGTAGACATCAAAGGTGGAGTGTGGATATGACGCGAAGGATCTGTCCCCACTGTCAAACGTGTGGAATAATAGCGAGCATTAGATCAAGATTGAGACTTTGCAGCAGTTATTGAAGATTTGTACGATAAAACCATTCGAGAGTCTGCGAAATTACAGACGGGGGTATATAACAAAATGTACAGGAAAGAGGCCAGACCCGGATTCCTTGAACGCCTTTAAACACACAAAAGCATAATCCTGTATGCCCTCCCCGGTCGTGACTAAAGATGGCATGAGATAGTGCATCTCAAGCATGACTCTTGTGCTCGGTAGGCTCATGGTCCTCCTTGTCGCGAACATCGGAGCTGAAGGTCAGAGCACCGGAAGGTCTTCTCAGCAAAGGAGAGCCACCGACCATGGGACTTGGTTGACCGCTAGGGATACTATCATTGCGGCCATGGCCCAGGGCGCCACTGCGTACACTGCCTTCGTAGCCCCTCAAGCTAGAGACGTCTCCTCCCAAACTCCTGCCATCAAAGTTAAGTGATTTGGCATCAAAGTTGATACTTCTGCCATCAGCTCCAATCTCACGGTCGCGATGACCGTCTTTGTCCCGCTCTCTATCCCTGACTTGTCTGTGGCTTGCAGCGTAGTAGCTGTTACGATCAGAAGCAATGGCAGGAGCTGAGACGTCGCGAGACGAGTAGATGCTGGCGCGCTCGGCACTAATGAGAGGGCCAACTGCAGAACGAGTGGATGTGTGATCAACGTTGGCACTCAGAAGACTCAAGGGCAGAGACTCTCTGCTGTCGCCCCACATACTCTTGGGAGCAATAGCGCGAACAGATGCATCGGTATCCATAGAGCGGCGGCGACGCTTGGAAGAGGAAGCCAATGTCAGGATTGAGGCATTGTCGTTATTGGGATTGTTGTTGTTGTTATTGGTGTTGGCGGCAAGGTGAGGAGGAATAGCAGAAGGAGGTTGCTGTGAGAAGTGGGCGTGAGGCTGAGCGGTATTGAGGTGGTTATTGGTAGATTGGATGGTGGTCAGAGTAGTGGTGAGCGACTGCTGGGATTGGTTTGGCGAGGAAAAGGTGCTGTTGGGTCCAGCTCCATCGACTGAGCTCAGGGCACCGCCTCGATCATTGGTCGACGACTTGAAGTAGGCACGATCTGAGGCGATGGTCTCTGGGATGGTGGCAACAGTGTTGGCCTGGGAGCGGTTGCTGTTTACAGGAGGAGCCGACAGAGACGAGGTTCTGCTAGTGGTCGAGTCGCGAGTGTGGTGGACGTTCAAGCTGGCATTGTCCGAGGCGGATTGGGAGCTGCGGGACTCCTGACGACATTGCTGGAGGCGGCCAGATTGAGGGTATGGGTTGTTCTTGAGCTGGGAGGCCTTCTTTGCCTTTTTGCTGCTGGGGTGCAGATTGGTCAGACGCTTGACCCAGGCAGCGAACGGCCTCTTGTGAGCGGCGCGCTCTGTCGGCATTCGGTCAGTGATTGGCGGGCGAAGGTGTATGGGAGGGCGGCGCGATGGTGACTGCAACGTGTGCAGCTGCCATGGTCAGAATGTCAACAGCAGTTGACCGTCTTAAGTCTCGAGATGCTGGCCAGAGCACTCGGCCGCGCTTGTAATTTGATCCGGCCAAGGGCCCAGGGGGTCCGTGACGGCCGCGCCCCGCACAATCCATGACAAGAGCAGGCGCAGGGACCGAACACCGCGAGGGCTATCTATGACGGAGTAAGACTCCTGCCGGACTCCGAAACATCTGTGTGACTGCTATATCATCATCACTTTTGCCTCCCCGAATACAATACTATATGACTTGTGTAGCTGCGGGCATGTACAAGAGTGACGAGAAGCAGGACAGTGTCCATCGAGCAGCGACGTACCCTCGGCGGCTTCTCTAGACAAGTCTTGCAGCTTGCTGACCACGAATCGCCGACACCGCTATCGGGCTTGTGCGAGATACCGCCTACCGACTCACTTTTGTCTCACACCACTCTGGCCATGCAAGAATGGATATACAGAGACGTGTACACCCAACAGCAGTGGGAAGACCTGTATGAACTCGTACCAAACCCTCGGAAAATGCGCAAACAGACTTGTTATCACCCGAGGGCTCCGCTTCGGCAACTGCTTGAGCGACGTCGGCCCGCAGATATCACCCGTCGCGACCTGCCCATCATTCGTCGCGTCTGAACCTCCATTGTGCTTGACCTGTAGACTTGTACATACCATCACTCGTTGTATCTCGCCTCGGTCCACTCGCCCGTCATGTCTGAGCAGCCCAAGCCCCTTCCCTTCGTCTACCAGTTCATCGCTGGTGCCGTCGCTGGTGTCTCTGAGGTACACACATCTCCCCCATCCAATCCTCACCCGAATATCGCTAATGTCTATCTAGATTCTTGTTATGTACATGCCACCGCTCCTTCTTCAACCCGCAAAATCGCCTGATCTGACTATTCTCTAGGTACCCGCTAGACGTCGTAAAGACACGAATCCAACTCCAGAGCTCGACCGCTACTGGTGAGGAGGCCTACAACAGCATGGTCGACTGCTTCCGCAAGATTGTCCGCAATGAGGGCTTCTCGAGGCTGTACAGAGGAATCGAGGCTCCTATCCTCATGGAGGCCCCCAAGAGGTTGCAACTCTCGCCCTGAAAGTGCCCACACATGAGCTGACCATCCTCAGAGCGACCAAGTTTGCCGCAAACGACGAGTGGGGCAAGTTCTACCGTAATGCCTTCGGCATCCCTAAGATGACCCAAGGTCTCTCCGTTCTTACCGGCGCCACTGCTGGTGCCACCGAGGCTTTCGTCGTCGTTCCCTTCGAGTTGGTCAAGATCCGTCTGCAAGACAAGGCACAATCACACAAGTACAACGGCCTGGTAGACTGTGTGCGCAAGGTCGTCCAGCAGGAGGGTGTTCTCACTCTGTACCAAGGTCTGGAGAGTACAATGTGGAGACACATCTTGTGGAACGCCGGTTACTTTGGCTGCATTTTCCAAGTCCGCGAACTCCTTCCCAAGGCCGACAACAAGAAGTCTCAAGTCTTGAATGATCTGGCTTCGGGTGCTGTCGGTGGAACTGTCGGTACAATCCTGAACACACCCATGGATGTCGTCAAGAGCAGAATCCAAAACTCCCCGAGAGTGCCTGGAGGCATCCCCAAGTACAACTGGGCCTGGCCGGCCCTGGGCACGGTGTACAAGGAGGAGGGCTTCAGCGCTCTCTACAAGGGTTTCTTGCCCAAGGTCTTGAGACTGGGCCCTGGTGGTGGTATTTTGCTCGTTGTCTTCACTGGTGTGATGGACTTCTTCAGAAAGATGAAGGCAGAGGTCTAGAAAGCCTGGAGCTTACCGTTACCAAAATCCCTCGATCTGCCAGGATATGCAGCACCCTTCGTATCAACAATGAACAGTACGACTCATGCAACTTTCGATTGTGATGAAGATTGGCACAGCTTCAAGACTCTCGATCAGCCCTCGAGCCTACCAGAGTGCAGCCCACAGAGTAGTAATGATGCCGACATTGGCACCGACAATTCCAAGCACCAGGGTATTTGAATAAATATAGCCAAGCCAATTGACGAAGATTCTGAATCGCGGTTCCCTGATGGCGACGAAATAGGCTCGAAGCGGTGGAAAGATATGCTTTTTCGCTTTTCGACCGTTACGAACAAGTCACCAACATGCCGTGCAAAGAAACACGAAGCTCTCCACTTCCCATGACTCCTGCATTGGTCATGGATCTGTTCGGGCGTGCGAAGGATGACAAAGTTATACTTTGCCCTTGATCTTATGCTGCTTTTGAATCCCCCCCTTTTATCTCTTTGCGCAATCTGATCAGCCAGCTGCGGCCAAAGTTCAAGCCTCAAGCCTCGTGCGAGTGTATTCCCACCGTGCTCGCGTGCTGCGACAACGAACCCATAACCTTGAGTGGTTCGTGAAATTCTATTTCGAAAGTCTTTTCAGACTTCTACATCATCCGCTGCGTGTATGCTCCTTGGATGTTGTGCATAACAGCTTTGCCGTGCCTTTTCTGTAGGGCTTTGCCTGTACTCTTGTACCTTTTGAAGTGTTTCGGTCACGCCTCCGAAATGCAAGAAGCAGGAGAAGCACAAGACTTCTCAATTCGTTTATGTCTCGTGACCAGTCATCGTGCTGCGCAATGCGATCGGCAGGGGCTCCTCGCAAAGCCATTCCGTTCTTTCAGTTCACACCGCAATGTCTTTGAATAGAGAAATGTCAATCAATTCACAATTTGCTAATCACGAGCAGTCTGGTGCAGTGCCTACTTTTTTGCTCTCACGTGGAATGAGCCAAGTGCTTAGCATAAATCGCTGGATTCGGGGCCCACTAATCAAAGACCTGAGACGCCCCGAGAGCATGTTCGAGATTTCGGCGCCGTTCATCTGGGAGCTGTTCTGCAGGTGCAAATGCCCAAGGATGGCCTAGCCGCTCTCGTGGCTGAGATCCTCCAGGTACCGTGCCTCGAGTACCTTGACCATGTCGGTTGGTCCATGACTTCAACGTGGTCGCAGCTCGCCCACCCCCAAAGCCGCGGAAGGGCGCGCCCTAATTCGATAGCCACCGGGCGCGATTGAGTGTTCTGCTTCGCCTGTGGTTGATCCAGGCTAATTGAGCCTTTTTCGTGGGTGAGCTGGGCAACTACCTTGTCGAAGTACGCCATGGACAAGCCCGAATGCCCCAGAGCTCAAAAGGTCCTTGCGTTCTTTTTTGATATATGTATGGCGATGTCTCCCGCGCGCCTGACATCTGAATGTCAGTTCCTGCTTCGGATTCTTCCATTGAGTTCCCTTCGATCTGGGGTTGTTCCTTCGCACGGTCTTCCTGGCCCTCTGACTACCGATCAGTGTTTGATCTCTGTTTCTTGTCTGCTTCAAGAGCCACATCGGAGTCGACATCCATATCACGATATATCGACTACCCAATAGCATGGCCAACAGAGATGATCTCAGACCCCAAGTATTGGGTGTCATGATCACATTCTGGATTCTCACATGGGTCATCGTGGGTCTGCGTGTCTATGTCCGGTATGTGTCTATCTGTCTTGCCATGACTCAATCTGTTATAGGTCGCTGACTTCAATAGCACTTGCATGATCAAGTCTTTCGGCAGGGATGACGTTGCCATGATTGTCACACTCGTTCTGTTCACAGGGTATCTGTCATGTCAGGCTGCAGCAGTAACACATGGTATTGGCAGACACCGCAAAGACATTCCCGACGAAGCTCTGCCTATCGGTTTTGCTGCCTGGATGTTTGCAGAAGTCTTTTATACTGCATCAGCATCTGTTTTGAAAGTTGCTGTCGGCCTGTTCCTGGAGCGAATCACACAGAACAAGACGCACGTTCTCTTCATCCGCATTATGATGGCGGCTACCATGTTGATCGGCACGATCTACTTTTTCGTATGTGGAGGTACATAATTTCTCCAATGGGCAATATGCTAACACTCACAGGTTGCTCTCTTCCAATGTACACCAATCTCGTTCTATTGGGACTTCTCACCAAACGCAAAAGGACATTGCATCAGTCCTATGGTTCTGGTTGTCATCTCGTACGTCGCATCTGTTCTCAATGGAGGCGCCGATTTCTTCTTCGGCATCTTGCCCATCTTCATTGTCAAGGACTTGAACATGAGGAGAAACACCAAAATCGTGGTAGCTGCTATTCTTGGATTCGCCGCTATTGGATCTCTTTCTACCCTGGTTCGCCTTCCTTATGTCAAGCAACTCGGAACCTACAAAGGAGGTAAGGACACTGCACGCTTGAGATTGAAAGTGTAAATGCTGACATATCATCTCAGAGTTCCTCTACACTTCTACTTACATTGCTCTCTGGAGTACTGTCGAGGTGGGCATTGGCATCTCAGCGGCCAGTCTGGCCACCCTCCGGCCCTTGGTTCAGAAGCTCTTCCCTACTCTTCTTCCCGATGCCCCCAGCAGCGGACCCACAAACTCGAATCTCAAATGGTCTACCAAGCAAGGACGAAGAGCAGGCAGAAAGGGCAACCCTCTGGACAGTGCCGAGAACGGCGCAAGAAACAACCACGCCATGATCACTACTGTAACAGGCGCAAAGCCTGTATCTGGGATCCACGACAACAACAGCCAAGAAAACATCTACCTGGCGGAGGATGACAGGGACATGCTACCTCTGAAGACGTGGGACCACGGCATCAGCAAGAGCGTGCAAGTCACCACCACAGAAGAGAGACATGCAGCAGCCTCGAGATCGAGTGGCTCCATTGAAAGCAGCAAGGACTACGCATCAGACGACACGACCTATGTCTACGAACGGGTATAGTCTACAGAACACAAAACGCCCTGGTGGCTGTTCCGTCTTTTCTTTTTCACATATCAGACCAGCGACCGAACAAACCACTTCTTTCCTCGCATACTTTTTAACAACCGGCATCGACAGAACAGTTTAGATACCCACCTTTCTTGAAAACCACTCGTCTAGTCAAGCTACACCTACCTCTAATAACCAAGACAACTTGTTCAAACCTCCACGACTGCTGTATTTCTTCTCACCCTTGTTGCGAAATCTCCACTTTGTCACGGCTTATACGCACTACTGATTCTCTGGTTGCCTAGCCTTGGCTATCACATGCCCGCTGCCCAGTCCTTACCCATGACTCGTGAATACCGGGCGACTAAGACATGGTGCGTAACCTGCCATCCCGCAGAGGTAGATCCAGACAACATCCATTCCCATCCACTACTTGGGATTCGCACCGTTATAGCAAGACCGAGACCATTCTTCGGCCGGAGTGAAACTAGAGAGCAAGCGAGTCAGTGATTCGGTTGTACAATATGTCAACGCCTATTTCAACGAGGAACAAACTCTAAACAAAACATCATCGAACGACTGTATCGCAACTGTTGTTAGCCTTTGTCTTCGCGCTTCTGAGGTCGTCTCTCCGAGAACACTACGATTCGTCGATGGACGGGATGGCAGATGCGTCTAGATTACAGAGAGATGAACATGCTTGACTCATGTACATAGAAGTCCAAGTTGTAATATGTCATGATTAGTAGATAGGTTACATCCCCAAGGCGATTGTCTCTCCCATCCAAGTGTTTTGCCGTCATCACTCGACTCAGACCGGACTCGATGTCCTACAAAATGTCGAACAAGCCATGTCTCATCGCAATGAAAAACAGGCAGGAAGAAGCGTCAAGTGGCTTGCGGAGCTGAAGACCATACGACATACGTGCTGATACAGATGTCACTTGCTCGAGTCAAGGGCAATTGGGAGTCTAGCTGAAGGATTCGAATAGTTGTTGGGGAAGCTGGTTCTTCTGGAGAACCCGTGGCGCTGGGATTGAATAGCGTGGGTTCCGTGCGGTGCTGTACTTTGGCAGATGACAGTCAGCGGCTTGGGTATCCACGTGGTCGTGTGTCAGTGTCAGTGTCAGTGTCAGTTGCTGTCGAAGGGTCGGACTGGACTTGGGAAGACATGTAGATGTTTGATGTACCCCTTTTGGCCGGTTGTCGGCGAAGCCCTGGCCGAGGTCGGGGTTTTGTGGGGAGCTTGGAGAGTGATGAAGCACGAGCTTCTATACAGAGAGCTGAACCTGGCGCGACAGATTATGATGCCTTGAAAGCTATAGCAGATCTGAGCTGGCCTACCAAGTCGGTTCGGTGTGGTAAATTGATTTGGTGGCTTAGTATGGCACGCGACAGCACTTGAACCACAGACGCACCGTCTGCAAGACAGCAAGAAACAGAAACACAAAACATTCAAGCAATGCCCATCAGGCCATTCAGCCTGCCGCCAAACCCGTCGCTGGTGGCTGTTGTAGTCATCATCCGAACGCGATCAGGTCCGCGACTGGTCTTTCATTATCCGGGCACCCCTGAAGCCGTGCAGCGCAATACATCATGGCACTTTGGATCTGCCAATAGCGATTCTGAAGAAGCAAGCTCCTCGGATGACGACCAGACTGTAGTCTCCGACGACGAGAGCACCACGTCTTCACGACAGACGGCAAGACCCAGTATCGCATCGCAGAGCCGTGCTGCTGAGACAATCTCCTCCAGAAGGACTACACGCACATTGCACTCGGATGCCCCAGACAACGACGAGGATGACGACGACCTCGACAACTTGGATGTCGAAGTGCTGGACTTGAATTCTTCGCCTGCCGACAAGCCCACGCCGGCTGCTGCGAGTAATAATGCTTCACACGATCGAAACACCAGTGCCACGCGGCACGAGAACACGACCGATAAGCGGAATACACCCGAATGGGAGAAACTATTGGGATATCCAGTCGAAGGGCTGGAGATGATGCTGTCGCCTCCGTCGAGCATGCACAAGAAGCGCTTCGAGGTCATGCTGGACGATCTCGTGTTTCTCGGATACCCCATCTTTGTGCGCGACGATGGCACCTGGAAGAAGAAGAAGACCAAGAGGAGGGCTTCTACAAAGGACGGAAAGAGCAGTCAGGGAGGCCATGGACAAGAAGACGACGGGAACGACAGTGGCAGCGATAATGAGAACGACGATGATGACGAAGAAGGTGCTGAAGACAACGATATGTTCAGCCCACCTCTATCACCCTTGACACCTCGACGACCACCTCAGAACGGAGATCTACCTGGAAGCTTCCCCTCAGAACCCGCAATGTCCGAAGCTGCCTCGGAGACAGGCAGTGCCAATAGCAATCAGGATGAAATGACCATGTTTCACGTCGTCTTCGTCATGAACCCTCCAGCCTTGGAGTACCATATTCGTCTCCAGGAAATGTACGACAATGTCGTCAAAAAGTTTGCAAAAGCCCTTCGCTACGAGCAAGCACGTTCGAATGCAATATACCAAGATGCAAAGAAGATGCAGTCGCTCAAAGCACAAGCAAAGGAGAACAAAACACCCATGTCTGTGTTATGGCCGACTCTGATAGCTAGCTGTTCTTTGGCAAAAGCAGTCGCTATCCTGTATACCAGCATTGCGAGCAACAAGATTGCGCACATCAGTATTGGTGAAGGATTCGAGGCGAGCATCCAGATTCCACAGGCCATCTCGACACCCTATGTGCCTACGCCTACAGAGCCACAACTACCTGGTCTGTGGCTCACTACTGCCAACAGTCTATCCGACGATGGCCAAAGTCTAAGTCCACACGCAGCTCTTCTGCTACTCGAAGACAAAGACACTATGCTCAAAGAGATCGAAGGTGATGGCAAAGAAGCGGGCTCTCCCCTCGCCTTCTTCATCCGTGAACTCACGCCTACAAAATCTTTGACCAAACTCTCTGCCGCTCTATCTCTACCACTATCAGATGTACAATTCCTCGCTCGTCACCTCATCTACTGGCGTCGTGCTAGAGCGATTCCTCCCCTCCATATCCGCGACTCATACATTGTATCACCCAACTGCGATATGCGTCAACTCACCAAAGCTATGCCGTTATACGCTCAACAATTTTCTGCTCTTCCTTCTCTGCCCAAGATGCTGCAGAACTTGAGTGGCAAGCCCATCCAATATGGCTTTCTGATCCCAAGCAAGGACCACAAACCTGCTTATATGGACATCTTGGCTTGGCTGTTGAGAGGCGGCTGGGCAACGCAACTCCGAACTTTCGCTTGGGTCAAGGTGTCGCCTGCTGTCAAGGTAGCCGTGGCAGTGAAATTGAAACAGGAGTTTGAGGATAGGATGGCCAAGCGACCGCCCTCTGCCCTCAAGACCTCTGCTGCTGCAACACACTCGCGATTGAGCAGCCATAGCGCGGATACCAGACGTATCTCTGAAGACTCGTATGACGGCGGCATCTCAGAGGTTGCGAGCAGTAGATTGAGTGTATCCTCCGCGCAACTGCTTTCGCCTACATTGAGTAGATCAGCCAGCGCTAGCGATGCAGGAAGTAATGGCAGTGGAAGGACAGCTATCCCCCCACCTGCTGGTCCCCAACGCGCAGATACATCGCCGAATTTACATGCGAGTAAGGAATTGGCGCCTTCGTCTCCTTCGGTGTTGTCGAATAGCAGTGTTTCTGGCCACGAAGATGATGCGTCCACCATTCACTCCGCAGCATTGCCTTCGACGGATATCGGGACGTATCGACAGACTTTGGTTTTGTCGCCGCATAAAGCTTCCACGGAGGAAAGTAGATGGTTGGCGCATATTGGGGCGAATCTGGAGGATGGGGAGGTCAAGGAGCATTGGGGTGTTTTGGTCAAGCATTTTGATGGCAAGAGGGCTATGGAGGAGGTTGCGGCTAGAGAGGGCTTGAAGAGGAGTAAAGTGCAGGGATTGTTGCATAAATTGGAGCAAGAGGGTGTGTTGTATATGGTGAGGCATTGGTAGTTTGTGTAGGTATCCATCTAGTCGTTTGAATTGTGCTTTTATCTTGCAGCTTCACGAGGTCCTCTGTCTTACGTCCCTGTCTTCTCCTCTCAATCCACCTAATGCATCTTGCACCAACTCTCTCAACTCCCTCTGTGTCTCTTCACTCTGGAAATCAGGTCGAGCAGCCAACTCGTCAATCCTCCTCCTGAACTCTGGGTCTGGTGCCTCACCAACCTCATCCTCACCCATCGTGCCCAAATCAATCTTGACACCATGAGGCAGCGGCGGCGGAGCACCAATGCCATTTGTGCTTTGACTCGTGCCATCAGCAGCTTGTTGCGCGCTCGGCATCCCCGTCTGCGCCAGTATAGACGCAGCAGCACCTCCCGGCACCAAGCTCGCCAAATACGCAGCCACCTCTGGGAAATCACCCTCTTGCTCAAACTTTTCTGCCGCCGTTTGGCCTTCTTCGTTGCGGAGGGTTGGGTCGACGTTGCATTGCTCGATGAGGAATTTGGCCATGTCTGGTGTTTCGACGCTGAAGAGACAGGTTTCGCCGTCTTCGTCGGTGAGATTTGGGTTTACTGAGTAGGTGGAAAGCAGGGTGCGCAGGACATCCGGGTGGTTGTAGGAGGCGGAGGCGTGGAGGAGGGAGTAGCCGTGGCGGTCTTGTTGTGAGGCTAGATTGGGTCGGGATTGGAGGTGTTGGAGGACTTGGTCGGGTTTGTCGACGACGAGATTGAGGAGTCTGTCGATTGTTTGCGCCATGGTGTTATTTTTGTGTTGAGTGTTTGGTGTGAGTGAATGAGTAGAGTGATTGAAGAAGTCCTTGGTTGGCGGCAGGCGGCGTCTAGAGCTCTTTCTTTTTCTGATGTCAGGGTGTTGCCCCTCGTTCGAGAAAAGTTGCCCGTTCGTGACACCGCGCGAGTCATGTGCTCGGTGTCGACATCTTCACAGGTTGATCTGGTCCAATTCGAGTTGTTTGTGAACAAGACTGATCAAAAGGTGGATCTCGTCAACCCTTTACGAGCCACAGTCTGATTAGAGTCGTGCTAACTGCCGCAGCGGTGGAAGATTGGTGTGGAAATAGGAAGGAGCAATCTAGTCTCATCCCACCGCATCTCCGCTAATGACTCGAAAATTCAATTCGCGCTTAAACACTTTCTTGCCATCCATCAGCATTCCATCACACATAAATCTCATCCATTTCCTCTTCTCATCTGAGCCTTGATCCAACTAATCAGTCATGGCTCACAACGATCAGGCTCCCTACCGTCCTCAGGATGCCCATGAGGTGTCTGAGATGATCCGCGGCCTGTCCAGCCATCTCAAGGGCAAAGATGGAAAAGGCGGTTTCTCATGCAGAAAGGCTACCTTCAAAGTAACAAACTCCAAAATCAGTGTCGACTCCTGGAAAATGCAGGATTGGGACTACAAGAAGCCCAACCTTCCCACTTATGCCAGAGGTCTTTTCACAACCACAAACTCAAAAGGTGAACCTGAGATTGTGACTAGAGGATACGACAAGTTCTTCAACCACGGCGAAGTCAAGAAGACCGAGTGGAAGAACGTCGAGGAGAACACAAAAGGTCCTTATGAGCTCAGTGTAAAGGAAAACGGTTGCATCATCTTCCTTTCTGGTCTCGAGGACGGCTCTCTTTTGGTCTGCAGCAAGCACTCGACTGGACCGCGTGATGATGCGAATCTCAGTCACGCCGTGGCCGGTGAGAAGTGGGTTGACAGGCACCTTGCTTCTGTCGGAAAGTCAAAGAAGGATTTGGCTGCCAAGCTCCGTGCCATGAACGCAACTGCTGTCGCCGAGCTGTGTGATGATGAGTTCGAAGAGCACGTCCTGGCATACAACCCCGAAACTGCTGGTCTCTACCTTCACGGCATCAACCTCAACCTTCCCGAATTCGTCACATACCCTCACCACCTTGTCGATAGGTTCGCATCGGAATGGGGATTTAAACACACCATGTTCATCACAGAGACCGACATCACCAAGGTTAAATCTTTCCTAGACAAGGTTGCAGAGACTGGAAGCTATCACGGCAGAGAGACAGAGGGCTTTGTTGTCAGATGTCAGGCCCGAGAGACCCCTGACACACCATTCGAGGACTGGTTCTTCAAGTACAAATTTGAGGAGCCCTATCTCTTGTACAGACAGTGGAGAGAATGCACAAAAGCCATCATCAGTGAACGACAGCCCAAATACAGGAAGCACAAGGAAATCACCGAGGAATACCTCCACTACGCTCGCAAACGACTGAGAGAAGACCCCAACCTTGGAAAAGAGTACAATCAGAACCATGGCATCATCAAGCTTAGAGACGACTTTTTGGCGGAACGTGGCCTGAAGGGCTCCGACATCATACGTGCGGAGCTCGAGAAGGGTAATCAACATGGTATGGGTATCGACCGCAATGTGGTTCTCGTACCTGTTGCTACCATCGGTTGTGGAAAGACTACCGTCGCACTTGCGCTCTGCAAGCTCTTCGGATGGGGACATATCCAGAACGATAACATCACTCACAAGCCCAAGCCTCTGAAATTCGCACAGGCAATCTGTGATGGGCTTATTGACTACCCAGTTATGATTGCCGACAGAAACAACCACCAACGTCGTGAGAGAACGCAGATCTTCGCCGATGTGTCAAGAACTGTTCCTCAGGCTCATTTCGTTGCTCTCCACTACGTTCACGACCGCGCCAACTACGATCAGATCAAGCAGGCTACACGAGAGCGTGTGCTGACCAGAGGAGACAACCATCAGACCATTCAGGCTGGTTCAAAGGGACAGCACGAGATTATTGGCATCATGGATGGCTTTATGTCGCGTTTCGAGCCCGTCAGGGCTGAGCGTGAGCCTGACAATGCTTTCGAGCTTATCATCGATCTGAATGTTGCAGCTTCGTCACGCGAGAACTTGGAGACTGTTGTTTCTCAGCTTAGTGCAGAGTTTCCCAAGCTCTTCGGCACAATGCCTTCTGCTGAAGATCTCGACAAGGCAATCGAGGCAGCGCTCAACGACTACAAGCCTGATATCAAGCACGAGATCGGTGGAAGCAACAAATACAAGAACAAGGCACTTCAGCAAGGTCCCAATGGAGCCAACGGACAGACAGCACAGAAGGCTCCTAAGCTCGAGTACTTCAGCGCGACACTAGATCCCAAGCGTGTCGTAAGCATCCTTGACGCAGTGTTCCGGGACGCCGACCCCGACGCCGCAAAGACGTATCGTGTGTTGCAGACACAGAACCGTGTTCAGTCAGAATTCCATGTTACATTGATGCACCGTGCATCTGCTTCCCAGAACAAGGAATATTGGCAGCAGCTTACCGAGGCTCACACAGTCGCTGCAAGCAAGCCTAACGCCGCGCCTGAACCGGTTCTCGGCAGCTGCAAAGTGTTGCTGGAGCGTCTTGTCTGGGACGGCAGACTGATGTGCTTTGTCGTCCGCATGATTCCTGACGAGAAGGATCAGAGCGGTATGCAGTGGCGCAGTGTCAACGAGACTGCTCACATCACAGTCGGCACTGTCAGCCCCGATGTCAAGCCCAAGGAGAGCAATGATCTGTTGAAGAGATGGTTGCAGTCTGGTAGCGGAGGCAGCACTGGCATTGGCGAAATAACGATCAAGGGTCACGTCGAGCTTCCTGCTACTGTCAAGAGTGTCTTGCAGAAGCATTGATCTGAGAAGAAAAGGGGAAAAGGTTATGTCTTGATGAACGGTGTTTAGCATTAGAAGGAATCGATGAGTGCAGAATTAAAGGCGGATCGCTAGAAGGGAATGGCTATCAAAGCAGCGTACTCATCTTGTTAGCTCTTTACGCTGAGGCATCAATTCCTCAATAGTATTCAGAATCATAGCGATACGAGTCACAAGTCGTTATCGGTTAGTTTTACCTCCAGTCGTTCGTTCAGCACCGGTTAAATGCACGAATTGCGGGATGGCCGAAAGAAGAAGCCCCCTCCGCAAAAGTCTAACGATGCTCAGACAACGTTCCATGTCGTCTTCCAGAACTTCCTCCTGATTCTTTTGCTTGTTATCGAGGTCTCTTGTCTCTTCGATTGACCAACTCGATACCTACATACCACCGGGAAATTTTGATCTCTGCCAGCGAAGTACGACAACCATTGGACAGGACCTGAAACATCTAGATATCAGAGGCAATCCATCCACCAGGAAACTATCTTGCTCCTCCAGAGAAACCCCCTTCTCGATCTGCAACTACAATGACCGACACTCCCCTCCGCCCGCGAGGCGACCTCCCCTCCGAAATCTCTCCTATCGTAATGGGCGGAGCAGCATGGAGCCACCAAATCAACGCCGACGCCGAGACCCGGCCAGTGATCCCCGTGATCCTCAGCGCCTTTTCTCACGGTATACGCACAATCGACACATCACCCTACTACGAGCCCTCTGAAAAGATTCTGGGCAAGGCTCTTTCTGATGCGGCAATCAGTGCGAAGTACTCGCGAGAGGATTACTTTTTGATGACCAAAGTGGGCAGGATAGCTTCCGAAGAATTCAACTATTCGCCACAATGGGTGAGGCAATCAGTAGAGAGGAGTTTACAGCGTTTTCAGACGACGTATTTGGATGTGGTGTTTTGCCACGACGTCGAGTTTGTTTCTGACAATGCTGTTGTGGCTGCAGTGGCTGCGCTTTGGGAATTCGTGGAGCAGGGTAAAGTCAGGTATGTGGGTATTTCTGGATATCCTATTGAGAAGTTGGTCAGGGTGGCGAAGTTGTGCAAGGAAAAACTGGGAAGACCATTGGATATTGTGCAGAACTGGGGCCAGTTGACACTGCAGAATACGAAGCTCAGGGATCAGGGCCTGGAGGAATTGGGCAAGGCAGGGGTTAAAGTGGTGTGTAGTAGCAGTCCGTTGAACATTGGATTGTTGAGAGCTCAGGGTGTGCCTATTGGGTGAGTGATTTTCTTGAAAGATACTGGACTTTTGTGTGGCGATGGCAAAGAGAGACTAACATACCACATCAGATCTCTGGGGGACTGGCACCCAGCCCCATCTGCTCTGCGACAAGCAACCGCCAACGCAGCAATCCTTGTCGCCTCCCACAACGACGACTTAGCATCCCTAGCTCTCCGCTTCGCTGTCCGCGAAACCGCTCGTCGCGATCCTGGTCTGCCTGCCATGGCATTGATCATGGGACCCGGCAGTGTTGCAGAAGTGGAGTCCTGCGCTGCTGCTGCAAACAGCGTCAAGGATGTCAGCGTCAAAGGCAAGTATGGGGATCTGAGGGATGATATTGTGGTTGATGAGGAAGGAGTTAAAAAGGATCAGGGGTTGGTGGACGGGGTGAGGAGGATTTTGGGAGACTGGGTTGATTACTCATTTGGGAGTCCACCTGAGGGGTGGGATGTCGAGGCTGGGAGGATGGGGGAGGTGTAGAGGGTTTGCGAGTTAGGACGCATGAGATTTCATCACGATGTTTGCAGGCGATGGTAGTGCATGTTTTATCGTGTACAAAAGCATAAGATAGCAAAAAAGAAAAGAGCGTCTAATGGCAACAATTAATATGACTACCGATGTTGATAAAGACCAAGGACCACTAAGTCATTAAGCCAAGATCATCCTAGGATGCCTAATAAGACGCAGAACTTCACGCCAAAGACATAGCTTGACTTTCTGGGCGTGACACAAGTTGTAAAAGGAAGCCGCGACTAGCTATACAACTGCACAGTACCTCAATCATACAATATATCCACCCACAGTCATGATAGACGAGTGTCCTTAACTGATCTATCGTGATCTCATCACCTCGCCTTGTATCCTGCTATTCATCTAGGACACAGCTATATAAATGCACAGTTCCCACAGAAAACGCGAGGCATCCATTGAGATGCCATCTTTCTCAGGCTCTCCTTGGTTACATATCCAATGGAGACATCACTGTGCCTGTCAACAGCGAGATCACCGCTCGTGGGATGAGCGTGGGTGTTCCTATGTGTAAGGAATCGTCCAGTGTGATGGCTTCGGCCTCTCGAGTGTGGTCATGAGAACGGGCAAGAGCCACTGACTTCAGCACGCGAGAAGGCCGTGCTCCGTCTTCATAGTACCTAAATGACCAAGAGATATGCACGGCGAGGGAAGTGCCGTAAATTTCCAAATCGCAGTGATACGCAAGGGCAAATCGTCGTTGGCGGAATTATGCGTCCTTGCTCTTGCGTAAGAATCCTCGTCCAAATACGTGCCCTTGCTTGCATCTGTGACCCATCTCTAAGCTGCTTGGTCCCTTCTCTTTGATCGGATAGACCCAGCCATGGTTGCTGAGGATATCTCCGTCTGCCGAATCACAGTCTGGAGCGGCGAGTAACCAGGTAAGCTCCACATTTGTTAAGGGTGCAGAGGGGAGTCGTGTATGTCAACTTGCACTCATGCCGGACGCCGAAACATGCAACGACTTGGGGCGATAAGTGAGCTTCAGGAGGTCGTGATTCTGTAACTTTGAGACGGGACAAGCAGCGATGGACGTCCTAACAAGGAGCGTCTTCACGAGTCAGTAGATTATAGTCTCAGCAGCAACGATACCAGACCTTTGCAGGTTCACGAACAATGATGCCAGCGATTGTTCCTATTGCAGATCTCACCAGAAGTCGTCTCTCAGGATCGAACATGATGCGTATAGTCGGCAGCAACAAAGCTGGTTTTCACGGTCGCGGTAAGCAAGACAGTCGCTGATAGAGCCTCTTACAAAGGATCATGTAAGTGTGTTGGTAGCTCTCGCCCTTCTCCATGGAGGAGATGATGGCCGAGATGCAAAGACGCGCAGCTGTACTCGAGGACTAGCACCGGAGCTATGTTTTGAGAGACTGACAACGAGACAATGATTGACACCACGGTTTGCAAAGTAATCATTCAGGGTATTTCTTCATGGAGAAAGAACCTCTGGTGGGTTACTTCAGCATACGAGCTCGTACACAACATCGACTTGTGGGCCGTGAGCATAATCCAGACTCACTGCATGAACCCCTGTTGAGCACTTGATCGTTTCTCGGTGATCTTGGCTTGCCCAGGTCAGAAATCGTAAGATAACAGTCACCCCGTTAGGCAGCCATAGTAGCACGAGCACCAGAGGACTACATCGCGTTCTTCGTTGATCGGCGGATAGACGGATACAGACAGCATCCGATGATCAGGAGCGGATGTCGAGACTTCCAGCGGAGAAGAGGAATCCGGACATCTTTGTAAGCTGCATGTCGTGTCGCATACCATACCCCACAATAATGTCCTAGCTTGACAGCTTGCCCTGTATCGACACATGGGTACGATTGAATACGAATAACCACAAAAGTGTTTCGGGTTCCAAGGCATCCAGTTCTTTTCTTGGTAAGCAGAATGGTTCTGAAGACCGTAGAAATTGCTGTGTCTTTGCGATCAGGATAGGGCTTGTTTCTGGATCTGCCATCTTATAGATGGTGATCAAAGCTTCGCGGACGCGTGCTTATACGAGTACGAAGCTGTCAAGAACAACATCCATGTCGTGTGTCCGGGAATTACATTCTTTAATGCTTGTTACAGGTTGCTACCATCGTTTCTGCGACGAGGCTTTTGAGTGTCGATGTTACGGCGAGATTCAAGTAGGGTTCAGCTTCTGGATGCAATCTCCCCGTTTCTCATGCCATATCGTAAAGACGAAAACACAGTACAGCAATTTCCTTGTGCAAATTTTGGTGGGGCGTGAACAGTAGTCAGATGAAACATTCAGGCGAGGCTGCGGGATCCGTGGATGCCGCGAGAATAGAAGCTTCGTATTCGTACAGCTCCAGGGGAAAGCATAGGAACGGCGATCCCGGACGGATAGCATCTATCCGAGAACATTGCCAATCACGTTGAGGAGATTGCCAGAGATGCAGGCCTTTTGCTGCATCTTAGGATCCCTTTTCGAACACCGGCGGGAAGACCTTGCTCCGGTGAGTCTACAAGGTTAGCGAAAAGTGCTGGGCTTTCGTCGTGGAACCGTTGTAGACAGTGTACGAGTAGAAGGAGGAAAGCTGTACGTCATACAAATGATTGCCAAGTCGTCAAGACCGGACAATACAAGGCTCTGTGAGGTTTGCGGAGGACGATTGGGATACCGCCATGCAATTAGCCCAGATCTGACAGCCTAATCTGTGTGCTTTTGGGCCATTGACCGGGAGGATGCGCGTGGGACGATTTTTTGACGACTAGAGTGCTTCTCGGAAGCAGCTGTTCCCGAGCTGGGGGGGTGGAAGTGGGCCTCTCCCGCGCACGGAATACCCTTTTACAGGACAACGTTTGTCCGAGTCGGTTTGGATTGCACCTAGCGCCTCTCTGAGAAGCCGTCATCTACGCTTTTGTTGTCATTGCTTGGGCCTGACGCCTCATCAACTCTGGCAATATTTAGAGTAGCCCGTTCGCCCTCGGATGGCACGTTTGCTTCTTTAGAAAATCTAGCTGCATACCACGACGCATACCTCTACCAGCAGCAATTTCTTGCTTGCACCAAGGGCTCGTCCCTTCTAATATCACCCCAATTAGCTGTAACGACATTTGATAATTCATCAACATGTCGCTCGTTGGTAACTTCGCCTTCAACAACTTCGACGGGCAAGCCCAGAGAGGTGGTGTCAGTGCCCTTGGGGGTACTGCCTTTCAGCATGATGAGCACCACGAACAAGCCGACAACTCGACCCGAGATACACACTTGAACCCTGATCGCCACGCCGAGCATTCACGCATTCCTGCTTCCCGCCAGACCTCGACCACTTTTACTACCGAACAACAAGACTACTCACACTCCGGAATCCACGATGGCACATACTACCCTGACGGTATCCCACCATCAAACGAGAAGATGGAGCTCGAGCCTGCAGAGTCACCATCATCATCCCAGAGCGAAGCTGCATACGAAAGAGACGAGAAGGTTCACGAGATCGCAAGAACATTGAGCCGCACAATGTCACAAGCACCCGACGACCCTTTCACATACGAGGGAGATTCACCACTCAACCCCTCTTCCAGCCATTTCAATGCTCGCGAATGGGTCAAGTCCATGTACAAGCTGAACCAAAGGGAGGGCGTGCAACAACGTACCGCTGGTGTTGCTTGGAAGAATCTCAACGTCCACGGTTTCGGTGCCGATTCAGATTACCAAAAGACTGTCTCCAACATTGCCCTCGAGGTCGTTGGCGGAGTCAAGAAGTTGATGGGTCTCGAGAAGCAGAGAAGAATTGATATTCTTCGCGACTTCGAGGGTGTTGTCAACCCTGGTGAGATGCTGGTCGTGCTCGGCCCGCCCGGTTCTGGATGTTCGACGTTCCTCAAGACAATCGCTGGAGAGACCCACGGTTTCAATGTCGACAAGGACTCTTACCTCAACTACCAGGGTGTCGAAGCCAAGGACATGAACACCAAATACCGTGGTGAAGCCATCTACACCGCTGAGGTGGACGTCCACTTCCCGAACATGACAGTAGGCGACACTTTGTACTTCGCAGCCCGCGCTCGTGCTCCTCGCACCATCCCCGGTGGCCTTTCAAAGGTCAGATGGGCCGAAGTCAACAGAGATATGATCATGGCCACTTTCGGTATTTCTCACACCATCAACACTCAGGTTGGAAACGACTTTATTCGTGGTGTTTCCGGTGGTGAGAGAAAGCGTGTCTCGATCGCTGAAGCCGCATTGAGCGGTGCTCCTCTGCAGGCGTGGGACAATTCGACTCGTGGTCTCGACAGTGCCAACGCTGTCGAATTCTGTAAGACGCTGCGTCTCTCCTCCGAGTTCTTTGGTACCACTCCCATGGTCGCCATCTACCAAGCACCCGGTGCTGCTTACGACCTCTTCGACAAGGTCGTCGTACTGTACGAGGGACGTCAAATCTTCTTCGGTGGCACCACCGAAGCAAAGATTTACTTCGAAAGCCTTGGGTTCGAGTGTCCAGACCGCCAGACCGATGCCGATTTCCTTACCTCCATGACTTCAGCTCAAGAGCGCGTTGTCCGTAAGGGCTGGGAGAGCAGAGTGCCTAGAACTCCCGATGAGTTTGCTGCTTGCTGGAAGGCTAGCCCTCAGCGCGAACGCCTCCTACAGCAGATCGATGAATTCGGCACAAAATACCCCTTCGGCGGTCAATCAACCGAAGTATTTGCTGCATCGCGCAAGGCTCAAAAGGCCAAGGGCCAGCGCACCGCCTCTCCTTATACCTTGTCTTACGCCCAGCAAGTCAAGCTGTGTCTTTGGCGTGGATTCCAGCGTCTCATTGGAGATCCCAGCTTAACATTCACACAATTGTTCGGCAATTTCATCATGTCCTTGGTCATTGGCTCTCTCTTCTTCAACCTCGACAACGGCACCGACTCTTTCTACAGCAGAGGTGCTCTTCTCTTTTTTGCCATCTTGATGAACGCTTTCGGTTCCGCTCTCGAAATTCTGACCCTCTACGCTCAGAGACCCATTGTCGAAAAGCACTCTCGCTATGCTCTCTACCACCCCTCTGCTGAGGCTTTCGCTTCTATGCTTACGGACATGCCTTACAAGATTCTGAACGCAATCGTCTTCAACCTGACACTCTACTTCATGACCAACCTTCGCCGCGAACCTGGAGCATTTTTCTTCTTCCTGCTCATCTCCTTCTTCCTGACTTTGACCATGAGTATGTTGTTCAGAACAATCGCATCGGTCTCGCGTACCTTGTCTCAAGCCATGGCTCCTGCAGCTATCTTGATCTTGGCCATTGTCATCTTCACCGGTTTCACCATTCCCACACGCTACATGCTTGGATGGAGTCGATGGATCAACTACCTTGATCCTGTCGCATATGGATTTGAGGCTCTCATGATCAACGAGTTCCACGGAAGAGATTACCCTTGTTCAGCACCTGTCCCTCTTTACGGTACCTACGATCAATCGACCCAGGTCTGTAGCACAGTTGGCGCGATTGCGGGCCAAAACTTCGTCAATGGCGACGCTTACATCAACTCGTCGTTTGGATACTACCACAGCCACAAGTGGCGCAACTTCGGAATCGTAATCGCTTTCATGATTGGCCTCATGTGCTTCTACCTGGGAGCTACTGAGTTGATCTCGGCCAAGAAGTCCAAGGGTGAAGTCCTTGTGTTCCGCAGAGGTCACGCACCTGCTGTCCTCACCAAGAACTCCGCCGACGATATTGAGGCCGCTGGTGCTGGTCAAGCTGTTGCTGAGAAGCATCAGGGCGACACTGCGGCCACCGACATCATCCAAAAGCAGACTGCCATCTTCCACTGGGAGGATGTTTGCTACGACATCAAGATCAAGAAGGAAGATCGCAGAATCCTTGACCATGTCGATGGTTGGGTCAAGCCTGGTACTTTGACTGCCCTGATGGGTGTTTCAGGTGCAGGCAAGACTACCCTTCTCGATGTACTGGCCACTCGTGTAACTATGGGAATTATTTCAGGCGATATGTTTGTTGATGGACGCTCCCGTGATGACTCCTTCCAGAGAAAAACCGGTTATGTTCAACAGCAGGATCTCCATCTTCAAACTTCGACCGTTCGTGAGGCTCTGAACTTCAGTGCCCTCCTCCGTCAACCCGCACACGTCTCCCGTCAAGAGAAGCTCGACTATGTCGACGAGGTTATCAAGCTCCTCGACATGGAAGCCTATGCTGACGCTGTTGTCGGTGTTCCTGGTGAAGGTCTCAACGTCGAACAACGTAAGCGTTTGACCATCGGTGTCGAACTCGCTGCTAAGCCTGAACTACTTCTTTTCCTTGATGAACCTACCTCTGGTCTTGACTCGCAAACCTCATGGGCTATCTGTGATTTGATGGAGAAACTTACCAAGTCTGGACAGGCCATTCTCTGTACCATTCACCAGCCTTCTGCCATGTTATTCCAGCGCTTCGATCGTCTTCTCTTCCTCGCCAAAGGTGGCAAAACTATCTATTTCGGTGAGGTGGGCAAGGGCTCGCACATTCTGACTTCCTACTTCGAACGCAATGGTGCCTTCAAGTGCCCTCCGGATGCCAACCCTGCCGAGTGGATGCTCGAGGTTATCGGCGCAGCTCCTGGTTCTCACACTGATATCGACTGGCACCAGACCTGGCGCGACAGCGAGGAGTACCGTGAGACCAAGGCTGAGCTCGCCAGACTCCACCACGAACGTCCTCAGCAAACTCAGCCCTCGACCGACCCTAACGATCAGACCAGCTTCCGTGAGTTCGCTGCACCTTTCGGTGTTCAGTTCATGGAGGTTACCAAGCGTGTGTTCATCCAGTACTGGAGAACCCCCAGTTACATCTTCTCCAAGCTCGCTCTGTGTACCTTCTCCGCTCTCTTTATTGGATTCGTGTTCTTCAAGGCCCCGAACTCTCAGCAAGGTCTTCAGAATCAGAGTAAGTCAAGCAAGAACCTTCATCTTTCGTGTGCGGAGGGTTGTGTGCAGCTATGAAAATGCACAGTGGTCTCGAGAAACAGGAGTGCATCCATTGAGAAGCGACATTACGTCTGCTCTCTTTGGACCCGTCCCTCATCTTGGAACCATTGTGCCTTCTCATAGCGAGGACGTCGCCCTGTGCTCTCGTAGGAGATAATGGGAGTTACCAACTTGAACGTAAAAACAATACTGACTTTACATCTAGTGTTCTCCATCTTCATGCTGTTCACCATCTTTGGTCAACTCGTCCAGCAGATCATGCCCCACTTCGTCACCCAGCGTTCTTTGTACGAGGTTCGCGAGCGCCCTTCCAAGACCTACTCCTGGAAGGCTTTCATGCTGAGCAACATTATCGTCGAGCTGCCCTGGAATTCTCTCGGTGCCGTGATCATCTTCTTCTGCTTCTACTATCCAATCGGCCTGTACCGCAACGCTGTTCCTGACAACCAAGTCACGGAGCGTGGTGGTCTCTTCTTCCTGTTCGTCTGGCAATTCCTTCTCTTCACCTCGACTTTCACCAACATGGTCATTGCTGGTATCGATCTCGCTGAGACCGGTGGTAACATTGCCAACTTGATGTTCTCCTTGACCTTGATCTTCTGTGGTGTCCTTGTCGGACCTACCGTAATGCCTGGCTTCTGGATCTTCATGTACCGCCTGTCGCCCTTCTCTTACCTCGTCGACGGTATGCTGTCTGTCGCGGTCGCCAACACCAACGTGGTCTGCGCCTCCAACGAGTACCTCAACTTCAGATCACCCGCAGGTCAGACTTGTGGTGAGTTCATGGATCCCTGGATTGCTTCATATGGTGGTTACCTCCAGAACAACCAGACCTCGGACTGCCAGTTCTGCCAAATCGCAGACACAAACTCTTTCCTTGCCGCAGTCAGCTCTTCATACAGCCACCGCTGGAGGAACTTTGGAATAATGTGGGCTTTCATCATCTTCAACGCATTTGCTGCTGTCGGTATTTACTGGCTCGCTCGTGTGCCCAAGAAGGCCAAGAAGGCAAAGAGCGAGTAAGCGGTTACTTGCTTGATTGTTCTCGTTTCTAGACTACAGTTTTCGACTTCTCCCCTTTTGGGATAGAGGTGCCTTTTGCATTTTGGCGATTCTTGTTCTATTCATTTGCTATAACTTGTTTATACCCTGTCTTTTCCCTATACTAGAGGATTACATATTGCAAACTACACATTTTACTATCTCAGCACAGTCTCTTTGCTTCTTACCTTCTTCTGTATGTGATGACTTGATTCAAAGCAGTAAGACCAGTCAAAAGATCGCTGTAGGCTGCAGCTGCGTCGGTCGCTCTGCAGTTGCCTCGTTTTTTGGATGATGGCCATCCAATCATCCAGTCTCTCAGCACGTGGGATGCGGTGTCTCGCCCGCTCACGTCTTTGTCACCCCGCAGCGGACATTCTTCGCACCTTCTTGTTAGGTCTGGTAACCAATACCATGCGACACCGCGGCTGATCGGTGCCTAAACGCTAGATATTATGACTGTCCGAGACAACAGCGCATACCAAGCTGTTCATGCAGAGAGACGTGGTGCATTCTGATAAGCCGCAAGCAAACGACCATACGCGACTGCCGCCTAAAGAATGACTGCAGAAGCGCCGACCTCTGAGACGCGGTGAGTTGTTGATGTGGTAGCTGTAAATTGTTTATAAGTCAGGCATCTGTGGTTCTCTTGCTTCAAGTGCGTTCCTTCTCGTCACACATCTACAGTGGACAAGTCCGTGAATTGTCTGCAGTGTTGGACTACTTGACGACCTGCTTTGGACACCGCCACAGGACGTGCAATCACCCCTTCACCCCGCTCATTTTTACTCATACAGCCTCATCGGCCGTTCAGTCGTACGGCATGGATCTGTTCTATCTCGGTCGTCAGCTTATCACTGCTTTACCATCTGGAAATGGCACAGATGTCACCGATCTGCCCATCAAACTCCTCGAGGCATTTGTCCCGGGTTACAGTCTCTTCGCTAATGCTGCGCAACAATGGCTCGGCTTTGACCTCCGTTTGATCATGAGCTGTATCGCCTTCTTCTTCATCGCCAAGAGTACCGTCGACTTTGTCTGGTCTCGTGTCTACAAGACCTTGCTGGACTACTTTACAAGCTCTGTGCACATTGATGGCCGTGACGACTTGTACACTACTGTTCTTGAATGGATTTCAGCTACACGGCCTGATCTCTCGAAACGGTCGCTTACTGCTCGTACCCAGTATGGGAACCAGTACGACTCGGATGATGAGGAAGAAGCCGATGCATACATGCTCGCCAAAGTCGCCGTCGGTGATCACGGATACTTCAACTTTTCGAAAACTGCCTCGAGGGTTCCTCCTCGCTACGAGCCTGATCATGGTCAATTCTGGTTCTCGACTCCACACGGTACTTTTCAGTTCAAAAAGAATGAGTATACTACTCGTGGCAGCGATGGCCTTGAACACATGGAGTCTTGCATCGATCTTAGTTGCATTGGCCTCACCACCAATCCGATCAAGCTGTTGCTCAACAATATCAAGGCATGGACTGTACGTAAAGAAGGTTCCAAGACCATCATTCGCGTACCAGCAGACGAGCGCTGGAATGGATGGATGAGAAGCTCTGAGCGTCCATCCCGCAATCTCGACACTGTGATCCTCGACCCAGAGCAAAAGTCACGTATCCTGCAGGATATGAATGAATACCTGCACCCTCTGAGCTCAAAGTGGTATGCTTCTCGTGGTATCCCCTATCGTCGTGGTTACTTGTTCTCTGGTCCCCCTGGAACCGGCAAGACGAGTTTGAGTTTCTCGCTTGCTGGTATCTTTGGTCTGGATATCCATATCATCAATCTGATGGATCCTTCCATGTCTGAGAACACTTTGTCAAAACTGTTCAACAACCTACCAAAGAGGTGTATCGTCTTGTTTGAAGACATTGATGCAGCTGGTATCAAGAAAAGAGTGGATGAGTCGGATTCCGAATCTGACGCCAAGCGTGCATATGATGATAAAGATGCATCAAAGGCAGAGATTGGGAAAGGCAAAAGCAAAAGCAGAGGTCGTGCCGTGGTCAAGGAACAGGTTGTCACCAATGGCTCAGCAAGGTCAGCTAGCCCACGTATTGGTGCAGTCGAAAACCACGTCAACGGCGATGCGAATCGAGATATCGACTCAATCACTCCCACAGATATCAGCCAGACCAAGTCCCTCGTCGCTACCAACGGCAAAAGTGCATCTCAAGCTTCACACAACGACACAGGAAACACCTCTCGCTCTCATCAACGCCGCAATGACAGTCCCCTCACCGTGGACTCCCTCGCCCGCGCCCTCATCGCAGCAACCCGCCGTGCCGACTCTACCTCACCCTCACCCTCTCCCCCTCGCAAACGTCACCGCAAATCCAAAACCTCCACCGACACCGACAACGAATCCAAAATCTCGCTCTCCGGTCTGCTCAACGTAATCGACGGCGTAGCAACCCACGAAGGCCGCATCCTCATCATGACAACCAATCACCCAGAAAAGCTCGACCCGGCACTAATCCGCGCGGGCAGAGTAGACATGCAAATCTCATTTTCTTACGCCACGGCCTCGCAGATCAGGAGTTTGTTTTTGAGAATGTATGCTGGAGATAACGTCCCTAGCGTCACTGCAAAAGCAAGCGGACTGAAGACTGAGCCGATGGTGGAGGTGGCAGGAAAAATTGCTGGATCCGGTGATGCAGAGCCCCCGCTTGCGAAAGAGGAGTTGGAGGATTTGAGTGTGAGGTTTGCTGCTGAGTTACCTGAGGGCAGGTTTGCTCCGTCTGATGTGCAGGGGTATTTACTCTTGTACAGGAAGAAACCTAGGGAGGCTGTTGATAAAGTTGGGGTTTGGAGGGATGCGAAGCTGGTCGATATGGCTGAGAAGGAGAAGAACAAGTCGGCTGGGAAGAAGGTGAAAAGGACTTGATGCGATATTCATAACTAGTACTTGAGCGTTGAAAAGCATCAAAAGTGAACTTCACCATTACAGATTTGGATCCAGGCTTCGCAAGTATTATGAGAATGATGTAAAATATATTCATGGTCATGATATCGCTAATGAATCGCTAATAAAGAAAGGTATTAAAACACAGAGCCAAATGGAATGCTTTTGCTCGTTAAATCGTCTCACGACATCCAAGCCCAAAACTTGCCCAGGATAGTCGTCGGCACAGGCTCATCGAAGACTTGCTCATCAATCTCCTTTCTCCCCGAATCGATATCGGCCTCGGCGGGTCTGACAAATCTCGGTCTGACGATCGCCTTGTGGCCAATGTACAGTACAACGAACAGAATCAAACTGATATATGCGATGAAAAAGCCTGACGTGCTCCAAGGGATGAAAGCGGTGAATCCTTGCGTGAAGATGATCAACACCCAGAAGAAGAGTCCGTAGTAGGTGAACCATGGCTGGAGCATAGCCTTGTAAGGCAAACTATCTCTGGAAATGCCCTTTGCTCTGAGGATTCTCATAAAGCACAGGTGAGAAAGCAGGATACATGCCCAAGCGATGAAGCCCGCAACACCAGAAATCTGAATGAGCCAGTTGAAAGCAACACTACCTCCGGAAGAGACATTCATGAAGCCGAGGAGACCAAAGAGCGAAGTAAATCCAATGGCGTAAACAGGCACCTGACCCTTGGTGACCAGGAACAACTTGGGAGCGAAGCCTTCTCCAGCAAGTCCAACGAGAATTCTAGATGCAGAGTAGACGTTCGAGTTGGCAGCACTCAACACAGTGCAGAGCAAAACAGCGTTGATTAAGCCTGGGAGAGTCTTGACACCAGCAAGCTTAGCTGCGATGACCAGAGGCGAAGCAGTGGCATCACTACCACCAGCACGCAATTGCTCGTTGTCGTAGGGGACCAAGAGACCAATGAAAAAGATGGTGAAGACGAAGAAGAAGATGATGCGGAAGAAAGTCTTACGGATTGCAGCAGGAATAGTCTTGCGAGGGTTGTATGTCTCTCCGGCCGCGACTGCAACCAACTCGGTTCCAGAGTACGAGAAACCAGCTTGGATCAAAACACTCCAGAAACCGACGAACTTGGCCAGAGCGGTGCTTCTGCCACCATCGACGAGGTACGGTGCAAAGGCACCTGGATGTCTCCACGTTTCGAAACCAAGGTATCCGTGTTGACCGGCTCCGGCATCGATGCAGATAGCGAAGATCATGAACCCGAGGACGGTAATGACCTTGATCAAAGCGAAGTAGAACTCAATCTCTCCGTAGAACTTGACTGGCATGAAGTTGGCGGCGGTGATGACAATCCAGAAGCAGCCGATGAAGATGGCTTGACTCAAATCGGGTCGCCAGTATTGGATAATGATACCACTCGCAGTGAGTTCGAGAGCGTAACATGAAGCCCAGGCCCACCAATAGATCCAGCCCATAGAAAAACCGAGCGAAGGGTCGACGAAACGGCTGGCGTATGCGGTGAAAGCTCCAGTGACAGGGAGGAATGCACACATCTCTCCAAGGGACACCATAACAGAGTAGACCAACGTGCCAACGAATGCATAGGCAATGAGAGCTCCGGCGGGGCCTGCGTTGGCGAGAGCTGTTCCTGATCCAATGAACAATCCGGTACCAATAGTACCACCTGATTGATCGTGATTAGTGAAAAGTAGAGAAGGTATCATGCTCAGGTAAAGGTACCAATGGCAATCATCTGCAAATGTCTAGACTTGAGCTGTCTAGACAGCTGATGTGTGGTTCCTCGCTCGACAGCATGAGTCAATGAGCCCGAACTCGAGTCCCAGGCGTTCTTCTCATTGACATCGAACTCCTTTGGTGGTTGTGCTGCCATAGCATTCGGTATAGTGTTGTCCGGCATGGTTCGTATCGGCAATCGACTTCCTCGTGAGTAAGGTTGTGGTATGAGTTGAAACAGTCAGAGAAAGGCAAGTGAAAAGCGACGAAATCATCGTGCAGGGCCGACTTGGCCCAGCTCGGACCGTAAAATTTGCCTGATGCTGTCAGACCATTTCTCAGTACGTAAAATTCTGTAGATTCAACGTTGGGTCCCCAGGATTTTCTCGAGGTGGAGCTCGGTCTTTGACCGACGGTAGCCGATGTCGTTGTCTGGATCGATAATTGCGTGAGGAGCATCAAAGGAAGGACGAGTGGAAGGACTCAAGGAGAGGACTTGATGAATGTGGATGCGAGATTGGTGAGAAATGTCAAGACCGATCATGTCGCGACATCGGAGAGGAAGTTGAGTCTCGAGACAGGGCGAGCGACAACTACGAGCGCCTACATTGTGGAGAGCGTGGAAGATGGAGCGCTCGCAGCAAACATTGCGAAGATGAGACTGAAGGGACAAAGTTGTATACGCTCGCTGATCTCTAGTAGACTCCGAACATCGCTGGTTGGCTCCTTGTCGAGATTCAAGAGGTAGGAACGTGGACTGGGAGGAAGCGCTCAACAAGGTCCGCGCGCTTGCCCTCGTTCCTTGGCAGTCCTGTCGCGAGTCATGAGCTGTTCCTCGTCATTGTCGTACATCAAGGTTGGAGAATGCATCACCAGCGCGTGCAATGTAACGCGTTGGTGATATGCTCATCTCAGTTCAAAGCCTTTACGAAGAACACCCTCTCGAACCCGTCCTCAGACCACCTCCCTATCTCCTTATACCCGAGCTTAGTATACAAAGCTACGTTCTCCACCATCTTGATATTGGTATAGAGACAACAATTCTCCAGTGCCTTTTCCTTAGCCACGTCTTCTGCAAACGCTAGCAAGAGTTTTCCATAGCCTTTCCCTTGTGACGAAGGGTGGATGGCTAGATTATTGATCTCCAATGCGCTGTCGTGGCTTGTGCTGGCGCATAGAGAAATACAGCCTATGACTGTTTCGTTGGCAATCAGGGAGTAGAGAAACGAGGAGTTGATCAGAGATGCATAGTCTGCGGTCATGGGCGCTGGAAACTTGCCATCCAGGCGAGGGATGTAAGGCGAATAGGCTAAAGAGACCAGAGTGCTTGTTGCCGGGAGGTCGGAGGAGGAAGCTAGTCGTATCGTGGTTGCGCCGGTGGATGACATTGTCCCATTAGTGCGATCTATAAAAGTGATTGAATTGACAGTATTCGAAACAACGAACCGACTGCGAATGTGGTCCTGTTTATGTGATTGATGAGAAGGGAAATGGCTGTTTTCAAGCATTGACGAGGCTCTTAGCTGTGACTCAGGGTGCCGAGTCACATGTGCATAAGATAAGGTGGACATGTTCTCCAGAATCGTTCGTGCCAACTCTGCTGCTCGATGAGAGATTATATAATAGTCCCAAGGATTGACGAAGACTTATGCATCTCGGTAGACATCGGCGCGTAGCTGGATCGCCTTCGCGATGACAAGGCTCTACTGGCGAAAGTGAGATAGTAACCGGGCTTGCTGATGTATAAACCCGATTTATGCATAAATTCACAACCACTGCCTTTACCACACGACTAACACTTGGATATCAGCTAAATGATTTCTACTACACTCACGGTACGAATTCAGATGCTGGAAAGCAGTTATAGATCGGTGAGAATGGTCTTCTACACGTGATAGTCAATTCGAACAGGGTCACCCCGGAATCATGCCAACATAGTCGTTTCTCGACCCTGAACTCAATCACAAATCATCACTGAGACCATGACAATATATTAATTCCGTATTGAGCCCTCACAAACGAGCATGGAACCAGTGTACTCGCCTGTAGGAGATGTAATTGGTGTCCCTCATAATCGACACTGAGGAAGCGGGGTCGCAGCGCCTCGTGCAAACAAGATCCTGAGCGAGGGCGGAACAGAACCGAAGAGAGAGAGTCAAGCTTATTGGATGCCCTCTGCAGGCCTTGGGCCAAGTACTCGAAAGGTAAATCAGACGTCAAGTCTCGACATCAACTTATAAGACAGCATACAGCATATACTGAATCACCCAGAGACATGTTGCATAGTAGAGTAATCTTTGTAGAAGGATTTGTATTGTTTTTGGGTATGCTTCCTTTGAGCAGATGTGAAGAAGGCAGAAGAAAACGCTAAATATACAACTGACAAAGCGGTAAAATCGAGGTATCGTCGCAGAAACGAAGCTGCTGCCTCAAGGTGGGTCTAATCTTTCTAGTCATGCAAATGCGCTTCCATCCGAAAAGCAGCGTCTATAGTGTATCGCAGGTGGTGTATGTGTCTATTGTCCTCCTTTTTGTTTCCTTTGTCTTTATTGATTGGTGTATGGGTATCGAAAGTGTCGTTTACTCGGAGGTCTTAAAGGTCATGCGTTCCTCAGTCTGGAAAGGAACACCGAGCTCGAAGAGCTTCATGACGACGTTGGAGAAATCGTGCATGAAGGCGTCGTTGTCCTTAGCGTACTTCTCAACGTAGGACTTGAAGCTCTTGTCCTTGATCAGAGCCATGTCGGTGGGCAACATCATGAGGGTCTTGGTGGAGACATCCTCGAACTGCTTGGGGCCGTCCCACTTCTTGTAGGCCCACTTCTCTTCCATGAGGAGCTTGTAGTAGTCGTTGGTGAGGACGGTAGGGGAGAAGGTCCAGGGGCCAGAGAAACCGGAGCGGTCAGTGTGGCAGCGGCCGAGAGCGTGGGCACCTGAGAGAGCGACGATCTCCTGGTCGTTGAAGCCCATGCGGTTGAAGATGGCGCGGAGGTGCTTCTGTTCCTTTGAAGCGTCAGGGAGACGACCGTCGGGAGTGCAGTAAGAGACGTCGCGGTCGTTGCGGCCGGGTCTCCAGGGGATCTTGGGGCCCTGCATCTCCTGGATGGCAGCAACACCAGCGAGGGTCCAGAGGTCGGAGTAGGTGATCCAGGGGAACTCCTTCTGGACAGGGTCGAGGAAGTCACGGGCAGCGTGAAGACCGGCGTTAGCACCGTGGTCACCCTCAGGAGGGAATCTCATGGTAGCACCGTTGCTGCCACCAGTCTTGGTCTCGGCGTCATAGGTACCACTGGCATGCCATGCGAGACGGACGAGGACGGGTCCGTATGAGCCGTCGTCGTACTCATCGTGCTCAACGAGCAGCTGGGCAATCTTGTCGTAAACCTTTTGGTAATCCTCCTGCTTGGGAGTGAAGACACCGGCAGCCTTGGCCTGCTCAGCGCCGTTCATGTAGTAGAAACCAGCACCACCAGCAAGAGCAGCAACAACACCACCGATGAGGAGGCCATTGCCACCCTTCTTAGCACCAGCGGCATCAGCGTAGCCACGGCGGCTCGATTGAGCGAACGTAGTGCGAGGGACGAAGGTGGCGCTTCTCTTCAACGAAGATGTTGCAGGCGAGCGCAGAGCGCGAGTGAAGGATCTGGCAGCGGAAGCCATTGTAGGTATGTGCAAGAGATATTAAGATAGAGAGGAGAAAAAGACAAACACACTCGGGGTATCACGAAGAAGGGAAGAAAGATGAACAGGGACAGGGGAGAGCTGTAGATTTCCCGGCAACTTGTCAATAATATATGGGACCGCCGCCATCTGATAGCGCATGGGCCAGATAAATCATTGTCGCTGACAGAAAGTTGTCAAAGCCTTCGCCCTGATTCGATAAGGCACTCCGGACGGCAACATCCAGACCCACCATCGGGGTGTCTTATCTCTGGATATCGGCTCTCGGTATGCTCGTCGCTGGGTTACCCTATATCGCGTAAGCACCGAGGCCTCAGAACAAAGGCGCTTCTGCGTGATTCCGCTCGTTTTAGCAGTCATCATAGAAAACCGTCCATGGCGAGCGGCATTTGCCATCCAAATTTTTTATTCTTGACAAAGACTTTGATGGAGCAACCGGCAAAGCTGCAACGCGCATTCTGTGATTGGCAAGTCGAACCTTCCACCTGCTGGCAAATCCCGTCACGCAAGGACGAAAGTCGCAGATCCCGAGACTCGCGCGTACCTGCATTTGAAACGGCCATCGTCTATGGTCGCTTTCGCGATGGACTTCCTTGTCCTTGTACAGCGCATGTCTGTACTTTTGAGGATAACTTGTCCAGCCTCGGGTGCTCGCCTCTTTTTGAAGCTGCGTAGGATGGTATTTCTTAACAACACCGTCATAGCCTCCCAAACACGTCCATAACATTTGGTTCTTCTCTGTATCGCACCTGCCTTGGGCTATGTACAAATCGTGTACGCTAGATTGGCTGAGAACAACTTCTCTGCCATAGCCTTGAGATCAGTCTGGTTCATGAAGACTCGTGGGCAATGCATCTACACGACTGCTAGCTATTAAGCAGATCTTGACTATAAACACGGCCTGTCCAAACGATTCGCAGCATCTGTGTGGGGAGATCGACCCGCGTGCTGGCCAGAAGACCATGCGCGAGGGTCGACTTGATCGCTTCAGATGACCTCAAGGCCCAGGCTGAGAGCGGGCCATGGAGAGTGAGAATGTTATATAAGGCGTCGATATGCCGCCTCGTGCCTTCCGCCTCGCATCTCTCCTCCTCGAGATGAAGTCAAGCTGCCCTCCAAGCTGTTCTCGTCTCTTCGTGAGTGCCGACGACAGATCCTTCCACACCTGACTTCCCGCATCTTGCGTCGGCGGACTCTCACATTACTCACAATGATTGCGATGACTCTCGGAGCTGGACAGTGTCACTCTGAGTGACTCATCTATCCACCCTTATCGTCAGAGCAATTCCACCATCAGGGTGTCGCAGGTGAAAGGCCGACCTCGGAGTCCACCATGTCACCTCGAGTATGGTATTACAATCACGGGAAACACCAGCCTTCTCCTATACTGTAACGCGGAATATAGCCGCTATAGTGCATCCAAGGCTCGTGTTCTCTTGACAGCTGATCAAGACGCTGCGTAAAAACGTTTGTAGGTTGCTTGTACCGACCAAAGAGGGTAGTATCCCGAGGTAGAAAGAGGAAGGTGTTGTTACATGAACCGACATCCGAGATCGGCAGCATCTATTCTCTGGTCAGCGAACATCGCTATTCAGCAAGCCACCACTCCAATCCTTCGGAAAAACACCAGCACATGGAGTATTTTGCCTCTGTTTTCGCCGACATCTACTTGGCTAAAAGGACCTCTCGACAACGGAGAATGACGACCGTCAATATCATGTACCCATGACTGAGTCGCACCACAGAGAATCCGGTGCGCTTCACCTTTTGGGAAGGATTCCACCGTCATATTGCCAAGAGCAGCCCCATACCCACCTGCAGATCTCTTTGCGGGGGAAGGATGGAGCGAATGGCGATGCGAGTTGATGGCTTGCATGTGTCGTTTTACAAGGTCAGAAAACGATTAGTTCGCATGGTAGGATTGGAGATCACCATGCGGCGGTGTCGGCAGATACACACTCAAGTACAGTCATCTTCCCGACTTTCTTTGTTGATCTTCTCACTCGACTTTTCGTTTTCCTCATAAGCTTATAACTTTTTTGGTGTGCTGTGATCGCATCTTTTCTCCACGACCGAGACGGGCTTCTGGATCTGCTTCAATAGGACGAAAATATACACACAAGAAGCCTGCCCATTATGGTATATCGGGAAAGTATGACAAGAATTCACAACATCGCGACCACTGCAAGCAGACGGCTAACCGGATGAAATCAGAGGACATTGATGGCGGGTCGCCGCCAACATCATTCGATCGCGTCGAGACCGGAACCGCATACGATAATGCCCTCGTCTGTCCGCCACACACCACCGAGCGCAAACTAGTCAACAAGATCGATTTCCACGTCGTACCGTTCCTGTGTATTCTCTACTTGCTCGCCTTCCTCGATCGGTGAGTCGCGACCAGCTGGAAGGAAGAGTAGAAGAACAATAGTCTGATCGCGCACTTTCACAGAGTCAACATTGCGAATGCCAATGTCGCCGGCATGTCAGCAGAACTAGGGCTAGAGGGTCATGAGTACAACAATGCTCTTGTTATCTTCTTTGCCCCTTACATCATCTTTGAAATCCCTTCGAATATCCTACTCAAAAAGTTCAAGCCGCATGTGTGGCTCTCAGCCTGCATGTTCTTATTCGGACTTACGACAACTCTGCAAGGGGTGGTTACGAATTACTCTGGCTTATTGGCAACTCGCTTCTTCCTGGGTGTTTTCGAGTCTGGAATGTTCCCTGGTTGCTTTTACTTGCTCAGTTCGTGGTACCTGAGAACAGAAGCGCAAAGGAGATACAGTTTCTTCTTCTCGAGTACAACACTTGCCGGTGCTTTTGCTGGTCTGCTCGCAGCAGCTATTGGCAAGATGGATGGTATTGCAGGCTACAAAGGTTGGAGATGGGTACGTCTGACAAACAAATCAAGATTGAGACTGCGACTGACATGGTTCTTGCAGATATTCATCCTCGAAGGCATCCTTACTTGCGTTGTTAGCGCTGCCTTCTTCTTCGTCCTTCCAGATTTCCCTGAAGACAGCAAATGGCTCTCTGACGACGAGAGAACATATGTCATCAACCGCCTCCGCAGCGAACAAGGAGCCTCGGCCGTCGAACGCAAGATGGGCATCAAAGATGTCGGCAACGTGTTCAAAGATTACAAGGTCTTCCTCGGAGGCTTCATGTACTTCGGTCTCATTGTACCCGCCTACTCGTAAGCCCAACCCACCACCCCACCATACATCGCGAACCCCATCTTACTGACCCCTCCCTCACAGCTACGCCTACTTCTCCCCCTCGATCATCAACGGCTACGGCTACGGCAAAATCCAAACGCAACTGCACAGTGTTCCTCCATGGGCAGCCGCCTTTGCTTTTGCCATGATCCTCGCTTACCTATCCGACAAAACGCGCCATCGCTTTGGCTACGCAGTTTTTGCCGTCTGCGTTGCAATCGTCGGCTTTGCGATTTTGATCTCCGTACACGACAACAGGCCTCTCGAATACGCAGCTCTGTTCCTCGTGGCCATGGGGTGTTATTCCGCCATGCCGATCATCGTGTGCTGGTTCAGTACGTTTTTGCCCCTCTTCCCCCTCTATATCTCCCTCATCTCGAAACTTTGCTAATCTCTCTCTTCCCCCAACAGACATGAATCTCGGCGGCCACCACCGCCGCAGCGTGGGTTCAGCCTTCCAGGTCGCCTTTGGCAACATCGGCGGCATCATCGCCGTGTACTGCTTCCTCAAAACCGATGCGCCGCTCTACACAAAGGGCTATTCCATCTGCATTGCATTTACTTGTCTGAGCGTCATCAGCTGTATAGCTTACTACATAGCTTGTGTGACGCAGAATAGGAAAAGGGAAAAGACGGTCACGGATGTGGGGTTGACCGAGTACGAAAAGACGGAGTTGGGGGATTTGAATCCTGAGTATAGGTATTTGGTTTGAGAGGGAGGTGAAATGTGCTGTGACGAGGGAGTGAGGAGAGGAGAGGGTGAAAATGTTACTTATGAAGGTCACCTATGTCATGGATCTGTTGACGTGGCTCTACGCAAGCAGCGATCGCAATTGACTTGTCCATACACATTGCCGAGTCGTCTTATTTACAGTCAATCCCTATAAGCGTACCACGTGGAGTCATACAAGGAAGAACTTTACACGACGCAATGGCAAGTGCAATCAACCTATAACACAATTGGGAAGGCACGATAAAACTGGCAGGCACCACACACCAAAGTGATGAAGAAAGGCGCCTGATCCAGCGCGAAATGTGTTCATGCACTATATACCCATCCCAGGCCGGCATTGCAGCGGCTCTATTGTACTCCTATACCACATCCCAAACCATTATGTGTGCCCAACTGAGACCCATCCTCCAATCCGTTCCTGAGAAACCAACTCCTTGTCCAGCAAGAAACAAACTCCAAAGCAGTTCTGTTGACTGTCTGCAAACCGTAAAATTACAATGAAGAGAAAGAAAAGTGGAAAAAAAGTCGAATGTTCATCTAATCGGTGCTAAAGTCTGTGCCTGTGCGTAGCGTCTCACGACTGCATCTAGGGGACAAGACTATGCTGCTTTCCGGTGTTATGCCAAAGTTTCTAGAGTTGAAGCTGACAACTGAAGGTGCGTGGTCGCTTGGTGTGGATGTGTAGTCGGGTAGCTTCTCCTCGGTATATTCGGGCAAGGTAGTATGTCCAGACTCGGCACTTGATGACTTGCGCCCTCTGCCGCCGTGGACCAGACTGGCCACGAACTCGCGTGCGTTTCGAAGGTCACCGATGGCATGACCCATCTCCAAATCTTCAATTTGGCGGGAGCAGCCCTCTGCGTAATCGTCGACTACCTGACCAGCAGCCTCGATGACAAGAATACGCTTCTCGTCGTCATCTCCGTTGCGAGGTGAGCGTTGAAAGACTTGCTTAAAATTCACCCACTTTTTGCGGAAAGCTTCCCTGCGTGCGAGACAACGGAAGTGACGAGCTCTTCGCCGTTCTTCCTTATCAGACAAGCGCTCGACGCGACGACGAAGGGAGCCAAAGCGGCGGCGAATGAATGCACAAAGGGCAGAAAGACCAATCGCGGCTGCAAGGATCTCCAGGGCGAGCACTAGAGGATGCTGTGAGTCGTGTTCGTACTTCTTTGCGTTTCCGTTCTCGATATCAGCGAGGAGGTTATCCACAGAGCTGACGTTGAAGTTCCAGTTGTCTTTCTCATCGGCAGCGACGTATTGGTCCTGACGGTCCTTGCTAATCATGATAGAGTCCTGGAGAGCGGCTTGGATCTCCTTGATCTTTTGATAAGTAGTGTCGTGGATACGTTGGCACATGACCTTGCTCATGCATGAGATGTCTCTGTGGCAGTCACCTAGACTTTCACTGAAGTTCTTGTGACAGCGCTGGTTTAGTCTCTGCAGTTTTGTCGCCTGGTCGTAGAGGCGGTCGCGGAGAGCTTGTTCGACGTTGATGATGTCGGTCGATGATTTGATGTCATTGTCGGTCGGGAAGGCCTCGATCTTGGAAAGGATAGAGGAATTTTCGTTAATCACACTCTTCAGCGATGAAGTGCAGTCGGCTTGTTCGTCAATCTCCGAGTCGATAAGAATCTGAGCTGCCTCCGAATGATCAACGACGACTGTGAATGTGCCAGGAGTAATCAGAGGTTGTTGTGCAACCTTGGTGACGTTAAAGTAGAAGGCGCGCTGAGCGGGGACGACGCCGTCCTTGACGGGATCACAAAGACCTTGGACAGCAAGATCAACCTCCCAGTGTTGGCTAGCTAGACCACGAGGTATGTGCAGAGTCGATGTTTGACCCGGGTCCGTGTGGTCGACGACGATGGGCCGACCGTTCAATGTGAAGTCGACATCGCAAAGATTAGTCGAAGAGTCGAGGCGAGGATATTGAAGTTCAAAGTCCTGAGGCAAATATCAGATAAGAGTTCAGATGGCATACGCGTCCTCGTGCCAAAGGCGAGGCATATGGCGTCCTTGGCAAGAGGGTAAGACATACCAAAGCCACGTCATCTTCGTATACAGGGCAGTCAATACACGGGACTCTGACAGCTATTGTTTCGAATCTGCCTAGACATGTCCATAAGTAGGTGTGGCACCTTACAAGTGTTACGGTTGGATCATACCAATGATGGGTTCTTTTGCGACTTTGGTAAAGGATGAGAAGGAAGGTAAGACGGGGTAAGGAACGGCGGAGACGAGAGTGCAAGTAAAGGCTAGAGCGAACAGAAGCAGGCTGATTGAACACATTGCGGCGAATGATGGATAGAATTGAAAATAAACCAGATATCTACATGGGCCTATCCAGCCCGAGTGATTTCGTCAAAAGAACCGCCGGGGTGACGGTGAGGTTGTGGAGGGACGAATCGTGAAAAGAGAGCGGTAGGCAGCAGTTTATGGCATGGCCTTGGAGGGAGCCTCAGCGAAGGATTTCGAAGGAAGGCGCACCCGCTCAGTCGGGGGTCGGAGACGGCTTTCGGAGGAACCTCCAGACACGATCGACTTCGCGCTTGCTCACTCAAAGTGAAGTCGGCAAGTTCCGGCTTGACGTCGTTGTTGCTGTCTGTATGCGCGGGTCAGAGCATGCGCCGACACCACTGTTCGATCCATCTTTAACACATTGACGCATTGAGATTTGTCGCATTCACAATGGTGAGTGGGCAAGCGTTCCTCCAGCTACAGAGCCCTCCTGCTCACCAGTCAGGCGACTAACGACCCTGTGTCGCCATTTAGCTCCCTCTTGGACTTCTTACTGCCGCCCAGGGCCACCCTATGCTGGTCGAGCTCAAGAACGGCGAAACATTGAACGGCCATCTGGTTAGCTGCGACACATACATGAACCTTACACTCAAGGAAGTCATTCAAACGAGTCCCGAAGGCGATCGCTTTTTCAGACTGCCCGAATGCTACGTCCGCGGAAACAACGTGCGTCTACATATACCTACAATCGCAAAATTACAGCCGGCATGATGCTGACTTTGATCTGACAGATCAAATACCTGAGAATGGAAGATGAAATCGTGGATCTCGTCAAGGACCAACAAGCCAGCCAGCAAGCGGCCAGGGGAGGTCGCGGAGGTGGCCAAGGAGGAAGAGGCGACCACAGCGGACGCGGAGAGCGCGGCGGCAGAGGCGGACGTGGCGGTCGTGGCAGAGGTGGTCGCGGAGGTCGTGGCGGTGGTTGAAGAGACATGGTCAGGAAAGACGAAAGAGAAGCAAACAGGCCGAGTCCGGTCCTGCCACGACAAGAACGGCAGTCTCCTGGGGCTGGAAGCATATGAGACAACTTGTGCGATGGCGCAATTGAGCGCAGCATCGGCATGTAGAGCAGAAGATCATGAGGCACAGAATACCCATGCTGCATGGCTTGCAGACAGGCCATGTAGCCAAAATACTATCACGACACCAACCTGATTTTATGATTCAAGCCTGAACACATCAAAGTGTAGTATAGATCAAAGTGTGATGATTTGTTTCGAAGGCCATAGAGATTGGCTTGTGGTTGTTGTCTAAGGTCTCGAGCCGAAGCTGTATAGACGGCCAAGCTGGGCGCATGTTCAAAAAGTCTCGGGGAAATTTCGAGGGCGCTGACAACTGCACATGTCGTCGACCACACCTAGACTTGTCGCCGACGGGCTCTGGCATTGCCTGTGCCCTTCATACAACTCCACACCATTCCTGACTGGCCATAACGTCCTGCTCCGCCATGGCCGACCAGCGCTACAATCCGCCGCTCCCCGAATAACGCGTCCAATAACCAGACGCCACAACTCTACCATCACTGCCCCCGGCGGCTTCAAAGGAACTATCGATGTGCCACCCGAGTTGCAGCAGAGTGGCCTGCCCGTCATGAGGGCCTGGGCTCCGCTCGATGCTGAAACCCAATCCAAGAACTTCACATACGACCGAAGCACAACAATGCGGCCCCAGCAGACCGCCCCCAGAAAGAGAGATTATCTCAGGTACAGCACACCAGACTTGTATGAGCTGGCTCACGCCGCTGCAGCAAGAGGCGACAGCCGAGAGGCAATGCAGATGGTCGAATACCTGGTGCGCGATCGCCGTGAGACTCCCAACCTTCGCCTGTATTCCATCTCCATTCTCGCCAATGTCCATCCCTGGGAAGGCTCCTCAAGAAGGGTCGCTGGTCTGCTGACTGAAATGGACGACGAAGGACTACAAATGAATGTCCAGATCTGTCACGACGTACTGCGTGTGCTGAGTGTTCACATGGACTATTTGCTGCGCATCGACGTCTTACAGTACATGCGCCGCCAATGGTTTCAGCTGAATACAGAAGGTTATCACTGGGTTGGTGCTGCCTTGTTCCGCGAAGCCCAACTCGAATTGGGTCTCGCCCACCTCGACGACATGCGAAAGGACAATGTGCCTATTCAAGGCTGGCTCTACGATCTTGCCTTGTACACCCTGATTGAAACAAACGAGTTTGATGCAGCTTTGAATATAGTCAAGGATCGAATCGCTGCTAATGACTGGCTCATCAATCGAAATCTCTGGGCTCACATGCTCGACCGCGGCGCTGCTTTCTTCCACTATGAGAGTGCCGTCTACATTTGGAACAGCCAAGTCATTCCAGGCTATCTGAACCCTTCATCAGGAACTTGTCTGAATGTGCTGACCACAGCTGCTCGCAAAGGAGACGCTGCTCTCGCAACCTCCGTTTTCCACGTCCTAGGAAAACGCAGCACCACCTTCAAACAAATCCACTATGATCAACTCCTGGCCACCTATATGTCTGCCTCACCACCCGACTTGCGCGCAGCATTTACCGTCCTTTCCATCATGGCTGATCTGAAGATTGTCCCGACCGCTTCGTCTACAAGGCCGATCCTCGCGCACCTTGTCAAACATCCTTCTGACTGCACAACCGCCTTCGACATCATAACCTCTCTTCATGAAAGCGGCCGAGAAATCCCCATCGCAGCCCTGAATGTGCTGATGGAAGGTTACGTCGAGACAAACCAGCTTGAGCAAGCTCTAGTTGCATACAAGCACATGCATCTCTTTGAACGCCTTGCTGTGGACAAACACGGAAAACCCGTCCGTCGCAGTCGCGCTTACAGCACCCTCGATACCTTCAACATCCTCCTCCGCGGCGCGGCAAAACCTGCTGCTGAGAAGGCCTTTGACTTGGCAATGTTCCTCGTTTCGGAGATGCTGGCAATTGGTGTTCGTCCCGACAGCCTTGTTTACGATCGTCTGATTGTCATTTGCGTCCAAGACAAGAAATTCGATCACGCATACCGCTACTTTGACGAGATGGAGGAACTGGGCCTCATGCCCAGACCACGCACAGCCGAGTTTCTGGCGTTTGCCTTGGCGGGAAGAGCAGATGATAGATGTTGGGATGTTTTGCAAAGGATGCAGGACAGAGGCGCTAGTATAGCAGAGAAACAGAAGACCCTGTTGCAACGCAAGTTCGACAGGGCTCTACGGGGCGAAACTGGAGACTTCCAGGACGATCTAGACTAGGGATGGTGTTGTATGATATACACAGTAAGACAGCTTTGTACGATACTAATGTTTGAAGAACGAAGCGATACTCGCAGAGTTGGTTATAACTTCTCTTTCACCATACTTTGTCTTCAATACAGAAAACGCTTCATTTCAGCAGCAAATCTCTACGCTTCCATCACCAGCAACAACGGTTCACTTCCAGTATTCCATCGACGACCTCTACACAATGCTTGTCTCTGCTGGAAGCTTGATGCTCGTTGCTTCCGTCACCTCAATCCAGACTCCACTCAGACCTTCCAGAAAGTCCGCGCGCTCACTCCACTCTTACATCAAATCTCTACCATCTTACTTCAGATCCGGAAGGTCACCAATTACTTTGCCCAGATCGATCAGTTATCCACTCACCTATCAACTTTGTGTCCCCCGTAAAAAGAAGCCACCGCGCAAACTTCAACAATCTCTGCACCCTCCACAACTGGACACCCTCCCCCTCCGTCCGCTCAAAACTATCCCTCCTCCTCCAAATCCACGGCCCCAGACTCCACGCCAGCGAACTACTCCCCCTGGCCTTCGTGCAGCACTACCCGTTCATCTGGCTCAAAGACTTTTTGCCGCTGGGCTACAACTCCGCAAACGAAAGTATATGGTACAAAGCCTTTCCCTCCTCTCGAGGAATCGCTCGTGGCCGCTACTACAACTCTGCAGAAGAAAACATTTGTGGCAAACATACAGTGGTAAACTTCTTGGCAGTCTTGGAGCGATGTATTCGATATTGAGCAACGAGGTTTGGATAGGAGTCATGAGTACTTTACCGGTGTTTATCTTATCCTCCAAAAGTTTCCGAATTTTGAGGTACAAGTGTGACCATCGCAGGGAATTTGCAAGGGATCCAAGTAATGCGACGGGGGTGACTGGGATTGCCGAGTTTCCTTTCAACGACGATCATGCTTTCATGCGAGAAGGGATTGTTGAGTCCAACAATGACGACGAGAAGGATAGAGCAAAGCATACCTTTGATCCACTGACAGACTCCGAGTACTCAGATACAGATGGGTCCACCGTCGTCATCAAACAAGAACGACCAAGCTCATGCGACAAGGACCTTGCCTTCAAACACCATACCTCAGCACAACCCCCACACCAATCCACGCAAAACCACAGCGGCACCGTCATCGCATCAATCAAACCAATACCGCAGACACCCAAGCAATCTCCCACAAAACCCCCATCATCTCTCACTTCTTCTACACCTACCTCAAGCCCCACCACCCACAAAATCACCCTACTTGCGCTCACAAAAAACAAGAAAACAACCCGTGCTCTCCATCCCCCCCGCCATACCTCGGAAACTCACAAGGAGTTCACTCTGCGCATTCCCCATCGAGGAACCCAGGTGATCGACCACAAAGTTTGAGTTTGCGGTCGTGGAAGGCGGTGCAGACGGTTCCGGAGATGGCAGGTACAGGTTGATTGAGCAGCTATGCTCTCAGCGGACGATGGGTAAGCACGGATGGAAGAAGCTTTGATTCGCGAATGTGCTCTCAGCGGTTGATGTGTTCGAAGCATATACGTTTGCGCGCGCCTCTTAATAGATCGGTTTCGGCAGAGGAAGACGATTGCAGAGAGGGATTTGCTTTTTTAAGGTCTTTGTCTTTAAAAGGCACAATCGAACAGAAATTGAAAAATCTCATCTATACCTATGCGTGCTCATCTCATCTATCCTTGATGCTGTCTAGCGTATTCAAAAAGCACCACTCCACACGCCGTCTGCACGTTCATACTTCTAGTGACTCCCCTCTGCGGAATCTCAACCAACAAATCGCATTCGCCCAACACATGAGCAGGCACACCTTCCTTCTCTCTTCCCATAACCAACAGTGTCTTTTCGGGCAATTTGCACGCTTCAGATCCCAAAAGCACACTGCGATCAGTTTGCTCCACACCCACTACTGTATAGCCTTCCGTTTTCTTTCCAGTCAGAAAGGCAGAGAGGTTGTCAGAGTGCAAATCGTGGATGGGAAGGTGATTTTGGGATGCCACGGCTACAGAGATGAAATCTTTATTGCCGAGCACGGATTGGGGTGATTGGATGTACATTGCTTCTGCGCCGAAGATTTCAGAGATGCGCGAGAGGCCGCCGAGGTTGTATGCGTTGTCGACTAGAGAGCCGACGACTATGAGAGAGGTGGGACGTGTTGTGCTGGTGGAAGAGGAAGAGTCAGAGGAGAGGTCGGTGGAGAGGTATGCTGTTCCTTTTGTTTGGAGGGCGGCGAAGGCTTCTGTGCGGGCCGATTCTTTGGATTGCTCTTGTGTTGCTTGAGCGGGAAGAGCGCTGCTTTGGGGTGAGGTAGAGGGTTGAAAGCCCAATGGAAGTGCTTCAGAGAAAGACTTCGTCGTTGTGTCTTTTCCCCATAGACGCTGGAAATCTCCAGCTGCGACAGCCTCTTCACCCGGCGGCTCGACGCGGAGATACTTGCCTTGAAGCAAGTTTGTGAGTGTGTTATCCGCAGAGGGGTCAAGACGTTCAAGCTCTCTAGCCGGTGGTGGTTCCGAGAACCTCTCCAGACTGCGGATGTAGTCGTTCAATGCGGCACAAGCAGGGTTGGATTGGATCTCGGTCCATCCTCTGCTGTCAGCATAATCCCATAGGATTGGGAATGACCACTGTGCTTCATGACGGATGATGATTTTTGCACTGGATGCAAGGGCCACGAGACGATAAGCCACTCTTGCTGCAAAGTCTCGAGAGCAGTTGTCTTGACAGGCGATCATCAAGGCGATTTTAACGAGAGTACCGAGATACTTGGGATTGGAATGGTGGTCTTTCGACGACAGCGCATCCAGTACCAGCTCGCCAGTGGAGGGGTGGTTGAGGATAACGCGAGCAATGATCCACTCGAGCAGGAAGCGGTATCTCGGAAGGGGCTCGATAGCAACCACTCTCAATAACACTCTAAGCTGGTCTTCCGCTTCCCTGGCGGAGATAAGTTGGAGACACTGTTCTGAGAGCATGAGCAAGACTTGGAGCTGAGTAGTGGTCTTCCAGCGAGTCACAATGGGGACAGGTGGTCTTTGTTTCGTCCATGGTTTGAGCAGACGATCGTAGATCTCACCGACCATCGAAGAGTCAACGTTGTGGAGACGGTTGACAAGATCGAAGAAGGCGGCATGGCCAACCTCTTCGTACTCTCCATAGTAGTCGCTGTAGCTGCGGTGGATGTCTCCGTCCTCTGTCAATAGCTGGACGGCTGCAGCTTCCAGCTTAAACTCGAGTCTAGCAGCAGGAAGGTTATTTGCAGTCTGGATGATAAACTCGTCCATGCCAAACTTCTCTGCAGCAGCAGGACAGCTGATCATAGCTGTTCTGTAAGCTTTCATGATGGGCGTCCACATGTAAATTCTGCCTTTCATCAAACGCTGGAGTTGAGTGAATATCTCCAAGATAGTGGCGCACAGAGTATCATCCTCAAGACAACGACTGACGCATCCTGGGTGTAGCGCCAGACGGGGGAGGAACATGATGACATCTCTGGGATAATCTTGTCTCTCAACCTCATTCCAGACAGCATCGAAAGCGCGATCCAGCTTCTGAGCATCCAGAGTGGCGTTACCAGCTTTGTCCAAGATCGAGACCAGTGATTCGCATGCCATCAACAGGCCAGTACCTTGGACGCTAGTGTGCTTCGAGCTGTCAAGCTCATCCAGAAACGCGTCGAGTGATTGCCATCTGACAGACCTCTTCTCGTCCGACTCGAATCGTGAGGGTGCACTAATCTTGAAGGCTTCGATCTGTTTGGACAGGACTTCGAGCTTCGCGTCAGACGCTGTCAGTTTCTCTGTTCCGCTCTCGCCGTATGTCTCAGCATCCTGACTGATCAATTGTGAGAGCTTGTAACACTGTACGAGCATAGCATCACGCGCAACCTCGGGGTAGCCAGTGATTCTTGACATGCTAAGAATCAACTCCAATGCCTCACCTTCCATACAAGCCGTAGCCTCTCCTTGTAGACCCTTCACGAGTCCATGAAGGAGATAGATCACAGCAACAGGAACAACCTTGTTCTTGTTGGCGTCCAGATACGTTAAAACAGCATTAACAATACACTTTCTGGAGTAGGCATCGTCGCGGCTGAGGTGGGCTTGCAGAAGTCTTTCCAGGAAGTTCGATAGTCTTGTTCCATGAGCACATCTCATGTCTCTCGTCTTGCCTTGAACGCTTCCAGTGAATAGCGGACCTTGAGTAGCCCAAGGAAGGAAGGACTTTTGCAACAACGTCGCGAAGTCTTCAGCGTGACTGAACAACCTGATGTCGGTGCTCATAAGCCAGTTTCCTAGCGTCTTACGCATGCTGTCTTGAGTCACTGGGGAGAGCGCCGATTCGAGGAGAGCAAAGAGCCATGATTTCTGAACCATGGTTTCTGCGGAAGCAAGATGGTCCAGATCCTGTACGCACTCCAGTGCCTGATTGAGATATCTGCCGATGACGATTGTTTCGTAAACAGTGCAAAATCTTGCGTACTGTGATTCGGTGACCATGGAGCCTAGTGCCATGTTAGCTTTCTATCTAGCTTGGGGTACTTGTGCAATATCGTATCGTCGGATGTGGTATACGTCGGTTGAACACAAGACGGAGAGAAAGCTCCAATATCGCTCACCTAGCTTATCTTCTTGATCCAGAGTCAGCTCCATGTCGTTCGCGCGAATGTTGTTGCGGGAGATAGAGATGGACTTCTTGAGAACATGGAGACAAATCTTCCTTTGCTCGGTGTCTCCCTGAGATGATTGACCCAGGGTACCCAGCAAGTATTTCCAGTAAGGATCCTTTTGCAGAGCCACTTGGCGCGAGTAGCCATGGCTGTCCAGGTCCAGCCATCTCAACCAGATGGTATAGGCAGTGGTTTTGTATGAACTCTTCTCGCTGAAGTCAAGAAGATTCCTGATGCATCGCCAAAGATGCCTATCGAGCTCATCCGGATCCGTCTTGTAGTGTGAAAAAGTAAACGTGCCAGCTCTGAAGGAAGCCAGGAAAGCGAGAGTAGTATCCTTGGCCGCAGCTGCAACGTCTGTATTGGACGACGCAAGGAGGCCAAACAGAGCACATACAATCGGACTCGAGACAACAAAAGTTTTGTCGACAATCGGGCTTCTGAATAGCTGTTTGGCAAAGCTCAAGTATAGGACAGTCGTCTTGACAAGCTCATCCAATTGACGATCACGTCCAAGCTCCGGATCGTAATGTGACACAAAAGGATCCACGATCAAGACCTTGTCGACGGGAACCACAAATTCTGCATTCTTGGGTTGACGCAGGAGCTGCGAGAAGCAAATATGAAGTTCACGATCCGTCCAGTGCAACAAAGCATTTCGGATCCGAGGATATTCGACACAGAGTGCTGCAGCAGAAGCAGCATCATCCTGCTCAATCGACCTGATCAAGAACTCATTAAGATGAACATTCGCCTCTTCATCTGGACATCTGTCGGCCAACGCAGCAACAAGTTCAAGAGTATTGTTGTCGATATTGGAAGCAAGATCCCTAACAGCAGAAGCGCGCTCGGTCTCTGGAATCCTGCTAAGGAAAATGTCCGCCAGCGTCGTATGCACAGAAGAAACAGAAGGAGCGACCATTGTCTGAAGATTAGTGCGCCACCGACGCCCTGGGAATGAAGATGAACGTGTATAGCAGCGATTCAGGGCACCGCGAAGTGTCTGCATATATTTCAAACTCCCCTGTGTCTCTCAGGTCCACATAAACAAAAATTGTAGGACCTCGATGCGGCATTACTTCGGTATTGAAAAACAGTTGTTCTAGATCTAATTTAGGCGGAGCGGACTCCGGGAACAAGCACCGAATTCCCGTTCTGCCATTCTCCGCGGTGATAGAATTGCATATTCATATTCCTAAATGTTTGATGTGCTTCAGTGGTTGGTGTCAATGGAACAAGTGATCGGTCAAAGCTATGGTTGAATCTGAGCCACTTGTAGGTTCTCGTTGTAGATTGATTATATATTAGAAAACCTCTCTCGTGCTCTTCTGCTGCGCTAACTTTTATGATGAACCCTCTACTATCACTAAATCATTATGCCTCACTCTCGATACCCGTAGTCCTCTCATGATGCTCAAAAATCCCACTGATGCGATCTTGTAAATGCTCAGCTTTATGCTTCATCCACCACATGGTCCTCGCGCTTTTGAATTGCATCACACCTCTATGCCTGCGGTTGATCTGTTTGCTATGCTCGCGATACTCTTGATAGCTATCAACTACATTTCTGCTTCCACTGGTATTGCGCTCGTTTTTATCGTCGTAGGTGCCAGTGGTCAGTTTAGAGATACTCGAGTGGCGGTGGTGGGACAGTCTCTTTTTGATGCGAGAGAGTTTGTTGGGCGATTCGGTGGAGGTTGAGGAGTCAGAGTCAGAGCCAGAGGATGAGGAAGAGTCGTCGGATTCGTCGTTTGAGCTGTCGCCTTCGGCGTGGGGGCAACTGCCTTTGTTGGCTCCTGTTGCATCTGATTGTTTTGTTGATGACATGTTTTTGTTTTTGACAGCGCCTGGGTCGTTTTGCTCGCTATTCGTCATTTGGAATCTTGCGGTTTCGACGACTTCAAAGACATCGCTGAGGTGTTTGTCGTGCTTGGCGACCTTTTTGTGGTATCTGCTTAACCCTCTGCAGAACTTGAGCTTGAGGTTTAGTTCGCCGACCTTGTCACCGTAGGACTCGAGTTTGCATGTTGTCGCGCGTTTGAGGTCGCCCTTCCACACAGGTAGAGTCAGAGATATCTGTTCGTTGTCAGGAATGTCGCAGAGCCAGAGGACAGCGAAAGCGGCCGTCTTATCGCGTAGAGCAGTGTCTTTGCGGAACTGGATGATCAGGCAGCTGGCGTAGCGGCGGCGGACACCTAGGTGGACACCATTGTTGTGGCGGCTTGCCCATGCGTTTTCGTCTTTGTGTGCTTTCATATGGGCAACACTGATGGCTGTTTGGATCTTAATACGACAGCCTTGGAGGTCGGAAGGGAAGTTTGAGCCGGAAGTGATACGAGGATCAACGACGAGGGTGCCCCAATCCCATCCCAGCAATTCCTTTGGCAGCTGACTCTCTACGGAGCGGAAGACCATGCTGACTCGAATGCGGCCGTAGCCTACGCCGCCGTACAAAGGATAGGTGCCGTTGACTTGCGAGCGTTTCTTCATGATATCGATCAGCGGCAGACGCACAATGCCCATGACAGGATCATCTTCATGTACACGAGCGTCTCGTACGACCACATAAACCTCTGCAGTCCTCCAATCGCGAATGAAGCGCTCAGTGCCTGCATTGAAGAATGGCTTTGCGTTCTTGGGCTTGACACGTGTGCGGTAGATCTTTTGGTGGTTGAGAACGATATTGCAGTAGCAGGACGGAAGTTCATCGCCCTGTTCTTCGATTCCACTCGGCTCCGGATCATCGTTATAACGCGCGGCATTGTGATGAGCACGTACTTCCAGTCCGGTAGCTTCGTGAATCTGAATGGCCAGTATGCCGCTGGGATAATCGTGAAGAGGTGGTGCAGAGATGATCATCGCATCTTCCACCTCCTTGTATTGCTGTAGCTTGAGCTGTTCGGTTTCTCTGCTCTCATCCTTTTTGGCTTCACGGAGTTTACGTCCAGCTGACTCTTCAACCATTTTCTCCAGCGCATCTCGCGAGCGAATCTCCGGTCGCTCTGTCTGGCGTTTGAGTTGCTCCTCAATAATGTGGGCCTTTGGGAAATAGCCAACACTCCATTCAAGTTTGCCCGGAAGACCTTCGCCAGCATGTAGAGCCTTGAAACCATCAATTCGATCGGACATTTTGCCCCTCGTCTCTTTGTTGTGGATTAGTTCTTTCAAATCCATCTCTATACGTCCAAGATCGTCATCTGCAGTGAAGCGATCGGAGTCCCAGAGCTGTACACGAAGTCTTTCATCCACGTCCAATTCGTCGGCGGTGACCAGGATAAATGCAGTTTCATCCCAATGAGGGTTCATCTCGGATAGAATAACACGAGTTGACCATAGTGGCTTGACGAATTTGGCCCAGCCCACCGTTACATATGGATCGGCCGAGCCTTCTCTAACCAACGGAATAGCAGGATCTCCTTCCTTGAAGTCGAAAGCACGCTTGACCTTGACCACTATGACACCCTTTGCTCTAGTGTCTTTCTTGAAGTCCTCGCCAGCAATCATGTCTTGGAGATTGATGGTCATGCTCTTGGGTGCGACGTATTCAGCCACTGCGGCATCAACAGCGGTCTGGACGAAATGCGATATGACCGGCAGATTCATGATGTTCAGGCCTTTTCTCGTCAACGGAGTGCACGCCACATCAACATTGGGCTGGCCAAGAAGAGTAAAGGTACACAAGGCGAAGAACGGGGGATCTGGTGTCAGCTGCAGCCTGCAGCGCATGATACCGACAAAGCCTCTCAAATCAACGTATACCGGAATTTTGATGTTTCCAGGAAGGTAGAACGAGATGTACAAGTGAGCGTGCTTTGCTCTGTCCTTGAACTTCTTCGAGGTAGACCGAGTTCTGTAAGCGAAGGCAACTTCAAGGTTGATGAAGTCACCTTCCTCGGCCTCCATGCCTTCGGCAATCTGTTTGTCGTCTGCCTCCTCCTGACTGTTTGACTTTTTGGTACCCTGAGCCTGGTCCAAATCCTGGTTCTGATTAGGTGATGCATTCTCGTCGACCTGCCACTCGCCGGGCACATTGCGGTCGTTGTGGCTGTCTTGAGCTTCAGGGCTGAGCTTGCCATCGGCACCAACCGACCGTGCAGCAGCACCGGTGGGAAGCCATCTGACACCCAGAATACGCATTGACTCACTGCCCTGGCCGATATCCTCGATGCTGACCATGCGGACGATTGACGGAAGCGAGGCCTGCATGACGTCTTCGACCGTGTCGGCCAGGGAGATGAAAAGGTCGGGGTTGACGAGCGGCCAAAGCGAGGTCAACATGTTGTTGAGCCATTGGGTGGTTTCCTCCTTGCCATCTTGACTCTTTGCGGAGTGCTTGTCGGCGTGCCAGATCTCTTCCTCCCATAGCCTGTGAACTTGTCTATCAGTCCATTTGTGAATCCAGAACATGACAGCAACCGTAAGGACAACGAGCATGATGGTGGCAAACCCGCTTGAGAGGTATGGCCAAAGGAAGCTCCACGAGACGCCAGCATGTGCGTCGTTGCGATCGAAAAAGAATGCACCGATAGTTTTGTAGAGGCCAATGGCGACAAAGACAGCGACCACACCTATTGCTATCCCCAGCTTTTGTATCTTGTTCATGCGGTTCCTGATCTCGTCAAAGTCTGGTGGGGGGAAGAGGTTCTCCAAGGCAGCATGGTGTCTTCCAATCTCTTGTGTCTCATCTGCCAATATATCCTGACTCTTCCTCTTGTTGGCTAGACCAGTCGCCGACCTAGTCTCGGAGCCTGGTGGCCCTAGGTTCTCGGGTACTCTTTTCAGGTCTCCAGGTTGCAAGTCGTGAATGCGGACAGGAAGATGGGTGACTGGATCGGTGACCTCTCGGTAGGCGCGCTCGCCTTTCCGCTTGCTCTTGCCTATAGCCTTGCGTCGCGTCTTTGGATCTTGGTCTTGAACAGGAGCCTCGGACGTGTCGTGCATCAAGTCTGCAGCATCATGTGCACCGCCGCCAACAAGCTTCTTCTTGAACCGATGCGAATGGTCCTTTTTCTCGTGCGCCGGATTGTCGAGATCCGAGTTGTCGGAGCCGGCATTGCTGTGCTCTCTCGAGTAGAGGTACCGGTTCGCGCTGTCTCGATCTTCCTTCTCATCTTCGTGTCCTTTCGGTGGTGGGGCACCACCTTTAGCGTTTTCCTGGCGCTTCTCCTTCTCTTGTTGATACTTTTGGATGGTCGGTATGGGTCGGTGTGTGCTGTACGGCGCCTTGTACCGGCGCCGTTCGAGGTCTTCATCCTGTACCGTCATCGAGTTGCCAAAGCGCGACCGTCAAGGTGCGAGGGGTCCAGCCCTTGAGTTGTGAGGATTGAAGGCAAGTGTATATATAAATGCAAAGAAATAGCACGCAACGATTCCCGAGTCTTGCTCAAGGGAAGAAGTAAGAGGTAAAGGAACAGAAAGAATCGGTTACTACCTGAGCCATAGACGGCGACGAAGGAAGCACCCTGGTAGCTGTTTTCCTGCTTTCGCGATCTCAGTTACGCACCTGCGTCCCCTCACTAGACCTTTCGAGAGGACTGACGTCTTCGCAAACGGACAAGAACGGATCGCCCACCGGCGCCGCTCATGCGAATGTCTCGGCGCTCTTGGAAGTTGGCATTGAGTTGGAAGAATTCGAGAAACTTGGAACTTCGTATACTTAGCGAACAATGTAAAGTCTTTGTCGAACATAGCGCTCTTCCGAAGCTGTATGGACAGACCCTGAGTTTTGCTCTGTAACCGTTCCCCTTGCGCTGCTCAACAACTCCTCTCGAGACCGCGCGTCGAACTGCCCCCAGCTTACTCGGCAGTCGAGTTTATCGTCTGTATAGGCTTCCTTCTGAGTACAACCATAACTTTCTTGGCAGAGCCCCAAACCTAGTAGTAGCCTATGTCTCCGAATTAAACTCCTCGAGAAAAATATGTGAGCAATCAACATGCAAAGAAAGGCTGTGTGATCTTGTAGGATTTTGGGTAGAGGATCGTGTGACAGAGACATTTTGAAGGATTACGCAAGCAGTCTTCCGGGACCCGCGATATTGCATGACTTATACGGCTCTCGCCTGACAACTACCTGATATTATCTATGTCATAGAGAGGGCGAGTCAACTCCTTTCCAAGACTCATGGATCACGGTAGTAGAAAATATCAATGATAGACATTGACATGCGCTATAGACAGATTTTGTACTAAAGCGACAAGGTTCTCAGATGATTGACAAGTAAACAAGATCCGCGCAACTCCAAATGTTATGCCCAGACTCCGATATGATGCAAAAGCTTTCTTTCTCCCTCCTTCTACCTTTTTCCATTCTTACATGTTCGCCAGCTCGAAATCAATTTGTTGATCCAAGAAGGCTCGCTTCTGAGGATCCAGTTGCACTTGCAATCGTTGCTCCGTGAGCACCTTCAATTGCTTCTTCGTCACATTGTCCAGGTCGACCTCTCTCAAGCAATCTCTGACAGCATCAACGATTTGACCATCGCTGACACCCTGAGTTTGGAAGCCAGGAAGGCCGAAAGTACTGGCAGGACGTGATGTAGGCTGAGAAAGCGGGCTGCGGGAACGAGGAGGGAAGCCAGCCGAGGGAGGAGGTGATAGCTTGGGTGAAAGCAAGTCGGGTTGGGAAGATAAATATTGGCCGCTATAGTTGCGAGGGAGACCTGGGGCGGCGTCGCTCATATTGCCCATGGACATGAGACGTTGGTTCTCGTTAGCGCCGGGCATGACGTCGGTGAAGCGTGAGTAACTAGACATGCGGTTGTATGCGTTATATGGGCCAGGCGATTGAGTAGGTGGGCGGTAGGACATGTTGTTGTTGGGAAGGCCAGTGAGAATGGTCGAGGCCGGGTGAACTGAAGAGTAGACAGAGCGGATGTCATCCATTTCGTAAGCTCCGTTATCCTGGAAAGGTGAGAATCCATCCTTCTCCTGGACAACCAGACCACGACGGCCAGGAAGTTGGTTTCGGAAAGCGTAATCATCCCAGCGTTGTAAGGGAATACTACGGGGATCAAACTCTTCAATCTCCGTGGCAATGACTTGTTTAGTACCAGTCTCGCCGATGACAACACGGGTGTTACCCCATGAGAAATCATCCTGCTTCCAAAAAGAGTAGACGGGCAAGACGAAAGAGTAAAGAGGATAGGCAGCCAAGTAGCAAATCATCCAACCAATGTGTTGCCATTGTCTCTTGGCAATGAAGATGATAGCTTGCAGACCGTACACACCGGCCAACATGATGATCGAGATAAGTGGGAACTGGCCACCAGTCGATGCGGTGATGATAAGATAGACAAGGTAGACGACGGTGGCTGGAAGGATGACTGTACCGAACAGATCGATGAACACGACGAAGCGCATGGAGAAACAACAGAAGCCACACATGTCCTTGATCAGCATGAGTTCGGCCAAATTGTGAATGGTCGAGTTGATCCAGCGACGTCTTTGAGAAAGAAGAATACTCCATGTCTCGGGGGCGGCGGTTTGAGCATATGCGTCGGGAATGAACTTGAAGGACATCTGAGGGAAGTTCTTGGTCATCAAGGTTGTCAACCAACGATCTTCACCAAGAGACAACAAGTTCTTCTTGTGCAAAGTGTCAACGTTGCAATCACTGTATTCCTCGATGACGGCGTCAGCGATGATAAGAGGCTTGCCCTTGTCTGCTGTTCGAAGACGGTACATGGTGAAACTGTGAAGTGTTAGTACTGAGCGACACAGAGTTGAGATTGCATATGGCTTACCATCCGGGAAGACAGGTGACACTGCCGAACAAACTCTCGAAAGCCTTTGACAAGTGATGGGAAATGTAGTACTCGTAGACCTGAATCATGGTGGTCCAAGACTGCTCTTCGTTCTCCAGACTGGTCTCACCACAGATACCGGCGATCTTGGAGTCGTTTGTACAAGCAGCAACCAGGCGAGTAAGAGCGTCTTCTTTGACCAGAGTATCGGCATCGACCATGAGAAGGTACTCATAGAGCTCAGGGTCCACGCCGATGACATTGTTGATTTGATGGAACATTTCCAACTCGAGGGGCGACATGGGAGCACGGTGGTGAACCCTGTTGAGGAAGCTCATGAGCAGAATTTGAGAATCACGCTTACCACGGTTACCGGGCTTGGCCTTGACCTGTTCTGACTCTTTACCGCACTTGACGACAACAATGTAAGGGACGACATTGCCTTCGAACTCGTAGAGACCAGAGTAGACCTTTCCATAGTTCAACTGCTCGGCACCGGAGCCGATGGACTTGAATGGAAGAGCAGGAGGATCAATCTTGGGATCAACGCCGAGGATATCCAGGACGATCTTAGGAGTTGGTCGGTCGTTACCACCTCCGACAATCATGCCGTCGCAGATGACACAGATGAGCTTTCTCTTATTGTCGTATGCCAGAGACGTGAGCGAGTCGAGACCCTTTCTGAGATGGTCCTCACCCTCGGTATAGGCAGGAACCTGGCAGATGACAAACTTATCTTGCGGAGCGGGACGCGGCTTGGAACCGAACTGCAAAGCAGCCAAGAACTTGACCACAATCACGGTACAGAGGATAATGGTGAAAACCAACAGGATGTAGTTGTTCACCTGGCAACGAGCAGAATCTCTGAAATCGAGCTTGCCACTGTAGAACATGTTGTCCAAACATTGGGTGATGGCGGAATGCTCGGTTACGTTGGTGATTTTCTTGTCGAACTCGGACTTGATATCTTGACCAGCATTGCTCTGAACTATTGCAGAGAACTCGTCTGGGAAGAACTTGTATGTTGCAAGATTGTTCATGAGGTTGAGAGTGTTGAAGTAATCGGTCATGTCGTAGAGTTTGTTGCCGAGAGTGAACCAATAATGGTTGTTGTCTTGTCCGTCGCTTCTGACCTTGTTGGTCTTGACCACCAGATCACCCTTGTAGTACTCTTTCATCTTGGGCAAGAATGTATCGGCGTACCAGTTGATGTTGTTGAGGGCCGAATCCTTGTCTGGAGCAGCGATGGGACCTGAGGCATGTACTGCCGTGGGATATTCTTGGGTGAAGGTGGTGTCGTTGGCTGTGAGTGAGATGGTAGAATCGGGTCCTACAAGGCCGTAACAAGCAACACTGATCGGAGGAACGATGAATTCACTGACATCGGTGCCTCCGAACGGTTCCATGTTGGCAACAGTGGTTTGCGTAACACCATCACTGTGCTGGATCTTGTGGAACTTGGTAAGATCATACACATGTCCGCGGAAACTGACATAGTAGTCGTTGGATGCTGCATGGTAGCTGACCTCTTTCGCGTTCCAGGCTTTGTCCATGTTTGGGCAAAGTAGACGGCCGAATGCGACAATGTAGAAGACGACGGTAGCGTTGATGATGAAAATTATGATCATCAGGGCGAACTTTTCTCTCCATGCTTGACGGACATCACTTCTCTTCATGCGACCGATGTAACGGAGAGCGGGAGAGGGGATGTAGAAAGTCAGAGCCCACACGGCCCAGACCCAGACTTTGCGACTGAAAGTGATGGGTACCTCGACGATGACCTTGGCATCGCCATCTTCCTCGTCTCCATAGTATGTCACTTCGCCATGCTTGTCATCACCCTTGGGACCGAGACCGTAGTCTCCCGGACGACCTTGCATAGTTGGTGCTTTTGAAGGTGCAATGGACTTGGCTCCGAGTTGACTTCTACTGGCGAAGCTTTGGTTACGGCTGAGGAAAGGGTTGCTAGGGTTGTCGTGGTAAGGCTGTTGATAGAAACCGTCCTCAACCATAGGAGTGGAGACTTGGTACTGGCCACCGAAAGGTCCAGCAGCGTCCATTGATGGATCCATGGGCTTGAGGTCGAGCATACTCTCGGCTTCCCACCAAGGCGCTTCGCGGATCCAGATTCGCTCGTGGCCAATGACGACTTCTCCATTGCTCCAACCACGCTCCATGACCCAACTCTCGACACCGTCACGGCCAAGCTGGCAGCCAAGACGCGCATAACGCTCCTGGAACTCATTGATGTCGAAATCAGCAGTGTAATCGAGCTTCTTGTTACGGTGGTTCGCCCACTCAGGAAGTCTCCAAGAACGAATCTGGCTGGAAACAGATCCTGCAGACCATGGGAAGCTGGTCGGTGAGTGATTTGCCAAGGATGCCGGGGACTCGTCAGTAGGATGAAGGGCGAGCTGGAACCAGACACGACTGCTTCCCAAGAGGTTCATGAGGCTGAAACGACCAGTCTTTCCGAGCTGAACACCCTCACCTTCTATTGGGTACAAGAGACGTCTCAAGAAGCTGTCTGCTTCAGTCTCAACGCCTACCTTCTCGAGGAGGGCCTCACGACGATCGAGTACTTCCTCACGCTCTCTGGCAGCCACAGAATCGGTAAGTTCGAGTTCTGCTGCATTGTCGTTGACGGCGTCAGTCATCTCCCGAACAATGGAAGAACCGACGTGATACGAAGGCACTCCATCCTCTTTCATCTCGAGGTTGATGCCCGTCGAATCATCAAAGACAGTACGCAGAGCCATTGCCTTGCCCAGAGTGGCGCTCGGTAGTTCGAGGATTGTCAGATTGACAGTGTCTGCACCCTCCTCGCCAGGAGGTGGGGTCATGATACCTCCAGAGTTCTCTGTGTCACTTCCGTTGGATGAGCTTACAAGACCGCCATTGCGGACCTCCATACGAATGGCTTCATTGGCACGGGCAATGAGCCAGTCAACTAGAGCTTCGTAGATGGCGGCCATCAAGGTCTGACGTTCCATAGTATCGCACTTCTTGGTCAAGACGGCAGTGTCCAGATCAAGCAGATCAGCCACCTCTTCGCAAACGTTTTCGAGTACGTCTTCATCGACCAGGAAACCCATAGTCTCGCCAAGCTTGAGGATGGCAGCTACAACAGAGAGCATGTTTCTGAGGGCAGCTCCCTTGATACCAATCTCCTTCAGCGAGGCGCGGAAGTCGTCGGCGGCGGCCGCATCGTCGGCCGTGGGGAGGTATAAAGGAGGGGTATAGGTGTCGGTCTTTTTTAGCAGGGCATAGGCCTTTGGTTCTTGAAGGCTCAAAAACTCCTTCTCGGCAGGCGAGGCGCTCGAGAGCAAGTAGTAGAAGACATCGAATGCGCGGTAGCCAATCTCGGCAGGCACATCGGTCAGGCCTTTGGTGACGTTGATTCCAGAAGAAGACAGACTCAGTGAAGCGCCCGTCAGCTCGCCCTCGAGATTGAGGTTGAGCACGGCGGCCAGACCGCTGTGCTGTGCTGCCGAGGGATTGCGCGGTGTAACGGAATGGAGGAAGGGGCGTATGGCGTTCAGAGCAGTGTACAGACTTGCAGGTACTGCAACAGGTAGCGAAGAGAGAAAGGGGATGAGGAGCGAAGGTGTGGACTCATGGAGAGAGCTGTCGTATATGTTAGCGAGTCGTACATCTGAAGCCTACTGTCAAGTGGACTCACCCCAAGACAACACATCCGTCCTCGGCTCTTCTCCTGGCGTGTTCCCAGGCGCGTCGACCCAATTCGGCATCTACTGTGCCTCCTTGCCTCCCATCAGGGCCGACCATCATGCTGGTGACCCATGTGTTGACGACGAGACTGGTACTCGATTCGAGCGCATATGGCTGGCTGTTATTCCAAACAGAGTGGAGGCTGTTGAGCAGAGTTGTGGTTGAAAGTTGGGCGGATGGTTGGGCCGGTCGAGGGACATTTGAATGGGTCGAATAGACCGACAGGCGGCTACCAGGGCCCGCCATGGTGAGAATGGGGGCTGAGGCGTGGCCTCTGTGTTGATTATGTGGTGTAGCGAGTGCTGAGGTTGTGGCAACGAGGAGTTGATCTCGTGGGTAAGCAGAAAACCAGCAATCCTCTGTTTTTGAGGGGGTGGAGAGACGGGCTGCGGCAACAATCGAGGTTCTGGCTACGTCGTACAAGCGAATGTCGAATGCAAAGTAAAAGGCACAGAACGACACAGTCCAAGGATAAAAAAGACGTGAAGTGAATATGCGATACGAGAGAGAGAGAGAGGCTTCAGAAGTTCAGTTCAGACACTAAGGGAGTGCGGCAAGCGGAAGGCTGGTATGTGCGCTACCCTAACACAACCATTCGTTTCAAGCCTTCTTGCTGCAATATCTCATCTCAAGACCCCGACTATCCCAGCCTCACCAATCATTGTCTCACTATGGATACTCCTCCCTGCTCATCGCTCAGATTCCGGATTCTGCTGGTCTGATTTTGTCGAGTCGAGTGTGGATATTGCTATTAGGTACACTGTTGATGTTTACGACACTACACGGACTACACCCGAGTACGGGCCATACTGTATCTATTTTTGGACAAGTTCGCCTTCGCGACTTTGTTGTGACCCTTTATGCAAAAGATCTATGAGCCTCACTCATCCGAGCCGCCTCCGTTGAGCGTCCATCACCTGCTCTGCTTGCAAGCACCACACATCATTCGAGCGCGACCGTCACTCTGGTGGAACACTGGTTGATCGGGCACCAGGGAAGCATCTCAATGCACGAAACATTTGTTTCATTCTCGGCGAGATTCGAGATTCAAGATTCAGGAGGTGGACCCGCCAAGATGGGCCCCCATGGGTGAAATGCTTTACATCGAGTTGATCGGGATGTCTTTCGCGTCCCTCGCTATCCGCAAGATAATTCTAGGTGCAGGATATCTCGTCATAGAGGATGGGTGTGCCGAAAAGTTCGAGTTGGGATAACATCCGTTTGACACGCGTTTCTTCGGCAAGAAACCGATGAGCGAAAGGAACAAAAGCGCCGCCCGCCGCCCGCGCCCCCTTAAGTGGTTGGGTTAGAGTTTCGAGCATGGTGATTAGCTCGCCCCGCGCCCGTATTTTTACCATGTAGTAACAAGATGGTTCTCAGGATGGCTTTGTACGGATTTTTCAAAATGAAGCCGAGTATCAGTGGTATCATTCAAAGGTCGTCAAATGCGATGCAGAAACAGAAACTCAAGATCAAACAGGACGCAGGTCTGATGGTGCTTTGAGATCTCTTAAGGTGTTGTGCTCGAAATTATCTAGGGCTGAAACGGAAGGCGCGACGGGTCAGTGGTTTCCCAAAATACAATCCGATAGGTTGGCTTTAGCTTTGGCCTTCTCTCTCACCCCGAGAGGCTTTCATATTCTATCCTCTCTGTCTCGTGTGTGATTTTCTGCAGTACACTACTCTAGGGCTCTTGTTGTTCTATCACAGCCCGACGTCAATCGCTTTACCCATCGCCCCACGGTCTCTTCCGTGTGCTAATCTTTCGTTCAAGGGGGTCGGTTGATATTTTGTCGACCGGTCTGCCAGCAACACAAGAGTAAAGCAGCACCAGGCCAATATGGCTGTTCCTGCTCACGCTCAGGCTTCACTGCCTGCGCTCCCTGCTCATCTTCAAGATGACAGCCACCTGACAGCACACCTGGCCAGCAGGTTCCACGTCTCGCTGCCCACCGCCCAGTTGTCATCACACGCCATCATCGCCCTCAACACATACACGTCTTCGGCCAAGGGCCCGGATGGCTCAAAAGAAGGCAGCGCTATGGGCGCTGCTGAGGATCTGGCTTCAAGAGCGTGGACTCGACTGGGGGCCAGACAGGAGAACCAGGCCGTTGTCTTTCTGTATGTGTCCTTCCGTGCTTGTGACACAAATGCCCACGTTCTTCTCTAACCAGTACACAGCGGTGAAACCGGCTCAGGCAAGACGACCCTGCGCTCGCACGTTCTCTCTGCCCTATTGACCTACACATCGACGCCACTGTCCAACAAGCTGTCCTACGCCGCCTTTGTTTTCGACACTCTGACCACCACAAAGTCTGTCACCACTCCCACCGCCTCCAAAGCCGGTCTCTTTTTCGAACTTCAATACGACACATCCTCCAGTCTGCACCCGACCCTTGTCGGTGGAAAGCTACTCGACCATCGTCTCGAGCGCAGCAGAGTCGCCACTATCCCTCCTGGCGAGCGTAACTTCCACGTTCTCTACTACCTCCTGGCCGGTACCAGCCCGCAAGAGAAGGAGCATCTCGGTCTTGATCAGGCAGGTCCTGCTACCAACAGACACTCGCTTGGTAATGGCGGCGCAAAGAGATGGAGATACCTGGGACACCCTAGTCAGCTCAAGGTTGGCATCAACGACGCCGAAGGATTCCAGCACTTCAAGACGGCTCTACGCAAATTAGAGTTCCCTCGTGACGAGATTGCTCATATGTGCGAGATGCTTGCTTGTATCCTGCACATTGGTCAGCTCGAATTTGTGACGACTCAGTCCACTACACCATCGGCCGATGACAGTGGTGGCTACTCGCACGAGGGTGGCGAGGACGTTACTTCGGTCAAGAACAGAGAAACTCTTCACATCGTAGCAGCTTTCCTCGGTGTTTCCGAGAGACAACTAGAAGAGAGTCTGGGATACCGCACAAAGAAGCTGCACCGCGAGCGCGTTACAGTCATGCTGGATCCCAAGGGTGCTCGAGACAACGCTGATGAGCTCGCACGCACCTTGTACTCGCTTTTTGTCGCATACACCATCGAGCGTATTAACCAGAAGATCTGCTCGGCAGAAGAGGCCGTTGCCAACACTATTTCCATTGTTGACTTCCCAGGCTTCGCACAATCTTCTTCTACAGGATCCGTACTGGACCAACTACTGAACAACGCAGCATCAGAATCTCTCTACAACTTCTGTCTGCAGAGCTTCTTCGAGCGCAAGGCTGATCTTCTCGAGACTGAAGAAGTCAGCGTGCCTGCAACCAGCTACTTCGACAACACCGATGCTGTCAAGGGTCTGCTGAAATCCGGTAACGGCCTTTTGAGTATCCTGGACGATCAGATGCGTCGTGGCAAGACTGATCAGCAGTTCCTCGAGAGCGTCAGGAGACGTTTCGAGGGTAAGAACCCTGCAATTGAGGCTGGCGCCGCTACTCAGACTCTTCCCGGAAACAACTTTGCTACCCGTAATGCCAATGCTGCATTCACCGTCAGACATTACGCTGGCGAGGTTGACTACCCTGTGGAGAACCTCCTCGAAGCCAACGGCGAGATCATTTCCGGTGATCTCATGAACCTGATCAACACGTCTTCGAACCAATTCGTCAGTGATCTTTTTGGTCAGGAAGCTTTGAGCAAGGTCGTCCATCCCAAAGATCGCTCAGCAGTTATGCAAGCCTCGGTCGCCTCCAAGCCTTCAAGAATGCCTAGCATGGCCAAGCGCACTGGTGAGCGCCCTGCAAGACTCGGTACCACGAGACAGGACAGCGACAATGGCAAGAGAAGCACTTCTCGCACTGGCAAAGGAGGTGAGCCGGAACAGCAACAAGGTGCCGCTGCTCAGTTCCTGTCTTCCCTGGACAATATCTCCAAATCTCTATCGGACCCTCGCACCAACCCATACTTTGTGTTCTGCCTGAAACCCAACGATCGCAGAATTGCCAATCAGTTTGACAGCAAATGTGTCCGCACCCAGATGCAAACACTTGGTATCGCAGAGATCAGTCAGCGTCTACGCAACGCTGATTTCAGTGTCTTCATGCCATTCAGTGAATTCTTGGGTGTCGCTGAGGGCGATGTTTCCGTTGTGGGTACCGACAAGGAAAAGGCAGAAATGATTCTGGACGAGAAGATCTGGCCTGGCAATGAAGCAAGAGTTGGCAGCACTGGTGTCTTCCTTAGCGAGCGCTGCTGGCGCCAGATCGCCCGAGTCAGTGATCTCGACGTAGCTCCTGCTGGCATGCACGAGCAGATGACTTATGGAGAGCAGGAGGGTATGCTGTCTCCTGATCACGCTCGTAATGGTCGCAACGACTCCAATCTCAACCTCCTTGGTGCCGTAACTCCTTCCCCTGGTGCCTTCTATCACGACGACAAAGTAGCGGGTTACTTCGGAAGCCGCGACCTCGACGCCAAATCCGAAGCCGGTGCATCAGCCTTCCATGGAGGTGATATGTTCCAGAATCTGGAAACACGCTCGCAACTCGCAGAGAAGGGCAATGAGGCCAAGGTGGCAGCAATCGAGGAGATACCCGTCACAGGTGCTCGTAAAAGATGGGTGTTCCTTGTCTACCTCTTCACATGGTGGATTCCCGATGTGTTCGTTCGCATCATTGGTCGCATGCCTCGTCCTGACATCCGTATGGCCTGGAGAGAAAAGGTAGCCATCAACTTCATGATCTGGCTTGCTTGTGGCAGTTTCTTGTTCCTCATGATTGGTTTCCCTGCGCTCATTTGTCCGACACAACACGTCTTCTCGGCCGCCGAGTTGCAAGACCACAACGGTAAAGACGGTCACTCTTCTTACATCGCCATCCGTGGTGTTGTCTTCAATCTTGGCAACTTCGAGTCGATTCATTACCCTAACATCGTTCCGACATCTGCTCTGGAGAAGTACGCTGGCACTGACGCGACCAACCTCTTTCCTGTTCAAGTATCCGCTCTCTGTCCTGGTACGGACGAGAATGGCATCGATCCTGCTGTCCAACTCAACTACAAGAGCACCAACTACACCGGTCAAGCTTCGGCTGTTAGCGGTACCGATGCTCATGCCGTATACCACGACTTCCGCTGGGCCACCAACGATTCCCGTCCAGACTGGTTTGCGCAGCAGATGAAGTTCCTAAACCAGAATTACAGAAAGGGTGCTGTCGGTTACACTTCCAGCTATGTCAAGAAACAGGGCAAGAAGCAACAGTCCATTGCCATTCTTAATGGACGAATTTACGACTTCACAGAGTACATCGTCGGCGGTCGTGCTCCTAAGTACCCAGCCGGATACGATGTGCCTGACACTCCGCCCAACTCGAACTTCATGGACCAGCGTGTGGTCAATCTTTGGCAGCAACATGCTGGTCAGGATGTGACTGACGAATGGAACAACCTTGGAATGACCGTGGACCTCAAAAACCGCATGCAAATCTGTCTCGACAATCTGTTCTACGTGGCCGACGTTGACACCAGAAACTCGACCAAGTGTCTGTTTGCCACTTATCTGTTGCTCGGAATTTCGATGTTCTTGATCGTGGTCATCGGTGTCAAGTTCCTTGCTGCACTGCAATTCGGTGGCAAGAACGTCCCAGAGAACCTCGACAAGTTTATTATCTGCACTGTGCCAGCATACACTGAAGATGAAGATTCTCTGCGTCGTGCCATTGATTCCGCCGCCAGGATGAAGTATGACGACAAACGCAAACTTCTGCTCATCGTTTGTGACGGTATGATTATTGGTCAAGGCAACGACCGTCCAACTCCCCGTATTGTTCTCGACATTCTCGGTGTCCCCGAAACCGTCGACCCGGAACCATTGAGTTTCGAGAGTTTGGGCGAGGGTCAAAAGCAGCACAACATGGGCAAGATCTACTCTGGTCTGTACGAAGTCCAAGGTCACATCGTACCATTCATGGTCATTGTCAAGATTGGTAGACCTGCTGAAGTCGGAAGACCTGGTAACCGTGGTAAGCGTGATTCTCAAATGGTCTTGATGAGATTCTTGAACAGGATTCACTACAACCTGCCAATGGCTCCCATGGAACTCGAGATGTACCACCACATTCGAAACATCATCGGTGTCAACCCGACGTTCTACGAATTTTTGCTGCAGATTGATGCAGATACCGTCGTCGCTCCTGATTCAGCCACACGATTCGTTGCCTCATTCCTCCATGACACACGCCTCATCGGTGTTTGTGGCGAAACAGCTCTTACCAATGCTAAGCACTCCATTGTTACGATGATGCAAGTGTACGAATACTACATTTCGCACAACTTGATCAAGGCTTTCGAATCGCTGTTCGGCTCGGTCACTTGTTTGCCAGGTTGTTTCTCTATGTATCGCATTCGCGACGCACAGTCCGGCAAGCCTCTCTTCGTTTCTAAGGAAGTTGTCGAGATGTACGCCGAGATTCGTGTCGATACCCTTCACACAAAGAACTTGCTGCACCTGGGAGAAGACAGATACCTGACGACACTCCTGATGAAGTGGCACCCTTCTTACAAGACCAAGTTTATCATGCGCGCTCACGCCTGGACTATCGCACCCGACAGCTGGACCGTCTTCATGTCACAACGTCGTCGTTGGATCAACTCTACTGTTCACAACCTCTTCGAGCTTACATCACTGTCTCAACTTTGCGGTTTCTGCTGTTTCAGTATGCGATTCGTTGTTATTCTTGACCTGCTCTCAACTGTTATCCAGCCTGTCTTGGTCGGATACCTGGTGTACATTTTTGTTCGCATTGGACAGGATCCTACTGGTGTCTCGACCATTGCCATCATCATGTTGGTGGCCGTTTACGGTATGCAAGCGTTAGTCTTCATTATCCGCCGCAAGTGGGAGATGGTCGGTTGGATGATCATCTACTTGATTGCTACGCCTGTCTTTTCCATGGCACTTCCCCTCTACTCTTTCTGGCACATGGACGATTTCTCGTGGGGTAACACTCGTGTCGTTACTGGAGAAAAGGGTAAACAGGTTGTCGTTTCCGACGAGGGCAAGTTTGACCCTGCCAGCATTCCGAAGAAGAGATGGGAAGACTACCAAGCCGAGCTCTGGGAAGCGCAGACTTCTCGTGATGACGACGCCCGTTCCGCAATGTCCGGCGTTACCGGCGTGTCTTATGCGACCAAGTCAGCCTACCCTGGTATGGGCGGCTCTGTCTACGATTACCCACCGTCGCGCCCCATGTCGACATTGGGTGTGCCACAAGGTCCCTTCGGCAACCAGTCGCGCATCAGTCTCGCACCAAGTGAGATGGGTTTGATGACTGGTGGTTACAGCCCAAACTCCGTAGAGATGACGGACATGCCTCTTCCCAGTGACGATGCCATTCTCGCCGAGATCCGTGACATCTTGGCCAAGACTGACCTTATGACAATTACGAAGAAGAGTGTTAAGTCCGAGTTGGAGAGACGATTCGGTGTGCCGCTCGATGCTAAGAGGGCGTACATTGGCTCCGCCACAGAAGCCATCCTTAGTGGACAGTTGTAGGAAGAGCATGAACGGTGTTAGCATTTGCATTCGGCGGCGTTTTGCACCTTGTTGCATAGTTGAGTCCGTTCTTTGCAACGGATCATGTTTTAGTTAGCTTGGGTACGTGGGCGCCATTTGCACATAAAATGTTTTGTCTATCTTTATTCTTCCCAAGTCAAAATTACGAAATGCCCCGAGGTAATCCACACACAACACTTTTCTCTTTCCTTGTTGATTCCGACAAGCTGGACAAAGTTATCTGCTAATCAACGAGATATGGGAATGCAGGGTGTCCGGCATCCTGAATCTAGAGTATTGGTGTATCAACCGGTCGCAAAAGCCATCATCACCCGGGGAATCGATCCGGATTTGCCTTGTCTAGCACTGCCTACGAAAGTGAAGATATTCTCCATGACGACCAGGATAGAAAATCGTGTGTCGCATGGCTTGTCGTCACTCGGCCGCTGTTGTCCGGGAGTGCTCTCAACGGCCAACGTCGACGAACAGCCAGCCAACACAACGTTCACTCGGACCCTTCCTTGAATTTATATCAAGTATCGTCACGCTGAATTCAATCATTTCTTCCCTCTTTAACCTGCCTTGTGCAATTCTTCTTAAGAAAGATATTTCCTATTACTGATCTCATCAATCTCACGATTCTCTCAAATCTCTCGAATCTCATCATCTTGTCAAATTCAGCTTCGCTTACATACGATGAAGAGCACGACTGTTGCACTTCTCGCGTTGATTGCGGGAAGTACTTCTGCGCAGTTCTTCGTTCTCTATGGCAGGGATACTGTCGTCTCCCGTATTGACCCCATTGTCTCTCCCGGAGGCATTGGTATGCATGCTCACGAGTTTATGGGTGCTGGCAACATCAACCAAAACTCAGACTACGATTCCCTCCAGAAGTCGACATGCTCGAGTGTCGGACGTGCCAATGGCAACCCCATTATCGAAGACAAGAGTGCTTACTGGCACCCTACACTCTACGTCAAGGCCAATAACGGCACCTACCTCAGAGTTCCTGTAAGATTCACATGTCTGCTCATGGCAATCACACTGCTTACGAACTCTCCAGACCAATGGTCACCAGATCTACTACATCAATGCCGGCACTGGCCAGATGCGTGAGCCCTTCGAGTTCCCCAAGGGCTTCCGCATGACAGCTGGAAACGCCTACATCCGTGCCGCGCAAGAACACACTCCTACCAACATGGATGATGTTACTCAGTGGATTTGTCACGAAACTCCTTCGTGGAACCAAGGTGCTCAAGGTGGCTTTCCTAATGGTGTCACGTCTTGCTCACAGTACCCTTACTTCAACGGTGCTATCGAGTTCCCTCACTGCTGGAATGGCAAGGACTTCAACCTCAACTCTCCCTACTCGCACGTTGCCTATCCTGTTGGGGACATCAGAAACGGTGCTTGCCCTAGCACTCACCCTATCAGACTTCCTCATATCTTTATGGAGAACAACTACGATCTGTCAAGTCTTGAGGGAGAGTTTGAGGTCGACTCGTTTGTGTTGTCCAACGGAGATTCTACCGGCTTCGGCTTCCACGCCGACTTTGTAAGTCCGTCGCTGATTACGATTCAAGCAAATGCTAACAAGTATGCAGTTCAACGGCTGGCAAGAAGGCGTTCTGCCTAACCTACTCACTGGCTCCAGTGCCTGTGACTCTCACGATGTCGGCGACTGCTCCGGCGTAACCTTTGACACGAGTATGAATTGGGCTCAGTGCACTACTACTAACAACTTCCCTGAAGATCTCGATGGCCCGCTCGCTGCCCTGCCTGGATGCAATCCTATCACTACTGTCAACCCTGCTCCTCAGTGCAAAGCTTGTGCTGCCGGTGTGGTGGGTGGACAGTGCAACGCTGCCGCCACCGCCTCCATGACTACCAGCACGAAGAAGGCGCCTTCGACCCTTCAGACAACTACAAAGCCTGCTTCATCAACCATGCAGAGCTGGACCACCACTACCACTACTACGAGAACTGTGACCACTACTGAGCGTTCGACTACCACTGTGACTGGTGGCGCACCCACAAGCACCGAGTGCGATCAATGAACATCTTGCCAACCACCTCAAATCGATCCTCGCCGCTGGACGGATAGGTGAGTAAGACATACATCACTTTTACTAATACTTGATTTTTCCACTTCTAGGCCCTTGAGACTGCGTTCCAAGTAAGAGCCCATACACCAATATTACCCTACCGTATACGATCACGCCGAGAAACGAATATACCCACGCCGCCGTACCGATATCGATGCTGGAATCACGGAACGAGTGCAGGTTAGCATAGCCGAATACAAACGTCAATGAACATTCATGACTGCAAGAGGGAGGAACGCCTCCACGGGAAAGGGAGATATACATTTTTAATGTTTGAATCAAGTTGCTGAGCAACATTTTTTTCTTTCTCTTCGATCGATTTTGCTTTATCAATCTGAATGTACAATTCTATTCATCCATTGCTGTTTCATGATATTGTGCCTTTTCATCCAAAGTGAATTTGTACCAGGTGCTTGCGTACAGGCTCTCAGTGAGGGCCACATCACTTCTGTCAACCATATACAATGGACTATACATACTATTCTGACCTCGCTTCCCCCCAACAATATACCCTCTTAGTCCAATGGTCACCATCGTCAATTATACCGTAATCGCTAACCCAATCTAGTAGTTTCAGACCTCTTTCTCTTTGCCAGGCACTATTGTGTCGGCAATCTTTAGTCTCAACTCAACAGATCTTGAGTTCGACTCTGAGCATGCTCGTTGTCATTTGTGTCGTTTGGTGTGACAACTCCCTCGCCTGGGGAATACCTCTTCGGCGATTTTTTTCAAAAACATTATCGGTCTGTCCTCGTTGCTGTCATGGCGTACACGAGTTTCTCCGTCCGGGGAATGCCTCCTCGGCGATCACCTATCAAAATCAAATCAATCAATGTACTTGCAAAAGTCATGGAACGGATCTGGCTCCAATCAGATTCACATTCTTTGTCGGGCACATCTGTGTCGGCAATCTCCAAAAAACATCAACCATATCATCATCAACTTTCGACTCTTCGTTCGATCAATCGGCTCCTTGGATGAGTAGGGTGGCTCTTACTTTACCATGCTGACATGGAAACCAGGAATTGAGGATGAGCATAAGTCGTCATTGGGCGGGAAAAGGGCGTGGACAAAACCCAAAAACCAGAAAAGCAGAAAAAAAGAGGGTAAGTCAAAAAACATCCAGACCCGGGCAGAACCAAGGGGAAATCTACTTTTGCCACAATACAAGGGGTAGGAAGGAGAGAAGGAGTGCAAGTGGAAACGTGTGTATACATGTGATGTGAGGATAGAAACAGCCAATTTGAGAGTTTTGAAACAATCCAAAAACTGCCAGATTTTTGCCTCACATGTATCTCTATATCGAAAATCGTTGGCGTAAAAGTGTGCTATAGAGTCGTAAGTGATAGGGGAAAGAAGGAAAAGGAGTGGGTCAGGGAGACGGTGGAAGGTATAGCAATGCAAAAGGGCGTCTGAGAGAGTTGTGCATGATGAACGGAAAAGAAGAAATAGGAAACGAAGAAAGATCCCTAAATACTCGCTGCTATCAACAACACATCAAAGGGGCTAATGAATGTGAATGGTGATGATGCATTAACGATATCGTGTATGATGTTTTTATCTTGAAGGAAGCGCAACCGACAAAGAACAAATCGATTCCATGTCCTTTTCCCCCAATCATACCAATCACAAAGAGAAAGCGTAAACATGACAAAACGATAGGTGAGAGATGATAAAAGGGTCTAATGTTTTTCGTTTTTTGATGAATCAAAGTCTCGTATTATTCCTTAAAGAGACCGTCGAATTTCCTTTTCATAAAAGCAGAGGCAGTGTTGGCTTTGATGTGCTTGTCACCCTATGCGTCTTGCATCTCGGCGTCCTTCTTCTCCTGCTGCTCGCGCTGAGCGGCCATCTTGGCTGCTGCAGCGGCGGCGGCGGCCTGCTCCTGCTGTGCTTGTTGGATAGCCTCCTGCTCGGCGCGCTTCTTTGCGGCGGCCTCCTCCTGGGCTGCGAGGGCGGCTTGGCGCTCCTCCTCGAACTTGTCGAGGTAGCGCTGGGCGATGGGGCCACCAATGGCACGGATCTCGTCGATCTTGGACTGGTAGACAGCCTTGGTGGCGTCTTCACCCTCATCGTAGAGCCAATCCTGTAGAGAGAAGGGTCAGTATTCGAAAGGATGTGATGGTCGTTGGGTGTGATGCTTACCTCGCTGGTCTCGAGCTTCTCCTTCAGCTTGGTCTTCTCCTCCTCGCTAGAGAAGTCGGCGTACTCCTCATCGATCTTTGCACGCATTTCGTAGATGTAAGCCTCGAGCTCGTTCTTCTTGTCCTCGGTGTCGGCGACAAGCTTGTCCTCCATGATCATGCTGTGCTCCTTCTCGGAGAAGTCGGCGATGGCTTGCACATCGAGAGAAGCGGTGCCAGAGGACAGGGGCAGGTCACCCTTCTTGACCTGCTTCTTGACCTTGCGGGTCTTGGGCTCGTCGTTACCCTGAAAATCAATGTCAGCACTGGTTGTGATTTTGGGTCGCTTGCGTTCTCTCTCTTCATCGGATTGAGATTGCCAAGTCGTTTCTTTGTCATGACTCACCTCCTCGCCCTCGATGGGCTCCTCAACCTCCATATCCTCAACGTAGTATCCGGACTCGACGTTCAAGATACCGTTCAAGTTCAATCTGGCCTTGAGCTTGCAGATCATGAAGTCGTCCTTCTCGTCAGCCTTGACACCCTTGACGCTGAATCTGCCGATCCAGGGGTTCATCTTGCCGGGAAGCATCTCAGGCTTGGCGTACTTGGCCTCAAGGTCGAAGGCCTGCTTGCGGTAGAAAGTGAGGATCTTGGTTGAGGGCATGACGTTGCCGCGGTTGAAGACGGTCAGCGAAGTGTCCTCATCAGGGATCTCGGAGCTCTTCTCCCAGGTGAACTCGATGGGGTAGTTGCAGATGTCGTGGATGGAGAAGTCGCGGACACGGAAAACGGGGGAAAGGATGGCGCAGGCGAAAGCGGAACCACGGGCGATGGCCTCGTCGGCGTTGAGGGTGAAGGACAGCTGCTTGCCGAAGAAGTCCTGGATGGCGGCCTTGAGGGCGGGGACACGAGTGCAGCCACCGACAAGCTCGATGGTGTCAATATCCTCAACCTTCAGCTTGGCCTCGGCAAGAGCCTGCTCAAGAGGAGCAGTAGCACGGGCAAGGAGGGGCTTCATGATCTCCTCGAGCTCCTCTCTCTTGAGGAAACCGCGGACATCGACGTCGTTCATCAAGGACTCAATGTTGATGGGAGCACCAGCGTTGGCGGACAGAACCTTCTTCAGCTTCTCGCAAGCGGCAACAACACGAAGCTTGGCCTTGGGGTTCTCGTTGATGTCAACCTTGAACTTCTCCTTGAACTCAGCGGCAAAGTGGTCGACGATGGCCTTGTCGAAGTTGCGGCCACCAAAGTGACGGTCGTAAGCGGTCGAGATGACCTTGAGCTCTCCCTTGCGGAACTCGACAATGGAGACGGTGTAGTTGCTGTGACCGATATCGACAAAGGCGACTCTCTTGGGCTTCTCGTCAGGGCCGGGCATGTCGGTCTTGGTGATACCCCAGCCAAGGGCAGTGGCGGTGGTCTCGTTGATCAGGCGCAGAATCTTGAGGCCGGAGATCTCAGCGGCATCGATGATGGCTCTTCTTTGAGCATCGGTGTACCAGGCGGGGACGGCGATGACCATGTCGTTGACGGGAAGCTTGAGCTCGGCAGAAGCGGTCTGCTTGGCCCTTGTGAGGAACATGGCAGTCAACTGGGTGGCAGTGAACTGCTCCTTCTTGCCCTGGTATGACACCTCGGCACCGACCTGGCCGTTAACATCGACCAGCTTGCACGAGACGTGTTCTTGCTCAATGGCGACATCGGGGTCCTTTAGCGATCGGCCAGCGAGACGGGTGAGGGATCCGACGGTGTTCTTGAGGTTGGAGACTTCCTGTGTCTTTGCAGTCTCACCGAGGTAGCGAGACTTGGGACCGAAACCAACGAGGGCGGGAGTTGCGCGGTTGGAAACTTCGTTTGTGATAACATCGACACCACGGTTTCTGGCGACAGCCTGTTGCGCGACGTGTTAGATGCTTGTCGGGCGCAAAGCAATAGTCACGAAGACTTACAATCACGGCATTTTGGGTACCGAAGTCGAGACCGACGACACTGGGCGCAAAAGGTCAGTTGAAAGAGCATACATGTGGCGGCCAGGGCGCAGACTCACGACATGATGGGATGTGTAGTCTGTGGTGATAAAAAGAACTTTTGTAGAGGTCAAACAAGAGTCGTCTATAGGGCGACAAGGGGTATCTCAATCAAAGAAAAAAGGCGCTTGGATAAGTCTGGAGAGATTGCAGAGAGTAGGTGGGATAGAGGGGCTCCTTCGGTAGCGCTGTCGTCGTTGGGACCCAAAACACGATGATTTTTTCGCGAAGCTTCTCGGCGTTTCCAGCACGGTCGTGGTGACGTTGGACTAAACATGCTGCCTTGCTGAGGGTACGACCCTGTTCAATTATGCCATTCAGCGACAACATGGTCAAAGTCTTGTTTTCTGCGAAGTTCCACTGAGGAGCATCAATTGACAGGTATAATCTTGACACTCGTTGGGCTGGCATGGAGTCCTGTCGCTTGTAGACTGCCTGACCAGCTCTCGCAACAACTTCGAGGGCTTGATCCAAGTTCACATTACATAGCACTCGCAAAACTCACACCCTCTTGCTGTTATCGTGAAACAATGTTTGAAAACGGTCCTTTTGTACAGTGCAGATTCATGACCCTGGTTACCATAGCTGAGGCGTGATATGAGACATCGACTTCGATGGGCTTGCATCGTCAGATATGCCCTCTCATTTACCATCAATCTGCACCTTAGCCGCCTTCTCAGCCGAACCAGCCAACCTGTCCAGAGCGTCACCATCCGCTCTCAAAGTGACCCAATCTTCCATCTGCTCAGCCCCCAACATCTTGTAGAAATCCAGCGATGGCTTGTTCCACTTCAAGCAGCACCACTCCAACCTCTTACCCCCAATCCTCTTGACTTCCTTTGCCAAAGCCCCGATGAGCAGCTTTCCATACCCTTTGTTGCGGTGTTCAGGGAGGACGAACAGGTCTTCGAGGTAGACGCCGGGTGCTGCCCACCAGGTCGAATAGTTGTTGAAGTACAATCCCATGCCAGCTACTGAGTCGTCGGGGGTGCGGATCAAAAGGACTTTGGCGTAGCCGGATCCTGATGGGGGCTCGCCTCGTGAGGGGGCAAAGCAGAGAGTTGATGCTAGAGATTCCTCGGTTGCGTGGCAGGATGAGAGGGCCTTTTCGTAGTCGGCTAGTGCACGGATGAGGTTGAGAATGTGAGGCACGTCTGTCGCATGTCTCAGTATACCGACACAGTTTCAATTGGCCGAACGTATAGCAGTGTATGGGCTAGGGTCAATCGTGCCAGATGCGTATCCTTGGACTCACCCTCGCGAGTTGCATGGCTGATGCTAGGTTGGTTGGACATGGTGACGAATTGGGAGGTTTCAAGAGTGAATAGAGGTATTTCAACAGTGCCCGAGTAGATAACGCTCAGTCAAGGATATACAGAAAAATGTTTAGGGATCAGTAACAATGGATGGAAAAGAAAGGACGCCCTGTGCATGACATGTAGAATAAATATTGACCATCATTCCCCCGGAATTCTTGGCTTTGACGACCGTGGGAGAAGTCTGAGGCTCTTGTGCTCTTCACCTCCGCATGAGATCAACAAATTCTTGTGAAACTCGATGAATGCTTCGTTCTATCTACGCCACAGTTGAAGAGAGTCTCCAGACTACTCGCTATCCTCAGTTGATTGCGAACGTCAATGATCCTGGGATGGCTGTGCATAGTCTCACGGCCTTGTATCTACAGCCCACTCCATCAAATGAAGCATAGTTGCTCTATCGTCTCAATCTATTGGGCCAAGAAGCATTCCTCTGCAATCTAGCTGACTAGACGAATCGGCTGATATTGCATCTACACAAACTTTTTCTATTGCATAGCTCGTTAGCGATGGCTTCCGGAACAAGAAATTGTATGGTCAAGTATGGGTGATTGGAGAGCCAGTGAAATCAGGTTGTCAGAGATGTATTTATCGTCAAGGTTGTTCAGACAATGTAGATAAGTATTCGTAAGATCTGTTCATCATGCAATGGCTTTCGCACGGAGAAATCGAAAAAATCACTAACCTGTTGATGGTATAGATGGGGGTGTACTGCCAGCGACCGGTCGCAACAACGCGCAATCTTAGCTTCGGCGGTGGTCTGCTGAGATAGTTGTATTAATATGCCAGATATGTATCACGAGATATCATGGGTTGCTCAAAGAGGCTTCTTCGGTGGCATTCGCAATCTTGGCTTGGTTCAGAACATCGCCGCCCCATTGGACTGACCACTTTTGGGACTTTGAGTTCCATGTCATTACAGGACATTGCGCAAAAACCGTGGCCCAGCATCTTCTCATGGAGCGCGCAGTCAGCCTACGGGCATGGATAGAGTTGGAAGCATTGTCGAGAACGACACTAGGCGAGTTGAGTTTAACGAGACCAAGAGCAAGCTCAAGCGGTGATGGCAAGCTGGCCCCTCCTGCAGGCATAGGTCGACGCGGAGGAGGACCTTTGAACTTTATTTTGCCCAGAGCAAGGTCACGCAAACGCTCCCACTCTGCAACAGGAAGAGGGACAACCGTTCGGTCCAAGACTTTGGCATACCAGTCCCTAGTTGTGTTGGCAATACGCTTCTTGGGCAGGGGTCTTTCCCAGCTGTTCGTCTCTGGGATATTCAAGGCCCATGATCGGAGCTGAGAACGAACAGTCGTCGGCGGACAAGCCAGTTTCTGAGATTCGAGGAGGGCGATATGTTGAGGGGAAAGTTTGGGCAGCGTGTCGGACTTGAGGTCGGCATCGGCTGGCGGCTTGTACTGCAAGTCGCGCAGTAACTCATGTCGTCTCTTGCCAATGCGGGCATATGTCAGATGGAGGAGCTTGAGCAGAGGCTTCAGCTCTCCTTGATTGGCGCGGCGCAGTTCAGAGAGAGACTTGCGGGCATTGTCAAGCTGTGAGTGCCTCCTTTGTTTCAGGACGTCGTCAGGTTTGTGTCCAGGAGAATATTCTCGGAAGCGTTGAGCAGCATGGGTGGCTACGTATATACGGGCTTGTGGATCGGGGAGATAGGTTGCCTCACGCAGGATTGCGCGAAACAGATGGCGGGATTCATTGCATTGCTGAACGGTGAAGAGCGGCAGCATTTGATGTGGCTGGATTGACTTGTCGCATGCTGCCCGTCACCGTAAGTTTTGGCGAGGCGGCGTGCCAAAAGGTTAGACCCGGTGGACACAAGTCTTCGCCGAAAGCTGTGCATGCCGTCTTGGGCGAATTTCAAGTCCGAGCCAGTCGTCGCTGCCAGTTGATTGCTTTGTATCTGCTTTGCGCCCACACTCGCCATGCGTAAGAGGTTTCACGGTTTGAAGAAGCCCGTATGCTGCCCTTTCTCTGCCCCCTCGCTGCCTCGCTGACAATGCGCAGAAAGTCCGAGCCGACTGGTCAAAATGGACTCTCTATAACATCTCGCGCCTAAACACTCCCTTCGCCGCTTCAAAGACCTTCTTCCAGCAGAAGTGGCTAGCAAAATCCTTGACCCGTGCCTATCATGGTGAACAAATTCGCGAAGGAAAATGGACTCGCATGTTCGACCGTCGCCTCCCCGCCGTCGTACCCATGGATTACAAACTTCTCGCCCGCACAGATGGTTCCGAACAGGCTCAAGGTCGTGGCTCTGGTCTTATCGTCACAAAGAAAAAGGATGACTCGGATCGATCAGAAAGAGACCGACCTCCGCAAAGGACCCCCTACATGCACATGACATATTTCCCGACTGAGCGCAGATTGGATACTGCTGTTTGGCGTGCTCTATTCGCCAGTAGTGCTCGTCAAGCCAGACAATTCGTCGTCCACGGCTCCGTAAAGGTCAATGGAAAGAAGGTAGTGCCATTGCTTTGTCGAACTAGCTGTTTCGCATGCTAACATATCTAGATGGTACACCCTGGTTACCTTCTCAACCCCGGCGATATGTTCTCAGTAGATCCTGAGCGTGTTCTCTATGCTACCGGCGCACGCAAGCACAACAAGAACTCCCCAGACACACTGCAAGGTCGCGAAGAGCCCGATGAGGCCGAGCAAATCGTGGACGAGGATGCCGAAGACCTCGACGAGGCTGAAGTCCAGGACAAGGAAGAGAAAGCGGCCGCCAAAGCTGCCAAGACAATTCCGTCAGCCGATGAGGACCCCAAGGCTGCTCTCAAGTCGTTGCTTGCTCGTGCACAAGACATTACTAGGGAAAGCAAGGACGGCTTGTCTGGCAAGCGCAAGCAGGATCTACGCGCCTTTGCCAAGTCTGTCAAGCAAACCATGTCTCGCCTACGACCTTCTGGCATCGTCAAGCCAGGTACCGAGACCATCGACACATTGGAGGAGACGCTAAAGGCCATCGCCGCCAAGGTTCCTGTTGAAGGTGCACCAGCTGAGGCTGCCCTACCCGATCAGACAAAGCCAGTCAAGAGAGAAGACGCATTCCGTGCTCGTAAGGACGCCGAGCTACTACACGCCGCACTTGCACGTGCAAACGAGAACCCGATCGACGCATCAAAGCCGTATGCCACACCATGGAGACCGCGTGAGTTCATGAGTGCATTTGCATTCATCCCGCGGTACCTGGAAGTCAACCAGAAGATCTGCAGCGCAGTGTACCTCCGTCACCCAGTTGCCAGACCTGGATTGGCAGAAGTGCCCACACCGTTTGCCAACGAGACAATGGCTCTGGCATTCAACTGGTATCTCCGCAGACGTTGAAGAGACTACTTCAGCTTGTACACGATCAAAATCAATTGGGGCGGCGTTACATGCACATCTATGTACTATAGTGAACGGATTGGGAAAGCGCCCAAAATATGATTCGCCAGTTGGCCTGTTACCTCGATATACAGTGGACACCTTAATGTGATGTCTTAAGAAGCTGAAGAGAAGCCCCTGAAAATCTGCAAGAGATCGATCGATGAGTAGGAATACACTTTGATAGTGCTATCGTCGCAGCTTGTGCAAGAGCCGCTAAGTTTGTGGGAGCCAATAGGCGGCACTCACGAGAGTAGCGCGGGCCGAGGCACGGGCCACAGCAGCAACGCGAACACGTCCAACGCTGCATCTCGCGACTTGCGCATCTTGCTGGGCCGAGCACTTTAGACATGAGTGCTGACACTTTTGCGACCTTCCTCGACACAATCTCTTCTGCATAACCACTGCCCAGCAACGACTAGCTGTCCTCGATATAGTCGCTGTAAAAGGCAACCTGCCAATATGGCCCATCACACGAACCGCACGCCGCAAGATCAAGCCTATCACTCAATGCCCTACGGCCAACAGACATCACAGTATGCTGTCACACAGTCACCGGGCATGGCCCAGACCTTCAAGGCTCTACAAGATGCTGGATATGGTCAAGGAGCTTCAGCACCTACTCCCCAGCAAAACATGCGTCCCACTTTCGAGAAGCCCACCATCTACACTGTGAGAAATTAGATATTCAATATCACTGATAACCAACTGACCGTGGAGCTAGGCTGTCTACTCTGGAGTCCAGGTATACGAAATGGAAGTGAACAACATTGCTTGCATGCGACGACGTTCCGACGGCTGGCTGAATGCCACTCAGATCCTCAAGGTTGCTGGTGTCGACAAGGGAAAACGCACAAAAGTTCTGGAGAAGGAAATTCTTCCAGGCGAGCACGAGAAGGTCCAAGGTGGATACGGTAAATACCAAGGCACATGGATCACCTACCGCAGAGGTCGTGAGTTCTGCCGTCAGTACGGTGTTGAGGATTTGCTTCTTCCCTTGCTGGAACACGACCTTGATGGCTCCGGCGCCGGTCAGACCACCGAGACGCCGACCAAGGAGCAAGCCATGGCCGCTAACAGAAAGAGATTCTACGCCGCCGGGGCTCAAGATAGGAATGGCCCACCAGCCTCAAATACTTTCTTCCAGAACATCTCTTCCATGTCGTCAGTTGCTCTAGCCGCCCTTAACAAGGCTGCTCGACTTAACTCGCCAGTCCGTCCGAGTCACATGAGACGTGCCTCTCAGCAACAACAACAAAACACTTCTCACAGCCACCTGGCCGATGCCAACTACAATCAAATCCCGGATTCCGGCTACAATACACAAAGCGCTGCATGGAGACAGGCACCGGGTGGTGAACCCCCAAGAAAGCGTATGAGACCTAACGATGAGATCCCTGTCGACGCTTCCATCATGTCGCTCGACCCCACAGAGCCTGGAGAATCATTCCTCCAAAGCACTCAACAGTACCTCGAAGAAAACGTCAACGGATCCGACGAGCCCGTGACACTTCCTCCGTTGCCAGTCCCCATGGGTATTGAAGAGGAGAACAAGCGTCTATTGCTCCTCGACCTTTTTGCCGAATCCTCTAGACAAGACTTTGCCTCACACCCAGCACTTCTGTCTCTGTCCCCACAAGATTTGGACATTCCTCTGGATCCGTCAGCAAATACTGCCCTGCATTGGGCTGCAACACTATCGAGATTATCGTTACTACGACTGCTCATCCAGAAAGGTGCCAACATATTCAGAGGCAATGCTGCAGGTCAGAGTGCTTTGATATCGGCTGTCTTGGTCAACAACTGTTGCGAGCACTCCTCTTTCCCTGACGTGCTAGAGCTTCTAAGTCCCCTGATCGAGGTACGAGATGCTCAAGCCCGTACTATTCTGCACCACATCGCTGTCTCCTGTGGTATCAAAGGTCGAGCCCCTAGCAGCAAGTACTACTTGGAAGCTTTGTTGGAGTTCTTGGTTCGCAGCGTGTCAAAGCCTGCACCAGCCGAAAATGGATCTGCAACCCCCGGACAAGCAGGCAAAGAGCGAATGAATCTGATGCGCTTCCTCACGCATATAGTAAATGCGCGAGACAAGGCAGGTAATACTGCTCTGAATCTCGCTGCGAGAATTGGTAACAGAGGTATCATTCAGCAACTGCTGGAAGTCAAGGCCGACCCGGCCATTCCCAACCAGAAAGGCATTACAGCCCGCGATTTTGGTGTAGGTGTTGAAGACGAGAACGGACAACCTAATGCCGGCTTCAACAACCCATCAAACATCGATCCAATCTTTTCCCAAGCGCAAGCACTTAACCGCCCGCCATCCCAGAACACCACCGCAGAAGGTGCAAACGAAAAGGAAACAACACCCGTCTCCAACACAAGCATCATCGAAGAACAGAACCAGGATGTCATCTCTTCACTAACAAGTATGCTCACCGCAAACCTCGCCCAGCACAAACAGCTACTTGCGGAGAAAACCACTCAAATCGACAAACTCAACGTGCAGATCCAAGAACTGTCAGCCGTAGCGAAAACCGAAAGCGACCAACTAGCAACTCTGCAGCGCCGCGCCAAATCTCGCGGCGAAGCCGCGTCCAAGATCGCAAACCTCAAACGCATCCTCGAAGAACGACACCGCAATGGCAGAAAAGTCACAAAGACAAACACTGTAGTGGGGGATGCAGATACCTCTATCTCACCTGTACTTGCAATCACCAACAAACTGCCCGACGTCTCTGATGCAGCACAAGCAGTGCAACAACTCACACCTGCACTCCAACATCAACTTCTGCACGACACACCTTCCGTCGCTGAGCTCCGCACACTGAAGAAAATGTACGAGACCAATAATGATCGTCTGCAACAGCAATCCACACAACTCAAGTCTCGGTCTTCGCAATTAGAGCACTTGTACCGTAAAGTCGTGTCTTTGTGTACTGGTGTTGCAGAAGACAAGGTTGAAGACCAGTTGGGTGCGCTTCTGGCGGCTGTGGAGTCAGAGAAGGGTGCGCTGGGCAGAGAGGAAGCGGGCAGAGTCAGGGAGTTTTTGATCAAAGTTGAGGGCGTGGGTGGTGGTGAGGTTGCTGCTGGTGTGTAGAAAGAAGAAGAGGAGCAAAAGGTGTATATGGAAGGGAAAACGGTGGAAGCATCAAATCGCATAGCGAGGGTCATGGCGTGGGTGTTAGGCATTGCTTTGAATGAAGACGAGATGGTTGCTCCTAGTATTCCTTGCTCTTGGCGTATGGTATGTGTTTGTGTGTCACTGTCGAGGAGCTTTGTTGCAGTTGAGCTCAGGACTCGCAACGGCAAGCGCGCGTTGCGTGGCGACTACCTCACCGTAGTCAGCAGTTTGAGTTGCACAGCACGTCAGCTGGCAACGCACATCCGTCGTCGACCGAGTGATACGATTCTATCTGTGATCAGGCAGAGTTCCTCACCATACATTGTTCGAGTCCTCTGCATGCCCTGGAGATTTTGGCTTGTTCCAAAACTCCTACTTAGCTCCATACCACGTGTTTTAGAACCCATGTACCGGCGACCTCGTTTAGTCGACTCTATAGATACGAGGTCCTTGATCCTCTGTGCATGCAAAGCAATCTATCTTTAGTATCTCAGATGAAGCGAGCATTGAACTTTGTCTGTGAACGCCTGTGGAGATGCAATCAACTCGAAACACGAGGTCCTTGCAGGATTCCAATGTGGAAGTTTTGTCGGCTCGAAATGGGAAGGAGCGCGGAAGCCTTTGCTCAGGCTGGATGACGGGAGCAGGGGCGAATGAAAAGAGTATCTGGTGGGATCGTTCTTGGAGATCCGCAGTCGTTGGTTTTCTTATGCTGGGTAGATTGCTTTTATGTAGGTTCCTATGAGCTAGGCAAGTCTGAGGATTACAAGTAGCACACCTGTCCGTGTGTAAGGATATGCTACCTAGTTATGGAAATACAAGATCCCTCTTGCGATAAGAAAGCGTCTTCTGAGATTCGTGATATGATCAACCCTAACTTGCTGCGTGAGACTATTAAATGTTTCCACAGCCACCCATACAGCATGTATTTGCACACGAGAACGCAGAAACCATGTTTCAAATCATGACTGTGAGTACCTTGTTGTATACTAGAAGAGAAGTCTATCATTCGTAGATAAAAGTTTTGGTTTATAAGTTACAGCATAATTTACCCATTACCACGACCGTACCCACGACAAAAGTCTAATCGAGGCATTTAGCACAGTCTGGGAAGTGCTCCGGGACCACACTCCTGCCAGTTGTTGATCTTCTCGCAAGTCCAGCTGGTAGTGACATTAGGATCAAAGTCCGGACCCTTGTAAGTAGTGCGATAAGGGAACTTGCAATGAGCACGCTCAAAAGCAACACCCTGACCAGGATCATCATTAACAAATTTAGTGCCTGTGATGGTATCAGGTGCAACGCCATTCTCAGTCCAAGCGACCAATTGATCGATAGCACTGTGGCGACCATATCTACCAGCAGCAATCTGACCAAACTCCCAAGCACCTGCGCCTCCAGAACTACAATGATCACCACCAGAGATGCGGAAGAAGCGGAAGAATTCGTCGAGCTCTGTGTCGGAGGCACCCATTGTTTTGGCAACGTGAAGGTAATAGCGTTGCGAGTTCTCGCCTGCGATGTTGGGGTCTGCGAGACCGTGGTACATCATTAGTTTGCCGCCGGCTTCGCGGAAGGGACTAAGGTCGCCGTTCCAGGTGGAGATGTTGCCGTGAAGGACATCGGTTTCGTCACCCTTGGTGTAGGTGTCTTGGTTCAGGGTTGTGGGGTCCCAGTTGCTGTCGTTGTATACTGCGTTGGAGATCCAGTTTGCAGCATTGCCAATGACTGAGCCAGAGAAGAGGCCTTGTTGGGATGCAACGAGTTCGGCTCCTAGTGACAGAGAGGGATAGAGGAGGGTTCCATCCTGATCGTACAATTCCGAGTAAACGTCGTTGACAGTCTGGACCTGAGTCTGAGTGAGACAGCGAGAATCAGAGCTGGTGCCGCAACGCAGCTTCGAAGAATCAAACTCGCAGATGGTCGGGTCTTCGATGATGCCGTCTGCAACACCATCCAACGGCTCATCGCATTGGTTAAGGATTTCACCGTGAACATAGACCCATTGATCCTTGGAGAGAGTTCTATCGTCCTTGCCGAAGCCAGTGATCAACAGAAATCTGGAAGTCCAGTCGGAAAGGTGGTTGAAATCGGCGGCAGCTGAGCCAGCAAGAATGCCATCAAAATCGTCAGGGAATTCTTGAGCAGACTTCAATCCTTGCCGTCCTCCTGTACTGCAGCCAACGTAATAATCTAGCGTACGGTTAGCATGTTGCTTATATGAAAGTAGTAAAGATATAGACGAAAGTCGAAAAGCCATCGGATGGCTTTTGACGATCTGAAGCCTCGCCTTACGTACTGTAGCTAGCAGGTTGACTGTAATATGCCTTGATAACCTGCTTTGCAGCAACAACGGCAAGATGTCTTGAGCGGTATGAAAGATCAATCACTGCCTCATTGTCGTTGAGCAATTTCGATCCATCCGCAGTTGTTGAGTTGTGACCTCCGTTATCTCCGACAGTAGCAAAGGACAGCGAGCTCATATACTTCATATCCTTGTATTCGACGCAGCCAGCCAGACCACCATTGTAAGTATGCAACATTCTGCCATTCCAAGGGTTGTTTCCTGAAGGAAGCCATACTTCCACATAATTGTGAGAGGTGCCACTCGTAGCAACAGTCAAGGTGACTCTGCACATGTCGATCTCGGTCTGAGTCTCAGAGAAACACACACTCTGGTCGCCATCGATCTTGATGGTCTCTCCAGCGGTGTGGTAGCTGGTGGATGCAATAGAGGCTTCGACACCCTCGAAAGAAAGATTATCAGCGAGGTTCTCGCAAGTGACTGCTGCAGAAGCAAGGCCAAAAGAAGCGGCCGCCAAAACGAATGGCTTCAACATATTAAATGTATCAAAAAGAATGACAAGAAATATTAGAAAAAAGAAGATGAAGAGGAGCAAAGATTCAATTCAAGCAGGACCGACCTGCTTTTGTGTACCTGAGTACTTGCCTCATGTGCCCTGCAGGTACCAATAGTCTGTGCCTGCCACTTTGCTTTGCATTGATGCACTGCGATCGTCTGGGTTGAGAAAAGATTCATGATCTTCAGGCCTCATATCCGGCCCGGCTGCAGCCTTCCGACGGGACTTGTGTTACAGAAAACGTCGATCTCCAACAAAGCCCATAATCAGGCAGGACATCAGTCTGATAGAACCAGCTATGGCAGACAGTGTTGTGAGCGTCTCGAGGGGCCAACCAAATGTCGTGAAGACCGTTCGTATCTGCTCTGAGATGGTGCGATGATGAAAACACGATTCATGCGATGGGACGACGAGCCGCAAATTGTGGGCTTCAAACCAACCTCTCGAGATGGCCCTAGTCCGGCGTACGCCAAGCACTTCTATTACGCAAACCGAGAGATAGTTTCTCGTAGCTGGCTGCTCGTGGGTGGAAGGAAGAATGTTACGGACCACAACAACCTGCAAGAAGTTTTACGAGTCGAGCGCTGAGTATATTCTGGAAGCGAAAACAACTGTCGTCTCGAAGAACGTGAGAACGTGCGTTAGACATGACACAACGTTCGGTAACGGCTCCGCTTCCGTCGTCTACCTATTGCTCCCGCTCTGCAAGATTCTAACAAAACAGACCACCTTTCTCCACTCTATCCATGTCCATTTGTACCGGAAGAACTCAAAGCCTGTCGCTAGCAAGGATTTGAGATCTACATGGCGAGCGTACCCGTCTGGCGAATATCGCTGGAAGAGGCACCAATATAGATCTTAAAGTCGCCACGGGGCAGAGCCCACTCTTGCGCAGCCACATCCCAGAACGAAAGATCTCTACGGCGCAGCTGGAATTTCACTTGAGCGTTTTCATCCTTCTTAAGTTCTACGCGCTCGAAGCCGCGGAGAGCCTTGATGGGTTGGTCGGCTCCGGAGTCCTCTGGGAAGCCAATGTATAATTGTGGGACTTCAGCACCATCATGTGAACCAGTGTTCTTGACAACGACGTCGACCTATACATGTCAGCACGAATTCAAAATTGCTGCCGATTCAGCTTACCTCTGCGACCACGTCGAACAAGTCTGCACGTCCTCCAACTTCGAGGCGTCCCTTGGCGTGGTAAGAGATGTTGGACATCAGCTTGGAAGCCTTCAGATCACTGTAGTCGAAAGAAGTGTAGGATAGACCATGGCCAAAGGCGTATCGAGCAGTGGTGTTGCTGTGCTCGAAGTACTTGTAATCGATATAATTGCCTTCGGAGTAAGTGCAATTCTTCGTGTAGCAGATGCCGACATTGTAATCGGATTCGTTCTTTGCAATAGTGTGTATCAGTCTGCCAGATGGGTTGACGTCGCCGTAAAGGATATCAGTGATGGAATTTCCGCTCTCTTGACCCAAAGGACCAGAGTAAAGAACAGCAGTGATGTTTTCATTTTCGATCCATTGGTCTACGAGACGAACTCCAGTTGTGGTAATGACGACGATAGTATTGTTACAATCAGCGGCCACAGTGTTGACCATTGTATCTTGATCATCGTTGTATAGCTCGGTACGATCAGCACCTTCGCCAGACAATGCGTTGATGAAGACAAGGCACGCATCACTAGCAGCTGCATAGCCTGAGTAAGATGCGTCGACAGCGGTTTCCGAGGATGACAGAGTGACTAGGGTATTACCAGAGCTGCTGGCGGTGTATGTGTCATTCAAGATCCACTTGACGTTGGTATGCTCTTTCGATGCTCGTAGGGTAACGGCTGCCTCAGGAGTGATGAGATAGGGCAACGAAGATTGTGCGGAGCCAGAGTCACTGGCAAGATGGCCATCGTAGGTTGGTCCTGAGCCCTGAACTGTAAATTGCATGTTTGGTCCGCCCGTCACTGGTCCGGCGTTGGCACCGAAGAGCGTCATTCTTCTAGGCTTGTTTAGGGGAAGACCGCCCAAGTTCTTAAGAAGGACGATCGACTTGGCTCCATTTTCCCTGATGATCTCAGCGTGATTGGACATGGTGTCAACATAGTCGTCGTACTAAATCTCGTTAGCATGTATACCTTGGCTGACATCTCAAAAAACTTACTGCTGCTTTCGATGGTTGCTCTCCATTGTCCAGATTGGCTTTATAGTAACCGATCACATTACGGATGACCATGTCGTTCAGACGTGCCTCCGTAAGGGAGCCGTTGCTCAAGAAGGCTTCAACAGTTGATGTAGACCAGATGCTGCTGGATCCGTAGTCCAGTCCACCTGAGATGGAACCATAGGCTGTCTTCTGAGCATTGGTATCGGGAAACACGAATCCCGGAAAGCCAAGGTCGGATTTGAGTGCGCTCATGAGGAGAGATTTGTCTTCGCAGGCAGCGGAGCCGTTGACTTCGTTCATCGCACACATTACTGCACCAGTACCGGCTAAGACATGTCAGCAAGAGGCTGGAACGCTATTGCATACAACATACCCTTGATGATGTCGTACCAAGGCCAAAGGTAGGTCTCTCTGAACGTCTTGTCGTCTATGTTGGACGAATAGGGGGCAGACTCAGAAGAATCAGTAGTAGAGGAATTATCAGCCCTGGCTCTCAGAGCCATGCCGGATGGGGCAGAGCCTGAAGGAGCAGAGCCGGAGGCCATAGAACCCATCGAGCTGTTACCAGATCCCATAGAGCCACCACCCGAGCCTCCACCCATACCGCCGCCACCCATACTTGACGAAGTGCGGTTAGTTTCTTGCTCGTATAGGATGAAATGCTAGGAAACGGTTAGTGGTTATCTAGAGAAAAGATGATAAAGTCATACCTTGCCACCTGCAATGACACCACCAGCTTGGTAGGCTCTAGCGCTGATACCACCAAGGATGCCATTGAAGTAGCTGTCTGGTCCGAATGACTCGCCGTTGCGACCGCCCCAAGCTGACCTGCCCATAGGATTGGACACAGGCCCAGCCAAGAGCTGTAAGCCTTTCTGGTAGAACTCTGTGGCCACAGCCTTGCCTTGCTTGTATATAGCGTCTTTATCCCAAGTCATGGCCAAAGCGCAAGTCATGGAAAACGCGCTCTCATAGTAAAAGTTCTCCGCTCCTTGAGGTCCATCAGATTGAGCAAGAGCTGTCCAGTTGGCAGAACTGTTGGTAAGAGATCCAGATCCAATAATCGTAATCTTCTCTTCGGTCGTGAGCTGCGAGACGAAATTCTGAGCTTTGGTGAAGGCAGTCTGCCAGTCACCAAGAGAGACAAGTCCATTGGTGATGAGGCCTTCGTCTGTGTTGTTGAGTGACGCAGAGCAAAGGGATGCAGCGCCCAAGAGGACTACGGTAGTCTTCATAAGAGGCGGTTGTAAGGTATCGGATGGTAAGCGACTTAGGAGGGCTGATGTACAGAAAATTTGTTTACTTCAGAGGGCGATTGATCCAAAATATATGATTCTGACGATGAGAGGAGTCCGACTTGGCAAGATGTCAGGGCTCACTGTTGGCGTGTATGTAGAGTATGTCGTCGCAAGCACATGGCTTGATTCAGAATCTGATTCAGGGCAGGTTGTTCCCATGCCGCTGATGACTGACTGGTCTAAGGCCCAAGCATACCTAGTAAGTACCTGTAAATCGATTTTGAAAACTAAGATCGTCGCCATACGGTCTTTGCTCTCCGCATTCCATTCACTAAAACACTCAGTACGTGTAGCTATACCATTGCACGTTATCTTCAATAATCGCATGCCGTCCACTTAGAACTAGCATCTCAAGGGTCTCTCTTGGAGCTGATTTGTAGCAACTCCATATGTTGGTACCTCTTCTGCCGTGTGTGTGCCTAGTCGTAAAAGAGGACGGGCATCGAAGCACTAAGCCCAAGGAGATGATGTGAATTGAAGTCGAAGGCTCAAGATCTATTGCGAAGGACTACTCGTTCCATATCCGGCGACCTCAATTCGACACAGGCCGAATCGATTGAGACAAAACCCAGCTTTGCGATATTTTGGTGCGTCGACCGAATGTCGTGGCCGATGAAACACGAAGCTAGTCTGTGTAAATATAAAGTCGTCTCAGGCAGACTACGGCAGACGCATATTCGGAGTCCTGATGCAGAGGCGCAGGTTGCCCTAAGTAGTGGACGAATTAGTCGATAGCCGCTGCTCTGCCACCAGGAAGACGCGTCTTGTGCTACGCGTAGGCAGTTTCTCGTCGAAAAGATGGAAACTTATACGACATCAAGCAGTATCGCGTCATCTTGCGAGACCGCTTAGGTAGAGAATGTCGCAGCAATATGAAATATCATGTGTGAGGATGTGAGTGGCAAGGAAGTCACTGATGGATGACTTCGGCGGGCAAAGACTACCGCATTGGGACGATCATGATTTACAGGCCGCACAGCCACAACTCGATGTAACAAGTTTCAAAGTCAAGCCATTCGTCCAACGCCAACCACAACTCGATATCGAAAACTGGTCTTGCTCTGGACTCATCGCTCCACAGGCACTTTCCAGACTTTGGTGCAGCTACACTCGGAGACAATATGCGGACGCCGTTACTTGTACTGGTCGCGGCTATGGCATATGTATGCCAGGCCTCGCGCTATGTCCTCTACTTGACCGGGCAGCACCCAGTCTTTCCTGCCGATGTTCATCTCGCGGATGTCACACATGTTGCATTGGCATTCATGAAATCCTCATCGTTCATCGGGAAGCGCCCTTCAACTTGGGATCTTTTCACATCAGTTGAAAGTGTCCGCGCCAAATTTTCAAAAAACAAGAAGGTCGCTGTGATGATTGCAATAGGCGGATGGGGCGACACCAATGGCTTCTCGGCGGCCGCAGCTTCGCAGATGGGTAGGAAAGCGTTCGCTGACAATGTCAAAGCTATGCTTGATTACACAGGTGCAGATGGCATTGACCTAGACTGGGAGTACCCTGGAGGAAACGGTGAAGACTACAAAAAGATCACAAACTCCGAGAAGAGCTGGGAGGTCGGAGCGTATCCAAAACTGCTTGCTGAAATTCGAGCCGCCATTGGACCAGACAAAATTATGTCTGCGGCAGTACCGTAAGTCTATGGATGTGCATTCACTCATGAGTCGGGCTGTGTCAGTCTACTGGAGCACTGCCATGGGGTCCCATTGTCAGCTCCACATTCCGAGTGCTCTTTATGACCAGCGAGCGAACACAAGAAGGCATTGTAGTGGAACACAAACATCGATCTTGGAGAATCATGACAGTACACACTGTAAGACTAGTCATTTCTGAGACTTGCAGCTGGACCAGTCTTGCAATACCTCATTTTGTTTCCAAAGCACGCTGTTCAACGCGTCTCGACTCATGACGATACGATGCTTATCTTCCTTCGAACAATCCTTGCTGACGTACATGTAGGGGAAAGCCAGTCGATATTCAAGTCGCATTCACAAAGGATACGCTTGCTGATACAATAAAACATCTGGATTTTGTCAACATCATGACGTACGATCTGTTTAACAGACGAGACAATGTTACCATGCACCACACTGGCATTGACAATTCGTTGGTTGCTATAGACACTTACCTTACGAATGGTGTTCCTCCCGAGAAGGCGAACCTGGGCTTTGCATTCTATGTCAAGTGGTACAGAACAGAAGACGATTGTCAAGAGCCAGTAGGGTGCAAGACTGTCTTGATGGAAGACCCAAAGACCGGAAACGATCTGGGTAAGAGCGGATCCTTTTCATGGCACGACAAGGTGCCGAAAGATCTTGAGAAATCTTTCCACACCGCGTTGGACAACCGAGTCTGGGACAACGATGGAAATTACTACTGGGATGTGGAAGAGAAGATTTTCTGGTCATGGGACACGCCTGCGTCTATGGCGGAAAAGTTTCCGATCATTGTCAAGTCCCGCAAGCTTGGGGGTGTCTTCGCATGGGGTCTGGGGGAAGATGCCGATGCTTTCCTCCATCTGAAGACTCTGAATGCCCTCTATAGAAAATACCTCAAGCCGTATGTTTTCCTCACCCGCCAGTCTGATCATTGTTAACCGTTATGAACAGCAAGCCGAAAAGTACTAGGACACCGAAAGACGAACTCTGATTGATCACGCGTATTATGTCAAGTCACATGAAGAGATTCAGAGCTTTAACATCGGTATTGCTTCACTCACACGTTGATCGAGACCGAGGATCAGGCGAAGGTCGCCGAGGGACTGGCTCGATCAAAGCTATGCTTGCATTGCCTGTGGTATGAATTTATCTTCGGAAGACTCTGTTCGAGTTGCCGTTGTCTGCCGGAGCATACTCACAAGCTTTTCTGCTTCTAGAAATGTTGCTTTTAGTATATTTATGGTATAGCGAGATACTTCTGTACTCTACCAACGAAAACATGAGTGCCTGCTCGACAAATTCACGGCGTCGGACGTTGCCCCGCGAAGGCCAGACCGGTTTGAGCCTCCTTCTTGCATCTGCCCTGTTTTTTCGAAGCTTCGATGCATGAACCACAACTTTCGCAAAGTCTTCTTTGCTACGCATACTGAATTCAAAAAGCGATATGCCATCTGTCCTCCCGACCTCAGTCTCTGACATGCCTGAGGAACAGTTGCGATGTCGGCACAGCACTTGTCACTATGCCGATGGGTGGTAATGTTCAACTTCCGATGCGCCATGAACATTGAACTCTACCTTTGCTGCATGCAGGCCGGACCAGCGACCGCACATGCGGTCCGCTCGTTGCAGTGTAGGATGCCTTGCCAGAACATTGGCATCGCAATTGGTCAGGAGGAATGTAGGAGATAACGCGACCTCTGTCATCGACTAGCAGATCGAGGTTTGCCATCGGCATCGACAACAAAGAATGGCGATTTTAGCTATCCGGCTCATCTCAGGTCGCCAAACTCATCGAGTCGCAGTTACGAAACGACAGCCGTTATTTGCTATGCCCCATTCCGACTATAAGCTCAGCAGGGCTTATCCGCTCTAACAGGTTGAGCACTCAACACGAGAGAAATGGCGCCTAGATGACGGAGAAAATGCTCATCTTTCTCTCATACCCATACCGGCAATCTGGGGTCCGGGGACGAGCGACGCCAGTCTGTCGGGTCCCCCTGCGTCATCTTTACGAACGCGTCTCCGTCTTCCTCAGCCTCCTCTCCTGCTATGCGTATGTCTGTTTTCCGCGACCGTTCCGTTTAGGCGGCGGGAAGCGAAGGTGACAAGCGTTCGTTTATCCTCTGCAGTTGTTGCCGGTCTTTGGGATAATCTTTGGCTGCGAATTGTGCGACGTATGCTTGGTGCCCAGGAACGATCGAGCAACACGACGCAACAAAGGAGAAAAAGTTGGCGTAAGCCTTGTGACCAACTTATCGATTCCAGCGATCATCTGTGAGAACGCAGAGAAGCACTTTCGAAGCGACTGGCTATGAGTGTTTCGTGTTTCAGCAAAATCCTGGACGCTTCTCAGAAAATCTGGGAAGCAACACTTGGAAAATTGCCAACATTCCAGCGCAATTTTTACCGAATGCGACAACATGATCGCTTTCCTGCAACCGGGCGAACTTGTAGCTAGTACGTGGTAAAAGAGCCGCCCGAATATTGTGGATCCCTTTGCCATCATTATTCACAGTGAGGTAGGTAGGCAGGCTCTCCGGCCCGTACATGCAGGTCTCTTAATTTTTTCTCGATCCTATCGGACTCGGTGCCAGGGCAATGCGCAAAAAGTACTTATATATAGTGCCGCCTGCCTAGAAAACGACACTATTCTGAATCAAGTTCCCCTTTCCGCAAGCCTCCTATTTCTTTGTTGGACATTATATATACATGTCCGACCTGACTAATTGCTTTGTCTGGTCTTGCTATTCCGACCACACCTCGACTTCGACACCTACCGCAGCTCCGACCCCGACCTCGACTTCGACCTCTTCCATACCACCCGAACTAGCAGCCTCTCAACAATACCGAAAATGCGCGCTCAAGGCTCCTACTTTCCCATCTTCCAATGTCCGGAAGACATGCCAGATCTACAAGGCAGGACTGCTATCGTTACGGGAGGTGCATGCGGGATCGGGTATGTTACTACTTGGTTCTCCGTCATCTCTGATCACTCTCTAACCAATCCAACAGCAGCGAAATCGCTCGCGCCCTCGTCATCCACAAGTGCCGAGTCATAATGGTCAACGTCCACGAAAAGCAAAGCACAGACGCCGTCTCCAAGATCCGCAAAGAAGTTGGCGCAGCGAATGCATCCCTCGAACATCGTTACTGTGACATGACAGACCTGATCCAAGTCCAAGAAGTCTTTTCTGCTCTCTGCGACGAGCTTTCCCGCTTAGATCTGTGTATCTTTGGCTCGGGGATTGATCAAGAGCACTTTACTACCGATCTGCACTGCATAGATGCTTACTTTGGCATGATGTGGCTGGGACACTTTTACGCTAGCAATTTGCTTTGGCCGCTCTTGCGCAGGACATCGAGGATACCTGATACGCCTGCCCCTCGAGTGATCTTCGAAGCTCCGGGTCAACAACGCCGTCAAAGCCTCTCTGACGGCTCTTCGTCCAGCGATGAAGAAGATTTGCGCCTCACTGCAGAAGTCAATTCTGAAATCTTTAGACGCAGCAAGACGACTTTGCTGTTGGGTGTTAGGCATGGACTTGCCGAGCGCATTGTCAAACGCCATCATGACAACATCTATGTTCTTGCTGTGCAGCCTTCGAAAAATGCTGCAGATGAAGCAGCACAGCCGAGAAGGGATAGCCATTGGCAACCTTCTGATCTTTGCGATTGTGTGTTGGACACCCTGAGCAAGGATGAGACTTTTGCCGCTCGCAGTAGCTCGCGTCCAGTTCTCTATGCTGCGACCTCTGACGATGTCGAGAGCAAGTATTTGAACGGTGCTTATTTGGTTGATGTTGTAAGTCTTCCTTTTTACCTCTTTCTCGCCTCTTGAAGTACCAATTCCTAACATGTACCCAAGGGTGTGTCAAAACCGGAGAAACACGCAGCCGCTGATCCATGTCTGGGTCCCGGCTTCTACGATATTTCGGAGAGGGCCATCAAGGCAGTAGTCGGCAAAGATGCAATGGTGCCTTGGGATCACGAATGGGTGGCTTCGCCAAAGCCTGTTCAGTCTTCATAAATGTTAAATGAGGCTTCTAACGAATATTCACGAATTTACTATGTGTTTCTTCTTATCGTGTGTTCATCGTCGTGTTTTTGCTAATGGCATTGACGTGATAAAGGGGAATGTACAGTGACCTGGCAGATCAGTTGAGACCACCAATAGCCCCTTCTCATATTTATAAGCCATTCCCAGTTCTGGTCTCCCAAGGACGTCAGAAGGCCCCTGAATATTGTTCACTACTGCACACGCCATCAATGTCGTCCTCCTAATCCTTCACCCAACGATCAGCCAGGCCTGGATTTCCTTACGCTTGCTAAGCCTGCTATAGTACAAAATCCTGCTCGAGTATCCAAAAAAAAAAAAACAAGCCATTGATCTTCAGGGGCTGTCGTCAGTTGACAGGTTGACAACAAAGACAAAAACCTGGTTTGTTCGCGGCCCGCACCCCGCGGAAACTGCAATGATGATCTCTAGAAGTGCGGAGAGAGGGCTGGCTGCTGCCACATGCGGTTTTCGGACTCGGCTGCAGGTGCCGAGGTGGAAGGGAAACACAGACAGCGGACCTGACTCCTGAGCAAGTGCAAGGTTTGTGGACGCAAGCATGGGATTTTGTTTGATATCGTTGTCGGAGAATGAAATCAAGATCAAAAGATCAATGTTTGGGATTCGGTGGTTCGTTGCTTGTATCGTTCGTGTAAGATGGAATTGCCCTTAAGGCTACTGCATCCCATGTACAAAGATGACAATGCCATGACATGCGCATTCAGCAATATGCCATGATATTAATCTGCATACACTAGCACCAAAGGCTATGGGAAGAAGGGCTTCGTAAATCTTGAGGTACAAGTCATAAACGATAAACCGTACTATAAGAACTAGGAAGTACCTCCGAGGGCATAGAATACAATTGCCCTAGCCTCTGGAACCAATCCTTCCAGAGTCTCACGACCCCAATAGACGCGCGGACAAGACAGTAACGAAACAGTTGATGCATAATAACATGTCACAAGTGACGGACTGCAAACTCCAGCCGGAAGGCTACCTACGAATACCATCCCATAAACGCCTCGCTAATCTCAATGAAAATGCATAGCCAACGGAAACCAAAAAGATAGACGACCCTCCAAGACACTAAGCAAAAGATATAGGGTCTGGATCAAATCTCCTGCCCAACCGCATACGCACCAGCAAAATCCATACCCGATATCTGGCCCTGCAACTGATCAATCTCTCGAGTCAAATCCTCAACATTGCCCGCCAGACTAGCGACCTCATCAAACCTCCTGCGCTTATTCGCATCAGCAATCATACCTTCGACGAAGAATTTCTGCTCCTCAAGCACGATCATGCGCTCTCGAAGCTCCTTCTCCTCGGCTTCCAGGGCAGTGACTTGGGCTGATGACGAGCTGCTCGCGCGACTGCCTTGGGGTCTGCTGGCCTGATCGTTCTTGATGGCGGCCAGAGGATCCGCCGAGGCCTTGGCTGTGGGTTTGCCATGCGGGGTTGCGTGTTGAAGCAGTTTGGGTAAGGATTTGAGGGGAAGCATGTGTAAGTGGAGGAACGTGGTTGCTTGTGCGTAAATGGCCTTTTGTAAACGCTCTTGCGTCGGGCTATCGGTTGGCAGGTCTCTGATACGTCTGGCGGCTACGTCGTACTGTGTGAATGCATCCATAAGCCGCCTGCGTACTTTGGTGGCATCGCTTAGTTGAGTGGAGGTAGGAGGCTTGTCAGGATCTTGTAGGGCCTGGAGTAGTTTTTGAAACTTGGGCAGGAGAAGACGGATTCCGCGCTCGAACTGTACGAGGTTCTCGTAAGCTCGTTGGTCTGGAGGTTGTATTGAGAGTTGTCGAGCAAAGTCGGATTTGCTGAAGATTGTGTGCTGGCAGTCTTTACACATGCGTACATCGACGGCCACTTGACCAACAGATTTCTCCAGGCCATTTGGATTGAGCGGCGCATCCACATTCAAAGCGATCGCAGTGGAACAATTCGTCGCTGGATCACCACACACGACTCGACCACATATTCGACAATGATGTCGGCGGAAAGAGTATTGCGAGAACTGTTGCTGACAAAATGGACAGTGTAGGACGCGAGCGTCATCTTCCCAAGTTACCACCGATTGTTCCAGAGTACGGATACGATTCTTGGAGCCAGCCAGAGACCAGAGGAAGCTACTGGTACTTTGATCGTTCTCGGGCGGAGGTGGGTTGGCAAGCAACTGGGTGAGCCTCGAGAGGCGCTTCTCCAGGCGACTCACTTCGAGGTATGCTTTGTCTACTGTGCGTCTACGGATAGCAGCAAAACGTTGGGTATGATCGCGCTCAAGTCCAGAGTGGTCGTTGTAACCCGGACGACTCTTGTAACATGTCTCGCACACACGACACCACAAACCGCGGACAGGCTCGTGTTGGGCAGAGCGAGACAGCTTCATCTGGTACATGGTGTGTTCGTCACAGAAAAGCTTACCGCAGTGTCTACAGTTGACGTTGCCGTTTGTGTTCCCGAGTCTCTTTCCGCACAAGGGGTCTGAACAAGAGTCGTGACCCGAGGAACGTTGCCAGTGTGCTTTCGTAACGACATCGTCGGGATCAAGGCGGGACTCTGGTACGGCGGTGGAGGTTTGGGTAGGAGTGGTATTACTCGGAGTGGAGGAACGAGGTGGGGTGGACGAGACAAGGTGTGAGGGTTGGATGGCGTTGGACTCGAAGACGTCGAGGCCTTTTAGTTTCTGATTGAGGACAGCAAGCGGCTGGAAACGCTTTGCCTTTTTCATCTGTTGTTCGAACCAGTTCTTGACTTCATCTTGCTCGACTTCTTGCAGGTTTTGGTGGTTGTCGTCGAGGTGCCGGTTGAGTTGGAGGAGGGTGACCATGTCCTCATTGCAAATAGGACAGACCAGACGGGAGCTGGCGGCGGCGGCACCGACGGGGCCATTGTTGGAGTCGAGGGCGATTCTGGAGGCAATGTCGTCTGTCTCGGTGGTCGAAGTGTGGGAGCTGGAAGCAAGCGACAGGGAGCTCTCGGAAGGAGTGAGCTGGTGCGGGCGCTGGGGGTTGACGGCGGGCGACAGCGAGCGGCCGCTGCCCAAAACTCTGCCTCCTCCCAGTGTCCGTCGCGAAGCCATGTGATATACAGAATCGGCACGAGGCCGACAGGCAGATGGGGGTGTGGAATGTTTGGCCTTGATTGTTGACTTGACCGCCCCTCGGTCGTGTCGGGCCGTTGCATGGACCACGGGTTGCCGTAGCCGTCGACTGTGACGGCCGCCATGCCCGACAGAGGCGCCATGATGCCATGCCGATAAAGACGAGCTTTCCCGCGGCGTTTGCCTTTCTTATCGCCAATCTAACAATTATATTCTGCCAATCATCTGTCGTCCATATATACATCCTCTTTGACGACCAATATACCTACTCTCATACGCTCTTTACCATGGCCACGTTTCCAGAGATCGAGGGCGGCGGCTCCCTCATGCTCGCCTGGCAGATCCGCAACAAGCTGGTTCTCATGGTCGGCGGCGGCGAGGTTAGTCATACACATCGCATACTCCACCTTGGATGTTGACATTGACCTAAAAGTAAAGGTAGCCGCCGGTCGCATCTTGAACCTCCTCAACTCGGACGCCAAAATCCGTCTCATCAGTCCTCGTCAAGGCCTCAACGATGAAGTCGCCTATCGTGTCGACCAAGGCCTCGTCGAATACATCGATCGTACCTTCGAACCCTCCGATCTCGACGACCCCAACATTGCCATGGTCATGACCGCCATCGACGACCCGGAAGCCTCGACTACCATTTGGAAGCTGTGCAAAGAAAAGAGAATAGTTGCAAACATCGCAGATGTACCGCCAGAGTGCGACTTCTACTTCGGAAGTCAGTACAGAGATGGGCCTTTACAAATCATGGTCAGCACTAGCGGAAATGGTCCTAGAATGGCAAACATTGTTCGCAGGAGAATCGCTTCCTGCTTGCCGCCCAACATCGGCGAAGCTATCAAAAAGGTTGGAGCCCTTAGGAAGAAGCTCAGAGTTGTCGCCCCGGGAAACGAAGAGGGCCCAAAGAGAATGAAGTGGTATGTATACCATATTCCTGCTGGCCGTCACACAAAGCTAACATCTACCAGGATGATCAAGGTCTGCGACAAATGGTCCCTCGAGGACTTCTGCACAATGGAGGAACGTGACATGGAGGCCCTGCTCGAGAGCTATGCACCGGACGTCGTGCCCTCATTCGACCAAGTCCGACTAGGCGAAGATCCGAACGTGTGGGAGTTTGACGGCTCCTTTGGTTTTGCTGTTTAGATATCATGAACGTGTACACGAATTGGGCTATGGCGTTTGGTTTAGATTGTGTGAAAAGTGGGCATTTTCGGCGATAGACCCTTGTTTATTCCATCTCAATGTATTATAAAGTTATTTAAAAGATTGTCAAGAGTGGTGCTTCTCTGACGCGCTGACTGACTTGAATCTTCACCATCGATCCTCAGTTCCAACTCCACAACCCTCGCTCGAGAATACCACAACTCAGCAAAATGACTTCAGATACACCAAAAGTGCCGAGTTATGATGAAGACATTGATTTCCAAGCCCTGGCCATGACTGATCCTGACTTTGCCAAATTCTACGATGACGCAAACGGCCATGTCGACTTTCATGATCCCAAGGCATTACAGCAAGCCATTTCCCCCGACCGTTGCGTTTCGTAGCCACTGACTGTGATTAGACAACTCACCAAGAGTGTTCTGAAGCGTGACTTTGATCTCAAGCTTGAGCTGCCTGATGATAGGCTGTGTCCTCCGGTGCCTGTCAGGTACAACTATGTTCGATGGCTCCAAGACTTGATGGATTCGACTAGCGACTCCGAGGATCCTGCAATAGACAACATTACAGGCTTGGACATGTAAGACTCCTCCTGTTATATGAGGTAATTTTCTTGGTTATCAGACATGCTGACAAGGTTGTAGTGGAATCGGTGCATCTTGCATTTACAGCCTGCTAGCCTGTTCTTCGCGGCCATCTTGGAATATGCTCGGTACCGACATTGACCCTCAAAACTTCTCACATGCAAACAAGAACATCGAGAGAAACGACATAGAGTCAAGAATACGCACTAAACTCAACACTGCAGAGGATGCTCTGATCTCACCCAAAGCATTCGATCTCGACAGGCTCGATTTTGTTATGTGTAATCCACCCTTCTACTCAAGCGCTGAAGATTTAGCAATCTCTAGCGCTGGCAAGTCAGGTCCTCCGAGTGCTGTGTGCACTGGCGCAGAAGTCGAGATGATATGTCCTGGAGGTGATGCAGGATTTGTGCTGCGTATGGTTGAGGAAAGTAGGGAATTGAAAGACACTGTCAAATGGTACACGAGCATGCTAGGAAAACTATCTAGTGTGCATCAAGTCATTGATCGCCTTAAGGAAATTGGTGTCACCAACTGGGCTGTCACGCTGCTTCGAGCTGGGAACAAGACTCGTAGGTGGGCTGTGGGTTGGAGCTTTGGAGATAGAAGGCCGAGTAATGTGAGTAGCCAGCGATATCCAACATTCAACTACAGAGCTAACAGGCACAGGCGGTCGCCAGAGGCAGTGATGTCGGCACCCACATCCTACCTTACCCTACAGCTCAGACCATCCATACAATCGGACTGACAAGACAAGAAGCTGCCGATTTGCTCAACAAGACTCTACAAGCACTCGATCTAAACTGGACCTGGCGGTCTGAGAAGTGGACCGGTCGTGGTATTGCTAGTCAAAACGTATGGTCACGCTCAGCGAGACGTAAGCGTAAGAGAGTAGAAATGGAAGAAGATGACAACCAGGAAACGAAGCCGCAGTCTGAGGCTTCCAAGGTCGAAGACTCTGTTGAGGTCACGCTGAGGTTCGATATTGATGTCAGAGAGGGCGACATGGAAGTTCGTTGGCTGCAAGGAAAAGATAACATTCTTTTCGAGAGCTTCTGCGGTATGCTCAAGAGATCGATGAAGCAAAAGTGATGGAGAGCAAGCGATCATATATATCTTGTTACTCTCGATGAGTATTGACTTGTATCAACATTGGTTATGCTCTGTTCTCGAAACTTTTCAAGTTCGATGTCAGCGGGGTTTTGACCAACAGTTTGTGGTGACCCTGGTCTCCCAAGATATGACGCACGGTTGTACGCCACTTGAATTATTTCCGTTAGCTGGCTGCCGGGTTTCGGCAAAAACTTCGCGATCTTATCTCAGGAATCGAGGCCGACACGCGACGACAATTTTCCATCAGTCCCGTCCTTGTCCGTTTCCTGCTTCCTTCAATTCTCTACCGACGCTTCCAATGGTCTCTTCTTTGCTGCAATGATGCTCTCAGCATTTGGATACGTCAAGGGCATTCAATAATACTCCTACACCTGGAAACTTCCATATAACCTCAATCATCCGTGATTACTTTTTGGCAAAAGGACTTGCCGTGCGCCAACTGGAACTTCAGCAAATCACCGACCTGCGATAACAGTTCCCGGACTCGCCACAAAAAGGGCTTGATTCATCTGTACTTTGCGCGGTACAGCCGCGTGACCACTGATTGACATCCTTGTGGAACTCGACCCTCAGAAACATCTATCTTCAGCTATCTGTAGCTCAAGCCTGCTGAAATTGCCTGGATAAGGGTTACATCATTGCACGATGGATCGCATCAACTCGACCCATGAAGAGCTTGCGGGCACCATTCGCCTGTTCGCGGACTCAGACTCGACATCCTCGGACCAGCTCTTATTGCTTCCGCAGCCCACCAAATCACCCAATGATCCTCTGAATTGGAGTTACTGGCGCCGAATGTGGTCAGCCGCTTTGGTGTTGTACATCACTGCTTTGACTGCGGCTACTTCCAACAGTGCTGGTGCGGCAGGTACGGCTCTAGTTGATGATTATGGGATTGGATGGGGAGTTCAAAACACTGCTGCTGGTGTCTTGTTCTTGGGTATTGGCTATTCGTGCCTGGCTCTTTCTTCAGCGAATTGGCTGTATGGAAGACGCATCTCTTACATCGTCTGTCTGTGTGCATCTATCATTGGCAGTGCCTGGTTCGCTCGATCTGATAGCAAGGCCGACACCATTCTTTGCCAGCTGTTCTTGGGAATTTCAGAGTCTGTTGCAGAGGCTACCGCACAACTCTCGTTGACGGATGTCACTTTCCAGCATCAGCGTGGTACCGTTCTGGGATTCTACGTGCTGGCAACCTCCGTGGGAACTTTTCTTGGACCTATGATTTCTGGCTTCATTGCTGACAGTCCGCTTGGTTGGCGCTGGATGGGCTGGTTCGCTCTGATCATTTCTGGCTGCACTCTCATCGTTTTCTATTTTGGTCTGGAAGAGACGGCCTTCGATCGTGATAGTGTCTTGGACGGTCTGGCTACTGGACGAAGTTCTGCAGACACCGTGGACTCGGGTGAGAAGAAGACGGTCGCTGATCCCACTTCTGTAATCATCGGCGACGAGACCAACAGCGACCACGTTCCCAGAAAGGGTAATCTGATCCCCAACGGCACCGACCTGGTTCCCAAATCATACTGGCAGCGCATTGCTCTTATTACGCCATCGCCAACATTGATCGGAACCGGATTCAAGCAATACATGCGACGCACATTCCATACCCTGCGCATCTTCTACTTCCCAGCCGTCATATATTCAGGCTTCCAATGGGGCATGCAAGATGCCTTCCTCTCCTTCTACATGACGGTCGAAGACGACAACTGGACCTCTGCACCCTACAACTACGGCGACCGCGCAGATGCCATCATGTGCATCCCCACTCTCATCGGTGCTGTCATCGGCTGTGTGTACGGAGGCTGGTTTTCAGATGTATTTGTGCGCTGGATGGCCAAACGCCGCGGCAATGTCTCTGAAGCTGAAGATCGTCTGTGGCTTATGTATCTGCCTGCCATCATTTCCCCTATCGGTCTTATTCTGTTTGGCATGGGAACTCAGCGCGTATGGCCATGGCCAGTCCCTTACGTCGCTCTGGGCTTCATCGGCTTTGGCTTTGGGTGTGGAGGCGACTTGACCATGGCATACCTTATGGACTGCTACCCTGACGCAGTGCTCGAGGGTATGGTGGGAGTAGCCGTGTACAACAATTCTCTGGCTTGCATCTTTACGTTCGTGTGTTCGATTTGGCTGGATGCTCATTCTTTGACTCAGGTGTTTGTTACACTGGGTTGTGTCAGCTTTGGAGTCATGTTTGTTGGCACGATTTTGATGATGTCGTTTGGCAAGAAGACCAGAAGGTGGACGGCGGGCAAGTATCAGGAGTTCCTCTATATCAGAGGTAATGTGTAGAGGGTTGCTGGCTCAAAAGTTGCTTCTTTACCTATAAATGGGGGTTTTCTGTATATAATCTTCTTGTTACACTCTTTTGTGGATATCTACATATCATTCATAATCAATCATTACAACAACAAGCCAGTCTATCGCAAGAGACTACCCATCCACTATTTAGGATCAGAAATCGGTGACCCCCATACATTCCACCTCGCCGAACTGCCCCTTTCCCTCTCCCTTTCAGAAGACGGAGGTCGACGATTGTACGTTGGTCTCCTGCAAAGCAAGCGATCCCGTAAACTGCGTCGCGGTTCTTCCGGGACAGGGTCGCCCATTATTGCTCTGATGGTTGCTGCAGAGGCTGGGTTTCTCGACTGCTGGAAACTTGATTTTTGATGGTTTGTAGGAACTTTGGGTTGACGAGTATATGCTGGTGGTGTGTCTGTGGCCAGAGAAGAAGCATAGCTTGGTAAGGTGGTGCGAGTGGTATCTGTGCTGGCTCGCCGCCGAGACTCGGAATCGGATCGTAGTTGAGATTTGGTAGATTCAGTGGTGGAGGAGGCCTGATTCGTCGTCTCTCGATTTTGCTCTGCCATGGTGTATCGAGTAGACCTGGGCTTTTCGAAGTGAGTCTCGCATATCTCGAATGATGTTGGAGCCATGTTTATATATGTATGAGCATCGTGTCGTCAGATCTTGGCGAAGGAGTACCGGGTCTGAATCAGCCAAGTCAGCTGTCGGCCGTGAGAGCCGTGAATACTCGTCGCTGTGCATTGTAGTGCATGTGCTTATCGAGCTGATTGAAGTCCATCCCCTAGGATTTGTGTACTGTCGTTACTGTACGAGCGCATGCCTCGTTTCGAAAGACCATTGCATGTCTCGCTGCGTCGACACTGATTGTAGGCGTGATGATAGAAGTCAGGGTAAGGAATGAGTGCAACGATTTGATGTTGATGATCAAGATATATAACCAGTGCTGTGCCTAGAATTGCCCCACAATTGCCTCAATGGTCTAGTGGTATGATTCCTGCTTTGGGTTTATCCGAAACTGCAGGAGGTCCCCGATTCGATCTCGGGTTGAGGCCTTTTTTGTTTTTGTGTGATTGCTCCATCTGAGCACTTTTAGCAAGCGCTCAATGTTTTCGCACCATCTTCTGGAGCAACCGAGAGATTGTTAGACCGACAAGTTGTGAAGAGAAATCCCCGTTTTTGAGCCTTCGACGAAAGTGAGCTTTGACGCGGCGTCATTGTGTTGATCTGTTTTGTTTGGTTTGAACAACACAGAAGCCAGCATCATTCGCCAGCATGACCAAGATCGATCCTCTTAGTGTGCTTTCCAACCTGAAAGTATGGCAGCTCAAGCATCTGGCTTTTCTTACTGGACTAAACTCAACGGGAACAAAAGCACAAGTATGTCGGACGCTTGTGGATCGCTCGAACAAGCCTGGTCTCTCTGCTTCCCCTTGCAGGATTCTTAGTGTGGATATGGGTGTCAAGAACCTTGCTTTTTGTCTACTGGAAACGCGGAGGCTGGAAAGCAATGACCAAACTACGGATGGCACATTGTCTCTACATCTCTCAGACTGGAAGCGGTTGGATGTATCAGAAAGGCTGGTTGCCAGGCATACGAAAGCGTCGACGGCGAGTTCACCACAGTCTGATCCTACTGGGGAGACTGCGTATATGAGCGAGTCTGCATCCGATGATCCAACCAACATGTATGCGCCATCATCACTCTGCAAGATTGCATTCGGTCTAGCTACTGAGTTCTTGCAATACAAACCCGACTATATCCTCATAGAACGGCAGAGGTTTCGCTCAGGTGGTGCACCAGCCATCCAAGAATGGACGGTGCGAGTAAACATGCTTGAGAGCATGCTATGGGCGTCCTTGGAAACCATGCGTCACGGACACATCAATACACAAAAGGCTCGAGAGCACAAGTTTCCCGAGGTTCTAGAGATGAGCCCTCGACGAGTTGGCATGTTCTGGCTTAGTCGTGGAGGCTTCTTTCCGACACCAGCAGATATAGCTGCATCACTCATGGCTCCACAAGACACGACAAAGGCGGTTGAATCAGAAGTCAAGAAGAAGTCGTTTGAGAAAAAGGACAAGATTGCATTGGCTCGACACTGGCTGTCACTTTCGTTGACTACAGACGATTTGACGGTCGGTCGCAACCTTGCTCCGATGGTAGCTTCATTCTGTGCGCCCAAAGAACGACAGAGTCGCCGACGAAGCAAAGATGGCGAGCATGAAGATGAGCTTGAGGCCACGCCTGCGTCTGCCATCTCTGGAAAATTGGATGATCTGGCAGACTGTCTCGTGCAGGCAGTGACGTTTGCGCTCTGGGAGCAGAACCGCGAGCGAGTCCGGGAGTATATCGAGTCCCAGGCTTTGAATGATGTTGGCGGGATCAAGAGGTATGGGTGAGACATTATGAATCAGAGTCATCGGTCTTCCTGCCCATGGCAGCTCTCAACTTTTCCTCATTCTCCGAGATAGGCGAACGGCCGCCCAATTTCTCAGGCTTGGCTGCTGGCTTTTTCGGGCCCAAGAATTGCTCTCTGGCACCGTGGACTATATCGGACAGAGTACCACCGCTCTGGTCTACCTTCTCAGCACGACCGTGTCTCCTCCTGCTTTCAGCCAGTAAATCGAGACCTTCACCACCACTGTCTGCGTCACGGTGTCGTTGGGCATTTGCTTTGGCGGCGCGAATGGAAGTCCTGGTGTAGACGAATAGTAGACATGCCATTGTAAAGGCAGCGGCGGGAGCGACTATTGTTCGCGAGTTGATTGGCGTTCGGCGACGAGCAGCAGCGGATGGACGACTTATTTCGGTGGTGCCTGCAGGCCCTTTCGGGACAGAGAGTCTGCCTCCCATGATTGATGTGTTTGTGTGCTTACAGAGGAAGAGTTGTTTTCACATGGGAGAGAGACAGAGCTGCACGGGCAGGTGGTGTGATAGTCGGACCAGAGCTCGATCATGACGCTGAAGCAGGATCGTGATATGCAGTGAGATCCGTGCATGGACGGCATTTAGGTTTAGAGGCCGTCGTTCGCGCCGAGGGGCAGCTGGAGGCTCGCAGTACGAGTAGTCCTGCTCAAGCATCGAACTTACTGTTTCTAGACGCCGATTGGAAATCAGATACACAATCTAGCTTTGTCATCGCTTCTCTTGCTGCTCCCACGCTCCAAACTTTTTAGAAGTGGTTTCCGGTGCATCCATGATTGGTGGCGTTCTGGGTGATTGACGTAAGCAACGCCCGCCTTTGTATTTTCTAGTCCTCATCAACCTTTATTCCTCCACCGTTACCCCTCGTCGTCACCGACTCTTGCTTTGCTATATATTATATGCGCGCCTTCACTACTTCCCCGCGGTTCTTCTACAGTATACCGACGGCCTCGAATCGACTTCACCACATAACTCGCCAGTTTTCCACTACTCGTCCAATCATGGCTCCTACTCCCAAAGAATGTGACTTCCTTGTCATTGGTATTGGTAGCGGTGGTCTCGCCGCCGCTAGAAGAGCGAGTGGCATGTACGGCATGAAGACCATTGCCGTCGAGAACTCCAGACTTGGTGGCACTTGTGTCAACGTTGGGTGTGTCGCACTGTCTCCCTTATTGCCGCTCAATCGCTGACTGACCCTTGCAGATGTGTTCCCAAGAAGGTCACCTGGAACGCCGCCGCCATCCAAGAAACCATCCACGAAGCAAAGGCCTACGGTTTCTCCATCCAAGAGACCGCCCCCTTTGACTGGACCACCTTCAAGCACAAGCGTGACGCCTACGTAAAGCGTCTGAACGGAATCTACGAGAAGAACCTGAAGAACGACAAGGTCGAATACCTCAACGGAACTGCCTCTTTCGTCTCAAAGGATGTTGTCAAGGTTGTCGGTCAGGATGGTCAGGAGCAACAGGTCCGTGCAAAGAAGATCCTCGTCGCTGTCGGTGGTCGCCCCAGCACAATCAACGTCGAGGGTGCCGAGCTCGGTATCAACAGTGATGGCTTCTTTGACCTCGAGAAGCAACCCAAGAAGGTCGCTGTTGTCGGTGCTGGTTACATTGCCGTCGAGATGGCTGGCATGTTCCACCACCTCGGCACTGAGACTCACCTGTTCATCCGTCATGACAAGTTCCTGCGTACTTTCGACCCTATGATTCAGGACAAGATTATGGAAGAGTACAGACGTCAAGGCCTTCACATTCACACCAACAGCTCGCAGAGCAAGCTCGAGGACCTGGGCAACGGCCTGAAGAAGCTGCACTACAAGGATGATGATGGCGAGAACACCATGGATGTCGACTGCGTCTTGTGGGCCATCGGTCGCACACCCGAGGTCGAGAAGCTGAAGCTGGAGAACGCTGGCATCGAGCTCGACGACAAGAACCACATCAAGGTCGACAAGTACCAGAACACCAACGTTGACGGCATCTACGCTCTGGGAGATGTCTGCAACGCGGGTATGGAATTGACACCCGTCGCCATCGCCGCTGGCCGCCGTCTCGGGGACCGTCTCTTCGGAGGCAAGAAGGACGCTCACCTCGACTACACCAACGTCCCTTCAGTCGTCTTTTCTCACCCCACTGTCGGCAGCATCGGTCTGACCGAGCCCGAGGCCCGCGAAAAGTTCGGCGATTCCGTCAAGATCTACTCTTCCAGCTTCACTGCCATGTACTACGCCATGATGGAGCCCGAAGACAAGGGTCCCACTGCCTACAAGCTTATCTGTGAGGGCCCCAACGAGAGAGTCGTTGGTCTGCACATCCTTGGCCAAGGCAGTGATGAGATTCTGCAGGGCTTTGGTGTCGCCATCAAGATGGGTGCTACCAAGGCTGACTTTGACAGCTGTGTTGCCATTCACCCTACTTCTGCTGAGGAGTTGGTCACTATGCGATAAATGCTTAGTTGCAGAAGGATGTTGTAGATTAATAAATAGCTATATATGAGAGTAGCGAACATACGATTCATTTGATGCACAGTTCCTCTCTTTGGGTATGGGCATTCAAGTAAGAAGGTACGATTACTGTCGTGTCATCCCACAGACCAGATCTTTGCTTTGCAAAGTGCAAATGTAGTCCATCAGGTATCGATCAGCGACCGTTAAGGGAGGTATAATAGACTATGGACGGGGCGTAGCATTCGTAGATCACCACAAGAAGCACTCGAATTGAGCTCGAGCATAGGTCAAAGTCTTCAAGGGCTAGATCGTTCTCCTTCGCCTGGTAAAGATTAGTAGGGAGTTGTCATCAAAATGCACAATACTCTCTAGAAACTAGCGATGTCCCCGTAAGGCGGACACCTTCGAGGTATCACTGTGGCCTGAACTCGTGTTTGTAGAGATCCCGTGCACTTCCCAGATATTTGACTTCATGGCTTGTGGGCTGAGGAAAAACAAAATGTCAAACATTCATTGCTGATGATCGAGTGATGGTATAACCTCTGAATTCCATATATTCTATGATCTAGTACATCTGTACAGAACCTTTTCAGATGACAGTTCTCAATCCCCATCCTCCCGTGAGACCCCTCGCAACCACAAATGCAACACTAGCAAGCACATATACCGCACCCGAAAAAGCGATCAAACCATCATACCTCGCTCCCCCTTCCTCCCCTCCTCCTGTCCCCAGAATAGCTCCAGCAATGGGAATACCAATCAGTGTTCCAAAGCTTGATATCGTAAAAGTGGTGCCTGTTCTCTTGCCTATGTCCTCAGTCTTGCAGACCTGTTGAATGCAGACTGGAGTCAACGAGATGGCGGATCCGGAAGAGAAGCCAAAGAGAACGGTGTAGGCGATGATGGCTGCGTGGTTGGTGGAGCCTACGAGCCAGAGGAGGAAGGTGAGGAGACAGCAGAGCGTAGATGTCACGACCATCGTGTTCAAGCGGCCGTAGCGGTCTGCAATGTATCCAGGGAGCAGACGACCGGGTATAGCTGATGCATTGAGGATAGGTATAAGCGCATAAGCCAGCTTTTGCCCCATACCCGCCGCCAGAGCCTGGTCGACCAGAAAAGTATACGGGATGAAGACCGCAAACTCCACCAAGAAGATTGCCAATGTCACACTCGCATACGGTGGCTCCCGCAAAGCCATGATATCAATTTTAGCCCCCTTGACCTTGTTGGGTGGCAATCTGCTCTTGAGAAACACACAAGCAACCACACACAATCCCGCACAAATGAACCCAATGATGCGTATAGCCCAGCCAAACCCAATCTTGGGCGCCAGAAACAGCATGATGAGCGAAAAGGCAAGACCGCCTGTTCCGCCTGCCGTGCAAGCAATCCCCATGGCGAATCCTCTGCGACGATGGAAAAAGTGCCCGATGCAGGAAACAGCAGAGGTGAATAAACAGCAGGTGCTCAAGCCACCGAGGACACCGAAAGAGAGGATGATTTGGTAGTACTCCGTGCTGACCGACAGAGTCATGAGAGAGACCACTAAACCAATGCTGCCAGTGATGACCAGAACTCTAGGGCCGTATACATCAAACAGAGGTCCGATTTGTACACCTGCAAAGTATAGGAAGAAGGGGAAGGTCGAAAAAATCCAACCAATCGAGGACGATGAGTAAGAGGCCAGTTGATGAGTCGATATCCAAGCATGTAATGTTCCAAGGAAATTGAGCATCCCCATTCCTGACACCATGGCGCACCATGAGCCTAAGACTACAAGCCAGGCCTCCAGACCGCCTTCGGGGTATGTTTCCAGGTCATCGGGGTTGGTTGGGGTGGTTTCGCCGGAGGAAGTTTGATCGTATGGCGTTGCTTTCTCGCAGGCGAGATCGTGTCGACCAGATGTATCTGATCCAGATTCTTTCTCCATCGTAGGAGATTCGATATTGTGTTTTGACATCTTGTGAAATGATCCAGAACCAGAGACGCGGTCGAGGTGCGGCAGAGCGGGCGTCGCAGGCTTCAATTTGCCTCTTCGGAACCAGAAGTGTCAGACCGGCCACAAACGACTATCAGTCAATTGGCGTGAACATGGAGTAGAGACGAATATTCATACAAGCGGGTTCATTGTAACAAAGTCGTCGCTGACAAACATTGCAGTCCACGGTTCGGCCGAAGTAGGAAGTCCGTAGCGGGTATTGAACGCGGATCATGTTCTTTTTTTCTTTTCTTTTTCTTTTGCTCATCTTTTCCTCGTCTTCATGTACAAAGTCATCTCACGAGACAACTACAACAATGCACGAACCTTTGCCAATACTAGGGAGAGGCCACAGAGAGTCGATTGTACCAAAAATCTCAGTGGGGGCCTTCTGTTCCGTGAAGTGACTGTGCATTCTCATAGCTACTTTACGACACACCTTTGCACTTCAAGAGGTCGCGTAATTGATCATATGAACGATGTCTCGATACGCAAAGACAGAACTTAAGGACGTATGGTTAAGGTAGATAACCTTTTCGCTGTCCGGAGATCTGTACAAGCGAACCTGATCGTCTTGAACACTGCTCGTCGATTGGGTGTTGGTTTTTGAGAAAATATAATGTTTTGCCTGATTATTTGTGATATGGAGCAAAGCGTATTAGGAATACATGTTGATAATAGCAAGAGCAATCGTCCTTCCTTCCTTCCTTCCTTCCTTCCTGCTGAGCCACATGTGTTCGCTTTTGGCTCATCTGTAGAAGCGACTGATGTCTTAATCCTCTTCCGACTCGCTATCGCTCTCGACATTGTTGTCATGCTGTTCCTGTCCTGTCCAGGTGATGTTAAGCTTGCTATCGACCTCTTCCTTAACAGCCACATCGTCAATCTGGATTTTCTCATCCCGAGATTCGTAGGCCGAGTCCATCCTCGACGCCTCCTCTGCTTCTTCCACGTCGTTTTCATCTTCGTCATTGTTATCAATCTCAAGCTCAAAGCTCACTTCCTGCACAAAATCGTCTTTGCGAGTAACCTCATGCACTGGGACTCATGCCGCTGTATCACGGTCCGGGGCGTCGAATAGCTGAATCCCAATGGCTTCCGCTCTCTCTGCGCGAGCTCTCAGCATGACGACTGCTACCTCAGCACTAGGTCTGTTTCTGATGCTCCTTGGTGTGTCGTCAGAGGTGCCGTCAAAGTACCAAAGAAAGGTGGATTTATTGTCTAAAGGGTTGCCGAAGATGAATTCGTGGATACGTGGCTCGAAGAGTTGACCCTTCTCGAAGAGATTGTCCACAAACGCAAATCGATCGCGTTCCAGGGTAAGAGTCTGTTCGTTGATTGTCACGCGAGTGATGTAAAGGATGAGATTGGACGAGCCATCTGGTCTCATTCCGTGCACTGAAGAGGTAGTAGCTACAATGGGTAGGCTGTCGTTTTCTCTGTGATTATAGGATCTTCCAAGTGGCTTTCTGCTACCGCTTGCTTGGAACATTGGGACACCCGTGGGCAATCCTGGAGGTATAGACATGGAGAGGTCAATCGGGTGTGGAGTAGTCCTGTCATATCGAGAAACTTGTGGCTGCTTGTTCCGGCCCGAGTTGTCCCTATTGTTTTCATCATCATCGTCATCGTCATCTTCGTCGTACTCAGCATGGTGTTTGCGCTTCAATTTGGCGAAATGGTTGCGGCTGAAGTTTCGGGTATGCGAAATGAACTGTTGAACCACGTTCTTCATGTTGAAAGACTCCTTGTTGGATGGAGGTCGACTGATCAGGTCTACATCGAACCAGGCGGGCGGGTTTTGACCGTGTCGGTCGACGAACAGCTCAGGCCAGTCTCGAACCAGGTTGGTCTGCATTGTGTATCGTAGCTTGGCCTGAGGTCCAGTAGTAGGGAATTTCTTCGCCAGGTCAAAATGCTTTCGCAATTCGTCGACCGTGTGGTCTTTTGCTTCCTTATACTCTTGCTCAGACCAACCAAAGAAGATAGTGTAGAAAGCCTTGAGTTTGTTTTTGCTGCTTTCTACGTGGAGCTTGACGCGCTTGTGGGTCCAGGTGGAAACATCCTCTTCGGTGAAAGGCATATCAGGCGCGGCCATGTTTTCGAGAGATATCAGCCTCCACTAGTGATTGTGATGTGTGGAGTGGGTCTGGTCTCAGGGCAGCCGTAAGAGGAACGAGAAGAGTTTGAAGCTGCCTAAACGCGGCTTACGCAATGGAGGAGAGAGCGAGTTGGCCAAATAGTGAAGCGGATCTTTGAGTAGCAGAGGCGACACAGTGCCTTTTTGGATGTCAGTTGGCTCGCTAAGAGACCCAATAGTGGATTTGCCAGTCGATCGTCACTACGGCTTTAGTAGTGAGGCTAGCAGTAGGTATACAAGTCAGCTATGCACAACCAATGTTAGCACAAGAGAAACACAATGCACTCTCAAGATAGCAGGAAGGTCAACTCACCAGCACTGGAGTTTAGGAGAAGAACTTACGAAGACGCACAGAGTGAAGAGAGCGGATGGCAAGTTCCTCAGAGGTGGCTCGAGATGAAGGGACGCAGGAAGTTGTACTCAGCTGGCACTAGAGAGGTTGAAGTCGGAGAGTTGAAGAGGGAAGGCCGAGCCTGGTGCTTTTGTAGCTGCAGACAGGTTGCTGCAATGGCGAAGGTGCTCATTTGGGGAAGGCACGCTGGTCAAGGGCCTACCCTTCATTCGTCGATGCAGTCAAGAGTCATACTTTGATGGTCTACGAGGTGTTAATGTCGCTGAGATGGCGGATGCCTGAGCTTTGAGTGCTCATAACTTTTTGGGCGGGCGTATCTGAATTTTTACGACCATGCTACCGTTTATCTCGCCTAATGCTTTTTCTCCCAGATTTCCCCTTCTGGTGGACTGATAATGAACCAAAGATCCCGCTTGAACGCACGACAAAAATCAAAAACACACAACCAGAGCTGCAAGACTATCTCGTCTCTCTGTTAAAACCACGAGCTCTCATGGAGGCCTCAATAGCACTCCAGATCTCTTCGACAGTCTCACGATCTCTCCATCTCTGCTGGACAGTTTGGCCCTCACGGTATGCATCGATGCCAACGTTCAGCACACCTCTACCCCAGCCCTTGATTGTGTCGGGGAGAAGTTCGTTACGCCAGCCGACGTAGACACCCAAAGCATGGTTGAAGAGCTCGGCAGGCTGACTCCACTTGTAACCCTTGAATTGCCAAGCTTGGCCAGTTGTAAAGACGGCGACGACGCGATTCCAGTAATCGGGCTTGAAGTTATCAGGCGACTCGACGAGAATGAAACGCAGGGGGCGGGTGGGTTCGATGGATGGCATGAGGCGGTTGACATGGAGGATGTTGAGAGTGGTTGATGTGGTCGAGGTAGGAGGGGTGTAGATGCCGTCCATGAGGAAAGACTTGACGTTTGCCAGACGAAGTAGCGATGATGCTGAAGGGGAGAGGAGGATGATGGGCTCGGGACGACGGCCACTGGATGGTTTGGCAGGGCGGATAGCGGGCGCTGGTGTGATGAGAGCCGGCGTTGGTGCTGAGGCCTTGGAGCGGCCAAGGAAGGCTTCGGCGTACTTGCGCACATGTGAGAAGTCCTGTGAGACTGAGTTAGTATTGCCAGTCGAGAAAGAGGAGCACATCGTAGGCTTACGGTAGGCTTGCTGCCTCTGAGAATCGAGTTGCGGTCGCCAGTCTTGCGCTCGAGCGCGTAGATGTCGCGTAGCTTGTCGTCTTCGGCTCTTGCGTCCTGCATGACCACATCGCCGTCTCCACTAGCCATCTTTGCAGCATCGTGTGCCTGAGCACGCGTCTGGCGGTTGTCATCGAGACTCTTGATGAACTCGCTATCATTCTCTCCGGACAACCAGTTGATCAGATCGAGCTTCTCAGCAAAAACCAGGTTGCGCACTTCGCCGAGGCCATTGGATGCACGCGCCGTGTTGAGCTCCTGAGTTGCAGCAATGTAGTCTCCTGTGCTCTTGTCCTTGTTCTGCCAACACCAGAAGATACTGGCCAGATCGAGGGCGCCATTGGTTTGCGAGACGAATCTTGTTACTGTCGTCAATGGAAGCGCAGTGTGTTGGACGCCATCGGCAGCAGATTGTGTGTTGAAGAGCAGGTGAGATGCTTCGGTCAAAGGCGCAATATCGGTAGCTGATGATGCATCGGCGCTGCGTGTCGGCAAGGGCGGTGACGAGGCTGCCACACTCGATCGGAACAGATTCAGCGCATCGTTGTCGGTTGCGCTCATGTTGGCGGTATGGTTTGGTCGAGATGGTCAAATCGTTGTCGCGGTGCTGGCCAGATTGACTGTATGAATCCATGTCCAGCTTTCAATGCGGAAGGTCTGCCGCGCCTTGGCGTGACTCCTCTAGGTCACTTCTTGCTTGATTCGTGTCACTGTCTAATTATTGGATTTTTGACTGTAACAGAATACTCTTGTTCAGCTCACTCATGCTGTATACTAGCTAGGTCTCGTGAATCCATCTCCTTCCGCACAAACGAGCTATTCCTCATCATTCAAGCCAGCATGGATTTGATCGTCGTCCGGCCATCTTTGTTCAGTTTACTCCCAGCTACGATACTTCCTCTACCATGGATTGGGCACAGCAACTGCCCATGTTTCGAGTTCCTAGGGTTCAGAGGACAGAGAGGACTGCTAGGTAGATGCTCTGGCACATCACTAGCAAGCTCTTCCTCTTCTTCTTCTGCTTCCATCTCGACCTGTTTCATCTTGACTGAGAAGTAATCTGGCGCCTCGTTACTCGCCTTTGTGCCATGTGCTGTCTTCCACGGCCCCTCCTATGGATAACTCGGCACGCGACTAAGTTTGGTCGATCCTGCAACCGAGTCGCGTCGTGTCTCTACCTCGTCACCCGGAGGACTGGCGTAGTCGAAAAAGAATCCTTTGGGCCTTGAGTCTGGACTACGTTTTCCTCTGCTCATTGGTGGTGTGTTGACTCGCTGCATCTCGGATGGCAGAAAACTCAGTCCGGCTACTGGTCGATGTGTGTACTCTTGTCCATCAGCTCCGACATACGAGGTTTTACGTTTCGAAGTAACGCTTCTACTTGTGCTCACAGTCTGGACGGATGTGTGCGTGCTTCTTCTTCTTCGATGGGAGCGAAGGCTGAAAAAACCAAAGCAACGGCTTCCAGGTGAGGGTAGCTTTGATATGGTTGAGGGCTGTTCTGATTGACGCCGAGTTGAAGTTTCAGAATGCAGTAGCTTAGTAGCTTCTCTTCTGATCGGGGCTGGCACAATACTGTGTATTGTCAAGACTCGCAGAACGCCTTGCTTTGGTGGTTCTCCAGGCGGAGGGACTGTTGCCGCCTCTTCTGGTCCAGGGCTGATCATCTCCACAACCGAGCCAGCTGTGCTGACAAACGAGACTGGATCTCCTGGATGGCTGGACTTGTGACGAGTACCTCTTGTGGGAACAGAATCGCTGGATTTTGCTTGCGCAGTGATATGTGGTCGAGTGTCTTGAATTGCCAAGCTTCGATGACGACCTCTAGAAGGGCTGCTGGTCGGATTTCTGTGAAGCGATGTGCCAGCAGGGTTATTTGGTGCGATAGAAATCCTCGCACGACGAGTCTTGAGCCTCGAGTTATGGAAGGCGATATGCGAGTGAGCTGCATCCTGACGGTTTGGCGACGGGTTGCGAGACTCAACCAGTGTGTCTGAAAAAGTCATGGACTTTACGGGTGGTCGAATACTAGGACTTGGTGGAGCCGATTGCATAACGATAGCAGGTGAAGATACAATAGCGCGAGTTGGGGCTGGACGAGTCGATGTCGGGGCCAACAGATGCGGAGGTGCCACCATGGTTTTTCGGAAATTTTTCTTACTGACACGTTCTCTCTGGACAATGTGAGCAAAGCTGCTGGCCTCCGAGGACGACCATTTGTCGCTGGAAGACGATGCTGGAGTGGATGCGGCAGCAGCTGGTGATAGATTATGTTTTGCAGGGTGTAATCTGAAGAACGTCAGTCCGGTGCGTCCAGGTCTGAGAAACTGTGTAAGTGCCTACTCAATAGTTGGAGCGTGTTTCATAGCAAATCCGTCTTCTCGATCATTTTCGAGCGAAGCAAAGAGACCTTCGTCAGCCAGGATGTGGTCGGGAAGCCTCAAACTCCCTTGAGGGCGTTCTCCCAAGCGAAGGGGTCGTCCCTCCTCGAAAGGGTTGGACTGTGAGAGTTGTGACTTTGGTGATGGCTGTGGTAATGACGAGTGTGGAGGGTGTAGTCCTGGTCCTGAGGGTAGGAATAGCGAGCTCGCGCTCCATCCCTCGAAGAGGTGTAATGGTGAGCTCTTCTCGGAGGTGGGAGATCGTCCAGGTTGCTCTGGCTGCTGCTGCTCGACGAATCCGACTCGGACAGGCTTCTGCGGTTGCGAGGCCATTGTCTGTTACGACTGGGAGGCTGGTACTTTTGCTCAGATCTGAAGATACCACCTGGATCGGAGAAGCAAAGGCCTGCAAGTATCACTGCGAAGAGTGAGAAGATGCCGCGTTGGAAGGTTCGCTTATCGTCAACGTAATCGTAGTAAGGCATTTTCTGTGTGAAGAGGGAGGACAAAGCACGCCTTTCAACAGCGTACGAGCATTCCAGGAAAATGGAAGAAGAAGTCTAGGTGTGCGCAGAGAAACGTTCTCTTTGTAGGCAGGGAAGTCGCCAACCAAGTCGTGACTTCCACATCTGCCACCATGCGAAGTTCCGCTCAACCAAACCTCCGTCGTCTTTTTGACTGCTTATACACCAACTCACACACTCCTCGTCAATTGTTCCGCTTTAGATTGTTTGGGGTTGTTGATCAAGAGCCAACACCTCTAATGCTCCGTCGAGTCTGCCTGACGATAGATGTGATTATCTCCGTTACCGATTTTTGCTCGACCATTTCAAGCACGTCGGGTCAACTATATGGTTCGCTCGTTGAGTCAGCTCGCAGTGGACACACATAGCCGTATATGACACGCTTACACCACGACGACACATGTGCTGATTTATCGCACGATGACCGACGCGTGAACATCGACCATCTGCTGTCGACTGTCCTGGCATTCCTCCATTTGTAGTGAATAGATCAATGTCATAAGTAACTGGAGGTCAAACACTCAAGCGACTTCGAAGATCTGCGGTAGGTACGCCACATGTCTTAAGATTAAGGGGGTCACATGATTGTCGCTAATCCAATGCCACTCGTCAAGTACAATCTCTGTTTCCAATGACCCCACGAAACTACACGCGTTCACACGCGAGTTTTGTTTATAACACAACTTGCTACGATCTGAAGACCAAGGGAAGAGAAGAAAGAAAGAGGAAGCACGCCAGCAATGTCGACAGAAGCGCCCGTCCACCCCACTCCACAGCCGCTATCCGAGCCGTCCGCGCAGGTGGCCTACATGCCTGAATGGGACAACAATGCTAAAGTCGGAGCCACGGCGACCACATCACATACTGGGAATCAATCTGGTGGAAAAATAGTGTTGCAAGAAAAGTTCAACGCCATTCTTCCTCGGTCTCGGTCATACTTTGGCCTCAAGCGACGAACTTTCCTCATCGTCCTCGCCTGCGGACTTCTTGCGCTACTCGCTCTGATCATTGGTCTGACTGTAGGCTTAACTAAGCATACAAATAGGTAAATACAACATACGCTAATATCTGATGACTTCTGCTGAGATCATTGTAGTGGTCAAAATCTACCACTACCGACAAACAGTGAGCAGCATGAGGGTGACCTTACTTACTACGGCACTGGCTTGGGCTCATGCGGGATCACGTCTTCTGATAGCGACATGATTGTTGCTGTCTCTCACTTCGTCTTTGATGCCGCCTCCAGGAGCTCTAATCCTAATCAAAACCCTTTGTGCGGTCTGAAACTCAGAGCGTCGAGATATGATGAGCAAGTCGGAGAGAGAAGAAGCGTTGATCTCAAGGTCGTTGACAGATGTGAGTTTTTACTGACTGACTGACAATCGCAGTCGAGGCGGAGCTGTGCTGACGTTATCTTGTAGGTGTGGGTTGCAAGGCTACAGATATTGACGTGTCTCCAGCGGCTTTCGACAAACTCGCAGCTCGAGCCAGTGGCAGAGTCGATGTGACTTGGGCATGGCTATCTCCCCAAGCCACTGCTTGAACATTTTCTTCATCAAAGTCGAGATACACGTTTACGACAAGCGAAGAATTCCTGAAACACAGATCTGATGAAGACATGATTGATTCGTAGCGCACACCAAGGTGCTTCTCTTTCTCAAAGATCCAGTCTGTAACCTCTAAACCGGCTCTGCGATCAACAAAACATCCACACAGTTGCGAGGGGTCGTAACGTTCATCCATCTGTACCAAATGGCAGTGGCAGGTCCGTACTCTAATGATTGGTTGCAAGCTGTTCGACATGTCAGCACTTCAATTCCGCCACAGACCAGAAATCATCGAGGATACTGACCGAACCATGACACCCTCTGAGTCGCCCAGTCCACAATACCTCCCTCATTCACCAGTAGACCCTTGGTTCCTTCTTGGCCAGAGTATATCTGGGCTATGCTAGAGTTCGCGTACGACAGTAAAGGATACAGCACAAAGCCTTGAGGATATTCGTCACCAAAGACCAAACTGCTGTTGCTAGGGTTGGTGGTGTCTGTCAAATGGCCGACAATAGCTTCATCCTTGGGGCGCAATGTCGCATAGTAGCCTGCACCATAAGCGTATTCGGCATACATGTAACCCAAGGTCACCGAGCTGTCGTTGAGCTGTCGAGCGCGGATGATGAAGGGATCCGAGTCCAGAGATAGCGGTGGCAGTGTTGTGTTGGTTGACGTAGTTGTGTTGGCGACAGCCGTCGTGTTCATCTGTCTAGGCAGCACTGCTGCGCAGACAGAGCTTATGCCAGCGGCCAGCGCGGTGATTGGTCTTGAGAAGTACATGTTTGCAGTACAAGGATATGATGCTCTGAAGAGATGGAATTGATGGACTGCCCAGCTACAGAAGCAGCGAAGGAATTTTATATATGCGTAGATCAAAATGCAGAGCTCAACAGTTCTTCGCGATGCCTGTATGACGATCTCGTATGCGGATGTCCGTTCACCTTCTCGTAACAGCAATACTCGGACCACAAACTGGCCCTCCAATATGCATGTGCTACCTAAGCCAAGACAAAATGACTCTCGAGACCTGTCTATCGATCCTCTATACACGCTTCTGTTGCAGGTTCGCGTTTTCTAGAATGCTTTATAGAAAATTTTCAGCAGCTGTCATACCCTTCTTCATCCAACTCGAAACTCCGAGACATGCTATAATCTATTTCTATCTCGCACGTTGCGATTTTGTGTCTTTGTCTCACTCCGCGACGTCAGAGGGTGCAAAGATAGACTTTTTGCGGTCTCACGCAACGTCTTCCAGGTTTCGGCTCCTGGCGGTGTTCTGGGTGTTTCTCCTGTCGATCTTTTTTGCATGACGACTGTGCGGTGGGAGCGTCACTGCGCGGCTGGGATATAACGACTTTGCAGATGCGATAAGAGAGGTCTCATGAAGGACATCCGGACGATGGGTTTGCTGGAGAGTATGACATGTATGTGAGCGGCAGTATGATGGTCGAGCACAAGAAAGGATACCTTCGCGTTGCAAAGCTTGTGTCGCGGGTCCTTTCTCGCGATCACACGTGTGCGGGCGGAATTGGAGCTGTAGAGATGCACAATTATTTCCAGCTAGCAGACAAGCCCACTGAGACTGGAGGCCATCGAGACTCTCAGTGGATGCTTCACACGCAATTAAAGAATTGTGCACTTCTATAGCTGCCATGTCATCTACATTGGCACTTAGAGAAGTCCGACATGTTTATCAGTCTGCTTGTATGGAGGACGACCCTGCTCATCATTTCAATAGTTTTCTATCCATCAAATCTGCCTATCGATGGCAAAGCAGTATATATGATTGCGTCTCAGTGTAATTTGGACGCAGAACGTCTCCTTGAGAAGCAGAAATTTGTATCATCTGCGGAAGTATGGAAAATGAACAAATGTGACTGTCTAAAGTTGCAAGTTCAGTGTAGATCCTATCTCCGCTAGCGCGTTCTTCCTGGCAACAGCCATCAAGCTACTAAAATGCACAGTATCCTTGAAGAACAAATAGTATCCATTGAGATGTGATGAAACTCGGGCTCTCTCTGGACATGTCTTGGGTCCAGATATCGTTGTGCCTGATCCCGATCAAAGGAGGATTCTGCAGCAACATTTCATTGTGAATGACTGCTGCAATCGCCTTTGACACAGCCGGAAACAACAGCGGAGCTATCGTTGGTCCATCGAACAACCAAAAGCTGCTTGCATATACATATGTAAGCGAAGCATGGCGAGAACGGATGTCGCGGTACACGTACCGTGATATCGTGGCGTCCAAAATCTGCACAGACTCATACATCTTGCGTCTTTGCAATCAGTTTTTGATGGCGCCATGCGATATTATTGCGACATACGAATGCGCCACAGATTGGAACAAGGTTGACGATATAGTGGCTGCTTTGACCAGTAAATACACTATTGGATGCGTGATAACGCCAGCTTGTATAGTGAAGTCTAGACAAATTTGTGCCCTAGTAAAGATACAGTCGGGAACGCGAGAATCAGATACGCACGGGTCACTAACCAATAACAACTTGGCCCTTGAAGTCTTTGGTATAATAAGAGCTACGGAGGGAGATAGCGCCTTAACGGACCGAAAAAAAACCACCACCGACCCCAACCAGCCAACCACTCCGCTACTTAGCTCTACTCTGTTATTGCCGTTAGCGAAATCAGGGGCAAAGGGGATATGCATGAGCAATATACTGCACGCGAGAAGACAGAATAACAACTTACCAAGATGGCAAGATCCACTACACCTGCAGTAGAGGATGTGCCGTAGCGAAGTGTCGATGATGATAAATAAAATAATAAAAGAGTGGGGTAGCAAAGATCATGATGCTAACCCCCACAGGCCATCGCTCGGTTCGGGACACGGCATACGATCCGTGCCTTGATCGCTACAGTAGCAGGGAAGTCAGCGAAATCTGTACCCAAGCGAATTCTCAACGTCAGCAACATACCTACTCCCCACGGCCACGGATAATTTATCAGGCTTCACATAGTTTTGAGCGCACAGAGCCTGATATTTTATCCATGGCCGCACCGAGTATCCTTCTCTGCACAAAGGCAGTTCTTTGATGGCAATCTTCGGGAACATCTACCAGACGCTGGCCAGGTAGGAACCTTTCTGCTTGACATCGTCAATCATGTGCTTGCATTCAGCCCACGTGTCAAGCACGACTTACTCGCTGCGCAAACCATCGCCCGACAGACGGAATCGTAGTCGTCATGCCATTGACTGCCAGTTGGTAGGTCTGGCATCGACTTGACACTCGAGTATCTGGTGACAAAACGACCAAGGCCTGGTACTCTGGAACCAACACCAGCCTTTGCTTCAACGTCGTCGGCCCATCGGTCGAGACTCGATAGCTCTGACGTCGAGTCAGGTGGTTGATCATGGATGTGTGGTCGACGGACGTCCGACGCTGATGGCCGCAGGGTCGAAATTCCAGAAGATGATCATGAAGAACCGCTTACGGGCGCCACCAACAGAATGTCCTCGCGCAAAGCGCAGGATAATCTTGAAAGCGCGGGACTCTCAAAGCTCGACGTCCCCGTTGGTCTCAAGAACCAAGAACCGCTATGGACTCGGAAACAACAAATTCAATAACGCAGACTCACTACGGGTCTCACTCTGAAAGCTCGAAGGCTCTTTCTCTTTTTCAATCAGGAAGAACCACTTACGGGTCCCACCAGTTCAGTCAGCAAAGTAAAACACTTAACAGGTCTTACCTCTTCTTTTCGTGATCAATCATGAAGAACCGCTTACGGGTCCCACCAACTCTTGTTTCGATAACGCAGAACCACTACGGGTCCCACTCTGAAAGCTCAGAGGCTTTCTCTCTGATTCAATCAGGAAGAACTGCTTACGGGTCCCACCAATCTCTTTCTTCGAAAACGCAGAACCGCTACGGGTCCCGCTGTGTGTCCTCGCGCAAAGCGCGACAAAGCGCGAGGACGAGCTTGAATGCACCGGGTGTGCCAAAAACGAGGTAGAAAAACTGCCGTGCGCAGTTGGTGAAGTTGATGTTGTGAGGTGAAAGAGAATGAAGCTGACGGAAGTAAAGCTGTATACGACAAACGCGCGTGCAGCCGACGCCAAGACTTCAGTACAACATTTGATGCTCTTCTTTCACTTGACTTCACTGGAAATCGAGCTTTTGATCTCTCCGTGGCAAAGGTATGTGATAATCGTAGCTATAGAAATGCACAGTGCTCTAGAAACCCAGGCAGTGTCCATCGAGAGGCAGTACCATCAGGACTCTCCTTGGAAACATCACTAGCTTAGACAACATGATGCATTTTGATAGTGAGATCGTCGCTCCAGACCCTCGTGAGAGTAGCGTAGCATTACTCTTCCACTTCGCTTCGGCGCAGCACGTCCCATGCCTTGATTGCGAGGCAAGCCGGCACACCCTGAGCGATCTTCAACACCAGTAGCCCTAGATATATTAATCTTAGACCTCAGCTCCTTTCTCCGACCACAAGTGCCAACTCAACGGAACACCTGACCCTCACCATCGGCTGGATTTCAATAACAAAGAAGCAAAACTTGGTGAAACACGAATTCGGGCATTACATGCAAGCCCCTTCTTCGAGAATCAATTGCAGCAAGATAAGGTGATTTTCCGTATCTTGGAGGAAAGCAAGGGATGCAGTGCGGTCGGAACCAGGTACCCTGAAGCGACAGCCGCCATGCATGACAAGCTTGCAGTTCGCGTTTCTTCTCGTGGCTGAAATAGATTAAAATCAACCGTGCTCACTGGTGCCGTCAAAACTCATGCATCATGCAGTTCCCCATACGATATTGATACGCCCGTGTGGGAATCTTTTTCGATAGTTTGGACGCGCGATAATATCGAGATACACTCGGTCTGGTTTTCAATTGAATCAATGCCGATATGGAGAGAGAAAGGGATGAGTAAACTTGTTGGATCGGCATAAAGCTTTATATTCTATACATGATACATTAACCATGCTCCACTGCATGACAAATACGTTTGGCCAGGTTCCGAAGTGCAATTGAGCAATGGCGTACGAAGCAGTACATGCTTCTATGAGCTTTGGAGGCCGTTGGAAGAAAGGAAGTCCTGAATGACCTTGTAGGCTGCGGTCGCTGGTACACAAAAGACGTTAGCTATCCTGTTCACCCCACGCGCGCTTGTTCAACGTCCGTGCATCTGAGACGAGACGACTTACCATTGTAGTGGAAGTTGATACCGTGGCCGGTGTTTGGGTGGATGTAGGCCTCAAACTTGCTGGCGTTGGGGAATGCTTTAGCCACTCCAGCAGGTATACTAGCAAGATTTGGGTTTCCAGTTGATTCACACCGGCCTCCACAATAGATCGTATCCTCGTTGCCAGTCAAGACGAGAGCAGGTCCAGTGTGAGGGGAGGTGGCAGGGGCTCCGTTGCCGAGAGTGAAAATTTCACCAAGTGTAACGGGCTCCTTGCTGCTTTCAGCAAAGAGAGCGGCGCCAACATCGAAGTAACCAGGGTAAAGGAAGGCGAAGATGTTTGCTATAGGGACAGGTTAGTATGCGATTGTGTTTGGGAATGATCAGTGTGAAAAAGCAAAAAGAAGGGAAACCAAAGGACATCACTTCACGAATTGCTCAACTTACAAGTCAGATCGCTCCAAGTGAGATATCCTGTAGGAAGGTTCTGGGCAACTGGTGCAACAGTGGCATTCCATCCATTGATTATGTCACCGAGCTCTGTGGTAGCAATCTCCTGCCAAAGATCAGAGGTAGAGAGGTTGATGCCGATAGCGCTGAGAGCAGACTGGAGAATCGAGATCAAGCTCTGACCGAGCCAAGCAGTGTTGGTCTTGCTGCGTGAGACAGACTGGTCGCCGAAGCGAAGGGGCTGGTTGAGACGAGCGAGGTGCAGGTTCCAGTCAGCAAGAGTTTGAGCGAGCCAAGTGCCGTTCATGGAGAACCCGGTAAGCACGACACCATCAGAAGAGCCAGGGTAAAGAGCGGTCAAGAGGTAGCTTTGGAGGGAGCCAAAGGAGTGTCCGACTAAAACACGTTAGTTTCACAAGAAATTCGTCTCTCGATCCAAAACACTTACCATGTACCACCTTGCCGAACTTGTGGCTGACTGAAGGGAATGTGCCATTGCGAAGCATCGAGGTGATCTCGTGCAGAGCGCTAACTTCGCTTGGGGCCTGCACTTTGAGTGGGTCGGCGTGAGAAGAATTTCCAATCCCGAATCTGTCAATCGAGACAGTATGGTAGCCGGCAGCAACAGCAACATCGATGTAAGAGTAGTTGTAGTTGTTGTATGACAAGTCCCAGTAGCTCTTGTCGAAGCCAATGCCGTGGGTCAGGACTTGGACGGTAGGATTGGCCTTGTTGTCACCTTGGGGCTTGCAGTATTTGGCGCTAATGTTATAGAGGCCTTGGAAGTTCTCGAAACCTTTCGTCACGACGTCGGTGTAGTTCATGCCAATGTTGGTGAAGTCAAGAGAGAACTTGACTGCATCGAGGTTTGTTTCGAAGGTGGGAACATCGAAGATGGCTTGTCTGGCGTTGATGTATACTGGTACAGTGACATTGGTGCAGACTTTGGCCGCAGAAGCCACGCCTAGAAGGGCGAGAAGGGCGAAGGAAGACATGGTAGAGGTGGATTGAAGGAGGAAGAAGATGGTGGACAAGATTGATCTTGCAGAGGGTGCTGACGAGGTATTTATCGTTGAACAGCAACCATTGACTACAAGTCACGGCAAGAAGCGTTGACGTCAAATGGATTATCGCAATGGTCTAGTCTCAAGGGACCAAGGGCCAGAGATTGACAGACAGGATTACGCGGGTGTGGATGCGAGCCGCAGGTAGTCAATATCTCTAGCGTCTAGATATTACGAGAGTCCCTTCCGCCATGCTCAAGCGGCTAAACCTTTAAGCATGGTGGAAGGGGGTTCGGGAACGTCATGATCCTCTGGTCCAGAGAGACTCGGAAAGACAAGAAGATGGCGCGGCAAGGGTTCAGTCGAGTGCTGACCACATGCTCTCAGGCACAACCCCAATGTGAAGGACAAAGCTTACCACTACTGCTGAGTAGGGACATGCAGCTGCATGGACGTAGCGGCTCGCTGTATACGCCGGATCTCCACGCTATCGAGGCGCTGATCCAAAAGAAAGGTTACCAACCAGCAGTCAGATCACTGCTCTATGTGATTGATGACAATTAAGACGATTGACTACCTATGTGATACAATAAAGTATGGCGCATCAGATTAACAGTAGTGATGGCGTGTCAATAACGCCATTGTTGGGGGCGGGCGGCGGCACACAAACACGCCTTGTGTCAGTGCAATGAAGGCTTGGAGCAAGAGGATCGGTTGACGCTGCGGATCAAAGACCATGATGGAGCTCGCTCGACGGCAGAGCCCGTGTCAGCCAAAGGAGGGGCATGGAGGAAGGCCGAGCCGATTGGAGTCTGGCTTGGCAAACTACGTCTGAGGTTTTGGTGCCATCAACTCCACTCATTGCTGCTAGCTAACTCTACTAAACCATCACTATCAAATTGGTGCTTCTCGAGCCATTTATCGCAACACAAGCGAGATTGCTTCACTTACGGGCGTACGAAGCCACTACTTTGTCTACTGCACAACATCGCGACCAAGCGGAAATCCAACACAAGACCACCCACTTGGTCGATCGCATCCCTCCTGGAGAAACTCTACCACGCGTGGTCTGGCCTTATAATCGCGCACTACCGCTCTTGCCGCAATGTCGAACCCGGTCTGGAATCCAGACAATATCACCGACGTTGCCGAATCTGTCGGCGTTGGCGCACTCAACCACGATGTCGTTACTCAACTCGCGCAGGATGTTGAGTACCGCGTCAGTCAAATCCTGGAAGAAGCCCTCAAGTTCATGCGCAATGCCAAGAGGACTACTCTGAGCACACAGGACATCTCACAGGCACTGCGCCTGCTTGACGTCGAGCCTCTCTACGGCTACGAAGCTACGAGACCTTTGCGCTTTGGTGAGGCCTCAATAGGCCCTGGACAACCGCTATACTACGTCGAGGATGAAGAGATTGACTTTGAGAAGTTCATCAACGCTCCACTACCAAAGGTCCCTCGCGAGATCTCCTTGACAGGTTCGTTGCTTAGAGTCAACTTAGCTCCCACGTCAACTGACACGCCCTGCAGCACACTGGCTCGCCGTCGAAGGTGTACAACCCTCCATCCCTCAAAACCCTACATCCGCCGATCAGAGACACCAAGAACTTCTTCCAAAAGGTCCCGGCGCCAACCCGAATCTCGCTGCCATCGGCGGAAACGACAATGTCGCCGTCAAGCCTTTGGTCAAGCATGTCATCTCGAAAGAACTACAACTATACTTCGAACGCATCTGCAGTGCCATTCTGGACGAGACCAACGAAGAATTCCGCATCTCCGCCTTTGCCAGTCTGCGTACCGATCCTGGTCTTCATCAGCTAGTACCATACTTTGTTCAGTTCGTGGCAGACAAGGTCACACACAACCTCAAGAGCTTGTTCGTCCTCAGACAGATGATGCAGCTGTTGGCCGCTCTACTGGAAAATCCCAGTCTATACATTGCACCATACGTTGCCTCGCTCATCCCTCCGGTCCTCACATGCTTGATCGGAAAACACCTTGGCTCAACATCTGCCGATGGCCCCGAAGCACATTTTGCACTGCGCGACTTCTCTGCGTCATTGCTGTCGGCCATTGCCAAGCAATACGGTCAAACGTCAGGCACGCTCAAACCCCGTATTGCACGTTCGTGTCTAAAAGACTTCCTCGACTCACACAAGCCTTTCGGAACACACTACGGAGCCATTCTCGGCCTACGAGGCATCTCCGGAGCAGCAGGTGTTCAAACACTGATTCTTCCCAACCTCAAAGCCTATGACCAGGTGCTCAAGCAGGGACTGGCGGACGAGCACAAGAAGGATCAAGCAGAAAGAGTTGCATTGGTGCTACTTCAATCGCTTGAGCTTCTGGAAAAACACTCGGCAAACATGACCAACGGACATCCCGAAGGTGCAGAACTGAAGGAGCGCTTGACAGAGGCTATCGGCGAAGTACTCGGCGCACGGGTATACGAGAGCGGAAGAGCAGGGCTTGTATCCGTTGTGCTTGACAAAGATGCGGCGGTGTAGATAAAGCGCGAGAGGATTAGCGCGTCAACTTTAGCGAATGCATAACGGCGTGGGGCAGGCAAAACAACAACGGAGTTGGGGGATTCACGGAGTCTAACTAAATATGATACCAAGACGCTGCACTCGGCGTGTACAACGGAAGCAGGCTCTCTCAATCGAGGAGGAAGCATTGATGAAACGTGGATTGAATGATTTGCAATGCTTTAAGAGACGGTCAAATAGTGACGGATCTGTGGTTGTTGGTGCAAGAAAAAGGCGTGGCTGGCGATTCGGTGCAGCAAGGAAGTGGACAAGCAGGGCAGATGCAGTAGTTTTGTGGGTATCGCCAATGCTCAGCGTGTAGAGCAAACCTTGTGCAGTGTGCACGAGGGAGCGGTTCGCGAATGGAGCAGTAGCTTATCAGATCTCGGAATTCTGGCAGCAAGGGCACGGTTTGTTGTGGGCCAGCAGAGGTAACGAAGTATAACCCAAAAGTATCAAGGGTCGCAAGGGACATATGTACAGGGATGCCGTCGTGTTATGAGTGGGCATACAGATGGGAGCTGAGAATTATGGAGTCTTTTTACTATTTTGATGGCAGATCGGGGGCTTCACGGCTCGCTTTGGTGCCATTGGTGGTGAATGGATGTGGTTGGTGGTACAGGCGGCTGAGCTTCAGACGCATCTACGTGTGAAGGTAAACAATCAACACTTGCTTGACAACCACCAAATAGGCCACCTAGATGGCCGCATGAAGAATTCGGCCAGTCCTACTTTTTGACTTCTCGCGATCCGGCCGGTCGTTTCATTCTGTTGTTTCATTCAATTCTGGCGTCACCGCTGTTGGATTGCCTGCCCGTGTGTAAACAAAGCGACCTTCCAACCGGACTACGATACAACCTGGCTCAATCACTCAATTGCACAACATGGCGGGCCAGTCAATACCGACCAAGTTCCCCTGCTGGTGCAAGGCTGTCTATTCATGGGGTGGAGAGGTGGGCAACAACTCGGACACGGCTCAGGAGCGCAACAATGGCTGACCTTCTCTACAGACCAAGAAAGACCTGGGCTTCATCGAGGGAGACCTGATCGAGTGTCTCAATGCAGGAGATGGATCATGGTGGATGGGCCGTCTAAGGCGCGACCGGCGCATGGTTGGCCTCTTTCCCTCCAACTTCGTCCAAGTGCTCGACGAGAAGTTCCAACCAGCCCCCATCCGCCGTAATGTTTCACCCCCAACCGCCGTCGCTGCGCCGCAAAAGTCCAAGAGCGTCTTCCGCAAACCATTCCAGGGTTATAAAGAGTTTGGATACCGCGATGACGGTTGCAATTCGCGAGGCAGCACACCAGAGGATCGACAAGCAAAGAAGAAGTTCAGCCCATACTCGAGCATGAAGACGGCAAAGCCTCCCGGCTCGGACAAGAAGCCTCCATCATCACCACTCAAGGAAGACTCGACCTTCCGCGTGCCTTCTCCGCTGCCACGATCCTCTCCCAGCAGAGCACCTTCGCCTGGAGACATGTACAGAGCTTCCTCTCCAGCCCCTACCACATTGCACCGATCAGTCTCTCCTGCGCCTTCTGCATTCTACAGACCTACTTCGCCAGCACCATCAGCCATGTACAGAACATCTTCGCCTGCTCCCTCGGCCATGTACAGAGCCACGTCACCCGCACCTTCAGCAATGTATAGGGCTGCATCACCTGCTCCCTCCGCCATGTATCGTCCTGTTTCGCCTAACCCACAGGATATGTACCGTTCAACTTCTCCTAATCCATCAGCCATGTACAGTAGGCACGCCTCACCCAATGCTGCCTTGTACCGCGCTGCTTCTCCCAACCCAAACACCAACGCGGACTTGTACAGTCGAGCTGCCTCTCCAAATCCCTACCGGGCAATGTCACCCGCTCCTCTCCAACAAAGTACTTCTTCCTACCACGTTGCATCTCCCGCTCATTCTCAATTCCACCACTCGCCATCTCCATCTCCAATGCCTACTCCCATGCCTGGTGACGGCCAATACCAAGCATACAGACCTCCACAGGAGTACGATTATTTCAGAACTGCTTCACCAGCACCTCCAGCTCCAATGCACCACATGTCAAGACAACCCTCACCAGCTCCACAGGACGACACGTCTTCGCCACCGCCTCCTGCGCCACCACCTCATCGTGTCCTCCATCAACAGAACAGCCTTGTTTCTCCACGCCCTTCCCACGAATCTGACATGAACAATGGCTACGCCACGCCTGGAGGTCACTCAAGGGATGGTCAGTCTTCTGGAATGACCCCTTCGCCATTACGCGACGCCATGGCCGATGTGATGTCTTCTTTGCACGACATGAGCAGCGTCGCTGGAAGATCCTCTCCTGCACCTGGTCCGGAAAGCCCCAACGGAGGAATCTGGTCGCCCGATGCTTTCGACCTCATACGCTCACGGTCGGCCCACCAAGCTAGAGCAAAATCTGCTATGGACAACTACCGCAGGGAAGCGAGTCCTAACAGGCTGGCTAATGCACAGGAAGACCAACACTCGATCCCTTCATTACCACCTTCACGAGATGGCCCTCCAGCACTGGACGAGTACGTCTCACGCATGGAAAGTCGACTAAGGCGAACAAAATCATCCGGTGCTGACCTACAAACTATCGGGGGAGCAGACAGCAGACCCACAACATCGAGCAGTCAGAGCAGTACAGGCAGTCTGCGTTTCAGCACTCAAGTTCCGAGAAGTCCCAGTCCCAGGAAATCTGCCTATGAGATTGCCACTAGACAGCAACTCCGCAGGACACAGACCAGCAAGACCAATGCGACTAGCTCTTCCTCAGGTACTAACAGTACTTCTACAGCCAGCACTACCAGTACCCAGATTACCAGCACAAGCATCATGAGTGGTCATTCTGCAGGTGCCTTCAGCGCCACTAGTGCTGGTAGCTTTGCTAGGCGCAAGTGGGGCTTGACTGGAAGCGTGAAAGGCAGACGCCCATTGAGTGCCTTGAGTTCAAGATCGTATGGCGACCTTCAAGGAGAATTTGGCAAGGAAGAACGACCCAAGACAGCTATGCAATCACGACCTCAATCTCCCGAGACTGGCATCAGCTTCCACTCAAGTCATGCCACTCAGCCTGCTCCAACTCCCGTCGCCGACTGGACTACCAATCCATTCGAGACTGCTGGAGTGCTTGGAGGTCTTTCCGCTCCCAAGGCCAAGAAAAGCGGCTTTTTCAGGAAGATGATTGACACGGCGAAGACGACTGCAAAAACTGGAGCAGCTAATGCAAGAAGCACAATTGCATCCGGAAGACCTCCAAGCAGAGCAGGCTCACCCAAGAAGAGCATCATCCCAGATGGCGTCACATCCATCTCTGGTGGTATGCCATCTTCTCCACCTGCGCTGACATCTACTGCCCATCGAGACATGGGGCTTGGAGGCGGCGATGGATGGATGCAGGTGAGACGTGATGTCAATCGTTCCAACTCGCTGAGTAGGAATGAAAGAGTTGAACGCATCGAACGTTGTGAGATGATGGACGTTCTCGTTCTCAGCCCGGTCGAGGAGCTTCTGGAGCGGACCGAGGGCGACGAAGGCCTTGACGGACTGGCTATTACGGAGCCAACAGACTTTGTTGCACCGAGTCTGGGTCTGGTGGACAAGGGTACGAGGTTCATCTCTGCTCTTCCTCAGATGCTCACGCCGACATCATTGGCACAGAGTTATCTTTGCAGACCCTACCGCAGCGATGTCCAACGTCTTCGCGCTATCTTTACATGGGTATCGGAGAGAATCACCTGGGAAGAAGACTTTGAAGGTCAAATCGATACCAGACGTGTTTTGCAATCCAAGCGTGGCTGTGGTGAGGAGATTGCCGCGCTGGTGCGTGACCTTTGCTCTGCTGTTGGTCTTCATGCCGAGGTTGTACGTGGATATCTGAAAGGACCTGGAGAACGTCTTGATCTGGAAACCATTGCAAGACCAAACCACTTCTGGAATGCGGTCATCATCGATGGCGAATGGCGTATCATGGACTGCTCTCTGGCCAACCCCACCAACCCCAAACGAAGCTTGTACAGCTCAGCCAACAACACTGTCGCAGATCACTGGTTCTTCCTTACACGGCCTATGGAGATTTGCTATACCCACATCCCTCTGCTTCCTGAGCAACAGCATATCGTTCCTCCTGTTCCTCATGAAGTCCTCATCTCATTGCCATGCGCCTGCCCACCTTACTTCCGTCACCATATCGAGCTTACGAATTACGACACCTCGGTCGCCTACTTAGAGAATCTCGAAATGGCACATCTCCAGCTGACTGTTCCTGAAGACGTGGAAATCGTTGCAGAAGTCGAAGCCCGCGCTTTCGCTCGCGACATGGACGGCGACCTCTTCGAATCAGGGGATGTGACGAGAAAGATTGCACTCGCCCAACCTACTTGGATTGCGGGCAGGAAGAGCTACATGGTAAAAGCACTGCTTCCCGGTGACGAAGGCGAAGGAGTCCTCAAAGTCTACGCCGGCAAACGCGGTCTCATGCACAGTATCAAGGACAACCCACACGCCCTCGCTCTCGCCGTGCCGCTCATGCACACAGGACAAAATCCCCCCTACGCCTTCCTCACCAGACATCCTACCCCTCACGCCCAACGCCATGACCTCTACGTCGCGCAACCACAATGCAGCCGTCTAGTCATCAACAATACCTTTGTATTCTGCGTCCGCCAACACCCATCTTCACTCTCGCGCTTCTCGCCAGACACCTGGGGCGGTTCCAACAATACTTCTGCACGCAGTAACTCTGCATTAGGCCTGCGCTCCACCTCGCCAGCACCCTTTGCTCGTCCATCCTCAGCAATGTCCATGGCATCTTCCTCAGCAGGCGCCTCCCACACCGGCAGCTTATACTCTGAATCTTCCTCAGCACTCAGCGACAAGCAGTCCAAACCAGCCAAACTCGCCATCCAATCACCCACTGGCAAAATCATCAGATTCACCAGAAAGCAAGAGTACGGTGGGTCTGCGGCGGGAAGTGGCAGTAGAGGTGGAGGTAGTGGAGTAGGCGATGAAGAAGAGGGTCTGGGGAGCACTTGGGAGACTGTCATCAAAGTCGGTGAGAGGGGTGTTTATAGAGGGTTGGTGCTCGCGGACCGGAGTGCGAGGTGGTGTGTTTTTGCCGAGTGGGAGTGTGTTTGAAGTGGGAAGGGAAGCAGCACGATGCTGATGTCGGGCGTCTAAACATGGACTTTGACGGAGTTTGTACAATACAAGAGTCTATTCGTTGGCATGTAATGGAGAATGGAGTTTAGGAGGAATCATTGTAGGAGCATGGCATTTCTGGTCAGAGGGTTCTGTTCACAAGCAAAAGCATAGCTTTCCAATTGTCATGTTCTGATCTTTTCACGTCGACACCTTTTTTCTTCATCACGATTCTTCCTTGGAGGGGCCATATCTTCTGGCTGATGTCCACGTGTTGCTCTGTAAAAAATCTGGTCGACGAGCAATGGTCGCTCGTGCTCAGAGAGAATAAAATGATTCGACGTTTTTTGAGGCTTTGATGCAAAGGTAGAGCGGCGAGCAAAAGTCTGGTATGTCTGTTCCGGCGCATGTCTTCGAAGGGTCTTATGATATCGCAGCTCTTTGCCTATTCATGTATGCTTTTGGAAGAGAGTGTAACGGCGATGAAGTTTCTGTGCAGTTTAGATCAGAGAAGCGTGGGATAGCTGACCATTCTGCTTGAATGGTTGGGAATAATGATACTAGGCTCTTGCCTTTTCTATGAATATTTCGGAAGGAAAAGAAACGACACCCGCGCCTGCCGATACCAGGAACTCCTTCGTCATCATAAAGATATGCAAATAATTTTTGTTTCGTCTTATGCATGTGAAAAAAGGCTCACATCACATGTCCTTGGCCGCTTTTCTCTTCTCATTCGTCCTCTGGATATCCTTGAAGAACTTACTCGTCGGCTTGTTCTTCTTGAGTTCCTTGTTTCTACTCTTGTTATACTCGATATACGCCATATCCTTACCACCAGCGTATTCTGAGAGCGCGCCAGCAGTACGACGAACGCCAGGTTTGCCTTTGGGTCCCTTGTGCATCTGTCGTCCACTGAACAGATCATCTTGAATATTTTCCACACTGCCGCTTTCTTCGCCGGCCATGAGGACGTCTTCGAGGAGTTCCATGCGGGAGGAAGTGTCGCGGAAATGCAGACCTTCGACTTTGTCGATGCCGGTGAGATGGGTGATTACTTTGAAGGAGTAGCCTTGGTCGACGAGGAAAGCTTGGCGTTTGGAGGAGTAGTACATTTCGTTGGTGTCTTTTGAGACGAGGGAGTAGAAAAAGGCGTTGAAGCCTTCGTCGTTTCTGCGCTTGGCACGAAGAATACGACCCAATCGTTGAGCTTCCTGACGACGAGAACTGGAATCAATATCGTTAGCCACTGTATCTGTCACACAAACAATTCACAGCTCACCCGTAATGACTGGACACTTGAATCAAGCAAGTTGCCTCAGGCAAATCCAGACTGGTGTCTCCAATCTTGGACAGGAAGATTGTTCGCACTGCTTCGTTCTGCTGGAAGTTCTGCAAAACCAGCTCACGCTCTCTTTGAGGTGTGTCTCCGTAAATGTATGGCTTCTTGAGTCGCTTGGCGTATTTCTCAAGAGCGTATACGTTATCAGAAAAGACGATGATTTTGTCGCCTCTTTTCTCGTGGTAGTCAATCAAGAATTGACAGGCCTGGAACTTTCTGGGGTTCATGGTGGAAAGTAGAGAACGCTTGTTGGTGGTGCGAGCCTTGAGATACTCTCCGTAGAACTCTGTTGTCATGGGACACCAGACTTCAGCGCATTGGACACGAGCAATGTGGCCCTCTTCTGACAGTTGAAGCCAGTTTGCTTCGTAGAGTTTGGGACCGATAAGGAAGTTCAGGTCCTTGATTTTGTCATCCTCTCGTAGCAATGTAGCAGTTAATCCGAGTTTCGAGTGTGATCTAATCTTTGATGTTACACGTCTAAACATTTCGGCAGGCACAACGTGAACCTCATCGAGTACCATCAGACCCCATTCTCTGTTTTGGATAAAGTCCATGACTTGCTGACTGTCGTGGGCTCTACGAGTATTCTGGGTGACCATACTGTAGGTGCATACGATGATACCTGCTCGTTGGTTGAGTTTCTCCTTCTCGCCAGAGGTAAAGATAGCAATATCGTCCGAGCTGATGTTAGACCACTTCAAGAACTCGTTCTTCCATTGGTAAGCACTCATGGCTGAAGTGCATAACACAATAGCAGACTTTTTGACAGTACAGGCAGCAGTGATGCCGACCAGAGTCTTGCCAGCACCACACGGCAGGACAATGATTCCACTTCTGGCACGACCGTTACCGAACATCTTACTGAGAGCATGTTCTTGGTAGTATCTGATCTGAGCCATAGGCCGTAAATCAATGTCCAGGTTGGCGTTGATGTCGTCATTCCGGAAGTCGTACTCGTTCGTGAGTGGTAATCCCAGAGTGACATTGCATTGTTGCTGGACTGCTTGAATTTTCTCACCATCAATCTCGAAAGAATGAACTTCATCACCTTCATCATCGTCGTCCTCATCTCTCAGGTAGGCCGTCATGTCTTGTTCTGCTTCATCTTTCCTGTTGTCATCATCCTCGTCATCGTCATCATCGTCCTTCTTGGCAGCCTTCCTTTGTGCTTGGGCTTCAGCTTGCTTGACACCAGCCGCGTCTTTTGTTCCAGGAATGACCAAGCCTCCTAGTTGAGGCGCTTTCTCTTGAATCAGCTCGTCTGTCTCGTGAATCCTGGCTGGGCCGACGACCGGATCGCGCAAAAGCATCTGCAGGACAGAAGCATCCTGACTTTCTATGTAGTATCTGTTGTGCTTGAGGACCAGCCTGATTTTTCCGTACGACTGGGTCGAGGTGTAGATGAATTCTTTCAAGCCATCGGGCAATTTTATTTTTGAGAAGACCTCGAGTTGACGGATGATGTCGTCTGTTGTGAGACCGACCGAGACGGCGGCGAACAGGCTGTGACCGGTGATGGTGTACTCGTGAACGTTTGTAGTTCTAGATTGGGGTTCGGCGATGTTGATCAAGAAGTTTTGAGCTTGTTTGAAGGAAGGAGAGAAGGTTTCGACGACGATTCTTCCCTTTTCGGGGTCGAGCCAGAGCGGGCGCACAGCGTGGTCAGGCTTCAGCTCGAGGGCGGAGTGGTCTTTGTCGGCGCGAAAGAGACGAGTTGCTTGATCTGCCTCTTGAGGTTTCACGTTTTTGCTGCGGTATGAGGAGGGCTGGAATTTCTTGACGGTTTCTTCGTAGTCGTCGTTCTGTGGCGTGTAGTCGTCTGGGTCCTCGGACATGTACTCGTCGTCGCTACTGCCCATGCTGACGGGAGTGTTCACACCTGACGCCACGCGCTTGGACGGGCGAGAAGCCGAGGCGGCGGCGGCCTTGCGTTTTGGCGGCATGGTGAGGATGTTCGGAGAGGATGTCGAGTCTGTGACGGGAAGCCAGATGTTTGTATCCGGATCGAGGGACTTTCTGATTGTGACACCACGTGCCGCAGCCTGGAGGTTGTACAGTAACAATGACGGAGTGTTTGACAGGCGGAGAAGCTTCGGTGGGTGCTCTTGTTCCCGCTAACACCGGCCCTTTGTTCGCGACGGCAGTGACATGTGCTGGCTTGTGATGGTAACCGGAAGTAGCAATGGGAATATCAATGGCTATTGCGATGAACGGCCATGTGGATGTCTACCACTTGTGAACTGGAAGGCGCATCGGCTGCGGTTGCTTGTCTGACCAAGAAGGTGCGGCTAGGGCTTCCGTCAAGGTGAATCTCAGGTGATGCAACCATTTGTCTGCCACGACTTTGCCCGACTCTGCCCCAATTGACCATTCTCTTTGTTTGTGACCTTTCACTCTTGATTCACTGCCAATTCGTCACTCATATATCAACCATGAACACTGCAAGTCCGATGTAAACATATACTGCGCGCAGCAGACGACTAACTTGCCCCGCAGGTCAGATCTGTCGGGTACGCATTGAATTCGAAAGTCCAGATCGCAACACAATCTTTCTAACAGCACTCGTCGAACAGCTACGGCTGGGGCGTCCTCGTCCTCGCAGGCGGCGGCTCATACTACTTCGCCAAGAAGAGCATCAACAAGGACCGTGCCGAGCGCGCAGAAGCAGACAACAAGAGACGCATGCAACAACGCGAACTCCAGAACCGCTACCCTATGCCTCCCCAGAAGCAAGACGGCCACGCAAACCCGAGCAAAGAAGCAACCGAAGACATGTCACCCGCCTCTGGCCACGCTTCCGAGAGCCATGCCCACAGTGGCTTCGAGAGCACTGCACCATACAGGAGCAAGAAAGGCGACCGCTTCAGCTGAGCTTTGTTTGAAAGAAAGATTTGTATCATAAAGCATTGTCATGGAGTTTATTTGCCTTCCCTTGTTCTTGCGCTCGAGCATATATCGCCCTTCTCGAAGCTTGCCTTTCTTGTTCCTGGATATCATGAGTAACAAAAACAACACCACTCTTCCCCGCTCTCTATTCATGTTTTCAAACGCCTGTTGTCCATGCAAAGCCATGCCGGGCTATATCCCAGACGCCGTGTGCCCAAAAGCAACCATCATCATCCGTGCAGCTTCCTTCTGCTCAAGATCTACGACCAAGACCAGCATAGTCCTCAAGTCGAGAGCCGTTGGCAAGGCAGTCTCTGTAGCTGAGGGGCCGCCTGGAACTCTGTCAGTACAAGCTTGTACCTGTTGCTGTTGTTCTTGTTGTTCTACTGACATCTTTGCGTATGTGGTGTCGTCACGTGTACGTCTGCTCATCTCTGCCGCTCCGGCAAATGGTGCGCTGAATGCAATTGTGCAGTATCCCATGATTCCAATAAGCTTGACGCGATCCTTGGGGCTCATGGCGTTGAAGTGTGTGGTGCCTGGGCGAATGCTCTGCATGAGTGCTGCCGAGGGAGAAGTCATGGTGGTGATGAATATAGTCTCTGAATCTTGCATCAGCCTCTGAAAGCAAGCAGCAACACAAACCAACACTTACATGTGATCCTCCAAAACTCAGTGTTGTCGTCCAGGTGATGAAAGTGGCAGCAATGTCTTCTTAAGCGCCCAAAATACCAGTCAATGATTTCCAAGCAGGGAGTCACCTCTCTTTATACGGCTTACAAAACATCTTCCATAAACCTAAAAATGCACTGCTACCTCACATTGCGCAACCACCGCCTAAATCATACCATATTCTAGGAGATTGCCCCACTAACAACTCATCTTGTGGAGCGAGATATTCCGCCAAAGTGACAAGATGTCACGCCATCCGGCATCCTTACACAGCCCAACTGCCCCTCTTGGCCGACCACGACAAGAACATCACTTACAAGTTCCTTACCGCATGTTTCTTCCGGTGTATGTTGCAAGCTTTCGGGGCCTTGTTTCGGCAGGTTTCAAAGCTGGACTGACTTCCAAATGACCTGTGAGCTTTCTGGATGTGGAGCGGAAGTTGTGGTCGGCATGTTTGTACAGAGGGGAGGCCTTGGATCGTGGGGCCGATGGCGCCCGGACACGCCCGAAAGTTGACCCTGATGTTTCATGTGGGGTAACTGACTCTCTGATTCCAATCAAGGTGCTGTATACCTCGATGTTCATCACATCTTTCTAGGCCATGCTGTAGAGCCAGCTCACACTTCTTGGGATCTAGATGATGCTGTTCCTCAGCCTGCGTTCTGCTGGCTTTCTCTGTCCAGGCCAGGTTCAACTGTTACCTGAAGTCTTCAACTATCCGATAGCGGACTCTGGAGGGTCTGTCTTGACTCGTCGCTGCCTCCAACACGTTGATCGTTAGCTAAAAACGCGTCACATTCGTCCTTGCGGACGAAGAACGCGTCTGGCGGTGAGAATGGTCTGAGGATATCTATGAACCGTTGCAGATCGATCAGATAAGATTATGATCCTCCCTCCGAGCATCATTGAATCGTCATCACTATGAAACTTCCAGACCTCGACTCGTTATTGTGGCCATGCCTTTTCTTGAACACAAACTGAATTACCCGATTCATCACTAACACAGTTTCAATCGTCAACTGAGCAATTGAGCCAAGAACGATGTCCACTGGAGCTGTTTCACCAAGAAAGGCTGCAGAGAAGACCTTGGAGACCGGCGTTCACCATCTTGAAGAAGACTTGCAATTGACATTTCTCAAAAACATCTATGGAGCTCTTTTGATGTCGGCTGGAGGCCTGTTGTCCCTCACGTTGGTAACAGGCACTCCACAGTTGGCAGAATCCAATCCTGGACTCCCACGTATCTTGCAAGGCCTTACCTTTCCCATCGGTCTGGTCTTGATCTACCTCGTAGGAGCTGAACTGTACACTGGCTACCCCATGTGGTGAGTTATCACCTTTCCGTCCATCTCATAAACGCAATCTTATCTTTCAAAGGTTCGTCATGACCGCCCTAGAACGCAAAGGCACACCCCTCCAATACCTTCGCACCGGCATAGCATCCTGGGTCGGCAACCTCCTCGGCTCCCTCCTCTTTGCCTCCCTCTTCACCCACCTAACCGAAATCCTCAGCGAGGATCCCTTCAAATCCGGCACCATCTCCATGATCCAAGAGGACATCATTTCCTCCCAATGGCACATCATTTTCCTTCGTTCCATTCTCTGCGGCTGGCTAGTCACTTTTGCAATGATGCTAGGCACCCAGAACCAAGATGGCATCAGTAAAGCCCTAGCATTGCACCTACCATTCTTTATCTCGACGGCGGCAAAGTGTCCGCATACTGTTGAGTATATGTATCTTGGGTCTACAGCGATGATGTTGGGGTCGGAAATGTCAGTGGGCATGTTTGTGTGGAAATGCCTTATTCCGATCACGCTGGGGAATACAGTTGGAGGGGGTTTGTTTACGGGTGCTTATTCTTGGTGGGTGCATCTTTATTGCAATGATGAGAAGGCTGCTCATCAGGATGGCAATGGGTGGGGGGATGTTAGACTTGAGGATGATGATTGAGTGAGATCATGGTAGGTAGCAGGAGTGGAGATATTACATGTGTACAATAAGACAACGCTGTCCCCAAATTGTCCAGCAACAAGAAGGTGACCTGGACTAAGGTTTCTACTCGCTTTGAGCAGGAGTAGGGTTGCTCTCGAAATTCTGAGCAATAGGCAGATCCTTGAAAGGTGTACTCAAACCCACACGATCAATTGTTCTCTCGACAATATACTTGCCGCTTCCATCATCCTTGCTAACCAAGCTCTTGCGGTCAGTGTCGACGACAAGACGAAGAAGGTCAGGACGCATGTAGTGACCACCCTATATCCATACACATTAGCATTGGTTCACAACTGAGAACTCCGAACAGGACTTACGAAGTCATTCAAAGCCTTGCTCAAATGCGTCTCATCAAGGTCAATATCAACATACACCAGCCCCTCGAAATCATCACTGGGCTTAGTGATCAAAAGCTGACCATCAGGACCATAGATCCTAGTGTTTCCGTTGTAGATTCTGTGGTCTTCACGTTCCTTACAAGGAGGAGTCTGCAAATCAACACCCTCTTTGGAGATCATCTGAAAGGGAGCAAGAGTGAAGGAGCCAGTCTCAATGGCATAGGCAGGAGTGACGATGTCGGCATTGGCGTCGGAGATGTTGGTGTAAGGGTCCGGGTACTTGAGAGTTGTGGCGTGAGGGTAGAGGGGCCAGCCGGCGATGTGAACCTGTTCGCCCTTGCTGACGGCGTAAGACTTGAGGAAAGGGCTGAGATAGTCAGTGTTTTGGGCCATCTAGTATGGTTGATGTATGCATACTTCATGTTTTCCCAGCAGTTGAGTTGGCCGATTCGACCGATCTCAGTATCTACAACGGAGTCGGTGGTGTCGCCAGTACCTATCGAGTCGTTGTCAGCAATTTGTCTTTGCTCCTTGCAATCGGTCTGAATATACCGTCACCAAAGACAAGTCTCTCAACATGTGTAGCACGGATCTTGCGGCGGTGGTTAAGGATATCACCGGTAGGCGAGATCAAAACCTGAGTAGTGTAAAGCGAGTTCAGGTCAACCTCAGAGTAGCCAAGAGAAACAAAGATTTGGTTCTCCTTTGCAGCTGCACGGATGCGATGCATCTCAGGGCTGTCGCTGGGAAGACTGTTCTCGCGGTACTTCTTCAGAAGAGGCAGTGACTCTTGGTAGTTGACGCGCCACATCCAGTAAGGGTAGCCGGGAACCCCTATGTTATCACACGGTCAGAAGACGAAGCAACTGGATAGCAACGGATATGCATACACAGTTCAGGAAAAGCAATCAGCTTGCAGCCATTCTGACCAGCCTCGTTGATCCAGTGAATAGTCTTCTGAATGGAGAGCTCGAGGTTGAGCCATCCAGGTTCAGCGTTGACGGCGGCAGCCTTGTACTTCTTGATAGTAGCGACCATTCCAAATGAGTGTCTGAGTCTGTTGTTGGTGGAAGTTGTGATGATGGAGTTTGATGTTCCTTTCCATCGTCCAGACCAACGAGGTTTATATACCTTGTTTACCATCTCTGATCAGGATGTTGTGTGACTCCGACGTCGCATACATCTCGGTGCTGCCCATCCTCGATGCAGTGGCAAAGCACTCAGGCCGACCTTGCTATCGCAGCATTCTCGGATGGAATTGCCTGATGTTCAAGAAGTCGTATGATGTGCTAGGTATGTTTCCAAGCGCAACACTCATACCAGACCCCGAGATAAGCTGGCAGGTGCTTTCGTACGCTGTTTTGAAGTTCGGTGTTCTCGGAAGCGCGTCGGGGTTTGGTCATGACATTGCAGTGAATCGGGATTTGCTTTATGCCCCCGTGTTTTCCTCTTCGCATGGGTGGAGATCACACCTGGGATAGCACAATCATGAGATATCGGTAATCGAGATGGGCTAGACACAGTCGGTAGTACTGTGATACTGCAAGGAGTGCCGACGAAGGCGATGACGAAAGCTCGAGAAGCAGCAGAGACCGCTTTGTTGCAGACTGACGCTCTAATCAGACATGCGGAATGAACCGGCTACTACTTCAAGTGTTGAGCTTGGTCATCGCGAGAGATTGTTGTGCTAGGCAAGTTGCTATTGCGATGAGGAGTTGTCGTTTGATGTCTTGAATCCCGGCCCGAGCTGAGAGTACAACCCCGATGTCAACTTCACCTCTCAATTTGCTATTTCTTCCAGCTCGTCGTCCTGTTCAACAAGGACAGCAATTCTCCTGCTCAAACACAACTTTCGTGTAATGACATAGTAACGCTCCCGCTGATGTTATTAGTAGCCTCATTTCCAATACTCGAAGTACCCCGATCAGAACCGATTGTACGCTGCGAAGATGAACATTCATACGAAAAGTGACCAAGTAGTTTTGAATAGTTTGACTTTTTAAATTTGGTCGAATAACAAAAAAACAAAGTACTTCTATATACGACCCTGCCGACGGATAACCTATTCAAGAACAGCCTACACTCCTTGTCGTACACTAGACTAACTCAACTTTTCTGAAGTGCCTCGGTCACATTCAGACTTGAGAAAAAGCCAGTGTTCATCCTCTCGCGGATCTGCCTCTGTCTTACCCACTTGGCTACCTCCTCCAAGCCAGTCGGACGAACAGCAGGGGGGTTCAGATATGCCCAAAGCTGCTTAGCTACGAACTCAACGGGGTCAGGGACTGGGAGACCTCCGCCGAGACGGAGCACGTCCTTCCAGAATAGCGTAAGCATGCTTCCCAAGGGATAAGATTGGCATTCGCTCCAGGTATACTTGTCATTTTGAAGTACACTGGTGATATGAGGATCGGTTACGCAATCGATTATCAATTGAACAAGACCCCGAAAGGAGATTGATTCCCATCCCTTAAACTTGATATGCTTGATCTTGTTCTGGAATCCGGGTTGAGCGTTCACGACCGCGCAGATGGCCGCCAGAGAGTGATGAGGGTTTGAAGACGACATGTCAACTTGAACCAAGAGAGGCAATCGGTTGTTTCGTATGATTCCAAATGGATAAGTTCCATCTGCATCCCAGACTAGAGCTCTCGTTATATAAGAGAGAGGGTGCCCGTTTACCAAGAAAAGATTGGTTTGCTGGTCGTTAGCTCCTCCTGTTCGGCACGCCAGGTAAACTTGCGAGTGTCTAGCGGCATCGTTGAGCTCTTGATAGATCATCAAACGGACCTCAGCGGGAAGGTCTGCGAGATCACCGAGGTCGACGGTATCCGGTCGAGGGGCTACCGTTGGTTGGGCCATGTTCCAAAGTGAGATAATATTTGCTCAAGTAGATGAGATGGTCAAGGGATGTGTGGTTAGGATGATACTGGTTCCAAGGAAAGTATAGGCATTTTATAACAGTCAAATCTGATGACAATGATCACAGCTTGGGCTTTGTTGTCTCTCGATGGTGTATGTCCCTCTTTGTTCGACTTCCGGATTCGATGAGGCCAGCCCCAACACTTCTGGCCTTTGTTCTGCTTTTCTCTGGAGATCCGGATGCGGGAGACGAAGCGAGCAGCAGTAATGTTCTTGGGTCGATAGGATTCCCACATTCTGGATCTCTAGTGTCTGTCCGAACTACACTGACTGGTCACTTGTTGGCATCTCCCACCCTTCCTAATCTCAGACTCTTGTTGTACTCGCAGCACTCTGCTACCTTGTCGAGAGTCCTATCGTGTAGGTCTAGACGGACCGAATCAGTATGATGGTATGCTCAAGTGGATTATCGACAAGAAATCATATTGTATGTACACAACTTCATGCCACCATGATATCTGCACTTGCTGTTATTCACCGGCCCATCTCCCTACTCAACTCTGCTGAAGTGCTTCTTGCCAGGTATGACTGTGAAAGAATCCTGTGTTCATCCACGAGCGAATTGTCCTACGGTCATTCCATTGCCACAGCGCTGTTGTGGGTATACCCACCGGCTGGTCGATGGGCGGGTTCAGATATTTCCAGACTTTCTTTGCTACCGTAGGGACATAATCAATTCCCTCGGGGAGCGTACCATATTGGAAGATATCGTCGCGAAGGGTATGTGCCAACCTTTTCATATGCACCGAGTAGCCGTCGGCCCAATGAAACTCACCAGCGGCGATTCGTGCCTGTAGATGAGGATAATTTCCACACTCTAGGATCAGGTAGACAAGAGCAGAGAACGAGATGGAGCGCCATCCCGCCATTTCGATTCGATGGATCTTCTGATCGAGATCCCCATTTGTGCTGAGGGCTGAGCAGATGGTCCTCAGACTACGGTTTCGATCCGAAACGGAGATGTCAATCCGAACAATCAAGCCTCGTTCGTTTTGCCGTATGATTCCGAATGGGTAAGTCTCATCTGCCACGTAACATGTGTGTCTTGATACATGAGACGGAAAGTGCCCTTTGAGTAGCCATAGATCGTCACTGCCTGCGGGAGGCTTACTTGCTGATAAATGGTGTAGGGGGTGATCATTAGGCAGCCATGGCGCAGTATTTGCTAGTGGTACAAGTGGTGGTTGGAACGTGAGAGTCAATTCCTTGTGTTTGGAGCCCTCATTGTCGGCTTCCCAGAACATTCTTGCAATCTCCACAGGAAGTGCTGCCATACCCCAAGGGGCTGCGGGCACAGGAATTGCAGGAACAGGAACTGTAGGAACAGGGGCTGCAGGAACAGGGGCTACAGCACGACTTGCTCTGGTCGATGCGGGTAGAGGTGCTACTAGAGGATTCCCGCTGCTACGCGTATTTTGAGAAGGTGCCATGATTTGAGATGTGACAACTTTCGTTCCACGTCGGACTGTGTAGCAAGATCAAGAGATTTGTGAGTGGAACTATGATGGTTGACAACGAAAAGTCCAAATATCTTATAGCGGGCGGACCAGGATGACAATAAGGAAGCTACTGATATGTTGCTGACTGGTCAGACATTGGCCATCCGTACCCGTACATCTTCTGGTTGGAGAGGAACAAAGCGTCTCCCGCTGTTGGAGTAGTATCGTCTTTGTTCTCTTGGTCGAAGTCAGTCCGGATATGATGCTGTCAACCTTCGTGATTTTTAGTCTTTGTTCTGATGGGCTTCAAAACGATCCGGAAGTGGAACGCGAATTTGATGACAAAGACGCTCGGTCGGTTCGGATCATCGAGATGCTTGGGTTTCGATGTCTTGGTCAGGTTGTAGTGGAATCCAATGGAGATGACTGGTGCCAGAGGAATCCCAATCGCTTCTGGCTCGTTATTCTCATTTTATGAAATCCAGCATACTTGAAGCTTCATGTCGGATGGTCGAAGTCTCACTCTGTTCCATCAATCTGACGGCATGGTCATGACATACTGCAGGCCGGATGCGGATATTGTGATAAAGCACAAAGGCAAGGTCAACAAGCGTTGAACAAAGCAACCCCGTGGCTTAGTGTGACTGATATGAGAGGCGAAAATTAGGGACAGAGCACCCTCCACGATGGCTAGATGGGAGACGCTTGTAGGAAGAAGGTGATAGAGATACATAGCGGGATTGACCAGAAGGGTGACCAGGAGGTGGAACTGGAAAGATCGGCACATGACTGGATCGAGAGGCTTTGCTGGAGCCCAGATCATGATTATTTATAGCCATCATGAGACTTATGGTAGTTTCCCCATCATCATCTACATCGTCCGGGATCACAGACCCATTGATGGCAGTATGACTGCGGCGATGAACGATAGAAGCACGGTTCACGTAGCGAGGTGGCGGACAACTTGGTCTGGAGTGAGTCGACTCGGACCCGAATGAACAGTTTATCTGTCTCCATAGAGGATTGGGATAGACTATGCATGGAGCGGAGCTCCGCCCCTCTGTGTACAGCATCCGAGGTTGATCGTGGATCCTTGATTTGAGCACCATACATTGTATCGGAATAGGCTTGAATCTCACCAGACCAATCACAACCGCCCCCAGTGGCCCTCCCTAGTTCACGAAGGAGATGTGTAGCTGGCCCAGTGGTTGTGGTTGCGTTTGGTTTTGCTCTTTTTGCATACCTGAAGGCTGTGTGTTCGATTCGGTGCGTCGGGCTCTCAGATGGAACTGCTTTTCGTATTGACGATGGACTTCTTGTGGGATACTCTTGATTCTGATACCTTGTTTGGCGAATAGTCTGCAGCAGCCATCGATTCAGAATTAGAGTAGTAAGTGTCACAGAACTTGATCGCATCTTCTCAATCTTGACATGAAGTGAAAGTGTTGCAAGACAATGTGTTTGTTCTTTCTCGATGGGACAATGGAAACACTAACGAGGAATGTACCTTCTAGTGCCTGTACGTTACTTTGATTCTTCGACTGCGTATGATTACTCTCAAGCCTGATATTCTCAACCAGACCCGTCTGCCCTCAAACCAACACCATTATAGACCGTTGTACTTCCGCAGACTCCTGACGTTGGCAGTCAAAGGTCATCCCTGGCTCCCTTGAGAACTTTCGACCCTATAACCTGGTCCACAGAGCAGCAACAATATAGTTTGTTTTCAAGTCAGCGATTGGTGATTCGTCAATTTGTTCGAGTCATGAGAAGGGCAACAATCAGCAAGTTATGTCTGGTCTTCTGGGTCCACCATTGGAGTGTCTCGAGTCTCCACATGACCAGCTTCCTGAGGTGCGAACTCGCGATCTTCGTGGTGTTGCTCTCAGAGCTCACGGAATGGACTCCGTCTGTACACCGTAAGTCAATGTTCATCAAAAACTGGCAGATCTTACCCACTTCTTCTCCTCGATCAACTCGACGATGAGACGCGAGATAGTTTTAATAGCTCCGATAGTTTCAATAGCTCTGATAGTTTTAATAGCTCTGAGCGAGGGACCTTGTCCAATTCGCGGATCAGCTTTCTGACTTGATGCAGATGGAGCTCGTTTCCTTGCTGGAGAACAGACTGGAGTTCTGGCTGTAACTGGAAGAAGATCTGTTGTGCACGGTCTGAGCTCTGTAGCTTCGTCTGCATCCCGCTCATATCGTATGAGTCGATTGAGAGGCGACGAAGATCGAGCAGGACTACCAGATGCATAGATGAGCCGACCTCGCGAGCCGAAATCTTCTCCAGAGGGGTTCTCTTTGTGTGATGGCAGGGACATTTGTGATCGAGTTGATAGTGACCCATAGGGCAGGTGATGTAGGCGCAAGACTTGCCGCTGGCTGTACACTCATGGCAAGGCCATTGGTGATCACAAGGTAGCTCATTGAGCCAGCAGGTAACGCAAACCCCATAGTCATTCTTCTTCCTCGCCAGCTGTTCCAGACGAGGACGACGGGTGTCCTCAACAGGAATATCTACAGCATCGCCTCCAGCATTGCGATCAGGGGCGCCTGTAGCTTGATGACGTGAAGCAGTGACCTCCTGATGGCGGTTGCGGTAGATCAGAGGGCGTGTAGCTGCAGTTGGACTGCGGCTCCTGCCACGCGGCGAAGCAGGTCTGCCACGACACATCCCGACCTGCAATTCGCCAACATCACTTCGGCTGCGACTTCTAACTGCTTGAACTTGCTGGTTGGGAAAGCGTGCGGTGGTAGACGGGCGAAACACGGGAGGGCGGTGCGAGAAGGCATCCGAAGGCACTTGTCTCTGAAGGGCGGGCGCCTGAGTGTCAATAGACTGTGCAGCAGGACGGGCGGCGCGAGCGGTGTCGAGATTGTTGTTGTGATGCAGAGGCTGGCTGCTAGAATCAAGAGCATATCGAGCAGAACTGCGCAGGTCGAGCAAGTGCGAGGTGGAGTTCCAGTCTTCTTGCTCCATTGTGCTATGATGTGGTTTCTGTGTGGTTTGCAGGAGGATGAGAAGCAAAAGGAGGCACTGAAAAGTTGGCGCGACCAACTCCGTGGTGGTGTGAACGCGAAATCCAAGGTGACGAAAAAGTGAAGGACTTTTATCGAATGAAGCTGTTCGGGACAGCCATTAAACAAGACCACCAAGTTATGGTCCCGCTCTGGTTCCGGGTAAAAGATACGTGGCGCGATCAAGTCGATCATATCGCCTGAACTCCTTGTTCCTCGCCTGCTCTATAGCGACAGATTCACATTGGCCAAGAAGGTGGTAAGCCATCTGCACCACAGGAGGACTGAGTCACTATGCGAGCTGAGCTCCACATCTACGCCTTGCTCACAGTGATTTACATGAGGGATAGAGAGAGGAATCTTGAAACACTGTATCTGCTTTTCCGTGAAACGATGGGAAGTACTATGTCCATATTCTTGCTCCAACTGGTTCGGATAACGGCGTGGCTGCTCCGCGGATACCAACCAACCCCTGGCTTGACTCCGCTATGGCGAAAATATAGTCAGATCCAGTTTTCTTGACAGATACGCAATGGACCATCTCAACAAAATCATCTCAATTCTCTTCTCCAACAGACTGCTCTCTCTTTCCAGTGGTCCCCTTTTAGGAACGGTCGAAGACTTGAGAGATCTGGAGATTGCGATATGACCTGTATTCTCGTAATGGACGGCTTATAATCCATGGTGAGCGTTGTTAGAGGGGCCGCGGAGATGACAACGGTGATAGTTGGGAGGATGACGATATGCGGAAGGATATTCGGCATGGGATGCAGCAGGTGTATGGCCAATCTTGGTGCGGTTGAAAGCAGCTAGGAAAGCAGGCGCATAGTGTGTGGTTTCGTTGAGCTTGCCGTTGCGAGTCGTTCCAGAGTGCATAGCTCGACCACGATTTCTATAGCGCTGGTGCAGGACGGCAGCTTTCTCTTCGTCATTGCGAGCGTGATCAGACAGTCTGCTAGCGTACACTGATGGGGAGGTCTGTCCAAAGGCGATGGGACTGCGGCTTCTAGTGCGAGCAGTTCCATAGTTGCGACTTCGTTTCGACACGGCCCAGGCATCTCTCTGCTCGGGAAGCGCATGTGCGTGCCGGTGTTGAGTATGGGGTCTTCCAGGAAAGGATTGGTGAACTTGCGTGTTGACAGGACGAGACAGCACGTTTCTGGGATCGCTCTGGGAGCGATGAATGTGTTCACATCTATCCTCGTCGTCGCGAAATCGAGGTGTGGAAGGGGTCTGAGATGTACGAGGTAAACCGTCACCATGCTCCTCAGTGTCGTCAGATTGACAAGCGCCAGGGTCCTGGGCCTGTTGAGCATGTGGAGGCATTCTCACAATGCGATAGATCACCCGTTCAGTAACGAATTTCTCGAAAAACTATTTGGAAACCAAGCCATCGAGTGTTGCATTCTCAATGGCGGCCTTGTACTGAGCGGTCGTGTTGCGCACGTGGTGGAGAAGGTATGGTGGGTGAGATTTCATCAACGACGAAGTGAAAACACCAGACGGAAAGTTGTTGGCCGCGGTGAACTGAACCACAGGATCCGTCGAACGACGAGGAAATTCAGATTTGTCGCCGTCCAAGTTCTCATTGCGACACTCTCCAATCGAGAGATGACTCTCGTCGATTCTTCGGATGCCATTCTAGGATCGTGCTGATCACTTGCGATCCCTCCACACCGTCAGTCCTCGTGCCGGTCAACAAGATCAATTTGTATTTCTGACTGGCAACAACCACAGTCTGCAGAACGCCCGAGCTCACCAAGCCTGACATACTTCATCGCCGAGTCGAAGAGTGCTGGCGAGCCAGCCATTAAAGATGAATGCACGGATGCGATCCGTCCTGGTCCCGTGATCCTGGCACGCATCATCTACGAGATCCACTGAGCTTGCATCGGAAGCCAGGACTGCTCTCCAGACCGAGATCCAATGAAAGCGAAGACCCTCGATCCATTACACGACCTGCAAGTTTTGCGGAAATCAACAGCACCACCACCCACTCTCGGTCTGTCGAATGGATGATCGCTTACAAGCAGGATCGAATGTACCTGATGTGTCATTTTCGGTATAATGCCAGTATCACCTGTAGAAAAAGCCAGCAGCGGCTCTGGTCTTTTTCTACCGGCCGTGTTTGACTCCACTCCGGCGATTTATGATCAAAGCGACTCACAGTCACACCAGAAAGAATGCTTACAGCCGGACAGGCAGAAGACAGCAGATCGGGATGACCCACAAGCCCGGGCAGATTTTGAGTATAAAAACCCGGTCGTATGCTACAATGACCGATGCCTTCTCTTTCCTCAAAGACTAGGCAAATTAAGACAATGTGTCACTATCACCAATCAACATGGCCTGCTTGCGGACATATCGGGTCCCGTACATTCAACCAATGCGAAGGTGCTCGCGAGAGAGGACAACTGTGCGGAGAGAAGTACTGGCGTGTGGTACAGTTGCCACCAAAGACAAAGGAGTGTCCAAAGTGTGCAGCCAATGAGCAAGCCGACAAATCAGCAGATGGCATGCGAAAGGATGTGCGTTCTTTGTGGGGTATATAACCAAGGTCACCTCAAGGAAGCAAAGTGGAATGAGTGGAACAAAGCGAGAAGTGACAAGCTGTTGAGAGTGCTCAGCAGCAAGGGTGTTACAGATCAAGCAGTTGAGAAATTGACAAGTCATCTTTCATATAACCTGTTGTAAGAGAGCTCTCATCCTTGGGGCTCCGAAATGTCTGGATTGTCACTAAGCTGCAGTCCGAGAACCAGAGTGATGGAACCATGGCTTGTAGCGTACTCGAATTGAGGAAAGGTGGCGTATGGCTATAATTTATATGGAACGCAGGTGTCTTTTCGTAAGGCTTGCTGTCAGCAGATGCAGCCAAGTCAGGGACCTGCTTTTGGATTGTGGTACGAAGCGTGACGGACGTAGTACAGAACGCCACAATCTGGGGAGAGGGCGATATCCAAGTCAGGGAGCGTGTTTAAAGGCCAAGAATATCGCAATCTTTTCCGCTGATCAATATCAACATTTTCTTCATGCCCAGAGCTTGTTTTGGCTATCGGGCTCATTACTTGATTGCCGTCATGTGCCGATACGAAAGAATGGTCTGGCCAGGATGTCGACATGAAAGCGAGGCGCTGATCACCCCATGCAAAGTAGCACGAGAGAAGCGAAGAACTTGCGAGTGGCTCCAAAGCCAGCATGAAGTCGTCCCGCACCGCAATGAATGTCCGACATGCAAAGACAACGGAGTCAGCACTCGAAACCCGAATTTAAAAGCCTACAAGTTCCACGCCTGGACGCCACGCGATGGAGTCGAAGTCAAAGTAGGATACCTGAGGGAGTGACGTGGCCGTCGTGCTGTCCAGTGGTCACAATGCTTGATTTGCTGTATCCATGGACCACGGGAGCATAAAGAATTACTCTGGGAGATCAAATCCAATATGCAGTGCAGCTTCGAAGCGGTCGATAAATTCTGAGCAACATCCAGGATAGTCTTTGACGCCTGCCCAGTACGTTCAAGTGGCTTCGATTCCCTCGCTCGACTGATGGGTTTCATTTAAACAGACGACTCGATTCGAGACAGACGCCAACATGTGCAGAGAGCTGCGTAAAGTCTGGTACCAGTGTCGCCATGAGCTAGTCTGGAGATATTACTGTGCCAATTCCAGACGCTCAGGAGAGGCCTGTCCTGCCCACGAGTGGCAGTATGAGAAACTGGAGCACTTCGGAGGAACCAACATCCATTGCGAACATCCTGATTGTGTGAGATGGAATTCACGCCTTGCAGAGATGCGCCAGGAGGCTTTGGAAAGGAACATCGCAGACGCTATGTTTCGTCGGATTGATTGAGAGGATGGGTTGTCCATGAGCAAAATTGAACCATGGGAACTTCTAGTATGGAGAGGCAGCAGGAAGGTCTAGCTCCCGAAGGAATTGCATTCACAGCATTGAACGGGAAGATGACCAGTGAAATACAATGAACCATGAATGGCATTTCATGGACCAGAAAACGACCTCTGAAGACAATGAAGCCTCCCAAAGCAGGACGTAAAGTTGCACAACGCCAAGTCAGCATTTTGAAGTGCCTCGGCTCAAGTTGACCCTTGCAAGCTCTCCCCACCTTGATTCACGCCCCGCAATATCCGCATGAACGGAGTCCTCTTGATATTGATTTGTAAGTTGTGATTGTCCATAAGACGTGGTTATCGTATCTACTACTCTGTGATCAACATTCTATTCAACATGCCTTTCGCTATCTCGATCAGCAAGGTCGACGGCAAGCCCGGCCAAGTCTACTACCCTCTAGAGAAGATCAACGTACCCGAAAGCACACCCAAAGACAACCAAGTTGTCGTCAAGATCACTGCCGCAGCATTGAACCACCGAGACCATTTCATTCGCCAGCACCTATATCCCGGCACAACATTCGGCGTACCGTTACTTGCAGACGGCACTGGCATCGTCACTTCGACCGGATCGTCTCCCGAAGCAAAGAAGTGGCTGAACAAGCGCGTTATCCTGAACCCAGGCACCGGATGGAAAGACGACCCCGACGGTCCTGAAGATCCCAAGGGATATGCTATTCTTGGAGGCACAAAGCTCAACCCTTTGGGCACTCTAGTAGAGAGTCTGGTCATCGATGCATCTGAGCTAGAGGAAGCACCCAAGCATCTCTCGAATTCTGAGGCTGCGGCACTGCCTCTGACAGGTCTGACCGCTTGGAGAGCGACTGTCACCAAAAGTGGCAACTGCAAACCTGGTCGTAATGTGCTAATCACCGGCATTGGAGGTGGTGTGGCTCTCATGGCACTGCTGTTTGCAACTGCCGCTGGCGCAAATGTCTTTGTGACGAGTGGCAGTCAAGAAAAGCTGGACAAAGCAAAGAAGCTGGGTGCTGCTGGAGGCGCTATATACAAGGAGGACGACTGGGAGAAGAAGCTGCTGGAACAATTGCCAAAGGACAGAAAGTTCTTGGATGCGGTCATCGATGGCGCTGGTGGTGATATTGTTGCGAAGGCTTTCAAGATTATGAAGGTGTGTTATACAAAGCTTGCTGATGAGTTGCCGAACTGACTTTCTACAGCCCGGTGGTGTGATTGTCTCGTACGGAATGACAACAGGCCCGAAAATGCCCTTTACAATGGCCGCTGTCCTCAAGAATATCGACCTTCGTGGCTCCACCATGGGCTCGAGAAAAGAATTCGCCGACATGGTCAGTTTCGTATCGACCAAGAACATCCGACCGGTGGTCTCGAGAACAGTCACCGGCATTGATAATCTCGATGCTATCAATGGTCTGTTCGAGGACATCAAGAACGGAAGTCAATTTGGCAAGCTTGTGATTGAGCTTGAGAGAGGGGCTGAAGCCAGCAAGCTTTAGACAATCAATCTCATGACTTAGGAATCATGTTGTACAATACATCACTCAGGTGAGAGACTGGCACAGTAGGTCCTGACATGCTAGCGGGGGTGGAGGGGGGCAGACTGAGATTGTTGAAGCCTGTAGTAAATGCATTCTCCATCAATTGGGGTTGTGGTCTAGTGGTATGACATCTTCTTAGCATTGCTCTTCGAGCATTACTGAGTGGAGAAGGTTCTGGGTTCGATTCCCAGCTACTCCATCTTTTGCTCGTGAGACAGGTATCTGTGCAACACACTTTTTGTTGCTAGACAAATGTAAAATTTCATTCGGGCACCTCCTTTTGCAAAAACGGTATGGCTGGCGAGCGGAGGTAACTGAAGCCGAAGCGCCGATCACCGAGCCGGCTTGGCTGGCAGCTCGTGCAGCTTATGACGCATGAATGTTTGCGGCGACGAGCTTCGTTAACTTGAACATCACTTGTTGGCTGTAGCAAACATGTCTGGAGGCTGGAACACAATCGAGTCAGACGCTGTGAGTGTTATGCGCTGTAATCTTTCTTCTGCGCATACTGACAAATCAACAGGGCGTCTTCACATACTTGCTCGAGAATCTTGGAGTCAAGAACGTTCAATTCGAGGAACTCATCTCTTTAGACGCACAATCTCTGGGCCAGCTCTCACCGTTAGGAGTCATCTTTCTCTTCAAGTACAACAACGATGGTCGCAAATCAGATGGTCCGCTAGATGGCCAATTTGACTTTGAAGCAACATACAACTTGGATGATGCTGGCAGTGGAGGCGATGGCAAGGGCAAGGTGTGGTTTGCCGCTCAGACAATTCAGAACGCCTGCGGTACACAAGCGCTGCTCAGTGTCCTGATGAACAAGGACAATGCCGATGGTGTTGAGCTGGGTCCTCATTTGACGGACTTCAAGGACTTTACCGCCGCCTTCCCACCAGATGTACGTTATCCGCTATAGCGACCAGTCGTTGAGCGTAGACTGATGATCACAGATCCGTGGCGAAGCTCTCAGCAACAGCGACCTCATCCGTGACACTCACAACTCCTTCGCCCGCAGCTCGCCCTTCGTATCAGACGAAACTCGTATGGCCACTCAAGACGACGACCTCTTCCACTTCATCGCATACACCAGCATCAACGGCAAACTGTACGAGCTGGACGGCCTTCAAGAAGCTCCCATCAACCACGGTCCTTGTGCACCCACAGACTTCGCCGAGAAGGTCATCCCCGTCCTCCAACGCCGCATCGAAAGGTACCCTTCAAACGAGATCCGCTTCAACCTGCTAGCCATGTGTCAAGATCTACGAGTCAAAGCAAGAGAATTTGGAGACGAAGATATGGTATACCGTGAGGAGGAGAAGCGTCGAGCATGGCAATGGGAGAATGCCCTTCGCAGACACAACTTTGTCGGTTTCGTGGGCGAGCTGATGAAGGGTGTTACTGCTGCAAAGATCGCAGATGGCTCTTATGATGCTTGGATCGAAGACTCGAAACAAAAGACGAAGAAGAAGCTGGAAGAGGGAAAGAAGAAGGGATACAACCCTGATGAGATGGAGATGTGATTATGGGAATCTTGACGAATTAAGAACACCCCTTTCCCGAACGGACCATGGTTCCGGCTTACTTATGGCCTTTTTAACTTGAATTCGGCTTCTTCTGGACCGTACTGTGCTCGTGATAATCGAGCTCATGCTCTTCTAGACTACCTCCGCAGCCGCATCGACGCTAGATCCGTCAGCAACTTCAAGTGAGTAAACAAAAGCATCCAGACACACCTTAGCACATCACTGAGAAATATCCCTCTTGTGACGACTGCCGCCCTGCTGGACCATCTTGCGTTCAAGGGCCTGAGCACACTGCTCACAAGGGCAAGGCTCGTTGTTGGGAAGCTCGTTGATGAACAACCACTCCCAAGGACGGCAAGGAGCAATGGCGCCTTTCTTGACACACAACTTTTCTTCGAGGATCTTGTGGAAGCGGTAGGTGCAGGTGGTGTAGCGGCTGACTCTTCTCGTGCACATGATGATGTTGGAAAGTGATGTGATTGTGGAATGAGATAAGGTAGAAGTGGTGGATGGAAGTGCTGGAAGGAAGTGTGATGGTAGGTGTGAGTGTGTTGGTTCTTACGTTAGGTGAAGAAGGCGAGAAGCACTTCCCGTTGTTGTTGATGTGTTGATGGGTTGGTGCCTTCTGCTTTTGTCCGCGTTCACAATGGGAGGCTGCGGCTGACAAGAGAAGATGGCAGGTACGCGTATCTAAGAGCTTCCCTGAAGACCTACGTCTATCTTCATACCACGTCGACGGACGGCTGGTATTGAGTGCACATCATCCAACTATCAGATACCTACAACACTGTCGAGCAGACGAGCGAGTGAAACAGACAGAAAAAGGCCAAGTGCTCAAGATTGTAAGTTCAGAATCTCAGTAATGTGGGTATATATTCAGGTGGATTAGAGGAAGAAGACGTGCTCAGTAGTGTAGGGGTCTCTCCGTAAGATAGGTCGGGTTACCGTGAAATAAGTGCACATAGCAGGCAAGTTCCTGAGGTCGACCACGAGAGCGACCGATTCCTTTTTGCTCATGAGCACCCAATCACTTTTGCACTTTCGCTGTCTGGTTCTTTCACTTTGCTGCAGAGACCCAGAGATATGTGTATATACCGAGCTGGATCAGGGGAGCAAACGTGCTGTGGTGTAGCGGTTTGATTCCAACACACACGCTGGGTCAACTTCGATAAGCATGCACATCGCGAGCAGGTTCTCGAGTTCGACTCTGAGAACCGCCGCCTTTCTTTTTGGCACTTGGTACTCATATCTCTCTGAGCTGGCAACATTTTTGATCTCTTTCATGTCACTTCTATCTCTCCGACCCCCTTCGGGCTCAGTAGAAACAACCTCATGGCCGAGCCGTTCTTGCAATCTGATAAACCATGCGACTTCTCCAAGATACCAGGCAAACATACATCCCTCTATCCGGATAGCCAGTTCCAAGCACAACACACATACCTCAACAGAATCCACTGCCTCACTTCTTCCCGTCCGAAGAAGGTCCCTCGCCATGATCAATCTTCGCCCCAGCCAACTGGCTCCTCAGCGCGTCCACCGCTCTTCCCTTCCCCTTCCACTCCTCCGCCACTCTCCTCACCTCCTTATCCCACAACCTACTGCTTCTAGCCTCCTCATTCTTGCGTCTTTCCTCTTGTTCTTTTCTCTCCTTTTCCCTTTGTGCTTCTTGCTTTCTCATCTCAGCTGCAAGAAGTGCTTGGTGATGTTCTTGGGCTGTCTTGCAGTTTGAACAGAGGTAATTTGTGGTTAGAGGTGGAGAGGGCAGGATCCAAGAGTGGAGGGAGCCGGTGCGGCAGTAGCGATTTTTGGCGTAGAAGTGGGTACATCTGTGAGATGGAGAGGGTGCGAAACCTGTCTTTTCGTGACAGCAAGGGGTTTGGAGTTCGTGGTAGCCGCACATTTTGGGAAATTAAGGCTACGTGCTCTCCACTACGATACAGTAGTATTGGATAAGGTGATATAAAATGACTTTTGTATGTCCCTGAGGCCACGAAAGGGGAATTGAAGATGTTCGTACAGAAGTAGCCCACATATAAATGGGCTTGTTTTGCTTGCTTGCTAATTTTAGTAGATCCTGATACATGACATTGTGGGTATCAAATCCATGCAGGCTGTGTCGTTCCTCAAGCTATCAAATACCAGTCAGTACAAATTGTATGATTGCAAGATTGAAGATGCTGCTAATCATAGACATAAATTCCTGATTCTTGATTGAACCGACGACTTGCCGTCACACCAGCAGCCTGAGAAGTCGATGATGTTTGCTACTGCCACTATGTAGAATTAAAGCAGTGAGTCAACTCCGCTGAGATTTGCCTGATTCGGGAAGGCACCACCACGTGTAAGAGACTATATCAAGCGGCTGCTTCCCCGTCCTTGCTGCTCATCATTATCTTCCTCTTTCTTGGACTACATCTAGCCACGATATAGCGATCATACATAGTATAGCAAGACGCCATCGATCTGCATGCCTCTTTGTCTCGCCCCTCACCTCACCTCAACATACCTCCTCCCGCTCATGAGGCCTCGAGGCAATTCTCAGACCGTCGAATAGCCAGCGATGAAGCCCGATCTCAGCGTGAAGGGTAGACAACATCGCCGACATCAGGCTCAGAGAAACACTTTCAACACTTCGCTCATTCTCCGAATCTTCAAGACTGCGTTCCCACGCAGAAGTCCAGGCCAAAAGCCTAGCAGTGCCAACATCAGTCAGACTTATCCAGACAAGGATTGGCACAAATCCATCTGAGGCTAGAGAGATTCATCAATAGGCAAACGCTCTCATGGAGACTTATACTGGCGGATACACCGCACTATATAACATATCTCTAGCGTATCATGTGCATCGTCCTTGACTTTGGCAGGCCAAAGGTTGTGGGATCTTTATATACAACCCAGAATACAGAGCTTTCGAGGGTTGCGATGTCAGGAGTATGGCAATCCACCGCCATGTCCCCAACCACATTGAGCACAAGCATGGGATTGACGACAGCACTAACGTTTTTATACATGCAAGCAGAAGTACTGTCAACATCAGGTCAAGCTTCCCATCAAACGAATTGTCGACGAATTCAGCGGCGCGACCTTCCTCGATGGCGTCGGAGTTTCCAACCTCCTGCACCAGATGGTTATTGGTTCATCTTATAGGAAACAGGAGGCCCCCTATCTGCCAGGCACTCTACAGAAGCCCTTCGAACCTCGAACATCACCTATTGAGTGTCCGCATCGGGCTTTTGACACCGAGTTTCAAACACGACTACGATCGCAAGACGGACCCGTCGTCTTGCTCGGAGACGCATTCCCCCTTTGTGGTTATGAGATGCAATGTGTGTGCAGACAGAGACTATTGTAGGGTAATCTATACACAAACTATCGGTCGAACAGCCAGCAGTCATGTGGCGAGCTTCACTCCGTTTCAAGTGCATGTCACAGTAACGGCCACCAAATTAAATACAGCAGGGTTCAGAAAAAGAGTTTGATCTAACCAGGAAACTTCTTGAGGTGGAAACAGAAATCTAGCCTACAACACTGCAAATCAAAACAGGCGGTCTAAGACGGCCAGGAGCCAAATGTCCCAGTCTGCCCTTGTCATCCCAGAGTCCCTTCCTGCTTCCCCTCCGTTCTCCATCACCAACACCAGCCTTCTAAAGCTTAGCCTTGGTCTCGATGCTAGGAAGCATGAGTTCCTTCATCTCCTCAGCAGCCTCATTGATATAGTGACTCATTCTCTCCGAGCCCAATTTCTTGCTCACAATGTTGAACTGCAAACTGTTCTCATTGATCATGTATGCAATACCCCAGCCCTCGTCAACGACTTGGCTCCAGCCGTAGCCATTAAAGTATTCAGAAGACAGTTGCGAGGAGGAGATGAACCAGGTTGATGAGTAAGAGAAGGCAGGATCACTAAAGATGGAGGGAAGTTGTTCGCCTTCCTTGAGCAGTTTCTTGAGGCCGAAGAGATGGCGGTCAACGCCCTTGCCGTCGGAGGCGTCGCTGATGTAGGCAACGTGCTGCTTGAGAGCTGCTTGCAGCTTTTGTCTGCACTCGTCAGGTGTAGCATCGGGGCTTGCCATGGCGTCGGTGAAGGCGACGGACTCTTCGCTGACGGTGCGGCAGGTTTCGGTGCGGCCCTGTTGGAAGCGGCGGGTGGCGGCGGATTCGTAGGTGGGTCTGTTCTTGCCGTAGAACTTGTGGTAGGCGAGTTGAATGACCATCTGGACGTAGGCGTCGGGACTGCACTTGAACTTCTTGATCAGGCCCTTGCCGTAGCCTTGGTATGCCTGAACCTTGAGCTCGTGCTCGCCAATGACCTTGGTAAAGTGTGACTGAGCGCGGCCAATGTCTTCGAGGTTTGAGGGGGAGAGATCGAAGCGGATGGGAGTGGGTTCGGGGAGGTTGCTGCGGACTGATGGGTTGTCATAGTCGAGCTTGTTGTTGAAGATGAGCATGTTGATGTAGTCGTTCAGGCGGTGGGTGGGTGTGCCGTCCATCATGCTGTGCTCGCCCATGAAGCCAGAGGTACCGTTGTCGTTGATGATGAACTGAAGGGGCTTGTCGAAGAAGCGGTTTGCGCCGTTACCGTGCCAGTATTGGTGAGCACGCTCTTCGAGAGTGACGGGTCGTGCCTCGTCCAAGCAGACGACGAAGGATGAGGCCTCGATGGTCTGGAGAGCGGCCTCGTTGGAGGGGTTTTGAGCAATCAGGGCGTCGCGCATCTACAAAGGTCAGTCAACACATTCCATGAGCTGTTCAGAGGCTTCACATACCTCAGTCCAGGTGTCTCTGTTCTCGGTGGTCATGACACCGACAGCAGGAGTGTCTTCGGCCAGTTGGTAGATACGCAAGAACTGCTGCTCCAACTCGGCAGTGGTAAGCTCCTTGCCATTGACCTCGTGCAAGACCTTGAAGAACTGGTTTTTGCGAACGACAGTAATGTACTTGTGATCATTGGGAGCGTACTGCTTGGGGTAATCGGCAGGCTTGGCGGGGATACGGCAGCAGTTGAACATGTATTCGTAACTGCTCATGGCAATGGGCAGTTTCTTCATGTACTCGGGCTCGAGAGTGCCTTCGACAACCTGCTTCCTAAAATCAAGGACAGAGGAGGTAATGGCAGCGGCTCTCTTTGCGGGGTTTCTTCGCTTGCGGTCATCGCGGTGGCTGTAGAAGTACGAGACGTAGGGCACGACGGGGTCACGGTAGCCAAGGTATGCAGCGTTGTTCCACCACTCGTAGATCCAGTTCTTGATGTTTGGGTCTTCTCTCCTTGCGATCAAACGCTTCTGCAGGGTCTGGCCGAGGCTGTCGGGAGCGATGAAGTCGTTGACGGCCTTTTCGGTTTGCGAGTACTCCTGCTTGCTGAGAAGCGGGTGTACCGATCTCAGGTAGCGCTTTGCTGTCTCCTCGAGTGTGGGCACGGGCAGACGTGGCAGCGAGTCCTCGAAGCGAAGCATAGGTCCCTTGGACGCATCCTCCTTGTAGCCTGCGAGAACATGTCAGTGTGTTGTTGGTAACTTGTCCACGTGCTCGCTACACACCTTGGGGCAGCGAACTGCTCTTGCGGGCAGGAGCCATTCTAGTCTTCGCGACAGTGGACGAGATAGCGATGCGTGGACGGCTTAGCGGAGACGAGAGAATGCGGGCTCGGAGTCCAAACATCCCAAGTGTTGTGTGTGTGTGTGGGAAAAAGAGAGAAGGGAGAGAGGGTGATCTTCAGGATGCAGAAAAGAAAATAAAGGGCGTAGCGAGCAACAGTGTCTCGTCACACGTAGGAGAAATAAAGTAAAGTGCTACGTACCTGTTGCTGGCATGCCGAAGGTCCCTCGGTCCAAAGAGAGTCGCACTTCACTGAGCTTCCCCGGATCTCGTGGGCCGAGGTTCCTTCTTCCCCAGCCGGTGCCGCGTCATGCTAGAGAACACACACAGTGAACCTAACACAGACACAGCCAGCTCGCATAGAAAGCGAGCCCATCTTCGTTCGGTATGTCTGCAGTGACCGTTCGGTACGCAACCATCGGGCCACCCACAGCCGAGTCCAGTGCCAATATGGGCCACCGGTTCCAGTTTTGACCCTTCTGACATACACATGTGATGATCGTAGAGAACTTCATGGCATGCACATAGATTTTGACCATGGTATATACCAATTGCTACTAATACACCTCTAGAAGAGTCTGTTCATGATTTAAGGGTTCTCCTTGGCGAACTTGACACCCTTCTCAATGTTACCCTTAAGGTCCTTGAGACAGGCGTCGAGGAGCTTCTGCTCGTAGTCGGTGATCTGACCAACGGGGTGGATCTTCTCAACACCGTTGGGGCCGAGCTCGACCTGCGAGGCGAAGAAGTCAACACCCTGGTCCTTGTAGAGGGGAGAGTCGACAAAGGTGGGCTCAATGACACCCTTCTCGCCCTGAGCGGCCTTGAGGAGAGACTCGGCGAAACGGGCACCGGCCATGGCCATGGAGAGAGTGGCGGAGCCAGCACCGCCCTTGGCCTGGACGACCTCGTCACCGCCGAACTGGACGCGCTTGACGTAGGCGTCGAGCTGCTCGCCCTCGAGGTTGTAGCCAGACTGGGAGAGGAGAGGGACGATGGTAGCACCAGAGTGACCACCGACAACGACAATGTTCTCCGAGGCGGGGTCGGTGCTCTTGAGCTGAGAGATGAAGCGCGAGGCACGGACAACGTCAAGGGTGGTGACACCGAACATGCGCTTGGGGTCGTAGACACCAGCAGCCTTGAAGACCTCGGCGGCAATGGGGACGGTCGAGTTGACGGGGTTGGAGATGATGAGGATGTTTGCCTTGGGGCAGTGCTCAGCAGCAGCCTTGGCCAAGTCGCGGACGATCGAGGCGTTGGTGTTGAAGAGATCTAGCATGTGTCAGTCGGTGTCTCTGGGTGTTCTACTCGAGTGTGTCCATACCATCACGGGTCATGCCAGGCTTGCGGGGGACACCGGCGGGGATCAGGACAATCTCGGAGTCCTTGAGGGCGGCGGCGACATCGGCCTGCTCGTAACCCTTGACCTGTGCAGTGTGTGAGCATCGACTTGTGTTTGATCTGCGAGCAGCAGTTACTTACAACAGACTTGGTGTTGACGTGGGAGCAGTCGGCGGCGACACCTGCATTGACATTCGAGTAAGCGCCTGTTCCGGAAGACGGACAAGGAGAGGCGACAGCATACCGGGAGCACCACGGACGTCGTAGAGGGCGAGCTCAGTGACTCTGGGGTTGAGCTTCAAGAGAAGCGACAGAGGCTGGCCAATACCACCACCGGCACCGAGGACGGCGACCTTGGAGGCCTGCGCGAGAGACAATCAGTATCTTTGACTGGCGAGGTGCGACACATTGACAGGCAGAATCGAGACTCACATCGCGGGCAGAGACCGAGAAGGCCCTGCGCTGAATAGTACCAATGGCTTGACGAGCGGCAAACATCTTGATATAGAAGCAACGAGTGATTGTTGAACAAGAAACTGTAGAGAGTCGGACGATGGAACTCAATCATCTTGAGTCTCTCGGCGAAGAAGCTCGAGCCACCCGACCGAACCTCCGATCGTGATCGTGTCCGGCACAACTTGGCAAGGAACCCCTCCACCATCGAGGCTTGATTCTATATCATCCTTTCTGCAGGCGCTGCTTATGCCGGGTGAGAGGGTGGCTTGTTATGAACCTGGTTGAGGTTGATCCAGCTCGTGAGGGGCAGTGGGAAAATCTCCTTTGGCCCAGGACCTGCTGGAGCTCAAGCTTGGAGCTTCCAAACGCTCATGTCGAAGTTGCAAGCTCCGACACCCTGCCATACATTAACACGTAACGACAACAGCTGTCCACGGTCGTTACAGATCAAGAAATGTATGGATCTCGTTGTAATCATACGAGGATTGATTTCTGATCAAGTACAACGACAGTATGCTCGTCTACTGCTCGATATCGTCCACTAAAAACTTGACGCTTGGTTTGCGAACTGTGTCCGATTGCAACGACCAACTCACCACACTACTCAAGCGACCGCGCGAGACACATTCAATACCACGGTTGCATCTTGATATCGAGTTACGAAGCCTCAGACAAACATAGTAGAATGACAGCCATAAATTCATTCCCGAGGCCGCGTATCGTTGATGCCGCATGACGTCGAATCTGACAACCTCACTTGATTAGAGCACACTTCTCTCCCAACTTCATCACATCTCACATTCCCTCTACAATTTCAAAAAATACACACATCCAAACCTTTCCAAACATGCCAGATCACCAGAACGAGATCATCCTCATAACCTGCGCCTCGGGAAAACAATCCTCAGCTCTGATCCCCCACCTCATCCCCCACTACCCACACCTACGTCTCCAATGCCACAGCTCCCCCTCAGCTGCCACTTTATCTGAAAACTACCCAAAAGCCGAAATCGTACAAGCCGACCTCGCGAACAAAGACGACTGCACACGCATCCTCAAAAACGTCACTGCAGCATTTCTAGTCCTCCCACCTTTCCACCCACACGAATCACAATTAGGTATCAACTTCATCGATGCCTGCAACGCCCAAGAAGATGCTGGCGGACCTTTCCAGCACTTGGTGTACAGCAGCGTCATCCACCCCATCCTCCGAAAACTGCTCAATCATGATGTTAAACGCTACGTGGAAGAATACCTGATTGAGTCTGGACTCGACTATACGATCTTGCAACCAACGCATATCATGGAAATGCTACCTCTTGCCAAACTCCTCAAAGACGAAAAACCAATGTATCCTTGCAATTGGAACCCCGCCACGAAATTTTCTTTTGTTACGACAAAAGACATCGGCCAAGCGGCTGCGAAAGTGTTAATGCAGAGAGATGCACACTTTGCAGCAACATATCAGCTAGTCTCGACCCCAAAACCTCTGTCTTATGTTGAGGCTTGCGGGATTGTATCAAAGGTGCTAGGGAAAGAAGTCCAGGTGCAGCAAAAAAGCTTTGAGGATGCAGTGGAGAACACGATCAAGATGATCAATGGAGGGAAGGAGCCTCCGAAACAGATGAAGGAGATTGGGGCTAGGATGTTCTTATACTACAACGAGAGGGGCTTGGTCGGGAATTGTAACGTATTGAAGTGGCTGTTGGAGAGGGAGACTACTGGGTGTGAGGAGTGGGTTAGGACGAGAGTTGGCGAGATTGAGAAGAGCAAAGCGTCCTAGATGTGTTAGAAGAAACATAGATACGGATAACGATGATGACGAAAGTAAGAGACAAAAGTAGAAAAGAAGCAGGCCCAATGAAATTGATAATGCAACCAAGCCTCCGAAAAGCAAGAGAGGTATCATGATTCAAAGAAACAAGAAAACAGACGCATACCATAAAGCTCTTCAAAAAACAATGTTTAGTGACCATTCGCACCCGCTCCCAAAAAGCAATCAAACAACCAAATCAATCTGCACTAAGCATCAGCAAACTTATGTTCATGACCAGGGAGATCCCTGCTCAGCGGTAACGGACCCTCTTTCCTCTGTACCTGCACCTCTTTCTCATGCTTGACCTGTTCATGTCCCTTGATACCACCACCAACATAACTCTGCACACCTTCAGTGTCACTGCCTATACCATCTTCTTCTCTTGTGCTGCTGGCCTGACTGACATCTCTACTTGCAGGAGTCTCACTTCTCAAGCCTAGGTTCCTGCCTTGGCCAGGAGAGGGGTTGTTGTAGCCATGACCCCTCCAGTCTGCAGCTCCTGACTCTGGGACTTCGGTACCAGGTGGTGGTTCTGTGATGACGATGCTGGATCTTCTGCCACGTGTGGGTTCGTCGACGGCCTTCCAGACTACGGCGAGTTTGTCGAAGCCCTTGGTGCCCTTTTTGAGACTGCCTTTGATGCCGTCCATGGCTTCCCAGTCGATTTCGAAGACGCCTGACGAGGCTGGGGGTTTGTTGGAGGTGGCATTTTCCGGACCTTGGCCTTCGAAAAAGCAATTGAACCAGACGTGAGCGACGGCTGTCACCATGCTCATACCATAGCCTGCTTTGTTCCTTCGCTCAAAGTCGATGTTGACGTCGCTGGTGGGGAGGATGACGGGTTGAGAGGGTCTAAAGATGACATCTCCTGTAGCATTGTGGAGTTTTTCGTTGGTGACGGTACCCTTAGTAGCCCTTGCCCTCTCCTCCTTTTCCATGTTCTCCGCTTCCTTGAGGTGTAAGTTCTTCTCTGCGCTGTTGATGCCCATGACCGCAGTGACAGCATCGGCAAAGCCTCCAGACTTCTTGATCTCGCCACGAACAATCTCGCGCTCCTTCTTGGAAAATGTGTGGAAATTCTTGATGACACGTCCCTCGTCAACGGAGCCTTCAACACTGACCTTGACGCCATCCCTCAAGCCCCATACATGGACTTCCATGACTTGTATCTCTCGCTCGACATAGACCTTCTTGTGTTGCGTCCATCGATCAACATAGCTGATCCAGCGCAACTGGCTGGGGATGCTAACACCAGCACCAAAGCCCGGCCGCATTCTGCGCTCTGTGAATCTGCGGATTGCGTCTTCGGCCTTCCAGCCCTCTTCTGAGATCAGGTAGCTGCAGCTCATGGAGCCACTACGTCCCTTGCCGGCTTTGCAATGTACGACGGCAACCCTCTCCCTGTTTTCTGTCAACCAGTTGCGCATGCTGGCCATGATTAAGGGGATTAGTGCGAAGGGCGGAGGATGGTGATCAGGCCATGGGTAATGCTTGACACGGCCATAGACTTCTTCGTCCGGATATCCTGTTCCTTCGGCGCGGAACTCCCAAATAGCCCAGTTGTCTCCATGTTTCTTGTCAAGGAAGGCGACGAGTTGCGATAGCGGGTTACGGTAGGCGAGTTGAGGGTATGTGCCGCTAGGACCGGAGGTAGCGATGATGTTGTCGGTTACATAGCAGAGATCGAGGCCTGCTTCTGGGTGCTGGGCGCGAGGGCCGGCTACTATCTGGCGTAGCAGTGAAGCCATTGTTGGGTTGATCAGACGTGTGGAAAGATGCGAGTCGTGATTGTTTAGAGTAGGTAGCTCCATGGCGCGCCTGCGAAACTTGGTTGATTGGGAATAACGCCCGACGTCATTGGCACCTGCCGCGGAGCCTCACACTTTCTGACCAGCTCTCTCGCGACAACATCATGAGTGACCATCAACTGACTTTATGGCTTGAAATTCGAAAGAACAGTCAAAAATACAGACTGTGCAATGGCTTTGCTGGCTAGATAATCCTACAGCTGATTGCGTACGAGATTGACCTTGTGTAAATCGCCTTGGCCTTGTCCACTCGCCCGATATCTCCGATGCCGTCCCTTATCGTCATGTACCTGCACATCAATGTGCTTTTTCGAAACCTCCGATGACAGCAATTCCATTCCTTATCGACCTATACAAACATCCATACCATGTCAGCCCTACTCACTCTCCCTGCTGAACTGCGAAACCAGATCTATGACCTTTTGTTCATCGAAACATGTCCCTATACCTGCGCTGCCAATAACACCTCCACCTCGCAAAGTCTCGCCGACTTTGGGAAGCCTACGAACTTAGACGAGACAACAGCGACCCCTGCCCAACCCTTACTTTTGACATGTCGACAGATGCATAGAGAAACCCAGCTCTTGCATCTCCAACGTACCTCCTTCACCGTCGGCGGCATCTATGCCGATCCAGAAGCCTTTGCGCGTCTCTGTACCGCCAATCTATCACCACCATTGGCGAAACAGTTGAGACACATCACACTGGTAGGACGCATCAATCGTCTACGCGCTCTCAATGAGTCTTGGAATGGTGTACCCTTTGGAAACCCACATCTCTCGCTCGAGACATTGGTCCTCGTTCCACGACGTCCTGCCCAATATGATCGCCATTACGCCGAGATTGCAGACTTGGACTCGGCACACACCTTGTCGTATACCTTGTCCGAGACGCTGAAGAATCTGCACAATATTCAAAGAGTAGTAGTGAGGAACGAGGATGATTGTTTCAATGCTGTCGTGTGGAAGGTTATTTACCGAAATCTGATAAGCCGCCTGCTGAGGTGGGGTGGGAAGTTGTGTAGTTGTAGGTTCAGAGAAGGTGATAACTGGTTCGAAGTACTTGTTGATGGTCGAAATGCGGATCCAGAGGTTTATAGAGACGCAGATACAGAGTTCCAGCGCGTGATTGGTTGATGACCCATCACTAGAATCCAGACTTTCTTTTCGGCTTCTTGCTTCGAGATCGTGTAAAAGATGTGGCTTCCCCCGGCTGTTCCACGCTTGGTTCGTTTTGAACAGGCTCTTCGTCGACAGCCTTGCGTTTCTCTGCTTTGGCCCTCTTTCTTTCCTCTTTGGCCAGCTGCTCTTCTTCTTTCGCGAGCCTCTCCTGCTCTTTTGATTGTCTTCGTCTGTTCTCTTTTTCTTTCCGCGTTCTCTGGTCTTGTTCATCCTTCTTGAGTGCCAATCTTTCTTCTTCAGACAGTGCTTTGCGAGCCGCTCTGGTCTGTCGCTTCTCTTCTTGGGCTTGCTCTTCGGCTTGTCGTGCCTCTTCAGCCTTCCTTAAATCCTCCTCGATCTTCTTGCTCGGTGCACGGCTTGCTAGCCTGTTGATTAGGGCAGTTGCTTTTGCTGATCTCTGGCTGACGGACGAATCATGGGAGCTTTCTCGGACTGAGGAAGCCCTGCTCAGAGGTTTGTTCACGATGGGATTCGGCAGCTTCTTCCTTGGCACTCCGTCGAAGACTTCCGTGGTAGCAATTGCTGCACTGCCCGTGAGAACTTCATCTATCTCGGTGTCGAATTCAACCGGTTTGGGTTTCTTCCTCACAACGACAGCTTCAGGTGCATATTGAGGGAGTTCGACCAGACCTTCCTGCTCGAGATAGTCGTAAGCCCTCCGCCTTCGTTTCTTAGCCTGCTCGCTTCGCTTGTGCATGCTGACGAAAGCTCCCGGCTGCACAGCATCGAAGTCTAGCTCCCACGGTGATTGATACTCCAAGTCGTTTCTCCATTTGGCAGTATCTGATAGTCGGCGCTTGATGACTGGTTGTCGAGGAATCTCAACCTCCTCATCCTTGATATTATTTGGTGGTGCAACTCCAAGAGCGTCCCACATCTCTATCTCTTGCACTCTGCTGATCTCCTGATCGACAGCTTCGAGATATGCATCGTGCGCCTTTTGGAAATTCTTCTCCATGCGACCTTTTCTGTATTGTTTCTTTCTGGCAGCATCCTGTGCTTCTTCATCGTTCGCTGCATGATAAGCAGCATCCTCTTCTCCAGAATCGTTAGATTCTTGATCGTCAAGTATGGTGATGGGTATCTCCTCTTCCGCTTCAGAGGCTTCTGTCCAGAGTTCGGGGTCTTCGTAGTATTGATCAGGGTCGAAAACATCCTCCTCCATCTCGTCTTCGTCTGCTTGCACAACATCGTCGCCCATCTCAGTGGTTGTAGTCGACATGAGGCCAACGCCCAATCTTTCTTCTGCTTCCTCCAGATCTAGCTCCGTTCCGGCTCTTGACTGACCTCTGGAAAACTTGGATCCTCGCTCATAGACTCGGAGCCCATGTCTTCTGGGCACGCTACCCCAGAATCTGCGTCTGTCGGGTTTCAGATCCAGAATCTCGCTTGCCGCACGTACATCATTCGCTGTAACGGCAGCACTGGGGTGATCTTTGTCGCGTGCTCTCAATCGAGTCATTGTTTGGAAGATGGTGGCCTGTACGACACGCCTTGTTAAGCTGACCGTCAGATTGTGGTAGTCCTGGAAAGCGGTATGGTACATTGACGGAGTCTGGTGACCAGTGGTGAAGGCGTCCCAGCTATCGCCCAGTCCCGGCGGTTGATACATGAGCAGTTTAGACAGTCGCAACCACATTGGTAGATCAAGGAGCTCGGCTGCGGGAACCATGATTTCATCGAGCGGTTGCGATGGTTGCTGGTCTGGTTCCAGGCGCTCTGAATCGGCTTTTCTGGGGACATATGATTCGTCTTCGGTATCGGTCTGGCGGCTCTCCGGTTTGGCCTTGGGATCGGTTTCGGCAGCCTCTTGGTCGCTTTTGGCAACGTCTGTATCGTCGTCTGCATCTTCGTCCTCATCCTCATCATGTAGCTTTGACTTCAAGTAGGACTCATCTCGTGCCATGACCTGTTCCTCAACTTCCTGCGCAATCTCTTCCGTAAGAAGCCAGTAGTCACCATGTCTCTTCTGCTCCCGCTTCTGATCACTTCTTGTCTGATATTGTGCTAGTCCGTCCGCGTACTCTTCGAGCAAGTCTTCCGACTGCTTGGTCACTTCGAAAGCGGCCGACACGTCTGCGGCAGAAAACACAGGCAATGCTTTGGTCACATTGCCTTCGATTGTCCCTTGATCAAGAAGTGAGAGATACTGGCGCACTTCTGTCTCTGATTTGGTCCTGATGGCATTCGAAATATCCTTGATGTTGTCCTTGCCAATAGCTGCGACCCTTTGGAACAGGATCTCCTTCTCCAGCGGAGTCCAGACAACCACTCCAATTTCCGAGGCTGGTAACGCGTGGGCGATAGATTGGAAAGGACGAACTAAGTCTTCAAGCTGTGTGTTGTAGAATTCCCGGTAGGCATCGCTGTACGTGCCTTTTGTGTTCTTGGTTGATCGGAGTTGAGACTTTTCCTTGGGAGTTGACTTCCTTCCGGATCCAGATCTAGCTGACCGATTACTCTTCTCACTATGCACACTTTGCACAGAACGTGCTTCGTCGTCGCTTTGGTCGTCTGCGTTGTTATCGTCCTCGCTCTGATATTCTGAACCAGAGTCATCCTGGAGATTATTAATTCCGACTTCGCCGTCGTGGTCCGACTCGATGTCGGCGCCGTTATCACTCATCCCATAATCTATGGTCCGAAGAATGACCTTCGATTTGGAACAAATAAAACAATGTCGATCTGCATCAAAACAGTTGTATACGAGAAGTATAACGCCAAGCCAGCAAAAGTCTTGCCAAGGCTTACATAATACATAATGCTGGCGCTTTCCTTCTTTATCCAAAGGGGAAGCATCATCTGTCGCATTGGACAGCACCATTTCTACGCATGTTCAGAGTCTTCCAGCTCGTTAAGAGCTCACGCGCTTTTCGAGTAGGTCGTCATACCGCACTCTGCAAGTCGCAAGTTCAGCGACCACTCCACCGCCAATATGCCACTGTCGGACCAGTGGCAACGGCTCAGAGGCCGCAGATTCAGTTGAGATCATATCAAGAAGAATGCATCGCAGCAGTTCTGAAACACCTTAAACTTGGTCAAAAGCGTCTTGGAATTTCACTAGCCACTGGAAGCGGCAAAACGGTTATCTTCAGTCACTTGATCGAACGAGTTCCCGAGCCGAACAAAGAAGCCACCCAGACATTGATCCTTGTTCATCGTCGAGAGCTCGTGGAACAAGCAGCCCGTCACTGCCAGAACATCTACCCCGACAAGATGATTGAGATCGAGATGGGTTCAAGACATGCTACTGGTGTGGCTGATATCACGGTTGCGTCAGTCCAGAGCATCATGTCTGGAGATCGTATTGCCAAGTTCGACCCCAATCGCTTCAAGCTGATACTCGTAGACGAGGCACACCATATAGTCGCCACAAGATATCTGGATGTCCTTGAGCACTTTGGCCTCGATGAGGCGTCTCAGAAAAACCCCAACAACCAATGCCCTGCGCTGGTTGGCGTTTCTGCGACTTTCTCACGACACGATGGTCTTAGACTAGGCGCTGCTATTGACGAGATCGTGTATCATAAGGACTACCTGGACATGATTGAGGGTGAATGGTTGTCAACTGCCTCTTTTACTACAGTACAGTCCGGTGCGGATCTTAGCAAAGTTAGGTCGCTCGGGAAGCAAGGAGACTTCCAGACTGGTGACCTGTCCAGAGCTGTGAACAATGACGAGACAAACCAAATCACGGTCCAAGCATGGCTTGCACAGGCTCAAGACAGGAAAGCCACGCTCGTTTTCTGCGTAGACCTGGCACACGTTTCGAGCCTGACGGCAATGTTTCGCCGCTTTGGCGTCGATGCCCGGTTTATAACTAGTGATACGTCGAAGCAAGTTCGGACTGAGCGACTGGATGCTTTCAAGAATGGAGAGTTTCCCGTTCTGCTGAATTGTGGTATTTTCACAGAAGGCACTGACATCCCAAATATCGACTGTGTACTACTCGCTCGACCTACAAAGTCCCGCAACCTCTTGGTACAAATGATTGGTCGAGGTCTGAGACTGCATCCGGGGAAGAAAGGCTGCCATGTCATTGATATGGTGGCGTCTTTGGAAACAGGGATTGTCACATCACCAACCTTGTTCGGTCTTGATCCCTCCGAATTGGTTGATCATGCAGATGTTGCATCAATGACTTCAACACGGGAGAAACGCGAAAGAGAAAAGCAACGCGAGTACGAAGTTTCTTCAGCTATGGGTGCCCTATCTGCCATCAACCCTCGAGACATAAAAGCCTTGGCCAACAGTATCACCTTTACCCACTACGACTCGGTCAACGATCTGGTTGAGGATACCAAAGGTGATGCCCACATTAGAATGATCAGTCAGTTTGCATGGGTAAACATTGACGCTGATAAGTATATCCTGTCGAGTGGTGGTGGAGATACCTTGAAGATCCACCACGATGATTCTGCGAAAGAACGACCTTGGATTGTCACTGGTGTTTCTAAGCTACCAGAAGGCTACGCTTCAAAAAGTCCCTATGCTAGGCCTCGACAATTGGCGCAGGTACATGAATTGAACGAGGCTGTACATGCCGCCGACAGCTACGCAGCCAAACACTATCCTTTCAGAAACATCGCTACCAGATCACCATGGCGCAAGTACCCTGCCACGGAAGCACAGCTGGCTAGACTGAACAAGTCGCGCCCTGAAGACTCACAACTTACGCAAGAGAATATCACCAAGGGACAAGCGGCAGACATGATAACAAAGATGGTCCATGGCGCTAAAGGACGGTTTGACAAGCTGAGCCAAGTTCGACGCAAGATGGAGCAAGAGAAGCAAAAGCAACAGCAACTCCAAGACAAAATGTCTAGACATCAGGTTCAGGTTGGTCCTGTGCGATGAGAGGCGTAGAAGCGGCTTTCAAGCCAAGCCAAGCTTTTGTTTCGAGCTTTTTGAAACGTACGTCCATGATCGACTGCACTCCATGGAGCAAGCATGTCGTGTGCCTGACTTTGCAGCGGATAACCACAGGCTGTCAAGCGGCCGTACGCCGCAAGCCATTTGTACGACCGTGGTTCCTGTTTGCGACATTCGTGTGTGGCATTCAATGTGGGGAGACACACATCAACCAAAAGATTGGCCGCCACATACGACCTTTCTTCTATACATGCAAGGACTATCGCAAAGGTCAGGTTGATTGAAGTTGATCTTTCGCCTCTTGACAGTTCTTTGTCATGGGTGTTCGTCTTAGGGATACTTAAGTCAGGCCGTTGTTGCAGACTACATGCTAAAGTCAACCACCCAACCTCGATCACGACAATGACTTCTGCAATCCTCTTGTTTGCTACTTTCTTGACTGCAGTCACTGCACAGGTTGGAAGACGCCATCCTTACGGAATTTACCCCAGCCCCAGCTCTACAGCATCTTCGAGCTCGGTGAGTGTGTTGAAAGCTCCAATGGGAAGATCAGCTTCTGACGGCATATGTAGAGCAGCACCCTTGCCTCGTACGGCGGATACTCGAGTTCTGCGACAGTAGCCAATACTACAACAAGCGCCATCCAGACGCCCACAGACACTTCGACGACTGCAACGGTGATCAACACTACGTCGATCCTCACATCATTGCCTACTGATACTTCGACCTCTGCTTTCAATGTGACCACTTCGACATCTATTCTCGACACGACCACTTCGTCATCCTTGTTGACAACTATCGTGTCGGGACCTCCAATCAGCTGGACGACCAACAGCAACGGATCATTTGTTTTGAGCACGCCAACCGCCTCGATCACAGGAAGTAACTCCAATAATATCACAACAACCACAAGCGACGCAGCGCCCCGGGGAACGACTTGTGTAGCTGTCGCAATCAACAACATCGGAGCTAATGGTATATGTGGCTGTGACTACGATGTGTATACATGCCTCGAGCGCCTGTCCAACCTCAGCGAGTGGTCCATCTCCACAACAGCTGGATCGTTCAATGGCTGTATGAAGGATTGCGATTCTGAGCCGAACTGCTACAGCTTCACGTTCCAGATCAGCAACGGATCATGCAAAATGTTTGGCGGTATGCTCAATGGAGGGAATGGAGTCGTTCAAGCTCCGGACTTTATTTCGGGAGAGGTTGTCAAAGGCACATGCACTGGACACTGCGATGGCTCGTGAGAGAGAGAGGGAGAGCGGAGGAGGCTTATGACTGGCGGACGCGGGGCCCACGTGTTTGCAATTCTGTGGTTGGAGTTCCTTGATTTACATGGTTTTGAGACCAAATTTAGCCTGACGCCTTCATGATAATCGATTTGCTGCCCTTGGTGCTAAGGCTTGTATCGCATTTCTCCAAACTGTGATAAGTACTGTGATTGCGGTTCACTGTGGGGAATGGCTGGTCAGCGCTTCGGTCAAGGTTTCCTAAGGCGTCTGGAGTATCGACGCCTCTTTGGCGCGGACGACCGCGCGTCCCGTGTGTGCAGGGCAGCAAATTCAGGATGAAATTCTCGTTCGGGGGTATAGAAGCGGGGCGAGTATAGAAATATAGGGGAGCCGTTGGGAAAGAGAAGCGGAAAGCTGCGGCTGTCAAGAAGCAATTGCAGCTACATCATCGGCATGACAGAGGGCGCCAAGCTCGAGGACTGCGCAATCGAGAGGGTGGCAGGCGGCTTGTAACTATTGAAAGGATGAACATGTTCAGGCTGGTGGCTGGAAGGTTTCCCTCTTGTTGTCAAGCAGGCTCAGCAGCAGCGAAAGCGACGAGTTTTATTACATACTGCCAGGGGAAGGCTGTGCTTTCATCGTTTCAATTGTTGTCGCATTCGAGGCTGAGGACGTCTGTGGAAGCCACGCGGGTCCGCAGCTCTTGAGATTGACGATTTGGCGTCCCTGACAATCGTTTGGATCCGTGCCCTTCCTTTTCCTTTGATCCAATCCACCCCCCCTCTGTCGCTTCTGTACGTGTGATTTGTTCGAGTGAGTGTCTGGACGGACTTCTCGGCAACTGGCCTTCCTGCGGACGTTGCTCATGCGAAGACGGGCCTCTCTCACGGGCGCCGATGAAGATGAAGGGTTGAAGGTCAACATGCGAAGCAATGTTGAAGAGGTGGACAGCGACGACACCAAAGACAACTCGCCCTCGCCCAATCCCGACAACCGCTCATTGTCTCGCCAAAAGGAGAGCGACGACTCGGAATCAACACCTGCGTCGAGCCCTGCGCCCTCGTCCGACAACAAGATGGAGGATTATTATCGCAAACAGCGCCAACGCGCGAGGCTTCGCAGCCCTTGGTCCTGTTCCTTGGTCACCATGATATGCACCGGTCTGTCGCTACTGCTGTTGGCGACTATAGCTCAGTCGTTTCTCGCACGCCAACTGGATGACAAGGGCTGCAACATGTCGTACATGCTCTCGGCTTTTGCCAAATACACAGACTTCGACACGGAGCATACAAGATTTGCGACAAAGTACTCATTGTACCTGTATCGCGAGGCTGGCATCGATCAGGACACGCGCGTGCGTATAAGACACAGACAACGGAGAACAACAGGAGGCTAATACTATACACAGGTCAAGGGCATCCCAGTCCTATTCATCCCAGGCAACGCTGGCAGCTACAAGCAAGTGCGATCGATGGCAGCCGAAGCCGCCAATTACTACCACGATGTGCTGCAACACGACCAGCAAGCTCAGCAAGACGGCAAGCGTCCCTTCGACTTCTTTTCGGTCGACTTCAACGAAGACATTACCGCCTTCCACGGCCAGACGCTCCTAGACCAAGCCGAATACCTAAACGAAGCCATCGCATATATCCTCGCCCTGTACCACAATCCTCATCGCAGTCTACGCGATGAGTCCCTACCCGATCCTACCTCGGTCATGCTCGTTGGCCACTCAATGGGCGGCATTGTTGCTCGCACAATGTTCACAATGCACAACTATCAACCCAATACTATCAACACCATAATCACCCTTTCCGCTCCTCATGCTCGTGCGCCCGTTTCTTTCGACCAGGACATTGTCGACACATATCAGAACATCAACGATTACTGGCGCAAATCATATTCTGTAGATCAAAGCCCGTTGGATCATGTCACTCTGGTTTCAATCGTTGGTGGAGGCCTGGACACCGTTGTACCTTCGGACTACGCTAGCTTGACATCTCTGGTGCCCGAGTCGCATGGTTTTACAGTTTTCACTTCGACGATGCCTCATGTCTGGACCGGTATGGATCATTTGGCCATTATATGGTGCGATCAGCTCCGAAAGGCTGTCATCAGGGCGCTGTTCGATGTGGCCGATGTAAAACAACCTACACAAACAATCCCACGCGAGGAGCGCATGCGCCACTTCCGTAAACGCTTCCTGACAGGCCTGGAATCCACCGTGCAAAAAGAGCTACCGGATCAGGAGGCAAAGATGCTGCTCTCTCTAGACGATCAATCTTCAAATATTCTCAGTCAAGGCGAACGATTGAGTTTGCGGCAGCTTGGATCTTCTGCCAAGACTGAAGCTCACGTTTTGCCTGTGCCTTCCCTGGTTGAGAACGATTCTCGGAAACTTTCTGTCCTGACTAACCAGAAGATCGATGAACATGGTCCTGTTCAGATCTTCCTCTGTTCTTCTCACGTGCCTCAAGCTGGTGCGGGCGGTAACGCTTATGCTATCAATCTGGATCTCTCCGGTGGTTCGTCAGGCTTCATGCGATTGTCTTGCAAGGATGCTGCAGTTGATGCTGTTGCTCTACCCGCTTCGACCTCGGACTCGCAATTTGCATTCGAAGACCGCGCGCCTTTCACGTACATCGAATATGCTCTCAAAGACTTGTCCGAGTACCAGTTTGTTGCCGTGGTCGACAAAGCGAGTGAAATTACCGATGGATGGGTCGTAGCCGAATTTAGCGATTCTTCCAAAGCCACAGTCACGGTAAAGAGATCGTTGCGCAGCCTGATGCTGAGTGGCGTGCATCGTATTCTGCCAGCTACACGCGCCATGGTCAACGAGATTCGCATTCCTCGTGTGCATTCGAGCCTGCTGGCCTACACACTGCGTGTCCATCAGAAGTGCAACACGGAGCCTCTATTTCAGCCTCTGCTGAGACAATACATCTCAGAACCGTATGAGTCAAAGTTCTTCCCCAACGTCCGAGGGGATGTCAACATCAACTTGCACGGAGTTTCACCTTATGTCCCTCCGTCAGCGAATGCGGCTCACACAAAGAATGGACTATCACTACAGATCTGGTCAGATCCGACATGTAACGCGGAGATGAGTGTGTCAATGGACATTGACCTCCTGGGTAGTTTTGGCAAACTCTACATGCGCTACAGGACTGTTTTTGCTGCCTTTCCTCTGGTCGTCGTGGCCCTAGTGCTAAGAAAGCAGTTCAAGATCTATGACGCTACCGGTACGTTCATAACATATACTGCAGTAACTTGTCTTTGCTAACAACAGATCAGGCATCTTCATGAGCTTTTCCGAAGGCATGGATCAATGCATTCGCACCTCTCTTCCCGTTCTCTTCATCGCATTGTCTTTCTTGTCGCTCGCCCTCGCCAACCATGCCACTGCCTCGATTGGCGAAGAAATTCTTGGACCCCAGCACGAGGCTACAGAATCATTCTTGCAGTTTACCAAGAACGATCTCTTGCTCGGCTCCAATGATCCGTTCTTCTTCTGGCTGGTCCCGCTGTTTGGCGTCATCAGTGTGGGCGTCTGCATTGTGCTCAATTACATTACACTTGCGTTGACACAGGTTTTCACCTTCTGCTACGCCAAACTTAGGAACGTGAGATTGAGGAACGATGACGGAAGGTGAGTTGAATGCATTGACTGTGAGCATAGATTGGATAAAAAGACTGACTTTGATTGATCAGACGAACAACAACAGCATTTGCAGTCACCAGCCCTCTGCAGCGCGTCATCACAACTAGCATTTTACTCATCATGGTTGCGACCATCATACCCTACCAATTCGCCTACCTGGTTCTCTGCCTTGTACAACTTGCAACCGCTGTCCGCGCTTTGCGATTGGCGCAAGAAACCGTAAGCTCTGACTCAATCACTTCTGTGACACACAAACGAGAAGTTAACACGTTCCTCTAGCGCTCGGGCAACAATTACAACTTCTACAACTACGTCCACAGCCTATTGATTCTCATGCTCTGGATCCTCCCCATCAACCTCCCCGTCCTCGTCGTCTGGGTCCACAATCTCGCCGTCCACTGGCTCACACCCTTTTCCTCACACCACAACATCCTCTCCATCATGCCCTACATTCTGATCGTCGAGACCATGTCAACCGGCCACATCATCCCCCGCTTGCAATCGCCATGGCGTCTTGTCAACAATATCATGTTGTTTGCTATAGGGTTGTATGCGGCAGTGTATGGCGTTAGTTACGCGTATGTGTTGCATCACCTGGTCAATGGGGTTTGTGCTTGGTTGGTGGTTGTGCATTTTGCACCCTTGTTGATGAAGAGAGGCGGGTTGGAGGGGCAACAGAGGGGCGTAGGGGGAACCCCGCCCACGCCGCCGGGCGATGGGCATGTTAAGAAGATTCCTTGATTGCATTGAAGGTATACGTAATGGATGAGTCTGAGTAGGAAGAAAACACACAACAGACAGATGTGTATATAGATGTGTTTTTGTCTTCTCGAGCTTCCCTGCTCTGAACTTCTCGGGTTCCCTTTGGTGTTTCTGTTTAGGGAAACAAACATTGTAATGATTAATTCTCCTTCTTTGCTTTCTCGATTCCTCTGTTTCCGATTGTGAATATTTCTTGCCAAGTAGCTACCAGGTGCCATCGCGAGTTTTGGCCATAGCGATTGCTCGGTTTGCAAGAGACATTGCTGAGGTCCCAGGTTCACTTGAACAAGTGAGAAAGGTAATAGAGAAAGTGTAGTATGTCATTTGGCTCTTTCTTTGTTTGAGGTTGTAGGGTATTGGAAGAATGGCTTCTGTCGTCGACTCAGTTGCTGCAGCAGTCCAGAGTGTTGTCGTAGTATGGTCTGCAGGTGCCATCGACTTGCAGCAGTATGAGACAATTCTTGTCTCGAGGTAAGTCATGCCTCAGAGCTTTCTGTTGGTGATATGATGTTGTCGATTTTGACACCTGTGCAGAGAGCCTATGTAGTCGGAAGAGGAAGGTAAGGATGGGGGGACATTGTCCTGCTTGTTACAAGGCAAGCGCACCTCACCTGTTTTGTTCGAGTCCGAGCGCATTGAATCGGAAGCAGCTTAACACAGGAAGAAATCGGCTTGTCTCGGAGAGGCAAGAGCATCTCTGGCCTGATCATCGGGTCGGGGAGTCGTCTCATTGTATATTCTCAGTCGATCAGAGTGGCCAGAGGGTCTTCGAATAAAGGAGGCATCTTGCCAAACGGCTTTCTGGTAGTACTCGAGATAGTGTCCAGACCATAGCACAAGCCTTGCTTCCAGAAATGTTGATGTCAGGGCTGAATTTACAAGGTGAGGGGAAGCAGCGATTCATGTACTGTATGTAGCAGGAGCTGGGCGAGGGCCACCGGCCTTGATCCAAGTCATGGCGGCATTGATCTTACCGGTGTTGGCAGCGATAACATCGTCGTTTACAGCATTCTTGTTGCTGCGAATGTTGATACCATTCTGCTTGCGCTCCACATCAAACGCGACGCGTAAGGCGTCACTGGTGATGCCAAACTGACTCTCGACCCAAGCGATAGCAGTATTAATTCATTTGACCACGGCGCTTGGCTGCTTGAGCTTTGCCTGAGCCTTGCACTGCTCGGAGATCCTCTGATTGCTAAATGCTAAAGCGACCTCCAACACGTTGACGTACTGCAGACGGTCCTGATGATGCACTAGGATATCAGTAGCAGTAAGGCCGGCTGGGAGAGGGATCTGCTGAGCCACGACTCTGGCGGCAGTCTTGCGAGATACAGTGGGCAGCACGTTCAGGGGCTGTTCTTCAGCATCACCACTGTCGTATTGCTCCTCCTCCTCGTCATCCTGACCTTGATGTTGTTGCTGCTGAATGACGGAAGAACCAATGCCATAGAGATCAGAGTGGTCGGAGTGGGTCTCCACAACAAGCCATACAGTCGCACCACCGTGGACTGAGGCAGAAGGGTAGTAAGAGGCATGAGAGAGAGAGCCTGCGCAAACTGTAATGACGCCGAGCTACATCTTGGGAATCCTCTGCGCGATTGCAAGTGCCTCAAGAATTATGACGGCATGATCGCCAGTCAGATATACATTGTTAGTCAGTTGACTGTGGTCAGGAAGTTGATGGGTTTGGGCGTATTGCTTGAGGAGAGATCTGTCTACCAGGCGCGACACTGAGGAACCACAACAACTTGCATTCACCATGGTGGAGCGTTCGTAACACCTTGGGCTAGAAATGCTTTTCTGCCATGGGTACCCGTGAGGCTCATTGAGGTCGAAAGAGCAGGCGTGTCCTCCAGCAGAGATCCTCTCGGTCGAATGCAGTACGAAATGCAGCTATGCCAGTGTCATACTGTACCTGGACTCAATCAACGGCTGTTTCGAAGCGCTTCACATGGATGTTAGTATACTACTCAGCATGTTGAGACAATTCGAGACTAGGAAATGATATAGGGGAAAAAGAATTCGCCATTCGCTATCGAAAAAGGGGTATCGCAAGAAAAAGTATTGTAGGTTCTTGCCAGTAAGCACAAGCGTGCAGACCGCAGAACAAAGGAGAGCAGAAAAAGAAAAGAGAGAAAGCAGAAGAGACCAGGGTAGCTCAGGAAAGTAACAGGATTCGGGACTCCGATGCGGAGCAGAGTGATGCATGCGACTTAGCTGGCTGCGACATCGATGCCTCACTCGAACTTCAGGAAGGAATCCTCAAAGCCAAAGTCTCGGGGGCTCCAGTCAATGTCACCCTCCATGCCCGTCTCCCTATTGAGGCCCGTCATGAATGTTCCATTTGCATCGTGGCCATTGGTAAAGTGGCTACCGTTGTCGTTAGGCATCATGCCGCTACCGATGTCGCCACCGCTTCCGACGCCCGTCTGTGAGTGATGACCGTAGTCTGGATCAGGGGCTGCAAAAGAGGCTTGAACGCTTGCAGGAACGATAGGGGCGGGGATGTATCCAGTAGGGATGGTACCGTGAGGTCTGTGTCCAAGATCGGAAGCACCGGAGACGGGGTTTGGCAAGACTGGATCGGTGGCGGAAGTAGTGTTGACGCTCGAGGGGTAGGGGGCAGGGTCAACATCTTGAGTTGGACGGGGACCGCCTGACTTGACCCACGACATGGCGGCATCGATTTTGGACGAGTTGAGGGCAAGAACTTCGTCACTGACTTCGTCTTTGCCGCGAGCTGGGATATCCTTGTTTCTGCGCTCCTGGTCGAAAGCAGTGCGGAAGGCGTCAGTGTCAATCTCGAATTGATCTTCGATCCAATTGATGGCAGTGTTGATGCGCTTCACAACTGCACTGGCGTGACACAAGCGCTGATCCTTGGGCAGTAGATCCGACTTGCATTGATCTGCGATCTCCTTATTGCTGAAGAGGAGTGCAACCTTCAAGATGTTGTTGTACTGGAGGCGGCTTTTGTGATGATGCAAAATATCTTCGGCCGTCAAATTGGCGGGCAAGGGGATCTGTTGTTGTAGTACACGGGTAGCGGTCTTGCGGGGCGTGGTTGATGGGACCTGGTTGTTTTCGTCGTCGGCGTCGTCGCCATCGTCCTCCATGGCATCATCGATAGTATCTCCGCGACCCTCCTCTTGCTCAACAACAGAGTGGTGCTGCTGGACAACCTTCCTTCCGACACCATAGAAGGCTGCGTCCCCGGCACGAAAGTCGGCAATGATCCAAGCAGTGTAATCAGGGGGCGGGCTTGTATCGGGATCGGGATAGTGAAAGGCCCTTACCGATTGACCGTTGACCAGAGTCACGACACCCAGTCCGATGTTTCCGCAGCCAGATGAAGCGGCGAATGCGGCAGTCATGAGAGCCATGTCGTCTTCCGTGAAGGTACCTTGCGGATTGAAGAGGTTGTCGAGATTGATAAGATCTTGGGCGTGGTTGGCCTTGATGAAGTTCTTCGCAAACGACGTGAGTCCACGCCTAAACTGCAAGGTGTACAAGTCGGACGTGGTGATGAGAGGCATGTTCTTGTCGGCGCAAATCGTGTTGAGGGCGACGACTAGGGGATCGTAGGCAGGGTGTTCGTTATCGAGGCTCATGGTTTGTGCGTAATAACCAGCACACAAGGTACGGTTGAGCGCATCGAGCGCGCCTCTCTTGCCCAAGATCGGGATAGTTGCGTTGTAGTTGGGGGTGACGAAGTCTACGAAGGTATGTACCTCGTACTGTTGAAGGTGGTGGTCCATGGTCGCGGCGTACTGAGGATGTGATGGAGGCAGTGATGAGAAGGAGGCTGCGAAGTCGCAGAAGGTCTATTCGAGACTTGAGCGCAATTGACTGAGTCCGCGACTTGTAGAGTGGTACTTTAGGTGGGCGGTCCGTGCTTTCCGACGCGATTGTCGTTCGGGAGCTCGACTTGACAACCAAATCTCCGCCTCACGGGTGGCCGATAGATCGCAGGCTTTTGTATCGTGATCGGCAGCACAGAGATATCTGAACACAACTCTTGTCATCCAGGAGAATGTTCTGACAGAGACCATGACTTGGACCAAGACCTGGTGTGAGACCTTGGGCCCTTTGTTGCAGCGATTGAGACAAGTCAGTGATGCCTTTGTCCATTTTTCCAGTATAGGTGTCTCTGTCAATCTCCGGACCAAAGCTTGTCGCTATCTCCAGTGCCTGCGACACGGGCACACTTAGAGAATGCATTCGAAGACTCTTGGGGAGTTCAGGAGTTCCAGATGCCAGAAATCTCGACAACGTATGCTCTGAATCCCGAGACATCGCTTTGCAAATTTGAACAGATACCCTCGTCCTTGTCTTTTTTCGCTGGAACAGTTCACTCCGTATGTGTCCAACAACTCACGACGGATATCCATTCTTCGACAGTTTGTCATGTATCTTCGTTTCCAGGATCTCTTCCATTCACACGGCTTCTTCTCTACTCACAAAAACGGAGCAGAATATCTGGAAAGGAAAAAAGAGGAAGGAAATGGAAAAGGTACGCACTTACATTCTACCCCGTCAATCTGTCAAGTTATCTTCAGTACTCTTGGCCTGTTTCTCGGTTCTCTCTTCGTGGCTTGCACAGACGTTCACAACTTGCAGACACTAGACCCAGCATCTTCCAACCTGGAAGCGAGTGAATATGCCCAAATCTTTCCGACGAGAACATGAGCCATTCTTGTCAAAAATCCATAAGTACAGATCTAGAGCAAGAGGGGTGAAGTTGATGTTCTTGGCACCGGCGAAATGTCGGCAACTTATGTTCGTTACATCCTTCCGCTTGCCTTTCCATTTCTTATCATGTTGATCAACGAGTTTGGTAGTTGCGACTGTCTAGCAATGATGAAAACCCCACCTACTTTCATCGGGATTTCTCTATGATTGATTCATACAAGGTTAGTTTGATCGAGTTTCAAAGTGATCTCGGAGGATACTTCCGATCTCAGGCTTTCTCGTCGGTTGGTTTTGGGAAAGCTCATGGCTTTTACGTTTGAGATTGAAAGAGACGTCGTGATTCTCGTCGATGCCATGCGCAGTGTAGACAATACTGGCAATGTTGACAGCCTGACCAACTTTGACTTCAGAGAAGTTGTTCATCATGATTCCGGACACAGGACCCAGGCTACCAATGCCATGCCACACTCTGTTTAGCAGCACCTCTAGGCTCTTCATCTTGTGAAGAAGCTCATGCAGCTTTGCGCCAAAGACAGATGGGACGAGCTTCTCACCAAGACTGCGCTTACCACGACGGATGTCGAGAGCCATGACAACGAAAGGGAAAGCGCTAGCTGAGAGATCGAAACTCTGTGCAAGGGAGCCCAGGAGTTGACGTAGATGTGGCAGAAGTCAGAGATTACAGGGAGCTTAGGGTCGACGCGTCACTGATCAAGAGGTGGACACCACCGACAGCGAGGGATGGGCGAGCGATATACATCTGAGGCTGGTGTGCGAAGTCTTCGGAGGATGACATAGCTAACAGATGGCACTGTTAGCTATTGAACTTTGTACAGCAACTGTATAGACAAACCTGATAGAGGCAGTGTATTACAACAGTGGTCCCTTTCGGAGCAGGAACCTTCGCGTTGATAGCGCTTGTCGCGAGCGTTCACCAAGCGTTGACCAAGTAGCAGCCTTCCTTCTTGCCTTTGTCGACCATCTTCCTATGCGCCATCCATGCAGTGATGTCGCCTGCTTGCTTTTTGAGGTTTTCACGTAACGCCACGTCGTTGATACGATGACAGCGAGCTAGATCCAGACAATAGATGGCGTTTGTGGTTTTCTCGTACGATCACAACCCGGGAGTCAAAGCTAAGGATACGGATGGCAAGGAGATTGAGAAGGCAATGTCATATGCCGAGCATATCACGCGGGGCGAGGCGTGCGAAAACAGGAGAGGCAGCAAGAACGAGAACCAGCAACGAGGTAGCGTTGAAATTACCGGCATCGAGCTGGATGCGTCATCTCGCCCTCTTGTTTGTTGAGAGTCCCACACAGAACCACGTCGTTGAGGTATGAGAGCGAGTAAGGGTGAGATGGTATAATGCGTTGGCGGTATCCTCTTCAAGCTAGAGTCATTGGTAGGCGTGTCTAATGATAGAGTCTAGTAGAGCTTCGTAGTAGTCCGCGAACCTCTGAACTGTTGGCATTTGATGCTTGGGAGACCGTTATATGGTGTAGCGCTGATGGCGGAATGTATGAATAACAGAGGATGTTCGAGATAAGGCCGAGATGGAGGTTCACTACTCAAAACGTAGATCGTGTTAATTACGAGCAACGACAAAGGCTCAGATAATATGACAGACTGCAACTCTGTTGGTGAAAGAAGATGAGCCTATGGTGGAAGATGGCTCAAGTTGGCAGAGATCAGCTCCGTTGGTGGGTAAGATGGTAATGATGTAAAGCGGATGGGTAGAGACCAGCTCTGTGCAGATGCCAACTCATGAAGCGCCACAGTTTTTTGCTTCTTGCACGGGAGAAGCGCACATCACTGATTGAAGATGCGTGCGCAGGCCTAGTAGGCAAGAAGATCGTCCAATCTATATCGTTCTTCTGTCTGCATCACAGCTCAGTCGAACGAACTTCCCAGAGGGCGACGGTGAAGGTGACTGTAGAAGGGTACATAAGGGGTTTACTTCGTTCCGGCCCAACGGGGCGTCCGTTCAAGGGTCATGGGCATAGAAAGCTCCCGTAATGACCTGAACTGTAGCAGCTAGTCAGTAAAGACCAGATGAGCAAGAAGTAGAGAAAACTCACGGGCATAACGAGGATACCCCCTGTGACAGTGCTACCCAGTGTCGAAATTGCCAACAGCAAGACTCTGTCCCCTCTTGAGACTGTAGATTTGCGCTTTCCCTAGAAGCTTGCTGAGTGTCGAATTGAGGAAGACGAGGTGGGAGGGCGTATATATAGCTTTACGAGGCTGAGACATTTCGATAGAAGTTCTTGATCCTGCTGGATAGTATCAAGAACAAAGTCTGGATACCCTCTCCAGTACTTATGATCTGACTGGCGTTCAGGAATTAGATGTAAGCTGCATGAACCATGAGCAATCATCAGAAGTTTGATCCTAGAAGTTACCAAGCTGGCAAGATCGACTAAGGCCAGGTCCAAAAAGAGAAGCAAGCAAAACGAAGAAACCAGACGACAAAACACTGTCCAAGATCGTATGCATGACACGACTAAGTTCGCACGAACAAATATTTATGGTAATTCTTCTGGATGAATCCATTGTGACCGATTTGAAAGCCGGTATCAGCTGGCAACCTCTTTTACACGCGGTGTCTAGCGATCGTCGCCAAGTTCTAAGAGCTTGTGACGGCAATCCACCACACATGTGGACGTGCATTTCTCGAGCAGGCTTTGAGTATTGTGTTCTTGAGACCGTGATGGAAGCAGCAACGTGCTTGAGCTCTCAAGCTGAATGAGCATGATCTTAGGTGTTCCACGGAAATCCAATGATAGCTGGAGGTCGCCGATATTCAACCATATATCCATTGAGATCAAGGAATCTCATGTAGTACTCGATCATGACGCTTGGAAAAGGACATCTGACCCATCCCACATGGCGCTCAGTGACGCCCTCAATTGAATCGTATTCTTCTTCTTCATCTTCATCTTCAGGATCCCACTCACAAATCCACGTCTTGTCAATGAGCTTCACCCAACCTTGATTGTCCCGGTCGAAGTCTGGTGGGGGAGGAGCGTCATGGACGCAAGATTTGAGAGCCTCGGCATCGACTTGGACACAGTATCTGTACCGTGGTGAGCGACCCACGTCAGCTGGAGTACCACCGGGTTGTTGTGGCTGCTCAAGCTGCACTGCGCTCTGTATCCAACTTAGAAAGTGGTCCCGGATTGTATTTGTGTCGGCGCCATCGAAGTGCTCCTTGTCCTCAAAGATAGTCCAGCTCATCTTATCCAGCACATCCTGGCCGTTATACAATCCCATGCTATCCTCTGCCCACACACGCAGACGGCGCATGAACTCAGTCCAGTCCGCATTATTCTCGTACGTTGTACGGTAGATCACGTAACCCCATGTTGTGTGCCTGTCGGCTTGATAGGCTGCCTCAATCCTGTCGGGGTGACTGTTGTGTGTACTAACACGAGGATTTCGTGGCGAAGGATCTTTTGCGACGAAATTTTTCATGCGTTCCACGAAAGCGTCATGGCTGAGAGCGGCTGTCTCTTGTTCAGCCATGCTTTTGACGTTGGATGTGGTTGTATGAAAGGGCAGCTCACAGCACTGGAAAGCAACGATTGGCATGCAGAAGTCCCCGCACGGCTTCACCGACCGTCCATCACCCCCAATGTTCAGTGTATGTTCGATTCTTTCCAATGTTTGTTATTTCATAGAGGATATAATAGATTGTAAATGGATCAAATCTTGACTTCTCGTTTATAGTTCTAGGAACGGCAATTGCTGCTCCACCAACTTCCATAGCGTCCTCTCTGGGCCATAGAAGTCCGAGAAGGCTTCCGTCAGAACCTTTTCGTTCAGATCCATATGTCCACCAGTAGCATTTCTGAATACCAATGCTCCTTTTCCGTCCAAGTGCTTCAAGCCGATCCAATCTTCTTTGTAAATGTCCCTGTCTCTGAGTCCAGTGACTTCCAAGCTCGTCATGTTGACTTCAGCAAACCAGCCACTCTCTTTGGGAATGACTGTCTTGTCCTCCTCGAAGACGTACATTGCAAACTTGTCCAGAGATGACAAGCGCTGTTTGTATTCTGCACTCTTGTTGTGTCTCTCATTGTTGATGTCAGCAATGAAATTGCTGTTTTCCAGATAGTTGGCTGTAGGCTCTGCGGTGGTTTGGTTGGTTTCCTTGTAGTATTGTGCAGGGACAATGTTGCCTTGGACCCACTCGCCGAATGCGTTGCCTTTGATGGCAGCCATAGCTCCCTTGCACACCAGATCCCATGTGCCGCAATTTTGGAATTTGGAAATGCCGTTGTGTTGTGAGCCGAAGGTCACTAGACTCCTCACGCTAATGCCAGGGCATGTTTCGATCAGGCCGCGGAGGAACTGACCACCCTGAGAGAAACCCAGAGCATCGATTCTTGTGTTATTGGAAGAGAAGGTGGAGTTGGAGGACAGAGTATCGCAGACGGAGGAAAGTTGAGTGGTCAGGTTGCCGAAGAAGGTGGCACGAGAGTCGGCAGAACCGTCGTCGGCAAGACGAATGGGATAGACAACAGTGCCTGGGTGAATTTCGTCTGCTAGAGCAACGACGTCTGCGATTCCGTCGGCATCGAATCTGTCGCCTAGCCCATGCCAGATTATGAGAGGAAGAGGTTTGGCAGACGGCAAGGCGGTTGGCAGCGCGGCTGCGAGCGGCAAGAGAGGAAGGGCGGTGGTAAGACGCATGACTGGGATGTGTGAGAAGGTCCTTCTCTGGAATTGGTCTCCTTGAATCCGTATGCTTGGGCTATAGAGACATAGTATGAGTGTTGAAGGCGAGCAAAAGTGCTTTGACCAGACCAACTCTGGCGTCGGCAAGCGCGTCATTGATTGTTTGACTCAAGGCGCGGAACTGGCTCCGTCATCGTCTCAGTTGTGGTGGCCAGGTCGACCCTGACCTCTTACACATCAATACCTTGTCCCGTTCAAACCACGTCTTTTCTGAGCATGTGAAGCTCTGAACTAAATAATGTGATCGTGTCTACAGCGGCCTCGGGAATATGCCACTGCTTGACGGAAACCAGGCTGCTTCCTTCTGTGCTTGTTGTAGTTGCAGAATCCTCCGTGCGCTCAACAACGTCACCTCGTCGAAGAGGGGAGTCAAGGTTATTGTATTCCACTTTACGTGCTTATTGACCTTCGACGTCTAATCTATGCTTATACTCGAGCCCAGGAAAATGTTACTAGTCGGATTCAAGAGATAGCACCTCCGGTCTGGATGGACTTCTCTGTTACCACCTTAACTGGAACTTCTACCTCAGAGATAGTCAGACCACAACATGAAGTCGCTGCATCGGATTCATGTAGGAACAAAGCCTCCGACCATGATCATACAGACTTATTTGAGTGGTGAGAAGAGACCCTGCTTTTTGGGATACACAGCCTCGGAACATGCTAAGAACATCCAGACTTGCCATGAGCAGCACTTGCCACTCATATCCAATGGAGGCATGCCAAAACTACGCGAGGACACGAGCATTCCACATGACCTTCGGTTAGCTGCTGCCAATCACTTCTGTTGACAACCGAATGCGCTTCCAGAAATTGGCTTTAACTCCCCCGAACTCGACCGCAGCCTCCAAATTAGCTGTGTATCACCAAAGCAGGGGTGATCCGCCCGTAACATGGCTACCGCTGCGTGGCCAGCACTTTGAACAACGCCCACTGTCACACCAGTCGCCGCTACATCAATCTGCCTTTCAAGTGCAGCCGAGCACCATCTTCCATCGTGAGATAATTACTCCACCAATGATGTGAGCATGATGCTCGTTAATGGCCAAGACTGGTGGAAACATCGTGGTCGGATTTGATCCTTGTGCTCATTAGCAGGCTGACGCCTTCGTAGCCCTGCAGAAGGTTCTCTTTCCAAAACATGGATGATCTCGTCAGACTGATTGTAAGTGAGAGTAGTGGAGGCAACATCAAGCTCAGCAGCTTGTTTCATCCAGAGAAGGTATTGCAACTGCAATAGTGCGTCTGTCTCACGCAGGAAGGAGTGTATCGACGAGACAACATATGATGAATATTGCATTCGCCTCTGCATATCAAATTTCTTACATGGAGCATCATTGTTCCAGAACTGACATCTATCCGCCTCGTCAGAAATTTCATACATGGTTCGGAGATGCTGAGATCGCTTGACATAGGCAATTCTGCTGATGTGGAAGAGACTGGGATCCAGAAGCGAACGCAACAAGAATGTTTCGAATATCCCTTCAGCTTCGACAATATCGAAGAAGATCAGAGTCTCGAACAGTCACACATTAGACGTGTGATATCACACCCGAGTCCAATATAGTGAGCGGGTGATATTGTGAGTCGCTACTTACTCTCCATCGCTCCAGCTTTGACAAGGTACAAATCATGATCTTGTCACTTCTAAATGGCCAGCTCAAATGGAGACCATCTATTTATGGAAGGGCAAAGGATTGTTGATCAACATGCTCTAGGCCTTTGGCAAGTTCTTTCTCGAAACGAAGAACTGAGCCGACGAGCATTCATATAAGCCTCTCGGTTGTGGAAACCGTGATGATTGCAATGCCACGCGGCTCAAGCGGCGAGACTAAAGAAGTGAAGGCTTCTCTCACAAAGCTTGGGCGTATACTGACCTTCAACTGTGGTTCGGTCTCTTGACCGACAGCTGTGAACGGGGCGGTTCGACTGATTCCGTTAACTCGAGCTTTGAAGATGCTTCCCCAGATTATGCCTATCCTAGACCGCGGCTTCGTTGTTTCAGCACCTCGCGTGGAGGTCGTGTACTACAAGGTGACTTCGGTCCGTCTTCCTCAGTTCTCTCGCCACGGCAACCTGAATATATGAACCTCCGGTGGGTGTTTTGCCGTGGTCCTGTCTCGATATTGTCCTCATGACCATCTGAAGTAGCATGAACGTCTACATGTCTTCCAAGCTCAGCCTAAGTACTGACAAACTATAACGTACTAAGACCTGTTCGAGGATGAGCCACAGTTTATAGGACATCACTCAGCCACGCCAGTGTATAGCCGGCATGTCACTAGTTCTCGAATCCGAGCCTCGCGTTTCGAACATATGGAGATCCCCTACTTGGACAGGAAGGTACAGTGCGCTAGGTTCGCCTCGACGCGAAGTATGGGTTTCATGGCGACTTTAGCCAGACGACTCTCGGACGTAAGTAGGCCAATCAACGTTCGTACTAACTCGATTAAGGTCCGATTTAAGCATCATGTCGACATAAAAGTTACCTATTTACCCCACACTCTAAATGCACTCCACGTTTCGTTCGGCTATACAGGAACGCAACAGCAAGGAGCATCCGAGCTCACCACTCAGCCTGAAACTTGCAAAAGAATCTAATGATCGACAGCGAGATGGACTACCTCTACTCGCCCGAACTCAAGCGAAGCATGGAAGGATATAAAATACATATTCCACCTGCACTGCTGGACAATTTTCATCCGCCATCCACCAACTCTTCCATTCACTCACTACCTTTCCAACAACTCCCTTCAACATGAAGTTTTCCATTGCTCAGGCCGGCCTGGTGTCGGCCACCATGCTTCTCGGCTCCGTCTCTGCTCAGACCTGTGACATTCCTTCCAAGCCTCAGTGGTCTTCCACCGGTGCCCTCGCTCAGCCCAAGAACGGCTGGGTCGCCATCAAGGATCTGACCACCACCTACTACAACGGCCAGCACATCGTTTACGCTTCTTACCACGACAGCGCCAACTACGGTGGCATGAACTTCGGTCTCTTCGGTGACTGGTCCACCATGGGCAGCGTTGCCCAGAACAAGCTGCCCCAGTCTGCTGTTGCACCCACTCTGTTCCACTTCGCTCCCAAGAACGTCTGGATCCTCGCCCACCAGTGGGGACCCACCACCTTCTCTTACCGCACCTCGCAGGACCCCAGCAATGCTAACGGCTGGTCTGCTGCTCAGCCGCTGTTCACTGGCACCATTTCTGGTTCCGGCACTGGCCCCATTGATCAGACCGTCATCGGTGACAGCAAGAACATGTACCTGTTCTTCGCCGGCGACAACGGCAAGATCTACCGCGCCAGCATGCCCATCGGCAACTTCCCCGGCAGCTTCGGCTCTGCCAGCACCGTCGTCATGAGCGACACCACCAACAACCTCTTCGAGGCCGTCCAGGTCTACACCCTCAAGGGCCAGACCAAGTACCTCATGATCGTCGAGGCCCAGGGCGCCAACGGTCGTTACTTCCGCTCCTTCACCGCCACCTCGCTCGGCGGCACCTGGACCCCTCAGGCCACCTCTGAGAGCGCTCCCTTCGCCGGCAAGGCAAACTCTGGCGCCACCTGGACCAACGATATCTCCCATGGTGATCTCGTCCGCACCAATGCCGATCAGACCTTCACTGTCGACCCCTGCAACCTGCAGTTCCTGTACCAGGGACGTGACCCCAAGAGCACTGCTTCGTACGATCAGCTGCCTTACCGCCCTGGTCTTCTTACCCTCAAGAACCCCGTCAAGAAGTAAATGTCTCTTGTGGTGGTGCATTATTAGCGTGTATTTGATTCTTCGAGATGAAAGTCTTTTTGCAAGGAGGAGAGGAGGAAAGAAGTTTGTCGAGTGTGGTGTGAGATCTTTGGCGGATCGGACCATTCTTTTCTTTCTGGGATTTTTTTTTGTCGAGTAGTAGCAGCAATAGTTTTCGAACTGGTTTCAAAATTCTTGTTAGACGCGAAAGAAGATCATTTCCCCAGACCTACTGTTTTGCCTTCTTGAGTCCACCATCTCGTGGTGCAGCTGATTTCTCCTTGTTCCTGCCTGATCTTTGATCTGTGAGTTACCAACTACCATTCTCTTGCTTCCATATCAAAAACTGGCTTATGGTCTAAATCCACATACCCAGTTTCGAGACTAAAACCGCGATATGTGAGTCTGATAGGTTGTATGTTCACGGATGGATTCACAGAATATTACCGCGCTCGACTCCAAGTTTTTGCTTGCTCTTCCCAAGTGATGTAGAGGTCTTGTGCAACGAGATAAACTCCCACTCTTATTCCTAGTTCACAGCCACTCAGATGACGAACATCAGGCTGTCATACGGCAAAATGTAAGACAATGCATGGACGGGCATGAGTGCATTCCTTTGTACCACTCAGCGGATAACACTGATTGTTAGGATCTTCAAGGCAACACATAGATGCTTGTAGTTCGAAACAGGGCGAAGCGGTCAGGAGAGGAATTATTTTGCGTTGAGTCTGAGGTGATAGGGGGATATAGGTGAGACCCGCGGAATGTGCTTTATAGTGGTTTGATGCTTCCATTGATCTCTTCAAGAACATTTGTGGTTGTGTATGAGCAGTTCCTGCTGAACTATGTTGATGCTCATCGTCGAAAACGGGAAGATAGTTGATATCGAGAACGACCACAGACGAGGTAAATACTCGCAGAGCAGGAACGATGAATATGTGACGAACGGCAATTTGCAGCACGTGAGGCAAGAGCGGCAACTCTCTCGAAAGCCGCAAAGAAATCACCATCCAATCGAGTCTCCTTTGGCATAGCCCACAGTTGTCACAAGCTCTTACTATAATTTCATCAAGAGGGGCCATCTTCCCCTTCCCCTCACCTCCTTCTAAAACTCCCAGGTATTTCTGCTGCCACTAGAACTACTCTTACATCTCCTTGTCAAGAGACAAGCTCACTTCGGCATCTTCTGAAGACTCATATAAGCAGTCTCGTCCACAACACCAGAGGACGAGGGAAAGCTCAGCCCAGCTTTCGCGAGATGCTTGGGCAGCTGTAGTGCAGAGACATACCGTCAAATGTGTCATCACTCGATCTCAAGGTGAATCTCGACTTACAACAGCGAAAGAGCCAAAAGTGTGACCAAAGGAAGATTCCACCAGAGTTTGAAGTTTATGAAAGCTGAAAGATCACTCGGGGCGTTGTATGCAGAGTCCAAAACGCCCAGACGCGCTTTGTTACGCTTTATGGCATGCCATATGATCTGGGTATAGGCTACCGACGCAGCAAGAGCAAAGCATGTTTTGACCATAAACGCTAGAGCTGTGCCGACCGATGTATTGATCCCTTGAATAGAGACATGAAATTTTAGCAGTCCGTGAGATTCGATGTTGGTGGTGAGGACATCTTGACCGTCGAGTCGCAAGTTGAAAAAATGGTGACCGCACACTAGTCCAATGCCTAGCAATCATGCGGCGAACATGGTGACAGGAGCCTTCCAGTGGATTCCCATGGCGATGAAAGACAAGCTGTTATTACTGTCGCGTGGATTAAGCTCGACAACTTACGATGAAAATGGCACAGAGCAGCGCAGCAGGATGTACAGGCTTTTTAGCGGACGCGGCTCCAATTTGGATGCAGCTCATGGCCTAAAACACTGTACAGTGCGCCACGTGAGGCAAGAGACCCAATGTCGTCGCGCCCGTATTCTCGAAATTGGCTTGCATGATGCATGCGAAAAATTTGATGATTGTGACCCTTGTCTTCCGTGCGATGGCTGGTTGAGAGAGTGTGCCGACCTAGAGGTCTTCAGTAGCTGAATAATGCAGACAAACGTTGTATCGCTGGGATAGTGGTATACAATTTGACCAGAGAGACAGGCAACCTGAGTTCTCTCAGCCAGCCTTTGTCCTGACTATCCGAGGGTCACTGAGTGTGGAAGGGGCTGCGCCGCATCCTTTCCGCAATGTGGAGCTAATTCCGTCTTGAGCATCAGGTATTCAATTGGTCCGGGATTTATGTTGATGTGTTAATATTTTGAGTAGAGAAGCATGTGGTTGCATAGATCGTGCAATTACATGAGAAGTTTAGGGTCGACCTGCTGAGGGTTCAGAAGATTATCATGCGCCCCACCGCGCTTTGCTCGGATGGCGAATCCTCACTACCTCGTTAATCGCGAGACCTTTGTTCTTCCTAATATCGCAAGCTAGGTAGGTAGTGCCTAGTCTTTGCATACCGCTCACACATCACCAAAGACAAAACTTTTCCAATTAGCAGCCAATTGCTTGACTCCATCTTCCAACCCCCAGCCCTTGATTTCGCACAACTTTCTTACGATCTCCTCGAGGTAGCCATCCATTCTTTCGCCAGCATTGTCTAGATCACTTTCTATCAAAATTCTGTCTTCAGGAACTGCTGCAACGGCACTTTCAGTCTTCGCAACTCCTGCATGCGAGAAATTGATCACAGAAGAAAAGGAGAAGAAGATTTTGGCCGGAATGCGCGAGTCCAGGTACTGTTTAATCGTTTCTGGGGGGCCGGAGTAAGAGTGTAGACATATACGTGGCGGATATGGTGTTGGCTTTCTCTCTTCCTCTCCAGTCTGATTGTTGGCTTCCATGGATATGGAGTTGGTGGCCTCATGCTTTTTGCGTTCGCGCTTGCTGGGCACTTTTCTCTCATGCCCTTTCCAGGTCTCTTGTAGAGTGTTAAAGAGGACGCCGTGGGCCTGGACGCCGTGAACGGAGGTTGCGCGTCCTAGTTCTCCTGCTAAGTGTAGTTGAGCCAGCAAGACCTTTTTCTGATGCGACATGGAGACGCGATAGGGTGAGAGGCTTCTCCCCTCTCGACCGCCGGGCGTTGTAGTCTCGTCTCTTTCGGTATCCTGGCCTGGTAGCCAGGCTTCGGGGATGCGGAATTGTTTGTCCAAGCCTACTTCGCCAATCAAAGCCAGTGGGTACTTCTCGAGATAGGCTCTTGTTTCAGCAAGAAAGACTGAAAGGGGGCGAGGATCGGGGAGGGCGAGGAGAAAGTCGCGATCGGTGGGGGATGGTGTAAGAGCGGAATGGTAGTGTGCGATCTTCTGCTCTGGTGTAAGGGTTTTGGTGTCAGGGTAGACCTGTTCGTCGAACATCTGGTGTGAAAACCACGGGTGCCAGCCAAAGCATGGTATCACTTTTTGCTGAGAGCTGGTTTTCTTGTCAGCTTTATACTTCGAAGATGCTCGCGAAGGTGGAAGGTGTGTTGTGGATGAGGTGTACCTTGATTGCAGTACCTACCTCCAGTCTTGATCCGACTTTGTCTTGACACCTAGCTTGTCGGCCGTCTCAGCTACTAGTTCCTGGTCTTGAGCACGTGTGGCCATGATGGTCAGGATTTTGGCATGCATATCCGGGATTGACGAGATGTTGGCGATGTTATCTGTCGGGTGACAGTGTGCATCAAAAACACCCAAGTCCCATGGGAAAGGTTTTTTGTCACCCATCATGATCGTCTAACATCTGCTGTATGAGTGATGTTCGAAAGGTCAAGAGTGTTGGTCGCGTTATCCGAATCCCAGTGATGACGTGTAATGGACGTTGACGTAAAAGTGGAAGAGCCGCATCTTCAAGGTTAGGTTTTGTGACACTTGGGCCAATACCTACACGTGAACAGTCGCACGATTCTATCTTCACATCTTTAGCATGCGAGGAAAACATACCGAGCAAGATCTATGATGAGTCGAAGTCAGATCGTGTGAGGTATATCGATCTCTGTCAACGTCGAATAGAAGAGCAAGCCCTTTTTGCCTCGGCAGATGCGGCCGAAGCTGCGGCCAAGGGGTAAAATACGATTCATCGCGGATAAGGCCGGCGGAGATTACATTCTGGCAAATCGGAAGGCCAGGATCCGAAGGGGTTCAACGCGAAAATGGTTCGATTTTGTTGTGGTTGATGCGTACAATTTAACGCCTGCTCGACTTCTTTGCGCCGCCTGCCCTATCGCACCTTTCGCCATTGTAATCCACCTGGTTCGCATTGCGGGAGGAGTCTCTTTCATTCCTTCTTTTCGACATCTCGCCCCTCTTTCTGCGAGTTTCGTCCTTGGTTCTACCTTCCATTTCCTTTTTTTCTCCCTGATCTTGTTTTCAGGCTGGGATATAGCGACGGACACTTTCCAATGTCTGTCATGAATGCGAGCTATGCCTCGCCCGTCGCGGATGCGGCATTCGCAAAAATCAGTGCAATTGCACCAGAGGGTTTCGTGCAGCGTCTGCTTGCTGGAGTAAACACATGGACTGTCGTCTTGACTCTACTCATTGGCGCTGTTCTGTACGATCAGGGTGAGTCCAAGACACCTGAACTATGCCAAACTTGCCAACAATTGACTAACTCAATCGCAGCTTCATATCTCTACCACAAGGGCTCGATCGTGGGCCCCATGTTCAAGATGCCCTTCATCGGACCTTTCCTCGAATCGGTCAACCCCAAATTCGAAAAGTACAACGCAAAATGGCAGAGCGGTCCCCTGAGTTGTGTTTCGGTTTTCCACAAATTTGTCGTTATTGCCTCGACACGCGACATGGCCCGCAAGGTCTTCAACTCTCCCACCTACGTCAAGCCTTGCGTCGTTGATATCGCCTACAAACTCCTCCGTCCTACCAATTGGGTCTTCCTCGACGGTAAGGCTCACGTCGATTACCGCAAGGGCCTCAACGGTCTCTTCACCCGCCAGGCTCTCGAGCTCTATCTCCCCGGTCAAGAGGAGGTCTACGATGCATACTTTGCTCGCTTCCTCAAGGTCACCAAGGAAGCTGGCAACAAGCCCGTCGCATTCATGTCTGAGTTCAGAGAGCTTTTGTGCGCCGTTTCCTGCAGAACCTTTGTCGGTCACTACATCAGTGACGAGGCCATCAAGAAGATCGCAGACGACTACTACATGATCACCGCTGCTCTCGAGCTTGTCAACTTTCCCATCATTATTCCCTTCACAAAGACTTGGTACGGCAAGAAGGCCGCCGACATGGTCCTCGACGAATTCGCAAAGTGTGCCGCAAAGGCAAAGGTTCGCATGAGTGTTGGTGGTGAAATCCACAGCATTCTCGATGCTTGGGTCAAGCAGATGATCGACTCCGAGGCCTACCGCACCAAATTGGCCAGCGGCGTCAAGATGGACGACTCTGAGAAGCCTGCCATGCTTATCCGCACTTTCACCGACTACGAAATCGCGCAAACACTTTTCACCTTCCTTTTCGCTTCTCAGGATGCCACCAGCAGTGCCGCCACTTGGCTCTTCCAGATTGTTGCCGACCGCCCCGATGTCCTGGAGAAGCTGCGCGAGGAGAACATGCGTGTCCGCAAGGGTGACAAGAATGCTCGTTTGACCATGGATATGCTCGAGTCAATGCCCTACACCAGAGCAGTTGTCAAGGAGCAGCTCCGCTACCGTCCTCCCGTACTCATGGTTCCTTACCTCGTCAAGAAGGACTTCCCCGTCACCGAGACCTACACAGCCAAGAAGGGATCAATGATCATTCCCACAACATATCCCGCTCTTCACGACCCTGTCGCGTACCCCGAGCCCGAGACCTTTGATCCTGAAAGATGGATCAGCGGTGATGCTGAGAAGCACCCCAAGAACTGGCTTGTGTTCGGCACAGGACCCCACTACTGTCTCGGACAGACATATGCCACACTCAACCTGATGGCCATGATCGGCAAGGCATGTGTAGAGATGGACTGGAAGCACGAAGTTACGCCCGACTCTGAAGAGATCAAGATTTTCGCCACAATTTTCCCCAAGGTATGTTTTTTCGATGATGGTCATCTCAACGACTTCTTACTAATAAAACTCACAGGATGATTGTCTTCTTACATTCAACAAGAGAGATTAGAGGATATCATAATTCTGTGCTTTGAGAAAAGGTTACATGCAAGAGAACAAGCAGTTGTGACTAGAAGTACAGGAAGATGAGCCCTAATCACTCACCACATGATAGACTAATTATTTTAATGCTCTTGAACCCATTGACCTCCAAGAAAGGAGCCGCTTCCTGTGACTTTGTGTTTCGATAACAATGTGCTTGGGAGAATGGTGTTGAACCTCGGTTTGCGGAGAGGAAGACCGCTCTCGGCGATGATGCAACTTTCGATGCCCATCACTCTCCATCTTTCTTCATCCATACACACAAGACACAACCACGCATCATGTCGCTAAAGAGAGTCAGCACACTTGCTGCAAGAGCAGCCATCGCATCATCACGACCCACCAGATTCCAGGCCTCAGGTCTGTTGCGACCAACAGCGAAGCTCCAATCCACAATCCAGCGACCAGCAACATGTCTCGTACATCAACGCTTCCACTCGACTGAGGGCAAACCCGACAACAAAGTCTGGAACTTCGACTCCGTCAAACAGCTCACCGAATCGCCGGACCCAACTCGCGTCCTCATCGGTACATTTTCCTCTGCCCCCCTCCGCCCTCCACCACCACTAATCTTCTCTTCCCTTCTGCACAGATGTCCGCGAACCCGCAGAATACGCCGCCGGCTACATCCCCACCGCCATCAACATCCCCGTCGGCTCTGCGCCCGACGCACTCTTCATGCCCGCCCACGAGTTTGAGGATAAGTTTGGCTTTGAGAAGCCCACTGCAGATCAAGAGTTGGTGTTTTATTGCAAAGCTGGAGTTAGGAGTTCTGCGGCGGCTGGGTTGGCTAGGCAGGTGGGTTACAGCAAAGTGGGAGAGTATAGGGGTAGTTGGTTGGAGTGGAGTAAGAATGGCGGGAAGGCGGAGTATGATTGAGTTGAGATGAACCAAGAATCCTGAAGCTAGAGCTTGCAGCTGTGTCTGTGGCTGTCTACATTGGCATATAGTCGAGGCTTGCTTGATGCGATACAGCTCGTCCTTTGGCAGATACCTTGCATTTCCGACTCCTGTCGGGAACTAGATTCAAACTTGATCCAGTTATCAGTCAGGAGCTTATCACGTCTGCCGTTCATCTATCTGAATGGCCCAATGGATCGTAGAGATATACCGAAGAGTGATAAATGCAAGTTTGTATATGGGTCTGTGCTTTCTGATGCTTCTCGAATCTCGAGCTTCCAGTGACCTTCCAGTGCATCCCGAACACCTTGGCATTACATTGTGCCATCTCATCAGCATCTCACGACATTGAGACTCATGACCATCGACTCGATATAATTACAGCTCCTGCACACTGTGCTGGAACAACTATCACAAGGGCCAAACGAAAACAAAACTACTTGAGAATAATCTTTCTTTTGCACTCTCGATCTGATCAACAACCAACACTTGAAATCCATCACCTACTCTCTGCCTTTCCACTTCCACCAAGACAATCATGTCCTCGTCCACCGAATTCAACATCAGCACTCTCCCGCGCATCTCCCGGGAATCTCTGGCCTCCCTCCTCAAAGACAAACACCCCTCTACAGCCATCATCGACGTCCGAGACAGTGATTACATCGGCGGCCACATTGCCGGCGGCACAAACGTACCTTCCAACACCCATGACTTCAAAATGCCTGAGTTAGTGAGGACGCTCGAGGGTAAAGAGGTTGTGGTGTTTCATTGTGCGTTGAGTCAGCAGAGGGGTCCCAAGGCTGCGTTGAGGTATTTGAGGGAGAGGGAGAGGATGGGTGGGAAGGATGGAAAGAAGGAGATAGAGGGGGAGCAAGACGCAGAGGTTGTGGAGGGCAAGGAAGGAGAGGAGGGGGTCAAGGTTAAGGGGCAGACTGTTTATGTGCTTGATGGTGGGTTTGCCAAGTGGCAGGAAGTGTGAGTCTTTTCCTCTTCCCTTTTGGTCGACGGAAACGATGTGCTGATTGAGAAAACCAGGTATGGAGAAGATAAGGAACTCACAGAAGGCTACCAGAAAGATATCTGGGAGTTCGGGTACTAGGAGATTTGCTTCGAGAGTGGTCAACGAGGTGATCGCCGGATAGTCATCTTCGAGAGAGCGCGCTATTGACTGAATTGGAACAACTCTCGCGATTCGCCCCAAGACTGGGGACTCTGGCTCTTGGGAAGAGATCTCTAAGGATGAAGACACACGTCGTAACGCTCTTCCCATCACAAGACCATGAGATGGTTTCTTCGTAGTCAGATTCGACAAGACATTGTTTCATGCAAAACCAGATCACCCCAAAGAAACAAGAGTTGGCGATTTCTCACACACAAGACACGTCCCAATACTGGGAGAAATGTCTCGCATTGATACAGCATCAACAACATAAATCTACTTTCTGCGTCTTGTTCTCGACACGAAAAACATTTGCCTTTACCAAAAGTCCCAAAGCCACCAATGACAAAATCCAAAAAATCAACTGCAAAGCCACGACAGACGCCTTATCCGACACCTGCGACTCCTGTCAACCCTAACTCTCGATCTGCACATTCAAATCCTAGCACGAGATCTTTTCCACCAGCTCCCAAGTTCTTCCCGACGTTTACAAATTTCGCATTTCCACAAACGACCTTGACAGCATACGAGGAACAACAAAGCCTCTGCGCCTTCATTGAAGATCTGCAGAATGGCACTGGTACTGTGGATGAGAGTGGGAGTGTTGGCCTTGCTGGCATTCGTGATCCTGAAAGATTTGACGAGAGCGCATCTGAAAATGCTGAGGGAGAAGAATCTCGACGAGGACGAGAAGGAGAGTCTACGAGAATTGACAAAGATGGTGGTATTGGTCGGGCTGAGGGTCCTACACAGAGGCTGGCTCTAAGCGAAGAGGAGGGAGGCAAAGAAATGGTGTGTTCGTCGTTCGACAAAGGTCAGGACAAGTCATTCACTGGACCTCTGCGAAACTTACCGCCAGCCCTCGACCCAAACCCTCCACATCAACAGCAGAAGTCACCAACCCACTCTCATTCACCGGACCCTTTCACAGAAGAGCAGACAAAGCTTGCCGAACTACTTGTACCTGTAGCAGAATTCAACGACAAAACACCTTGGCCAACACCTTTCCATGAGCAACCACTTCCACCTCCAGACTGGCATGCCGAATGTCCAGATGGCTACGAACCTTCAATTACTGCTGGATACCCTCAGAGAAGACAGTATCCGATCTACAGTCTGGCAGCCCATGATGCAGACGTCGTGCTAGATGAGTATGGACATTCTTGCCTCGATCTGGATGAACGAGACCAACGTCTTTTTGGAAAGTGTGGAGGGTGCGATGTATGTCGTCCAGGGGAATGCTTTTGAATAGCACTAACAGAAAAGCTTGAGATTTGTGTTGCTGGTTAGTCGCATTGCTATCGCTTTCAGCAAACAGATATCATATTCCAATGTTGAAACGCGTCTCTTGTCAATCGTTTAGTGCCCGTTGTCCTCTGGGACAAAGAAGCATACAGTACCAAACCCTCACGGGTAGCATTTGACGATCGTTGATGGAAGTACATCAGCATGCTTATCGTCGATATGGGGTTACGAGCGGGATGTGTTGCCCACCAAGGTAGCACCTTGATGTGATGGCGTTGCAGTTTAGTCATATCAGCCTGGTACAAGACGTGTTCTGCCGCTGTGATAGGCCACAATGGTTGTCATGATACAGGAGAAGACTCCGTGTATGCGTGATTGTAAAGAAGGTTGGCAAGTCAAGCAGGGTCTCGTCGGGAGTCGGGCGGGCTCAACGGTGCGTACGTCGATGGTGGTCCTTGCACGGCACGCGTGGTGATGGAAAGTGGAGCAGGTCGCGTCTCCTCCAATGGGCTGGCATATCGCGACAATGTTGAATTGATCTTTTTGCTTTCCAGCTCGCGACAACCTGACCATTCTTACACGAAGCCATGGAGACGCTGACAGCACCATCCAGATCGGATCCGAGCATACCGGTTCCTGGAGTTGGGAAACATTTTGAAATGCATCCGTCAGGCCCGTCCGTAAACCCCGCGACGCGCATGCCACCACCACCATATGCCAATCAGGACGACGGGAACAAATCGCATACTCAAAGGGAAGACCTGGGAACCTCTCAGGAAGACCAACACAACTCGACCAGCACTCTGGTGTCCGACGAGCAGTCTTCCACGTCTTTGCCGAGCGTTCCACAGGACCATGACCAAAATGACGCGTCGCAGTCGAGTAGTCGAGTCCGTACTCCAGAAGATGCCTCGTATTCTCAGTCAGACTCGACCAACAGTCCGACAAGACACAAGAGGACTGCTAGCGGCTTGCTGAAGGCCGTTGACACTCCCAATGATCAAAGACCACGCGCCGAGAGTGTGAGTTCGGCTGGCAGCAAGGCTGGCGAAGTAAGTCCATGTCGTGAGTGTCTTTGGCGTAGCATCCACTAACTCGACGTTCCAGGTTGCTGCTCAGCTCAAAACTCGACTTGCATACGCCATGGTCAAGGTCCAACATGGCTGGGAACATCGCAATATCAATGAAGTCGAGCAATTGGCTGCTGCTTTACGTCCACGCATGGCTGCATCACCACCAGCGTCCAGTGCACCAATCGATATCCGATCACCACCCTCGAAGAGACGCTCCGGAGCAGGAACAGTTTCCTGGTCATTACCAGACACGAGTCCGGCCATAAACGGTTCATCACAGAACAATCACACCTTCAGACGTCCTTCGGCTTCTTCTCCACCCGCACAAGTTCCATCGACACCCAAGCCGCGTCCACCACCTGTGCGCGCAACCATGCCAACCCAGCAGGCCGAACAAGACGCAATGGATGCTTTGATGTTGATGGGTGGCAGTCCAGGTAAAGGTGGCAAGTTTTCACAGTCTTCATCGCAGCAGACGCCGCACTCTCAATCACAGCAAATTTGGCACAGTCAAGGCTCCACAAAGTCTCTGAGTCGTCGCCATCCTGATTCTCCTACTGCCACGGAAAGATCACCCAAGCGTCCGGCAGTCTTGAGTCGCAATAACAGCAGTACTTCGGAAGTAAGTGTTGCCAACAGCGAAGTCCGCGAAGCTAGAGAAAGAGTCCTTGATGAAGTTGAAGAGGCGGCATGAATGCAATCTTGTTTGGTGGAAGTTTGCTGTCTTTTCTGGGATCGTGTGGGTATGGAGGACAAACAGGATACCCTTTGTTCCATGGAGTTGAGGAGTATAGGCGGCATTTGCCTGTCATCTCAGCATATAAGAGGCGTTTGCTCTTTGTAAGCGTAGCATGAACGTATTGAATGGTGCACTATCCACGCTCGTCCGATGGGAATTACAACAGTGAGTAAACCTAGGACAGAGAAAGGAGGGTCTGGAGCGGCGGTAGCGAGAGTGAACCTCAACAACTAAGAGAGCAGGCACGATGTCATTCTGCCTCAAGTCGCTCCTGCCCGGACACTCAAACTTCCTCCCCGTCTACATCACTTTACAACACGAGACAGCGACGCAGGCGTCAAGGCTTGTCGGCCTTCCAACTCGTGTTTCCGCCGGGCTTTCACTCCCGACTTTCGCTCTTGGTTTTTGCTTGCAATTATCACGCTCGTCTTTCATTTCGAGACTCGCCTGCAATTCTCCATGCCTTGGGCCCTCGCACACTTCTTCCAACTTATCTCTCACATATCCCTGCTGCTTGCATCCAGTCCATCCACCATCATGGCCGGCATCCCTCCTGCCACTGGCGCGACTGCGCCTACGACTACATCCACAGAAACTCCTGTTATCGTCAACACTAAAACCCAGACCAAGAAGGCTAACCCTAAGAGACCCAAGCCTGAGAGAAAGTGCTGCTTCAACGAGCGTGGCGGTCCTTGGCCCCGGTATGGTCCCCTGATGTTATTCAGTCACTATTGCTGACTACCTCATAGCAACATCATGCTCCAAGCTGCTACCTGCCCTGACATCAACAAGAAGCTCATGACTCTTGTCGTTGGTCGTGAAAAGGTTCATTTCACTTGGTTCCGTGAGGTCTTGTCCTTCCACTCTGCGTTCTTCGCAGGTGCTATCAAGTACAATTGGTCCTCCGAATCTGAGCAGGGCATTGTCAAGATGCCTGAGGATTCCCCCGACGTTGTCCGCGAGTGAGTTTGGAACATCTGCATCATGATTGCTGTGACTGAATGCTTCTTGTTTGTAGGTTCATGCGTTGGATTACCGATCACAGAGTCGGCGGCTACGGTGCTGGCTCGGACAATCCCTCTCTCAGTCCCTGGGCCTATTGGGATCTGATAATTGATCTCTACATCTTTGGCAACAAGTACAACATTGCTCGTATCCAAAATGTTGCAATCAATGAGATGATCACCCTCTTCCACGATCAATTCGCTTTCCCTCGCGCCTCCGCCATCGAGAAGGTCTACACACTAACTCTCCAGAACGCTCCCGTCCGCAGACTCGTCACAGACATGGTCGTGCTCTCGCATGAGAACATTGAAGGTCTGATCGACGGTCAGTCACACTTCGGAGACGGTCTTCATCCCGACTTCATCCAGGACCTTGTCAAGCGTCTTTACAGAGCTGCAAACCACTGTGACGGCTTTCAGTCTCAACGTCTGGCCCGTGAACAGTGGGGTCTGATCTCTCGCTGCCACTACCACGTTTCAGAGGTTGTTGCTCACTCGAACGGTAAGAAGGTTAGAGATCTCTCAATCACAGTTTCTGGGATCTATGCTAACCGCCCTGTAGGTCCTTAAGCGCTCTCATGCCGAAAGTTTGCCCTAGATTGCCGACACGTATTGCCAAAAGGCTGCATTTTTCGAAGAAGTATGAGGTGGGACTGTACCGCTACAAAGCCCGTTACGCAAAACATGGGGAGAGTCATCGGGGAGGCGGTATGATGAGTAGTGAGAAGTTCAGCGAGTTTTGCTCAAACATATGGTGTCGATGGAACACGATTATTGCTGTCTGCGCTATGATCGTTTCGTAGAGACTCGAATCAAGATGCCAGGTTTGAAGAACGCATACATTTACCAGTCGCTGATCACCCTCTGTCACCGTCCTTCTCGGGTAACTACTGGATCCGATTGGTACTCAATGGTAGTGCTCATGTGGTAGATAAACACCAGCATATGAATCAGGGGCAATTTTAGCTACTGATGACACGAATTTTCAAGTAGCGTCGTCATTGTGAACAGCATGTGATCGTGTTCTTCCAACAGGCTCAATCAGAGGTGTTCGTCCTGGATCAAGTTTTGTTGGTTCGAACTTGCAGAACAAAGAGACACGCTCTCGACTAGTGTTGTGCAAACTCGGGAGGCCGACTATTGGCCCTAACAAGACTGGCACTAGTAGCAAGAGCGTGTTCTTGCTTGGGAACCACATCCTGGTCATCACTCAGACATGTAGGAAGCTCAATCACAAGATTCGCGGTGCCAGGCTTTTGCTTGTGACTGGCAGGAAGTATCCGGCAACAAACCCGAACCAAATCTCAGCAGACAACAACTGGGTACGCGACTTCCGTCTGTTACTGGACACAAAACTGCGGTCGTACCATCACTCTCGCTCGTACAGCAGGCTAACATCAGATTTCTTGCGACTTTGCAATCCTGCTTCTGTTGTTGCAATTCAAAGTGTACCGAATCAATACAAGTATCCCTGCCACTTACCTTTGACCTTCTATCATCAACTCATATTCTCTCACTTTCTACTTCTCTCTCCCCATATATGATCCATCCCGGGTTCAAACTTCTGGCTGCTCTCGCATACATGTCACTATGAATATATGTCCACACCATCAGGGTCACGTCCAAAGATCACCCTGATTCCAATTACACCGCCGCTCTCTGTTCAACAAGACTCCGACGGCCTACCATGCCCTGACACTCGATCAGCAAGGAGAAGTGTCTTGAAAACCCATAAAGGGTGCCTGAGCCTTACTATATATTGGACACCTACTACACGCCACCCGCCAATCGCCCTGAGGTATGCCCACGACTTCTTCATCTTCGATTTGGGTCAAGCGGAAGACCAGGATAGAGAGATACAACACTGCACATGTCCAGCTCCGTCTCAGCGCTGTGCCAGTACCGACAGTATCATTCCAGATCTCTGGTGGTGAGCTTGTCGAGGATCCGTAAGAGCAAAGTGTCAGCTTGTGAACTTTACCTCATTCCAATCCCACCACACTTGGTTCAAGATTTGGGATTAGGAGCAGACCCGTCATATATCGGCAGAGAAGAGCGCAAGATCATCATCTTCTCCATCATCTCGTCACTCTGGGTTTCGAGTTGATATATAAGCACCAGAAACCGGACTTCGGATTTCCACTACCTGGGTCTTTGATTCCGAGGTGGAAGGCGAAGAAGACACTCGCAGTGTTTGAGGCTTTTGCTTGCAAGACACCCTCGTCCAATTGCTTCTCTGGAGGCAGTTTGTCTTGATCTGCGCCAGACTTCTGGTTCGCAATTACGGTTCTGGTGTCAGATACTGGCCCTTTGGCCTCTTCTCTGACGATACTCACCTATTTATCGAGTAACGAAGAATCCGTGTTGCGGTGGATTTCGATCTACGTCAAGATCTCACAGGACTTAGTGCTCTCGCTGGTATCTATTCTTTCCGGCAAATTTTCCCTCTGTTGACATCCCCTCAAGGAGCATATGTCGACCGAATCCATATATATATTTATGTGCCAGTCTGCCGCCAAAATGTCGCTTGGACTACCTGAAAGCAGGACCAACAGCAAGCCTGCTGCCTCAGAAGAGAGAACAGAGCATGCGCAGAAACTCAAAAGTCCTGATCGTGGCGAATATCGACGTTGTTTGGAGAGCCTTCACCCCATCTCAGATCGTTCTGGTGGCCTTCCTCTTGACCTGCTGTAGCTGGCTAGTGACCAGGAAGCCTTGTTATATACTTGACATCGATGTGCCAGACCTTTGGCCTCGATATCTATATCGGTTGCCTCCCTCTGCGACGACGAGCAACCTCAGCAGAAGATGTACCGGCATACCCGAGAGAAACGTACAAAGCAATGCTGCTCGCACAAAACATCTGCCGCGGTGTGTTGCGGAATACGGGCATTCATGCATCATTCGATTATCTTGATCCGTTGCTCTCAAGCTGTCTCATCTATCAGCCTGGGACACTCCACCCGTGTATATATATGGGCACCAATAATGCCTCTTCACATGCTCTGTCAGAAGGCCAATATGCCAGCTTCTGTGAACGAGCAGAAACGCAAGCAGTATTGTTGCCGCTATTGCCGCTATATACATCGACCGCATCAAGCCCGTCTTGCCGGCCGACGCACCGACTTCTGCAACGTTATGTGCTGGCTCTCATGTCCTGGTCTTTTTTCACTGTAAAGAGTGGAGAAGAAGAAGCGAGAAGGAGAAAGAACAGGACAAGACTAGCCTCTCGGAAGGAAGTCCTCAATCTCACGCAACATCTTTTGGGCAATGTCTACTTGACCCTCGCCTGACCACAGAGATAGATGCTGCAATAGGACGCATGTGTATACGTCTGTGATCGACAGTCCAGACAGATAGGAGTATCAAGCGTGGGCGACGCTCTCCTCCACCGTATTTGTATGGTGCAGCATCAGCTTGATTGACGGCCACCGCTACGACATATATCGCGAACACCTTTTCCGTCCATCGAGTGGCCATCAGAGCGTTCTTCGGTCCGTTTCCAAGCTCCAGGCGCTGCACGGGCGGGTCGATCAGTGTGGTTGGAAGTCTTTTGGACTAAAGTATCAGAAGGACTTCGCAGATCCTAATTATCGGCTTCGATGCATGGAACCCTGCTTGTTTCGACCAAGTCTGCCAGGCACCAAAGGGTACTTGGAAGCAAAGCGTCGATCCGGTGGGGATAGATTGCTGATCCAGAAAGGAGACTTCTATCGACGTCGATGGCGGGATGCGACATTTCGGGTGGAGTGACATGGGATGAAGACGACCCTGCTTGTGGGATCATCAAGCAAAACACATGGCGTGCTCTGGTATCATTACGCAACAGCTTCTGGGCGGTTTCTGTTGAGCCTCCGCCTGATGAAGAATGCATTTCATGCACAAGAGCGCAAGTATATATGGCTTCGACCGACAGATCGAGCACAGTCTCGTTGCCAGCATAGCTTTGCTGCCTTGAGTGCTAGCAACACCCCTACCATCACAGCGGGATCATACCCTCGAGGAACGTGCAGCGGCACCACAGATCGACACCGGTCACACTGCGCAGAAGACGCAGCAGCTTCTGGACGATTTGCTCAATGCCATGGAGCTTGCGTCTTGTGTCCGCGACCCAAGCTGTGGCCACATCGTGGACAAGATTTTTCCCAAGTACTTCCCACCCTCTGAGAAAGCTACTGTCGATGGTACGTCTCTGCTGTCAGTAGGCATCAAGATGTCGACCGAAACAGATGTTAGTATACCTGAACATGGACGATGGGCGAGCCAGCTGGAGGATATATACGGCAAGATCCATCATCTTGCACGAGTATACGCATACTCTGACATTCGTCGCGCCTCCTCTTGCGAAAGAAGCGGACGATGGCGAATATATATGGTCCTTGGGAGGTCTGTGGGTTTGGCCATGGCGACGAATAACGCCGACAGGTAAGCCTATTGGTAGCTGAGACTCGACTCAAATGGCTAACATGATACAGTTATTCGTGGGCCGCCAACGAAATCGTCTGGACGGTACATTGTCAGAGGAAGCATTACGCAGGTCCAATTCAAGCTGTTGAACAGAGCTTAGGGCTTCTGCTGCACAGCTATGTTGGATATAGTTAACATACTTAGCAAATTCATCATCAAACAGGCGAGATGGCCGAGCGGTCTAAGGCGCCAGCTTAAGGTTCTTCCAATACGCTGGTCCGAAAGGGCGTGGGTTCAAATCCCACTCTCGTCACTATCTCTTTTGCTTTTTGCCATGACCATCCCGAGAAATCAAGAAGGCTGATGAAATGGAGCAAAAATGAACTCTTTGAAGTTTTTGACACGAGATTTGTGAGTGGGCTTTTTTGTGCGTGAAGCCTGGTGGGGCGTTGTGTAAGGCTTGGCGGTGTTTGTGCAAGCTGTTCATAATGTAACTAATGAATACACAAGACTCACGTATATTTGAGCATGGTCCTACTTTCTGGTCTCTTGCTGCTAAACATGTTACAAATACCCTCGCTTTCCATCGCATCAAATGACTAATTTACAGAATGTCCGATTGCTAATGATTTGCTGTTATATATACAGTTTTGGCTGAGCTGCAGGGAAGCATGTCCAGAAAACACTCTATCATAATTTCTGTGGCAAAGAACGCGTTTCTCCCTTCAAAATGAAGTCTTATATATTCATCTACATACGAAGATGATACTCAGCTATCAGAGAAGTCGAGCATGGCAGTGATGGTCGCGCGATTCTGTCCTACATGGAAAAACTGCTTGTGGTCAGGATCACCCTGGCCGATTCAGTTATCCTACCACACGGAAGAGATTCACAAAGTCCGCGACGATGAGCAGAAAATGACAAGTATTGCTAAAAACCAAAGGGGTGTATGTCTTGCATATCCAAAGAGAGCGGTCCTACAAGACTATCTAGGAAGGCCCACTCTTCATAGGCACCCACGTCCCATTAACCAACCAAGCCCCAGCCTTCGTATAATCACCCACCCCACTGCCATCCATATACGCAAACCTAAAGTACTCTGGCAACGTCTCATCATGTCTATTCCACGTCCACTCTCTACTTCCATTCTTCCACACTCCATCGATATCGTAATCAGCGTAACCCCTGAATCTCTCTACATCATTCACCAACACTGAAAAGCCGTCGTAACTGGGAGTGTTTTTTGTGCTGTCGACGGGAGGAATGGGACCAAGCGAGAAGGTGATGTTGAATGCACCGATGATGGGGGTGGGGATGTGAGGGAGCAGTGTATCTTGTGGTGCGTCGGAGAGGAGTTCGCCAGGTGTTTGGAGGATGCTATCGAACCCCCAGCGAGCGATGCCGTTGATGAAAAGACCACAGAGTAATCCTTGATACAGCAGACTAGGGCGATTCTGGAATGCAGTGCCAGGAAGCAGGAGTATAGCGAGGATGTAATGGTGAATGCGTAGATTCATGCCTGGGACTGCGAGGAGAAGGAGAATGCCCAAGACGAAGAGACCGTAGATGCCTAGGTAGCGGGGCATCCTGCCTTCGACGCGGAAAGCGTATGCTTGACCCAGAGCGATGAAGAAGATTATCAGCACGATGGAGATGAGAGCGGGTATGGCTCCTGGTTGTGCTTTTATGTCGTGAGGAGTAAGGCGTTGAATGGGAATGCGATCGAAGGTGTAGTTGTTGAGTGCGCCTACCCATGCAGCACCCAGCCACAGAACTGTTTTCTCGAATTGTGCGGTCAAGCCTGTAAGGGTGTAAAGTACGGCGTAGCGATAGATGATTGCCATGACAAAAGCGGCGGGAAGGAATCTTCCAAGCGCAGTGGAAATTAATGAGTAATAATCCGTAAGATTTGGCGGATCGGAAGCCAGACCCGTTTGGAAGAACAAGCCGACAAAGATGGACCAGAAGAATACAGCTGGTGATGTGGTGAAGAGAGATAGCATAGCGGTGAAGAAGACGGATACAGCGAGCAGAGGCCATCTCAAATCTCGACATTGCGACTGTGTGCCCTCTACAAACTGGAAAGAATGTGGAAAGTAAGATTCGAAACCAACACTGTCAATTCCGTTTTGCTTTACGCTAGGAAAGAAGTGTTGGTCACCAGTGAGTCTGAGGACACCGCAACCGCCTTGTTCGCTTTTGATGAAGCCTGCGTGAATGGCAGAGCCGCAGATGAAGCTGTCACTGCGGTAGACTGTACTCGAGATGGGCTCGCTCTTGTTCAGAGGCCCACCAACGACCAGAGGCTTGTATACGACTTCCTGGTCTCCAACAGCATGTGGAAACAAAACTTGAGTTTTGATACAGCCTGCAGGGCAACGAAAAGGCAGAGACGCATTGGAGAAAGGTCGACATTGGTCTCCGTTGATGCCGCAGCCATTGCCGTCGTTCCAGTATCTTGCCCCGCATCCCAGTCTTATCGGCGACCCATAGTCTTTTACATCGGCGGCAAAGGAGGATTTGTGCAGGACCAGGGCGAAAGAGAGGATCCAGCAGATGTAGAAGACGAATAGAATCCAGAAGCGTTGCATACGTTTGGGAGCATAGCGGTCCAACAAATTGAGGGGCGCATGTTGTATGCTTGGAAAAAATGGATCAATCTTGTATATCCTAGGAGGTTGGGGGCCCTTGACCCAAGTGACTACAGCGCTCGATATCTTCTTTAGCGGGGAGGGTATGTTGTCGCGGACTCTTTGCATCCATGGGTACTCTCGCGGCGTATCATGCTCTACAGGGTCGTCTATCGAAGTCGAGTGTAACAAGGGGTCCTCGGTGGAAGTGCGAAGTGGAGTCTCATCGTGGTAGCTCTCAAGCTGGTCGTCGTCACGCATGACTGCTGGGTGAATGTGGTCTAACTCGACTTTCCAATCCTCCTCTTAGCTATTGCGTCCAGATAAGAATGTCTTGAAAGGTGGAGATGGATATAGAGGACAGGAAGAAGGAGTCAGTGTGCCAAGTCGGTTGATTCATGGCGGGTGTGCAGCGAGTTGCGAGTATGCCATGCGACTTGTCAAGCGATGGACAAACGTTCGGCAAGGACGGGAACTTCGGATCCGCTTTGTCCATGTCGGTCATGACGCATGGACGAGCATCTTGGATATACCACTTACCTGTGTGTCTTGTGGATCGTATCTGTGTTGATGAAGGATGTTGAGATTCGCGATATTCTGCTCGTATCGCAACAGTAACAATGGTATCCCTGCATGAAGCAGGAGCGGTTGCATACAAAGCACGAATCAGGCAGGTGCGGATGAAGCGATAAGTTGATGACATATCGAGGTTTAACGCCGTTTAACGCCGTTATCATGATGGAAGGCAAGCATCCGCCGGCCTGATCGTACAGTATCTCTCTTTCCCTACACCCACCTCCATCAAGAAACATCATGTCGAGCACAAGTTCCAAGGATACGCGGCCGGCGCCCGCAGACCTGTCGCATCACCTCTCGCGCAACGCCGCAAGCAGACAACCTAGCTCAATCAAGCAGTTCTACAAGTACTTTGCTATTCCAGGCATCGGCCAACTAGCTGGTGGTCTCCCCAACCAATACTACTTCCCCTTCGACACACTTGAGGCAAAGGTCGCCCTGCCTGAGAGATGGAAGCCTACCGATAACACGCCTGTCGATCCTCCATCCGCCGCCACTTCGTCCCTCAAGAACGGAAGCCCTCTCCACCAGGCTCAGTCAGCATTGAAGGTTCCTCACACCTCACACGAACAGAACCCGCTCAAGAAGATTGACCTGGCCTCTGCTCTGCAATACGGTCAAGCCCAGGGATACCCACCGCTCTACAGCTTCCTCCGCCAATTTACACAGGAGAATCTACACCCCAACTGTCCTTACAAGGGCGGTCCTGACATCGTCCTTACCTGCGGAAGCACCGATGGTTTCTCCAAGGTCCTTGCTGCCCTGACCAACGAATGGAGTCAAGAGAAGGATTGGGTTCGCGACCGTCAAGGTCTGCTCGTTGAGGAATTCGCATACATGAACGCCATCCAAGCTGCAAGACCTAGAGGCCTCAACATCGCCCCAGTCAAGATCGACGATGAAGGTATGCTCCCCGAAGGTCCTGGTGGTCTTCGTGACGTGCTTGAGAACTGGGACTACAAGAAGGGAAAGAGACCTTCCTTGATGTACACCGTCACCATGGGCCAGAACCCAACTTCTGGGGTCCTCTCTCTGCAGCGCCGTCGTGAGCTCTACGCTCTCTGTTCCAAGTACGATGTCATCATCGTAGAAGACGACCCATACTGGTACCTGCAGTTCCCTTCCTCAACAAACTCGGACAAGGTCTTTACCCCCCAATCATCAAAATGGAAGTCATCAGGCTACGATTTCCTCGACTCACTCGTCCCCTCCTACATCAACGTCGACATCGACGGCCGCGTCCTCCGTCTGGACACCTTCTCCAAGACCGTAGCTCCCGGCTGCCGTCTCGGCTGGATCTCAGGCCAACCCGCCCTGATCGAACGCATCCTCCGCCTCACAGAAACAAGCACACAGCAACCTTCTGGCTTTGTACAATCCATGATCGCCGAACTCATCATCGGGCCCCAAGCCGACGACATCGATCCAGGCAAGGGCCCCCAGAACGGCAAAGGCTGGAGCACAGCTGGCTGGGTGCGCTGGCTGGAGGGCCTCCGTGGCAACTACGAGCGCCGCATGAACGCCATGTGCAGCGTCCTCGACACGGGCCGCGAACTTGTCAAAGTGGGCCGCAGGAACTCCTTGTCCAACCTCTCGTTGGACTCTGACGACGAATGGGCAGTCGTTCAAACCAGCACCGCATACTCCTTCGACTGGCCCGTTGGTGGTATGTTCGTGTGGCTGAAACTGCACTTCGAAACCCACCCTCTCGCCTCCAAAGTCGCTCACGCACGTCTCTCCCGCGCCCTCTGGCTCTTTTGGACCACAAAGCCGTATCTCGTGCTCGTTTCACCAGGCTTGATTTTCTCACCCACAGAAGAGATTAGAAACAGAGATGGATACAAGTTTTTCAGACTGTGCTTTGCGGCTTGCGATGACAAGGAGATTGAACCCATCAGCAGACGCTTTGTAGATGGTGTGCAGGACTTTTGGAAGATCAAGAACGTCAAGAAGATTGATGAATTGCTCGAAGAGGAAGGTGAGGGTGTGGAGCAGAGGAGCAGTGAGGCTGGTATGGCACAGTTGGCAAGTTTCATGGGTCCCTGTTAAATTGTTCACCAGGTATATGGACAAGGCGTTTTTAGAGAAAGGAAGCAACAGGGGGCAAACAAATTGAATAATAGGTACATCCTTGGATATGAGGAATTTACAAACACTTTGACAACCATTTCAATGTCCATGCTGCCCTTGGCCCCCTCCCAACAACACTTCCAACATGTCAAACTCTCCGATCCCTGGGCCAAAGCAATTCGCCGTGACATCCTGCCCTCCAGCCTGTAAGATCGGGTCCAGCGGCAAAGCCAACCAGTCATATCCATCATCCGCACCCACAAAACTTGCGTCTCCGTATGGGTTGTAAAAGTCCTGAGGATCATGCGTATCGGACGCAGGTAGACCGTGCTGATTGAACACCTCTGTAGGCGGCGGCATGATGGAAAATGCATTGTTGCCGTCGCTGATATCGTAGGTTTGGGTGGGGATACCATAGAGCGCTTGAGCATTTGCGTTTGCGTCTCTGTTTCCTTGCTGTGCTTGTGGGTCAGAGAAGCCATTGGTGGGGAAGGCGGGCATGTGCTCGGTAGTCCTGTTTTGGAGGTTGCTGCCAGGAGAGGCAGGACGTGAAGATACGCGGCTGGCGGCATTGGCAGAGGAGGCGCCGGTTGTGCGTGACATGCGCACGATCATGGGTCGCAGGCGATTGGTGATTACTTCCAAGAAGTTTGAGAAGCGGTTGCTGAGGTGTACGTCGTCGACGACGTGGTTGCGCATTACTTGCACAGTGCGATCCATTAGGTTCAGAGATAGCGCCATCTCATTTTCAAAGGCACCAAAGGCAAATGTCTGTAACAAGATCATCAGCATTATCTCGTGGCCAAGGCGGAGGAGAGCTTACCTTGACCAGCACCAACGTGACAGACACGATGCGGAAAAATGTACGGACTGGTGCATGCTTGAGATACCCACCGGGAGCCAGACCATCTACAACGACTCTTAGGACATTGCGGCAAGCCTGCATTACTTCATCCACGTGCTGTCTGTCGCTGCCAAACCACTGGTCAAGCACATTGGGAGGGATGATTTTGCCGGCAGCTCCCGTGTTGTTATTCGCACATCTCTCAACCACAGCTTGCAACGCTAATTGATGCAGAATCACTCGAGTATGCTCATACTCGATTATCAGAACATGACGAAGTAATATTGGGACTGTGTAAGAGTCAGCGCTATTCTCTCCAAGAGCCAGCTTAAACCACTCACTGTTTCGGTATGCTTCAAACTCTCTCCGCCATTGCACCAACGACGGCTTTATACGTTGCAACAACTCTCTGTATTTTCCCGTCTTGATGATCTCACGAGTCTGCTGTCTATTTGCGTACAATTCTTCGTTGTTGATCTTGACTAGTGTAGCCAGACGTAACCAGAAATGAAGAACGATATCTTTGGTATCCTTGAAACTCGATCGCTTCGGGTTGTACAGTTCACTCAGGGAAGGCTCAGCGTATCCTTGAGGAAGCATGGCCGTTACACCCATCCGTCCACTGGTCTGCGTGATGTATCCTAGGATTACACTTTTGACGTGCAGTCGTCTCCGCTGGTAGATTTCCTGCTGTGCCGGGGATATGCCTTGTAAATGTCTCGAGCAGTCCGGATCGAAGACTCCGATTTGCGAAGCTACTGTCATTGCCATGTTGAGAAGGATCCAGCACATGCGATCACTTCTAAAACAAGGCTCTAACCATGAAGTCAATGCATGGCCTCCTTGGCCCTTGTCAGGACTTGATGTGCTCTCGTTGATCGAGGCCATTGGATCCACAGGGGCCATAAGTTGGGTGTCATCCTCATCTGCAGGGAAATGCATCATTCTCGGATGCCATTCAGTCAACAACAGCAAACTTTCAACTGTGCCTAGAGTCAAAAGACCTTTGCGGGAAAGAGGGTTGACATCACAGCCCGGTTGTGTCTCATCAGGATGGAGCGTAGTTCCAGACAACTCACGTCCCCAGACGATACGATCAATGATACGCTGAACAAACGGCCAAAGTCTGGCGTGGATGGAATGCGATCGACTAGTAGCACCAGGTCCAGATAACGTCATGTAACGCGATGCAATCATGAGCATGGTAACGGCAAGCATGGGTTCGTTCTCCAACAAAGCTCCATGCTTGTCAGGTCCACGATAGTCCGGAAGAGCAATCGGTGTCAGTGGTGACATGTAGGTATAGAAGTACTCGATATAATCCATGCCTTCCTTGATGGTGAACCAGCCATTGCGAACGAACCTGAAACGCGACCATGCGGCATAAGCCGAAGCGTAATCTGCTGAAGAGGAAGGTCGAGCAGTTGAGGTCGGTTGCTGCATGATGGCAGGGTCTATCGAGGCATCCGGCGGCGGTGGTTTCGAAGCTGAAGGTAGTGGTAATTCGGCCGGACTAGGCAAAGATGAAGCATACTTGTTCGCATCGCTAGCACTGCCGGTACGGTGATTGGCCGTGGCAGCTTCGATCAAGACATTCAAGGCATCGTGACCGTTGTGTAGTTCTGCGGTCTGTAAGAGAGCGGCAGTATGACTGTTGACATGATCGTCTGCTTCATCACCTGGGTACGCTGTTTGAGATGTCGAGTGTGGCCGGCGTAGAGGCTGTTGACGGCCCATAGAACCTCCAGGCGTCAAAGGGCGTGGTATATAGGGTGCAGCGACAGGTACTGGGGAATGTGGACTGCGAGCATCCGAGTCGACCGACTCGGCGACATTGTGCTTCAACCTCTTGCGTCCTCCTCGAATCTCGTAGTCGTTGGGATCGACCTCATCTCCAACAGTTCCAGAATCGGCGGCCCTCTTCTTCCTTCTGGTGGCGGAGAAGAAGCATTCTTTTGCTTCGCGACGACAGCGGACACACGGAGGGTCGTGGGGGTTGTCGACTGGACCGAGATCACAACGGACCTGACAATGGTCAACGAGCGTGTCTGACTAGATGCTGTACATATGTACCTTTCTCCGCCGGCACGGTATGCACGCCTGGTATGTCCTACTGTGCTTGTTATCAACACCATCGGCATCCATGGCATCCATGATTCGGCGCAGCACAAGACGGCAAAGCGCGCTTTGTGTCGGCTGTATCAAGCAGCGAATACCTACCCCGCCACTGGCACGGCGACTCTTAATACCGTGATAGTGTAACGCGATGGATGAGAATCGCGTCTCGCTACTGTGCAATGTCGAGAAGAGTGGTCCTGCGAGTCGATGAGACAGCGGACGCGTTGGCTGAGAGAAGGACAAACGGAACAAAAGAAGAAAAATGATGCAGAGTGACCGAATCAAGATGCCAAGCGAATCAGAGCTCGCGTCAATGCTATAAGCTCTGCCTGCTGTATAGTAGATGGCTTTAGCAAAGGAGACTGGGACCCTATGAGATCCAAGCCATTGTAGCAGAACAGATAGTCCTTATCAGCGGGTTGGTCACACTTAGTCTTTGAGATATTCCAATGATGGGTCACGTGCAGTTCAACACTGGTGTTGGCTCGCAGGCATGGAGCATGGATCATGGCCAGTAGACGAGGAGATAGTACAGGAGCATACTAAATGGCTCTCTGAACCCAGCGAAGAGACGAATAAAATGTTGATATGAAATGGCTGCAGTCGATGAGACAGACTCGCATCGCGATCACGTGCGCGCATGGAAAGCGGAGGATGACGCTCGTCCAGATGGAAATCTTGCAAGCCCGCCAAAGAGACGGCGCTGCGACTGGCGACTCCAAGTTGAAAGCGACCAAACTCTCGACCAACAAACAACCACTCCGACCTACCTCATCCTCTCACACCTCTCCACACATACACCGCCGAAATGGTCAAGCTCGAAGAAGTTCTCGACGAGGAGTTCAACAGAGAACAGGCCGGCCCCCAGGTCGACGACGAATGGGACACCAGCGATGGTACGCATTTGCACCTAAGCACCTGCCCAACACCGAAACTCTTGATCCAACACCAGCCCAAACACCCTACAGAAAGCAGAAGAACCAAGAACTAACACACCCGCCGCAGAGTCCGAAGCCTCAGAGGACGAAGAGGAATACATGCCCGACGAGACCTTCGCAGACAGACTCGCCGCCCTCAAGGACATCGTTCCCCCTACATACCGCAAGCACCTCTCCAACACCCTCTCCACAACCTCTTCCTGGGTCCAGACCACACTCAACTACGGCGGAAAGACTCTGTGGGTCGTCAGCACCAGCGTCTTGCTCTTGGGTGTCCCGTGGGCATTGGCCTTTGCCGAGGAGCAGCAGATGGCAGAGATGGAGAGGGAAATGAAGATGCAGCAGAGTGCCAATGAGGCGAGTTCTTGCAACACATGTTCGAGTCCAGGGGGATCGTGGCTAACAGGAATCACAGCTTCTCACTCAGCAGCAACAATCGCAGGCAAAGCCCGCTCTGTAAATGGCTTACGTCTGCTCTGCTCGTTTTTTTGCATCACTGCTGTTTATGCTCATGTATTAAAAAATCCGCCCTTGTTTCTCCTCCCTTGTACAAATATTTCCTTTGGTGGCGGCTGGAGCGAACGAAAGAAATGCCATCGATTCTACCACTTCCAACTTTGATGTTCCAGATCTCATGCGCCTAATGCATTGTTGCTTAGGATCCGCTACCCGAGCTTCATACAGCTAGCATGGGGTTGTGCACCTCTGGAAGAAGACTCTGTTGAACATGTGGATGTGAACAGATAAAACGCGCTTTTTCGTGGCTATTCGATACAGAAGAAACAAAAACCAACCACCCAATGCTCATATGTGATCTTCACACCACAAGACCTAGACTACTTTTCATCTCTCCTCTCAACTCTCCATCAACCTTACTCAAGGCTTGTTTGAACGCCTGCTCTTGCCAGGTCTTTGAGCCTTCTTTCCACCCTTCATCTTCTTTGACGAGTAACCAGACATGTCACTCGATGACTTTGCGTCGTTGCTCTTGGAGAAGCGCTTTTTGCCTCCGAAGCCGTACTTTTCGTCGCGCTTGACACGCTTGAAGCCACTCTTGCCGCCGCGGGAATCGGCACCACCGGCCTTGCGGGCGGCCTTGTCTTTCTTTTCCGTCTCGGCGGCGTCTTCGAGGGCGACGTCGAACATGTCGTCTTCGTTTGCGTTGCCAATGTCTTCTCCCTTTCTCTCTGTTTCATGTAATTAGCTCTGTGTGTCTGTGTATTAGGATGAGATGAGTCCAACTTACTTCTCTTGAGAAGCTGGATCTTGTCCATGGTGTCCTTCTTCTCGCGACTTCTCTCCTGCAGTTTAGCGACTTGGACTTGTTTTCCAAACTTCTTGAGATCTCTTTGTCTTCGTGCTTCGGCAGAAGCCTTTTTGCTCGCTGCCTCATCGATCAACTTGCTCTTGATCTTGCCCATATGCTCGTCGCTCTTGACCATCTCGGCAAAGTAGTCTGCAGGACGGGAGAATGGTACACCTTCCTTCTTGAGCAGACTGCGGGCTGTGGTAACGGCGTCCAGAGATTGCTTGTAGAAGGCGAGTTCGCGGTTGAGATCGTCGTCAATGTCGGGGATGTCGGTGGGGGCGTCGCTGACGATGACTTGGTTCTCGGAGAAGGGGAGCTTGGAGGAGAGAGCAAAAGACTTTACGGCGCGTAAGAGGGCGGCTGTGTTGTTGATAGTGAGGCGCTGGTGTGGGATAATGTCGCCCTTGTCCTCCGAAGCCACGGATTCCAGATCTGAGAGCGCGATATCCTCATCTTCCTCGTCGTCATCATCCTCGTCGTCGTCCATCTCGGCACCTCCATTAATGTCGTCCTCGGAATCAGACTCGTCTTCAGAATCGTCCTCGACCAGTCTTGCAATGTTTTTCTAGCGCGAAGAGTCAGCGAAACGTACGCGCAACATGCCACAAGCAAGCGGCGCAACAAAGAAAAACATACAGCATGTGTCTTGTCCTCATCATCCGTCTCCCACTCCTCCTCTACCTCCTCGTCCTCTTGCTCGACCTTTGCGCGCTTTGCACCCTTCTTATCCTTCTTTCCCTTCTTTTCACCAGCAGCACCAACCACAGCCTCCTCAGCCTCCTTTATCACATCCTCGAGGACAGCCTCGTCTTCCTGGTCCTCGACTCTCGATCTCTTTCTCTTCTCGGCGGCTTTTTGCTGTTTCTTTTGGCGTTCGAGCTTGTGGTCGACGCCCTTTTCGCGATCCAGCGCGGCCAGCAATTTGCTTCCCTTGACCATTGTTGTGTCTGATGTGTGAGGTGTGGTTGTCGAGTTATGAGATCAGAAGTTCTAGGAACTTTTTTTCTTTGGGCACGGAAGTCTCGAAAGTCGGACCTTGCAAAGGCTCAAAACGCCGCTTCTTGTTTGCGGGGAACCTTATTTTGTGTATGCATAACGCGGCCTGGCTTTTATGTATGAGACTGCGACATCTCCAGGCCATCACCATCACCGATACCCTGATTGGCATTGCATATAATCCTCCGGCACTTTGCTCCCTCGTCCTCACAAATGTCTCAATCGCACGCAGAAAAAGACGTCAATCTCAGCATGGCAGATCTCAACATCAACAAAGACCACGATACCACCGATTCATCAAATGTACTGCAGCGCTCTCCTTGGATAGCACGATCATCAACATAGGCTAGGATGGCTGATATTATCGTTTCTGTAGGGAGCAGAAGCCGCTTCATCAGAAGACCTAGCCACCGTTGTCGATGACCTCTTAAATCAGCTGTCTACAAAGTTCACAAACATCTCTTCGGATCTGCTTACAAAGAGTGAGTTGTTCAAGTCTCTTGAATTCACACCTCTCTCTACGGAACGTGTATGACTGATGCTTTGTTCAAACAGTGGATGAGATGTCCAGACGTCTCGACAATCTCGAGGCTTCCATCCAAGCATCTGCGAGATCCCAGAATGAAGAGTCGAAATGAGGGATTTATCTGTTATCAATCTTAGGTATAATGTACTGCGACGTTTTCATCCAGCACCAACTGGAAACAGATCACCAGAGCAGCTGCCAAAACAGGCTGGACCACACCATTCTAGCCTGAATCAGTAAGCATAATTTGCTCCATTGCTCCTTCCTTCTCGTTTGAACACCATGTGGAGGGTCTCTCGCAAGCGAATTAGACGAATACACGATACAGGAACAACTATCCTAGTCAAGTTCTATACATCCGTTTTGTAGGCACTGACTCAGTCAATCATGATAACATCAGGCTCCTCCTCCTTCTCCTCTGCCTTCCTCCCCTTTTGTAGAGTCTCCCACCATTTCTTGACCATTGCAACTTTTTCTCTCTCCTCATCCCCGATCTCAACTGGTGGGCCAGTGACTTCTTCCCTGATGCCGTCTTCACCGACATTTTGGCTAGTGCCCTTGCGAGCCCACACTGGTCTATCGTCTTCCTCTTCTTGACCTTCGTAGTTCAGAGCAGCAGAGGGTTCACCATACCGCCACACACACCATCCGCTAGCGGCAGTAGACAAGAGGTAGTTCTTGTGGTTGCGGGACCTTACCACGAAACCGCAAAGCAGGACCACGTCTCCAGGGGATGCTTTGGGGAGGCTTTGTCTGAAGGGACGGAAGATCTCGATTTTGACGTCTTTCATGCTCTCTCCTTCTGCCGTGTCTTGAGATGCGGTGTTGTATTCGTGGAGTGGTTGATCAATCACTCTGAATGTGGTATAATAGTCTTTGGGTCCAGATCTGGCGCGTTCAGGTTCAGCAGTGGCGGTGGTACAGACGGCAACGATATCGATCAGGGAGGACTGCTGGTTGAGATGTTGGTGAAGGCCTGCCAGTGGTGTGAAATATGATAGGGATGTCGATGTGCCCTGAGATGCATAACGTTGCAGCGGTGGCGGCGAGATTGATTCCTGCCTGTCGCGAGAGGATGCAGCGGGAGCCTTTGTTGGCGTCTCCTGCACAAACGAAGTGCTGGAGGTCGTGGCTTTGTGCTCGGTTGCCGACTTTTGAACTTCCATGATGCGGCGTGGCGTGCCGAACCAGGAGCCTATGACAGGCACTTCACTCATTCTAGAGCTCAATGCGTTACGCCAGGTCTGCGATGGCGCGGATTGAGGTCCCGTTGGCGCTACGGTCTTGCTTTTGATAGGTGTACCGAAGAGAGAGGCTTCGACCTCTGCGAACGGCTTGAGTGTGGGCTTGAGCTGGAACTCGCTCGATGCCTTTTGCACCTCAGTGACTTGTGGCTGCTCTACTGCGACAGTAGCTTCTGATTCCGGCGCCGTCGTGGTAGGTGCGGTCTCTTTGACTGCTAGAGGCTCTTGCGCAGATTGTGATTGTATCTCGGGGGCCGGGGTCGGTGCAGAGTCCAGACTGGTATCGATCTCATTTTGAACTTGCTTGTCGCTCTTGACCGAACCTTCCGTCACTTTCGGAATATCTGTAGACGCTACCGGAGCCTGAGAAAACACATCGTTCATCTCTTCATCTTGCACAGTCTGTTCTCCGCTGACCCGAGTTTGCTGTTCAGTTTCACCAGTCTGCTGTTCAGTTTCACCAGTCTGCTGTTCTTCTCCTCCGATAGACGACCGCGCCTCCAGTGATCTCCGCCCTCTGAACAGCGTCAAAGGTCTTGCGGGCTTCTTTGTGCTCACCGGAGTGGAAGGTACTGACGGAAGCTCAGATGGTGTCGGGATCGCCTCAGGCTCAGTAACAGCTTGAGCATAATCTGCAAGCAGTTCATCGTCGATACCCACCTGAGATTGCAACCCGCGTGCAGTCTCTTCCTCGTCGTCAGAAAGTGGCGTCTCTACGATAGTGGAAAGCTGCGATTGTATTCCCGATGGACTACGCACTTGCTTCTGAACCTGAGAGAAGGCAGTGCCTAGCTCCTGCGATGGCTGTACCAGACTTTCTTTCAGCAGTTTCGGAACATCATTTGAAGGGGAAGCTTGAGCTGCTGGTTCTTGGCTTGAAGATTCACTACGATCATTGATGGTTTCTGCTTCCAGATCGGTCGCTTCTTCGTCGGCACTGTCAGGAATCGTCTCGCTTCTGGTGTGCGCGCGGGAGGAACGTGATTGCGAGAACTGAGAGAGACGTGATGTCCAGGATGGTTCGGCCTGAGAGAGATCGAGCTCCTCAATAGGCTGCTCAAGCACCTGAGAAGCGACATGGCTGTCCTGGGCTGCGCTGTCAATAATAGCCTCCGTTAGCTGTACCGCAGCGGCAGCTGGGGTAGGACTTAGAGTCCTGAAGCTGGAGCTTGACAACGGACGCGATTCATCTTCAGGTCTCTGTGTGTTCTCCTGTTCGGCATCAAAAGCCGGAGATGCCTCTGCGTCCATGTTGTCCACCTCGGGCTGTGCAATGGTTTCGGGGTCTTCTTCGACACTCTCCTGGATTTCGGACTTGACAGGGGTTTCTTGGACCTGGCCGCCATCTTCCTCGTCAATCCGACTAGGTAAAGATACATCCGTCATAAGCTCATCCATGACACTTGTGACCTCCTCTCCGAGACTCTGGCGATTGCTCTCTTCATCATCATCGATTGAGAGAGCGGCAGGCTCGGGAGCTTCTGACATCGCCTCGTCAGCCTGTGGCAGACTATGATGATCGCTTGATGGCGCATCATCATGACTCTCTACAAGCAGAGCAGGGTTAATCTCGTGCTCTTCCTGTAGTAACGCAGGATCGATCTCATATCCTTCAGACTGTGAAGAATTTTCGAGTAAGGCAGGATCGATTTCGTATTCCTCTTCAAGCAGTGCGGGATCAATCTCGTGCCCATCAACTGACTCTGTAGAATCTGCCTCGACACCCATGGCTTCGGAACCATCCTCGTCGGCTTCAGATTCGACTTCGTCAGCTTCAGATTCGTCCTCATCTGCTTCGGATTGAGATTCGATGGGATCTTCGATTGAGTGCGATCGGGGAGAGCTCACACCTTCTACACTTGCCCGTTCATCTTGAGCTGGGTCTGCTAGAGGGAACGCAGTGGCCTCCAAATCGACTTCTGGTGCTACCAGGTTCTCTGGCTCTACCTTTGATCGCTCAGATGGTTTGGCCGCGTTCCCTGGGATACCGTGCTGCTCTACGGAGCTGATTGGGCCCGTTGAAGCTAAATCTGCCTGTTCTTGGACAACCTGAGGCACGGATGCGTCGTTTTCGTCTTTGTCCTGGACAGCTGGTTGCTTTTGTATTTCGTGGTCTTCCACTTGAGGGGGGATCGGTGCATCTTGTCGGTCAACTCGTTGTGATTTTGCTCCACGAGGCATATGATGGTAGTTGTGTTTGAACAGCTTTAAGAAGTCTGTGAAGCCATCGAAACAATAGTCTCGCTTCTCCTCAAGTTCCTCAAGATATTCAAGCAGATCAGGTGGTTGGCTCATGTGATACTTCTCTTCGTTCGAAAGCTCATTGTAAATTTTCCAACAAACACCGACGAGGACTTCGTCTTCCTTTAGCCGATACTTTACCCCCTCTGCGAAGATGTTGCCACTCTTGGCGGCAACTACCACGGTGCTTCCAATCTGGCATACAGCCCTCAAAGCATTGTACTTGGTCCATCTCGTGCTCTGGCTGTTCGCCTTATCTGAGATCCTCTTAAGCTCTGAGCGAATTCTACTAGTAGCAGGCCCGCTGAGCTCGAGATGAGCATCTTTCTCTTTGTTGTTGAGCAGGGATTCGGCGAGGCTGACTGACGACATGAAATTCATTGTTTCAGGCACAATGGGACCAGAATTGCTGTCACCTTCTCCTTCCGAATCGGAATCATCTAGTAGCTCAACAACGTCAAGTCTAGATGAAGAGACCGGCGGAGCATGTTGAGGCGCATGTGCTTGAATTATTGGTTCAATGGTCCGAGGTTGGACCTGTTGAGTTTGTTGAGCAAGTGTCTCGACAGCAGCATCTCTGTCGCGCCAGGCGATGGTCTCATCTCCCGCCACAGAGCCAGTCTGTGATGTAGCTTGAGAAGGTAAAGCAGTTCTCGTCTCTGTCAGCGAACGCGCTCCATCTAAGCCAAAAGGATGGCTGTACATGGCATTCTCAGGCACAGAAGGTTGATAAGACTGATCCATCATCTCGACTTCTGATTCTCCACTAGACTCGTCATCAGAAGCAGGCATCACAGCGTGGTCAAAGTATCCTGAGCTGTCGGAATCATCATCATCATCGGCGCTATCATCGTCACTTCTCGCTAAGATGTCTTCACCGAGCTCGGAGTTGTCGTCGTGCATCACAGCATCGTCTGCATCATACACTTGGAGTTCGTCGTCCGCTTCAACAAGACCAGAGTCTCGGGCAGTCAAATCCTCTCTTGACTGTTGAAGAGCAGCTTCTTCTTGCTCAAGTTTGCGTTCCAGGTAACTCCAATCCGGTTCCTCGATGGCACCTTCATCGCCACTCTCCTCCTGTAGAGCTATGATCTGCTCGGCATCATATATCGAGGATGCTTCGTCCGACTCTGATTCGTCACTGGATGACGCCGTATCGTCATCAGCTTTGTTGAGAGCAACTGCTGATGGTTTACTAGGAGATGCAGCAGTATCCTCAGCATAGCCATCATAGGTATCTGCAACAATGCGAGGCTTCTGTGTGGTTGCTTCTGCTTGTTGGCCTGACTCTGGCAGTGATGGGTCCGCGGTCTCCTGAATCGTTTTAGATGGTTGCGCAAACTCTTGTGCTCCTACCATGTTGTCTTTTGGCGAATGCTTTACTTGAGACTCGGGAACGGGCGATGGATTCCGAGGGGTTTCCGTGATGCTGCTTGTGCGAGTAGCAGTCTCTGCTGCGTCTTCTGTAGCTGTTTGCTGTTCTGCGACGCCTAAAGCTCCTGTTGCCTTCGAGAAGACGGGCGAAGGCATCTTCTGTGCACTTGTCGGGAATGGCGATGGTAAAGGCAGGCCCTCAGTGAGAAGTGGTTGTAGAGTGGGCGTTACGGGCCTATCGCTGTTTCGGGCACGCGCCATCTGTTCTAGGAGCTCGCTCTCGGTCGGTAGTACAGTCAAGCGTGGCAAACCCGAAGGAGGCATATTTAAGGAGGGCGCAACTTCAATACGGGAAGTTACAGAACTTTCCAGGGCCCGCGACACTCCTTCCGATACAGTGTCTTCCAGGTTGGTGGCTTTAGCAGGTTGTTGAACAGCTGCGTCAACCACTCCCTCCTCTGGTGCTTGTACAGAAGGCGGTTCTGCTGCGGACCTTGTAGGAACCCCGGTCACGGGTGAGTCTTCCTCAGCAGTGACCGCTGGAAGAACCTGTGCAATGATACTTGACGCAGGCTGTGCAGCAGCAATTGCCTCGCTGCTCCGTACCTCAGATTCAGGCTGATCAATTTGTCGATCTGCCCTCTTGGCCGGTTCATTCGCATCTTGCATTTCCAAATCATGAGTTTGCTCGGTCACGCTGCCGGCTCCTCTAGTGGCTGTTGCTGGCACTGCCGTCCCGGTGACCGAACTGCCGTCTCCATCGGCGTCCTCCAAAACACCATCTTGCTCTTTCTCGGGGGAGGGTTCCCGGGTATCGAACTTCCATTCTGACACATTCTTGTATGAAACTCTCCTTCTCTTGCGCGAAGCGACAGTGTCTTGATCGTCATCTTCTGATACGGAGACGGGGGTGTATGGTGCAGCTCCTTCAGATAAGCGTAAACGTTTCATGAAAGCTGGAGAAGAATAGACAGCAACTCCGTAGGCATCAAAAGAAGTACGAGGCTTGGATCGTGCGACAGGCGTACTCGGCGGCAGCATACTGGACGTCGGTGATGTGGGCTGGGTGGGCTCATCTATGTCGATTGTCTTCAGTTCTTTCTCTCCTCGCGTAATAATCATATGCAGCCGATTATCGAATATAAGCTCGCCGTCGACACTTCTACCAGGCGTCTTGACCAAGGATTCAGTCAGCCATTTCGCGCCCACAAGCGCGATTTGCACGCTGTCTCCAATACCGATACCCGATGTGGCGATCTGGTGTGCACTCGGCCCAGTGAATCGTACGCGTACTTGGCCTTTCTGGTATCGCTGTCGCGCGTCCGGGTCGGCCAAGAGAAGAGCGCATTGTCCGGTCGCTGAAGAGAATGGCCATATCAAGGTAACCAGTGCCTTGAACCCACAGTTGGCGGGCAGTGCCGAAGAAGGCGACAAGGAGGATATAGAAACTATCTCCATACTGTATATAACTTACCACATCTCTCGGCCGGCGAAGAATGGCATAATTGGTGGTTGAGCATCGCGACAAAGGCTTCGTGGAGAGCCGCCGTGTCTGAGAAATCGAAGCTCTTTTGCGGGGGAATGACGTTCACGTGAAATGCTAACAAAGAACGACCTTGGAATGTCTTTGACAAAAGTTATTATACAGTAGAGAGGCTATCTATAGCGGTATGATTCTATGGAAAAGGGTTCATCTAGTGATTGATGAATGGAAAGCGCTAGGTCTTGATGCGATGATATATCTCCTTGCAGGGGCCTGCAGAGTCTCGCTAATCGACCCCTTCGACATCGACCACATCAGATGTTGCAGCCAAGAGGCGTGGCAGCATAGAGGTCAAGCACACTAGTACGGTTGAAATAGCCGTCAATGCTGCGGATCTTGAGCACGCTGTCCTTGGCGGGTGGACCTTGAGCCCAGGCATTGCCTGTTAAGAGATAGGTCAGCTACTACGCGATGAGTGAGCTAGAATGAGTTTTGAACGCACCATTGCTCCAGTTGTTCCACAGCCAAAATCCTGGAGTTGTAGGTACTATCTCGGGTGTCAGCATGTATTCCGATGATACCATCGAATATTTTTCGCTTACCATTATCAGTGATAGTCTGAACCAGCTTTCCATCAATGAAGAATTGGGCCTTTTCTGGAATCCAATCGACACGATACTCATGGTAAGCAGTAGTTGCATCATTGGGTGCCGAAACCTGGTAAGATGAGGGAGGACTGGTTGGGGAGACCTGCTCGTTGGTCAAGTGAGCGAAACCAGGGCTGGAGGTCAGGAATGCAAAGTCAATCTCCTGGCTGTCGTTTGAATAGAAGCTGAATCCGTGCGTGGTACCAGGAACACTCGATATCTTGGCGACGGTACGAACAGAGCCGTAGAGGATATCATCGTAAGCCGTGGTGAACTGGGCAGAAGAGATGGGACCCTGTTTTTGACCACCGGGAACGGTCAAAGTCATCGAAGGGTCAAGAAGTGAGATACCAATGTTGACCAGGTCGAAGCGGCGAGAAAGAGGGGAGTTGCCAGCTTCGACTGTGTAGATGGAAGATACGAGATCTTCGACGATTCCGATTCCCGTAGACAGAAGGGTGAAATAGTTATCCCAAGCATAGTTGAATTTGGTGGTGAAAAGGCCGACATTGGGGACTTTGTAGTAGCACCCACCCTTGGTCAGAGAGCCAGCAGCTGAGGACGTATAACGCTTCTCGAGTGATTGTTCTGCACTGGAGCCTGCTGACATGGCACTGATAAGCATCAAGTAGACGGCGGTGTTCTTGTTGGCAACCATCTTGGAAAATGGAGGGGTGCTTTGGAAAGGACTGTATGGAATTAAAAGTTTAACGAGTGTGCTGCAAACAAGCTGCCTCTGGAAGAGCGAAAGGAATTGTTGACGATAACTCACTCAGCCTCGAGGCGAGCCCCTCAAATTATATTCCTGAGTTTCTAGAGTCAAGACCCACGCATTCAATAGGACAATATTGTAGAAGCTCGCATTCCTGGTTGCACAACCGTCAACGTCGAAGCTGCAACGGCGCGGTGGTGAAGTACCAACACACATGGTATTCCATGGCCAGATTTCGGAAAGGTTACAAAGATGAACCGCAACCAGAAACAAGCAGGTCGAACACGAGCAAATGGAGACGCTGGACTCATGATCTTGTACAGGCATTCCTGTATACTTACGTAGCAAACGAATCTTGCAATGTGACCGAGTCAAGTGCCGACTGAATTGGGTCGGCGAATAAACGTTGAGAACGTCGAATGCTTGGTACGATAATTCCATGATTCGAACCGGTGTGAGTATCTGCCGGGTTGCATTTGCAGTGCTTGCTTAAACCTCTCTGGCAGAAGCGCGTAAGGCGTACAGCTGTAGAAACGCACAATGCCTTCCGAGATATAGAACAGTGTCCATTGAAATGCAACATATCCTGGGTCCTCTTTGGACACGCCTGGGTTTCAGATCCCACTGTGCTTTCTCACAGCGAGGACGTGGTCTCCAAGCTTTTTGGGAGAAGCGTAGAAGACACAGACTTTAGCACACCAGAGTGACGTTCCAACTTTTGCTAGTGTCATCTACCAAGAGGGGTCCGGTCACGGCAGGTCTAGAAACCAGTGTCCGGCGGGGAGCAGTGTCCACCCTCCCACTAGATGGCACTCACATAACGACAGATATTGCCCACCCAACCCCCCGAGGGGGGCTTGAAAAAGTGTTCTTGAGTATGGCGAGGTGCAATTCTATATCCTCTGCAAGTTTGGAACAGATCGAGAACAGTCAGAATGTCCGCGTACCCGAGAGCACACATTTTGTTAAGGAGAGGCGGACACTGTAGCCTTGGCGGACACTGGTTTCTAGCCTTTCCGGTCCGGTCAGTGCAATGTTATCGACAGTGTTCTGCATGCATTTAGCTGACAAAACCCATAGTGGAAGTTTCAACTCCTGCCGCGACCAGATGGAGGTACAAGGTGACAGCAGCATTATCTCTGGCCCTAACTTGCAGTCCGCATTGATCGTCATGGTCGGCCATAATGAGATCGCGTGGGTTTACAGCCTCGTGGGCAGTGCGGGCTAAAACAATGGTGGCATGGTGCAGCCAGAAGCCGAAGACGATTAGGTAGTTCAAAACGACAGAAAGGGGACCGCACGAGTCATGCTCGAGTCCACATTAGAGGTTATGTATTGCGGAAGGGCAAGGGCTGCAAGGCAGAGAGAGAGATGAGGTGATGAGGCTGTTGACGGTCGAAGAAACTCTCGGCCGCTCCCGTTGCCAAGCCGCGACATGTGAGCTCTCCTGCATTCGGAACATCAACGCTAGGTAGAGAGGCCATCTCCAACCTTTCGCTGGGCTAGATGCTCGACGATTCTGCGTTGAAGTAGGTAATTGTGGGACAAGACCAAGTGCGACTTCTTGATGACAGCGACAAAAACCAGGGTCACAGCAAAGCCACTGTCTGGACAATGCTTTTCTCCCGCCAACCTTGGGGACAGTCAACATAAGTGACTGAGTAATATAGCCGCATTGCACCGAGGGGCAATGTCCTATTGTCACTCGGATTGACTTGACTTGACATGACATAAAAGGATGATCTAGTCAATACGGCTTGCTTGTCCCGAGCAAGCCGGCTTGCGACAACAAACCTTGGTGTGTGTACAGTATGCATTTGCGTGGTTGGGACATGTGTGGTGTGGCACCGAATATACCATGCCACATGCCAAATGTATGGTACGCGACATGCATCTCAATGGCAGCAGCTTAGACGCTGGTCGGTTCCTCAACAAGCCGTCGACAAGATCTGTTCGTCATGGGGATGTATGCCATGGTGAATGGTTACAGCGATTCATCTCGAGCCCCTCGAAGCAGTGCTATGTTGCAGGTTGACGGGCGGGTGCAGCCCTTTTGATCATTCGACACGGCTTGAAACTCTGGACAGACGGGCCAAGTGGCACAGTAAGATTTGTAGACCTGTTCATGTTGCAGAGAGATTCACGGATCTGGATATTCCAGCATCCCTGTAGGCGGTGGACGATCTGGCAAAGTGTCGGTACACTGCGTGGATGCAACAGCGGCGGGGAGTCGACCGAGCTGGCAGCATCTGATGTTCACATGCTTGGTAGGAACTGCTGAGGAGATCAAAAACGGTGCCGAAAGGCAGATACTGTACGCGACTTGGACCGGCATCAGAAGAGGAATGGAAGCGAATCAGATGTCGCCATCAGACGCTTTGCCCTACTGTTATCTCGAAGGAATGGAGGAGCCATGGCCGCAAACGAGGGTGCAGAGGGGAAAAGCGGGCATACGCATTGCAGGTGCTAGCAGTGCCTGGCAGTTACGAGGCGGCGTGGTTAGCTGTCAGGTTCTGTCAAACCTGACACGACAGGCTGCGTCGTGCAGTGGTGCCAGGATCGAATCGGTGGGTTGGTGGAAGCGCGGGGAGAAGTGTTGAATTTCACATGTCTTTCACATGCAGCAACCACAGTGGAATCCAGGGAATGACATCGTTGCGCTTGCAAGCTTGCGCGAGAAGGAGCACTGCAGCTGAGCTATCAGCTCGACCAAACACATCAGAATGCCTATTCCTCTCGCCCATCTCACTTTGACTCCCCGTTCACTCTTCGATCCCTCTTGACCTCTTACCATAATCTGCCAACTCGCCCAGGAGTCCGCCACTGAACCACCTACACTTCTAAAAGACAGCATCCTCAAAGTATGTCTTTTACATTTGCTGACATTCACTCAATCTGAAGTTGCTCTGCACTGTCCCTACCAGTCGCTTTGCCCTCTCTCTATTATTTGCAACAACTCTCTAACCAACCATTCATCATCAGCAACACTCCAATGCCTCACGCAGAAAGCGACATGTCCAGCCCAGTCACTAACGGTGACAAGCCTCACTCGCAATTCTTCTCGGTATGCTCGCCATCAAGAATGCTTCTTCGACACTCTCACTGACCAATCTTAGCACCTGAAGTCATATCCTGTCGTCAACGATGGAGTCGAGACATTCATGAACAACCCCTACGGAGCAAAGTCGCTCGACATTGCCGACGCTGCATACACCAAGCTCGGAAAGCCCGTCATGCCCTACCTGAGAACTCCTTACTCATACGCCGCACCCTACGTGGCCAAAGCCGACAGTCTGGCCGACAAGGGATTGGAACAGGTTGACACTCGCTTTCCTATCGTCAGAGAAGACACGGTCACCATCAAGGACACAGTCGTGAACTACGCGTTCCTCCCCTTCAGAGTCGCTGACGAGGGCCGCACCTATGTGATGAACACCTGGGAGGACCAGTACAACAAGACGGCAGCTCGCAACAACCGTGGCAACAGCTTGAGCACCAGTTTCCTGGCCATCATCTCGACCCAGCTCAAGATCGCTGCTGACGGTGTCAACCTTGTTGCTGACTGGTTCGGACCCAAGACTGAGGGAGCCAAGCAGAGAAGCGACTCGCTATTCAGTAGCCTGTACAACAAGGCGGCATCTTACGGAGAGCAAGCCAAGAAGAAGACCAACGAGGCCGGCGACAAGGCCGAGACATACGCAGAAAAGGCACAGGAGAAGTCAGAATTCTGATGACGTCCACGCACACGACACGAGCTGTTTCTGATATGCCTTTCAGTCTCCCTGAACCTCACCACGAATACCCTTGGACCTATGACGGAGTCCACAATGACAAGGAGACGTCGACGACTTGATGCTGTTCACGGAATAGCCACGATGCACCTTGTTACATTCCTTTATGCAATTGCTTCATTCTCATGTACGTACTGTATCGCTCATAGAAGCTCCAGGTCCAAACCTTGAGAGCTCAATCGATTACATGATTCCCTGAAACCATTGTCTCGTTTGATTGTTTACTGGTGCAATGCTGGAAGTTGAGTCCGCACCGTAGCTAAATTGGCTGTCGATCATGGGGACTATGCCGACTGGGCGAAAGTAGTGATCAATGGTGTGTCCTGACAATACTACTATCGAGTCATCTACAAGTATCGATCATGAAGGTGATCAGATGCTTGACTGGACCGTTACAGGTACTGTTGACGGCGGCGATGATGTTGGAAACAGATAGGCAGGGTGTCGTGAGCGACAACTGTGGTGACAGGGTACCCCCGGGTCATGGGTCACTCATTCACGAGATAACACAAATGAGTAGTTTCCGAGCGTGAGGAAGACGTTGAGTACCGAGTAGCAACGGAAAGAGCCAAAAGTGATTGGGCATGGCATGAGGTATTGAGTGAAGCGCAAATGGAAAGAAGGCAGAGGATCGGCATGTGAGGAGGCCGGCTTTGTTGACTGTTGGTGATTGACATGAATGGCTTCACAGCCGTACAAGACTGAACTTTGACAAAGATGCCGTGATGGCAAGGAACGCGATTCAACCAAGTTTCGACTTCTTCACGGGCGAGGAGCGCTCGCCTGCGCGACAAGGGCTGCGCGAGACGTTCCGCCAGTCTACTGCCACAGTCGCGCGTTCTGGTAAGTGTTGGCATGATCCGACAATACACGCCCATGACTGACCAAGCAGCACAGATGTGGCCAATGAATCCTTACGCGCACAGCTCAACACGCTACAATACGAACTCGATTCGCTGAAACAGGAAAAGGAGCTCACTGCCCTACAGCAAGCCAGCGACATTCGCGATGCCGAACAGCGCGCAAACCGTGACTTTCAGAGAGCCCACGCCGCAGAGACTGCTGCACAACAAAGTGCCAAAAAGCTGGATCATCTGACCCGTGAGCTGAATGATATCGAGAACCGACACACCAACGACAAGATTCAGCTGGAGCGCAAGATCCGGACCCTCCAAGATGACAACCAGAGTCTAAGGGAGGATCTCGAAGAGTCCGAGTCGCGTCTCTCGTCCGCCGAGAGAGAACACAAGCATGCCCTCAATGACATCGAAGCAAGACACCTAGCTCTGCAGGCTTCATTCGAAGAAGCCCAGAGAGACTTGGAGTCAAAGGTCTCTACTCTGCAGGCTACACAACAACGTTTGTCGCAACGCGAATCCGACAATGGCAATCTTGAAAATGAGATCCTGCGACTCAAAGCCCAGACTGGCGACTCGGACACTCTGGCCATCATCAAGCGCGAGCTCTCGGAGCAAGTCGCTCACATCAAGAGACTTGAGTCCACCAATCGCGACCAATCTGCCGACCTCAAGCAGCTGCGTAAGACCCACAAGAGCGTCGAAATCGTTCAAGAAGAGAAGCGTGCTCTGGAACAAAAAGTCCGCGCCATGGATGATTTGCGCAAGGAGCTCGCAGAGGCACAATTACAGAAGCAGATCCTCGAAGACGAAAGACGTAGCTGGTCGAGTTATCTGGAGAGTGAAGCCGCTGGAAGAGAGGAAATGGCTTTCGAATCACCAGAGGACATGGCCAAGGCCTTCGTCAACGAGCGCATGGAAAGGATCACACTAATTGAAAAGCTGGGCGCCATACAACCCGAACTTACCGTGCGTGATGCCAACATCAAAACGCTGGAAGATGAGAAGGTCCAACTTCGTGCCGAGATCGAGAAGCTCAAGGACGGTGCTGGCAATGCATCGACTACTGCTGTTCCTGTAGACGCAAAAGCCCGTGCACGACTAGAACGCCAGAAAAACCTGGCAATCAAGGAGGTCGAGTACCTACGAGCACAGATGAAGGCGTTTGAAGCTGAAGAGAACGAGTTTTCACCAGAGAAGACGAATCAGGAAGAGAACAAGCGTATCCAGGAGCTCGAGACGCTTACAGACCAGTATCGCTCTGAGGTCGAGAACCTGTCTGCAGAGATGAAGCAATTGGAAACCAGCACTCCTGCTGCGCCAACACCAAGTCTGAAGCGTCCACACCCAGAGGAGTCGGACGAGCGACTAGGGGAGCTGCGCCGTAAGACACGCGTACTCCAAGACGACCTCGCAGCACTCCAGACTCGCTACTCAATCACCGAGACCGAGCTGAAGGCCAAGACTAGCCAACTGAACGCTCTGCGTGAGTCTTCACGGACGAGAGTGCTCGAGCTACGCGACAACCCAACTGCCCAAGCTGAAGCCGTCAAGATGACGACCCTCCGCACCTTGAAGGAGGAAAATGCAGCACTACTCGAGCAGCTCGAAGGCCGACCGAACGGTGCAACAAAGGTCGTACCCATCAGCACGCTGGATCACGCCCGCCTCCAGATGAGCGAACTCGAAGCCACAATCGCTCAACGCGACAAGAAACAACAACGCCTAAAAACGATCTGGTCCGCCAAATTCCTCGAATTTGCCGAAGCAGTCGCAGCAACGCTGGGTTGGAAAGTGGTGTTCCAGCCAAATGGCCGTTTCAAGGTTACTTCCATCTTGTATCCGACATCCATCAACAAGGATGGCGAAGAAGAGGAAAATTCTATTCTATTCGACGGCGAGAAGGGTACTATGAAGGTATCTGGTGGTACGGAAAGTGTGTTTGCCAACGAGATACGTCCACTCATCGAGTTCTGGGTCGATGGAAGGAAGGAAATTCCTTGTTTCCTGGCAGCTTGCACTTTGGAGTTTTATGACAAGACGACCAGAGCTGCTGAGCTATAGAGACACTGAAACTCATAGTAAGCACGGTGGTATTCACTCATCTTGACATCATACCCGTTACATCCCAGATCTAGTTCTCTTGTCGTCAGTATACTGCGATGACACTATCGAAAGGCACAATAATCTCTAGACATGAGGACATATTTAGAGAGAGCCCAAGACAATGTCGCATCTCGAAGGACACTATCCTGTTCCTCGACACCAATGTGCATTTTCATAGCTACACGCGTTACATACGTACGCAGACAGGAAGCAACGATGGCCAATGTCGATTTCTTTGTTTGGCGAAAGCCTCGATCGCCGAAGCAAATATCGATCTTTGTCTGTTCAGACGTCCTAAGACCGAAAACGCTTCGACATTCCTTTGGCCATGATTTTCTTTGTGCTTCGACTCCAGCCTTGAGGGTCTTTGAAGGTTCTCAAGGAAACGAGCCGCCATGATTCACCATTACTCAAAGACAGGATTCTCCAGCAAAGACACTCGTCCAAAAACACAACATCTCTTTTCGATAGCAAAAAGCCTTCTTGTATGCTCTAATTTGAAGTTGCACACTTGTATATCACTATCGATCTTGAGGACTTCCACTAAACGACAATATCTCTACACATATACCGCACCACAACACACCATGGACTCCGAGGATACAAGAGATTGCGTCATCTGTCTATCCGCACTGCCCACCCAATCTACCTTAACCTGGGACTGTAACCAATGCACCTGGTGTTTCGAATGCATTTCCGACGGCATAACCTCTTCGCCTCGAAAGTCAGACTGGCCACAAAACTGGTGCGGACACGATCACCCTACTCCAATTCCTCTCAGAAGCATACTCGAAAAAGCCAAAAAGCACATACCTGCCAACGTCTATACGAAATGGTTTGAGAAGCAAGAGCAATGGAGCCAAGTCAAATGTCCTCATTGCTGTAGATGGACACACTCAGACCATATCACAGAAGGAAGAGTGCTGGAGTGTCCGACCTGCAACAAAAGCGTGTGTATCGAGTGTGGAAAATTGGCTCATGAGGGCCAATGCAGAAGAACGAGAAAGGAAGACCTCAAAGCAGTGTTGAATGCACTCAGACATGAAGGTGCTGCCATGTGCCCCAGATGCGGGTTTGTTGCTGGCCGTGCAAAGGATGGCTGCAATCAGATTACCAGCCCTAAACCCTGCTCGCAAGTCTTCTGTTTCAAATGCTCCAGAGACTGGAAACTTTGCAGGGGACTGTGCAAAGGTGGTGGTGCTGCAGAAGTCCTGGAAAAAGCGACGCAGGCTGAGAGCCCGACTGAAGTCTATCACGTCTCTGGAGTCTCGGGGGCTCAAGCTTCTACAGTCAAGGGGGATAGTAAAGACGATGAAGCATCCGCAGACAGCGATGAGGACAAGAAGACCAAGTTGGAAGGAAAGAAGAAGAAACGCGCGCATTCGCCAGATCCATTGTTCGAGAGGTTCTCGAAGAAGGCCAAAACTAGGGTCGAAGATGAAGAGGACAAGGATGATCTCGAAATAGACTCGGATGCCAGCGACGACGAAGAAGACAAAGTTGCTCACGACGACGACAATGGCGAGTTTGAGTTCGATATCGATGAGGACGACGAGTATGGGTCTGATGATGGCGAGGACGGAGAGGAGGACGAGGAGGAGGAAGATGGAGAGTAGTAGATCTGGTGTGGTGAGAATAATTGAAAGCTTTTCACCGTACCTTGCTCTGGTGTCGACTTTCCTGTTGTCGAGCATGTAACACGTGTAGCTGCGAAGATGCATAGTACTTCCAAGAGAGCCTGAAGTTTGTGGCTTCTCGATAGATACTACACAGTTTACTCAAGGTATCGTGCACATCTATAGTGATGACATCACTCGAACTCTGTCTCTATGTGAGAAGGCATGTTACGAGTAGCTTTGAATATCCACAGTCGCCTCATTTGAAGAGGAAGCATCCAGAAAGTCATGATATCCTCGGCTCTCTCTGCACTCGTCTGTAGCGTGGAGAGCACTGTGCATTTCAATGGTCCTGGTCTGGCCTGCGTGAAGCTGTGAGAAAAGCGCCAGATTTACAGAGGTTGTTTTAGTGCTCATTGTCTAAGAAGGAAGGTATGGCTGACTCATATGAGCTTGTTTCGCACATCCAACAGGCACTTCCGCGGATCCTGATCGTACATCAATTAAATATCGTGTGATTTATCGTTTTAAGTCTTTAGATGAATAAGGTCGTGTCTATCATAACGGAAAAAAGGGAACGCCCTGCAATGCACCCAACTACCCAATGTGACGCCCAAAGGCTCCCTGTACCGCGCTCAATGCAATATGCCAGTCAACAAATTTAACCCCGAACTCGCTCAACATCATCCGCTTTGAACGTAGCTTGTGTCGGTGTATCGACCACAATACGCTCAAAATCTTTCTCTTCAGCACCAATCTCTGTTGCGAGAGTTGGGAGCACACCTATGACCATGCTAGGTTTGCGTTGTTTGACGGGTTTACAGTACTCTGAATCGCAACCACCTAAGTCTGCCGCAGAAAAGCCAGCCTGCGAACGTTTGCGCAGATTGAGCACTCCTCCTGCACTGTTGGCGTCGTTGCCCCCATCCGCAATACCGTATCTGCGGACTGCTGGATGTGGTGGAAATGCCGGTTGCGGTGCCTCGCACGCTTCGACTTGTACTTGTTTCGAGTCTGTTCCTGCAGGTCTTCGATCTCGTAATTCGATCTGTGGTAACAAGCCCATATGCGATCTCACGGCACCGGTAGTACTGTTTGACTCCTCCGAGAACCACAGCTGAATCCAGTCGCGCATTTTGTGTACAAAGTGTCGAAGCAGTGGTTGCAAGCAAGCCAGACTAGCAGCCGATATTCCAAAGCCAAGTTCTGTAAGAGCCAGCACAATTTCCGGAGCCGAGTGTTCGTAAAAGGTAGAAGGAGTAGCGGGATCAAGAAAGGCAGGATCGAACCAGACGCCGTAAACATAAGCGGTGCGGAAGCAGGCAGCGACACTCCCAGTGACGCCTAGGATAAGCAGAACACAAACGGAAAGCTTGATATGTGGTTTGAGTGATGACTTGATGAGCACGGTGACCGGCAGCAGCGCGAAGGCCCAATCGGTAAGAGCACCTGTTGCTCCATGGAGATAGAGCAAAGGGACGAATCTATCACGCCGGACACAATGGCCATTGATTTGTCGGTGTGCAATATGCTTGAGCGTACCGCATTGGAAGAGCGACAAGAAGAGGGCGATGAGGGAGAGGACGATCGAACAACCTCCAGCAACAATGATGGCGCGCCTTTGCCATTGCTTCCAGACGAATTGACGGTAGAAGAGCATGAGCGAGATCTTGAGGAATATAGTTGAAAGCATGAATGCTACTTCACCGAGTGTGAGTAACTAAACAATTGGTCAGTGGACCTATCTCGTGAGTAGCAGATGGTTGGTACCTACTAGTAATAGCTTGTCGGCCACCAGTAGTGTAAGAATTGGATGGTGACGTTCGAGCAACGCAACATTCAGCGCGAGGCAGCTAAGCAGAATATAGAAGAACTGCAGGCATGAAGTGAGCTCAGAAACCTCTTTCCACTGTAATGAGTGGTCAACATACCCACGCCGTCAACATCGAGTAGTCATCGACAACAAGCCTCCGTTTGCCGGTACGCAATTTTCCAGCCAGCCTTAAGAACACGCAAAAGGTTGTGAGAGCCATAAACATGATGGTGACTTTGATGATCACGCCCTTGAGCAGATTACCTCCAGGCAATGCATCCTTCGTCGCATCGTGATATGAGTGCATGGCCTTTGACTCGTCAAGAGGGTAAAATGTCGTCGACAAGGCATGTTCGAGTCAAGCTCATGGAGAGCAGGCACAAAAGGCGGCTCTGCTCTCCTACATAAACAAAAAGAAGAAGAGCAGGCCAGACCGATTCGCCTGCATGCCAAGTTGACAGCCTTTCCGGCGTCAGTCTCCAAGCAAGCTGCGTCGTTAGACTGGGTGTCAAACGTCGGGTGGTGGATTCGTCAAGACTATCCAACGGTCCGGCTTCGCATGCCTCATGTCTCCAATTACACAAATCTCAAAAGCCATCTGAATGCAACGGGTACCGGCCGATCTCGCACTAAATCCGGAAGAGAGCATTCGCTTATCTCTCCCGAGATTCGAACAGTACTCGTAGACTTAGGCGAAGTGTGCGAGTCAAGAGGGCTGATCCTTTGTATTGGTAGTAGGCCACTAGCTGACTGTTGAGGTCATGTTCCTTATACGTATAATGGTCTAGCGGCACGACACGTTGGCAAGACCAGAATGAATAGGTAGCAACCAATTCTGTTTGCCTCCGAAGCGAGCGTATACGACACGGTATACGACACATAGCCGCTGCAATAGCCAGCGGCTTCACGATAGCTCATGGGGAGCTCGATATACACAAATACATGCCACATGTACAAACCGTTTGCGGAAGCTGGAAGGATTTGAGTGGCGGAAGTGGAGTCCGACCAAGCCAGATGCGAAGATGACAGCCAATCTTCGCTCTGGTTCTTCAACTGTCAGATTTATGTCTCTGATGACCCATACTACCATCTGACACAGAGACCATTAGAACAGTATGTGGCACTTTGGACCGAGGGTGTAATCATATATGCGTTAAGCCGCCGGTAGCCTTTTCGAAGATCAGAGACTCGCCGCAATTTTGCTCTGAGTCGTAGCATGACTAGACACACAGGATAAGATAGCTAAGCGCTTAGCAACAATCGCACGAGCCTGGCGCATCTCTGCTAGAAAGCACGAGGTGTTGATTACATTAGGTATAGATTCGTGATAGGTCGATAGATGGCGTTGAGTGTGTGGCTGACGAGGGTGTGGAAGTAGCGGAATCAAATGAGTTTCAAGGGCGTTCTCCTGATACCAGCAGGAATGTGGCTCATGTAGCGACTCTTTGCGTCTGGTCTTTGCAGACGACGGAAAGCCTCAGTGATGTGCTTTGTGTTTACCGGAGTTCTTGCCTCTTCTGGCGGATCGAACAAGCCGGGTTCTCGACGGATTCTTTTTCTTCGTTGTTGGTCCTCGTCGCCGCCACTTTCCCTTCGTTGTATGTCTTCAGCATTCTTGACTCTGAGGGCTTCTTCTGTCAGGGTCTGGACAATCTCAAAAGTCAAGAAACCCAAGATATCAACAATGTCGTCGTTGGGCTTACTGTCGGTCACGACACCGAAGCCAGCCCATTCGCGGAAGCGTTTGCCTTTGCGGAAGGTAAATGAAGCTTGGCGACATTCGCTCCAGTGTAGATATTCTTCAGGCGTCATGTTCTTGGTGCGATCATCGGCGTTCTTGAGACGAGTCATTGTGGCAGTCGTCATCTCTTCTTCATCCTCGTCTTCTTCGTCCTCTCGCTCAGGGACCTGCTCTTGATAGAAACTCGAGACATCCCAGGGTAGACCGACTTTTGCTTTCTTGGTCTTTGAGTTTCTGGTGCCGACCGAGGGGCCAGCAGTAGCCAAGGTCGGGTCATTGGCAGGGCCGACATCAATATCGGCAAAGTCGTCACCTCCGCCAGCACCACCGCCGCCCTTGTCGTCCGAGTCCTTTGCAGATTTGCGAACATCTTTCCAACTAAGAAAGGTGCGTAGGCGAGAGACTTTTGCGCGGTCGTGACGGATCAGGAAGATGAGGTCGTCTGTGTTGATGCTGCGGACACCGCGACGGGCGGCCAGAGCAGTTGCGCGTGTGAGCATCTCGACGACTTGTTGTTGGACAATGGCTTCGATGAGGGTGGTGGTCTCAGGAGCGGCTTCAGCAGTCTCTCCAGAGACAAACATCATCTGCTGGATCTCAGTGCGATATTTGGCGGCTTTGTCCTTGTCGGCCATGTTGAGAGTGGAGGGGTGGATTGAAGCCCTGAAGCCTGTATAGGGATGGGTTGGAGCGGGATCAAGGTGGTCGCGCAGAGATGGCGCGTAGTCGGCTGCAAGGCGGATAAGATGTTATGTCGGACGCTCAAGCAGCAAGCTGTCAATGTCGCATGGTAGTGATGTGTGATGTTCATGGATGGATACGATGGACAGTCGAAGATGATGAGCGGACAGGCCAAGTGCGGGGAGAGAGAGCGTCTGGACTCTCCATGATTTTTATCCGCATCACGGTCGTTCTTTCCTCATATACACACAGCAATCATGTTTTACGCAATCGGACTGGGTCTCGCTGACGAAAAGGACGTTTCGGTCAAGGGTCTCGAGATCATCAAGCGCGCCGAGCGTGTCTACCTCGAAGCCTATACCGCTGTCCTGCTCGTCGAGAAGGAAGTCCTGGTACGCAATCTTTCATGGCCGCATGCCCAAACTCCCACTAATCGCAATCGCAGTAGGAAGCTTACTATGGCCGCCAAGTAATCATCGCCGACCGTGAGATGGTCGAATCCTCGTCAGACGAGATTCTCGACGGCGCCGACAAGGTCGACATTGCCTTTTTGGTTGTCGGCGATCCCTTCTCAGCTACCACCCACACCGACTTCATCATCCGCGCTCGTGAGAAGAACATCCCGACCCGCATCCTGCCCAACGCCTCTATCCTGACTGGCGTTGGCTGCACCGGCCTCTCGCTCTACAACTTCGGTCAGACCGTCTCCATGGTCTTCTTCACAGACAACTGGAAGCCCGCCAGCTACTACGACCGCGTCAAGGAGAACGTTGCTCTGGGTCTGCACACTTTGGTCTTGCTCGACATCAAGGTCAAGGAGCCCAACCTCGAATCTCTGGCTAGAGGTAGAATTGTCTACGAGCCCCCGCGCTTCATGACCGTCGCCCAGTGCGCACAACAGATGATCGAGACCGAGCAAGAGAAGGGCGAGGGCATCTGCTCAAAAGACAGATTGGCTGTTGGTGTAGCTCGTGTCGGTGCCGACGATCAAGAAATCGTTGCTGGAACCCTGGAGCAGCTGGCTGACGCTGACTTGGGCAAGCCCCTACACAGTCTGGTCCTTATCGGCAAGCGCATGCACGATATGGAGAAGGACTACGTTCGCGAATACGCCGTCGACAAGAAGGTCTTTGACCAAGTCTTCGCTAGAGACTACCACCAATCATAGCCTGACTCCCATCCTCTGACTAGACGCTACTGTACATTGTGAATAAAAATTTGTTTCAATCTTTCTCGATGTACACTGATGTTTGGCCTTGAACCGTGTCCAGGCTTCGTGTTCTCCCGGAAACTAGTACAGAGCCAGGTTATCCTCGTTCAACTTTCCAAACAATTCTTCCAGATCCGCACTAACACCCATGATTTCCTGCGCTAGCGATCCAGTAACAAGTGCTATCATTCATGTCAGCATGTTTTCCGACGAAAGAAATGGTGATCAGACTTACCATAAGCATAAAGCAGCTCATAGTCCTCCTCGGTAGCAAGAGAAGCCTTGTCACTGTCCCTCCTAAACTCGAAGATCTTCGCCAGCAGCCTATCCCTCGTATGATCAATGTTGGGTAACACATCGTTAAGCGGATACTCCAGCTTGACCGAACTAGCCAGCACAGAGAACAAATGGCTGATTCTCGCCGACAGGGCAAATCTCTCCGCTCTCGTGTACCTAAGCACCTCTGCTTCTCCAGGACTGGCCTTGAGATCCTTGGCTATCACCATGTTCATGGCGTGAAAATTGTCCAACATGCGTTTTGTCCTTTCCAGAATCTTACCAAACACCTTGTCGGGGAAAGGAGCTCGGAACTCGAATTCGGACGCTGCGGCTTTGCGAAGTGCTTCCAGTTGTGCGAGGAATGTCTGTAATTCAGATTCTTCACGAATGTCCATATATGCTGATGCAGGCTCGCCAAGGAGGAACATGGCCAATGGATCTCTGCGCCAGATCAACGACATGCGCAGCCAAAGCAAGCAGATGCCATTCTTGAGCTTGCGACGGGCAGAGATGGGCCAGATTACTCTGGTCACAAAGATGCCCCAGAGGCAACCTGCGACAACCGCCACGAAACGGTGGAGTACAATCTCCCAAATTTCAGGGTTGATGCCGCCTTCATCGTCGTCATCGTCGTTGTCTTTTGCAGATAGCGAGTATGCGTACAGAGCGGACAGATTGTATGTGAGCAGAATGAAGCGTCCCATGGGTCCTTTGCCCTGGGCTAGGATGATATAGAAACAGCCAAGTGACATCAGCCAACCGAAGAAACCGAGAAGCCAAGGGCTGTCGTCCGAGACGATCCAAGCGAGGATCGCGAGCACGGCACCCATGGCTGTACCAATGAAACGTTCAATGCCTGTTGTGTTGGAGGCTCCGATCGTCATGGAGCATACAACCATATAGGAAACAAGACCCCACTCGCCGCGCCAGTGTTGATAAAAGGGTCTTGACCAGACCATGAACGATGGTAGAGCAAACAGTGCTGCGCCTACGCCAACCTTGATCGCAAAACGAATATCATCGCGGCGAATGAATTTGAACATGCGGTATATCTGATGGCTGAACGGTTCCTTGACGTTATGTCCAGCTCTGGCAAAATTGTCTGCTTGAAGAATCGGTTTGACAATATCGGTCGTCAATGCTTCGTCGGTTTCGTGAACTAGCAATAGACCAGCTTCTGCAGCCGCCGTCTTGTCCTGTCCATTCCTCTTCCAGAAGGCGAGCCAGTTCCAAGAATGTTTGCGATCCTCTTGCTCTACTTCTTCTTTAAGCTCTTCCAGAATTTCGAGGTATTTTAGCGTATCCTCGGCAAAGTCGATCATAGCTGCAGCATAGTGTCCACAACTAGCAGCGACTTCTTCCAAATCAGCAACACGCTCCAGGGATTTGGCATTCGAGATCTCCTTGTTGCGGTACAATGTAGACAAGGCTTCCTTTCTTGCATGGTTGAACAGCTCGATGGCCTGAGCCAGACTTGACCTAAAGTTGACATTAACAGCAATTACATCGTCGGTCCCTGGTTGAAACGGCAGTTCGTCCAAGATTGACTTGAGAGTCCAGGCAAGCGACTTCATCGGTGGCCCCAGTTGTGTGATGAAAGTCGTAAACATATCAGATGGTGACAAAGAAGGCCTACGATCCCCATTGTTGCTGACGAAGCTTGAAGCCACAGGACTGAATGGAATCGGCTGAACAGGTGGCGATTCCGGAATCTCACTGATTGGTGTCAAAGATCCTCCGACCTCGACCGGTTCGCTCACAAGTTGCGAAGTGCCAAAGAGGGATGACTTGGATGCCATTGCCGAGTCCGATCGATTAATGTAGGGTGAAGACTTGATGAGCGCGAACTGGGTATTTGCTGCACTGTAGAGGCCACCGATACTCTGAGATAGCCCTTGGAGACATTTCACAAGCTTGACCTCGATGCGGTATTCCTTCTCTCTGCCCAGTACGTAGTGTTCATATTTGGCTTCGATCAAATTCTTCTTCATAGAAGTTTCATTGGCTTTGCAGTCTTTGTCGACTTGCTTATAGGCAGCACTCTGCATCTCCGTTTCTGAACCGGTCAAGAATGCTCTTGTGATGGCAGTAAGCTTGTCTCCCAGTGAATCCGTGGTCTTGACAAAGTCGCGATGCAGTTCTCTTTTGGCGTATCGGGGTTTGATTAGTAGATTGACTGCTGTAGTGGCTGCCATGCCGAGCAAAACCATACGTAAGACTTGGAATACCTTGTCTTCCGAAAACTTAGCAGCTTGAATAGATCCCTCCTTGGTCAGGATGGTGATGATGGCCAACGAGGCGAGACTGCACCCAACGTTGACGGTCGGATGACCGAGTCGCTGCTTGAGCCAGCCTATGAAGCCCAGTCCTCCAGCACAGAAAACCACTAGGACGATGGCATGGCCAAGAACCAAAAGATCGCGCTTGCCGAGAGCCATGCTTATAGCCATACTGGTGAAGGACACGAATGCCGCGTATACAAAGGCGATCAAAGCAATGCCTACGGCTTCAATCATGCTGCCCACTGTTCTGAAAGGGTGAAAGTACACCGTGACAGTCGCGACGACATGTTTACCATCCTGCTTTCCGAGGAAGACCGAGACGAAGGGAAGAAACGTAGCCAGGGATCCTAGAAGATAGGCTATCGAGCATTTGAAGATACCTTGACCCAGATTGGAAGCCCAGAAATCAACACATTTGTCCCGCCAGCGGAAGAAAGGTTTCAGTGTAGCGTTTTGCTCATGAGCTGGCTGTGATTGCACGTCGCCATCCGTACTTAACAAGCCTTCGCGCTCTTGTGGCGAGCCAGCTTCGTCGCGGACATCGTCTCCCAAGGTCGGCAACGAGAAGGCGCGTCTAACGCGTTCTCCAGTCCGTGGTAAGATCAGTGTCGCATTTCTGAGCTTGTTCGTCGTTAGCAGTAAGCACGTGGCGGCGGAAGCACTGGTAAACTCACGTTGCGAGGGTTGAAATGACGACCCAAAGACGAGACTTGCCCAGCACTTCCGGATGGCATCTCTCACTGGTTGCAGGCAGACATGTCCTTCTGTTTTGTTCACACAAGAACTGGTTCAGATGCCCTGAAAAACATATAGGACATCGACGGGTCGCCTAGCGGTAGCCGTCCATGATCTGCACTTGGAACTGCCGCTTGTGGATCTAGCGGCAGATCGGGCCGATCTCCAGATCGGTAATCAAGTTTATCGCAGAGAGCCTCAATCTTGATGCTTTCTATCAAAGGGGATGCAATCTCAAGACCAATATTATTAGTGTTCGACCACCGATTATCCTGACTGCTGTGATTACAGAGGCTTACGTGATGAACTGATACAAATTTCTGCATATTCACAGCTATACACGTCATAATCTTTCGTAGGGGGAAGGATACAATGCTGAGAACAAGAATATCTCGTATGCTCTAGGAGAAGCCACGACTCTTGAAGACAGCCGATGGAGCAATCGAGGAAGTGATAAATATCCTTCTCATGCAATGTTGTCTCGGTAAGAGACAAAAGACAGACGTCGCTGATAGCAAATCGATAACAGAAAGAAGACCAAAACAACTCCTCGCCAGCACCAGATGCCACCTTGTCCTACGCCATAGCAATGCAATCTATCAACTCGCGTACTATACGCCCTCTACGAGCCTTCATCAGTATGAGATGCTTTCCCTCTCACTCCACATTCGCGGAGACTTTTATCTGGCAACCTCTTTTCGTGCCAGCCTCTTAGCGGTGGCAGCTTCGAGCTTGCGTCTGAACTCCATGTTCGCAATGTTCCTTGCCAACTCCCTTTCTCGACTTGAAGTCTGTCCAGTATCGAGGTCCTATCTCGATGATTCCTGGGTTGCTGTTCTCGGTTGCTGACCAGGTGTTTGGGGCAACAGCTTGATCTGTTTGATGAGATAGCTCTTCTCATCCGAGAACTGATCGTCCTCCGTACGGTCGGCTAAGAAGTTCGGCAAAAAGTCCAATAAGCGTTGACGGTTCATGGTCAATAGGCGCTTGACGTCGGGTGATTTGTTGGGGTTTGCGGCGAAAATCTTGAAGACGTGGAAGGCTTCATATTGCACCATCTTGCGATCATCTTTCAACTGCCACATGATGAGCTTGAGGTTGTCGCCGGACTCGACGAAACGGGTCATTATTTCGTAGAACTGACGGTCCAGCAGGACTTCACCAAGAAGCTTGATGGATTGGCGCTTGGTGACATAACTTTCCGACTTGATAAGGATGTTGTTGTACTTGTCGAAGAAGAGGTCGAAGTTTGTATCAATAAACTTGGCGACCATAGGTTTGTGCCGTACGAGAATTTGCTGTCCAGACTTAGTTACTGGCAATGATGCCAAACATGCAGATGACTTACGCGGAAAGTGTCGAAAGCATCAGTGCTAACTTCAAACAAGCTCTTGTCAATCCAGTCGAAAAACTTCCAGAATACACCCTGTCCCGAGGCAGGTTGGTCGGTATCGATGCTACCCAGATCCAGGGGCTGACCGTGTAGGCTTGGTTCGTCGTAGAGGATCAGGGCGGTGACAGCGTCATGTTTCAAAGCCTCTTTCAAAATTCCTCCGCAGGGCATAGCACTCTCGCGACGATCGTAACCATTGCAAAGTGCAATGATGACTTCAGGACGGGTAGTGATGATATATTGTAAGGCAATGGGCTGCTCTTCGCCGGGTTGCTTGTATCGCAGGACTGTCGAGATGACAGTCTGTGTATCTTTGCGGGACTCGAATGGTAGACGATGGATGTTTTCGGCGAGGACTCGTAAAAGGTCTTCGGTAACGAGGAGGTTGACCAGCTGGAAGACCTGGTCGGGGCTGACATCGAGTTCTGCGCACACTTGTTAGTCGCTCTGTCCTTGTCTGTTGGCTATTATCCGCTGATGATACAAACCGGGGGTACCTTGAAGGATAACCTTCATCTGGCCAAGATTCCGTGCGACTTCTTCCTCGATCTGACCGTCGTCAGCCCAGTCCAGTTCGCTTGGGTCGTAGTGGTCGGATACCTTTTGTGAAGGCTTGTCCTCAGCGGTTAGCTTCAGCATCAAATCTTTGGTCGACCGAGTCAACTCCTGGTTGGACCTGGCCTTGCCGCGGCCAAACAAGAATGCCATGTTGTTGCCGTCCTTGTCGTGTGCGCGGTGTTTGGTCTGGTAGATTTGAGCTGTGGGCGGGGTTGTTGCAGAGAGTGGGTCACAACACCGATCTACCACAGATAATCTAGCAGAGTACTAGCTGGAGCAAAGAGAAAAGACAAGAAGAAAAGTCAAGGGAAGACTATGGTGAAAGGAATTGCAAACAAGTCGTCACCGCCCATGTGTTTACCGATGGAGAGATTGACTTTCCATTAAACACCGTCATTCCGAGAACCTGGGGCGGCTGCGCTTGGCACGTCAGGCCGACTCTTATTTCATGTGATGCCAATCATCGAGTAGGATTGCTTCCGCTATCGAGAAACTCTTTCACCTGCGTGATTGCTTTGATGTACTCATCAGTAGTACAAGCGGACCAGATACCAAACCACTCATCCGCGGCCAATCCTTCCAACAATGAACTGCCATTCATAGAAAGAGCTCAGACTCTCAGGCGAGCAGGAGAGACTATGGTCAGGCTACCCACAACTTGCACGGACGTCCTCCAGACCTTGAACAAAGTCACACACTCCTAACAGCAAGTGGGATTACTTCTGCGATCACCAGAAATATCGCACAGGAGAGCATCGGACCGATGGTACCCTGAGCTAGATACCAAGACTGCTTGTAAGATATGCAATATCGACCATCCGTCTACAAAATCAGGAGATTGTATCTTGATTTGGAAAAGATGGCTGTCAGAGCTAGTCTTCTAGTCGAAAAAGCTGTGCTCCCGCCACTAACAAAAGTTAGTAGGAATTGCTAACCACATATGAAAGACTTGCCTCTTCAGCTCGCATTCTGTCACCACTTTCGTAAGAGATCAGTCCTTCGACCAGCTCGATTGCGTCTGGTGTAGCATTGGGCAAGACATCTGTCCATACTCTTGGAGGGTATTGTACAAAGGCCATCTTACCCCAGTCTGGCAGACTTCTAGCTTCCTGTGTCAAGTCAGTTTCTAGATTCGTTCGTGATCTTGGTCTTATGCTTACAGGCCAGATATCAAGATTTGGGGTACCAAGCGTCGAGAAGATGCTCTTGATCAATGCGAGGTCGCTCCCAAGATCACCTGAATCGAACAAGGTCTGGGAACCCAGGCTTACGACCTGAGCAGCCACACAACCTGTTGCCCACATATCCAGACTCGTATCGTACCGCTGGTTACCAAACATGAGTTCTGGAGGACGATAGCTCGTTGTGCCCACATCCATGATCTTCTCCTCTGCGGGCTCAGATGAGGGATCGTCAGCGGACCATGCAATGCCAAAGTCAGATATGTAGACCGGGCCAGATGGACTCCCGAGCAGGATGTTGGATGGTTTGATGTCGCGATGTATGATCCCACAACTGTGTATATACTCAAGGCCTTGCATCAACTGTGAGAGGATGATCTTTTGGTCTCGGAGTTGTAGTCTACCCGTTCTGAGGTGATTGTCAAGAGTATATGGCATGAATGGGAATGCCAACACGAGTTGACCGCCGGGCTGCTGGAAACTTTCGGCGAGCTCTATGACAAATTGGTGACGAGCTCGCTCCAGTAGTCGCACTTCACGAACAGAATCATGAGGTGGTTCTGTGGCAGACGGGTTTGTGACCTTGAGGGCCACCAAACATGGAAGTGTCTCGTAGTTGCGCGTTTTCATAGTGATACCACAGTTGGGTAGGGCTACAGCTTTGTAGACTTCGGAGAACAAACCATCGCTATGATGTACTGCGTTTGTATAGCGACCGATGGCAACACCACCGGTCGGTAGCACAAGAGCGTCCCTCACCGGTTCAATTGCCTGCTCTTGTACACGGGAGTCTAAAGACAAATCACGAATCACAGCATCAATACGAGATTGGTAATCTTGCTAGACGTGAGAAGTATCAGAAAAAACAATTGATTAGAGAGGGCAATATGATTTGTCCGATTACCAACTGATTTGAGGCGTCAAAAGAAGTTTGCTCTATCTCGGTCGCTTTGTTCTGAGCCTCACTGGAAGGGAGATCAGAGTGGAGGCTGAAAGCGGCTTGTCTAAGGAATGGTCAGCACAGGCGGCGTACGCTCTGACAATGGCGGATGTCTAGCGGCGAGACGAGTGACTTGCACTTTGGATATGGTCTCGAATCTCTCCAAGAAGGTCAAATTGGGAGGCATGGCTGAAGGATTGCAGGAATGTAGAAAGTCAATATCATATCGTCTATCGAAAAAGGCTTGTGGTGGTTGTTTCGGACAGAGCAAGTGGGTCTTTGTGCACGGAGGTTCATGCGGGGATGATGATGTCGATTCGGCGAGTTGAGAGTTCGGCTTGCAGCCGCAGCAGGCGGCACCTCCGCCGGAAGCATGAGACACTCGATCTGACACCGTCCCCTTTGCTCGCCTCGAACAACTTGTGATAAGCAGACTCTGATCGACTATCAGACCGCAGTTTCGGTCAAATCGAGTCGACTGTCTGCACAGACGGCGTGCATTCTTCTTGCAGCCTCTTTCGCCATCACACGTCTGTATCGACTCACGACTTCGCCGTACGACCGCCGACAGCCACAACGACGCGATGCGCATCACTCAACTCCCGCTACTCATCGCCTCGGCCGTCTTCATCTCTGCGCCAGTTGCGCTCGCGACCGATGGGCTCTTGAGCGGCCCCAGTTCCAACGTCACTGCTGACGGACTCGAAATCGTGACGGCCAACCCCAAGACGTGCAAACGCCCAACCAAATCCGGAGATAACATCAGTGTACACTACCGTGGCAAACTGCAGTCCGATGGCACAAAGTTCGACGAATCATACAAACGTGGTGTGCCTTTCAGCTTCAAGCTCGGCGTTGGCCAAGTGATAAAAGGATGGGATCAGGGTTTATTGGACATGTGCGTCGGCGAGAAGAGGAAGCTGGTCATCCCTCCGGAGCTGGCTTACGGACACAGTGATATGGGAATCATCCCTCCGGACAGCACTCTAAGTATCTTCTCTCGCATGAACGTCTAGCCGCCGTTCGCAGTACTGACAGTTCTTCAAGTCTTTGAAACCGAGCTCATCCAAATATCTGGTGTACCTGCTGAGGTCGAAGAGCCTGCCCTTAGACCAGAGGAACTTCTACCACCTCCACCAGTCCCGCAAGAGGACTTCCCCTCGCTGTCCGACACTGGATCTGAGAAAGGCCCCAAGGACAAGCCTGAAGAGCAAGACGGCGAATGTAAGCTTCTAGGTCCGTTCGCCTTGATCGTGCAAGCTGCCCTGGGTGCTCTTGCCCTGCTTTCCCTTGTTTTCAAACGTTGGAGAGAGCGTCCGAGACGTCCGCTCAAGATCTGGTTCTTCGACGTCTCCAAACAAGTGGCTGGTACTTTCTTGTTGCATCTTGCTAATCTGGCCATGTCAATGTTCTCATCGGGAAAATTCGACCTGGCCAGCACAAAATCCGAGGACATCTCGGCAAGTGTTTCTGCTGTTACCGCCGACGATGGCAAGATGCCGAACCCTTGTTCGTTCTATCTCTTGAACCTGGCTATTGATGTACGAGACCCCCAATCGACATGATCAACCTTTTACTGACACTTTCACAGACTACTATTGGTATCCCGGTCCTGGTCATATTGTTACGTGTTCTACACAGTCTTTTCGCCAAAACACCCATTGCGAACCCGCCCGAATCCATCAAGTCTGGCTACTACGGCAACCCACCGCGTGCGACTTGGTGGCTCAAGCAATCTGTCATCTACTTTATCGGACTTTTCGGCATGAAATTGTTTGTCTTCTTGCTCTTTGCGATGCTCCCTTGGCTTCCATGGGTCGGAGACTGGGCTCTACGCTGGACCGAGGGCAACGAGGCTCTCCAGATCGCATTCGTCATGTTCATCTTCCCCGTGGCCATGAACGGCCTTCAGTACTACATCATTGATGGCTTCATCAAGGGCAAGGAGTCAGATAGAGAAGGATTCCAAGCAGTGCCTACTGACGACGATGATGAAGAGCGCCACCGAGATAGTGACGACGTGGAGGACGAAGACACATTTAAGAGACGGGATAGAATCAGCACCACCGAGCATATGACCGAGGCTAATCCCACAGCAGTGCCCTCATACGACCACGAGTCTGATGCCGAGGCCCCGAGCGGGGGAAGCTCAAGTCGTAGGAAGTAGAATGTTTCGTGGTATTGTAGATAGTACGAGGCCTTGACACAGACAGCCCTGGTTATGTATTCATTTCATTTGCTATCCTGCATCAGCTTACTAACGGGCTTCTCGATCGCCGCGATGTGATCGGTGTGACAAGTGGCGTGAAGAGCTATGTTTGTAATCTCCGTCTCGACTTCGGCTCTTACGTCGTCTGTCCGAGTCTGTTCTGCGATGACGGCTGACACCTTCTGCTTGTTTGCGATTATCATCTCTGGTTGCATCAAGTGAGAAGCCTTCGAGACTACCAACACTTTGACTTCTTTCTCTGTGCTCACGTTTGTGCCGACGCTCTCTCCGCCTCCGTAGTTCTTCCTTCTCGGCTCGATCTAGCTCTCTCAATTCTCGTTCCTTCTGCACCTTCCACTTCTCCTTGTCCGTCTCGGACTGCCTGAGCTGGGATTGTGCTTTTCGCATGAACGCCATTGGATCGTTTGAAATCAGCCTTGTTTGTTCCCTGTCCCTACGACTTGAGTCTTCATTTCCCCAGACGTCCTTACTCGGTATCTGGGTCTCGAAATCCGGTTTGCTCGACGAAGCGTACCATGGCGCTGAAGAGACTGACTGTTTGAAGCCTGCCGCATTCGAGAATCGCATGGTATACTGATCTTCGATCTCATGTGCCTTCTTTGCCTTCTCAGCCTCTGCTTCGGCGTTGCGTGAGTTCTTCAACAGAGCACGTTCGTTCGGCGCTGCGAAGAGTTGGATGTGACCAGCATGATCTGTCACGGACACATGGCCGTCTTGCCTGTCCCTTTCGCCGAGGCTTAGCTTTTCACGGACGGCAGCTCCAGCAGCAGCATCTTCTCTGGCAATGCGCATGTCCCTATCGGTATCATCTTCGCCTCTCAAACGGCGTCGTTTGCGATCTCGACCATCGGCACCATGACGAGACTGGCGAGCACTCCCGGTTTGTGCTGGTGAAGGCGATGGGGCTTTTGTTGGTGGAGGAACTTCACCTCGCAAGACTGCTATACGATGGACAGCATCTTGTTCTTGCATACGGCGTTCATCTTCTTCCTCTCTGGCTTGCTGGTCTGCTTCATCTTTACGCACGCGGTCGATATTGTCTTTGTTGTAGACGTTCCAGGACTTTTTGCCTAAGAGGTGGAGGACCATGGCGTTGTTGGTAGTGGGAGTTCGGCAGGTTGACGCAAGTCAAAACGCCTTGTCAATGGCCGTTGTGTCAAAAAGGAAGCACCCTGCACTTTTTGTGGCTTGACGTGTGGGATCAAACGGTATCAAGTTGCGAGCGACGAATGAGAGACGAGCGCGTCCTGTTCCGTGCGGGCGGTGGAGCACACGGTTGCGGGCGTCGGGTCGAGAAGCGCAGGATGACTCGCGAGAACGCAAGCCAGTGAACTGGATGCTAATAAAACCAAACGAGCTGCATGAGCGGAGCCTGCATCTGCCTCGTTGCGCCGCGGTGCTACTTGGTGCGACTGTCGTGTGTTTTTCCTCTTGCTCTTGACTGTCTCTAGCCGTCTCGTGTCCTCTGACCTCTGCTGTGCCTCGTCGTTTGTGTTGTGTCCAGAGGATCCGGCGATCTGCCAGCTCTCAAGCTAACCATCAACGACTCGACGCGCCAATTGCCAACGGTCACAAAGAAGGAAGACGCGCATTCCACATTGTACCTTCCTTCGAGCGCCCGCCCCAGCCATTTCTCTTTACCCAGTGTTCACCCAAGACACTCTGCTGGGCTCTGTCCAGCAAGCGATCCGCTAAAGGGCAGGGGGCTCGGACACTTTGTAATCTCGCATACTTTTTGCCCTTGTCCTTCTCAAGAGCAAGAGGACAGGACAGACGAAATTTCCAACACTTCAATCGCTCGTGCCTCCACTCCCCGCACCATCCTCGACGTCTCAAGTCAACCTCATATATCGTGCCGCTTCGAAATCGCCGCAGCTGTATCTAGTCACGGCTCGAGCGCTGCCCGACGCGTCCATCGCACGTCATGCCCACATATCTAATACACGGCTTCCGCTGGCCGCGGCCTCTCATTCGCATCCACATCATTCTCCAAAACCTTGACGACGCAGCTGCGGAATGGATCATAGCAACTGCGACGACCGAGACGTTACTCGAGAACCTTGCAGAACTATGGCCGCAGACGTTAGCAAACCTGCCCAACCTCCGCTTTGTAGAGCAATTCGATCCTACCGATGAATCCCCAGCTGCCAGTTCACAACCCTACGCATACGTTGCCGACATCTGCGAACAAGTCAAACTAGGCATTGACGTGGACGACGTTAGGGGTAAAGGCCTAGGTGACGAGCAATGGAACGCACTCATGGAGTTGAGAGACAAGCTTGCGCCGGACGAGAAGGTCGGCTGGTTCGTTGTCGTCTGTGGAGACGAGGACCGTACAGACACCGGTGTCGAAGATGAAGAGGAGGAGGAAGAAGCGTATGCGGCAAATACAACAGTCCCAGTCGAGCTACCCGTACGGCCTGCGGCACAAACTCAACCACTGTCGTTCAAGGATGGCACTCACAACGGAGCAACACCCGAGACTAGTTATACCAATTATAGCGACACGACGAGTTCAAGGCGTAGTAGACACAGCAGGAATAGCAGCGAAGTATGTTTCAGACTCGGCGAATCAAAGCCAACAGACAGACTGACACTCACACAGCGCACCCCTACGGTCACGACAGCACCTACAGCGAGTCCCAGTCTCGAGTCACCACGCGAGAAGAAAGGTCTACGCAAGATGTTCAGCATGGTGAGGCAGAAGAGCATGTCGAGTTTGCGCAGCAAGAAGAGGTGAGAGATGACATGTATCGGATAGTGACGAGCTAAACTGACTGCGATGCTAGCTCCAAGAGTCTACGCGAAACAGCGCGCAGTGACTCGGGCTCCGCACCACCACCTGTGCCACCAGTGCCATCTATCACTTCATCACCCAGAGTTTGAATTGTGTACCGAAAAGATGCGATACGTGAGAACAGTTTCCTTGATTGAAGGGATGGGCCCCTCAGTGCCGGAGTTAACACATTTATATACCACTGGGCAAAGACTTGGACAACTACACAAGACCAATCAGTTGGCAATGTCTCTTTAGCGAGCAGGACTATCAAACGGCGTATTTCAGCAGCAAACAAAGCAGGATCGGATTGGACGAATTTTTATATACATAAAATTATATACATAAAAAGGCAGTATTCCACAAGACATCTGATATCACACATACAAGTCCAGATTGCTAGGATATCGAGTCGAAGCCATGAGCGTCGAGTACCCCGGAAAAGCAAGGTGAGAGCGAGGGAACCCCGCAGACGTCAGAGCGGCTCGCGGGATGCATACCACTGCGACCCGAGTATCCTTACATTACAACCAACCAACCACTCGCTTGAGCCGAGACACCTCTTCATCATGGCGCCAGCTTCAACTTTGGTCGTATGAAATATCCGCATCACCCAAACCACACGACACACAAGCACCAACTAACCATGAACGCGCTCCCGCACAGAACAAGCTCAAAGTCCAGCTCAAGCTGTCCATCTCACGCCTACGCATGGTCCAGCAAAAGGACACGGCAATCGCCAAACAGCAACGCCGCGCCATGGCCCAGCTGCTCGAACAAGGCAAAGACGAATCCGCGCGCATCCGCGTCGAAAACATCATCCGCAGCGACCTCACCACCGAACTCCTCGAGATCCTCGAACTGTACTGCGAACTTTTGCTTGCGCGCGCCGGCCTGCTCGAAGCAAAAGAATGCGATGCAGGCTTGGAAGAAGCCGTCAAGAGTATCATTTTTGCGGCTCCGAGAACCGATGTCAAGGAGTTGCATAATGTGAGGGCGCTGTTGGCCGAGAAGTTTGGCAAGGAGTTTGTGTTGGAAGCGACGGAAAATAGAGATGATAAGGTTGCGAAGAGAGTGGCGGATCGTTTGAGGGTCGAACCGCCGAAACCCGAGTTGGTAGAGGCGTATCTGTCGACCATCGCGGATGCCTACAATATCGATTGGCCCAAGGGTCGTCTGGCCGCTAGGGAAGCCGCTGCCAACCAGGACGACCATGATGAGGACGATGACAACCCTAGTGGAGGACAAAAGGTGCCTGCTTTGGAAGCGCCGGAAGGTACAGAGCCACTAGTCGCTGCTACTCCACCACGGAACCTGGGAATGAAGAGTCCTGTCAGTGTGGTTCCCCCGAGTCCGTCAACCGACAACGTCTCTCCGCGTATCAAGTTACCAGGACCGCCAGATCTCAAACCCTCAGCCAAGATGGTCAAGGCGAACAAGCCAGACACGACGGGTCCTGGAGGCAAGATCCCTGATGTGAACGAGCTGGCAGCACGATTTGCTCAGCTGAAACGATAGAGACTCTCATGCTTTTCAGTTGATAGTGTCGGGGGGTTCAATAGATTCGAGACCTATATCACTAATACTGTTACCCGCCTGTCGATACTCCACACCTGATCTGTTCGTAGTGCACGACGGAATCTCATATCCAGATGCGTAAGCCATCTGTCTGTTGGTCCAACTAGTTCACTAATGCAAGAAAATCGTTGAACCAGGTCGTGGCCACGCAGACACATCAATCTGATTCTTTCCATAGATATTACTCGAGACTGGTGATCATCACGCACTTCGAGCATACTCTATATTACCCTCGGCTTTTCCAGTGAAGCAGAATATCCTGCATCCAAATGTGTAGGTGGCATGTCTTACAATTCATGTATTGCTCGAACCGATGACATCCAAACCTGGGAAGTTGAAAAGATCTTGTGGGAAGGAAAGGTCTCCGCCCATGAAGTAGTCAAAGTCGAACAAAGAATTGTCCACGAAGTCCATAGTTGGCTGTTGTTGTTCGGTTTGGACACCTTGGCCAGGCAGTGGATCTTTTTGGCAGTCAGCATTTGAAACCCTTCAGAATGTACTCGAACCACTCACCAAGAGCACTGTGCTTCAAATTCTGCATCTGCACCTTGAAATGCGGATCAAACTCTTCTCTCCACCAGCAGATGGCATCCACCACATGGCTACCGTTAAGCCGGCTTCTAGCTCTTAGATCTAACATGTCTGTGCCATCTGCCTTTTTGAAAGCTCTCGAACTGTTCCAAAGCTTAGTAAGGTACGTGCATGACTTAGAGCACATATCGTTGCTGTCGATAGACAGGCTCTTCAACAGGCCAATGGCCGAGAAGAGTGATGATTCTGCCTCGTCCCTTTCTCCAGAGAGAAATGGAATGGACGACTTTAGGATGCGAAGCAGGGCGTATGAAGCGAAGAGAAAAGCGCAGACGATATAACTTGGTATCGAGACTGGATTAGACACGTTGCGCAGAAGCTCCTTTACTTTGCTGATGATCTGACGTGCTGTTTGTTGGATCTTGTCGAAACTGGTGGCATAAGATGTCTTGTCCTGCTTCAGAAAGTAAAAACTTCGGATATAGAGCCGAGCAATCTCACATTCGAGTCGATCGGAGTCTGCTTGTTGTCAGTACTGGTATGTATTGGTGAGGAATGTACTTACTATCCGCAGCGGTGAGCTCCAGATCCCTGATCTGCACCTCGTGCGATTTGATAATAATCGATAAAGCACGATCTTGGTCAGGAGTCAGGTTACGTATTCCATTCTCCGATACAGCTGAGCCACACTGGACACAAAGGTCTTGCCACTTGATTCGTAGTCTCAGTGCTGGAGACATTGTTTGTTGTCGGGCTTGGTATTGACTCATCTCAGGAGAAATATTGTAAGAAGTCTGCGCCAAAAACCCTTTGCACAAAGAGCTCCTGGACATATTAGCGTTTCCCCAGATTACTGTGCTATGTCTGCTGACCTCTGATATGTCAACACTATTCTAGCCCATAGAGCCGACCGACTGACTATGCCTATGTCTGGGAGGTTGGGCGTCTTGGCTCTGAAGAACTCGTCAGAGCCAGCAGGTACATGTAGACCGCTTCTTTGCGCCAAACTCAATAGGAGACCAGCCAATACATAGTTGACCTCTTGCTGGTTAGTCTCAACAGCGTCGAGTAGAGGCCATGTGACGAGAAGCAAGAATGCCTGAACACGTTGTAAAGGTGATCCAGTAGCAGTCGCAGACAGCAATGCCGAAGTGGTGATGCCCTTCGTAAGTGCGCTTAGCAGGGTTGGGTTCTGCGTGTAACTTCTGCACGCTGTTCCGATAATGGCCCAAAAGAGTAGAGGGCTTTGCTGATAGCACAAGTCTGGCGACGGCCTGGGATCGAGGACAGGTAGGAACGGTGAGTATTCCTGGAAGTACAATTCAAAGATACCATTGATATCACTGGCGGACACAGTCACTTCGTTTAACGTTCGAGGGGTTGTCGTCAACAATGCTTGGCTGTACGAGGTTGCATCATTAGTCGCATGAGAAGGTGTAGCGATGGACGCCGAGCCGGTTTCTCGGAAAGGCGAGGACACATGGTGGTGTCTCGCTGTCGAGGCTTCAGGATGGGAAGGTGGACTGGAGTGATCGTGGCGTTGCTCGATGGTGACAGATTGAAAATCTTCTGTCATCAGCCGCTTGCGTAGAGTGTCTGTCTCCTGTTCAAGCTCCGATAATCTCCTATAGAGGTATAAGCGAGAGGAGCAACAAGGTTCTCTCGATGACATGACTCACTTGCGTTTATGAAGCCTTTCGAATGAATCGACGATAGTGCAATGCACCGAAAGACGTTTACATCGCGTACAGGCATCGTGTGGGCTCAAGTATGCATCGCATTTAGCCTGTCGTAGGTGCTAAGCTCAGAATCATGGCTTGGTATTGGTAGATCAAACCTTCTGCTGCCTACATGCGGTGCATGCCTTCTTCTTGTTCATGTCTTGCTGCCACGAGTGAAAGATTCCACTCCAGGCAATACAACTGCACGTACTGATTTGACGACCTGTATGTGTGGTCTAGATTGCTTTGATCATGAAATAACTCAGGCGACCTGCGTCCGCGGTAATGATGGCTTTAAGGTCGCCTAGAGCGGGAACACTTTCCTCTGTCTGGACTCTTTCAAAAGCACGACCGATGGAGAGGATGCAAGCCCGGTAAGTGACCAATCCGTGGAATGGACCTCAATCTGTACAAAACACTGTGGGTCGTAATGCCTTGTCGAAGGAAAGCGCAAGGAGTCGCTGAAACACACTTTCCGATGCAGCCAAGCCTTTCTCCGCTCCACTCTCGTCCGCCAGATCTCTCTTCGCGCTGTCCTGCATCACATTCATGAACGGCCGTATGATCAACCATGTATGCGCCCTGAGCGTGACCTTGTGATCTCGCCTGGAAAAGATGATAGCACGGCTGCTAGTTTGCTGCGTAGCTCGTGACAACTCGAATCGTGAGTCGCAACGATTGTCCTTCATCTACTCATGTGGCCTGCAAAGAGCCAAGCATGGGAGGCAACAAAAAGCCAGGGTATACACCGAGTAGCTCCACTACGATCTCTATAGTAGACGACTATTGGGAGGAAATTGATTGGGCAGATGGATAGTTGTGTCAATGAAGCCTCACGAAACGAACCACTGCCGCTCGCAAGGTTCGCTTACAGCATTAACCGAACCATCCTGAAACGAGGATTCTAGAGTATGGCCCCGCTCGATATCGAGTTCAAAGAGCAGGTCAAGTATATAAATTCTCTTTTCTCAAGTCTTTCATTCTTCTCTCCAAGCATTCAACACTCATTCGTTCATCTTCTTCAATTCTGGTCGCTGGCCGTCCGCTCTTCATCTATCACCAACCAAAAAGTCACTCTTTCCACCACCTTCCATTCTCCAAGAAGACCCTAGCGGTATACACATAAAGTCTATCAAGATGCGCTCCTTCGCTACCATCATGGCTGCCGCCGCTCTGGCCCAGACCGCAATGGCTCACTACCGCTTTAACCAGCTCATCGTTGGATCCGAGGTCACTGGAGAGTACGAGTATGTTCGTCAGAACAGCAACATGAACTCTCCCGTTACCGATGTCACCTCCAAGGACCTGATCTGCAACGCTGGTGGTCTCGATACCGGCGCCCAGACCAAGACCTACAAGGTTGCTCCTGGTGACACTGTTGGCTTCGCTGTCGATACCCCTATTCAGCACCCTGGACCTCTCCAAGTCTACATGTCCAAGGCCACTGGTGAAGCTTCCGAATACGACGGAAGCGGTGATTGGTGAGTCAGCCCGAGGTACAAGTTCAGCGAGCCAGTTTTGCATAATCTTCGATTTGTGAGCTGGCGTGTTGTATAAGTACCATATCCAACCTCCACGAACCCTGCTAATTGCAATTACTCAAAAAGGTTTAAGGTTTTCCAGATGGGCGCAAATAAGGCTGGTAACGACAACGGCCTTACCTTCCAGGCCGATCACCTTAGCAAGGTCACCTTCAACATCCCTAAGGACACTCCCGCTGGCCAGTACCTCCTCCGTATCGAGCACATCGGTCTCCACAGTGCTTCCTCTTTCGGTGGTGCCCAGTTCTACATCTCTTGCGCTCAGATTGAGGTTTCTGGCAGCTCTACTGCTAAGCCTTCTCCTACCGTCAAGATCCCCGGTCTCTACACTGGCCACGAGGATGACATTGAGCTGAGCATCTACTACCCTATCCCCGTCAACTACCAGAACCCTGGCCCTGCTGTCTGGGGTGGTGCTTCATCTGGCTCTGCTCCTGCCTCATCCGCTGCTCCCGCCTCGTCTGCCGCTTCTTCTGTCGCCACCAAGCCTACCTCGAGCGCTACCGCCAAGGTCCCTGTCACCTCTGCCACCACCACTGCTGCTCCTACAACCATGTCAACTGTCGTTAAGACCTCCACTGCTGCTTCCACCAAGACTACCAGCGCTGTCGGCGGCTCCAGCGGCTCTGTCAAGAAGTACCAGCAGTGCGGTGGTAAGGGTTACACTGGTGCCACTGCATGCGAGTCTGGCTCCACCTGCAAGGTCCAGAACGACTACTACTCTCAGTGCATCTAAAGTGTCTCGCTTGAGACACTTGTCTGAGTAGAGCAATACATAAAGCAACGATGTAGTCGGAGCTTCTTTCTTTCTTGGGGTTTATCTGTCAGTGTTATCTGTCGGGTCGTCTTACTCTTTAACCTTTTATCTCTACTTCTTTTGAATGAGTGTTCTGACCTCTGCCATCCTATCTGGTGCTTGTCTCCGTTCCATTCTCATGTATGTCATACTTGTAGCCGATGAGATGCTCGGTAGATCCAAGAAACAGGAGAGTGTCTATGTACAAGTGATCATCTTCTAGCTCCCACTGAACCAGCGCTCTGTGGCCTCGGCTACAATCCAGAAAGAACTGTGCATCTTGATAGCTTCAACTCCGTCTGATTGTTGACGTGAGAGGGGGTGATAGAGGCAGAGTTTAGCGCATGCGGAGGAGGCATAAATTAATCTTTGTGATATAGATCTCGACTCTCTGTAATAGTCCTTGGTCTCCCTCAGACCTCCATCTCTCATTGCATCTATTGCTCAATCATCACGTAACTCACCTGACATCACAACGCCCGTTACTTCTTCACCTCTTTCTGCTCCAACTTCAGTTTCTTCGCAGCACGCCACTTAGGACCCCAAACCATGACCGCCCACAAACAAGGCGATGTCAGAACCCACAAAAACGCAACTGCCGTGCTCGCCCACCCAATTCCGATGGCTCCTACTAAAGGCTGTGCAAAAGCGGTAAAGGCAGCTCCCATACCACATCTCGCAAGGTTGTTGGCCGCGGACGCCGTTCCCGGTTGATGCAAGTTGATGTCGACGATCAAGGTGCTGAAAACGTTGAAGGCTCCTGTGGTGGTATTGCCGACGAGGAAGAGCATGATGAGTGGACCTGCTAGGGAGGTGTTGAAGTGCATTACCCATCCGTAAGTCACTACTGTCACTGCCGAGGCATAAGCTGCTGGAATACCGATCTGTAGACGTGCTTAGGTGAATGCGCTGCGTGAAGATTTTCAGATGAAGTGCAGATGCAGAATCTGAAGCAAAATTGTGTGCTCCTTCCCAAACATTGGACATGGTTTCACATGAAATCAGTCGTGACTACTCAACGTGATATCAGAAGGAAGGTGCACTCAACCTGACTTTCCTTCTTCCATTCAGCATGCTCTTTGCCTTCCTCCACCTCTCCACTCCATCTTCCTTGCTCATTGCATCCAACCTTTCACTGCATCTTCCTGGTATCATCGACTTACCCATCAGCAAGCCTTCCTCTTATCATCGACATACCTATCAGCAAGTATCCTCTCCCAATGGACCCTTACATCGGCGTCGGCACAGCTGCGGACCCAGTCGGTCTACGCATTCGCCGCGAGCAGCTCAAGTCGAGATGGCGCATGAAGCTCCAGGAACTACACCGTTGCAGGATGAAAGCTTCAATGGCTGCCGCTCTGATGGTCGACAAGAAATGGGCGTTTGATCGTGACGTCGACTTCGCCATGAGCACTCTACTCCCTCAAACCATCGACATACTGACGAGCGGTCGGAAGCCCACTATCGACGAGTTGAAGAGTATCCCCTGGATCGACACCAAGGATCCTGTCACCTACTTCTGCCTGGTTGAGAAGCTGGATCGACTTGGCAACGTCATTGAGCGAGGTCTCAAGGTCGGATGTGCATGGTCCGAGGATGGAGGTGCAAGAAGGCGACGTACGGACCATGACAACCCAATCAATTCGATAAAATGGTGAGTTCGAGACCCAGCCATCATCAAGCACAGTGCTAACATATCGACGTAGGGCCAAAGAAGGAAGTCCTTTCCACGCGTTGCTCAACTCCGCAGCCAAAGACGAGACGATCCACAAACACTGGGGCATTCTCTCCAGAGGAGCACCTTTCCAACGTACAACTGATGCCGATGACTATCTTGCCGCACGCTACTTCCAGGTCGAGGCTATGTTATCAGCTGCTCTCGGTGCTTCGAAGGATGGAATGAACAATCCGGAGTATCTGGCCATGAAGTGGTGGGCAGCTGACCCTCAAGTCGATGCTGGAGTCGACGATGAGGTCGAGGCATCGCCCTGGGATGGCCTGGATTCTCACTGCGCAATGGAGGACAGATTCGCGCGACGGTCGAGTGTTCCAGTGGAGTCACGTGCTCAGACCAGGTTAGCAGTATCTGCAAAATCGAGCCGGATGTATAAGGCCAAGGCCGTCGCAAACGACAAGTTCTTGTGTACCTATGTCGATTGCGAGCGCTCTCAGCCTGGCAATGGTTTCCCTAATTCTCAGAACCACAGAGCTCACCTCAAATGGCACGAAAAAAATCCCGGCAAGCGTCAGGTCGGGCGTCGAAAGTGCGAAGATCCTCGTTGCAAGTACGAAGCGCCTGGGTCGCTGCTGTGGAAGCATGAGAAGACTCACGTCGATGGCAAGGTCTCTTGCGCTGCTTGCGGTCTGAAATCTGGAAACTTGTCGGCTGTGATGTACCATGCTCGCAACTTCTGCTATGTCGATGGTGCAGAGCAGATCATGCTCGCTTGGCGCGCCGAGAACAAAGAATCGACCTCAGCTTTGCTCGTCGCCGAGGATGATGTCGAAAACACCGAGTCCATGCACGAAGGCGAGATGGAAGATATCGAGTCGATGATCGACTTTGAGGACGATGAAGAAGAAGACATCGAGTCAATCGCTGACCTTGATGAAGACGATATCTGCTACGTCAACGTTGCCGACCAGGATACTCAAGGTGACGCGCACTCCATCATCGACGTCGAGGACGACGAGTCGCGTGATGAGTCCCAGGGTTTGGAGGGATATGCCGAGGTGGTCGACACAAGCAGCGAGGTCGATGCGTCTGAGATGAACGACTTCATTGACGACGATATGGATATCGACGGCCTTTACAAGCATTCCATCGACGAGAGCAGCAGTGTATTTGGCAGTGAGGATATCGACTCGGAGGAGGGTAGCGATGTCGATTCGGAAGACGATGCCGATGGCGATCTGGAGGATGCTGACGAGCTTCTGAAGGCATCCGGTGCTTACTCCATCACGCGTTCCGGCAAGCGTGCCCGCAGAACATGAGCCACGTCTATCGGTCATTGACTTGGAGGGGATATCGACGCAAGAACAGTAGCTTTATGAGGTATTTTAATGATTGCTGGGGCGATTCACTCATGGTTTGAGCGATTAATGGACGAAGAGACAAACAAAGCATAGCATAGATCGACATGTAATCCAAAGCCAGACATAGTTAATGAACTCCAGGGTATCAGCTGTATGGTATGTGATATTCGAAGAGCTGATTTCAAGAAGATTCTGCCATCCATGGCATTTCATCAGTGTTTAGAATGAAAGAGTAGAAGATCTGCTCAAATTTTCTGCATCGCTGTCTCGATCCGTTATGTGATGTTGTTACTATACATCCGAGTTTCCATATTTCCATCGTCCTCCCATATATGTCTCAAATTCTCAAATCCGGAGATCTCCTGTTCTCATGAAGCTGCCCATCGACATCGCTTTAGGCGGTGATACCGCTAGGAACGAAGTCGAAGACGCCGCCGCCGTTACCCTCAGGGTCGTCGTTGTCATCCTCATCGTCCTTCTTGAGAGTCTTGTCGATACCGACACAGGTGATGTCTTCTCCACTGCCTTCGTCCTCGTCCTCATCGTCCTGAACCTTCTTCTTTCCCTTGTTTCCCTTGACTCTCTTGCGAGGGCCATCGACGTAGCGCTTCAGGATGGCGCGGGTCTTCTTGATGCCCTGATCGACCTCATACTCAGAACTGCTGAGGACGGCGCGGGTCTTCTTGGTGCCCTGATCGACGTCATGCTCAGAATTCTTGAGGTCGTAGACAGCTTCGAATGCATCCCGAGCCGAGTCGATGACAGAGCAAGTACTGGTGACACGGACTCTCTTCTTGTGACCCTTCTTACCCTTCATCACGTCGATCTTCAGAGCCTTGCCATGTCTGTCAACCTTCTTGAAGATTCTTCCGCCTTTGTTGACGCCCTCGTTAACGAATCTTCCCTGCAATTCCAGGATGTCGATGAGACCTTGGTTGGAGGCAGCGACACTCTGGTTACCTCTGGGACTGCGGGTCCAGGTCGAGACTGTGCCGCCAATCGACGCGGGCTCCCAGTTGGCAATGATCCTGTCGATCAGAGTGTTGGCCTGGCGCTTGCCACGGTAGTTCAAGTCAGCGCGCTGCTGGTTGGAAAGGTATGCGACAGGCGAAGGAGCGACAAGAGGAGTTTCATCCTCACTGCTCTCATCGTCACGGTTCTCGTCATCGGTGGTGTCGGGGGCAGAATCGACCTGGACTTCCTCGTCATCCATGTCGTTCTGGATAGTTCCGGGCTGGACATCGTCCTGGAAGTTGGCGATCTCGAGAGATTCTTCACTGTTGACGGGCTGGGCATCGACCTGAGCATCAGGCATGTTGGTGGTGATGGTGTCGACTGGATCGACGTGGGAAGGAGAGATCTGGCGAGAAATCTCACCAGTGCTGGTGGATGGATCGACGTGAGGAGGAGTAGTCATTGTTGATGAGGTGTGTTGATGAAAGATTGGAAAGCAAGAAAGAAAGATTGATGTTGATGTAAAAGAGAAAGTGGTTGGTGGTGGAGGAAGCTGTATAAGTAGGCAAAGTGATGGAAGTGAAGAAGGCAGGGAGAATTCAAGTTACTAGTGAAGTGAATGATTGTCGAAGAAGAATGGAAAAGAAGATAGATTTTGCGAATCAGAACCAATCATTGCGCCGTGAACTTTCTTCCTGAGGAAATGAAAATGGTATCCCCGTGTGACTACTAGATTACAAATGCAGAATTCTCTTTACGAATGCTTTTACAGCATCAAGTTGAGGGGGTTCTCAATGGCGGCCTTGAGCTCCTTCATGAACTCACCACCAACAGCGCCATCGACAACCTTGTGGTCGAAAGAACCGGTGATGACGATCTGGTCATCCCACTCGATGCCATCCTCGCTCTCGGAGGGAATGGCAACCTTCTTGACGGCACCAACAGCGATGATACAGGCCTGGGGAGGGTTGATGACAGCGGTGAATCTGTCAATGGCAGCGTTCATACCCATGTTGGAAATGGTGATGGTACCACCCTGGTACTGCTCAGGCTTGAGCTTGCCGTCACGGGCGCTCTTGCCGAGGGCCTTGACTTGGCTGGAGATGGACTCGAGACCGGTGCCGTTGACGTTCTTGACAATGGGAGTCATGAGACCGACAGGGGTTGCGACAGCGACCGAAACGTCAACAGTGTTGTTTTGACGGATGAAGACATTGCCGTTCTCCTCGCGCCAGCTGGAGTTGGCGGCAGGGACCTTACGGGCAGCAACGGCGAGAGCCTTGATGAGGAAGTCGTTGACCGAGAGCTTGTATTTGCCGTCGGCGGCTGAGTTCAGGGCCACGCGGAGCTTCATGAGCTTGCTGACCGAGATGGACGAGGCGACGAAGTAGTGGGGATTCTCGTTCATAGACTGGACAAGACGAGAAGCGATGGTCTTGCGCATAGACGAGGCGGGGACGTCCTCGTAGGCGGCGGCGGCGGCACCAGCAGGGGCGGCGGCAGCGGTAGCAGCGGGCTTGAACTTCTCAATGTCCTCCTTGGTGACGCGACCACCGGGGCCGGTACCCTTGACCTGGCTGATTGCAACACCCTTCTCGAGAGCGAGCTTCTGAGCAGCGGGGCTGAGCTTGGGCTGGCGCTCGAGAGCGGTCTGGAGGCGCTCACCAGAGGACTCGGACTCCTGGGCCTGGGGAGCAGACGACGATTGAGTAGGAGCGGGAGCGGGGGCGGTGCTGGAAGAGTTGGAAGGGGGCTCGGAAGCGTTGGCGGCCTCCTGTCCACTGCCCTCCTTGGCCTGCTTCTCACCACCGGCGTCCTCGACGGTGAAAGAGTCGAAGGCCGAGACATCGGTACCCTCCTCGGCCATGACGGCGATGGGCTGTGGTGGTGTCAGTATAGCGAAATGTGAATTTCTCCAGCGATTGTGCTCTTACGTTTCCGACAGCAACATCCTTTGCGCCCGAGTCCTTGAGGACCTTGATCAGAACACCCTCCTCTTGGAACTCAAAGTCCATTTGGGCCTTGTCGGTCTCGATCTCGACGAGGACATCACCGGGAGCCAGAGCATCACCGGCCTTCTTCTGCCAGGTACCAATGTTACCGGCGGTCATGGTGGGTGACAGAGCGGGCATGGTGATGATGGTGTGAGGGGGGAAGGCTAGAGGAGAGCAATCAGCGACTGGGGGTATGGTCGTTTGTGAGACAGCATACACTTGGAGGCATAGTATCTGCTAAGAGCACCGAAGACAGCGGGAGTTGCGACAGACTCTCTTGCCCTCAGCGACTGCAGACACAATCTTCCCGATGCGCGGGAGAGCAGAGCTGCGGCCGACATTGTGTGGTGTGTGTGAGTGGAGGGTGTTGGGGAGAAGAGGACGGCGAGATGTTCGAGGACCAGGAATCTCAGCCACCGAGCACAAGGAGCGACGAGGTGAATAGAGGGACGAGGAAGTGTTTCTGGAGCTCTCAACAAACGATGGTCTCGGACATTTTCGCGCCTTCTCGAGTTGGTCCGACGGTCTTGGCTCCCGGTATCAAAGCCGTGCCGATTTTGCTTATCGTTGGCCGTGGTCTGTCGACCAAAACTCCGGTCTGCGCCAACACCGTAGAAAACATGGCTTTTTAAGACTCGGAATCTCCTCGAGCACGACCTCAGACTATCTGTTGTCCATAAGACACGAGGTCTGGATCTTCAAGGTTGATCTTGGTAACTTGAACAAAGCCATCTATTCATAGTCCGAATCTCCGAGAGTTGCTTGGCCGCAAGCCACGGTTATTAGCCCCATGATTGTTGTACAGTATTACATTGCATACATCGAGCTGGCCATTTTAATGCCACAACTTGCTTCTGGCATTCCCTTCGACGACTACACGTCTTGAATACTCTCTGCCATTCACATGTCGCCTTGCTGTATACGTAATTGAACACGCAGGCATGGCAGATACCGAGGGTCCTGCTCCTCACAACACGGAGCCTGATGTCGCTCTCGACAACCATCAATTAGACACCCGGCCGCAAGCCGACATGGACCCAAGTCAGGAACTGCAAGACATACCCCTCGATACCGCTCCTGAGTCACGAGCAGACCCTCCTCCTGTCCTCACATACGAACCCGACGACCCGACTTCCCACCAAGACGACGGTGACATCGAGACATCGCGTCCTGGCGCCCAGCCTGCAACTGAGCTACCTGAGCAGCCCGTCATTCCTGCCACCACCACTCCTCTGCCAGAACCTACTCCAACCCCGCCATCTGAGCATCCCCCCAAACATGTCGTTGATCCTCGTCTTGTCCAGCCCAATCGCCAGCGTACCGATTCGCAATCCACCACTGCTACCTCTCGCTCAGCCACTCGTTCGTCCATGGTTTTTGTCGTGAGCGCTTTAGAAAAGATTGCTGCTTCCAAGGATGCTCGCAAGGAGAAGCCTCTGGCGGACGCTACCCAGCGTGCCCTGTCCACAATCAAGAGCCAGGGAGATCCAACCCAGACCGATCCCGAGATTCTCTTCGCACCTCTACAGTTGGCTAGTCGTGCGAATACTGTCGCAATAGTCACTACTGCTCTGGACTGCATTGGCAAGCTCATCAGCTATTCATACTTTTCTGTTCCCACCGACCCAAATCAAGAGAACCAGCAACCTCTCCCACTCATCGAGCGCGCCATCGATACCATATGTGATTGCTTCCAGGGCGAGGCTACTCCTGCTGAGGTGCAAATGCAAATCCTCAAATCCCTACTGGCTGCTATTCTGAATGACAAGATTGTGGTACACGGTGCAGGTCTACTGAAGAGTGTTCGTCAAACATACAACATCTTTTTGCTGTCCAAAAACAGCTCGAATCAACAAATTGCCCAAGGTACTTTGACACAGATGGTTGGAACGGTTTTCGAAAGAGTCAAGACACGGATTGCTGGTCGCGCCGCCAGGGCCGAAACCTCCAAGACTTCCCTCGCCAATGGTTCTGGCGAGAATGTCGAGTCGCTCTCGGACAGTGCGGATACCGAGCTACCGCGAAACTCGACCGATCTGCAGGAAGACGAGGAAGAAGATGTCGACACAACCAGAATGACCCTACAGACCTTCGAGACCAAAAAGAGTTTCGACGATGCTCGGATAGGCGACAATGCTCCTACTATGGTCACTCGCCTCAAAAAATCCAGAATGCCTGCCAGAACCACTTCTGGCAACGATGGCGTTCCCGCCATCACCGTGCAGCCCGATGGCTCTGATATCACCGAGGAGGACGAGGAGGATGAAATCTTCATCAAGGATGCTTTCCTGGTCTTCCGCGCAATGTGCAAGCTCAGCACAAAGACACTTCGTGTCGAAGAGACTGTTGATCTCAAGTCTCAAGGCATGCGCTCCAAGCTACTATCCCTTCACATCATCCAAACAACCATCTTCAACCATCATGCCGTCTTCACATCACCATTCGCGACTATTCGCAGCAGCTCAAATAATGATCCCACGAGTTTCACTCAGGCTATTAAACAGTATATCTGTCTCAGTTTGAGTCGCAACGGAGCTAGCTCAGTCAACAAAGTGTTCGAAATTAGTTGCGAAATCTTCTGGCTCATGATTCGCTACTTGCGAGTCACGCTTAAGAGAGAGATTGAAGTTTTCCTCAAGGAGATTTACCTCGCCATCTTGGATAAGAGGACGGCACCTGCATTCCAAAAGCAATGCATCATCACGGTCTTGACAAGACTGGCTTCAGATCCAAGGGCACTGGTTGAGATCTACCTCAACTATGACTGTGATCGAGCAGCACTCGACAACTTCTACCAACGTATCATTGAACATATTTCCAGAATCGCTAGTTCGCCTGTGCAGGTCACGGCGCAGCAGGAACTGTTGTACATTGAGCAACAGTCAAAACATGGCAATGCTATGTCCGAGTGGCTGGCCCAGAGTACTCTGCCCCCATCATTGTCCACCTCCACCATCGTCGGTGTTCAAGACGCCAACCAAGATATCCCTGCGGAGTATGTCATGAAGCAGCATTCTCTCGAATGTCTAGTGGAGACACTGCGCTCTATGGTCAACTGGTCTCAACAAGGTCTCAATGATGTCGCCGCATCTCTTTCAAATCCCGAATCACGCAATTCGATCGAAGATTTCAGAGACTCGATTGACACTCGCGAAAATGGTGCTTCTCAGTCGCCTATAGTACCGAGCATGGAGACTTCTGCGACCGTGATTCCTGGCACCCCTCTCGCTGAGGATGATCCCGCTGAGCTTGAACGAGTGAAGCAACACAAGACCGCTCTCAACAATGCCATCAAGCAGTTCAACTTCAAGCCCAAGAAGGGTGTCAAGGTCCTGATCGCTGGTGGCTTCATCGCCTCGGATTCCCCTCAAGATATCGCTCGGTTCCTCATCACCAATGACAGACTGGACAAGAAAGCACTGGGTGAATATCTTGGAGAAGGTGAACCAGAAAACATTGCCATCATGCATGCCTTTGTTGACAGTATGAATTTTACCAAAACACGATTCGTCGATGCTCTTCGAAACTTCTTGCAGAGTTTCCGTCTGCCAGGAGAGGCTCAGAAAATTGATCGTCTAATGTTGAAATTCGCTGAAAGATACACTGGAGGTAATCCCAATGCATTTGCGAATGCCGATACCGCCTACGTGCTAGCCTATTCGGTTGTCATGCTCAACACCGACCAGCACAGTGCGCAAGTCAAGGTTCGTATGACTCCAGAAGATTTCATCAAGAACAATCGCGGCATCAACGACGGTCAGAGTCTGCCGGATGATTACCTGAAGTCCATCTTTGAGGAAATTGCCCAAAACGAAATCGTACTAGATACTGAACGCGAGAATGCTGCCAACCTGGGCATGCTGCCACAAGGCGCTGGTAGCTTGGCCGCAAATATTGGTCAAGCAGTTGCCAACTTTGGACGTGATTTGCAGAGGGAGGCGTATGCTCAAGCTTCGGACCAAATGGCCACCAAGACCGAACAGCTCTTCAAAAACCTCATGAAAGCGCAACGTCGTGGGGCTGCCAGATCGTCTACGGTGAGGTTCATTCCTGCATCTTCATTCAAACATGTCGGCCCGATGTTCGAAGTAACATGGATGTCCTTCCTGACTGCTCTTTCTGGCGGAACCCAAGAGACGAACAACATCGAACGGATCAAGCTCTGCATGGAAGGTCAAAAGCTGGCCATTCGCATCTGCTGTCTGTTTGACCTTACAGACCCCAGACAAGCTTTCATCGCCCAGCTGACTCGTTTCACGAATCTCTACAACATTGGCGAGATGAAAGCCAAGAACATCGAGGCTCTGAAAGCGGTTCTCGATGTCGCCCAGCATGAAGGCAACCTGCTCAAGGAGTCATGGCGAGACGTTCTCACTTGTATCAGTCAACTTGACAGATTCCAACTCATATCCACTGGTATCAGCGAAGGTGATGTTCCCGATATGCTGAGGACCCATTCTTCCATGAGCACTCCTAACCGGAAATCTCTCGGTGTTCCTCCTCGTCACCGCAATAGAAACTCTGTCAGCGGAGTAGTGTATCAGCCTGACATTGCCGAAGAGAGCAGATCTGCCGACATGGTGCGTAGTGTCGATCGGATCTTTACCAATACTGCAAATCTGTCTGGAGAGGCAATTGTACACTTCGTCACGGCTCTTACACAAGTCAGCTGGCAGGAGATCCAGTCTTCAGGCAATAGCGAGTCACCCAGAACATACAGTTTGCAAAAACTTGTCGAGATCAGTGGCTACAACATGACCCGTGTGCGTTTTGAATGGACGAGTATCTGGCAAGTTTTAGGTGAACACTTTATACAGGTCGGCTGCCACAACAACACCAACGTTGTTTACTTTGCTCTCAACTCGTTGAGACAACTGTCCATGCGTTTCATGGAGATCGAAGAACTGCCTGGTTTCAAGTTCCAGAAGGATTTCTTGAAGCCTTTCGAGCACATTCTCAGCAATGCCACACAAGTTCCTGTCAAGGACATGGTTTTGCGTTGTCTGATCCAGATGATCCAAGCTAGAGGTGACAATATCCGTTCCGGTTGGAAGACCATGTTCGGTGTCTTTACTGTCGCAGCGCGTGAACCCTATGGTATGTGTTTCTCATATTCTACTATTCAATTTGACTAACAGCACTCAGAATCGATCGTCAACCTTGCCTACGATAACGTCACACAGGTCTATAACGATCGCTTCGCCGTGGTCATCACCCAGGGCGCTTTTGCCGATCTTATCGTGTGCTTGACTGAGTTTTCCAAAAACCAAAAATTCCAGAAGAAGTCTCTACAGGCCATCGAGATGCTCAAATCTTCTGTAGCGAAGATGCTTCGTACACCTGAATGTCCACTCAGTCTCAAGGCCAGTACCGTCAAAGATGCTCCTACAGCGGAGGGCATGCCCAAGCAGCCTACCAGACAAACTCAGGAAGAGCAGTTCTGGTTCCCCGTTCTGTTTGCCTTCCACGATGTGTTGATGACTGGTGATGACCTCGAAGTCCGATCTAGGTATGTCAACTTGCCTGTGCCACTAGTGTGCGTATGCTGATGATATAGGGCACTCAACTACTTGTTCGAGACATTGACACGTTACGGCGGCGAATTCCCTCGCGAGTTCTGGGATACTTTGTGGCGCCAATTGCTATACCCCATCTTCATGGTTCTCAAGTCGAAGTCGGAAATGTCAAAGGCCCTCAACCACGAAGAGCTCTCAGTCTGGCTATCGACAACCATGATTCAAGCACTCCGCAACATGATCAGTCTCTTTACGCATTTCTTCGACTCTCTTGAGTACATGCTTGACAGATTCCTGGATCTCCTAGCACTTTGCATATGTCAAGAGAACGACACTCTGGCGAGAATTGGCAGCAACTGCTTGCAACAATTGATCCTTCAAAACGTTCACAAGTTCACTCCCGAGCACTGGGAGAAGGTCGTCGGTGCTTTCGTTGACTTGTTCGCAAGAACTGAGGCAACCGCTCTCTTCTCTGCAGCAACATCTTCCTCCTACAGGAAAGACTCGAGTGCCTCGAACGGTTCCAAGGCTACCTCAGCATCAATGGATGGTCTACAAATGGACGAGTCTTCTTCTGCGGACCCAGCATCCATAGTTCCTGAAAGCTCTCTCGGACTCAATGGTGGAGAACCCTCGCCGAACGAGGGAACACCCAGACGTTCTCGTGGGAACACCACGGCTACTATGCAGTCTGATCGAAGCCTGTCGCCTTCGAAGCAGGCACAGATCGGCGATACTAATGAGCTTGAGTCCTTCAACAACACATCGCAAACACCCAATGCACCGGTCGTTGTCACGGCCGCACGCCGCCGCTTCTTCAACCAGATCATCACCAAGTGTGTCTTGCAATTGCTGATGATTGACACGGTTAGCGAGCTGTTCTCCAACGATTCCGTTTACACGGCCATTCCGTCCCATCTTTTGCTGCGCTTAATGTCGCTACTGAAGAAGTCTTACCACTTTGCCAAACGCTTCAATGAGGATCGCGATCTACGTACGAAGTTGTTCAGAGAGGGCTTCATGCGTCAGCCACCAAACCTGCTCAAGCAGGAGTCAGGGTCCGCCTCGGTATACGTGAGTATTCTTCTGCGCATGTTCTCGGATGAAGGAGAAGAGCGCAAAGCATCACGCGCAGAGACCGAGCAGGCACTGATTCCTCTGTGTGCGGATATTGTCAATTCGTACATTGAGCTCGACGAGGAGACACAACAACGCAACATTGTTACTTGGCGACCTGTTGTTGTTGACGTGCTCGAGGGGTACACGGCGTTCCATGCCGAAGACTTCGAACGCCATGCTACCACATTCACGCCGCTGGCCGTTGGCCTCATGAATCGCGACATGGGCCCTGAGCTTCAGCGGGCAGTACAAGGACTTTGGGCTCGTGTCACCGAGATCAAGTTTGGAGTAAAGACATTTGCTCATAGAAATGCTTCAGGAATGGCCAGTCCCACTAGACCGTCCATGTTCAGTGGGCGTCGTTCGAGTAGGGGAAGTCGTTAGGGGTGAGATTCATCGTTTGGTCAGCGTTGGGACTGGTAGGATATGTACAGAGGCGTTGAGGAGTGGTATGGTGTCGTCTTGTTGTGATACACCTTGCTTGATGCGGGATAGGCAAATAGACCAAGAAACAAAAGTAAACTTGTATAATAAGACGTTCTGCATATCAGGCCACTCTCCGGCTCAGCTCCAACACCTAGACGCAAGCAGAATCGAAGCCATCGAAGTGCACAGCTCCTTCGCTGCGTTTTAAAAGTGAGCCGGAGCTTTTTGAAGGGGCGCGTCATCTTTCACTCGAGGGAAGGTGCCATGGCATCTAGGCTCCAACACCTGCCTTGGTCACTTGACGACGCACAACTCGGAAGCCACGACACTTCCAAGCCTCGTTCTCTGCCTTCGTCCGCCAGACCTGTCAACATTATCCAGCTTCTTGCTTTGGTGTCTGTCATTAACCTGCCGCCTTTGACCATGGCTCGCTCGTCTGGCGGTTCGGCCGCTACTGCGTTCAAGGTAAGCCATACATGCCATTCGTATGACTTGGCTCAGGATTAACAGCTGCAGAAGTCAAAGGCTACTCAAGCTGCCACCAAGTCTACACCATCCAAGAAAGCAAAGAAGACTGTCGAGGAAAATCCCAATCCAGCACCAGCTCCAGCTCCACTCGACGCGTCTGATGATGATCTTGAACGTACCGAGCCATTCAAGGGCACTCTCACGTCCAAGCGCGATCGTATGGTCCGAAAGATTCACTGTGCTATGCCTGATGGCACTTCTGCAGTCGTGAGTTCTATCGTGCAATGCTTTTGACCTCGCCCTCCTGATAATCATGGTGGCTACAGAAGAAGAAGCAGAAGAGAGATTTCGCTCAGAACATCAGACTCACATCCAAGAAGCCCTTCTCGGTGGAGCCTGTTCTCATGACCCATGGCCCCTACGCCGGTCTTCATGTCCTTGTGTTGCAGCCTGAGCCTGATGAGCACGAAAAGTTCCCATTCCTCGATCTGCCTGCCGAGATTCGCAACATGATCTACTCCCTGGTCCTCGAGCGCCCTGGCTATCACATCCGCCTCTCGGGCAAGCACTCTGGAACCATCCAGACTTTCTGGTACAACCCTAAAGGCAGATACATACCGAGAGATCAGATTTACAGCACTAGTTTGATGCGTGTGAACAAGCAAATTAGTGTCGAATCGACGCCCTACCTGTTCAGTCGTCACACATTCGAGTTCACAGACTCCACCATGATGCAAAGATTTCTCGAGTATCTTGGTCCTGAGCGTACCAAGTCCTTGGTCTCTGTCGTGGTCAACCAGCAGTATGCTATCTCGATCAGACAAGCATATGACTTATTGTCAGTTGCCACTTCTCTCACTAAGCTCGAGATTACTACCTCGTACTGGTATCCGTATGGCGCCCACATTCTGCTCGAATGGCCTTCCGTGTTGCTACCTGTATTCCACTCCCTGTGCTCCGCAGGCAGAAGCCGCGACGAGGTCTTCGACATGATCACCATCAAGGGAGCAGTGAGAGGAAGTTGTCCAGAACACGGCACATTCAGAATTGATCTCGACAAGGATTGCAAGAATGAAATCAAAGCCTACGAAAACTTCCGCAAGAAGCTACGTGACGACATCGACCAGGAAATTGACAAAGCGGAGGCCAAGAAGGAGGCCATCAAAAGAGGTTCGCCAGTCAAGACCAGAGCTGGACGCAAGACAAAGGCAGTCGATTACTCGGGTATGGAGGATTGATTCGCTTCAGTGGCAATGACTGCCTGTCGGAAAGATTCGTGCATTTTTACAGCGACAGGATTTTGCTTGCACTGACGTGGAAATCAGCTCTCGGACAGATGAAACATGGCTCACAACAGAAAGCTCAGAAAGAAATATCACGAAGAACAGGCGAGCTGTCGCAGACAACAACTCGTGGAAACAGATGGAAGATGCTCGTCACAATCAAGGGGACGCGTGTGACCAAAAAACGGTATCTTTTTTATTCGCTTCTGTGTATAATAGTGAATTAAGAAACTCAAACCAAACCAAAGATCCTCCAGAATTAAACATTATCAATTTTTCTTTCCTCTCCACTTTCTCTCTCCCTATCTCCTTTCCCTTGTCTCATCCCCTCTTTCTCGATTTGTCCTTCCTTTCCTTTTCCCTCCCTTCGTCCTACCTTTTTATCATCTCCTCCGCGAGTTCATCATTTCTTTCTCGTTTACCAGCCAGCAGTCGACACACTAGCAGTCTGACTAGCATGATGGCTTCTCCACGAAGTTGAGAGAGTGCCATTTCCAGCAGGTCCTCCAACAACCGTAGTAACCGTAGCAGTCACAGTCGCCCTGGCAGGAACACCAGTCGCAGGGGTCGTCATGTCCCTCACCTCCACATCAGCGAACACAACAAGGTCCTCCTCCTCACCATCATAAAACTTCTCATAGTCATCGTCACCTTTCTGGTGCTTGATTCTCGACTTGATAGCCTTCTTGCGAAACTTTTCTTCCTTTTTGTTTTGCTTTGCGATTGACTTTGCGCGCTTCTTGGAGGCCTTTTTCTGCTCCTTTGAGTTTTCCTTTTCGAACTGGTTTTCGGCATAAGAAGAGAATTTGTTGTAGACTTTTTTGGCGAGGCTCATTTTGCGCCGGTAGTCCTTTTCCGGGTCGCCTTCGTCTGCTACGGCTTCCTCGCGGGCGACGAGGGCTGCTGCGTTGGCGTCTGCAATGGCACTGGCGACTGGGAGGACGGCAGCGAGAGTGGTCTTGTGGTCTTTCTTGCTGTGTTTTGCATCGTATTCCATTTGCTGCTCGAGAGATTTGACCATGTATTTTGTGTGGGCTGACCAGGACTTTTCGAGGAGTTTGGAGTGGTGCTTGCTCCATCTGGACATGCGCTTGGATATTGCTTTGTCGGGTCTGACCATCTTGTCGTGCTTCTTCTTTGGATCGCCTGCAGAGTCACGAGCGACAAGGGTCTCAGTGGCATCGTCAGCGCTCCAAGTCGCAGGGAGAGGAAACTCGGGTGCTGTCGTGATGGTGCTGATTGGGTCTACCATGGTGTACACAAAGTCTGGGGTGAAGCTTGGTTGGAAAGCTTCCTCGCTGGAGATGCTCGAAGGGGGAGTCATCTTGCTGAGGACACTTGTAAAGGGATACACCTCGCTAAAGATGCTAGGCGGTTCCTTTGTCTTGTGACCCGAGCGAGTATGAGTGGTCGTGTCGTCTTCAGAAGATTGAGTCGTAGGGTAAGGGAACAATTCTGAAGGGAAAGTCGGAGTACGTGGCGGATCAAAGAGTGGGTTGAACTCAGGTGTCTCAGTGGGACGAGGAAGATCAGAGGTCAAAAAAGGATAGAACTTTTCGAAGTCGGAAGTTGTCACAGTGCTGCTCGAGGTGGGGGATGCCTTGGACAGGGTAGACAGTCTAGTCTCGCCTTCGCTGAGAGTAATGGTCGAGACAATCTCCTCGACACCGGTGGTGATTACTTCGACTTCCTCGGTCGTGACGACAACAACCTCTTCCTTGGAGGTGTCGGACGCAGATTGTGACAAGGACTGGGATGATGACTGGACTAAGGTTGGCACAGGTGTCTCCACAACAGTCTCGGATGAGCTGTGCTTGGTGTGGTGCTTAGACTTGTGGTGCTTGGACTTGGTGTGCTTGGACTTGTGGTGCTTAGTGTGCGTCTTGGAAGACTCGGTGACAGTGGGAGAAGCTGACTCAATGGTCTCAGTCTCGGTCTCGACCTCAGTCTCAGTTAAGTGGTGCTTGGTGTGCTTTGGCTTGTGCAGAGACTTGGTAGTCTCGAAATCGATACGGATGACGGTCTTGGTGACAGTTGGCTGGGCAGTCACGGTCACCGGGGTAGATTCAGAAATCTCCACAGAAGTGGTGAAGCTTTCATCATCGTCATTGTCATCACAGTCTTCGGTCACAGTCACAGTCTTGGTCTTGTACTTGCCCTTGCCAGACTTGTGGTGCTTCGACGTGTGATGAGCAATAGTCGATGAGTTGAAAGTGGGGTAAGGTCCCAAGCGAGAGTACTGTGAGATTACGCTTGATATAAACTGTGGCAAGTCAGTAAATGCGTTGCGTATATGTTAACAACAGACTGACATTGCTCAAGCCCTGGGTTTCAGCAGGTGGATCAACGGGAGCGGCGATAACGCGCGTGCTTCCCAACAGAGCGACCACGAAGGTCAAACCGAATACTTTCATGATCGAAGTGTCACGTACGGATGGAAGGTAGAAAGGGAAAAGGGAAATGCAGCTCATTAAGTATTCGAGACCAACTGCGCTCGTGCACGTTTACGCAGCGCAAAGGTGTCCTGATTTGTTCGTTGTGTGTAGTTCTGAATGTATTTCGTACATACAAAGTTTGTAGCCTTCCCGTATATGGCTCCGCGTCCAGTCAATCCTTCTCAATAAGCATCTAATTTTGGTACGTGCTGCGATTGAATTGATAAATCGCGCTTCTGTAGCAGACCAGGACCAGTATGATACGACCTCATTCTGTGAGGTGGTCACTGCGCAGCTCGGGTGGTGGTGAGAGAAGAAGAGTTAGTTTGCTCGAGTCTAGGAAGCTTTTCTCTGGAACGCAAAAAGGGCCTCATCCTTGGCAGCGAAACTGGGCAGTGGAATCTGGCAGACCTTTTCGAACGTGGGCATTTCTCTGGCGATCCAATCCGCGATGGTCTCTTTGGCAAATGCGGTATAGCCGTTTGAGTTTTGGGTTCCTGCGCAGATAATGGTGTCACCCTCTGTGAGAAAGGTCAGTGGGCACGTTTGATGCATGTGACGTGGACCTTAACGTACTATATGCTTTGAGGATCCTTGAAGTGAACTCGAGACCGACTTGGGGGTAGACCAGTAGTAATACCTGATCCTTGCCGTCGGCGTTCTTCTTGAGGTAATCGACACCATCGATCTGAACGGTGTCGGGCACCCAAACAGTTCTCCACTCGCTGATACCGTTGTCAACGGGGATGACAGTCAGAGGCTTCTGCTTGTTGAAGACTCTCAGCATGTAAGACCAATAACCATTTCCACTGCCCAGGTCAATGACAGGCCGACCCTTGGCCAATTGGTAAATGATGGATAACGACTCGTAAGAAGGACAAATACAGCCAAAGTGGTGGTATAGGATGGGTAGGATGGCGTGCGAGTGGCGGACCTTGGTCGTGGCGTCCTCGGGGCCAGCCCACTCGAGGTTCTGACATGACCAAGCCCAGACATCGAAGTAGGGGTTCGTGTGTTCTTTCTTCAACTTTGATATGACGATCTTGCGTTCGGGCGAAGGAGGTTGGTAGAGAGTGTGCAGATGTTTGCCAATCGAGGCGCGGACCGAGTCCTTTTTCGCATTCGAAGCCAGACCAACGAGGGCTTTCTGGGTGTTGGTTGTGCTTTTGAAGATGTTTGTGTATGCGGCGATGTCGGCGGCAGGCGGGGGTGGTAGCTGAATAGGAGATGATGTTGGCTCATGGACGAGTGCGTGTGGTGTCTTATGGCGGGCTTCTTACTGGCTTGCCCTCATTGTCTTTGTACCAGGCGTGCAGTCCTCCCTGGCCACCAAACTCGATGTATGTCTGAGCTTGGAGGAGAGTCACTTCGGCCACTGCGGCATAGGTATATGTATCATCCTGAGGCAGACCGAATGTGGTCAGGATGAACTTGCGGAAGTCGTTGTCGTAAAGGCCCGGGATGTCGCCCTGTTCCCATGTGTCAAAGTAGGCATCCGGGCTGAAGCTCGTCGAGTCTTCAGTCTGCGCTCTGTCCGGAATCGCAGGCATCTTCAAGACTCGTTTTTTCTACTATTGTCGTGACGATTGACTGGTTGAGCTAAGCACTTTCACATGTCACTCTTCGCAACATCTTGGCATGACGTTTGGGGTATCCATCGACCTCGTTGCCATCAACCACTCTCGACTCTTTTCTCACCATCTTCAACTCGAACAATGTGTACTATATGGCTTTGCTATGCAGTATATGTGTTTAATATCATCGAGAAAGCATCCTATGCGCTGAGCTTCTGTTCATCGACTTGAAGTTGTAGATTCGCAACTTGCACTCTTTTCTGGCGAAGGTCTAGGACAATCTCCTCACTATGAACATGCACAATCGTTTCCAGGTCACAGACGTGTCCCATGAGAGCCCAGGCTATGTCGTATCCCAATGAATACTACCCTGTTCTCCATTCTATCATGCATTTCTACAGCTGCGCGCGTTACATATTCTTTGCGCGCGGCAATGGTCGAAAAGGGCGGAAAGGATTGTCTGGGCAAGATCACACCATCGCTCTCAACGGACATGTCGCTTCTTATTGATCCTACATGCTGCCGATCATCTCGTTCGCGCCCTATTAATCGACACAATTGCCTAAACACCTCGCATTTTGCTGTCGTTTTGCTGTCGCTTGCGCCCGCTTCACATTATCCGCTGTCATAGAGTGGATACCTTTCCTCGCGCAATATGGCACAATCGTCCACCCAGCGTACTTCTGCAAATTTTTGTATACAGATGTAACCCCAACATATTTTCGTATAAAATAAGTATCAAGATGTAGGTTGCTATGCTCTCTCGTTCTATCTCTTATCGGTTTCATTTCATCTTTACCTGAAAAATGTCGTCTTCAAAGTCGACCAACTCCGATCTGGCTGAGGGTCATGAGGAGCACAACACAGTCGAACCCAAGAGATGGTTTCGATCAAGCATGTTCAATGCCTGCGTCATCGGCATGGTTGGCTTCATGGTGAGTAAGGCTTTAGAACCTTGGCTTTCTACGACCTAGGATATCGTCTATCATGGATGAAACAAGCTAATCATATCAAAAGGCGCCAGGATTGTGGAATGCTATGAATTCTTTGGGAGCTGGAGGTGAGGCAGGTGTGTGTTCAGATGAAAAACTGTCACTAATATGAGTGATAGGTGCTCAAAAGCCCTTCTTGATCAACGCTGCAAACGCCTTGGTGTTTGGATTGATGGGCTTCTTCTGTCTGTTCGGCGGGCCGATTGCCAATCGCATAGGCCTCAAATGGACACTGGTTTTGGGTGCTGTAGGCTATCCAGTTTACAGTGCTGGCCTCTATACCAACAACAGATATGGAAACGTCTGGTTTGTTCTTGTCGGTGCTGTCGCCTGTGGTGTGTCGGCCGGCTTGTTCTGGGCTTCAGAAGGGGCCGTCGCTCTGGGCTATCCTCCACCAGCCAAGCGAGGACAATACATGAACATCTGGCTCGTCTTCAGAACGGGAGGTCCCATCTTGGGAGGTGCTATTCTCCTTGCTCTCAATCAGTAAGTTCTTCATCTCCGTGTGCACAGGTATCTCGCACGACAACTACAAGAATGCACAATGCTTTGCGGATAGTCGACGGCTCCACAGATGGTCGACCGTAACACGGCTCTCGATGGATGCTCGCTCTCTTTCAAGGCGACTGTGCATATTTTATAGCTACTGTGTGATATACCTTGGCATATGAGATCCCTACAAGCTAGTCGGTGCCAATCTAATCTCTACTCAGCTCTCCTAACCAGAAAGCCAAAGGCAAAGTGGGCTATCGTAAGTCTGATGACGATGTCTACATGGCCAACTGACTAATACCTGCTCAGAAACATATCTTGTGTTCATCGCTTTGCAGTGTCTTGCTGTGCCTGTCGGACTATTGCTATCACCCCCGGAGAAGGTTCAACGTTCCGATGGCAGCAAAGTCAAGATCGTCCAAGAGAAATCATTTGGCGCCGAGATGCGTGCTCTGATCGCAGCTTCCAAGAGACGTGATATTCTTCTCTTGCTTCCCGTCTTCTGGGCCGCATACTTTAACCAGTACTCTGGCAGTAAGTACATCAACTGCGATGCAGTAAGGCACGAGATCTAACGCACATTAGACTTCCAAACTTACTACTTTGGTCTTCGCGCAAGATGTCTGATTGGCTTCTTGACTAACTTCAGCGGTATCATCTCTTCATTCTTGGTCAGCACTCTTCTCGACTACAAGCCATGGCCTGTCAAGAAAAGACTGAATGTCTGGTAAGCGAATCTCTTCCATATGGTACCCAGTCATAGCATCACTAACGAAGTGCAGTTTCTTCTACGTTCTTTTCTGGCACTTGCTAGCCTGGTCCTACGGCTGGGCAATTCAAGAAAAATACACCCGCAACGAACCCGTCTGGGATTGGACCGACCCGGGCTTCGTCGAAGGCTTCTTCGTCCTCGTATTCTGGGGCTTTGCACAACAATCCCTCCAAAACTTTTTGTATTACTTCTTGTCGACAAAGACGGACAACATTTCTGAGTTGTCTCGCTTCTCAGGTATCCTCCGCGGCCAAGAGAGTTTCTCTCAAGCCGTGTCCTTTGGCATCAACACCAAAGATTGGAAGGGAGGTAGAGTTCCTCTTGCTGTCAACACTATCCTCTTGGGATTGGCTGTTGTGCCTACGTGGATTGCGCTGCAGGAACATGTGCCTATCGAAGGACCTAAGAAGTTTGAGGATGTGAGTGAATTGACTGAGGCGGTGCCTTCTGAGGAAGACAAGAAGAAGTATGCTGTTAGACAGACTGCTACGGAGGTTTAGAGATGAAATGATGGGGCTGAGAGAAGGAGGTTGGAGATAGATGGTGCTATATCATAATACAAGTTAATACAATGGACTCTCACCTGGTATGCACATACACGAATGCAGATACCTAGCGACTTGTTCCACATAGGCAACAAAACATGGAAGGCATCAACACATGTAATGATCTTGGGAGTCCAGCGCCAGATAAGGTTACAGTAGATTCTATTCTTGGAAAGCCACTACTTAGGTTAGTGAACTTCAAGACACTATTATACAATCATGAAAAGACAGCTCTTGCACCAGTAGGACTGCCCTTTCCTCTCTCATACAACCACTTGCTGTTCAATGACACGGTAGCTTTTCCAGTAGCCAAACCCGACGAACTGCTTCCCAGACTGTTGTCCAACGGTGAAGAAGTTCTTGCAGCCGAAGCACCACCCACAGCCTTTTGCATCAGAGGGCTGACGGAGAAAGGACTTCCAGAAGGACCTCTGCTGACGCCAAGCGTGCTCTGGTCGAACGAAGAAGGAGATGCTTTGTGCGACATGGGCGATGCAGAGGTGTGTTTTTGCGCACTGGAGCGAGGGGTCGATGAACGCGAGTAGCGCGGAGGAGTGACATAGCCAGGCGAACCGGCTGGCAAAGGCACATTCTGAGGAGTCAGGCCAAGAAGTTGGCGTTGTTCTCTGGTCAGAGGGATGTCTGTCATTTCGTCGACGGGGCGGAAGAGGGGCATCAGGGCGAGGGAGATGTTGATGACGGGGATGCAGCGGATGAGGATGGAGCCCCAAGTTGCGTATGGGTCCATTGATTTTAAGAAGGCAGTTAGTGTTGTGGGAGTGCTGCTGTGGTGTTAGAAGTGGCTTGCGTTTTGCAGATGGAGCGAGTCTTACTAGCTAGACAGCATGCTGGGAGCAAGCAAGAATACCAGCAGAGCAACGGCATTGACTATGACGGTGTGGACATTGTCTGGAGTAAAGGTCGAGGCATTCTTGCGACGGTTGATGGCGTCCATGTTTGGGTGACGCCAGGTTCCAGGGGTGTCGACCTTGGTGACCGGTGGTTGCTGCTGCTGCTGCTGTTGCTGTTGCTGCTGTGACTTTTGTGGTGTCGAAGGGGCCGAAGAGGGTCGCAGAGGGGTCGTAGGAGCGACAAAGCGCGAGGGCGCCGGACTCGGCTTCAACACTGCTGTCGAAGACATTATATGTTGTCGATGTGTATAGGGAATTGGTTGGCGTGTTGGCGAGTTGTGCTGCAGGGGTTAGTACAATCAAATCCAGGATGACGCGCTCAAGAAACAAAGTGCATGGCGTAGCAACAATCGAAACTTGCTGTTGACAAGCTTGCTGGCGGTTCTATGGTTGTTTGTGAGCTGACTCGATGTTGTAATCCAAGATCTTTCGCTGTGTTGATGCTCGGGCTTGGCACTGGTTTCCACGGCGGCTGACGCTGCTTGCTTGTGGCTGTGCTCCAGAAGCCCCACCATCTCACCACGCTGACCTTCGACAACCATCACCTAGACTCACATCTAACCGTCTTTCCTTCTTTCCAGGTTTTGGTCTTGCAGGACAAGTCCTTGATACTGACAAAATGGCCAATATGATTGAGCAGCTGGATGCTCTCATCGCAGATACCCTCTCCGCCTGGAATCTCTATACCACCCTGATTGCCTTGGCTCTGTTTGCATTTGTAGCATATCCTCTCATCTTTTGGGCCGAGCCTGATGCTCATCCTCTACTTCTCGCCCGTCAAGCTGCCGCCTCTCCCGTCCGTCAGCCCCGTGAGTCTGCCGTCTACCGCTCCACTGAAGTTCCCCATGGCTATGCTCTAAAGACTGGTCTTTCCGTCCGCGAACCTGGTGCCCCCAAATGGACTGCCGGCAAGGATGGTGATCTCAGAGACATCTGGCGTGAGGCTGTCAACACAACCGCCAAACCCACCATTGTATCTGTCCATGGGAAAGAGTCGATTTTTGAGCACGACTACACCACTCTGTCGAAACTCATCAACATCATTGGTTCTCACCTGCAAAAATCAGGCAGTCAAAGAATTGCCATTTACGCGCCAAACTCTGTTCAATACCTCGTTACCATCTTCGGTAGGTCTTCACACGCACTCTATCAGTACTCACGACTGACCATATGAAAGCCTGCTCGTTCTATGGCTTGACTCCAATCCTGGTCCCCTTCAATCAAGACCACGATGGTGCCTGCAAGCTCCTCGAGCAGACACAGGCTCAATGTGTGATTGCTACTGCTGGCTCTTTGCCCCTTGCTAGTCTTACCGAAAATGTTCCGTCTCTGCGTCAAGTCGTTTGGGTCGCAGATTCTGCCAGCAAGCACATGGATTGGCAAGGTGCTCCTGAGCATGAGACCAGAGGCAAGCTTGATGTGTCAGTCTGGCATAATCTTGTAGCAGAGGCTTCCTCGGCAAGCAGCGAGTTGCCCAAGAACGATGAGACTATGGTTCCTGGCAACTTGGTCTTCCTCTGGCAGAAAAGCATCAATGGCCCTGCAGAAGTGGTCGAGTTCACTCAGAAGGTACGAAGTCCAAGTCCACATGTCCGTGATAGTGCTTACTCACACCATACAGAACATGGTTGCAGCGATTGCCGCTCTGATATCTGCCCTGCCGCTACGTCAGCGTCTGGGACCTTCCGATGTTGTGTTGCCAGCTGATTCATTCAGCCATTCCTATGTCCTCTGTCTGACTATGGCTGCGCTTTTCAGTCACGCTAGCCTTGCTCTCAACTCTGTTGCCGGCCCTGGTGTCGATCTTGTTCTTGCCTCTCGTGGTGCGGCACCTACAGTAATCATTGCCTCGTCTCAATCTCTTGCAAACTTGCATCAAGCTCACATGCCGGGATCGTCTTCTGGCCTCGGCAAATATTCGCACTCGCATCACGGTCGCGCTCTTGCTGCCGGCCGTATGCCTGGAGAAGATCTGTTGTACAGAGCGTTTGCTCCCAAGAGTATCGCCATTGGTTATGGCAAGCTGCGTCTCATTCTCGCTTCTGAGAGAGCCGGCACTGAAGCCGACGCTCTGAGCAGTGCCGCACTTCGTGACCTTCGCATCATCACACGCTCTAGAATCTGCTATGCCTTGACTGCCTCATCGGTGGCCGGCGCTGTGGCACAGAGCAACATCTACGACTACAGGCATGTCGACCGTCCAGGACACAGCCATTTTGGTGCGCCTCTGAGCAGTGTTGAGATCAAGCTCGTGGACAAGGATGATAACAAAGTTGATGGCACTACACCTTCAGGCGAGATTGTGGTTTCTGGTCCTGCTGTGGTTGGAGGTGAAAGCAATCTTGGAGTGCGAGGCATCTTCCACGAAGACTGCACATTGGGTTATGCATAAGTGTAGTGACCTAGTGAGCAATCGCAAAAGCGTTGATTATCATTCGCACATGATGGCATTTGCGAGAAATGCATAGCCGTCGTCAACATTCTGTCACAGTTGCGGAACAGCCGCGTTACAGCCGGAAAAGGGAAACGGCTCCATGGTGCCATGATGAATGTGGGGGAGGGGAGATCAGCGATTCGGTGACATCGCCAAGGCCGTCATATAAGCGAAAAAAATACTAAACAGCGCGTGCTGTGTGTGTTTCTCAGCGACAGCACGCAACCTCCAACACCTGCCAACTCATTGCTACTGAGGCTTACCGTCTCGCTCCTATACCAGACCCGGTACTTGTCGAGGGTATCCGGGCTTCCAGAGAGTCGTCAAAATTCCACGGCAAAAGTCCTTTCTTATCACCCTCAAGGCGCGGCCCCCATAACGTCCCTCCAAGGCATTCTATACCCCCCGCTTGTTGCTGGCGTAAGCCAGCCTCCCCTGCAAAAGAGTCATGGTCAACATCGATATTCCTAATGACTACACCGTCTCGCCCTCTACGGCCACTCCCCACTTGACAATCAACCGCGATGTCACGATCGATCTCGACTCGACCAATGCCTTTGAAGGTCAGCTCGTGTGACGACTGTGTATCCAGTGCTTGTCTGATTGTGTCGTGCAGGTCCCGAGAAGCTCCTCGAAGTATGGTTCAGCCCTTCTGCCTCGTCCCTCCCCGAAGGAGCCAAGCCCTATGGTTTGAAGGCCGTGTCCTCGGACACTTGGAAAGAGATGCTCGACTTGGTGAACTGCAAGGTTCTCTCCGTCATTGGACATGGACACATGGACGCCTACCTCCTCTCCGAGTCCAGCATGTTTGTCTTCCCCCACAAGCTCGTGCTCAAGACCTGCGGAACCACCACTCTGCTGTACGGTCTGCCAAGAATGCTGGAGATCGCTGCTCTCGAGGCAGGCTTCCCTGGTATCAAGGCAGACCTGTCGGCCGCCGTTCCCGCAGCTGCCACTCCTCACCGCGTCTTCTACAGCCGCAAGAATTTTCTGTACCCCGACCAGCAGCGTGGTCCTCACCGCAGCTGGCGTGACGAGGTTAAGTTCCTCGACCAGAGATTCCTGGGAGGCAGTGCCTATATGATTGGAAAGATGAACGGCGAGCATTGGTACCTGTACATCACCGGTCCCAACGCTCAGCTCACTCCTCCTGCTACGCCAGAGAGAGAGACTCCTACCAAGGTTCTTGACTACCCTGAGCAGCTCGCTGCCGACATGGCCAACGCACAGATCGACGAGTCTCAGGATGAGACTTTGGAGCTTCTCATGACCGATCTTGACGAACAGAATGCTCGCCAGTTCTACCTTGAAGATGCCAGTGCCATTGCTGAGGGCAAGTATCTGAAGCAGTCTCAAGAGGCTCGCAAGGATGCCATCGCTCATTTGGGCAACATCAACGGAGATGACGACGATGTCGATGTCTTTGCGCAGACCACTTCTGACCCTTCCGAGAAGCTGACCTTCCCAGAGGAGCTCACCACCGAAGGCCACACTCTGGGCTCCGTCGTCACTGAGGCCTGCGGTCTGGCCGACGTCTACCCTGTCTCCAAGTACCCAGAGGCTAAGATAGACTCTTACCTCTTCACTCCTTGCGGATACTCTGCAAACGGTGTCGTCCCATCGACTGGCGAGTCTGGATCGGCCCACTACTTTACCGTTCACGTCACCCCTGAGCCCCAATGCTCCTACGCCTCTTTCGAGACCAATGTCCCAGCTCGTCAGACCGGACGCGAAACCCGCGACATCGTCGTACAAGTCGTCAACATCTTCAAGCCTGGCCGCTTCAGTGTCACCATCTTCGAAGCCAAGACCGACGAGGACGGTTACGGCAGAGCAAGAGTCAAGAAGGACAAGAACATGGACAACATTCCCGGTTACCGACGTGTCGACCGCATTGTCCACGACCTTGAGGGTTATGAGTTGGTTTTCAGATACTTTGAGCGTCTGGACTGGAAGGGTGGCGCTCCTAGATTGGGCGAATACATGTTGTAAGCAAATGGTCATGTCTTTGCGAAACTGGCCCCTTTTGTTTACACATTGACACAGCAAAAGTCTTCCGGACTTGACAACATCCCAGTCCACTCTTGGATGATGGCCATGCGGCAGTTTGTGTGCTTCAATGGACGATTTCTTGGCGATAAAGCCTCTGTGCATTTTTACAGTCATCCGGGATAGTTAATTGTGTACTCGGAGCACGCCAAGCCAACTTCAGGCTCGTTTGTATAGGTATTGATGCAGGATGCATATACGCGGCAGATGCGAGAATCAAGCGAGAGATGAGTGTCTGGGTTGTTCATGTCCAACGAATAGAAATTCTGTCTTTTCCTCCTGGGGGTGTATCGAGCGTTATTGTTTATCGACAAGCGGCATCTAAAGACTTTTTGACTTATCGATATATCGATATGCTTGCTTTTTGACAGTGATCGACTTGTCGCTGATCCTCAGGAACCTATCGATTGCATCGTGCGACCACAAACGACCTCGTGGTTCGCAGATGGCGACGTTGTGTAAACTCGTATAGTGTGAAGATTGCTTTGAGTCAGGCTATACCGTCCTTTTGCACTCATTTGGGTTCGATTTCGACATTGTGTATCAGGTGGACTTGATTTTTCGCGGCTCGAGAATTGGTCACTGGTGTGTGAAGAGTCTCAGATGCAACAGTATTGGCAAGCATGACCTTGATGTTGTCGTACGTCGCGAGAGCCACTGTAGAGTTCGAAGGCTTCTGACATAGCAGCCGAGTGTGTTCCAGCTTGACGCCAGGAAAGACGTTCGTGACAACACCGACCACACCATGAGCCACCCACATGTCTTACCTCACAACAACCTCATGAACAGCGATTCTAAGACCAAATGTCTTTGCTCTAAACGTCTTACGCTCTTGACATCATGATTCATTTCGCTTCTAGTTGCTGCTTGTTGCTATTTTGCGACACACATGCAAGCTGCAACACTGTTTTGATAAGGGGTGGTTTGTATCGATGGCAACAGCTGCACCGTTTGCCTTTTCGCGTGCGAGGCGGGTTTTTGTTGTTGTCGATTGAAATTGTGCTGGGATCCAAGACGTTTCAAAGAGGGGGCAGGAGAGGGTGGAGATGGCGCAACGGGAGCTTGTGACGTGCAGAGCCAACACCTTCGAGAAGCATGCAGCAATGTGTTTCATACAGATGCTATAGCATGCTCTGCGATGAAGGCTTAGTCCAGCGTGAGATGGAGCTTTGTCGCAGGTTGAGCAGTCACTCGAGTAAGGTGTCTCGGCACAAGGTTGGTGACAGTTCTTCCAAATCCTCCTTCCGTCTTTTGTTCGAGTCAAGCCATCGTGCCGTGCATGACGCTCGACGGTTGAATCGGTTTGTAGAGCGGAAAAAGGGCTGAGTAAAGAAGCCCCCTCGGCAGGCAGGCAAAGCAGGAGCAAGGGAGACCACTTCCCACACCAACCGATCTGGAAGCTTTTTCTTGTGTCTTGAGGCCGACCGCATCATCACATATCGATTGGAACGTATCCTGACATGGCGCCGCTGAAAACGTTTCTTGATAAGGGTACTACGCATGCAATTCGCGAGTGACAGGGATGCGAGTGCGAATCACTGGTAGAGCACGCTGCACGGCAAATTTTTTCGTTCCCACTCGAGTGCCCGTACCTTGGAGAGTGGAGCTGCCACATACGTGAGAACCTATCGGAGACTTGGTGGTTTTGCTGTTTGCAAGATAGACTCGAGGGTCAAGCGCGTAGATTCTGTCCGCCTGCCCAATCGGAATCGACGCGTGCCTTTTCGACCACCCAACCGTTTGGTACGGTACAGCACGATGATCGACTCTCCCACGCAACTTTTCCGATTAAGCTCGGCTGCCCGCTTTGAGCGTTGGACAGAGGCGGTTAGCACCAACGACTTTGTGTGCTCTGTAGCAGACTCGTACATGCTGATTGTTGGTCGCAAGGCTTGTGCCTGCGGGACAGACTCGTAGTGTATGGGTGGAGCAGGTAGGTGGTGGGTTGTACGTACGTTTGTACCGTTTTCGACAAACGCATGGTACCTTTCAAAAGGAACGCGTAGCCGCATCTCACGAGAGCAAACAGTGCCATCTCGTTCATTTCGTGAGCACCGATCGTCTGAGACGCACCACCCACCCAAGCCATTCTTTACCTGCCAACTGCTGACCGTCTTTTGATTGCCCATAACGTCCTCCGACCTTGCCATTCTTTTTCCTTGCCGGACAAACTCGTACTTTGTCCATATCTACGCGCTCCTGCCGCTACAATTTGCAGACCAACCATCTCCCCAACCCCACCCGAGACTCTGGATCCCCTCTGACAGACGAACATTCCGAGATCTCCAACTAGAAACAAGCCACTGCAGGATCGCTACTTACAATAACCCAATCAACGTTTCAGGGTCGGCAACCTCCTACACTCATAGTGTGCCTTTTTCCCTCCAACAACATTCGTACATTCTTTCGCTGTTGGTCAGCACCAGTCAGCGTGGTCACACCGCCAACGAAAACATGTCAGCCGAGCCTGTGATATTCACCTGTGATGTGGAGCGAATGCTACACGCAACGTGCGTCAGGGGCGTCGATAAATCTGGACCCGCATCTGCACCCCTTCAGGAGAAGACTCTGGACTTTAGGATTCTCGTCGAACCTCCTCTTCTATCAGCCACAATCACTGATCTTTGCAACGAACCTCTATTTTATTCAGGATACTTATCAGAAGAAGAACAAATGTCGTCGGACGATTCCAGTCTTTCATCAATGTCCATCAGCACTGTTGCCGACGAGTTCGTCGATGAATTCGAAACAAACTTTCCGGAACTATTGGCCGAGGACTGCACTTTTGTCGAACAGGTCCAATGCAACCAGGCTGAAGTCGTGACTCTTGTCTCGCCAGGCAAGGCCAAGATGGTGCGCGTGTCCAGAATCAGTGCTTCGTCGTCACCAATCATCGTCAGGCCCACGACTTCATCAAGTCTGAAGCCCAGCGGCAGCTCATCGCGTCTGAGCATTATTTCTATCAGATCACAAAGTCACAACGGCTCCGTCGCTTCTCTCAAGGTGGCGTCTCCCAAGATGCCTTCGACACCAGAACTCGAGATTGGGTCTCAAACACCGACATCTAGCCATGGTCCCGCGACTCCAGATTCTCCGGCGTCTGCTTACTTCGATGCTCTCACCAGCCCAACATATGTCATGCCTTGCCCGCCTAAGCATCGCATGTCCCGGAATGGATACCACCTCAAGTTGCCAAGCATGAACAGCAAGCGTCCTGGATCTTCTCAATCCATGATGGCCGCTCCGGTCTCTGCCCCGTTGACACCGCCATCTCCATTCATCAAGCCAAAGATGACGCCCCGCGGCGCGGCCGAGCGCATGGTACCTCGCGGTGCCGGCGAACGCATGGCATCTCTGGATCTGCCGCCCTACCCTCGCGACTTCATCCAACAACCTCCCAAAAGCCGATGGACTGTCCGCAAGGATTCCTTCAGTTCCATATCCTCAAAGGAGATGCCTAGATTCAGGCTCAAGCGGGCCGAAAGCGGTCTTCTACCTACTTGGCAATGATCTCCAAACCACCACACCCGTCTCAATAATGTTACTACGAATCTGCTGCATATCATGAATTGGAAAACTTAGCGCTGTCTCTTGAACTTTGTCTTACTCCTCTTTCGGCCTTTTTGGCTTCTGTTTCGGGATGGATTTGGTCTTCCCGATACCATATTGGATCTTTGTGTTGGAAAGAGCTCGGGCTTTTTGTTTCTACTGTATCCTCACATACATGACTTATCCTTGGTTGGGTATATTTTCTTTTGTTCTCAAACGCTGGGAAGGATTCCTCTTATTCATCGTGACTAGAGCAATCACTTCTTGGAGCAAAAATGTATTCTTATCCAAACGATCCTTCTCGTTCCATCCTTTGACGATCTTCAGAGTCCCCAAATAGGTAGTCATGTATCGGAAGTTGATTAGGCTTCCCCGCTCCCCGTAGCCGAGGGATCTCAATTGATCGACACTGGAGAAAGCCACTCCTGCCACCAACTTGCCACGACCTCTTGTGCAAGTCATCCTTCGTCTGTTTGGTTACTCGTCAGATCTTGTGTATTGTCGTATCTGCTCGCGAGCATCTTGGAAGCTTACGTCGTTATCTGTTGTCCAACTGAGTCGATCTTGATCCACATCATCATGGCTTCTCCATCCGTGATGCCCCGCAAGCTGTGGGAACATCCTAATCCAGAGTCTACCAATATGGCAAAATTCATGAGAGATGTCAATCAGAAGAGAGGAACAAACCTAAAGGTGATACACTAAAAAAGTCCTATAGTGAAATCATAAACTGAACAATGGTATAGACATTCCAAGACTTGTATCAATGGTCACTCGACCAACGCACAGACTTCTGGTCCGATCTCTTCTCACTACACCCTCTGATCCACACTGGAAAGTACACTCGAGTGGTAGACCCAGCAGCTAGAATGGACTCCATACCTTCCTGGTTCTCAGGTGTACAGCTCAACTTTGCGGAAAACATTCTATACACCGCTGACCCTAAGAACCCATCCGTACGCACCCTCACTGGCAAAGAAAGCGACAAAATCGCCTTGACCGAAGTCCGCGAAGGATGCACGGAGATCAAACACTACTCCTGGAAGGAATTGAGAGCCAAAGTAGGTGCACTCGCTCAAGCCATGAAAGCACATGGAGTCTCCAAAGGCGATCGTGTTGCAGTGGTTGCCTCAAACTCTACAGATACATTGACTGTATTCTTGGCTGTCACGACTCTGGGTGGTATCTTCAGCTCCAGCAGTACGGATATGGGGAGTCAAGGTGTTTTGCAAAGGCTGACTCAGATTGAGCCAAAGTGGATTTTTGTGGATGATTGGGCGGTGTATAATGGCAAGACTATTGATTTGAAGCCGAAGATGAAAGAGATTGTGGAGGGGATGGTCAAGAGTAAAGCCAAGGGGTTCCAGGGTGTGGTTAGTATGCCCAGGTTCCAGGACAGACCGGCTGATGTGGGAGATGTGCCTAGAACTTTGAGTTTGGCACAGTATCTTGCAAAGGCTGGTGGAAACTCGGAGTTGCCGTTTGAGAAGGTTGATTTCAAGGATCCGTTCTTGATTGTGTATTCCTCCGGTGAGTTCTATGCCTGATACTATAACATAGCATCTAACAGGATCATAGGAACTACCGGTGTACCGAAATGTATCGTGCATGGCTGCGGCCCTGTCCTCATCAGCTCAATGAAAGAAGGCAAACTCCATCTCGACTCCGGCCCTAGCACTGTCAACCTCCAATACACAACCACGGGATGGATCATGTACCTCATGTCCACCATGGCACTCCAACATGGCGCACGTTCAATCCTCTACGACGGCTCACCATTCATTCCCGACCTCACTACTTTCGTACGACTCGTAGGAGAGCAAAAAGTCACCGATCTAGGTATCTCACCACGATACCTGCAAACCCTTGCTTCAGCATCTCCTCCTGTGATTCCCAAGCAAGTCACTGATTTGTCTTCATTGCGCCGTGTCTCGAGCACTGGAATGGTTCTCCCTGAATCGCTGTTCCATTGGTTCTACGACACAGGTTTCCCTGCCTCTGTACATCTCAATAACATCAGTGGAGGCACTGACGTAGCTTCTTCATTCGCAATGGGTAATCTCATGACCCCTTTGTATGCAGGAGGATGTCAAGGTCCTGGTCTAGCAATGAACCTCCAAGTCTACGACCAAACCATCGAAGGAGGAAAGGGGGTTAAAGGAAAAGCTTTGCCTATCGGTGAGGCAGGCGAGTTGGTAGTCACGGCCGCATTCCCAAATCAGCCTGTAAAGTTCTGGGGTGATGAATCTGGACAAAAGTATTTCGATGCTTATTATGCTCGTTTCGACAGTATGTCTTTCCCCCTCAACCTCAAGAAAAACAAAGGACAGCAAAACTGACATAAACGCAAACAGACGTCTGGACCCACGGCGACTACATCCTCATCCACCCAAAAACCAATGGCATCTACTTCCTCGGCCGAGCCGATGGCGTTCTAAACCCCTCTGGCGTCCGCTTCGGCAGTGCAGAAATCTACAATGTGATTGAAGCCTTCTTCCCAGACGACATTCAAGACAGCATCTGCGTGGGTCAACGGCGACCCACCGATGCCGATGAATCCGTGCTGCTGTTCCTGCTTATGAAACCAGAAAAGAAGTTTTCGCAGGAGTTGGTCAAGGCAGTGAAGCAGAGGATAGGCAAAGAGTGCAGTCCGAGACATGTGCCCAAGTATGTGTTTGAGACGCCGGAGATACCTGTGAGTTTTGATTTCCGTTGATAGAGAAATGAAGGAAGGAAGTGCTAATGTGATTACAGACGACGGTCAATCTCAAAAAAGTGGAACTGCCAGTCAAAAGAATCGTTTGTGGCGATAAAGTCACGCCTTCGGGTACTCTACTCAACCCACAAAGCTTGGGGTACTACTACAAGTTTGCCAAAGTGGAAGAACTCGTGGGTGGTGTCAAGAGTAAACTGTAGAGCGATATATTCGAGCTCAGAAACCGAAGAGTTTGGTTTGATGATCATTGAGATCTATACTCAATTACGTCGGGGGAATTATACAGGACTTGTGTTCACAAGAATGATTGAGTAGGTGCGGTGTTTGCCCATGCCCTTATGCCCTCTTTTCTTGCCATTCCTGATCTTCTGTTGCAGCTCTGGAGAGATATTAGATAAGTGACAATCGAAAACAGGTTTCTCTCTCGTAGAACTTACACTGTCCTTTTCCTGTCAAGGCGCGACGAAAAGGTGGAGGAGTGATGGATGCACGGAGGGGACCACCTTCGTGAGTGCCACCATGGCAGAAGTCTGTGGGAGAACCCTGTTCGTCGTCAGTGAGTACATATGGGATTGTCGATAAAGGCGTGCGATCATACGATAACGAGAGGACGAGGACCGGCCTGGTTGTCGTCGTTGTCGGCGCTCTCAGAGCGGAAGCAGTGGAGCAGAGAAAGCAACAAAGACTTGATAGTAGACATTGCTTGTCGGGTTACGGTGAGTGATGGGGCTTTGTTGTATGCTAAACAAATCAACGAAGTGTTTGTCGAGACTAGCTGCGTATTGATGCGTCTTGTTGATGTTATGAGATGTGACTAATTGTATTGTTTTTCTACAGTATCCCTCCTCCTCATATGCTAGCTTTTGTCACCACCACCTGCTCTCATCCCAACGACAAGGCGGCGTTGAAGCTATCACAATGCATAATTGTTTCTAGACGCGACAGCTACTAAGAGCCCCTGATAGCACGGTTTCTTCATGGGCTCTCTGTGGATGCTTCCTTTTTAAATAGGAGGATTGTGCATCTCTATGGTTGTCGGCGTGACAGAATTCTGCACACGGGGAGGCCACGTTTGTTCAGAGTTGAATCGTGCTATAAACGTGCAGAGGGTATTCATGAACAAAGTCACTGTCAATGAGACTATGCGAAGCAACATCATCTCTCCAGCCATTGCTTTGATACTTTAGTATTGATCAATATAAGACATGTCATCTTTGATTTGCACCAATGCACCCAATGATATGTGCAGACTGACGATCGGACACTTTACTTGGATGCAATCATCCTATATGAAGATGATATCCTAGAATCAAAAGGAGTAGGTGGCTCTTCTTATCCCGTCACAGTAGATAGTCCATCATTACAACTCACACGTTTGATTTTATCACACAAGAACGTTGTGATGAGCATTTTGTTCTCATATGGAGTTATTATAGTAAAGTAGTCACGAAAGGTTAGCTTAGAATGGTATCTGCCAGGTGCGAACGACCAGCGAAACTTCATCTCGAGTAAGGCAAGAATAGTTATAGTGCCTTTCTTCTCGAATAGACACAGCAACAACGATAAGGAATTAGAAGTTGTGTTCAAAGACTCATAACATTCATAAAGACTTGGTTCCATTCTATGCACCTTTGTGACCAACACTTTAAAGCAGATACCTGAATCCAGGGCTGAGTCCGGGCGCAGGGCTAGGCTGCGACACTTCCATGTGATCAACATTGCCCTTCTCGCCCATCTGAAGATCGAGCTGTTCAATCTCTGCTTGCTCGAGTTTCTTGTTCTCGCGGACGAGGCAGAAGCGCAGTATAGTGGCGAGAATGATTGATACAAAGACGAAGATTGCTGCAAGAAAAGTGGATTAGTAAGAAGCTTCAAAGTGGCAATCAGATGTGTGCAATGACTCACTGTTAGCTGTCATTGCCGGCAAATATCTGGGTCCGCTCTCCTTCTCGTAGAGGTAAGGCGAGTAGATTTGGGCAAAGTTGCCGACCATCTGATTGCACATGTCAGGAGATGTTCAGATTCAAGTCGATGATGACAAGACTTACGTTTGTCAAGGCCAAAGCAGCAGCTCTTTTCTCCATGGGATGGGGTAGAGTAGCAGAAATCCATGCAATAGCAACGTTGAAGCCACCGTATACGCCTCCCAACATCAAGAAGAGGGAAACATAGCGGGGAGCGAGTCCAACAGTTGTAGCAGCGATAATGTAACCGATCATGCCAAAGGAGAGAGGAATGACCAAATGAGCGTATCGCTCTTGACGACGATCACTGCTGATGGAGATACCCATAGCGCAGAAAGCAGCAAAGACGTATGGAGGAGCGACGAGAAGCAGAGAGTTGATCTTGTTGTAGCCAAAGGTCTTGACGAGGGTGGGGATGAAGGAAGTAACAGCTGCAGCGCTGGTCTTGGTGATGACGATACCGGCAAGGAGCCAGACTTTGTAGTCAGTGACGGCCATTCTGAGGCCCGAGAGGAGAGAGCCTCTTTCTGCGTCATTGTTGCCGTTGCGGTCGCGGAGTCGGAAAGTGGCTATCCCCTTCTCTTCCTCTGAGAGCCAGCGCGTGGTGTGGGGAAAGTCGGGGAGGATGAAGCTGTGGTCGTGTCAGTGGTTGTTTCTTGGTGAGAAACCACATCAGGGCAAACTTACATGCAAGTCAAGGCGAAAGTAACAGTGACAACGCCTTCTATGATAAATAACCAACGCCATGATTGGAGGCCGTGGGCTCCATCCAGGCCGTACTGTACGCCGGCTCCAACGAGACCACCGAAGCCACTTGACAAGAGACTTCCGGTATAGAGGACAGCAGTACGGGTAGCGAGCTCTCTACGGGTATACCAACTCGAGAGCAGGAAGAGTGCTCCAGGAAAGTAAGGTCTGGTTCAAGTCAGCAATCATGTCGTCAGCACATGTTCAGGACTCTGCTTACGCTTCCATGAAACCAAGGAAGAATCTCGTCACAACCAAGCCATTGAAGTTGTGTACGAGAGCTGTGCAAGCAGAGACAACACCCCAGAGAGCCATGCAAACAGGCTTATTCATGTCAATAATCGCTACATCTCGTACAAGGAAGAAAACTTACGAGATAGATACTAGGTCTGACGCGAGTCAAAAGCATATTCGATGGAATCTGGAGAGCAATGTAACCGGCAAACAGAACAGAGATTGCCGTATTGAATTGATCGCCCTTGAGACCCAAATCTTCTTCAATGCCTTGGATTCTTGCGTTGGGCAGAGCGTTGCGGTCGAGGTAGCTGTGAATATCGATTAGCACTTGTGATGAGACCTTGTAACTCAAGAGGAGAACTTGCTTGAGCACAATCATACCCAAAAGGCAAGGCATGAGTCTGAAATCGACCTTGCGGACAAGAGCCTTTTCCTTTCTGGCATACTCTTCTGCTGTGAGCGAGAAGCCTGAGAACTCGACGGTGTCCATGGTTGATAGTAGATGATGAACGAAAGGAGAAGTTAATAATGAACAACTCGGATGATCAGAACCTGACAAGGCAGGACCACAGCATATATATATACCATTCTCCGGTTATTAGGCTCCCCCCGTGGGGATACTCGACTGCAGCCATGGCAAAATGCAAGATGGTGGAGATATCGTGGGGTGCAAGGATTTCGGACAACTTCCATGATTTCGGACGACTTCCGTTGCACCCCAGATCCACATCTCGACGCAAGGACCAGGGCTTGTCGATGCATGGCCAATGGTGCTTTGCTTGTCGAAAATGCTTGACGCCACTCGGACGACATCCGCTAGCATTTGGCTGTCTTGGTCAGTAGACAATTGCCGAAGAGGACTGTTGGGGCTGTCAGAGTTGAGGAGAAGTGTGGAGTTTGGAAAGAAGAAAGTGCAACTTCTTCCTCCTCGTGTGCAGAATTATGTCACGCCGACGACCATAGAGATGTACAGTCCTCCTAGCCAAAGAAGGCTTCCATAGAGAGCCCATGAGGAAGCCATGATACCAGGGGCTCTCAGTGGCTGTCGCTGTCATTTAGAAACAATTATGTCTTGTGACGGCTTCAACTGCACCTTATCGTTGATATGAGAGCAGGTGTCAGTGACAAAATTTAGCACATGGGGAGGTTCCGACTTCGATCATGTTGAGAAGGAAGCAAGTAACCTGATATGGTCACTGTTGGCACTCATAAGGCGGCGCTCAATCACGTCGCGAGTCCGAGATGATGCCTCTGGGAGTCCCAGGCTTGCTCGCATGCGTGTATCATGAATAGAGGGGAATGTCCTTCGGTCTGGAACGTGCCAGCTCGTTGACCTTGTACACCAAAGCAGCCTCAAATCATAGGAGGTATCCAAGGCTCGTTCCTGCACTTTCGTCTCGCAGGAGTGCCAGAATCCGTAGCGTTCCCGCGGCTCGGACTGCTTCCGTCACCTTGTATTATGTACCCTATCCGGACTCATCCATATAGAACGCCAATACAATCTATCCTCCATTGGGTATCTCAAGAACTCAGACTTCCAAACTCACTCTCGGTCATGTCACTGCTTTCCTTTCCGTCATCACCCCAGATATCTCTGCTCTGCATCTCGACCTCTCTCATGGCATCAGCAACACCGTCCAGCTTTCTGACCACGTCTGCAACCCCCTGTTTGACAGCGGCAAAGTACTTATCACTAGCCTCTCTTCTTCTCGCCGCAGAAGTCAAGTCCAATGTCGTTGCCGTAGAAAGCTTTCGCTCGTTCTGCTCTGCCTGTTTCTCTTGGTCTTTGTGATGATTGCCATAGTGTTGTTTATCTTCATCCTTCTTCGTGCCAGTTTCTTTGTTCATTCTCAAGTCTGGAGAGGGCAAGGTGGATACATCTTCCGCATCTGTTTGACCCCACGCTCTTGCCAATTCCACTTGAGCAGCTCGAAGCTCCTCGAGTGCTTTTGCGTGGTTGGAGTTGAAAACGTGGGCGGAAGATGCGGCTGAAAGTTCAATGTCCGAGAGTGTTGATTGAAGAGCGGCCCAGTGGGCATCCAGGACTGCGGTACCGCGGCGAGGCCGTTGGCGTTTTACTTCTTCATCGATAGTCGTGTTTGCTAAGCCCAGTCCTACCCCTCCCGCTGCTGCTTGTGTGCTTTCCTCGGGAACTTGTAAGCCATCGGGTCGTATTGAGATGTTCGTGTTTTGTCTGCTCAATGCATCCCTAGTGTGCTGTCGTGACAGACTCGTATTCTGGCGCGAAAGATTTGTATTCTGTCGTGATAGACCTGTGTTCGACCTGGACAGCGATGTCTGGTTCAAGGATGGCGAGGGAGGACCGGGGATTGCTGATGAGGGTACGGCGCGTGAGCTTTGTGATGTGTCCGTGTTTGCGCGTGTGAGAGAAACATTGCTGGCATTGAGAGAGGGTGGTCCGACGAAGAGCGCCGGTGCTGGGAGGCGTTGAGATGATTGCTTAGACATTGGATTTTGGTTGTAAGGATGGAGTGGTGGATGTGTGAATTGATGTCGTCCTCATCTCCGCACGTACGGGGTACGACCCTGGCACTTTGCATGTGAAGATGACGTCGCTCGAGTCGATGATATTGTCCGTCGAACGAGACAGACATGGGAGATTCGAACTGTCCAGATTACCATAGAGATATCTACTCAAGTCTTATGTCAGAATCGTGACGCTTCGAGTCATCGTTTGTCAGTCGAAGACTTGGAAGTGTTTCCATGTGCAAAGTCCGAAGCCTGCATGGATTCCTCCAAGACCATGTCCACTAACATCGACACATTGACTCGCGTGGACTGGTGACTGAATATCTGAATCGTGTTGTATTGGCGAACTTTGTCGCAAACATAGGACAAGAAAAGCTATCTGAATATAGACACACATGCAAAGCGCTCAAAAAGTCGTCCCATGTCGTGAGATCCCAGATTCCCATCTTACAATATCTCTCCAAGTCCAGCCCAAAAGAAATAAACGATCAACCTAAGTATATACACCAAAATAAATGCCATGACGAAGAATGAAGAGATAGAATCTACAGGAAGACGGCTAGTAGAAGGGGTGAAATGAGTAGGGCGGTCGTGACCACACTGGCCGTGGTGGACAGGCGGATGATAGACGCTGCTCCGGATGTGCCAGTGATTGTTGCCTGCGAGCCTTGGTTTTGTTGAGCAGTCCTTGTCGAACTGATCGCTGCGCTGTTGCTTGAAGCATTGGATCCGGATTCAGACGCAGATGATCCCGACGAAGGTGATGAGTCGTCTTCATCAGATGCCGTCGTGAAAGCAGACACCGGCACTACTGTAGACCCCTGTTGCACCACAAGTCCATTGGAGCCTATACTAACCACCACGCCGCTGGACAAGGTTATAGCAGGTCCGTCTCGTGAGACGACAGTGCCATCGATTGTCGCAACGCTTGGGATATCAGCAGCCTGGTATGCTGTCACAGCATTGCCATTGACAGTGAACACTACTGCAGACGCGGGAATGGCGATTGCAGCGGCAGATGTGCTGTCAACAATGATCGCACCTCCTGAGGCGAGGCTGACACGAGATCCGTCCTCAAGTGTTTGGACAGATCCACCAGCAGTAAGCGTCACAGACCCAATTACAGCTTGGTTCGTTGATCCTGGAGGGCATGATGCAGTGACAGTCTTGGTACCAACCATGAACACAACGACATTTGGACCTGCAACAGACGCAGGTGCCACAGTCGAGTATTTGGCAATGGAGGAGCCAACCTTGATCCCCTCGCTGTCAGCGCTAACAACAGATCCATCACCAAGCGTAGCTGCTGAGCCGCCGACGGTGAGCTTGGTCGAACCAATGTCGACTACGCCCGGTGAGTCCTGGGAGAAAGTTCGAACCTTGCTGCCGACGGTGACAATGACGGCTTTTGTGATTACTGGCAATGCAGTCACTGCGGATGCGCGGTTCGTGACAGCAGCGGCCTCGGTACTGATAACCAATCCGTTCGTGCCAGCACTGATGACACAGTTTACAGGGAGCGTTGCGGCTGGCCCACCGACAGATAGAGTCTGCGTGTCACAGATATACACCGTGTTTGTCGCAATCTCGGTCTTAGTGGCGGTGTACGTGAAGGTGCCGGCAGTAAACACATAAATCGGATGTTTAGCGGAGGATTGCGCAGATCCACCTTGTGCTTGTAAACTTGGATTGTCCTGAGCTCCACTTGCAACGTTGACTCCTTGCGTGTTTCCGGCCCCAGCTTGTGTCGGATTCCAGTGCTGGTTTTGACCTGCGTTCTGAGATTGGCGACCCTGGTTGTTCTGTCCTCCTTGAGTGTTCTGTCCTCCTTGGTTGGCTTGACCACTCTGGGTGTTCTGAGCACCACCGTTGTTGTTGTTGTTGCTTCCCCCTTGAGTGGTTTGACTTCCTCCATGGTTCTGGTCGTTGTTGTTGTTTCCGCCCTGGTTGTTGCCCCCGTTGTTATTCTGGCTACCACCTTGCGAATTCTGAGCCGCTTGAGTGTTTCCTGTACCATCCTGTGTTTGTGTTGCTTGGGTGTTCTGGTAATGACCTGCAGTGTTGACAGCCTGCGTTTCTTCAGCTTCCTGCGTTTGCTGAGTATTGCCGTTATTGACTTGTCCTTGAGTAGTACCCGCTCGCTCGCTCGTGCGATCAGCGAGAGCAGTAGGCGTGGGTGTGGTAGGAGCTACAGATGAGGCCTGTACTGCCGACGTGGTTGTCGCTGTTGGCCCAAAGGCCACTGTGGGCGTATCGACAGCAGTTCCAGGCTTCAGAGCATACGGCGGATCGTAAAGACCTCCATACCACATCTGACAACCCTCCCATGCCGGGTTCAACTTCCTGATGCCAGGAGGCATGGCCAGTTGAGGATTATAGTCATTTTCGTAAATGACATTGCATTTGTAGTCAGCAAATCCAGGCTGCTCACATCTCGCTTGGCCATTCCAAGCACTGTAAGGAACAGGATTATTGAGATCGGCATAGTTGAAGGGATATCCAGTGACCGAGTTAGTCGTCATGAAATACTGAAAGTGATTTTGGGAGTAACGTAGACTCAACAAGCTCTCTGATGGCAAGGCGAGGACAGCACCAGTAACAGTCGTGCCAAGTTGGCTGGAGCAACGATCGACCGCCCAAACGCGTTTGATCGAGATGTATGCGGTTCCAGAAGTGAATGTGTGCGTTCCAACGACAGCGCTCTCCGGAGGAGTACCGGTTCCATTCCATGTAGCCGATGGGTCGGCAGCTGTATAAGGTACACCAACGTCCTTACCATATGCCGTGAGCTTAGCGGAAGGGGTTGTTGCACACATATCGCGTGAGACTGTCGTGGCCTCTGGGAAATACATCAACTCAACCTCGTCGCCAAAGATTGTGCAAAGTCCACAGCCATAGAAACTTTTGGAGAAAGCGTCGTACGAGCTGGATTGACTGGAATTGACACAGGCCGGTAGCGAAGGCGACGGTGTGATGGTCGGGAAGATGGCATCAGCAGCACGAGTACCATTGCCAGCAGCAACCCATTTTGAGGATGCGGTGCTATAAGCGTTGTACAGTCCGTCGCAATCTGAGGGATTGATACTGCAGGAGACGGAAGAGATGGGAAAAATCCATCCCATTGATGCTACACCCGTGGAAGTCGTCGGTGCCGTGCCGACTTTCGTGATGACCGTTGATGAGGTTGCGATCGCGGGAGAGTAGGTCACGCGTGCGTGGCCATCGCAAAGAGTCGTCGCGTTCACATAGTACGTAACCGAGACCCAAGAAGTTCCTCCGAGGATGGCAGTGTCGTTAGTCGTATAGCTGTGTTTATCAACCCAGGAGTTTGAAGCTGAATTATAAGCCGAGACTAGATTGGAACATGATGTCGCGTAGGCAGCACCAGTACCAGTTGGTGCTATGGTTGGGCTGATGTATGTAATATCATCCCAGCATCGACCGCCGCCCCCATAGCAGATAGTGCTACGTGTGGGTGTTGACGCCTGCGAAGAGGAGGTGGTATTCAACGAAGCAGCCGTCGTTGTAGTGTTAGTGTAGGTCGGTGTTTGTCCTAATGCAGCAAGAATGTATGCACCCAGGCGAGGAGCGACGGTCGTCGTTGTTATACTGGGAGTGAGATTGACCGCCGAGAGGTTTCCATTTGTTGCTGAAAGGTCGTGTTAATATAGGGCAATGCGGAGCGTAATGCAGCCACCACTTACAAGCTTCGCATCTTACGAGCAAGGCTATCAAGACGACCAGGGCCACGGCATGGAAATACATTCTGGCTACGGGTCTTGACAGGCCGAACGAGAGATTATCAAACAGTTGAACCTCGCATGACAGCACAAGAGATGACCAGACACAGAAGTTACGGAAGACAGGATCCGGAAGCGCGACAGGAAGCAAACGAGATGTCAGAGTACGAAGGAAAATAGAAGGGAAGTGGCTGTAATTGACGAATTGAGGGCCGGTCGGTCTGTGGCGGCCGTGTGAACTCAAAAGATGGGCAACGGTTCGCCGTGCATTTCTCAAGCCAACTTTAAAGCGCCTTCTGAAGTTCTGATCCTTGACGGCTCTGGATTTTGATCGTCCACTTCCCACTTCAGCGCAGAAATCCAAAACCTCGACATCGGATCAGGGGGCGGGCAAGGACCGTGTAGATGGCCCTAACCACGTCATGCACTAGACCGTTGGAGAAAAAAGTCTAGGTTCGGCGGGCATCATATGTGCGCGACATGACAAAACAGAAATCGATCAACGGTATCGACATAACGTTGAAGAAGAGCTGGGCAGAGAACGTGTCTTACCATTATTCCCACGGGGTTCGCGAACCTTTGGAGTTAGAAAATGATCTTACCACCTTACATGTACCATGGGTCGTCTTTACGTGCGAAGTCGTCTTCGAAGTCGCCCAATCAAAGTCGTGATTCGTGAAGAGCTATTTAAAGAATGATCGCCGTCCACTCCCGAGGAGCAAGTCTTGGCCATGGAAGCGGGCATCGGGCAGTCGCCAAATCACGGCCGGAGCGATTTCTGTTCGCTCGCTGGCTCATACCTGTTGTGAATGTGGGTTGACCGATAGGATAGGTAGGCGGATGAGCATTAGTTTGGAGTCCTGGAGTTACAGTACCTGCCTATTTGTGATGTTACTCAAGTAAGGCAACTTCATGGCTTTCGCAAGATACGAGGACACGCGGCCGAGTGTAGGCATGACGTGCAGATGGATACGACATGTAGAGCGGGCCTTTGCCAACACGAAGAAAGTAGGCAACACAAGTTGATAGCGCCGCAGCTTCTGATGGCCATGCCAAGAATGAGTTTGACGACTCGAGTTTTTAGCTGTATCCGGTCGGCTCGGCGTGGCAGCCATCAGAATAGGAACGAAGAGGTGGAGGCTCTCGTACAAACTTGTGCCTTGCTCGATATGTTGTAACAGATTCACTGTAACAGTACATAGCCGGTAATATTGCAACGAAGACAAGATAGAGATAGGTTGGCGGTCGTGGGGGCTGATGGAAGATGACGACCCTTGGCTAGAAGGATGTCGGATGTCGGATCAGGGCAATGACGAAGGGGAAGCGCTTACTCAGCTCGGCTGTATGGTGAACAGGTGGCGGCATTGATGGTCGAGCGTGAAACTTGGAGCTGCTGCCATCAACTGTTGACTCGCAACAGCAACAAATCGCAAACATGAGATTCGGATTGATTGCTTCCCTCGCCCTGGCTGGCACCTCTGCCGCCTCGGCCGTCATCGACCTCATCCCCAAGAACTTCGACGACATTGTCCTCAAGTCCGGAAAGCCTACTCTGGTCGAGTTCTTCGCCCCCTGGTGTGGTCACTGCAAGACTCTGGCTCCCGTCTACGAGGAGCTGGCCTCCGCATTCGAATTCGCAAAGGACAAGGTCACCATCGCAAAGGTCGATGCCGATGCCAACAAGGAGCTTGGTCGTAGATTCGGTGTTCAGGGCTTCCCTACCCTCAAATGGTTCGACGGCAAGAGCGACACTCCCACCGACTACAACAGCGGCAGAGACCTCGACAGTCTGTCCGCCTTTGTCTCCGAGAAGACTGGTCTCAAGCAGAAGAAGAAGGCCGTCGCTCCCAGCAACGTCGAGATGTTGAACGACCAGACCTTCAAGACCGAGATTGGTGGTGACAAGGATGTCATTGTTGCCTTTACCGCTCCTTGGTGCGGACGTAAGCAGCAGATGCCGCTCTCTGAGCAGGGCAAATATGCTGACTTCTTTGCAGACTGCAAGACCCTTGCCCCTATCTGGGAGAAGCTCGCCAACACCTACGCCAACGAACCCAACGTCCTCATCGCAAAGGTCGATGCTGAAGCCGAGAACGCTAAGGCCACTGCTCAGAAGCAGGGCATCAAGGGTTACCCTACCATCAAATTCTTCCCCAAGGGTTCCAAGGAGCCTATCGCCTACGAAGGCGGTCGTTCCGAGGATGCTCTTGTCAAGTACCTGAACGAGAAGGCCGGTACCCACCGTACTGTTGGTGGTGGCCTTGACGTCGCTGCTGGCACCATCGCCGCTCTCGACAGCTTTGTTTCCCAGTACACCAGCGGTGGTGCTCTCGAGACCATCCAGAAGGAGATCTTGGCCGCTTCCGAGACCATCAAGGACACCTACGCTCAGTACTACGTCAAGGTCTTCAACAAGCTTGCTGAGAACCCTGGTTACGTCGAGAAGGAGTCCAAGAGACTCAACAACCTGCTCAAGAAGGGCGGCCTTGCACCTGAGAAGGTTGATGACCTGACCAAGCGCAGCAACATCCTCAGCAAGTTTGTTGCCAAGGTTCAGAGCATCAAGGAGGAGCTTTAAATTATCAAGTTCTACTGAAGTCACGACAAAAGAAAAACACATGCTAGCCACCAGAAGCCACGGGGTATCGAGATAAGGTTTATTTTAGTCATGAAAGCTCTTATCCCAACCTCTATGCTGGTGAGGATGAGTTTCTGCGATGTTGTTGTTGTTGTTCTGCAGGAGGAGGCGTTCCTTGTCTCTTGGCCGTGATGCGTGTGTGACCGCTCTGACCTTCTGGATGGTCTTTTTGCCATTGTGCCAACAGATCTGTGAGTCTAGGAGCCCAGACATCCTCACCCTTCTCCAAATCCTCGAATTCAAGCACGTTCCTGCCCAGCTCAAACTCACCTTGTCGCGATCTCTCCAGTGCAGCCATGAGACCAAGCGAGCCAACGGCTGCACCCAGATCGTGGCATAGACTGCGAACGTAGAAGCCCGACGAAACGGTCATTCTTATACGAGCTGCCGGTGCTGGGCATGGCTTTTGCTCTTGTGCAGCACCTTCGTTGACTGTTGATGCTTGGTCTGCTGCTTCGGCGCCATCAACCTTCATCTTTTTGACCTCAGGCCCGTCGGAACCCTCTCTTTTTCTCTTCAGCTCGTCGGCGTCGGGTTGTGGTTCCTGGGCAGTGGTAGCTTGTGCTTCGCTAGCGACTTGCGGCAAGAGCTTGTCCACGGCCTTCTTTTCCTCGTCTTCAGCCTCCTTCTCAGGCCAATTGTACTTGTGTGTATTGGGGTCCAACCATTCCACCATGTCCAATTGCGATACCGTGACAGGTCTTTCTTGAATCTCTACTGGCACTTCTTTGCCTTCTCTGGCGTACTCGTAAAGACGCTTACCCTGGACCCTGAGAGCGGAAAAGATGGGAGGGCGTTGCATAATGTCACCACGGAACTTTTGCAGGGCTTCCTCGACCATGTGCTTGGTAATGTGTTGATAAGGGGCCCTCTTGACGACCTTGCCCTCGGTATCGTAGGTATCACTTGCAGCACCAAAGACAACAACAGTCTCGTACACCTTTGTGCAGTCGAGGAAACCTTGCAACTTTTTGGTTCCACTGCCGACTCCTACGACGAGCACACCGGTAGCCAGAGGATCGAGAGTTCCGCCATGACCGAGCTTGACCTGGACGGCCTGTCTCTGCTTGCGTGAACGTTTGTAAGATCTGGCAGCATCGGCGTCGCGTTTGTTCTTTTCGGCTTGGATCCAGGGAGCGAATGTTTTGGAGGGGTTCAAGTGTTTTTGGAGATCGCGGAGAGCTTGAGCGGAGGAGACGGCGAGTGGCTTGTGTACGGCTAGAGGGAAATTCGTGTCAGTGGTGGGTTTGTGGAAGTGAAATTGTGGGACAAGACGTACCAAAGACACCTTCAACAACAGGAGAAGGATCGCTCATGATTTTGACTGACTTCCAAATGAAGCTCTTTGCCATCTGCAGAGTGTCGTTATGACCAGAGAAGAGGAGCGAACAAATCTTTGGAAAGCTCTCAAGCCTCCACCAAGGTCGGGCTTGGCAAAGGCGTTTTCGGCAGTGACGCGGATCGCGCGTGCTCTTCGCGAGTTGGAGCAACTGCAAGAGAAGAGTTGGTCGCGACTTCCTCGAGTCTGATTCATTTGTTCTCTGATTCACTTGTTCATCTAGTAGTGCTACGCCCATTCTTCAGCGTCGAAGATGCATTCCATCTCATTGACAACCACATTGATGCAATCATGACCGCCGAGAGTTCGATACTATGCCCTCGCGACCCGTCGCAACTGAACTCGGACGAATGGCCTGAATTCGAACTCAAGCAAGCATTTGTCTATGACCCAGAAGACCCGACTAGGGCTCCTGCGAGCTTACTGCATGCTGGACAATACCGACCACTCACCATCACTGGAAAACTTGAACCTCCAAACTCTCATAACATCGGATCCTGGTTAGACAATACTGCTCGTCGCGCCGTTCAAATCGACCTCACAGACATCAAAGAGTTCTCCTATGGTGAATATGGAGATGGTTCGCTGGATATATGGGCTGCTGGTCAGGCTGGCTGGTTCACAATCAAGCCGAGCAGAGCATACCAAGACACATACAGCGACATGACCCAGGCTCTGAAGCTGCTGTACTTTATGGCCGACAGCTACAAGGCCCAGAAAAAGTATGCCGACTTGTCGGCTCCACACTTCTTCAAAAAGGTCAGTCGTCTCAGCTATCGATGCCTCGAGGTTTCGTGCTGACTCTCATCGCCAGTGCAGCGAGGCAAACCTTGAAGGATGCAAAGACGTCGCAGATGTTGCCGAAATGTTTACTAAGCATAGGCATTTCCTGATAGCATCTATGTTGATGAATAAGGAAAATTTGCAGTGGTCCCGTGTACCCCTCTACACGTGGTTACAAGTCACGTTTCCGGTAAGTTGCACCACCCCTCCACGTCCAGCCATAGCTAACCAGGATTTTCAGAATGACTTTGTTCTGGTACAGACGAGGATAAAACCGCCGAGAGCAAAATCGTCGCAAAATAGCGCTTCACAATCTCCTGCGGCTTCGACTGCCAGCGCCAGGAGGAAAAAGGCAACGGCCAAACAACAAAGCTCGACTCCAAAATCTGCTGTCTTTGCACGCTCGGCTCGCTCAACAAGATCAACGAGATCACAGTCAAATGCAACATTGGATTCGTTGCCTATGGTCCTAGACAACAGTCCAGAAGTAGAACAGATCCTCGAGATTGTGTCAACCACCACTACACCAAGAACCCACGTCGACCAGAACATGTCCTCAAGCGATGATGAGATCCGCACCACCGGAGGCAAAGGTAAAGGAAAATCAGCTCTGAGACCGAGGCCTAGCAAGTTCGCCCCACGGGCAAATAACATATCAAAGGGGTCTCCGACTGCCATACAAAGCAAGAGAGCTGCAGGAGTCTTACCCGACTCTCTTGGCCCAGACGTCATGTCGGTCGACAATCCTGCGACCGAGATTGAGGAGTCCAGTGACAGACAGATCGAGGAAATATCCGAGGGTTCGGATGACGACAAAGCCATCGCCACGAAAACACGCGAGACCTCATTACCGTTTCGTTTCGAGGACGCAGCGAACAACGGGGATGTCTGGCATTGTCCTGTGGACGGATGTATGCACAAAACATACGCAGCCTCTGAGCCGAGTTCACAGCTCCTGATCAAACGGCACTCACAAGCTCACGATTTCGATCACGACAAAAGAGTCCAATTGGTGCGTCGGATGGAGGCACCTTATCTACCGGTAAACAGGTTGATGGACAGAGTCAGAGGGATGGCTGCATCGAGCAAGTTTCCACCACCAATCACCCAACGCTACTGACGAATTGGGATTTGTACTCTTGAACGGATGGTTCTTACATTGGCGTTTTTATTTGGAGAACGGAAGGACTTTTTGATACTTTGATATGATACCACGAGAGAGAGAGAGAGGATAGAGCTCATCAGCTGGCAGCAGGCCTGATTGTACATGCTAGAGAAAGGGGAGATTTGAAAATTGTATCAGCATTCTTAGTTCGAGGCTCTCATGCCAGAGAAGACACAAGAGACTGGAATAGAGAGATGGGTATCTACCTTGCTTCACACCATCACGAGTGACCTTAGCCTCGTTCGAGCGAGTGTGGGTGCTCTGCACGTTGATTCGCATCCATATAGTGCTGGGGTAACCTTAGTGAGTAGACGAGGAAGATATGTGATCGTGGGACAACACCTAGACTCGGACAAAAGATCCATAGCTGCTTTCCTTCCCCTCGCGTGTCATTTTTTGATTTTCTGTTATGTGATTGAGTGATGCGGGAACAGCAGAAGAATCATGGCAAAGACAATGTAAAAAGAAATCAGAAAGATGTTTCAAAAAATGTCAACAAGTTCAAGAGAACAATCAAGTAAATGACAAACACACGAGAACGAGGAAAACTCCCCTACTCGCCTCTCCTCCCCCCTTTCCTTCGTTCCTCTGCCAGAAGATGCCATGATGATAGATGTGTTGCCCAACACTCCTCTTTGTCTCCCTCCTGAAATGCTTCCCCTTTTAGTGGTCTTGTCGAACACAGAACCACCACAGACCTCCTTTTTTGCAATGCTCCTGCCACCTTTTCCTTGCTCCATGAACAATCATCTTATACGGCATGAAGCAGCAAAAGACAAAACTCCCACAAGTTGTATAAATGAATCAAAAACCGTTCCCGATCACCCCCACCAGGCGCCGACGCTGACTGACATTGCAATTTTCGACCAAAACAGCAAAACCCATATTTATCCCTGCCCCTTCCGAATTGATTTGGTGTACACGGTCCGGTTTTCCAATACAAATGTGCGGTTATCTCCTCCGACAGTTTTGCTGTTGGTGAGGTTTTCTTTTTCCATCCAGAAAGTCTTTGCCGCCAAGTACTCTATGCAGGAGACTTGGAAGGGTTGGCGCCATTACGGCGGGCATCGTCCGAGACACTGAGGCCGCTGAGGCCACTGCTTAAGAAAGTGAAAGGGTCGGGAGTAGCTTGCTCACCAGCGTACATGCCGCCACCGTTGGAGAACGAAGAGTTGTTCTGGCTTGCGGAAAAAGCGGCCTCGGCACGGCTGTCAAACCCACCAGAGGGCATGCCGGCGTTGTGGCCGTAGGCAGAGCTCATCGCAGGATAGGGAGAGCTACCAGCACCGAGGCCGGAGGGGAGTGCGTAGGTCGACTGAGGCCCACCGTAGCTCTGTCCAGGGAAGTTTCCGGCAGAGTTGAAGCCACCCTGCTGGGGAGCATAGGGAGCGGGGCCAGGGGTACCAGCCATAGAAGGAGGGCCCATTCCGAAGCCTTGAGATCCGTCCTGCTGGTAGTTGGAATCTGCGACCAGAGCTGCGCTTGCACGTGAAGCACCACAACGGAGACAGCTAACGTTCTTGGCAAAGTTGTGGTAGTTGCAACCCTCGGCACCGCATCTCCAATCACCGGCACGGAAAGGTACGTGAGTGGAACCACCGCCACGCATACCGCCGCCGCCCATGTGGTGGTGACCCATGTGGTGTCCAGGAGGACCCATCATGCCAGGGTGGCCGTAGCCGTAGCCGTACATTGGGTCAGGGGCTGCAGCCATGGCAGGGAAGGAGCAGCGGAAGCAAGCAGTGCGGCGCTGGAAGTTGGAGAAACCGCAAGAGGGGCAAGTCCAGTCACCGGGACGAGGACGGTTCTTGCTTGGAGGGAAGGCAGTCAAAATGTCGGCGGCACGGTCAAGGACGCGCGAAGAGGAAGGAGAAACCTCGATGGCCTTCTCGTTGAGAGCACGGCCGTTCATGCAGAGGGATTCGGCAGCCTAGAAGGGATGTTAATTTGGGAGTGTAGCATTGAACATGCTCAACATACCTCTTCGTGGGAGGAGAAGATGGCGAAGCCAGTGCCGGTAGGCTTGTGCTGGTCAGGGGTGCGGAGGGTCCAGAAGGCGATGGGTCTACCACCGAATTGCGTGAACCAACTCTCCAACTCGGACTGAGTGGTGTCGTGGGGAAGACCGCTCATGTGGAGGACCTTGCTGCGCTCAGACAAGAAAGCACGCACGTCTGCGCGGGCATCCATGGGGCGAGTGAGGACATCAGGGTGCTCGTGGGGAGGCTGAGACTTGCGGATCAGACCACGAAGAACTCTTGCAAGAGTGACGGCCTCCTCCATGGCACGGCGAGGCGAGGCGGGAGCCAGGGCTTGCAGGTGGAAAGGCAAGTTGTGCTTGATGGGGGCCGAAGACTGGACGGGCTCGACCTCGAGGGCGGCACAGATGTTGGTCAAGGCACTGGAGCCGAAGGGCAGCGACTCGGGGTGGTGAGCCTGCCATCTTTGGTACTCGGTACGGAGGTCGAAGGTGCGCGAGTGCTGCAGGTACGGGGGAAGGACGACAGCCTTGTCGCGAGCCTCACGAGGCAGCTGGACGCGGAGATCCCACGAGTCCAGAGTAACAAAGGCAAACTCGTGGTTGTTCTTGGTGAGGTGCTCCTGGGCAAACTGGTCCAGGCGGTTGATGGCATCGCGGAAAGAGCCTGCATTGCGGACGTGCTCCCAGGTGAGGGTTGTAAGGCTGGCTGCACAACGTGTCAATGACCTGTCAGCGGCGATGGTGGGTCGAGGCTTGTCTTACTGCAGAGCGGGGTGATGGGAGTATTGACGGGCTTGACGAGAACGCTCTCGCGGTGGAGCTGCATTGAGAAGGAGCGTTAGACGGGATTGCAGATAAGAGCAGCGTTCCTGCCTACCTCGTCGCAGTTCTTTGAATCGAGCAGGATCCAGCCCAGCTCGATGACTTCTGCCGAGTCCTTGGTCACATAGACACCGTGCTCGTCGCAGGTCGTGGCTACGTGGATGACCAGATAGCGGTCGAGGCCACCGCCGGGTGTGGTGGGTGCAGAGGCCATTCTGCTGTAAGAAAAGTGTGTTGGTTGTTGATGATGATGATGCCGGGAGCAAAACACTCTGGCAAAAAAGACAGAACGTGGAGGGACGACGGCGGTAGCGGACGGGAAGCTTCGACGAGGTCAAAGGGAGCTTGAACGAAGGTTTCAAGACCTGATGCTGCTCCGACTTCTGCCAACTCACAAGTCTTCACCACTTGACAGCCAAAAGCCCCGCTAGCGAGCGACAAAGCACAAGCCGCCAAACCACTCTGCTTGGCCCGTCCCCGTCCATACATCTGCCGGCCGACCCGCGCAGAGACCACCGCCATCTGATGGCTGCTAGGATTTCATGTGCATTGCATGTCTACTGTATTGCTTTTGTGCTGCCAGCGCCTGTGTTGCAGCGCTGCAGCTTGTTTCTCTGTGTTTCCCCCGGTCTTTGTTCTTCTCCGAGACACCACACCGCCATGCGTGCTTGTCGCTCGTGGGCCGTCCTCTGAGCCATTGATATTAAAAAATTGATTGGCTCCCTGCTCAAGTCTGAAAGTGGCCGGCTCATCCCGGGCATTTGATTCGCATGTTTGGCACGCTGCACCACGCGCTGCCAGCCCTGGGGAATTGCCTCTCTGTCTTTTTGGGCCCTATGCAGCTGTTCGCACTGTGACACGACGTGCCTACATCTCGCGTGTGCATGGACAAGCCAGATGTCACATCCATGTTCCATGTTCCATGCTTGATCCCTGCAGGCATGTGCCAGCTGCTGCTGTCGGGTCTCGTGGACACTTGACGTGGCCCTGCGCCACGTCCATCCATAAGCCTGTACGCGTCTCGTATCTTGCAATATGATCGCGTTAGAGACACATTGCTTTGTGTTTCCTTGGAGTCGATGCTGATGTTGGTTTGATTTGCACATTCCTGCATGTAGGTTAAAGTCTTTGGAAGCTTGTGCTTGACATGCGTCCAGACTACCGACGGTACTACAGCGCTTGCGAACATGTTTTCGAACTGCACCAGACCATGCAGCCGTAATATTATAGGCGTGTCTTTGCTGACGAGTTCTTCGGAACTGACTGGTCAACTTGACCTACAATGATGTTATTTGGCTGTCGCAATGACTGGATTGGAGACGGGCATGAGGATAGACGTGAGAGTAGAGGCTAAGGAACAGTCTCTTGGCGCATCACGGCCAGCCAGGGTCCTCGGGCGACAAACATGTTCAGAAAAAAGTTGACCTTCCAGAATTCCTGCGACCGACGACATTAAGAAAACACCAACTATGAGCGCAACCATCGAGTCGCAGAAGCCGGTACACACCATCGTCCTGGATACTGGTGCTATTATCCGCAACCATCCTACTGTATCGACTCTCCTGGCGCAATCCGAGCAAATCGTCACTGTCCCCGCCATCATCACCGAAATCAGAGATGCTGCCACCCGTACGCGTGTAGAGACGCAACTAATGCCCTTCCTGACTATCCGTTCGCCGACTCCCGCTAGCATCAAGTTTGTCACCGACTTTGCCCGCAAGACTGGTGATCTGGACGTTCTCTCCAAGCCCGATATTCAGATTGTTGCCCTAGCCTATGAGTTAGAGTGTGAGCGCAATGGTGGCGACTGGAGGTTGAGGAAAAATCCTGGACAAAAGGGCATGAACGGCAAGCCCCCGGTCAAGGAGGACGTCAAGTCTGAGGAGGCCGCCGACGGCAAGCAGGAGGACGCGACCGAGACCAAGCAAGACGAGACCACCGAGACGCTGCCTGAGAACTCCAGCACCGATTCGTCTGTTCAGCAAATCTCCGAAGATTTGGCCAAGTCAGAGATCGACGAGGTAGAGCCTTCCTCCTTTGAGGAACCCGTCGCTCAAGATGCCCAACCTGCCGATTTGGCCCAAACCACCGCGACTGCACAAGAGGAGGCCGAGGACACTGGCGAAGACTCTGATGGAGGCTGGATCACTCCCTCGAACCTGAAGAAGCACCAGGAAAAGGACTCGTCTGGCAGCACCGAGAGCACCCAATCGGCCCAAAGCGTTCTCCAGGTTGCAACTCTGACGACAGATTTCGCCATGCAAAACGTCCTTTTGCAAATAAACCTCAACTTGATCTCTCCGACCATGCAACGCGTGAAGCACCTCAAGACGTACATCCTGCGCTGCCACGCCTGCTTCTGCACAACCAAGGAGATGAGCAAGCAGTTCTGTCCCAGATGCGGCAGTCCCACACTCACAAGAGTGGCTTGCAGCACAACTTCCAACGGCGAGTTCAAGTTGCACTTGAAGAAGAACATGCAATGGAACACCCGCGGCGATCGCTTCAGCATCCCCAAGCCCGTGCACGGAAGCGCAAACGGAAGAGTTCAAGGTGGAGGTAAGGGGCACTGGGGCAACGATCTCATCCTTGCAGAGGATCAGAAGGAGTTCACCAGACATCATGAGGAGGAGAAGAGAAGGAAGGAAAGAGACTTGATGGACGAGGACTATCTGCCCAGCATCCTGACCGGAGCCCGCAACAACAGGTCCGGTGGCCGGATGAAGGTAGGTGGCGGCCGCAACGTCAACTCGAAGAAACGATAGATGTGCGAGGAGACTTGATTAATGTCCGGTATGATCTTTTGTTCCTACTTGCATAGCAAGGTGTTTGATGCAGCGGTGTTTATGGCAATTGGAGAGTTTATACTGTCATAATGTGGGAAACAGTATACAAAAGTGCTTTCACAGAACACATGTTCGGAGACATGACAAGATCTGGCGTTTGAAATGTTTGATGATTTTTTTGAGTCTCTGCTTTCGCGATCGACAATGGTGCTTGCGACTCGACCACTTCGAATGATCGAATCGAGAACATCGCGTGCGTACTCTCGTCTCGCCAATTCCTTCTCAAAAAGAGACCGACCCTCCAATACAAGCCTGCGCCGTAGAACGCCTTTCTTTTTCCCATAGTACGAAAAATTTGTTCAAATGTCCATGATCGCTTCCAGAAATGCTAGAGCGCGCTTATTGGCCAAGAACCTTGAGGTCCTCTGTTTGATTGCGTTAGTCGAGATATCTTGTGGCAGGAGAATTGTGTTCGGGTTGGAACGTACTCTGCTGGGTGATGAGGAGACCGTAGCGCTTCTTGAGGGTGACGCGGTGTCTGTTCGCCATGATTAGCATCGTTCGTGACTGGTATTACCTCTGTCTGTTCGCAACCACACTGTTCATCTCCCTTCTTTCGCCGTATAACCATCCTCTTCTGCATCAATGAATGTCGTGTGCCCTCGATCTGCGACCGGATGAGGTATGCCCACACCGATCGCAATGTTCTCTTGATTCTTGGAGCTTCTCTTCCTGACTCCCTCTCTTTCCCGTGTGGTGCGTCTAAGACATTTCATTCTCTTACCTCGAGTACTTGTCGTCGGGCGAGAAGCGAGCAGGGTGGGCGGACTTTGTGACCTCGGCGCCGTTGACCTTCTTCAAGGTGTAGACACGCTTGCCCTGGTTGTCGAGAGTGTACATCAAATGCATGTTGGCGGTGTTGTGTGCGATAGTCGTGGAAGAGGAAAAGAAGTGACTTTGGTCGTGGGTCGTCGGGTTATCGAATCGTTGGCGGCGCGGATGGAGGAAAAATTCGTGAAGATACGCCAAAGTGCTGAAGCTTTGGCGGAGTTTGTGGATTGTCTTGGCAGCAACGGGGATGCTCCAAGGCTCCCAAGGGCGGACAGATACAGCTGGTCTTTAATCATTGCTTTATTGAAGTTGTTACTCTCTACAGAACCACAAGAATCTTCGACGACTTCTTACATTCGGAACATAGCAGAAGCCTGACTTCTCATACCAAACTCTACACTACCTGGCCCAAATCACAACAGAACAAAAGTGCAACCATGAAGACACCACTCTCCCTCCTCTTTACCACTCTCCTGCTCTTTGTCCTACCTACATTTGCTCAGTTCCAGTTCTTTGAGCAAATGTTCAACCAAGGCGGTCAACAGCAGCAACAAGCCCAAAACGCTGCTTCGGACTCTTCATGGTACAAGCAACAATACGAAGCCGGTAGGAGTCTCCAGCAAGCCTGCTATGCGACACATGGCTGACCAGACATGTCCAACAGTACACTGCGACAAATACCTCTGTCCTTCTACCCTGTCATGTGTGCATTTCCCCCACCACTGCCCTTGTAGCCACCCCGAAGTCGAGGACAAGGTCGAGTTGGACGATGGAAGTATGGTGTGCGTATCAAAAGGAGGCTACAAAGCTGGCGAGGCTGCAAGGAAGATTGAGTTGGCAAGGAAGGCCTTGTTGTAATTACGGTCAAAGCCTACTTCCCATATTTGTATTCGAGTAACACATCATCTGTTACATCTCATGCCTCGCGATTTGCCGAAGCCTACAACTACCAACTCTCACTCAAGACCACACACAGGCGGAACTGAAGCTGTCAGATGCATAGTATTGACGCGATGATCGACCGGTTCGTGGAGAGTGTACGATGCTATGGCTCTCAGTGAAAACGTCCTGGGTACTGGTTACTGGGTACTGAAGTGGCTGTGCACTTCTGCAGCCACGTGCTACATGTTCTTGCATACGGACAGGATGTGAACGGGATTCTGTCCACCTCAGCTCCTCGTTTCCCATGCTTTTAAGCATGCTACTCGGTTTTTTCGGCAAATCCGACCTTCTCAAGGTCTTCTGCGATAGCATCGGGGCCCGGTACAGGTACTGAATCTTTTTGTGCAATCTTGTCGCTCTTGTCGGGGTTCGCCTTGTACACTGTAAACGGTGCCGAATTCCGCTTACGCTCATTAGGGCCCTCTGACTTGAATTGGTAGCCTCGTAGTCTTCATAGCTTGTCAGTCTTGCCACACTTTTGCTATGCGCTCAGGAGATCTCCTTACCTTGGGCCACGGCCGTTTGATTCTGGCAGTTCGGGCTGATAAACACGTTCAAAGTCCGCAATGTCCTGTTCCAATGTGCCCCGATCGATACTCTGACGTATACCAGCAAAGAATTCATCCATGATCTGATGATTGTGAATTTGTAACAACACCCAGGCCAGCATTTCTTTTGCAGACAATAGATGTTGCAGGAATGCGCGATGGTGGTTCGTGCATGCGTAGCAGGGGCAATCCTTTCGTAGAGCTGATACGTCGGTCGCGTGCTTAGTATCCCACATATTCACACCTAGTGGTAGAGGTTCCTCCGGGATGGAAACAGAGACAGGGAATTGAAAGTCCAACGCGACGCCGGCATCTGTGATGCCGCTGAGGAAAGGCAGAGTCAAGACATCAATACCTTGGGCAACGTCTTGAAGGACTGCACGTGGATTGTTAGGTTCGGTCAGCCCAAGGCGAGGAAGATGCTTCAGGTGTCCAGGCAGATCTCCCAGGGTGATTGTATTGTAGATGGCTAGACCTTGTATGTCTTGTGCCATGTCCTCGAGGTGATCAACGTAGTACCTCTGCGATTCGGCAGATATGGGCAGTAGCGGGGCATACAACAAGGGCAGTCCAGCTCCGTGCTCTTTCTTGGCCAAGGCTCTCTCGTCCACATGTGCTTGCATCCATTTCGCTGTCCGGTTTGTGATTTTGTCGATCTTCTTGTAGCTAACCTTGTAGTACCCGTATGGAATATCTCCTAAGCCGACCACAATATCCGGGTTGAGCGAGGTCGTCAGATCTCTGAAGGTCTTGTCCTGGAGTTTTGTGAAGCCAAAAGCAGTCATGATGCTCATATGGCTATCAGTGCTTGCCCCCGGCGAAGGTACGGGCGGTGAACGGCGGGCTCCAAGAATCAGGACATGGTTGTCCGGGGTGGCAGTGTATGCTCGCAAGCGTGAAGTGCCGTCCGGCGGGTTGTAGTTGAGAATTGGGGTACCTTTTTCTACGACTTTTGATTTCTTTTGGTGAGCACACACATTCGGTCAGCTTCGCTGTTCAGGCGATTTTTGCCATGTGGAAACGTACAGTCTTCAGCTGCCATGTATGCACCACGAATGCCTGTGTGTTTGACTACATTGTCCTGGGTCAAGTGCGGTATGGCTCCTCTCGAAGCGAGTGCCAGGTAATGTGGTGTTTTGATAGCCTGTCGATTGGGCAAGCTGAGCACTCCAGTCCGCAACGCACCGCTACCCGATGATGCCGTGGCTTTGAACATGGTGCTTTCGGACATGTTTTCCAACACCATGTTGGTCTATCGAGGCCACCAGGAAGAGCTCCTACACACGTGAGAAACTTGGAAGTCATTGCCAAGCCGTTGATCCGCGCGCGTCACTTCGCGTTGAACCGCGTAAATTCGTCTCTTGACCACGACTCTCAATCTCCTTGTCTGTCGTAGCACGAATTTTTGAATATGGCTCGCGGGAAATTGATTGTGTTTGAGGGCTTGGACAGGTCGGGAAAGTCGACACAATGTGAGAGGCTAGTGTCGTATCTTTCCGGAAGGGGTGTGCCCGTCAAGCATCGCCGGTTTCCTGGTATGGAACTCCAGTCGCTTGTCAGGCCCTGAGAGAGAGCTGATTGTACTGGCAGATAGAACAACACCGATTGGCCAAATGATCAACAATTACTTGCAAGGTCAGAGTGAGCAGGAAGACCATGTCATTCATCTACTCTTTTCTGCGAACAGATGGGAGGCGGTGTAGGTGGTTTCCGACATTTTCATTATCATTACTCGCTAATAACGAAAAGAGCGTCGATCGAGGCAGACATCAAAGCCGGAACCACCGTCATAATTGACAGGTACTACTATTCTGGATGCGTCTATTCTGCGGCCAAGAACAACCCCAGTCTCGACCTTGCTTGGTGCCGCCATCCTGAAGAAGGCCTTCCTCGTCCTGATCTGTGCCTTTTCCTTGATATTTCCGCCGAGGACGCTGCAAGCAGAGGAGGTTGGGGTGAGGAGCGATACGAGAAGAAGGAACTTCAAAATCGCGTTCGCCAGCTCTTTGCCGACATTCGGGCCACAGACGACGGATCTGATTTTGTTACCATCGATGCCGGCCAAAGTCTCGAGGACGTCGAATATGCGATCCGACACCATACTGAAACCTGCATCAGCAAGATTGATGACACGAGCCCTCTACGGCGCATCCAGCCATGGTAGATGAGCTTGGTATGTTCGTACCGTCAAAAGAATCAGTTACCAGGACTTCAAGCCGAGGTGTTTCATATTGAATTTTTGGTTCATCAAACATCCTCTCGACTCATTCAATGACTTCAGCCTCATCCCAATCGCTGTCTTCTATGACTGCTTTCCGCGTCTTGACAGCTGAGGAGCTTGTTGAAGCGACGACTCCGGGTGTGTCTTGTTCGTCCAACTCGTCGACCAGCTTCCAATCGTCGCCGCCAGATGGCGTAGCTTGGATTTGATCCACATCCTCGTAGTCTGACTGCAGCAAGACATCGTCAAGATCAATCTCAGGATCGCTCTCATCTACCAGAACATCGAGCTCTTCCGCTTCATCATGATTCGTGACGGCAGCGCTCTTTGTACTCTCTTTTGCACTTCTCTTGCGGCGTTTCGGCTCCTTGAACAAAGCTGTGACTTCTTTCTCACCACGAACACGTAAACTCAGGTCCTTGACCAGGTCAGCCCAGTTCAAGCTTACTTTGCAAGATGGGCAATATCCACATGTTGGCACAATCGCATCTTGTGCGCCATGTTCGGCTCTCAGAAAATGTGTCGACAGACATGCAACATGGAAGATCGAGTCGCATTCCTGATTGGAACAGACAAGCACCATATCCTGCGCAGACTCCAAAGCGGAGCGACAGATGATACAGCTGGTATTCGGAGCTGATAACAGTTTTCGACTCTTCTCCAGTGTCAACTTCATATGAAGGTATGTAGGGTCGATTTTGTGGATGCCAATGAGGTTAGAAGGGTCTTCTTCCAGGGACACCCTTTGTAAAACTGACTCGTCCATCTCAATCTCGATACCTTGACGAATCACTTCAGGCATATTCACCGTCCATCTATGCCACATCTTGAACACGTCTTCGGCAAAGAACTTGACCTGTAATGGCCAACGTTCAAAACTTTTTGCTCGCAACAGAATATGAAGGTTCGCGAGCTTATCATGCATTGACATTCGAGGGCGTCCTACGCGTTTGCGTACCTTGCCAGTTCTGGGCGAGAATCTCTGTTTTGTGTTGGCTTGAGTGATACGCTCGTCCGGAGCAATGTGTCGAGTCTGATGTGTGTTTTGCCATGCCCACCTAGCAATTCATGGTTAGAGAGAACGATGCCCGTAACACGTGCTCAAAAACATGACGTGATGACAACAAACAGCGCTTTGAAGGTAGACTTACTCGAATTGCAAAGCAGCGATCTTTGAAGGGAATCCAGTAACAAGGCAAGTCATCTCCCATGGTCGCAATGTGTCTTTCGATGTTCTCACTGCTCCACCTTTGGCAATTCCGTTATGTTGCTTTAAACGTCTGACAGGATGTGGCGTGCTTCCAACATAGAGATTCTGGTGGCGAACTGTTGACCGCAGTAGGTAACAAGCATAAAACGCAGGTATCGGCCTGTCCATTGCAAACGTGCCTTGGACCGGTTAAAAAATTGGATACGAGAGAATAATCTCTAGTCAAATTCCAAGGACCAAGGAGGACCAAAATCTGCGAGGTGAAACCTACTCACATGTGATTGGTTGTCAAAAGCGGGAAGCTCTCGGCTGCAGATCTGCTGTGCGGCAAATCAGACGACCATGGAAGTCGGATGTATTCTTGATGTGAATCACATCAAACGAAGGGCGTAAAACACTGGATACGTGAGAGTCGTTAGTGTAGCATGATAGTTAGCAGTAGCGATATCAATGTGTGAATGCACATGTACACAAAGAGATCACAGAACGGTCAAGTTTAAATTATGATGATTCAGGAACAAGGCAGATGGGATGGATCTGGCATCACGCGGCGGCTCACGGAAGCCAAGAAGCTGTCGACGGTCTCGTCCCTGCCGTATCGGATTCGACCTCCACATTTGCACCTGTCCTTCTAATTCCAGCAGTGCCTTTTGCAACCACTTGTTCGTTTCCAAGGCCTCCAGGGCAAGCAACAAACCTCGAATCTATGCACATGCGACAGTGACCATCGTCCCCTGGTCTTCGCCTCAGATCAGCACCCGCCTAGTGCGTTGCGCCTACCTAGACATATCAGATTTGGTCCGCTCGCTCGCTCTTTCCGATCCCCGTCGCTCCACACTCGAATGTGCCAACGCTGCAGCACCACCCTTTAGCCATCGTCGCCGCTCTTGAACCTCGTCGTATACCGACAACTCTACGATCGAGTCGCCTAATTTCAGCTTCGTTACAACCACCATATTCATCACTTCCACCAACTCTTGCGAATGGTCGTGCCTCCAAGCAGCGGAGGGGCTGCTGCCGCCTCTTCAGCAAATCGCCCGACATTTACTGCCAGCAATGTCACTTCCGCCAAACCCAAATCAGCTGCTCATACACCGAGTGCCACCATCAACAATGCGCCTATGCCGTTGAGCGCAAGACGTTCAGAACCCCTCGACTTGGACAGCGTAGAGCGGAGAGGACAACCAAATGCTGCGCCCGAAATCACAAAGAGAAACAGACTGCACAGCATTCCCGAGGGTCCTACCTTCCGACCCACCGAAGAGGAGTTTCGCGATCCTATGGCCTATATGCGCAAGATCGAGCCTGAAGGTCGAAAGTACGGAATTGCAAAGATCATCCCTCCCGAAGGATGGCAGATGCCTTTCGCCATCGATACATCAGTGCGTACTGTACATCACTGTTGCTCGGCTTCTACTGACACAATCAAAGCGATTTCACTTCCGTGTGCGACGTCAGGAGTTGAACTCTGTGGAAGGAGGTGAGTCGCATAGCCTTTTATTGGTTCCCATGTGCATTGGCTGACCCGAGATAAGGAACTCGAGCAAATCTGAACTATCTGGATCAACTATCCAAATTTCACAGGCAACATGGTACTAACCTCAATCGCTTTCCAAGCGTGGACAAACGACCATTGGATCTCTACAAACTCAAAAAGGCAGTAGAGGCCAGAGGTGGTTTCGAAAGAGTTTGCAAGCAGAAGAAATGGGCCGAAATCGGTCGTGATCTTGGATACAGTGGAAAGATCATGTCCAGCCTCTCGACTTCGCTCAAGAATTCGTATCAGAAATGGTTACAACCATACGAGGACTACCTTCGAATCGCCAAACCTGGAGTTCAACATCAACTGGAGCTGGAAAATGGCGGTCCTTTCACCCCTTCCCCGGGTACCTCGCCTCTTAAGAAGGAGCAGAACAACACCCCGAATGGTGAGAACACTCCAGCCATGCGCGCATCTGCTGCGCTAAACGCTTCTTTGGATGCCGGAATGCCCGTGGCCCAGCAAACGCCAGTAAAACCAACCTCTGCAGCCCCAGCGCCGGCTCCTATACAAGGCTTTACACCGGTGAACGGAGGTTTCACATCAGTCAATCGTCCTTCAGGGTTCACACCTGTGAATGGCCCAAACGGAGTTCACGCGACTCCGGAGAACCCACGCTCGATGCCGCGGGCGACTATGGACAGCCCACAGCTTCATGAAACTACCACGCCAAACTTTGAACCAAGCAGCTCAGCAAAGCGACCGTTGACTGATAGTGCGGAGAAAGACTCGAACGGAGATCTGGACGCATCTGGGAGGCGCAGCAAGAGATTGAAGAGAGAGCCGGCGCCAACAGTAGCAGGCTCGCACATGCATCAACCTAGGACATCGACCCCGAGGTTTGTTCCAGCAAGGGAACGCAGCAACTTCCCTCCAGGCGAAGCATGTGAAACTTGTGCGAAGCCAGAAGATCCGGGATTACTTCTGATATGTGATAGTTGCGACTGTGGATATCATGGCGCATGTCTCGAGCCTCCTGTGAAGATGCAGCAACCCGAAAACGACTGGCACTGTCCCCGGTGTCTTGTCGGTACAGGCGAATTTGGATTTGAAGAAGGCGAGGTGTATTCCCTTCGAGCGTTCCAGGAAAGAGCGAACAGATTCAAGGAGAACCATTTTGCGGACAAGATGCCCTTCGATCCTATCCTCAACAAACGAAGGCTCGTCAACGAAGATGACGTTGAGCGCGAGTTCTGGAGACTTGTCGAAAACATTACCGAAACTGTCGAGGTTGAATACGGTGCTGACATTCACTCGACTACTCACGGAAGTGGCTTCCCTACTATCGAAAAGCAGCCTCGCGATCCCTACTCGACAGATCCTTGGAACCTGAATGTACTCCCGCTGTATGGCGAATCCTTGTTCAAGCACATCAAGACAGATATCTCTGGCATGACTGTTCCGTGGCTCTATGTCGGCATGGTCTTCTCCACTTTCTGCTGGCACAACGAGGATCATTACGCTTATTCAGCTAACTATCAACATTTCGGAGCAACCAAGACGTGGTATGGTGTTCCTGGAGAGGATGCTGAGAAGTTTGAGAATGCGATGCGTGAAGCTGTGCCTGAACTCTTCGAGACGCAACCGGATCTTCTGTTCCAATTGGTGACTTTGATGCCACCCGAGAAGCTGAAGAAAGCTGGCGTTCGCGTCTATGCAATTGACCAACGAGCAGGTCAAATGGTCGTTACTTTCCCCCAAGCGTACCATGCTGGCTTCAACCACGGGTTCAATCTCAATGAAGCTGTCAACTTCGCACCTGTCGACTGGGAGCCGTTCGGCGAAAGTGGTGTGCAAAGGCTTCGCGATTATCGTCGACAGCCGTGTTTCTCTCATGACGAACTCCTACTCACAGCCGCTTCTCGTGATCAATCTATCAACACCGCAAAGTGGCTCGCTCCCGCCCTAGAAAGATTGTTGGACAAGGAATTGGAAGCCCGCAAGCACTTCCTTGAGCAGCCAGATAACGCCGAGCCGACAGAAGACACTTACCAAGGCGAAAGATACACTGCCAAGCCCGAGGTCTTCACAGAGGACATGGACGAGGAGGAGTATGTCTGCAGCTTCTGCAAGTGTTACAGCTTCCTCTCGCGGTATGTGTGCAGCAAGTCGGGTAAGGTCATGTGTTTGCTACACGCGGGTGCTTATGAATGCTGCGATTCCAAAGAATCGGATCGTTATGCCAGTCCAGCTCATGATCACGTCCTTTCTCTTCGCATGACGAACAAGGAGCTGAAGTCAATGGTGCAGAAGGTGGTCGACCGAGCTAAGCTTCCGGAGGCCTGGGCACAGAAGGTTGACGATTATCTTGGCCAAGAGCCTCGTCCGTCACTGAAGATTTTGCGCTCCTTGCTGAACGAGGGTGAGCGCATCCCCTTCGACATCCCGCAGCTTGCAGATCTGAAGCGCTATGTTGAGCGTTGCAACGAATGGGTAGAAGAGGCTACCGCTTACATTACTCGTAAGCAGCAGAACAGAGCTAAGGGGAAATCTTCCCGCAAGAAGTCAATGGTTGCTGAGTCAGACGAGCGCGACAAGGAGCTTCGTAACTTCGAAAACATGCAAAAGCTTCTCGCCACCGCTGACGAGATCCATTTCGATTGTCCAGAGTACAAGACCCTGCGCGAACGGGAAGCTGATATCAACGATTTCAAAGCAAAAGCAGTCGCTATCCGTATGGGTCAACAACACCAACCTCGATCTACTCAGGAAATTGAGGAAGTGTTTGAAGTTGGCAAAGGCCTTAACATCGATCTTCCTGAGCTAGAGAACCTCGAGAAGCTTCTCAACCATGTCAAATGGCTCGATGAAGCTCATACTCGTCCAGTGCATCTTCAGACGCTTCAGGAAGTCGACGCCTTCATCAGCCGGGGCTTGGAGATTGGCATTCCCGAGACGAATCCACACATACTTCGCTTGCGAGACGCGAAGACGCAGGGCGAATACTGGGAAGCCAAGGCCAAGGAGATCATGAGTGTCGAAAATGTCCACTACCAGCAACTGGATGCTCTTTCAAAGCAGGCAGCTGGCCTACCAGTCACTGCAGACACGCTCGCAAGAGTTGATGCCATACTCAAGAAGCAGCGTGAAGCTCAAGAAAAGATTCTTGCCCTGTATCAACAGAGCAAGAATTCTGAGTTCAGATCACGGCCAATGTACAAGGATGTCAGAGATGTCATGGCGTCTCTTGAAGAACTGAACAACAAGCCTGCTGGCACTGTCGACCTCGAGAAAGAGCAACGTCGTCACGAAGACTGGATGCGTCGTGGTAAGAAATTGTTCGGCAAAGCCAATGCGCCACTACATATCCTGCACCAACACATGAACTTGGTGAAAGAGAGGAACGACGCATGCTTCGAGCTCCGTGATAAACCGAGAATGCCAGTCGAGCCCTCGTCAAGAGAACATACTCCGGAGCTCGATACCAAGAACAACTTCCCCGATGTCTTCTGTCTCTGCCGCAGACCCGAAGCTGGCATGATGATTGAATGTGAATTGTGTCACGAATGGTAAGTCTTAAGTCTTCGTTCAGATAGAGTTGCATCACTAATGTACGTGTAGGTACCATGGAAAATGTCTCAAAATCGCTCGAGGCAAGGTCAAGGAAGATGACAAGTACACTTGCCCCATCTGTGACTGGCGCCTGAAGATTCCTCGCGATGCTGCTCGTCCAAAGCTTGAAGAGCTCATTGCTTGGCAAGACGAATTGGAGAATTTGCCATTCCAGCCTGAAGAGGAAGATACTCTTACAAGCATCATAGAGACTGCTCAAGCCTTCAGGGACTATATCCGCCCATACGTCAACCCTCTGACAGTCTCTCCGGACGAAGTGACCACACTCCGCTTCTATCTTCGAAAGGTCGAAGGTGCCGACATTCTTCTTGCTTACGAGACCAATTTCCTGCGTCAAGAACTCCACAAGTCAGCACCCGTAGCTCCAGAAGCTCCGCCAGTCATTGACTCTTCTTCTTCGACCCGCAAGCCCCGCCCTACGAAGCAGCAGAAGCTCATGGCGTCGTTGGGTATCACCAATCCTGATGATCTTCCTCCCCAATACAAAATCAAGCCTCACAAGCGCAAGGGTAGTGAAGCCCAACACAAGCCACCCCAGCCGCTTCAGCCTGCTGGTTCCCCTGCCGCCCATACTCCGTCCAGCATGTCGACAGCAACACCTGGCCCGCCTAGCAGCAGGCCTGGGTACCCGCAACAGACCCCGTCGTTCAGCTATCCTTCTCAAAACCCATCTATGGTCAATTCAGGTTATCGTGATTCACCACTGTTCGCACCCCCGTCGTTTGGTTTGCCACCGCTTCGCACTCCGGATGAACCTTCTCATACTGTCAATCCAGCACAGTTCACTTCGAACAACTACACATCTCACACATCTCCGCCACCTCCACCAAACTTCGCTGTCTCACGATCACCGCCACAGCATCCTCCGATGTTCAGCACAGGAATGAACCTCGACCCTGCGCTCTTTACTGCTGGCGGAGCTATGTTCGACAAACGACCCAGCTCTTCTGGCAGTCCTAGATTGGTGCATGCCGAAGCAAGCCCATCTTTCAGCAGCCCACAGACCAGCAACACGAATGCGAATCTCGACTCTATCTTCGCGGACATGGTACACAACGATGACGACCACGCTACCCTGGGTCATGAGGGAGAGAACCTGCTTGCTGGCGAAGCTTTTGCCGCTGGCGGACACGATCAAGACCATCCAGATGAGGCACACATGGATGAGTTTGTGAACCACGAGTAGTATGACGGACAGGATGTCTCGCCCTGATCGCTGGTGTCTTGCTTTCAATTTCCTATATTCCTCTTTTTTGTTTCTGGTCTTGCTTCGGCTACAGGCCCACGTCCGCAAGGCGGCGATTTTTTCAGTCACCCTATTCCTTATTCTCATTTTTTGCTCGGAACGGAGTTCAATGATTCCTAGGAGGAAATTGAAGGCTCACAGCACGAGCTGTTGTTTTGTTGTACGATAACCCGATGTCATTGCTTTGTTTGCTGGCCCCTTATGGTTCTGGTTTACTCTATCATGTTTGAGCACTAGCAAAAGTTGCTCTCGCAACTGTACAAGAATTGTTTCTACCCAACCTTGCTTCCAGATGATGAACCGTCAATGTCGTATGTTACGCGTGTCACCCTGTCTCAATATTCTATGCCTCATCATATGAGCAGTACATGTCAGGCAACGTGCCAGAGTCGGGCAAAGGCCTACCAGCTCTCTTGTGGTACTTCCCTGTTATATTTCTGGGCTTGTGCGATGTTGATGGGAGCACATCGCTCATTGTCATGAACATTGTGTGTTTCCGGTAGAATTGCGTATCTCCTTGCTTGTTCTCTCATTGCGTTGACACATCCTACAACGATCTGGTCTCTCCGGTTAATACACGTATCTAGAGTGAGACGTAATATAGTAGAGTGACGAAAACGGACCCGTACAATGGAACTTCGGAAACCATGAACCAGCTGTAATTATCAAGGTGAACTTTTTTGGTAGCTCTATTCAAAAGTGCCAAGCCCTTTGACGCGCTCCGTCATCGCTCGCCGCCGAATTGGTAATCACATCGCTTTTCTTCGAAGTCCGCGAGCATCTGAGCGAGATAAGTACAAAATTTCTCGACAGCCTGAAACACAGTCGACTGGCCATACTCAAAGTCTAGCAGTATGTCTCTCACAAATGTCAACGAGATCATCCTTGTGCTTTCCGGCAAGGGAGGCGTTGGAAAATCAAGCGTGACTACACAGCTGGCTCTCACCTTGTCGCTGAGAGGGCACTCGGTTGGCATACTGGACATCGACCTGACTGGGCCGTCTATGCCAAGATTCCTCGGCATCGAATCTTCGAAGGTCAAACAAGCACCTGGTGGCTGGTTACCGGTACCTGTGCACGAAACCAAGGACACAACCTCAAGCACATCAGAAAACAGCAAGCATGTTGGATCTCTTCATTGCATGTCGCTTGGCTTCTTGCTTGGTAACCGTAACGATGCGGTGGTCTGGCGTGGACCAAAGAAAACGGCAATGGTCCGACAGTTTCTCTCAGATGTTCACTGGGGCAAGCTGGACTATCTACTAATCGATACACCTCCCGGCACTTCGGACGAACACATCTCGCTTGTGGAGACTCTCATGAAGAACGCAGCGCCTGGTCAAGTATCAGGGGCCGTGGTTGTGACAACCCCACAAGCCATCAGTGTCTCCGATGTCAGGAAGGAGATCAATTTCTGCAAGAAGACCGGCATCAATATTCTAGGTGTTGTTGAGAATATGGCCGGGTTCGTGTGCCCAAATTGCGCGGAATGCACCAACGTATTCTCGAAAGGCGGTGGTGAAGTCATGGCCAAAGACTTCAGTGTTCCCTTCCTTGGCAGTGTACCTATCGATCCGGCTTTCATTTCTCTTATCGAAGAAGGCAAGCGACCAACTTATCCTGAAGGTACGGTCGTTGCTGGTCAGGAGGTGTCTGAGCAGACCAAAATGCCCGAGAACGACGATGGTTCCCTGGTAGAGAAATACCAGAGCTGCTCCTTATTCACAATCTTCGATAATATTGTCGGTCAACTGGTCGCCAACATTCAACCTTGAGGAACCGACCGCCTGCGATCGTTTACAAGAAGCCGTCCTGGCTCAGCCTCATCGGATAGATATCTCTCGAGCCCGAGGAATGCAATGCGATTCGGGCCGAACACGAGACATGTCACAGGCAACTCATCCTTGCATGCATAGCTGAGGATAGATTCGGCATGCCGAGTGAGGGCACGTGGCCTGCTACCATACACATCGGCGTCTCCGAGTACATCTCCACGCCTCATGTGCGCTAGAAGGTTTCAAAAGATGACCGCGCCCAATCACAAGCGAATCGATGAGAGTTGGTTCGTCTCCACTTGCCTAGAATGTTACGTTCGCGTATATCAAATACCCAACAAGATCCCTCTGAACTTGGACTCGCATCGTATCCGCTTACAATGACCGAAATAGATCCTGTCACAATCAGTGGACTGTTTTTGTTGTGTTCGTATAGCAAATATGTTCATACCAAGGAGAGCTCTAACTAAATTACCCCAATATTTCCACCTTCTGTAATATCGTTGAACGGGCAACATATAATCATGGCGTTGAACGCATCGTCACGATTCCCTCCAGATACGTTATCGAAGATTAGTACCTCATAACTGGGACAACATGCTGTTAGGGACCGCTGTCGTGCCGCTTGTTCTGCACAATGCAACCCAATTCGTCCAAAACAGCCGTGTAGAAGGTGAGCGAACAACAGAACACACGGTGACTCCAATCTAACCTCGCCAGGGGTTTGCCAAAGCTCTACCATCGTCCTCTCGGTATCTTCTACGGCTATCACTGTTGCAGATGGATCAGTATCTACATCTTATAGCATCTTCCCTGTCAACAAGCACATCTCGCAGGTTACCCGGCTTTCAACAACGATTCTTCAATCGGACGCTGAGCCAACAGGCTCTCTATCTGAACCTCGGAGCCCAAACGAAGCCACGTTCTATTCGAGCTCATCAAGTTCTTTTTCATTGAGATATGGAGACCAATTCTCGCCATATACTGGGAGCACTGTCGCTCCTTCGGCGTCGAGAAGCTCCTCAAGTCTCGCGGGTAGTTTGATTTCGCCAACTGCTTCACTATCAGCATCATTGTCCTCCGCCGATTTGATCTTGTCGAGTTTGAACTCTCCCACCGAAGCGTCTAGCGATGTTGTCACCATGTCACAGCATAGTACACCAACGACTCCTGAGCAGACTGCTATGGTGATAGCTAGCTCCACCATGCTAGTAACGGCATCCATGAACCCTGTTTATACGTGTCCCAGAGACAATGGGATGTACTACTCAGACTCTGCCAAGCGGGTTTACCAGCTGTTGTGTAGCACCGATGAGCCAGACTCGAACCTCGGAACAACTTATCAGCCAGATTTGCAGTCCTGCCTCGACTCCTGTGGCAGCATCCCCGGATGCATTGGTGTGTCGTATACTGCAACATCCGGCTCGTGCTCTTACAAAAGCAGCGTCCTCAACCGTGTGGGCTCCTCAACTTCAGATTCAGCCATCTTGGCAGACTACATCTGCCCTGGCGCCGATGGCACCCGATTAGTGGACTCTTCTGGATCAGTCTATGAGATTCTCTGCAACACATTCTTCCCTGCGAGCAGCAATATTACCTCAAGTTTGGCGACGAGTGACCTAGCATCTTGCTCTGAAATATGCTCGGGTACTAACAGTTGTTCAGGCTTCACATTCCAGAATGGATCATGTACGCTAGTCAGTAACAGAAACTCGAACGACGGCATCCTGCAGATGAACGTAGCCACTGCGATCTTGATAGCGAAAAGGGTCGCGCAAGTCGTATCGAGTGGCATGGTCCCATACAGAAGCACAAGTCTAGTTAGATCCCTGCCGGTCGACGTCTCTAGGACACCGACTTCAAAAACACCAAACCCAACGACTACTACTACCACATCGACCAGTGTCACTCGGATATCATTGGAGACTTCGACAGTGGGCACGATCAGTATCACTCTCAGCTCATCCAGCCCAGTGTTTGAGATCAGTCTCGTTACCGACTCTAGAACGGTTGTATCGTCATTCACAGATGCTACTACAAGCACACAGTCTGCAGCCATTACACTAAGTGGTCAAGGTCTAGTCTCTGTCTCAAGCCCCTCAAGTCTGAGTGAACAGGCCGCGGCAGATACGCCTGCCACTCTAGTGACACCAGTCAAGACTTCTGCAACTGCCTTGACCAGTAGCACGTCAACGAGTTACATTGTACGCTCAAGTATTTGATCGCTGTTCGCAGATGATGCATCAACGACCATCGATCAATCGTCGCAGATATCGACAGCATCAGCAACCTTTACTACAATATCCCCATCCGTTGCTCCAAGTTCCCTCCCAGCTAGTCTTCGCGCCTCTTCTAGAACAAATACAGGACAGCCTTCGAGTACACTGTCATATGGAACCAATAATGGCGCCAGTGAGACTTTCCGCACGACTACGAGCGGACCTGTGTCTTCCTCCAGAAATGTTTCGTCCTCTGATACTGCATTCGCTTCCATCAACAGTGCTGCCACCTCGACCTTCAACGCTGACACCTCGACTTTCAACGCTGCCTCGACCTCATTTCCCAGAACTGCGTCTTACTCTCCCGAGTCGTCTGGCTTACCTCCATCAACAAACTACTCTTGTCCTACGGTCGACGGCGACATAGTCCAGGCCAACACAGGAGGCTCCTACACGATCGGTTGCAACGACGAGACTTCAGGATACGACGTCCTTGTAGCCTCTGCACCAGACTTCAACGACTGTATGACCTACTGTGATCAAACTCCAGAGTGTACGGCGTGGACATATGCTGGGAGTTGCTATCTCAAAACGGGCACCTCTGCTTCAGAGTTCTCGTTCCGACCCTCGACACGAGGCGCAATCTCTGGCATAAGGAACGTACCAGCTGGTGGTTCTGGCTTTTCAGGGACAAGTACAAGGCCCTCTACTAGCGGTCCACATACATTTGTTTCTCAACAAGCAGCTTCCACGGAGCCGACGAGCGATGGTTCTGTACCAACATCGATCGTGTCACCAACGAGCTCTTTCAGCTCGTCAATATCCGAAGAATTATCGACTGCTGCTGACTCGACTTTCACATTCGTCCAAACATCTGAGGATAATATATCCAGTACAACGTATCACAGCACAACTGCAGCACCCATGCCATCAGGGTTGAATATGTTGTCAGATGGTGCTCCATACGATACGACAAGCGCAGCTTCACTTGATCCAACCATTGATACCGCACCTACCGCTGCGAATAGTGGTGGTACAACCGATCAATCAACAGCACTACAAAGCCCGTCTTCGACCTCGCTTGTCTCTACGCCTTCTGTCACGAACATCATAACTCTGACTTCTAGCGCTGATGCCGCGTCTCGACTCACTAATACCAACAATGTACCTGCTGCAACCGCAGCTGCATCTTCGTCTATTACTTGCTCAGTATACGACAATGTGCTAGACATCTGCCTCGATGCAGCGATTACGCCATCTGTTGGCGCCGAAGGCGGGATCAACGCTGGTCTCGGCAGCAATACAATCACAATCATTGATGTATCAGCAAGTCTGGCAATTGTACCTTCTGCTGCAGCGAGTGCAGATCTCGGCATCTCTGTTGGAACAGGTGGAGTCGGAGTAGGAGCAAGTGCCAGCGTAGGCTTGAATCCTAGCCTGGTTGGCTCCTCCCAACCCGCAACAATCACTTCCGTACCGTCAGCGTTGTGCTCCCCTGGTGGGAATGTGCTCAACGTCTGCCTAGACGCTGCTATTACTCCTTCGATTGGTATCGGTGGCAATGCCGGCGTTGGAATAGGTGTCGGTAGCAGCACTATCACTCTGGTTGACATCTCAGCGTCTGTGGCGGTTGCACCATCTGTGACAGCAGGTGTCGACCTCGGACTGTCAGTCGGGTCAAGCGGTATAGGCCTGGTCGCAAGCGCCACCATTGGAGCAGTCCTCAACCTTGACTCCTCTAGCACAATCACCGTCGGACCACTACTACCAAATATCACCGCCAGCGCTGGTGTCGGCATCGGTCTGAATCTCGGAGCCAGCAGTAGTGCGATCACTTTGCTGGCCGCATCTGCTTCCGTCGCTGCAGGAGTCGATCTCGGTCTGTCTGTGGGCTCATCTGGTTTGGGTCTCGCACCAAGTGCTACCTTGGGACTGAACTTGGGTCTTTCGGTAGGACTGGGGGGTTAGGCGCAATCATCTTCAACCTCATACAAGTCGTCAACAACCAGCAGCACCAACTTGGCTTTGTTTCCAACCTCTTCACTGGCGTTATTGCCGGGACTGGGACTCGGCTCGAATCAGTCACCATCAACGTCCTTGTCATCGACACCATCAACGTCGATCACAGTATCCTCCCGCCCGTCGTCTGCATCGTCACGGACGACGTCAATATTCATGTCTACATTTACAAGAGCCACCAGTACTGCAGGCTTAGTTCAAGGCTTAGCCAGTGCCTTGGGGCGTCAAGTCACGACTGCTCACATTCCGCCAGAACGACGTCGAGGTTTCACCACACTGGTACGGATACGCTCTTGACAAACAAACCACGGGGATACTCCCATAAGACTGGAAGGTATAGCGGCTAAACAGGATTGTACAGAGCGTGTTTTGTTTTTCATGCTAGTGTAGACTTTTGCGGTATAACCCTTCTGAAATGGCCGCAGCTTGATATTTGATAGTAATTTAAGTACTTCTATGCAACATCTAACAGTTGAACAAGCCTTCTGTGTAAACCATTGACGATTTAATTGTCGGTCCTTTGATAGTCCCTGCTACGCCGGGCAAGTCTGATGTGATGTCACGTGCGATAGTAGCTCGAAAACACGTGATGCAAAGGACCATTTTTAGCCAAAAGCAGCTAGATGATGCTCTCCTCTCGCCCTGAGAGACAGGAGGATATGTGCTGTGATCGGAATTTGTCAAGGAATCACATGATTTAACTGCTCGTCAACGAAGCATATGCGAAATCTGCAGGCTCCAGACATCTCTGTAGCTCTCCGTAGGCATACAGTCCGAACATCATGCCCGTGAATGCCATGCCCCTTGGGGGGTCTACTGTCATGGATTCCATGCCTATGTGCCCGAACCATTGGTATTCTTCGTCGAGCTCTGCGTATCCCAGAGTGTAGCCGGTTTCCGTGAACCTGATCGCCAGCTTGATGGGGCTCATGTGATCCAGTGGACGATAGGTGATGGTGAATTTTCCTGGTGAAATTGGCGTTTTACAGCGGATCATTCTGCTCTCTGCGTTTGGTCCTTTACAGATGCCGATGCTGCTGAAGGTGTACGGATTCCAGTAGACGACGGTGCCGGCTTCACAGTGGCTGTATCGGGCTTGGAAGTCCAGGGTCGTTTTCCATGTCCCTCGTGCGATGGTCTGCTTGCGAAGGACCATTGTGGGACTTTCTAGTGATTGGAGGTTGTAGGGGCCTCCCCAGAGCCGTAGATAATGCTCACGTTCTTTCAATGAATACTCTCGCTTCAGCGGCGTGTTCTTATGATACCATCCGAGTGCAAGGCTGTTGCTTCTGGCAAAGTCGTCCCGCCATATGGGAGTCGATGGGACTGGTTCAGTATCGGCCTCGAAGGTGAGTTGGACTTTGTGTCCCCGGTTGAAGATTGGCCAATCATTCTCCCAGTTCACATCCATTAGGAACGTTTCCCGTCCGAAAGGCGAAGGCAGAAAACTGTCCTTGCCATCATTGGATGTTCCCTGACGGGACGGTCGAACGGCGAGGCAAACAGCCTTCCATTCTCCTTTGGGTCCCTCGACGAGATCAGCATGCCCGGTGTTCTGGACGTCATCTTGGATGGTGGCGCTGATCAATGGATTGTTCGGCGCAGGGAGCCAGGGGCCATAGGGCCCAGTCTCGCTACGAAACACCAGCTCCATATGGCCACTCTCTGTTCCGCCTTCTGCAACAAAGAGGTAGTAGTATCGACCCCTCTTGATGATGTGAGATCCTTCCGCGACGCCTGATGGCGAACGTCTGATCAGTCTAGGAGAATCGAGAGATGCCCCTGTGATCAGATCGATCCTTGATACATGCACTGCGAACCCCTTGAGTCCGCTGCTAGCATCATGATCTATCGCTCTATAGCAGGTTGAGAGGTAGACACTGCCATCGTCATCCCAGAAAAGGTCCTGGTCAAAGCCTGGTTGATCGAAGTACACTGGATCAGACCAGCTGTCGGCTATCCAAGGATTTGTGGTCGAGACGTAGAAGCCCCTGGGCCAAACTCGTACATTCGTCTGAGGAGAGTAGGCAGTCCAAAGACAGGAAGCTATGTAGAACACTCCTTCGCGGTACCTCAGGGTTGGAGCCCATATGCCAGAGCCTGGCTCGCCAGTCCTGAGGTTCAACTGCGATGGTCTTGTCAAGGCATGTCCGATCAGCGTCCAATTCACGAGATCCCTGGCATGATAGACGGGCAGTCCAGGGTGGTACTCGAACGTCGATGTCGTCAAGTAATAGTCTTCACCGACTCTAACGAGACTGGGGTCAGGATTGAATCCAGGCAAGATTGGGTTACTGTGTGTAGGCATAATTCCAATTCAGTATCTTGATTGCTATGGAGGGACCAGATGATCGAATGTGGAAGGAACTTGATTGCTCAGATGAGGATCAAAGCCTTGGCGAACGTGAGTTATTCCGCCAATCGAAGGCCAGCGGTTGAGATATAGTTACTTACCATTTAGCCACTCGGTACAAAATCAGTATAGGACTTCGACCCTGACTCAGTAAGGACTAGAATTTCGGAAGCGACCATGGTTCTCGTGCGGACAAGCAACGTGGCCAGGATGTCCTGGTTAATCAGTACGGTCGGTAGCCGTTACCACCACGATCCCAACCCCGACCCCGTCCGCGCCAATTTGCTCCTCCCCTACCACCATGTATTTCCTCACCCCGCCAGCCTGCGTTGTTGCCACGACCATAGTCGTTCTGTCTGGAATTACCTCCACCCATGTGTGGTGCGTCTCTCGGTGGCAGGGGCAGATTTGGATGAAATCCTGTGTGGAAGGGGGGAGGTTGGACCAGCTCGGGGGGAGGTGGGGGAATCCAGTTTTGTGGCCGCTCTGGGCCAGCGGAGAGGCTCTGCTCTATGGTCTGAAAGATTTTCATGAACGGCACACTGAAGCCATAGTATCCTTCGACCACCTTGTACTTTGGTCTATCTTCTTTGTCGGTTGGGTCCCTGCGTAGTCGGAGACCTAGGCCATTGAGGGCAAACTCATTCTCATCCACCGTCGTGGCCACGTTGGGTACAGCGTTTATGTCTTTACACTCCTCGATATGTTCCAGCACTGTCTCCATCATGTCAGGATCGACTGAGCCGACAGGCATGTCGAAAGCTCTTATGTGCGTGGTTTTCATGGGGTTGCCGGGTCTTGTTGTCTCCATTGCACGCATCATGGTTCCAACGGGAAGATCATACCACGCATCCTCTGGCAAGCCGTGGGTGCTTGGGATATCATCTTGGATACTGTCGGAATTGATGCTCGTAAGCAGTTCGTCGTAGTACGAGGGATTGGTCGTTTGTAACCAGTCTAACCATTGGCCGTAGGCCTTTCGTGCGACACTACGAAGATGCAGACGTATGCGATTGGTAAATAGGCGTTCCTGAGACCAGTGTTGTAGCAAGCACGCTAGATCCTGGTGGAGAATGAGAGCTCCATGATTGCGGCTTACAGCAGTGAGTTGGACAAGGTGGACTACCGTGGGCTCGATGGCTTTGACAAAAGTCGTGTAGGTCTCAAGTGGCTTGCGAAGTAGGCGACCTGGATTCTCGCGAATGCGAAAGAAGATGGCGTCTATCAAATGAAGCAGACTGAAGGCAAGATGAGCTTGGGCTAGTGCAGACTTGTCCGGGTGTGATGTATGGTCAGGCGGCAGCAGAGAAAGAAGCAGCTTCAGTGAGTAGTCTCCAAAAGCAGCAACCCTTCGGCGAGATTTGGTAACATGACAGACAATCCAGGCAATACTCTTTTTGAACTGGGATCAGTTTAGCGATGTTGGCAATCAGAAGATCAAGGGCACAGGAAAAGACCTCTTTGGTGTTACGGGTAGTGTCGTTCAGGGCGGACTGAAGCAGATTGTGGAAGTTGTTGATATCGGATGAGTCGAGGGTAGATCTCTTTGATTGTCCGGTAGTCAGACTGCCGACAAGCTTTGCCTTTGCAAGGAGCAACGCAACATCATGTTTGGGTGTGTTGGCAGTGGTGGAATCCATCTTGGCGCCGATATTGAGCCCAAACTCGATGAATTCTGGTCAGAGCAGACTGAAGGGATGGAGGTTGTAACCAGTTGTAGCTCAAGATATCAGACCAAAACTCAATCGAAGCGTCGGTATATGACACAGGCTGCAACAGAAGGATCGGGCGGTGGTGGACTGGCGGAACGGGAGCAAAAGTGTCGGCGGGCGCGTGCCTGAGCGGGAAAGCCGTCGGGTGCCCGGTCCCTTGGGTTCTAGGCGCTACCCAGCCCGACGTCACCGTCAAATGCTGTTTGCTGCCTCTTAGATCATGTTATGAATGTTTGCCTATTGATAAATTCACAGCTCAATCACTCTCTCGACTTCTAAGGCCGAATCCGACCCCTTCACTACTTGGGACCGCCGTTGTTGCACCTCTGGACAGCTTCACTCGCCCGTCGCGAGACATTCGTCTCAGCCCATCAGGAGAGATTCCGTCTCGTGCCGCATCATGGGCGCCGTCCAAAGCGATCTCAAGTCCAACATCGTCCAGGCCTCGTCCGGAGACGTCGCCATTCCCTCGACCCTGACTGACTTCTGGCAAACTGTAACTACAACACACTCCTCGTCTGCTCCCACACTCCCTCTGCTGACACGCCGTCTCCCCAGTTCTGGCAACGCCCAGAAACCGCCGAACATGTCTTCGAGACCATTACCCCCTCCGACCTTCGTACTATGCGCGACAACCCAAAATCTTTCGTCAACTTTGAAACCCTGATCCTGACCGTTTCCCTTCGCCTGATCCACCTGCGCACCGCCGACCACGACCTCTTCGACAAAGATCCATCAACTTTCATTCGCGAGGCCTTGAACTGCGTCAGAATCCTCACTCGGGTCCTTCCTTTCGTCTACGAGTGCGATCGCTTGTGCGCTTGGGAACAAGACTTCTTCTGGGCCTCGACAGACAAACTTCCTCCCTCGGATCTTGCTCCAACATGCCTTGGGGTCGAGCTTATTGATTCGCTTCTGGACATGGCCTTCTGGTCAGGCTTCACACTCCCCATCAACATGCACGGCAACAACGGTCCCACCTATGGCTTCTGGCAGAGTGGAATCGCCTACGAGCGCCGCCTGGAAACGAGCAAAGAATTCGAGAGCAGGAGAACGGAAATTATGCAACTTCTTCTGGTCCTTGAAAGCAAATGCATTTACAAGCCTGCCAACGCCTTCACCACTTTTGGCTCCGAGGCAATCGACTTCATCTCCAACCACCACGACCGTAAAAAGGTTCAATACCTTTTGTGCTCTCTTCTGAACACCGTCCTAAAGTATCAACCTGATGCTCGTTATCTTTCGCCATCACCCAGAGAGCTGCACGAAACCCACGTAAGGACGTGTCTGCACTTCCTCCAAGTCAACCTTCTGAACAGGACACCATGGACCGAAGCTTCGGCCCCGCCCGATAACAGGTTCCGTGATCTCTTCTCCCATCTACATAAGGCAACACATCTGCAATTCCTCGCCGATGGCATCCTCAAGATTCTGCGACAGCCGCTTGAAGCAAACAGCAATGGATTGAACATTGTCCAGAGACCGCTCGTCTGGGCACATGAGATCATACCGCTCCTTTGGGAGTCTCTGTATTCCAACAAATACTTCCGTGCCTTCATTTGCGAAACGGGTCGCCAGTTCGAGCTTACCGTCTTCCTTCTGTTTTACATCCTGGATCCTAATAAGAATGTAGAAGGAGTCAAACGTGTAAGTCTGCTGTGTGTGCAGACCATGAGCGAGAATCCCGAGTATGCCATCTCCTTGAATAAATCGTTCGAGGGACATGACAATCTCCCTTCGTTCATGCAAATCAAGAACTTCCACGGATCTTATGCAGACTATCTTTTCACTGTAAGTCATCTAGCACAGTCTCGGCTGTCATCATGCACTAACACGTCTCTTAGTGGTTACTTACTCTTCTGAAACCGAAGAAGAATGGTCACCTGGATGCTATGGCTGCCGCACTGGTTGGGATCATTGTCAATGTTTCGCCCTACATTTCTCACCTCGGTCGGGCAACAAGTCTGAAACTGATTCAGCTAGTGGATCTATACACGCGGAACTCTCTGTCGACTAGCGTCGAGACCAATGCTATGGTCTTGACACACATGGTTCGCGCGGTGAATTCGATGTTGGAAGAACACAAACCAGGGACTGGTTCGTTATACTACACAAACCGGCGAAGCAATACTGACCAGTCTCTTGTAGAAAATGAAAATTTGATCTGGGCGATATGGAAATACGGCACTACATTCGAACATCTAGCAGACCTCAGAATGGAGGTCGATCCTGGTTTCAAGCAAATGGTGGAGCAGATCCGTGAACAAGGTATCACAGAGCCTACTTTGTGCCCAGATGGCACTGTACTGCACCCCTTGATCGCGGCCAACGACATTGCCAACATGGACAAAGACAAGGCACCTCGCCCACGTCTTGGAAGAGGACGCACATGGCTAGAACTACGTGACATCTACAACCCAGCAACTTCGCCAGTAGCACCTCCAGTTGACGATACGCCGCCACTCAATGCAGATGATTTAGCAGAAAAGCAACCGTCGGTGTCTGCTAGAGCGGTCGGTAAACAACCCGAAAAGAGCAAAGATTCCGCAGACTTCGAAGAAGAGAGGGCAAGAGTGTTGACTTCGCCAAGCACAGACATGGATATAGTACGTTTGAATGGCCGATATGTGGATAGCTCACACTGACTAGATACAGGTCCGAACGTGGCTTCCACAGATGCCCCTTCTCACGACACTGTCGCTTCTCCTGGCACTACAAGCGTGGACTGCGAAATTGTTGGAAGAAAGAGGCATGGAGGGCAGCCAAGAAGCTGTAGATGGTTTGGGCATGGACGAAGTGCTACAACCGGTCCGCAACGTTGGGCGTATCTGTGTCGAGACAACGACTCGGAACATCCACACATTCCCCATGACGGCCCCATTCTCGGAAGCATATGCAGCTTTCTACTGGGGTCTCGTAGTGTCACAAGATCTGCAACATGCGTCGACGTCTGGAAGCGGTATCTGGAGCAGCACCAACGTCAAATTGTTCAAGATTCGAGCTGGCGAAGTCGTACCGCCAAGTTTGTTGAGTCCAAAGGGAGCGGTCGATGCTCTAGGGGAGAGTCTTGTGAGCGGTGTTCAGAATCTGGCGTTGAAGTTTCGACAACAGCTGAATGGTGGATCTGAGGCATAATTCTGAGTGGATGGGGTAATTTTTGATCAGCGCATGAACGGCCGGATGTTTGGAAGACGATACCCAGGGGGTTGCATTGGCGTGAATGGATATAGAAGTAAACTTCTAGGCGAAAATTGAATCACTCAGGCATGCTGGCAATTTGGAAATATAATATACGACAGAATCTCTCGGCTTGATTTTATGTGCTGTTTGCCAGCTGTGTTATCTACAAGCTAGAAAGACATTTAAGGCTTCTCGTAGATCCAGTCGGCCTGGGGGAGCTTCCAGGAGTTGAGCTCGTCCTTCTTGAACCAGAGATCGATCTCCTTCTTGGCGTTCTCGACGGTGTCGGAACCGTGGCAGACGTTGCGGCCGACGTCAATGGCGAAGTCGCCACGGATGGTGCCAGGGGCGGAGGCAGCGGGGTTGGTGGCACCGAGGAGGGTACGGCCGGTCTTGACGGCATCACGGCCCTCCCAGACCATGGCGCAGATGGGGCCAGAGTTCATGTCTATGAGCTAGTGTGAGCAGCTGTTCTGTTGCTTTCAAGGGCGTAGATCGACGTACAAGTGACGAGACCTCTGAAGAAAGGCTTGTCGCTGAGGTCAGCGTAGTGCTTCTCGAGGTGCTCCTGGCCGGGAGAGGCTGCATTGGCGTGTTAGTGTCGCTTTAAGCGTGGGAGTACGGTATCGGGGACTAACTGAGCTGCATTGTTGTTAGTCGGTATACTCAAGACAAATCTTCACTTGAAATACCTTGATAGCGGCCAACTTGAATCCCTTCTGCTCGAAACGGCCGATGATAGGGCTGATGAGGCCTCGGGCCACGCCATCAGGCTTGATAGCTTTTTCGCGTCGTCAGCATCCAGCGGTATAGAGTTGTGAAGATGTAGTTGTGGTTGTATAGGGAGGGGATTGACCAGAAGTCACGTAAGGACGCGGCTGAGTCTCCTAGGACAAATCCAGCCGCTCTGACGAGAAGATAGCACGTACCGATGAAAGTTTGCTCGGAGGAAGACATTGTGGTGGTTGAGTTGACGATAGAGAGATGTGATCTGTCTTTAGCGGTCAAAAATTTGAAGACAACAGGGGACGAAGTCATGCTAGCTGAATGCTTGGCAGGCTTCAAGCTCTCGGCCAATAACTGAAGTGGCCAGTGCACGTGATACTTACAGTGACCTCGGCTCTGCATCGCTGGGTCGTCTTCAGTTGATAGCATAGTCAACCCAGATAATCAATGCAAATTCCTCACTAGCAGGCTCTACATACATTTGAATTTGCCATTCAGATGATTAGTATGAATGCGGTTGTATTCGCAGATCGAGAGGCTTCCTAAGAGCTGCTTCTCAGCAAGGTTCTGCATGTTATAGGTCGACTTATAGGTCGACAAAAATGTTCTCTGTTTATCTGATTGACTACCACATTAGCAGATCCTGTCCGACGTCTCGGCTCGGTGGATGGATATCAGCTTATGAATCAAGCCCAGAAGATCGGCTCAATTCGATCGCCTCCCCCTGGCCGAGACCTCCAAGACAGCCTCTATATGGTGGGATAAGGTCTGGATTATATTCCTTGTTGTCCAGCTGCCACGAGGAAGGAGGAGTCCTTCGCGAACCGCATCAACGTTCAGTATGATTCCTTCTATCGATCTTGCTTACATTGATTCACCCTCTGCATGTTAGCTCTCACTCTTCTCTTGCGAAGGTCTAGAGGGATGTCCTTGCTATAGAAATGCACAAGGGTTTTCGGACCGTAGTCGCGTCCAAAGACAGCTAAAGTAACATCGCATCTCGATGGAGACTATCCTGTTTCCCGAGACTATTGTGCTTCATGGCCACACGCGAGATACACTCTACACACAAAGACGAAGCACCTGATTCTTGGTATCGATTCGCAGAACCTCAACGACAACACATCCCGCTGCTGCTTTCAATTTCATCCTCACTTCCTGCTTTCCTTGCCTCTCTTCAATCACTCTTCTCGGATACTCTCTCTTTGAACTTTCACTTGGAACAATTTTCAGTTCGAGCCTCGATGCGTCGTTCTTTCACTGTCTACTTCACACTGTTGCGACCGAGCATCACATCGACTCAGCTCTTCGACGAAATGATGCGCGGAGAGCGAGGTACGTTCAGCGATACCCGACCGTTAAACCAAGAAGATCTTGCCAGAGTCCAGAGGACCTTGAACCCAGTGTCAATTCGAAGTGATAGCACGCCTAAGTATCCTGTTATGCATGTGGTTAGAGAAATGGCCGATCGACGTATCGAGAGACATAGGGCCAAGCATGAAAAGGAGAGGCAGGACGCCGTGTCAAAGAACAAATCAGTTACCAAGATGGCCTCTGAGGTCGAAAGCTCCTGGATGGACAATATTTTGGAATTCATGAGCAGCCGTGGGAAAGGCGGAAACTGTTTTGGCGGGGGTGCACGTTTCAGCTTCCTCCTGCCAAGCTTGGAGCTGCCCCGGACTTTTGATGGTTGATGAACTGCCCGCCAGCTGTAAAGTGTCAAGTACTGTAGCAGCAACTGCATTAGTGGACCATGGCTGCTGCACTTACAGCTCTTTCGTCCAGATGGCCACGGCTAGTCTTGCTAGTGGTAGCTCTATGCTGCCTGTTTTCCCCTGCTGGTAAGTTCACCTGAAGGCACTCTAGGAAGTCAATGGCTCAAACCATCCAAGCGTCTGTAAAGCACGAGAACTTCAAGACCTGTGACCAGTCAGGTTTCTGTAAACGCAACAGAGCCTATGCCGATTCGACCGCCTCTCTCTCCTCCTCATGGACCAGCCCCTACGTCCTCGACTCTGCCTCCGTCACTTTCTCCAAGGGCCAGTTGTCAGGAACCATTCTCAAGACTATTGCCGCTTCCGATCAACCTGTTCGTCTGCCTGTCACTATCTCATTCTTCGAATCCGGTACCGCCAGAATTACTGTCGACGAAGAGAAGCGTCAGAAGGGTGACATTGAGCTCCGCCACGGCTCAAAGGCCAGGAAAGAGCGTTACAACGAGGCCGAGAAATGGGCTATTGTTGGTGGAACCAAACTCAGCTCTGGTGCTGCTACTGCCAAAGATGCTGAATCTGGTACTACCAAGGTCGTCTACGGTCCTGGAAGCAAGTTTGAGGCTATCGTCACGCACTCGCCGTTCGGTATTGAATTCAAGAGAGACGGAGAGACCCACATCAGACTGAACGACAGAGGATTGCTGAACGTCGAGCACTGGCGCCCCAAGGTCGACAAGCCACAAGAGGAGAAGAAGGAAGGTGAAGCTGAAGACACTGAGGCAAAGAAAGAGACGACCGAAGATGAAAGCACATGGTGGGACGAAGCCTTTGGTGGAAACACCGATACCAAGCCGCGAGGCCCTGAAAGTGTAGCCCTTGATGTCACATTCCCTGGCTACGAACACGTCTTCGGAATTCCAGAGCACACTGGCCCCCTTTCTTTGAGACAGACTCGGTAAGTCTGAGTTGCTTTTCTTCTTTTTCAGCTATTCAAATGCTTATCATCCACAGTGGCGGCGAAGGCAACTTCGATGACCCCTACCGCTTGTACAACGCCGACGTTTTCGAGTATGAGATGAACAGCCCCATGACTCTCTACGGCGCAATTCCCTTCATGCAGGCTCACAAGAAAGACTCGACTGTCGGAATTTTCTGGCTCAACGCTGCAGAGACCTGGATCGACATTGTGAAGTCCAAGTCGAGTGCCAACCCTCTCAGCCTTGGTATTGGGTCTCATACTGACACACAGACCCATTGGTTCTCCGAATCTGGCTTGCTTGATATTTTTGTCTTCCTTGGCCCCACACCCAAGGATGTCGTCTCGTCCTTCTCCGAGTTGACTGGTTACACTCAGCTACCTCAACAGTTTGCTATTGCTCACCATCAGTGCCGTTGGAACTACGTTACCGATGAAGACGTCAAGGACGTTGATCGTAAGTTTGACAAATCTCAAATTCCTTACGACGTTATCTGGCTCGATATTGAATACACGGACGGCAAAAAGTATTTTACCTGGGACCCTCTGACCTTCCCCAACCCGCTCGGTATGCAGAAGCAGCTCGATGACCATGAGAGAAAGCTTGTCGCCATTATCGATCCTCATATCAAGAACGAAGGCGGATACTCTGTTGTGGACGAACTCAAGTCCAAAGATCTCGCAACTCACAACAAGGATGGCAACATTTACGAAGGATGGTGCTGGCCTGGCTCTTCTTACTGGGTTGACTGTTTCTCGCCCGCCGCCCGTAATTGGTGGGGTCAGCTGTTCCAGTATGCGAAGTTCAAGGGTTCTGCTCACAATCTTTGGTTGTGGAACGACATGAATGAGCCGTCAGTTTTCAACGGACCAGAGACTACCATGCCTAAAGACAACCTGCACCATGGTAACTGGGAGCACAGAGATGTACACAATCTCAACGGCCTCACACTTGTCAATGCCACTTTCGAAGGATTGGTCGCACGTAACAAGGAAGAAGAGAAGGCTGGAGGAGTCAGACCCTTCGTCTTGACCCGTTCGTTCTATGCAGGCTCGCAGCGTATGGGGGCCATGTGGACTGGCGATAACCAAGCAGACTGGGAGCACCTTGAAGCATCTCTTCCGATGGTGCTATCTCTAGGTGTATCTGGATTCCCCTTTGCTGGCGCTGACGTCGGCGGGTTCTTCGGCAATCCTTCTCGAGAGCTGCTCACTCGCTGGTACCAAGCCGGAGCTTTTTACCCATTCTTCCGCGCTCATGCTCACATTGATACTCGCCGCCGTGAGCCTTATCTTCTGCCCGACCTCGAAAGAGGTATCGTCACGCAGGCCCTGAGACTTCGCTACGCTCTTCTTCCTGCATGGTACACTGCCTTCCATAATGCAAGCAGAACTGGCGCACCAATTGTGCAGCCAATGTATTACGCACACCCTGGAGATGAGAAGGGCTTTGCTATCGACGATCAGATGTATCTTGGATCGACTGGTCTGCTGGTCAAGCCCGTCACGAAAGAAGGCGCATCCAGCGTCGAGATGTATCTGCCAGATGGTGAGAAGTACTTTGACTACTCAGACTACACAAGCTACAGCGGGCCTGGTCATGTCAAGATCGAGGCACCTCTGGAGAAGATTCCACTGCTCATGAGAGGTGGTCACATTGTCCCCAGACGTGACCGCCCAAGAAGATCTAGTGGACTCATGAAGTTCGACCCGTTCACGCTTGTCGTGGTCCTCGGCAATGATGGCAACGCAGAAGGCGAGCTTTACCTTGATGATGGCGAGTCTTATGACTATGAGCAGGGCGCGTACATCCATCGTCGGTTCAGGTACACTGGCTCGACACAGTCGCTCGCGTCGGAGGATCTTGGCAGCAAAGACAAGAAGACGGGGCAATACCTCAAGCAGATGAAGGAGGTCAAGGTGGAAAAGATAGTGATTGTCAATGCACCTCAGTCGTGGAAGAGTAAGACGGAGGTTGATGTGTCGGAGGAGGGAGTCAGCAGCAGCGGTGAGAGCAAGAAGAGTGGACTCAGCTTTGTTAGTGGGGAATCAGGCAAGGCAGATTGGGCAGTGGTCAGAAACCCGGGAGTTGGCATTGGCGGAGGGTGGAAGATCGACTTTGCATAGACAAACAAAGAATAGAGCTAGACAGACTGCTACAAGCATTGAATAGCGAGTTCTTTGTCTTGAATTCGACTGCCTCGAGGTGTGGCTGTGTCGAGGCAGGCAGCACGATAAGAGGTCGAAGCCAAAAAGTTTAAAGGGTCGGATTGTGGAGAGAATAACCAACGCAAGCACGAAACGTCACTGCGAGAGTCCCGCGATTCTACCGTGTCAGTTGTCGATCACCTGCAATCTAACAGGCTGGCTAAACAGACACGCCAATTAATACACCGCAATTGTCATTTCTGCCTTTATCTCGGTCGCGCAACAAGCAGAACCTCTGCAACTCTTCGCCAGCTTCCTCTCTACTCGACAAACAGTCGCGCAACTAGCACACGCGCTGCTCATCCCTGGACATGGCTACAAGTGCGTCGCCGTAAGTGGGATTCAGGAGGCAGCTTTCACCATTCATGTCCACTTTCTGACCTCTACGAACAGAAGCATCAACGTCAACGACCCCGGTCTCATCACCTTGGTGAACAAGCTTCAAGATGTCTTCACCACCGTCGGGGTACGATCCTGTCCCACCCGCTGCCTAGACTCGATATTAACCTTGCGCCTTACAGGTCCAAAACCCCATCGACCTTCCTCAAATCGCCGTCGTAGGCTCGCAATCTAGTGGAAAGAGTTCCGTCTTGGAAAACATAGTCGGCAGGGACTTCCTGCCCAGAGGAACTGGTATCGTCACCAGGCGGCCGCTTATCCTGCAACTCATCAACCGAGCACCCATGCCCAAGCAAGAGAATGGCGCTGCTGCTGAAGCTGTCGATGGAGCTGCCGACAAGGAGTCCAACGTGGACGAGTGGGGCGAGTTCCTACACATTCCCGGTCAAAAGTTCTACGACTTCAACAAGATCCGCGAAGAGATTGTGCGTGAGACCGAGTCCAAGACCGGTCGCAATGCTGGCATCTCGCCTGCCCCCATCAACCTGCGCATCTACTCACCGAATGTCCTAACGCTGACACTGGTCGATTTGCCTGGCCTCACCAAGGTCCCTGTTGGCGACCAGCCCCGCGATATCGAACGCCAGATCCGCGAAATGGTCCTCAAGCAGATCAGCAAACCAAACGCCATCATCCTCGCCGTTACCGCTGCCAACACCGATTTGGCCAACTCGGACGGTCTTAAGCTGGCTCGTGAAGTCGATCCCGAGGGTCAGCGCACCATTGGTGTCTTGACCAAGGTTGATTTGATGGACGATGGTACTGATGTCGTTGACATCCTTGCTGGTAGAATCATCCCTCTACGTCTGGGATACGTGCCTGTCGTCAACCGTGGTCAGCGTGACATCGAGAACAAGAAGGCCATTTCCTACGCTTTGGAGCACGAGCGTGCTTTCTTCGAAAACCACAAGGCTTATCGCAACAAGAGCAGTTACTGTGGTACACCCTACCTTGCCCGCAAGCTCAATCTGATCCTCATGATGCACATCAAGCAGACACTGCCGGATATCAAGGCTAGAATTTCTGCTTCGTTGCAAAAGTACACGGCCGAACTTGGTACTCTCGGAGACTCGATCCTTGGCAACAGTGCGAATATCGTCCTAAACATCATCACCGAGTTTTCAAACGAATACAGAACAGTCCTCGAGGGAAATAACCAAGAACTTTCTAGCATCGAACTTTCTGGTGGTGCCAGAATCTCCTTCGTCTTCCACGAGCTCTACGCCAACGGTGTCAAGGCCGTCGATCCTTTCGACCAGGTCAAGGACATTGACATCCGTACCATCCTCTACAACTCTTCCGGCTCCTCGCCTGCCCTCTTCGTCGGTACTACCGCCTTTGAGCTCATCGTCAAGCAACAGATCAAGAGGCTAGAAGATCCCAGCTTGAAGTGTGTGTCTCTGGTTCACGACGAATTGGTTCGCATTCTGGGCCAGCTCTTGAACAAACCTCTGTTCAGAAGATACCCCTCACTTAAGGAGAAGCTCTACCAAACCGTCATCACTTTCTTCAAGAAGTCTATGGAACCATCAAACAAGCTGGTCAGAGATCTCGTTGCCATGGAGGCTTGTTACGTCAACACTGGCCACCCCGACTTCCTTAACGGTCACAGAGCTATGGCTATCGTCAACGAGCGTCGTCATGCTGCCAGACCTACTCAAGTGGACCCCAAGACCGGCAAGCCTCTACCACCCTCCGCTGTTCCCCCACGCGCTGCAAGCCCCTCGCTTTCTCTTGACGGTAATGACGCATCGGGCGGTTTCTTCGGCAGTTTCTTCGCCAGTAAGAACAAGAAGAAGATGGCTGCCATGGAGGCACCCCCACCAACACTCAAGGCCAGCGGCACACTTAGTGAGAAGGAGAGCGAAGAGGTCGAAGTCATCAAGCTCCTCATCACTAGCTACTTCAACATTGTGCGCCGCACGATGATCGACATGGTACCCAAGGCCATCATGTTGACCCTTGTGCAGTAAGTTGAACCATCTGTATATTCATTGAACATTTTACTGACCGTGATTCGACAGGTTCTCGAAAGAAGAGATGCAGCGCGAGCTTCTGGAGCAAATGTACCGCACACAGGAATTCGACGATCTGCTCAAGGAGAGCGACTACACAGTCCGCAGACGCAAGGAGTGCCTGCAGATGGTCGAGAGCTTGGGCAAGGCAAACGAGATTGTCAGCCAGGTGCAGTAGTTTGTTTGTCTTGATTTTACAATTGTAACTCTGTTCTGGTTTTCTTCTCTCGCTTTGGTTTTTTCAAGGCGTAGATGTTTGCTGCTTCTTCCTGAATCATGAAGGCATAGATGATATGAGATTGGGCAAAGCATGAGGGAAAAGGGAGGCAAAATGTCTGTTCTTTTGGTCTGCCTTGGCGGAAAATCATCAGGTCTGTGTAAGAGAACATGAGTAATCCTTTCAAATCTCCCCTCTGGCTCCGTTGAGTGTATTCCGGTGTGATATCAGGCCACGACCAGGATTAGGCATGATTCTCATCCTCTCATCTCATTCTTCTTCGAGCTCACATCAATGGCAACAAAAATCTTGCGAAAATGAAAAATCATGATGAAATGGTATCTGACTGCTCGTAAATTTGACCTGCACCTTGAACGCCCCGTCAGTCGACGATCCTCATGACAACCAGCCGAAACTCCTTCCCACCAACACTGAACATGTAACATTATTGAGCCGATATCATTAGACACCACTTCTGTAAACTTGGGCACCGCCCTTGCGAAGTTGTATGCTGTCTCTCTTTTGCAATGCCCAGATAGCCCTGTTGAGTGCTTGTTCGGAGTAATTCTTCCTATCCACGATTTCGCGTCTCAATGTAGTCAGACTTGCTGTGTAGCCGATTGGCAAGCGCTTTCGCAACTCGTCTTCGACTTTTGCGATCTCGTCGACAAGCTCGCGGTTGCCCGAGATGCCGGCTGCATTGGCAGCGTTGGATTCGCCGTTCTGTGAGAGGACGGCGTCCATGGTACTGCCCAGGAACAGGCGGATTGCTTCGTCGACGTGGTGTTCTGTGGCGATAGGTGACAGGGAAATCTTGGCCAAGGCTTCGGTGATACGAACAAGTGATTCCAACTGTCTGACAGTGATCGGGATACTCGAACGTTGGTTGGCAGATGCTTCGGCCTGGGCGACTTGTCTTCTGATACTGACAAAATGCGAAGATAACTTTTCGGCGGCCTCGGGTGATAGACGAGGCGCGCAACGCGACTTGCAGTAGCTGATGTAGCGCTTCATCTTCTCAACAGGGATAGACGACACAGGTTGTTGGTCTTGGTTACCATTGCCGCCCATGTGAATTCCCATGACGTGCTTTGCGATGCGCTCATCGCGGCCACGGTCGTGCTCGTCCCTGACAATGAAGATGAGATCGAATCTACTCAGAATAGTGGTTTGGAAGTCGATGTTTTCGCCAGGAGATTTGAGATCATCGTAGCGTCCGAAGATGGGGTTGGCAGCTGCGAGCACGGAAGTTCGAGCGTTGAGAATGGTCGTGATACCAGCCTTTGCGATCGAAATAGTCTGTTGTTCCATAGCTTCGTGGATGGCTACACGATCTTCGTCTCGCATCTTGTCGAATTCATCGATACAGACTACACCACCGTCTGCCAACACCATGGCACCACCTTCCAGGTAGAATTCGCGAGAGTTTTGGTCGCGCTGGACCGAGGCGGTCAAACCAGCTGCAGAGGAACCTTTTCCGGAAGTGTAGATGGCAATGGGAGCAGCTTTCTCGACGAACTTGAGTAGTTGGGATTTTGCGGTACCAGGATCACCGAGGAGTAGGACGTTGATATCACCACGAAGCTTCATGCCGTCGGGCAGAATCTTCTTGCTACCACCCATGAGTAAGCAGGTAATTGCCTTTTTGATATCCTTGTTGCCGTAGATGGAGGGGGCGATACACTCGGCAAAGCGTTCGTATAGGTCAGGCCTCCTGCTCATCTCGAGGAATTCTTGTTCCTCCTCTTCTGTGAAATGAGCACCACCTTTGGCTGTGTGGTCAACATCGGACTGAATACCAACGGCACGAAGATATGGAGTACGGATTGCGACAGCGGCGCCCGAGCCCTTGGCCTTTGATTGATATGTGCTGAAGACACCGGTGACTGTGCATCGCGAACCGGGGACGAGACGATTGGTCAGGTATCGGTCTGCTGAGATGTGGATGTGACGAGGCAATTCACCGACTGGTACATCATCGGGAGCTTCCTGCAACTTGATGACCTGCTGATCGATGAAGTGGCATTTTTCGTGGACGACAAAGTAAGGGTCCAGGGGACAGTTTGTCGAGTCTTCGCCGGGTTGCGAGGCGCGAGCACATGTACGGGGCAGAGTGAGACCAGAGAAGCCAGACAAAACGGATATGTTCTGTGAGTGCTGGCAGTTGCGGCATTGGATATGCAAGAGGGTTGCTTTTGAGGAAAGGGTGCTGGCTCCAATGACAATGCCAGGGATGCGAACGAGTCGGGAGACGTGAGTAGCGGTCAGGCCACGGATGGAGGTGTGCGAGTCGGTCGAGTGGAGCAAGAGCTGGAATGGCGGTAGAGAGATGTTGCGCTGCGAAGGGTAGACGATGCGCTGAGCACAGTGCTTGAGGGCGGCCTCGAACAGCGGAATGATGTCGGCAGGCTCATTCTTCAAGCGGTGGGCGAGTGGCGGGTTGGGGTTGTTGATGTGATCATAGTTGACGTCGCAATAGTAGTGTTTAGAGTTGACGTTCTGGTGGATCTGGTCTCTGTATATGTAGGTGCCGTCGATGTGAAATGTCATGATAAAGTCGACAATCTGTTCTTGTACAGCGGCGCGCGAATCCGAAGCCGTCTGGCTGCGGTCCTCTGGGAAGACGGACAAGGTGTAGACGGACTCTCTATCCATGGTTGCGGTGTGCTTGTGCTATGCGACTGAGGGGGTAAACAGGCAGGAGAAAGTGGAAACAACACGAACACGCGGGCACGAGCACAAACACGAGCCACGACCGGGGAACATCAATCAACGCCCAAGACGGTTAGCGGCCGGCGGCTTGGAGACGCTACTGCGGTCCGGGGCCGTCGGCGCATCAATACTCCCAATGCTGCTGCTGTTGCTGCTGCTGCTGCTGCTGCTGCTGCTGCCCTCTGGTCATTGTCTCGACTGCTGTTAGAATGTCCTTGACATGTCCGAAGACAGCGCCGACCTGGTCTCGTCGCCATCCTCGCTCCACCATGCCTTCCCCTTCCCCTCGTCCTATCAGCGACGGCCTTCGCGCCGCTTGTCCAATGACAGCACTCTGTCTGTCACCTCTATAGGCGGCGCCCTGGATATCAATTCACCCAGACCCAACAAGTCGCTCAGGGAAGCTGGCCAAAATGGTGCGCTAACACTACATGACCTTTGCATCCCCCCTCTAATCCTGTTGCAGCAATCTCGACCCTCCTGCAACCTCCCATCGTCCGCACCGGCCTCCTGACTGCCACCGCCTCGACTTCCTCGACCTACCGAGCTCCCACCACACGCGACATCCCTCCCGTCACCCTGACCAACATCCCCAAGGCCGATCCCGACTCCTTCAAACACTACATCTCTCGTGTCGGCCCTCTGTTTGACAATCTCTCCCGCCTGCGTCAAGACCCCCAACCAAAGCCCCAGAGCCATGCCCCGACCAGCCCTGTCCTCAGTCGCCATAATTCCGCTACTTCCCTACTCTCCCCCACCGACTCTCCTCAACCCAGACGTCGCTCCAGCGCTTATGCCCGCCGAAGGCTGAACGAGCCCACCCCTTTGTCCACCATCCCAAATGTTTACTTTGACGACAACTTTCAACTCGAGAATCCCAGGACCTTCGATGTCGTCAGTGAGCGCGCCGAAATTGCTCCCGGTACCGCCAAACAAGAACAGTCGGCCAATGGCGCTCCTCTTCCTCCGCGCAAGACCTTGGCCAGCAATGCCATCCTACAGGAGAAATTGTCCTGGTACATGGATACAGTCGAGCTTCACCTCATCCAATCCATCTCTTCCGCCTCGACCTCCTTCTTCGCCGCTCTGGGCTCTCTGCGCCATCTGGAACAAGAAGCCTCGGACTCTGTTAGCAGAATTCAGAAGTTGAGAGCTGATTTGGCCAAGCTGGACCAAGACATGGCAATGGGTGGGTTGGAGGTCGCCAATCTGCGTACGCGATACCAGAATATGCAGAAACTTGCAAACGCCGTGGACCAGGTCGCCCGCGTGGTCCAGGACACGAAGAATTGCGAAGAGTTGGTAGAGAAAGGAGAGTACGACGCTGCTGCCGGCGCAATGTTACGCCTCGACCGCTTAGTCGCCGGACAACCCGATCCGTCAGAACCGTCGTCTGCAGACCTACACGATTTGCGCTCTCTTCACGCCCTGCAAGGCCTGTCCGACTCTATGAACCAGCTACGCTTCCGCATTGGCAGAGGCTTCGAATCTCGTTTCCTCGAAACATTGCTGTCCGATTTACGAAGGCATATTGACCATGTCCCGCCGAAAGACACCCTGCGGCGCTGGGCGAGTACGTCAATGCGCTTACGAGGCCTGCAGACGGGTCCGACAGCTTACATGGAGATTGATGATCAGTTCCGGAAAGACTTGCTCGCTTCGTTACATGGTCTGAGTAATTCAAGTCAAACCGCACAGGCGACAGCAGATTTCAGAGAGGCTGTCATGAGGGAAATGAAGCACCTTATACGCAAACATCTTCCCAGCTCCAACGACGATGACAATGAGTCTGTCACATCGGTTGCTACACGCACCAGTAAGGCTGCGAGTCAACAAGAAAAGTCCATCACTCTGGCCCGGAACTTACGTGCCATGGACGAAGAAACCGCCGAAGACATGGTGGTCAACATCTACACTGATATCAGTGAAGCTCTGCGACGCCTAAGCATCCAGATTAAGGTATTACTCGATGTCACTAGTACTATGGATGCTCCAGATTCGCTTAAATCACCAATGAGCCCGACATCGAGGCCAGCCGACCGGTCCAAAAGTCCGGCGCCAAGGATAAGCGGAATACAGGAAGAATTGAGCCAGGCGTTGGACATGTCAAGTCTGCTGGGCCAGGCAGTGGATGTGGCACATACCCAGATCACACGCATCCTCAAAGTTCGCACCGAGCAGGTTAACCATTTACCGTTGGAACGATTCCTCCGATACTTTACGATCAATCGCTTATTTGCAGACGAATGCGAAGCTATCTCTGGTCGATCTGGTACACAGCTGAAAGCTCTGGTCAACACACAGATCAACACATTTGTGCGAGCTTTTGGCGACGCTGAAAACCAGCGTGTTGCCCAGACCCTGGACTCTGATCAATGGGAAGCTAAGGACTTCAAGGAGACAGATCAGGCGTTGCTCTCGCGCATCCTGGAAGGTATGTCCTCGGATCCAGCCATATGGCTGCAAGGCACGCGCGTGTGGGAAGATCCATCGCAGCCAGCGTCCACTAATGGTACCGCATCGAATGGGGAGACCAACGACGCCAAAACTGCCAACCGTCCTGCATACATTGACGAGACGCGCTACATCCTGGTCTCTTCGGCAATCTCTCTTCTTCGACCTATAGACGACTTCCTTGCATTGATGACCAGCATACCGTCAATAACTTCCGCCGCTGTACCAGCCTTGATAGACGTCCTCCGTACCTTTAATTCTCGTACATCACAGCTAATCCTCGGCGCTGGCGCCACACGAATTGCGGGTCTGAAAAACATTACGACCAAACATCTAGCTCTTGCTTCGCAAGCTCTTAGCTTCGTCATTGCAATGTCGCCCTACCTCCGTGAAGCCGTGCGCCGGCACGCAAGTTCAGCTAACAAAGCTGAAGTGCTCGGGGAGTTTGACAAGTTAAAAAGACTATATCAAGATCATCAGATGGCGATCCATGACAAACTCGTTGAGATCATGACGGCTAGGGCAACATCACATGTCAACTCGATGAAGAAACTCGACTTTGATGCCGAAGCGAAGAGGAACGCTGATGGTGCGAGTGCGTACATGGAGACATTGACAAAGGAAACCGGCACCTTGCACCGTGTGCTGAGCAGGCACTTGGCAGAAATGGATGTGACAGTCATCCTGAGCCAGATCTTTGCTAGCTACAAGGAGCAATGGCTCAAGGCCTTCCAAGGTGTGGAGATCAAGACACCAGCAGGCCAACAAAGGCTTCTCAAAGATGCACAGCTGTTCGACTCAAAACTCAGCAAGATCGATGGATTTGGAGACATGGGCAAGACACTTGTAGACGTTGTTGGCGCCAAGACAGTCGTCCAGGAGAAACAAGATCCAAAGGATGTCGCAGGTGAGAAGCCATTACCTGCAGCACCTGGAACCGAAAAACCAGACAGTCAGGAAAGCAAGAAGATCATGACCGAGGATCAGGAACAGGAAGAGGTGAAAAAGTAGAAGCTAGAATTGCATATCGAAGCTACACGCCCATCATCGCACTACCTTACGGGAACACGTCTGGTCTGTCGAGAGTCCTCGCGTGTGTTCCGAGTAAAGCAGTGCAGTTGAAAGTTGGTGCAAGATTCGGCAAGTGTAACCGAACAGAGGCTCGTAGTCAGGGTTATAGTATCAACCACCACATCTGGGTCTTATAATTGCATCACGGTCCCATATCACGGGATACAGAGATAAAACTCGGCCGAGCATAGAATATAGCATCCATGCAATGTCTACGAGCGATCTGGGCTGTTAGATTGCAGTACTCGGGCTGTTGTTGGCGATATTCGCATTATGACCAAGCACTTCCCGAAGCTCAATGCCAATCTGCATCTTTTGAGCCCGAATGAATTTAGATGCCAACCATTTTCCGACAGGTCGCCATAACGACGGTACTTTACGGTTGGCACCTATCCCAAGGTTTCGACAATGCTGAAGCTGCCTCGAATATGTGATGACATGGCTATGTTAGCTGATACTTAAGAAGGTGGCTCAAGATGAGCGACGTAGGATATTTTACCTAGAATCAGGATATCGATCACGTACGGCCACAGTCAGCTGAAAACTGGGCATCCCGTCCGCTCTGCCATACATAAGCAGTTGAACGGCAGATTAGTACTACGGTGGGTGACCACGTGGGAATCCCTGCTGCTGTACGTTTTTCTTTTGATCCCGACCATTGGAAGTTCGCATTGCACATGCGAATTCCTTCTACATTTTTGCCTGTCGCATGAGAGAAGTCCGGACTTTTGACTTGTTAGGCGAGAATGTTTTTGCGACCGTGGCATAAATTGAAGGCTGACGCAAGAATACACGTCAGACTGCGCAAAGTCTTCGAACAAAGCAATCTATATAGCTCTAGCAATGCGTTTGGGGGTATCGAGATATTACAGTAGAGTGATGAACGGAATAACACAGGACTAATCATCCTCATGCTCTTCGTCTTGGTCCATGTCCTGATCATCACCTTCGTCTTCTTCATCCACCTCCTCTTCTCTCCCCTCGTCGCTCATCTCATGCTTCGCCTTTGCCTTCTTCAGGAAGCCTTTCCAATCAGTCTCGGGTACGTCCGGAGTACCAAGATCCCAGGTGTTTAGATCTGCTAGGTGCCTCATGGTTGGTCTACCGTGGGGACAGTTCCAGGGTTTGTCCATTTCTCCCAAGTTTCTTACAACCTTGAGCATTTGTGCTTCTCTCAGTGATTTACCAACCATGATACTCGACCGACAAGCCCTCATCGCCAGCATCTTCCGCACTTTTGTTGGGCGTGGAACGGCACCACCAGAATGATCGGAGAGCAAATGCAGAAGCTCTTCCAGGTCGCTGAGGTCGAACGTGACATCCTTGCTGGTAGGCAGGGTAAGGAGCTTACAACGTAGACCCACATCGCTTGCGCCAGAGGTGTCGGTTTCGATGATGAAGCCGTTGGCAGTGAGTGCTTTGGTATGCGCAAGGACGACCTCCTCTTCTATCGCCGTAAGCTCTAGTTGCTTGGGCTGTGCTAGAGGCTGTGGCTCCAGAGTCAGGGTGTCAGTGAAGCGTTCAAAGTTGTACTTTTCGTCAGCAGCATGCTGGTCAATGATGAACAAATCGTCAGATGTGACTGCTTTGCTTGAAGGTCGTACCGCAAGGATAAAACCGAGGTTGAACTGTCCGATGACATTCATTTGAGCAAAGTCAGACTTGGACACAGTCAGTGATAGACGAGCTTCGGCATCCACTTGGTCAAGATCGTCAGCGAGTGGCTTGCTCTGCTGGGAGGCCTTCTGTGATACTGCCGACAGCATTGGGAGAAGAGTGACTTGCTCCGCAATGGAGGCCGTCGAGATGCCATACGATTGGCTCAAGTTCAGCGTTTTGTGTTTCGACGGCCGGAGAGCCTGGGTTGCGCGTTTTGTGGTATCGTGCAATGGGCGTGCAGTCCCAGGCTCAGCTTCTTGAATCATCTGAGCAATTTTGGCGTCTTCCTGGACTCGTCTCGCGTTTTCATCGAGGTTTTCTGAGTCAGACTCAGCCTCGGTCTCGGGAGGTTCATGAAGGGCGTGGCCAGCCTCCTCTGTACTGCGAGGGAAGTCATCAATAGGACTTGTGTACAGATCTTCCAATGTCTGAGATGTGGGTTGTAGTGTTGTCTCTTCTGCACGAACGGTTCGCCGATTATCTGAATCAGTCACAAACAACGTCTCTTCGTCGCTGCTTTCTGAAGCTTCCTGCGTTACCTCCTCACCAGACCTGCTTCCGTCTTCAGAGCATTCATCGTCGCTCTCCATCTGAGTACCGGGCATAGCGAACTGACTGAGTTTCTTTGCCACAGAATTTTTTGGAATATGGATCTTGTGCCTCTTCGGAGTATAAGGTCCGTTACCAATGACAGTTCGCGTAGTCTTGTCCCCGATTGTGATCTCAGCCACTTGTTGAGGAGTCCGATGCGGGCGCATGCGGTCAAAGGCATTTTGAACTGGTGGCTTATCTGGTACTCTTGGAATTTCTTCTCGGTCTTGGGCACCTCTGCCTACCCAATTGTGGATCAAGCGCTCAGGAGGACCTGAGTGTGTAACAGATTCCTGGTGTGCATCATCTAAGCCATCTGGATCTTCCTGGATCAAAAGTGCCTCTGCAGTAGTCTCGATAGTGGCTTCTGATTCAGCTTTTCGTGAGATGGTAAGTGGCTTGTACACTGGGAGCTTTGGCTGAGTCAGAGCGGACTTTGTCTGTGGCACAGTCTGGTCTTGAGACTCAAACAGCTCTATGAGAGCCTCCTTGAGAGATTCGAGTAACACACCCTGATCATGGAGGAGGATAGTTCGCTTGTCTGGGGAGACATTGACATCATAGGAATTCGTGTCCATGATCAGATTTGCGAAGACGAAAGGAGACTGAGAAATGTTGAATGTCTTGTATACCTCGTTGAAAGCTTTGGAAACTTGAGGTAGGCCACAAGGCCGTGAGTTGACGTAAAACATTTGTCGGTCTGGCGCTGAACGGCCTTCTCCGAACACAGGTTTGGAAATGTGCCCTTCGACTTTTACGCCGCGAGAGGCACCTCCATCGTGCGCTGCGAGCGTGGATGTGGTAGGTTGCATATCAAATTTGAGGTCGAGGGCTACCAGGTCTCGAAGGCTTTTGGGACCAAACACTTTGATAATGTTGTCCTTGGTAGCCGCGCTACCATTAGTCGAGAATGCTGATGACTTAGATCTGGATACATGGTGAGCTGTCATAGCGATGTTCGCATACGTGGAGACATACCCTTTGGGCATCTGGTTGCTGACAGTGAACCTGACGCCAGTACTAATACAGGCATAGGCTTGCAGGAGCGTCAGAACCTTACCATACTCGCGCTTTATGTTCTTCTCTAGCTCCTTCTTGCGCACAGGAAGATTGTGAAAAATCTTCTCGACAACGACCTTGGTACCTCGTTGTGCAGCGATGGTGCTTGTACTCTTGAGTTTGCCAGATACCTCGAATTCCAGACGTGTACCTCTGGGTCGATCCGTCTCACGAGCTGTGATGATATAGAGCTGAGACAGCGCGCACAGGGAAGCTAGTGCTTCACCTCGAAAGCCGAAGGTATCCAGATTTTCGAGATCATCGTAACTACGTAGTTTAGATGTGTGATGCTTGAGTGCTGGACAGGCTGTGTCAGACATTGACAAGCACAGAATTTGGAGCGACAGGACATACCGACTGACTCAAAGTCTTCTGGCGCGATACCGGAGCCGTTGTCAATCACTTCGATAGCATCAAGACCATGATTGCGGAAACGGACTTCAATCGACGTAGAGCCAGCATCCAGACTATTCTCGACAAGTTCCTTGACGACGGAATTGAGGTCTACGATGACTTGGCCTGACTGGATCTGATGTACAGATGTCTGCTCGATAGCCTGGATTGAAGCCATGATGCATACATGTTTTGACAAGATGGAGGCGATCTGGGAAGACGCGCCGCGGCGTAAAGTGCTTCACGCGTCCCCATGTGATCGGCCTTGGCATTCGCTCTGAGGGTTGCTATTACATTTTGCTGAACATTCGAAAACGGACAATTATCTGACGGTAACGTTCTGCTATGGGACTGGTACATCATCACGCCTTACAAGATTACTCAAGCGAAGATCATTCACAGCTCGTGGACCCCTCTTGATGAACATTTCATCCAGTTCCGCGAACGACCGTCCAGATGTCTCTGGCTGACATAGCCACAGATAGACTGTTGAAAGGACCGCAAAGGCACCAAATATGAATGTTACGCGAGCTCCGAGGTCTTCTTGATTCGGATTGAATAAATAGGGTATGACGAATGCCCACATGGCCTGCACAACAGTTAGTTAGGTTATTAAGAAGAAGTGATAAACTTACGAACAGACCGCTCTGCAACGTCAGTCCGATGGCTGCAGTCTTGGTCCGCAAACGGCTTGTCGGTGTCTCGACCAGGATGGGATATGCTGTAGCCCCGATCGTAATTGAGTAGAGAAAATTGTACAGCAGCAACAAGGCAACCGTTCCCTTGGTAGCCGATTTGGAGTCAACACAAGCAAGCCCTCCCGTGAGCAAAAGCAATATAGTCAGAAGTAGCATGCCATAGCACGACAGAGGTCTTCGGCCAACTCGGTCTATCAAGAACCAAGAACAGGCATTGCCCGTCATGGCCAGTATATTCTGCACAATACCTAGGCTGAAGGTTGTGGGAGTGTCGTAGCCAGCCAGCTGTTGGTAGTAGGTTGAGTAGGATGATACGAAGAAGAGACCACTCAGAGCTTGGATGGCCAAAGGCGCTGCAGCAATGATTGTCCGTCGTAAGTTACTCTTTTGGAAGCACTCAAGATAAGTCGCGCCTTCCGTCTCGCTTCTGGCCTGCTCCAGTACTGTCAAAGCAGTAGTTGCGTAGATTCGTGCATCGTCGGCAGTGTATCCGAACTGCAAGAGTGCGATAGTAGCCTCGGAGTTTCGATTTCTGCTAAGCAGCCACCATGGCGACTCAGGCATAAAGGGTAATAAGACTGCACCCACTATACTAAATCCATACTGAGCCAAGAAAACCGATCTGTAAGCCCAGCGATTCGATTGATAGCCTGTGATCCTCACAACGATAGACACAATGAAAGGCCCAACTGTCAACGCCATACCAGCCGCTGCAGTAAGTATTCCTCTGGCTGGGCGAGGAGCAATTTCTCCCAAGTATGCGAGAGACGTGGTCGTGAATGCGCCGATAGCAAAACCTGAAAGGGATTTGCCGATGAAGAAGACTAGATTCGATGTTGATAGAGTCTCGATCGTGATTGAGACGAAGATGATAAGATAGCCGACTGCTAGTGTCTTCTTTCTACCAAATCTGTCTGCGAACCAGCCAGATAACAGCAGTCCAATGATGGAAGTGAGAACCGGCGCACCACTGTAGGCCGATTGCCAGTTTGCTGACAGCACGTAGTCGCCATTGTACAGCGAACCAAAGTCTTTCCGAAATTGAGGGATCGAAAGTACAACGCCACCAGCCTGGTTGTCAAAACTGCTAATCACCAGTACAAATATGGCATAGAGACACCATAAAAGTTCACGTGGATGCTGTCTGATTGCCTGAAAGGGGGTTTGGACACTCGGGCTTTCCAGCACGATGTGTCCGCCGCTCGTGCTGTCGTCCACTTCGTTGTCGGTTGAGATGCTGACCTTGGCGATATCAGCCATGGAAGGGAGTCGTAGCAGACACGTCGCGACGATTTAGCGCAGGAGCTGGACGACACATGGTCTTCAGTCGTCTGGTATCGAAGGATGTACAGAGACGTGCATGCGCGCGCAAACGATCTCTTTGGCGTCGTCGGGCGAAAGAAGGACGAGCCGTTGCAGCCCGCCGCCATTGGCTCGGGAGACGGATCATTTTTGGTCCGAGTAACTGCTCTCTCAAGAACGATCCTCATCATCAAACAATTCACCCTACAACTTACTTGCATATATTATCTATACCTTTCGGTGTTCGCACAAGTAACCAAGACGACTAGCTACGCTTCAGGCTTGGCCTTCGTGTACTTGTCGTGGTTGAGAATGAAGACCATGCATCTGACAACCAGGGACACTGCATCACGAAAACACATGCACTCCGTGATTCGATGATATGAATTTTTTAACAGTTGAATCGCAGGATATCTTCTGTGAACATGGAACTGACGACTCGATATGCTAGCTCTTCGGCGGGTAGATGTTTGCCCAGCCATTTGCAATACAAGCTTCAGAGGCAAAAACTCGTCCTTGATGGATTCGGCACTCTGGGTCATACTTGGCCTTGATCGCGGTCAACCTTTCAACGTTCCCTCCCCACACCCTATAACCATCTGCCTTTGGTGAGATGTAGTTGGGATAGTCTGCGATGAAGGGTCCAACTGATGCTTGGTGATCATGCGTGATCTTGTTCAGGGCATCGTTGTGTTGTATGACAAACCCATCGTCTACAGCGGATCTCCATGCAGGCGAAAACAGCGTCTGGTGTGCGGTTTGCGCATGTGGCCATGCGGTATCACTATCCGATGCCGGTCCGTGGCCGTTCTGATTGGGATACATGTATTGCAAGACCCACACGGCGCTCGTAGGGACCTCACCTCGAGCGAGTGACTGATTGATGTAGGCTTCCATACCGTCTGATGTAGCAGCGAGGTACGATGCCGAGACCTTGGAAGTTTGAGGCCCCCAGAACCCTCTTCGGTAACCGTAAGGGAAGAAAGGCGTACTGAGTTCGGTAGCTACTCCGTAAGGCACGTTGTAGATCGAGGCCTGTTCAATATCGAGGCCCTGGAGCAGCCCATTGAAGGTTGCGTTGAAGGTCATCTGCTCCGCGGGCTGCCTGGGTCTGTCACCGTACGCATCGACTGTACTAGCTGACTGGCCACGAGGATCTGCAAATCGTATGCCCACTATCACCATAGTCGTGGTCAGATTCCCAGTAAGGAGATGCTGAGGGTAGTAACCAAGTGAGTAGTACATCAGCGAGAAGGGATCGTTGTTCGAATGGAAGAAATGTACGGTGTTTTGTCGAGCCTGTTCCCACGAGTCCCTAGCAATGATCCAGATGCCAAACTCTGAGGAGGTTGGTTCTGGCACAGCTTCTTGGTAGAAAGTGGTGACAATGCCGAATTGTCCACCTCCACCTTGCAAGGCCCAGAACAAATCTGAATACTTGTTGGTTTTCGTAGCCACTACGATCTTTCCAGACAACAAGACAACTTCGAACGCTCGAATTCGATCGATTGCATATCCGTAAGCACCAGCTAGGAATCCGATACCACCTCCAGTCGAAAAGCCACCGACTCCGACATCGCCAACCCGAGCACCGACAGCCGCGAGGCCTGTATTACTCGTAACATCGGTGACCTGTTTCCAGGTAGCGCCTCCTTGGTAGGATATAGCATTAGGAATTCGGACATCTCCTAGCCTGACATCGTGTAAAACTTTGGTGGAATTCATCCAGGAGAGATCAATGAGGAAACCAGACGTGCTTGAAGCGTTGGTTTGTCCATGACCGCCACCAACAAAGGCGAGGTCCCAACCGAGTCTTGAGGACGAGGCAGCCTGGACGGTATGGCTGACATCATCTGCGGTGAGTGGAAAGACCACGACCGTTGCATTTTTGCTGTACTGTTCGCCCCAATACCGATTGGCATTGTACTCTTGTAGCAGAGAATGTCGGCATGATATTGCTGCACCAGGTGAAAGCTGCGAAGCCAGTCGGATCAAGGCGAAATCATGTTTGATACACTCGCCCTGTGTAAAAGCACGGGCAGTCGATATCGTGAGGAGAATGAAACTAATGAGTGAATACATCTTGATGACTGCTGGAGCAACATGTGGTCGGGAGGGAGCATTTATATTAGACCTACTTGCTTACCATCTGCGGCTAAACGAAAGGCATAACGTTCAATCCGTGGAAGCAAGCTATGCACGAGCGTTCATGACTGGCATGAAAATGTATGATCGCACAGGTGTGGAACCAGGTTGTCGGAAACAGACAGAATATAGAGAATAGGAGACCGTGACGCAATTTGAGCACTCTTGCAGTAAATGGCGTTTACCGCACACGCTCGGCCTCATCGCCAAAGCAGAAGAGGCTGCAGAATGTGGAGGCCGCTAAAGCCAATTGACAGCCATGGATTCTGGCATTTGCTGTATCTGTCGCTTCTACATCGAAGCTTGTTCTCCAGCTGCTGGACGCATAGGTATATGATATCATGAATGCCTGGAGCACCCACCTATCAGACAGTCAGACCTGCCAATTTCGAATTGATGATCAAGTCCACGTGACTGAGTATTTGATGCCAGGTACTGGAAGTTGAAGGTGGCTTGGTAGAGCATGTCGTGATGGTTCTGTTTGCTAAAAAATGGCTGTTCCGTACGGGTGGCACCTCGGGTCGAACACAAACGTGGTTCGCTGGCACGTTTTCCTGTCACTTGACAGCTGCTGTAACACGGCGAAGAGGCCAAGCTCTATTTCGCCATCATCTTGTCGTTAAGAATCTTGCTATCGTAAACGTTGATAGATCTAGTCAATGTTTCCTACTCCGCGCAAGCTGAGGTAAACGTCTGTACCCCAGCCGAGTAAGCTCTGTACTCTGATGCCGCCACCGAAGTACTCGGCGTATGCCCTGCCTAGTTTCAAGCCATAGCCTAGGCCCGCCAGGCTGTTCTCGTTGCCGCCAGCATTTGAGAGGGCGTTCAAACCATCGCCATCATTGGTGCCCCCACTGGTGATGTCGACGATCTCTTGTTCGTTGAAAGTGGTGAAACCAAATTCCCACAGCTTTGCGTAGGCAGCAGGAGGTATACCGCCGCCTCGGTCTCGAATGCGGATTGTGACGCCGGGTGTGGATCTGTCCAGTGGGCGGATGTTTGCTGAGGCAGCATTAGCAGGTCGCTGTGCGCCTGACGCGGCATCCACAGAACCTTGGTCGTGGTTGGTGATGCCGTTATGTTTTCCTTTGATCTCCTCTGGCGCCGGGGCAATTGTGATTTCGATTGGATGTCGCTCGTTTTCTTTTTCGATGGTTGCTCGGAAAGCGTTTTTCAAAAGCTCAGTAATGATGTACTCTAGATGCATCGGAATGTGTGCCAGGGTTGTTTCTGGCTCGCCACGGATGACAACACTAGGTCGGACACCATACTTGTATTCGCAAATATCACCGACGAGGCCTTCACAGTGTCTGATGATGTCGACAGGCCTCAACTTTGTGTCAATGACACCAATATATGAGGCATCGACATGAGTCTTTTGATCGGAGAGGTCGAGATGAGGCTGAGATGAGAAGTGTAGAGCGATGTGTTGCTCAGCGATGAGTCTTGTGCCTATTCTCGCGCGCAGGTGTTCGTCAAGGAACTTGGTAACCTCGTTCGGACTGATGTATTTCCTCGCCTCGAGAAAGCCACGAGCGAGGATGGAGATTGTATTGGAATGGGTCTGGACCAGATCGGCCATGACACTTGTGAATTGTAACTCGTCTTCCAGCGTCTTGATCTCTCTCGAGGCATAGGGCAAGAGAGTTGATAAGGAGTGGACATAGTTGTTATGGATCTTGGAGACATTTGGGTTGGAGACGACGATGAAAGGCAGGTTGCGAAGAGATTGGATGCGGTGAGCGAGGCGTGAGGGTAGAATGGAGAGGGTGAAGTTGGCCGAGTCGAGGAGTTGGCTGGTTGTGAGAGGTGGTCGTCCGAACCTGAAGCTCGTTAGTCGTGGTTCGGTCTTTGGACAAGACGCAATCTACTTGGCTAGGTCTGATAGAGTCAGGGGATGCAAGGGTCTGCCTGCCAGTCGAGCGACTTCGCCGTCCGTGACCTTTTGCTTCTTAAGCCCATTGTCAGGCGCCTGACGTCTTGGTGTAGTAGAGAGTTGCCTTGTGGCCCTTTGAGCCGTGCAGGGTAACCTCGACCAGCGGCTGCCTATGCGATGCATGACAGCGATTGAGCTTGGTTGTGGTCGGGCAAGCAACAAAGTGCGAACTGTCGAGCTCTTTTGATTCGAGCCCACCAGGCCCTATGACGCAGCACTTGATTCTCACATGCCACAGCGGCCCATCTCTGACACAACAAAGCACTGAACTGCCTACACACTTGTCCATATGGTGATCATCTACTCAACTATCACCAAAGAGACAATTTCACAAGCGGTCCTTTGGCCGTGTTGGCGTGGCCCATAACACCATATCACGCGATTGCATGCTTATTAGTGCATAGCGCCGACCAAGTAACCGAGCGCGACGAGGGAGTCTTGTTTGCGTGCATTTGTGATTCAATGTAATACGATATATGAAAAGACCCTCCCGTATGTAATGTCATGTCTGTCGTCGATCAAAGGACTGCGCATATCTGTCCTTTGCTGTTCTACTGGGTTCTGACCTCGCCATCGTTCTCGACGTTGATGTGGTCGTCAGACGAAAGGGAGTGGACCTTGTCCTCGGGGAACTCGGCACTGTTGGATCGTACGTTAGTGGTGCCTTCTGTGGACGACAGGTCGTTTTGGCCGAGAGACGTACGTGAAGCCCTTGATCAGCTTGAACTCGGTGGTGATCTTGCCGCCCTGGTCGGTGACCTGCTTCTTGGCACTGTGATAGCGGTCAGTATGGACATGCTGGATGCAGATGAGAGACAGGCATACGCGTCGAGCTTGGATGCATCGGCACCATCCTTGAGAGAGACCTAGAGCTAGTCAGCCATCTGGCTACATGATCGTCTGTGTTATCTGCTGCTGGGCTTACGTTGATGGAAGGCATTTTGTGTCGGAGTGTACGAGTGGGATAAGATGCTGAGGTTGTGGAGAGAGTGTGTCTGAGAGAGGAGAACAGAGGAGTGGTGGGTTGCAAGAAAAAGGCGGGCATGAGATGGACAGTTGCCAATCTCACATTCAAAACCCGCCGCTTCGACCCCTCGGCTGCACCCTGACGTAGCTCTGTTTACAATGTGCACGTGAAGAACGCCTCGACATCCACCACCGAGCTAGATGCGCAGCTTTAGTCTGTGTGCATTTGACCACGACCCGACTGGCCACCACTCAAGCACTGTATTCCATGCTGTTTGTGACGAGTCCGTTCATCTGCAGCGACCAACCATGTCAAGTCGGATGCGTTGTGCTTTGGCAATAGAGATGGCTGGGGGAAGCCTCGGGCGTCGGCGATAAGATGCCAAGTGTTCGGCAGAGATCCGATCGAGGGTCTTCGGGCTGATTAGGGCTTTTGTCGAAAAGTTCAGATGCTTGTAACATTTTCTGACCTTTGCCGCCGTCACTACCTTTGTCACGCCCGACAATATGTCGGAAAACCAGACCAACCGGCCGCATCGCGCGACCAAAGAGAAAAAAGCCGCTCATACCGGCGACCGTAATCCCAAGGCTTTTGCCTTTTCGCGTCCTGGAAAATTGCAGAAGCAGGCCGCTCGTTCGCACGATGTAAAGTCTTCGTGAATATGTGCTTTGACACACTCTGACAATTCCCAGGTCAAAGAGAAGCGTCTCCACGTTCCCCTGGTGGACCGCTTGCCCGAAGAAGCTCCTCCCATCGTCGTTGGTGTTGTCGGCCCTCCCGGAGTAGGCAAGACGACCCTCATCAAATCCCTCGTTCGAAGATACACCAAGCAGCCCATCACCCAGCCCGTTGGACCCATCACTGTCGTCACATCAAAGAGGAGGAGACTCACATTTATGGAATGCCCCGCCGACTCCCTGGCTGCCATGATGGACGTGGCCAAAGTTGTCGACATTGTGCTACTTATGATTGACGGAAACTACGGCTTTGAGATGGAAACGATGGAGTTCTTGAACGTCTTGTCTTCCAGTGGTATGCCTGGTAACGTTTTTGGTATTCTGACCCATCTCGACCTTTTCCGCAAGCAGGAGGCTCTCAAAGCTCAGAAGAAGCGTCTGAAGCACCGTTTCTGGAGCGAACTCTACTCTGGAGCCAAACTTTTCTATCTGTCTGGTGTCGTCAACGGCAGATATCCTGATCGCGAGATTCTCAACCTCTCACGTTTCCTGTCCGTTATGAAGAACCCTCGTCCTCTTGTTTGGCGCAACAGCCATCCTTACGCCCTAGCCGATCGCTTCCTCGACATTACACCACCTACCAAGATCGAGGAGGACGCCAAATGTGATCGTACAGTCGCTCTGTACGGCTACCTCCGTGGCACCAATTTCCCTGCCAACGGTGCCCGAGTTCATGTGCCTGGTGTCGGTGATCTCAGTGTCTCCAACATCGAGGCTCTACCCGATCCGTGCCCAACTCCATTCCTGGACCAAGCAATCGCCAAAGCTACCGGCAAGTCTGGCAGAAGGAGGCTCGGAGAAAAGCAAAAGCTCATCTACGCCCCCATGTCTGATGTCGGTGGTGTGCTTGTGGACAAAGACGCCGTTTACGTTGATATCAAGAGTCAAACTTTCGACCCCGAGGACGATGAGCAAGAGCGAGGACTGGGCGAACAGATGGTTGTTGGTTTACAGGGTGGTCGCAAGCTCCTCGGACAAGCAGAGGGCGGTCTTCAGCTTTTCGGCGATGGAGAGAAGCTGACTGGTGAAGATCTTGGTCGCAAGTCTGCTCGCGTTCTGTCAAGACGTATTGACGACGACGAGGCAAGTCCCGAGGACGAAGGCTTCGAGAGCGGTGATGAGGAAGAGGAAGAGTACCAGAGTGGAGACTCTGACGCCGATGAAGATGCCGACGAGGATATGCTTGTTCCCGCTCTCAAGCGCAGAGAAGCTAGCCCCGACGCAACTGGTGAGGAGATTGCCTTCGCCGACAGTGACTCTGACCTCGGTTCCATGTCTGAAGCCGAAGATGTCAGCGACCCAGAGGACTACGACGAAGATGCTGAATACAGCGAGGACGAAGACGGCAACCTTCGCTGGAAGAAGAACATGACTGAGCGTGCCGCTGCCCTTCACCAACGTAGAATGCCCTACCGCACAGTCGAGCTCGCTCGCTTGTTATACAACGATATGCTTTCAACAGCACAGGTCTTGCGCCAATGGCGTGGCGAGGGCGACGAGGAAGAAGACATTGAGGATGAGGAAGAGGAGGATTTGTTTGAGAAGAAGAAGCCCATCGAGGCCGAAGCTGCTCTTGATCGTCACATCCCTGCGTACGACAGGACCGAACTCGAGCAGAAGTGGACCGACGAGGAGAACTTAGAAGCCATCCGCTCCAGATTTGCATCAGGCCACATGCTCAACGGGGGAGACGACGAAGATGGGTCCGAAGCGGAGTTCAATGGCATTGAGGATGACGAGGATGAAGGGGACGGTGCTTTCGAGGACCTAGAAACTGGAGAAGTTCACGGTGCTGAAGACGAGGCCCAAGCCAACGGTGCCGACGGCGAGGAAGAGCCAGACTTGGACGCCGAACGTGAGCGCAACGCCAGAAGAAAGGAAGAGCTCAAGCTTCGCTTCGAAGAGGAGGACAAAGAAGGCTTTGCAAACGACAAGGGCAATGCCAAACGTGAGAGCGGCGAAGACGAGTTCGGTGAGGATGACTGGTATGACGCACAGAAGGCTCTTATCCAGAAGCAGCTCGACATCAATCGCGCAGAGTTCGACGCCCTGGATGAGCAATCTCGTGTGAGGGTTGAGGGCCATAAAGCAGGTACCTACGCTCGTATCGTTCTGGAGAACGTGCCTTGCGAGTTTGTTGAGAAGTTCAACCCTCGATTCCCTGTCCTTATCGGTGGTCTGGCACCTACCGAAGACCGTTTCGGCTACGTTCAGATTCGCATCAAGCGTCACAGATGGCACAAGAAGATCTTGAAGACAAATGATCCCCTCATCTTCTCCCTTGGATGGAGGCGTTTCCAAAGCATGCCTATGTACAGCATCTCAGATTCCCGGACGAGGAACCGCATGCTCAAGTACACACCTGAGCACATGCATTGTTTCGGAACCTTCTATGGCCCGCTAATAGCGCCTAACACCGGCTTCTGCTGTGTGCAGTCATTCTCCAACAAGAACCCTGGTTTCCGAATTGCTGCTACTGGTGTGGTTCTCAATGTCGACGAGTCGACTGAAATTGTCAAGAAGCTCAAATTGACTGGTCACCCTTATAAGATTTTCAAGAACACGGCATTCATCAAGGACATGTTCAGCACCTCTCTCGAAATTGCAAAGTTCGAAGGTGCTAGCGTGCGTACCGTCTCTGGAATCCGTGGTCAGATCAAGAAGGCACTCAGCAAACCGGAAGGCAACTTCCGTGCTACATTCGAAGACAAGATTCTCATGTCAGACATCGTTTTCCTGAGAGCTTGGTACCCAGTCAAGCCTCACCGCTACTACAACCCCGTAACCAACCTACTGGATGCCGACGTGAACAGCGAAGGATGGCAGGGAATGCGTCTGACCGGCCAAGTCCGCCACGCTCTCGACATTGCCACTCCCAAGGACAAGAACTCAGCCTACCGTACTATCGAACGCCAGGAGCGTCACTTCAACCCTCTACGTGTGCCTCGCAAGGTGGCTGCTGAGTTGCCTTTCAAGTCTCAAATCGTTCAGATGAAGCCCCAGAAGAATGAGACATACATGCAAAAACGTGCGGTTGTTGCTGGCAAGGACGAGAAAGAGGCCAGGAGACTGCTTCAGCAAGTTCAGACATTGAGGAACGAGAAGGTTGCGAAGCGCCGTGCCAAGCAAGAGGAGCGCAAGCAGCCGTACCGTGCCAAGGTGGCTGAGAATATCGAGAAGAGAGCCGAGAGAGAAAAGAAGGAGAAGGAAGAATACTGGCGCAGAGAAGGCAAGAAGAGAAAGGGCTGGAACGATGGCGAAAGTGGTGGTGGCGGTAAGAGAAGAAGGGGTTGAGTAACGGTGTGGCATTTTCTAACTGCATGTGGATCAATCTGTTCAAAAGCGAGTTCATATAAGAGCATTTCCCAGGCGTCAAACAATGGTTGTTTCTTCTTATCAATGTGCATCGCGTAGGCTGACCGGTACAGTGAAAGTGCAATATATGCGCCTCTCTATCTCGTGTCCTGTTGCTGGTCTATCATGGTAAAGATAATCGCTTCTGGGGAACTCTACTGATTCTGTTGTCTTGTTTCTCACCGACCAGGTAACATCCATCATACGGGAGGTGCGATGACGGCCGTTCGTGCAATTCTCCGAGTCTTGGCGTTCAGCTCTGCGTTTCGACCTCACCTTCTCATTTCAGATCAAACACTGTCATGCATAGCTTACCATCCCCGACCGAGTGAGTCGGCCGACTTACATGGACAGGCAGATTTCTGTTGTCCAACAGGTCCTCAATCATTAGGTTATCGTCGCACCTGCATGACAGGTCAATAGACCTCTGGCGTTCACCAGCGTCAATGTCTGCATACTCAATTCTCATAGAAGCTGCTTCACGGAGCATCCTCATAACTTCAACGTCTTGGTAGGTATCGTATTGACTTGAGATGCTTTACCCTATTATCCACATGTTCGGGATGAGGCCTCGACGTCATGGTCGAGGTCGCTTGCTGGTCTGCATTTCTGTGCGTCTACAATGAAACGTCGCCATCAGCTGCAGAGCACGGGACAGAACTGAGTGGATGTTCGAGGGGTGTAACCAACGACATAAGAGCAAGGACGCAAACAGGCACAAATTCTGCATCTTGGGCCGAGAAGGTGGCAGGGCAATCAGGTTTCTGCGATTGTCCTATGATTGCGATGTTCATCTTACGAGCGGAAGGTCCAGCGACGATTACAATGATGTAGAAGCCGATCCTCAATCACGACCGACCCGAAGCCAGCATCTTGAGAATTGAGCCGTGTCGGAAGGCCACCCGAAACAATAACACCGAGGCAACGACGACGACCTCTGAGGGAGTATGCAGATGTGATTCTAAGGGTGCTGATGCTGGCTAGAAATCGTCATATACGGGACCTTACTCATTCTGACTTAAGTTACCATATCGGGTCAAATTGGAAAAGGGGTTCACGGCTGTAAAGTCGCCATCAGCTGGGATACACTTATGTCTGAGCCACTGGCCCATAGGTGTGTTTCAGAACTGACTCTAGGATCAGCACAAGGGACCTCGTATGATCATCGCATCAATTTGTGTCAAGACGAACGCGCGGTGCGTTAGTGTACATCGTGAAACTCTTGCCCCACATTAAACTTGACTGCAGCCAACAATTATTTCGATCAACATGAGCATACAAAAGACCGTCCTTCCTATTCTCAAGCACACCCAAAACACACCTCACACTCTTTTCTTACATCACTACCCTCGCTCAATCCAAGAAAGAATTCTGTCCAACTCTTAATTTTTCCACTCGATCAACACAAAACACCAAAATGCGCTCCTCTACCGCCGCTATTGCTCTTGCCTTCGCTGCTTCTGCAGCAGCCGCTCCTCAGGGTGTTGTCTACGTTACCAGCGTCATCGACCAGACCACTACCTGGTGCCCCGCGGGAACCTATACTCATGCTAGCGGCACGACCGTCTTGACTGCTGCGCAAATGATGACCCTGCCCGTCTCCTCCGCTGCTGCTATCCAGACTCCTTCGGTCGCGACCCCTGAAGCTGTTTCTGTCTCTTCGACTCCCAAGGCCACTTCTGTCTCCAGTGTCCCCACCGCTGGCTCGTACGAGTCCGCACCCATCTCGTCTGCCGTCGCTGTTCCAGCTTCCTCAGTGGCTACTGCCGTCTCAGTCTCATCTCTTCCTGCCTCGAGTCCCGTCTCACCCGAGGAGACAGCCAGCGTCCCCGTCGTTGTTGAGTCGAGTCCTGCTCCTATCGCTTCGGTCGGAACTGCCACGCCCATCGTCCCTGGATCAGCCTACGCATCCTCCGCCCCTTACCCCGTGTCAATGGCCACAGGAGCTGTTGGCTACGCCCAGCCATCAGGTGTCTCTGGTGGCTCTGGCGCCGCTCAGCCTTCGGGCGTTGCTGGTGCTACTGGCTCATCATCATCTGCTAAGCCTTCCTCGACCTACACCGGTGCCGCTTCTCGCAACATCGCTGGTGCCACTGGTCTCTTTGCCGTTGCTGCTGCTTTCTTCGCTCTCGTCTAGATGACCTGAGTATCTTCCTTCTTTGCAACCCAGGCGTGAGAACGCGAGGCTCGAGGGTACGTTTTACACCTGTGATACCATCAAGAGCTGCTCAGAGAAGCAGCCAACTTTCTTCTTTTGTCCCATCTGGGCATGTTTACTTTTTCCTTTCTATAGATACTCTTACCTGTTCGCTTTCTTCCAAATTCGACAAATCCAGAATTCTTTCTGTTTATCAATCCTGTGCTGTCTGAAGAACGGCCACTGTATTGTGCAAGGTTGTGGTCAGGTTGAAAAGCAGTGGATATGTTGTTCCTTCTCTTCTAGATACTAATACGATTACGAAAACCATCAGGGCGCGTTCGTGGCTTGTTTATGAATATGTTCTCATCGCGGAGGCTCTATCTCGAAGTCTCACTTCCCTCTAGAGCGAATTATGGTTTCGTATCATTAGCAAGGCAGAGGTGTCTATAAAGCGTCCATACTGGTCCTGGTGCTCAAGGTCTCGTTCTTGTTACCGAGCTTGCTGATCTGAAGGAATGCATCAACACCGTAACCCTCGAGATTATGGACTTCAAGGCTACCAGCCCAGTACTCGGCGAATATGCGGCTCATGGGTAGACCGATACCGAGGCGGAGGTCGGGATGTCTGCCAGACAGAGATCCCAGAGAGTGATCGAAACGAGTTTGTTTTCCATCGTGCTTTTGGTTTGGGGATTCTGTTTCGGGGACTTTCAGATCCTGTAGCGTTGCTGCCAACTTTGGAACCTGTTCCAGATTTCGTAGTCTTCTGTTACGTTCCGGCCCTTTGCTAAATGACCATAGGTTTGGAAGATTCTCTCGATCGATACCGCCTCCTTGATCTGACACTCTGATGATGACATGTTGTGCGGCCTCACAGATCAGTACCTCGATCGGTGGAGGCTTGGAACCATGACGCTCGACAGTCGCTTGGAAGGAGTTTCGTAAGAGCTCGCCGATGATGTATTCCAGGTGACTTGGGATGTAAGGGAAGAAGATGTCGTCGGCGCCTTCGATGATAACCTCGGGTAAGAGCACGTCGGGTCCATATGCCTGTTTTGCGAGATTGCCAATCGTGTCGGCGCACTCTTGGACAATCTCCTTTGCATTGCATCGAAGGAAGATTTCACCGACGAAGTCATCGCCATGTTCTGGGTGAAGTTTCGCAGCGGGAGGTAGATGATCCGGTGAGTGGTATGCTTTTGTCAGAGCGCAGTGCTGCTCAGCGATAACTCGCCGGCTGATTCTTGACCTTAACAAGGAGTTGACGAGTTTGTCGCATTGGTCGCTTGGGATGGCTTCTGATATCTCGAGTACTCCCATGGCAAGTCTAGGGATGACGCTCAAGTGATCCCTAAGCTGTTCTCGGACAATGTCACAGAATTTGTCGTTGTCCTTCAGAGTCTTTATTTCCGGGACCTTCCTTAGCGTCTCAAAGGCTGAGTAGTACAAGTCGTAAACATGGTTGATATGAGGATTTACCAGAGCGGCATAGGGTAATGTTTGCATGTCGCGGATTCGATGTGCAATTCTTTGGTAGAGTCAGTGGTGTGCAGCGTGTGTTTGGCATGAATCGAAGTACCTGGTAGGAAGCTCGAGTCGAACATAATTAGCTGAGCCAAGTAATCGGGTATCGGTAAGAAGACGTCCAAAGAAGGTCAACTGGCGTAGACTGATGGGTCTTGCTTCTCGTTCAACCCATCTACAAAAACAAGGTTGTTAGCATGAAGATGACATGGAGGTGGAGGTTCATACTTGTCCAGAACCGAGGCAGGACGCCATGGCGGCGGGACTATGGAAATGCTCCTTCGCTTTGCCATCCATGTTGTGCGAGTCAAGGGACGTATTGATGATACAGCGCGGCATAGCAAAGGCTGAGTAGCCCTCATTCTGAAAGTGTGGTCAAACATTTTATGGAAAATGTATGGCTAACGATCTATATATACAAAAGGCACCGTCGCGGCGAGGGGTGAGTGGAAACACAGGGTAGTGGCCAGCTACAAGTCACGATGTATGTGCGGCGACATCAGGTGAGTTGTGTGATAGGTCTGCAGGTGCGAGTCGGGCCTCGTCCAGCGACGTTTTGGTGCTTGGTCGAGGCTTTCGACGACCCCGGAAACTGGACCCTGGCTGACGTTGTTGCTGTCGAGCTTGCGCCAAAAGGCCTCCCAAAATTTTGTCTCTTCTTTCTCTCCTCACTCATACCTTTGCCTCTTGCATTCACTCGCATCACAATGGCCGACGATCAAGTACCAGTCCACTACGAGGATCTCGCTCTTCTCGAGACCAAGTTTGACGAGGTCGACCGCCAGATTTGTACTCAACTCTTATCCACACCTTCCTGAATCAAGATCTGACACCAATCTAGTGGCCAAGCAGTATATCCTCAGCGCTCCTCTCTACGCCAAGCGTCAAGACATCATCTCCAAGATTGACAACTTCTGGCCTCTCGTCTTCGAGCAGTCTCCTCCGGACCTCGACCGATACATCACCCCCAACGATGCCAACATCTTCGCCAAGCTGAAGAGCCTCGATGTCACCCGCTTCGAGATCCCTATGGGTCCCGAAAATATTGATGCCGACTCTGGTGACCCGCGCAGCATCGCCATCCGTTTCGAGTTTGACCAAAACGACTACTTCACCAACTCCGTCCTCGAGAAGAAGTTTTGGTACAGAAGATCAAAGGACGGCTGGACCGGCCTCGTTTCCGAGCCCGTCAAGATCGATTGGAAAGCCAAGGACCCTACTGAGGGTCTCCTCGCTGCTTCCATTGCTGTCTTCGAGGCACGCAAGAAGGCTGGCGATATGAAGAAGAAGGGCTTCGCTGCTCACAACAAGCTTCTTGAGCTGATCGAGACAAACAATGTTGATAACACCTCATTCTTTTCCTGGTTCGGCTTCATCTCTGCAGACCGCTATGTCTCGGCCGAAGAGTCGGTCCAGGCCAACAACGAGTACAAGGAGCGTCAGGACAAGAGATCCAATGGCGAGAGAGTTGAGAGCCCTGAGCCGGATGAGGAAGACATGCTTGAAATGGTCGAGAGCGACGATGTTCACCCAGAAGGCGAAGAGCTCGCCCAGCTTATCGCAGAAGACGTCTGGCCCAACGCCATCAAGTACTTCAGTAAGTGTCGGTTCACCGCTCGAGTCTGAAACCCTCCTAACCTCTATTTAGCCCAAGCACAAGAGATGGAAGACATGTCCGAGATGGACTTCGAGGATCTCTCTGACGACGATGACGACAACGAGCCAATCGACCTGAGAGCGCTCGTTGGTAAGGGCAAGCCCAAGACCAAGCCCTCCAGCAATGGCGGCGGTGAGCCCCCAAAGAAGAAGCAGAAGAAATAGATGCGAATATGCGTCGTTCACGCAAGGTAATACCCTTAGATCTGGCTGAGGGAGTCATACCTTCGAATGTATAGATCGACGACGATTTTGGTCAGCTCTGGAAGAGCCAACAATATACCCGAGATATTGGCACCAAACTCCAAAAACTCACCTTCATGCAATCAAGTTTTTTTTTTGTCTCTGATCTCTACACTTCTTTTAGTAGGTATGCACTGCTCTTCTGCTCGTCATGCTCAACTCTTGATTGTTCTTGCTATTCGTATACAACTGGGTGGTATCTGAATAGTCGGATCTCTCGTCTTCTCCGCTGAAGTTACGCATGCATCTCCGTGACAACACTTCTGGTCCCTTTCTCATTTGTCAGTATCCATTTTATCGTCTTCCTTAGCCTTGAGCTCCTTGTTCTTCTTCCTGCATATCAAGCTCAAAACTACATCCTCGGGCTTGACAACGGTCGGCAGAGGATTGAGGTCTCCGTCCAGATAGCCATACGAAAGATAAGAAAGGAACATTCGTTGAAGGCCAGTACGACGTCTCACTGCTTCTCTCAGCACCAGTTGATCAGGTCGAAGCAGCGGGACTTCTCCAAGTCCCCAACATTCATAGCCCCAACGGCCGACAAGCTGAGGAGGGACACCCATAATCGGCATATTGAGTTTTGCCTGATGCTGTTCGTGTGTCTCGCGCGTCATGGGTCTGACAGGTTCAGGTCTCTTGTAGCGATGTCGGATCCAGAGGCGCAGAGTGTCCAGTTTGGAAGTGCCGTCTGCACCTCGTAGGTAGTTCCAGAGAGTGGTGAGACTGCGTTCTGCGAGCAACAATTCACGCATGGATGCTTCACCGCCGTAGTAGTGCACCGGGTCGACGTAAAGCATGTCGAGTTTGATGAAGAAGAGTTGCAAAACTGCAAGTGTCTCTTTGGTGAAGTAAATGGTGTTGTGGATCAAAGAGATGCGAGGGCCATTGACAGGGATGTCGAGGAGGAACCACATTCTCTGTTATCAATGTGTTAGAATTGTTGTGCAATGGATCAAGAGAATCGAAGCTTACCTTCAGGACGTCAACGCCCTCAACACGTGGTATGCGATGTCCATGTGCTGCCATCCAGCCAACTATCTCTCGGCAAACCGACTCCCGATATGCTACCATCTTCAGCCAGCGGAAACCCGGCACCGGCGCAGCGGACTTCTGTCGATGCTGGGCAAGCTCCGCGATTCTTGTCTTCCTCTCGGCTGGGCTTTCGGACTTGACACTTCTCTGACTGGCCGAGATGTCGGAGCTCTGAGAGTCAGGTGAATCAGAGCATTCCTGCGAAGCTATTCCGGGTGCTTGCTCCGGGACGAGGTCGTCCCAGCTCACACTTCTGCGGTCTGATCTGGGGCGACGTAGAGCAGGGTCTTCGATGCAAAGTTGACGGTAGCACCACCAGGGGAAGTACTTGTCTGCGGTGGGTGCCCATATGAACGTAGCAGCCTTGATGAATGCGGTGAAGTGACTGTCCATGACATAGTGAAAGGGAGCAGAAATGCTGTAAAGGTTGAGTAGGGTCTGCGGCGGGAGATAGCTCGTGACTTGAAGCAAGATGTCCACATGCGAGGCGAGACCAGTCAGGAGATTGGACTTTTTGCGCTCAGGAGGTGGTGACGGTGTGTTCAAGACAACACGCTTGCGGCGACGAGCGACTGGGGGGGCAGTTTGGACGACTACATCAAGTGGATTCGTGGAGTCTTCGTTGGACGAAGGCTGTTCGCTGTCTGTTGTGGTTTGCTCAGTTGCTTCGTCAAGGACAAAGCGCCTCTTGTTGGAAAGAGGTAAAGAATGGGCATCATCTTGTGCAGCTTTAGCAGAAGAGCTGCTTGCACGGCGCTTTCGAGGGGCCCTGGTCGCATCTGCCATGATTGTTTATGATGAAAGGAAGTGTGTGCCTTTGAAAGGTAGGGTAGATACTCGAGATCGAGGTTGCGTGTGGAACAAACCCAAGCGATGTATCTTAAGAAAATGAACCGAAAAGAGAACAATAGTGGAGAGCCAGGTATTGTCGTTGGTCCGGCATTCAGCTATTATTGCGGCAATGCGCCCGCGACAATAGCGCTGACAACTCGCAAGTGGAAAATTGGTGCTTCACTCCTTGATTGTCAGTGGAAGTGAATTATGATAGGAACGGCGCAGGGAAAAAGCTAAGGGATTATTTGATTTGTTGTGTTTATGCATTGCAAAAAAGACAGAGATGCAAATACTTGTTCGTTTACTTACGATCGTGGTCGTTGAGTGGTATCATTCCGTAAATTGGCTGTTGAGTGGCCATTCATCCTTCATCTGAATCTCATGTTACGCCCCAAACAATAACGCCGGTTCCCCATCTATCGCCAACAACCCTAGACCACCGTTTTTGTCCTTGTCTTGTCTACCTTCTGTTGAGCAGGTTCAAAAACTCCTCTCTCGTCTTGGCAGTTGAGCGCATTCTGCCGAGCATACAGCTGGTAGTAGTTGTGGCGCTGGTCTTTTGAACGCCACGCATGACCATACACAGGTGGCTAGATTCCATAACGACAGCAACACCCTGCGGTTGGAGGACTTCGGACAGGGCGAGGGCGACTTGTTTGGTCAGGCGTTCCTGGACCTGCAATCTGCGAGAGAACATCTCGGCGATACGCGCCAGCTTTGAGAGGCCGAGAACGCGGCCATTGGGGATGTAACCAATGTGCATCTGTACAAGTCAGTAAATAGTCTTTCAACATGAAAAACGGCATATATACACACCTTTCCGGTAAAAGGGACCAGGTGGTGCTCGCAAAGACTGAAGACTTCAATATCCTTCACAATAACGAGCTCATCATGATCCTCGTGAAAGACAGCGCCATTAACAATGTCCCTCAGGTTCTCCTCGTAGCCCTTGGTGAAGTACATCATAGCTTTTGCATAACGTTCGGGGGTACCGTGAAGACCTTCTCTTTCAGGGTCCTCTCCGATGCACTCGAGCAGGGTGCGGACTGCTCCGGAGAGCTTCTCCAAGCGCGCTGCGGCCTGTTCGGGGGTAGATTCGAGTCTCTCTCGTGTGCCAGTGCCTGTACAAGGGTTAGTCGAGAGTACGGCAATCGAATTTGGCTAAAGCAAGCATACTGGGCCAACTCAGACCGTCAAAGTCGATGGTAGGGGCGAGTGTATAGGGACTGCTAGCTCTGCTGGTCTGCTGCGAGGACCAGTCGTCACGCGGGTCTCTGGCCTCGACCTCGTCGAGATTGGCTAGTCTGGCAGGACGCTTGTCGCGCGGTTGGGCACTGGTATGGGGCTGGAAGTAGTTGGCTTCGAGGTCGACAGGCTCTTTCTTGGGACCCATCGAGGACTTGATGGACTTGAAAGCGCTCTCTCTTTCGCGAGCGTCGCGATTTTCTTGGGTCACAAGAGGAGACGATCCATTGAGCATGTGCGATGGGATGTTCTTGGGCCTAAGGGGCGAATTCGGGTGGTGGTCCATGGCTGCGGGTCTCGAACGATAGCGCTGGCAAGCTCGTGGTTGTATTGGTGGTGGACTAAGGAATAGAGGAAGCGGCTGGGCAATTGGTCACGTCCTAGATGAAATAGTTGGAGTGTGATGCTTGTATGTGGTAGAAGAGAAAGTCCATTACGCTCTGCCTAAGTTTACAGAGCCATGACTTCGGCGCGAGAGACAGAGGGCATTAGTATTCTTTCCTCGTTCCTCCCTGCTGTCCCTCGAGCCCCGCCGGTCTCGCCAAACTTTTTCTCTTTGAGTCACGCCTTCCCGAAGCCCTGACGGAGCTCGTCCGTCGTCGAGGGCCGTGCGCCGTGCGTGGGGGTTGCATTCCCAACGCGGCCAACACAGGCAGTGCGAGCATCACCGCTAACCACCCAGTCCATCCTGCCCTCTGTTCATCCATCTCTACACGCGCTGCCTACCTCGGGTGCCGCCTGATGAGCGTAGCCCTCCGTGGTGCCATCCCTCGATATTTGGGCCGGCGTGTCGCTTCTAACGACCCGCGCATCGTGCCCAACTTGCTGCATCATCCATTCCTCTAGTTAGACCGCGTCGTTTTTCGGGCCACAACTAACCCATGTACCAACGTCTAAGGAGACTCTCGATGCGTCTTTCAGGAACTTACCACTTGATCGCATACTGATGGCTCCGCTGACACGCGTCGTCGTATTCCGACTCGAATATACTGCTTCTGATGACCAACCGCTCGCCCTGCTCGCCAAGGCGATAGACCCGGCTCAACTATGATATCTTCACTGTATTCGCAAACGGGTCAAGGGATCCAGCGACATCATGCTCGCTGACTATACTCGGCTTGATGGGGAGGTCCTCTCAGAGCAGATTTCGCTCGAAGAACATCGAGCTTGAGAAGTGATCAAACGTCTATGTGGGCAGCACAAGCACGAGAGACACGTTCGACAACATGATACACTGGATGTGGTTGTCTATGTTGTCACTGAAGACAGACAATCGGGGCAGCCAGAACCTAACCTTCCGCACAACGATTATCAATTAATCCGACCTGGTGCGTCTTATAGCAAAGCACTGGCTCTTATTGGAAGGAAATTGAGGGGACGAGCACAAACTGAGGTAACGTCGGAGTGGTCAGTGGTGAATGTTGCTGGAGCCGTCGCAGCTGGAGATGAGTGCATTGCAAGTGAATGATAGAGGCGAGTCACGGTCAGCACATCCACAAGACACCCAACCACAGAAGCATCACAAAGAAAGTCCTCCAGGTGGCTCACTCGAGTTGGAATGTGGTCTGGAAAACACCAGCTTCTGGTCTCCCATTCATCGATCTAGCAGCAGTTGGTGATGGAGCAGGACCGCTTAAGCTTCGGGTAGGCGTAAGCGGCGGGGAAGCGCCATGGATCTCATCCAAGCCCTGTTGGGCGAAGAAGGGCGCGTCTCAAGCAAGAGTTGTTCGCTGAGCAATTGACAGGTGAGGGAACTTGATCACTCCGTTCATTTTTTAAGCCCCTTCCCCTTCTGCACCGTATTGCCTGCGCAAATGCTATTGCTGCTGTCGCCGGCACGTCGTATTTGAGCCAAGAAGACCATCACCACAGCCGTGTCATTGGCGCGTGGGCTTCCAGGCTGTCTCTCGGTGGCCGTGTTCGTCGTCGGACTTGAATTTATGTCCCTTCTCCATGGCAGGCAACGAAACAGAGCACGGGCGACGTGGACGTGATTTTCCAAGCAGGAGCAGAGAGCGTGATAGTAAGCTATCGCCATCGCCTACTGCAGCTGTTGGTCGAGGGCGCGCTGCATATCCCTCCACATCGCATCACCACCGCCCTCGCTCAACATCTGCACACAGGGCCCCAGACCCCGACCGCGAACGACCTAGCCAATATCGCCATCGTCACCACCATCATCAGCATCACCACCACCACCAGGATCCGGCACGTACTGAGCCATCGCTCCCCACAGCCGACGAAGCTGCTGTACCGTCGCTGAGCACAAGACGTCCAAGTCTTTCGCCAGCTCCATCGACCAGCTCGAGGTACGCTAAGCGTCCACTGCGAGAATATTCTCCTCGTCCTACACGCTCGTATGACCAGCGTCCTTTTTCAGACCGACCTCCACCAGCTCGAAGACCACAGTCGCCCGAGCCATACCCTTCCAGACGACGTTCCCGTTCGGTCGAATCTCGCTACAGCTCGCGCCAACACAGATATCCCTCTGAAAGGGATCGCTACAACGACCGTCGCCGATACTCGCCGCCCCCGAACAGAGGCTATCGTTCATCCGGCCATTCGTCTCGCGGTCGTCCTGATAATAGCTACGCTTCTCGTCATAGCAAACCTCCTGCCCGCTCGCCTGCTCGAGACGTCCGACGCTCCGACTCTCCCTCTGACGACCTCATATCGCAGTTGGCAACTACTGCACGACCCGAAGAAGCCAAGTCTAGTAGACGTCGGGGTCCATCAGTACATTCTCGCCACGCTTCGAGGTCGCGTCGACCGGATACCCGTCGCCCTTACAGGCAGGATCCACCTCGTTACCGGGAAAGAGAGAGGGATAGGGACAGAGACTACGCAAGGGACTACGACAGAGATTACGGACGCAACCGGGACTACGACCGAGGAGGTCGCCGCGATTACTACGACAGAAGGGAACGCTATCGCGAAGAGCGCGAACCAGACGCCATGTACGGTAGGGGCGGACCTCCTCGGCAACCCATGCCTCGTGGGTATGTAGATCCGCGTTACTCCCAATCACCTCCCTACCCGGTCCCTGGGCCCTCTCCGCCGCACGCCCAATCTCCATATGGTCGCACATATCCCCCGCAGCAACCTTATGCCAGCTATCAGGGGTAAGTGATATTGACCTTAATAATTATCCAACACTAACCTGATACTAGTTCTCCAACGCACACTGCTTACTCAGCTGCTGCCTCACCTTATTACCAGCAAAACTATCCTCCTCCGGCTGCAAGTCCTTATTATCAAGCACAACAACCACCGTCACATTATGCAGCCCCAGCCCCAGCCCCAGCGCCCGTATATCCACCTCAATCCTCGTACCGCGGACCTCCTTCTCGAGGATACAACGGCTCACAACAACGACCTCCTGTTCCCAACCAATCATCTGCTCCTCCTGCTAGTAGAGGTGGTCGTGGTGGCCACTTTTCCAATCTGTCTTGGACTCCCTCGAGTGGCAGCAGAGGTGGGAAGGTGGTGACCAAACGTGAAAACTCCATATCCGGTACTGAGACTCCTCTTGCACCAGGATCGATAGCCGAGTCTGTCGACGATGACGACAATCCGTTCAGACCGCCTAAAGATTTAAGAGCCGAGGACGAGAGCGACAAGAGAAATTCGGGCATCAGTTTCTCTATCAAAGGCATGGCTGGAAGAACGGATCCTTCAGCGCCACACAGACCAGCGCCACTGGCTGCACCTCGCACAAGGAAGGAAATCGTTGTCCGCAAACGCCTGAAGCCCAAGCCAAAATTGACAGGAGATTTCGCTACGTCTGACTCTGTATACTACCGCAAGACTGGTAACGAGTCGGTCGTTGGCTCTGGCACTTACGGCAAGGTGTACAAGGCTGTCCATGTGTACACGGGTGACAAGGTTGCTCTTAAAAAGATAAGAATGGAAGGAGAGCGCGACGGATTCCCGGTGACCGCAATCCGCGAGATCAAACTCTTGCAATCTCTCAATCACACCAACGTGGTCAAGCTGCAGGAAGTCATGGTTGAACGCAATGACTGTTTCATGATCTTCGAGTACCTGTCTCACGATTTGACTGGGTTGCTGAATCACCCTTCGTTTGCCTTGACCGAAGGACACAAGAAAGACCTTGCAAAACAGTTGTTTGAAGGTCTTGACTACCTTCACAAACGTGGCGTACTCCATCGCGACATCAAGGCAGCCAACATTCTTGTGTCTCGCAACGGTGAGCTCAAGTTGGCCGATTTCGGTCTTGCCCGCTTCTACAACAAAAACGCCAAACTCAAGCAAGACTACACCAACAGAGTCATCACCATCTGGTATCGTTCGCCTGAGTTGTTGTTGGGAGAGACGCAGTACGGTCCGGCAGTGGACATCTGGTCGGCGGCTTGTGTCTTGGTTGAGATATTCACCAAGCATGCCATTTTCCCAGGCGACGGTGGTGAAATCAACCAGCTCGACAAGATCTACAATGTGCTGGGCACACCGTCTCGAACAAATTGGCCGGGCATTGTCGACTTGGCATGGTATGAACTCTTGCGACCAGCGCACAAGGTGGCTTCGACGTTTGCCGAGAAGTATCAAGAACGCGTATCACCGGCGGCGTTTGACCTCTTGAGCGCCATGTTTGTCTTTGACCCCGACACGAGACCCACAGCTAGCGACGTGTTGGAACACCCATACTTCACGACTGAGGAACCAAAAGCGAACCAGGTGGTGGAACTGAAAGACCTTGAAGGCGATTGGCACGAGTTCGAGAGCAAGGCACTGCGCAAGGAGAAGGAGCGTGAAGCAAGAAGGAAAGACAAGGAGAGCATGGAGAAACGCAAGCTCGAGGGGCCGATGGGCGATGAGAGAGAGTTGAAGAGGATGAAGACTGGCGATGCACAGGCGTAGAGACAATCATGTAAAAACACCGAATGGAGAGTAAGTCTTGTAGCAGATGACATTATTATTCATAACTCTTTTGCATAAATAAGTACCTTCCCCAGATTCAGGGTGCGGCCACCTAAGTGAATGCGATACAATTGCTGGCTTCAAGCTCCGGCATCCACCATCAAACATCAGCATAGTCCAAGATGCACTCGTCGCTGGTACGGATACAGAATGTGTTCGGCTTCTTCACGACTGTAGCCTTCACTCTGGGCGCGTTGATCGCGCTGAGTGTCGTCGTCTCGCATCAAAACCCGTCGGCGGAGCTCGAGCTACGCAATGTTCAGGTGTAAGCAATCACACATTTTGCGAGCATAGTGGCATTCTCTGACAAGCACTCAGAGTCAAGGGTCGTCCTCACTACTACAGTACCAAGAAGGAGGAATATGCACACATCAAGTTCGACCTCGAGACTGGTTAGTTGATCTATAGCATGTGCGACGCTGCCATACTTACTCACTGGCAGACCTCACCTCCCTCTTCTCCTGGAACACCAAACAAGTCTTTGTCTACGTAACCGCGACTTTCCCTTCCAAGTCTCCTCTCTCACCTCCCTCGGAAGCCATCATCTGGGACGCCATCATCCCCGCTCCTTCGGAGCCCTGGCACGAAAACACATACATCCACCCCCAAAAGTCGCGCAAGCAACCCAACCGCCGCCAAGTCACCAAGGAGGCAAACTTCAAGGCCTACCCCGAAGGCGCTGCCCCTGGAATCCTGAAGCTCTCGAACCAAAAGCCAAAGTACCAAATCACTACACCCTGGTCCAAGATTGGAGGAGCAGAGAACTGTACTTTGCAGTTGAAGTATAACGTGCAGCCGTGGGTTGGCGCTTTGTATTGGAGCACTCCCAGGCCATTCGGAATGTGGGAGGGTCTGCAGGGAGCTATGAGTGATGTCTTCCAGATGCCGTTTGTCAAGAACTCTGCACAGGCTTCCAAGAGCAAGGATGAACTCAAGACCGAGACGGGTGGTGAGAGGAACAGAGGAAGCCCCGCTTAATACGTGTCATCACAAGAGACCGTTTGCTTAGAAATCTCATTCGACCTTCCTGGTCTTGCTGAGTCAACCCATTGAGATATTTGCGCGGCACTGTGAGCGAGACTCGAAAGCAAAAAAGAGCATGGGGTATTGGGACTATCTCCTAATGATTCCTTTCTTTCTTGCCAATTCCATTCGTGATTCTCATAACTCAAGCCTCCCGTACGCCGTCCTTATGCTTCGCTTTTGACTTCTCCAGAACGACATGATGCCTCTCTACTTTTTGCTGGTATCCTCCTTCAAGCTGACAATGCGGTTCAGAACGATCTTGTCGGACGAGCTGTCCTTGTCGACACAGAAATAGGCGGTACGCAAGCCCTGGAAACGTACAGCTTCGGGACCAGTGTTGCCCTTGGCCTCACCCTCCTCCTTGGGCCATGGTGCACGCTGCTGAATGTCGAAGAAGCCAGCCTCGATCATGGCGTTCTTGTGCACAATCTCGCTGTCGGGGTTGACGTTGTCATAGTAGCCACCCTTCTTCCAGTCAAGCTCGTTGGGACGAGGGTTTTTGAAGAGGGAGTTGAAGATGCGAGCCTCGGCCTTGATTGGCGACTTGTGGGCTGCCGATTCACCGATCCAGTGGATGCGGGCCTTGCCAGCAGGCACCTCGGCGCCATACTCGGCACGGATCTCGTTGACCTTGCCATCCTCGCCCTTTTTGAACGATGTGCAGCGCAGAGGGTGCTCAACGTATAGCAGACCGACAGACTTGCCAGGGGCGAGACGGTAGAAGTCTGGATCATCGACCTCGCGGAAGTCATCGCGGTCAATGTAGATAGTCTTGGTGAAAGGAAGCCTGTGCATGCCCTTCTCTTTGTCCTTAGGATCGAAAGGTACCTCACGCTCCTCTAGGTAGTCTTCGGGAAGGTTATCAATAACGACCTTGATGGGGTCGAGGACAACGATCAGACGCGGGACGGTACGCTCGAGGTAAGTGCGGATGGAAGCGTCCAGCATGTGCATCTTTGTGTCGGCATTGGCCTTTGTGACACCAAGGTCCAGGACGAACTTCTTCAAGGCGCCAGGAGGAACACCGCGACGACGGAGAGCGACAAGAGTGAAGAGACGGGGGTCATCCCAGCCACGGACGACTGGAGGAATGGTCTGAGCACCTGCGACAGGCTTGGAAATTGCAGTCTCAGCGCCGGCTTCTGCCTCACCAGTCTCTGCGATCTGAAGCTCTTCAGCAGCTTCAGCAAGCTCGTCCTCTTCCGAGGGCTCCTGGCCACCAGCATTGACACCCTGGACCAGCATCTGAATTCTGCGCTTGGAAAGGATGGTACCCTCGACGTTGAGTCTGCCGTACTCGCGCTGCATAGGGCCCTTTTCTTCGGAAGCGGGGAGTTTGTGGTCAAGTGCCTCGAGGAGCCAGTTGTAAGCAGGACGGAGAGTCTCGAATTCGACGGTGCACAAGGAGTGGGTGATAGCCTCGAAGCTATCGCACAGACAGTGGGTGAATTCGTAAGTAGGATAGATTCTCCACTTGTAGCCGGTGCGGTGGTGGTAGTTTTGTTCCTTGACTCTGTAGGCGGCGACATCCCACATGGAGGGGTTCTCAGCCAGAGTCTTCAGCTTGGCCTTCTCCTTCTTGGTCTCGGGCGAGTCCTCATCGGTGATGGCGTATTCTTCAGGCTTGGTACCAAGATACTGCTTCATGCGCAGGAGAGCCTGACCAGCCTTGTACTTTCCGTCTCTCATGGCGCGGAACTCTTGCAGAGACTCGGCGACAGGCCTGCTCCAGTGGCTACAGACGGAACGTGGGCCATGATCAGAGCCTCCTCTTCCCTTCTGAAGCTCCTCGGCAGTACAGTGACAGACGTAGGCCTTGTTGCGGTTGATCAGCTCCTCGGCCAGACGGTACAGCTCGTCGAAGTTATCGCTGCTGTAGGTAATGTTGGCGGGCTCAAAACCAAGCCAGCTGACCATGTCCTTGATGCTGGTGAAGTAGCGCTCCTCCTCCTTGGCAGGGTTGGTGTCATCGAAACGCAGGTTGCACTTGCCGCCATAGGCTCTGGCGAAACCGAAGTTGACGGTGATGGCCTTTGCGTGACCGATGTGGAGGTAACCATTGGGCTCGGGAGGGAAGCGGGTCTGGACATGCTGGACGGGCTTCTCGTTGTAAACACCCTTCAGCCAGCCTTGCTTGAAGTTGGCGTTGGGGTCGGCAGGCGCGGCGGGAGTGCTTGCGGCGGGCTGTTTGGCAGGAGCGGCTTCCTTGTGCTTTTGCTTTGCCGCCTTTGCAGCGGCCTTTTTGGCGTCCTTCTCGGCCTGGCGCTTGGAGATCTTCTTTTCCTCGGGGGCTGGCTCGGCCATGATGTTTCTGTTGTGTGTTGCGATGTTCCCAGAGAGACAGGACTGGAAGCTAAATTATTGCTCACAGAGTTGCTTGCCTGCTCTCCGTGCCCGCGTCCGCGTCCGATAAGCTGATAAGAACACTGCCACGACTTTTGGCCTGCCACTCTGATGCGGTTTCTTGAGCCTTCTATGCTTCCATGAGGCGACGTGTAGATACCACTACAGCCAATTTAGCTATATTCCCTGCCATCCGCCATCATGTACGTCCTTCTGCACTATCCCTCCACCACTCTCTCCCTGACTCATGTCTTCCTCCAGGGCGCCGCTCGTGGATAATGCCCAGGTCAAGTCGGCCTCGCTCCACAACCCGCTGCCTCTGGCATTGCACACCTACATCTGGCCTTTCCTGATCATCTGGCCCGTCTTCTTCTCCTTCTACCTGTCCGAGGAACGCTATGAGAAGCACTTCAACGGCCAAGAATGGACCTTTGTCTGGTCTGGCAGCATTGTCACCATTCAATCCCTATTCTGGCTCTCGACCTTCTGGAACATCAACATCCGCTCCCTCTTCACCACCACACGTGCTTCTGATGTGCGCAGTGCTCGCTTGATCAAGCTCCTCCCCGTCGAAAATGCTGGTTCTGCCGACATCTGCCCCATCGAACGCGAAACCGTCGACGGCAAGACCAACGTCTCCTTTCTCTTCCAGAAGCGTCGCTTCCTCTACTCCAACGACACTGGCACCTTTGCACCTCTCTCGTACCCTCTAGATCAAGAAGTGAAGCCTACAATCGGCGAATTTCAGAAGTCCAAGGGTCTTACCACCGCACAAGAAGTCGCTCGCCTCCAGCAATACTATGGCCCCAACACCTTCGACATCCCCGTTCCCTCATTCACAGAGCTGTTCAAGGAGCATGCCGTCGCACCCTTCTTCGTTTTCCAGATTTTCTGTGTTGGTCTCTGGATGCTCGACGAATACTGGTACTACTCTCTCTTCACCCTTTTCATGCTTGTCGTCTTTGAGAGCACTGTCGTCTGGCAGAGACAGCGCACTCTGACTGAGTTCCGCGGCATGAGCATCAAGCCTTACGATATCTGGGTATACAGAGAAAAGAAGTGGATCGAGGTTCAGAGCGATGCTCTCTTGCCCGGTGATCTCGTCTCGGTTGGCCGTACCAAGGAGGACAGTGGTGTCGCATGCGATATGCTTCTGGTTGAGGGCTCAGCTATCGTGAACGAAGCCATGCTCTCTGGTGAGAGTACCCCTGTTCTCAAGGATTCTGTTCAGCTTCGCCCCTCGGATGCCCGCATCGAGCCCGAAGGTATTGACAAGCTCGCTTTCTTGTATGGCGGTACCAAGGTTCTCCAGGTCACTCATGGCAACACTGGCTCGGATGACTCGGACAAAATCCACCCTGTTATCTCTGGTGTTCCCGCGGCCCCTGACAATGGAGCTATGGCTATCATTGTCAGAACTGGTTTCGAGACCAGCCAAGGCAGTCTCGTCCGTACCATGATCTACTCTACCGAGCGCGTATCGGCCAACAACGTCGAGGCTCTGCTCTTCATTCTGTTCCTTACTGTCTTCGCCATTGCTGCTTCGTGGTATGTCTGGACCGAGGGTGTCGCCAAGGACAGAAAGCGCTCTAAGCTACTGCTGGACTGTGTCCTCATCGTCACTAGCGTCGTGCCCCCTGAGTTGCCTATGGAACTGAGTTTGGCTGTCAACACCTCTCTTGCTGCTCTCAGCAAGTATGCCATCTTCTGTACAGAGCCTTTCCGTATTCCCTTCGCTGGCCGTGTTGACATTGCCTGCTTCGACAAGACTGGAACCCTTACCGGAGAAGACCTTGTCGTCGATGGTGTTGCTGGTCTTACTCTTGGTCAGGAAGGCGCTCCCGCCGAGGCTGATGGTGCCCAGACTCAACTCGTACCTCTGAACGATACCGGTGTTTGTACCACTTTGGTTCTCGCTACCGCCCATGCTCTTGTCAAGCTCGAGGATGGAGACGTGGTTGGCGAGCCTATGGAGAAGGCCACTCTTGCATCTCTCGGTTGGACTGTTGGTCGCAACGATACCCTCACCAGCAAGACTGCTGTTGCCGCAAAGGGCGTCGGTCAGTCCGCCGCTGACTTGGTTCAAATCAAGCGCAGATTCCAGTTCTCCTCTACTCTTAAGCGCCAAAGCTCCGTTGCTACTGTCGTCACTACTCAACGTGACTCTGGAAAGAAAGTCAGAAGCACCTTTGTCGGTGTCAAGGGAGCTCCTGAGACCATCAGAAACATGCTTGTCGACGTTCCTCCCAAGTATGAAGAGACATTCAAGTACTTTTCAAGAAATGGCGCTCGTGTCCTCGCTCTTGCCTACAAGTTCATCTCTACCAGCGACGAGATTGGCCAGAACAAGATCAACGACATGAAGCGTGAGGAGGCCGAATGTGACCTTCAATTCGCTGGTTTCCTCGTCCTGCAGTGTCCTCTCAAAGACGATGCTATCAAGGCTGTCCGCATGTTGAACGAGAGCAGCCACCGTTGCATTATGATCACCGGTGACAACCCTTTAACCGCTATCCATGTTGCTAGAAAGGTCGAAATTGTCGACCGCGAAACCCTTATCCTCGACGCTCCCGAACACGACGAATCTGGTCAGAACCTTGTCTGGAGAAGCATTGATGACAAAATCAGCATCCCCGTCAACCCTGCCGAGCCCATCGATCCCGAGATCATCAAGACCAAGGATCTTTGCGTTACTGGTTATGCTCTTTCCAAGTTCACTGGCCAAGCTGCTCTCAAGGAAATTATCCGCCATACTTGGGTCTACGCTCGTGTCTCGCCCAAGCAGAAGGAAGAAATCCTGCTTGGTCTTAGAGACGCTGGATATGTTACTTTGATGGCTGGTGACGGTACAAACGACGTCGGTGCACTCAAGCAAGCCCACATTGGTGTCGCTCTTCTCAATGGGACCGAGGATGACCTTAAAAAGATCGCTCAGAACTTCAGAGAGACCAAGATGAAGGACGTCTATGAGAAGCAGTGCGCTATGATGAAGCGCTTCAACCAGCCTTCCCCGCCTGTTCCTGTCCATATTGCGCACCTCTACCCTCCTGGCCCCGGAAATCCTCACTACGACACTGCCATGGAGCGCGAAGCCACTAACAAGGGCACTACTAGCGAAGTTCTCAAGGCCGTCACAGAGGCCAAGCACAAGGCCGAAGTTGCTACTGCTACCGCTACTGATGGTGAGACCAAGGCACCTTTGACTGTTCAGGAAGAGCGCAGAAAGAAAGCTCAGAATGCTGCAAGTGCCATGGCTGAAAAGATGTCGATCTCGATGATGGAAGATGCTCTCACCGACGACGAACCTCCCACGATCAAGCTTGGTGATGCCTCGGTCGCCGCTCCCTTCACTAGTAAGCTGGCCAACGTTGTTGCTATTCCCAACATCATTCGTCAGGGTCGTTGCACTCTTGTTGCTACCATTCAGATGTACAAGATCTTGGCTTTGAACTGTTTGATCTCTGCCTACAGTTTGAGTGTGTTGTACCTCGACGGTATCAAGTTTGGCGATGGCCAGGTCACGATCAGTGGAATGCTGATGAGTGTCTGCTTCCTCTCCATTTCGCGCGCTAAGACTGTTGAGACACTTTCCAAGGAAAGACCTCAACCCAACATCTTCAACCCTTACATCATCGGTTCCGTTCTCGGACAGTTTGCCGTCCACATTGTCACTCTGATCTACATCTCCAGATACGTCCAACGTACTGAGCCCAAGAAGTCCGACATTGATCTCGAGGGTGAATTCGAGCCTTCGCTTCTCAACTCCGCCATCTATCTCCTCCAGCTGATCCAGCAAATCTCGACTTTCGCAATCAACTACCAGGGCCGTCCTTTCCGCGAATCCATCAAGGAGAACAAGGGCATGTACTACGGCATCGTCATGGTCACTGCTGTCGCATTCTCCTGCGCAACCGAATTCGTTCCCGAGATCAACGAGCAACTGAAGCTTGTTCCCTTCACCACCGAGTTCAAGATCACCATGACTTCCATCATGGTTCTCGACTACTGTGGCTGCTGGATCATTGAGAAGGTGCTCAAACAAATGTTCAGCGACTTCCGTCCCAAGGACATTGCCATCAGACGTCCTGACCAGCTTGCCATTGAATTTGCACGCAAGAAGGAGGAAGAGGACAAGATTGAGCAGGAAAAGGTTGCAGCGCTTGAGAAGCAGCTTGGCAAGGTATAGATGACCAAAATAGACAAGAACCCTGTACAATACAATTGAGTAAGAGTGTCTATGTATTTTTTTCGAAAGAGTTCAGAACTTTGCCAAGATGATTCATCTTCTTGTCGGCCATGCTTGGTGTAGTAGTGACGCTGGCCCAACTAGGTGGCTTTCATCTCGCTCTGTCTGTCGCGCTGTATGTAGTGTTGATTCTTGACAGAGCCCCATCCTTGTACATCGCGATATCTGTATGATCACAAGGCAGCTGTGCTAGCTGGGTGACCCTGACGTATGTCTTTGACTGACAGGCACCAGCATCAAGCACTGTGTTTAGAAGGTCAATGTCAACAGAATGATGGAAGTATGTAACAATATGGTGTCCTTGGAGGGCAAAGTTAGTGCTTGGTCATTCGTGTTGAGCTTATTCTCCGTGAGAACATGAGAAGCACAAGTTTATCGAGTTGATGAAGTGGACCATGCAACATAAAATGACCGACTCAACCAGCATGGCCGTAGCATCCAGTCCATGGATCTAGCATACCGTCGAGATCAACGTCAAGCAAATCTCCACACTTGAAAACCGAGCTACATAGCTTATGAGACACGGATCCTTGAACTCCTCTGCACGCAGACCAGCAATGCCCGATCCAGCAAAGGACACAAAAAAATAACAGATAACGGATAGCAAGATCATATCAAGGTCGAATTGTTGAACGACCCGAACTCCGAGATGCAATATGATAAGAAGATAGACAAGTCGTCCTAGCGAATTAGGAAATAGTGGTCATGAAAGAAGATCCACGGTCAGTGGGCCGATTAGACCATCTATTACATAGTAAATCATTAGCATATTTAGATTGCGGTGGACAAGATCCTGGCAAAGACATACATTCTGACTCTTCTGTCGTCGCCAGCGGAAGCGAAGATGGCTGGATCGGTAGGATGCCAGGCGACCGAGTTCACGGTGCCAGGGGGATGTGCTTCAAGTGCGACAACGAGTTGTCCGGTGTGTTTACGCCAGATATAGACTCGTGAATCTGTAAACCGATCAGCAAACTTGGGGCTTGTCAAATGTCAGTGCATCGTGTTACCTTCGCTGCCACTGATGACAAAATTCTCGCCAGCACCGCCGAATGTGCTTCTTATGACAAATTCACTCTGGGTCAGGCCGGTGTAGCGTTGCAAAACTTCGCCAGTATCTGAGTTTAGAAGTAATAGACGTCCTTCATTCATACTGACTAGGAGCGACTTGCCATCATGGCTGAGAGTGGCACAGGTGAGCCTGTCCTCCATGACCCATTCTTGGAGTTTCAGACGTGTCTTGAAGTCGTAGACGATGACGCGGTTGTCGTTGCTTATAGCGACAAGCCGGGATCCGTCGGCCGAGATGGTACAGTCATTCACACGGAGACTTTGAGCATCGTTACTGCTCCACGAATAGAGTATTGACTGGTCTGATAGTTGGTAGAGGCCAAGAGGTCTTCTGGAGTCCTGCGAGCCGACGATGAAACTTTGGCCGTCAGGGGCCCAGGCAGCTGTGGTGACGGGATAATGGAAATGGTCAACAGCACCGACACGAGTACCTGTGCGGGCTTGATAGACTGTGAGCTCTCTTGCTTGGGAGCACGCGAGAATGTATGTATCGTCTGGGCTCCAAGAAACGTAGCAGACCCCGCACTCGTTATGAGGCTTTTGCTGATTCAGACGGCTGATGGGCATCCAGGACGTGGTGTCGTAGATGATGACAGTATTGTCTTTGGAAGCGGTGGCCAGCATGGAGCCGTCGTGGGAGAATTCGAGATGCCAGACTTCGTCTCGATGGTGTTGCAGTTCGTGGAAGATGTGTAGGGGAAAGTGATGACGTTCGCAGACGTGGTCATGCAGTAGGGAGGGAGGCTGAGTGGTATTGTGATATAGACATTGATCGATGTGCTGCTGCTGGACGTGGTCTAGGAGGACGGCGAGGCGGTGTTCGGGTATCATGACGGACGGCGATATGGATTCTGGAAGGATGGTCAGCATGGCAAACGGTGTGGGTTGGAGAAAGCTTACTCGACAGTTCGGATAAGAGGTGTCGCCTCGAGTTGCCGTCAGCACCATCCCACTGTGCTTGTCGGCGCAGGTCGTCTGCTCGGCGACACATGATCAGACTGGAGAGGGCGTGTAGGCGGGCGACATCTTGATGCAGCGGGGTCAGCTCTTGTCGGAGGACCATCAGAGCCTTGGAGAGGTCGCGCAGCTCGAGCAGTTCGAGGTACTTTTGCTGGCGTATCAGGAAGACCATGTCGTCTCTGTTTGCTCCTTCACACAGCGGTAGGCCGTCGTGGCTGGCGTCGCCAAACAGCAAGGCTTCGGCATCTGACCAGTGGCCATTCTGGACAGCGGACCGGAAGGCAGCAACGTTGGGAAGCTCGAGTTCGAAACCGCTCTCTTGACTCAGTTGGCGGGCGGTGGATTGGTAGCCCAGGTCCGAGAGGCTCTGGATGAGCAGGCGCGTCACTTCTTGTCGATTGTGGCCGTAGAAGTGTGTGGCGGTGGGCGGCAGCTTGTCCGAGGCGCCATTCGAGGGATTCGATGGGTGGTGGTCGTTTTCTGGCTGGAGGTGCATTCTGGCTCTCTTGTGGGCGGCCTCTGCCTCTGGCGGCGACGCACTGGGCGGACGCGGACGCTTGGCGGCCAACAGTGCAGCCACGGTTCAGGACGAGTCGACGTGTGTCACGGCGTCTGTGGTAGAAGCCAGCGGTGTGTCGGGAGTCGTGTGTCTGTCGCAGCCTGCTGTCAAGTGTTGGGGCCGTAGTATTGCTAAGGTCAAGTCTGCCCCGCAAGGTGGAAGGGAAGCTCTCTCGGCCCATGACGTGCGTCGGCCAATCTTCACATGTCACATCAACACCCTCCTACACTCTCCTCCTACCTGCACATACTTTCTCACAGCTTCAGACTAGGTTGATCTCGCAAGTCCATGAACCTTGATCAATACATCATGACGTTTCCTCCTATTGAACTACATGCAACCCATCTCTAATTCACCACCGCATCACCACCACCTCTAAACCAGTCCGATCCAAGACTGATCTCACTGCAAGCCGAGTTGGCCGGAACAGTATACTCTCGGTTCTCGCAACATTCCCAAGTCTCTGACCCATCCGCGTGACGCATAATATACTTGTATTGGAAGCTTGTGCCCTCGGAAATGTCGAGTCTGGCTCCAAATGTTGGTGCCCCCGCGCTCTGCGGGTTCGTCACCGACATCGACACTGCCTTGGTTGGCGACCAATTGCCCAGCTCTGGAATACTGCCAACAAGCACAATCTCATCTCCGCTCTCCTCGTACGATCCACTGGCCTCGAAGATGGTCGTCGCATCGCTAGAGCTGCAAGCTTCTGCCTCGACTTGAACAGACACACTGCCGTTGCTAGCCATGTTGCAGTCGCCATGTGCGTGCTGCTGGTACATCACCTCCTGTCCGTTGATCGAGCAGCTCAGCGATGATGTCGTGTTGCTCATGTGTGTCGTTGCCGTTGCGAATATCTCTTGATTGAGCCTATCACTGGATTAGTCAAACATACGACATCTTTTGCCACCATACCACACTTACGCTGCATCGGTAAAGTTCTGCTGTACAGCAAGACTGAAGTTGCCAATGCTGAAGTACGGGAACAACTGGAACCGGAAGTCGTTTGTTCCGCAGCCAATCCATTTTCCTGTAGGTACAGCCATGCTGTAGGCCTCTGTCTCGAGCCAAGAATTGTCTCCCCAAGATGTCTGGCAAGTTGTCGATGAATCCGCTCCGCCGTTTGAGGACAAGACATCGAATTGGATCCGGTAGTAGTTCACCTGACCGGCAGGATTGCCATTAGGTTGGTGCGTGTTCAAGTTTGTGATGACAAAAGGTGAGTACGCCGCTGCGAAAGAGCAGAAAGCAGCAGCAGATCCAATTGTCTTCCACATGATTGCTATACACGAATTGGAACAATGAGAAAAATGGCAAGAGGAGAACAACGACGGGACGAAGGAGAGAAAAGAAAAGAGGAACCTAACTCAATGTTGCACTTCCTACCTCATGAGGTCGACTTGCATATGTTTCGTCAGACGCAACTGAGATCCTCCTGCAGATCTCCTCATTACACGCGCAGATGCACAGAGGCGGCACAGTAACAGAGAAAAAATGATGCCTGGTGCCTGCAAAAACTCCACAGTCGCAGGTTCCACGGACCAAACTGCGCTCCAGGACGTGCAGGAATCAGGAACTTGTCGACTTTACCCATGCCGTGTGCTGCATGATCGCTCGAGCATGCGGGCGGCTGTACCCGCTTGCCGGCAGATTTGACTTTGGTTCTATTTTCAAACGTTCGGGTTGCTTGATTTTTCTTTGGCTTGGGCAAAGTCAGATTCAACCATTGGTCTCACGAGTAGGGACCGAGTGCTTGGATCTTGAGATTGATATCCCATGCTCACCGCTGGATTCCAGCTTCTGCGTCAACTGCTAGTGGAAGGCCTGGTTGCATTGGTCTATCGACTGATCTATTGAATTTGAAAAACACCTGCACCCCACCCTATTCGTGCTACAGGACGCTTTAGGCTGCTAGAGCTACAGTCCGTTTCTGTTTATAGCCTTCCAAGCACGCGGTGAACTGCATGCGTCAAGAAACGAATCCCAAATGTGGAGCGAATTTTACCACCTTACCCACATCCTAGGCAAATGCCTGTATACTGTCACGCCAATACAGGATATAGTCTGAAAGAACAATCAAGGCAACTCAGCCCACCTGGTCCGACCACGTGAAGGTGAGTGCTATCTGGAGGTCCATAGATTTCGCCGCCAACACTCTTTCAGCCGTCAGCAACAGAAGGACCTCCCCCGCCGCCGTGGAGACTCTCCCAATCTCGGACACCAACCCAGTCGTTCTGGTCGCGTAGCCTCCTTGACTTTACACAAGGACCACCGCCATCACCATGGAGTCTCAAGCGGTCGAGGACGCCAACTAGATCATGCTCGACAGGGAGAATTGTCAACCCAACACCGCAACATCAGTCACCATCGTCGCTTCAGTCGAGGACGCCATGAGACATTGCCTGACTCGTCCCGCAGCCGTAGCCGGCCTCATCGTCGGACATCTACAAGCCCACGTCGCCACCGTGACCGCGCCCGTGACACGCCGAAGGGGAGCCCACACGTAGGATCACACTCCACGCGGTCCCCGATGCATGAGGATGATAGGCATGTGAAACATTTCCATTCAGACGGGAAGGATGCCCTCAGCTATACAAAGCCCTCACAATCACTACACCATCCTCAGCAATTGCATCACAAGAGAAGGAGCAAATCCGGGTATATGCAGGCTTCAGTTGAGCAACTGCCTGTTCAAAGGTCTCCAAAGAACGTGGCTTCACATGCTGTCGACCGCATTGACCATCGTCGCCAGTCTCGCTCCACAAAGGGCAGTCCACATCCCTTCCATGAACAGCGTGGTCATCATGGCCAGCCTTGGTCCTCGAATGGCACTTCGTCCGCCTCTCCCAAGCAGCGCGGCCTTTTAAAGACAGGCTTCGTAGCCGACAGTGATGCATGCAGCGCATTCTCGGATGTTAACGACAGTGAGGACCATGCTGGAACCACAGCAATGGAACCCACCGCTGATCCTCGGGCTCTTTCAAGTACGACTGCCACCATACCCATTTCGACTTCTACTCAGACGACCACAAGTCCCCAGCCAGCTGCGCTCGCCTCCACGGTGAACGCATCAGGCTCATCTGTTGCGATTTCTAACCTGTTCCGCGAGTTCAATGTCAATGAAAATGGCGCGTTATTCAAGGCGATGCAAAGACAGAAAGCTAAACAAAGCGTCGAGTCGCTTCCCGGCGGCGACCTTGTTCAAACGAACTCGAGGCCCCGGCCACACCCATTCGCCCCTACGGTTAATCAATCAGTTACACATCCTCATTGCCCTTCGCATGCAAGGACACATTCTCAGGAGTCAGTGACTACGGTTCATTGTCTACTTGGATGCGCGTCTACGTTTAGCAACACTGCAGAACACCTCGAGCATTTCACTTCATTCAAGTGTCCCAATACCAACAGCGGCGAGTTGCTCGTCTGTGATTATGAAGGATGTGATTATACTTTCCCCGGCTCCCTCTCATCCATGCGATACACACACTGGGAAACTCATCACATGAAAGATGCATGGTCGCGTAATGGATTCGCTGTCCAGTGGAATGATGCACATCGCTCACACAATGTCGATCCCTTCATCGGCCCAGATGCACGTGCTTGCTACAACATGCTAGTCCACAGTCCAGACGATATCCTTGAAGATGTGGCGACGCCAGTTGACAACATGTACGTACACTGCACAGGAGCTAGCGACGCGAATTATGAAGCGGGCGAGAAGCTCCAGCACAGCGACCGTGAGCCAGTGATGCTACGTACACTGAGTCACCAAACTCATTTTGTGCCTTGATCGAGGATGTTGCAGCTGATGGTGATGACTCGTTCATCTTGCCTTGCCATTCTCTGATTGGAACCGAACCTCATCATTTGGATGCATTCAATGAGGTATCCCGTGACATTCACGGCGAGCAGACGGCACTAGCCTCTTCTGTCTAGTCTGGGGCACAACGAGAAGAGATGCAGAAGCGTTCATTCGAACTGATGTGATATCATAATTCATGTGCAAGAACTATTTAAAATTCCCTTTTCCAAAGTGATCAACATCCCCTCAGCCCTTCTTGAACCCAAACTCCTCGTTGTCTCGCCCGAACGTCTCATGGTCAGCCCCCGTACTGGCACCGGGAGCAACAATTTGAAAGCGCAACCCAGAAAACCCAAGGATGCAATTGAACGTCTTGTCGCGTTGACGGACATGCTCGAGCTTCACTTCCTTGCCGTCTGTGAATGCGAGATGAATGTCGTCCGATTTGACCAATCCGACGGTCTTGTGGTCGATTTTCTCAATCTCGACGAGCTCTGACCATAATCGACGCCAGATCTCTGTTGACTTCCTCTGGAACCGAAGGCCATCTGAGAAGATTATGAGACGGCCGGGCATGCCATGCATGGCGCAGCGGAAGCTCAGGATGTCGAGCCCCCCAAGAATGCTGGTCGTAGACTCCGTCGAGTGGAAGCTTGCAGCATCGTCATCATCGCTATCCGACAGTAGATTGTCCGTTGCTGGCCGAATTGATTTGGTGTCTGAGGCAATGTCGAGACTATCGACGCGCACCGCATTTGCTGAAGAGAGATCATTGTTCCACTCTTCCTGGACTCGCTTTGCGATCAGTTCCGCTCTGGTCTCTTGAGCCTTCTCCCTCAGGTATGACATTGACCAGTCTGCGTCGTTGGGAATGCCCCAGAAGATGTAGTTGAAGGCGTTGACGACATGTCGATACTCGGGATGGTGGTGAGCAACATAGCGGGAACCAAAGAACATGACAATACAACACATGGTGACGATTTTGATAGAGTACTCACTGGGTGTGAAGACACCAAGCAGGATTGCCGTCAGGAACCAGAAGAGAGTAGCCCAGGTCAGTCTCGGATCAAGCCAGTCATAGAAGTTGTTCAGCATCTCCAACGTGTCGGCGATATCAGACAGCTGCATCTGTATCTTGGGACCTGCCCTCTCGATCAGAGGATCAACCCAATCTGCTCCATGTTCCTGCAGGAGAGCACTGAACTTGTAAGCAGAACTTCCCCTCTGGAGTGTAGACGTGTACGCCTCGCGCATTTCTTCAACCTGCTTGTGCTGGTATCTGTTCTGTAATACAGTGACAGCGCAGTATGCCAAGATGAACGTTACGACGTAATCCAGATACCAGATCAGAATCCAGATAGCCAGCCACCTCTTCGTCTTCGCAGGGTCTTCCCAGAGGTACAGGCTCCGGAGTGAGAGGAAGAAGGTCTGCCATGGCGAAGAGGCGATGAGAATGCGCTCAATGAACCGTGATGAAGCCTCTCTGTCGAAGGGAGGCTGGCCGGTGAAGTCCACTTGGCCCATACGGTTCACAGCAAACGACTGCATTGCATTCAGTTGACGCGCCTGCAACCAGGCCATCCAATCGACACGGCGCTCGCCAGTTTGAGCGTCGACATAGCTGTAATCCTCCTTTGCAGGCGACGGGAACTCGCGTTTGGGAAAGACAAGGGCACGCCTGAAGTGTCGGCTAGATGTCCAGGCCACTTTTCTGCTCTGTCGCAAGCCCTCTATCCTTCTCACGCGCTCACGCTGATTATCGACAGCTTCATGGTCATCCGAGTCATTGGAGTGAAAAGCATCGGTTTTCGCTCTCGAAAGACTGTCTTGTGCATCAAGAAACTCCTTGTCAGCTTCCTCGGAAAGGTAGGGTCGGTCCTTGATGGCTGCTTTCGAGGCAGCAAACTTTTTGGCGGCATCCTGAGGATGAACGACGATTTTCACGCCATTTGAGAGACCCCCAGCAATGCGAGTCGAGAGACTGGGCTTCGGGGCGACCAGTTGAGTAGGGTCAAAGGCCGGATCGTGACGGAAGTCTTGGTAGGGATCATCTTCTAGGCCCACGGTGGCTTCCTCCTCGGGGGCCAGAGTGTGTTTATTGAGATGTAAGAGGTTCTTCGTCTTCGCCTTGGTCTCACGGCCCAAGCTCTTGACCCTTTCTTTAGTCGAAGATGAACGCTTTGGAGACGAAGCGTTGGCAGCCTCAGTCATCATGAATTGTATTGGGAATGGTGTGCGTTTCTATGTGAGCGCGCATGATGCTGCAGCGAAAATTCAATGCTGTGACGGACTGGTATGCACAGCCAGGAGTCATGATGGGTGCGCAAGAACGGCAGTTCGTCTCTTTGTCGCCTGGTGGCCACGGTTCGTCCTTCGTCACCTGCCCCACACCTCCAGCTGTTCGATTCTTGATTTACGGAGGAGATCCCGTTGAACCAGCTTCGGTGGCCACACTCATGACGTTCGAGTCCCACGAAACACTCTGCCGAATTGTACTCGAACAACACGATGATACTCCATGCCGCCTGCTCGATTCACTCGGAGTCGCGTGTCAAGTCTGAGCTTCCGGGTGGAAGCTTTTGAAACTTCGAGAACGACTAGAGAGCTGCTGGGCGCCTCAGCTGTAAGCACTGACGCTTGCGGTTCGGATGAATGCGACCATTGTGAGATATTGTATCTTGATTCTTGAAGCGCTTCGGGTCCTTTGATGCTCCTCAAGGGAGCTGCAGGGCTGGGATAAAGTTCGGTTCCATTTATGCACCATCGATAACCGAAGTCGATCTCCTGCACTCGTCATGCTCACTAGTCACGTCTAGGAAAACACACCGACCTCTCGTCCTCACTTCACCGCTGCCTGTTTGCAGTCTCGACAAGGAAAAAACCTCTTTCGACTAATCTCGTAAACAGTAGCCTAGTCTGCTGTCAAAGGTGAGGATTGACCGCCAGGTTTGCTTTGGTGATGACTTCATACTCGTAGAATAGTTGCAGCCCAAATCTCTTCAAAGCGTCAAGAGCCATGGCGGGCCGAAGCAACGGCGGTTTTGCGACCATGTGACTGGTCAAGGTTCAAGGATTATGAGCGGTAGGACAATCTCCGACTGGACGATGCGCAAATCAAGGAACGAGATAACAACGGGTATCGAGATCTGTCAGTCTTGAATGGGTACCTTGATGTTTGTCGAGCGAGTCAAGAACAGCTCGTGTTGTTGAACAAGGAGTATGGGATGATTTTACAACGTCTGATAGGAAGGGGGATGTTGATAACGTCGAGAATGTGGTCTCGTGGGCGTACCGAGTGGTCTGTGATAGACCCTGTCTGGACAGGGCTGTAGAAGGGTCAAGGGTACATGTTGTAGGAGGCCTGATGGTATCGGCCGAGAGAGAATGTGCATGGTAGGCATGGGCAGTCAAGAGTGTTGTCTTGTTTTGAAAGCAGAAGGGCAATGTCAACACACGGACACGTCGAGCAGTGACTGCCGCTGTCACGGAAACATTGTCAAGCAGATGGTCATACGGTCAGTGAGGTAGAGTGCGAGCAGGATATGAAGGCTTGTGGTGCGTAGGGTTAGGCCGGTAACGAGTAATGTCTTTGGTAGGCTCGTGACGGCAGGTAACGGGTAGGCCGACGATTGAAGCAATACAGGGCTTCGGAGCGGTGGACGAGGAAAAGGACGGACGCGTCGACAATAAGATTGCTGCAGCGACGGTTGTCGAGTGTCGAGTTGAGGCTCTCTTTGACTCATTGACCTTTTTGCGGTCGTGGTGGTACCATGGTTAGCAAAGAATCGTCATAGAAGAAGCTCCTTGGCTGCGACGTTAGATTGGACTATCAGTGCGTAGGCGGTGTTCGGCATTTCTGGAGGCCCAAAGGCGTGGCAGTCAGGACGAGACGACGACGTGCAACATGGAGTCGAACAGACGGCCATGGAGTGCAGTCAAGATACAGCTGCTGCAGGCAGGCGGCTCACGGGCGATCAGATATTGGGCACGGCACAGGCTTATAGAAAAGCAGAGAGCGACGGGAGCATTCACTTGTTAGTATCAGGCTGGTGTGGCAGATCCGAGGTCGTCGTGGCAACGCGACGGGTTGGCGTGGCTGGCGTCTGGGGGGCTCATCTTCTTGTCAAAGCTGCGACATGACTAGGACTGAGCGCTCGCTGCTACTTGGACATAGAATTTGATACAAAAGCCCGCTGCAACCACTCGCATACATGCTTCGGCCTCGACTGTCCAGCTCATCTTCTCTCTGTCTACCGCAATCCCCAAGCTAGACCAGACCGAGGCTGCACAACAAACATAACAATGCATCCCACTCTTGGAGACGCCGCAATGGCCGACGACTATCACATGCTGGAGGAGCTGGGGAGCGGAAGTTTCGGTGTTGTCTACAAGGCTGTCGAGAAGACCACTGGCGACCTCGTTGCTATCAAACACGTACGTCTTGCCCTGTCCCCGGTTGGCCCCCACCACAACACTGCCTGACCACCTGCCCCACAGATCGACCTCGAAGGCAGCGACGACGACATTCAAGAGATCCAGCAAGAGATCGCGCTTCTGAGCACGTGCTTGAGCGAACACGTAACCCGCTACAAGGCCAGCTTCGTCCGCGGCACAAAACTATGGATTGTTATGGAATACCTTGGTGGAGGCTCGTGCCTGGATCTGGTATGTCCACAAAAAGCTACCCAACACCCAAAACACCTTCTGACACATGCTAGCTCAAATCCGGCACCATCAACGAGGCGCACATCGCCATCATCATGCGCGAGTTGCTGCTGGGTCTCGACTACCTGCACAACACCGGCAAGATCCACAGAGATATCAAGGCCGCTAATGTTCTCCTTTCGAGCTCCGGCAGGGTCAAGATCGCTGACTTTGGAGTCGCCGCCCAACTGACAAACATCCAGTCCCAGCGTCTCACCTTTGTCGGCACTCCATTCTGGATGGCTCCCGAAGTTATCCAGGAAGCAGGCTACGATTTCAAGGCAGACATCTGGAGTCTAGGTATCACTGCCATGGAGCTTGCCAACGGTGAGCCTCCACACAGTCAGGTCCATCCTATGAAGGTCCTGTTCTTGATTCCCAAGGAGAGAGCCCCAAGGCTCGAAGGCGGCACATGGACCAAGGAATTTCGCGACTTTGTCGCTCTCTGTTTGAACAAGGATGCCGACACGCGACCTACCGCAAAGACTCTTCTCAAGCACAAGTTCATCCAGCGCGCCGGAAGGGTTGATTCTCTCAAGGCGCTAGTCGACAGAGCACGCAACCGCATCGCCAACGAGAAGAAGGATCGCCTGAGGTATTACGAACAGACTTTGCACGAGCTTCACGCTCCAACTGAAGACGACGATTGGGTCTTTGACACTGTCAGACCCGGAACCTATCACTCTCAGACCGTTAAGCCCCGCGATCCTTCACACATGATCGCTTGGGACAGCGAGGCCGAAGATGCTTTCGCTGCCATGGAAAGCCTCGACCCTACCCTAGGAGAGTCACCCTCATACGACCCCGCTGCTACCATTCGTACCTCCAAGCATCCCTCTAGTTCTCCTTCTCACCAAGTTGACCCTTCCGCTACAACTCGCAAAGTATCTGGCTCGACTCCTACCGCACGCCGTGTCAGCAGACAAAGCTCAACCTCTAATCACCCTACTCTTCGTCACTCCGTACAAGCAAAGCAGCCTCTGGGTCTCGACATGTCGTTCGGCAACGGGGCTTCGACTGTACGCCAATTCAAGCGCGTGCCATCTGGTGGCGCTCGGCCTTCAAGTTCGAGCTCATCACAGACGGCTGTCGAAGATACCGAGAACCAGCCACCTGCCGCGCCTGTGATGATGCCTGATACAAAGGAAGCAATTCTTGGAAGACGTACCTATGTCAAGTGCATCGACCCAGCACTACAAGAACTGTACGCTTCCACAGCTCCTGGGCCCAAGCAGACTGCTCTAGCCAAGGTGGCAGAAGCTTTGCACACCTTGGACGAAGCAGATCCCGAAGGTGAACTGTTATTGCTCAAGGCCATCTTTGAACGGGTGCAAAAGGATCCTAGACTCGCCGCCCAGATCATGCCACTCTCACAGCTTGCTAGCCTTCGCAGCAATCCCTCAGTCAAGAAGACACCTCTCGTGACCGAGAAGGAGACTCTTGTCACACCCCCAACCTCGCCTTTCAAATCAGAGATGGCTCCCAGCACCCGCTCGATGCGTCGACAGAGTGCCTTTGTGGACAGCGAACGCGAAAAGGTTCTCCGCACCGCCATCCTGGAAGACAGGATGCCCGGCAAGGTCGAGACTGGCCTCGAACACATCGGCATGCTAGCAGACGCCTTGTATGGTCGCTGGAGCGAGGGTCTGCGCATGCGATGGCCCAACGCATAGATGCCCTGTCAACACATCGAGCCCCGCTAACGCTTTTCGTTTCTCATAATGTTTTTTTTTCTTAATACTTATATAGCATAGCGTGTGTCGGTTATGGTCTGGCGTTGTCGAGTGAGGAGGCCGGCACCTCATCGCTCTTTCCATCGCCCTCACTTTTTTGGTGTTTTTTGTCCTTTAGCTTTATACCTATCTGGGAAACTATTGTCGGTCTGGAGTACATTTGGTTCGGAGAGCGAGCGCGAGCGTTTGTGATTTTTAGCCTTTCTTGTACACTTTCGAGGCTTTCTGGGAGTTTGGAAAAGGGTTGGCAGCCTGGTCTAAGGGCTTGTTTTCTTGTTGGTAGATATATAACGAACAAGCAATTGTGCTTTATTTATATTCACTTTGACGATCCTGTTGCAATCGATGAGTAACCCGAATGGCAAATGGCAAGAGCATGCCCGCGCGGACAAAGGCCGTAATGCACTGTACGCCAACGCTGTGGTTTGCAAAGAACAAATGAACAACTCCCCCACGCACACATCAGGCGATCCGAAAAAAAGAGAGGTCGCAACAGAACCCATCACATCACATCGGATGGATGGCTAGAAGGTGAACAAGGTGGTACCCATGACCGGGTGGCCGTACGTTTGTCGATTACTTTTCATGCCGTGTAACGCCAGTATGCTCGCTTTGCTTGCATTAAAATCCCCCAATAACACCTCTGAATGCACTTTTGATTGTCCTTGATTGGATAGGATAAGAACTCCTCGTATTTGCGCGTGTGGTCGATTGCGGAGTCACAATTATCCGTGTAGCCGAGGAAGGATGCGGAGGATTAACAACTGCCCACGAAAAAGTTGTGGGCGTCCGCTTCAGGGTGATTGAATGGTGTCCGCATGCCGGGTGTCCAAGATGGTGTGGGATTCGTGGTGCTTCCAACACTGCTCTCGTCACGCTCTTCATCCGGGTCTTCGTTACTCTCGGCGTATTCGGGGAATTCTTTGTCGTCGTCCATCCACGTCAGTCCGTTGGCGGCCTCCTCGTCGGGGAACACTTCGCGAGCGTACTCTTCGAGTGATCGGTAACCCTCCCATAGGCTTCTGGCTTCTTGTGGATACTCCAAGGGTCCAAAGTAAGGGGCTCTCTTTTCTCCAAGAGTTTCCTGGAGTGATTCAAGGTGTTCCCGATAGCCGCTAGGGATCGAAACTTCGATATCGATCGGTCCATGTACATATTTGACCGGTCTACCTACACCGCGCGAGAATTTGACGCAAGCCTGGGTTGGACTCAGTCGTTCAAAAGCAAGCGTAACCCTGTTCGAAAAGCGTGAGTTTATAACAATCGGAAACCATGGCATGTTGAAAAATTACCTTTGGCCCTTCCAGGAATTCGGACCCATCTTGAAGATTTGCAGGAGAGCTGGGCCAACATCATGCTCAGCGTCTAGCCAGGGTAGTGGATCATGAGGATGAAAGGGGGCTCTCCACAGGAAGCTGCCATCTTCCTGGAGTTCCATGCGAAATAGTGGATAAGGCAGTGAGGTGAAGTTATTGTTGTAGATTCCAGTGTAGGTGAAAGTGGCCGGGATTCCCAGTTGGCGAACGTAGTTCTCTATCGTAAACTTCTGCGACCACAATGGAAGCGGCCTCCAGTCCGGATTGTAGACAGAATGATCGGGCATGGATGAGTAGATGTAGTGAGTTACGCCTGCTCTTTTGGCAGCGTCCGCGCAGGCTTTACCAATGGCGACCTCATCGCCCCAGTGAGTGGTGTTGATAAAAGCCAGCTTAGCACCTTCGAAAAGGTGGTTTAGGAAGGGGATCAGGTCGGCCTTTGGTTGGCATAGATCTCCCTCGACGATTTCGACATTAGGCAAAGCAGCGAGTTCCTCGGCAACCAGTCCATCGCAAGTCCGGACCTGCGCTCTCACACGCCAACCCACAGCAGAGGCGACGCGAACAAATGAAGCCGTCTGACGACCAGTCGAGTTGATGGTAACTACAGTCTTTGTCGGTCCCATCATAGGCATTATTATACCAGGAGTATCGGGCAAGCCACCACGTGATATGGCGACCGTGCCCGGGTTTGAAGAAACCGTTTTCTTTTTTGCAAAGAAAATTGAGGGGCGTGGAGCGACAATGCCAGAGCGAACGGCAACTGAGGGAAAGGCGAGGAAAAGGTGCCGGGGTCCTTGGGATTGCCGGTGGTTGAATGGTTGTGCGAAGGAAACAGATTTAGACGATCAGCCAAACAGAGAAGGCTTGTGCAAACTGGCCGCGAGGGAGGCAGGAGGAGACGCTCGGATGATTGGCCGGCTTGGTTCACTGCAGGGAGCAAGGTTTCAATCTGAGGTCAGGGCGAGGAGTCGCAATTTTGTACTTTGCGACAGGGCCCCTCGAGTCCAAGGTACGAATGTGTGGGAAAAGGTGCGGGGCAGGTGGGAGGCAAGGAGGCCCGAGGAGGATGGAACAAGTTGGCAAAAAGAGAGGCCGACACGTCGCTGCTGGCTGACAACCGGCTCTTGTTGACGTTGTGTTTTTTTCCTCAGACGGTAGATGAGAAGCCGTGATTCATGTGGCTGCGCGAAACAGCGAAACCGTGCATTTTGGGTACAACATCACACGCCCGCTGGCTTGCGACCTCGTGGTGATTTCCTGCTCCCTCTGTCGAGCACATTTTCATCTTTTTCGGACTAGGCTTAGCAGCTTTACATAATCGTTCCTCATGCCACGCCTTGCTGGGCCCGCGATCGGAACCATGGTGAGAACTATGTGTCAGTCTCCACTGCCGCATCAAAGGGGCTCTCGGAAGCACTGCACGCTTCCCAGAGACACAGAGCCCTGCCGTCTAGCCCGCCGTGGTCGACGACACAGCCGCGTGACCAGCCAGCACAGCGAGAACGTGAGTTTTGTTCGAGTAACAGCATGCCATACGAGGCTAGAGCCGAAGGCTGTCTTGCGGGGAACTCGAATCGGGCAGGTCGAACAGCCGTGCGCCAAGTCAGGACATGTCACCGATTATCCAGCATCTCCGCCGCCTCTCCCATTTGATGCCACTCCCCTAGCCATGGGGCCCATGACCATATGTGCATCATCATTATCATCATCCCGCCGACCTGTGAACCACGAGGAGTGTCGATATTGGCCGTTGGTTGATCGTCCCGTACCATTTTCCTCGTGCGATCGAAGCCGAAACCTACTGTTTGCCGGCAGTCTGAAGAAGCTCTCGTCGGTCTGTGCCTCCGGTCCAGCATCGCATTAATGAATACAATAATATCACAAAATGCCTCCTCTTCCTCCGAGGCTGTTCCATGACCCCATTCTAGCAAGGAATCACGCGACCATCTTGACGCCTCCAAGGATCAAATGATGAACTCAACCACATACAAAGTCGCACAAGTCCCACCCGGTTCGATGACGCGAGCAGAAACGGTAAAGACATCATGGATACACCATAACAACCCTACAAGTAGCTCACCACCAGCTTACCTCTAGCTTGGCACGCGGGATATTCTAAATGAACACGATCACAACACTCTGCTCGAACATATATATATTATTGGTTGCAGTGCGCAGCCTCCCCATGTGCTACAAGTCCGTGACTCTCTCCCTCCTCCCGCGAAAGCGGAGAGTGGCTTCTGCATTATAGAGAGGCACAGTGGTTTCTTGTTCAAGGATTCAACCATAGAGAGCCCAGAATGTATCCTATCTCAATGGTCACTACCCTGTCTATTGAACCTATTGTGCATTTCTACGGCTACACGTGTTACAACCCCTTACACATGAAGTCGAGAAACAAGCATCTAGGTCATTTTATTCTCATGTCTCTGCCAATCAGAAGCACTCCCGAAACTGCCACGTGGAATTCGCAATTGAAATAACCTCACCGATGAGCATATGTATACCAATCGACTACGAACATATATCCCACGTGTTTCTCCATCTTTCGAAATCATCACTCGATCACAATCCAAAACGACAAATTTTGCGAGCCCGCCAATTTCCTGGACACTTTGGAGGTCAGCCGCTCTGATTGGTTTGACAATATTCCGAGCTTAGCTGGTGAGACCCTGTTGCGATTGTTAGCATACTGACAATCTGAGAATGTAGATTTGGACTTACGTCGATGCAACCATCGTAGGCGGCCTTGCGGACCAGGGGTGTGTTGTACCCTCCAGGCTGGAAGAAGAGATCACCGTATCCTTGGCCAGGGAAAGTCGAAGGGATCCAACTGTATGAATCATCAAAGTCCCAGGCAGTGATTCCGACACAAGCGTCCACATCTGCGCATGCGCCAACAGAACTCTCATAGTCGAGGACCTGCTGCTGCTGAGCTGCAGCAGTGGGAGGCACTTCTGCCCTGATGTCGAGCTCGGTGATCGCAACGTCGACGTTGAGGGAAGCAAATGCTTGCATGTTGGCGGATTGAGCGGCCCTAGAAGGGGTTTCTCCAACGATGAAGTGGGACTGCAGACCAACACCGTCGATCTGGATTTTGGCATCCTTGAGACTCTTGACGAGTGCTTGTGCTGCTGTGGACTTGTTTCCAGCGCTCTCAATGTTGTAGTCGTTATAGTACAACTTTACGGAGAGCTTGTTGGCCTTGACAGCAGCTTCCGCAGCTTTGAAGGCAATAGCAACATACTCGGGACCGATGGTGTTGAACCAGATGTCAGATCTCCAGGTGGAGTTGTCGGCCAAGTTGCCGGTGCCGCTATCGCTCAAAGCCTCGTTGACGACATCCCAGGCGTAGCAACGGTCTCCGAAGTGCTTGACGAGGTTGGTGACGTGGTTCTCGAGCACTGCGGTCAGATTTGCCTTTCCCCATGTGCCCGAAGTGAGCCAGTTGGGAAGCTGGTTGTACCAGTTCAGGTTGTGGCATCTGACAAGTCTGCCAGGAGGTGCAGCATCCGCAAGGAAGGTCTCCGCCTCGGTGTAGTTAAAGACACCCTGCTCAGGCTCTGTGAAGACCCACCTAGTAGACTGTTAGTTTTGCACTCTATGGTAGATAAGTCATTGTGTCTTACTTCATGGCGTTAGCAGGTGTGACTTGGCCCCAATCATCTCTGTTGGCAAGTTCGGCGCGGTAGTACTTGTCAGTTGTTTCGTTGGTGCCAGGCACGTCCGCAGCAGTACCGAAGTAGAGCTTTCCGGCCTTCTTGGCGTAGTCGTTCAGGCCTTTCTTGCCAGTAGCGGTTGCCAACAAAGTTGTGGTCTGGACAGTGTTGGAGGCAGAGCTAGTGGTAGTGGTGACGACAGCAGAAGTTGCAGAGCTGTGAGTCGAAGTGTGGGTTGAGGTGTGGGTAGAAGAGTGAGAAGTAGAGTGAGAGGTGGAGTGAGAAGTTGAGTGGGAGGTGCTGTGGGAAGTGCTGGTGCTGCACGAGGTCGACTTGTAGTCCGCAGCGGGCAGAGCAGACACCAGAGGAGCTGCCAACAAGCCAAAGCTGAGAAGCGAACGGATAGACATCTTTGAAGAGGATGTAGTTTAACGAATGGACTGCGGGTTCTTGCTTGATGATGAGTGTAACAGAGACGAGTGCCTACATCTTTATATACTGCTCTTCACAGCGCTTCTCTACCTTACAGACCACCGGATAATCTGTTCATACCCTAGCATTCATGAGTTCCTGCATGCATGAATCTTGATCAAATTCCATTGCATGTGCGAACAGGCTAAACAGACAAGGTTTCCTTCTGGCTAGAAATTGCAGAGGCTTCGTCGCAATCGCATATGGAAACTGAATGGGAGTGTAGCTGAAGAGCACTGGCCCTTCGGGGCCCCACCCAAGCGGCAGGCGAACAGGCAAAGAGCAATCATGTCCTGCTCGTTGCTCCACACCCGCTCCCGCATCCGCATTTGCTTCTAATGCGGAGACGCGGGGCGGTTAAACGAGATATTGGTGGAGTTTTTGGTGGTGGAAAGGAGATTTGAAGGTCAGAGCCTCGGCATTGGGTTTGATATGTGGTCGAAAGCTAGCATCTTGCCCCCAACATGTTGGTATACCAAGACACCGGTTAATGTGTCGGAAAGCTTAATCTCGCAAACTCATTCCACCAAGCATTACCAAGCACTGTAGCAAACGAGCCTCCGTGGTGCATGCGCTATCAGCACGACTGATTCTGGATCTCAACATGCAGTCTCTCTCTGGCCATATCGACGGCTTCGAGTTGGCTAAATTCGAGAGGGGCAATTCTATCCATGCGGCATCTCGACGATGTCTAGAACCACAACCATCCGCCTTGCAGATATTCAATGATCTTCCGGTTACCCCGATGGAAGCAGGGGCAACTCGTGGTTTAACCGTGCCGAGATTCCACGATCCGATGCAATGAGGCTCAGTCCAGAGCCGATATGCTTGATGGCGCAGATATAATAGATGCGTACTCGACGAGTAGCACGATATTGCATTGTCGAAGGGCCAATAGGCAGACGGTCTCGACCAAAAAAGAGTCAAGATTTTCCTTGTACGCCCCGAACTCCATGGTCAAGAGACCTTTTCTCCAGCGCCGTTTTACCGAAAGAACCCATATGCTTCTGTTATTACATGGACCGACGTCCTAGATCTAAGCGATCGGGTCAGCGGCTGTGTCGTCGTTCGGCATGCGCATGTAGTAATCGATTGCGGCACTGAACCCGGCGAAACCAGCGCAACCGAGAGCAGCTGCCTGTGGACCGGCTTTGGCAGCGAGTGCACCGCCTGTGATGCAGCCAGCTGCTACGCCATTGTACAAGTCGTTCTTCGCGCGGAACTGCGTGGTTTTGTTCAGTAAGGGTGCTGGAGACAGGTGGCGTACACAACGGGACTACTTACACCCTCGATGCAGCACTCGGTTCCAGCGAAAATGCTACCAACGAGACCAAAGTTCTTTGCACTGCTCCAACTTGCTTTGCCCATCTCTTTGAAGCCCTGTCGTAGCTGATCCTTGACTGGGAGTTTTGTGATTGCGTCTGCGCCGGCGGTCATGGGGGCATCGTATCGCATCTGTGTGAAGAAGTTGCGTCAGTGTTTATTCTGGAGATCGACCTGAACGGGGCGGTAGGAGATACTCACACTGGACATGAAGAGACCAAAGAGACCTCCCAGACCAAAGCCCATGACACCCGACATGGCAGTTTTTGCTGGACATGACTCCATCGCTTGTTGCATCTAGAATTCCCGTCAGTCTGCGCTGCTCGTCTGTCTCAGTGTAGGCCATGGGCGCACGAATTTGATCATCTGCTGCTCCTTCAACTTCTGCTCGTCCAAACCAGCGTCACCGCCCAAGCCGGGAACTGACATGCCAGGGAAAGCCATCTTTGTGAATCCTACACAGTTCTGTGCGACGACAACCAAAGCACTGATATCTTCCTGTCCACTGGCTGACAAGACCGACCACGAGGGTGCCAAGATTCTCGAGAATTGCGGCGTGCTTAGGTAATCACCGGCGTGCAAAGTTCTGCCAGGGTTGTCCTCAATACATGCATACTGGAGACAGTTTCTATTCTTGAGAACTATCACTCTTCGAAACAGTCAAACGGTGGTGGTGGATATGATTATTGTATGCGGTATCGATTTCGCAGGTTCGACCTGTGACAAGTAGTAGCTTCGTTCGCTTTATCTAGCTCCACTTTTCCGTCTCCGAGTGGTCTTACTACTGTGTTATGTCCACCCTCGTTCATGCTTCCATATTCTCGGGCTGTCGTTCCAGCCCCAATCTTTCCAGAATTTTCGAATGTTGATATTGCACTGTGTCAGAATCATCGCCTGAGAGAAGCTGAGATATAAAGGGCCTGTTGTCATGTAACATGTGAGTCGAAAAAAGGCTTGACAAGGCAATGGTGGCTAGACTCACCTTCAAAGCTTTCGTTCTGCTTTCTGTTCTTTTGTCAAGTCGGCGACTCTCCCATTCTTGCTGTGGCTGGCGATCGTCCAAATCTTCTAGATTTCTCCATCTTCAGGTGTCCCAGTCACGACGAGTCTTGAGCACTCTAGCTACTGGATTTGTCTGCACCAAAAGACCGCCGCAGTGACGACAATCATCTTGCTTGGGATCAAGTCTCTTGCTGTGGTAGCCAACCTCTTCGCCACACTTCTTGTTAGTGCATGTCCAGATGTACTCGAACTTCGGGCTGTAGTTGTGTTCTCTTGTGACCTTGATGCCGAGATCGTTGAAGGCCACTTCGCATTTCTTAGCCCACTCTCTGAAACCAGTTCCGTGCGAGCGAAGGTCCCCGCTGATCAGAATGTTTGCGACATGACAAAATTCGTGAGCAACAGTGTTGAGCAGGCGTTCACGGTCGTCAAGGAGCTTATCGGACAACTCGATGGTGGCGGAAGGGTAAAGTCCGCGCTTGCATTTGGCTAGACCAGCCGTAGCTGTAAACCTCTTGTTCCATGAGATTTTGACACCGCCGGTGAAAGCAGTCAAGTCGGCGATCTGGCCTCCCGTAATTCTCTTGTCGAGTTCTTGAAAGAAGTCTTCGGCTTGATAAACCTTCTCAACGCTGAAGTACGCTGAGCGGCATGCATCGCGACAGGCCTGTGATCTCACTTTGTCGAGAGGATCCACAGTGCTACGTTCGGAGGATACGGCGTGATAGGAATCCGCCAGTTTCTTACAGGCTGGTTGTCCGAAGGTTTTCTTTTTGCGCGAAGTAGCGGGCTGACGAGCGTGGGCAAACATGACTTCCTGCGCCCTGATTAGTAGTTGTCATACGAACGCATAGGGAACAAGTGACCAGTAACCTTTGATGTGCAAATCTTTGATGAGGAGAAGAGGCACCGAGACGTTGTGGCAGAGATGAGAAGAAGATCGGAGAACGATGAGTGAAGAAAAGAGAGGGAGGCGGCTGGAACAAGGCACAGAGAAAAAGAGGAGGAAGATTCACCTTTGCATAACGAGAATATGATGTGTTTTGCCAGCTTCACTTACACTTGTTTATTGTTCACTCCGAGCACGGCCGCACTGTGGACCAGAGGTGAAGGTCAATCAGGACCCTCACAGCCATTTCCTCATTGGTATGGAGATTATGTTGTTGGCGAGAGCAGGATAATCGACACAAACCAGCTCGCGCAGTATGATTCGATGGAGGTGCGACTGCAGCACTATTGTTGTCGTATCAGACACTGACTTACTACCTCAGAGGAACGTTCCCTTGCACCCTGAGCTGCTCGATACACTCCTACCAGAGCTACAAACACGCTTCGCGCACGTGTCTCAGACGGTATGACTTCTGGCAAGATGAAGTCCACATGAGTGTCGTACTGCAGCAACGAAGAACCTTGACACTAAATAATCAGAAAGTACTGCATCTCGTGAAGGTGTGTGATAGCAGCGGACAGTGAAGGATTTTGCCAGGGATGTCGGCTTCTACTCTCGCATCCAGCATCATGAGAGGGCTCTTTATTGTGTGACAATCAAGATTGCGGCTGATACAGAATGGTTCCTGATATCTTCGTTGGTCGATGAACACAGAGATGCCAGGTGCACTTTGTTCACGGGACTCAACACGCTGGTGATCCGGGTTCTTTGATTCGCTGCGTTCGTCTGACACCTGGAGAATGCGGGTCTGTCTGCTTTAGTACAGTGGATGCTGACTGTAGGGTGTCCCAGCTGCTTGAACCGACATGACTTTTGATTGCCTACCTCACTCCACATATGCACCCCTCTTTTCGCGCGACTCTCTTGCAATGCACGCGCGCCGCACTCGATGCGTGGCGCATCCCAAGCAAAAAGTAATTGATGAAGAGAGTTTGCGTACCTGAACATCCCGCGCTGCAAAGAGGCCGAGAAGCGGACAGGGTCATCTGGCAAGGCGCCACGATATCGAATCGAATATCAAAATCAAGCCATCCTACTTGTACTTGCGAGCGAAGATTGACTGATCATATTCTGCGAAGGATTTTGACAGTCTTTCCCCACTCACACACCATGTAGCAGGTGTAGTCGAGCTGGCTACCGCTTATCAATAGTGTTGCGTACTACTCTATGGCGTACAATAGGAGTTTGAGTTGAGATAAGAACCACGCGAAGGCATATCGTCAACCACATGTCCGTGCAGCAGAGAGCCGAACGCCGTGCAGCGTGCATGCAAGTCAAGCGCAAGAACGACCCAGGGGTGCGATTTCAAGTGGCATGTCTTTGTTGCATGAACAACAAACATCAGGGCGCTTTCCGATATCCGTCACTTGCAGGCCAATTCCCATCCTAGAACAACAGTCGGGGATGGAGGCTGGGGTTCTAGATTGTGGATCTTGCGGGCAGACGAATTGAGGCAGCTGTAAATCACGGAAAGGTGTTGAGCAGATACAAGGTCCAGAGTCAGTCTTGTGGCTTGCACCTGCAGAAACCTGTAGACCCGTAGCTCTGTTACTGCCGCTGCCGCTAATCAACAAGAACGAAACTCCAGGGCAAGGTGGGGAAGGCGAAGATATGCGATGTCCGACGCTCGCTGTCGTAGTGCAATCACACTGCTGCCATGTCGTGGGGTTCATTCGTCGCTGCGACTAAGCATTTTGCTTAGCTTCATGCCGTTTCCAAGTCTCAATGCACCACCCATGTCGATATGCAAGACTTTTCTAAACGTTTCGCGAACGCCGATGGGAGCTGTGATTCGCGAGAAAGAAACTCCCGACAGCTTGAGATTTCGGTGGAGCTCGCCGTGTCCGGCAAGAAACGGAGATTTAGCGAGCGCAAGAGGCACAAGTCCCCAGAAACACCTGCCTCGACCCTCATGAGTCACGCCGAAAGTAAAAGAAATAGCAAGATAGATATCACCCTTTTTTTTTCCATCATCGCTTCTACCTATTTGTGACTCGCATTGTGATGATCTATTAGAAGAGGCAAGCCGCATCCGCCGCGTATTCGAGCCTTCTTTTCTCACGTCTTTGTTCGCTTCGGCGGTCCCCGGCAGCTCGAGTCTTTTCCCTATTTCGACTGCGTACCACCATCCACGCTATCGGACATTGTGCGCGTGCAGCGAAAACCAAACCAATCCCGTGCAAGCAAGAACACCGCTTCACACCCCCACGTCCCATTGATTGCGACTTGGACTAGTCACGCATACATACTGATCCGCTCGATCACGCACATACGCATCACCAGCGCCTCTCCCGTGCTTTCATCAGGTTCCTTGGAAGCATTGACACCTCTTTGCGACATCACAGTCGTGATACTCGAGACTTTGGACTTGCAGGTCCCTCGCAACGATCGTCTCTTTGCACCAAGTACTCCACTAGAGCTAGCTAAGTACCGGCCAGCAAGGACCAACTTCCTGAAGACGTCTTGTTACTCCGCATCGGACTGCGCCGTGTTATATATACTGGACCTTGACTCCCCATCTTTGGAGCATTCTTATCCACTCGCCAACCTTGACACAAATCCGCTTTCATAGCTCGGGGAACCACCCAACCCTTCCATCACTTGACTTTTGGACCGGATTATGAACTTCAAGAACGACTATTCTCATTGGCCCGCTGGACAGGAACACATCAACCGCTGACCTATCACCCTCTGACATTAGTCCTATGTTCTTATTCGCGACCTGTATCAAACATTGTTTCGCACCGCTTGATTCATCCTAGAAGCTTGCTTCCTCTGTGAATACACAGAGGCAGCAGCATCCTAGCCCAACTCATCAGCGCTTGAAGACAAATCCGATTCTGCAATCGCGTTTTCCACCATGATGGAAAACTCTATGATCTTGCTGAACGCTCAAGTTCAGTTCCTGGTACGTCTTCTCCTTCACGTCTCTTGGGAGTGCTCACATCTGTACATGAGGCTCTCAGCTCTCGGCTCCTCTGTCTGGTTTGGTAGATTTAGGAGTCTGGTTGTTAGTTTCGAGTCTTCGTACATCAAAATTGGTCACTTCTTTTTCTCTGTGCAATTCGTTCACAATCAACTTTACTAACATCGGTCCTCTTGTGCAGGAAACCAAACTAGCAATTGTGCACATCCCCCTACACTTATATTCACACTTTATACAACCTATCTTGCGTCTCCTGACGCTTACAGACGGCGCAGATGAGGTGGACGGGCTGCCTCGTAGGAAGTGGGCGTATCCTAACGCCTTCACCAACATCTCAGTAACCACGATTGAGTGTTCGGTGGTCTGTCCGCGACGCCTGGTTGACGAGCTGTTCAGACCGTTGATCGAGAGGCTAGACGCGAAAGCGAAACAAGCAGTCATCATCAGCAACGATGATTTTGTCGTGATACAAGTTGGAGGTGAAGGTATGGAAGCTGGACAACGAGTCTTGGATTTGACTGCGCCTCTTGCGCTCGCTGGAATGCAAGTCGATAACCTCAACCTCAATGTGAGCCATGCTGACCCATCACAGCTCGATCTTCTTCATCACAAGCTACTACAGCGACTTCGTACTTGTTCCCTACAACTCCAAATCAACAGTCATCTCCGCTCTGGAAGAGCGAGGTTTCGCCTTTGAACCCGTTTCCAATGGCCATGGCGCAAACATGACCAATGTTTCTTCACCCCTCCACTCGCATAACCGCAACAGCAGCAGTTCTTCATCGATCGATCTTCTTCAATCTCCAGGCACGCCTCCACCAGCAACGGTTGCTGAATGGCAAACCAAAACTTTCTCTACACTCCACCGCCACGACATCCTCCCTTTGGTAGATGAAAGCCTAGAGTTGCGCACCTGTGCCGGGTATCGCAGCGACAGCGCAGACATCCACGATGCGATCCAATTAGGCATATTCAAATGTCTTCTCACAAACCCTCGATTCATGTCCATCACCCTGACCCAGACGGATACTGTGTCCCTGACCCTCGACCAAGAGCTGCTTTCCCAATTCCCTTCCTCTGGCGAAGGCATACTCCTCCAGAACGACCAGACCTATTTTGCTATCGTGTTCGATTTGCGCAAGTTGCCCGAAGAAAGTACGGGTATCATTTGTGGTGTTGCTGGACGTCTGTTGGACAGGTTGGGTGATGAAGGGCAAGGTGAAGGGACATTCAACATGAGTTATCTGTCCACGGCTAGGACAGGTAATGTGATTGTTCGAGAAGATGAGGTTGGCGAGGCGCTGGAGGCACTTATAGAAGAAGAGGCCATGAGTGTCGATGGTATCAATGTTGTGGCCAATGGGCATTGACAGGAGGAGAGAATTGGAAAAGAGATGGCATGTTGATGCGGCAAAAAGTTCTTGTTTATACTTTCAACCTTTCGCTTCTTTGAGCGGCATGTTATTATGATCGTCTATTCTATCATGGTTGTTGGAGTAGGCTTTCTTACGATTTCGGACCGTCATAATCTAGCATAGCATATCTTTCGATGATGTTGCATAGCATCGTAATCTTGACTTTGCGGCAACTGCCAGCTCTCAGCCAATGCTTGCATCATCACTTGTGAGACCTGAAGGCATAGCACTTCCAGTCCCAGCTACTTTTGCTCTGCATGAATGCGGCGTAGTCGGAGCGAGGGATTATATCTGACAGGCAGAAGAGGGTTCAACCAAAGGCACGATCCATCTGCGAGCCCATATCATTTGCAGACGCTTGGGGTCGCAGGGCATCAGTGTTGTGTTCATCAGCATCCAACAGGCTAGCACCTGGCTTTGTGTCTGGCGGCGGAGCGGTAGTCGCAGGCCTTAGGATTTTGGCATCGCTGTCCAGCCAGCCAGGGGCCTTTCTTCTCTTCTCAGCCAACTCGCGCTCATCAATGGCAGCACGCCAGTCGCGGACTTTGGTGCTGGCCTCAGAGGCAGCAGTGTCAAGCTGATGACGCAGGGCTTTGTTCTGGGTGACGATAGTGGAGGGCTGAGCACGAAAGCCTGAGCCAGAGGTCACATAGGCTGGAGGGCCCGAGTGGTCATCGCTGTCAGAGTTGAGGATTGAGGGTGGTAGTGTCGAGGGCAAGCTGGCGTAATTGTGTGGTAGGGTCGGCGCCTTTGGCAAGGTGATGAAGGGGGATACGGTTAGCGGGACCTGAGCAAGCAACGGGTTCTCTGTGTGACGCGCTTGTCAGTCGAGGACACGACATTGATTAGGGTCAGAAGGGAAGCTTGCGTTCGGAAGGCATGGTGCCTGGTCGTGACGTGTTACTGAAATTGAAATGGAAACGAGACGTGTAAGGGGGACTGAGCCTGGTTCAACGAATCGTCATAGTTTGGATTGATGAGTCGCGAGTCGTGACTGCTGTCGGTGTACATGCGACATGCGAGATGCGGCGCCCGCCACCCCGCACGCTGATCTTGGCTGCTGAGATGAACTCCGGCGCATCCACCCCTGCACTTCTCGTCTCGAGAAAAGCCACAACCACTACGGACTACCCTGTCGCCATAATCATATCGTGCAGCACTGCCCTTCTGCAAGTTGCCGCCTCGTCACAAAAGCTCTGGAAAGCTCAGGGACCAACACTTCACTTGATGAATCACTTGCTCTGACCCATGCTCATACACACTAGTCACCTCAACGGCTCAGAACCAGAGCCAGATGCGTACCAAGATATCCATCACTACCCAATGTGACAAGTCGAGACCCTTGTAAACAGTTCATGTGCCGTGTCCGGACTGCACTCCATCCACCCCTCGTCCCGACTACGTCTTGCATTACATGCCTGAGACTCTTTAATGCTTGCCGGTTGATCCCTGACAACCCATGTCACCAATCCATAGGCAGTCCAACTTTGTCATCAGCATGCGGAGCCTGCTACCGTTGGTCTTGTATCATCCTTAGCCGCTGGTGCTCAATCAAAGTCTAAACTCCCACATTGCAATCTTTTTGACTTTGCAGAAGAGCTGTACCTTTGGTACTCGGCACACTGATTCTAAACTCAAGTCACGACTGAAGCAAAATCGCTTCAGCTCGAGAGGGGTTCCTAGACTATCGCTACAGTGTACAGATCATCCACATTATTGAAATGCGCTCTGTCGATCTGCTGAAAAGTACGCTACAAACTGGCTGTGGAGTCGGAGGAATAGCCAAGAATTAGCTTGATGTCGTGTGCCGTTGGAGAATCGCAGGGGTCTTTCGAGGCTTGCATGACTCTCGCTTCAATAAAGATCTCATCTATGTTTGCGCAGCTTGATATCGGCTACCGCGTTCTACCAAAGGCCGTAACAACGCGGCGTCATGAAACTCATAGGAGGCGAGATTGAGTCAAACTCAAAATGATAAGAGGCTGAACTGTATACGCTTCAAGGTTGAGTGGGTCGCAGATCATGTCAGAGCAATTTTGATCTCAGTCAACAGGAAGAATGTGAGATGATAACATTGGAAAAGTTCATTCAATTTCCAAAAGACCTTTACGTGGTAGTAAAACTCATCGCCCCAAGTGAGGTAGTCAGTCGACTAATATCGACCATGCATAGATTGAAAATGCCAATTATAATGAACACCACAAACGACCAACCCAGCTTGAACGGTCATCTAACAAAATCCAGCCTCGCAAGGCTCCCCGGTCCCAATAAAAAAATCAATGTCAAACGCCATCCCATGAGGTCGTAAGCCCAGTCATACTGCTGCACGAGGCAGTATGCCGAGAGGTAAAGTTGTCGTAACCCAGTCGCAGACTGATGTATTTAAGAAGAAGAAGAGTCGATGCTCATGCCAGAGGTCTCCTTGCGGAGACCGGCAAGGTCGTGCTCTGGAGGAGAGCCGCGGCGACGAGCTGATGATGTGGCAAGCTCGAACTGTTGCTTGGTGTGCTCATGCATGAGTCTCTGGTATGAGAGACGAGCAGAGTCGGGATCGTTCAGATCGTAGTGCTGAGGAAACTCGTACTGAGGGGCGGTGGGCTCAGAGTAGTCCTGAGCGATGTAGACCTGTTGGATCTCGGAAGGGGCGGCCATTGTGATAGATGTTCAAAGTGCTTAAGGGCTGGCGTGCAGAAGAAGAATTCCTTCGGTTGAAGATATGAAAGACTTGCTAAATGTTGTTGAAGTGGAAGGTTGTTGATGAGAATAGAACGACATGTAACGAGAAGAGCTGCGTCCCTTATATGTTGAAACTCGTACAGCAAAAGTAGTTCTGCAGTGAGCAAATGCAGAGCATGACGGGATTGGATCAACGTCAGACGGAGACGGTAGACCCTGAACCTCTAGACTGCAGTGTGGTCGTTGGTGCGGGCGTTGGTGCTAAGATCGGCAGCCACCCAGAGCCTACCAAAGTCTGAAGCACGCCAGCAGAACAGGTCTATTCCCGCGTCCTCACCGGGGAGAGCTCGATAAGTAGGTCCCCCTGTCGTGGAGGCGGGAGGCTGCGAGTATCGGGAGATTCTGATTGGACGTAGTAACCCGCAATTAGCTCATTGCCCTGTGTGCAACAGCGGGCCCGAGGGGCTAGACAGCAAGCCTAGGCCACCTTTAGATAAGGACCCTGTACATCATGATGTAGTTGGCGAGCGAAATTGCCCGGTGGTCGTCTCGCATTTTCTCGCGGTGCCGCTCTCAATTGTTGGGGGTGTTCGCTGCCAGGGAGGGACCCGGAGGGTGAGCAAGAGTAACAAGGACGGTCGCATGTCGCTCCTTCTCGGTTCCGGACAACGTCAGAACGCCCTGTTGTTTCTGGATGATCTCTGCAAGTGGCACACGGCAGTGGAGACTTTCTCATTCCTTTACGAGTAGGTCTCTGAATTGACGTTGATGTGCTCTCTAGACCCTGAGGCTTACGGTCGTGAGTCGAGATGTACGCCGCTGACCATTTTTCGTGACTTGTGCCGGCACCCGCTTGACACTGTTGGTGGCCGTGGCCCACGAAAAATCGTCTGCATGCAGAACACGCCCGGTCGAGTCGCCGCCGACCGCCACCACCGTTCGCAAGGGGAGAGGCAGCGCCGCCAGTGACGTATCTTCTGCCTTGTCACCACGGCAGCAACGACCATTCCCAGGCCGTGAGTTGTCTTCATGCTCGGCCTTCTCTGACGTCGACGGAACCACTCTCTCGGCACACTTTGAAAGACATGCAATGATGCGGATGCACAGACTGCTGCCCTATGATGTTGTTTGCCTCTGTATTACTTTTGTGCTGCACTCCACATCAACCTCGACCTCCTAATTTTGTCCGGGTGGAGGAAGATTGACATCAGACACCACCAAGGATCAGGCCGATCACCTATCAATTACCCCATTCAGCCAGCTTTATAGGCGCAAAGGGTTTGAGGTAGCGAACCAAGAGGCACGCACTTCGTGATACCTCGTCATGTTATCGGGATTTCTCCTCACGAACTGCTTATCCCCTACTTTCAGACAGACGACCCAGTCATCCTTCTAGGAGTCGATGGTCGGCCTTCGCTATTGGTTCACCGGTTGACAAGTGCGTAGGTAAAGGTTCACATCGATCACCCTACTTGGCCTGCATCTGAACCCGTAACAGGATCTCCATATTTGTTCATATTATTGAGTGGGATTGGTATGTGCTCGACATCCCGTATGCATATTGTACAGGCAGCGTTTGGGGCAGATCGGATTCCTTCCTTAACTGCAGGATGCAGACCAACGTATCCTGCGGGACACACCCATTTTTGCACTGTGCGTCACTGCTCTAATCATTTTGTGCTCGAGAAGCACGTTACATGACAAGTATCCGTCGGACAAGGTCGTCATTCCCATCGATGTCCTTACGTATGCGGCTCAAAATCTGATGTGAACTGCAAGGCATCAGAAGACGTCCTGTGCATCGAATACGACCATCGACTCATCACGCAACTCTGCTTCTCTTGCTCCACATCCATTGACCATATCACTCTACATATGTGGGTAGCTAACTCGTGTCTGAAGTGACACATTCTACATCCTCCCCATGCGCTCAACTCCGCCAGCCATCGACCGATGTTGTTTGCTTGATCGCAATCTTGATCTTAATCTTGATCTCAATCTTGATCTTCGAGGTCATCGACCGTGATCAAAAGAACCACGTAGTACAGCCTGTGATTCATCGTGATCAATGGCCACCAGTCTGTCCTGGACAGCTCTTCATGCGTCGTGCTCGATGATAAAGGTTACTACATCGCCGACGCCGATGTATTCTATTCTCGATGCTGGCAAAGATCTACACACGTGGAGAGTTACCGGATGAACACCAGATGAGGACCGAGTCATCCTCGGCGTACACACAGAGCCTGGCGTCGTCACTCGTCAGGAATAACGGTCGTGACTGCTCATCGTTTTCTGTCGTCGTCTCGTTGCCGTCGTCTTCCACCAACTCATCCTCTCGTGGGACTCGGCTTCGATGGCCCATCGTTGAACGTTCTGCCATGTAGTGCTTTGCTAAGGATGCTGCCTACCGTAGTTCCGTCATCGTGCATGCTACGAACGATTTCTTTGACACGTTCTGCGCCGATGGTCAGAGTTTTTCTCTTCTAACAATAACCTATCGCTTTTTGTGCTGCTGCTGGCCGCGCTGACTGGCGCAACGAGTTCTTCCAATGGTTAGCAGAATAAAGCAAGACTAGTCATGGACAGCATGAAGAAATCGACTTTCTGGGACAAGTCGGACTCATTGGAAACATGACCGGACATAGGTCACCACGTATGGCTAAAAGTGTATTCAACAGAAGTGGTATAGCGTTTTGTCTTTCATCAGCCATTGTTACTCAAGACCTCTTATCCCTCTTTCCTCAGAAGCGCAGGCGTCTTCGATCACCTATCAATCATTGATAGTTACGCCTCTCGTACCTTCTCTCCCATCTGATCACAATTGCTCTCTGACTCCTAGACCTCCTTACCAAGCTGCTCATGTTTGCCTCCAACCGTATGCGCAATTGGTCCTTCAATCGCACGTCAGGCTAGCCGCCCTGAACCCTTGAACCAGCGGTAAGAGTCTGCTTTTGACGGATGTGAGGTTCAGTCCGCCGACACACCGCAACAACAAAATTGCTCTTCCTGCGGCCTTCCGTACCAAGCACATTATACCGTCTCCTCAGGATGGAACCTTTTGAACCTGCGCTTGACGGAGTGTGCTTCCGGTTCGCGCACTTGATTATGGTATCTAAAGCTGTGCACGGCACATGCTTCCATATTCAGCGGCGACAATGAATCATACGCTCCCTCGAAACAAGACTCGTTGACCGACCCAGAGCTAGTACGACTGTTACAGGCACAACCCCCTCCAGCACCGCTAGTCCTGCTAGAGGTCTTCCGTAACACCTAAGTTTGATCCGTACAGCTTTAATAATGCACAGCTGTCGTGAGAACGCACAGCCTCCATCGAGAAGCGATATCATGTTGAACCTCGTGGGATAGGTCTCTACTCTAGAAGACATCGTGCATTCTTGTTGTAAACAATACGCTCTATACATCCGTAAGAGGGGCGTGAGAGTTACAAAACTTATCACTTGGGGAGGGAGGATGTGGCTGTTGGGAAAGCAGATGAACAGTTTACGGCTCGTGTGATGGATCTGATATGACGTGCTGTCAGACTCTTTCGTATCTTTATTGTGGGTCGTTATATTATGGGTATTGTTTATGAAGCCAGCAGGAAGATCAACAGAATGATCAAGACAACAATCAGAACAGCGATGCAACAGCTGGAATACGTATCTGTGGTTGATCGGCATGGTCAGCATAGGATCCAACAAGCAATCGAACCAGACTGAGATGAAAGGCGACGAGATTCACAGAGGACTAGAGAAAACAAACCTTCGTTTTTCCTGATGACCCAACCAATCTTCTTGATACCATTTTGAAGCTTGCCGCCCACGCGATCGGCGATGTTGTCGACATCATCGAGCAAGTCAGCTTGTTCCTCGAGTTCGCGGCCCATGGTATCGGCCTGTTGACGCAGAGTGCCTACAGTCTTGAAGACATCATCCAGAGCTTCATCCTGCTGTTGCATAATCTCCTCTTGCCTCTGCTGTTCAAACTGGGCATAATCGCCGTCTCCCTCTCCATGCTCGTCATCGCTGTCAAAAGCACTGGGATGTGGTAACGAAGTATCCTTATCCTTGGCCTTGGCCTTTCCGTGCATTTGTGCTTGCTCGACAGTCTTTGCGAGTTCTGCGTGCATATCTTCGATCTCTGCGCCTACATCTTCGACTAGTCTTCGCCGCCGCTCGACCTCGTCTATTTCTAGGCCATAGCGGTATGGGTCGTGTTCGACAGCTTTCACGCTGTCGACTAGATCGCGCAGGTCGGCGCTGAGGTCTGTGAGTGTGGATTCGAGTTCGTCGCGTGCTTCGACGAGTTCGGGGGAGGTGGCTGAAGAGGCCGAGGAGCGGATGCGGATGTAGCTGTTGAAGAGTGGTCGCGTTGTGTTCAGGAGCGAGAGGACGTCACTGCATTTGCTTCCATATCAGCATCAATGCTACTATGCAATGGTATTACAATTGCAACGTACGCCTGGACCTGTAGAAAGGGGTCTTCGGATGCCATGATGGTTTGAGTGTCGTGTCTGTAGCATGCGGCCCGCCTATGCCGCAATGACAATCTAGCTCATTGTTTGATCTCGGAGTAGAGACAGAACGTAAGAGTTTCAAAAGGCGTCGAGTTGTTGTTGATTGAGGTCAAGGTGCTTCCCCAGCTCTTTGTCGTCGTTCGGTCTTTAGCCGGCGTTAAACTTTGGTGTACTTTTTTCTCCCGCCAACCATTTCATACGCATACGTTCTACACCGCAGTCAAGAGTAGCAGCAGATTGTCTCAATTGATATAGCGGTCCCTATTTGAGTACTTCGATACCGTATCATGATGGGACCAGAACGCCCTCTGCCCTGCTCGCCAGAGTTCGAGACCTCGGAACAATATGTCGACTCACTACTGGACTTTATCGGCACCTCTGAATTGCTACAAGCTCTGTGTGGTGGTGTTCACGTGCTCGACTTCTTCACACGAAAGCCCGATCTTTATAGCCTGGTAATAGACCCGGATTGGCGATCTTTCTTCCGATCACACAATATCATGGACATATTGGATCTGCTCATGCGTGAGAACTTGGACGTTTTCGACATTGGAACAGATTCATGGAGAGAAGGCCCTGTGCCACCAGCATCTTTGTTGCAATATATCAAGCAAATCAGGAAGTTGTCTCTACGACGTGAACATACTCCGATCGACAGAAGGGCTCAAAAAGGAGCCAATGGACCAAAAACTACACACACCCTGGCTCGCCAAGTAGCAGTTGGCATGAATGTCAAAAAGATCCACGAAGTTGATAATTTTTGCCGCTATCTAGACAAACTGACCACTGAGATCGCCGATTCTACAGACCGGGAGATCACCCATCTGGTCGATTTCGGAGCCGGTCAGAATTACCTGGGTAGAGCGCTGGCATCCGAACCTTACAACAAACACATCATTGCTTTGGAGAGCAGAGCACACAACATCGAGGGAGCAAGAAACTGGGACGTGCTTGCCAAACTAGCTCCCAAGCAACCGACAATGGTCAATAAGAAGGAGTGGAGGGTTCGGCAACAAGCGATGGCTGAACAAGGAATCTCCGAGAAGGAAGCTCAGAAAACGGATCTCAAAGGGAAAAGAGGCTTCCACGCAGAAACCCCTGCCGCACCTCAGGAGGAACCAGCACAAGCGACGCTCAAAATCTCGAATTCAGGGGTCGGCAGCATCCAATACGTCGAACACTACATCAAAGATGGCGATCTTTCGCGTGTGGTGCCTCAGATCGTGGATCAAGACGCTATCCGCGAGAAAGTGACCCCAGACCTCGAGGCAGCCGCGACACGGCCACCTTCCTCGAAACAGCTGCCAGACAACTTTGTTGAAGGAAACCTCCAAATCGACAATTCTATCAAAGCCCAAGACCCACGTCTTCTCGTCATCTCTCTGCACAGCTGTGGTAACTTGGTCCACCATGGCATCCGTTCTCTTCTTGTGAACCCCTCAGTCTCTGCTGTTGCTCTAGTTGGTATGTGAACACGACCGGATTCCTCAGTATATGGCTAACACAGAAGCAGGATGTTGCTACAACTTGATCACCGAACGTCTGGGGCCTCCAACCTACAAACTCCCCTCCCTACGTTCAAACCACCCACGCCTAACCCAAACCGCAGAAGCCCACGACCCCCACGGCTTCCCAATGTCCGCTCGTCTCTGCACCCAAAACACCTCAAGTGGAGAGGGCGTACGTCTCAACATCACAGCCCGCATGATGGCAGTCCAAGCACCCCAAAACTGGGGCAAAAAGGACTCTGAAGACTTTTTCAAACGCCACTTCTACCGTGCTTTGTTGCAGAGAATCTTCATGGATAAAGGTATCGTGCCAGCTCCAGCGCCCGCCGATGTCGAAAACAATAACGGAAGTCCATTGGGTTGGTCGGCGGGCGGTGGCACTGCACCCATCATCCTGGGCTCGCTGAGGAAATCCTGCTATGAGAGTTTCGTTTCTTACGTGCGTGGTGCGTTGGAGAAACTCGTCAATGACCCTACTCGCGGAGAGCAGTTTACAGAGAAGATGGCTAGTATGAGTGATGAGGAAATTCGTGAATATGAGGCAGACTTCGAGGAGAGAGGAAAGGAATTGAGTGTGATGTGGAGTTTGATGGCTTTCAGTGCTGGTGTCATTGAAGCTGCTATTGTGGTTGATAGATGGTTGTTCCTTAAGGAGCAGGATGAGGTTGCTGATGCGTGGGTAGAGCCGGTGTTTGAATTCAAGCACAGTCCAAGGAATTTGGTGGTGGTTGGCATCAAGAAGTAACGCACCAAATAGTAAGGAAGAGTCACCCTGACCTTCTAAGATCTGCATTTGAGACTCAATTACACTCCAACAACCGAGTCCTGTATTATGCGAATTGCCATCGTTATGATGCTCGAACTCCAAGATTCGATATGTACAAGAAGTTTCGGATTGTCGTTAGCGAACAGTGGTTTCTCTCCCCCAAACTCCCGTGACCCTCCTCTTATCTCAATATGCTTTGTTTCATTTACGCGTCCAAAAGCATCTTCCATAGACCATTGGATTCGGTGAAGTCGTGATGGATAATGTTGACCAGCCAATAGTTGTCCCTGATGTCACGCAGCAGGTTGGCGGACGGTGAGCGAGGTGGGTATACGTGGCGCCATTCGGTCCAGATGCCAAATGCTTCTTCGGCCCAGGCGCGGAAGGAGACGGCTTCGATCATTGTCGGCGTGACGATTCTATTCGGATCTTGTGTCAGTGACAATGTGATATGACGGGGACATGAGGATTATACGCACTCTTTACCAGTGAAGCAGCCCCATGTCACCGGGTTCAGACTCTCCTCGTCTGCTGCTTGGAAATCGCCCTTGCTGTTGCAAGCAAAGTATGTTACTTGGTCGTCCTTGTCGAGCTTGGCACGTAGTCGTGCCCAGTCTTCGTGTGAGCAGAAGAATTCGACAAAAGGCTGTAACATGTGTTAGCAATTATGAACGAAGTATAGTTCGAGGAAACAGTACCTTTTGGAAAACAAAACCACTGGGTGGTCCCCAGCCAAAGATTTCGTGGTCACTACGGAAGCCGTTCACTCCAGGTTGGGAGGCGACCGTCCACCAACCCTTCTGGATCAAACCAGCCAATTCGTTCTTGATAGTCGCAGTCTCGGGGTTGAGACCCTCCTCGCTCCAAGGAATGGCATCTAGGTCACCACTTACGTGACGCGCGAAGATGCTTGTAATGTCTTTGGTGTCGACAGGGTAGCCCCAAAGCTTCAATGCACTCGGGATCGAGACATGCAAACTGACACCGTAACCATCAATCTCACCATACGCAGGACTGCGAGCGTCTCCCCATCTACCGTTGGGGAAATCATCCCATGTCGCCTCGCGTCCTAAAGCACCTTCCCCTTCGGAAATCGCTAGTGCGTCTGCGCGGGACGGCGGGTCCTCGCCCGGTACACCCGCCTCATCGTCAAACGCCTCGAAAGACGCACTACTGTGAGACGCAGACCTCGAAGTCTTGTCGACGACAACGCGGTTTTGAGGTGCGGAGTTGGCGAGGGAAGATCTGCGACGAGCTTTCGCTTTCTTGTCAGTGCTACCGTTCGCAACCGGTGTGTCATCGTCTTCGACTGCGACAGTGTCGTTGACTGCACCTATCAGCTTGCATCGCTCTACGATGTGTGCGACTGCCTTCTCTAGATTGAGTGTGTAGAAGTGGAATCCCTTGGGCCCGGGAGACGGGCTCTTCTTTAGCGTCTCAACCATCTCGCTCAGGATATCGACACCGGCACGCTTGACAGCCTCGTCATCGTTTCTGATGGGCTCCAGTCTGTCCGAGACTTCGCTGGGTAGATTTGCGTGGCTCAATTTGGTGGTTCTCTTGACAATCTGGTAGCTCTGGATGGGCATCAAACCAGGAATGATGGGAATGGACTCGAAAAGGCCGCTCTCGTGCTGTCTTAGTAGTCTTTCGTAATCTTGGTATGCGTGAATGTCGTAGAAAAGTTGGGTCATGAGGAAATCGGCGCCGGCCTCGACCTTTTCAACCAGGTATGGCAGGTCGTAGTTTGCGTGCTGATGCTCCGGGTGGGACTGATCAGAGTGGCCCTCGGGGTATGCAGCCACGCCGATGCAGAAGTAGTGTCCGTATTCCTTGCGAATGTATCGTACCAAGTCAACAGCCCATGTGAACTCTCTGTTGCTGTCGTCCTCATCATTGTTCTCCAGCTCGTTAGACCTGTATTCGTCGCTTCTCGGAGGATCACCTCTCAAGGCAAGAATGTTCCTGATTCCCAAAGCTTTTGCCTGTTCCAGAGTCTCGTCGATGAGCTTGCGCGACATGTTTGTGCAAGTCAGATGCAAGCACGTGGTAAGACCCAATTGTCGCTGGGTCATTTCTGCCAGAGCCAGAGACTTTGTCGAAGTGCTGCCGCCAGCTCCCCATGTTACATTGACGAAGAGCGGGCGCAACGAATGTGCCATGCGAGACAGACGAGCGTGGAGGTTGGCGAAACCCTAGTAACATGTCAGAAAGGTCCTCGCAAGCACTTTGGTGCCCCTCATCGCCCCTCACCTGCTGCGTCTTTGGTGGAAAGAATTCCAGCGAGAAATAAGTGCCATCCTCGGGCAGAGCGGCAATCTTGTCGACTATCCTGTCCGAAGCCATATCTGATGATGTTGTCGCGTGCATGTTGGGCGTGTGTCTGCGTGCGAATGGAAAAAATGGGATAGCAATGTCACCATTGACATGATTCGGCAGTTGTTCTTCTTAAGGGTCGCCCCGATACCGCCAAATCATCAAATTGTGGAGAGCCTCGGACTTCCGTCATGGTTAAATCCAGCCTGCGCTTTATTACTGCTTTTGTTCATTTGACGCGGTTCTAATCCAGCGACCGTGATGCCGCTCCACCTTTCTGGAGCAGAAGCCCCTAAAGGACTCTGCATCTCTGTATCTTTACACTGATTAGATGCCCCACCCGCCATCTCCAGGCGGACCCCGCGATCGAGGTGCCAACCTAATGCATACCTGCTATCCCTGTCTCGAGATATGCCCCCACGCGCGTACCGTCAAAGAGAGCTGCTTTTCCACGCCTTCCAAAACGCTCCACTTGGCTATCAGGTAATCAATGCTTCAAGGTACATGCAGTGAGGTACGGCCATATCACCCTTGTATACTGTTTCATCACACTGCAACCTTTTCCTCGCCGCTGCCGTTGCCCGTCGAGCTCTGGTTTTGGTTGCGGCGTCTCTCGCCGTGATGGCCCGTCTTTTCCTGACGAGCCTGGTCAATCGCGCTGCGTTGAGTGATGCTGTCGTCATGGCTTTTCCAAACCATGTTGGTGTCCGCCGGCAGAGACAGGACGCGCTTGATGGTTTCCCTAGTTCAGAACGTCAGCAGCCTTTCTCAAAATCGCATCACCTCGTGACACTTACCGAATCTTGACGTTCCTGCCGCCGTCGTTCTTGGTCCAGATGCTGAAAACATCTTCGCCACTACGCACACTGACAACCGCTCCACAAACCTCCTCACCCGCCTCGGCGAACTGATCTCCAATCATGGCCATCAGCAGATCCTCCCAGTAGCGGTCTGCAACCCCCTTCTTTAGTCGCAGAATCCACTTTCCACCCTTCTTGTTTTCCTCATCTTCCCATACAGGTCTGATTCCGTCACGGAAGAAGTGGTAGTCTGACACGGTGGGGAGGCCAGAAGGGTGTTTAAGGTGCGAGTACACCTGCCAGAACTGTTGTGCTGTCGAAATCTTGCACATAGGCCTGGTGGATTTCTCGTAGTCCGAGTTCTTGGACGTGGGGGGCCTGTACCAGATGACCCATGTGTACTTGAGCGGCCAAGGGCTGTCATTGCCGCTCGCTGCCGGCTCTATTGATTGTGAAGTTGTAGGACGAGGTGTCGTGACAGGCGCAACCTTTCTAGCAAAGCTTTTCTTGTCATCGCCATCCTTTTTCTCAGCCGAGTTGACGCCTGAGGGGGTGCCAGCGACAGCTTTGGCAAAGTCAAAGGCCGTGCCAGGTGTTTTGGGAGTCTTTGTCGCAGAGCCAAACGAAGCAAAGGCGCCTGAGCCCAGGCCGAAAGCCCCAGAAGCGCCTGTAGTAGGAGAGGAGATCCCACTGGTGTTCAAGGGTGTGACAGCATTGAAGGGGTTGTTGCGGCCGTGCGAAGATGTGCTACCGAAGCGTTTTGACGTGTGTCCTTCTTGACGATCTGACTTGTCCATGGACAGGGAAAGTTTGCCAACACTGCGCGAGCACAAATTTAGCCAGGTAATAGGAGACAGGGAGAGTGGGACAATTTTACTTTGTACGACGGGACCAAAGGTTGTCTCTGTCCTTGTCCATTGCGGCGACTGCTAGCTGGAGAGAAATTGTGGAACGAGAAGAAGCTTCGGACGGAAGAGAAGGCTAGCTAGGCAGGCTGGACAAGGACGGAAGAGTGTGATGGGCGTGATTCTCAAGTAGGCGACGGCAAGGTGCAGAAAATTGTGACAAGCTGGCACTGCGGAATGGTATATAGCGAGATGTGGTCAAGTGGTTGTATGGTGTAGCTCTAGATGCGGCAATATTGCAATGGTAGTTGTAAGCTGAATGGGAGTCGAGAGGTGGACGGGGAGCAATAGCGTGGTGAACTGTAGTTTGGCGGGAGTGAATCGAGTGACAGACAGTATTTGCATGATGCTCTCGCAGTCGCCGTCGCGCGCAGAAGCTCATGCCAAGCCGTGCACGGGCCCGCTGTATCTTTTCACTACAAGACATCGAGCGCGCATGCGACTTCTTCTTTTTCTTCTCAACCAAGACCACCAACTCAAATCTTCGCCAGCCGGTCATATTCTCTACCTGGTTGGCGACTCCGATGCGTGTGTCGAGATTGATTCTACCCCACTTTTAAAACCGTCTTCACGAGGGCCCCTTCGTGGTGGCTCCCAGGACATGGCGACGACCTACAAGATGGGACACCTCGACGATCGTAGCAATAGTTTTAGCAAATGTATGTCTTCCGTTCAATTCTGTCCAAACATTTCTGCTATGATGATCAATCTTGAAATTGGTAATCGCACTACTAGCGCAGCCGTAAGACATTTCAGGATGATCTTTCTGGTTGTGCATGGCGAGAAATGGCTTGACTGAGCACCTTCATGAGAGACTCATTCTGGTTTCATGAGGTTCGTTCCTGGTTGACGCAAGTATCTCTAGTGCACGTAAACACTTGCAGAGAGAGATGCACCGACAACAGTAATTACCTGGCACGTCTATGGGTGAGTCGGGCTTGAAGAGGATCTGCCTCGGCCCTTATGTGATGCTCTTTGCAATTGCGGCGTCTAATGTATGTGTATTCTTCTACGTCTTCTTACTCTTCTTGTTCCCCTTCTTCTTGCTGATGTCTTCAGTCGAGACCTGACCTTCCGTGCCCCACTTCTTTCTCAACCTCTCCTCTTGTTCTTCATTCCATTCCCGTGGTAGTACTGCGAAGACTAGGTAACTTGTATGCGTCTTGATCTCGGGCTCGGTTCTGTGCACCAGTCTTCCCTCCTTGTATGTCTTTCTCTCTGCAGCCTCCTTTTTGATACGTTCCAGTCTAGCCTGCTTGCTCTCAAAGTGACTAGCCGGGTGATCCTTGGTGCTCGGACGAGGCTGAGGTTCTCCATTCGCCTCGGCCACTTCATCCACTTCCTTGATGGCCTCGTGCCACTCCTTGAATCTGCCCTCGACTTCGCGCAAACGATTTACGGCTTCGTCCACAGTCGCGGCTGACGCATTGACGCCGCGCAATCCCTCCTCATGTAGACCCACGCGTTCTCGTCGCACATCGATACGTTTTTGCATGACTTCAACCATTTGGATTTCTGTCCAGCCAAGGCGGCGGAGGGCGGCCACTGTTGCCGTGACTTGTTCGATACAAGGGCTGAAAGTACATAGATGAATAGGAACGTTGGGGTTGAGAGGAGAGATAAAAGGTTCGGTGGGTTCTTCTGTTGGCGTTTCTGTCTCTGAAGGAGCCGAGGCGTCGGCGGCATCGGAAGAGGCAGAGTTGGCAACGATTTTGGCGGTACGGGCTGGGAGGCGTTGACGGGTCAGGTTCTTGAGAGCCATCCATGGCGCAGGCAGGTCAAGGAAGATGGCGTCAGCTTTCGGAGACTTGTCTTTGGGATCTTGTTCGTCGAGAAGGAAGCCGTCGCCATAGACATCTCGGTGGGTGACGCGGACGAGGTCATCCAGACCGTGAGCCCGGACCTCGTCCTGCAGACCAATGGCACGAGGCTCATGGTATTCAAAACTGCAGACACGGCCATAACGGCGTTTCTTGAGCGAAGGTTCTGACGAGGATTGCGAAGGATAGCCGTTGAAGACAGCGCGTGCTGAGGCATGGGTGAAAGAGCCTGAACCTGCGCCGGCCTCGATAATTGTTTGGCCAGGACGGACCTGGAGTCTTTGTAGAATGTAGCTAGCGTCCGGAGTATAGACTACCTGGGTACGATGGGGCAGACTGATGGTCCAGCTCTCGGGGGTGGGTGGTAGCAAATGTACAAAGCCTGTACCAGCCTGGATAGCCTCCTTGGGTTCAGTGTCGTCGATCTTGCGCTTAGCACCACCGCGACCTCTTGAACCAGTGTCGACCTTTGATGCGCGGACCTGAGAGCCCCATGGGATATCCTTCAACGTCGAGTGCGGGAAAGAACCAAAACGGGTGTTGGTGACAGCACCCTCTGCGTAGCCATCGTCGGCGGTTGATTTGAGGACCAGGGGAATGAGCTGATCGCGTTTCAGATGTAGAATTGCCAACGAGCCGATGGAAGCGGCAACTCCAGGTTCCAGAAAAGGCGAGGGTTTGAAGTCCGAGGTGGCCATTTGATCGATGTGTTTGGGCGAGCTGGAAGGCGCAACATTATTTTTCTGACCAAGTCCAAAGGCCATTTGCCAAGGATTGCGGAGAAGAGTGGGGCACTCCCGGCGGCCGACGAGCAAAGCAGCAGCAGCAGCAGCAGCCAAGTGCAGGTGCAGGGTCCACGAGCTTTGTCTAAAGTTGAGTGTGACTCGTTCCTTCCCTCTGCAACATCACAAGCAGCTTGTCGATGCCCAGCTGCTTCCCGTCGTCTGCGCCTTTGCTCCTGCCTCTGCTCCGTCCCGCCCCTTCGCTCTTGCGACCACAAAGTTTTGCGACTCTTGCTCTTGCGACCCGATCATTCTCGACCTTCCACCTCACAAGACGCCTACCCACTGCCAAACGTCCGACTTGCGCAAATCTATCCACATCGTCATCGCATCGTTCAAGAGGGAAAATGGCGACGGTGCAACCACAATGGAACCCTCCTCCAGTCCCCGTTGAAGGAGCAACAATCCCCAGTTTAAAACTCTGGAACTCATTGACCAGGTCCAAGGTTGATTTTGTGCCTTTGCAATTGGGAAAGGTTTCGTGGTATAGCTGTATGATTGCTCGGCGAGTTTGATGCTGCCAGTATCTTGCTGATCGGCTGCAGGCGGTCCTACTGTATATGACTTCTCCCATTTGGGCCACGCGCGCAACTATGTCAGCTTGGATATCCTCAGAAGAATCATGACACATCTGGGCTACGACGTGAACATGGTCATGAATGGTATTGAAACACATGACCCCAACTCGCTGCTACATGTCTGACTCGAGATGCAGTCACCGATGTAGACGACAAGATCATTCTTGCTGCCCGTCAACAGCACTTACTGACCGACTTTATCACCAAACACGACAACATCAATGCTGACGTTCTCGATACGACAAAGGCCGCTTTTGACGCATATCTCTCCAAGAACCTTCCGCTTCTGCCTGAAAATGTCTCACCTTCCGACTACACACAAGCTGTCGAAAAGACGTACGGTCATGTCTTACAAGGCAAGAACTTGGCCAACGATGGTGCTGCCCCTGGAGACAACGAAGCAAAGGTCAAGATGCACATCAAGACATCTTCCACGGCTGCGGAAGCTCTGATTGCTCAAGCCAATGCCACAGACTATTACGCCAAGGCCTCTGGCGTCCTCTTGCCATATCTCGATGCCAAATTCGGTTCCACTATCGATGCCAACGATCACGCCCTGTTTAACAGCCTTGCAAAGAAGTATGAGAATTATTTCTTCGAAGATATGGCCGACCTGAATGTCTTGCCCCCTACCACTATCACTCGCGTCACCGACTACGTTCCCCAGATTGCAGACTTTGTTAAGCAGATCCAGGACAATGGCTATGCTTACGAGCACAACGGGAGTGTCTACTTTGACGTCGGCGCTTGGGAGAAGGCAGGAGGAGTTTATGCTCGTCTGGAGCCCTGGAACAAAGCCGACCCCGCTCTTCTTGCTGAGGGTGAAGGCTCTCTAGCAGCCAAGGGTACTTCTTTCAAGAAATCTCCAGCAGATTTTTCGTTGTGGAAGGCGTCTAAAGCTGGTGAGCCCGCTTGGAACAGCCCTTGGGGTCCTGGAAGACCCGGCTGGCACATCGAGTGCAGTGCCATGGCCTCGGACGTTCTCGGTGCGCGTATGGACATTCACTCTGGCGGTATTGATTTGGCGTTCCCACACCACGATAATGAGCTCGCTCAGTCAGAGGCTTTCCATTGCTCATGCCCCGCCGAAAAAGACAGCACCTGGGTCAACTACTTCCTCCACATGGGCCACCTTGGCATATCCGGCGCAAAGATGTCAAAGAGTCTGAAGAACTTTACTACAATTCGTGAAGCCCTGGCTAAAGGAACGTGGACGCCTCGTGGTTTGAGAATCGTCTTCCTTCTCGGAAACTACCGTGCTCCTTTGGAGATTTCCGACTCAATCGTGCAGATTGCTTCGCAATGGGAAGACAAGATATCTAACTTCATGCTTAAGGCCCTGGACACAAAAATTAATCCTAGTCAAGGAGCAGTTGACAGCGAGACTGGACTGTCGCCTGACGGTCCTCTAAAGGAGGCACTTCAGTCCGCCAAGATCTCTGTTGAAGATGCGCTGCTGGATTCCTTCGATACGCCGACAGTGATGAAAATTCTCTCTGATCTCGTCACCGCGTTCAACTCTGAGACTGGTGTTAGTGACGAAGTAACCATCGAGATCGCCAAGTATGTCACATCGATAGTCACAATGCTGGGACTGGACGCAAACGCACCATCTCATGGTATCTCGTGGAGCGGGATCGAGGTTGACCCTACGGTTGCCCCATTCGTGTACCCCCTCGCAAAAATCAGAGATGAGGTACGAAAACAGGCCATCGCAGGTACCATTGATGCACCCGCTATCCTCAGTCACTTCGACGCCACTGCGCTCAAGACTTCACCATCTACAAAGGAGGGTGCTGAAGCTGCCGCAGCCACAGCAGACTGGTTGAGCAAACTTAATGACCTGATCAAGAGCGATGCAGCTCCCAAGGCATACATGCCGCTCTGCGACGAACTTCGTGACACTACCCTCTGGAACTTGGGCATCTACCTCGAAGATCGCACTAACGCACCTGCTTTGGTACGTCCCTTAAATGCGTCTCTTCGCGAGGAACGTGCGAATCGTGAAGCTCTCGCTGCCATGAAGCTGGAGAAGGCAAGAGCAGCTAAGGAGGCTAAGGAGAAGGAAGAGCGTGAGAGGTTGGAGAAAGGAAAACTATCTCATCTCGAGATGTTCCGCACGTCGGAATTCTCCGAATGGGACGCAGAGGGCTTGCCGACAAAGGACAAGGACGGCAACGAGGTTGCAAAAAGCAGAAGCAAGAAGTTGAGAAAGGATTGGGAAAGGCAGAAGAAGTTGCACGAAGCTTGGGCCGCTGCTGCCAAATAAGTAAAAGTTCGTAGATGAGACTCGTCGGAAAACGTGTACTTGATCAAAAAAACATTTGACACCAAGATCTTGCAAACAAAGGAACCAAAAGTTGTGAACTCTGTCAAATTGTGGAATCCTAAAGACTTCTCCTATGTATGCGGAAGACTAGCACGATTGGCCATAGAAATGCATAGTCCTTACCAGAACAAAGAGACAACCACGGAGACAGGCCACCTCGAATTATCTCCATGGCCATGTCTATGTCCATGACAATACTGTGCACTTGAATGGTACAGACATAGCCGTTTATGGCCGTACGAGAGGGGACAAATATAGTTGTATCAAACAAGTAACTCAACGTCGCGGAACCACACGTCCTCTAGAACGAAGCAACAATCTCTAGAGTCTTGATTCGTAAATGAATTGCGAATATTATAGATAACGATGTTTCGATTGAATTAGAATTATGTGTCTAGCTTCGAGACTTTTACAAAGGTAATAGAATAAGGGAAAAATGAAAGAAAAAATCTATACCAAAAAATCAAGACACCTTTCTAGTAAGGGTTAGCAACGTTTCTCTGCTTCTCTCCTTCCTTGTTCTTGGCCAGAGGCTCGTGTCTTGGCCAGTGGAGTCCCTTGAGTTTTTCGGTGAATCCAGAGAAACTGAAAGTGCTGACTCTGAAAAGCCAGTATAGGGACACGGCAGCGAAGATGTTGAAGACGATGTATGCCCAGAATATACCGAATTGCCTCCATACTTGTGAATAGTAGATGTTTGAACCAGAGAGGAACTGATCTGCGTTGCTCAGTGCACAGTAGGCACAGTCCCTGATGGCATTGGGGTTTTGGAGGGTACCAGGGGCGGCTTGGAGGTATGCATCCAAGTATTGCCCACAGGTTTGACCTTGAGGTGGGTTGAAGATGCTGAGTTCAGCTTGGCTGCACACAATTTCTCTGCCGTGGAGTTGAGCAGCCACGATACCGCCGACCCAGTAGGTGAAGGGCGATACACGGTACATGAAGATCCAGAAACCAGGGAGAGCATCGGGAGACTGCATGACACCGTTGAACACCAGGGACATGGCGAACAAGAGGGTTACAATTGCGGCCGCTAAATTATTGTTAGCAAAACTTTTCGTATTGTTGAAACTGGACAAAACACGTACCTGTCTGTGCATCTGGCATGGCGACGATACAGAGATGCGCGAATGTGCCAGCGTAGATAAAGAACTCGATGAGGAAGAGGAGAACCATGCCTTGTCGCAGGGAGGGTTGGATACCCTGAACAGCATAGTAGTAGGAACCGAATACCAGAACAGCCAAGACGATGTTGTAAGGAATTTCGACGACAATGTTGGCAAGGATGAAGGCCTTCCAGGAGTATGCTTTGCTGGGTCTTTCACGGACCTCGTAGAGCGAGCGTTGGCTGACGAAGAGAGGCATTATCTGAGAGAATCGGTTAGCAAGGTCAGTTTACCGAGAGAGAATGCTATATTTACCTGCTGAACCAAAGAAGAGAAGATTGTGCAAACCATGAAGGCCGAAAAGATGACGTTCTGAAGTCCTTGGGTCGAGGAGTCGGCTTGGTAGAAAGAGAATCCAATAAACAGACCAGCAGCAATACCGAGAATCCACTTCGCGAGGATATAAGACGGCATGCGCCAGTACTGCTGGAACACACGTGTGGTGACAACGGCGATCTGGGTGGTCAATGGCATGGCGAATTCGCTGAGTTCTTCCGCAGTGGGCTCGTGATCGCGAGCTCTGCCGCTCGATTCTTCGTGCAGCTTGTCGATCTGAGTCTGAACGGCTTTGGCCTCTTCACTCTTCTTCCAGACATCATGCCAATCAGGGCCTTGTCCAGAAGATCCGGCGTTGACGATCTCGAGCATGAATTCGGCGGGATTCTCTTGGTCGTCACAGTGCCTACTTCCATGCTGCTCAAAATAGTCGAGAAGTGTCCTAGAGTTTTCTCCCTAAAGCGCGGTTGCAGTTAGCGTGATTCGACTAGACTGGATGGTACAACACCGCGTTTCGGTTAGACACGTGCGCCCAATCTGCAAGACGCCGCCCTAAAAGCAGTTTCGATGGAACAGCCTCTTACGACTCTCCATACCCTCTCCGTGTGCAAGGTTTGTGATGCGTGTAGCTATAGAAATGCACAGTGACTTCAGTAAAGAGGAAGTATCCGCAGAGAGCCGAGAGGTAGACTACTCTCAGTGGACGCCTCCTGTCTGCCGAAAGCACTGTGCATCTCTATAGTGAGAACGTCGCTCCGTCCATGCGTAGGAGGAGCGTGGGAGTTACAAACTTTAGCACACGGGGAGGCCAGATGTGCAGATAGTGCCCAACCTTGAACGTGATGTGGCTCGACTTACAATATCTCCGAAATACACCGTCTTACCGCCCTTTGCCAAAAACAAGAGACGATCGAACTCCTGGAAAAGGACGGCGCTGGGCTGATGGATAGTACACAGGACAGCTTGACCGGCGTCGGCAAGCTTGCGGAGGAAGGCGCAAATGGCCCAGGCACTCTGAGAGTCCAGCCCACTGTATAAAGTTAGTCTTATAGTCCAAGTTGCCTTGATGTGTTTTCTTGCCTGGTAGGTTCATCCAAAAAGAGCAGCAACTTAGGTTTGGCAGCAAGCTCGACACCTATCGTGAGTAGTTTACGCTGCTCGACGTTCAAACCTTCGCCAGGAACACCAACGACAGCCTCGGCGAAGTCCTCCATGTCGAGCATTTTGATCACTTCCTCAACGTAATCGTACTTCTCCTTTTTACTGACTGACTTGGGCTGCCTGAGCATGGCACTGAACCGCAAGCTTTCGCGGACAGTGGCTGTCTCGAGATGGAGATCTACAATCGTTAGTGTCGGATTTCTACCAAGAAAATTTGATACTGACCTTGTTGTTGAACATAACCACAACCTCTTTGGAAGCTGGCATCAATTGGCTTGCCATTAACCAGCATATCCCCGGTGATGACGCCCATGGTCGTACGTTGAGCGAGGGAATCCAATAGAGTCGTTTTGCCAGCACCGCTGACACCCATTAGGGCAGTGAGGGTTCCGGGTTTAACATAGCCACTGACGTGATCCAGGAGTCTGCGAGGCTCGCCCTTGATCTTGATGTCGTAAACAACGTCTCTCCAGGTGAAAATATCCTTTTGGGCAGGGATAGCATCAACTTTGTCGCTCTCGGTGTGTTCGTTCGATGCAGCACCCTGAGCAGCTGCCTCTTCGTCGTTACTGCCTTCTTTGATCTGTCCAGTAAGACTCGCGGGCGCATGTCCCTTACGGAAGACCAGAACTTCGGCAGTACTGCTGGTTGAAGAATTGACCTCAACAGCAACGAAGTACATGGCCATGAAACCGATGAGGAATGCGATCATAATGCCAAAGTTTCGCCATACGTGCGAATAAGAGTACTCGTACGCAGTCTGGATGTAGTTGTCTCCGTTAACTGTGCGGCGGCCTGCAACTGCACCAGTCTGGGAGCAGATAAATTGATCCCCTTGCAAATTGGGATAAGCAGGCACGAATTGCGAGCAGGTAAACTCTCGTCCGTGGAATTCATTAGCAATCAGAATTTCGAATGCGTAAAAGATTGGATTCAGGTAGTGGATCCAATTGAACCAAGGCTTCATGTATGGCTGGGGAAGAACATAGCCTGTATAGATGACAAGCGCAAGAACCATCACACCGGCTAATGTCATCGCCTGGGAGATTGTCTTGGTGATAGCTGCGAGCGTCCTGAAGACTGCCGACATGATTTGGCCCACAATAAACGTGATCAAGAAGTAGATGAAGAACTGCGATGGTTCTCGTCGAAGACCAGCCAGGAAATAGAGAATCAGGTTGAACACAACGGTGGTAATGAACTTGACAGGGATATCACTGACCACACCAGCGATTGCTTCTGTTGCCGGATGGTAGAGGGCATACGATTTGTGTTTTTCGACGATTGGACGTTGAGCATAGAGACTGTTGATCTCGTTCATGGCTGACAGCGCATTGAGAAGTACGGCGAAGAAAAGCACAGCTCCTTTGGACATGAATCCAACAGTAGCGTCAGGTGTTCCGTAGAAGATGGAACCGATGATTAGAGCCATGAAGACATTGACAAGGATAGCAGAGGCGGTAGATGGCAGATCGTTCCATATACGTTGATAAGATCGCACTGTGTTCAGCTTGATCTGCATAGGCACCGATATGAGGTATGGCGACTTCAGACGGGTGTGGTTTGCTTGAGCTTCACCTTTGTTCTCCCGGAAGTTTTCGACCATTTTGTCTCCAGAGACCGACTTCTCATGTTCCTCAATGCCTCGTTCCATAGTTTTGTACTCTGAAGATTCGAGCCAGCGACGCTCGAATTCTTCTGCGGTACGAGGTACTTTGTTCTCCATGCCTTTGCGAACTTTACGCTCGGCAGGATTGGTAAGACCAGTAAGGAAATCTCCAGTAGTCTGTCTCTTATCGCAAGTCCAACCTTGCTTTTCGAAGAAAGCACGAGCTTTGGGTGCAGAGCCATAATAGATGGTGCGACCCTCGTAGAGCACGATGGCCTTGTCAAACAACTCATAAATCTGCTGAGAAGCTTGGTAGATGGCGACGGCGTGAGCTGATCCACCAAGGTTTGCCAAAGTACGTAGCGAGTTGACAAATTTGAACGCAGTTGCCTGTGATTACGTTAGCACTTTGCAGATCAAAGGCTTTCTACTCTCCCGGTCAAGCGGTGTGATACTCATGACTATAAAAAGGCACAATAACTTCAATAACAGGGTAGTAACCACTGAGATGTGACGAGGCGTCGGATCTCGATGGGAACACCTCTGATCGTGAAACTATTGCGCCTTCGCACAGCTCGATGAGGGCAAGGGCATGGGGGAGGGGATGACTTACCGAATCAAGACCACGCGTCGAATTGTCCCAAGCTCCCAAAGGAGATCCAGTAAGAGCCATTTCAGCGATACTGACACGCTTTCTCTCACCACCTGACACACCACGAACGAAATCGGAGCCGACCTTGGTGTTGTATGTATGGCTGAGACCAAATACTGCCATGATGACTTTGGCAGTGTGCTTAGAGAATTCCTTTCTTGACAGGCCACGAATACGATGGCTGGGGGTGCGAGTGGAGGCAGCGAACTCAAGAGTTTGGCCAACTGTCAGATGAGGGAAGTGCTTGTCAACCTCTTGGTTGTACACGACCTCCCCCTTGAACTCTTTCATCATCTGCTTCTGGCTGACACCATTGTAATGAATCTCAGATCCTTCATCGATGTGGAGCCCATGCGTCTCGCCGCAGATGGACTTGAGGAAAGTACTGCAGCCGGAACCTGGACGTCCGAGGACGATGAGCAGTTCACCAGACTTGAGATTTCCGTTAAAGTTGTTGAGGATTTGCTTCCTTTGAGTGTTGTGCGAGAGCAGAGACTTGACCATGCCGAGGGGCTTCAAGGCGATGCCAGCGACAGTGTCTTGAAGCTGCAGAGCTGCACCTGAACCAGAGACCGAGAGATTCTTCCAGACAATACCTGCCCGAGTAGCTTTGACATTTTCTGAGTCGAAGTCTTTGACGAATGCGCGAAGCCATTTGTCCAGACTGAAATCCTTGGATTCGGGATCAATGCCGGCATAACTTGAGTTTGTTGCAGATCGAGTCAAGGTTATGAGATCGTTTCTCATGGCCTCTCGGTCTTCTCCAGGAATGTTGATTGGGGCATATGCAACAGTTTCATCACTGCTTCTCCTCGATGGCGGTGTGCTGCTGTCCTCCGCCTTTTCGATTTCTTCTGTTGATCTAGGCACGGGTTGCGGTGCGAGGTAGTTCTGCTGTGGTTCATAACTTTGGAACTGGTGAGGTTCCCCAGCTAGAGCGTCGTCTGCTATTTGCTGGGTAGTTCGATACTCCATGTTGACTATGGTAAGACAGGGAGTCAGGAGGTATAGAATTTGGAGAGGGTCTGGAGAAGAAAATGAACTAGAAGTGCTGCACCTTTCTATATCTGCGATGGAAGGTATTTGAGTATGTACTTTGTTTTCGAAACGGTTTGCATGACGAACTGGTGGCTTTAAGCATTAGAAGCCCTAGACTCCAAATCGTTGTATGAACCGAAAGTACACGGCCTAGCGTCAATCGATTGTGAAATTGTGTTTCAACGACATCATTCCGGTGGTTCCATCACAACCCCAGAGCAACGGAAGCTGGAGGACGTTGGAATAGACTCTCGGCGACCCTCCTATCCGCCATCCGAGCCCCTCGAACGGTAGCACGCCGGCTCCGTTGGCGTTTTGGTAGTGAATTACCACCTGGAGGGACGAAGCTCCGAGGAGTATAAGGTGGAGTCGGGACAAGATCTTACCAGGAAGTCGGTACCTCCTCTATGTGCTAAAGACAGCCACATCGTAGCTATAGGAATACATAGCATTTTCCCGAAGGGGTCGTCGACATATGATGATATTGTTTCCTGGGGTAGCTCTTTAGCACACTTCTATCTCGAGAGCGGTTGTGCGTTTCGATAGCTTTCAATGGTTATGTGTCACCGTGGGGAGAGTAATCCGAAGGAATGTGACAGATTTCAGTACACGGGAACGTTTTGGAGAGCATGACAAACTTTTCCAGGCACACAGCCTACCAGCGTCCAATACAAGGCACCGTTGGTCAGCTCAACAAAAGCATTCATGCTTGGCTTGGCTCAAGTTCCTTGTAGGCATACGAAGGATCGTATTCGAGACTGAGAGGTAAGACGAAAAAGCGTCCCGGTACGGAGCCGCGGACATCCGATTGCTATACGAGCCCATACGAGCTTCGTAAACACACATTCATAACTGCTGCGTCGCCCCTGTAATCTTTGTCAGACAGAGCAGCACTGCGGCAATGGAACAACCACATTCGGTTCTCTTATTCGTATAGCTTCTCGAACGCGTACGCAAAGCACACAGATAGGTATCATCGTGGTTCCTCGTGCTTCTCAACTCCATGATGTCAGCCTGTCAACATCGTCAAAATTGAGTTTCAGTGGCTTTTACCAAGACTCCCGACGTCACAGGCTTCTATCACCAAGAAATGCTTCCAACACTCGACACTCCTGCTGTCCAGCGATGGTTGGTCGTCCTCGCTCCAAGGGCTGCTCCACATGCCGAGCTCGTCACCTGAAATGCGGTATGCATCTGCCAAGTCGATAGTTGACAAGTTGGATGCACGCTGACGAGGTTCAGACGAGAGACGGCCAGTCTGCTCACGCTGCGCAAAAGACAAGTTCGATTGTGGGCCCCGCTCCGACGACTTGCAAGTCATCCATTACAGTCCCCCAAAGTCGCTTGCGCGTAATTCACCAAAATCTGCTGGCGCAACAGACGACCATGTCTTCATAACGCATCTAAACCACAAGCTGTTTACGGGAGATGATACACGCGTGCGCTGGGTTGGCTTCAACGCCATGGCGCGACCACACACGTTGCCCTGGAAGTGCTTGCTTGCATTGTCTAAATCTTTTTACGGTCGAGTGCAGCAAAACTCAGACATAACACGGCATGGTATTGCCCTGTACGGCCAATGTCTTCGGGATGTCAACAAAGGTCTATCCGACGTGAAGAAGCATTCAGCAACCGACATGCTCTTATCAATCATGATTATGGGCTTCTACGAGGCAAGATGTGACGTGTAACCTTCTGCTGACATGCTATCTGACGAGAACAGATGCTGCTTTGTACCAGTCACGACGCTTGGATCCGCCATGGACAGGGCATATCAACAGTATTTCAATTGCATGGGCCAGGAACGTGTAGAGACAAGAACATGTTCGAGCTCTTCCGCAGCAGCAGGTTTCTTATAGTCCTCTCCTCGCTGGCCAGTAGACGACCCACGTTTCTCTCGGAACAAACATGGAAAACAGTCCCTTGGCAACAGCAGAACTTAGCAAAAGACAGCATGGATAATCTTCTCGACATCATGTCCGAAGTACCTGCTCTCCGAAGTACACTGTTCACTCTGCAAAATGGCATTGATACAGGAGATGCAAATGCGGCCACGTATTATGCTTTAGCAGAAGAAGCCACTGCTGTGCTTGCTCGGTTCCAGGAGTGGAGAAAGACTTGGAACGCCTCGTCAGAAGGCTGCATCGTTAGGATCTACGCAGATGAAGAGCAACCAGAAAATGAGTATTTACATTTTGCAAGTCTCTATGCGGCGAACTGCTGTTCGCTATACGACGCTTCGCTTATACTCGTAATTGAGACCATCCTATTATCTGCTCAACCCGGACAACTGTATCCTGGGGTCGCGGCCACACTATATGAGAGAGGACGTCAGGCAGCCATGGAGATCTGCGCGAGTCTTGACTTTCAGCTTCAACACTCGCATACCAGACTCGGTCAACTTTTTGTTATCTGGCCGTTGCGAGAAGCTGGGAAAATACTGGGCAAGGGCAGTCCTGCGGAACAGCTTCTATTTGAACGGCAGAAACAGAAGTTGGCCACGGGACAAGATTCTTGGGAGATATCGAAATCGGCTTTCGGAAAATACGGTTGAACTTCCGCCCACACAGGTCAGACTTCAAGGTCTTACTGTCATCTACTCAATATCTTGTGTAACTGCAAGCATATGTCGGCATGCATACGTATCGACTCCGAACCGATGTCTCAAGAGGACCGTGCTGTCATAATTGCCTTGGCGGAATCACACAGAAGCTAATATCCATAGAACCTCGGACGATGTCAGTGTTGCCGGTACTCATATCTAGATAATCATCACGAATCTGGAAGCCTCAGAAACCAGTGGTAAATCCTCGAAAGCACAAATATCCAGCCTGCTTCATGGGTTTTACATCACTTCGAATCGATCAGCACTACATACTAACCACATGTTCTGCTCCCGTTGTGAGTGTACCAACCTCTAGTCCCGCAACACTTATGATTGATGATCGAGTCACAGATTGGCCTTAACGTCTCACTAAGATACCCACCAGGGTTGCGCCCTTAGCGCTAACGATTATCGAGATATTTGCACATAAGAATAACAGCTGGAGACCTTACTTAACCTTGACCTATTCTTCTCAGCCCCTTCTCACAAAGGCCGGAGCGACATTCTCGCTATGAAAAAGCACAAAGGTTTCAAGATTGGAGACTTATATATAGAAGGCCGAGCGTGGGTTCCTTTTCGGTGGGTCACATCCTCCCTCTGGAACTTATTGTGCATTCCCACAACTGCATGTATCACGCCCCTTTGCACACGGGAAGTTGACCGAGCAAATGAAGTAACGGAGATTCCAGAAACGTATCGATGTAATAACAACACTCAAACAGCGTTATATAAACAACAACCAAGACTCAAGTTGTAAGCATATCGACCAACCATCCGATCTCAGATCCGTCCAACAAACAACCACAGAAGTTTCTCAGCAGCTTTACTTTCCTTATCGTCTTTCCCCTTCCTCTTCTTCTCGTCCTTGCCTCTCTTTCTATCCTTCTCTGCCTTTCTATCTTCCTTCTTTGCTTTCTTATCCGCCTTCTCACGCTCCTTCATCCTTGCTTCCATAGCCTTCTCCTCAGCCTTTGCCATCTGTCTCTGCAGCTGTTGAGCCGACAACCTATCAATCGCATTCGTCTGCCTTGCCTGTACCGGAACGTCGAATACCAAGGGCGCAATGTGAGGGGACAAGGCTTGTAGTCTTCGGTCTCTTACACTGACTTGCATATCCTTCTCTTCCAGATCATTGAGCAGAGGTTTATTCGCATCAATGCCGAGTCTCTGTTTGAGCTTTTCTGTATCCAAAATCTCCACCTTGAGTCCCTGCGGCGCAAAGATTTCTTCATTGGCCGTCTTCAATAACCCCGCAACTCTTGTCTTTGAAGTCACGGCATTGGCGATTTTAGCGGTGGCTTGCAGACTCGATCCCACCAAAGCTGGGATATGGTGAGGTACCATTCCGACTATGCCACCAGCGAGATCGAGGACCTGGAGTGGGGGCGTTTGGGCGAAACAGACGTTGAGGGTATCGAGGAAGGTAAGGAAGGTGGAGAGCGAGATGTCGGTATTCGAGAGAGCGGGGCTGTAGGCACGAGTGAAGGGGTTGCCGGCGCCGGGAGCGGTTTGGGGTATCACGATGGGGGGGTCGAGGTTGTGTGTGGTGGGTTGCTGGGATGCAGAAGGTGGTTGATATGAAGATATGGCAGGTAGGCGAGCATATTGGTCTGGGATTGTCGCGTGGTAGGCCATCTTAGGCTCGAATGGTGTAGTGATGAACTCCTGATAGTTGCCGGGGTATGGTGGTGGAGACATTGGCGATGAATGTTCTTGCCAGTGTCCAGTAGGTGGTGTTAAGTAGCGTATCTCCTGAGGGTACTGGCCAGGAGCAGAGTAATAATAAGCCATATCCAAGCAGCTATGCGGCAACAAGAGTAATAAAATGGAAAGCAATCGAGAGTAGTAGTAGTAGTGTCTGATACAATGATAAGTTCTCTGAGAGATGCTCGTAGCTTTATATATACGTCCATCTCAACTAAGCCCGCTCGAAGAATATGATCCGGACGGAAACATACCTGATAACGCATGGCAGAGAGACCACACTCATCAGAGTCAACGGAGAATGCCCCCAAAGAGGCATGGTCTCGGCAGTTTTAAATCCATATCAAAAGTGTAGACCCTGATAGGGTAAGCTTTGGGACGAAGGAAGGCCGCCGATCGTTCCCGTTTCTGGAGCATTTCGCGCTGGATGCCTTCTGATTCGTTGTTTCTTCTTCACCTCTGCGGTTAAAACAGAGCAGAGCATGGCGAAGCAGTGATTCATATCCGTCCGGCGGACAAGATTCATAGGCATCTGACATCACAAGTGTTCGAAGGGAGAAATTGAGTGAGTGAAAAACCTAACTTTTGGAATGGCGAAAGACGCGCTCATAAGCTCATCAAAGGGGTATCTACGAATACCATATGCAAGAAGCTGGTGGCTAAAAAAAAAAGACAAAATCTATGTATACACGACCATCCAGTCCATCTAACCAGACAGGAACTTGTATGGGTTCATGATACCCTTCTGTAGTAATTGTTAGTATGCTTGTAAAGTGCGTATAGGCGGGTTGAATACTTACAGGGTCATACAGATCTTTGATCTGGCGCATAAGCTTAATCATGGTCTCGTCACGGCTGTAACCAATGAAGGGTGCCTTGGCAATACCCAGACCGTGCTCAGCACTGATACTGCCGTTGCGCTTAGCAACCCACTCGTACACGAAGGGTTCGAGCTGCTTCTCGACAGCTTTGTCGTAGCGGCGGACAGGTACGTTAAGGTGAAGGTTGGCATCGCCCATGTGGCCATATCCTACGACATCGACGATAGGGAAGTCATCAGTATCACCGATCAGACCAGCCTTCTCCATTCTCTCGCGAGTCTCCTCGACCAAAGCGTACATCTCACTGATGGGGATTGACAAGTCGTACTTGTAGACACCACCCCAGTGACCGAGATGCTCGGGAACACCCTCTCGGCAGCCCCAAAGCTCACGGCTCTGAGTTTGGTCTTGTGCAACGACACCATCGCTGACAATCTCCTCGCCCATGACGTGCTCAAGGAAACTCTCGAGCTTTTCTTGGTCGTGGTCGCTGTTGCTACCAGAAGTCTCGACCAGGCAGTAGAAGGGGTGCTCGTTCTCAAGAGGCAAGCTGTTACCACTGGCGCCTTTGTAAAGGTTCTGACTACGGCCGTCCATGAGCTCAAAGGCGGACAGAATCTCGCCAAGCATACCCTTGGCCTCGGCGAAGGCCTGCTGAACCTTCTCGAAGGACTCGAGACCAAAGTATGCAACATTGGTGGCTTGACTACGTTGAGGGCAGAGGATAGAGATGGCAGTGATCATGCCGATAGTGCCCTCGGCACCAATGAAGAGTTGCTTGATGTCGTAGCCAGTGTTGTCCTTACGCAGCTTGGACAAGTTATTGATGATGGTGCCATCGGGAAGAACAGCCTCGATACCGAGGACGTTGCCGTGCAAGCTACCGTATCTGAGAAGACGGAGACCACCAGCGTTGGTTGCAACGTTGCCACCAATCTGGCACGAACCCTTTGCACCGAGGTCCAGGGGGAAGATGTGCTTTCTCTCGGCGAGATAGTTGTCGGCGACCTCAAGAATGACACCAGCATCTGCTACCAGAATACCCGAAACCTCGTCAAAGCTGCGAATTTGGTTCAAGCGGGCCAAGTTGACAACAATCTCGTCAAAGACAGGAACACTTCCGCCGACGAGACCAGTGTTGCCACCCTGAGGGACGACGGCCAGCATGTTGTCGTTGCAGTACTTCAAGATCTTGCTGACTTCTTGGGTGTTTCCAGGCTTGACGACCAGCTTAGTGTGACCCTTGTATTTGCGCATCCAGTCGGCGTTGTAAGGCTCGATATCTTCTGAGGCATCCTTGGAGACACCATCGAGGACAGCGGACTCGTTGCCAAGCAGTTGCTTGAACCATTGAACGTGTTCGGTGGTGAGTTCGGCGAATTTGGGGTCTCTCTTGAGATCCGGGTATGATTCGGAAGTGTATTTGATTCTACGGGCAGGAGCCTCGGGGCCTTTTGTTCCAGAGTCTGGGTGAGGCTGGTGAGGTTCTGACGAGGCCGAGGTGGTGGGTTCGTTCATGGAGCTCTCGAAGCGTCTCTGGCCAGCAAAGACGGCGCGGGGAGCAGTGCGGGCGATGGCGGCGCGATTGAAGGCAAAGTTAGCCGCCTTGATCTGGCGCAGTGCCGGTACGCAGCGGTGGAGTGGTGCCATGATTACAGTCCGGCTATATTCGAGAAGGGGGTGTTAAGAATGGAAACAAGCAGCACGACTCTCGGACACAAAGCGAGAGGAATAAAGAAAGGAAAAAAGCTATAACAGAGTCATGGCGGCATCATGTTCGCCGCAATCGCTGGCGGCGTCGGTCGGCATGCGGCATGACGGAACACCGGCTTGTACCGCTGCTTGAACCAGCGCGAAGCTCCCGCAAGCTGCAGTCAACGCATCCAACTGGAGTCTAGCATACAGCTGTGTACACCATTCCCATCTCATCAACCGTCCTCTCGTTCCGATCGCCGTCCCCTCCATCCTAGTCTCCCGCCACTTCACATACAACCTCCACTATGGCCAGCGGTTACGATCGAGCTCTGTCCGGTATGCCATGACGCCAGTCCGCCCGCCGCCCAAACATCCAAATACTCACTTTCCATCCAGTCTTCAGTCCTGATGGACACGTCTTTCAGGTCGAATATGCTCTCGAAGCCGTCAAGCGCGGTACGCCATCTCCTGCGTCCTCACACATCCATTCCGATCGACTGATTGCCTCCCAGGAACTTGCGCCGTCGGTGTCAAGGGCGACAAGATTGTTGTTTTGGGCTGTGAGAAGCGCAGTGCTATGAAGCTCCAAGACACCCGCATCACTCCCTCAAAGATTGGTCTCATCGACAACCACGTCTGCCTCGCCTTCGCCGGTCTGAACGCCGATGCCCGTATCCTTGTCGACAAGGCCCGTCTGGAAGCTCAGAGTCATCGTCTAACCGTCGAGGATCCCGTTTCTATCGAGTACATCACAAAGCACGTCGCTCAGGTTCAACAACGCTACACTCAGTCTGGTGGTGTTCGTCCCTTTGGTATCAGCACTCTCATTGTCGGCTTCGACCCCAACAGCACCGAGGCCAGACTCTTCTACACCGAGCCTAGTGGAATCTACTCTGCATGGTTCGTCTATCGACTATATCCTTAGCCCCAGTATACTCGCTAACAAATAGCCAACAGGAAGGCAAACGCTATCGGCCGCTCATCCAAGACTGTGCGCGAATTCCTCGAGAGAAACCACAAGGACGGCATGGACCGTGAAGAGACCATCAAGCTCACCGTCAAGTCATTGCTCGAAGTCGTGCAGACTGGTGCAAAGAACATCGAGATCGCCGTCATGGCACCCGGCAAGCCCCTGGAAATGCTCAAGGTCGAAGATATTGAGAAGTACGTTGAGAGCATCAACAGCGAAAAGCAGGATGAGGCCAACACAAGAAGAGGTCCTCGCGCAGGTGGTGCTGGAGCACAGGGCAGCACGACAGGTCCTGCGGCAGGCACCGAAGCCGTGCTGGCCAGTAGACCAGCTGGTGACGGTGGCAACGCAGAATAGATACGACTTGCATTCAGGGACATGAGCATTGGCGTTTAGGGCAAATCAAGATATCATGGCTGCATGATGAAGCCAAAGGCAATGAAAAGATTTAATGCGTGACTGAAGTCTTGTGATTCGTGAATTCGTTCTTGCATTCTGACTCGATGGGCCAGCCGAGTGATATATGCAGTGTTCCAAATTTTGAAGGTGAAAGGGAGGATAGAATATGCGCAAATCAACCCAGTCTCTCGCTTGCCTCTTTCAAGTTCCAGATGGTCTGCTGCTCTTCCTCGCGCACACGCTCGTCCTTGACAAAACGAGCGTCCTTTCGGACATCCTCACTCTCGACTTGCAGTCTAGCCTGCGGCGTCTTTGCTTCGAGGACAAAGTGGTTGTCGCAGTGTGGGCAGTACTCGTCACTCTCTTCAAACTCCTGAACGTCCTTGCGGAAAGCCTTTTTGCACTTTTTGCACGCAAAGACCATTTCGAGGGTGGGCTTGAGGTCGTGTGTCTCTGACTCGGCATGGCATTCTGCGCAATCGAACCATTTGCGGCCTGTTGTTGTGTCCCGTATTAGTGATGGAATTGCGGCGAGACGGAGGTGGTTCGGATGGACTTGCAGCAAGGAGAGCGGATCGAGACTTGTGCGTTGAGGACGTGTTTGCTGCGACATGTTAGAGAGAGATGAGTATGTCTACAGAGGCTGACTCACCACATGGTCGAGGATAGAAGGTGGGCAGAGTATAAGAGTAGACACTAGCGCCAGGCCGTGGATGAGACAACTGAGTACGGATACAGATACAGCGTCGCAGAAGTTGGTCGGGCGCGTGTCACATAAATATAATAAGCTTTGCGGCATGTCAGGGCACGGATGCGCGGAAGGCGTTTGCGGATCTGGGGGAGAGAGCACGTTCGGCCAATGAAACCTGGCATGAGGCAGGGCAAGAACAAGCGGCATGCGCATACCGACGGTTACGAATTCCGACTGTCCAGAGAGCCAAGTTGCAGTTCGCGCCCATTGAAGCCTGCCAACCGACCAACCTCGACCTGACATATCCATACACGACACGCTCGCTTGCTCGCTCCCCGCCCCTGTTGCCCTACCCTCTTGCGACGCGCTCCTAATCGATCCATCTCCTCACTCGCATACCTCTTGCATCCACCACATCCGCTCCGCCCAAGCCCGCGCCCGCTGGACTACAAGACGACGGCGCGCATTTTTCCATACGACCATACCTACTGCCTCCTTCGACACCCACGATTCGCGGCGATATTGATCCATCACCAGTCCGGCCGCCATGGCCATCGACGACCAGGTCACGGATGAATCGTCCATCAAGCCTGTGTCGTCGCTGCGCTCGCGCTTCGAGAACCTGACCACAACACAACCTCCACCTATACCTACGCCGTCCTCCAACCTGCGCAGATCGCTTGACCTTCCGCGCCCACTTCCGTGCACAGATGGTGTGCCTGACAAGACTCCCCAAGGACTGAAGAAAGCGAAGCCTCCTCCGCCCAGACCTCGACCTGTGTCGACAGCATACCCCTTGACTCCCCGTCATTCTCCTCCCTCTGTCAGCGTACAATCACCTGCCTCTCCACCTCGCAGCGTCAATGTCCGCGTCACCAATGCGACTCCCTCAAAGTCCCCTCCTACTTCGACCTTGTCTACTCCCGGCTCTACAAATGCTTCTCCAGCAGGTTCCGTCCGTCATTTTCGCACTCCAAGTCGAGTAACAACGCCTGCGCTAGAGGCTCGCATGTCGGCTTTCCTGCAGGCCTCACAATCGAACGATGCATTGCCCGAGAGTCGTCCTCAATCAAATGGCGAATCAAGGCCGAAGAGCCCCAACTTTGGGGGTCCGCCTCCTGTGAATCGTGCTGGCAAGCCTAAACTCGGTGGACTGGCTTCTGCGAGTGTCGAGAGTCTAGCACCTCTGAACGCAGCTAGGACCGGAAACAGTCAAGTCTCGCCATTTGGCACTCCTCCAAGCAGTTCCGAGACGACTCCACATACCGAACACGTTGCTCCTTCTATACCGCTTGACTCGAAGCCTAGGAACCAATCTGTCTCACATGGATATTTCGCCGGTGTCGTGGCTCCTAGGCCTGCTCCTGTGCAACCTCGAAATCCCTCTCCCAAGCCTCTGAGCCGCTCATACGACTCAAATGCTTTCCATCCCTCTCGCCTCCACATGATACCCCAAAGAGCGGCAGTTCCAGCCCAGGATGGTACTAATGAAGAGGAAGATGCACCGGTGCTGCCTCCTCGTCCTGAGCGCGAACTACGTTCTGGACGCACCAGTCCCACCCGCTTCAACAACAAAATCCCCGCCCGCCAGTCTTTGGATCTCCCACGCCGGCCGAGCGCATTCGCTGCTACTACAGACAGTACCATGATGCCACCTCCGCGCCGTGGTCAACCACTCCCACTTCAAACGTCTGCCTCTGCGCTGTCACAAGGCTTCGATAGAAGGCACTCGACCACGCCCGCTGCCACTCCTTTGAGTAGCAAGCCGCCGCCTCCTGCCATTCCAGCCCCTCGTCGCTCGGTAGATACTCGTCGTGAGGATCTCAGGAGCATTCCGTCCACTCCTCTGTTAACACATCATGCCGACGATGTGGAAGACCCTCCTGTCAACTACCCTGGTGGCAATCCTCAGGACTTTCCGGATGCTTCACAAGCAAATAGGCGTCCTCCACGATTCAGAACCCGTCCTTGGGAGATTCACACAGGATATGATACTCGCACCTTTGCAGTATGCGGAGATTTAGTGTGCACAACGGGCTACATTACGCGTGTGTGGAGTCTGCGCACTGGCGAATCGTGTCTGACTCTATCTCATGGTGATAACGTCAAGGTAACTGCATTGGCTTTTGCGCCAACAGCGGATGCAGAGCATGAAGGGCGACGGCTCTGGCTCGGTACGAATATCGGCGAGATTCATGAAGTCGACATTCCTAGTCAATCGATTGTCTATACCAAGTCCAACGCGCATCCTCGACGAGAGATTATCAGAATCTTCCGCCATGCTTCCGAATTATGGTCTCTGGATGACGATGGAAAGCTCAATGTCTGGTCGCCTCGCTCCACAGGTATGCCCAGCCTGGAGACCGTGCCAACAGCTTTCAGAGCCATGCGTGGACACTCGTGTTCAGTCATTGTTGGCGGTCACCTATGGCTTACCGCGGGTAAAGAAATCAGGGTTTTCAAACCGAGTGCACCTACCGAAGCTGCTTTCAATGTTTTGCAGAAGCCGTTGTTTGCAGAAGGTGCAGGCGATATCACTGCTGGAGCTATCATCCCCAGCAAACCGGACTTGGTCTACTTTGGACATGCTGATGGAAAAGTATCTGTCTTCCAACATCGCGATTACAAGTGTATTGGTGTATTTAGCGTCAGCCCGTACAAGATCAGCTCTCTAGCAGGAGCAGGAGACTATCTCTGGGCTGGCTACACTGCGGGTACCATATTCGTATACGACACTGCTACAACGCCGTGGCGGGTCGTCAAAGACTGGGTGGCTCACGACAATCCGATTTGTAGTATCATAACGGATACGCAGAGCATCTGGAAGATGGACAATCGCCTGCAGGTTGTGAGTCTCGGCCTTGACAATACCATCAGACTATGGGATGGTATGCTTCGTGAAGACTGGCTCGAGACCAAGATGCAACAGACCGACAATGAATTCTGCTCCTTCGAGGAAGTCACTGCTGGGGTGCTTACATGGAATGCTGGCGCTGTCAAGCCCAACCATCTGAAAGGTAGTGAGAGAGACGCTGCCTTCTTCAAGGACTACTTTTCTTCGCACACTCCTCCGGATATTCTTGTTTTTGGCTTCCAAGAGCTGGTAGACCTGGAGAACAAGAAAGTCACAGCTAGTAAGTATATCTCTGTCTGCTATGCTTCGGCAACGATTACTGACGACATGTACAGAGAGCTTTTTCAAGAGTAGAAAGAAGGACCCTACGGAGCAAGAGCACATGTCGCATCAATACAGAGCTTGGCGAGACCATCTTACTAGATGTATTGAAGACTTCATGCCGGCCAACCAAGGATATACCTTGTTACACACGTCAAGCATGGTTGGTCTATTCAGCTGCGTCTTCGTCAAGACGTCACTTCGAGCCCGTATCAAGCAAGTGCACACCGCAGAAGTCAAGCGAGGTATGGGCGGTCTGCATGGAAACAAGGCAAGTCATCAAACCCCGTTATGTTTCTACAGATTCTGACCATTGTTGAAGGGTGCTTTAATCATCCGCATGATCCTGGACGACAGTTCAGTATGCCTGGTCAATTGTCATCTTGCTGCAGGACAAACTCAAACGCTTCACCGCAATAACGATATTGCTGCCATTCTCGAGGCTGAATGCCTTCCGGTAGCAGCTGTAAGCAATACAGCGGGCACCTTTGTAGGTGGTGGTGATGGCAGCATGATCTTGGACCACGAGATTTGTATCCTCAACGGAGATCTCAACTATCGTATTGATGCGATGCCGCGAGACACGGTCGTGCGCGCTGTCAACGATAGGAATTTGGCGAAGCTGCTCGAACGCGATCAACTTTTGCTGTCGCGCAGGAAGAACCCGGCGTTTAGACTACGCGTGTTCCAGGAGATGCCAATCACGTTCGCGCCGACATACAAATACAACGTTGGTACTGACGATTATGACACCAGCGAGAAGAAGCGAGCTCCAGCATGGTGCGACAGAGTACTCTACAGAGGCTTAGGCAGGGTCAAGTGCGAGGATTATAGGCGATGGGAGGTCAGAGTCAGCGACCATCGGCCAGTTAGTGCACGATTGAAGATCCGCATCAAGAAGGTCGATGAACATCGACGAGCAGCGGCATGGAGCCGACGAGAGAAGGAGTTTGAAAAGTACAGTGAACGGATCGCTGGCGAGGCCAAGTAAGTTTGTCCCTGGGAATGGTCGCGTGTGCATCATCGAAAGCTAACGTGTGCTCGACAGGCTGGACTACTTGACAAACATCCTGGGACTGCCCCGAAAAGAGGCTTTGAATCTGTTGAAGGGATAATGCATCGGAGGAAGGAGGCTGAAGAAAGCGTAGATCTTGAGCCTCATCATCGGACACTAGTAATAACATCCTCGATCGTGCCCCTCAGATGTTGTAGCTTTCTCCACAATTCGTGTTTCCATAGCAAACGCATCGGATTATCTTGTACGGCGCATTGACAAAGTCGTTCACGCAGTTGGGATGCTCCTGCCCGCTCATCCTGATATAGAGGCAGTGCTTATCGGTCAATTAAGGTTTGGGAAATGCAGAGGCCCCATTCCAGACATCCGCATCTCTACAGTATACCAGGTAGCAATTCCAATCACAATGTGTGTTCGAAGCAGATGTAGCGACTGCTCTATAGAGAACCCCACAAGTTTGGTAGCAAGACCCGTTCCGTCGTAAGAAGCTGTCATATACGTTAAGCACGGGACAATCATGACATCACGGAGCATCGCGTGTCATTGGAAACAAAAAGAACGAGGACCATTTGGCGATGAGCAGCTGTCGTTTGTTCCCTGCATCCCTTTATCTAACTTGAATTCCTTCAATGTCCGGAAGACCCTTTACCTTCCTTCCTCTCAAGACATTGTCAAGAGTCGGCTTTCAAACAGCGTCTCATCACACCAGAACCACCACACCCCTCTTCACCCGCATTTCCACCCCGCGTATTGCACAGACCGTCGCCAGACAGTCAATTCGCTTCTCAAGCAGTTTCCAGACCGAAAAGCAGAAGATGGACGCCAAAGAAGCCAGAGGCGAGAAGTCTGAGAAGCCCGTCGAGGACTGGCAGAAGCGTGCTCCCTACAAGATCCACGAGTCCAACGAGAACTTCAAGGCTAGATACGAGGCCAGCTGCCACTGCGGCAAGGTCAAGTACCAGCTGAGCAGAGAGGAGCCTCTTGACTCCAAGCTGTGCCACTGCACCACTTGCCAGACTCAGCACGGTATGTCTTATCATGTCTTTACTCTCTAATACCATCACTGACATAATTCCAGCTGCACCTTTCCAATGGGCCGCCATCTTCCACAAGGAGGACATCAACTTCTCCAACGGACACCATGACCTCGAGTGGTACGATCCCAGCTCAAAGTCGATCGAGCACAAGCTTCCCTGCAAGGTGCGCTGCTCCTTCTGCCACAGTCCCATCATGGACGAGGGTAGAAACATGATCCTGCTCTTCCCCAGCTTGGTCCACCTAAAGAACGACGAGGACAAGGCCAACTTCAAGCCTAGGTATGCACTTTTATAGATCTGTCTTCCCCATCACGACACTAACCTCCTTTTCAGATGCCACATGTTCTACGGCCAGCGTGTCATGGACATCCCTGACGGTCTCCCCAAGTGGTCCGGCCTCAACGACAGCAGCGACCTCATCGAGGACAGCCCCCCAGAGCTTGTCCGCGAGCACGAGAGAAAGCGTGAAGAGGAGAGAAAGGAAAGATTCGAGAAGGGTGAGAACAAATAAGCTGGCAGCTCACGCGACCTGCTTCTCTACCCCTATGATGTCACGAAAAAAGCAAGCAGTACATGCCTGGTTGCATGTAGTTAGAAGCAGACGATGAGTAACACACTAAGGGTGATGTTGCTTTTCTAAAGGCTTGGAACGAAGATGAACTTGGCCTTCTAGATGAAGAGATTGGTATGAATGAAAATGAATCACATGAATTCTTGCTCAAGCTATTGTACTGTGTCTTGCGTGAATCTTTCATCCCTGCATCCTGGCTAAGTACTCTTGCTCTTTAAGTCTTCTTCTGTGCGTTTAAATCGATACTTCCTAGTAGTACATCTGTCGTCCTCTATTTCTTCCTCTGCTTGAGCTAGTTGTTGTTGCAGATATCCAATAAATTCCCAAATATATCTGCCTATGGATGAAGATGAACTTGACGGACTCTTGTCCGAGCTAGTGTACTATGTCTTTATGCGTGTATTAGCAATGCAACCTAGTTACTCTTAATCTTGCAGGATTATCCCATGCGTGCGGACTGATACTTCCTACACGTCTTTCTGTTGCTCTTAACACCGCTCCCTCTTGCTTCTAGCAATTGAACTGGCCAAGTACGGCTATATACCTTCCTGTCTGGTTAGTAACGGTTCGATCTGTCTTGAAAGCAACAGCTGCGTTTGTCTGGTCTTGTTCTGTGTGCTTCACATCGCCCTGCCGACTTTTGGGGCTAGTGCGCCGACTTTTCGACGCAAGTCCGTTTGAGGCGCCTGTCACCCGGACCAATCCTTTAGATCTTTTTCCTACCACCTATCTCCTCGCTATCGGCTCCTGCAGCGATAGGGAAGTAGCATGAGCAGATCGTTGAGCTTTACCAAGGTCAGTTCACTCTTGTCGTCTTTATCGTCGACGTGTTGACGGTGTATAGGAATTTTCTTGCAATTTGACCATCAGAGGCGTCAAACTCGCACCAGGCGTCACCAGCATACGCGAGCAAGAACCATCACCGTAAAGCTTAGCTCTTCGATAGGACTGTTACTGTTCGCTTGATTAAGGTTTGGCCATTGTCCTCGTCCTTGTTGCATTCATGTTAATGTTGTATAGGACTTTTCTTGCGATTTGATCGCGTGAGGCGTCACACCTGCCTCGAATCCAGTATAATTATCAGTCCTTCAACGAGATCTTTACTCTTGTTCGTCTGTTCGACGTAAGCTATTGTTCTTCTTCTCTCTATCTTACTCAGCTCGTATGCCGTTCCATGCCGCACCCGCTATAGCCTCCCACGCGGAAGCATAGCCATATCTCCACCACCACTCGACGCACTGGACTTACCGTTGCTTAGACCATCTTTCCCTTCTAACAGCTCACACTCATAACGAGATCTGAGCTTCCTCAAGCAGAGATATTACTTGAAGAGAACTTCTTCTCAAGTCTTGCATATATATATCAGGTAAGTGCTGTGTCTTGAATCGGAAAGCGCCGCCCTACGCGTAGCGTTCTCCAATTTACCAAGCTTCCCCACACCCGTCGCGTCCTCCTCAAGAATACAAACTTGCCTGGCACACGCGGGTGACACGAAAAATCATGCCTTGAGTCGAGAAGCTGACAAGTCTCCGGTCGCAGACCCCTCGGAGCAAACGAAGGACATGCCAGTATGGGATCTTCGAAGCGAAAGTCTCGCCATGTGAGCGAGGAGCCCGAGGAAAACCAGGAGCCGTACTATTCCGTCCGCGGTATTCTGAACGAGAACAAGACCAAATACTTGGTCGATTGGGAGGACATTGGCTCGGAATCGTTCAGGCCTACCTGGGAACCGAAAGCTTACGTTACCGCTGAGGCAATTCAAGAATGGGAAGATAAAAAGAAGGAGAAGAAGAGACTGGCCCATGAGAAGAACAAGAAGAGAAAGAGCAACACCGCTGGTCGTCTTTCCTCCCACGAGCCTATCCAGACTGACGAAGATGACGAAGAGCCTGGCAGCGAAAACCAAACTCCTGCGACCACAGCTTCTGGACATCGACCTTCGATCAGGGTGAAGTTCAGCAAAAAGAACCCTGTCGTCGAAGTCGATTCGCCTGTAACCAGAGTCTCTGAGCCGAAGCCTACGGAGACGAAGTCTGGAAATCCGCGACTCTCCGAAATTGCGAACGCTCAGGCAGAAGACAAGGACGAAGTCGCCGATCCACCCGCCAAACGAGGCCCTGGTAGACCCAAGAAATCGAATGCTGCCGCGGAAGGCGTTTCAAAGGAGAAAGAGAAGGTCGACAATAGAGAAGGCTCGAGCCGCCCTCCTGTGATATTGGAACTTGGTCGTTCCACCGGCCAGAAACGCAAGCGTCCTGTCAGCGCTTCGAAGGCTGTGAACATCTCTTCCGACGACGACTCGGATGTCCTTCTCAGAGCCAAATGCAGGCGGAACGCAGTTCCCGAGTCTTCTGAAGAAGCCCAACACGTGCAGGAGGCCAAACCTACTGCTGCTCTTAAGAAGAGAGGCAGGCCTAGGAGACCAAGCCCCAAGACTCCAGTTGGTGCATCTGGTACTGAAGAAGATTGTGCGATGGAGATCGATGAAAGCGAACTGTACGAAGATCCGGCTGCTGCGCAGTTACAGCGTGAAGTCCGGTCCGCACGCAAGCAGTCGCCTGGCCGACAGCAATTGTCGAGACAATCGCCTGGTCGACAACCCTCCCTGGAATTCGACGACGGGATTAGTGACTTCCGTTCGTCTCAGATTGTCAGAGGCACACAACAAGAGCCGCTTCATCTTGGAGAAGACACCGTTATGGAAGAGCCCGCAGACTCTCAATCCATAGTTGATGCTGCTGCTGCTTCGAGTTTGTCAGCGAAGAACTCACCCTTCGAGCCATCTGGATCGACCTTCGAGAACATTACAATCAACAGTTCTTCCGGGGTTCATACAATCTCCAATCTGCCGCATCGTCGCTTTGGCCCAGATGCTGTCATCTGTGATTCACAGAGTTACCTCGACGGCAGTAGTCTGCACATATCAGAGCAGCGCACCGAAGTCCAAGAAGTCATGGATGATCAGATGCAAATTCGCGAGGATGCTTCGACCGAAAGCCAGATCGTTGTAGAGCATGACATTGCCGACAAGATGATGACTCAAGAGCTGCCTGTTCCTGAGAGTAGTATTGCACAGGTAAGACCCATCGCCATCCATTCATCACTAATATGTTATGCTGCTCTGTTATCTAATCGATCGGTGTCGCATCCTGTAACGCGACATGACGCGCTGTGATTGGCTCGGCTGACCTTCCTTTCCAGGATCCTAAGGATGCCCCACAGTCGGACGTCGCTGCTCTGGCTGCAAGTGAACAACCACCACTTGAACTATCAACCAGAAACAATACCAGTGTACCCGCAGAAGCAGCATCAAGTTCTGCTGCTCAGGGAACCATCCATCAAGTTTCCACACGTTCTCCATCACCAGCTCGAGGAGCTGCGCGCTCAAGTTCTAACTCAACTGCACCACCCACGGACCCTGCCGATCAATCAACTGAATCGCAGTCGCACTCTGGAAACCAAGCCTCACACCCAGCCAAGTCTTCATCAAAGAACAAGGATTCAGTTGAGGCACCCTCATCTTCTCCTGCTGCGCTCAATCAGGAGTCTGGCCAGGCCGCTTCTGTTCACCCACCACAAGTGTTTACCCAGCAAAGTCACGTGGATCAAGCCGCCCAACAGGTCTCGTTCCAGCAACCACCTACTCAGCAACGTCCGACACTTGATTTTGTCCAAAGTTCTGCCGAGGAAGTTACAACATCATCTCTTGCATTCAACACCCAGATCGCGCCCGCGTTCGCGTTCGCTCCGGTGTCGCTTCCGTCAAGTCCTGTCCTATCTTTACCATCCAACTTGCCCAACACCATCGGTGATTCGGCTCCCTCACCTCTCAAGACCATGTCTGATCTCGGTAGCTCTAGCATCGAGCGGAATTCCGACGGCACCCCGAAGCTGAACCCCGATGGCACACCCAAGAGGATCAAGTTCGCCGACAGAATTAGAGAAATGAAAGCTACGAACCGGGCCAGACGTGATGCTGAGGCTAGAGAAGAAGCTCTCGCTGATGAGAGAGCCGCAGCTGCTCGTGCTGTCACCAGTACTCCTGCCAAACCTTCTGCACCGTTCATGCATTCGCCCAAGCCTGCATCTGCTGTTCCCGCAAGACTCATGTCGCCAGCCATTACCGATCGCGAAGATCGCTCACCCTCAACTGTTCCTCCTGTCGAGAACATCCCTGAAGAGACACCCGAGCAAAGCACTCGCTCTGAACACTACGAGACTCTTATGCCTGGACAAGGTCCACAGATCAATACCGAGACTTCACGACCCTATATCTCGCAAGATCTCGCCATGCACGACATTGAAGTTGAGACAAACTCTAACAACCAGCACTTGGTCTCGCTAGAATTTGCGCCATTACAGAGAGATCATTACACATGTGCCTTCCATGATTCCAAAGCCATAGTTGACAGCTTTACTCTGCACGGAATCTTGCCAGCCGATTCTACACTTGCACAACAAGCTCGTAATTTCATGCTCCAGCTTCATCATATCGTCAACCACACAGATCTCAACAACCCCGACGCATCTACTCAAAGTTCTCCAACCTCTCAATCAGAATGGGATATGGCCGTGAGTTCGAAGTTCAGATTCATCAAGAGCCTTCTGGATGCAGCCAAGCGTCACAACCTTCATATTGCATTGCTTGTTGACCCTGGAAGACTTGCTGCCGTCCTCCAAGGCTTTTTGCAAGGCATCAACATCATGTACAACGTCATTGATGGTCAAAACAACGTTGTCAACCACGAATCAACTGCGACCATCTTGTTGAATAGCGTCGAGTCCGTCGACACAACATCACTAGACATGGACATGATTGTCGCCATCGACGGAAGCACGTCCAAAGACATAATCACACGTACTCAGAAGATGCTTTCACGTGAATCTCTGGTGCCTACAATCTCCCTTGTCATCCCTCTGTCCATTGAGCATGCGGAGCTTTACCTCCCTTCTACTTCTACCATGTCTGAAGCACAGCGTCTCCATGTCCTCCTCAGTACCGCCACCAACGAGAGAGAGAAGGCTGGATGGGAAAGCCGTGGCACCGACACCGACTTTGAGCGTAAGGCATCCGACATAGTGTCTTGGATTCTGAACCCAGGTGAGGCCGACTGGACTTTATACGGCCTTCAATCGCTACAACTGATCGAGGGAGGTCAAAGCCAGTCATCGGAGGATGAACTCATGGTCGATAACAGTGGCTCTAACAAACGCTCACTGGATGAAGACAATGAAGTGGCTCTGGCAAAGAGGGCCCGCGTCGATGACTCGCTTCCGCTGACCATCAACCCGGCCGATATGCACCTTGCGCCCGGCACCATCCCTACCAACTCGCACGTCAGCAACTCTGTGGCTCCCTCGCAACACGCCGCCACTCTCCTACAGCTCAGCAATGCTCAAGCAGAGCTCCGCGAGCTCACTCAAGCTATGGAAGCTCTCCAATACAATTGTGAAGAGCAGCGCGCACAGATGGTCCAGGCACAGAAGGAACGCAACGAGGCTATCCAGAGAGAGGAGAGACTAAGAACTTCCAACGATGATCTCAGGGCCAAGAATTTCTCGCTGCGTGACGAGGTTTCGAACCTGAAGAAGCAGTTGGAGGTTGCCAATGCCGCCCTGCTCGACCACACAGTCCCTGAGCGTGTCGAGCTCGAGAAGAGCAAGGCCGAGGCCGTCGCCGCTGTCAATGAGAGCAAGGACCAGACTAAGCGTGGCAAGATGCTCGAGGAACAGCTCGACTACCTGCGTAGCCAGTACCAAGACCGCTCGAACGAGAACACCGTGCTGGCAAACAGCAATGCCGACCAAGCCAAGCAGATCGTCGAGCTCCAAATCCAGGCCTCTGGCGAGCGTGCCAAACTCAAGGCAATCAACAACGACACCTTGATCAAGAAGTACGAAGACACAGTCAAGCAGCTTCGTACCGTCGTGAAGGAGAGAGAAGGAACCATGCAGAGAATGAGCGAGGAGCTCACTCGCCTGCGCGAGCCACGTGGTCGCGTTGGCACCAGGGCCAGCAGTATCCCTCGCAGCCCTCGTGCCGGCACTCGCGAACCCGTGAGCCGCCAAGGCAGTCCTTCTGTTCAGCGCCCTCACCCATTGAGAAAGGAGAACTGAGAAGGAAGGAGCAGGAATGATTACGAATAGGGAAGGAATGAGCAAGAAGAGAGATTACGAATAGGGAAGGAGAAGAAAGAGGAAAGTTACAGTTTTGCAGTTATAGAGTGAGATGATGAATACCATGGTTCTCTTCCCATACACTTATCTTTTTTCATAGTTGTTACAAACCGTGGTGATGTTGATGTCAGATATGTGTCCAAAGAGAGCCTGATGAACAAGTAATGCTCGTGGGACCTTCAATGGATGGTGCTTCGTTCTGCCAAAGGATCGTGCATTTTGATAGATAATCCGTTGCGCTCAGGGTCGATAATGAGATTGTTCAATGTAGCAGCATATAGCTTGTTGAAGAACATAACCTCACCTCTATCCAAGTCTCAAAGGAAGCCTCAATCCATTGGCCGAGAGAAAACAGAGCACTGCAGCTGTATGCGATATCTCGAGTTTTGGATCTGCTGGACGTAACTCGAGGTATCGGATGAACGGTCGCTCTTAACGATCCGTACAGGATTGCCGGGCGACGAGGGTCGACAGTTTCTGGTTCAAATCCGGGCTATGGGCGCCATATGTGTATTGAAGGGAGGTTTTTGCCTGAAGTTTAGCTCTGAATCCTTCTTGTAGTTTTGATCTTTGCGATGCATGCTCTTTCCTATGCGCTCAAGTCTGCGTTTCTTGATCGCTCGGACGATTTTACCAAGGCGTATTCAAAGAATATTTGATATGCACAACTCTACCCAGATGTAGATGAGTAAGTACATCGAGAGACGGTATCATCACGACTCTCAGCGTATATAATACATCTACTTCCTCTTTGTTCATCGAGTTTTGAACTTCTACGGTAATACTCGAAAAGTAGCGCTCTCTGATAATCGCAGCTTCCTTCCTTCAGCCCGTAGATGCCTCATCCTGCCTCGATCGAACATTGCGCTAACAACGATCCCCAAAGACATCAGCTTGTCTACCCTCGACTTCTACTTCCAGCTTCGTGATCATCGGGTGCGCCTCCCTCCTGCAAAACACTCGGCTACACGACCGATCTCTCCTCTATACCGAAACCACTGCTCCAAATGATCCAAGAGAAACAAAAAAAAGAAAGTCAGCCTAGAACAAGCAGCAAAAAAGAGAACTCAGTGCCCCCTGCGAGAATCGAACTCGCGCCTTTCCAATTCCGACGACGAAGTGAAGTCGACCTTTCGGAACCCTCCTTCGCCTTACCGTGCTCGTTTTTGCGAGACATCAGACGTGGAACGTGCTAGACCGCTGCACTAAAGGGGCTGGAAGAATTACTCCTGTGGCCAATTCTGGCAGATTATGTAGCGAGGGTAACGAGTGAAGGAAAGCTCATGGGAAAGATGGAGAAAGCCTGATTCACTCGAGAGTAAAAAAGAAAAACTACCTCCCAAACCTCCTACCATCGAAAACAACAATTCAGCTGAATCAGCTGCAGAAAAAAGACTATTGTCGACGACACACCATGAGACGACTATAGTATGACCATCGATCATCTGGCACAGTTGTTGGTCTACAAGGCTCGAATCATCCACACTTTGTGACAATGATGTCGTCGTGACTAACAAAGATCGTTAGCATTGTATCATGTAGCAGTGCAACTTCACAGTCTGGGTAAGTCTTCTCTTGAGGCTCGAAGCAAGAGCGGACCACATGTTGAGCAAGCAAGTGTGGAACAAAAATACATAGCTCTAGAGCAAGTCTTGAAATAGCATTGTGGGTATCTCTTTTGATCAAGAAACATCTACGAGATACGAGATACGAGATACATGATACATGATCACAGAAGAAGCAAATGGCTAAGGTCCATCTCCTTCAACGATCAAATCATCCTATCTCCTGCTCATCAACTCCGTAATCTTCGTCATCCAGTACGTCGAATCGTGATATGGTGGAAGCCCTCCCTACGAGCTGTTGCCATCGCCATTGACAGCACCTCCTCTACCTCTAGGTGCGCCGCGAGCTGCGCCACCGCGACCTCTGCCTTCGCCACGGCCGCGTCCTCCTCTACCTCTACCGCGGTAATCATTGTTCAGGATAGCAGGAGGGGGAACAGCGCTCATGTTCTGAGGGCGGAATGCAAGGTTGTTGCGAACAACATTCTCCATAGGGTCGCTGTTGTCGACAACAGTGTAGCCGCCTCTGCCTCCACGACCGCGGCCACGGTTGGGGTTTCCACCACGCATGGCAAGGTTGTCATGGCCACCGCGACCACGTCCATTCATGGCTCCGCTGAAAGAGCCTCTGAGCGGAGGAGGGGCGTTGGCAGGACGCCATTGCTCCTGAGGAGGTCCGTAACCGTTGTTCACAGTCAGAGGGGTCTGTTTAGGAGGCTGACGCTTTGATGCAGCAGCCTTGCTCTCAGCAATGCATTGTCTATCTGTCAAGTTCAGAACACTGGTGACTGGGACAGTGCTTCCTCTGAAAGGACTGCAACGGTCACCAAGACTGGTACCAGACATGAAGGAGTAATCAAACACAACGTCCAGCATAGTCATTCTGGGTGTCTTGGTAACACCGACGACAGTACCTCTGGAAGCGATAGGAACGCGACCAGAATCCTGAACATAGACGATGCGGTCGCCAAGAGTAAAGCGTTGGCCACCAAGACGCTGCTCTGCGTCACTGGGCTTGAGAAGAGCGTGACGAGGAACACCGCGCATAGGCTTGTCCTCGATCTGGCTGGCCGATAGAGACAGATAATGCTCTGCGGCACGCTCAAGAGCCATGACAGTATCAGAGTTCATCTGCTCAGCGTCAAGAGGGACACGCTCAAGAGACTTGGTCTCGACACTCTTGAGCCAAGCACCAATCTCCTTCATCTTCTCCTTAGCGATCTCGGCGGGGTAGAAGTCGGTGTCGTTGAAGACGTCGCCCGAAGGGTTGGCCTGAATGCGTGCGACAAACTCGGGGAACTTGGTCATGTAAGTAGCGATGAGGTCAACGGCCTTCTGACTGTATTCCCAACCACGCTCCGACTTGCGACTGTATCCCAGAACCTTCATCTTGCGTGCCTCAAACTTGAGGTTGAGACCGAGGTTGAGCTGCAGACCCGATGAGCTGACGCGGAAGGATGCAGTTAGTTTGGACAGGACAAGAGGGTGTAGGTTCAGCTCTCTTGCAACAGCATAGGCAGGCTTGTATGGGAATTGACGCTCAGCCTGCTGGGCGATCTGATGGCCAAAGTCAGGCTCTCTAACCTTGACAGTGTTGACTCTGACGTTGGTCTTGCCATTCTCGTAGCCATCAACAATCGCGGGTCTACCGTAATTGAAGTCGCCAAGGAAGAAGGCGCGGGAGTTGAGAGGAAACTCTTCCTCGAGCGGGAGGGCAGCCTTCTCCAGGAAACGCTGGTCAGGAGAGATGACTTCGTCGACGATAGCTTGAACGGCGTAGTCAGCTTCCAAACCTTCGACCATTGCGTACTCCTTGATAGTCGCGCCCTCATCCGTCTTTCGGAGACCAACAAGCATCTCGACGTGGACCATTGCCTCAACATCGCTAATAATAACACCTAATCTCTTAGAATAGACGCTCTCAATGCGGCTGGCCTTCTTCTTCCAGTTTGAGATCTCGGGAGGACCATGGGGAATGGCCTCGATGTTGTTGGGTGTAGCCTCAGCATCGGGGTTGGCGAGAACGTAATCGAAAAGTTCGTCGGACACTCTGGTGACCTTTGCCTCGTGCAAGAAGGGGTAGCCGACATGGACTGCCTGGCCAAGCTTGAGCTTGGCATGCTCAATACTGCTGGTCTCCTCTGCGTTCATCACGGTGATGACCATGCTCTCGTTTCTGCTCTCTTGTTGGAATACAGTAACTCCGTGGAAGCCAAGAGTTCCGGTAGTTGGGAGTGTGCGCAAACTAGGAAATCCAGCCAAAGCACTCTCTCCAAGCTTGACACCGTCAACAAGACCGATGTACACGTCCAGACCATCCATGGTGGGGAGCTCGAAGATGTTTTCCACACACTTGCAATTAGGAATGTCTGGGAAAACACCGGGCAGGGATGATGGGTAGGTGTAGTTCATCTCAGCAGCGTAGCTGAACTTCAAGCTGACACCAAACTCATTACGAGCGCGTTGTGCGTCAGTGAGCAAATGGTCTCTGGTGGACATAGCGCCGAGCAAGCGTTCCTCATCGATGAAGGGAATCTTGACGACAGCCTCCCACTCCATCTTCTTACCATTCATATCAAGCTCGAAATCGCGAGGATAGAAATCGATGATGGGTGAGTCGGCGCTAGTCATCAAGGGATGGTAGACGTCAGGGACGATCGTCTTACTTCTATCAGGAAGCACACCCATAAGTTGTTGATAAGGACGGAAGGGCTGGCCGAGCTTGAAGTTCATGTTGGCCTTGAGACCTCGCTTGACGTCCGAAATCATGGGAGAGTAATGGTAGTTGTAATACCAGGGCCATGACACTACTCCTTGGTAGTAGTAGTACAGAACCCATTGCAAACCTTGAACATAGTTCTCGGTCAGCTTGCGCAGCTCCTCCTCGTTCTCGGTGCCCCACTCGAACTTGGACTTGTAATAGGTGTCCTTCCATTGAGCAAACTTTTCGTCATACTTCTTGGTCATTTGTTCTTGAGCTTCTTCAGCACTGATGTCGACAATCTCAGCGTTGTCGTATCTCTTGACAACTCTGAGGAGTGCTGTCTGGGCTTCCTCATCCTCTTCGTCATCCGAATCATCAGATGGTGGGCGAGGGAAGAATGAAAGCTGGATATGGCGCTCGCCTTGGTCGTCCACGACACTCTTCCATTGCAGATGGAGGCTGTCGGCGAGGTCCTCGACGAACTTCCTGTCGCGTGCAGGAAGCGAGGTGGGCAGGTCGAGTGGTGCGGGCTCGGAGTCGGCAGGGCGGCCATTGACATATGATCTAACATGAGCATAAACTTCCTTTTGCGACGAGGTCATGACAACCTTGCCCTTGTTCTTGGTTCTGACCATGACATCTTCACGGCCAGTCTGCTTGCCCTTGAACCAGCTAGCGTCGGCGTTTTCTGATTCGAAGTGGCGGTACTCTACATGAGAGAGCTCATCAAGGAGTATGGAAAGTCGGTCGAGGTTAATAACACCGCCCTCGTTGATGTATCCCTTGGCTAGAGGAAGAATCTTCTTGTAAACGCCGAACATGAGGGCCAAAGCGCCCTCGTTGATATGCAGATGAGGAAGGTTAGGCAAGAAATCGTTACCAACGAAGAAAGCCATGAGGATGAAATCATCAATAACACGCTCCATATCGAACTTGAAACCCAAAACTCCGGGCTCTTTCAGTTCTTGGAACTCCAACTCGAGATATTCGCGTACTATGCAAAGATGCATGAGATAGAAATTTTGATGCTCCAGTTCCTTCGACTTGGCCTTGCTCTGACGGCCAAAAGTGACCTCCTCACGCAGAAGACAGAAGTGAGGGTCGTGGCTGAGAAGACCCAGCATGATAAGATCGGCATCGAGACCGTAAAGACAGTGGCGGACGTTGGGGTCGTAGTCGGGTTGTGATTTGGCCTTGCGGATGTATTCCATGACCTTGTGCTCTCCTTCTCCGGGGACTTCGTGTCCGGAGAGGACGATCTCAGGGCCTTGCCAGTCGATGTCCTCGGAAACCTTCTTGGCGATGAAGTATTTCAGGTGTTGTGTGAGGCGAGCCATGAACTCAGTTCCGGGGGTAATGCAGTTGCTGTCGAAGGGAGCCTCCTTGGGCATTTCAGTACCAGCAGCGATAGCCTTCTCACGAGCATTTTCAGCATCGAGAGCAGTGCGGAAACGTCTGGCACGCTGCTGGTTCATCTTTGCTCTAGGAGCAACACCATCAATAGCCATGAAGAAGAGCTGCTTGGGCTTGATCTTGCCAAACAAGTGCTCAATGTAGTTGAAGATGGCGATAAACATCTCATCCTCGGTCATGCGCTTGGTGACATGGTCGCCGTCTTTGTGTGTGCAGTTGTGAATGATACCGTTCATATCAAGCTGTGCAGCTGAGTCAGAGGTGATGTAGGTGGTCTGGCGCAAGCGCAGGCGGTGAGGATAGACATACGTAAAGAGCGTCGAACTCGGGGATACGGTTCTCAGCAATGAGCTGAGAGATGGCGGGATAGCGTTCGCTCATCCATCGGAAGAATTTGGGGACACCTGGTCGAGTGGTCAGCTATGGGTGTTGTGTTGTCGCAAGGGCAAGTGGCCACTCACCCATGATGATCTATGTTCCAAGATCAAGAATTGGGGTCAAGTGATGGGAGAGAAGGGGGGTGAGAAGAGAAAGGGTGCTGAAAGGGCGTATGGCGGGATATTTCGACACGGAGTCCTCGAAAGAAGGAAGGAGAGAGAGAGCGCGAGCGGCGACTCGATGATGTCGACCACAGCAGAGGCTCTTACCAAATCGAGTTGCTACCCCGGATTTTGATGTGCTTGGCAACCAATCTCAGAGATCAAACGCGTCAAGCTGTTCGGCGCGTGCTTTCGCATTTCCATCTTTGTCCACTCAGTAGCTCCGTCACCGACCAACACCATATTGCTCACGCATCCCGATCCGCAGACACAATGGATCAAGGTATGTCTCTATCCTTCACCGTCCTGGCTTCCTTCCTCTCGCCTCGCACCATCTCCACCATCCACACGCCCACAGCATTTCCTAGCTAACATGGCAATGCTAGACATGCAAGCACAGCCCGCTGGCGTCAGTGACCCCGCCGTCGAGAACAAGATCATCAACGAAGAGTACAAGGTCTGGAAGAAGAACGCCGTCTTTCTCTACGATGTCATCTACAGCAGAGCCCTGGAATGGCCCACCCTCACAACCCAGTGGCTGCCCGATGTCCAGTCCCTGCCCGACAAGAACTTTTCCACCCACCGCCTCCTGATTGGCACACACACTTCGCGCGCTACCCAGGACTATCTACAAATCGCCTCTGTCGACCTTCCCAACAAGCCTGCCGTCAACCCTAACGACTATGATGCCGAGAAGGAGGAGATTGGTGGCCACGGTGCTGCTAAACAGCCCATCTCCTTCAATGTCATTCAAAAAATCAATCACCCTGGCGAAATCAACAAGGCACGCTACATGCCACAAAACCCTGATCTCATCGCAACCATGACCATTCAAGGAGACGCCTTGGTCTTCGATCGCACAAAACACTCCTCCATGCCCAAGACCAACCAGGTCGACGCACAAATCGAGCTCAAAGGCCACGAGAAGGAGGGTTTCGGTCTCGACTGGAACCCTCACTTCGAGGGTCAACTGGCTACTGGTAGCGAGGACCAGACTGTCCGTGTTTGGTACGACTGCCAACTTCTTGCTATGTCATGACCATGTCTGACTGACCGACTCTCACAGGGACATCAACAACTTCTCCAAAGCAGACAAGATCCTGACTACCGCACGCATATTCAACCACCACAGCGCCACTGTCAACGACGTACAATGGCATCCCATGCACGGAAAGAACCTTCTCGGAACCGTCGCAGACGATAGAACCTTCTGCTTGATGGATCTGCGTACCGCTTCCAACTCGAAACCTGCTATAAGAATCGAAGGTCACACCGATGCCATCAACACTCTCGCATTCCACCAGAAGCACGATGTGCTCTTCGCTACAGGCTCCGCAGACCGCACCGTGGGAATATTCGACATGAGATTCCCCGAGCACGGCAAGATTCACAGCATGGAGGGACACCAGGACGTTGTCACCAAGATTGAATGGCACCCCCACGATCCTTGTATCCTGGCCAGTAGCGGTGATGATCGCCGTGTCATCTTCTGGGATATCAGCCGTGCTGGAAGCGAGCAGACTCCTGACGACGCTGAAGATGGACCACCAGAAATGTATGTGTCTCTCCTCCCTGAAATCTTACCACAATACTGACATGATGAGCAGGCTGTTCATGCACGGCGGCCACACAAGTCGGGTGTCAGACTTCAGCTGGAACAAGAACGACCCATGGATGATGTGCTCGGTGGCCGAGGACAACTTGATTCAGTGTTGGCGTGCATCAAGAAACCTGGTGGAAACCTTGCCTCCCGGTATTCCACGCCGTGAAGTGTCTATATCGCAATAAGAGAGATGGCTGACTTTAGGCTCTTGTTTACAGCCGCTCTGAGAGATGTCCAGGACTAGAGGGACCCTGTGATGAGAGCTCTTGTAGAAGAACACCCTATGATAAGAGCCTTGATTGAGGAAAGATCGAGAGCTCTTCCATCCATCGAGAGAGACGGTTGATTTTGGAGCAGCAAGGCGTTCAAGGCGTGGTTGAGAGAAAAAGCATATGCCTGGCTCACGACAGAGGTGGCCATGGAAAGAGATATGTATCGTCATGAGATTAGGAAGCGGCTATGATCCGCACAATATTATTTACAGCCCACTGATCGTTCGACTTTCCAAATCTTTACGCTGAGTGAAGCAACTATTCTGTATCGTCGAGCAAGCTCTGTTGAGATCAGGGTCACCTCTCGTCTCGCGACTTTTGCATGTGAAAAGGTCTATATCAGACTTCACTCCCTTCCAATGAAACGAACTCAAATACTCTCCATCCGCCCACACCATGCCGAACCTTTTGTTGTTCCGCGTCTGAGTGTTTTATACCAACAGGAGGGTAGGTCTGGACTCCTGGACCATGCTGTGTTTATGGTCATCCTACAATAGATTACCATGGCAGCGAAAGAAGCGAGCGATTTTGCAGCTGACCAGGCCGCGATCGAGTTTCTTGAGAATACGAATTGTCCGAATATTCTCGTCTCTGACCGGACAAGGACTCAACCCGACTCGCCGCTGTCTGGACCTGATGGGTTTTCGTATGTCGTCGTCGCCGTCTTCTCATGGATCCATCGATTCACAAACGTGCGAAGCTCGATGAAGGCGAAAGCTGAAACCCCTCGCCCTCCATCGAGAGAAGAGAAGAGTATGGATGCTATTCCGACGAGCAGCTCACGCTTCCACTCTCCATAGTGACTCCCTTGTACTAGAATGTTTGTTCTACAACTATAACGATAGTGGTACAGTTGAGACTTCGAAGCCTCTTTTTCCTTCAAAAACTCTCTCACTCAACCTCTTCCTTCCTGTAACGCCCTGCCCTCTATACTAACCTTTATAGACAACTCCCTTCATGTCTCCATTAACAAGCGAAAAAAAAGCCGTGGTGGTGCAGTGGTCAGCACACCCGATCCTGGTAACCCACGTTCCTTAAAGTCGCTCGTTTACCTTGATACACTCGCTTAAGGATTGGGAGGTCGTTGGTTCGAATCCAACTCACGGTGCTTGTTTTTCTCTTATTTTTGTTCAGACTAATCTCGGGAACTATTGACTGTACTAAGTGCTTCCAGTTCTTTTGTTTCTGTGTCTTGGAGTGCAGAGGAGCAGGCTTCAGGAGCTGGGTTGTCGGCTTTCGAGACTAGGATTTGTTTGACAATGAAATCATCTCGGTTGGTAATGAACGATGTCAAGAGTCCCTTCGCAGCAGAGAAATGATCCTCCGTGTTCTACTGTGCCGTATTTTATGTATACGAACGCGACTGTGCCCTCTTAGAGGTTGCTATGATGTCGTGCAGAGATGGGAGCCCTTGCACTGCGAGAAGACTACGTAGAGCAAGGCCTGTGGAAAGCATTTGAGCATATTTATATTGCATCCCAAATCCACTTCAAGAGAAGAGTGCCAATCAAAAATGGTATATACGTATATAGAAAGTGTAAAAGAGAAACCCGCACGCTCGCCAACGCCTGAATGATGCATCAATGTTTTTGTCGTTGTGCTTCTAGTCATCATTTTGAACAGCCCATTCAGGACTCATGCCAACGTATTTGAACCAATTGGGACGGCAATCTTCTCTATTCAGCCACTTTTCGCCATCAGTGAAGCGTCCAGTAACGCAACCCCTGCACTTTGGCGAATTCGGGCAATTGAAGAAGGGAATATGTTGGTATCCGATATCCTTGAACCAGTGGATCTTGCGGGCATCTTCAAACAGACCCAAAGCGATACTGTGGACAGGAGCATCACCCCAGCGTTCGTAGAAGAAACCACCAGCACGATCGAGATGGTCAAAGTATTCTTCGTAGGCAGAAGAGCGCCAGAAGTTCATGTCTGCAATCTCAAAGTTGCTCCAGAAATGGCAGGTGCTGTAGCCGTTCGCTTGGACGTTGTGGTCTGGTCTGCGTTCCTTGTCGGTCAACCATTTCATGGCGTTGTTGGGATGTTGGTGGTGGCCATTTGCAGCAAGGAACTTGACAGTTTCGGGCCATAGCGTTGCGATGGATTGGGGAGAGTCGTAGAGGTTGATGGTGAAACCATAGGTCTTGTTGCGGTCCTGCATGAAGCGGAAGACATCGTAGTCGACATCACAGAAGAAGTGGACCTTTGGCTCGACGCGCCAGTAGTATTGCATGTCCTTGAGGGCGGGGTGGTGGTAGAACATGCCAGAGTTCCAGCGACACATTTGGTGGTAGCTCAGCATGTGCGAGTACTGGACGTCGTGTTCCTTGAGGACATCTGCGCTCTCACGGAACAGGTCCTGATTGATCCAGCTGGGAACGTCCCAGTGCTCTTTCGGAATAAGCTCGTAGCGCACCTCTGCCTTTGTCATGGCACGTGTGGCCTTTTTGAATGCCTCGGTGAAGGGTACGTCGTTGAAGAAAGTCCATGGGTAGTTGAACTTGTGGTTCCAGGTACGCTCTAGGTCGCGCATGGATTGTAGAATTCCATCCAGCTCTTCGTTGCGCACAAGGGACAGGATGGTGGCATTGATGCGATTCGAGTTAACGTTGTCGGGAGCATAGTTGTTGCCTGAGACTCGGTGTAGCGGTTCCGGCGGTTCTCCAGTAGCTACAAGTATATGTCAGAGACTAGTAGTATGTCAAGTCAGACGGGAGTATACGCACGATCAAGGTTGGGATCCCTGGGCATGTCGCTGAACTTGACGGCATCCTTACCGCCAGCGGAAAGGCTTGACGGCGCTCGGAAGATCTGGGCGCATAGATAGCAAAAGACAACCATGGTGCCAATCGCCATCAGGCGAACAGCTGGAGGCAACGCCATATCTGCGATGGTTGAATATCTGGCTCTTGTTGGAATACTTCAAGAGCTCCTGGCAGCATGACGACGCCGCGACTTTTGGCAGAGTCCCCGTTCTCACCGCCTTTGGGACTCCTGGTGCGTCTCCCTCCCTCCGACTCGGCCCTCCGCGTGTGAGCCAACTCGTCTCTACACGATTTGTATCAATTCGACATCTCCATTATCGCGTGTCAGAATAAACATGTGCCTGTTTGATGCAACATGGCACACGCTGCAAGACTTGGTGCCCTTACCGATGACCTGATCACAGCCGTCTCCTCATCTACTCCTCGCGTACGAGTACGTCTTTCTGTTTCGAGTATCCTATCATTGAATATTTATCCCTTCTAGAGAGATCGCCGACAACCCAGTCAACTCAAAGAGTCTGCTCTGAGAACTTTCAAATCACAACATCATATCCGCGTTAACCAATTCGAGATCGATGCGCGACTCGAGGGCTTACTGGAAAAGTTCTATGTATTGAACAATGAACCTCTCGCAGATGCACTAAAACCTCGTCTTGATGAGTTGGCTGCGATACCTAACAAATGGAGACCCGAATTGCTGGCCCTTTTGCTGGCTCTATCAGACCGTCCAGCCGAAAAGACCGACACTGACAGAGCTCTGGAGATAATCCCAGATGAACCCGTCGAGCAGCAATTGACATGGGCCGAGATTATCGCAGATGATCCACTTGACGAAGAAGGTATCTGGGATGATGTCGAGAACGAGTCCGACTACTCGGAACATCGCCCTCCCAGTCTCAGCGATGAATCTATTAGCGAACCAACAACGTCTACCTCTGCTTCATTTCTTGGTGAAGATGATCCTGGTACCTTGGCACGAGCCTTTGTTATTCCCAAGGACCACGAACAACTGGGTCAGGTCAAAGACTTACGTGACCGTATAACAGGCATGCATTCAGGCTCGGAACTCACAGAACTGCAAGTAATTCGTCAGATACTGCTGATGCTTCATGGACTCCCCACGGATCTGTTCGAACTTGGAAGTAGCGGTCGGTTTCAAAACAGACACTCTTGTCGTTTAGCAAATATCGCATCATCGACATTGAGCCAGGTTTTTCAAGATTCTACCTTACTTGGCTCACAGATTATGACCGTCCGCCGGTTTACCAAGTCCAACCAACAGAGTGTGGTCTTGCAGAGTTTCCAAGCTGCAGTACAAACTCGATTGAATGCATTCGGTCGGACGCTGTCGAGCATTGAGCAAGACTTTCTTCAGCAGGAAAACTCGGCAGTGGTGAGCATCCTGAAGGTGCATGCTGAAATCGATCGCGTTGCCAAACCACTTACTCACCTCGGGGATCTGATACCGGACAACGCTCTCAAGCATAATGTTCAAGCGTTGCATCTGCTCAATAATCTATTCAAACAAGCCTGCAACCTTCAGCTGATCGGGGAAGATGAGGAAGGTGCAGAAGTCGCAGCCCTTCTATCGAGATGTCTAGAACCATATCTTCGTCCTGTCAGATTATGGATGACTGAAGGCAAGCTGATTGCTTCGGATGAACTATTTTTCGTACGATGCCTTGACGAGAGTTCCGACCGAGGATCGATTTGGCACTCTCGCTTCATGCTACTTAAACAGGCCGATGGATTGATCTTTGCACCTGATTTCATCCAAAGTCTAGCTGAAAGAATCTTCAGAGCTGGAAAAAGTGTCATGTTTCTCGAGGCTCTCGGTCACACACCAGACGTCTCTAGGCCACAAGACTTAGACATCGCTCAGATCATGCAATCGACGAGTAACGCCTTGCTGCCGTTCTCAGAAGTCTTCAGGCTGGCATTGACTCGTTTCGTCGATGCACTGGAGGGATCAGAGACTAGGACTTTACGCCAGATTCTGATGTTGCAATGCGGACTTCAGGCGAACATCACCGCGATTAACCACCTCTACTTTGGCGTTAACGGTGCGCATTTCCAGAACTTTGCATATAGTAGTTTCCAACGTATGGATCGAGGCAGTGGTTGGGATGATCGATTCATCCTGACCGAGTTGGCACAAACTGCTTTCGAGACCGTTGATGCCGTCATGGCTGATCACATCACTATTCGTGTCAAGTCTCGGACGGATAAGAAAGCCACTGCGTCCTACGGTCAGCGCGAAGATATTTTGGGCCGAATCGTTGTGGACTATTCTGTAAGTCGATCTTTCCTGACAGATAACCATCCTCGTCACTGACACCTAGCAGATCTCATGGGCGCTACAGAATGTCCTGACCAGCAAAACCATGGCAATCTGCCAAGAAGCTTTCACGATCATGCTGAGGCTCTATCGAGCGCAGTATCTACTACACCAACAGGAGTGGGCGTTGAGTATCATGGCTAGTCGTTCCAAAGATCAAAGGGTCAAGGAGCTTCTCGCTTTACGTCAGCACCTCTCTTGGTTTGTGACTACTATGAAAGGCTACGTCTGTGAAGTTTCGTCAGTCGTGACTAATCAACTCGCTGTCGATCTCGAGGCAGCAGTAGACGTGGATGGTATAGTTGCGGCCTTTGACACGTTCCAACTCAGCCTCACCAGCAAACTTCTACAACACGAGAACCTGGCACCGATACAAGAATCTGTACTGGCCATACTTGATCTCTACGAAGATTTGGCACTGGAATGGAGAGATGCCGTCAAGCAAATCAGCGATCATGCATCGCATCCTACACCTCGACAACTGGTCGTACAGCAAGGATTTTCGACCCGTCGAGATATGCCAGAGGTTGACGAGACAGTTGATCTGACTGATGATGAAGACGAGTCAGAACCGCATGGACATTTTGATCAGAGATCTGTCTTGAGTGTGCCTAGCCTACTCAAAGAGTACAACAGACAGTTGTCGTTCTTGCTCGCCGGATTACGTAGTGTAAGCAGAATCGAAGGCGAGCCGGCCTGGATTATGCTATCCGAGAAACTATCCTGGGGAGTCCTGGGTGCAGATAGAAAACATACGTAATACACCTCTTCTGATCCACCTCACCGTTGAACCACCAACAGTCCGAGACGGACCGTAGAACGAAAAGATGGTTGCTCGGCCCGTGGAAAGTCTCGAGTGTTCACATCCATCTATGCTTCACACAAACAACGAGACTCAACACGTCAACATAAACAGTCCCACACATCGTAACATCTGAATCGTTGTTCCATTAAACATTGGACGTAGTTGTCGCCGTCAATAGTTGATTGGCATGGAATCTAGACAGGGTGATACCCTTAGCAACTATGACGTATTCTTTTTCTCGAAACTCTACATCTTCGTGTCCAAAGTAAACACCAATCTTCCGCTCTATACACCATTCACAATGCCACCATTGCGACTCCTATCACGGGCCCTACCACGCTTCACGTACGGTCGAACGACTCTGCAGCAGCAAATCCGCCATCAGTCGACGAAACCTACAGCCGAAGCCACGAACGACTCTCGCATCTCACGCCTTGAAGCTCGACTTCCACGCTTTTTAGCTCGCTACGTCAAGCCTCTTCGCAATGCACCCATCTCTCACATAACAGCCTTTCTGGTCCTTCACGAGCTCACAGCCATCATACCTCTATTCGGTCTCACATTCGCGTTTCACAAATTCGATTGGTTGCCGCCAGTCTTTTCAGAAGGCTACTGGGTCAAAGAAGGAGTTGAGAAGTTCGGAAGATACTTCAGACGTAAAGGATGGATTAGGGATGCTGATGGAGAAGGGTTCGAAAAAGATGAGAATAGAAAGGGGTTGGCGAAGTGGTGGCCTAGGGGTGAGGATGGTGTGAGGCTGCTGGTTGAGTGAGTGACTGTCACAATATTTGAAGACGTGAGAGGTGTCGATACTGACAACGAAAAAAACAGGGTTGCTACTGCGTACGCGATCACGAAAGCACTGTTGCCATTGAGATTAGGATTGAGCATTTGGTTTGCACCGAGCTTTGCAAAGATATCGACGCTGCCGATCAAGAGATGGATAACAAGGAAGGCAGCAACCAAGACTCCGGCGGTCACAAAGGCCGTAGCTTCCCCTGCCGCAGGTACCAATGCCGTAGGAAGCAAGATCACAAAGTAAAGATAGGCTGTCGACATACGAACCCCTCTTTCACTTACCAAGACCATATGTTGACGTCGAGTTCCCTTTCTCTCAGTAAGCGTGTAAGCGTGGCCCAATCGGTAAACCACCATCGCTCGTGATAAAACTCCTGGGAGTTCTTTAGCCTCGAATGAAAAGGTCACTTGTTCGACCCTCAGACTAGGCACGAAAAGAACTTCAGGGCACGGTGCTGCAAAGGTAGAATACTCTGCAGGCTGAAGGGGTTTTCCCAAGTAGCTAAACAGGCTGCTTGGTTTTTTGCTCGTGTCAGGTGAACAGCTTTTTTGGCTGGATCCTGAATAACAAGGGCGCATGCGTGTGAGAGACAGCGTGTTGAGAGTCATCGAACTTATGTGACGCTTGTGTTTTCAAGACGCTGCCAAAGGTTCTTCTTGTTGACGCAGGTAGTCGGACGTGTCTCGTTCGTCCCGTCTGGCTCTGAGCGTTTGCTGTTTGTCGTCTCCCAACACCTTCCTCCTCTGGTTACGCTTGGTCTTCTCTTCTTTCCTCATCCGCCTCCGTCCTCCTTCATCACACACATCAGTCTTACAACAAGAATCCAACCTTATGATCGCAGCTCTTCGGACTGTTCGTTGCGCTTCCGGCTCTTGCTTCAAGGATGGCAGTCTCCAATGCGCCAAATGCAGAGTGACCTACTACTGCAGCAAGACTTGCCAGAAGAACCACTGGGCCAAGCACAAGAAACACTGCTTTGCTCACAAACCATTGCCTAAGGGTACTTTTGGGTTTCTGAAGCTCCGTCGCGAGATTCGTGACAAGGTTAGTCATATGCGCAGTCTCCGCAAGAAACCTCCATTGACACTCCACCAGATATATGAACGCCTCCTCATCGCTCGCTACACACCCGACCAGCAGCACGAGTACGATGACCTCACCAGTGCCACCGGCGATCGCTTCAGTATCAGAAACCTCCTAGACCAAGTCGAGGAGCGTGTGATGATCAGCCCCGGCACTCCCCTCTGGGATGTCAAGGGCTACCAGCCTCTCGTCCATGCCAGAGGACTGCTCAACGCCAACAAACAGATCAACGAAGAACTCACCCACACCCTCTTCACCAAGAACATCTTCATCACTCCTGTGGGCGAGTACTTCCGCTATGCTACTCCCGGTCAACTGTTTGCCTACAAGCTCAACCCTACCTCTCTGGCTCAGATCAAGCATCTAGTCATCAGCGTGTCCACTGAACTTGACATCAGACATCCCAACCACAGCGATGGTGTTGCTGCTCTCAAGCACAACTTCAACCACATCGTCCAGAGTCTCAATCAGCTGGGCAACAAGCTCGAGTCACTCAAGATCCGCTTCATCAGCTGCTTCGCCGGTAGAGTCGAGGAGATGCGCGGAGACATCGATCTCCTGCTGACTCAGCCCAATGCTCGTCCCGTTCAGGTCATGGAAGTATACCACCGGATACAGTCTCACTCAGTAGTTGGTGTGCTGACTACTCTGCTCTCTGCCCTAGATTCACCTTCACCCACAAGAATGTCAGAAAGTTCTACACTTCTGGCTTCGACCTCGGCAACGCATTCGAAGGCTTAAACATCCCAGTCAAGAACTTCCAGATCTACGGCGATCTTCCTGGCGAAGTGATTGAGCGTCTGAACCGCAAGTTCAGCACCGGCGCTGAAGCAGACACCCCCCCTGACAACGACAAGTCTAATGATGAGGGTCCCAAGCCTGCCACTTCCGTCTCTGCTTCATCCACCGTTGACTCCTCCACCACTGCTTTCACTAGCACATCAACCTCTACTCCATCCAAGCCTACCACTCCTCCACGCGACCCTACCAGCAAATTCCGCAACAACCTCGAAGATTTTGTCGAGAACATGATTGAGAAGAATCCCGAGGACAAGAAGATGACGGAGCTTGCAGAGCTGTTGGCTCGTATTCCCACGTCGTTGTCAGACAGCGATTTCATCAGTGACATGGTACAGAAAGGAGTTCCACGTCGCGAAATCCTGTCTTTGGCCTGTATGCTCGATGAGCAAAGAAAATAGAGGGTCATTATTGAAGATGTTGGAGCAGAAAAGAAATCAACTTCAGTGACATTGAACAACCTTGACTATTCGAATTGTACATTTCTCACAGCGTCATGATATCTACTTGCTACCAGCCAACTTGGTAATCGGCAACACACCAGGGAAAAAGCTCGCCGGCATGGTAGGAACAGCAATGCTCAACGTAGTTCCAAAAGCAGTCTTCAAGTCTGCAGCCATAGTAGGAGCAGCATATCCTGCAGGAGCCTTGCTAACCCACTGAGTCGTGGCCGGATACGCCGCATAGTTCGTACCACTCTTGAGACAAAATCCACTTCCATATGCGTTCTCGCAAGAGTAGAACTGAGAACCCCCTTGTTCGGTCCACATGGCAAAGTCGCTGATGTTGACATCATGGCAAGGTGCCTTTGCAGCGCAAGCAACTTTGATAGGGCCACGCGCTGTTCCTTTGACCTCTGTACCCGTCCAGTTGGAGATGTGGAAGTTTGAGAGCTGAACGCCATTGCCAGCAATGGTCTTCATCGAAGTCCATGCTTGGTCGAGCGTCAAGGAATACGCATTCCCATGCCCGATGAAGTTTTCCAGCGTGACGTTGGAGATGCTGCCATCGCCTCCATTCGACTTGAGCATGAACATCTGATTGCTAGACCAAGTGTAGATGTTTCTGTAAGTAATGTCTGACACAGCGGTACCAGTGCCGAACGATCCCATACCGCAACCACCGCTCCAGTTACAGTAAACATTCTCCACCAAAATGTTCTTCGCGGGTGATTTTACGGTAACGCACTCGTCTTTGTTGGTCACCATGACATCGTGAATCCAGATATTGTTGCTCCAGACATCGATGCCGTCAAGACCTCCTTGGTTGCCGCCGCGGATGGCCATGTTGTAGACTTCGCCATTCGTGCAGGTGTCAACGGAGAAGTGGAAGGAGGGAGAGTCGACGAGAGTGATGTCGTGGACGGAGAAATTGGTCACGTCCCAAACGCGTAGGAGACGAGGGCCGGATATGCTGCCTTGGATGTGGAATTGATAGCCGTTGCCTTGGATGGCGCCCTTGCCGGTTGAGGAGAAGAGCTCGAAGCTGGGATTGCAATGTCAGCGTGATTGTTCGCCCAATCTTTGCAAAAGGCTAGACTTACTCGTTGCTGTGCTCAATCATAATCATATTACCACCATCAGTTCCAGTACGAGTGATGAGACCATCAAGCTGCAGAGCCCAGTTGTTGCCGCCAGCCAACTTGACCCACTTGGACATGGCATAATTGCCAGTAGGAATAACCACAACACCACCAGTCTTGCAAGCAGTAAAAGCACTGTTCAGAGCAGCACTGATATCAGTCTTGCCATCAGCAACAGCTCCGTATTTGGTAATGTCGCAAGTCTTTTTGGCAGCCTTGGTGGCATGAGAAGTGGTAGGACCGACTTTGCCAGAGAGCTCACCTGCAACCAGCGCAGGGAGGGCGATAACAAGGGTCAAAAGAGAAGAGAAAGAAAACATTGATGCCAAGAGAAGGACAGTATGAACGTGAACGAAAGACGGGAACGACAACAGGAGAGCGAGGAAACAGCAAACGGGCACGCCTACTTGATATCAAGGCGAACCTACTCTTAATCCATTAGGGCTTCTACTGCCGGCACTCACATGGGATGACCTGGGTATTTGGATGTGGCTTCAATAGGAGTCCAGGGTTGCATTTCGATGAAACGGATCCAAAAGACCTTCCCCAAAAGGCGTGGGCGGTCAGTCCGGGGTGGACGATCAACATGAAACCGTGCCCCGATGCCGCAACCAGACGATTTCTAGGCGATCTTGCGGGTGAGAAGATTATTGCAAGATGTTGCCAATCAGGGTGTAGCATTCGTGAACGAGGGCATATCTGGACAGCTCTGACAATGACAAGGGGCTCTGCTGAGACGAACGCGGGTCGCTTCGGGTTGACGCGATGAACGACAACGCCATGAAACACTCGATGCTTGAAATGTCACGACGAAGCTTGCCTGGGCTTCGAAACTATGCCCTAACCGTGAGCCCTGTGAAAGACTTCTGCTAGAAATTGCTCGCTCCAGGGAATGAAGTAGAGGATTAAGGAAGAAAATAAAGACGCTCTAGACCAAGTTTCAGTGTCTGCCAGATATAGCAGTACGCCATCTAAATGCCCTCGCTTCTCAATGCAAAACAATCGATTCCCAAACGCCCGCTAAAATGCAAGAAAAAGTAAGGTCGTCGCCATGTGATCCTCAAGACCAACTTTAGCCATGGTCTATTCCATTTTCGAATCCTGCTGTGCTCCGTTTGGCTCGTCACCGCCTGCAAGCACCTTCGTCCTGGGTACGCTGCCCTCGTTCGGGTTGCCTCCAGGGGTCACGGCTGAGACCTTGCCGTTCTCGTCGACGAACTCGAAGTTGTAGCGGGAGAGCAGATGGGGAATGGCAGAGAGTTGAGGACCGTAACGCTGGGCATTGTCGTAGAGTTCGAATAGAGGCACAGCAAGTAGCTTCATGTTCTTCGGGACGCTCAGGACTTCTATTGGTAGTGGGTCAGCATTTGCTAGGTGGACTGAGGGAGCATGTAATACATACTGCTGTTGGGTAGTTGGATGAAGTACAGCTTCTTGCACTCCTTTGGACGAGAAACATGCGGCGGGATGAACGGGTACATGAATGTCTCAAAGTTGGGTCTCCACCACTGGGCAAGAGTCTCGCCAATCTCCCACTCGCCTTCGTTGCCGTCGTTGGAGAATTGATTGCCCGAGGGAGCCAGTCTCTCGTTCAAGCGAATCTTGAAGCCCTCAATCTCATCGGCGTCGTGTGGAAGGTAGTCGCCAGGGAGCTTGAAGAAGGCGTTTGCGATTTGTAGCATGAGGACGTGCGGGTGGTTGTGGTCATGACATACAAGAATGCCTTCGCAAGTTCTCCTCATGCCGTATGCATCGTAGTGTTCTTCTAGGCGCTTCAGACGAGCGAGCACTGAAGGATCCTCTTCGGGCTGGGTTTCTTTTGTGCCGAATGTGTAGTTGCTTAGAGGGTACAGTCTGACGGTCTTTGGTTGATGTGCGTTGAAGTCCGGCGGGGCTATCGGGCTATAGGGCGGCACTTGTCGTCAGTCGAGAGCGGAGTACGGCGGTTGTCCATGACATACGGATATGAGCTCTGCTGAGCGTCTTTCGAGATTGTCGTCATGGTTCGACAGATGGGAGTCGCGTGACTCTGTGGATGTGAAGGAGAGTAGCCAACAGATTGAATTGCCGGTGTTAGATGTGGGGTGACGCAAGCGGTTGTTTGTCGTTAAAGAAGGAAGTGGTTGATATGAAAGCAAGACAACAAGTGCAGGACAACTCGAAGCTCGACGCCGTCTCGGCCTTTGACGCGAACGACGTGGATTTTGTGGGGAAGCTCGCTCCTGCCACTTCCACAAGAGCTCCCTCTCTCCCTTTACCTCTCCCACCGCCTTGTTCGGCAGCTGCGGCACCGTCGTCAGCAAGTGCGACCCAACCACACATATACCCCTAGGACCACGGCCAAGTAGCCTCCTTTTTCTTGCTTCCATCACCTTTCCTCCCTCCATACACCCTGCTACCTGCTTGACCCGTACTTGCCATATCGATACATCTGCATAACCTCAACCTACCACTAGCCCAACATGTGCCGTTGGTTCGCATACATCTCGCCAACCGAACCTTGTCTTCTCTCCGACGTCCTCATCACACCTAAGCATGCACTCACCAATCAAGTCAATGATCACTACCTGCCTGGCCTCATCGCCCACCTACCCGACAAGATTACCGCAGAACACGAAGCCAATGCTCGCAACCGCGTCCTGAACGCCGACGGTCTCGGTGTCGCCTGGTACACCTCCTCCTACAGCGACTTTGAAAGAGGCATCACCGGCGAGAGCGAAGATGGCAAGCCCCACACAGGCCTCAGACCCGCCATCTACAAGACCATCCAACCTCCAAAGGGTGACATGAACTACCGTTCCATCTGCGCCAACACTGAAACCCGCTGCTGCTTCGCTCATATCCGTGCCACGTCTGAGAGTGCCGTCGCTCATGTCAACAATCACCCATTCATCTTCGGAAAGTTCGCTTTCATGCACAACGGATCCATCTCAGACTTCACCTCGATCAGACGCGCTATCTGCGACATGCTGGATCACGATACGTATGCCAACATCCAAGGCAGCACTGACAGCGAGCACATTGGTGCACTGTTCATGCACCATCTTTCGTCAGGCAAAGGCGCAGACACCTGGGACGAAGACTACTCGGTCCACGCTATCGCAAATGCACTCCACACCGCCATCAAGACCGTCTGCAACCTGCAGAAGAAGATACTTGGACCCAAGAGGAGACCCAATAGCTTGAATCTGGCAGCCACAGACGGCGTCCAGATGGTCGCATGCCGCTTCCGCAACCACAAGGAAGAGCAACCTCCGAGCTTGTATTTTTCGACAAGAGCCGGCACTACCCTAAACCGCAAGTACCCCGATCATCCAGACGGAGATGAAAGACCTGATGAGGGCCCGAAGAAGGATGAGAAAGAGCACGGAAAACATGTCATCGTTGCAAGCGAGCCCAGCACCTACATAGAAGAAGACTGGAATCTTATCAACAAGAACCAATTCCTCATCTTTCACAAGGATGGCAGGTTTACACTGCAGAACATGCTCTACTCTGAGTCGTGGAATGCTGATCATGCAGAAGCTGACAAGGCAGTTCAGGCTGAAGCGGATCAGAAGGCAGCTACCACTGAAACTCAGGATCAAAAGGCAATCACTGCTGAGACGGAAGGTCAAGATGCAAAGGTTGCTGAGGCAGAAGGTCATTAGGTGCATTACAGTAGGTATCTCTCATAGGCCGTGGTATCATCATTCATCTTCCATAACTCAATCTCATCTTGGACCAGGTGCTGGAACGACAACAGGTGCAGGCGCAGCTGCGGGTGGTGAGTCGGGTGCTTTGGTGACCATGACCACCTCTGTAGCTTTGGTTGGCGATGCGGGCGTGGGTGGAGGTGCAGATGCAGGTGTAGGTGCTGGAAGTGCTGGCTGAGGCTTGTACTCGATGGTCTGGACGACTGGAGGAGGTGCGGTGTTGGCCCTCTGCAGCTGAACAACATTGGACCCGGAAGACTGTCCAGTCACCCCAACGACAATAAGCACACCAGACTTCTTTCTCTTGTGACGATCGGCAATGAGCCAGTAGGTGTAGAGCCAAGCTGGAAAGAGGCTATCACGTTGAAGTTCAATGAGTGAGTAAAGGACATCGACGAGACAAGAGAGACGAACCAGAGAATAAACAGAAGGGTACAGATGACGAATTCCTTGCCGCAGCCTTTCATCATGAAGACGGCGATCATGGGATTGAGCATTGCGATGACTAGGAGGAGAAGAGTCTCGAGATCGAAGTGCGTCTTGTCTGGCATCTTGACAGATTAGACTGGTGGGCTGGTCGTTGAAGGACTGTCTGTGATTTGGCGAGTCGAGAGCCTGGTCGATGTATCGGTTCGAGGAGAGAAATGATGGGGTTTAGACGGATGGGGAGGTAATGATCTCGATAGAATCTATCTGGGAGAAGTAAAGAATGGTCCTTGATGATGACTCTGATGAATTGGATTTGGAGTCTTGAGACAGAAGATATGTGGAAGTTTGTTAATCGAGTAGGTGTATTTTCCTTTGCAAACATTGATGGAAGGAGCCACCAGGGTTGCTGGGCGCGTCATGGGTGTGGCTGGTGCTGTGGCTGCAGCTTCTACTGCTCGGTATCAACTTCCCCAGTAATGACCCCTTCATGTGAAATAGTGACGCAATGGTCTCGAAAGGTAACAGAACAACCATCAAATAATACCTATCTTCCATATATCACACAATCCACCACTTCAGTATCTTCCAATTCCTCAGGACCAGCAACCATGCCCGACCCAAACGTACCCCAAAGCTACGAAATCAGACCTGATCCCCAGGCTCTGACCGGCAACAAAGAAGACCCCAGCCAGAACGCATCCACTGGTGTCGACTACGAGCCTCATCCCGAGAAGAGCATCAAGCTCGAGCCAGAAAGAGAAAGGATTGTACAGTCGATTTGTGCTCTATACTCGGGTGGAGCGGAAGATAGCAAGCGAGGAGAGGAGCTCATGCAAGTCTATGCTGAGAAGGCCGTCTACGATGATCCTTGGTATGTCTACGAAAACCCCATATGAAGTCGGAGGTCAAAGACTAAAACAGATAGGTCGTACTGCGACACACGCTACAAGATCGCCGGCCAATGGTACGGCATCCCCAAAGTAATGGCCAAGTCGCAAACCCTCAAGACCGAAGTCGTCGACTCGCAAAAAGATCGCATCATCTTCAAGTTGCAGCAGGAATACACACCCAGGATCGTACACTTTTCAAAGCCAGTAAACAGTCTTATCACATTGACGCTGGACGACCAAGGCAAGGTCAAGTATCACAAGGATATGTGGAATGAGAAGGACTATTCGCATGAAGGCCTGGGCAAGGTCATGAAGACGTTGAATGGCGATCATTTGACCAAGGTGAGTGATGCTTGGAACGCACGACGAGTGCATGCTGACACGAGTTACAGATCACCCAACCGCCAGAGACTTTGTAAACGTGCTTCATAAAGACGACGAACAAACAACGCTTTAGCAATATCTAATCTAAATTCTATCCACACGAGTTCTCATCTAGCCAAACCTTCAGCGCCCTTGACATTCCAGTCATCGTCACTCTTGACGGCAGTGATAGTAGCCAGCTCCTTGTTGTCCGGATCCACCAATCTGAAAGACGATTTCCCGTTAGGGAAGAACGTCTTGACCTCGACATCCTTGGTCCAGTCCCAAGTCGTTCTTTTCTCTCCCTCTCTTCCAAGAACCAGAATGGACCCTTCTCTGACATACAAAGGCAGCGTGTCGAACTGATGTGTCTCCTTGACCCACTTCGGTCCTTCAACAACCTGACCATCCCAGAAGCTAGTCCACTTACCCTCAGGCAGATAAAACTCAACTTCTCCACTCTCATCAAACACAGGCGCAACCAACAGACTCGATCCCAGCATAAACTGCTGATCACACAGCCAAGCCGTCTTGTCCTCGGGGAACTCAATTGCCATAGCTCTCACACTGACAGGCCAGCCATGCTTGATACTCTCCATAGCCTCGGAGTACAAATACGGCATCAACCTGCACTTGAGCTGCGTAAACTTCCTCAAAACAGCGCTACACCCTTGCTCGCTTTTGTCGTCGTCGTCCACCAGCCACGGCACACGATAACTGTTGCTTCCATGTAATCTTGAATGCGAGCACAGCAGTCCAAACTGCACCCAGCGTTTGTAGATGGACGCATCGGGTGTACCCTCGAAGCCACCGATGTCTACACTCCAGAAAGAGAACCCACACATTCCTAGCGATAGACCGCCGCGTAGAGACTCAGCCATGGCTTCAAAGGTGCTTTCGCAATCGCCGCCCCATTGCAGAGGAAACTGCTGTGTTCCTGCTGTAGCGGCACGAGCGAACAATACTGCTTCATATTTGCCGTATCGCTTTTGGAGTGCTTCGTAAACGACTTTGTTGTAGATATACGCATAGTAATTATGCATTTTCTCCGGTGCCACAGAGGTGTCGAACCACTGTACATCCTTACTCGGTATCCTCTCTCCAAAGTCTGTTTTCAAACTGTCGACACCGATATCAAACAGTTTTTCCAGACACGAAGTATACCACTCACAAGCCTCTGGGTTGGTAAAGTCGATGATGCCCATCCCTCCCTGCCATAAATCCCATTGAAACACATCCCCATTTTTGCGTTTGAGAAGGTAGTTTTTGGATGCTGCTTCTGCGAAAACAGGGGATGCTTGACCCAGATAAGGGTTTATCCATACACAGACTTTGTTCATCAATCCAGAAGCTTTGAGGCGAGTAATACTGGCTTTTGGGTCGGGGAAGTGTTTGGGGGAAAATACAAAGTCGCACCAGTGGAAGGCGCGGAGCCAGAAGCAATCGTAGTGGAAGACTTGGAGAGGGATATCTCTGGCTTTCATGCCTTCGAGGAAGGAGAGGACGGTTGCGTCGTCGTAGTCGGTTGTGAAGGACGTACTGAGCCAGAGCCCGAAACTCCAAGTGGGCACTTTGGCAGGTTTGCCCGTGAGCGTGGTGTATTTGTCCAGGATTTGTTTGGGAGAAGGTCCATAGATGATGTGCCATTTGAGTCGTTGGCCTAGGACCGAGGTTTGCACTCGACTGCATCTCTCACTGCCGACCTCCAGGTCTACTTTTTCTGTTGCATCGATAAAGACACCGTAACCTCTGTTGCTTAACCAAAAGGGAATGTTCTTGTAGGCCTGGTCGGAGGAGGTACCGCCATCGGCGTTCCAGAGTGTTATTGCTTGGCCCACTTTGTTGAGGGCGCCGAAGCGCTCGCCTAGACCGTAGACTTGTTCGCCGACACTCAACGTGCTTTGAGTCAGAATGTAGTGGTTTATCTCTCGCATATCCGCCGTTTGCATGGGACTACTTGTTGCAGGGTCATACGCGAGTCCGACGCTGCGGTTGAGCAGAGAGGTTAGTTTGTCCTTGCCGTCTTTGCTGTGGAAGCGGATATCGAAGGTGTGAGGTGCGGAGGATACAGTTGCTGAGAGATTGCCTGCTGAGATCGTTGTTCCTTGTTCTGTCTTTGCGATGATGGCGTTTACATCCGGTCTTCCGGAGGGGAAGAGATCGTAATGAGGACCTTTGTTTTGAGCGCCGTGCCAGTGGGTGACTTCGATGGAGAGTATATCGTCCATCACAGCTTCTAGCTCCTATGTAATGTCGGCGTTCTGTTCTTGAGATATACAGGGTGATAGACATACCACTGTCAAAGTAGGACGGTTCAATGTATCGCCTCTGCTGCGAATCTGCATGGTAGGACAAAGCAATGTAATCTTCTTGCCATCTGGGGCTTCGTTGATGGAGTAAACTTCTTCAGCATACTCCACGCGTTTGCCCTCAGCAACCAGCCACATGCCTGACCGTATCGTAAGTACTCAGACATAGCTTTTGAAACTCAATCAACTCACCATCGCGAAACTTCATCTTGGGCAATTTGAGGAACAATAGGGACGATTGCAAGGAACAAACCACGAAACAGAAAGACAAAACTTCTACTTGTTGCTGGAGAACAACAAACCCACACCTTCAGGATCCTTACAATGCAGATCACCGACGCGGGGTCCTGTATGAGGGGTTTACGGAGAAATCATCCCAGCTAGGAAATGTGCCTGTCGAGCGACTGACTGCATATAGGCTGAAACCCAGCGGAAGAATTGCTTCGATACGAGTGGGAGGATTTGATAAGCATTGTCATGTGCAACGAAGGTAGGGTTTTGCGTGGCTTGGACGATGGTTATGCTGTTCGTTGAAGCTTGCTATTGCGATGCTTCGGTGCAGATCATACCAAGTACTTGCCGTGGATGGGTAGCAACGGTATGCCATTCATATCTGCTCAAACACTCTCACTGTCGTTGCATCTAGCAAATATGTCGGTACAACATTGATGACTTGATAAAGTTCTGAACTTGAAGGAGACATTCGAGGTCCTGCCTTGTGCCAAGCCATTTCGTCATCAGTGGATGCATGAGAGCTCGATTCCTGAGAGCGACCACCTTCTCTTATAACATTTTGTAGAATCGAAGAAGTAGGTATCGTCGTTCTCATTCTCTTATCTTTGGTTTCATTTGGCAAGACTCCCGTTCCTCAACTATACTCACAACCATGCCTGACCTCGGATTTGATCCACTCAACCGCGAGCCGCCAGCCACTCAACTGGTCTCATCGTTCCTCACAACAAAAGATGCCTACGACCGCAACCACGGGGGTATACCAGAGATTGATGCTTCGAAACACCACGTCCGTGTAGATGGAGCAGTGCAGAATATACTCGATCTTTCCATATCTGATCTGGAAGCATTACCTCAACATACTGTTGTCTCTGCCCTTCAATGTGCTGGTATCAGAAGACATACCATGCGCACAGCTATCAAAGAAGTCCAAGGTATCGACTGGTTTGATGGAGCTGTCATGAACTGCAAATGGCGAGGACCGAGGTTGAAGGACATCTTGGAAAAGGCACAGGTCATTCTTACCAAGGAAGAGAATGGCCATGTGGCTTTTGCAAGCCATGTACAACCCTGCCAGGAGGATGAGTGGTACGGAGCTTCGATAGATCTTGAGAGAGCGTTGGAAGAAGACAAAGACGTGATATTGGCACTCGAGGTGAGCTTTGCAAGATGCTCAACTAAGACAGGTAGAGATGACTGATTTCCTCAGATGAACGGAAAGCCACTCACCAAAGAACATGGATATCCTGTTCGAGTTGTGGTGCCCGGAATTGCTGGTGCTCGAAGTGTGAAGTGGCTGGATCGCATCACAGTACAAACAGTCGAGAGCTCAAATTACTATCAGCAACACGACTACAAGATCCTTCCGCCGGAAGCGGTGGATAGCGAAACAGCAGAGAAGTTTTGGGACACGACCCCAGCACTCCAAACCATGCCGATCAACAGTGCGATTGCTATACCAGAGACTGGATCGAAAGTGGAGAGGTCAGCAGAAGGTGAGGTAACAGTCAAGGGATTTGCTCTGCCTAGTGGAGACGGTGGAGCTGTAGTCAAGGTCGAAGTGTCAGGAGATGAAGGAAAGACATGGGCCGAAGCAGAATTGGAGCATAATGCAGACGAGAGCAGGTGGTCGTGGAGATTGTGGAAGGCAAGCGTCAAGATGGAGGCAGGGAAAGGGTTGAGTATATACAGCAGAGCTACGGATGCGAGCGGACAAACACAGCCGAAGAGATCGGAGTGGAATTTGAGAGGAGTAGCGTATAATGGATATGGAGAGACGACGGACATCGAGATTGTGTAGAAGAGTAGTGGAAAAACGAGAATAAATAATGATTAAAATGACAATAAATAATGATAAAAATAATCAAGCTCGTTTCAAGTCTGGAGAAACCAAGACGGGCTGGATGGTCTGTGCGTGGCACTCGACGTCAGTTTCGACGGGCGGCGGACGACACGAGCAGTTCCACCACTCCAGTCCAGACAGTTGCATGCTAGGATTGCGACCCAGACTTGTTACGCGCCCATCCCTTCTCGATCTAGTCACCAAGAAAGACTCTGATCGCGCCGCCGTCTTATCGCCAGTAGAACAGGACTCGCTGTCCATCGATCTGCCCCAGAGCCCCGTAGCAGCCAGCTCAACCAACACTTCCACAACTCCCGCCATGGCTCCTTCAAGAGATGTCGAGTCCCAGCAGGGTGAGTCCAGCTTGTCACTCCCAACTCAAGCCAAGCTGACCATGACCAGGCTCCATCTTCTCCGTATCGGGGTATGTCGCGCCGCCCGTCCACGACCGCCTACAAGCCACTAATGCCCGTCCAGTCCCGTCATTATCGCCGAGAACATGATCGGTGTCGCCATGTACGAACTCGTACGTACCAATCCGCCTCCAACACACAATGCGCCATACTAAGAAATCCAGGTCAAAGTCGGCAAGGACGGTCTCGTCGGTGAGGTTATCAGAATCGACAACGACAAGGCCACCATTCAGGTCTACGAAGAGACGGGTACGCATATGTGCACATACAAGACACACTCGGTTTGCTGACCCAACGCAGCTGGTGTCACTGTGGGTGACCCCGTCTACAGAACCGGCAAGCCTCTGTCCGTCGAGCTCGGCCCTGGTTTGATGGAGACCATCTACGACGGTATTCAGCGCCCTCTCAAGGCTATCTCAGACGTCTCCGACAGCATCTACATCCCCCGCGGTATCGACGTGCCTGCCTTGGACCGTAAGAGAAAGTGGGACTTCAAGCCCGCCGAGTACAAGGTCGGCGACCACATCACTGGTGGTGACGTTTTCGGTTCCGTCTGGGAGAACTCGCTGCTCAACGACCACAAGATCCTTCTTCCTCCCAGAGCTCGCGGTACCATCACCCGTATCGCAGAGGCTGGCGAGTACACCGTCGACGAGAAGATTCTTGAGATTGAATTCGAGGGCAAGAAGTCCGAGTACAGCATGATGCAGGAGTGGCCCGTCCGTGTCCCTCGCCCAGTAAACGACAAGCTCGGCTCCGACTCGCCTTTCATTGTCGGTCAGCGTGTCCTCGACGCCCTCTTCCCCAGTGTCCAGGGTGGTACCGTCTGTATTCCTGGTGCTTTCGGTTGCGGCAAGACTGTCATTTCTCAGTCCGTCTCCAAGTTCTCCAACTCTGACATTATCGTCTACGTTGGATGCGTACGTCCACTTCAAAAACAAACACCACTATCAAGAGACGTTGCTAATTATGCTACAGGGTGAACGTGGTAACGAGATGGCTGAAGTCTTGATGGACTTCCCCGAGCTCACCATCGATGTCAACGGCAAGAAGGAGCCTATCATGAAGCGTACCACTCTTATCGCCAACACCTCCAACATGCCCGTCGCTGCCCGTGAGGCTTCCATCTACACTGGTATCACCGTCGCTGAGTACTTCCGTGACCAGGGTAAGGACGTTGCCATGATGGCTGACTCTTCTTCTCGTTGGGCCGAGGCTCTTCGTGAGATTTCCGGTCGTCTCGGAGAGATGCCTGCTGACCAAGGTTTCCCTGCTTACCTCGGTGCCAAGCTTGCCTCTTTCTACGAGCGTGCTGGTCGTGTTACCGCTCTTGGTAGCCCTGACCGCAAGGGCAGTGTTTCCATTGTCGGTGCCGTCTCTCCTCCCGGTGGTGATTTCTCAGACCCTGTCACCAGTTCCACTCTCGGTATTGTGCAAGTCTTCTGGGGTCTGGACAAGAAGCTTGCCCAGCGTAAGCATTTCCCTTCGATCAACACCTCGCTCTCTTACTCCAAGTACACCACCTCGCTCGAGAAGTACTACCAAGAAAACAACCCCGAGTTCCCTCGCCTGCGCGACCGCATCAAGGAGCTTTTGACCACTTCCGAGGATCTCGAGCAAGTCGTGCAACTGGTCGGAAAGTCCGCTCTCGGTGACGGTGACAAGATTACTCTTGATGTCGCAACCCTGCTCAAAGAGGACTTTTTGCAACAAAACGGTTACAGTGACTACGATCAGTTCTGTCCCCTCTGGAAGACTTTCTGGATGATGAAGAACATGATGAGCTTCCACGACGAGGCTCAGAAGGCCATCTCCCAAGGCCATGCCTGGAGCAAGGTCAGAGAGTCGACTGGTGAGATCCAGAGCGAACTGAGAAGCATGAAGTTCGAGCTCCCTGACGACGGTGAGGAGAAGGTTGTCAAGAAGGTGAGTTGTGAATTTAATTGTTCAAAAATGATCGCCATGCTAATGTTTGCCGCAGTACGAGGAGCTCTTGCAGAAGATGAACGAGAAGTTCGCTTCCGTCATGGACGAGTAGAGGTGACAATAGACATTTGTTTTAAGATTGTTCTTGGGCGTTTCCATGGTCCTTCGAGGCTGTATATAATCTCGTTTTCTGAAGCGTATTCGACATGTGTTTCCCCGCATCTTGGTGACTTGCCCATCTCTCCGCATCCGAGGTTCGAACATGAGCTGACTTATCCACCTCTTTATTACAACTTGTTTGATATACCATTTTCATCGCTAACATCAGTCACAATGCCTCAATCACCGCCGCTGACCGGTCTTCGGGTGCTTGAATTCGCAGGTCTAGCTCCAGGTGAGCGTTACAATTCCGTCCAAACGGTTAGACATGCTAACAAGATGATGCAAAGGACCATTTGCAGGCCTCCTTCTAGCCGACTGGGGCGCCTCTGTCCTGCGCATCGATCGCGCAGTCGCAGGAGCACACACCAACAATCCGCCACCTCCAACCTCAGATCTTCTCACACGCCACAAGTCATCCATTGCAGTAGACATCAAGTCCAAAGCCGGCATCTCTCTGATCCTATCCTTGATTCCAAATGTCGACATCCTCATCGATCCTTTTCGGCCCGGCGTACTGGAGAAAGCAGGTCTCTCGCCCGAAAAAGTGCTCCTCAAACTCAATCCTAGACTCATCGTCGCTCGCATGACTGGTTTCCGCAGAGATGGCAAGTACGCCTCCATGGCCGGCCACGATATAAACTATCTCGCAGTCTCTGGCGTGCTTTCCCAACTCGGCAGAAAACACGACACTCCATATCCTCCTGCAAATGTACTCGGTGATTTTGGAGGTGGGGGTCTAGTCTGCTTTTTGGGTATCGTGATGGCGGTGCTGCAGAGGCAGAGTTCGGGTATGGGTCAGGTTGTTGAGGCTAACATGGTAGATGGAGCTGCGTATTTGGGTGTCATGCCTAGGTTTGCGCGAAAAACGCCCGTGTGGGATAGACCTAGGGGTGAGAATTTGCTGGATGGTGGATGTCCTTATTACGATACTTATGAGTGTAGGGATGGGGGGTTTATGGCTGTGTAAGTGCTGCGCTTTTCTTGCTGTTGCTTGTTGGGGGATCACTGATGAGATACAGGGGAGCGCTGGAACCGCAGTTCTTTGCTCAGTTGCTCAAGGGGTTGGGCATCAGAGCTTCGGATCTCCCTGGCAAGAGGGAAGATCGCAGCACTTGGCCTGCTCTACGGGACCTCTTCACTGCAACTTTCAAGTCCAAGTCTAGGGCTGAGTGGGAGAAGATCTTTGATGACACAGATGCTTGTTGCACGCCTGTTCTTACTCAAGATGAGCTGGAGGACAATGGGTACGACCAGAGACCTATTGTAACCCTCAAAGACTCTCCTGGCAAGGCTATTTCAGAGGGAGATGCAGATACCAGACCTGTCTGTGAAGGACAAGGCATTGGTGTCGAGGGAAATGGTTGGCAGAGTAAAGGTTTAGCGCCGGGTGTTGGTGGAGAGGAAGTTCTGGCTAGATGGATGGGTTGGAGGAGAGGAAGGCAGTATGATGTCGTTGGTGGAGGCGTCGTGAAACTTGATACAGGGTCTAAGCTGTAGGTAAAAGCTACTGATGTGCCGATCGGCTGTCTATCAAATAGGTACATACATTGTCCAGCCAGAAACTACATCTACCGTCCTCTACCAAGTCCACCTATCCGCCTCACTCTTTGGCTGGCCCCTGTCCATGGGAATCGGAGTCATACCAGGATCCAAAACATTCAACCTCTTGACCAATCTCTCCCACTCCTCAAACACAGCAACCCACTCGCCATCAATCTTTCTGTACATCCAGTGATGATCATCTTCCTTTACACACTCGTACTCCAAGCATTGCGTTGCAAGTTCATCCAAAATACCCATGTCCAAGAACCAGTTATCGTTGTAGATGTCCGTGATCTTGCTGTTTACGATGGTGATGACCAGATTGTCTTTGAGTTGCATAGCGCGGCGTCTGATGCTCATGATATTGGCCTGAGCCTGCGAGCGCAAAACGGGCAACTGATATTCGTCCGCCAGACAAAAAACTTCGGCGCAATGACGCACTAGGTTCCAAGTCTGTGGAAACAAGTCCTCATTGGACAGTTTTGAGTATACAATGCTCTGGTCGAATTTGAGCCCATTGTCATAGATATGGCTCAGCAACGTCATTACTGCGTTTTTGCTGTACTTTTCGATGGTGAATTCTGTGTGTTTTTGTTCATTGAAGGCTTGGAAGAATATGGGGCAGGCGTTTAGGATTTGCTTGTCGTAGAGCATGGAGATGTCGTCGAAGTGTAGCGTTACATCGGCGAAGATGGAGTCGTTGAAGCGTAGTACGCTGGGGTCTTCTTCAGACTCTTCACCGGTGGAGACTTTGGCGATGTTGAAGTTCTTTGCGTGTTGGAACCCAAGGGTGGCAGATGTCATGATTGCTGATTGCGATGTTGGTTACTGGTTCTTGATGAAATAATGCTCGATGTATTTGCAGGTCGATGCGTTTGAAAATAAGAAGACAACTAAGAAATGAACCTCGAGAGAACATATAACCTGTTGAGTGAGTCACTCCAATTCAAGACTCATACCAAGCTGTTCGCAGTCGTAGATCTGCTCGAGGAGACTTCACCGCAAACTTGCTCAAATGAGTCAAGATCGCGTGGCAGACTGTCTACCTAGTTGCAGCTGTATTGCAATGACAACGGATGACGACTTCATTCTCCGTGAATACAGTACCTACAACTGTGAGAGATCTTGACCATTAGTATGTAGGTACTGCTGCTGATAGATGTCAGCCACGCTCTCAACAGGCGTGCCGTGTGGTATGCTCCAGGCTGTCTTGCTAGAGCATTCCAGACATTATTCGACGTCAAGTTGCCGCAGTATTCGATCTTCAGATTCATCTTGCAAGGTTCCTGCAGCCGAAGAGAGATTTTGCAATTGTGCTGATGGTAATGGCAAGCACGATGGCAACGACGTCCACGGGATCGGAATTTCGGAAGCTGCACTACGAGCATATTTTGTGTACTGTGCATAATTATGCATATACACTTTGCGCAAGGAATCTGGATCAAAGCAGTCTATGATCTGGAAATGCTGTCAATTCTGGTTTATCTAATCAAGTAATTGCTCACAGCCCGTTGTCCTTCTTGAACTTATCCCAAGCCTCGTTCAACGTGCTAAATACCGATCCACTGATCATCTTCTGCTCAGTAGTGGCCGACTGCGAAAGCTATACATCAGGTTAGCATTCATATAACCACGAAAAATAATGCTTTTCATCACATACCTTGTCAGGATGAACCTTGGCGATCGCCTTCATGTACACTATCTTGACCTTGTTGGGCATGATCAGATCACTCATATTGACCTTCTTCCATCCTGCTTCAGGCCAGAGAACACTATCCAAGCTACCCAGGAGAGCGCGCAAGTTATCAGCTTTGCCGCCTTTCCATGCAGTGACCTTGGCTTCGACTTGATCCGAAAGTGCGAATTTCTCATCGTCGGCTCTGTCGGCTGCAGCGTTCGCTTCACGCAACTTTCGTACTGCCTCCTGCGACTGAACTTGTGAGACCGCAGGACGTTTGGGTTGCTGGAGATGACCCGCCGGTACTCTTGTGACAGCTGGTGTAGCCTTTGGCTTTGCAGGTGCGGGTTTCGATGCACCTCCATTCGCGGCCTTCTCGCAACGATCACGGGCTCGTAGACTTACGGCGCCGCCTACGCCAACTGCAATGGCATCTTTCCAGACGATAGCTGCATCTGACCATTTCTCCATGTTTTCCAGCGCCTCGGCTTTGCGCATGAGTGCTTTGCCGTAGAACTCTTTCATGTCTTTTTCGCCCTCACTACCACCGAGGTCAATTTTCTCGTTTTCGCCTTTGCCAATACCAACGAGTTCTATAACGCGGTCTGCGTCGACGACTGCAGCTTTAGGGTCGCCAGTCTTGATGGCTGTCAGAGCTCTGTTTGATAGCACAATGATGATCAGAGGATGAGTAGGCGGTAGTGGCGTGAGTGCGGCAGAGTATGAGGTATGCGCGGCATCAAAGTCTCCTCTTTTGAACGCCTCGGTACCTGCCCGGCGATGGCTGCTGGATGTCGACAGTGCAGAGGGTGAGATGGCCGGGATGTTTCGCGGAGGTGCTTTGGGTCGCGGAGCTTGTGGTACTGGTGTAAAAGCTTTGGTTGCAGAAGGACGAGGTGCGGGAGTGGTCCTAGCAGATGCAGGCTGTGGAGGTGGTTGAGCAGGTGCTGGACTGAATAGGTCGACCTCAGACTCTGGCTGTGGTTCTGGTTTGGCGGGTCTTCTTCGCCTTGCCGAGCTGACATATGCCTGTGACGACTCTTCCTCGACATCAAAGCGACTAACTTTGTTTGGACGTTGAGCCTGCGGAGGTGGTGCTTGCTGTGCAAACCGTGATTGCGGCTGACTACGCACAGGCAGGTCCTGGGCAGGTGATCGAATTCTAGGATCAGGTCTTGAAGCAGACTCAGGTACTTCAGGGGTACGCGACTTTGTTGGTCGCTGTCTTTCGTCTCTGGCTTCTAGAAGCATAGCCTCATTGGTCAACTCTTCCGCAGTCTGTGCAGGTGCAGCTGTACGAGGTGTCGAAGAGCGTCCGGGTCGAGCAGAGACGCCATCAGCGCTTGCATCTCTCATCCACTTGGGTGTACTCGAATCGCCCTCGGGTTGTTGGAATTCGGCAACGGCCTTCTTCAGATTCTTCTGTCCTGTCTTCCAAAGAGAGCCCGCAGACTTGAGGAATGATGTACCAAACTCTTGTGCATATGCAGCTACATCCTTCTCCGAGGCGGGTGTTCCGTTGTCTTGCCTGCGTTGATTGGAGCTCGGGCGCGACTCCTGTCGCATCCAAGCAGGCACCGAAGCATCCTCATGGCCTCTTCCGCGTCGCGGCTCTTCACGAGTCTGGGGTGCTGGACTAGCACGGGCACCACCGCGATTTTGTGTTCTCTCCTTTGACTCTTGATGTGCCTGGTTGAGTAACCATCCTACAGCCGATTGTACATCTCCTCCCGTCTCTTGCAAGGCAGCTCTCGACCTAACAGCAGGGAAGCCCATATCAACCAGTTCAGCTATCGGACGGTCGAGGGGATCGGAAGACGGCGGTCCGCGGCGTTCGTTGACAGCAAAGGCTTCATCAACAGGCTCACGTCTAGGAGGTTCGCGACGGGGAGGTTTGGCAGTTACGGGCTTTCCGAGATCTCCAAGGATATCGTCATCGTCGTCGTTTGCAATCGATTGAGCGGGTTGATAAGGGCTGGCCTTTCCCTGAGGAGCAGCTCCAAGACCAAACGGATCGTCGTCGTCATCTGCGAGCAGAGAGGTAGACTTGGACTGGTTCGCAACAGCAGGAGTGTTGCGGCCACTGGTAGCAGTGGAAGCAGCGGGCACGGGGAAGTGAGAAGACTTGTCTACCGGCGCAGCTGAGTTGAAGGCAGCCAACAGGTCGTCCTCGTCGTGCTGGGCAGAGGATGCAATATGTTGTGCTGCTGGCTGAGGGGTACCCTTTCCACTACCCAGAGTGTCCCAAAAGGCTGCCTCGTTTCCATACTGCTGGGCATGTCTCTGACGCTGTTCCTGTTCCTGCTTGATCTTCTCTTGCTGCAACTGCTTCTGGCGTTCTAAGAGAGTGAGGCTGCCCTGGGTCTTGTTTGCGTTTGTGGATACAAGGTTGGCGAAGATGTCATTGGCGGGTGAGGCAGTTTTTGACGGAGCCTTGGGAGCGGACTGATTATTGGTGAATGGGGAGGGAGCACGCAGGTTGTTGGCAAAGGCGGAAGGAGCTGGACTGGCACGCGAGCTGGAAGTAGCACTAGGTATAGACATGGGCATGCCAAATGCTGGCCGCGGGGCGTTCTGCTTGGCTGCAGGCGCCGCAGTACTCCAATCCGTGTTCAAGAGGTCATCCATACTGAGCGCGTCGTTGTCGGAAGTCTGCAGACATGGGAATTTGTTGTTGAATCGAAACTGGCTTGCTATTTCAGGTTGCTACGAAACACATGGGCCCACCGTTAAACCCGCGTCATTGGCCCAATCCAGAACAAAGGAGAGGTCCGTGTCAACAGTCTGGGGTTGTTGTTCGGCAAACTTTCCTGATCGGCCTATACCATTCTCTACATGAATCCGCAAATCTGTTGCTGCTCTCCTCTGGTTCCTTGCTATGAAATAACTTCCAATAAACTGTCCTCCAACTCAGTAGTCCAGCTACTTATCTCACGTAACACGGGAAACCTCCATGAAGCAAATTCAACCTCGCCCGATGACACTAATATGATCAGTTATTGCTCTCGTTGTCGAAGATTACCATAATACTTACTTGTAACCTTTGGCCGTACCCCAGATCGACGTGTCTTTGCTGCAATTGAGATCCTTCTTCTCATTGAACGTGTGGTCGTTGTAGTAACAGTTCCAAAAGTGGTTCGCTGGATAAATCGACTGCACCATCAAAAACATGCAATCTGGTTTTTCTAGTCGTTGTCAGTATACCCCGTTGCTTAGGAGAGTTCGGCCAACATACTGATGCAGGTGCCTTTGCAGATGTCCGTGACTTGAGACTCGTTGAGCGTTGAGAGCATGAAGGTTTGTGTAGACTTCATGCCAACATCATCACAGCCAACTTTAGGTCCCCAGACTTGAGTGAAAGAAGGCTTTGGCTTCTTGACTGTTGAGATAGATGTGGTCGTTATAGTCTGCGTGATTGAAGTCGTGACTTCAGGGACCACGGTGAACCATACTTCGCCAGTCAGTGTCGTGGTCGATGGCTCCGCAGGAAGGAGACTGGCTTCGCTGGACGGCAATGCTCCGATACAAGAGCATGCCTCTGACAGCTCTGACTTGTCCAATCCAGACAGTATGTCTTCGGCTGTGTCACATGGTTCTGTTCCTCTACGTCGTTTACTCGCCTTAGCGGAAGATGTCGTGAACGTCGTCGAGGTAGTCTTGGAGACAATCAAGTCAGTCGAGGTGATGGTGATCGTGCTGGTAGGAACATCTGTGAGGGTAGTTGTTCTCGAAATAACGTCCAGAACGGTTACTACTCCTTCTGTTGCAACGCCGAGTGCTGATGTGCAGTATGCAGAAGCCGCAGAGTTCGAGGCGAGGCAGGAGTAAGCTGAGATCTGACAGCTTGCTGCATTGGCCGACGCAGACAAGACCGCCGCCATGATTATAAAAGCTTGTTGCATGATGAGCGAGTTAAGGAGGTGATAGAATCTAGGAAATGGAGGATCTCAGGTGATGCTCGAGTGTTGATATAAGAAGGCAAGGACCGCCTCTCAAAACATCAGGAAACGGAACCATGAACTTCCTGCGTGTTACTCACCATGCCCAACCTCGCGCGCGGAACGACGAAGGACAACACGTCCAGGCAACACGGAACCCCAATGTGACGAGCTGTTGTGTTACTCCGGAACCGCATGTTGTTAGCGTCTCGCTCTGCAGTGCTGCACCTCTAGACCACTCATCTGCGAATGTCAAGACGCATTTACGCCTCCACCATCGCTCAGACTCGGTATTGGTGCCGCGTTCGGATGCAATGCAACAAAGAAACCTACCATTCCGGATGTCTTCTCGTTTTAGAGCCGCGTCACATCGAAGGATTGGATCCAAGGAGTTTCGTGCAAAGTGTGGCTTCTGCAATCATGGAGTCTCGCCCGTCCAATGGACCTGGATCTGCCGGGATTGGCCTTGCATGAGCGTCAGGAACGCCCAACTAGAGGAGCAGTGTGAAACAAGATCACATGTGCTTATATTGATTTATAAAGTTCCGGGTCGGCCCCGCACTTATGCCGCAGAATGAGGAAAGATTGCCAGTTGCAGTCCTCGGTCAGGTATAGAAAGAGCATAGTCAGCATTCTCCGGAACATTCTTTGCCGCGCTATGTTTCCTCCTCTAGTAGTACGACAACTCAGCGGAGCGATTTAGCCACACCGGGTATAACCTATCAATCAGACAGGACTAACATCGTATGCAGCATTCTTGATCATGTTCATCAGGCCAGACGAACCAGAGTCAACAATCTGCATCTCTGCCTTCAAATTCAGCATCAACATCACCTGCAACTCTCGACGCCACTGTGCCGCTTCATCGAAGCTGGCGTGCTGCTCCCACTCGAGCATCTTTCTCGCTTTGTGACGATCTCTCAACGTCAAGGTCAATAGTCCTTGGTTCCGATGGGTGTGGTCTTCGTCTGTAATAGATTGACTGTATAGGCCCATCCACTGTATATTCGGTACGACGAGTTCAGCATTCTCTTCGGACACTTTCTTCGAACCGTACTTGTACGTGTGCAAGATCGCTAGGCCGTCTGGGTCGTAGTCTACGAGACCAAAGACAGGAGGTTCCGCAAAGCCGTTCTGAGGTGAAGCCGTAGTCATGAAGCGAGTCACTGCTCTTGTCGCTATGTCTGGGTACCCCTTGCCCTAGTCTTGTCAGACTAATCCTCGATAACACTGAGCGGTGAACTTACGGTAACGATAACAGCATGCCACATCATCTCTTGCCAGTCTCCAGACGAGATGATCGATTGGTATGCAGCCTCGAGAGCGTCAATGTTCTGTCGGTCATATGCAGTCGTCGAACCTTCTTACTTCTTTCTCGATGACAAGCATCCATCTGACTCGGCTCAGATCTATGGACAAGACTTCTTCCATGCTTGGTACAAGAATGCCACTCTGCGCATTGGCAAGATCGATTTTCGAACCGTCTCGGCGATTGATTACAACAGCGCCGGCCATAAGGCCTTTCACACCAGCAGTCTGCAGTTTTCAGAAGCTTGTTACCATTCGTGGAGATCGGTGTACAAACCACATTGAGATATGATCTAGGTACCGAGAGGGCAGCAGCAATTTGATCAACATAGCGGTCTACAGTAGATTGTCTGCCAAATAAAGCAGGATCGCGATAGTATAGGTCGCTACAATGAGGTGTCAGATTAGAACGTCTTGTAGTCAGTCTCACCTCACATGCCGCTTAGTCAAGGTGACACCGTCCAAGAGCGACTCATGTACGAGTTCGAGGATTCGGACAACCACGGCTAAACATGAATGTCAGCTTGTCACTCGGAAGGGTTTCATCGTTACCGACAGAATCTCCACGCGTCGTTGGCAGCCTTTCCAGGAAAGCTGAATACTGCTTTCGATATTCGGGCAGATGTGTCTCGCGGTATACTCGAGGAAGGAGAGGTGAGTGAGATAGCGACATCAGCTCTTTCGTTGAGGAGAGCATCCGCTATGGTCTCGAAAACTGCTTCAATTTGCGTAATAACGCCATGATGCTTGTCCGGGCGGCTGAGTTGAGGGCCGACCGGTTCAAAGACTTCTTGGCTGTCAGAAGAGTCTGGACCGTCGTAGAAGAGCATATCGAGATCAGATTCGTCTTTCATTTCACCCATATTTTCTAAGTGGTTCGTTGATGATGAAGGTTGAGTGAGAGACGCGAAGCAAGAGTTGGCGGGCAAAGCGGAGGAGCGAGGCTTGGCTTGGCAAATTGATCGCGGCAGCGCGGGTCGCGAGGCAGTCGCGTCGTCTCGCTCTTTCTCGATCCAACAATCGCACCCATTTGACGTTGACGTGTGGCTATTTCCAATAACGCATACCTGGCTCTGGTTCTCTACACATCGCTCTACATTACATCACATCGTCAAATCGCTGTTCGTCCCAAGCCATGGCTGAACCAATGGAAGTCTCATCACCTGAGCACTCCCGTAAACGCTCCCTACCAGACGATGACCAGACATCGGTTTCCAAATCAGAGAGCCAGGTCCCTACTCCTCCTCTCACTGCCAGTCCCAACAACAAAGACTCTATCCGCCAGCCCAGTCCAGCACCCAGCACTTCGACATTGAGCAGTGCTCCATCAGGAGAGAACAACCAACCGGCTGACCCCAACGCTCCACCGAAGAAACGGAGAAAGTACACACCAGCCGAGAAAGAAGAAAGACGCCTGGAGAAGGAGCAGAAAGACAAGGAGAGAGCCGAGTTGAAGATCAAGAGAGACGAGGAGAAACAGAAGAAGGACGAGGAAAAGCGTCGCAAGAATGAAGAGAAGGAAGCAAAGCAACGGGAAAAGGACCTGAAGAAGACCAGAGAAGAGGAGGAAAAGCAGAAGAAAGCACGAGTACGTTCTGCATGTACTCTTTCGTTGTCGTTTGCATACTAACGTCATCCAGGCACAACCCAAGATCGCTTCTTTCTTCAAGATGCCCTCCTCGCAAAAGTCGCCAGCCACGCCAACACAGATACAACCTTCTCCGGCTAGACAAGATAGCACCAGCTCCCAGCCTTTCGATGGCGATGTTTCTATGACCTCGCCAACTCCAAAAAAGTCACCTCAACAGACCCAGAGCGACTACCGCAAGACGTTCTTGCCATTTCAACTCAAGGCACATACCAAGTGTGCACCTCACATTCTCTCAATTCGTTCCGACGAGCTAGAGACTTCACAACACGAGATGGACAAAGTCCTACAACGCCTTCCAACGACGACAACGCCCATATCCTCCTTGAGTACTCTCTTCGCCAAGGAAAGATCGCGTTCACGCGGCCTCTGGCAGCCCACGGCCCGGGAGGTCATTGAGTCGTTGCAAGGCTCATCACAGGCCCCGATCGACCTGACCGACGAATCGGGAGAGCACTACCGCCCGACCGACCTCCTGGGCGCTCTCGTCGTCCGTCATCTCCACTTTGGTGAGGACGTCAGACCAGCATACTTTGGTACCTACTCTCGAAAGGTCTCTTCGTCAGACGCCGTCAAACTTCGCAAGAACCCATTCAGCAAGCTCCGCAAGGATACTGATTACGACTACGACTCCGAGGCTGAATGGGAGGAGCCAGAAGAAGGTGAGGACATTGGTTCGGAGGGCGAAGATGACGAGGAGAGTGTGGGCGACGCGGAAGAGATGGACGACTTTATGGACGATGACGCCACAGACAACAAACGACACATGATCACGGGTGATCTCAAGCCGGTCAGCACAGGTCTGTGTTGGGAAGATGCTAAGGGCCTATCGAGTCTCTCACACGAAGAATCCTCTGTCGATCTCGACAGCATGAAGATTGACTTCTTCATCCGTAAGTCCAACGTCCCCCTTCCAGTGAGCTATCTCTAACACTCTGCAGCTCTCACCCAACCTTCCATCAACCCCTTCTCTACAAGCTATTGGCAGACCGCGACGGTGCCAGTCGTTGCTGCTGCTAAGACAAGCGGTGGTCAGATGCAGCTGGATGGCAAGATGAAACCACCAAAGGCACCTCTCATGCCGCGATCAAATACTAATGACACCATGACCATCATTGGCGCCTCTAGCGGCATGAAAGGACCTATCATGAGTGTGGCCTCTACAAAGGCTGCAAAGCTAGCTCCCAAGCCTCTGCAAGGATCAGAGTTGGCCGAGTTCAAGGATGCTGTTGATGGCAGCAACCTCACCAAGGTCGATCTGTTGAAAGCTCTGAAGAAGAGGTATGTGCTCATATGATGACAGCCCTGAGGAAGTGCTAACGACTTGCCAGATTCCCCAAACACACCAACGACACCATCAAGGCAACTCTATCAAGTTGCTTCGCTCGCATCGGCCAGTACGAAGCCGACAAGGTCTGGAAGGCCGTTGCTGCCTAGACTAACACACGCTCTTGACGACTCTTCTTTGCTTGCTTTTCTTTGCTTTTCTCTTCTTTGGCGACACATTGCAATGCCGCATTTGCTATTATACCGGAGCGTTATCATTGGAACAATATTTGTATCGAGGCGGGAAGATCTTGTGGGTCAGCCGGCGAGCTGATCTGTACTGGGACAAAAGGAGTCCACCTAGCTTTTTGACAGCATGCTTATCAAAAGCATGTCCATAGACAACGGCATAATCAAATTGCTCATATCTGTTTATCACGGTCATGTTCACATGTCTCTTGAGTAATGACGTGATCTGCGAATCAGCATTGACGGCGGCTCACGAAGTGGCTGGGACGTCAGGGTGGTACATCTGACAATGCTTCTAAGGGTCGTCGATGGTATAGGGTCACCACGAGGTAATGTAGCCGTTCCGGCATGACACTAGCAGAGGATTCACATGCACGACTATGTTGTATGCAAGTCTAGTGATCCTCGTACCTCTCCTCGTCGCGATATCACCAAAAGTATGTTTAAGAACATGATGTTTGGTCAAGGCAAGTGGAAAAGTTGGGTTCGTGGAGGAAATTGAGAGGACTATGCAAATATAACGAAATTGAAACAGTCTGATACGGGCGGTCTCAAGATTGTAGGAAGACCTACTGGATCTACTATTGAACTATCTCAGACAGGAACAGAGACGGTATCTATGTTCTCGATGGTCCGAGAAGTGGTTGCTATGATTGACAGGGTATTCCCCCAGACAAAGATGACGTCTCAGTCGTCGGACCGAGTGTTTCGTCTCTCCAAATCAACAAGTCGGGAGTCTCTTGTTGTTGACTTTCTAGACACAAGACTCGCAGCGCATGAACCGATTGAGTGCTATTACAGAGACGTTGGTGTCTCGCGATGATGGAAGTATCGCTGCCCGTTTCTCGTCCTTCACACTTGGAGCTGCGGTAGCCTGCACAGTCTGGTATGCCGCAGTCTCCTTAGTTTGCGCCGTAGGCTATACCCAGCTGTAAGTATGTCCAATCTTGACAACTGTACACCAGGCTGAATGTACACAGGAGGCGTCACTATTCCTGTCCTCCGCCGAAAGCGACAGTCTCTGGACCCGATTCACCGCATGTCACAATCATCCGGCCTGTAAAAGGCCTCGAGCCCAGTCTCTACCAATGTCTGGAGTCGACTTTCCTTCAGGAGTATCCAAAAGACAAGTTGACAGTCTTTCTTTGTGTGGCTGATCGCGAAGACCCGGCCTTCCCGATCCTACAGCAACTCATCAAGGACAACCCGAGTTTCGATGCCCATGTACTGGTTGAAGAGGAGGATCCGGAACTCCAAGGCGATGCTGCAGACACGAGGCTCGGACCCAACCCGAAAGTCAGAAACATGAGTCGGGCATACAGAGAGGCCAAGGGTGACATTGTGTGGATCATCGACTGCAACGTCTGGGTCAATAGGGGTGCTTGCGGGAGAATGGTCGACACGTTGATCGGCAACAGAGGCATCAAGAACAAATTCGTCCATCTTCTGCCATTGGTCGTGGACATCGCAGGCACACCACTTCCTGAAAGTGCACAAGGTCTCCTTGAAGGTCGCGATCCTGACAACAACTACCGAGTCGTCTCTACCAGTACCGCAGGACACCAATTGCGATCCTCCAACAATGCCTCCCTGGACGTCTTGAGCGAAGGTGGTGGAAGGATTGAAGAGCTGTTCATGTCCTCGGCACACGCAAAGTTCTACACGGCCATCAACACTGTTTTGATCGCACCATGCATTGTCGGCAAATCGACCATGTTCCGCAAATCCCATCTCAACAGTCTCACAAACGGACAGGGCATCGATTTCTTCTCCGAGAACATCTGCGAAGACCATCTCATTGGCGATTTGCTCTGGAAGGGAAAGATTCCGGAAGAAGAGCGTGGTGAGAAGTGGGGCAAGCATGCTCAAGTCTTTGGTGATCTGGCCATTCAACCAATGGCTGGAATGAGCGTGGCCGAGTACATTGCTCGCAGAAGCAGATGGCTTAGAGTCAGGAAGTTCACAGTCACTCTGGCGACATTCGTCGAGCCGGGTACCGAGAGTTTTCTATGCTCACTGTACGGCGCCTTCGCTTTTACAACGCTCCCAATCTTCCACGACAGACTTGGCGTACCGCAGACGTGGACAGCCTTTGCCATGTTCTGGCTTCTCAGCGTATGCACCTGGTGTTACATCGATTGGACGCTCTACTGCAAGCTACACTCTGGCGCATCAGTCCAAGTCGATGAAAACACACCAGCATTCGCACGTCCTCCAAGAGGAGGTAAACGTCGACCTTTCCATGTCTGGTTCTTCGCTTGGCTCGCTCGTGAAACTTTGGCACTACCCATCTGGACCTGGGCGGTCTACGGAGGCGTCACGGTAGTGTGGAGAGGCAAGAAGTTGTGGGTCGGTATGGACATGAAGGTCCACGAGATCAACGCTGACAGCACTTTACTTGATGCTTCAAAAGCAAGGACAGATTGATCTAGTAAAAACAATGTTTCCTACGATATCGGCCTTGAAACCCGCTTCATTAGAAAATTTTCGCGGTATTGCTCATCCTGACGGCGATTTAGATAATACCCCATGTCAACGCCGGAGAGGCTGGGGTTGTCGAGTCAGTGCGTGGCCTACTACGTCAGACTGTAGAAGGAGATGTATAGAAGACCGCAAGTGTACTGCAGATAGGGTGTCGCTACTATGCGATGGGGCTACTCGCGTGAAGTAGTCGAGTGGTGTATATCCAAGAACAACCACCAAAGTGAATGCATGTAAAGGCAGCGAAGTCAAAAAATGTTATCAGGGTTCATGATACGCTAGCCGTTTTGGGCACCCCCTCCACGTCCATCCAAAAAATCTCGCGCCGACCATTATTCGAACGCTTCTTTATCCATCTCACTTCCTTCTGGTGTGAGCCTTGGTAGCTCAGCATATCCCAACATGGCCTCACAAACACCTTACTTGGCTTTGCCAGGCTCTTCCGCCTTTTCTGGTTTCCGTACTGCTCGCCTTGCTGCCGCAATCGGCGCCACTGAGGTGCGCGGTGTGTGGATGCACTATGTCAATCCCAAGCAGGAGCTCAGCCAAGAGAATTTGAAGACTCTGGACCAGCTCTTGAAGTACGGAACTCAACTCTCCACTCAAGACAGACTTTCTCAAGTTCTTCTGGATGCTGTTCACCGTGGTGGTGACGCGAGAGACGACACTACTCGTCTTTACTACGTCTCTCCTAGAGCAGGAACAATCTCACCATGGAGCTCCAAGGCGACCAGCATCGCCCACGTCTGTGGCCTGGAGAAGCAAATCAAGCGTATTGAACGCGGTATGGTTATTGCTGCAAGCTTCAAGAACGCTCCCGAGAAGGACGATATTCCCAATCCTGACATGCTTCACGACCGTATGACTCAGACCATCGAAACTGGAGCTCCCGATCTCAATCTCATGTTTGCCGAGCACGAGCCTGCCGAAGCTCAGGAAATTGATCTCTTTGCTGAAGGAAGCACCCCCAAGGAGGCTCTTAAAAAGGCTAACCGCACACTTGGTCTGGCTCTCGATGCCTCTGAGATCGACTACCTGGTTGATGCCTACTCGAATCAACTGAAGCGTAACCCCATCGACGTTGAGCTTTTCATGTTCGCTCAGGTCAACTCGGAGCACTGCAGACACAAGCAGTTCAATGCAGACTGGACTATCGACGGCATGCGCAAGCCCAACAGCTTGTTTGGCATGATCAGAAACACTCACAAGAAGCACCCCGAGTACGTTGTCAGCGCTTACAGCGACAACGCAGCCGTTCTTCAGGGTGAAAACGCCAGTCTGTGGGCCCCTGAGCACTCTACTGGAGAGTGGAAGCAGACCAAGGAAATCGTCCACTTCTTGGCCAAGGTCGAGACTCACAACCACCCTACCGCCGTTTCTCCCTACCCAGGAGCAGCCACTGGATCTGGTGGTGAGATTCGTGACGAAGGAGCTGTTGGACAAGGCTCGAAGCCCAAGGCTGGTCTTTCTGGTTTCACCGTTTCCGACCTTCTCATTCCCGGCCACGAGCAACCATGGGAATTGGACGTTGGAAGACCTGGCCACATCGCCAGTGCTCTTGACATCATGCTTGAGGCTCCTATCGGAAGTGCTGCTTTCAACAACGAGTTCGGAAGACCCTGCACTACTGGTTATTTCCGTACCTTGACCACCGAGGTTCCCATCGATGACAACACTACTGAGATCAGAGGTTACCACAAGCCTATCATGCTTGCTGGTGGTGTTGGTACTGTCCGCCCTCAGCATGCTCTCAAGTCAGAGGACTTTGTCAGCGCCGGCGCTTCTCTCATTGTTCTCGGTGGCCCCGCTATGCTCATTGGTCTCGGAGGTGGCGCAGCTTCTAGTGTTCAGTCTGGCGAGAGCAATGTCGAACTCGACTTTGCCAGTGTTCAAAGAGGCAATGCCGAAGTCCAGAGACGTGCCCAGGAAGTCATCAACACTTGCACTTCTCTCGGATCCAACAACCCCATCCAGCTCATTCACGATGTTGGCGCTGGCGGTCTGTCCAACGCTCTGCCCGAGATTGTTCATGATGCTGGACTCGGTGCTAAGTTTGAGCTGAGAGAAATTGACAACGCCGACCGCAGTCTGAGCCCTCTACAAATTTGGTGCTGTGAAGCACAAGAGCGATACGTCATGGCCGTCTCTCCTGAAGGCTTGGAGCTGTTTAAGAAGATTTGCAAGCGTGAGAGATGTGGTTTCTCTGTTGTTGGCCAGGCCAGTGACCGCGCCTCTAAGAAGGAGAAGCGCCTGATTCTGATGGATCGCGACTCCGAGAAGTACCCCAGCCCTATTGACCTTCCTATGTCGATCCTGTTCGGCAAGCCTCCCAAGATGTCCAGAATCGTGGAGTCCAGAAAACTCAAGCTCCCTTCGTTTGACAGCACTCTTACCACCTACCTCCCTAAGGTTGCCACCAAGGACGTCTTCGGCGAGGCCGTCAAGCGCGTTCTCTCCCTGCCTTCCGTTGGCTCCAAGTCATTCCTGATCACCATCGCTGATAGATCTGTTGGCGGTCTCGTTGTTCGTGACCAGATGGTTGGTCCTTGGCAGACTCCTGTTGCTGATGTTTCGGTCACTGCTACTTCCCTTCTCCCCGGCGTCAAGACCGGTGAGGCCATGGCTATGGGTGAGCGCCCTTCGCTTGCTCTCATTTCGGCCGCTGCTTCTGCCCGTATGTCAGTCGCAGAATCGTTGATGAACTTGGCTGCTGCCAGCATCCCTGACAGACTCAAGCGAATCCGTCTCTCGGCCAACTGGATGGCTGCAAGTGGCCACCCTGGTGAGGGTGCTGCTCTCTACGAGGCTGTCGAGGCCATTGGTATGGAGCTCTGCCCTGAGCTCGGTATCTCTATCCCCGTCGGCAAGGACTCCATGTCCATGAAGATGAAGTGGCAAGACGAGAAGACTAAGCAGGCAAAGGAGGTCACTGCACCTCTTTCGTTGGTCATCTCTGCTTTCGCCCCTGTTGATCACATTGACAGAACCTGGACTCCTACCCTTTCGAGACTCGAGGATGTTGGCGAGACCGTGTTGCTCTTTGTTGACCTTGCCGCTGGCAAGAAGGCATTGGGAGGTTCTGCTCTTGCTCAAGTCTTCGGCAAGGTCGGCGACGAGGCTCCTGATGTCCGTGATGCCGAGGTACTCAAGGACTTCTACGATGCTGTCGAGTCTCTCCACGAGTCTGGCATTGTTCTTGCTTACCACGACCGTTCTGATGGTGGTCTCTTTACTACTCTCGTCGAGATGATGTTCGCTGGCCGTACTGGCCTCGAGGTCATGCTTGACGGTATTGCCGCATCTGACAAGACTGAGGATGTTGTTGAGGCTCTGTTCAACGAGGAAATCGGAGCTGTCTTCCAGGTCAGAAAGAAGGATGAGATTGAATTCAACCGTTGCTTCTCCAGCTGCGGACCTCCTCCCGGCATGATCAAAAAGATTGGTAGAGTCCCTGCAGCCACCAAGCAGGAGATCTCCTTCCACTACAAGACCGATGTTGTCTACAGAGAGAGCCGCGACGTCTTGCAAAAAACATGGCAGAACACTTCTGTGGCCATGCAGCGCCTCAGAGATAACCCTGAGTGTGCTGATGCCGAGATGGCAAACATCGCCGACAGCAAGGACCCTGGTCTTTCGTACAAGCTCACTTTCAACCCCAAGGACAACATCTTGCCCTTGACCACCACCATCTCATCAGCCATCAGCGCTAAGCCTCGCGTCGCTATTTTGCGTGAGCAGGGTGTCAACGGACAAGCCGAGATGGCATTCGCCTTCAATGTTGCTGGCTTCTCACCCATCGATGTCCACATGAGCGATATTCTTTCTGGTCGTGTGTCACTCGCATCCTTCGTCGGTCTCGCAGCCTGCGGTGGTTTCTCGTACGGTGACGTCCTTGGTGCCGGTCAAGGTTGGGCCAAGAGCATTTTGCTTCACTCTGGTGCTCGCAAGGAATTCAAGGACTTCTTTGAGAGAAAGGACACTTTCACCCTTGGTGTCTGCAACGGATGTCAGTTCCTGTCGCGTCTCACGGATATCATCCCTGGAGCCGAGACCTGGCCTACGTTCGAGACTAACGTCAGTGAGCAATACGAGGCCCGTGTCTGCATGGTCGAGGTTATGGACCAGCCCAAGCAGCCCAGTGTATTCTTGCACGGCATGGCTGGCTCGTACCTTCCCATCATCACTGCCCACGGTGAGGGTCAAGCCACTTTCGACACCAGTGCCTCATCATCTGCCAGCCCTCAGGCTTTGATGAACGAGGGTCTTGTCTCTATGCGTTACGTCGACAACTACTTGAAGCCTACCGAGAAGTACCCTTACAACCCCAACGGATCTCCTCAAGGCATCACTGGTGTCAGAACTCCTGACGGTCGTGTCCTGGCCATGATGCCTCATCCTGAGCGTACTATTCTCAAGGAGGTCGGCAGCTGGATGCCCAAGGATCAGTCTGATACCTGGGGCGAGTTTGGCCCTTGGGTCAGAATGTTCAAGAGTGCCAGAAAATGGGTCGGCTAGAGGAAAGAGGAACGGTTGTTATATGGAAAGTCACGAGAAATCTAGGGGAATATGGGAAACGGAAACGGCGTTGATATCTGAGGGTTTGAAGACGGAAGACAAGTTGAAGAATAGTTACAGAAGATGGGCTGCAAATGCTACGTATTTATCGTTTTTACATATGCATCTGTGTCTGATTACTGGTGATTTGCAGAACCTCTTGCAAACTTGATTTTATTGTGCTAGAACATGGCAATTGGACGGTTTGATGCGGAAAGGCGATGGACGAATGGGAGGCGATCCGTGGGGACGGAAGCTAACGTGATGGAGGCTAGCGTAAAATGGATTCGCGACTGGTCGCGCCCTCCTCTTTGGTTTGGCAGTTCCTCGCTGCTGCAAGCTTGCTTGCTGTACCAACACTTGACGCCTTTAACGACCATCTTCTTTCACGGCAGCTTGTTCTTTCTTGCGCTACAGTTGATCGGCGCATTTGACTTCTGTCCTTACGATCTATAATTCCTCTTCCTTGTGTATTGTCAAGACACAGAAACACTACAGACTCCAAAAGTCGCAAACCAGACTCGCTTTCCACCCCGCGTGTCTTCTCTACAGAGTACTTTGCGCGTCCGACAAAAACCACACCACAATCAACCACACGCGAGCAACAATTCCTGTAGTGCTCTATTAATGGACGGCGACTACTGAGACTCAGCTGAACGATCTCATCGCTTGCTGTCGTACAGCACAGCGCAGTCATGACGGAGCGAAACCTCGACATCTTCGAGAACAAACTCTCCGATTCCAACACAGGTAGACACAGATTGTCTCGGGCTTCGTGTGTCGCCGATACATTTGCTAACCACCCATCCAGATCTCAGGACGAAATGTAACTTCCTCATCGAGATTCGTGATGGCATGGACCATTGGTGCCAGGGTACCACCTACCCTGTCTTTCTGCAAAAGTTTGTACCTGTACTACTCGACATCCTCAGTGGTTCTCCAGTCTTCATCAGCACATCACCGGAACAGCGACTACGAAACTGCGCCCTCGAGATCCTACATCGCCTGCCTATGTCCACGCCGGACGTAACCGATCAGTATGCTCCACAAATTGTCGACAAGTTATTGGAACTCGCGCGTACCGAGAACGAGGATAATGCTGTACTTTGCATGAAGATCATTATGGAATTCGAAAGGACCCATCTGAACTCATGCGCAAGCAAAGTCCAGCCCTTCCTGGACCTCATCCTGGAGCTGTTCCAGACCATGGATCAAACAGTCAAAGATACCTTCGACACACCAGCAGCCGTGGGCTCTTCTTCTGCTGTAGCCCCAGGCACACCACAGTACAATTCTCCTAGACCTGCATCACCAGTTGCATCGACCACATCTCTGACCGCAGACGTCGGTAACGACCAGCCTCAAACCCGACAACTTCAAAAAGGAACCCAGTCTTTCAAGCTCGTCGCAGAATGTCCTATCATTGTCGTCAGCATCTTTCAAGCACACCGCAGCATGGTAGCAAAAAACGTGGAAGCATTCGTTCATCGTATCAAGTCAATTCTTTCACTCCAAGCTGGACCGCAAAAGAGAGCACACGAGGAGGCAAGAGAACGAGGAACAACCTTTGTCGGTGTGGCCAAGGATATCAAGAACCGTGCGGCCTTTGGAGAGCTCGTCACTGCTCAGGTCAAGACTATGAGTTTCTTGGCCTACTTGCTGCGTGTCTATCAGAAAATGCTGGCAGATTTCTTGCGCGAGCTTCCAGAGATTGTTGTGCGTCTTCTCCAGGACTGTCCAAGAGAAAAGTCTAGTGCACGAAAGGAGCTTTTGGTGGCCATCAGACACATTGTCAACTTTAACATCAGGACGATATTTTTGCCAAAGCTGGACGAATTGCTCGACGAACGCACTCTGATCGGTGACGGTTTGACGGTGTACGAGACATTACGACCTCTAGCTTTCACCATGTTGGCCGATTTGATTCATCATGTGAGAGAAAACTTGACGCCTGCGCAGATCGAGAAGAGCATCTTTGTCTACACAAAGAACCTGCACGACGACTATCCAGGCACCAGTTTCCAGACCATGAGCGCGAAGCTACTGCTCAATATGGCTGAGTGTATGGCCAAGGTTGAAGACAAGCAAGATGCGCGTTACTTCCTCACACTGGTCTTGAATGCAATTGGCGAGAAATTCGCATCGATGAACCGCCAGTACCACAACGCTGTCAAGGCCTCCGCACAGTATGCCGAGACCACAATGGAGGCTGGAGCCGAAAACTACCTCGCAGACGTCAACCAGAAGCCAGAATGGGATGAGATCGACATCTTCAATGCAACACCCATCAAGACCAACAGCCTCAGAGACCGCGGATCCGACCCTGTTGCTGACAACAAATTCTTGTTCAAGAACCTCCTGCACGGCCTAAAGACGCTATTCTATTCGTTGCGTGCTTCCAACCCTACGCGTATTCGCGACGAAATGGATGCAGCCAACGTTCCTCCTAACTGGCAAGATGTTTCATATGGGTTCAACGCCGAGGAAGTCAACGTACTAATCAAGCTGTTCCACGAGGGTGCTCAAGTGTTCCGTTACTACAACGCAGAGAAGACCCCCACAGAAACACCTATGATGAACCCAGTCGAGTTCCTGGCCAACAACCACATGATGAGCAGCGGAAAGGAGGAAAAAGACCTTCTCGAAACTTTTGCAACCATCTTCCATCACATCGACCCTGCCACATTCCACGAAGTCTTCCAAGCCGAGATCCCACACCTCTACGAAATGATCTTCGACCACCCAGCTCTTCTGCACATCGCCCAGTTCTTGCTTGCTAGTGAGGCAACGTCTCCTGCGTTCTGCGGTATGATGTTGCAATTCTTGATGGGTAGACTTGAAGAAGTCGGCACTTCTGATGTACAGAAATCCAGTGTACTTCTCAGGCTCTTCAAGCTATCCTTCATGGCTGTCACCCTTTTCTCCGCACAAAACGAGCAAGTTTTACTGCCTCATGTCACAAAACTCATCACAAGGTCGATTGAATTGTCGGTGACTGCCGAAGACCCTACAAACTACTTCCTACTGCTCAGATCACTGTTCAGAAGTATTGGCGGTGGCAGATTTGAGAATCTATACAAGGAGATTCTACCTTTGCTTGAGATGCTGTTGGAAGTGCTGAACAACTTGCTCACCTCTGCACGCAAGCCGCAAGATAGAGACCTCTTTGTTGAACTGTCTCTGACCGTACCTGCTCGCCTTAGTCATCTGCTACCTCACCTAAGCTACCTGATGAGACCGCTTGTTGTTGCTCTTCGCGCTGGTTCCGAGCTCATCGCGCAAGGTCTTCGTACCCTGGAACTCTGCGTTGATAATCTTACAGCTGATTATCTCGATCCCATCATGGCTCCTGTCATTGACGAGCTGATGGCTGCTCTCTGGGACCACCTCAAACCTCAACCTTACAGCCACTTCCATGCTCACACTACTATGCGTATTCTTGGTAAGCTCGGAGGTCGCAACAGGAAGTTCCTTACCTCGCCTCCTGCTTTGGAGTACAAGCCATATGCAGATGACGAAGCCAGCTACGACATCAAGCTCATTGGTTCTATGAAGGACAGAGCATTCCCTGCAAGGCTCGGAATTGATGTCGCTATTGACAAGCTTCGAGAACAACCCAAGGCAGCAGCAGCAAAGAAGTCTGATGCATTCCACAAGCAACAAGCACTCAACCTTGTCAAGACACAAATCAAACTTCTGGTCGGATACGACAATCTCCCTGAAGACTTTGCGAGACTCGTCCGCTTGCAGGCCAACGACTTGTTCGATAAGAACTACGATGTCGGTCATGACCTGTTCTCGAAATCGGAGCGCGAGAAATCTGTCGCAAAGAAAGATGCTCAGCAAGCAACCCTACTCAAGTTGATCAAGGCGGCTATGCTGGCTGCTGCAGTCCCTGAGCTCAAACAGGACGTGGTACCTTTTCTGGATGGACTCTACAAGCATTTGACAATTCTTGAACTCGGCAGGTCACTCGGTCAAGAGAAGCACACCAAGCGACCCTTTGAGCCGTTGTCCGGCGAGGGTCCTGTCTTCGTCGATAGTAGAGTGATCGCGGACGCTATCGCCGATACCTTATCTTCAGACTCTGCAGAGGTTCGCGATGTTGCTTTCACCGCATTGGACACTATGTGGAAGTCAGCAGCCATGATTTTTGGAGCAGAAGAGCGTGTTGAGCGTTTACCGTTCTTCCGCGATCTCACGAAATCGCTCATCCATCACTGTTTCGAGGAAGAATGGTTCTCGAAATCTGGAGGTACTGCTGGTATCGATTACATTGTCAACAAGCTCAACTTCAGCGCTGCTTGGTTGAAGGATCGTCAGTTGGAACTTATCCGAGCGCTCTTCTTTGTCATGAAGGATATGCCTCAAGACCTTCCTGCCAATGTCCGTGTTCAAGCCAAAGACGTGCTGCAGGCCATCATCAGAAAGTGCAACGAAGGCACACCGACCTCTGACATTGGCGCAGCGAACACTCTTCTACACAACGTGTCTAACAAACTCGTTGGAGAAGTGTCGCATATGAACCGACATGTTCGCGAGGCAGCTCAAGATGGTCTTCGACTGCTTGCAGAAGTCGTTGGTGCTAAGCTGTACGAAATCGTGAAGCCAGTCAAGGAGCTGGTCCTTCAACCTATCTTCAACAAGCCTCTTAGAGCGTTGCCTTTCTCAGTGCAGATAGGATACATTGACGCATTGAACTTCTGTCTGGACATGGAGAATGAAGTCTTGCAGTTTGAAGACCGCCTCAACCGATCACTTATGGAGACATTGGCTCTGGCGGACGCAGAAGACGAGACTCTTGCACCGAAGCCGATGGAGCACAGAAGTGCCGAATCGATAGTCAACCTCAGGGTGTCTTGCCTTCGCCTTCTGACTACTGCTATTCGCCTGCCTGCTTTTAACAATTCTCCGCACGCGCAACATCGCAGTCGTATCATTACCGTTTTCTTCAAATCACTGTATTCGAGAAACACCGAGGTCAAGACGACAGCCAATGCCGGTCTGCAAATAGTACTGCAAGCCACTCAAAAGCTACCTAAGGATCTTCTTCAGAGCGGTTTGAGACCAATCCTCATGAATGTCCAGGACCCTCGTAAGCTCAGTGTAGAGGGACTCGAAGGCCTGCGCACACTTCTCCAACTTCTCACCAACTACTTCAAGGTAGAGATTGGCTCTCGTCTTCTGGACCATATGAAGCACATTGCAGACGCGCAAAGCTTGCAAAAGGTTTCATTCTCCCTCATCGAGCAGAACCCCAAGATGCGTGTTGTCACCGCAATCTTCGGTGTCTTCCATCTTCTTCCTGCCGCGGCTGTGCAGTTCCTCCCTACGCTGGTCGAAAGGGTTCTTGAACTTGAGCGTAGTCTTCGCAGAACTCATTTCAGTCCTTTCCGTGAGCCATTGATCAAGTATCTCAACCACTACTCAAAGGAAGCACTGGAACACTTCAGCGCAAACCTGAAGGATGAGGCAAAGGGCAGGTTCTTCGCTCAGATTCTCTCTGACAAGGCAGCTGCACCTTTGCGAACAGCTGTGATGGAGTCGGATGCCTTCTGGGCACCACTGACTGGAGAAGGACTGACCGATGTTGAGAAGGACCAAGCAGCAGTCAATGCTGTTCACGTCGCCCTGTCTTTGTCAGAGTTCCCTGAGTGTCGTGCCTGGCTCACAAACCATGACAAGACTAGATTGGCTCTGTTCGAGGCTGCCCAGTCACTGCAACAGAAGTTGCAAAACAAGACATTGGCTTCATCTCTTCGTCTGCCAGTCGAGCAGGTTGGAGATCATCTCATGATTATTCTCACCAGATACTTGTCTCAGAAGCCGAATGATCTTGATTTCTTCTTTGATCTTGTCCAAGCTTGCGCCAACGACGAGCTTGCAGAGTCGCACCGCTTGTTCCACTTCATATACGAATTCATCATCACCAGCACCTCAGTCGAGTACCGACGTTCGGTCGCAGTGCGCTGTATTGATATCTACACCAACCGTCAGAAGACACCACGCATGAAGTCGTTCGTATTCCACTACATCTTAAATCCCATCTTTGCCATGGACATCCAGCGCAATTGGGAAAGCCTGTTTGGCAACAACAAGGGTACTGAGCTGTTCGACAAGTCCATGACCGACATTGTGCACGCCAAGTTGTGGAAGCCGCAAGCCAATAGCGACATTTCCGAAGATCCTACTCAGCCTGGCGTTGACCAGTCAAGGATGGAGTTGATACAGCTGACATCGATGCTCCTCAAATACCACCACAACATGCTTTCCGATGCACGAAAGGATGTGATAATGTTTGGCTGGACGTACATCAGACTTGAGGACACCATCAACAAGTACGCTTCTTACGCGCTGATCTCATATTTCATCGCCCATTACGACACCCCGGCTAAGATTGTTGTGCAAATCTACGGCAAGCTGCTGGGAGCACACCAGGCTGAAGGTCGACCGCTTGTTATGCAGGCTCTTGAAATTCTTGAGCCTGTTCTCATCAAGCGAACCGGTAGTGAGCAAGCAAGAGCGCCTGCCTGGACTCGTATTCCTCGTCGCATACTAAGTGAAGAGACATCGAACACCCCACAGCTCACCAGCATTTTCCAGTTCCTTGTCAGGCACCCTGACCTCTTCTATGAGGCTAGAGAATCTTTCGCATCCATCATCATCCCTTCGCTCAATAAGGTCGCGCAACTGCCCAATCCTTCCACCGAAAACAAAAGACTGGCTATCAACCTTTTCAGCATGATCTGGCATTGGGAAGAACGTACCGTGAAGGAGAACGGGTCGCTCTCTGCATCCCAGTCTCCTGGTAGCGAGGCGCCTGCTGTAAACAAGAAGGCTGCTTCAGCCTCTTACGCTCTCCGCACCATGATGATCAAATACATGGTAAACTTCATCGCCATCTTGCCTGAGAGGTTCCCTGTCCCAAGCTCTACCGAAGAGGGTAAGGATGCGAAAGAAGGCAAGGAGCGTCCTTCTCCATCCGCCAATGAGACAATAAGAAAGTCACTGGAGTTGCTTTGGCGTTTCCTGTCGCCAGGATATTGGGATGATGTTGATGTCGATGCCATGTTCCCCAAAGTTACTGAACCGATCCTCCTCTCCGAGCCCAAGCAGGATGAGAAGATGGAGCCTTGGACCAGCCGTGTCATCAACACTTTGCAGATGCTCCGCTCGCTTGTCAACGCCAAGTCTGATGAGTGGATTGTTGCTCGCTTGCCTCAACTACAAAAGCTGCTCGCCAAATCATTGAAAAGCGAGAGTGCCGAGATTCAAGATTGCTTACATTGTAATAAGCCTGTCGAAGGCTTCCCCGAATTGAAGCCATTGATGAATGCAATCCTGGATGCGGTTCCCCTGCAGCAATCAGAGGAAGACTTGCCTGACGCCGAGAGTCCGACAGATGAGTTTGTCAATTTTCTCTCTACTCTTGCGGGTGATTGTATGTCGGCTACTGGCAAAGACACTCAAGTTCAGACCGCTGGCATCAACATTCTCTGGACGCTTTCGCAACGCAAGGCCGATAGTGTGGATACCCACATTCCCGCTCTTCTCAAGGCCCTCCAAGGCAATCTTGCGAAGAACCACCTTGCAGCTCAAATGCCACAGCAAGTCGCCACTGCCAATGGAGTCGCAGCCCAGCTTCCTGGCAATCCTCAAGAGGTTGACCTTAACACTGTCCTGATCATCAGAGTGATTGAGATGCTATCAGCCCGCATTGCAGCTCTCGGAGAGCAGCGCAGGCCTTATCTGAGTGTCCTTGCCTCGCTTGTCGAAAGATCTCAAAACAACATGCTTTGCGAGAAGATCCTTAGTATGGTTGAGGAGTGGGTGTTCAACTCGACGGAACCGGTTCCTACCCTCAAGGAGAAGACGGCAGTGTTGCAGAAGATGCTCATGTTTGAGAACCGATCCGACTTGACACTCTACCACAAGTTCCTGGACCTGGTCATCCGCATCTATGAGGATCCCAAAATCTTTAGATCCGAATTGGCTGTGCGCATGGAGCATGCTTTCCTCATTGGTCTTAGAAGTCCTGACATTCCCATGCGTACACGTTTCATGACCATCTACGATCGCAATCTCAGTCGTACAGCTGCCAACCGCTTCTTCAAGTTGCTAGCTGAGCAGCAATGGGACGTCCTTGCCGACAGCTTCTGGCTGAGTCAAGTCATTCACCTCATGTTTGGCTCAATCGACATGAACACTTCCTTGAGACTGCACAATGATGATTTCAAGTGCTTGCCTGCCTCAAAGCTCTTCAACACAATGTCCACAGATCCACGACTTGCTGATCTCATGCTCGACTCTGAATTTGAGAATTTCATTGCAAGCCACAAGCGATTCGTGCAAGAGCTGGGCGAAATCAAGACGAAGGATGTCCTCGAACCATTGGCCAATCTCCAGCACACCGACTCAAACCTTGCTCATGACATCTGGGCTGCCTACTTCCCATTGATCTGGTCCAGTCTCTCGAGAGACGACCGTGAAGATATGGAGACTGGGCTTATCAATCTCCTTACTAAGGACTTCCATCAACGCCAGACCGACAAACGCCCGAACTGTGTTGCTACTTTGATCGATGGCATAGTCCGTGCCAGACCTCGTGTCAAGTTCCCACCACATGTCCTCAAGTTCCAAGCGAAGAACTACAATGCTTGGTACAGCGCAGCCACGTACATTGAAGAATTGGCAATGAAGCCCATTGTCGATACTCCGGCCATCCGCGAGAGTAATCTAGACGCTCTTGTTGAACTGTATGCTACTCTGCAGGAAGACGATCTCTTCTACGGAACTTGGCGCAGAAGATGCCAATTCGTGGAGACGAACGCTGCTCTTTCATACGAGCAGAATGGTGTCTGGGACAAGGCTCAAGCAATGTACGAGCAGGCTCAGATCAAGGCTCGTACTGGCTCGATTGCGTTTTCACCCGGTGAATACATGCTCTGGGAAGATCACTGGGTGTACTGCGCCGAGAAACTTCAGCAATGGGAGATTTTGGGTGACTTCGCTAAGCACGAGAACTTGAACGACCTGTTCCTCGAAGCAACCTGGCGCAACTTTGATGCTTGGGAGGAGCCTGACAACCGAGCTCAGTTGGACACTATAATCAAGGCTGTCTCTGATGCTCCCACTCCCCGCCGCATGTTCTTCCAGGCCTTCATGTCGCTGCTCAAGCTTCACAACAAGACCGAAACTCAACAAGACTTTAACCGCATCTGCGATGAGAACATTCAACTTTCGATCAAGAACTGGCACAAGCTTCCCAAGCAAATCACACAGGCTCATATCGGATTGCTACAGAATTTCCAGAACTTGGTCGAACTGCATGATGCAAGCGTGATTTGCAGCAGCCTGGCTCAAACCACATCTGCCAATCTCGATGTCAAAAGTCAAGAGCTTAAGCTTCTGCTTGGCACTTGGAGAGACAGGCTGCCCAACTTCTGGGACGACATCAACTCATGGCAAGACTTGGTCACCTGGCGTCAACATATCTTCCAGCTTATCAACAGAACATACCTGACGCTGCTGCCAACTACCAACCAGGGCAACGCTACTGGCCAATCGTATGCTTACCGTGGCTACCACGAGACTGCTTGGATCATCAATCGTTTTGCACATGTCGCTCGCAAGCACCAGATGCCTGACGTCTGCATCACTCAACTCAGCAGGATTTACACCTTGCCTAACATCGAGATCCAAGAAGCTTTCCTCAAGCTGAGGGAACAGGCCAAGTGCTGTTACCAGAACCGTAACGAGCTCACCAGCGGGCTAGACGTGATCAACAACACCAATCTTAACTACTTTGGAGCTCAGCAGAAGGCAGAATTCTACACTCTCAAGGGCATGTTCTTGGCCAAGCTCAACCACAAGGAAGAAGCTAATGACGCATTCGGTACTGCTCTCTACTTTGACATCAAGCTTCCAAAGGCTTGGAGCGAATGGGGTAGATACAACGACATGCTCTTCAAGGAGAAGCCTGACGAGAGCATCGACAAGGCTAGCGCTGCCATCAGTTGCTACCTCGAAGCCGCTGGTCAATACAAGAGTGCCAAGTCGAGGAAGCTTCTCAGCAGAATCCTTTGGCTTCTCAGTTTGGATGACGCAGAAAACACGCTCGCAAAGGCATTCGAGAACTTTAAGGGAGAGACTCCTGTGTGGTACTGGATCACCTTCATTCCTCAACTGCTCAACAACTTGTCTCGTACACCCAGTGAAGCCAACATTGCTCATGGAATCTTGAGCAAGCTTGCAAAGACATACCCTCAAGCACTTTACTTCCAGCTGCGTACCAGCCGCGAAGATATGTCGGTCATCAAGAGAAGTCAAGAGCAGAAAGAAGCCAGGGAGAAGCAGGCACGAGCTAAACAAGCAGGAGCTGCTACACCTGGTGAAGCCGTCAAGCCAGAGGCCAAGCCCAATGGAGAAACTGCCAGTGGCACTCCCCAACCCAAGGTCGAAGGTCAGGATGCAAACCAGCCCGCCAAACCCGAAGCGGCCGAGCCAGCCAAGCCCAAGAAGCCTTGGGATCACACTGAAGAGCTCACTCAGACGCTCAAGACGGCATTCCCTCTGTTGGCCCTGTCCATGGAGACTATGGTTGATCAGGTTCAGAAGTACTTCAAGTGTACTCTGGACGAAGATGCCTACCGTCTCATTGTCGCTCTGCTGAACGATGGCCTGGCGTATGTTGGCAGATACCCTACTTCATACGCTCAAGGTGTAAACTTGCCGCCATCAACCGAGGCTAACATCACTCGATTCGCGGAGTCTATTTTACCAGCTCACATTCGCAAGTCATTCGAAGCCGACTTTGTGACCAAGAAGCCATCAATGTTCGAATACATTGCAAAGCTTCGGAGATGGAGAGACAGATTCGAAGAGAAGCTCGATCGTAGAACGTCCAAGTGGCATCTTGAACAGACTACTCATCTGGCTGAATTCCGTTTCTTGAAGTTTGACGAGGTTGAGGTGCCTGGACAATACCTGCAGCATCGTGATAAGAACCAAGACTTTGTCAGGATTGAGCGATTCTTGCCTGATGTTGAGCTCGTCAGAGGCGTCACTGGTTGTCATAGGAGATTGACCATTCGTGGCCATGATGGAAGCGTACATCCATTTGCCATCGTACACCCGACAGCCAGACACAGCAGACGCGAGGAGAGAGTTCTGCAATTGTTCAGAATCTTCAACAGCATCCTTGCTAAGAAGAAGGAGAGCAGACGTCGCAACTTGCAGTTCCACCTACCGCTGATCATTCCTTTGTCTCCTGGCATCCGTATGCTACAAGATGATGCTTCGTACATTAGTTTGCAAGGAATCTACGAAGACTACTGTCGTCGTAACGGCATCAACAAGGATGATCCGGTCTTGTTCCAGATTGACAAGCTCCGCGCCTTGACACCGGTAAGCAATATCAACGGCACCACAACAGAACGAGATACTGACCTTTGGTTCCAGCAAAAACCCGAGCAGGCTGCAAGCATTCGCCTGGAGACTTTCAACGCGATTCAAGAGAAGTTTGTTCCGAACGACGTTGTTCAGGACTACTTCCAGCAGACATATCCTTCGTACGACTCGCTCTGGCTTTTCCGTCGGCAATTCTCTGCACAGTTGGCTGCTCTGACATTCATCACGTTCACTATGCACATGACGATGCGTTATCCTCACAAGATGTCCATCTCGCGCGGCACTGGTAACATTTGGGGATCGGAGTTGGTTCCTGCAATGGCTGCGGCCAAGCCTTACTTCCACAACCCAGAAGCTGTGCCTTTCCGTTTGACGCCCAACTTGCAGACGCTGATGGGCCCGATCCACACCGAGGGCATCTTCGTGGCAGCTCTTATGGCTATTGCTCGCTGTCTGACCGACTCGTCTTCGTCGCCCACAACATCGACTCCACCTGCCGCTCCCACTCCTACCAACTCAGGTAACGGAGGCAACAACCAGGATGAGACAGAGAGTAACACTTCGGATCTCGAAGGACAGCTCAGCATCTTCATCCGTGACGAGATGAACTTCTGGTCGCTACAGCAGCACAAGCAGAGCATCAAAGATGGAGAGTTGCGTGAGCACGTGTACCGCAATGCTACGGGCATTGTCAAAAAGGCAGTCGCCATGGCCAAGGAGCCCGATGCAAAGAACTTGCCTGCCAGTCAGAGTGTGCTTGATCTTGTAGCCAAGGCTACCGAGCCCAAGAATCTGTGTACGACAGATGCGCTTTGGCAAGCTTGGCTGTAGAGAGCAAAGGACGATGGTATTGATTTTTTTGAAAGTGGCTGGTTGATTGAGAAGTATTTTTTTATGCATAGCGCTAGGCGAAAGGGATGGGGGAGTTGTGCCTAGCGAATTGCTTCTGTTGCTTTTGTTATTACATTCTTCTTGACTGTAATTATAGCTTTCCATTCTTGTTCAATGACTCTTTGTACTATAGACGGTGATAGCATTGCTTTCCCAAGGGATTCATGTGTAAGAGTGAAGGGTCCAGCAAAAGTCTTGGCGCACGACTTGTGACGCGGCGGGGTTGAGCTTGACTCTTTTGAAATTCACAATTGAACTAACTTCTGTTTCGTCACACCAAAACACCAATCATGGCAGCAGCACAAATCGCCGAATGGCAGAAGCGCGCAGAGGCCTTCAAGCCTCTCAACCTCAAGCAGATTGAGGGTCCCATCGCCGAGCTCGACGCACACCTCACCCTCCGCACATACATTGTTGGCTACTCAGCCACCGACGCCGACCTCGATGTCTGGAAGGCCATCCGCGGCAACCGCATTGCCCACTCGTCCGTCATCAAGCAGGGCCTCTACATCAATGTCAGCCGCTGGTTCAACTTCATCGAAGAGTCGGAGCGTCCCGTTGTCGAGCTGGCCAGCCGTGGCAAGGAGATGGCCAAGAAGGCCGAGGGCAAGTCGGACCAGGGCAACTACGACATTGGTCTCGAGGGCACCGACAAGGGCGTCGTCACTCGTTTCCCCCCAGAGCCCTCGGGTTACCTCCACATCGGTCACGCAAAGGCTGCCTTGCTCAACGACTACTTTGCGCACAAAAAGTACCAGGGCAAGATGATCTTGAGATTCGACGACACCAACCCCTCCAACGAGAAGCAGGAATTCGAGGATTCGATAGTAAAGGACCTCGAGCTCATGGGAATCAAGCCTGATCAGGTCACCCACACTTCCGACTACTTCCAGGAGCTGTACGATGCTTGCGTCAAGATGATCAAGAGCGGTCACGCCTACGCCGACAACACTCCTCAGGAGCAGCTCCGTGACGAGCGCATGAAGCTTATCGACTCAAAGCACCGCAACGACTCTATCGAGGACAACCTTGCTCACTTTGAGGAGATGAAGAAGGGCACCCCCGAGGGCACCACCTGGTTCATCCGTGCAAAGATCAACATGCAGGACCCCAACGGTGCTATGCGTGATCCCGTTATCTACCGTTGCAACCCTCAGGCTCATCACCGCACTGGCGATGCCTGGAAGATCTACCCCACCTACGACTTTGCCTGCCCTGTTGTTGATGCTGTCGAGGGTGTCACTCATGCACTCCGTACCACCGAGTACAATGACCGTGATGCCCAATTCCAGTGGATGCTCAAGGCCATGGATCTGCGCCACGTCTACAACTGGAACTTTGCCCGCATGGCCTTTGTCCGCACTTTCTTATCCAAGCGCAAGCTGACAAAAATTGTTGACAAGGGTGACGTTTGGGGCTGGGACGATCCCCGTATGCCTACCGTCAGAGGTATCCGTCGTCGTGGTATGACTGTTCCTGCTCTCCAGGAGTTTATCCTTTCCCAAGGTCCTTCCAAGTCTATCACCTTGATGGACTGGACCAAGATCTGGGCTACCAACAAGAAGCACATTGACCCCATCGCTGGTCGTTACACCGCCATCGACAGCAAGGACAAGGTTACCGTCACCGTCACTGGCGCTCCTGCCACCCACACCGATCTCAAGGACTTGCACGCCAAGAACCCCGCCGTCGGCCAGAAGAAGGTCGTCTTCAGCAAGAACATTCTCCTCGACCAAGTCGACGCCGCCTCCTTTACCGAAGGCGAGGAAATCACCCTCATGAACTGGGGCAACGCCATCGTCAAGTCCAAGTCCACCAACGTCGTCGACGCGCTCAAATCTCCTCTTGCCACCCTCAGCGGCAACGCACCCATTTCCGCCATGGAGTTGGAGCTGCACCTCCAAGGCGACGTCAAGAAGACTTCCAAGAAGGTCACTTGGCTGTCCACTGACCAAGAGCTCATCCCCGTCAAACTCTACGAATTTGACTATCTTCTCACCAAGGATAAACTCGAGGAAGAGGATGACTTTGAAAAGTTCTTGAACCCCAACACTTCGAGTCTGACCGAGTGTTTGGCTGATTGCAATGTTGCTGAGTTGAAGGAAGATGATATTATGCAATTCGACCGCAAGGGCTTCTACAGAGTTGACAAGGCCTTCAAGAATGGAGAGCCTGCTGTCTTCTTCCAGATCCCGACTGGCAAGGGTGGAAAGTAGAATCTTCTCTGTTGATGCAAATGATGGAATGAGATGGAATGAGAAGGACTGAGAATGGGGGAGATGAAGATATGTAGAGTGTTGAATAAGAACGACTACCCTTCGATCAAAACAATCTGTCTCCTTCTCTTTAAATGTACTTGTTGATTGGGTGAGGAAGCGAAGCGATGGATGGAAGGAAGGACGTGCTGTTGAAGCAGCTTCCTCTGTGAGCAGCCAGAAGGTCTGAACACGACGACCGTTCACTGCCGCTGAGAGTTACATCTATATCAGAGACATCAGGGTTGTAGAGAGCGCTTTAGCAATAAGCAGAGTAAGGAACAAAGTTGTATTTGGCCGGAAAGCGCAGCAAATGCTATTGTTATGTAGATTGGAAAAGGTGTAAGTCTCTCTCACAGACAAACAATACTTTTCTTGCCAATCCAGCCGCGTGGTGTTTATGGTTGCAGGATTGGGAAAGGTAAGTTTTGGGTCAGGTGAACAGTCAATCCGCTTTGTCGTTCTTCCTTTGAACCTTCACTGAAGACTCTTGCCTATATCATTCACCAAGACTGCCGTAGAAATAATCTTCCAGCCCCTTTAGTGCAGTGGTTAGCACGTTCTGTAACTGATGTCTTGCAAACACAAGCAGAGTAAGTCGGAGACGGCCAGATCACGAAGGTCTGGTATACGGTCGTCGGAATCGGAAAAGCGCGAGTTCGATTCTCGCAGGGGGCACTTGACTCCTCTTTTTGCTGTTCTGGACTTGACTTGCTAGCTTCCTTTTGTCTGCAATTTTTTAGAGTTGACTTGGACAACTAGATAGGTACTCGGAGTACCATTGAGAGTTCAAGTATGGCTGGCTGACTGATCTGATGCCCTTGTGATTATCTATCCAAGCATCTTGACCAACGTGCGGTCGATTGAGTGAATTGTTTCCACGTTGCTAAGAGTCATCGCAACGGAGTCAGACATATATATACCGATATCTCTGACCTTCTTTTCCATCTTTCTTGATCCCAACATCTACAAGATATTCGACATCATGCAACTCTCTCACTGGCTCCTCCTCGCAGCCACCGCACTCTCAGTCACAGCCAAGCCCACTGATCAGTCAATCGACATCAGCGCCTTGCCCGAGTGCTAGCAACAATGCATGCTCCTCAACAACAAATACTTTGACATCGAAACCGCAAAGAAGAAGAAAATGTGCAAAGATACCATGAGATCTCACCTTTGGCTCGAAGAGGAAGTGTTTCCATGTATGGAAAGGGATTGTGCATTTCCTACCGAAGGCCAGGATCCAGAGACATCAAGTAAGAATGATGAACATTCAAAAAGAGTGCCAATGAGAGCGAACTAACATGATGGTTTTGCAGTTTGGAATGATTGGCTTAGGGAGCTTTGTGGGAGACATCGCGGGTAGTTGCTTGCAGTAAGGGATAGTACGCTTGATGCAAATGATGGAGATGATAAGGAAAAGATTAATTGCGCAGATGTCTAGTGTGTTGAACAAGACGACGCCTTTCGATCACAACTTATCCGTCTTCGTCATTCACGATTGTGCTTATCAGAGGGAAGGAAGTAAGGAAGGAGCGGGAGTGTGTGAAGTTCGAGGAACTTGGTCCAGAAGATTGGGGCGGTGTGCTGTCTGGCTTCTACTGTTGATCAGAAAGAAGGAGCGGTGACAAAGGGTACCCCGTTGAACTGATGTCCTACTAGTGATGCAACCGATAGAGAAAGCAGACAAACGTTCAGCTTGAAGAGAAAAACCGACTACCACCCCTTCCATCCAAAGTTCTTCTTAATTCACTTCACTTCCATACTTTTATATACCCTGGAAGTTGCCATTCTCATATCCCACTTGTAAGACCAAACTCGCGTTTGGCTTAGTGGGAGACCGCCTGCTTTCTTTGTAAAGTCGGGAGTAGGGGCCAATTGGCCCAAAAAGTTTTGCTTACACGCAGTAAACGAGGTCGGGGGTTCGATTCTTGGTTGTGACTGGTTCTTTTTGGCGATGAGATGGAGGGAAGATGATCATGGTCACTCTACCTATCTGGCACCTGTTTAGGGAGGAGGCTCAAGTCTTCTGACAGTTTAACATAGGCGGTGACGCTCTTGCAATGTAGGTGAGGACGAGATATAGAAAGCTTTCCCTCATCGGCCCGTTCCTTCTGTTCTCTCTGTTGGGATAGCTGTGTTTTGGTCTTGAGCGGCACTGCACAGGTCAGCCATCCAAATCCTCGCAGCGACTTGAGACCTTGAGACGACAAATTGTCCTTTATCGTTGGTCTAAGAGGAAGCAAAGACGACGTTCTCATTGATCTGTACTATACGCTATTCATCTGACGTCTGGTCAAGTCGTCGAGTTCGTTGACCAAGCAATTTCTCGTATCCTGCATTCCTCGAATCTCATTTTGTACCACCACCCAGAGCATTTTCGTGCTGTTTCCTTTCCCCATGACATTTCGCTTCCCTGTAATACCCTCGCCTCTCAGTACTGTTTCTCCCCTTCGTGGCGCTTCCATCTTGCAGTGACTTCCATTCTTCTTTTTGACACACTCTCTCATTCTTAGACCTTCTTTTTGCCAGCCAGCTCGCTCATCCCAGATGCCTTATCCGATGCGAAGAGAAGGGGTATTCGTCGACATGGTTGGGATCGAGCCAGGTGAATTTATTTCATCTCATCTCATGACTGATTGTCGTCGTCCGTAGCAGACAACGCCATAGCGCACAGTGCCTCGAGTACAAGACGACGAGGTGGCATGACGGGTGGCACATCAACTGTTGCAATCGAACTGAACTGGAGGGTCGGCTTCTGCTGTGAGATACGAGCAGGAAAGGTGACTGTGAGCTGAATCTGTGCTTCTGCAGCGTGATTCCGATCACCGAAAGAGATGTCCACGCTGTTCTCTCGAAGGATCTGGGCAACATGTTCGACCGAGTCCAGGCTGAGGAGTCCCCTTGGAATGGACTCGCGAGCCTCATCCGACGAAGCATTGAGGGAAGCCTCCGTAGTCGCTTCAGATGCCATATCGTCAGTTTCGATCGATTCAGAAACTCTCTCGTTGGGCTTGAGAATGTTGTGACTTCGGGGTCCCGATGAAAGTCGCTCTTGTTGTTTGGAGTCAGCGACACGTCGTCTGAGATGACCTTGGATCATGGTCTGAACTCGCTCTATGTCTTTGATAGATGGGTGACGAGCAGTTGTGGCGCTTGATTGACGGCTCGAGCGAGACGACACGCTTCCAGATGGTGTCAGGGGTCGAGCGTCTTGAGAGGATCTCCACCCAATTGGCTTCGACATCCAGACCGATTCGGGCAAGAAAGGCAGCTCATACTTCTTCAAAGGAATGTAATCAGTTGCACTGGTCAGACGTCCTGCTGCCCAAGCTTGGAGTTCGTAATCGTTGCAAGACTTGCGCAACTTGGGGAACTCCAGCAGGATGTTGTGTACTCCCACGATGTATCTGTAATCGCCCCTCTGGCCTGACAAGTCGACTGCGGTGGTGAAAGAAGGCCAGGTGCGATCGACTACGGCTCCCGTATGACAGGACTTGGATTTGACGATACTCTCATCTTCGAAGTTGTCTCTTTGGCTGAGGTACATGCTCTCTCCAACACTGTCACCTAGTCTGGCAGGTTTGTACCAAACTGATCGAACAACGCCATTTATTCTCTTACTGCCGATGAACAGGGCACCGTCATTCCAGACAAAGGGAAGGTGCTGTACGAATGCAAAGAGAGCCGGCTCAAGGTTGTCGTTTCTGGATGTGTCGATGCTAAGTAGGTCGCTGATCTTTGCGCATGTGAGCTCTGTGGGCGACCAGCCAAACTGTGTACAAAGTCTTCTGAAGAGAGAATCCACAGATGGCTTGACAAGCAGATTAGAGGCGTGATCGCTGTCCAGAGCATCGAGAGAAAGACGCGCTTGTTTAGCGACTGGACGAGTCTCTGGATCGCTGCTGGCCTCGCGCTTCATCTTGGATTGATCTACTGTTCCGAGTCAGCTGTCAATCAACAAGCAATGGGCGGTGGCATCAACGTCACTGACTTGTATATTGATCGAAGGAAGATGGGTTGGAGGAAAGGGCGTGAAGAAGGAAGCGTCGACCTTCCTCGAAGGAGTCTGTTTCTTGGTAGACGGAAGGAAGGCGCGTGGCTATGTTCGACAAACGACTTGGTCAAATGCCGAGATGGGTCTGAGCATGGGCACGAGGGTGCCGGAATATTCATCGACAAGATACTTGTGTCGTCAGGTTCCATTACCGTGGGCAACACAGGCAGCAGCGCGATCGAACTTTCCATCATCACAACTTCTTCGACGCTGACTCTGGAAAATACTTACTGTTCAGCACCTCCAGACAAGAGAGTGTCGGCAAAGACTCGTCACCTGCACTGCATACCGACACTTTCATCTCATGGTGGATAGCCAACCCTCGTCTTCATTCGCCAACCATGTCCCATACCGCCCTGCGACTAACCTCGTGCCACCTCCCTCCGAGCATCACTCCGATCATCAACAACAGTCCTCACGTTCTGTCGGATCAATGTTCGAGTCTTTCAGCGAGACACAGGCGCTGGACTCGACGAGTGAGAACGACCTCTCAACAATCAGACGCAACGGTCACTGGGACCCATCGATGTTGCAGTATGTACTCGCTATCCTCAAAGACCTCCCCTAGTCGTTCAAGATTACCCTTGAGCAGACATATCCAGAAGCAGTGACTGACCTTTTGTAGTCGCATCTTCAGCTTACCCTGCCTGCTCAACCAGTCTGGTGTCAACGACATGGTTGAACTTCGCACCCCTAGCGAATGGAGAGTATTCGTTCACCAACGCCTTCTCTGCTACTACTCGCTTTACTACAAAGCAGCCATCCAGGGACAGTTCCAAGAGGCGACAAGCCGTCGTTTTGACTTGACGCTCAAGACAGAACACGCAGAACATTTTGTCCGTTGGCTCTACAGCGGAAAGCTGAGCATTCGGTACTCGGCTCTTGACACAGAAGAGCTCTTCCATCTGTACATCTTTGCCGATGAAAAAGACATCCTGGCTTTAAGGAGAGATGTGATGTCAGAACTGGTGAAGAAAGAGAAGGTTGATCTACCATATGAATTGGTCGCTCTGGCTACAAACTCACTACTCCCGTCTGCGCCGCTTTACAAATTCCTCTTGGATTGGCACGTTCAGCACTGGATCCCCTCAGAGGCAGCACAAAGCCAGCATTACTCGGACTATGAGGTATTGTCCAAAGAATTCATGCACCTTGTTATGTGCAAACTTGCCATACGCGCGAGGGCAGCCAGCAATCCAGTCCAGTCACCTTGCACATGCTGCAACAGTCCTTGCTCCTACCATGAGCACGCAGAGTACAAGGAGTGGCTCAGCAGTAAGTTCTCATATGCTCGCGCTACCAGGGATACATACTGACCACTTCTGAATGACAGCATGCGCACACTTCGATGGTCTGAGCTTCGACGAGTCTCCTGACGGTCTGATGTCCAGTCTTTCTAAGCCGTCATCTGCGTAATCTGGTGCAACAATCGCACTCTTACTCACACCAACAAAACCCTCAACCACTTAATCTTCTCGACCTCTTTCATCGAGCAAGACTCTGCTTCATCAGACAATAAGCATTACGGCCTCGCCATAACACTCTCTACACACCACTTGATGTCTACTTTCCACACTAGGACACCCTTCTGCGACGTCAACTATTGAGCAACTCGCCCCTCGAAGAAGCACTCTCTTCGTCCCAGCGCCCACTGACGACGCACCTTTCCATGTCTTGCTTCCCATCGGACGAGAATGTCAACAACATTCGACCATGGGAAAGAAAACAAGACATCTACATCAAACGTTTTCTGCTTCTTCTCTGCTTTCACGATCACAATTTCCGTACCTTTTTTCTTGCCATTTGAAACATGGATGGATCCTTGAGCGAATTTTTTGGGCATCATGCTACGACTCTGCGAACCTCTCATCCTTCGACAGTACGATCTCCGCATGAAAAGTGCGCGACCAAAACACAACTGCTCCCGCTTTCTTCTTCCGGTGGCTCGACATCACTCGCCCATCGGCAGGACCGACTTCGAACGCTCTTCGCTTTGTTTCGCTTCTCACAAAACCACATCAGTCCTGGGCTCTTCCTTTGTCTTCTTCTTTGTTCTCTTCTTTGGCTGGCCCCGCTTCTTTGGTTTCCCTTTTGTTTATCTGCGTGTTTTCAACTCTTGTTTCGTCCTCGTCTTTTGAATGCTGCCGTTGCGGCTTGGAAAAGTATCGGTGGGATGATGATGTGGAAGCTTGGAGAGTAGACGATCATGCGAATATAACTTCATCTTTCCAATGTCACGAGTGCTTGCTGATACTGCCTATTTGTGCCCGTGAAAAGAGTAATCTGGTTGCGAATCAATGACAATGTTCATGGGTCTGTACTAATATCTGCTCTTGCTTGTGCTTGGAGGCTTGAGTGATTATTAAGTAGAGTCTCGAATCGTGAATGTAACAAGCAAACACTACTTTCGTCTCTGCTTTGGTCTACTGTACCGAAATAGGATACGAGGTCCCACCTTGACACCCAGACGGGACATTTGTAAAGCGGCGTCGGGAGCGACTCCTTCGCAGGCCTTAGCGCATTCGTGCTCCGAGGGGGAAAGAGAGAAAGATGCTAGAAATGCGCTTTTTCCTGGTAGTGTTTGCAAATCCTAGTCTTGCACCTTCCTTCACTTCCCCTCGTCACTTCCTGCTGATGTTTCCGCCCCACCATCGTCCTTACCTGAGCCCGAGACAAACATCTTTACATCCACGAATCTCAGTCTCTGTCTTGTCAGATCCATCGCCCGACCATTCTCTTGACATCAGCATCACCATACCGTCTTCATCATGGAAGCTATCGCTAGCAAAAGTCAGTGGAACATTTACGCTCTGGAGTATGTATACGATTCGCACTCTATTCATGGACTTGTGCAAAAATGATTCACGATCCTACCAGTGAAAGTGACTGACTCGGTATAGCCGCATACTCACCAGCCCCCTGTCTCTTGCCGCCAACAACATGATAGAGCTACGCACCACCTGCGGCTGGAAAGTACTCGTACACAAGACCCTTCTTTGTCACTACTCCAAATACTACGAAGTGGCCATCTATGGAGGATTTCAAGAGGCTAAGAACGATTACTTCGACCTCGGACTGAACAAACCTTGCGCAGAATGGTTCGTCAGGTGGCTCTACAGCGGAAAACTAAGTGGTCCGGACACGAGCACTGACATTGGAGAGCTCTTCCGGCTTTACATCTTCGCTGATGAGAAAGACATCTTGGCTTTGACAAGAGATGTAATGACCAGACTGCCGGAGTTTGATCCATATCTGTCGTACCAGGAGATTGTTCTGCCGATCAAATCACTGCCGTCGTCATCTCCACTATACAAATTCATCGTGGCCTGGCACGCTACTCACTGGATGCCGGACGACGAAGACTCTGAAAGGGAGAATCAAGCGTATGAAGACTTGCCCAGCGGGTTTACGCGCCTTGTCATACGCGGACAAGCCTTACGTCAGTCCTATAGAGCTGGCACTGCACCGTCCTGTGCGTGCTGCATTTCCCCGTGTCTCTTCCATGAGCACAAGAGTTACGACGAGTGGCAGCAGAGTGAGTCGGTCGACCATTTCTCATATCAGAGCTAGTACTAATTTCTCTCAAACCAGCATGCCTCTGGTTGGGTAGAGTGAAACACTCTGATTGTCCTGAGGAATTCAGGCGCGATTGATCCAACCAGAGATCGACGTGATTTGGAACAAAGCGATCTCTTCCTGAAGTTGTCACGACTTTCGAAACTTTGCAAGACATCAGCTCCACATGCTATCAAAACCGAACGTACCGAATCACAACCTCTCACTGAGATCTTTGTATCTTAGTCTTTGCTTCGTATGTCGCCTCGTGGAGTCGTGTCAAGCAAGAGGGACAGAAAGAAGAGTACGTTGGGAACGGAAAGAAAAAGGAGAGAAAGGAAAAAGGAAAGACCATGAAGACCGTAGAGGATGAAAAAAGAAAAATAAAGGACAAAAAGGGGTAGGATCATCAACCAACTCGATCACCAAAGAGAGAAGAAAGGATGGTATCACAAGGACTATGCAAAAACGAAAACTACCCAAGCCTCCTCCATCTCCAAGGAATCTCAGCACCCTACACTCCAGACTCTTCAGTCGCTATTGTCCAATCGCCTTCTTCGACGCTGATTTCCGTGCCATCTGCCCCATCCATGCCTCCGTCCTCAAAAATCCCACCACCACCACCACCACCCCTCCTCCGCCTATTCCTCAGCTCAGCACTTTTGAGTCTTTCTCCTAGCAGCCGATCCACATCCTCGTCCTCAGCCTCGACTTTACTCTCCCCCTCCAACCCTTCAAGCGCTCTCTGCAATAGTTCCGTGGCCACAGGATCCTGTGGCGATAGAGCAAGTGCTTCATGCAAAGTCACCGTAGCTTCAAACCACTCTTCCAACTCCAACAACACCAACCCTTTCGCAGAGAAGATAGCAGCATCTTTACCCCCTTGTCTCAACACATCGGAAAACGCGTCAAGAGCGAGGGAAAATTGACCGTTGCGGCGATAAGCATGTGCGAGATTCGTCTTGATATCCAGAGTTGTGGTCGAGGAAGCAGAAGACAGTTCGTCAGCGATGGAGATGGCGAGTTCAAAAGTGCGGATGGCAGAGTCGAATTGTGAGTCTTGGTAGTATGCGACGCCCATCTCATTGAGCACGAGCGGGTCGTTCTCACACATTGTGTATGCAGTCTCGAGGTATTCTCTTGCCAGGGACAGATTGCCGAGTTGAAGATTTTGCATGCCGAGGAAGAGTTGAGGGAGATGGGTTCCTTGGAAGAGGCGAGCGGCGGTCGAGTATGCAGAAATGGCTTGATCGTGTTCACCCTCTGCAGCAAAGGTATGCGCGAAGCCAATCCACGCAGGACCGAAATGAGGATCCATGAGCGAGGCTTTGGAGAAGTAACCACGGGCTTCGGGGATGCGTGAGATGCTGAGGTAGTATGTGCCTACTGCGAGCCAGGTACATGCTTCTTCCGGATGTGAATCTGCCAAGTCGTGAGACAGTAAGAAAAGTGCGTTTGTTTCTTTGAGTTCGAACAAAGCTGCTAGATGGACGGGCAAAGCGGAGAAATTGTAAGGGTCTGTTTCGAGTATTTGGGTGGTTAGGGATAGGGCGTCGCGGAAGCGGCAGTTTGTGAAGAGGAGTTCGGCTTTAGATAACAGAATTGATGAGTTGCTGGAGAGGTTGTAATGCGTGGACAGAGTCTCGACTGCGGCGTTGAAGTCGTCTGGTCTGCTGTACTTTGACAATCTCGTCATGTAGAGCATTTTCGTAAACTCGCCCGCTTCTTGCATACTCGAGGCTGGAGTATCGGAAGCACTGACGCTGTCAAAGTCTAGAGAATCCAAAAACTCCCACTCTTCGGCTGGCGACATGAGCGAGTTCTTCATGAGCTGGTCAAAAGCCTCGAAACACAGCACATCGATACGCACGGCATCTTTGTAGCAATCTTTTGCGCGATCAAAGGCGTTTTGCTTTGCGTAGCAGAAACCACGTAGATAGCACATTGCAGCCTCGAAGCGGATGTTGCTCATATCTTCCTTGTCTCTTTCTTCACTGCGGTCCACTCGATCTGATCTTAATTGTGGAAGTTTGGCCATCTTTCCAAGGGCATTGCGTGGATCGAGGTGTTGTAGTTTCCGGCGTGTTCGATCCGAAGAGGTGATGAGGTGGACGGGGTTCTTGTCGCCGAGGATGTGTAAGGCTTCGTCGTATCGAGATTGCTTGACGTAGCAATGTGCGGCGAGGTACTTGCATGATGGGTTGCGAGCTATCAGGTCTTGGCGAGAGAGGAAACCGAGGGCGCGTGTGTAGTTTGCGGTTGAGAAGTGCACTTGGGCAAGCCAGAAGGCGTCCTTGTCATTGTCTGGCCATGCGCATTAGAGAAGACTGACGAGCAAGACGCAAAGAGTTTAAGCACACACTGGTCAGAGCGAGCAACTTGTCGCCGACAAAAATGGCCGACTCGTACTGGTGTTTGTTCAAAGCATCCTGTCGCCAATCGCGCAGGAACTTTTCCATGATGTTTCAGCTAAGCTATGTTGTGGTGAAGATGATGGTATGCGGAGCAGAATGCTGAATGGTATAAGAGCTGTTTCGTTAAAATGCACTATAGTATCTGAGTAAGGTGTGGTGATGAAAGGGTATTGCTGTTGTCGCAAAAACAATTCAAGCTGCAAGTAAACATCGTCACCTCTTCGGCGTTAACAAAAGCCAAGCTCCGAGAAACTGCACCACCTCCGCTCTGTCTCGTGCTGTTCGAGTCAGTCAGCTATCTTTGATATGGAATCGACCGGTAATAACGTTGATATAGTGACCACCACGTGCCCAGATAGGACCCACTAGGCAGATCGTAGATTCTAATCACTTCACATCCAAGACAGACGTACATGGATACCAAACGGGTCTCATCCTCCGAGGTCGGCTATGCGCACTTTCGTTACTCCGCCTGACCTTGGTATATAAATGCCCCGCTATGCCCCACCATGGCCAGCCGCTGATACTCGTATCGTTTCTCCTCTCTTCCATTGTCGTATTACTGGTGGATCATGTCGAGTACGCAAACTTTCAAGATCGCTGCCATCCCCGGCGACGGCATCGGCACAGAAATCACACAAGCCGCCATCCAAGTCTTGGATAAACTGGCTGAAGTGGATGGAAGCTTCAAATTCGAGTACACAAACTTTGATTGGAGCAGTAAAGCATACAAGGAGAGGGGATGGTACATGCCACCAGATGGAATGGCTCAGCTGCAAAAGCATGATGCCATCTATTTCGGTGCTGTTGGATGGCCAGGTTAACTATACTTGCCGATGAGATGGAACATGGCTGACGTGAACATCAGACGTACCCGATCATATCTCGCTCTGGAGTCTGATCCTTCCCATCCGCAAGGACATGAACCAATACGTCAATGTCCGTCCCACGCGAATCCTCCCGGGCACCCGATCTCCACTCTCGTCCTGCCAAAGTGACCCCTCCACCCTCGACTGGATCATCATCCGCGAGAACAGCGAGGGAGAATACGCAGGTCAAGGCGGAACAACTCACGAAAACAGCCCCCACACCATCGCCACCGAACTCGCCATCTTCAGTCGCGTCGGTATCGAACGAATCATGAGATTCGCCTTTGAGACGGCAAAAGCAAGGCCGAGGAAGAAGTTGACGATGGTGACAAAAAGCAATGCTCAGAGACATGGTATGGTTTTGTGGGACAAGGTTTTCTATGAAGTTGCCGAGGAGTATCCAGATGTCGAGCATGACAAGATGTTGGTGGATGCCATGACGGTGCGTATGGTCAACAACCCGGAGAGTTTGGATACTATTGTGGCGACGAATCTGCATGCCGATATCCTGAGTGATTTGGCAGCTGCTCTGAGTGGCAGTATCGGTATTGCTCCCAGCAGCAATCTGGACCCCACGAGAAAGCATCCTAGTATGTTTGAGCCCATCCACGGCAGTGCTCCCGACATTGCTGGCAAAGGAGTTGCAAATCCAGTGGGTGCTTTCTGGAGCGCGGCTGAGATGGTGAGGTGGCTTGGTCAGGGCAAGTTGGATGGCACTGCAGACAAGCTCATGCAAGCAATTGAGAATGTGACTAAGGCTGGTGTCAAAACGAGGGATTTGGCGGGAAACAGCAACACCAAAGAAGTGACGGAAGCAGTGTGTAGGGAGATTGGCATCGTCTTCAAGAAGTAGGATGGAAGCTGAGAGGAGAGAGAGGCTTACCTTTATCGCAATATTCACACCTTTTTCAGTACAAATTCTCCCACTCGCCGACATCAACTGGTCCAGTTTGCTCGACTTTGGTCTTGATCTTGTAACCATCCCAATGCTTTTGGCCGAATCGTTCCCAGGGCCACAGACAGAATATAGCCTTTCCAGCAATCAACGATTTCGAGACCTGCATCATGTCATGTCAGCAGTTTTCCAGCATACCACAAGCTCCGATCAAAACTCACCGGACCATAAGTGTTGCTATCCTTGCTCGCACGCGCATTATCACCTTCGACCCACACATGACCAAGCGGAACCCTCCACCTCCTCTTCCCAACTCCAAACTCCTTTTGCTCACCAATAGCATCCCAAACCATTCCCTCCTTACTCATCCCATCAATCCCCTCTTTATCCTCTTTCGGCCTCCTCTTCCAATCCAACGTCACCCAATCTCCCTCTAGCGCAATCACCCTCTTAATCCCCAACTTTTCAGGCTTGTGTGGTAGATTGAGCATTACCACATCTCCTCGTTGAAGATTTGCGGTGGGCTTCCATTTTTGCATGAGGATGAGGTCTTTGGTTCCTGTTTCGTTGAAGGTGGGGGAGAGGGTGGGTGCCATGGAGATGCCTTCGATGTGGATGGGTTCGAGGAAGTGGTCGTTCATTGTTATTGTGCCCGCGAGACCGATGAACATGCCTTTGGCGGCCGGTGGGACCCAGAAGGGAAGGCGGTTCATGTTTTCGAAGTTGAGGTATGCGTATTAGAAGACTCGAGGCCTTGTTCGACTTTGTAGCTGCTGGCTCGTGACTGATCGCGTGTGACCGGGTGTTGTTTCTGAATGATCGAGGGTATCGCTATGGCCCGGAGAGAGAAAGACAAACCCCGAGGTGTGAAATAGTGGAAACGATGGCAATGATGATTGTCGCGTCACTCGAACAACTTTCTGGACGTGCTTCGGACTTTGCGGAATTTGTATGACATCGAGGAACACCCTGTCCTCAAAATCCATGTGACCTCAATTCAACAGACGTGATTATTTGGTGATTTCGACATGTTTAGAATGTCACACGTTAAACAATGTTCATACAGGAGTTGCTTTAAGACAGATAAGTGGTAAGGTGAGCGTCAGATTGCTTGTTCTGTGTTGAGAGCATGAATAGCACGCTTTCCAATTGGACTACCGTCAAAACGGGAACATCATCACAAGCAGAAGCATTACCAGAGGCCAACCCATGTCGAGTCAAATATCGGTAAATTGCTTTTCAAGAGTAGTCTTTCCTTCCAACCACTCGCAGGTATCGAAGCCCGGAAATCCGTACAACCACCTCCCAGTCCTTTTTGCAGGAACAAGAAAACGCCATGACCCATGCAATATCACTTTATTCGTCAAGCAAGATCATCTGCCATCCACCGTTGATCTTTTGATCGTATCTACTCGTCGGTCTTGGTCTTCTTGGCCTCACCCTGCTGGCCCTCGTCCTCGCGGCCACGCTTGCGGTCCTCACGCTCTGAGTTGCGAGTGTTGGGACGCTCCGAACGATCACCACGGTCGCCGCCACGGCCTCCACGGCCGCCGCGACCACCTCTGCCATTTCCGCCACGGCCACCGCGTCCGCCACGACCTCTTCCACCACGGCCTCCACGACCGCCGCGCTGATCGTTGTCTCTTCTCTCCTTCCAATTGTCGTTGGGGGTGATGGTGCCGTTCTTGATGCCCTCGAGCTTCTCGTCAACGTAGGCCTTCTTGCTCTTGATGCTCAGCTCCTGGCCCTGGAATGCGGGCTTGGGGTCAAGCTTGAGGAAGTCCTCGGCGGTCTTCTCATCCGAGAACTCGACGAAAACGCTGCCCTTGAACTCGCCGTTAGCGTGTCTGCGTAGGCGCACGGCGTTGAAGGTTCCGTAAACAGCGAAGAACTCCTCAATATCGGTCTGGCTGGTGGGCTTCTCCTCGCCGAAGCCCTTGGCGTAGATGCTGCGGGCCATAGTCTCGTTCTCAAGCATCTTGCGGTTCTCGTCCACATTGTCGCTGAACTTCTCGCTAACAGGCTCCTTGCGAGTGATTTGACCGTCATCGGTAACGTCGATCACGGTGCTGGCCTTGCAAGCCTCGAGGACGGCCGAGTAAGGCTGGAAGTGGCGCATGCGCTTGAAGTTGTGAATGACCTTGAGATCAACGGGAAGGTTCTTGTGGCCGCCGGTCTGCTTGAGGAGGTAGTTGTCGGTGGGGAGGTTGGAGTCGGAGAAGTAGAATTCGACCTGGCGACGGATCTCATCGGGGTCGCTGCTCTCTGGCAGTTCGTCGTAGTTGGATCTGACGCGCTTGGGCCCGCGGCCATTGCCCTGGGGACGTCCGCCTCTCTTCTCGCCTTGGTTCTCAGCAGGCTTGGAAGCTGTATATATGTCAGCGAATGCGCAATGAGTTTGCGCGAGATGGACTTTCGTACCCTCTTCGGTCTTGTTCTCAGCCTCAGGCTTGGTCTCGACAGCCTCTTCCTTCTTCTCGTTCTGCTCCTCGGTCTTTGCCTCGGCCATCACAGCATCTTCTGAGGTGGTAGGTGCGGCGGAGAGCTCGGTGGTCTGGTCGGGGTTGGAGGTCTGCTCGACGGTCTTGTCGTTCGAGATGGAGGTGGCGGCAGGGTCGGCCTCGGCGGGGGGAGAGACCTTGATGTCGGACATTGTGATGTGTGGATCGCGATCTGTGTTGCGCAATTGAAGGTGGAGCTTCGAGAAGGGTGACTCAGAGCGACTATATAGTGACAGTCGTTGTAGGTGAGATGAAAAGGTGTGGATGAAAGGTCGAATCAAAAGCTACACAAGGTCGGCTGCTGCTCAAAAGCTTCACTGCGCTTTCCAGTTTTTTGCTTGCGGCCAGAAATTCTTTTGGTCCGTGCACTCGCGGCCTCGAAAGCTCTCATGACTCGTGCGGGGAAGCGCTCTAGGCATCAGACATCACCTCCTGCAGCTTGCCGCCTTCCATCCTTGATTTTGTGAGTGTCTGCTTGTTTGTCCGGCACTTCGGCCAGGTTTACTGCGAAGCCCGTCCTGCGGTAGGGAGGGTATCGATCGTTTGGTTGCGAGGCTCTTAATTGTGATTGTGAATGTTTTTCCAAAGCCAGGTCGTACACTTTTAGACTTGTTTAACCTTGTCTTCTTTCTCATCCACCTCTCGGCATCTACGGCTCTTTGAGAGTTTCACCATCTGTACCCATGTCGTCAATGCTTGGATCTGGCCTCCAGGTGAGCACCAAATCTGTTCGTAATTCTATCAAGTTGTTCGACAATCAAGCTCTTTCCGATGTTCAGATCAAATTGAGAGATGGTGAGCGCATATTTGGCCACAAGCAAATTTTAGCCCAACAATCAGAATGGTTCTTCCGAGCCTTCAATGGCAACTTTCCGGTACGTTGGGAATAAAGAATCGATACACCACCATAGGAATACTCACCTTGACACTAGGTCGCTTCAAGCAAGGAAATCTGCCTCGACGATGAAGACGATGATCCAAAAGCAGTTCGTGCTATGATACGCCATATCTACGATCCCGAAGACACGGTCTACCCCTCGACGACCTGCCCCTCGTTCGTGCCCCCAGAAATGATGTCCCAAGTCAACGTGTTTGCTGCTGCCGACAAATACGACGTTCCTTCGTTGCGAGTACTGGTCATTAGCGTTTTCACTCGGTCAATGGAGCATAAATGGCAAAATAATCCACAGGAATTTTGCGCGGTCATCCAACGCCTTTGCGGACCCACTGCTGTGAGATTCGCAGATCCATCACTCCAGATATCTGCGGCCTCATTCTGTTCGGAACACATATGAGACCTCATCAAAACCGAAGCATTCGTCAATATGCTCGAGGAGGGTGAACCTTTTGCTGGACGTCTTTTGACTGCTGTCATCAAAGGCGCAGCCGATAATGTTATCAAGACCTTCAGATGCCAGCATTGCAAGTCGGCCTCAGACGATCATATCAAGAAGAACCTTGAATCAAAATGTATCAATTGCAACACTGGAAACTCTAGCTATGGATCTTCACGGCTCGAGCACTATAAGAATTTTAGACCGCTATGAAATCCCGGAGGAAGCTGGCTCCCGGAATGATGTATCCAAGACACGTCGAAGGCAAGTCTATTGTTCTTGCCTGGTCAGCCACCAGAGGAGAGATAAGAGCGACCCTATTTTCTCGCCTGCTCGCCTGCTCGCCTGCAGATCTTAAATGAGCTATTGTAAAAAGTCCTTATCACGTATGATATCTATAGAAGTGTCGCATTATTACTTCTTCTTTGTAAGACGTTTGCCGAGATAGTTTGACTTGCGTCGATGAATGTGGTATGTATCTCGATGTTGCAAGCAGCGTATTGCTCCGAAACTCCCATCAGATGCTCTCTTCCGTCTGATGGTGTCAGGCAACTCAGGGGTCGAGAGCTAGGTATATGACTGACAGCTCTTTGGTTTCCCCACCAATCCCAATGGTCTGGTGGTTAACATCACAGTTAACACAATTCAAGCTGACTCCCAACTAGTCACTCTAACCAGCACTTGCACGAGTTCGAATCTGACCATCAACTGATCATTTCGTAGCAACTTTCTTACCAGCGGCTTCGGTCGTTCGAGGTGGAAATCCTCTTCAACTTGAGCTTCAGTTCAAGGGTCTCTGAGTGAAGGTGCCCCTCGGCAGGGGGTCAAGTCAAACACCTGAGGCGGGAGGATTTGAACAAAGGGCAGAAACAAACAACATCAGAGGGTAAGTGAACATTGTCCAAACCACCAGACCTGGGATTTCTTTTTGGCACTTTGGAGTACCACTAGTGTCAAGGTCCTTGTATACCCAAATTGAGTTGCGACCTCTGAACTCTGACAGTTTCGTAGTGAAGTTGAGTGGGCTGCTCAAAACTTCTTCCATGGTAATGGGTAGTGGTTTCATATACCATCCGAATGCACAGTCTCTTTGGAATCAAATGTGGCTATTTAAACACTAGTAAAAGAATCCCTCTATTACCATATCTCAGAATGTGACGAAGATGATACATATCAGTCCATTATGATCGCTGGCGCGGTCTGTTGCAGACTGCCTCCATGAGCTGGGCTCCGATCACGCGAGACCACTAGCTCCTTCCCAGAACAGAAACGAAGTTCATCTGTCTCGCGATCCGCATTTTTGTCTCACTCGAACTTCCAACACTCACAACAGCATTCGAAAACTCTTTTTAGGTCTTGAGACAGCCTCAATCCGTGGACGCAACTGTGATTTTTTCTCCACTCTCACTTTCACTTCCACTCCGACATTCGTGGTTTATTACCTCTACGAGAAAATCTCTGCTTCGGATTCCAGCCCTTCCAAACCTCATTGACATGGCGTCTGGAGTAACCACAAACGATTCCTCGGGCAAATGGTCCAACCATATTTGGTCATCAGAAGCAGTTCGGCAAGTCACACTCCAATGCCCGCCCTATGGATACTGACGGTTTTTAGCGCCACCATCATCAAATCGACCAATATCATCAAGCTCGCTTCGACCAAAGACCAAGCTGTGGTGTCAATGCACAAAGAGCTACTTTGCTTCTTCTCTCCATACTATTCCGCTGCCCTCAACGGCAAATTTCTCGAGGCTCAGAAGCATCAATTCGAGGTTGATCTATCCGGCGAGCAACTCCAAAGCTTCGTGGAATGGATTTACACAGGCAAGTGTGCTCAACAGCAAGGTTGGGACTGCTACATCTACCTATACATATTTGCCGATCAAGTGGACATCATCGCTCTACGCCGTGACGTTCTCAGGTGGCTCTCCAAGTCGGCTGAAACGTTGTCGGACTATGCTGGTGTCAGATTGATGTTGAAGAATGTTACGCAGCACTCAGGGCTTTATAAGTGGATGCTAGATTCTTACATTGCCCATTGGGGGCCGCATACCGATGACGATGACCCATGCTTACTCGACAGCGTCATGAATCCCGAAAACCTCATGGCAAACTTCATCTACCAGACCATGAAGGGTATTGCAGTTCGTGATGAAGCTCACGACCCGAACGATCTGAGCGATTGTTCCTGTTGCAACAAGATCTGCGAGTACCATGAGCACGAGAGCAAGGAAGAATGGGAAGCAAGTAAGTCGACACAGTCTGTCTCATGGGCAGCAGCTTTTGACTAACGATCTGCTTAGCCTGCGGTCAATACAAAAGATCGAAGCTGCCAGCCTCGCTGAGCGGGACAAAACAACGCAAGACTTGAAAAGGACAGCAAGCAGACCAATACATCATTCAATCAACAGAAAGAATGGAGATTCGAGATTGAACGACACGAAGAAACGCAGGGGATACGGCACAGGCGCTTGATCCTTTCCAAGCCATCGAGAGTATCGTCTCCTCCGTCAGCCAAGTAGTCTCCCAAACACAATAGTCATCAATAATTAACACTCAGATTGCTACTGCTGATCACTCCATTTCCCGTGTCAGACATACGTTACCTGCTCCCCTCGTTCTAATCAGTCACACACATTCTTGACTGCAGACGAACCTCATCCAGCTTCGCTGTTTGCACTGACGTGTGCGTGTAGATTTGTTGGAACTTGGACTCGGGTTCCCAAATTCACAAAGCACTTGTCTGGCATCGTGTTTTGTCTATTTATTGGGCAAGAAGTAGTAGGCTCGTTTACCATGTAAATGCATAGTATATTCATGAGGACTGATGGAGCCAAGGAGATAACTCCAGATAATTTGTCTCTGCGGACGTCACTCTATTTTCGAAAGTACCATGCATTTGGATAGCCGGTGGATCACTGTTTGAGGATCTCGAATCACCGCATCATTCCTAGATTCTACTAGAGATTTCTTGTTTGCACTGACGCGTATGTGTAAGTTTGCTTGTGTGAACAGCCAACGCCGACTCAATCTTTACCAACGCTCACTGCTCCACACCGTGCTTTTCGACACTCTTCCTTACGCAGAACACGTACTCACACTCTTGACCGAACACACATCATGGCTACCGGGAGTTTCTCCGCGAGCAGCGACAGAAGGTAAACACTTCGCAATCTCCTCTTCCCGCTCACTAATACTGACATGGTTCCAGTCTCTTCGACAACAAATTCCTCTCAGATGTCACCATCAAATTCGGTGGTCAGCAGCTTTCCTGCCACAAGGTAGTTCTTGCACGCAAATCTGAATACTTCTACAGAGCATTCTCCAGCCAATTCTCAGTACGTTGACTACTGGCGCTACCTCCAATCTCATCACTGACATGACACAGGTTGCCTGGAGTAACGAGGTTGACCTCGGTGACGACGAAGACCTTGAAGCCATCCGCGCTATGTTTCGCCACATGTACGATCTTCCATACGTTCAGATGTTGGAGGAGAACACGGTCGACGACACACTTGCCGACGATACCGATGATGGTCTTCCCTTCTGCAGACGTCTCTTTACAGATACCGATAGCACCAACGAGGATCTTCTGTTCCATATCGGAATCTTCACAGCCGCCGACAAGTATGATGTCGCCACTCTTCGCCCACTGGTCGTCAAAAAGTTCAAAGCCCTCATGGAAACCAACTGGGAAAGCGAAAGCTTTGCAACCAGCATCCAGAAATTTACCGGTCCTTCGGCTGGCCATCTCGCAGATAACACGCTCCAGACCGCCGCAGCTGCTTTCTGTGCCGAGAAGCTCCCTCAACTTATCAAGAGTGACGCGTTTGTCAAGATGATCCAGGAGGAAGAGCCTTTCACAGGTCGTCTCCTTACAGGTTTCTTGGAAGGTGGCAATGGAGATTATATTATTCAGCTGAAGACATGCAAGAAGTCGGACTGCCGTAACACAGATCCGTCGACGGCCAAGGACTTCTCTTGTCCTCACTGTGTCGTGTGCGGCATCAGTGGAAGCACTGGCGTTCATACCGGAATCGGCTACGAGTATGGACTTGTCGACTACAAAAAGGCTCGTCTTCTGTAGATGTCGTCCAGTTGCACCTCTGGTATACGACGTTGGAGTGAGCGGGAGGTCAGATCAGCGGATATCAGTGCTTGAGACTCAGTTGAGAGCGGTGCCGATGCATGTAGCTCGATCTGATGAGGCGGATGGAGAGACCATATACTTTTGTTCCAATAGCACTCAAAAAGCAACTGATCTCCGTGTGCAGAAGTAAGTCACTTACGTAGCCATGAGAATGCACAGTTCTTCCGGCAAGCAAAACGTATCCACTGAGATTCGTGGTATCATCGGCTCTCCATCGACAGACCTGGTATCTAGAAAATCCTGTGCATTTTGATGGCTTCAATTGTGATAGGAATAAGATTCGGGATGCAGTCTTGCAACCTTCGCATGTGCTGATGTTAACAACTACCACCCAAATATCGTTTCCGGTAGATCCTTACCGTCCTATTTGTTTGTAGAGTGCTCACAGCTACCCGGTTGCTATGTTCTTCCATGTGTAGATCAGTCAGAGGTCAATTAGATGTTACCATATGAAACAAGTGCAGTTTTATGCCATCGAGTGTGATTTGGACATGAAGAACACTGGAGATATCACACGGCAGTAACCACAGAAGATTACTCTTCGAAAATTAACTCGTGCTTGAAACATCAGTGCCACCCTCCGTTCGTATCAAGTGCCGGGAAATCTGTCTGCATGATGCCCCGCAACAATCTATGCAGACGACTCGTTCCTGCATGCAATGCGGCACCAGGCCGAGGGATCGTCACGACGACCATGGTTTCCCACACATGATTGATCGCTGATTGTTCGCGTTACACAAACATTTAGTTCACATGCACTGACCGACACCCCTCCCAAAAAATCAATCTGGTACTGGCGCCTCTCGCACAATTGTCGCAAACAATCATGGCTTTCAGTGCCTCGCCCTCGCCACCACCAATGACCACAAGACAGAAAGCTCGTCATGTCGCCCAGGCAGGACAGCCACGTCTGAAGTATGTGGTGGACAACCTCAACCTTGACAGCACTGAGGCAGACTCCATCGAAGTCAAGGAAGTAGTCCGCGAGAGATTCAACAGTCTGTGCGAGGAAGCTGGCTGGATGCCCACGGATGCCATCAGGCGTGCACTAATGGTGCTCACCAAGATTGATGCCGGATGGAGACAACGCGATTGCGAAGCAGCTCTGTTTGCTTTCGTACAGCACCTCGACTTCGTGTGGATGAATGGTTGGGTCCTCCTCGGTAGGAAGAAGTTCAAGGCTGGAGTCCTCTGCGTCTGGTACCGCCCAATTTACTCTACAAAGAGCCGATCGATCGAGTTTTGCTACGGCTCTCAAAAGACCGTCTTCAAGCCTGTTGACCTCAACGACAGAGTCGACAAAGACAAAGTTTGGCTGCCATTCACCAAGCTCTTCGACCTACCCAACCTCTCAAGAGACAAGCAGAATCTATATCTCGTCGGCGTTTTTGAGATACTACAAAAGTTCACGTACATGCGCGGTTTTCTGGACCCCAATGGCTCTGAGGATTCTGCTTTGAGGCCTGCCAGTGTGGAACTTCCTTTTCTCCCTGGTTCTGGGTGGCTGAAGCAACAGAGACTGCTCATGGTCGATACTGAGCAAGACCCTGCCGTCGAGCCGCGCGGTAGACTCCAACCAAAGTCGTCGAGTGGGTTTAGTATGGATACTCATGTCGAAAGTGATGGAGCCTACCATCCTAGCAACTCTACATCAGCAGCCAGTACGACCAGTAGCATTGCTAGACCTCGATACAGCGCTGTGTCGATTGTCAATAGTACAGATCCAACTGATTCAGTCTCTACAAGTAATTCTTCGAGAACCGAGCTTGAGCGGATGCGCAGACAGAAGCGCAAGGCTACCAGCAGTCCTGATGGGTCGCCAACTCGAAAACAAGGTCGCCCTTCAAATGCTGGGAAGCACCCAATCAAGAGTCTGTATCGAAGCCACTGCCAAAGGTTTGAGTGGACCCCCTCCGAAACCACACTCCAAACAATTGTCGACCTACTAGGCGCTCATGACGTCGAAGTCAGCATTGCGGAGGCGTCTCTCCTCGCATTTGTTCAGTATGTCGACGTCGTGTGGGAGAATGACAGGATTTTCATCGGCTCTCGTAAGGTCGAAGGCGCTCAACGATATGAGCGTGTTTGGTACAAGACAGTCCACCGCGACGGTATCTATCACGGAGAATTCTCTGTCGACGCCGGGAAGCAGACATGCTCGTTGTCAGTCAGAAATGCAAAGATCGAGCACTTCTCGCCTTTCTTCGATACTCTTTTCGACATGAAAGACCTTGGAAGTGCGAACAGCAAGCAACAGGATGTCTACATCGCTGGCACCTATCTCATACTGCTGCGATATCCTGCACTGCGTAGATATCAGAGACGTAGCTCAGGAACTGGCATCAAGCTGGCTCCGCGTTCAGAAGAGTTCGAGCGACCATTTTCGCCCGAGTCGTCTCAGTCGAATGCCATCTTGCAAGCCATTCATCCTTCGTCCTCTAGTGAACCTGCGTCCAGCATTGGGCTGCAACCCACTCCCGGCGTACAGTTTAGGCAGAGCGATAGTGTCGCACGAATTCTGGCCGAAGTCCTCCAGGAACAAGAGACACATTGCAAGATCACGGCCATGATCCAGAAGAGCGCGCGTGCCTTCATAGCAGAACCAGAGCCAACAACCAGTTCCGATGCACTAGGTAGCCCGCCGTGCGCCGAACCTTCCCAGGTGTCTATCACCATCCCAAAGACATTGAGGCTTCCCCAGCAGCCTCAGGAGCAAAGTGCTCTTGGTATCGTTCACCGCCTCCTGCTCAATGCTCAAATCTCGAGTTTTGTCGAAACCACGTGCGATAGAACCCAGCTTGTGATGGTCACCAACCTTCCTGCCAATTTGTTCCGCCCAACCAATCTCGGATTTTGTCCCGTGGTATCATTTGGGATATCGCCTATCTTGCCCTCCCGTGATTACATCGTGAAAGGGTTGGAAATGATTGCGCTGGGAAGAGTTGAGCCTCGCCAGTCGACTGCATCCCAGCAACGTGTCGCGGCCTCCCAAGAACGCCCTCTACCGGCCCCTGTCGCTGTGATGATGCGCGCACCAGAGAAGTCGAACGGTAGCAGGATTACAATCAATCAAGCTCGAGAGCTTCTTCATCGTCCTCGTGCGAAGATCGAGGCCTCTGGACATGAGAAGGATGGAGGGCTTGAACTTTTCCGGTTTGGAATCACATTTACTTCCAGCGCAATCGAGCAACCCGCTATCAAGCTCGACTTCAGCACCGTCCTCTCCAAGGACACTCCGCCTGTTAGCCTTACCAAAAGCCAGGCTTTGGCGGCTCTTTTCGAGTTCGCAAGAGAAGACGAAGAGTCGCAGCAGGCGAAGTAACTACACTCTGCACACCCAACCGCTCGTAAGTAAGAAGATGGCAAGCAATGGCACAGGGGTCGAAGTTGAGCGGGAGATCGTGATGGAAATCCAGTGGAGCAGGAGAAGAAGTCAGATTTCAGCGAAGTGGATGTAAATGTATAGCTTCGCGGCGGTCGAGGTTCTCGCTGCTGTATACAGTACATATCAGTATGCATCGCTCATAGCTGTACACCGACTAATCATCAGCCTATCAACCATCTCCATCATTATGTCATCGCTTCGATACCAGACGAGTGAGGATCATAGAGTGTAGGACCAACGACGGTCCTCTCGTAACATCCTATCAGACAATGGAAGTCATGAACGCGGAGTGAAACTGCTGGGCTGCCGTCGCCCGTCGCGTCTCGCGTCGTCGTTGCTTGCGCACAGACCACCGAGACTCCGCAGCGTTCCCAACACTCACTGCCGCAACCTGCGAATTCATCCACTCCCGCCGCGCAGGTTCGAATCTCGCCTTGCGCATCCCCATCTGCAATCTTTTTCCCTATATCCGCTTTCGGACCATCCCATCAGAAAGCCATGCTCAGCCATGGCTACTGGCTCGGATGTGTTACTGGAGCACCTGCTGTTCCAGGTCGCTCTCTCTGGTGATATCGGTACGTCTGTCTTTCTCTTGTCGCGTCGTTCGTCTTGGGTGGTCAGATCTCTTTTCCGGTGGAGACGGAAATGAATTATTCAACTTTAATGCATAGAAAGATTTATGTCGCGTCTTTGCTGAACACTGTCATGTACTAATTACATAACGCAATATAGGATTTACCATCACAGGACTGAGCTCAGCTTTTATCGAATTCAACAACAATAACAATGCCGTTGAACGAGATGGTAGCAAAGACGAAGATAACGGTGACGACCAAGATCTTCTTTTCTCCTTGAAACCGCCTGGTGCAAGTTTGGATGCCAAAACTCAAGCCTCGGATCCACAACACCTCGAAAAGCTCTGGACATGGCTTACCGACCACCCTGATATCACCGTCTCTGACGCTGCCTCTACTATGGAAGATCCGTATGGAAAATTCGTCGACACTAGCGCATCAAACCCACTGGCTCCCGTCTTTGCTGCTCATGCCAAGGAGAGATTGTACACCACTGAGCACCGAGTATGGCATGCCCTTACCGACCATGATGTCGACTGGAAGCGAATTCCAAAACTCGAATTCCACTGTCTGCAGGTCATCGCCGCCGCTGGCCGTGAAGGTGTACTCCAACCAGATGTTACCAGAATCACAGGACAAGACAAACGTTCAGTGCCAAAGCGCACTGATGCGCTCGCCGTGAAAGGATACATCACCAAGGAGATGTGCTTGGGTGGTGGCATCAAGACAAGTCTGCTTCGTCTCAAGAAACTGGTACTCGAGCCGTCCACAACCTTCTACACGATACAGGCAAAGGCCGGTAAAGGCGAGGGCGCCACTCGCCGTATGATCAATTATGAGCAGTGGTTCAGCGAAGTCATGACAACTCTAAAGAAGCACGATGGTCTCATTGCATACGAAGACTTGCGCAAGGAGATTGGCATTCATGGCTCGCGTTGGGAGACTAGAGCACTTCACCGATGTATCAAAAGATTGGAGAAGGCTGGTTGTGTTCAGAGACTCCGCGCTCGTCTGGAAGGCGCACGACCCAGACAGGCAAAGAAACAACAAGAAGGAGCCACCCCAGCATACGAACACCGATACGAGATCAATCCAGATGCTCCCACAGAGAAGGTCGACGCCGAGAAGACTGAACATGACCCAGAGAACGTGTTTTGGGTTCGATGCATCAAACTGATGCGTGAGCCTGTCGAAAAGGATCTGGAAGCCTTTACGTCTACCATTAGAGTCGGCAAGGCTGGCAAGGCTGTTGAGGATCAGGAGTCCGATGCAGAAGCAGACGCCGACGAAGATGACGACTATGTCGAGATTGATGCCGCAGCTTTGGATGGACTGGGCAAGATGACTGAGATAACACGACGTGTGCCTCCCCAGTGGCGACCCGACATGCACCACACGCAATTCTTCTTCCAAATCATCGACAACGCTGGGACTAAAGGGTTGAGTACTATGGATCTTGCCAATTTCGGGCTGGGTCCATTCTGGCGTCGCCCACTTGATGAAATCATGGGCAGACTCTCAGATGTCTGGACCGTATCACAACCTCTTCATCTTCGTCACCTTGCCATCGTCAGAGATACTTCCCAGATGCATAGAATATCACACTATGTCTTCCGTAGCTATCACAACTTCCAGAAGATGGTAGCCAACGGTGATGCCAATTGGCACGCAATCGACGTTCAAGAGGCAGAGATACAAAGAAAGCCTGATCTTGATGACTGGGGCTTTCCTAAGGTCAAGCCATCGACTATGGTTGGTCATGATGGCTCACACAATCTCGCTGCCTGCAAGAGTGTTCTTGTCAAATCGAAGGCCAAGCCGAAGAGACCTTTGTGGGAGAAGAAAGCTCTCGGTACCACGGATTCACCCTCAAGCTCGAAGACTCCGAAGACACCCAGAAAGAGGAATAAGCCTGCTGAGATTCCTTTGTCAACCGCGCAACCAGTCAAGTCAGTCGAAGACAAAGAAGTGGCTACCCCTGCGACTGCTCAACAAACAACGATCAAAAAGAAGACATCCAAAGTCATGTTCAAGATGAACCCTAAACGTGTCGAGGCCGAGCTCAATGAGTGGAAGATTAGATCACACAAGCTTGCCGTTTCAAAGGCGAAAGCAGAGCTTGGGTTGAATGCCAAGAAGGATACAACCAAGCCCAGAAAGCGTGGCAGGCCTTCGAAGAGCAAGGAAGTTACTTCCGAAACACCCGTTCAGAGTTCTACGGCAGACACGGAGTCTGTGCCGCCTTCATTGCCAGACGAAGCTGTTTTGCAAGCATCAGGGGGTGCACCTAACGGCACGCCATCACTTTCAGACGAGCAGTCCCTCCAGAAATCCGCACAGCAACTTAGTGAAGATGGTACAGCCGAGTTTGATCAAACCACCGAACAAGCTGGTCCACAAGCTCCTGAGAAGTCTGCAGCCATCCCCACTGAGAAGACAACTGTCAACCCAGAGCTGAACAAGCGTGTAGCCGAGCTCGAGTCCGAGATTCTCAGCTTGACTAAGCCTGGTGTTTACATCAATCCTCCAGGATCTGGACAGGCCAAAAACAACGTGGTTCAGGCGAAGGGCCGACCCTCAAGGTATCTAATTGCGGTGTTCAAGTCTGACAGGCTGAAGTCTCTGCCGTGGTTTACCGAAGAAAATTTCAATAGTCTTCCTTCATCACAAGCAGGAACACCCGAGCCAACTTCGGCCATATCACAACCCGGCACACCTGCTTCTGAGTCTTCAACGAATGACATCGAAGCACCTCCATCAGCCGACGCTTCGAAGTGGACCGCCGTGAACTCTGGGGCTCCTGATACCGCGAGCTCTGCGAAAACAATAGGGCTCAAGGATGAAATAGTCATCAGAAAAGGCAGAAGAATCCAAGTGCAAAGACAAGGGAAACGAAAGGCCTACGAGCCATTACGCCAAAAGGTTGCAAAGAAGCTTGCTGTCGAGCAGTCTGCCGACGATGGCAAGTGGAGGCCATTAGCCGAGCTTGAGGACGCGTATAATGCGCGAGCTATGGAGTCACCCCCTAACACACCCTCAGTGTTGAGAAGAGCAGTACCTGTCCCGGAAGCATCAACTTCTCCTGTCTCGCAATTGTCCCTTGATGCTCCACCATCTGTCGCAGGTGTCTCTGATATATCGCCAGAAGCACACACTGCAGCAGAGCTTTTACTTCAGCAGGCTGATAGTGTGCCTTCTGAACCGGATGAGGCATCGGAACATGCAACCGAAGAACGCCAGGCTTCGACCGGTGCTGTGAACGATGACCTGGAGATGGTAGATGCTGATAACGCCGAAAACATCGTGCAGGAGAGCCCTGCAGCAAGCACTCCAGTGAAGGCTGCTGGACGAGAACAAATGGCATCAATCTCACCGCTAATCGAGTCAGACAAAGTGCAACCTCCCCACGTTACAGATTCACAAAGGATCCTGGAACCTTTCTTCCGCAGAGCTTCGAAACGCCCTGACGCGCCAGTCCCTGTGCAAGAGATTGACGAGGCCGGCTCACCAAGCACGCCTGCTCCATACAATCCATTCGCCAAGATAGAAGTCAAATCCGCTGCCACCGCAGCCCGCTTCGCTTCTCGTGCCAAAGCACCTTCCAAAGTTGGTGTTGGTCGTTCTGGAGGTATTGTCAGCTACAATCGCAACAGGGTCATCTTGGAGATTGTACGTCGCAATGACGGCATGTTCGGCGGTGACAGAGAGCTCTACTATCCTTTTGTTACGGCCTGGGAGAGAGAGTTTCAACGTCGACCTGACCGTCATACTCTGGACAGAGTTCTTGCTGGGCTGATTGAAGAGGGCAGGCTGAAGAGAGAGCGTTTTTCATTCTCCACGTCGGAAGGGAAGATCTTCACCAAGACACTTGTCATGGAACCACATATCGATCCAGAGTCACCAGAAGCGACTGCGCTCAAGCAGAAAATCATCGAGTGTCATCCAATGACATATGTTCCTGAGGGTATCGAAGTCCTGCCCGAGCTCCGTCTTCGTATAGAAAACGATCTGAGGGGTGGCAAGGGCATACCAGATGTGCACAATCCTAACAGCTCCTTCATTTACGACCCCACTGCTGTCGTCACTCGCATTCAAGGACCTCAGAAGGTTGAGCTCGGTATGACAGAAGCCCGAATGAAGAAGGGTGTGACTGCCAGAAGACATAGACGCGAAGAAGAAGAACGACGCCAACAGAGATACTTCGAAGCACAGATGGAAGAGACCATCGACAATGCCGTGGCTGCTCTGACAACAGACTTTCAGCTCGACTCTTATGAACATGATCCAACCAGAGCAGTTGTCGACAGAGGTCCGCGCGGCCGAGGAAGACTTGCCAAGTTGCAACGCTGGGGTGCAGAAGATCAGATTGTTCCCAGGCGTGCTCTTGGCCTACTCACGACAACTGGAAGAGATGCTCAACTTGAAGCCGAACAGAACAGCCGTGACGCAGTCGCAGCCGCTGACTTTGGTGTGTTGAAGCCGCAGCTGATTCCTACTGTTCCCCAGAGAGAGGTACCTACCGCTCCTAGAGTCAGGTTCGAACTTCCGAAAGAGCCTTCTCTCGTACAGATGCTGCATCAGAAGCAGGCAGGTACATTCAGCGTTATTGACGCTCTGTCGATGACTGCTCCTTACCAACGATTCCACCGTCAATCAGGAACGTACTCAACTGATCCTGTTGTCATCACTACATCGAGTCAGCAATCACAATATGGCTTTGTTGGACAGCAGATGCAGATTCCTAGATCGCTTGCAGATATTTTCAAGCAAGCCGGAGAGGAAGCTACTCTGCTCGAGCTACCGACAGAGGCTCCACACGTTGGTTACGAGGTACCACGATTTGCTGCTGTTGGTGTCACCAGACTTCCAAGGTTGCACTCTGCGAGACCACGTCCAGCACCTAGACCTCAGCCAGAATACAAGTCTTATGGTGCCAAGGCGGTTTTGCCACGTTCCAGCAGGACTGGTATCTTCTCCATGTCCGAAAAGGAAGAACAACGCCTTATCTATGCCGTTGTGGTTGTCAAGACTCTTACCGGAGGCTTGGAACAGATTGTTAACTGGGGTCTTGTGCACCAAGTCTTCCACTACAAATTCGATCCCAACTACTGTCGCCATCGTTGGGTATTCCTCAGACCTAAGCTTGGTGGCACGGCAGACAAGCTGCAAGTCGAGTTCCAGAAGTTGTTCCTCGAAGCTTACGAAAGTGGCGAAGTACCTGGCATCGATTTCGTGGAACCTGAAAAATACGACTGGTTGGGCATTGTTGAGTGGGCCGAAAGACGACTCGCTCAGACAAATCCGTTGAACGGGCTGCCAGAGCTGCCAAAGAGTCGACAAACTCTCGACAAGCGCTTCGACGTCAGACATGCTACCGAGGTTTATAACATACCGAGAGAAGATTTCTGGGTTGCTAACGTGACTCATCTGCGCAGAGAAGAGTTGGCAAACAGTTGGACATTTGCTCGTCCACTCGCAGGAACTGCTGAGCTCGCTCAAGACGATGATGAGCTCATGCTGGCTTTGTCCTGGGTCCGCGCCAATGTCATCACTCCAGATCCAGTCTACGATAGCAACCGAGCTCATGAGAAGCTCATCAAGATCGAGGAGCAATTGCCCCAAGCACTTGACCATCTGCTGGGAGCCAAGATTATTCGTATGGAGAATAAAGGCCGCCAAATCCCTGGACGTAATTACGACATTTCTGACTCTGTCTTGACCATGTTCAAACGTCAATGGGATGTTCGCTACCTCAAAAAGACAGCAGCAGCCAAGAAGACTATTGATGAAGCGTTTGCCAAAGATGGAAAGCTTGCTATCAGCTACCAAGCATCCGACGCTGAGATGACTGCTATGACGAACATGGTTGCTGCTGGTCGTGCCAAAGTTGTGCCTCTTCTGCCCGAGACCAACCACACCATGGGTGCTCCTTATCCTCGCCTCACCAAGTGGGGATTCACAGAAGGCAACTACAAGACTGTGCATATGGACAAGTCACGCCTCAATTTCCTTCTCGAGCTCCACCCGACATCTACGTACGTCCACGGTATACCTATCGCGCCCATTCCTGGACCTCCACTCTCGAAGCAATTCCCCGGTGAGCTTGGCCCTCGCCTTCCTCTGTGGACTGATATCCACGGTAATCTCATCAAAGTCTACTGGGAGATGACCGTCATGGCGACTCTCTGGCTTCTGGCCTTCAGACCAGGTCTCAAGATCGACGAGATCAGTAAAGGCGCTTACAAAGGCAAGCTTTGGAACTGGGAGCTGGAGATGTTTTTGTCGTGGGCTGAGAATGCTGGATTGGCCAAGAAGCTGGAGTTCGGTGGTGATAATGGTCCTGAGGCAGACGGCTGGGTTGTGTCAGAGTGGTGGTGGTTGGCATTCGCTACTGAGTAATGCTGTGAAGAGAAACGAACAAAGGTGGACTGCTGGTGTTGAAGCAAGAGGAGATGTTCATAGCATGCACATAACCCTGTATTACTTCAAGAAGAATCAATAATGCTTGTAAATATTGGGTTGGACCCCAAGAAGCTCGTGGTGTTGCCGTTTGTGTGTCTCACGTGCGGTTCAATCACTTTCTTACATCATGTTTCCACAATAAAGCCCACAACACAAACAACCTCAACCATTTGCTTCGGTATTATTTGTTGTTCATCAGCTGAGTGCGGCCGCTCGGGTCTCAACCTTCAGACGCCCTGCGTCTACATTCTATTCATACTATTGACACCAGGACGCCGTCTGGCACACAAACATTCATTTACCTTTCGCTCTCATATCAACTTCACTTCGTCAGCTGAGCGTAATTGATCAACTCTCGACTTTCTGCTGCGCATCGCATCCTTACTAGCGCGTCAATCAGTCTAAACATCATGGAAGTCGCCCACATCGCCGCTCAACTTGCGCTGCATACGCTCGACAAGCCAGAACACGATCCGTGTCTCCAGATGGCAAAGTCACCGGCAATTCTACGTTGTTGGACTCGAGAACAAGTCAGGTATCTCATCACGGATGGGCTCCTCAATCATAAGATGACACGCTGATTTTTCCGAAAGACAAATACGTGAAGACAGTCCTGAGACTGTGAGAATCCGTGTACCGCATTGCGACGTACTTGGGTTGGCTCCTATCGACATTAACAAAGCCTTGCTCAGCCGATTCTCGCCGTACTACAAGGCAGCATTTCACAGAGGGTTTTCCGAAAGCGCGCAAAAGATCTTCGACATGAACATCTCCGCCGTGGACATGCACTTTTTCAAGACATGGTTGCGTGATGGCCGTTTGACATCTCGATGGGATAAACTGACACTGGAACAAACCATCCGGCTCTACATCTTTGCCGACTACTACGACTTTCCAGCTCTCCGTCGTACAATCATGACGAAACTCGTCCTCGACAAATACGGAGACAGACTCAACACCAGATTTCTGACTCACAAGGTCCAAGACTATCTCTCTGAACTTCCTCCAGCTTCGCCACTCTACCAATGGCTGGCCATGGTGTGGGCGTGTCATAATAAGGGTTATTCCTACTCCTCGCAAGCCTACCGTTTGGAGAACCAGACGCCTGAAGAGTTTCGCAATTTACTCCACAGCATCAGAAGCGATGGACCCCTGCCAAGGGTATGCAAGTGTTGCTACCATCCCTGCGACTATCATGAACATGAGAGTGAGCAAGAGTGGGAAATGAGTAAGTGCATCTCCAGCCTCATGCCAGGACCAAGTGCTGATGTGCTACAACAGCTTGCCACGTGCATGAGCACGTCACAGCAAAGCCGGACCCCTCTACCTATCGCAAGTCGTTCGAGATCCCTTGAGCAGAATATCGGAGCAAACATCTTGAACGATCCTATCTCTCTGGCCGTTGTGTGGGGATAGCTATACTGCGCATCTTGATAGACCAGTTTGAGCCAGGGCATCACAGAGACACAATTTCTGACAAGGAGCAAACTGTATAGCTCTTTATCTTGGAGGGAACTTTGCAGAAGTCCTTCTCCTCGACATGACTTTGTTACTGCACGACAAGGTTGTCGATTCCGCGTTCTGGCGAAAGCAACGGTGGTGTAAGAGGACCTCTTTGATTCTGAATCGTTTCCAAAGCAATTATGCAGTACGTGGAGAGTAGCAGACCGAGCCATAGATCGTACTTTCAATGTTATGAACCGCTGAGGCCAAAATAACAGCCTTTCTTCTCGCGTCACATGTAACAGATGAACATGGCTACCGCTTCCTTCCCCTACCACAATAGACACCCGACCATCAATATCGGGATACTGAAGAGTAGCTATAGACATGTCAAAAAAGGAAGGTGCGAGGTCAAGATGTATGACTCCGGAGGTGGTAGCGACTATACGTAGTCTCCGCAACTCTTTCGTGAATGATGATCAACAAAAGCCAGAAGGACCAAAGTGTGAGCTGGATACTCTACCATATCTTCGGGGGTGATAGGAGTCGGTCTCTTAGTCTAATGCTTGGCGTGTTGGGAGGTGAGGTGTGAGGGATCTCCCACTGCGAGTAGCCTCACCCAAAAACCCAGCAACTCGATCAGCGGAAGTGAAGGAAAGGATTTTCGCGAGTCGCAAGTGTTGGCTGCTCGATCACAAACTCTTCTTTTCTTCCTTCGTCCTTCTCTACCAACACGCTACTCCGTTGCGCACTCAACAAGAACAACATCATGTCGGCGCTGTTAGCAAGTCAACTCGCGGATATGCGGGCAAGATGGGACGAATTGTGTGCCTCCGGAGACGACGTAAGCTTGCTTTTCCTTTGATCTCGATGCTGTTCTTTGTACTCACCGACGAACAGACTTCTTCTTTGGACAATCTCAGTGATGAAGCACCTTCTCCAGCCGAGACACCCAGTAAAGACAAGCCTTATACGCTCGACACGCTCGACACGCTCGACGGAAAACAGTCCTACTCTCACAACATTGTGGACACCGAAAGCACCCTACTCCAGCAGCAAACGGCACACGAAGATGACACTGTCACTATCGCAGCCAAGGATACCGAGCTACAAAAACTCTCACGTGAACTGGAGAGAGCAAGATTCAAGCTGGACTGGTCAGAGAGAAGACGTCAATCTACCGATCGAAAGCTAGCGGCCTCAGAACTAGAGTGCTATGAGTTGCGGACCAAACTCAAAGTTTCCAACGAGATCACCGACAGCTTCAACACGATAGCCACCCTGTTGAAGGTCAAGCCCGAGGAAGTTATCGAAGCCGTTGTACAGCTCAAGGATGAAAAACCTAGCAGAGGCTCATTTGTGAGATGGCTCTCGGCTCTGGTCTCTGACGATTGCGAGACAAGAGCTGTCGCCGCTGAGGCTCGTCTCAGAATGTATGCTGAAGTCGATTATCCAGCTCAAGTCCGCGCAGCTCAGGAAGAGACGAAAAAGGCAAACAGACGAATTGAGGCTCTAGCCAGTAGGCTTTCGGCAAAACAGACCGCTCTGGAGGTTACGCAGGTTGACGCTGACAAGATCAAGACGCTTGAAGAGACCATCGCAACGAACATGGACAAGATCAAGACTCTTGGAGAGACCATTGCGACGAACAATGACAAGACCAGAAATCTGGAGCACGAAGTCAAGTCCAAGACTCTGTTAGTATCGCAACTGAAGGAGGAGAACACAAAGCTTCTGAATCAACTGGAGTCGGCTCGTGTCACGTCGGAATCAACAGAACAAACTATCCTGGGCCACCTGAATACTGTAATCCAAACTCAGCATCAATCGACCGAATCAACGGGAAAGCTTCAGGCTCTGGTAGATTACCAAAAGAAAGCTCTGGCCGACATTCAAGAAGAGCTCACAACTTCCAGGAACGACCATTCCGTTGTCCAGCAAGAGCTTGAAGAAGCTAGGAAGAACTTCGAGACTTCGAAAACAGCACACGATGCATTCTATTGCGATATCAGCACAGCGATCGGATGGGGTTACTACGGCAAAGCGACCATCATACGTCGTATTGTCCAGTTGAGGGATGAAAGTGCTGCCGTGAACTTGGCCCTCGAAGATGTCGATGGTCATACCACGATTTCCAAGATCGGAGTTCTCAAGACTGCTCGAGAGGATCTAGAGACCGCCAACAAGGAGCTCGAGGATCACCGCAAAGATCGCGATGGCATCTACAAGACACTCGACGTCTCAAGTTGTCTTGGAGCTCACCTCATCATCGGCGACCTCAAGCTTGCTCAACTGAATCTGCAGGTTTTTCGCAAGGCCATTGGCAACTTCGAGGATGAAGACGCAGTCGGCGAGATCGAGAGATTGCAGAAAAGGGAAGTCGAGCTGGTAAAGATGGAGTCTGCTCTTCGCGTTACTGAATAGGAATCAAATGATGCTAGGCTCAATGGTCTCAGGGCTATCTGCCAGAAGGAATGACGATGGGAAATGTAAAGGATGTCTCGAAACTTGCTATAGCTAGCAGTGCTGGGACTGGACAGACTGGACTTGGATATCCAGTGGATATCCAGTCCAACTGGATTTCCACTGGATTAATGGACTTGGACAGAGGGGTAGTCCAACTGGACTTGGACAAAGGGGTGTCCAAGTCCAGTCCACTGAGTCCCACCACTGATAGCTAGACTCACAATGAAACGATTCTCGTACGATTCGTAGCAACCTCGCCAGGATGTATCGTGCACCCCCGGCGACGAACAACTTGCTGAGACCGACCAACCCCAGGGCATGATACAGAATGTCGCAAGGGAATTCATCCAAAGATGCTCCATCGGTGAAGTACTACAACACTTTCTGAGCAACGGCTCAAAGCATGTCAGCGTGATTGATCACGAAGGTTGGTCAAACAGTGTTGTAGCGACGGCGGTCAAACAAGCTTCATTGTTTGGACAAGACCGGTGACGTTTGCCGACACGCCGACAAACGATCTGAGCCGCCTCTAGCTTCCTTCCCTCTCTCTTCCTTGACAAACAACTGTATCGAGGTTCTCCAAGCCACTTTTTCCGGAACTCAGGGCATCCCCTCAATCTGACAGCTTGCGATGCTTGAGTGTTTCGCTCGGTGCAATGCATGATGGGAGAGTTAGAAGATATTGTTCGGCCAAAGTGCTCATTGCGGCCATGAGGCAGGTTTGATCGACCTCGCAACCCTGTCTGAAAATCGCTGTATTTTGATATACGAGCACCATGCGTAAGTGAAAGTAATCTATGGGTATTCTCAGGAACATGTTCATAGCGTCAGATTATATTCTGTATCAAGGGGATTGAGCACTCCACACTCAGACTTCAAGATTCTGTCTAGCATTGCAGCAAAACCGGGCACAGGTAAGTAGATCTCAGATCTCGTTCTTTCCACTACAGATGAAGGGATACCCGGGGTTGTTTCCGCTGCTGAAGTCGAGCATGCTTGCCTACATCTTGGATTTGAGAGTCACGTTCACCTGTTAGTTGCGACTTCCTCTAATTTCTGCGTACAAACACTGCGCCAATGAGTGGGTGAAGGAAAGCGCTACGTCTGCTCTATCTTGCCGAACCCGACTTGCGCTGCGTCTTTGTGCTTCTTTTTTCTCCCAATCAACCAATCACTATCCCAATCAACTTCATCTCTGTCAAAACCTACTACACCAAAGTCTGGTACCACCAGCAGAACGGCACTTCGCCATCTCCAGGAAAGAACGCTGACAGACTTTTCTCGGTCTATAATGGACATTACTGTCACCAGAATGGTTCCCATCCCAACAAAGTCTATCATATCCTGAGTTGGACATGCCAGAGCTCAGAAGATGGCGACTGTTACCAAGCTCCTTACCCTGTCATGAGTTTTGGAGTCGGCTCAGCAGAAAACATCAACGCTCATCAGAAGTGTTTGGTTCGTTGGACAGGCTCGGCTGCTAACGGTCTTGGTAGTGGCACCACTGCAGCTGCTGTGGGTGCTGTCGTCATGCTTCTGGCTGGCATTCTCAGCTGGTAGTCGTACGGCTGACACGTCCACCAAGGAGGGTAATCGAGCCTACGAGAAGGTAGCTGCCACGAGAAGACAGTCACTACGGGAAAGCCCTCGCTAATGGAAGACAGTCACGATGAAGAAGCAGTTGCTATCAGAAAGGCGATCGTCACAATTGCTATGAGAAGCCAATGCTTCCATTTGATTCAGGTCGTAAATATTCCAACCGATGAGAATCCTTCTCATTCATTGAACTCGACTTGGAGAGATCGTCTAAACGTGACCCTTCATGTCTCTGCCCTCGATAATAGCAGCTACATCTACCAAGTCATTACCAACGTGTCCCTTTCCGATCAAAGGCGTCTTGATCAAGTGGTATTTGACATGATCCCTTGTCCTGATGTTGAATACTGCATCCAACTCCTCCAGCGGTCTTGCTTTTGTCTCAGGAAGCGCAAACCAAGTAAAGACGAAGCCGAAGAGGTTCCATGCAGCGTAGAAGCAGAAAGCGCCTTGAGGTGTGAATGCCTCAAGCAAAGGTGGCCATGTCAATGCGAGGACAAAGTTGAAACCCCAGCATGTGGCTGTTGCGAATGCCATGCCGGTGTCGCGTACTGCGAGTGGCTGTAAATAGAGCAGTTAGTATGATCTTCATTGGGGCGTTGTGTCAAGAGACTTACGAATGATTCTGCAGAGTATGTGAAGGGCACTGGACCCATTCCTGGACTGTATCCAACCATGAACAGATAGATACCCGTTGCCACGCATCCAATACGTGCGGTACCCTCTGCAGGAATGAAGAATGAAAATCCGGTGAAGAAGAGACAGGCAGCCATGTATGGGAATGTAGTAAGCAGAAGCCATCTACGTCCTTTGGTATCGATAGTCAAGATACCAGGAATAGCAAAGATCCTGTTGACAGATTAGCCGCATGCCAAGAAAATGAAGCCTGAAGCTTGAAGCCTACCAGTTGATAATACCAGTACCAAGCGAAGCCAACAACGCTTGCTGCTGTCCAAACCCAGCTTCAGTGAAGATACTCGACGAGTAATAAGCTATGACATTGACGCCACAGAATTGTTGCATATACATGACGAAGAAGGCAGACTGTGCGGCGCGACGGTTTCTGGGTACTGAGAAGAGTGTGGTTGCTCTGGCCCAAGCTGTCTTGGGTCGGACTTCGTGCTCGAGCATCAGACGCACATGGACGTCGTATAGATCGCGAGCTGCTTGCAATCGGCATGGGCGAAGTCTGCAGAGAGAATCGAAGGCCTGACGATAACGTCCCTTGCTCATGAGCCAGCGAGGACTTTCAGGCGCGAAAGTGGTCATGCAGCAGACAATTATTGGACTTTCAAACGTTAGTGTTTCCTCATTGAGCGTTGTGTGTGTAGATGACTCACGGAATACTGGTAGAGGCAAGCATCAATCTCCAGTTCAAGCCCGGGTAGCCGTCAACTTGCACAGGGTAGAACGCAACAGACGCGATGAATCCCAGCATGATACCAAACGCAGTCCACATCTGCCATTGAGATCCCAAAGCACCTCTGATACGAGGAGGCGAGCACTCAGCAGCATATGCGGGTGTAGTGGAAGATTTGGCACCGATGGCGAAGCCTCCAATGAACCGTGATGCAAACAGCTGCCACTTGTCGAAAGTCGCACCTTGCCAAGCTCCAGAGGCAACAGAGACGAAACAAGAAATCCAGATGGTACCTCGCCGACCGAAGTATTTGTTGAGAACGGGGGATGTCCAGCAACCGATGAGGACGGAGCATAGATATGGTGCACCATTGATCAAGCCTTGCTCCCAGGTGTTGGTGATGTTGAAGTCTTCGAAGTAGAAGAGTTGAGCGCCGTTGACTGCGGTTTGGTCCATACCTTGGACGATTGCAGCAGCGCCACAAAGCACTTAGAAGGTCAGCTTATTGCACCGGTGTGAATCGGACTTGCTTGGACTTACCCGCCACATAGTACATCATCTTTGTTTGAGCCCACTTGTCCTTGAAAGCAGGACTCTTCTCCTTCGCGATCCAGTGTCTCTCCTCTTCTGTAGGTTGAAGACGATCGGTGTCATCTCGATTAAACGCGTATCGCGCACCACGAGTGAGCTCATCCTTAAGATCATGGAGGTCGTACTGCTGAACTAGACCTTCGACATCGACAATGACATCGCGTTCGGTCTTGCCCAGATATGGGTCTCGTTGTCTTTCCCAAAGTGTCGCTCCATGCAAATGGTCAGGTGAAGCAGTACCAGAACTTCTTTCGTCTTTGAAGTCGATCCTGTCAGTCTCGCCCTCAGGGCCGGCGCCTTTGACGCCATTGAATGGAGGCTTCTCGTTAGCCATGTTGATTGGGAATGCGGAGAAGATCAGTCATGATAGCAGCAGGTTAAGTAGAGGAGCCATCGTTTCGCAGGATTGTATCGCCTAGAAGATCTGCAGCCTACACACTATTGGCCAAGCAGATATCTGGGAGGCCATGGCGGAGTCCTCTCGGCTTCTTCTTGGTTTCTCCAAACAAGTTGACATCCCATGGGGCACCGCGGACGGTGGTCGACCTACAAACACGCTCACGTGAAGGATACTAGGACACTGGTTTCCTCGTCGCTTTGATACTGAGATGGAAGCATGACTTCTCTAAAGAACACGGCATTAAACAACGTTGCACCTGTTCAAGTACGATGCTGCCAGCTTGCACGATCTCGAAACGACATACACTCACAAAATCGTTGTGTGTTGCGAAGATGGTCACTGAATTGTGACTTGGCATACGTACCGTCGCCGAGCATTGTCTTGATGTGTTCATGGCTGACGCTGCCTAGCAGATTGGCAGAGGTTTGGCGGAGGTTTGGCGCGTCGACGAGAGCCTCAGGTCTCCGCGCTGGGCATAGCTCGCCAGAAGTTTTCCTGACATACTCCGGATGCGGCGCGGCAGTAGCGATACAACAGACAGTGAGCGCATGTGTGTTGTCCTCTGCTCTACCGGGTTTGTACGCGTTGAAGGACAAGAAACGTGAAATCCGGCTACGTCATCGGTATTGGCATTGGAGTGTCAGGGTCGCCCCGAAATTGACGATTATCGCAGTTGGAAACCTATTTTCAGAGGGCTATAAACTTTTAACAAGCGAATCTCGGGGCAACTGCGTAGGAACTTGCCGATGCATACTTTTACTACAGGATACTATATCGATTGAGAGCTCGAGGCATGTACGAGTGTAGGCACAGCGAAAAGTGACAATTTCTCGTCAAAGAAAGGCATTATGCACGGTCAAATTCGCCATTTATCAAGCGACGACTGTATATTCTGATCTGCTCATATGAGTGGGCTGCTACCCGTGATTTATATACTTCAAGGCCCAGAGAACCTGATGGGACGCTCGTACTTCCCTATTTCCAACTGTAGATCTTGGCTGTTGACGTTCCATGCAGAAGGGCAGAAAATTGTCTTGGGGAGGTGTTTCTGAGCGGTTCAACCACATCCTCAAACCACCGCAAACAATTTTCGATCCTGACTGAAGCGGGAGCAAGCGATCAAAGCAGAGCCAGCAACTAGTGTAGCCCCCGAGAACATGCTAAGCGGTAGCCAGCCATATTGTCCAACCAGCTGGCCGCTGATAGGTGTCCCGAAAAGGGTGAAGAGAGCGATGAACCCCATGGTTATTCCCATTGCAGTCCCCATAGTCTGTGGTGTTGCTAGTCGTGCGATGCAAGCTGATTGCAAACTCATGATTGCCTGATATAATGTCAGCAGTCACGTATGGTTCTTTTTGTCAGGACGATACATACCCCAGAAGCGAAGCCATACGCAACAGACCACTCAGCGACTCCTGCGGTGCTAGTTGCCCCAGTCCAGCAAAAGGCAACCACGCCAGAGGTCAGAGCAGCGCAGAACAACAGATTGAAGCAACCATAGCGATCAGCCAGTATACCAGGTAAGATTCTGCCAAAGAAAGAAGCACCATTGACCATAGAAATAAGATAGAAAGAGAATGAGGTCGACATATCGAGTGATGTGGCATACGAACCGATGTAGAAGAAAGGACTGAACATACCGAGATTGGCGACAGCCATACCCGCACAACAGAAGATGAAGGCCGGCTTTTTGATAATGCTGAAATCGGCCTTTGGCTTCGTTGTTGGAACTCGGGCTTTCTCATCCGGTAATGGTGCGACAGTACGAGGTGAACGAAGGAGTAGACAGGTCATACCAAGTAGCGGAAGCATGATAAATGCGACGATCCTGATAGTCCAGCCGAATCCAAGATTGCTGTGATTCAACAGTTGGTCGAGTACGATAGGCCAGATGATGCCTCCGGTGGACGATCCAGCGACAACAATACCCATACCAAGGGCACGATTCTTGCGAAAGTACTTTGGAAGTGTCGACAACGAAGGGGTGATCAGAAAGGCCGAGCTAACACCAAGAACCAAAGCCTGAGCGAGGAAGAATTGATAGTACTCTTTGCAAAGTGAGATCATGAAGATAGCGAAGAGTACACCAACAGAACCGATAATGATCAGTACGTTTGGACCAGTTATATCGTAAGCGATGCCAACCGCAGGCGAAGTAAGATACATGGCACAGATTGCAAAGCTGCCAATCCATGAAATGTCAAAGTCCGATTTGTCTTGGAGTTGATGTTCGTGATAATATTCCTGGAAGATACCAAACGCGTTGAAAAAGCCAACACTACAGAAGAAGGCACAGAATGCACCGATGAGTACGAAAGCAGATCGTTTGTTTAGCTCCTTGTCATCCTTGGTTGGTGTGAGGATGGATGTGTTTGCCGATGCAATGACTGCTTCGGCCGAGATTTCTTTGTCGATGGTAGACATTGTGAAGTGTCGAATTGATTAGCGAGGATAAAATTGCAGTACTGATGATGATGGTCGGAAAACTCACATGGCAGCGAAGGCCAACAGTTATATACATACTTGGACCCACACAGTGATTGCTCCGTGGACTTTCCGGAGTACATCTAGGGAAGGAGGGAGCTTCTGCGGGGCTTCCACGGGGTTTCCGCGGGGGTCCGAGAACACCTTCCTCTCGATATGTGAGTTACAATCAATTTATCTGAGCTCTACATCCGTCCAAAAGATCGCGATGAAACGATCTGCTCCAGTGCCCGACTCGACTGAGAAACGACAAGCGGCGCGACGTCGCCAAGATCCTGTGTCCTGTCAAGGGTGTCGCAAGAAGAAGCTCAGGTGCTCGCGCACGTTTCCGTGTTCGAACTGCGTGTCGCGGGGAGTCGAGTGTCAGCCACCAGATACCATACAATGGTCTCCAGCTCGAGAGGGGTAAGAGAGCCCGGATGTATGGTTCAAATGTCTTGCTCATTGAGAACAGGAGCAGCTCTGTCGCCACAGTCACTTCTGACAACCCAGTCTTGGCACAGGTCTTGGAGCGATTAAAACGACTTGAGGACATTGTTCTGACAAAATCTGATTCTGTTACTGGAAACATAACTTTTGGTGACGATGACTCTAGGTCCATCCCAAATTTGCACGAGGATGTCGTCCAGAACGAGATATTCCATTCTATTGGACGGTCTGATGTTTCGCCACAAGCAAACATCGATCGACAGGAAGACGAAGTTCGCGAGACAGAAATCACTGCAACAAAGCGGTCGGACACGAGAGACGAGGAAGCAAGCTTTACATTCGTGTCTGCCAAAGTGTCCGAGCTGGCGTTCGATGTCAATCTCAGGACTCCAGTTTTGACCAAGATCTCTGTGGACGGCGGCAGAGTAATCAGGCGTATATGTCTTCCCGAACGGAAAGAAGCTCATATCTTGTTTCAGTCTTTCGCAAAGTCCCTCGGATCATGGTATCATATTTATCACAGGCAGACAGTGGAAACTCTCCTCGACAAGACTTACTACCAAATTGCTTGTGGACAGGTTCCGAGTCTCTCACACATTGCGTTGTTGCTCAGCATATTTGCAAGTGGAGCATACTTTCAAACATCTGCAGCATGGCCAGAATGCGTTTTCAGTGATCCTCAAACGGCCAATCAAATATCCTTGTGCTGGAAGCAGAACACGCTTGACATCTTGGATTTCATCCAACGTGCTACAACACCGACCGTGATAGAGGAACTGCAGGCTACCATCATTGTGGCTTTAATGCTGCAAAATCTTGAAGGTATGTATCGAGCTTCGTTTCATAGCCTTCATCATACTGAATCTGGAAGGACTCTCGAAAAAGTACTGGGTGCTACACACTACCTCAATCACACTTGCCAGAGACCTATCTCTACACGTCTTGGACCATCCGGCGAGACCAAAGCCCAAGGATGTGATTGAGAACGAAGTCAAGAGGAGAATATGGTCATTTCTCGCGACCACTGACTGGTATGCACATTGTGGTCCAGAGAAAACAAAGTACTGATCGTATTGCAAGGTTACTGGGTAGCATGCCTAGTCCGCAAGAAGGAACATACAACATCAATGCTCGACACTGTCATATTAACAAGCCTATGAACATCGACGACGATGACCTCGCTGCGAACAGAATCGTCGATAAGCCACTGTCAGAACCCACCGAGATGTCTTACTCTTTGATCAGAACGTATGCAGGAGACATGTGTCGAAATCTTGCTGATATGGTTCACCCTATGGCTTCAGGAGTGAACAACGTCGACTATAATGAGATCATTGCTCTTGAGCAAAAGACCGCAGGGATGGCAGTCGAATTGCCATTTTACTTCCGACTCGACGAAGATAGCCGCAGAAGAACGGAACCATATCTCAACAAGTACCCGCAGCTTGCAACACAGAGATATCTTTTGCAACAGGGATTCCACTGCCATAGAAGCAGAATCCACCGTCCGTTCCTCATTCGCGGCTCTTTGGATGCGAGATTTCAATTCTCTAGGGATGCCTGTCTGGAGTCTGTCCGGAAGAGTCTGGAAATTCGCCGTATGTTGAACCGAGAGAAGCGTGGTGCGGTATTGCCGGTTGCAAGACTCAACTTTGTTGTCTATCATATCTTTATGGGTGCGCTTACGCTGGCACTTGATTTGTGCTTCAACAAGTCGACGAATGAAGCGGAGGACCAGAGCCGGCGAGCAGAACTTAAAGAAGCGTGTTTGATGCTTCACGAAGCCAAGACTGAGATGCCGGCGGCTGATCGATTCCTCAGGCCATTGATGGAACTACTGCAAAAGTACAAGATTCAGTTGCAAGATTCTGGACCGCAAAACCAATACCTCACGCCAGCTGGATCTACACCCATTGCGGGTCCAGACATGACCGTCTTGGCTCAGAACACAGCAAACTTTTCTGGGAGAGTGTCAGGACAGGATTTCACGGTAGTGCCAGATGCCGAGCTTGATAGTTTGTGGGAAGATTTTATCAACATGGTCCCGGACACAGATGCTCCAGGGTGGGATGACCTTCTCGCTGATTTCGACCAAGCGAGTTTGTTTGTAGGTGTTTAGGTATTGTAGTTACTATACCATCTCTTCCATGCATGTGTTGGCACGTCGCCTTATTAGCTGCGTGACAGTCATCGGCGGCAGATGTTCTGGCTCAACGAAAGTAATGCCTTATAGTCTGACTAGCGGTGGAGGCTAGGTAGACTGGAATCGGAGGGTACTGCGCGCCTTGGAATGTTTGAAACATTGAGAAGAGTGTTGACGAGGAGAAACCACCACGTCATCTGGCAGAATCCAAGGCGGTGTATCTGCCCATGCTAGTAATCATGTCGCAACTTTTGGAAGCACTCAATCTCTGTTCTCGAATTCGAATCGTGAAAGTGTGTCAATTACATATATACAGATACCGGAGAAGAATGAGCAAATCGTTAAACACAATCTCGAACTCCCTCACAGAAGGGCGAAAGCACCAAGAGCGGCAACACCAGCGATACCCATAGGGCTCAAGGTAGGGGCAGCACCGGTCGACTGTGCTGAAGCGGCGGAGCTTGCGCTTGAAGCAGCACTCGAGGCAGATCTGCTAGCGCTTGAGGCAGCGCTACTTGCACTCGAAGCAGCACTGCTTGCACTGCTAGATAGCGAGGACGAAATCTGGCTGGCGGACGAGGCGAGGGAAGAGAGAATTTGGCTTGCTGACGAAAGGGCAGAGGAGGCAGAGCTTCCTGTCGCGGTTGCAGCGGAGGCGGCGCTGGTGCCTGATGACGCAGCAGTAGCGGCGCAGGAGGCTGCTGTAGGCTAGAGGGAAATCAGAATATGGTCGTGGGAGAACAGAAACAAAACTCACGAGGTTGGTCACGCCAACGGGAGCGCAGACCTGCTTGGCGTAGGCGAGAGCGGCTTGCTGGCCGGAAGTGTCGCAAGCGGTCAGGACACAGCATGAGATGGTGCTGATGAAAGCAGTGTCGCTACAGATGCATTCGGGGTTGAACTTGCAGCTGGCGGGCAGAGCTTGGAGGACGCAGGACTTGGCACCTGGTTGCAAGTTTTAGCAATCACATTGGTATGGCTGTTATTGTCGATACATACAGTCGGGAACAGCGCCGGTCTGGGCAGCCGCCAGAGTGGCAGCAGCGATGAGAGTGAATGTGGTAGCGCGCATATTGACGACGAGTTGTTCAAGAGAGCAAAAACACAGAGAGACTGAACGAGAGTGAAATTGTACAAGTCAACACCCAGGAGAAAAGGTGGGCTTACGTTCTTCATATAAACTCTTGTGATACCGTAGATGCATCTTCAAGCCACATGCGGGACCTTAGTTTAGACAAGTTTTGGCGAAGGACGCCAATGCTGCTGCCCGCATTGAGTCTTGATTGGTTGATGTGGAAATGTGCTGGAGCAGGGTTCCAACAAGACTGCGTGGAGTCAGCGAGCCGGCCCTGAGCGACAAGCTCAGATCGAACATCCTTATATCGACACTCCGTATCCGACAGATCGCAGAAGCGATAGATTCAAGAATCTTTCCTTTATGGTCAGTGGTGTATACAATGAGACGACGCGCCAAGCAGTTTGACCGCGGATCGTGGGGTTGAACTCTCTGTCTAACGGGCGCTTGGAAATCCGTGGGGCCAAACTCTGGACCCTTGTCGTTCGCGGCTTTGTCTCCATCTTCCAAACTCCAACCCATCTTGGGCCGGGCAAAGAATAGGCAAAACAAGCTGGGAGGACACACCTCAAGATTGAGGCGCTCTAGAAAGAATCGTCTGCATGCACAAGCCGCAATCACACCGCAAAAAGACGAATTACAGTTGAACAGCGTTTCACGCTCAGCTGAAGCCATGTTTTGTGGCTTGGCCCGAAAGAGGAGTACGACCAGTTGGTAAGATTAACTTAGTGAAGTATACTTGTGTGCTGCCACTCAGCTCTCAGCTCCTCCTCGCAAACGTGACTCCCGAATGGGACAAGTCTGGTTTCTGTTGTCTAAGGCAACTATTGCCTCTCTGTACGGTGGCAATCTGTTTCTCTGACCACAACTTGAAGCGCATCCATCTTCGCTTCTGGCGAAAACAGCTTGCTACGTCGAGCCCGACAATGGCTCTCGGAATACTGGAGCCCAGGACGGAGCATGTCCCAGGCACTGTTCAAGTCACCCGTAGGAGCGACAGCGATTCGTCCTCATCGCGGACAACAATCCTTGTGCCGCAGCCCACAGATGACCCGAATGATCCATTGGTATCGCCATCCTATACAATCTGGTCGTGGGAGCGCAGAAGTCAGCTGGACCGAGTCTTGTCATGTCTTGTCTGAAATAGCTGCCAGTTACTATGGCTATCTTTCGTGGTCGACACTACCAGCCATCGGAAGCTATTGTATAGAGCGCTTTTGTTCAACTAAGCGGCATCTATTCTGACATCCATTCCACACAAGACGGCTGATGGTCCGGTTGTGCTTCTTCTCATCCACGTCCAAGTCGCTGTGTGATCACTACTAACATCCATACAGAACTGGCCACTCTGGCAACGCGATGTCATCCTCGTAATCCTCTGTATCGTCTCTGTCCTCGCGACTACCGCCTCACCCCTTCTAGCCGCCGACTCGGTCGAACTCGCGCTCAAGTTTCAGTGCACATTTGAGGAAGCAGCTCTTCTCACAGCATACCACCTAGCTGGTGTTGGTGTGGGAAGCTTACTATTCGTTCCGCTTGCAAGAGTTTGGGGAAAGAGGCATGTGTTCCTGATCGGTGCAGTGCTCATGATTGCGAGCTCCACCTGGGGAGGATCCACACACATGGGACACAACTACACGAGTTTGTTGTGGGCACGAGTGATTCAGGGAATCGCCTTGGCACCGTTTGAGTCACTCATCAACGCATGCGTGGGAGACCTCTATTTCGTCCACGAGCGTGGTCTGCGCATGGCATTTGCGAACGTCTCGCTCTTTGGCGGAGCGTTCCTGACTCCAGTGTTTGTTGGTATGATTGCCCATGACATTGGTTGGCAGTGGTCGTTCTACTTTATTGCCATCTTCATGGGTGGTGGCTTCTTACTGCTTCTGTTCTTGTGCCCGGAAGTCGCGTACCGTCGACCCGATCGCCTGAACACAGATATGACGACCAGCAGTTCGGATTCACTGGATGGAAATGCCCCCTCCTACGACGAAAAATCACCCAACGAACAAGTTGTTGCCAGAGTCAGAGGCAATGCATGGAAACCTCTGCGTATTGCCCCCTTCAACGGACGCAAAAGTGACGAGTCGTTCTGGAAGCTGTTCCTGCGACCATTTCCACTGTTCTTGCACCCAGCTGTCATTTGGGCTTGCTTGCTCCAGGGTGTGATCATAGGCTGGACTGTGATGGTAGGAGTCATCCTGTCACTAATCTTCCTCGGACCTCCATTGTTTTTCGACGAAGAACAAGCTGGCAAGATGTACACCGCAGCATTCATTGGAAGTATACTCGGTCTCTTGATTGCAGGAGTCTACACTGAGCTCACTACACGTTTCATGGTCCGACGTAACAATGGAAGATACGAGCCTGAGTATCGAATCCTGCTCGTCATTCCTACCCTCATATTCGCTGGCATCGGACTCTATGGCTTCGGCATCACAGCGGCCAAAGTAGCACGCTATGGCTGGATTGTACCGGAAGTGTTCCTCGCGTTCATCGTTGCTAGTATGGTCATGGGCGCCACAGCCTCGGCGCAGTACTTACTCGATGCACACAGAGACATTGCAGTCGAATCGTTCACATGTTTGATCATTTTCAAAAACATGTTTTCGTTCATTCTGGCGTACTTTGCTTATACCTGGGTCTTCGAAGGAGGCATTGAGAGGCTGTTCATCGTATTTGGCAGTATCGAAGTCGCCATTTGCGCATTGAGCTTGCCCATGTACGTGTTCGGCAAGATGAGTCGCGAATTCTTCCATCGACATGATTTGTTGCAGATGTTTGGGTTGAGATGAGGGCTGCAGACGTCGATGACATGAACATTCGCCATTGTTTTATCCTCACCTCATGCAGATTGATGACTTTGAATCCAGGTTCGCGTTCGAAACGTGATTGCCAAAAATTCATCGAAGTTCTTGCGGTGGGTTCCGCGACGCGTCTGCGAGACCGGAGATTATCGGGACAGCTATCTTTCTCCTCAGCTTTCCAAATTCATCACCATCACAACGTCTCAGAGCGAGGATGTGTATTGAGATGTTGTTCCCATGTTCTTTTTCTTAGCACTCGAAAGAGAAACTTCATACGAAGGACGGAAAGATAAAACTCCACCACGCGACTTTTCTCGGACCCATCCCGCATTCAGTATGCGGGGCGTACTTCCGAAGATAAGGATCTGACCTATCGTTGGCTCATTCGATATCTGGACCTGCTTTGCTGACAAGGCCAAAAATGCATTACTGTGAATAACAAGCACTTTGTGCATCTTATCGTTGCCTTATCTTTGTCTTTGGCTGCCGTCTCTAGGAGTTTCTCTTTCAAGATCGCCTGTCAACAGTATCGATATAGTCTTTGGTCTATAAAGATTTATGCCCAAGTTGTATATATGCAGCGCTACCCTTTTTGTTTGCAAGAATCGGTTTCGCTAAACGCAATATCACTTTCCATTCACTTCAATCGTCATGTCGGATATTATGGATCAGAAAGTGTTTGATGGAGCAGTCGCAGACGATGTTGCTCTCGAGCAGCTTGGATATCAACGAGGTTTGTGTCAATGGTATATTGCAGCTTCATCTCATATTCTGACCTCAATACAGAGCTCAAACGAACGTTCAACCTGATTAGCATGATCGGATTCTGCTTCTCGATCGTCTCTAGCTGGACAGCATTATCCGGTGTGCTCATCATTGGAGCCGAAAGTGGTGGACCGCCAGTCATGATCTGGTCATGGGTGGGTGTATGTGTGTTCACCATGGCTGTTGCTCTATCGATGGCCGAGATGTGCTCAGCGTATCCACTGGCAGGCGGTCAATACTCGTGGACTGCCATTCTGGCGCCGCGAAGCTGGTCCAAAGGATTGTCGTATGTCTGTGGATGGTTCATGTTGATCGGCATCATTGCTATGGGTGCTGTAGTCAACTTTATCGCCTCAGGATTCATCCTCGCTATGGCTGTGCTCAACAATCCAGAGTACGAGATCACGCGCTGGAATTCGACTCTGGTCGCATACGCAATTGCCGTCGCCGCTCTCTCGTTGAACATATTTTGTCCACAGATGCTACATAAAATGACCAACTTCTTCCTCATCTGGAACATGGGATCTTTCTTCATCATCATCATCACCATTCTCGCCACAAACGATCACAAGCAAACTCCCAGCTTTGTTTTTTCAGAATTCCAAAACTTCACTGGTTTCAACAAGCCATATGCTGCCATCTTGGGTCTGTTGCAATCGGCTTTCGGCATGTGCTGCTATGATGCCCCAGCACACATGACAGAAGAGATCAACGATGCCAGAAAAGTCGCTCCCAAGGCAATTGTGCTCTCCGTAGGTCTTGGTGCGGTCACTGGATTTGCGTTTTTGATTGCAGCATGTTTCTGCATGGGGTCGATTGATGGCGTGGCTGAGAGTGCTACTGGCAGCCCGATTGTTCAGATTTTCTACGACTCTACGCAATCTGTTGCTGGTGCTTCGTGTCTGACGTTCCTTATGGTTATGATACAGTTCTTCTCGGCTATATCGCTGCTTGCTGAAGGTGGTCGTGCAGTTGTAAGTTCGTCCTTTTCTTTCTACTTGAAGTCCGCTGACAGACGAGTTCAGTATGCGTTTGCTAGAGACCGTGGTCTACCCTTCTCCAACGTACTCAGCGAGGTTCATTCGACCAAACAGGTGCCCATCTACGGCATCCTCTTGACCTTCGTCGTCCAAATAGTTTTGAACTCGATCTATTTCGGCACAGTGACAGGCTTCAATACCGTCGTTTCAATCGCCACCGAAGGCTTTTGTAAGACCGAACACACCTTCCCCCACCATCTCATATGCTAAGAATAATCCCCCAGATGTCTCCTACGCCATCCCTATCCTCCTCCGCGTCATCGCTCCCCTCACCTCAACAACTCCCCCTCGCTTCGAAGGCCCCTGGAACCTCGGACGCTGGAGTCTACCAATCAACATCATGGCATTAGTGTACTTGCTCTTCACATCCATCACCTTCAACTTTCCCACACTCAAACCAGTGGATCCGGAAAATATGAACTATACTTCTGCGGCTGTAGGGGTGGTTATGTTGGTTGCGGCGATCACTTGGTTTACGACGGCGAAAGGAAACTTTAGAACGCCCGGTGCGGGTGAGGATGTGGTTATACACAGTGCGCCACACACGGAGACAGAGCAGGACGCTCAGGTTGTGAGAGATGAAAAGGTCCAGAAACATGCGTGTTGATGTCGTTTGTGAGGTGTTCTGCAAGATCTAATGAGAAAACGCAACTTCAATTCTACTTCATCACTCGAGTTCCTTTGTCGACACGTCATTCACGTCAATATGCCTCTTAGCGATACAGCTCGGTGAATTACTCTGGCCAAGTGGTCATTTGTCTCGTTATCACGGCAACCGTAACTTTGCGATGGAAGTAACGAAGTGCCGTACGCTCAAGCGCTGTTGCCCAACGAACATACTTGCTCCAGAAGCTAATAGCGAGGCTGGATCTGACATTAAGCCGTCTCTGAAAGAGCGGAACGGGTAGACCGAGGCAAAGAAGAAAGACATTCGAAAGCAGAAAACTCGTTGATGTTTAGGAAGTCGTCAACTCGATACGCTTGTAGCTACAGACACCGTATCATACTCAAGCAAGCACAGCGTTTAGGACCTCGAAGGCAGTCGATCAAGACTAGTACATTACAGTCCCTTCATACCAATGAAGAACTTGTTGGCTCTCAACTGCTCATTCTCAGCAACCAAGGTCTTGAGTCTCTTGACCTGTTCCTTGCCATCCATCCCTTGACCTTGCGTCTCCTCCTTCCACTTCAGCAGCAACTCTTTCAGTAGTCTGTTGCCCTCTGCGACATCTTCTTTGCTTGCATTCTTGAGCTCCGACTTTGCCTCTTCGTTCTTTCCCGCAAAGTCTTCCAGCTCGTCTGCCTTGCGTTTGGCCATTGAGATGACCTTTTGTGGGAAACGGACGAGTTCTGCAACGTGGATACCAAAACTCTGATCGCTGATGCCGGGCTCGACTTTGTACATGAGCAAGACTTGAGGTGCAGAGTCTGCTGTTGATCCATCACTGACGTCCGCAACGACATGCAGATTCTGGACTTGTGAGTACGTGTCGACCAGTGCAGTCAACTCGTGGAAATGTGTTGCGAACAGAGTAAAGGCGCCGATTTCCTTGATAATGTGCTCACTGATGGCCCAGGCCAGGCCGAAACCGTCGTAGGTGCTTGTGCCTCTACCCAATTCATCGATGATGATCAAACTCTCTTTTGTCGCTGACTTGAGGATGTTGGCTGTCTCGAGCATTTCAGCCATGAACGTAGAAACACCCTTGAGTTGACTATCACTGGCACCGACACGGGCAAGAATACAGTCGAATAAGGTGAGCTCAGCAGATGTGCAGGGTACAAAGCAGCCCATCTGGGCCATTAAGGCGATGACACCAATCTGGCGAATATACGTGCTCTTACCGCCCATGTTGGGTCCTGTGATGACCAGGAACTCCGAGTCTTTCCGTTTGAGGGTAACGTCATTGGGCATGAAGGTAATTTCGTCCTGTGCTTCCATGCAAGGATGACGAGCTTCGACGAGGACAGTGTCACCGGTACCACGAGGGTGCATCCTTGGCCGGCAGTAGGGCGTGGGTGCATGGAGAGCGACATGAGCAAATGAGACGATCACGTCCATATGTGCTAGGATGCCGGCAAGCTTCTCGACGACAGGGCAGTACGAAGCTGCGACTCCCACAACTTCCTGCACTAGACCACTCTGAGTGCGGTTGTAGTTCTCAGACAGCTGATCATGCTCTCTGCGCGCCGCCTGCAGAGTGGAGGTTGTGAAGTAGATACCATTCTTCTGCGTCGAGCATTCCTGGTACTGCTTCTTGTTGCGGATGGTGCCAGCTTCTGCTCTGGTGACGCGGAAGCACCATCCATGAACTTTGTGATTTTCGAGGAAGAGCTTCTTTTCTGTATCGAGACCAAGATCATCTCCGACTCTGCCATGTTCCTTGTCCATGCTGTAACGGAGCTTGTCGAGTTTTGTTCGGATGATCTTCAAGCTTTCGTCAAAGTCGGACTTGATTATGAACTCGTGGTTCTCGAGAGCATCAAGATCTACCGTAGTTTCAACCATCTCTTGCAGCTTACCCAGAGCATCAGCACACTCGCGCAGCTTGTTGGTGTATTCTCTGTCTAGAGGATCTTTGTATTCTTCATCCATGACTGCCTCAAGAGTGCCGATGAAACCTGGTATACGGATAGCGACCTGGTATACGCGAATGACGTCTTCCAAAGTAGCGTTCTTGCGTTGGAATTTCTTGGCCAGCCGATAAAGGTCCGGGATGGATCTGAGATGATCTGAAGACATTGATTCGGCAAGCTGAGTGTCATTGACGAACGCTTCTACGAGTTGTAGTCTGCGCTCAATTTCTTCCAGGTTCATTAAAGGCTGCTTGAGCCACTGAGCGAGTAGTCGACTACCGATGGGGGTCTTGCAGTGATTGAGTAACCCATACAGATTCATCGTCTTGGATCCGTCCTTGGGGCCGGGCATAAGATTGAGGGCCTTTAACGCAGATGCGTCGAGCTTCATATATTGTGAGAGGTCATGTTGGTAGAGTTGATATTGGCCGAAGTTTGAGGGATCAGACATAGCGCCGAGGTACTTGACAAGAGCAGCTGAAGCTCCCATGGCCAATCTCAATTCCGTCTGCGGCAGAGTCGAGGTACGTTCTTCACGCAATAGCCTGTTCAAGTCCTGCTCGATATCTTTGCTGTTGAAATCGGCTGATGGGCGTTCAGATACAGCGCACTGGCAATTGTCTGCGATAGCTCGTAATTTGGTCAACTCTCCGTCTTTCTTCTGTCCATCGTACTGCACAAGAACTTCTCGAACACCCAGTTGGATAATCAAGCTCTCGAAGTTGGAGTAAATGTCATTGTCCACGAACTCACTCACACCAAGCTCACGAACACTGGCATCTGCGAAGCAAACACCAACATTACGAGCCTCCGAAGCTTTGGCTGAGACTTTGACGGCGAGAATGATGGGAGCGGCTTCCATACTGCTGCCGAGCTCGTCTTCAACATCCTGAAGGTTTCCTGGCGAGGCGGTTTTGGTGAGGTTGAATTTGTTCTTGCCAACAGACTCGTAGATCTCAATACGTTTGCCGAGACGGAATAGAGCCTCGCGTAAGAAGTTACGGAAAACGGTTTGTGAAAGAGTGACAGATGGAAGTCCAGGATCGCGGCCGAGCTGCTTGATTACCGAGGTGGTCTTGTATTGGTTTTGAGCGATGAAGTTGGCGTCATCACCATGTGCTGTGTAATAGTCATTTCTGTCAAAGAGTCGTATCGTATCGTCGTCTTTGCCTGGCAGGCCTTTGAAGAATTTGATGAAGGCGTACTCGTCGTCCACTTTGAGCTCCGGTCTTGATGCCATAATTGGGTGGTTGTTGTAATGTATTTGCAATGTTAAATCCCTGACGCTCAACCTTGTGTGATGACCGGATGGAGAAGACAAGTATATGCACCAAAGACAATGTCTCGATGGGTTGATGAGCGACAGCGAGCGCGTGCTTGCAAAGCACGCGACTGGACGCGAATCACTTCCGCACAGGCCACCTTCGGCTATACTTTCTGCAGTTCCTCCAAGCAAGAACTTCGTCCTTCGCCATTTGCTTTCTTGACAACACACAAGAATACCTTGGACAAGAAACTGTCTGTACACTGCTCAAGGGAACATTTGTGACATGCCCTCTGATGTCGTTTCTCTTCGTATCCATATCAGAAATCGGCCACATTCAACCTGAACCAGTGTCTGCCACGTGCCATGCAAAGACCAACGATGCTGCTATGGTCGTAAGTGCTCGCATTGCAGATTATGGATCAATCTCGTTTCATATCTGACACTGTGTACGAGTCTGCGCCGCTTGACTGCCTCACTGTACGGTGGTCAAGAGATGCCTCTTACTGATTGCTGGATCTGGACAGCGGTGTTGATTGAAGCTGACTCATGGCAAATTTAACCGAGACACCGCCTTCCCTCCTTGACTTCTTCGGTTTTATATATGAGCACCCACTCCTAAGCACATTGAAATAGCGTACTGACGGCAAGCATTCACTTACTTTTCGACTATCCGCTATGGATCTGGAAATCGTCAAATCCCTCGGATGTATTGTACTCAGAGGCAATTGCATCCACGAAATTGCCAAAAGTTCACCTTCGTCTTCTCCACAAAAGCCAAAACTTCCATACCATGTCACGGTGATCACAAAAGCCGAAATCCAGCATTTCGACGATGAACGAAAGACTGAAGTCGAGCAATTTCTCAATGAGTCTCCGAGTCTGACACCACCAGTCGATCTAGGAGTTGGGACACAAGGTTCCGTCGCATTCAATGTGCTATTCTGGCCACATGGAGACAAAATCAGAGCTCTATTCGGACTACCTCGAAAGGACTTCCACGTCACCCTGTCACCAACAGACAACCACGACATCGACAAAGGCGTCACCGCTATATCTCGTTGTAAGGCTCTGACTGTAGAGCAGCTTGACCAGATCATCTCAAATTGCTTTACACTAGCAACAGGTCCTTCCGACACTCGAAAACATGCACTGGAAGTTGTTCGGTTCATCGCCAAATCTCACGTTTCGTATCTGTCACAATTCTCATTCGATAAGGCATGGCGAATATTGTTCAAACTTTCGTACAAGGCAGAGAGCTCTGAGTTCGCCATTGAATATCTCGAGTCATATCCCAACAGTATCGCCGCTATCCTGCGCGTGGCTCACGGTTATGAAATGCCGCAGCAAGCAAAACAAGCTATGTTCATGTTTGCTCATGCAGTGCATCTGTTGCCAAATGGTGAATCCGCCATCAAGACACGCTGCATCGAGGCCTTAGTCGGATGTTCGAGGTACACTGAATTTGGTCCTTTCTTCCTCGACCACGAAGTTGAAGATTGGAAGAACAACCGAATTCTCTACTCTACGTATGGGGACGCGTTCCAGGACCCTCAAGTACGATGTCTTGTCAAGGGAAACGTCAGTAGTAGCATGGCTGATACTGACTCGGCCCTGGTCCTGCCCTCTGTGGCTTCCAATCAAGACGTGTTTACGCCGATGAGGGGAGAGCTTTACAGGCTGCCGAGGTTCTTTCGTTGGTTGGCACCCTTCCGACTCGCTGTCATGAGTACACCGCGCTCTGGTGAAGATATCCAAACACTGATAGCTCTGGGCATCACACTAGTCGTCACACTGACAGAAGAAGAACCACTCCCCGCGGAATGGTTCATAGATACACCTTGCCGAAACTTGTTCTTACCAGTACGCAACTACCAAGCCCCTACGAACAAGCAAGTCGACACATTCATCCAGTGCATGGATGACCTATCGACTGAAGAAGCCGCTCTGGTTCATTGCGGAGGTGGGAAAGGCCGTGCTGGCACTTTCGCTGCATGCTACCTCATGGCTAGAGGATATGATGACACCCCTCCCGAAAGATACAACGGCGAAGAACGTCTCCGTATGTACCCCGGAGACGCTATGAAGCTCTTACGCCACCTGCGACCTGGCAGTATTGAGACAACCAAACAGGAGACATTTGTCAGAGACTATGCTCAGTACCTCATAAGCGGTCAGAAAGGAGTCACTCCTGCAGAAGCTTTACCACTCGAGCCAGAGAGTCCACTTGAACTCGACGGAAATCTGCCTAAATCTCCTTCCTTGATTATATGCTGCGGTGTACCTGGTTCGGGCAAGAGCACTTTTGCATCACAGCTTGCAACTCTGGGTTATACCATCATATCTCAGGACGAATTGGGTAGCAAGACTGCCTGTCTCAATGCTCTATCCAACAAGCTCGAGAGTGGGGGAAAAGTGATTATGGACAGATGCAATCCCTACATTGAAGACAGAGAACAATGGCTGGCACATGCATTCCATCCAAACAATGCTCTATGTGTCTGGTTTGACATCAACCCAGAGATCTGTACCAGAAGAGCAGACGCTCGGACAAACCACCCGACTATCCCAGCAGGAAGAGCAAAAAGAATCGTTCACTCATTCGTCAAGACATTTGTTCCACCGACCAGCAAAGAAAAGTTCGCTTGTATCGCTAGAGTCTCATCCAATGTTGCCGCATCTGACCTCCTATCGAGACTCGGGGTTTCTGTGAAGATCATGGTTCAAGCAGATGCTATTGTTAAGTCAGACAACGAAGCGGACGACAAGTCTTACCTCACCACGACATCGGACATACCAGAGAGACCGTTCGTCCACAAATTTCCTCGGACACGGCACCTCTTCAATATCGGCTCTGCGTCGCGAGATGACCTGATCCTCTCCTCTTCTGACGCTAAAGCATTCCTCCAATCCATCGACCCCTCTACAACAGTTGTTGTCGAGGAGAAGGTAGACGGCGCGAATCTGGGCATCAGTCTTGACTCCTGTGGCGCCTTCAAAGTGCAAAACAGGTCGCACTACGTCAACAGCAAATCACATGCACAGTTCAAAAAGCTGGATAAGTGGTTGGAAGATCACTATGAAGACTTGAGCACTGTACTAGATGTGAAAAGCAGTCAACCTGGCAGATGGATACTCTATGGCGAATGGTTGTTCGCGAAGCACTCCATTCATTACAGCAATCTCCCAGATTTGTTCCTCGCATTTGACCTCTTGGATACCAAGACAAGCAGTTTTCTAAGCAGAGAAGCATTGAGTGAGAGACTCAAAGGTACGAAGCTACATCAAGTCAAGGATATCGAGGTAGAAAAGCCAGACGAGCAATCACTGCTTGACATTGTGCGTGGACGCCAGTCAATCTATTACGAAGGTGTCGTAGAAGGAGTTTACCTTCGCAGACAGAAAGATGGCAAGACCATCGACCGAGCCAAGATTGTTCGGTCTGGTTTTATTGCAGGAGACGAACATTGGAATCGCAGAGGTGTGACGCCGAATATCGTGATGACATACCGCTGAAGATAGGCTGAATAGTGTACCACCGCTCGCAATGCTCTGCCATACATAGTGCTATATAATAGAAGCGAATCTCTGACAATGATGGGTCGATGTGACAATGCTAAACATCCTTTTGGTTGTACATCCTATCTCTGCGATCTCGCTTAGGCTGTGTGTCATGCCCCTCAAAAAGATCAGCTTCAATAAATTGTCAGTATGCACTTGAAATGTATGTCCGGAGTCGTACCCCGAAAACAGAATCTTCCCACACACATTCGATCCTGTGCCAAGAAATATCTTCTCAGCTACAACACGGCGACACAAGTAAAAGAATATACTCTCAACCGAACCGTACAACAAAACGGTCAAGAGCTTATCGTTGAGCAAGATACTTGCTCCGAAATTGAAGTCACCAGGCACACCCTGGCCTTGAGATGAGCGATGTCCAACATTCGCTTAGCAAACACCCGCTCTGCCGCAGATACTCTGATAGACTTTCCACGATTCATTTGGTAGGCCTGAATTACAAGTTGTCTTTGTCAAGATCAAAGCGAATTTGTTCTTCCCTATCGCGCTACTGCACGGCTTGCTGGACGCGGACCCAAGACCCACTCCCGCGGTGCCGGCGGTGTCGGGGAAGTTGCGGTCGTGGACCCTCGAAACACTTCGCACATATTAAACGCTTCCCTTATGTGCATCTTGCATTAAACACGATTTGCCACGATCCTGAACCCACTCGCCAGTGTCGTATTTCCGACTGGCTGCTTGAGACCCGGAATTTGCGAATCGAGCGAGGCTGTCGCGATGTGATATCTGGTGGCTTCAAGCCTCCTCTTCGCGTTAGGATCTCAATGGCCAGAGCGAACAGCTTCATCCTTGCTCGATATATCATTGACCCAGGCAAAGTTCGACAATCAAGTGATCGTCATTAGAAATTGAGAAAAGTGGCCGCCGGGGACCTAGGACCCGATGGAAAGAGCTGATCACGAATTCACCGACTCGACCTTGCCACCCCAGGCGCTGGATCTCCAATCCTGCGACCAGCCACAGAGTCACACAACCATGTTTCCACGTTTACTTGTGGCTGGACCTTCGAACTGCCGTGGGACGCTTTCCAAGTCGACATCGGCAAAAGTTGATTCCGAGAAAGATCCTTCATCGGGCACCGCGCTTCCGGCTCAAGTTGGCAATAGTAAAGAGAGCAAAGAGTTCCATTGATACAGTGAGAACGCTACGAGGCACTTATACTGATGGATTCATGCCACCTCCATCTACGAAGTGCCCCAGAGTAGGATTTAGCGATGATATGTGCTCAGGCCAACCACGAACTTCGTGTGCAGTTTCCTCAGGACTGACAAGACCCGCCACCAACACAGCTTCATGCAGCTATGTTTGGCTAACGTCGAAGCCACACAGCTGTCAAAGTCCACGATCGTGGAACGGACCGGACACTTCTCCACTGTTGCGCAATGTCAATCGCAATAGAGCCAAGCGTCATGCCACTGGCTGCGAGCAAGGACCCATCTGACATGCACGTCTGACCCGAAACACTAACGGCTTCCGAGTAGCATCGCAAATTCATATCAAACCACGAGATTCCAATCTACGACAAGGATCGATTGATTGACAAAGGATCTGGGTCTCTTCATATCGCTGCACCTCATATCCATTTCTGTCGTACCTCACATGGCCATACCCTGTTCTTGCCTTCTCGGTCCCCCTTTGTCCCCACAACTCTAGTCATGACGCCTTATCGTCGACACAGCAGTAACTTGCATGCTGTATGCAGGACCAGCTGAGCAAAGCCTTGGAGTGGTCCTGACCATGCCTTTGGCATCGAAAACGGTCTCTACTAAATTGCGCACGCTGCACCCATTGGTCAATTGAGATGAAAATAAGCACGCTTTCGATGGCCGGTACTCGCGCTTATACGAAGATTCGTTGGATTTGACTTTTTGCCATATGGATTGCCTCGTCGCCTCTGACGGCACTCTCGAAACTCGGTTGAGAGCGGGTATGTTGCTTTCTCGAGAGATGAGAGGTCACTACTTCGCTATCCGCTGCTCGAACCGATGTGTACATTGCTACCCTACCAGCCGTGTTTTCACTTCGCCTCGAATCAACGCACTACCCGATATACTATGGGCGTAGATTATTGACAAGCCCTCACCCGAATGCCGCCTACCGCCGTAAGCCACATCGAAGGGAAGCGATCCCGCTCTGAAACCATTTCAAACATAAAGCCTCCCCTCCAGGCATTGGAGGACCTGAAGTTTGGATGTCACTTTTGATGTTCATGGATCCCGGAGCCATAGCAGCGATTGGAAAGGCCTCTCTGGTCCTGAATCAGGCGGCCTATGCCTTCATCCCCATCACATCAGTCGCGCTATCGTTACGATTATACGTGAGAATTTCTATTGTCAAAGGGTTCGGACTTGATGATGTTTGCTTGATCATTGCACAGGTGAGTCCCAGTATTGTAATACTCTTGAAGCTGTTCTGACGTGTTATCATAGATTTGGTACATAGTGTTTTGTGGATTTGCCATCAAGTTGATCAATCTCGAACATGATCCGGCAACGATCAAAGCTATCTCTGGCGGTATTAAAGAGGCGATGGTAGTGATTGAAAAGATATACACCGTGAGTCTGTGTGCCGTCTGGAATGTTGAACAACTTGCTAAGATGCTGCAGAGCTCCGTGATGTTTACCATGTTCTATTGCTTCTCCCTGGTCTTTCTCAAAATTTCGCTCGCTTTCTTCTACCTCCGGATCGTCATTCAACGATGGCAAAGATGGGTCATCTTCATGACTGTTACGGTGTTCACTCTTTACGGACTCGCATACGCTTTCATCTATCTGTTCCGTTGCGGCTTGAATGTCAACGACCAACTGATCTCACGAGCAGAGGGAAAGTGCATACCGGATCACACACTGTTGGTCATGACATATGTATTTGGATCCGTGGACACATTGACGGACTTCATCTACGCCTTCTTACCCATCTACGTCCTTTGGAACTCCAACATGCCGCTGGGAATGAAATTTACAGCCGGCTTTCTACTCTGCATCGGGTCCGTCAGCTCTATCTGCGCACTGATCCGTGTGGCAACTCTGTCGAATCTGAATTCTGACATCGAGTTCTTCAAGCAAGCGGTGCAGACTGGGCTCTGGAGTGTCATTGAGCCTGGTCTTGCGATTGTAGCCACATCACTAGCGGCATGCAGACCGCTCTGGAGAAAGTTCTTCGAGGACACGACTACAGGTTCTTTTATCAGAAAGACATTCATGTTCAAGTGGTCAGCAGGCAAAGACAGTGGAGTGTCGTCTAGCAGCGCTCGCTCCACCGACAAGCCCGTAACAATCGGCCATGCCAGGGGACGAGCCAATGCCTTTGGCTTTGTCGAGCGAGCCGAAGCCAACAAAGGCTTCCGACAATTTAATGACGAAGAGTATGGTGTGTCAACGGCGACTGTCCAAGCCGGGGACGAAGCAGAAACGATGACCGAGTTGCAAGATCTCAGCGGGCTGGGAGTGCCAACGGAAGAAGATTTTCCAGAAGATGACGGGAATGATAGGAGGTCGTTGGTTAGGGCATCGCATACGCCTAGTGAGCGACGAGATAGGTCGGTCAGTCAACATCGACAGAGCAAGTCGAAGATTTTCAAGACGAGGGATGTTCGTGTGAGCATAACGACTTGATGCTCTTCATAGATTGCTTCACATAGAATTGCCTGGTTGACCTCTAGCCTCTTGAAGTTATGATGATTCCTTGTCAGATTAGAAGCTTCGAATGTGCAAGCAACCTTTGAATATAATCATGACATTTCTCAAAAGTGTTGTCGTCGGAAAAGGCAGCGAGTATTGCTGACCAAAAGCTTCAAAGACAGCGGACAGCGCGAGCGCGCGGAAACCACTTGACGCACAGACCACACACACTCTTGGCACTCCAACAGCACCTCCAACAGTCCATCACCGCGCAATCGACTTGCCAGCCAATCCAAAGCACACACACAACCACACACACACAATGCTGCCAGCACGCCTAACCAGCCGCTGCCTCCGCAGCAGCAGCAGCAGCACCCGCGCCTTCTCCACCGCCCGCGTCTCCCTCCGCGCCGACAACCCCATCCCGGCCAACGACACCAAAGACCGCTCGACACCCTCGCCGGTCAGCAGCACCAATGCCATGCCCACGAGCAGCGAAGGCAACATGGACAAGCCTCTGCAGGAATCTGTGGCCGAGGGTGAAGAGCGCAGGACCATGCAGGCGCCCAACAGGGAGGGAGTGTGGAGCCGTAGCCAGCAAGCCAGAGAAAAGGCCATGGTGGGACCTAGATTCGAGCAGATGATCATGTATGATCAGGTAAGAAGATGCCCTTTTTCATTTTTCCCAGAAGATACGATTTGGAAAAATGGAAAGAGTAGGAGTTTCAAGAGAAAAGGAAGTTGGCAACAGATGCAGAAGAGCCAAAGCAAGCAAAAAGGAAGAATTTGGAGAGAGGACTGCAGAAAGAAGTGAGAGCAACGATTTGCTGATACGGAAGATTTTCGAATATAGCCTCGCCCGTTGGCGGCCATCGAGCTCATCCACAAACAGCCCGTCCGCTGGGTCAAGGAGAAGTCCGTCAAGTGCGACGGCGGCGGCGGTCCCCTCGGCCACCCTCGCATCTTCATCAACGTCGACAAGCCCCAAATATGCGGTTGCACCTACTGTGGTCTTCCCTACGTGAGTTTCCATACTCCTACCTCTTCCTTCCCCATCTCTCTCTCTTCGAGCCCCGTGTGTGTTTTTCTGACTTTGTTGCCAAAAAACAGGCAAAGGAGTCCAACCGCAAGTACCTCGAGTCCCTGCCCTCGACACCTTACCCTCTCAAGCCCACTGGGGATGAGGCAGAGGTTCCCTTTGGTTACCAGAGCAACACTGGCAAGCCTTTGGAACAGCGATAGATTGTTGATTTCCCATTGGCCTTTTGGTTTACTATTATATAACCTCTGTTCTCTTTTAGCCTTTGCACCTCTTGCTGTTCCATTGCAAGTGTATATTAAAAAACATTCAACATCACGAACTGTTCAAACGTCATATACGTGTACAGCAGCGGATGAAGATTATGTTGTGAACGAGAACGTAGCGTGCAAACGGAATTAGCAGATCAAGAGAGCCGGCTTTTCTGATCATGCAATGAAGTAACATTTACATCTTCCATTTATCCACTGGTGTCTTTCCGTCTCCCTTCTCTCTACTTCATCTTCTCGCCCTGAATGGTAGCAACAATCTTCCTCTGGTGCTTGCTAGCCCTAAACTCCAAAAACCACACGCCTTGCCAAGTCCCCGTGTTCAGTTTTCCGTTTGTGATGGGTACGCTCACACTGGCTCCAATGAGGGCTGATTTGATGTGTGCGGGCATATCATCCAGTCCTTCGTCGGCATGGCGGTACAAGTTCCCTTTGCGGTCTTCCGGGGCGATGCGATCGAGGGCGTCGGACATGTCGGCGCTAGTATCGAGGTCAGAATGGGAAAAGGGGAGAGAGAGAGAGGGTAAAGAGTCGGTCAAGGGAGAGGGGGTAGAAAGAAAGGCAAAACACTCACCGGACATCCTCGTCGTAATTCTCGTTCAAACTCAACGCGCAACTGGTGTGCTGCACGAACAATTGCAATATACCGACTTTGTACTCTTTGATCTCTGGCACTTTTTCGTACACGGTGTCGGTGATGAGGTAGCTGCCTCGTGACTTTGCGGGCAGTGTGAATTGCTTTTGCGTCCAGGACATTGTGGCTGTTGGCTTGGAGGTGTGTGTTGCAGTGGAAGCGGTGGGGGTAGACCAAGGTAGTAGAGAGGCAGAGAAGGAGAGGAGGGTTAGTGGTGACCACAGGATCGGACCGATGATTGAGGGAAAGAGGCAGAGGATGAAGAGGGTGAGGAGAAGGGGTAGGTGGTATGGGTTTGTCGTGTGTGTGGTGGTGTTGGTGGTGTTTGGCATTTGATGGTGAACGATGATGAGAGGGAAAGTTTTGGAGGGTCAGCACGACGTCATATTTTTTGGGGGTTCGGTCCCGCAGAGAGCTCGAGGGCTGCTGACTGTCGACTCCTCCTCTTGTCGGTTTCTTCACTTGTCAAGAACATCCATTATCACTGCATTCAGAACAAGTCAAAAGACATTTCTCAGATTGAATTTCTGTGATAGCAAAGGCAGCAATAATGCGCCGGCTGTGTTGTTACATAAGAGGAAAAAAAGAATAGCGATGCCCGCTGTGTGTATAAGCAAAAGAGAAAAAGGCAGTAAAGCAAAGCAAAAAGCAGAAAATAAGAAACCTCCATCGAAAGGAAAACCAGAAACCTTGAAACATCGCAGCTTCCTCGCAGTCATAGTCTTCAGTGGTATGTTCGTCTTTTCTCATCGTCATCCCTCCTCATCAAGCATAATCTCCATTCCACGAAAGAAAAGGCACGACCATCATGGCATGCCCAAGCAGAAAGAGCAAACAAGCAGAAGCAGTGACTCCCCATGTATCATCACTTACTCTTCTTCTTCTCCTTCTCGAGTTTTCCACGCACAAAGTACGCATTACCATACCTAGGATCAACCTTCCACTTGCCCGGCTGGAGATCCTCCTCGATTGTACGGAAACTGCGCAAAGTATTGGTGTCATCAGGCTCAATGCACCAGAACAACTGATCAGGCGAGGCATCCTTGGGAACCATCTCGTTGGGCTTGTAAACGCCTTCCTTGTGGGCGATCTTGGCATTGTCCTCGTCGACTTGCTTTCTGGTGCGGCCGACCCAGATGCGCTGGTCGGGTTTGGGTTTGGAAGAGGAGGTGTTGCTGGCGGTTTCGGCTTGGACGGGCACCGGATAGGTGGGCATTGCGTAGGCGACGGGGATGGCGCTGGTGGGCATGGCGTATGGGAATGGACTGTAAGTCACTGCCGGCATGTTTGCTGGAGGGGCGGGTGGAGTAGGCGCGGCCTTCTCAATGGTAGGTGGCTCTGAGGCAGCACGGATCGGTCTCTCGCGCACACGTTCGTGGACGTAGTGATGATGGTGAGACTCCACTTGCTTGGATTGAGTGGAAGAAGCAGCCTTGGGAGGAGCAGCCGCAACGACAGGTGCTGCAGGCGCAGGAGGAGCAGCCACAGCAGCGAATGGCTGTGATGGATACATGTAGGTGTAGCCAGGTTGAGGGTACAGCGCGTAAGCGACAGGCTAAGTTGAGCAAATGTCAGTGAACTGCACAAAACATCTCAGATGCAACCAAACTCACAACAGCGTCTTGAGGACCTGGCTCTCTCATAGCGACATAGCGGTAATTGTTGTCCTGGTCAGAAACCTCGCTGTGAGTGCGAGCCTGAGTCTGAGTTGAGCGATTCGAAACGGACGACTTCGGAGCAATGGTCTCGGTCGGAACAGGAACGCATGCACATCTCTTGCACCACTCTTCGTAGGTGAATCCGCCGACTTCCTCCATCTTGCGCGAAGGCTGCTTGATGGGAATGGCGACAAGAATTGGAGAAGGACAGATATGGAGAGACTTGACCGTAGGTGAAGGTTTGGCTTCGCAATGGCAGCGTTTGTGAACGACTTCCTTTGCTTCCACACGCGGCGGCGGCGGCGGCGATAGCGGCGCGTCTTCGCTATGACGCCGGCGATGGCGACGCCAATGTCTGTGCTCGCCGAAGTGATGATCAAGAGCCCTCGGGTGAGGGTGATGGTGTGAATGCTCGTGTCGTGAACGGTGACGGCGATGATGATGACGGGAACTCGAGCGGTGACGATGGTGCTCACTCTCACGATACCGCGCAACCCTCACTCGAGAAGCAGAGCGCGCCGGCTCCGTCACTGAACTGACACTGCTGGTCTGGCTCGCCCGTGTCCAACCCCAGTTGCTGTTCTTTTCTTTGGTCACAGTTTTCTTGACAATGAGGTGTGTTGAATCGGACTCTGGGTGGGCTGCGGGAGAGCGACCTCTATAACGTACAAAGTGGCGTCCCATGGTGAATGCTGGTATCGATACAGATGCAGGGGGAAGAAAGATGTTCGTACAGAGAAGAAGTTGATCAGACTATTGATGTTGACGGTCGCATGAAAGGAGAAAACACCTGGGACTTGATGGAGGCTTTTGCATTTCCTGGACAACCAGCATTCGCGATATCCTGGACAACGAAGCTTCCACAATCTTCCGCCTGCTAGCCTCGGGACCATGGTTACTTTGTTGCCCAGATCGAGACCTTGCCTGGGCATCCTATAGTAGGAATCTGAGTTCGAAAAGACAATCAATTCATGTGCTTCGCTGTATCTTTCAGCGGGACGTTAGGAACAGTACACTATACATACACTCCTTTGATATTTCGAAATACGATACTCTTATCATGCAACCCGGCGTGTAGATCCAATCCATTTCGATGCCGTCCAGTCTTATAATGCATACTCTTCCATCATAACGCCATGGTCCATAATCTGGCTTTCTTGCCTGCCCACATCATCCCGCTCTCCAACCAACCATATTCAGAGCACCAGACGCATGCTGTTCTCTACGCTTCTGCTCTTGCTCCTCATTCTCATCAGCCATCCTCTTGTTACCCGCAGCCCTCTTCAAAGCCGTCAGCGTATGCTCCCAAATCTTGGGTCCGGCATTTTCATCCCTGTATTTTCTGAGTATAGCCATATCGCCAGCTGGCCTGCCATCCCAGTCAAGTAAGTATGCTCCGCTGCCCTTCAATCCATCCATCCCAACTGCAATGTCCAAACCGCCGTTTAGTGGTATTCCAGCGCTTCCGTCCTTGGCTTTGTACATTGAGCTGGTGATTTGGAAAAGGTGTCTCTCGCCGGACTCTCTAAAGTTTAGTATCCAAGGTGTCATTACCGAATACAAAACTTTAACGCCCAGCCTGATGGGACCGGTGAGTTGATTGGTGATGCCCGACTTGACGGTGCCTGGGTAAGAGTGAGAGAAGGAGGTTTGAGGGTAGCGTTTGGAGAGCTCCTCCATCATAAAGTCTGTCATCATCACACAGTGGGACAGACAGGCGTGTAAGGTGTAGTTCTTTTTCAGGTCCATGTTGTCCATGTCGATGTCGGCTTCTGAGCCCGCGGCGAGGACTGTAAGCACGCGTGAGAGTTCCTTGTTTTTTCCGGCTACCGAGAGTTCGGGCATCAGGTTCATGGTGAAGCGCATCCGGGAGTAGTAGTTGACAGCCATTTTGTGGTCAAATCCTTCTGGGGTTTCTGTGTGACTGTTGTTAGCAATGTGTGAGGTTTTATCCGAAAATGGCAACTCACCCTTTCGACCGCTTAGTGACATGTAGCCGGCAGAGAGAAACAAGATGTTGATTTTCTTTTCTCGCCGTTGGAGCTCCTCGCAAACCTCGTCGACATTTTTCAGTATGCTGATATCTTTCTTGATGAAGATGGCCTGTGAGCCAGGGTTCAAGTCTTCGAGCTCTTTACAAAGACTGTCCGCCTTGTCTTGACTCCTGAACATCTCTGTTAGCATAGCACAGAACACGACAAGAGTTGCGTGGGATAAACTCACCTGCCAATTATGTACGCTCGCGGTTTCGTTGTCCTCAAGAACAGTTCCTTGACGGTGCTTTCGGCGACACCATGTGTACCTCCCACTAAATACCATCAAGCGCAAGTCAGCATTTGGCACGTGGCAAGACAAAGCTTCAGAGCAGCAAAAGAGCCACGGGGCGACGACCAAAGCGACATACCAAACACAGCTACCAGATTCTCCAAATTGCTAGTCTTGAGGTTGGATGCGCGGATGGTCTCCAACGAAACCATGCCTGCGTTTTCGGAAAAGATGAGCGATGTTGGTGTTGTGACGTTTGCGGCCGGGGGCGTCCAGCCAGCATGCTCGTCGACCGACATTCGACTGTTGAGGACACACGGTCTTGCTCGGGGGAAGAGCAATGGATAATGTCGAGTTTGCCTCGGGTGCGATGTTGCCAAGTTCCTGTTCTATGATGGATGATGATTGTGGTATAGCCGTGTGGATGGTTCGAGAAGCAGGCTGCAGATGGCTGAGGGAAAAAGCAAATATTTTGTTTTCACGATGATGCGGAATTGGCTGGAGAGAGTCTATGTGATGTGGTTTGACAAGCAAGAGAATTGTATCCTGTAGCAAAAGACAGCGAGAGCACCAAGCAGTACACTCGCGTCTACCCGTGCAACGATGCCATGATCCATCTCTCCAGGAATTCAGGGTGGACAGGCTGCGGAGCTGGGCGCGGCTCCGAGCAATGACGAAGTGGCGTGACTGATGAATCTACATCCAACGGCGCATCGACTTTCTCAAGCTCATCGATGCTCCAACAAACCACACTTTCAATCACGGCCATCGATCATACTAACAAGAGTCATCATTATCATAATGGGCTATCCTAAGGATGCATTTGGGGGTATCTCGAGGGTAGGGAAAAACGCAAGAAAACACACAATCGAGTAGACCAAGCCATCGGCGGGGTCATCTCCATCCAAGTGCTAAGTCCTGGGCCAAAACGCAGAGTTGTTGGTCGGGTGAGATGTCTCCTAGACGACAACCCGAGCATGTGAAACCATTGTACTACAAGCTGCGCCATCCACGTTCGTTCTCGGTGCACGCTCCGAGAAGGTGGAGAGCTTACTGTATCAAGGATCGCTGACCTTTGGCTTCTTCCGAATCATGGCAGCGCCCAAGACATTGACCGCCGGCGCGTTCACAACGGCCGGCGACTGAGCTTCATCATCCGCCTTCTTCCTCTTTTTGCGAACCAATATGCCAGACAGGTCATTGACTTGGCCAGATGTTGGTGTCGCCGCTTGCCCTGCGACGGCAGTCTGGTCTGCAGTCGAAACCGCTCCAGTGACTTCATTGCCCCAGTCTGCAGCGGGAGATGTGATGGCTGGGACTTCACCAAGCCACTTGCGCGTACTGGCAGTCGCAGCTTTTACATCTGAAAAGTCGAGGCGCAACAGCAAGTCGTGGACTCTGGTGTAGGATGAGTGATCGAGTACAATCTGACCGCGACCCTTCTCTGGCCACTCTTTGCTGCTTGACTTGTCTGAGCGCGACGACAAGTTTGAAGAAGATGACTTGATCTTTGGTTGACGAGGTATAATCGGCCCCGATAGTTTCTTCCTTCTCAAACTCTTTCTTGGACTCGACTTTGTGGCCTCCGAGGGCTGACCAGCGCTTTCCTGGCTCGAGAAGACCTGGTCTGCTCCAAGCAAGTCGTCTGCGCTGAACGAAGTGGCAGGTGTCAGGTTTGTGACATAATCTTCCAATGACTGGACGGTAGGCTGTGTAGGTGTGAAGACAAGCCAGACGAAACCGACCATTCGGCCAGAGGAACACTCTTGTCTGAAGGCCATGGTATCCCAAAACTGATCCAACGTCCTTATGCTCTTCCACATGCCATTGCCTTTCTTGCTGGGCGAGAAGAAAGATTGGCTTGGTTGCGAGTCCGGTATCTCGGCATCGAGTTCGTCCAGGTAGCGAGCTTTTGGGTCGTCCGGGAAGTGTGGCACGAGGCAGCGGGGCGGAGCGGAAGGATTGGGAGCAATTTCGAGGAGCGGGTGGCCGTGTCGCCATTTGCGATTGTCGGTCGGGTCGGAGCGATGAGAGGTGGGGAAGAATTGGGTGGTCTCGTAAGAATCGAAGCCTGGGACAATGACATGGGCGCGAGTGGTGTAGGCATGGTCGGAGTGAAGTCGCAGGACGGGGTCAAGAGTCTTGCACCACCATTTGACGAGTTGACGGTCATCCAGAACGTGCTTTGCGCCATGGTCGACACTTCCGGGAAAGAGGTATTGGTCCTGGGCTCTGGCGAAGAGCGAGACGACAAGCGGGATGCCAGGTCTCTGCCTGGATTCGGCAAGCCATGTTACAAAGGTCGAGGTGAGTGGACGGATAGGCGACTGGCGGGGTTGAGGGGGAGATGAGGGAAGATGGCCGGTCGAGTCGGCTTTGGAGACAAACAGCGTCGTCAGGGAGGCAGTGGTGTAGACGAGGATCTCGATAGCGAAGATGAAGACATGGCCGGGTTCAGATTGCGAAGCAGAGGAAGTGGCAGATTCGATCGAAGTGGACGGGAGGGAGAGAGTGAGAAAGTGAGACTCGCAGAAGGTGCGCTGAGGCCTCGTAGCCGGGGGAGCGGCGAACAAGGCGTCTGACTTGGTCGGCCGCGTCGAGAGATGGTGCACCTTGTATCGTGATCCAGCGCCAAGGACCTTCTCGATTCGTGAATACAACTCTGCCCTGCTGAGAGCTGCTTGGTCCTGTTCCATCTTGCTAGCAATACTTGATCCAATTGCTGTTCAAAGAAACAAATAGCAACCGGTGATAAACACTACTGCTGCCCGGGCGGCCGACATTGCCGACTTTCTACCGCTCCTGCCAAAGAAAGATTCACGATTCACTCCAACCAGCAACGACAAGAGACGGGGAGCTGCTGCAACAACCACGGACAAGAGGAGGATATTCAGGAGACACGATACATTTTAATACACACCCACACACACATCGCCAGCATGAGCGCACCCGCACTATCACCGCCCGCCCTCGTCGGCGCCGCCCTCAGGACATCCATGACCCGCCCACAACTCTCTCGCTGCGCCAGCCGCCTCACACAATCTTCACACGCCTATGCCACCACCTCTTCTGATTCTTCTCGCGACCGTACCCCCCGCTGGGCAGCAACTCCGGCACGCATGGCCATGCCCGTCCGCGCACGACCAGGCCCTCGTCAACGCCAATCTCCTCCATTTGTCGTGAACGAAGACCCTTCCCTCCTCGACACAGCATACACCTCTTTCCTCGGCAAAAACGGCGACACCATCCTGCCCGAAGAGATCAAATGGCTAGCCGTAACACACAAGTCCTTCGATCACGCGAGAAGAGGTTTCAACGACAAACTCGCCTTCCTGGGCAAGACTCTGTGCAACGTGCAGTGTTCGCTTGCGTTGATTGAGCAGCCCTCTCGTCCTGAAGACCTCTATCCCATCGAGCGCAAACGCAACCAGCACCAGCAGTTTGCGCATCCCGCCATGAGGGGCGTGCATAATGTTTCCGAGTTTTCAAAGAACAAGACGCTGGACAAGGAGAGATTGGCTTCGTTGGCGCGGAAGTACGGTCTGGATGCTGTTGTGAGATGGAAGCCTAGAAACGTGAGTATTCGCGAAGGTCTGGACTGGCTTGGGCAACCGCTGACATTTGTGCCTCTACAGATTGACAACCTCTCATCATCCGGTGTCGATGTCGTTCTCGCTCACACTCTCTACTCGATCGTCGGTGCAGTGGCCATGGAGAAGGGAGGAGATTTCGCAAACAAGATTGTGAGGGAGAGGATACTCAACCCTCTGGGCCTCAAGTGATTTGTTTTTACGAAAAAGCGGACTTCTTTTTATTTGCATATACCTGTACAAACCTTCTGTATAACAGCCAACAAACACACCTTTTAGATATATTTCACATGCCGAAATGAGCAAGCATATGTGACATGTTTTGCCTTCCTCTCAAGTGTCTACATCAAGTTTCGACCATTTATACATTTACAAGACCACAGCTTCTGTGATCAGATCAAGAGCAAATACACAACGAACGCCCTTTATATTCCTACAACTTCCCTCCCCCTAACGTCTCCTCGTCAAACCCCTCCTCTCAGCATTCTTCGCCTTCCTCACCGCAGCCTTCCTCCAAGCCAAAAACCTGTTGCCAGGCTTAAATGGCGTGACCCTGATACCCGCTCTCTCAGCAGCCCTTCCAATCTCCCAGTTTGCAGCTCTGTACTGGTAACCCGGTCTCAGCGTCGGTGTGGCCCTCACGACCTCTCCAGTGCGCTTGTCTTTGACCACCACTTTGCCTCTGTGCTCTTTGGGTGCCTCGCGGATCTCTGGCGTCACTGCCGCACCGCGTGACTCTTGCGCAGAGGATCCCGATGCCATCAGGTCGCCCTGCAATGAGCTCTCGAGTAGGGGTGTCTCCATCTGGTGGGCCAGCATGCCCAAGCGTCGTCTGCGCACCGCGTGCGGAGGCTGTGGCAGCACCTGCGCGCGCTCAAACACCACACCGATGTATTGGCGTTTGGGGTGCTTGAGGGGATCTTTGTAGTACTTGACGTAGCCCGGTTGAGTGGCGTAGATGGTGTGGTCGCGGCCCATTGCGCAGTTGTCGCCGGGGAACCATTTCGTGCCGCGTTGGCGGAAGATGATGTTGCCGGGGATCACGTATTGTTCTGTTATCCTCTGTCAGTGTCTGTTTTCTTCTTGCGGGGTTTTGTGTAGGGCGGAGGGTTTGCGTGTGCTGGGCTTGTAGAGATGGAAAGGGAAAAAGGATGTCGATGTGTGTTGTATAGATCTCACGAATAGCGACGATCGTCAGACTCAAAAACACATACCTCCACTCTTCTTAGCACCCAATCTCTTTCCCGCGCCGTCCTTTGCAGAGTTGGCGGCTCCCTGGGCCTTGTGCGAGGCATGGCGCACAGCAATGCTGGTCGTCTTGACCGCTGGTGTCGACAGGCGCAGAGCCGACAAAGCAGTCTCGATGGTGGCAATGGCTGGTGATGAAGAGCCCGTGGGCAGTGCGTGTATCCTTGGGAGCAACATGATTTGAGAGCGAGCTGTGTGTGGTTTGCGCTGTCTCTTTTGCTGTTTCGACTCTCGATGTTCGCTCTCTGCTTGCTCGACTTTCGACTTTCTGCCGCCTCCGCAATTCGCGTTGGGGACACATTCTCATGTTGGCAACGGTTCTACCATATCATCCACTCACGTATTTGCTTTCTCTCTTTGCAATCGACATGGCACAATGACCCTTGGAGAACATCAGGAAACGCTTCCGTTGGCAAACTTATGTATATCGGGAACTCTGTCTACTGGTCATGATACCTCCCACCACTCAACTGACGCCTGATGTCGAGCGCGGCCATCTGCTCGTTCAACTCTTCTTCAGCCATATGTGCTCTCAACGGACTCGTGGCCACCATCTCAGGTCTTGTTATCGCCCCCTCCATATCGAGTATAGTCTGTTCGCTCCAACTCCTGGTCCTTTCCCTCTTCACATCTGGCTTCACGTAGCTCTGCCGCGTACCAACCAGCGTCAACTCATCAGACCCCTCAAGCTCTTCCGTAATTCTTGCCAGTCTGTCTGTACTAGACATGGATCTTGCAGTTGTGACTGACTCTCTCTGCTGTCCTGTCTGTCCTTTTTCGGCATCGGGCTCGGATGCTTCGGTCGTGGGAACTGTGTTGAGTGTAAGACTCCATCGAGGCGCTTGTCGTTCTTTGGTCGCTTGAGGGAAGAAGTACACGATCAGCGGCTTCAAGGCGAGCATAGACGCGCAAATTATGCCCACGTTGGCTTCGACCATTGACCACGTCACCGCTTCTGCTGATGACGCCGTAAAATCGTGTCGAGCGTACGCGTTGTGCACCAATACAAGTCTAACAACCGATACTGCGCATGTACTGTACTCGTGTCAGTCCTTTGACCACCAAGCGAGGAGAATGTAGCTCTTACAAGAAACCCAACAGGAAGACGCCCACCAAAGCAATCTTCTGCCGCTTCGGCAACTTCAAGCGCGAGATGACTGGCATAGGCAACGCCAACACAGCAAAATCCAGCACGATGTTCACAGCCGACACACTCAACCAATACGTCCTCGTACTGATGCACTTTCCAGGCACCATCGGTCTCCATATCTTCCTGACCGGATTACAGAAGAAGATGGAGGCAAACACGCCCCACATTACAGACGGCACGAGAGCCGCAAACAGAAGCCATGTGAGTCGTCGCATTGTACGGGTGGGGAAAATGCGAAGGTATTGGGTCAAGATCGAAGCTTTGGTGACATGGATGAGGACGACGTAGAGGACATTCCAGCTGAGGAAGAGTTTGGCTGTCGTCGAGTGTAGATCGAGAGGGTTGACCCAGGCGTAGCTGCCAAATCCTGTCACGACCATGGCCACGGTAAGGCCAAGGACGACCCAGGAAAGGAACTGCAGGTTGGTAAGATTGGTGTTCTCATGATGTGCAAGTGGATGTGGGAGAGGCGGCGAGATGTAGTGGAGGGCAGTGGTATGGTCAGAAGAGCGAAGTTCCGACCATGTCGATCCTTTGACAAAATGACAAGGCAGGTACGTTCAGGCTTCAAGCTCAGACAGCAAGAAGCGAAGAAGATACTTACAAGCGACACCAAGATGACAAAATCATCAAAGCCTACAGCCTTGACAAATTTGCATCGTACTATCAGTCTTAATATCACCACAGCAGTCGCCAATGTGGTTGTGATGATGGTCGGTGTGAGGGCATCCCAACGGAGGTTCGGCTTCTCGTGGTGTGCTTTCGTCGTCATACTGGATTAGAGGTCGAAGGTAACCATAGATATAGCTGTAATATGTGGTAGGAGGAATGCGATGACAATGAGATAATAGGTAATGGTATGGTTTTAGGATTGAAAACTGTCAATCGTAGATAGGTACACATTCAATATGGAAGGAGCCTCGAAAGAGCTCTTTCCCTCCTTGACCTCCGCCACGATCAACATCACACAATGACCGACGTTCTTCCAACAACAGTTCAACCATTTTCCCTCTTTGGCGTTGTAGTGTCATCATCTGTGAAACGTTTGTGTATCCCTCCCTACAGAAGTGTATGGTCCACCAAGCCATGTGACTATATCCCCTTCAAGTCAAGGCATGTCGACCATCGACCAAAGTCAGAGCTTGGCCAACGAATCAAGTTCGATGGAACAGAACTTTGACAACGGATATACGGGGTACAAGCTTTGCACAGCATCGGGCGGGGACTAGGTGGGTGGATGGCGTGAGGTCGCTGGAAATGAGTTGCTCTACACCCAAGTATCTCCTTCTCCATGGAAAGAAACAGCTCAACGAGCTGAGCAGCTTGAGGTGAGCCACCGTCCTCGGGCTGGTTCTGTGAAATCGGACCCTATGTGTGCACACCATACTCTTGCTTGGGGAGAGGCGCGTATGTAGCAACTGATGGGTATATAGTGACTGCCGATGTCAGGCAATCGACGGTAGATCGCTCAGTGTATGAGGCGTGGGCTGTCGTAGCCTTGTACGTGCAGAGAACCTTGGGTGATTTCTCTATGAGTATGCCTCATCCATGGAATGCTGGAGAAGTAGTCCAGAATTGAGTTTGCTTCGTAGTTGAAAGGCAAGCCAATCGATCAGTTGCGGGAGAAGAGGGCCATCTTTGCTTGAAGATATGCCTGGACAGCGGCATCGTTTGCTTGCTGCGATCTGGCAGAGCTGACAGTGTGAGTCGGAAGAGACTGTGTCCAGGCTTGGATGGCTGATGGATTGTATCCGCCCTGAGGATGGGCTGGCATTGCATGAGTAGTTGGTGGAGAAGAGCTCATATTTTGTCGAGAAATGCTGTTTGAAGACTTGGTGATTGACGACATGTTGAGAAATAGAGATATATGAAGCAACAGAAGGATCTACACAGGGGGACCGGCTATATGATATATAGTTTGAGGACCGGGTGAAATGAGGATAGGATAAGATAACAGAACAAACTTCTGACAATTTGGAGATGAAAGGAGAGTATGCCTTGATACTGACAGGTCTCATGGCCGGGCAGCCTCGTGTATTTGTGTATGCTCCATCGACTTGACTGACGTAGGTTTCGGAAGCCAAACGGTCTGATTGTTGGACAACCTCAATGTGCAGTGCACGTCCCGACGGACATGCCTAAACCTGCCACTCCATGGGGTGTAGCAAGAGTAACCGCGCTCGTATTGCAAATATCATCCTTCATGCAACCATCGATTCACGATGAGAGCCTGGGTGGTTGGTGGTCAGGTTGTATGAGTCGAGGGAAGCAAGAAACGGCCGTTGTGCTCGCGTGTTTCGAAGGTAAGCTTCTTGGGGCCGCCGTTCGGCAACGCCTGACCAGGCCAAGAAGGACCCATCTGACAAATATTGTGCATGAACAAGCAAATGGAAGTGTAAGCGTCTCGTGTTATCTCTGACATGAAATCTCTCTTCCATGCTGCAACCGAGCTGCCCTTGCTAGAAGCGAGGTGAGATAGCGTCCTGAACGACTTGATGCAATCTAGCTGGTTTCAGGCTTGTTCGCACGATCTGGACTAGAAGTCGAAGCACTTGAGATCAGGGTCTCAACTCCACGCGATGATGGCCGTACTCCTCGCATGGGAGATTGATATCGTCTCGCGTGGAACTGCAACATAACTCGTTTGTTGTGATGTCTGCCTGGCACATGCGATTAGTTTGACAAATACACTGCTGAAAAGCACAACATTGTTTTTGGTGAGAAGGATCAATCATGCAGATCCCTCATGATCGCGATTTCATCCGCTTTCAACCTGACTCTGACTTTTCTGGTAAAGCCGTTTGCAAGCAGCTATTCATGGGAATGCCGAAGGAACAATAAGAAGAGTCGCAAGCCCTGGAGTGGAGCGTCTGCTGGAAAGAGTTCAATCTTGGAGTCGTAGATTCCAAATCCCTGAACGCGCCATCTTGGCAGCTCAAGTCTAAACTTGCCGGGTTTTCAGAAGGCGTCTCCGGCCTTTCCATGTGTCCTTTCGGCTTTGTGTTATGGCGCACGTTCTTTCCTTTGGAATTGGGTCCAGATTCCACAAGATATGCTTATCCCGCGTGGGTCGACGGAATACAAATTTGCTGGAATTGCCATGTTGTGGTCCTCATCCGAAGGTTGCACAACTCTCATTGATGTTGAGAGAAGCTTTCGACTCCTGTGGATTGCAAGAGGAAACAGCCAATCAGCAGGCGCCCTGCGGAGCTTCCAAATACTGTTCTTATAGGGCTGCAAGCCAATACTAGATACGAGGCCGTTGTTACAGTCAATGACCGACATATCCCACTACACTTCTCGGCGCATGAGTTAGACGTGTCAATGACATGTGGAATATATTGTTCACCCTGCATGCTGACGACAACCAAATACCTCATCCCGCAATTGCTCTTTGTTGTTCGTCTCCGCCTGCTCTTGCCGCGAGATGATCAGTTCTCAAGCCCAAAGCCTTCTTCGGTTCAGAGCCGAACAACGGCAAGCAGCCATGTCGTACGTCGTACACCGTGTAGCTTACATAGGAAAGAATGACATGCATGATTGTTTGTCAGGCTGGCTGATTTTCTCACCGCAAAGGTGGATCTCTAGCAAGCCACAATCGAGCCGACTTGAGATGCGCTAAGACATTGCGACGCTTTTGAGAAGATGAATCCACGAGCTCCTTGCTGATAGTGGGTTGGTTGAGGAGCCGACTGCTGTACAAAAGTGTATGTTTGAGAATGAGCCCTAGTGGTCAGTCGGGCGCTCTCGGGGATCTCGGTGAGATAGTGTCGCGAAATGCTACCTGTTGGAGGGAAAACGCCCTTCCAAAGAAGAACTACGTATCTTGGCAACGATGACTGTGAAATCGAGAAGAGAATCGATTATACTTCAGCCTCCAATGTAGGATCGTACTAGCTAAGGGCTGCAAGCAATTGTCCAAACGCTGTGCATCTAATTCCCAAAGCCGTGGGTAGGATCCAATGACCAAGAAAGAAACTAAACCAAGAGACCAAAAAGCAACGAAGCAGCATACCAAAACCATGCTGCTGATGACAATTAACCAGTCCTCCAATCCTTGCGGTCAAAGCATAACGGTGAGAATAACAGCTGATCCTTCCACCCCAGAGCCTCCTGCATGCCAAAACCAATAGTAGCCAAGATAAGCGTTGTATCCACTCTCCTTCAGGAGTCGAAGATGGCACCAAACACCGGAATGCCACGCGATTCAAGGCCGCCAACAACCAGTCTGGTGACATTGGCGTTGGAAATGATGACAATTGCTTCTGATTGAGACTCAACGTATCTGGCGTAGGCCAATCTGAGGATATCACCCCTGCCTGCTCTGGAGGTATCGACGATGCATGCACCGGGGTCAGCTGTGTAGACCGAATTGATGATAGTGTCGCCGAAGGATCTTCTAGGGTTGGAGCCCATCCAGAGCACATGCATCGGATGTTCGGAGCAACTCTCCAGGAGTGAGAGACATGGGCCGATGCCGGTGCCAGTTGCAACAACGAGGACCTTCTTGAACATGAGAGCAACGCGCATGACGCCGTAGATGGGCGCGCCCTTGACCCAGATGCGAGTAGGAGGGTTGTCGATGAAGTTGGATGTCCAGTCTCCAGCTCTTGACATGAGCACTCTGAAGCCCTGTTCGTCGTCAACTCCAGAGATTGTAGCAAAAGAATGAGTTTCCTTGAACGGAGAATCAGTGATGCGAATGCCCTGACAAACATCCATGCGCTTGTAATTAAAGTGTAGAAGAGCAGCTTGTGGTGAGAGAACTTGGACAAGGACATCACGCTCTCTGAGGCGGCTCCAGGGATACATGACGGCCAGCGTGATGATACTCAAGCACCTATGAAGTGAATTTGATTAGTACGACCTCTGATGACAGGCTCTCAATGGAGTCATTGTCCAAGATCTGCATCCATCGCAATGCAAAGTGTTATAAAGAACAGACTAGATGTCCATAGAAAGCCATGTCGAGATGGACTCTCAATGGGAACGAGCAGTAATCTAAATAACACATTGCATTGCGACAGCTATGAAGAATGGTGGACTCTGACGGTGGAGAGGGGTGAATTTTGCTCATACCAGAATAAGGGACTTCCAACCAGGAGAAGACTGACGGACTCGCGATAGGGGCGACCCGAGGTAGCAAAGGAGGCACCGAGCTGTGCCCACAGGAGGCCGACGCATGTCCAACCAACATAGCGATGAATAGCCTCAAAGGCATTGTGATGGGCGACACGAAAGGCAGGAAACGCAGAAAGGCTGACGGCAAGGAGAAGTATGCTGATTAACACAGCGAGGGCGAAGGCAGACGACTTTCCCGGGTCAGTGAGTTCCACGCCCAGGAGAACAGCAAAGGCCAGGTACCAGAGCATGCCAGCTGTGGCACATCCAGAGTGAAAGCCACCGTACGAGTAGACCTTGGCCCCTATTCTGCGAGCCGCGAGAGATGCTGACGGCTTGAGCATGCATACGCCACGGTACATGGCATTGACAACATGCTCGTTGCGGACGAGCACGGCGATGCAGAGGTTAATAGCAGCGCCCGTGGCGGCGTCGGAGCTGGTGATGCTAGCAAAAGGGGTAGTCAGGGCGAGGGCGATGAGGTTGGCAATGATGACGAAGGCGTAGATGAGTCTGTAGAGGGAGAAGAAGTCCCAGAAACGTCTAGTGGTTTCGGTGCCGAGTTGGGGAGGGAGCTCCTGGGCGCAAGCAAGCCACTCAAGCTCACCCTTGTCGGTGATGATGGGAGCCTCGGCCTTCTCGCAGGGCTGCTCTTCCTCTTCACAGATGGAAGAAGGGACGAAAGGAGACTTTAGGAGAGAGAGTAGCCACTGCTTCTCTCCCAGGCCGAGGTTGGAGAAGTAGTTGGGCTGAAGGCGTAGGGCGCGAGCAACGCGTTTCTCCTCAATAGAGGGACCAATGGAGCCATACTTAATTCCAGGCTCAGAGTTGGCACGGGGACGGATGATGTCCACCTTGATGGCCACAGAGGCGGCCGGTGGTCCCGAGAAGCGGCGGGCGGACATCTTGAGGTCATATTATTAGGTGGATGTCGGTGGATATGTCCTAGCCAAAACCATTGACTTACGATTCAAACAGAATACGAGGTAGAGTAGAACTCTATAGATGCCTTCCAGCGGCAGAGCTGTTCCTTTAGGATATGCGTTCCCGACCAATGGAAGGTGAAAAAGAAGAGGACGAACCAAGTGCAGGTGAATACAGCAACGCAACAGACAGAAAGCCAACCAAGCAGAAGAACTGGCGAACAATGAGTGGAATTCTAGGTCCGCATAGGTCGTATGTCGCCGGTTTGAGGGTGGGCTGGCAGGGCGAAATGTGAACTTTTCAGAGTGTTTTTCCGCTTTCACCACCACTGTGAATCGGATAGCCACGCGTCTCACTTCCGCAGAGCGCGGCTGCTAAGATAAGTTCCGATAAGATATTCCGAGGGAAGGCGCGACTTGTCTTGGTTGATCTGTGTTGCCATGCATTTGCCAATTCGGGAAATTCAGACTTTGCTCGTTTCCTGCTTGCAACTGTGGTAAGTTCTCTCGCCTTGACTTACAGACCGCAATCTCGTTGTCAATATGTTCTGGAGGCCGCCGGAGTATATGCTTTCATCGTTTGATGCTGCATTCAACTGCAGTCAATCTGCAGCAAACACTGGAGCAGCTTGCATGCATGGCCGATTGATCTGTCCCTACCATCGCTTTTCGCAGGATGTCCACGCTGATCGCGGCTTTGATTGACGTACTATTTCGATTCCTCTATGAAGTTTTCCAAATGTGTCGACAGTTGCTGTGTCTCGAACGTCCTACAATTGTACTTCCCTAGGGAGGCAAGGCTCGTGGTCGGAGAGTCGACAGATGTATATCATGGCATAGCTGATTTAGTAGTGCATATCACGCAGATAGTCAGTCAACTGGCTGAAGATGTTGAATCGTCGAGATCGTCAACGCGATGTCAAGCATAGGAATTTATGAGATGGTCGAAGGTCAACAACCATTGAAAGCTTCATGTTCAAGGTATCTATGATAGGGTTAAACGTCGGCATACATGAGCGACGCGTCTGTGGTGAAACTTCGCGACATTGATATCCTCCATCCTGTACCTGCTTCATGCTAAAAACACTACCAACTGAAACATCAATTCAAAAACCTAGGTATATGTTTCCTGACTGTCTGCGCTTTCAACAATGTGCTGCTCTCATACTACTTATGCTCCACTCGGGCGCCTATCAAAATGCAAAAAGCATTGTTGAGATCTTTACACCTCCGCTGAGAGCCCAAGATCTTGTCAACAATGTCTCTCTCTCATTGGTCGTGTCTCGGAGTCCGAATAGCTCTCTGCATTGAGATGCTATGGCCAGAACGGAAGATGATGTCGAGAGACGTCCAAAATTTACAATGTTGTTGATTGCGTTTGAGTCGTTTGCTCACCCGTACCAGGGCTCGGCATGGGATGCTGCATTTCAAATCCATTTCTGTCGGTTTCCTCTCAAGAAAAACATCGCCATCGAGTACCAAATGTAAGTCATTTCTTTGTTTCGATCTTTTCCCACGCCGCATCCTCTATCAGGTCAACTACACTGGCAGCCCCTATACCATCTTCCTCCTCCCTTGCTGGCATGCGACTATACCACGACATGGTGCGCGTTGACCATCCGATGCGCATCATCTACGCGCAGGACGTGTTCCCTCAACCGACCCCTTCGGCTCTCCCTGTCTGCTCCTACCTAGTCCTCTCATCGCCTCGCCATTAATTGAACCTCCTACGCTCTCTCACACCTGCCTGGCTTGCCCCTTTTGCTCCATCTACTCAGATCACTCCCTGTTCCTCGCTTATTCATACCGACGCACGAGCATGACTAATCCAAGCCTCGACAGTGAGAAAGATGGCACTAGGCTCGCAAGCTATTCGTCCTTGTTACAAGGACCTGCCTCACTTCGTCCTGGACACTGGGACATACGATGAGAACAAAGCAGTTCTCATCGATGCCGCCGCCCCTGAGAGGGCCATCACCAAGGCACAGGCCAAGGTGATGGTGGAAAGGGCGGCGCAAGGTCTGCAAGCAGTGGGCCTTAGGCGTGGTGACACGGTTTGTGTCGTTCATTTGAATGACGTAGGTCAACAAGGAAACGCCAACTGACGAACAGAGCTAACGAGCGCGTATTAGATCATGTACCCGGTGGTTTTTCTGGCCATCATCATGGCAGGGGGTGTGTTTTCGGGGGCTAACCCCATGTACAAGGCAGGCGAGCTCCGCCACCACTTTGAGGTCTCGGAGACCAAGTTCGTCTTCTCAGATCCCGCCTCCCTCGCTGCCGTCTCCGAGGCCTCGGAAGGTCTTCTCGATGGCGACAACATCATCTTCTGGGGCGACGGAGAGGCCGGTTCTTCGTTCGGTGCCCGGTACTCGCTCGCCGACCTCCTGGCAGGCATTGCTGGTGCACCGGTCGTCGACCCGGTCCGCTTCGACGATGAGACCCGAGCCAGAGATACCGTCGCCGTTCTCATGTCGACAAGTGGCACCACTGGCTTGCCCAAGATGGCCGCCCGCTCACACCTGAGTCTCGTCACCGAAAACATCGCCTTGCAAGACGGTGTCGCAAAGAACTACGAAGTCGCCCGTTTGCTCTTCACCCCTTTCTTCCATGGATTCACCGCCCCGCTGGCTTTACTCGACGCTCTCGTTCATGGCCGCACCACCTATGTCATGCCTCGGTTCAATGTCGAGAGCTGTCTTGAGTACGTCGAGCGTTACAACATCACCGAGATGGCAGCACCCCCTCCCGTTCTCCTGGCTTTCAGACGCGTACCCGAGGCCGAACGCACTGCGCTTCGCTCAGTCCGACTTATCTGGAGTGGAGGCGCGCCCATGTCGGCCAGCATGCAGAATGAAGCCGTTCGCATGTTCTATCCCTACGCACGTATCGTCCAAGTCTACGGTATGACAGAAGCAGGTTGGATCACGACTTTCAAGTTCCCAGAGCTCGACGAGAGCGGTTCCGTAGGTCGCTTGTTGCCTTCTTACGAAGCCATGTAAGACTTTCGGATTTCCACTCCTTGGACCCCCCATCATCGCCTTTTCCACTAACAATTCGCATCAAGCATCGCCGACGCCGAAGGCCGCGAAATCACCACAACCCAACAACCGGGCATGCTCTTCATCCACAGCCCCATAAACATGCTCGCGTACCACAACAACCCCTCCGAGACCTTCAACGCACTACGCAACAACTGGCTCCGCACAGGCGACATAGCCCACTTCTCCTACCCGGACCACAAACTCTACATCACCGACCGCAAAAAGGACATTATCAAATACCGCGGCTGGCAAATCTTCCCCACGGAAATCGAAGCTTGTTTGCTTTCTCATTCGCTCGTTGCCGATGCAGGTGTATTCAGTTGGTACATTTCTGACGTGGACAATGAAGTCCCCGTCGCGCATGTGGTGCTGGAAACCGGTGTGCCGCTGTATGCTCAGCAATTCGGCATCATGGGTGAACTCATCAACCACTGCAAGGACAAACTCGCCAAATACAAGACTGTGGCGCTGGAAATGAGGTTCAAGGAGTCCATTCCCAAGAACCCTGCTGGCAAGATCTTGAGGGATGGGATGAGGCTTGAGGAGTTGATTTGGAGAGATGTCAGAAGGTGGATGCTCAGCTGCAGGGATTGGAATGCTGGCCCTCCGCCTGTGGAGGAAGAGATCGTCTGGGAGGAAGATGAGGAGGGTGTGTGGGATGATGAGGACGTTGACGAGGGCCCGTACGTCAACGAAGAGAGTGAAAAGGAAAAGGCTGAGAACGAGATTCTGGCGAGGAACCTCGATATACTCGGTCTATGAGGATGACCTCTCGGATGAACTTTCTCTTTGCTGGTCTTCTGTTTTACTGCTAGATACCCCTTTACTACACTAATGGTCAAGAACATGGTTAACGAAGATTGATTCATTTTCTCAAGTGACTGCAGCAAGGGTATAAGAATATCAAACGTATGAGCAAGGCAAGGTGGTAATCATCGGAAAAGCAGCAGCAAAGACTTCTTCTTTCAGCGCCAGAACCATCCTGGACCGTTCTTCTTGTCAAGCGACTCATGTCCGCCATCTCTGCCTTCTGACTTGTTCTCGCTGTCAGGATGTCCGGTCGATTCCTCCTCTCTGTTCTCTTCAGTGCCGTCGGAGAAGCGTTTGTTCAGAACGCGCTTTGTGTACACTGATCCATCGGGCATAGTGCGTGTCTCAGTGGTGGTCATGACGGAGATGACACTAGGCTTCTGCGTCTCCTCGTTGGAGGTCATAGCTGTCGATGAGGAGCTGACAGGCATAGACACTGGTTTCGAAGCTTCTGCTTCTTCCTTTCCATAACCGTTCTTCCACAAGTTCTCGTACATGTCCAACTCGGTGTCGGGCTTCATGTTGCTTCTCACGACCAAGTCTTCTGCATCAGGCGAAGCCACTATTCTCGCCAGCTGCGTAAAGTCCTCGTGCACGGCACGGCCATAGGGTGTCCAGAAGTTGCTAACTCCAGACACGATTTTGCCAAAGACGCGATCGAGTTTCTTGGTTTCGAGAGGGGTGATGTTGTACAGGCTAGGCAGTTGAGGTGGCAAGATTCCTCTACACTGCAAACCGAGCATCCAATCGATTCCTGGTTGAGCCCAATGATTGTACAAGGTTTGATTGTCAGGATCAGAGGCGGCAATCGAGTCTTCGGCTTTCCAGGCGTCATGGGCAACTTGGGGTTTGTCAAGGTGGGCACAGAGCAGGTCCTCGAAAGCGGCACGCCACTTGCCGCCGTGTTGATGAGCCTCGGAGTGTTGCTCGAGTTGAATGGGCGAGTACGGGCTGTGTCTGAACCAGTCGACACTCAGCCAGGTTGTGTTACTGGTTGTGGTACGGATGGGGAATTTGCTGTGAACAGGCATCATGCCTTGGCCATGATCCTGGTACAGACTGAGGATCTTTCTTGGGTCAACTCCAAAACTGGCATTGCGTGATTGAAGAAGCAGGACACGTGCAGCTTGACGGGCCTCTTCGCTGATGGGACCGCCAAGGTAAGATCTTCTTTCGGGAGCACCTAGAAGAGAAGCGAAGAGGGGTGGGAAGTCTTCTTCTAAACGTTTACGCACTTCTCGCATCTCGTCTGACCATCGCTGCTCTTCGGCGCCGAGAGAGGCAGAAATGAAGCCTGGCAGAGAGTTGATTCCTTCGACCAGAGCGTTGATTTGTTCGTCAGCGAAGCGGCGGAAGTCAGCGAAAGGATCATCGTCACGGCGAGTTTTGTCCGATTCTGATGAGGACCACCATGGAGCCATGGCTTGAGATGGAGTGCTTTGCTTCGAGAGTGCAGGATGAAGGAAGCTGAGAAAAGTAGGTTTGTTTGTTCTGTATAAGCCTAGGTTACATGTCACGGATGAGAGAGTGGCGACAAGACCAGCTTGACGAGATATTCTGGAAACAAAAAGGGAAAGAAGCACGAGTAGCTCCTGCCTGCTCCAAGTTTTTGAGTTTGGCGCGAGCGGGGTAGCGTCGGAGTGGTATAGAGACATTACACAATGTGCAACCCATTATCGAGCACCCGAACCCTTTTTGCAGTAGCAAACATGAGGCTCATCCGTTGAGACTTGCAAATGCATCACATTACAGGCCGTCTGGTAGCCATGCCGCGCCACCCACCTCGATTAGATCGTTGTCATACGCAAGGCTGAACCCACGAGACGAGAATGAACGAGTCGCGTGTGTATTGTCCATACCGCTGATCACATGGAAGTAGATCTCAAGAAAAGAAAATGGACAAAAATAAGGCTGTTGTGTGTGATTCAGGATGCTACGACTACTAATCTAAAGGAGCGAATGTGCTACCAGGCAACGTTAATAAGAATACCAAATGTGTCCAGCAAGAAGAAAGGGAAGGGCGAGAAAAGAATTCGAAAGTCCAAAACATGAAAGCAAGATTACGCCCGTACAAGTCCCATCTCTTTCCATGCCATGTGCCGTGTCCGAAAAGAAGAAAAATCTGCGCCAGAATGACATCGTAATCATACCCGCTTTCGTAAGAGATGCTCAAAATTCAGAAACTCGAAAGGAACGCCATGCCGCTTGATCCCACATCGTTATGCTTGACTTTCCACCACCTGAAGCGAGGATTGTCATCACTCGTCCTCGTCGTCATCGGCGCTTCTCTTGCGCTTTCCACCAGTAGACAAGGCAGGGCTGGCGGACTCGTCTTCGAAGATGAAGATATCATCCTTGAGATCTGCAATGCATGTCTTCTTGGGTGGGGAGATGACTATGGGTGGGTTGCACTCGAGTTTCTGCTTCTCGATGGGTGACTCGAGAGTGCATGTCTCTGGTAGTTCGTTGATGACAACGATCGAGTCCTTCGTCAAGCCTTCAGGAATGAATTCGGTGGTGTCGAGTGAGCCGAGAGGCGCACGTGCGGCCTCATCAGTTTCCATGTCCGCTGCTGACTTGAGCGAACGGCGAGATGAACGAGGAGAGGACGATGAAGAAGCGACAGGATCGTAGTCTGCAGGGGCGACATTCTCTTTGCCTCGGTCCTCGTTGGCCTTTGCGGCAGATTCATCATCCGAAGAAAGGTCCAAAGTCAGGGTGGAGTGCTCCATAAGGTTCTCGGCTTCCTCGTCGGCAGTGTCTTCGTGGATGGCAAAGAACCATGAGCTGGGCATGGACTCTTCGATAGAAGACGCAGGCTTCGGCAGAGGTACAGCAGCAGGGGCAGTGGACTTCAATGAGGCGGTAAGGGCAGCATCAATGCTAAACGGCAGTCCGGTACGGGCAGATGATCGAGAAAGCAAGGAAGAGTCAATGCGAGTGATGGGAGTGTGAGCGCTGAGTCTGCGACCCTTGTCGCGTTTTGATTTGGGAGATCTTCCAGCAGGGGCAGTGGACGGTGTTCTTGCAGAAGGCTTGGTCACACCAGCGTACTTCATTGGAGTGGACAGACGGGAGGGCACGGTGGCTGGAGGAGGCATTGAAGTTGTAGGTGTCGTCTTGGTAGGGTTGAATGTGAAGTTGAACGAGGATGGCAAGGTGCTGAGGCCTTTGGGCTTGAGTGATGTCGAGGGCAAGTCCAACTTGGTGCGCTTCATGGGCGACAGGAACATGTTTGGGTTTACATTTTCGGCATCGTCGTTCTGTCCATCAAAGTCGTCGAAGGAGGGAGTGACGCGACGTTTCGCAGAAGGCTTTAGACTGGGTGATGAGGTCGGAACAAGCATCTTTGCCTTGCCAGACAATGGACTGGGAGTTTTGATCATGCCTTCATTCACGCTAATGTCAGCCATGCATATATCAAACACACCATCAAGTGTGATGTTGAAGCCTGAACTCACCATTCTGACGATTCTTGATACCGGATAGATGGGCCAGACGGGGACTGTCGAGCACGCCAAAGGGCTGTCTAGGCATCGATACAGTTGCCATGATCGCTTGCGATGGCTATCACGCCGATCAGGTAGTCGAGTCTGTGTGTTCACGGTTTGTTTACTTGGCGGTCACGGTTTTCGTGTCAACGACGATGATAATAATGATACTGAAAAGTGGCGAGGTTGTCTGCCAACACGAGGAAAGAGTGTAAGCGCCTTGGGTGAGAGAGCGAATGGAGAGGATAGTGGCAGCAGTAGACAAGGGGGACCTGGATGTCCTGTACTCGTCTCAGGTCGCGTTCGCTCCCTCGTCGCGCGTCGTTCGTGTTGGTCTACTCCTCCCGGAATTGGCTCTCCCCTCTTTTTCGGCACCTTGTCCACGCCTGTGATTGGCTCGCACTGCTCCGTGCATAAATTGCGGTAAGCTTGGTGCATAGCGCGTCTGTGTCTGTGCCACCCAACGTTTCCCCAGTAGCCTTTGTCCTACCAACACCAACCTCCAACTGGTAAGGTCGGAGATTGAGACAGGTTATTTGACCAAAAGATGACGCTGTCACGCCGCAATGCACCTTGACTTTCCGCTCCAGCGATGGCGAGAATGCTCTTGCTCTGCTCCATCAAAGCCTGAGAATGCCTCTCCTGCCACTTGCTACACTGGTATACTTCTATGAATCAAAGGCGCCCGATAATTCAACGGTTCGCGGCTCTCATGACTTGATTCTTCCCGCCACGATCAAGATCTTGTTCGATTGAGATTCTAGTGTCGATCTGCCTTGAATAGGCCTGGTCTTTCTTGAGCTGGAAGCTGAAACAGATCAATATATCGCTGTTGGCGCGTACGAATTGCCCTACTGACTACAAACGGATGCCCGCGAGTTTTGAGTGGTTCCCACAACAACCACTCTAGTACACTTCGGTCGTCTCAGCTCCAGGTACAGATCTGAGTCCGACCGGCAACTCAGCAAGATGATATACGGGGCCCGAACACATAGGTAGCACCATCGACATGTTCAAGTGCGAATATATGGACGCGGCCACCGTTTCGAGACAAGTCGCGACGAACTCGGAGAGGCAACTTGCACCTTGGTCCCGAAAAAGCACTATAAATATCTGGATCATATCGTCGCAGCTTTGTCACATCGGTTCCAACCTCAACCTTCTCCAAGGATGGTTGGAGAGAGACCAGAGCTCACGAAGGATTCTGACGATGTGCTGCTCGGTCCTTATTGTCCAGGCTGGCTGCATATGCCCGGGTACGGGCACCCGACGAACGGACTCGGGTTCCGCAGCCGCAATTTGCAGACAGATCTATTGAGCGTCATGGATGGATTGAAGCTCCGGAATAGAGGCACGAGGCTCGTCAACGTACAGTGTGCCCGACGGAGCATCAGTTTGTTCGCTCTTCCGATGGGAGCTCGAGGCTTGTAGCCAGACTTGGGTTACAAGACCACAACCTGCAGACGATTCCCCGAGTGGACGTCTAACACTAAGACTACGGAACAGAAGCACGAGGCCGTCAATACGTAGCATAGAAGACGGAACTTGGACTTGTTCGCTCTTGTGACGGCACTCAAGGTTTGTAGCTATACTCGGGCTACAATACCAGAGTGCCTAAACAGCTCCGTTCGATGGTTTTGTACCCGGTTTTCGAATTAGCGGACCAAAGCACGAGGTTTGTTGTTGCACGACACGAGTGATGCAGCATAAACTTCTTGGCTCCCCTACAAGCACCTAAGGTTTGCAATCAGGTTCGGGCTATAGCACTACAGCCTGCAAACGGCTCGCGATTGAGTTGATAACTGATGTTGAGGCCACGGTACCAAAGCACCAGAATCATTATCGCACAGTACAACGACGGAACATGTGTTTGTTTGCTCTTGTGACAGGCACCGAGACTCGTGGATAGATTCGGGCTACGATCAGAGAACTCCTCCGGGTGAAATAATATCTAGCGCTCAAAGTTCAGAGCCAAAGCACGAGAGTAGACAATGATTAACGCAGGGAGAGAAACCACATTGAGTGCTTTAGTCGTCAGTTGTTTTCAAGTCTCGGACATCAAGCACGAGGACAAATGATGAAGAGGGCAGCGGCTGGTGGATCAGTATTGTTTGTTCTTGTAAACGGTAGACCCCGTCTCCTCCTTCGGTAGCATGATATGTTTGATCCGGTCTGAGGTAAAAATTGATGCTACTCTCACGATCACACGTAGGCGGAATGGAAGCTATCAGAATGCATGGTGGTTTCCAGATGATGGGTAAGTCCAAAGAGAGCCCATGCATTGACGACTCTCAGTGGATGCTACCTCTTCATCGAAAGCGCTGTGCATTTTTATAGGTCCCTTAATGACATGCTTCAGCGATGAAGATTTACCCACACTTTCGACAGACAGCACATATTACGTACGACGGAAGTGGTATAGCTTCAATTTTTAGATTATGACAGCAAGCCCAATATAAAAGCCCTTGCAGGAGGGTATATAACCGTACATCCTCATCTTATACAGACGAAGGGTATCATTAAGAAAAGCAGAAAAGAAGAACAAGCAAAATGTGTAACAACACCAAAAACAAAACAAAAAAATGTACAAAGATATACACAATTTGCTTTCGTCGTTCTGGGCCTCAGATGACCGCGGGAAACATTATGATCATCTTAGCGCCAATGGCACCGTGTGAGGCGCTTAGAGGACGAGGACGGCCATACCGAGAGCGGCAGCGGCGGCGCCGGCAACGTTCATGGCGGAAGCAGCGCCGGTGAAGTGGGCGGGCTTGGTGGAGGTGGCAGCAGCACCGGTGCCGGAGGCGTAACCGGAGGTCTTGGTGACAACAGTGCCGTTGTTGTAGGGAGCAGAGGGAGCAACGACGACGGGGGCAGTAGGAGCCGAAGGGGCAGCAGTGCTCTTAAGAGAGGTGATGGTGCACGAGCAGTCCTCGATGGTGAGGGTGGTGGCAGCAGTCACGGTGATGGTGTGGGAGCCAGCAGTGACGACAGTAGCGGCAGGGCAGAAAGTGGTCAAGCTAGGAGATGATAGTCAGCACGATGTACTTAAGATGTGTATAGGTATCAGGACACTTACTGGGTGACAACCTCAGTGACGTAGACGGGGCCAGCAGGGGCGGTGGTGTTAAGAGCTGCAGCAGAGGCAGAGGCGGCGAAAGCAGCAATGGCGGCAATGGTGAACTGCATTTTGATGGTGTTGGGTTGGTGGTGGTGGTTTGGGAAAAAGGCGAAGGATTATATTATTGGGTTGGTTGCTGAAGCGAGTGTGAGACCGAAGTCGAAGTTGGTTGGATTGATTGATTAGTGAGTGGATGAAGAAAGGAAAGTAGTTACATGGCAATAGGGTCGAGTCCTTATATACCAAGTTGCCATGGTCTATTATTTGGTCGCATTGACACTTGGCGTAAGCCATTCCCTCAGCCGGCTCGTCCGCTAATCGCTAGTGTCCACGCCCAGGTCCCATCGAAATGTGTAGAAGAGGCCCCGGGATTGGATAGTCAGAGTCGGTCTCACCTTTATGCTCTCAAATTTGCCCGGCCGTTGCTGTCATTGACCCTACCTTGAGCAGTTCCCGCAACGACTTCTCAACCGTAGCAACTTCCGGCATCATCACTATCGCAACTGCACTCTTTTTTCTGGAGCATCATGTCTTCGCAGCAACGAGCAGAAGACCAAAACCACGGACATACAGGTGGGACTCAGGGCCAGGCTACCCCGTATTCAAGTCAGGTGGCGACAGCCATGCGTCCAGTGCAATTTCCCATTACCCCAATGCGAGCCGTCGATAGAGTCGCATCCTTCTAGACAGTGGCTGAGTCCTTTGGCGAAATGCTGAGGAACATGTCTAGCGCAGTCGTCAATTGGACTATTGAGTCTAAAAATTGCCACTGTCTACGCCAGCCCTGGTGTGCCTGGCTGACATTTCCGATTGCGCTCTGCACCTTTGGACTATTTTGGTGATTTCTGGTGGTTAAACTTCGACGTTGAGCGCCTCCCTTCTTCGCTTTCAATGTCTTGGTCTGCAAGGGCAACATGGGTTCCTGCATAAGCCTGAAGTTTGGCGAAATGACAGGCAAATCGAACTGTGCCTGGCTACCAAGCACACAAGCATAGAATATTCTTGATTGCAGCACTATTGGTATCTCAATGCAATGCGCAAGCTTATGATGGGTACCATGTTGAAGCAGCGAAAAAGCGTGCCCTAACGTGCGAATGAGACACTTCCGTCGTCGACTCATGGCGAAGCAAGCCCAACAGGCTGAAAGGCTGAAAAGTTAGCATGATGTGATACTCGTGAACGAGCACCAGTCAGGTGGTGCAAGCGAAGCAGGTGGACTGAAGGAGCACCTGGTTTCCCCAGTCCTCTCCAGAAAAGCTGCGAATTTCCGCGAGCCTCGTCCAGTTTTTCCATCGAGACGCAACACACGTAAGCTGGGCTTGGCCTGAGGCAACAATTATTGGACGTTTGAAACCACGACTCGAGAAACTCTTCCGGCATGTCCGAGGGTTGTTGAAAATCTTCGTAGTCGGTGATGGACTATTTCCGCGACTTGCAGCAACTCTTGCCTCAATTTCCAGACTTCGTCAATAGCTTGCGAAGGTGCTCAATGTGTCAGCGGAGCATCGCGAGGGACGAACCCTCGTGAGTGCTGCTGTTCGAACCGAGCTCTGCACATCCCCCGCAGCCGGGAAATTGTTCTTGGTAGATGGCTTTCTTATTGGTGGTCTATGCGCTCGCGGAGTTGGTGGATGGTGTCGGGACTCGAGAGGGCTGCGACCAAAGGAGCCTTCAGCCTGTGTTGCGGGATGTCTTGAATCTCGGAGTGATTGGTTGTTGCCACCAATCTTTGGGATCATCTTATCGGATCAGATATAGCCCTATGACGGGACGGTCATCGATATCAAGTGGGCGGTTCGACGCTCCTTTGCCAGTGGCTCATTTCAGCTGCGGCTCACAGAGTGCAATCGTCGCAATACGAATCGACTATTCGTGAGACTCCGCACATCTCATTTCGTTGCGCTCACCAGCGGCATTCCACTTGCGCCGCTGCACTGCTGATTCTCAACGAGAAGCTGACCTCCTGATCCCCTTCTTTCGCGAAGCGTGCGAGAAGTTTGTCTGCTGACTTTGGTGTCCACGACCTTAGAGTGGGATTGTCCAGCCGACCTTTGACAATCACTTTCAGAAGTCAGTCAATGATGTGACGATCTCCATGTTCGTTCTCTCGAATCGATAATATCGCGCCCGGCGCACGGTCCGGAGATAACGACGAACTTTGAACTTTCAAAGGCGCCATCTTCCAAACATCGACTGCACCCGACAACCAAAACATGCCCTTCTATTCGAAAACTTCTCAACCTGTTCACAACGACCGTCGGTGTTTCTGATATGCACTACTATCGGTTGTCATGAGACTGGCATGACTCAGGAGTCGAACAAACTTCTTCTGCCATGCGTTCGATGCCTACGACCCCGATCGATCCTCCGCACACATACATGTCGATCGTCGAAAGTATCAGCACAACTTGAGACGAGTTTGACCGCCCGTCACGAAACGTCGAAACTGAATCCCGATCGAGCTCAAAGGGGATCGCGAACTTCGTTCTACGATCTTTCCGATGCAGTGACACCCCCAAACCGGTAAATTTTCTCTTTGCGAGCGAAAAGTGAAAAGCGTGCATGAAGCCCTGTCCAAGTATTCTTTCACAGCCACACCTCTGCTCCTACTGCAAGAGGGAAGATCGAGGGAAGATCTTTTGGTCGCTTTCCCATGACCCCCTTTTCGAATCGCGATGCCTATTCAAATCCTTGGCCCGCGACTTAAGGTTATTCGATGCCAGCAAGGGTTTACGATCCCGGGACAATACTGACCTGCCAGCCGCTTGTTATTGCAGCGACTTGGTATTCTGATCGCGGCTCTGTCGGAGCAAAGGCCTTGCATGCGGGCGCGTGCGCTCGTTCATGCACGGCAGAGAGAAGATAGGCGACGATGGGAACATGAATAGGAGAAAAAGTGTTGGATGAGCAGGAGTCCTTTGCCGTTCATGCTGATGAAAGGCAACATAAGGATGACGGGTAGATGACTTTTGCTAGTCACTGCTGCAGATATCACACACGGCAGCGATATTGGGTGTGTGTCACGCTCTTGGGTCAGGAAACACAGGAATGACCGGAGTTCAGAGTCACAAAACACATACCAAGCGAGTTGAGTTTATCCAAGGTCATTCGCATTCGACAGTATGACAGGGATTGGCTCTGAGAGTGAAGTAGATTTTGATACATTAACAAGAAAGAAAACTGTTTGGGTATATACTGTCGTTGACACAAAAAATCTCAAGCGCCTGCTGTACAATAAAAATGCGGTTTCGTCATGAATATTCGTGTTCTCATCGTTCCATGGTGTTGATGACCAGAACGTCTAACAGACAAAGGAAAGGTCCAAAGGTTGATGGCATGATGAAGCCGATCTACAGGCAAAGGTGTGATGCGATGAGCTCTGCATCCTCAGCATGAGAACTGTGTCGTCTTCTCTTTTGCTCTTTTAGCTCATGCTCAACGTCCATCAATCGGGTTGCGACCCATGATCTCATTCTGTTGTCGTTCTTGACAGCGTCGCAGTTCAACAGGTCGGTAAGAGTAGTCTTGATCCGAGAGGAGATGTCTGCAAGCTTGGCCTCATCCATGGTCAACGGCGGTGGTGCTGATGGTTCCTCTGGGATAGGTGCGATGCTTGTCCTGTTTGGAGAAGTGGGCGGTGACAGCGAGCTTCGTCTCGAGCCCATTGAAGCTGAGCGGGAGTGCCTCCTCTTGCCAGCAGAAGGTGACGGTTGTGATGAGAATGAGAATGCAGGAGAAGGCGCTGTGAAAGAAGAGGAAGGAGACTGGTTTGCCGAGGACGAAGTGCTGGATCCAGGGCTGCCTGACGAGCTTGAGACGTTCGAGTCGACTGACAATCGTCGACGAACATTGGTCTGCTGTGAATGCAGAATCATGTATGCTTGGATGAGCTGGGACTGGGAGTTGTTAGTCAATTGTTTCTTCAGAAGTGTGATAAGTTATAACACACCTTTTCTGGGCTTGTTGAAGTCATTCTGATTGGACTGTGTTGTTGATCGGCGATGAGTTACTGATTGAAAGAAGACCGGCTTCAGTCAAGTTGATATGTTATACTGCTTTGCCAATAGTTGGTAGGGTGACGGAAGGAATGCAGTTGGCCAAGTGAGCACGAAGGATTGCTTGGACAGACGGTGGGAACGTTTGAGATAAGAAAGTCGATATGAGATTGATGAAAGTTGGAAGACCAGGCTGTCAGGGTACGCCAGTGGATATATGTACAGTTGGGCTACGGGTACTTGATGAAGCTACTATTGCATAATGTTTGCAAAGGAAATTAGCGTTGGCTATCGTGCAGCGGTATCCACACCTTCTTGACTGGAAACGCATGTCAAGGATCTCACAATGGCGATGAATCGTGGAATGCAGGGGAGTCCGTGGGACGCGAAGGCGCTGACGTGCCTGCTGATCGGCCGCCATCACGAAAGTTGATTTCTGTGTAAACTCTGACGAAAGGTGGGTCGACATGACTTTGGACAAGGTTGAGAACGTCGCGATAGGGTGTGCAGCCAATAGGCGTCCCTGGAGACGACCCGACGTGTCTCCTCCCGATCGGGCGATGTCCATACAACCTTCTGATCTGTGGCTCAGTAGGAGGCTCCGAGAGGGCACCCAAGGGTCTCTGATCATGCGAAACCATGTTTTGGATGCTCCGATCCGTGGGGCTGCTGGGCACTTGACAGCCACACTTGTTGGCAGAACTTGGCCGCCACGTTTGCCCTGTGGCATTATATCCACGTCTATCTTTGTACTCCTTACTCAAAACTGGTACTTGGTTGAGAGCTTGCGCACGCGCTTCGTTTCATGCTTCATTTCGATTGTCGTTTCCTCCCTCCCATCAGTTGAGTGTTTCTTCGCAGCGATATGTGAGATGCTGCCGTCATGACATCAGTGTGTGTCAGCGTCGTTTTTCTCGTTTCTCGTTCTGCTGGAGATTCTCGTTTTCACGGAGAAGATGCGGCTCAATATCGCGCGGCATCACAGCTACATTCCTCTATATCAACCAATTATACATGCTTATCAGAACGAAGCGTCTAAGCGGACTCTGACACCGCGCCGTAATCATGCACAATAGTGGATACTTTTAGGAGGAGAGCCTTCCGCTGATATGGTGTTGACATGCTCGTTCAAACCCCCAGGACCAGGATGCCTTCTTTAGCCTCGAGCAAATTCTTGCCGATTCCCGACTACCACTACAGTGCAGCGGTTCAGCCACACTTCACCTCCTGCATAAACCGTTGTGCTTATACTCTGTACAATTCCACAGTAATTTGGAGAGTTCGGTCGCTTCGACTTTTGTGAGAAAAAGAGACGAAAGCACGAGCTTCGACGGAAAAGCGTCCGTATCGGCATCGACTTGACACACCGGAGACAACGACAGCAGCACTATCCATCAAATGCCTGCATCTACTCAAATATGGCTGGCGATGAACAAATCTGGAGGCCGCTGTAGGTTGTAGCTCCGTCCTTGGCGGTCTGTTCAAGAGCGCTCAGAAACACTCGATGCTCTCCTGTGTGTCCTCTCCACCAGATTCACCTCATCCACACCGTTCCGATGCCGGTATACTAACGATTTACTACCGACATTCATAAAAGGGGCTATGTGAATGCGATCCATACTTCGATCTCGAGCACCGATCGTTCTTTTTACTCTACGGGAGTTGCATTCTTCGATGCCGAACGCTCTCCTGTATGCCTGCTCGACATCTCGCACGTCGCCAAAAGGCACGAAGCATGTGTCGGGATGCAGTGGATTCCATGTATCCGCGATACCTCCGGGATACGCTTTGCGCCGGCGCGGCCATGAGACCCCTGTGCTGGGAGGCTGGAGCAAAGCAAATCACATGCTCTTACTCTGCGCAGTATCACGCCAGGCACCCGCAGTGTCTTTGACTCCAGCCTTCAGATAGGCAGATGCCAAGCTTGCCGATGGGTGTCTTGCAAAAGAAAAGAAGGGAGATGCATGGCGGGTGCGCCGACTGCCAACTTCCCCACATCTGCTAGCCAAACTCTTTGACTCGTACCGACAGGTCAACAGGTAACAGCTCACTCAAGTTAACCTTAACAAAGCCAAACGCAACCTCGATCGCTGAAGAGCTGGACCGTACGTACGAAACAGCAGCATACATCGGTGTAGACTAGGTTTGACGGCTATCTTAGGATGCTTGGATCAGCCCATCGTGGTAGTGCTTTGCCGATAAGAGTCGCGAAAAATAACCACTGTTTTATATGCTCGATCACGCGATGAACGAAAGTTCCTGGGTCTCTTCGACTTGCTTTCTAACTTTTCTCCGACCACAAAATGCCTCGCTCAAACTTCAGAGATGGATGAAACTCCGTCGATTGGCTCTCAGGAGAGAGGGCTTTAACCAAAGCCTTGACTCTTGATTGCACGACCTGAGCACATGACCTGTCAACAGGATGCCACGGCATACGGCACAGCACGACCGTTCTTAGACTGCATATTGGTGCTGTGGAGAGACCTCTACCCCGCTGACCTTGATGGACCCAGTCATTGCTCCTTGGTTCTCCGTGGATAGCTCCAGCACACGAGCTATACCTCGGGATTGGCTGCCTCGGGCATCACTCCGACTGCAGCTTGAGGTCCTCACCTCAAATCCTGAACAGAGCTCGTTCTGATGGGTTGAGACTTCCGCAGCTGTCAGGTGAATCATCATCCTACAGTGAATCGTGCTGGCCCTTTGAGCTGTAGACATGCATAGTCACTTTGAAGCATGGCATGGAGATCATATGCTGATGTTCTCCGTGGATGCAACTTCTCGTAAGACATCGTAAAAATCTATAGCTCAATGGTGACCAGTAGTGGCACACAATAAGGATGAAACACCGATACAGAATGGCTTCAATTTCTCATTGTCCTGCATTGTCCCGCAACAGACATCGCAAGATGTAATAATGTGGCAGCTTCAGTGGTGCCAAGACTTCCTGCTGAGTGTACCACCCTGCTCTGATATCTATGTGGTATACACATTGGCTCTGGGACAGGAATAGATCCCTAGGCAAATGATGCTTTAGTAGCGAAGCATCTTCTCTATAGTGGCTATGCCTTGTGTCGTTTTGTATCCTTATTCGGCTCTGTTGTGGATGAGTCACTCCAAAGGCATCAGAACCGATAAGACGAACATGATATTCTCGATTCGCGCACGATATCAAGAGCTCGAGTGATGCGGACACTAATCGCAACACTTTCGAGAGGTAACACCATCCATGTTTCATACTGCCCTATGCCCTACGCTTAGATTATGCCTACAGTTTCTAATCACTGTCGATGGTCTCCATCGTGGAACTGGTCTAGAGTCCGATACATCCCGCTTATGTAAGCGGCAGACAAGCTTTTTTTATGTCATTGTCTGGAAGAAAAATGATCACTACAAAAAGAGATTGAAGACAGTGCAATCAACACATATACCGCCTTACCTGGAGTTATATGATACGTGCGAATACATTCACTCAATCGCCTGGACGTGTTTTCGCCACCTTCTCACGGTCATCAAAATTCACTGCTGGAACAGCGGCGTCTTGCTCGAAAGCTTTCAGACCGCTACAACACAATCTCATATCACTTTCAAGACAGAGGTGCCTCATGATGAATTCGAATCAGAGCTCTACGATGGCGCAGGCACAAGACGTCAAAATCCACCAAACAAGGATTCTGCCCATAGATGCCACGAAGCTGGGTTGTCTTACGGACAAAACCACAAACTCGGGAATGCCTCTGGAGGACTGGGATCTGGAACCGGATACCACAACACAAGACGGGATCGACCTCCAACTAGCGGCCTCAAATCTCAAAGAATCGGATATTCCGGTCGCATTTCCAACGGAGACGGTCTATGGGCTTGGTGCGGACGCAACTCGCAGCGCAGCGGTGAAGGGAATCTACCATGCGAAACAGAGACCATCCGACAATCCTCTGATCGTACATATAGCATCGCTGAAGCAACTGAGGCGGCTACTATCTACCTCCGATTCGCCATCCGACATCGATCCAATTCCACAGATCTACCACCCACTGATCAAACGCTTCTGGCCAGGCCCCATCACAATAATTCTGCCAGTACCAGAGAACTCCAAGTTAGCGCCTGAAGTCACGGCTGGGTTGCGCACTTTTGGCGCGAGAATGCCACGGAATCTGCTCGCCTTGGCATTGATCAAGACTGCAGATGTACCAGTGGCAGCACCATCAGCCAATGCTTCGACCAAACCGTCACCCACAGCGGCTGAACACGTGCGCTATGACCTGGATGGCCGTATCGAGTTGATCGTGGATGGAGGCCCTTGCGACGTCGGTGTGGAGAGCACTGTTGTCGATGGGTTGAGTTCACCTCCTGCGGTACTCAGGCCAGGTGGTATTGGAATTGATCTGATCAAGACGGTGCCTGGCTGGGAGAATACAGCAGTGGGCTATCACGACGTTTCTATGAAAGGAGATGCAGCGCCGAGGGCACCGGGGATGAAGTACCGACATTACTCTCCAAAAGCGCCTGTCATGCTGGTAGAATCCACCGGTGAGAGGCAACCCTCCATCGCAGATCTGGCACGTCAACTCGGTACAAATGGCAGTCTAGGTTTGGTCAGGACGAAGACCTGGAAGCGGCTATCGGCAGGCGAAATACACGAAAGCGCCAAGGATGGGGTGAATAGTGTACTGGGTCCAAGGGAGTCGAGTCCGAGAAACGCAGACATCTCCGCCTCACCTCTTGCAGCAATGCTTCGGGAAAGCGCTTATCAGCTGAAACAGCTGCACGCAGAACAAGTCACCCTGGAGGATGCCGGAAGGAGTTTCACCGTATGGGACATGTGCATAGGACCGGATACGCCAAGTGTGGCGCGTGGCCTGTTTTCAGCATTGAGGGAATTGGATCGCAAGGATGTGGATGCAATCATCGTTGAAGGTATCGACGACGGAGAAGGCGACATTGCGGCGGCAGTCATGAACCGGCTGCGCAAAGCGGCCGAGGTCAAGCTCGAGCAACTTTGAGCCGGGCGGTCCTGGGAGCGACATGGAATTCTGCAAATTTGGCATGATTCGGAATTGCCTCCGAATGGAAAACTGGAGCAATTCGACGACATTCCCGCTAGTTTTTCCTCACATTCATCAACCAAAGTTAGTTCGTTTCTAATCAAGCGATTAGCCTGTTCATCTCAAATCTGTTTCTTAGTACCGTGGTGATTGTGATCTCGACTGTATCGCCGTCGTTCAGACTGCCACATGCATCTCACACGACATGTGCTGACTAGAATCAAGAAAGTTGTGTAGAAATATCACTGTAGAACGTGCTGAAACCTGACAAAAGCCCAAAAGGGCTCGACATTCCTAGTACTTGTCCTCATGTGCACATTTGGATGTTACACGGTGACGATGAGGCCATTCCCTCGAAGCGAAAGGAGAAGAGCCGGGATCAAAAACATGTCCATGGATAGATTCAGCATGCTACAATGTAGAATGCCATGATTTAAGAGGCAACCAAGCCGCAGAACCACAGTGCGCTCATTGCCGCCTGGCTATGCCCTTGTTGAGCTCCCATTTTCGAGCGGCGGGCCCAAGTCCGCCACTTTCCTGGCGTCGACAAACATCATTGCGTGGGGAACGATGAGGCCGAGTTCTAGTCTCCGGCAAGCAATCACCTCTGGCACCTGGCACAGAGGATGATTATGGGACGGAGATTGGACCGCCTTCTGTACTTTTGCATGTTGTCGCCGCCAAGTTCATCTAACCCGGCCCATCTGGCCGTTCTGTGCGTTCTGCTTTGTCCAGTCGTTGGGAACGAGTACCGATTTACCAATTACACCGAACAGAAGCGCATAGGCGAGAGGCGGTTCATACGGCAGAGTGTCTGCGGAGCAGAGTCCAGCTGTTCCTGTAGGAGTAGAGAGAAAGACTCAAGATCTGCTGCTGTTCAAGAACGGACGTTTGGACCTGTCATCGTTACATGAGCAGGGACTAGCGTGTCTGACATCCTCATAAAGTAGTTATTGGCCTTTTGGATCCTCTTCACGAAATCTTCCCCAGTCTGCCTTGTACACAGCCGCACCCAACTGCATTCAAGTCTCGCACCCCGACACATGAACTGACGACAATGGCCAAACCCGTCTCTATCCTGGTCACGGGCTTCGGGGTAAGTGCAATTCCTCTGCGTCAACGGATACATCGCGATCGCATTTTTGCAGCGTGTGAGCGATGAGACATGGGCGACATGTGCGGCACAAGAGGTTGTCGGGATGGTCAACTCCTCCGGACGAGCCGTGCATCAGCGTTAGGCGTCACCGATAGCGGGCAAGGATGACTGCTACAACTGAGATCGTAGCTGATGTTGATCATACTGCAGCCCTTTGATGAAGCTGGACCCGGCAATCTGTCATATTCGATCGTGACGACGTTGCCCAAATTCCTACCGGCGACTCGGTCAAGCCAGATCCCCGTGCGCATCGTCGCCCATCCCTACGACATACCTGTGATATACAACGAGGTCCATACACTCGTACCGCGCCTCTACGAGGCCTACAGCCACGAGGTCGATATATGGCTGCACTTGGGAATGCGCCCCGGCCAGAACTCGTACTCGATCGAACTAGTCGGCCATCGTGATGGCTTCGATGAGGAGAAGGACATCACAGGCCAAACGCTCTCCGCAGAGGAAAGCAACTCGTACTTCCCGGACTGTCCTCAGCGCCTTGAAGGGACGCTTGACACCGAAGACATCTTTGCTCGTTGGCGCTTTGAGTTGCTCGATGCGCCAGAGGTGTCTCCGCAACTTGGCTCCGTACGCATCCGCAAAAGTACCGATCCGGGCCATTTCATTTGCGACTTTCTTTACTATTCCGTTCTCGCTGAGCACTGGAAGAGAAAGAATGGTGTCGACGGTGGCCCGCGCCCGCCAGACTTGATGCCTGTCGCGTTTTTGAATGTTCCGACAGAGAATTCTGTAGAAGAGCTGCGGAGAGCCAGGCATGTCACCATGTGCCTCTTGCAAGCTCTGGCCGAGAGTTGGACTTTGAAAAGAGATGGAGCAGGGAATCATAACGGGGCCTCCACGTCTTGACCACAGCTTGTTGTGGAAAATAAGGAGCAGCAAGGTAACCACCCAGAAACCAGCGGAACAATCGGTGTGCTCAAGCATTCTGTGCAGGACCGAAGAATACTGCTGAGTAGTCTGTCATGGTGCAAGCGGCCGGAAAGGAGAGTATATGGTGCACATCCGACTGTATCGCACATGACTAGATGTCATGTCATCATTCCGTTAAGGAGTTAGTGTCGTGGCCCATGTTTTCAAGGCACATCTATTCCTCGACTTGAGTCCAGAAGGCGAGAAGGTCATAAGATGCTTGAACATGATACCGAAAAGAGATCAGGCAGAGAGCATGAGGAAAGTCGACGCATGGGTTTTCTGATGAAATAGACGAAGTTTTCGAGTATCGAATGCGCCCACCGCTCTGGTGTACTATTCGTCCAAGTTTATGGTAGATGACCTGATAAAGAGTTGATAAGCAGACTTGCTTGCATGCGATTGCGACATTGAAAAGTCTCCATGCAATGAAGAGATGATGAAGTTGATGCTTGCTTGATCAATCGTGGAAAATGGTCAGCGACATGTATACTTGCCTTGAGGCCACTTCAGATTTATGATAGGTGTAGTGCATGAACGTGCATCATGACGAGGCCTATTAAAAGAGGATCATCTAGGTCAGAGCGATGGGACAAGGGAAGGAACGACGTCGGGGGATGAGACTACGTGGTTACGGAACAGGAATGACCTGTCGCGGTGGCGGCCAACCCTCCGAAAAAAGCCAAGAGCTAGAACTACCGAGATCCTACCTACTACACGGCATCCGACACCAAACTCCTCCAGCGGCACTGGCGCCTCGAAGCTCTACACTTGCGGAGGACACCTTCCGGGCGCAACCCTCTCTGCCATTGCACTCGATCAGACCGGGGCTTTCCTCTCTGCCACTATCCACTTATCCGCTTTGCCGCCCTCAGCATGCAACAATGCGAGACTTTGTGAGGACGGCCATGATGACTGGTGTCCAATGAGAGCTCACCGACCTGACAGCGCTCTTCGTCAGCTCAACCCCACAGTCTGATATAAAATGATACTTGCCTCGCTGAAACCATGGGCCGCATACAGCGATCTACCCATGCCTGAAGACACGAGATATGCTGGCAACCCAAGCTCATCCGCCTTGCGCAGCCCCCAGATCAGTCCAGCAGTTCCGGCACCCTTGCGCTGAGCTGCCGGTAACGTAGAGAGCACTCTCAGCGCTGCATGAGCTCTGCCAGCCAATATCTCACGCTTACTCTCCATCGACGCTTCACGAAACTTGTCAATCACAGCATAGTTGATACCGGGAATAGGGCCCTGCTCCATGCGTTTCTCCCTCGCCTTCTCCTCTGCATCCAGTAATTCTCGAATGGCCACATCCTTGGTTTGATAGTACCAGCAAGCGACGGCCACAACATCTTTGGTGTCAATGTCGCGAATGAGGACGTAAGAAGTGGAAGGGTCGGATAAACCGTCGCGAGTGGTCTTGCGCATGTTTGCTTGTACGGACTCTGTGAACCCATCAGGGTAGACCAGCGTCAATACGCTGTCCTCGACTTGAGTCAAGGCTTCCCAGGATACTTTGATGTAAATGTCAATCTCATCCTCTTTCATGGGCGTTATCTCGTAAGACATGCTTGCGGCTGTGACAGGCTCAAAGTGTTTCGCAGTTGAGGAAGGGTTGAGTGGTATGTCAGGTCATCAGCCAGCAAGCAAGCATTCATTAACAATGTCACCATGTCTGCCCTCTAGAATGACTCATGAAGCCACGTACCGGTGCCCGATGCGGCAGGTGGCAGGTACAAGTACTACAAGTATCACTTCACACCGAATCATCGCAGCCTCGAAGACTACATAACGTGTGGGATCATGACTACTGCGTACCGCCTTTTGTGTTAGCTCAAGATCTGTGTCTGTCACCTTTGTTTGTTGTCGACCGGTAATATGATTGATAGCTCCCGCCCTCTGGAAGCCTTCGCAGATAAGTCTTCCATATCCCATCTCGCCGACGAGTCTGTCCTCCACCGACTACCCACATCGATCCTTCGATTGCAACGAGACTTCTCGCAAGAGCGTCTCTGATGATCGCGAATGTATGTTGAGGTTTGTACGGAGTGCATCACAGCCAATGGCTGGTCAAGCCCGCAGCTGGACCCTGAAATTCTGACTCTCGACACCCAAGCAGTCTTGCTGCAGCGCTCGCGTATCATACTGCTTCTACAAGTAGCCAGCCTTGATGCTACCTGTTCAAGGCATCCTCAAGGCCCCCGAACTCAAAAGTAGACCAGCCACTATTCCGCCGTTTGGACTCTCCGAAGCAAGAGAGTTGCCAAAAAGACGCGAGAGTCAAGCGCGGACAAGAAGCTGCCATTGCCGTCTTGTCCACAGCTTGTATGCGCCGTATCTCTTGGCAATAAAGCTGGCGACACTTGCAACGCCTTTCTTGTCGACATCTTGCATGCAGCACGGAAGGATGAGATACGCTATCTCAAGAATCCTGTCGGACAGTACCGTCACCAATGTCGATGATTGTCATACTGCACTTCTGTCGCTTATTGAGGACGACGATTGGAAGATACACAAGCCAGCGACAGCGAGGCTTGAGTTCACTTGGCATCGCAACGGGTTTTTTCCGCTCTATCAAACCTTGAGAAAGGATTCGGAATCTGATCTGACCGGGCTTTCGAGCGAACGCTCCCGTACAGAGCCATAGACCAGCTTCATTTCACTAGTCTGCAGTCCCAAAGGACGTTTCATACATACCCCAAGCACTCTGACACGTTCCAAGAAGCTGGTATTCCTATCGGTGCCCCATCAAACATTCTCGCTAAACATGCACACTCTTTTTCGCGTTGAAGCCCTGTCCCTAACCTAGCCGATAAGAGTCGACGGAGCTCACCGCTATGACATCTGATTGGTCCTACCACAGTCTGGGCAAAATTCTAGAAGCTGATAACGGCAGATCTCTCTTACGTTTCATAACGAGCTGCCAAATCCAGAGGTGCGACGGTGGGCTGGCGGGGTTCGCGAGGACGCACGCGCCAAAATAAAATATCGACAACGCCCTGCCAGTTTTGAAGTGTCGTGTGCTCAACTTCCGCTCCTCTTCCGACCTTCACACTTCCCCCTCCGTCCCCTTCATTGACCCTTTCTCCCTCTGCCTTGTCGCAGTCGTTCCCCAGCCAACCAAATCCAGACCGGCCACTGACGAAGGAGAAATACCATGACGGAGTTCTACGACGAAGAGAAGGCCGGAAGGCTACATCCTGACGAGAAGGATGTCAACGTTGATGTTGGCAGCGCTCAGGGTTCTACCGAGCTTGTCAATGAGGTGCCAGTCCAGAGCGGTGGTATCCTCGGCACGCTATGTGGCTGGGAAGCTACTCTAGACCGCAAGCTAGGCATTGAGTCTCAGGCCATTCGCCGCAAGCTGCCCGAGGAGAAGGTGCCTCAGAAGTGGCACAACCAGGCCGTCATGGCTCTGCTGTGGAGTGGTGGTATCATGAACCTGTCTTGCATGTCGACCGGTTTCCTTGGTCCCGAATGGGGTCTCACACTCGGCCAGAGCATCTGCATCACCATTTTCGGTACCCTCTTAGGATCCAGTGTCGCTGGTTGGTGTGCTACCCTAGGCCCAGGAACCGGTCTTCGTGCAATGTCCATCACTCGTTACAGTTTCGGCTGGTATCCCACTAAGCTCATTGCCGTCCTCAACATCATCTCTCAAGCTGGTTGGAGTGCAGTTGGCTGCATCACTGGTGGTATGTACATCGATTGACAACCAAAAGACAGATGCTGATCGTTTAGGTCTTGCTCTTACTGCTGTATCTGATGGCAAGGTGTCGTCTGCTCTTGGTTGCGTTATCATTGCCCTCGGTAGCAGTGTCATCAACTTCTGCGGTCTCAAGGCTATCCTGTACTACGAGAAGTACGCCTGGTTCGTCTTCTTCATTGTCTTCATGATTATGTACGGTATGGCCGCTCCTCACGCTGTCAACACTCCCGGCACGGAACTTCATGGTGCTGAACTCGCCGGCAACGTCCTCTCTCTGCTTTCGGTCGTCTATGGCAGTTCATGCTCCTGGGCAACCATCGCTGCCGATTACTACGTCCACTACCCCATCAATACTTCCAAGGTCAAGGTCTTTATCCTCTGCACCCTGGGTATCAGCATTCCTACCTGCATCGGTATGGTTCTCGGATGCTGTGTTGGTTCTGCCATGCAAGTCAACAAGGCCTGGAGCAACGCGTACAACAATGATGGTCTCGGCTACCTTATTCAGAAGATGCTCTTCCCTCAGGGCTTCGCCAAGTTTATTCTGGTCTTGCTTGTACTCAGTGCCGTTGGCATGAACGCCCTCAACCTCTACTCCTGCGCCCTGTCGATTCAGCAATTTGCCCGCCCTCTGGCCAAGGTTCCCCGTACCTTCTGGGTCCTCGTCGTGTTCGGCGTTGTCACTGCTATCGCCGTTGCTGGTCGTAACCATCTGCTTGAGTACCTGGAGAACTTCCTCTCTCTGCTTGGTTACTGGGGTACCTCGTACTTCGTTATCGTCTTCATCGAGCATTACTGGTTCCGCAAGGGTGACTTTGCCAACTACGATCTCGACGGCTGGAATACCCCCTCAAGACTGCCTCTTGGTCTCGCTGGTCTGTTTGCTTTCCTCATCGGTGTTATTGGTTGGTGCCTCGGTATGTACGAGACTTGGTTCACCGGCCCTCTAGCCAAACTCATTGGTGAGGGTGGTGATATCGCCAACGAGCTCACCTTTGCCTTCACCCTCCTCTCCTACATCCCTCTCCGCCATCTCGAGTTGCGTTACTTCAAGAGATAAGCCGCTCAATTGATGGTTCGAACAACACGAAAGACACGATTCTAGGGGAACGCCGTCGAACGAATAATCTGTATATACGCGATCTGCTTTTTTACTGTTTGCTTTTGGTGGGAAAACAGGGGATGATTTTGGACTCGAGTTCCTTGATACCCAACTCAATCATTTTCAATGACCAACGATAAAGATGAATTCGTGATATACGTGTCCGTCATGCATTTGTCTGTATTGGATTTCGTTGGTTATTCGTAACTACGTTATCCGTGTTAGACTGCGTGTGGTGCGTGTGTCGTGCGTTCAGTTGGGTTTGATGTGATTTGGGGGATATCGTTGCGCTCTGTTCGAAGTCTGATCGCTCTCTCCTACTCAAACGACAGTTTCGAAGACGACCTCTGGCATTCTTCGACAATCGCAACTGGATCCGCAAGACTTCGCAACATTTTACCAAAGCACCAATGAAGATGACGTGGCTGCGAAAAAGCGCCGGACATCTCCCTGCAAATTCTTCGCTCTTCTGGCAACCACAATCTCACGGTCCATCCTTCATCGCAACAACTCTCGACATTTCGGATCTCTCGGATGCATCACTCGACACCATGAAGTTGCTGTGCTTCAGACGTGACGACAGGTCAGTAGCCTTTCTCTCTTTCCCCTTCATCACCACCCATCCCTGCGAAGGATTAAAACATTTTTAACCCAGAGTCTTTTCGATGAAGATCAAAAACGCAACACTCTAATTTTTTCATGACGCTCATCCATCACTCTTCTTCTGCTTGCTCATACACATCCTTTGAGCACAGGCTAACCAGAATGATTAGATCCGAATGTCGAAATTTCACGTCTCGACTAATATGACGTCTTGTTTATCCACCTGATGTGGAAAGTATGACATGCACTTATTAATCGCGGTCTCTGTGTGCATCGGTGCAACACCCTCTATGCTTCGCTCTGACTGCCTCGAAACACAAGACTCTGCTCTTGCTCGAAATCCATCTCACAACTTTCGCCAAGCCATATGTGTCAGCGCGCACGGCCTCGAACGTCGGAAGCGAGAAAAACGCACATCATAAGAGGACGAATTCTTTCTGCTGAAAGCACCGAACAATCTCTTCTTCCGTGCATGCATCGTCGCTCCAGAGCAGGATGATGCTGGACGCCTAAATTGGAGACGATGTGTTCTTAGCTCTGCCCGCCGGACTTTCTACTACATCGACACCCTCACCGTAAGCCTACCATCACCTTTGCACACTCTTTACCTCCTTCCAACCTCTCAAATGATGAGACAACCAGCTGGCACCAGTCCTAGAAAGACTTGTACTCTTTTTGCTGCGGAATAGCTTTGCACGGGACTAGACTCCCTACTTCTGATTTTTACCACCTCCGATTCATTCATCAATCACTGCAAACCAGGTTGAATACAGAGACTAACCTCTGTCTCAGATTTTCTCGAACATATCGTATCATCAAGGCGGCACAGCGGAGCTGGTCTTGACCCACGCGTCGGTACAGGTAAGCGAGGAAGCAACGAAGCTTTCTATATCACAGGGCAGCAGATTCAACATCTCGCTGTCGCAATCCATGTCGAGGCCATCTCCATGTCAATAATGTTCTCGTTGATCAGTGTGCACAACAAAGGTAGGTCAACTTTTTTCATTTCATCCGACACTGTATCTAGAATCTTTGAGCAATAAAAGCTTCCATCAAGAAAACATCTCGTTCCTTCTCTTGTTGTGTCTCCAATTATCAACATCTCTGTTGCTTGAACATTCGTCTGAAAGAGCCTGAACACAACTCTTCTCTTTTGTACAGACTTGACCTGCCTTCACGTCAGTATATGTTTTTCTGTGTAAGGGCTTGCTCTCAGCTGTCTCACCTTGCAGGACAGAGTATTTCGACACGAGCCGTTCATTTCTTGGTCTTCTGGCGCTTGGAAGGAGTGTCGAGCTCAGGCCAGTGGTTCTCGAATCTGGCATTGAGGCGCTCATCCATGTCATCATCTCCCTCATACTCGAAGTTCTCGTCTTCATCGGAGCGGTCATACACTTCGTACTCGGGCACGTGGTTGTAATCGGTCTCAGAACGGCGCTTGCGGCAAGAACCAAGTGAGAAGGGGTTATTGAGCATCTCATCAGGCTTGGAGTCGTTATCGTTGTCGACAAGTTTCTTCTTTCCCTTTGAGCGCGCAGATCTGGCCTTGGTGTTGCGTGCCTTGGTTTTTTTGGTAGCGACTTGCTTTCTCATGCTCTCGGGACTGGGGAAGGCGACTGCGTTGTTGGCAGCAGCAGACCAAACACGACCAACGGTAGGGGTGTCTTGCTCATGGCGATCAGGCATCTTGAACTTGGGAGGCTGGACAGAGGTGCCGGGGTCCTCGACTTCATCGCTGTCGTCAATCAGGATGAAAGAGTTGGTCTGAGGAGCGCCGCCAGACTTTTCCTTGATGGAACTGGCATTAGGAGCAGAGACACTCAAGTCGCGAAGTGGGGCGAGAGTGCTGGAGTTCTTGGTCTCGTCTTCATCGTCGTCGATGATGATGACAGGGTGGGTCTGGGAAGTACTAGCCGAGTGCTCCTTTGCAGCGTCGGGACCAGAGACATGACCGGGGCCCTGAGCAGAGGTAGGAGCAGTACCAGAGTCAACTTCAGAACCGAGACCAGGTTCAGGACCAGGAGTCACGCCATCGCCAGCCCACTACTTCCGAGTCAGAAAACACGAGACCAAAAACATCTAGGCGGGCGCTCCAAACTAACCTTTTGCCAGATTTCTTCAACATTGCGGCCCAGAGCTCCGCCATCAGCAGGAGCATCACACAAGTCGGTAGCTATGAATGGTTAGAGTTGGTTACGAAGATGGCAGAAGATCTGGGCAATACATACGCCACTTTTCGAGGACCCGAGTTACGAATGAGTGGTCAAAGGTGAAACTATGGAGGATAGCGATAAGAAACTTGATGTCGGTAACAGCCGCCATTGTGTGTGTTAGGACTCGTAGTGTGATGGGTTGGGAGTGGAAGAGGAAGAGATCTCAAGGATGTGAGACTGTCAGTCAAAGTCGCAGCTGAGAAGTGAGAGAGGTGAGACTCTGTTGCATACCAATCTTTCGTTCACTTCACTTCCTCTCAATTTTTCTGCTGTTAGCGCTTGTCTCCTCACTCTTCACTCGATCGCGGTTTATGCGCCTTCGAGTCTTTCATCCTCCTCTCCATTCTTGTATCTCTCTACTCTTACTCTCGTGTCTGTCTGCTGTTGCAACTATGTCTACCAAGGCAGAGCTCGTTACAGAGATCTATCTCCTCCTCGCTACCATCCACCTCCACGGTTTCGACATGAGTCTAGAGATGGCACAACAGATCTTCGACCGCTGGCGTAGGTTCTTTCTTTTCCGCACACCTACTATTCAAACATGCTAATTGTATTGCAGCAATGATCATTAGCGAACGTCCAAAAAGCCCCAAGGCCGTTTTGGAAAGCTACAACGCTATTCTGCAGCAGGTAAGCAAGCTATTCCAACACAGAAATAAACAATTACCAAATCTGACTTGTGTTGCAATAGAGGCCTGCAAGAATCATTACACAAGCTGCCGCAGAGACCAGCGCAAAGATAGAGACGCCCCAGCCTGCTCAGACTCAGAGAATCATCAAGAGCGAAAGCAAGAGCGAGAACACACCTCAACTTGCTCAGAAGCACAAAGCTGTCAGAGACGAAAACACACCCAAATCTCAGAACAAGAAGACAATCTCAAACAAAAACACGTCTTCGCCTTTCAGTCTGACCAGCCATTCCAGACAGCACAACCCCACTCCCAATGCCCAAACCAACACCATCCCTAAACCTACCGTCAAACCCACTCCTAAGCCCATACCTATACCTAAACTCGAGTCCAAGACCACTCCCGCTCCACGCGTCCCCAAACTCGAATTTCCGGCCACTGCGTACAAGAAAGAACCCACCGGTAACCATCTCCCCTCTTTATCTATCGCGTCATCCTTTTCTGCAAAAAGAGCTTTCGTTGATCTCAGCAACGACACTTCTAGCGATGATAACGACGACGACGACGAAACACCCTCAAAGGCACCAAGAATGGGATAGAGACTGCCTAGCTCTACTTTGCCTGTTGCGTTATCTGACCGCGAGCGAGGAGAGCGAGAGTGGAAGTGAGATGTTTGTGGATGACGAATAAGGAGAAAGGTGATAATGTGGTGGAAATTTAGAGGAGCGGAATGAGAAGGAACGATGAACAGATAAAACGCACATGATGTAGCAGTAAGGCAGAGGAATGACCGATGAATGGTAGAATGTGAACAGAGACAGCAAGGCAGATCAAAGAAGCAGAAAAGATGTTATGGTGGTATCAAAAAGTGAAAAAAAGACCCAAAACTCCCACATCCAAACACCAAATCAATCGAGCCTTGCCTCACTCAATCAGATCCTCATCCTCATCAACCATGCTATCCATCAAAGCCTGCACATCCTTATCATCAGCCATACCGCTGAAGTCATAATCTTCCATCTCCTCGTCAACGTCCATCCTTGTGCCCTCAAGATCGGGATCTTCGATTCGTGTAGACTCCAGTTCCCTTCTCAATTGCGCATTGACGGGGTCGTTCTCTGCATCGACCTCGACCTCTGTGGCTTCTTCTTGTTCCTCTGCGGCACCAGTCACAGATTGTGCAGTCTCGTCAACGTCGGTGCGTTGCACGGCTGTGACATCTTCGAGTACTGTTTCTTCGCTACCGTGTCCACCTCTTTCTGCTGTGGCGATGTCGTGCATGAGTTTGAGGAGGGTGGTTTGGATCTTGGTGAGGGCGTTGCGGCTGGTTGCGTCGGATGCAACCTTTGACTCGATGGCTTCTGCGACGAGCTCCAGAACGGTACGGAGGAGACCTGGGTCTGGAGAAGAGACGGCAAGGTGAAGTTTGCTCAGCATTGAGAACAGTACTTTGCGTTCGTCCTCTGCAGATTCAAAGTTAGTCTAGTCCTTCGGTTCTTGGTGGGGAGTTAGAAAGGCACTTACTGCTCGTTTGGCTGGTGACCAGTTTCTCGAGTATCTGCTCTGCAAGCACAAAGTGGATCATGTCGCTGTCGGGAGCAGCTCCCTCTTCCACTTTGAGCTTGCCAGTCTTTGCCTCTTCGCTACTGCCGATCACCTTTCGCGGATCTGTCCAGTCGACGAGCATGCCACCGACGACACTCAGCGTCACCATTTCGCTTTCTTCGACATCCTCGTCTTCGATGAAGGCTTCTCTGAGAGCGGCGAGGCGGCCAATGACTCCTGTGGCGATGGTAGCCATTCTCTCTGCATTTGCTGCCCTTGAATGACAATACACGGGTAGGAAGTATGTCAGTGCTTGTTTGAGGGATGCATTGTTGCTGGTCTCTGGATCGAAGAATGCAATGACCAAGCCCTTGAGCAAGTCAGGATCGATTATCAACTGCGAAAGCATGAGCTTTGACAAGGCCGATGCGCCAGTCGACTGAACATCCACATCTTCCGACTTCAACGATTTGGAGAAGGTCTTGAGAACGGGCTTGAGTAGTGGTGATGGTTCGGTAGCGGAAATTGTGGCAGAGGTCTCGTCACCATGTCCCGATGAGGCAACAGGAGCGAGTAATGATGGATGTGTTGTGAGGATATCGGTAATGATCTGGAGTGCAATAGTCTGCAAAGATGCGTGACCTCTGGCAAAACAATGCAAGAAGAGCTCAATGTTTTCTTGCGCGAGGTTCTATTACAAGTTAGCGAATAAACATTCGAGCAAAACGCTTTGATGAGACACACCTTTCCGAGCAAGCAGCAAAGGCCCAGACAGACCAGGCCACGCTCTCTTATGGGCGCTTCCTGGCTTCTGACAGCTGGAATGACGAGGTTGTTGAGCATAGTCACTAGGTGAACGGTCTGCTCGAGCTCGCATTGAATGTTCTGCAGCATGCATTGTGCGATATGCAGACATTTCATGTTGACCATGATCTCACGAATTGCCTTTTCCTCATCGTCGTCTTCCTCTTCCCCATCATCGTTGTTCGAGCGCCTAGATTTCTTACTCCTACTCGCTGAACCGTCGTTGCTGACCTCACTCCTGGCGGAATGGAAACTTTCTTCTCCTGTCGAGCTCTTTGTCTTATCAGCTTCGTCACCCATGATAGTATCATGGACTTCAGCAATGGCCTCGAGAACGATGCCGCAGAAGTCGCTCTCGCCTTTGTCGCTCCTGTCATCTCCGCAGACTAGACGCAGAGTTTCTACGGCCAGTCTAGTTGACTCTTCCGGTAACTCAGGCATAGTAAGAGCCTCGCGCATCAGGCCAAACATCTTTCTTCGGCCAACTTCATCGCTGTAGTCAAAGCTGATGGCCATGTGAAGCATTTGCTCAACGATGAATTCGCGCTGAACGCTCTCTTCTTCCATCTCTTCATCGCCATCTCCATCAGGTCCGCCAGAAGCAGCTCCACGCACGCACTCGATCAGTCTGTTGATTTGGATCTCGAGCAGGAAACCGAACTTTGTGACTTCGGGCATCTTCATCTCAAGCATATCTAGCAGCCTGCCGTCTCCTTGAGCATCTTTGGCGCGGCAATAATCGTTGAATGTGCGAGCAACGAAGACGCTCTCTGGAGAGATCTCATCCCAAAAGGCTTCAGAGTCAAATGAGACATATTCTCTGTAGTCAGGACGACCATCCCAGAACTCGCTCATGGCCTCAAGTGCCACGCCTCCAGTGTTTCCAGAGTTTGCGACATCGATGCGTTCGAGCAATTCGAGCAGAGCTTCGAGGCTAGGATCGGCGACTTTTGTGACACTAGGCTTTTTCTTCCCGTCTTCCGTCTCTTCTTCTGGAGCAGTGGCTGCAGGCAGCGCAGCACAGTCCTCGATCCAGCGTTCTCTGAACAGACGAGCCGTGGCTTTGCGGACCGTCTCGTCACGATCGCGGAGACCCCATCTCAGCAGCTTTTCTCTGTGAGTCAAACTGAGATGTCTGAAGTCGCCCAATGCAGGCAGGAGACGAGCATACAATGCGCGGCGTGTTGCAGCGTCCAGGTCTCTAGCGCGTTCGAGTAGGTATGGGAGGGTCGTGGGTGTGAGGGGAAGGTTGAGGAGGAGGGCTCGGCGGACTTCGGCGGAGGGATCGTTCTGTAGGACGTTGAGCAGTTTCTCCAAGACACCCGAGCTAGCGTCATCGTCGTCGCTGTCTTCGTCCTGTTGGTCCTCGTCGAGCTCGGCGGCCAGACGACTCAAACCGTATATGGCGTGCATTCGGACCGACGACTCCTTATCGTGAATACGCTTGAGCAGGGCCAGACGAAGTAGGTGGAACATCTGGTCATCCAGAGTATCGAGGGTGTTGATGATGTGAGCGCTGATCTGGGTGGCTCTGAATCGCACAATCTTGTCCTTGGTGGAAAGCAACTGTAATAGAGTGTTGAGGATGGCGTTGGTCAGACGCGAAGTAGGAGTCTCTGGCAGGGCACCATCGTGATCAGCTACAAGCTGGTTGTCCTTTTCGCTGGCCACTCGCAAGAAGATGCCCAAGAACTTGACAATGCGATCGCCGACAGTCTCGCTCTTCTTGATTGGCAGGACGCGCAAGACACAGCGGACGACCTCGGTGTTGAATTCATCCTCGTCGTTATCGTACTCGGCTTGCTTCTTCTTTGAGCTCAGAGGTTCGTAGCAGCAGGCCTCTTGGATCTTGCGCAGATTGATGACGAGTTTACGGTGGCCGGTGTTTGACTTTTGAGCATCTGAGAAAACGGCAGCGACATGGTTTCGCAGCTTTGTGGTTGGTCCTTCGTCGGGGATGTTGCTGACTGGCGACGAGGCAGCAGCTCTAGCAGTTCGAGAGGTTCGTGGTTTCGAGGCAGCAGCGGCGGATTTGGCCGACGAGCCGGCGACTCTTCCAGGCATCGTGTTGTCGTAGTTGGCGATTGGGCTTCACATGCGTGAGACAGAAGGAAACAACAGCCGCCGCCCTGTAAACAAAGAAAGAGCGTCCGACCCCGCAATCTCTAGTCCATCTTATCTCATCTAATCTCATCTCAACCATCTCCGATGTGCGGAGGCACGGCTGACATAGTCATTGCGTGACGATAGCAATTGTCGATTCTTGCCTCCTACACACATATCACATACCAATCATGTTTCGCACAGCAGTCCGTCGCTTCGCTGCCACGGCTTTGCGCCCGGCCGAGACGGTCGCCCAGATGGAGGCTCCGCAACTCCACGGCATCGAGATCTCAAAAGCACAGCGCATCGCCCACGATGGCTTCATTGATGGTGCCCAACCCTCGACCTTTTCTTGCTGTTTCGCGGTTGACTGACTAGTAGCTTCGCCATGATCAGCCATCGGCAAGACGCCACTCATCCGCATGAAGAAGCTCTCAGAAGAGACGGGTTGCAATGTTTTGGGCAAGGCCGAATTCCAGAACCCCGGCGGCAGTGTCAAGGATCGCGCTGCCCTCTACGTCGTCAAGGATGCCGAAGAGCGTGGTCTGATTAAGCCTGGTGGCACTGTCGTCGAGGGTACTGCCGGAAACACTGGCATCGGTCTCGCTCATGTCTGTCGCAGCAAGGGCTACAAGCTCGTCATCTACATGCCCAACACTCAATCACAGGGCAAGATTGACCTGCTGCGTCTACTCGGAGCCGAGGTCTACCCTGTCCCTGCCGTCGCTTTCGAGAACCCGGACAACTACAACTGGCAAGCCAAGCGCCATGCAGAGCGCCTTGACAATGCTGTCTGGACCAACCAGTTCGACAACACTGCCAACCGTCGTGCCCACATCGAAACCACCGGTCCCGAAATCTGGAACCAGACTGCTGGCAAGATTGATGCCTTTACCTGCGCCTCTGGTACTGCTGGAACCATTGCTGGTATTACTCGCTACCTCAAGACCGCCAGCGACGGTCGCGTCAAGTGCTTCCTTGCCGACCCGCCAGGCAGTGTCTTGCACAGCTACATTCAATCTGGCGGCGTCCTCAAGGAGCGCGAGGGAAGCTCAATCACAGAGGGTATCGGCCAAGGACGTGTCACCGACAACCTCAAGCCCGACATTGATCTCCTGGATGGCTCGCTCACCGTCCCTGACGAACAAAGTATTGAGATGGTCTACCGCTGTCTGGACGAGGAAGGTCTTTACCTCGGTGCTTCGTCCGCTCTCAACGTTGCAGCCGCCAGAAACGTAGCACAGAAGTTGGGTCCTGGACACACCGTTGTGACCATCCTCTGTGATGGCGCATACCGCTATGCCGACCGTCTCTTCTCTAGGAAGTGGCTCGAGAGCAAGAAGCTCGTCGATGCCATTCCTTCAAAATTGCACAAGTACATTGTCCTACCGTAGGTGGACTGACCTATTTGGCTTCGATCTGGTATCATATCTAAAAACTGTACATATATTGCATGGCATGGGATTCTTACACAGCAACTCTTACTCCTCACACTCATCTTCATATTGCGAAAGTGTCACATATCTCACCGGTCAAATCCGGCCACAGCATAACATTTGTCGTGCAACGCCGCCCTATGTCTTACGCTTTGTCGCAAAAATCGTTGTAGAAGTAGGTAAGTTCGCATTTCATCATTATTGGTCACCCGTTTTCCAAAGATCACCCGTTCCACAACCAGACCCGTTTTTCCATCCCAAGCCCCAGCCATTGATCCCATACATTATGGTTTTTGATAAGAAGTCGTCGATGGAAGATACGTCTCGCAACGTCCTTGGTCCATCGTAAAAGCAGAGGTTCATAAGGGGATGCATTTTGCAAACGTCATTTGCAGCAAGCCCTCTGTTCATAAATGTGCACTAGGCATGCATCTTCAAGACCAAGCGGGAGGAAGACACTGCATCTCAACATCAGCATAAGACTCCCAAAACGCCAAAGACAGAGCAGCAAAAATACTTACAGCGATATCCGACTCCTTGGCCTTGGGCAACGGCGCAAACCAACCCATCTTTGCAGAAGACTGCAGTCCCGGCGAAGGCAACGGCGTTGCAGACGGCGACGTGCTAGCCGATGCAGAAGGGAAGAAACTGAATAGTGCGGATGACAGAGCGCGTGTCATTGTTGGTCGTTGGGGTGTAGGCTGAGCAAGTAGGTGTGTGGGTTTCTTTGCTGCTGCTGCTGCGGCGGCGGCGGCTAGGTCTTGTTGTGTGCGGGCTTCCACGTAGTGGGTTGGGAGACAGTCGGCAGGGAACATTGTTGCGAGAGTTGGGTGATGTGTCGCGTGTGCCGTGTAGAAGTAGTTTCAAATGCGAGTCGTAGTGTCGCGGAGTGTGGAAGTCGAAGAGTCGAAGAAAACTTTTGCAAAGGTTGTTCGTCAAAGTCGAATAGGCGCTTTAACGATAGTTGTTTGTCTGTCGAAACGGAAAGGAAACACTCGATGATTATCCAGCAGTAGTGGTGAGCGAGAGTCGTGGATGTGAAGAAAGGAAACGCAAATGGATGTAGGTAGGTAGCCCCGGACTTTTGGACGAAATGGATTGTGTTCTAGTCCGTTTTGTGTGGCGCAAAAGATGGCGTCGATTCCGCCTTTTCCTTGTTTTTGCCGTGTGGACCCGTGGGGGAAAATGGATGAATGCGGGTTGAGCTTTGTGGGGTAGGCAATTCGAAGCGCTGTGGTGGTGAGTGACTGACTGATCGAAAAGAGGATTTGTTTCCTTGAAGCTCTTTCGAAAGAACGAGAGTGAATTTGTCTGGTTATAACGAGTATAGGAGAACTGGATGGGGAGCCGGATGCAGTGAGTCAAGATGGACAGGATGCAAATCACCCTTTTGTACTTGTACCTTTTCTGGCCTCTCCTCTGTTGATTGTTGCTGTCGTTCCCGAGCAATTGGGCATGCATGCGCCTCTGACATGCAGGCTGGCAACCCTTCTCCCCGGTCGAGGCGCACACACCGACCGCATTCAGCCGGAAATTTGACCGTTCTGGACCGCCTACTGGCTGCACATGGACAAAAGATCTACATTGTTGCAGCTGACGAGAGCGCTTCCAGAACCCCTTCATCATCCAATTCCCCCAGGTCTCGCTCCGCAACTCGCCGAGTAACCGGGGTTGCATGCTGACAGCTGGACGAGCATGTCCTGTTTCTTTGTATCGACACCGCCCCATCCGCCATTCTTGTCACCAAAAGCCTTTGGTTCCTCTTGTCCGTCCTTTGTTGAGCGTTCGTCTTCCCCTGCCAACCTAGGTTCCGCCCAAGCCATGGCATCAGATGGTGGCTTACAACCACCGCGCCGCCTCGGTAACCCCAGATCTGCCGCGTACCACCAAAGTGGCGGTGCGGGTGCGGGCAAATCGGGGTGCTGTACCTTTCCCCTCATCACTGCCATGCAGCTGTATCGGAAGTGGCTACCCGTTGCAGCGTGCTACAACACATGCAGATAAATCGAATCTCTATCTACTTCCGGGGATGAATGGAACAATACAACCGTCTATCTGACATTGAAAGCAGTCGTTGTAGATCGATTTCTTTTGCAGTGAGTCAACAAACAAATACATCCCTACTGTTTCTTTCTTGGAATCACGAAGATGGGAGATGTTGGCTTGGTGATGGGCGTGGCGCATCGGATCATCATTCTCCAATTCTGGTATCCTGGGGTGAGTATTTACGGGATGCGGTAGAGGCACCGCCCTATTTGTACTACGGTCACGGCTTGCAGGCTTCGCTGCATATCGACCTTACGGGATCTTGCGTTCTTCATTGATGCCTTCCGGTATGTTGATATTCTGTGTGGGCGAGAAGGAAAGCTGCGTTCAATTCGCTGTCGCTCTAATCAAATCGTTTCGGGATGATGAAGCTTCAGTGAGGCATCATATCGATCGGTCGTTTGCTCAGCAGTCGACTGCGATTGTCTTTCACGATACTGCCGTAAGGACTGAGCGGCTCGTCGGCCCTGCTTTCCAGTCTGTGTTCTGTCATCATGAACGACTCCACTGACCATCCATCAAAAGGCGACATCTCACCATGCCGATCACAACATCTATCTGGTAAGGCGACTCTCGGACCTAACCTCAAAAGCTGCTGACTATATGGTTGCCTGCTCTCCTGTTGCAGACGAGACCACTGTATGATCCAAAAAGACCACGAGGAGCAGATGCTGAGATGAGGTTACACATGCCATACTCGGAGACGGATACCAGCATCAAATGATCTATCACTCATGTCGGAGATGACTTGCAGTTCGTATTTTCCAGGCATTGATGCACGTTTCTCGACTTTGAAAGATTACAAGGAGTCATGTGTTTGTCGGACGAGAGTAAGTTGTGACAAGCAGAGTGTTGGCGGTGCCTTGTCATCAGTGTCCCTTCGCCTCGAGGTGAGAATGCAAAGATAGAGACGGACTGAGACTCGAGGGACAGTGTTGCACAGGAGGCACTTGCGTCGATTGCATTCCTTGACCGCTTTGTCAGGTGCGGATCACGAGTCTTGAAGACAAATCATCTGCTACACAGTCATTCTTAGCAACACAACCTGCTTCTGCTGCGCCCGCTTACTATCGAGATACCCATCAAGCAAGACGGATCCATGAGGTGGAGATGGACACGTTGATGTCCCTGATGCCCTGAGATCCTCAAGCAATACGACCTCCCCCTCGTAAACGGATATCTCGGGCATTTGAAAACTGCAACGTCAATTTGGACTGCTTGCCTTTTATTGGAGCTTTGTGGATATAGCACTCTCGCTAAGTACGCATGACCCTGAATGCTCTGGAGATGAATGGAAGCCCTCTGGAATGATGCAACTTTGAGAGAGAAGCTCGAGCGGGCCGTCTGCGGAGTAAGCTATTTTTGGCACATACGAGAAGCTTGGCACACGAAGTCCCTGCCAAGCGATGGAGAGGCTCTGAGGTTGCATCATACAAGACCACTTGCAACGGACTATCAGGACTAACTTACTGGTCTGCTGACTTTTTATGCATGATCAGGAGTAGAGTAGGCCGATGATGGGCCATCTTTGCTGATCACAGGACCAAGTGCAACACTATGTTCCGTCTGCAGGCAGACTGAGGCAGTGTTTTGTATACGAAGGATTGCTTTCGACCTCCACCAACCTCCACCGGCGCAAGTAAGACAAAGGACTTCGTATAGTATGCTGCTGTAGGTTCGGCAATACGTGGGAATGATCGTCTCTGTGGAGAAATGCGGCTACTCCACCAGACACTGATGATGCTCGTATCCTCAAGTCAGACGTTCATGCTTGCTATGCGAAGAACGCCTGATGATCGACAAGAGTACGTGCTTGCGTACGAAAGACGAGGTCCAAGAATAGCAAAAGGCTCATTGCAACGAGAAGTCAAGATGCTCGAGTATAGCAGGAGCAGAGCTCCATGAGAAGGTATAAGAAGGCCATCACAGTCCTGCCAGAAGACAAGAACCATCAAACCAATTCAATCCACTCTTCTCATCTACAAATACCACCAATTCAATCCACATCTACCCAACTTGTCAAACCAACACACCACAACCATGCATTTCACCACCTTCACCGCCGCCAGCATCCTCGCTCTCGCCTCTTCCGCCTTCGCTGGCCAAGCCGCCATCAAGAACAACTGCCCTCAAGACGTCTTCCTCACAATCACCCGTCAAGACCAGACCTCGACGCAGCAAAAGCTAGCCGCAAACGGAGGCTACTACAGCGAGAAACTCCAAGGCCAGGGAAACAGCTACGGCCTCACAAAGGACAGCAACTACTACTCTCCCAACACTGCCAAGCTCATCTGGGGAGCTTCGGACAGCGCGGGAGTGGTTTACTATTCGCTCAACAATGTTGATGGAAACCCTTTCAACGGACAGAGTGTGAAGCTCACTGGAAACCAGCCTAACTGTGCTGCTGTCACCAGTGTTGATGGTAGCACAAAGGCTTGCTCGAACTCGAACGACTTTACTCTTACTGTGTGTTAGAAGGATTCTGTCTCGAGGCATTGAATATGGATATGGATATGATGAGTGATGGAAACGGTGGGAATATCAGAAGCACTCTTTAATGTAATCAACCCAATTCTTCTGAAGAATGCCCTGTTATAAAACTCCGGTTCCCGTGATGACATGTAGTATTGATCTGATGTGCTTTCTCTACATGTAATCATTGCTCTCTCTGACCATGATCTGATATGCGGCTCTTATATCAGGGGTAAAATGAAGCTACTCCACAAATTTCACATGCAAGAAGGTCTTGGCGCGTGTCAATCGTACGAGGGTAAACTTTTGGGAGATTGCTGGACATCCCAACCTGAGTTACGATATCTCTCTCGATTCAACCTTGTCAGGTTGCATTGATACGTCAAGATGGTTGCGAAGCGTCTGGCCGACGAAAAGACGGATGCGACGAGGTGGAGGCTTCGAGATATCGATGGAGAACAGACATGGCATTACTTGACCGAAGAACAAGCAAAGGAGTGGCCGCAGACGACAGCAGACAAGTACTTTCTCGGTCTGCCCACTGTGTGTAGTCATCGAGTCCAACAACTATCCTCAAATGGACAAGCACTGACACACGACAGGAACAACCCAACCTTCCTCACCCAAAGACCCCCCTCCAATCCGCCGAAAATGGTCTCGAATTCTTTTCCAAGCTGCAACTCCCTCCCGGCAATTGGGGCTGCGAGTACGGCGGTCCCATGTTCCTGATCCCCGGTTTCGTCATCGCCTGGTATGTCACAAAGACGCGCATCCCCGAAGCCTACAAGATCGAACTCAAGAACTATCTCTACGCACGTCAACACCCGGAAGATGGAGGATGGGGTCTACACATTGAGGGAGACAGCAGTGTCTTTGGAACTGCCATGAACTATGTTGCGCTGAGACTGCTGGGTGCTGATGCTGAGCACCCGCGTCTGATCAAGGCGAGGGCTCTGTTGCATAAGCTTGGAGGTGCCGTCAATGGCCCCCATTGGGCAAAGTTCTGGCTGAGTGTTTTGGGCGTCACTCCTTGGGATATCGTCAACCCTGTGCCTCCGGAGCTGTGGTTACTCCCTGATTGGGTGCCCATTGCACCCTGGAGATGGTGGATCCACATGCGTATGGTGTTCTTGCCCATGTCCTTCGTCTGGTCCCGCAAATGGTCTTTTCCCGCCGACAAGCTGGTCAAGCAACTCAGAGAGGAGATTTTCGTCCAACCCTACGAAACCATCGATTTTGCTTCCCACCGCAACTCCATCTCTAGATTCGACAACTACCACCCAAAGACTTGGGTTTTGAATCTCGTCAACTGGATCTTGGTACACATCTACAACCCTTATCTGCGAACACAATCGCTGGTCAAGCGTGCAGAGGACTGGGTCTGGTTCCTGGTCAAGCGCGAAGACGAAAACTCGGATTACGCGGATCTGGCTCCTGTAAACTCTCCAATGAACATGCTGTGTTGCTACATAGTTGATGGACCCGACAGTTACTCCGTGCGCCGCCACCGCGAGCGCCTGGAAGAATTCCTGTGGGTCAAGGACGAAGGCATGCTCGTCAACGGCACAAACGGAGTGCAGAACTGGGATACTTCCTTCCTCATCCAAGCCGTCGTCGAGTGCGGAAAGGCCGAAGACCCCAAATGGAGACCCATGCTGGAAAAAGCTCTGGAGTATCTTGAGCTCGCTCAAATCCGCGAAGAATGCGTCGATCAAGCCATCACTTACCGTCAACAGCGAAAAGGCGCTTGGGGCTTCAGCACAAAAGCCCAGGGTTACACGGTATCAGACTGCACATCCGAAGGCCTCAAATCAGTCCTGATGCTGCAATTCCTCCCCAGCTACCCGCAACTAATCTCCGACGAGCGCATCAAAGAAGCAATCGACGTACTGCTGACCATGCAGAACAAACACTCGGGCGGCTGCTCCAGCTACGAACCCCAACGCGGCTCCGAATACCTCGAATGGCTCAACGCCGCCGAAGTCTTTGGCCGCATCATGGTCGAATACGACTACCCCGAATGCACCACCGCCGTCGTAACAGCACTGACTCTGTTCGCAAAACTCTACCCGGGTTACCGCAGCCGAGAAATCGCAGTGTTCAAAAAGGGCGCTTACGATTACATCCGCAATGCCCAACGACCGGATGGATCCTGGTACGGTAGCTGGGCCATCTGCTTTACTTATGCCGGAATGTTTGCTTTGGAAGCGCTAGCTACCGCCGGTGAAAACCACACTAATTCCGCTCGAGTGAGAAAAGGCTGCCAATTCTTCATCGACAAGCAAATGAAAGACGGCGGATGGGGAGAAACCTACCGCAGCTGTGAGACAGGCGAATACTGCAATCACAAGCAAAGTCAAGTGGTGCAGACCGCTTGGGTGGTGATTGCGTTGCTTGAAGCTGGATACCCTGACAGAGCGCCTATCGAAAAGGCAGTCAGGCTGATCATGTCACGCCAACAGCCCAATGGCGAGTGGCTGCAAGAAGGCATCGAAGGTGTCTTTAACAAGAGCTGGTGAGTTTTTTTTCCTCCTTGATCGCCTCCTTTTTTGGAAAGCAACACGAAAGGAATACTAAACATATGAGAATAGCATGATCTCCTACCCCAATTACAAGTTCATCTTCCCCATCAAGGCATTGGGCATGTTTGCAAAAAAGTATGGCGATCTCGAGCTTCAGTAGACTACGGGACTTTGGGGAGGTAGACCACAGTGAGAGGTATGATGGATGGTTGATGGTCAATACTGAGGTCCAGTCGTTGAAAACGACTGGTAAAACACGAGTAACATGAAAACTGCAAATCAAAAAAGCATAACTAGCTTTCCTACCAAACATCAATCATGCATCCCCCGCGAGAACAAGAGTACGAGTGTGCACATCAAAAAGGGGTCAATTGGAGATGGAAAACAAGAGTGAACATGAACCATGTGTAAACAGAAGTTGGACTCGGTATTGGACCAAGAAAAAGGTCATGAATTGTATGCATCTTCTGTCTCTGTCACTCTGGAAACTCATTTTCCTCTGCAACAACCTCATCCGGAAACACTGCTTCTCTCGGGACGTCAGACTTCCTCCTCAGCGCAACAAAATAAGCCTCTTTACTCTCCTGTTTTCCCACCACACACGGCACTGGTCAGCCATCTACTCCACTTGACCAAACATCACTTCTCACTAAAGCGAAGTTTACAACAAACTCACCTTTCTGGAAGATTCAGGCTTTTCCTTGTGAACCTTGTCAAACAGCTTTTTCAGTCGATTCTCAAAGGCCTTGTCTTCGGCGCCTTGGTAGAATTTGCACATAAAGTGGCCGCCGGTGCGGAGGGTGTCGTAGCAGAAAGTCAGGGCAGCATTGCAGAGATCCTACCGATAGAGAAAAAAGGCCATTGCTTCAGCCAAATGTACAGTCTAAAGGGTGGGAAGAGAGAGAAAAAACGAAGGGAGATGATGTTGAGCAGAGACATAGAGGAAGGAAGAGTTGGAAGTAGGAAAACCCGAAGAGAGGTGGAGAGCAAGAGAAGACTTACCATGCTGCCGGCGTGATCGCGAAAGGCGGTGCCGCTCGTGTTCATCATCCTGAAATACGGGTTACTAACGCTCCTGATCCAGTGGCCGGTCGTCTGCTCCCAGGGTGCTGACATGTCACTTAGCACGATATCGACCACCCTGCCGTCGCGAAGATCCTTTTTCCGCACGCTGAGTTGTTCTTCCTCTTCTTTAGCCTCTGCAGCTGCTGCATCTTGCTGTTGATGATCTCGCTCTGCCTCTTCTTGCGGCCGTGTTTCTTGAGCTAGACTCAACACGCCGCGACTTTGGGCTTCGATGTCTTCTTCTGTGGCGCCTTCTTCCTCCTCGGCTGCCTCATCGGAGCCGCGTTTCGACATGACGACTTTTGCTCTCGCTCGCCCCAAAGTCGGATCTCGCACATATCGCCGCACTTCAGCCTGCACCTCTGCACTCAGGAAATTGCCTTGGATACTCGACGCGCCTCGCGGGGGTTGCGCAGGAATGATATCAATGCCCAACACTCTGCCGCCCGGACTCGTCCTGCTGACAGCGACCTGACTCCAACTCCCAGGCGCATAGCCCAGGTCCACTACAGTAGCGCCCTTGCGGAAAATATGGTGTTTGGAGTCGAGTTCGAGTAATTTGTAGGCAGCGCGAGATTTGAGGCCTGCGACTTTTGCTTCGCGGGCAAAGTGGTCGCGGGTCTGGCGTGTCTTCCACCGTGTCGAGGAGCTAGAGCCATATGCGACGGAGGTTCTGGATATGAGGGGAGTGGGTGTGAGAGCAGGAATTGCAGCTAGCGATGCTCCTATCGTCGGCAGTAGCGTGGGTGCTTTGGTGTGCTGTATGAGTCGTCGATGGGTCTGGCGGAGACAATTCATCCTTTGGACAGGAAACGCGTGATTGTTGCAGATTCTGGAAGATTGGAGGACGCGTGTACACAGGGTTGAAGGGCTAGAACAAAGGGCGATTGCGATGCAGATGCGATATCAAAAGACGAAAATGATGAAACACGCCAAAGGTCGAAGACAAGAAAACGATGATGCTTGTTGGAAAGAGCTGCCCAGTGCCAAGACCTGGCGAACATCTCTTTCCCTTTCCTACGCATGCGCTCCCGCAACAGCAGATGCACATCTGCAAAACATCACCAGACACGATCATCTCTGCTCCACAGCTCTCCATCCTGGACATAACACTAATCGGATATACATCAAATCTTTGTCTAGGCCTGCTGCATGGGAAGACACTCGCTGAACATTGCCCTTGATCCTTTCTCCTGCTCCTCACCCACCGCCCATCCCAATCTCCACAAGATCATTCCTTCCTTGTCAAGTGACAGTCAAGCAAAAGCTACATTTCAGCGAAGACGCGAATTGCCCCATCTGGATACACATGCATAGTAGACAAACACCAAAGGCAGATCCCCCTGACCAAACCCTCTCTGTCTCTTGCTGCCCTCAGACTCTGCCAAGCAAAAAGATCGTGAGGAGAAAACGATCTAAACAACAATCTCACTACCACATGCACTCACGTTATGTTCCTCTCGCCAAACAAAACTTTACTAGAGACCAGCATACACTCGTATTGCCCCATGTAGATAATGCTTGTTGAACCTGCGGAAACAAGAAGCGAAGCTGAGACAAATAGACCGTTGACGTGATGGAGGCCTGTTCCGCTGATGTCTCAGATCAGAGTTTCTGTCAACGAAATGGCATCGGCTAGACTTTACTCTTTTTTTTGGCGTGTAATAAGGACTTCGCTGATGTGTGGACACTGCTGCTATTTTGTAGAAGAAATCTTCTTTTCTTATAGAGATTACCTGTGAAGAAGAAGAAGATGTCGCTCTGCTTATCTACAAACACCTCCAAATGATTTCTCTATACACTTTTTGCTACCAAAACATCCTCTCGGGCATCATGTTCCTGCATAAAGATGACTCTAGCGGAACCCCCACCATCTCCCACAATCTCAACTTCTCGACCGCATCGAGCGACCGATAGACCCAGCAATAGGGCCGAAACAATGGACACGCTGGCTCTAAAGGATTCGCTTGGGTAGGAGCTGAAGATCCAAGAAAAACACACACACCCGAAAAGTCCAGAAGCTGAAAGTTGCTAGTCAAAAAGTAGGTTCATCTCTCTCTTTCCTCCGAGACACGGGACGGCAGAGAGAGAGAAAAACATGACACACACCTGACAGTTTGCACATGCACAGGATTCGACATCCCGCTTCTGTCGGTCTTGCTGCTAAACAAAGGCTTGTGAACCCTTTTTGATAAACAAAGATCGCAAACGGTCGGAGATTTGTTTGCTGGTTTTATTGGTCGTGATATTGTGGATACATTTAGAAATGGACATGGGCATGCCGTCCCGCAGGAATGTGCTGTACACAATGGTCTAGACCGTGGACTTTTGGCAAGGAAACGAACGAGACATCTCACTCCAAGTGATCATACGAAAAGGCAGGTATGAGGAGGGAGAAAGGCAGAGACAGAATAAAGCATCATATGTAGAAGTTTATCTTTCATTTCAATTTCATATCAAAAAATGGTGGTGTGGAGAACAAAAAGACATGGGATTGGTGGTGGTGGTAAGAACAGCCCTGTTCAGTACAATGTTTCTGCGTTTGGTTCTCCCTTTGCCAGTCCTACCTCTCAAACACCGTTTTCAATGTCCAGCTCTTTGTCCATGCAAGAGAGTGAGAAAAATGCCAGCGGTGTGTGGAAGGAGAAAGATCAAAAAGAGCAAAACATACTTCGAGCTCAGCTCAAAAGGCCAACAAGATGTTGCGGTGGCAGGTTTGGAGGATAGTATATATATAAGAGATTGCCAGCAGATCGGGAGAGGTTTGATGGTGAAAATCAGGGAAAGGGGTATCATTCTTCGTCGGAAGATTGAAACACACAAAGGAGATTTGCAATTTGCAAGTTGGAGCAATGTTTTGGGGCATAATAGGGAGCAAGCTCCCACCCAAAGGAAGAAGTAGGAGCGACCAAGTCAATGGCATTCCATAAAAGGTTGTTGACCTCGAGCCTATTACATATTAGGCAGGAGAGGAGTGGGTTGAACATTTTTTCTTCGAATGCTCGGGCTGTTTCGTGAACGAATGGCCAAGGGGCAGGATGGAAAACATGATATGGCGTTCCCAGCGCCAGGATGTGGAGAAATGGGGTTGGGTAATAGGGTACCGCGATGGATCTTCAGATCCACAGAAGCGACCTCGTGAAGAAGTGAAGAAGAATCAAGGAAATATGCGATCAGTATTGATGACGGACATCCCTCTTAGGGCTCGGAGGAGCAGTGGAATGGTGCGATGAGTAATGATGCTGCTGATGACTCTTGCTTGGCGGAGCACCCCTTTCATAGACAAAGTCAAGATGTGTAGCAGGAGCACCACTGTCACGACGATGCGAAGATTGACCGGGAACAGCGCGAGGTGAGGCGTTGCTACGGCCAAGGTCCTGGGCAGGGCCAGCTTTACGTCCGGAAGAAGTGGTGGAAAAACTCGGGCTTGATTGAGATTGAGCTGGAAGCGACGATGGCGGCGGAGGCGGCTGGTGGGCTTGCTGGTTCTTGCGCTTGCGAGGGCTGTCTGCTGGGTGGTGGCCGGCTTCAGCATTGTGCGATGCACCTGTGCCCGTGACTGGGGTCTGCGGCTGGTTACCCGACTTGGAGTCAGCCTGTGACGTCGGTGGCACCCAGTGGTGGAAGTAGATGGACGGTGACGAGGCCGGCTGGTCTTTCTGAATGGTTTGAGTCTGATGCAGAGGGTGAGCGCTGCTCGGCGCCGACGGAGGTGGATTGACCTGCATGTCTCCAGTTGTCAGACGAGGCAGGGTGGATTGAGCCACGGATGACCGAGGCGCTCCAGGAATCCGTCTGCCTGGAGGTGATGTCGATTGGAAGGCAGAGAAAGTCGATTGATGGGCAGCCAGCGGTGGCGGAGGCTGTTGGGGCATGGCGCCAGCATGTGCCTGCGATTGCGGTTGTGAAGGCAATGCATACGGGGCTGGAGGCTGGTTGATGCTTCTTCGTTCCCTTGCATCTTCCTGGCCGGACTGCTGGAGCTGTTGTTGAGCGGCCTGGAGTTGAGCAGTGTATTGTTGCAAGACCTCGAGGCTGAAGTTGGCCAGGTTGGCACCGCCGATTCCTGCAAAGATCATGGGCACCATATGCGGAGGAATGCCACCCTGCATTGACTCTCGCAGCATTGAATGTTCGACCCGTCTCTGCTCCAATCTCAACGACTCCTGCCGTGTCTTCTCTTCCTCTTGCCTTCGTCTCTCCTCTTCAACCCGAGTCGCATGCCAGCTACGCGATGATTCCCCTTCGTCCTGCCATTGCGTCCTTTGGGCCTCATGGTGGATATGCGCCGGCGCTTGCACCGGTGGCGGCGGTGGGGGAATCATTGGCGGAGCCCTCCCTGGATCCGGCAGGGTCATGGCCGCTGGTGGAGGCAAGCCTCTGTGTTGGTTCGACATGGTTGGGGTGATACTGGCCGGCAGTGGAGGTCGTACAGCGTCGTTCGTCATGGACTTTGGAGAGTATCTGGGTAATTGTGTCGATTTAAAGTCATGCGTAGCACGTGCGCCAAAATCTGATTTCCCGGGCTGCGATAATGTGAGCAACATGGTCGAGCCTTGTCCAGGTCCGGGGTTTAACGTTTAATGAAACACAGATCGATCCCGAGCATTGAAAGTGGTATATACAGCAGGGCCCCGATCCGAGGGAATGTGCTTTCGAAACGACAGGAACGAGGAAGCGTCAAATGGGAAATGATGTGGAAATGCGAGAGAGAGGGTTCGGACAAAAACAAAAATCCAAAAGCGTAGAAAAAGGGACTGGGGCGCAAACATACGGTTTTTGGGAAGACAGAGTGTGCTGCGTGACGTCTCTTTCTGCTTCGCCCTGGGAGGGGGGTTGTGGTGTTGATGCAGATGCAGATCCGTACACTGATTCGTTCGCCTTAGTATACCCGTTGCAACTAGTCCGCTTTAGCCCGCGACCGGGTTTCGAAGCACGCGCGACCGAAAGGCAGGTCTGGCCGCCTCTGGGTGGATGCTTTCACGCTCGTCAAGGGACGACCCGCGATGACTGGTGCAGCGTGTCCAAAGAGGCTAGACTCGGTGCAGCTGCTGTATGCGCAATGTAACACCAGCACGCTGCTTTCTGTCGGGTCAGGGCGACCCAGCAAAATTGATGATTGATCCTCGGCGTGCGCGCGCGTCTGAGTCTTGGGCTTGTGAAATGCCGACGCGGACGATGGAAACGACAAGTGCGGATGATAATGATGAAAGATGATGGTGATGATGCTGATGGGGTCGATGCTCGGATCTGAATCTCCTCTTTTTGATGCGCGTCCAAGGGCTGACCTCAACTCATTAGAACTTCTTACGTGAAGATAGCGTCCACTTAATAAGTATTGCACAGTCCTCGGACCACCCGCTCTGTGTCTTGTCGACACGACAAAAGCGACCGGGCTCGCGTATAGGATCAAACAATAGAGGCAGGCAGGTGAGCAGAACGTCTTCGTGAAACATCAACGGTCCATCAGTTATCAATCCGGAGGGTTGGTGGGATAGAGGGCCCCATGGAGCCGTTTTACGAACAGCAAAGGTGGCTTTTCCTCTCTGGCAAAGACGCAAGAATCGAGTGGCGCCCCAGCCATCGCTTGTTCCGCAAGATTGTGAGATCGAAGGAAGAGCAGCCCAACCTGTGTTCACCCAACCTGCATGTCATCACGCTGCTCCAAAAAGGATCCGTACTCGAACCCCCATCGCGATCTCTCTCTGGACAACAAGATTAGGACTTGCTTGACGACCTCTTCCGAGCTCTTGACACATTTTGGCGAACTCTGCGGCGGCTCCGGGAAATTGCTAGACTGCGTAAAACTGGAGAAACCACGCAATCACCTGAATCCTTGCACGCGCTCCTGCCCTTTTGTCGAATCATACGCCAAACCTCATATTGGACAAAAGATCTTTCTGATGCTCATGCGGCTAACCATGACGGTCAAGTAAAATGCTGATCATTCTCGATCCGAGCCCTAGCTCCTCGGATCGCAAAGAACGTCTTTTTCAAGATCATTGAAAACGGCTCTGTCGGCCATCCTGGCTTGGTCGGTCGTCGTCGTCCTCTCAACTAGAATATATATTAAAAATATGGCTAGGCGTGTGTATAAGCTCCATCACATGCAAACTTGGGGGGCCCGCTTCACTGAATCGAACAAAACCGATGGCCGCCATCTTATTTCCCTATGGTCTTGTGGCTTAACAATGTCCCAGATGAGCTTATCCACAATCGTAAACAGTCTTTGTTCTCGGTCCTGCACGAGTCACTTGTTAGTGGAGTTGGGTTATTACGTGCAGCTGGCTGCACCCGAGCTTTGGTCATGTCTCGTGCCTGTCTCTGTTCCATGTCCGCTGTCATCTTGCGAACTACCTTGCCGTGATGTACACGAAACAAGGGACTTCCCGCCTTCCGTGTCCGTCCATCGGGTTGTTCCTCGAGCCGGATGAGACAGGCAGAGAGAAACCGTCTGAACGGTTTTCACGGCAAGCAGCAGCAGGAGGCTGTGCGCGCGGACGTTGGAATGGACCGTTGGCAAGAAGGGTGCGACATCTTAGCACCCAGCACTCCGCTTCGCCTAAAGCCACCCCTCCACGGCTCGAATTTCTCAAGCAGGAGGAGAAGGTTGCTGACAGGCCGTTGCACCCCAGTCCAAGGCTTGAACTCTTTTCTCGCTTCGTGCGATGTTTCCACAAGGGCGACTTCACATTTTGCGACTCGGAGTCGCGCAAAGCCGCCGCACGAAAAGATCGACGAAGAAGATCATCAAAGTAGCACTCGTGGTCTTTGCATCCTTTGCGTGCGTCGCACGCTATGTACAGAGGGTACGTTTCTTCTCTCGCTCATCTCTGCAAGGATGATGCCTTTGCCGATTTTGGTGTTGCACATCACTTTGCCCAAATGCGAACATGCTACCGAGAAGTGCTCCAAACTGCCTTTGTCTTCGGTAGAAGCTGTTGTCGATGCCCCTCCCACCCCCCAAAAAAAAAGTGTACAGGCTTCAGCTACCCGTCATTGCGCAGAGCCGGTGCGGTTGCTTGAGCAGTGGACCGCGAGACGGCGAGATGCCTTGAGCAGAAGGGGAGTCGAGCTCCATCCAGCAGCGGCAGCAGCTTAAGCGCAAAAGGCAGGGGCGAGAGAATCAAATTTCCGAATTGCTCCAAACATGTCTCTACGCGCCCGCCCCGTTGCTCTCTTGCGCGCTTCCCGTTGTTGGGCGCCGGGGTGCGGGATTGCTCTTTCGATCAACTTGAAACACAGCAGTTGACCCGTTGTGGATGCTCGCCAGCGAGGTTGGAGGCAGGTGCTTCCGTCATACATGCTCTTTTCGATAAACGACTTTACAGGTCTCGAATCTTTTTGGGAGGTGAGCAGAAATCCCCCTCCCGTCTTAAGATTGGATGTGGGTCTAGAACTTTGTTTGTTCATGTATCGTTACGGTCAGTTTGGGAGGACAGACAGCCAGCCATGTTTGACTCTGCCATGACCCATGCTGCTCGTACTAACACTTGACTTTGGCAAGGCTTGCATCGGTACGCGCTTGGGAGGTCGATGGTGACCGACTCGCAGAGGCGCCGTCTCACGCATTGATTGCGCGGTCCGTTGCTGCGGCGGGTCTACCAGCGTCTCTGTCTTTTTGGTTCTGCAGGGACTTTCTCACCGCTCATGAGGGCGTTTACCGGGTTTGCATCATTGCATGGTGTTTGTGGATGAGCTTAAGCAGGACGCCATGGTGACCGGACTCGAGGCGAGCGTGTTGCAGTCGGATCATTCCACATGACTCTCGTCAGTGTGGCAAAGGATAAGAATATGACGACGCTCATGTCCAAGCGAGCCTTGCAACATTCGATAGATTCTAGTCTTTTCCTTGCAATGATGATGTTGGGAGAATAAGCGATGCGCAATGGAAATGATGATCACAAAATCTTGATGCAGAATTGGATCAGTGGCTTGGACATTCACCTTGATAATGCCGAAAATGCAAGAGGAGACACAGAAACAAAAAGAATCCATTTGTGCTCCAACGACAGCTGAGCAACAAGGTCACGGCTTGTCACATACAGGCAAAAAGCAGATCCATCGTCGCATGCTCACTCGTGGCTGCACGTGGCTGTCACGCTGTTTTCCTTCCTTTTTCGAAAGTAATTCCAGATGATCATGTACTTGCACTCTCTGCAAACGGAAATGATGTGTGAGAAGAGAAAATCTGAAAGGTAAGATCGGCTGTTCGCTCAAGCGTCGTTTCTTGGCCGATGATCACGAATGGGACACTCGGCCAACCACATACGGTACTCATACACGCACATGTCCGGCTGCAACTCTGTTGACCTCGAGGTCGTATCTTTGGCTTTTCTCTGGTCGCAATCATTGCCATCTTTGTGCTAGATCTTACGAAGGACACAACAATGTAACCATTTTATCTCCTTGCTAAGCCTAGCTCGAGCTCCCACTAATTATTTCCGGCTTCTCGTTGCTTTCAACTTTGCATCTCATTTCGCCACTGGTCGCCTTTCTTTCAGCTGGTCTCCTTGTCAGATACGAGAAACCAAGCCCTGAGAGATAGGAAACAGGGCAACTGGAAGAGAGATTGCCTTGGGCAGCAGCTGGCAAAAGTAGCTTTGCCCTAATTCTCCGTCGCATCCTACTCGAAAACACTCGAACCCACTTTGCGATAACTCGATTTAGACATGAACCGCGAACCTCGAAGAGTTTTTGGTCTGGACATCGCTGTGAAGTCTCATGACTCACACGTCGCTATATGCTCTTGAGGAAAGCAGAAGAGGGTTTGCATGAAACGAATTGTGGACGCCCAGATAAAGTGAATGTGGTTATATTCTTGTGGCATTGCTTGACTATGTCTACACTATCCAGGGTATCTAGTCTTTGTGGTTCCTTATCTCAAACTTTTACATGGCTGCATTGTCCGCACACATCTCACTGAGTACTTCAGCAAATCTGCCAGTCTTGTCCTGGTCCTGCTTAGCTGTCTGAATAGCCAGCAAGATACTTGACACTCCGACGTTGATGGTCTTCGAGCCGGTGGTCTCCTCGACTTCTCCAAGTGCGCGGTTGATATCAGAGTCACTGAAAACGCCGCTTTGCTTCATGACAACTGCCAGCTCGGACTGCGTTTGGATATTAGGCACTGGAATTTGTGCGGAGAAGTCGAGCTGGAGCTGTTGTAGCACACTACGCGATGATGTTGTGGCGAATATAAGCAGGGGTCTGCCCTTTGGCGGCTTGTTCTGCATCATGCCCTTCAGGGCGGCTAGTACACTCGCACTGAAGCGAGGCCCCACGGGTACCCAGTCAATAAGCAACTCGATGTTGTCAAGAACAAGTACGTTTTGAGGACTCTTGTAGGCGTCTGTGAAGACCTTTTGGATGTATTGAATCTTCTGGATCTCGTTCATGCCAACAATGTCAACAGGCTTGATGAGCTTGATAAAGGGGAATTCCGAGTCCAGAGCCATCTGTGCTGCAAGAGCTGTCTTGCCGCTTCCACGAGGACCGTAGAGCAGTACAGACAACAGCGGTGTGTCTCCAGAACGAACTTGATTGACAAACAGACGACCGCGTTCGAGGATGCTGTCAACGTGCTTGCCAAAGTGGATGATGCCGCCCTCAACACAGCGGTCAAGCTCTTCTTCGGATACACCAAATAGAGGATGCACTTCGCTGAGAGCGCGGAGAAAGTCTTGATGCATGACTTTCATGTCGGCGATGCTCTTCTCGTCGATAGCGGCCACTGTGCCAACCTTGATATGACGTTGCATAGCGAAACTTGTGGCGCTCTTTACCAAACCGTTGATTTCGGCACCACTGAAGTTACGTGTCAGTTGAGCAAGCTCCTGAAGGTTGACGTCGTCGCCCATGACTTTGTTTTCGCGCATTTTGGTGGTATGGATCTTGAGGATTTGTGTTCTGCCATGCTCGTCGGGCAGTGAAATCTCCATATGCACCTCAAGACGACCAGATCTGAGAAGAGCTTCATCGATCATGTCTTTTCTGTTGGTCATGCCGATAAGCAGAATGTTGTTCAGTTGGTTGACACCATCAAGCTTGGACAACAGCTGGTTGACAACGCTGTCACCAACACCAGTACCACCGCCAGCTCCTGAGCCTCTCTGCTTGCAGACAGCATCCAGTTCATCAAAGATGATGATGTGTAGGCCAGATTCGTCACCCTTTTCCTTTTGCTCTTTCTCGGCGTCCTCGAACATCTTTCGGACATTCTCCTCAGACTGACCAACATACTTGTTAAGGACTTCAGGACCGTTGATGACCTTTGGCTCTCTGGCATTGAGCATTTTTCCGATCTGTCTAGCGATCAAGGTTTTGCCGGTTCCAGGAGGGCCGTAGAGAAGAATACCACGGACGTGCTGAATACCGAGCTTATCTGCAAGACCAGGCGGGAAGATTCTTGAGGCGAAAGCACGACGGAAGATGGCGGCGAACTCAGTGTCGAGACCACCAATACCCATGTTCTCGAATTTGAAGTCAGGTCGGATGACCGAGTTGGGAGCTGCACGACGGTTGGAACCCTTGATGTTGATACCAGTCTTGGCGTCCTTGTAGTAGTTTATGGTCGTCCCGTTGAACAAGATACCGCGCGACTCCGGTGATGACGAGGGAGCCTGAGATTCGGTCTTCATGGCCAAGTCGCCTAGTTCGACCGTCTTCACCGTCATCTTGAGAGGAGTACTTTTGAAGTCCATGAGGAGTTGTTGACCAGGAGCAAAGATTTGGTTTTTGAAGATCTCAGTAAAGGCAGCAGCGAGCTCATCCTGATCGTAGGGTGTTTCGACTGTCTTTTTTCCGGCAAAGCCGACTTCTATGTCTAGGTTGCCCAGATAGCTCGAAGCGCCCTGTGAGAATGGATCGTAGAACTGGACGTCGAGCACGTCGACCAAGGCGATTTCCATCCATGCTCGTTGAGGCTCGGAGAAACTGATCTTGCCGCTCTCGAAGCCAGGCTCGATGCGAGCCGAGACGACATATTTTCCTTTAATGAGTAGGTAGAGGTCGGAGCCATCGGGATTGGGTGCAAAGTCTTGAGGCGATACAGCGCATCTGGAGCAGACAGAAGTTAGGAGTGAGGTGAGGTAGAAAGTGAGAAGTTAATGAGTGCGACATACCTGTTGCGAAAGACAAAGTCACTGTTGGGATATTTCTGTGGCATCAGCTTCATTGCTCTGACTGATGGTCTCGAAGACTTCTGGTCGTGATAGGTTGGTGGGGGTTGCTGGGGGCGACGCGATGGAGAGGGCTGCTGCTGGCCGCTTCCGAACGGATTGGGTATTGTTGGAATGTTGTTGCGATTGAACATGGCTGCGATGGGCTTTTTGTAGGCTCGTAGGTAGGCACCAAGAATAGAGTGGCAGGTTGTCAAGAGCAACTTGTCAAGAGCAACTTGTCAAAAGCTACTTGTCAGGAGCAGGTGACTACCTGGTTGTGTCCAGAGATGCGTCTATGAAAAGCGGCTTCGGTGGTCTTGTCCGTCGAGAGAGGTGGGTAGGCAGCAATTGAGGAAGAACGAGCAGGTGTTGTCAGGACAGGTGGTTTGGTTTCAGAGGCGCGACGTTGACAGGCGGCCTCGTCGCTCTTGCCTCAGCGCTGTCGACAAAGTTCAAGCTGCGTCACTCGAAATCTGGGGAAGCTGCAAGCTGCCCATTCATGTCTTTGTCTTTGTTCCTTCTTCGATCTTTTCAACGTCGCCGCTTTGAAAAAGGAAAAAGTCACTCGAGCCAGAAAATGCAACTCGATTCTGATCGTGAAAGCCAGGTCTAGGTACAGGAGAAAGTGGCGAGAGAAAAGAAAAGAAGAAAAACGCAAAAACCACAGCCCTTGAATACCGCCTTCCGTAGAAGGCCCTCTCGTAATGCAGCAATCCATCCCAAGCCAAAAACGCCTTGCTCTTATCTTTGTAGAGTCTTGTCGGAAAACATCGAATGCCAGATGCATTCGCCGTTTTGGCAGAAGGTCTGAGAGGATAGTCGATAGTGTCGTTTGGTTTGCGATCATCTGTGTCTACGAAGGCACATTAGCCTGCTGCAGATTTGACAGGAAGTAAATCTACGCCTTCTCGAGACTAGTACACATCTCTGCGTGCATAGCCTCGATCGTCGTACATCAACGGATCTACTGACCGATATGTACCACTGCCTCTACGACTAGGCTTTCTTCTAGGTGCACCGACGCTTGACTGTTCCTCGATGACTTCGACAATGTCATCTCCCTCGACCCTTCTCTCAGGCTCGACGATGAAGCTGCTTCTCATGGGTGGTGCTGCGCGGCTTGAGTCTCTGACAATTCTTTCTTGACGTATAACGCGTTCGGGTCCTCGGCTGACGGAGCGCATCTCGGATCTGCGGCGTCTTCTGGGCGAGCGTTCGTGGCGGATAATGACTTCTTCGTCGGGTTGCTTGTTGCGGCCGCTTGAGAGAGTTTGGATGAGCCAGACAAGGAGGATGAAACCAGCGACTGATCCGAGGGTTGCGCCGACGACAGTGCCGGCATCAGGGCCACTGTCAAGGCCATAGTAGACTGTAGGGATGGCGACCATGCTGTCTCTTGCTGTCAAGAACTGAGGCTTACTTGTCTGACGTCCGACGATGCCTGGCAGTGCTCTCTTGGCAAGTATCCAGGGCACTGACATGGCGTTGATTGTTCTGGCCTCCACCGGAGAGGTGCTGCCGTAGTCGAGGGCCGACATCGAGTATGTGTGTTGTTGATTCCGAAGTGAGAGATTAGCGACTGTATGTAGCCGTTTGCTTCGACGTATTTGACGCTCGGAGGTTGCGAGTGAAGGAAGCTCGGCGGGTGTAGCTTCGATTTATGCGATTGGTTCAGGATGATGGCAGTAACACGGCTCTCTGACGTTAAGATGTTTGGGTAGCAAAAGGAACAAGTGAGTGAAAGTTAGGCGATATGGACAAGTGAATAGGAATGATCAGAAGAAGGAAAAATGCAAACGACCGAGATACAGGTTCTGATGGTACTTACGTAGTGTTGCTGCAAGAGGCGGCTGGGGTGGCTGGTAAGACTACTTCCTAGGCGACTTGTTTCGAAGCCATCACGATAATCACTTCCGGAGTCACTTGAGTACCTTTTATGGCCGAGAGAAGGTCACTTCCTCGAGCTTCATGTACTACCGTCCAAACTGTTTTCCCCATGTATCACCAATAAGAGCATGCGGGTGAGCGGTGCATCCGTTCACAAACAGCTTCAACGCGCTTGACGCGCAGCGGCTGTGGGGTCAAGCAAACCAAGTCGGCATCAAGCTCGGTTCGCCTGCTGTTCCCAGCTCCCACAACGTCTATCTCGACTTTCGAGAGACACCAACGATCCGCGTTCCAGTCTGTCCTCACCTTGACAATCGCGTTTTGTATTCGGAAAAAACATCGTGTGTTGTTGAGATTGTTCCTCTCTCTCTGTGATTAACAAGAATTACAAGATTACACTGTTCGTCCTAAGCCTCGCCATGGGGATCGAACTCATGTCCACGTCCGTCGTCACGTAGATGTTGTCGTCTGGACTGAGCAGGCTGTTATCTGACGACTGTCTAGACACTGTCGTCTGCCCGCCACTTTGGATGGATGTCTTCAGCTTCGATTCCGCTGCTTGCGGACCCCAGAGCGCTGGTATCGAACTCTTCCGATTCGATCCTCCCTCGCCGTACTTCGAGTTTGGTCCACGGGAAACCTCGACAGTACTCTTCATCTGACCGTACCATCTACTCAGGATTGGTTTGTAGCTGGGGACCGAAAGAGCTATCAGTGTTCCGCCGATTTCTGCTACCTCAATGACTAGTTGTGGATCGTAGTACCATGAACCATCGGTCCGCCACTGGCCAACGACACAAAGCCAGAGACGTGCGCATGATATGCTGCAAATCGATCAGTATACATTCCAAGACTCTTCTCATTCGTCCAACATACCCAATGACGAGCGTTCCCGGAAGCAATACGAGGGCCAATACTATCTTACGACCCTTGGGAAGTTGCAAGATCGAAATCATTGCTATCGGGATGCTGAACAGAACAATGTCGTTCACGAGCGACAGACCTGAGTTTGTCACGTAGACAACGCCCCAATTAAGACATTTGTAGGTCCTGTCCGTTGTTTGCCATGCGTAAGGCCAGAGTCCGGTACTATCAACAAGTCAATTATCGTCCAACATGGCCGTCATGAGCGTGCTTACACTGGAAGGCAGTGGAGAAGAATGAGCAAGAACTGCACAATGAAAGCTGCGGTCAAGAAAAATCCACACGCCCAGATGGAGATGCGGAAAGTTGGATGCGAGCTACAAAGGCGTGAAAAGAAGGCAAGACCACTCAGTCGGCAGAAGTATAAGGTGGCCGTGTATATCAGATGGGCTGCGTAGTCGACCACTTCTGTTTCCTCAACCTCGGGCAAAGTGAGGACGTATTGAATGTACTCGATATGCCGACCGCTGCCTTCGTATATCAGGACCAAACAGAGGGCCATGAAAGCAGTAAAGCACAACCACGAGAACGCTGCAATGGAGTCATCGAGGCCGACGCTCTTCACGATGAAGATTCGAGAGGCAAATCTGCAGATGAGCAGAATGGTGGTGATGATGTAGATTGCCAGTATTCCAGTGATGGCGGGTCCATCGCGCGACTCGCTCAAGTATTCGGGCGTGATGTACGATATGTTTGTAGGTACGCGTCCTTCGGCGTAGGCCTGGGCGACATCGATGGCGACCATGACGGCGGCGTCAGGACAAGTTGAATGTGCGTATGAGAGGAGAGACCCACGCGATAGATTAATATTTCATGCAAGAAGAAAGGAGATGTCCAGGATGCTGGGACAGCTATCTACCGATCATAGGGTTCGGAACCTTTGCCCTCAGATTTTGGCAGTGCGAGGTCCGGGCGTGGTTGATCTATCGTTCAGACATGGAGGGTTCCACAAGTGGGAATGGTGCTGCAGCTTAAGCAAACCTTGTAGCTGAAGTTCCTACAACGCGTCCATACAGCAGTGTTGCTGCTCCGAGAAGGTTTGTCAACGGCAGATTAAAGTTTACCGGACCAGTTCGACCGCACTTTAGGTCTGTTGGTCCGGATGGCAAAGCCGCCGAACAGTTCATGTGAACACAGGAAGGAGCGCGAGGTACGTGCGTATTCAATGCTCGTGTCGATCAATGGCAATGGCAATTCTGCCGAATGAACATCTAATTCCCTCAGAGTACAACACAAGACCTTCTTTCTTTCCATATCATATCATTTGCAAGGGTGTTTGGACGTTGTCATCTTCCATTCGACCGGTGATGCAGATCATAAACTGTCTCACTGTTGCGGTCACGCTTGGCTTCGCCAGCGCTACCCGTAGCTTCCAAAACGCTTCCATTGTGAGTTCCAAAAACAATCTCGATGGTGATCGTCGAGCTGAACAGAGACATAGGACTATCCAGAGTATGGCTTCCCTCTGCTGCAGGATGTCAATAACACAGAGCTGTTGTTTCCTATGCCAGCATGCCACGGCTTCGTGATAGCGGAGAAGAGCATCGAGGAGCTTCAAGAGTACATGAGCTCTGGAAATCTCACATCAGTTCAGCTCACGAGCTGCTATCTGCAGAGAGTTTTCCAGACTCGCGACTACCTCAAGTAAGTGATTGTGGTACGCAAGATTCGGAACGGCACTGATGAATGCACAGCACTATCCTCGAGGTCAATCCCGATGTCTTCGATATCGCTGCAGCCATGGATGAGGAGCGCCGTCGTGGCAAGATCCGTGGCCCTCTGCATGGTATCCCATTTGCAGTCAAGGACAAGTACGACTTCAGCCTTCCCGTTTCATCGCCTGGTTACTGATGGTGTTGCAGCATTGCCACAAAAGACAAGATGCAGACGACTGCTGGATCATGGGCACTGCAAGGAAACATTGTACCTCGTGATGCCTACGTGGTGAGCAACCTTCGTGCAGCCGGTGCCGTGCTGTTCGGCAAGGCCACTCTGTCCGAATGGGCAGATATGCGTTCCAACTACTACTCGGAGGGATACTCTGGTCGTGGCGGCCAATGCAGATCCGCATACAACCTTACAGTCAACCCGGGAGGCAGCAGTTCTGGAAGTGGTGTTGGTGTTGCAGCCAACGTTTTCCCTTTTGCTCTCGGAACAGAGACCGACGGGTCTGTTATCAACCCTGCTCAGCGCAACGCTATTGTTGGTTTCAAACCGACCGTTGGACTGACTTCTCGCGGTGGCGTCATCCCTGAGTCCCTGAACCAGGACACCGTTGGTGCTTTTGGCAAGACCGTTCGCGATGTCACGTATGTTCTCGATGCCATCTACGGTGTGGACAGCCATGACAACCAGACCTCTGCCCAGATTGGCAAGACACCCAAAGATGGTTATACACAATTCTTGACCAACAGAACTGCACTCAAGGGAGCGACTTTCGGCATCCCATGGAACAGCTTCTGGGTCTATGCAGATGCTCACCAGCAAGAGGTCCTCCTTGACCTCGTCAGCTTGATTGAGTCTGCCGGCGCCACCATCGTCAACAATACCGAGCTTCCCTATTACAAGACCATCGTTTCTCCCGACGGTTGGAACTGGGACTACGGCAGCACTCGTGGCTACCCCAATGAGAGTGAGTATACCTACATCAAAGTCGACTTCTACAACAACATCCGCACCTACCTAGCCGACCTCAACAACACCAACATCCGCTCGCTCGAGGACCTCGTCCAATTCAACTACGATAACGACGGCACAGAGGGTGGCTACCCCTATGCAAACGGCAGTGGTATTCCTGCTTTCACCTCCGGTCAAGATGGCTTCTTGGCCTCGCTAGCCACAAAGGGAGAGATGAACGCAACTTACTGGTCAGCACTCAATTACTGCCGCTACACCACCCGCGAAGCAGGTATCGATGCCGTGCTGGCCATGGGACCCAACGGTACTCAACTCGATGGTCTGTTGGTTCCTCCAGATGTCGCACAGGCACCCCAGATTGCTGCTCAGGCTGGCTATCCCATGTTGACCCTGCCTGCCGGTACCCATGAGAACGGCATGCCATTTGGACTGGCACTCATGCAGACTGCTTTTGCAGAGGACAAGCTTGTCAAGTGGGGATCTGCTATCGAGGATTTGCAGTGGAGCTCAAAGACACCTCACCAGAGAACTCTGCCCCAATGGCGTGATTACTTGGTCAGAAACATCCCTGTGACTTAGAGCATGGAGAAAAGTGGAGGACTGAAGCGCTAGTTGTACATAGAAGTGGGTGTGGTCGTAGAAGATCAATTAGAAAGCGAACATTGCAATTACTAGAAGAGCACAATCAAAAGTGCAGAACCAAACGCAAAGAAACACAGTCCTCAAGTCGCAAGACTTATCACAAAACCCCCTCCTGATATCACTGCTCCACTCGCCCAAAGAAAAAAACGCCTCAAACCCTCTGCCTAAAACAGCAAATGCGTGATCACCTAGAACAAAATGTCCAAACAACAACAACAAGCCAACGCACTCAACACACCCGCACAAATACCTCCCGCACCACTCCCACTCTGTTGCTGCTGCTGCACATAACCCTGAGGCGGCGGGTATCCCTGCTGTTGGTAATACATCGGTTGCTGACCACCGTATCCTTGCTGTGGTGGGTATCCTTGCTGAGGAGGGTAGCCTTGCTGTTGTCCAGGAGGCATGAACCCGCGATGCGGGTCTGGCGCGGGAGAGGCATAGCCTTGTTGTGGTGGGTAGTAGCTGTTTTGGGGTGCGGCGGGTGCGGAGGAGTCGGCGTAGTAGTTTGCTGCTTCGCCGCCGCCGCTGGTGGCGCCGGGGGCGGAGTAGGTGGGTGGTGGGCCTGAGGGGGCGTCCTGTGGTAGTTGTTAGTTTGGTGTTTGTTGTGGGTGCAGAGGAGTCAACGTACGTATTGACCCATAGCTTTGTAAGAGCGAGGTAAAGGTGTTCAGATGATAGAGGCGCGAGATGCGTGTGGGATGCTTTGTCTCGGTCGAAAGGGCAGATGGAGCGCTATGCGACAGGTGGGTGTTGGTGTCGACGAGATTCGTAGAGACACGGTGTTCAAAGGGCTTATGCGGCGACAAGCAGTATTGATGGCGAGAGTCAAAGGAATACGCAATAGATGAGAGATGGAGCAAAGAAGGAAGGAGGGCAGATCAAAAAGAGTGTCGTCGTCTACCGTCGTGATATTAAACTCCAAGCCTCTGGGCGCAGTCTCTACCAAGACCTGACCTTTACAGCTTGCGGCCGTTCCAACCGTGAGGAATCACACGCTCTAGATTTCCCCTCTTACCACGTTTGCTATTTCTAATACTCAGCCACTGTCTGTCCACGTCTTCTTGCTCTCTCTGTCTTTTGCAAACTGCTTCGTCGACTTTGCCACTCCAGAGCGAACAAAGCAGCGTCATTGTTCATGAGGGTACTCCGCGTGCATCCGGCTGCTGTTGCCGCTGGCCGGAGGGAGCTCGTGCCACAGGGTTGGCCGAACGCGCGGCGCCGAGCTCCTGCGACAAGAAATGAAAATAAAGGGAAAAAATGCAATCGATTCATGAAATCATACAAAAAAGTAGTACTCATACAATTATATAATCAGACACACGTCACAACTTGCTCTTCCTGCTGAAATAAGTCTTGATCACCTTCCTCGCCCTCTCAACAACTTCAACATCTTCAATCGTCGCTGGCACTTCGACCTCCTTGTCGAAATTGCCTTCGCTCGCATCTTCTACCATTTGCTTCAACACTCTGCGTAGAGTCTTTCCACTTCTTGTGCGAGGAATGACTCCTTGTGCGATTATTACGCCTCCCAGTGTAGCGATGGGTCCAACAGCTGCTCTGACGCGCGAGTTGATGGCAGAGAGCAATTCGCTTTCGGGGATTGGTGCTGCCGAGGACGAGAGAGCCACGAATGCGAAGGGTACGTGTCCTTTCAGAGGGTCTGGCGCGGGGATGACACAGTTGTCTGTAATTGAAGGGTGTGAGGAGATGGCTTGCTCCAGAGTGGCTAGTAGAGAGATTAGTATGGTGCTTTCTGTTACTTCAATCTCCATGGAAGACTTACCAGTGCTCAACCTATGTGCAGCAACGTTGATCATATCATCGGAACGACCATGGATATGAACATAGCCGTCCTTATCAATGATACCAGCATCGCCCGTGTCAAGCCACTTGCCCTCGAAACGCAGCATGTATCCGTTGTAGAAACGCTTCTCGTCCTTCCAAAGTGTCGTGAATCCGCTAGGTGCGAGCGGCATGCCAAGAACAATGTTGCCAGTCTTTCCTTTTGGGACCTCGTTACCATCGTCATCTACAACTCTGATGTCGAAACCAGGCATTGGCTTTCCTGCACTGCCTGGTCTTGTCTCCAGAGGCCTGATCTGCTTATCGCTACCACCATCATGCCATGAACTGGGCAGTTGTGCCAATCCTGTCATTGGTGAACCTGATTCGGAAGACCACCAGTTGTCCACAACTGCAGCCCCAGGGGAACCATACTTTTGTAGCAACTTGGTATAATCGTTGACGACAGCTGGTTCGCTGCGTTCACCAGCCAAGAACAGCGCTCGCAGTGACCTTATGCCATTCCTCTCGCCTCTTTCGATGAAGAACTTGTGCTGTCCATCTTCACGACGAATAGCTCGCAAGGCCGTTGGTGCAGTGAACATTACATTCACCTTGTGCTGTTCAATACATCGCCAGAAAGTGCCAGCGTCTGGTGTACCGATAGGCTTGCCTTCAAACAAAACTGTGGTCGCGCCTGCCAGTAGTGGTGCGTAGCAGATGAAGGAGTGACCAACCACCCAGCCAATGTCAGATGCGCAGAACATGACATCGCCAGCCTGGATACCGAACAAGTAGCGCATGCTGCAGTTCAAGCCAACTGCATGACCACCTGCTTCGCGCAATACTCCTTTCGGAGCTCCCGTGGTACCACTTGTGTAGATGATATATAGTCCATCGTTGCTCTTGACCGGGACGTTCTCGGCCTTGAGGCCACGGTTCCTGGCACTTTTGACTAGTCGTTGCCAATTGCGTTCGCCGTCTTCCTTGATGACAGGGTCCCATCGACTCTGTTCACGCTGCCATATGATGGTCTTGCTCGGCTTGTGCTTGGACTGCTCGACAGCACCGCGTACCAGGGGTTGGTACGGCAACGGCCCTTTGGCACCTTCAATGCCACAACTGGCAGTGAGGATCACACGAGGCTTCGACGCGTCAATGCGCTGTGCCAGACTCGGTGCCGAGAATCCACCAAAGACGACCGCATGGATAGCACCAAGCCTAGCGGTGGCAAGAATGCCGACGAGGGCAGCAGGTATTTGAGGCATGTATATCAGAACCACGTCTCCTTTCTTTACCCCCTCTTCGCGCAAGACACCAGCGAGTGTTGCGACCTCTTCTGCGAGCTGGGCATAGCTGATCTTCTCTTGGGTGTTCGTCACGGGTGAGTCCCAAATTATTGCTGTACGCTGTCCGTTGCCAGCATCAACGTGTCGATCAACGCAATTGTATGAGGTCGATATCTCGCCGTCTGGAAACCATTTCCAGTGTTGGTGTTTCGTGCCGGATTGCAGGGTTTTGGTGGTCCTCTCGATGATGGTCTTTGGAGGTACAGCCCAGCTCAGTTGTTTGGCTTCGTGTGACCAAAAGGTTTCTGGCGCGTCGAGCGAAGCGGCGTGCGCTGCATCTTGAGGGTGTGTGTTCGACATGGTGATTTCGGGAGTGGTTGTACAGGTTGAGAATCGACACACATGGACTGGACGGCCTACATCAAGGTACAAGTATTAGATCAGATAGCCGCGCCTATACACAAGGTTATTCGGGTCAGCGGGATGGACAAGATTGACCTCTTCTTGACCTGAATCTTCCCCACACGTCCAAAGGTGGAGGTGATGCGGGGTTCGGCATCATGACTCGCGCTGGAATGGTCAACAGTGACGCAGACCAACCCTTGTTCGCCGGCCATCTCGTTGGAAGGCAGAATCTTTGATGACATGCAGCCATTCGAGCAAGGCGATCGTGCGTTAGTGGTCCAATACTCGTGGTGGAATAAACAGAAGTTTGCGTTGGTGTCAGTGTCCGAGGTAGCGTGATTTGTCGTGCAACGGCTTCTCCAGAGACTGTGTCTGGTCTACAAGCGGCGGCGTAAGTCGTCAAATGAAACGTAGCTTGTTATATATCCTGTGCCGAGTGGGGGGTGTTCCTGGACCTCGGGAGAATATTAATCAGCTATAGGGAGTGTACTCGATTTCTTGGTTTGGCCATTCGAGCCAGAAATGATACTCCGGGGGTATTGTCGAGTAAACAGAACTCGCGACTTTTATTGCCGGCGTTCGGTTCCACCATAGATTGCCTATTCGCTTGATGAGGACTGCTTGATGTACCAGCAGAATAAGAGCGACGATCTTATGTTGTTCTAGCATTTCGAAGAATTCACTCGGAATCTGCACGAACCAGAATAGACCGGCAAGGATTGGTGAGATACATTGATGAGCAGTTTCAGTCTCTGATGATTTCTTGTAGCACCATGTGCAGGTGTTTTGTGGTGCCGTGGCTCTGCTCATACGACCATATGCTTCCCGCAAGTAGTGTAAGGCCTCGTCATATATGGCTGCTTCTTCGCTGCTGGTCCCCTCGATTGTAGAGGGAGTGCCGGGCTGCCATAGCTGTTGTAGATTGGATAAATATTCGTCTTCCTCGACGGCCTTTTCATCCATGGGCTGGGTGAACTGACAGAATGGTCCGTCTACAAGGAGAGGTGCAAGGGGGCTGTCCTCGAGCCACATCCTACCACGACGAGCAATATGGTCGGTGCCTCTGAATATACGAATCCAGTCTACCACAGCCCCGAGCAAGACCTCGTTGAAAATGCTTCCTGTGGACAGGTTGGGGTTAAAGCGCGTGCCTGATGAGGCGATGATGTAGCACGCGACCAGAATCGACGAAGCAAATAACGCCTCGCAGTTTTCCGAGTTGAAGTTCTCCAGAGCAGACCGAAATCCTTGCAAGCCCAGGTCCTGGTGATTGGCGGCCAATATGGAGTGGTCATCCTCATCGCATTGACGCGTAACTGACACGTGGAGACCAGCAACCGCGAGGATTCCATGCATCAGAAACTTGTGTCTGAACGCGACTTTGACGACTGCGGTCTGCCAAATGTTTTGATGCTCTGTCTGATCGGAAAGTGTTTTTGCCGTATGCGTGACGAAATGATGCAGTAGTTCCATTTCCTTTAGGGTGAAACTCTCTCCAGAACGAGCACTCGTATCTGGTTGAGGGTTCTGGAAACTGCATTCTCGTGATGTTCTTCTACATTTCTCACATATTGGTTTGGTTTCGTCGCACTGTAGCCCGGTCAGATTTCGAGTCGATCTTGGACGGGTTGACGACGAAGAAGGAAATTCCGAAAGCAAGGAGAACGACGGTTCGTCTCACACACCTTTATCCGACGTTTCTTGCACTGCACGCAGCCGGTCCGCGTCTTTCTATGTGTGATCATCTCCGGTCCAGCGAACTATACTTCCTCGTGGTGGCTCTAATGACGGCCCACTGTGCTGGGTTTGGCGCGTTGCCAAGTGCAGTTGCTTTCATGATGAACAAGGGCAGAAAGCGAGGCGAATGGCTGGAAGTAAAAGGTATGGCCGGTGCGAGGCGGTACGGACGGCTGTGGCTTGGCAGTTTGCAGATCGATTGACTCGAGAGCAGGGTGACAGCTATAGCTCGAGAGTCTAAATCACACGGGCCGGGTCACACCTCCCGCAGCAATTCTGGCATCTTTTCCAACTGTTTTCCAGTACAACAACTCCCCACCAGCACTTTCTAATGTATCGAGACTATCAGAGGGCGAGCAAAGACTACTTCTTGGACTGGTATGAGCCTCATACGATTTCGTGCTGTCTATATCGAGATATTGTCTTGTTGCTGTTTTGATAATCACTTCATTGGACTTGTGTACTGAGTTCACTAAAGAAACAAGAAGCTAGTACTACTCCCAGCATGACAACATCCAACTGATACAAAAGCAAGTGACTCAAGAGGAGACTATCACAGGAGTATCCATATATGATAAACTGTCTAAAACATATACAGCAATAATGAAACAGGTCGGGTGGGACGAAAGATGTGCTGAACTTTATCTCAAGCCAGGGTGGTACCCCTGACATCAGGGACTTTGCCGTGTTACACACTGATTCCCAGCTTCCGTGCGGCCTCTACGAATCCTTCCTCATCGATCTTGACCCATATATCCACAAAACCCTTCTCTCTAGCCTCATCCTCGTTCTTCTTCTCTTCCTCGCGTGATCTTTCAACATAGATGGTGGAATAGCCACAGCCCTTCGCTGCTTCAAGATCACCCAGATGCGCTGCGACCATGACGCACTGACTCGGCTCCAAGCCCAGTCTCTTCGCAGCCCCCAGGTAGATGGCCGGGTTGGGCTTGTAGGAATTGAACAGCTCGGAAGAGTATATATGCTTGAACGGCATGCCGCCATGCTGCTGCATGTCCTTCAGCAGAGCGATGTTTCCATTCGAGAGGGTGCAAGTCTCGTACTTTGTGTTCAAAGCTTTAAGGCCAGCAACGGTATCAGACCAAGGATCAAGTTTGTGCCAGATGAGACTCATCTCCTTGACTTCATCCTTGTTCCAAAGACCTCCGAGGTCACCGTCTTCGCGACCAAGACCATATTTGACCAATAAATCGTGCAGAGATTCGAGATGATGGTCATCCACCGTCTTCCAGTTGAGAGATGCGTCGGCTGCAAGAGATCGAGTGAACGTGTAGTAGCTGCTTCTCCATTCCTGAGCAAAAGCACCCCAGTCTTCGGTGCTCATTGCATCTGCCTTGGTCCGAACATCGTTTGTAATGATTGCTGATCTTCTCATCAGAGCTACTCGGGACTGTCGGACCAACGCGTCGGTTACTGTCTTTCTCCAGTCGACACAGGTACCGAACACGTCGAAGAAGAGTGCACGAGCGTCCTCCATGATTAACAAGTAATGATTGTATGTCGGTAAGGGCGAGATAGACAAATTGGTCAAGGGTATATGATAGATGATTGTTGGACATATAAGTACTATCGATTTCACGGCGAAAGGAGGAAGCTTGCCGGCTCCTCTCGGGCATGCGGAGAAAGACAACACCGGCAACGAGAGAGAACTGGACGAGTCACAGAGAGGCACAAAGAAAGACAATCACAAAGAACAAAGACAAAGAAGGTTGCGTAGCAAAAATGTTGAGGATTAAACTGGTATCATTGCATTGCATTTCCCATAAACTCCCCTGCCTGTATGATTGTACATCGGCATTGACCCCAAAGTAGCAGAGTGATGTTTCACACTTCCCATCCCGAAAACCCATTGATGATGATTGATAACGATCCCGGTCCGCTGGACGAATGACGCGGCCAGTTAAGCAGTCGTGAAACCCATGATGAAGAAAGAAAAACGCTCAACCACCGAAACCGTAAAGGGTACCTGAGAAGCAATGTCAGTGACTGGATAAGATGAGAGGAAGCGAAGAAACTCACGGCCCTGGCGCTTGAGAGCGTAAACGACGTCGAGCGAAGTAACAGTCTTGCGCTTGGCGTGCTCAGTGTAGGTGACGGCGTCGCGGATGACACCCTCGAGGAAGGTCTTGAGAACACCGCGGGTCTCCTCGTAGATCATGGCAGAAATACGCTTGACACCACCACGACGAGCGAGACGGCGGATAGCGGGCTTTGTGATACCCTGGATGTTGTCGCGCAAAATCTTGCGGTGACGCTTGGCACCACCCTTTCCGAGACCCTTGCCACCCTTGCCACCTGTAGAGGAGATGCATTAGCTGACTGAAGGTGGAGGAAGAGGTGAGTAGATGTGAGGCGGGGTAAGACTTACGACCAGACATTGTGATAGAAGTTGTTTGAAGGTAAAGTTGAAGAGTTGTTGTTGTATAGACACGAGGTCTTAAGTGTGATGAAGTCGCTGGGTGAAGATGGGAATGTGAATGAGAATATAATTCCTGGAGAGGGAAGGAGCTGTTTATGGGCTGCGACGCGTCAAAGGAAAGCGCGACCGAATCACCACACGATCAGAATCACCCGCCTCCAAGACCAAGAATCAACAAGCTGCAAGGGCCTTCGAGAGGTGCACGGATCACTAGAATGCGCGCTAAGCTGAATATGAGAAGATCTGAGAGAGTGCACGGACTCAACGGAGCACGGAGGCAGCGTGAAGTTCGCGTTCGTCTGCCAAAGCAAGCAGCCAGAAGAAGCCAGTTGCATGTGCTTGATTCTGTCACTTTCAAACAAGCCCCAAGATCTGAGATTTTGGCAGGAGCGTCCAACCCGCAATCAACGCCGCCCTTTCACTTATAAATCCTCTCCCCCACCCACACTTATCCTCTCTCCTCATCATCCAACAACCATCTCTTCTTCTATCCACTACAACAAAAACATCTCATCAACACAAGTCATCTACAATGGCTCGCACTAAGCAAACTGCCCGTAAGTAATCACTTGCATATCACTTTTCATCATTATCATCATCGCCGCCTTCGACTGCGCGTCGCTCTCACTGCCCGGGCGCGTTTCGACGCGTCTTTGGCCTTGACGCCACCGCATCTTCCATCAACAATCAACAATCATCACTCCACCATCTACCATCATCAGTCGCTTACATACATTCACAGGCAAGTCCACTGGTGGCAAGGCCCCTCGCAAGCAGCTCGCCTCCAAGGCTGCTCGCAAGTCCGCCCCCTCAACTGGTGGTGTCAAGAAGCCTCACCGCTACAAGCCCGGTACCGTCGCTCTCCGTGAGATCCGTCGCTACCAGAAGTCGACCGAGCTCCTCATCCGCAAGCTGCCCTTCCAGCGTCTTGTTCGTGAGATCGCTCAGGACTTCAAGTCGGACCTCCGCTTCCAGTCCTCCGCCATCGGCGCTCTTCAGGAGTCCGTTGAGGCCTACCTCGTCTCTCTCTTCGAGGACACCAACCTCTGCGCCATCCACGCCAAGCGTGTCACCATCCAGAGCAAGGACATCCAGCTCGCCCGCCGCCTCCGTGGTGAGCGCTCTTAAGCGCCTCCATCATGACGACTTCTGATGCACTTCCAATCATCAGCATCATATACCATCAACGAGAAGCTTGACGATGGATGATCTGGGAGACATCGATGGGATGGCCGGCGTTGGTTTCTGACTTTCTTCTACTGAGTTTTCAATTTTATCAAGCAAGGGAATGACATGGGATTCGGGGTTTTACTATCATGGGAGTGCACGAAAGTGTGCACAGAGACTCGAGCATTGATTGTAACATAATGAAATGCAAATAGCATTGGTGACCGGCCGGCACCCTTGCTTTCAACTTCAACACTTCTCCCCCTCTTCTTCTCTCGTGACCTGTTTGATTGTCTTGATCATAAACACTTTGCCTCTCTGCTTGCTCGTTCGACTGATCTCTTTCAATACTCGGCTTTTTCTAGACAGTCTCTTTGATCTTCCCTTGCTCCGGCGATAAGGCGTTCGGCTCGAAGCTCGGTATGTCGTGCAACAGCTGATGGTCTGATGTAAGTGTTTCCGCGCCGTGTCTGTTGACCAGCATCCGCCTTTGTAGGTTGCAGAGTGACTTCTTTGCTATTCATTTGTCTGTTCTGTATACCACTATCACGTCGACAGGCCGATGCCACATCCTGCCGCCGACGAGATGACGGGGGGCACGCCATACGGCTCCGAGATGTCGCGGCCCCGAGCCGATTACCGAGCTCGCTCAACAATGTTGCTCCCTCTCTTTACACGATAACAATGTGTTCTAGACAAGACCACCCACCATGAACACGTACAATCTCGCCGGACGAAGCAACAGATTGCTGTTCCGACTACGATTGAACGGCCAGCGACGACTCAACTCGACCAAGCCGCAAGACAAAGCCAAAGATGTACCATCACGGCCAACAACAATTCCCGGACCTGGAATGGCATGGATTGAGCCACTGAAAGAGCCGTTCAGAGCATATGGTCGCATGCAACATCGCTCGCCATACATGACACAACTGTCGACGACATTGATCATCTACTTCCTGGGCGATCTGTCGGCTCAGAAAGTGGCCAGCGAGGAGCCCTACGATCCATCTCGAGGACTACGAGCACTGGTCATTGGTGGCATATCATCTATACCAAACTACAAGTGGTTCATGTTCCTGGGCAACCACTTCAACTACAAGTCGCATGCAGCGTCGATTGCGACAAAGATTGTCATCAACCAGACGTTCTTTACACCGTGCTTCAATACATACTTTTTCGGCATGCAAAGTCTGCTGTCTGGACAGAGTCTCGAGCAGACGAAGCAAAGAGTTATCGATACGGTGCCTGTCAGTTGGAGGAACAGTTGGAAGCTGTGGCCGGCTGTCACGGCGTTCAGCTTTACATTCGTTGCACCACAGTACAGGAGTGTGTTTGCAGGCGTGATTGCTATTGGATGGCAGACTTATCTGAGTTGGCTGAACATGAAGGCGCAGAAAGAGGAGGACGAGAGGGCTGCGACATCTGCTGCGACTGCTCCTGTGACGGCGCCATCGACAGCACTTCCTGCTGCATGAGTTTGCGGGAAGAAGATGATGCTGCGACAGCAGACCGACACGAGCCTTTCAGATGCACTCCAAGGCTTCATCTGGCGCTTGTCAACTTTCGTCAACGCACTACTGTCCTGAACTTGCCAGAAAGCAAGTTACTGTTAAGCGTTGTACACGCTTTTACCGTTCCGAAGGGCACCCGATCCATGGACGTGGAATAAGAGAATCGAGAGGTTGGACTCTGTGGATTTTATACTTCGCATAACCTGCACGAAACTGGCTGGTTCGCCGATAGACATTTAAACCAGTACAACAAAGGGGCAGAGTAAGGTAAAGGACGTATGGACTGAGAGCTTGAGCAGTGCAGGCTCTCATCATATCCTTCGAAAGGCATGATACGTTGAGGAGTTGTGCTTGATGGCATTAAGAGAAACGAACAGAAGTTGGGATATAGAGTTGCCTAGAAGCAAGAGCAAGAAATATACAAACATGATCAGACAGCCACTTTAAGATATGGATCAACAGAATAGACGTATCGAGAATCAAAAGATATAACAGGTGCACAAATGTTCAACAATAAAGGTATGGTGAAAGTGTTTGATGGAGATGGAAGGCTTGGCTGATGGCATGGACGAGCGAGAGCTCCGTCTCTCGGGCATGCGCCATCCACGTCCGAAGCAGCAGCAGCTCAATCATCCAAACATCCAACCCTCGCATCGTCGCATCTCGTCCCACACCGTCTCTTTCTCCATCTCGCGCATCGCTCCATCTCTAGCGTTCGCTCTCGTCCACCCCACAACACCTCAGTCGAGACACTCTCGCCTCATATCGTCATGGCGCAACAAGACAACGCCGCCCGCATCGCCGAAGCAAAGAAGCAGGCAAAGCATCACCCCAAGCAGGCCGAGGAGACTTTTAAGAGCATAGTGGAACAAGGTCCTGCCAAGTCTGAGGCCGCCGCTCGCGACTACGAGAATGCCTTGATGGGTCTTGGTGAGCTGTACCGCGACCAACGCCGCACCAACGATCTGGCCGAACTTGTTCAGAATACAAAGTCTGTCCTGTCATCACTGGCAAAGCCAAAGACTGCAAAGCTGGGTGTGTATTGTCCGCCCGTCTTCATCTCTACTCACTCTCTAACCTGCTCGTCTCTCAGTGCGCCAACTGCTCGACCTCTTCACACCCATCCCCGACTCGCTCGAAACACAAATCTCCGTCACAAAGTCATGTATCGACTGGGCCGTCCAAGAACGCCGTGGTTTCCTACGCCAGAACCTCGAGACACGGCTGGTCTCGCTCTACATTCAGAAGCAGAGCTACTACGAGTCTCTTACTCTCATCAACCGCCTGCTCAAGGAGTTGAAGCGTCTCGATGACAAGCTGGTCCTAGTCGAGGTCCAACTGCTCGAATCAAGAGTCTACCACGCCCTCGGAAACGTCCCCAAAGGCCGCGCCGCCCTCACATCCGCCCGCACATCTGCCGCCTCCGTCTACTGCCCGCCGTTGTTGCAGGCCAACCTCGACATGCAGAGCGGCATGCTGCACGCCGAGGATGGCGACTTCAACACCGCCTACTCATACTTCATCGAAGCCCTCGACGGCTACCATGCCCAGGACGAGTCCGAAAAGGCCACCGCCGGCCTCATGTACATGCTCCTTTGCAAGATCATGCTCAACGCTAGTGACGACGTCAACAACCTCATGCAATCAAAGCACGCCCTCAAGTACGGCGGCAAAGGCCTAGACGCCATGAAGCAAGTCGCCAAAGCCCACAACGACCGCTCGCTCGAAGAGTACGAGACCGCCCTCGCCGACTACCGCCACCAACTCGCCTCTGACCGCTTCATCGCCACTCACCTCCGTCGCCTGTACGACAACATGCTCGAGCAAAATCTGATCAAGGTCATTGAGCCCTTCAGCCGCGTCGAGATTGCACACATTGCCAAGATGGTTGGTCTGGATGTCCATCAGGTCGAGCACAAATTAAGTCAGATGATTCTGGACCGTGTGATCATCGGTGTTCTCGACCAGGGACAGGGATGTCTCGAGATCTTTGACGAGCCAGAGCGTGATGCTCAGTATGATGCTGCTATCAACACTATTGACAAGTTGAGCAGTGTCGTTGATGTTCTTTACACCAACCAGGCCAGTCTGCTGGAGTAGGCACAGGTTATTCTAAATCATGGATGGCCGCGGACATGGAAGAAATGTAACTCATAGAAGCAATGGAAAAAGAAGCCAAGATCAAACGCCTCTTTTCAATACTTTTTAACGATAAATTCAACAAGTTCTCCAAATTCATGTCTTCTTGCGTGTACTTGAACTTTGACGAGCCGACGGCCAAAGAAACAAGTTGTAAGACCTATAGATTGCCTTGTTCTGTCCTGCCAAGTTGTATTCATGCTCGGTGACTATCACTGATGTTTGAAGTAGTAGAAGCCTACCTCCATACCATTCAGAAACTCCCTCATACAACCTCTGCTCCCCTGTACCTTTCCACTCTCTCTTATACCAACCCATATATACCCCATTCTATCTATTCCTTCCAACAAGGCAAAACAATAGCCGTGGTGGTGCAGTGGTCAGCACACCCGATCCTTTACCTTTCATTCCTTTGTCATTCGCTCGCTTTGGGTCGTAAACACACTCTTTCGAGGATCGGGAGGTCGTTGGTTCGAGTCTAACCCATGGTGTCTTGGTTATTCTTTTTTTTCTTTGGGTCGAGGTGTGGATGTGTTGGGAAAGGGGTTGATAAAGCGTGGTCTGAGTTTGTTGACGAAATGTCCTTGGTAGGTTTTTTTTGAGGAAGGCGAGTTTTCGACGACGTGGGCTGGCAAGGGCGTCGCTTATTTTCTCTGGTGTTTACCTATGAGGACTTGAGGACATCTCAGCTGATTCCTACGGGTGCTTCATAGCGGATCAAAACCATCATCTTGATAGTCATCAGAAGCCTCAGAGAAGCTGTCGTCTGGCGATGAACAGCAGATACCGATGAAGTGTCTGATACCATTCTCATCAGGTAGCGTACACCCTTCCGACAGCGAAGCAGCCGTAGGCCGCAGCTTCTGATTCTGCTGCAGCATTTGTTTAATCCACTTCAACACCCGGTTATCAGAGGTCACTGCAGTATTCTCAAATTCGGTCAGAAGGCTTTCGAGTGCCTCGTCGTTTTTGCGAACGAGCCGATTATTGGAGCCGTGTGTCTCGAAGTATGTCTGAAGGTATTCGATCGGTTGATCTTTGAGCACGACAATCATCTCGAGGAATACAATGCCTAGGCTGTATATATCGGAAGAGGTACTTCGAGGCTCTTCGGCAGCGACCTCTGGTGCGCAATACTTGGGTGTCATCCCGTCGACCATACCCATGGTTGTACTGCGGCTGGCTTCTGTGAAATCGAGAGCCAAGCCGAAATCCGTAAGCAAGACTCCGCGACCAGCTTCATAGAGTATGTTTCGCGGCTTGATATCCTTGTGGCGGATGCTCTGCTGATGCAGAAATTCGAGCGCTCGTGATAGACAACCGAAAAAGGTGCGGAGTTCGCGATGCTTTGCTTTGTCTGTATGCTGCAGGTATGTTGCGAGATCCATATCTGCGATTGGCTCCATGAGGACTGCGATATACTTGTGATCAGTGTAGCTGCCTACAAACTCGACAATGTGCCAGTGTTTCAGACGCTTGAGAATTTCAATCTCTTTTATGAAGGCTCTTTGAGCTGGGGCATTTCTACCGCCGAATGCTGTAGTTCTGAGCACCCTTTTTCTTGCATATTTCTTGAAGCTGATCAGACTGAGAACCTTGTCTACTTGGCCAAAGCCACCCACCCCCAAGATGCCTTCACCTTGAAGCGGCAGATATTCATCCTTTTCGAAGAAGCAGTGTTGGCCACCCTCTCGCTTCTCCAGGTTTAGTGATTTAGTCAGGACCGCCGTTTGGTTCTTGATAAAATCAGACCGCGCCTTAGGGTTCAAATCAGGTGGTAGACTTTTGGCCGTGACGGGAAAATCATAATCTGAAAAGCCGACATCGACGAATGTAGACATGATATGCAGACAACCAATGATCCGGAGAATGATGTATACACGCGGGATTCTGCTCCATGACGGATTCAAACGTAGCAATAGCTGTGAGATGTCATAGATATCTGACTCGCTGTATTCGATTCGAGGCTCGCTACCTTCAGCAAAGTAATTACCCAGGCGGTTGGAAACGTTTCTTTCGGAGTCGCTTGTGATTATTCTCCGTTCGGGAAGTGTATGGTCGTCTGCAAGATTCTCAGAATCTGCTCGATTCCGTGCTGCGTTCGTCTCCGTATTGGGGTTAGTCGTCTCAGTTTCTTGTACTCGTGAGGCTGAGGTCAAGGACTGTGCACCCGCAGTCGCATCGGGATTTCCAAAACTACCTTGATTCTCAAGAAGGAAGACCAACACATCCCGATTAAGGCGAGACTCTTGTGGGTCGTCACGATGATTCGTGAGGAGACTTGGCTGAAAGATAGCGGCAAGCTTGTGTGAATTCAAATGGTTGATATCTGCCTTGCTTGCAAAGACGGCCAGGAAACCGAGGACGTACAGGAAAAGATGGCGGTTGAGAGGAGGAAGTTTGGTAATGAGGCGTTGATAGAAACGAATTGCCTCTGCTGCCCTGTCTCGACCAAATTGGATCGATGAGATTTTGCCCACAGGGAATCCCCGAAAGCTTCTCAGGGGCTCGCAGAACCTCTCGTAGTACTTCAGAGGAATGATAGGTTCAGGAAGTTGTTCGAAGTACAGAAGCATGACGTGGGCGACGTCGTGGACCGAGTAATCTGTCCAGTCGAGCTCTCTTCCGTACCTAGGGGGTGAATTGAATGCAAGCTTTAAATCTTGTATGTGTAACTCAGATCCAGGTGTTTTGAATATACTCTCGACCTCGGCACCTTTTCTCACTTTAATGTTGACCTCCGACGACAACATTCACCTGTCACATACCCTTTTCTTTCAAGAAGACCCCGCATGTGGCAACTACAACCGGTATAGAGCCACACACATGAGGTTCACCTCGCTCGTTGGGTAGAGAGATGTCGACATTTGCAGCACGTATGCTAGTCTGTAAATCCATCCCGAAAACACGGTCTAAGAGGAGCACATTAGCCACACGGATTCGTACATCTAGCACGAGGACCGTTCTTGGGTAGGAACTGATGTTGATGTATGAAAGTTCTCACCAAGCTTTGTGGATTGACCGCCTTCCATATTCCTGAGAGCTTTCGCACTCTGGCTGAGGTTGCTGTAGAAATTGTGACGAACTTCGTCGAAGGGTTCTGTGTACGATTCCGTTGTATTGTCACCTTCTCCAGAGTAATGAGCCAGATCAACGAGGGGATGTGCCGTTTAGGCCGTACCATACTCCGGACAGTGTTCTGTAGGTCAACAAAGTTTCGAGGTAGGTAGCACTGTTCAGGTTGTCCTTTAAGTGGCAGGTCGGGATCGCTCTGTTTAATGATGCTGACAGCATAAAGTAGGCCGTCAGCGAGTATCTTATCCGGCGTCAATAGTGACCAATCAGTGTGCCGTGTTCGAGTGGCTTTGCAGGCGGACTATAGCCTAGAGGTGGGGGCTGCATACCCATGCATGCGAAGCTGCTCGGAATGGATTCTACTCGTTGCGACAACAGTCAAGCGCATTGAGAAAGTCCCAACTCTCAAGTGCCTATCGTTGTGGCTGGCAACGCTAGGAGATCCTGCGGTCAGCGGCAGATTAGCGAAAAGTGAGGTATAAGGATGGTCAAGCAAGCCGAGGCGCAGGGTTTTGTTGCGTGTCATTTATTCTCCCACAATGGTTCCCATCGAGCCGATCAGTTTCACCGTCGGAACAGTGTCGCTCGCTCTTCAGCTGCTTGATGGCTGCAGAAAAGGTAGAATGCTCGAGAAACATGCAAAGAAACGCCCTGACTTCGCTTAGGATATCTGTTCCTCCTGGCGGTGGTAGGAATGCCAGAAGAGTATCAATATCTCCGGACTCGTCTGCAGTATGAGAATTTTCGTTTCGCAGATTGGTGTGAGGCAGCCGGTTTTGATGGCGCGGAAGACGAGAAACAGAAAGACCTTCCAGAGAGCGTCAAAGCAATTCGCTTGGTGCTGGTTGCCATCCTCACCGAAATGCAACTGGTGATGGACGAGTTGTCGCAGATGGCAGAGAGATTTGAGACAAGCAGTAAGACTGACTTCAGGAACGTGGACGCTGAGACCAGTGATTTTCAGATGTTGGAGATGCTCAAGCAATTGCGTGCTCGAGATCACAAGGCAACCAAAGATCCTGGCAACAATTCTGCACCGGCGACAAAATCCAGAAGTAAGGGAAGATGGTTGTCGATGGCGACAAACCTCAAAAATATAGCGAAGAATCCTCGACGCTTCGTCTGGGTGGCTTTTAGCAGAGAAGAGTTCGAGAAATTGCTGGGACGTTTCAAAGAACTGAATGAGAACCTCTATCAGCTCCTCCATGGCGAACAATCCCGCTTTTTGATGGACCTCACTCGCAAAACGCAGCTTGATATGGTTCTAGTGCTGAGATCTGTCGAAGAATTGAAACACCTTCAACTAGCAGCAGTCTTGCGCCCGGAGCCAGTTTCAGACGCATCGCCATACTCAAGAAGCGACCAGGTTCTGGCATCTTTGGCCAACTTCAAGCAACTCAACACTGCTTCTGAGTATTCTCTAGGGTCACAACAAGAAGGTTTTGACGATAACCGAGAAGCCATACGGTTGGATCGCTCTCGGATCACGTTCTTGGAGGATGACGAGGAATCGGACAATTCAATGGGCTCTGACGGCCGTGCAGCTGGTATCCTAGACAAGAGCAAGCCAGGACAACGACACATCTGGTTGGAGTGGCGGGGTTACCTCCCTGAGCGCAGTAGTAAGGGAGATGATTTAATTGCATCCTCAGCCAGTGTCAGAAGGGTCCAGGACTTGGTTGTTCTGCTCAAGCTCAACAAGCTTGCTGAGTTCTGTGCGCCCATTTGTCACGGATACTTTGACGACAACGATCATGCAGCGCAAGATGATCGCAACTTCCGCTTTGGCCTTGTCTTCGAGAGTCCTGATGCCTTGAAATCTGCCGGGGTTCCTGAGACCTTGCGTACAATGCTCAGTCGCTCGACTCCATCTCTCAGTGCTCGAGTCCAGCTAGCGCAGAGACTTTGCACATGTCTGCTGTATCTGCACGCAGTGAACTGGCTACACAAAGGTATCAACAGGCACAACGTCATCTTCGCAGACCCGCATAATCTTTTGGAGCCTTGCGTTGCTGGCTTTGAGCTCGCACGTCCTGACACTGATCAGGACAAAACTCAGCCTGGTAGGCATCAAGTCGTTGGCCCGAGAGACGACCTTTATTGCCATCCATTATACCGTGGTGCCGAATTCAAGCCAACTTATCAAAAGACGTTCGACATTTATAGCCTGGGGTTGGTGCTGCTAGAGATCGCCTTCTGGAAGCCAATCGAGTCAATCATGAGGCTTGAAGACCATTTGTCCAACAGAAATTGGGCTGAATTCATCAGGAACGAGTTAATACAGGCAGACTCGAAGCATATGAAGGAGCTCAGAGCTAGGATGGGTGATAAGTATCAGAGTGCCGTCTCAGTATGCATTATTGGTCGTATGTCGCTGGGCGTAGAGGAACACTCAGACGAGACGGACGTACCCGTAGCTGCTAAACTGCAGCGAGCATTTATGGAACGTGTGGTCGATGTCATGGGAGCCGTTCGCGTTTAGCCAGTTCGACGATATCGGATCAATATCTTTCTCAAAGCGTGCAAAGGTGCTTGAGTACGCCTGAATGAAACAGTTGTGACGAGCTCTCCCGCTCCAAGATCCAGAAAAGATCAGAGTTTATCCGTTGTCTGCATGAGAGGTCTGAAGAACTCCAGAACGCGGCTTCGAACACCATCTGCTGAGTGACCCACTCCGTCAACAATATCAAGATGAGCTTCTATACCTTGATCTTTCCACAGCCTCTGAACATTTAGCAGAGTGCCTAGTCTTCCTTTGCCAGCCTCAGAGGCCTCGATATTCGAGGTCAGAGCAGCTTCTTGATCGGAGCCAGCATCTTTGGCCTTGGTAGTCTTCTTCTTCATCTCTTCTTGCCATTGCTTGAAGTCGTTACCACCATGAGCTCCTGTGTCTTTGCTTCCGACAACCATGTGGATGTCAACAGCTGTGATCAGACCCAAATCGATTGAGCGACTAAACACATTTTGAACATCTTTGATTCCTTTGGGCCACGTTTGTTGCTCATCGAGTAGTGTGACTTTTCCAGGCGCTCCAATACTAACGGCTGAAAGACGATCAGGATGGATGTATAGGAAGCGTTGGGCGAACTGCCCACCGCCAGAGAAGCCCATTAGGAAAATCTTTTCTGTGTCGATGTGTGGCCAGCGTGTGCCAACTTCATCGAGAATTGACAGTAATCTGAGATTTGAGTTGAGACTCTTGGATGCTAGTCTCTTGTACGAGTCTAGATCGTTGGGTCCTTCGATACCGGCCGGAAACAATGGCTGCAAGACTGCACACGGTATTGAGTCGGCAAAGGTCTTCAGATCGCCATAGATGGCAGAGAGATTTCGTCTGGTTCCATGTATGTTTACTAGAAGTGGTAGTTGTGTCGCATTATCCTTGTCTGGACTCGCGGCAAGTAATTTATATGGCTCTGGTGGGACGTAGAGGGAATAGGAAACCCGTGGGTCGGACTGCAATGCCATTTGTGGGACATGGCCTACGAGGAATGAAGCCTCGAGGAACCGAGCAGGCACATCTCTAGTCGAGAGAGGCTTTTTTGACTTTGGCATCGTGTCCTGAATTTCGATGTTGTCTGGCCGTGGACGGTGTAAGGTTTGGGATGGAAGCTGCAAGGAATGAAGCTGTGCTGTCAAAAGTCGTGGCTTTGCTTAACAATCATCAGCAAGTGCCAGACTATCACGCTCCTTCCCACACAAACTTCTGGAGGAGTGTCAGCCTCGCGGTATGCAGCGTATCACAAGGCACATGTCGGGTTTAGTAGGGTCATAAGAGCATAACGGATTTAGGACACCGGCGTTTTGGCTGACGGTCCAACTTAACACCGTTTGAGGAATGGTATATAAAGAGCTTCAACCACGAGGATCTGATAAAGGCCATATTGCAGGAATACAGTCTTCTATTCGTTCCTCAACCTCAGAGAACCAACACAATACAAATCACCACCCAAACCATTTTCAAATATGTCTCTCTCACAATCCCCATACCTCGTCAACACCGCCGGCGTCATCGGCCACCTCCTCATCCTAGGCGGCTCCGGCGCAATCTTCAGCCCTCGCTCAGTAATCGGAGCTTTCGGCCTCGACACCCCTTCCTCGCCTGAAGCTCAGAAGCTAGTCGATTTACTTATCCCTCTGTACGGCTTCAGAGAAGTTTCGCTTGGCTTGTCTATGGTTGCCGTTTGGCGATACGGCAATGTCAAGACTTTGGGTTTGACAACTTTGGCAGTAGTTGCCACTGCTCTTGGTGATGGATGGATTGCGAGGAAGCAAAGGAAGGGGATGGAGTGGGTGCATTGGGGGTTGGCGCCGGTTGCGTTGGGGTTGGGAGCTGGGTTGCTTGGATACCTTGATTGAGTGATGAAGTGAGTGGGGGGATAAGGCGGGATGGACGTAGTCGGGTGGACAGTCGAAAGCTGCGTGGTGGTGGAGAAACGAATTGAGCTCATCTTTTATATTTGACACCATACCAGATCAATTTACAAGCATGTATCACAAGCTTCTCAGCCCTTGAGCAGGATACCATACCTTAGAGCTACCAGAAGATAGATGAGCGGATGGCCTGTGGAATTACAAGTTGGTTGTCACAGCGAAGAAGTCTAGACTTTGGAGCAATGCCTGTGTTTCGATTAGATGGCACAAAACGGACCTGCGGGAGCATGCATGACCATATCGAAGACAAGTATTAGTGGCATGACTTTTCGTTGCATTTCGGGTGTTAAGAGACAAAGTTAACGTCGAGCGCAGAACATAGTCGTGAAACAGAATGTGTCATCGACCAGCATACAGAATATTGCCCATGCTCGCGCGTGTCTCATTCGGTGGAGGATAGCCTTGCAGTGCAATTCGTCGCAAGTTCGGTGGTGTTGGCGTCTTGTCGTTCAGTGGTATCGCTCCCAAACTTTGTACCAGGGATCCTTGCACTTGTTGCTGCTGGACATTGAACAGAGGGTCGGAAGAATTTTTTTTTGAACTTTTCCTTTTTTGGTTCGAGACGTTGGTATTTTGACTCGCTATGTCCCATGATCATGCGTTAAAAGACAGCTAAGTCTTGAGTCCCCCGTGTCCATGAAGTAATTTTTGAAGACTGCCCCAACCAAGAAGTGCACCGCGCGTTGACGAGTCGTTTAGAATCCTGTGAAAAGTATATGTTAGTCTGGGTGTCCGGGTGCGACAAGGACAGGAGTGTCATCATACTGAGAGGGGTGAAGAACCACTTGTTCTTGCCGCTCTGGTAGCGCTCCTCGAGGGCCTTCTTGATGTTCTTCTTGGCATCCTCTCTTTGCGAAACCTCCTTGAAGGTGTCGTTGGTGACGGCACCCTTCAGGCCCTCGAGCTCAAGAGTGTAGCGAGTGGGCATGATGTGGTTGTAGTTGACGACCTTGATGAAAGGCTTGACCTTTGAGCGCTTGGCCTGGCGACCCTTGGACATGCGGCGGGTGACTTGCTGAGGGTAACGCTCAATGCCGGCGACAAGGGCGTGAGGGAAGGGGTGGGACTTGGTGCCCTGGTCAACGGGCTGGATGATGACGACCTAAAGCGAGAGAGTGTAAGTGGAATGTTCGGTGGTGCATGTGCGGATTGCGGTTCGATGGTCGAAGATGTTTGCGTTTTGATGATTGGCGTTCCATAACATATCCTAGCTCTTTCTGTGTGCATGTGCGGCGCCTTTTCGTTGCGCAAGTATGTCGTTCCATCTCCTATATCGATCCGCGCGAGGAAAAGTGTGTCGTACCTTCTTGCCTGCATATCTGCCACGGCTGATGATGGCAACACGGCCGACCTTAAGGACTAGACGGACACTGTCAGCAGTTGTTGCTGAGCGCAGTCGCGGCTCTCCATGTCGATATGGCGAACGAGACTGCAAGAGATTGCGCTGGACGTACACTTCATGGCTGCTGGGTTGGGACGGTTAGTATGTCTTGTCGGTCAAAATCGTCTGGCCAGCGAAATCTTGAGTCGGCAGCGTCGAGTGAATTTCGTAGCGTGGGTGCGGGTGCGTCGGCAATCTCCGTGCGCTTCGCTCTCATCCTCGAAGCGCCAAGCATCGGGCAAGCGGTGAAGCGAGTGGTTACCTTAGCCTCCGCTCCGGGATTAACGATGCCCGTAGCAACGCAGAGAGGCTGCATGGTGTTGTCTTTGGTAAACAGACCGTCGGCCGCGCTTAAACATGTACACATCTGCCCTGCGTTAACTCACCACAACGGCTCTCTCCAACCGTTTCCTGTTCTCAATTTCTCATCTGTACTGCACCATTATCCAGACGACCTGATTTTGTGCTTTTTGCGAATTCCTCGAGATACCCACGCCGCGTACAATGCAATTGTTGTTGTGACGCTCTCCTCAGTCTAGCGTGCATTCTTGAGCACCTCACGCCTACTTGCTCCTACTATCATCACCCCATCGCAGCGCATTCACATTCCTCAGTATGCCCGCCTACAGCGATCGCGAGTCGATCGACTCTGGTCGCCAGTCGGTGCCCATGTAAGTCCTGAAACACTGCCCTGACCACACAAGATGTGACCATGGGACTGACTCGCCATCTCTCAAAACTCAGGTGGGACAGCTCAGACCCAGACAGAGCTCCTCCACCATTGCCTATCCCGCCCAACTCGCCTGGCCTGGCCACACGGTCCACTGCTTCGGCTAACATCCAGGCCACCGCTCAGAGACTGACTGAGCGTGCCCGCGAGAGCATGCCCGCCAGCGCTTACACCACAAACCCTCCGCCATCCACTTCTCCCGACAAGTCGTTGATCAAGGGTGCTCACCATCGCCGCCTACAATCTCTCCAGACAGGAAGTGTCCGTGATTTGCGCAGTTACCTTGATGGCATGCGCAACACTTCTCCCGAGAGACCCACCTCTAGATCCACCGCCAACTCTCAAGGCTCACCTACTCGCCCTACCGAAGCCGACTACTTCTCCAGTCCTCCTCAGGATCACTCCACCCCCACACCTGCCGACAGGAATGCCCTCAGAGATGCGCCCAACCTTCGCCCAGCCTCTCGTCCCAGAGCTATCCTCGGCGAGAACACTCCTCCCTCGGCCACCATGCTTGCTCTACAAACCATGGCCGCCCGCGACGCCGAGTCTTCATTCAACGACATCACGAATTCCACTTCCTCTCGCGAACCCAAGACGTTGAACGAGATGATGGCACAACTTACGAATATTACGAACATCACGTCTGGCATGCAGAAAGAGATGGCCCAGCTGAACCGTCGCAGCAAAGACAACGCTGCTGACTTGATTGGTCTGAAGCAGGCTGCTGACAGCCGTGACGAAGAAATCCGCAGGAACTTGCGCGACTTGCTCTCCAACGTGAGCGCTTCTGACGCCGGCTCTGTCTTTGGCGGCAGATCATCTGCCTTTGGTCTAGGCCTTCTCGAGAACAAAGGTCTGACCTCACCACCCGCTGGTGGAAGACCGTTTGGTTCTCTTCCTCGCTCCAACAGTCACGGTAGTTTCCTTGATCCTGGTAGTCCTAACCCTTTCTCCATGGATGGTGCCGCTAGTGTTGCTATGCTGGAGAAGATCATTCGCGAGATGGTCACCAAGGATGGCCAGGACCGTCTTCTATCGACCTTGTCAGAACTGCTCGACAAACACAGCAGGGATAACGTCCAGGCTATCGAAACCGCTCAAAAGGTAGCCGACCTTTCTGACTTCATCAAGGAAAAGTCTGGTAGTCATGCTCTCGTCCGTCATTCATCCGACGCTCAAGATGACGAACAAAAGTCAAAGGCTATTGATGCCATGAGCGCTGACATCCTCAGACTTCTTCACAAGATCAAGGACAGCACCTCTCAGAGCGGTGGCTTGAGTAACGAGATAAAGGCACTCCTACAGAACCTTCGTGGTGAAGTCTTGGGCATGGGTCGTGAGCTCGGTCGCCAGCTCGACCAGGCCAATTCTACTGCCAGAGTTGCCGAAGATGGTTCACAGATCAAGACTGATGTCGAAGAGATTGTCAACCAAGGTCTTTCTCAGCTGAGAGAGCATATGGAGCACATCATCCAGCAAAACTCACAACAGCTCATCATGTCCAATCATCAAGACGAAAACAAGAACAAAGACATGTACGACATCGTTAAGAGTGCCATCACCGAGCACAGCACGGCCCTCGTTCAGGCTCAGCCTCAATCAGAAGGCCTCGATAGGGCAAGCATTCTCGAGGCAGTCAAGGATGCCATCGAAGAGTTCAGACCGGAGATCGAGCTCCAGCAATTCGGTCTTGAACGTGATGAGATTCTTTCTGTTCTAAAGGAAGGTTTGCAGGACTACCGATCAAACAAGGAGCCAACTGCGGCCTCGGGTGCCAACATCGAGGAGGTCGAATCCGCGATGCAACGTGCTCTCCAAGAGTTCAACCCTCCCAGATCGACCGATGAAATGGTATCTTTCAAGGAAGACTTGCTGGCATCAATCCGTCAATCCATTGAAGAACTAAAGTCTGCTGGTCCAGACAATGCTGCCACTCATGCGATTGTTCTTGGAGCAGTCAGGGAAGGTCTGGAGAACCATGGACCCAACGCTCCTCGCGAGTTCGACATCAGCAGAGACGATCTCTTCGATGCCGTCAAGGCCAGTCTTGATGGATCAACTCTTCCTTTCGGCAGCTTCGGCGAGCAAGTCTTGGACCAACTGCGCAACCTCATAGAAGAGATGAAGACCGAATTCAAGCAGTACTCTGCTGCCAACGGTCGTGATACCGAGCAAGTCCTGGATGCCATTAAGGATGGTCTCGAGTCTTTGCGCCATGAGGTCGAGTCGTACGTCGACCGTGCTCAGGATGTCACTGGCAAGGATGAGATTGTTGATGTCGTCAGAAGTGGTCTTGAACAACTTCGCGGTGATGTCCAAGGCTACTGCGCCGAGGGCCCATCTAACGGTCGCAACGAGATGATTGACTATATCAAAGCTGAGTTCGAGCATCTGCATGAGGCAGTCAGCGGTCTTGGTTCCCGTGATGGCGAAGAAGGTCGCCCTTCGAGTACTTCTGAAATCCTCGTGGCTCTCGAAGCTGGATTCCTGGAGCTCAAGAACCAGACTGCTAGCCGTAGTATTCTGGACGAGACCAACGAGGACATACTGGAGGCTATGAAGGCCGAGTTCGAAACTCTTCGCGACGCTGTTATTGCTGGATCGAACTCCCACAAAACCGAAGTCATTGAGTCTCTTCAAGAGAGCCTGGATGCCCTTCACGACAAAGTCGGCAACCGCGAAGACGGCACTTCTGACAACGAACTCCTGCTTTCCATGAAGGATGAGCTGGCCCACCTCCGTGAGACCTTGGCCGCCACTTTGGTGAAGTCCGGTGCTGCCGCTGAGAGAGATGATATGATTGAGAATATTCGCGAGGCTGTCGAAACTATCCGTATACAGATGAGCTCTGAGCAAGGTGAAGCCCATGCCGAGACCTTGGCCGCTCTCAAGGAGCAGTTGGAGAGCTTCCGTGAGTCCACCACCAAGGGCCTTGTTCTCAGCAACGGTGAGAATGATAACGAAGAATCTCCTCAAGCGCCTCTGGAAGAGATAAGAACTCGTCTGGATGAGATTGCTGTTGCCAGCAGCGGCTCAGGCGTCAATACTGCTCTTCTGGAAGCTATTCAAGGCGAGTTCCAACAAATTCGTCATTCTTTGGGTACAGGCGGCTCTCGCGCCGACACAGAAGAGGTCCTCGACGCTGTCAGACTCGGTCTGGATGATCTTCAGTCCTCCCTTGAGAAGAAGATCGACAACCCTGAGATGCATAGAAACCTCAACAACGAGCTCATGGACACTCTCAATGAAGGTCTGGACAATATGCGTTCCGACGTTTCCAGAATCATGGACAAGCCTGTGGACATGACCGTCAACTACGAGATCCTCGAGACTCTGAAGGAAGGCGTTGCTAGCCTCCGAGCTGACTTGGAGAAGCTGACTGGTGGCGAGCGTTCTTCCTCGGCTCTGGGCAGCGAGCTCATTCTTGCCGATGCTCCTGGAGAGGAAGGATCTAGAGAGTTGAGCGAAGACGACAAAGCCGCTCATCCCGCCAGTCTCAAGGACAGAATGGAAGCTCTGTTTGCTCAATTGCACATCAAGGTCGAGGGCTTGGCTGCCAGTATCGGCGACATGCCTGCCACGTCGGCAGCTCCTGCTGAGGGACTTGCCTTGAAGGAAGATCTGTCTGGCATGGAGGAGACTCTCCGCCAGATCCAAGACACTCTCTTGGTCGTGGCCGAGAAGGAAAGGGTCGAGGTTGACAACGCTGTCACCAAGGAAGACACTGACGCTATTGAGACTCTGCTACGCAATACCAAGGCGCAGCTCGAAGAGCTTCCCGCTACGACCGCTAGTAGAGAGCAGTTGGACGAAGTTGAGGCAGTCGTTCGCAGTGCCAGAGAAGCCATCGATGGCCTTGCCACCAAGGAGGATGTTGCTGTCGTCGAGATCCTACTCAAAGACCTCTTCACTGCTTTCGAGGACTCCAAATCCAAGGCTCCCGGAGAGGACGAAGAGGAAGAGTCAGCTTCTCACCTGGACAAGGCAGACTTGGATGCTCTCGGCATGCTCTGCACTGAGATCAAGGAGAAGATCTTGGAGCTCAACCTGCCTGACCCCGAGGCACTCCCTTCCAAGGCCGATGTTGAACAAATCACTGGCCTCATCAACGACTTCCGTGAGAGTCATGACAAGGTCAGAGAGGGCTACGAGAATGACATTGCTATCACTGCCAAGGCTTTCGACGACCGCAGAAAGGAGGCTGAAGAGATGGCCGAAGCTATCTCTGGTGTCAAGACTTTCTTGGAGGAAGTCAAGGCCGAGATCCTCGCCAAGGTTGAGGAAGGTGCACCTGGAATGGCCGACATCGAAGAAGCCATCAAGTCAATCGATGACAAGGTCGCCGGCGATGAAGGTATTGGAGCCGACATCAAGGAGCTCTTGGAGACTATCAAGAACGAGTTTGAACGTTCTCACGAATCTCTGGGTGGCATCAAGATTGACCACGAGCAGAACAGCTCTACTTTGCTCGAGAAGCACGCCGAACACAAGGATGCTATCGTGGCTGCTGTCACTGAAAAGGTCGACTCTTGCTTCGATGGTATGATGAGCAAATACGATGATGCTCAAGCCGCAGCACATGAGAAGGTCAAGTCCATGGAAGAGCAAGTTGGACAGCAGAAAGAAATGTTGAACAGCACAAAGGAGATGACTGATGAGCTGAAGCTCTCTATCGACACTCTAGGAACTTCTCTGACAGCATTTATCCCTTCCTTCAACGAGGCAACCGAGAAGATCTCCGAAGACTCAAAGACTGTCTTCGAGAAGGTTGAGGGCGCTATGCTCAAGATGGATGAGCACAACGATGGCTTGAAGACCGAGCATCAGACCACCCGTGATGAGATCGTCAAGGTCGTCGAGGCTGTCGCTCTTCTCCAAGGCGAGTCCAACGAGTACAACCCTCAATTCTCAATGTCGCTCAAGGAGCTTAACGCTCTGGTCAGTGCTCACTACGAGTACTCTCAACAACTTGCTGCGACTGCTGAGGAGCAGGCCAAGACCGTCCACGACACCATTCGCACCGCTACTGAGGAGTCCAAGACTCACATCGAAGGTCTCTTTGCCGAGAATCTCAAGACTCACTTTTCTGAGAATCTCAATGCACAGACAGAAGAGCTTAAGGGTGCTCTTCCTGCTTTGTTGCCTGCGCCTGTTGAGCCTGTTGAGAAGTACGATGATACCGCTGTCCACGAGAAGCTTGACAGGCTTGTCAATGATACCGCTGTCCACGAAAAGCTCGATACTCTCGTCAACCTGGCCGGTGAAGCTGGTGCAGCTACAGCTCAGATGGAACGCCTGGATGAAATTCATGCTCAGGTCAAGGCTACCGCTGCCGAAGTTTCCGCTTTCGTTGCTATCCAGCAGAAGCAGATCACCGACGGTCAAGAGAGCAAGGAACGTGAGGCTGAGGAGCTCGCTCTTCTCCTTGAGCGCCGTCAAGTTCAGAAGGACAACATCGAGTCAGACATTTCTTCGCTCAGCGAAGAGAAGGAAAGCCTCCAGGCTATTGTCGAGGCTCTTCGTGCCGAGAAGGATGCTTTGGCCGCGCAGAAGGCTCGCCTCAATGGTGATGTCTCTGCTCTCCACACTGCTTTGGACATCAGACGCGAGGAGTTGCACGTCATGGATGAGAAGGCTGATGCTTTGGAACGTCGCATTCTCGAGGGCTTGATTGACCACTCTCGTGCCATGCTTCTTACCCAGAAGACACCTAAGACGTCTCCCAAGAAGAAGCTCATGCGCGACCTGCGCCTGCCCAGTGATGCTTCGACCACACAGCTTCCTGCCCCAACCACACCCAGCCTTCTGCAGAGCCATGCGCTGGCCATGAAGACTCGTGGTATGCCCAAGAAGACTGGTACCACTCCCAACACCGGCGAACGCCGCATCATGTCGCTCAGCCAGATCAGCCGCAACTTGCCATCTGGCGCTGCTGCATATGCTGCTCCTACTCCCAGCCTGGTTTCGGCTCAGGGCGCGATCAATCGCAGCCAGTCTCTCAAGAATAACAAGCTCCGCAAGATCTCCTGGGGCACTGCTCGTGCTGCGGCTGACAAGGAAAATGACATCGAAGAAGTTACTGAGATTGACAGCAACTACGGCGGATCTCGTCCTGTGAGCAGAGATTCTGAGTACCGTCCTCAGAGCCGTGACTATGACTCTCGCCCCGTCAGCCGTGACAGTCTCGATTCTTCGTACTACAACAGCAGCAGACGCAGTGTTAGCTACGCTGGAAGCCAGAGTGCTTGGACTGAGTCGCAGTCTGGCATGACCGACGACGGCTGCCGCACAAGCTTGGGCACGCTGGGCACCTATGAGACTGGCAGCTACATGACTGGCAGCGATATTGACCGCCGCACCAGCATCGGCAGCACCATCCGCAGCACCATGGATCGCTCTGTCATCCACGAAGAGGACTACGACAGCGATCTTGACAGCGAGCGTTACGTTGAGCCTCTTGAAACTCCTGCTTTGGCTGTTGATACTGCTGTCGCCAAGGATGTTGGTCAATATGCTCCTCCTAGCGATTCTGGCATTGGCTCTGATCTCCCTACTGGTGCTCTGCAGGGCAATGGCGATTACTTCGCTGGCGCTGTGGTGCCTGCTACTGTGGACGAGGACAGAGCTACTTGATCTACAGTCTCAGGCGACAAAACCAGTGCAATCTGTGCATCTTGAACATTTCCATAGCGCACAGAGTTGTTCTTACATTTCCTTTTCTCGTTTCTTCTCTTTTCTCCTTGGTTCTTTCCTTTTTACCTTTCTTTTTGGGGAACGCGCGTTGTAATGATGAATTGATGAAGGGTTGAAAAATGGGCGCTGGTATTTGGGAGTGTGTTTTTCTTTCCCCTTGTTTCCGCTTCTGAAGGATACCTGAGCCCACTCGAGGCATGTTGTTGTTTTTTTTCTGCTTTTGGGATTCACAGACCAAGGGGTTTCCTTCTCTACTATTGATGTTACGATTAGACGATTGTTGATTATCGCGCAAATTCGAATTTTTCTCTTCTTACTGTTCATCTGCCATTGGGTGAGATGGCTAATTGTGACGTGTGAGGAACAAGGCGAGAAAGACCATGTTGCTTGACAACTATTGTGCTTTGAGGGTCTATGGTTGCTTTACTTTTTAGTCCTTCGCCCCTTGCTCGTATAATGCTTTTCGGATTAGTACACTCAGGAAGAAGTCACGTCAGCTGTATGTTTTCCGCCGAGCAAAGTTGATTCCTTCCCTTTTCTGTCTCGCTGTAAATGACTATCCTAAGCATACCTTTGCAGATCGATTGCATTTGCCGCTCTCGCTACAAAAGTGCTTACTCCTAGGATAAACTTTGCATGCACAGTTGTCGTGGAACCCTCCTTGTTGAGCATCCTACCTACGTTGCACGAGAGCATGTTGGACATCCGTATCAAAAATCTTCTCGTAAAGTTTACAGTACCTGCCCACCACACATTGTTCTTCGCAATTTACCCGTCCACAAATCACAAGTGCAACGACTAACCAGCAGAAGGTATTGTTCAACTTATCTGCGAATCTACGTCCAGCAACAGCAGTTAGGTTTTTCATCGGGAGTTATGGTGGGTGATTTTTCGTTGAAATTCTCGCCAATCTTTCGCTATTGATTCTCGCTGTAATTGTCGTTGCGTGCCGCTTGCACGTATCACTAATACTCGTATGGGGAGGTTTTTTTTTGACTTCAAGCAAATTGCTGTGGCAGCATGAACGATGGTGGCATACGAGTCCCAAGAAGCTCTCGCAGTCTACGTTTTTGACAATCGTGTGGTCGTGGCGATTGCAGTGATTCTCATGGAAGATAGTCTCGGTGTAAGATGCATCAACAAAAGGCTGATGTAACGTCTCTGGCTGTTATGATGCTGACAGGTGTTTGGAGCTCGGAAACAATGCAGTCGTGATGCGTTGGATATCAAAAGTATAAAGGCCAAGCTTTGTATTCGACCGGAATGCAGACTCTGGTTTAGAAAGTAGACGTTAAAGTGATACTTCTTCATACGCAGAGTTCATGTCACGCGAGGAGGTACAAAATATACAGGCGGTTCCGTCCTTAAGAAGCGGTTTTTTTCTAGAGTAGATGTTCCGATACAGATGATGGAGAAACAGCCATCAAGCAAAAACGATGAGAGCTTCAGATGATTGGATGGGAGGATGCAAAAAAGATGCAAAACGTACAGCAGCAGGGATTCCCACGTGGTCACCCACCGTAGTACTAATCTGCCGTTCAACTGCTTATGTATGGCAGAGCGGACGGGATGCCCAGTTTTCAGCTGACTGTGGCCGTACGTGCAAGAATTGCTGCTATGTTCTTGTATATACCCTTCCACAACGCTCACGTCATAGTCCAATGGAGGCGCGGAACATCATTCGGGCCACAGCAAGGATGGTCATGACAGATAGCCTTCATATCACAAGGACGGTTCGCGAGATGCGCATCCTTCTAGCCACACGACTAGTCTCGTCCGCGCAAGTCGCGTGTTCCCGATGATCAGTGATGTACTCATTCCCATCAGTGGAGCGAGAAACCCATCGTCTAGGGCCTATAGCTCCAGAAAAAGTACGCCCAAACTCAACGTAATCTCAACTTCGTTTGTTATGCGAACGTCGGAAGGACCGGCTGTCTGCTCAGCGGGTCTCAAACGATGGCTTCCAGGAAAGACATGTGGAACGAGAAGCAGGTGTAAGGAGGATGAACTTTTTGATTGAGGATGTGGGGAAGTGGGATGAACCTTTCGATCGAGTCATTAGTGCAAGTGGGACGGACAAAGATACATACCGCCAGACCCTTTTTGTGGTGATGAGGTGGACGAAGACACCAAAAAGGAGATTCTACAAAGACCGAGGGCGGCTGACGATTAGTGGGGATCTCGAGAGTCATACTTACGGAAAGTTATACGCAAGATGTTTCTTGAGTCGTCAAAACCCTGTTTTTCGGAAGCGGCACTTCTAGGGTCCAGGATTTCTGATATGGAGACTCCGAGAGACTGCATTTGTCTTGTTTGAACATCTTACCTCTTGTGAACAGGTTTAGAGAGGGCTGCTGATATCGATCTTCGAGTTGCTTGACCGTATTGCCGATCCAAGACAAGATATCAAGGAAACTTAACCATCATGCAGTCGAGATTATGCAGGTGTAGACGCCTGGATTTTGTCCTCTGCTTCTGTAGATCTTGTTAGCACAATGGTCCGGTGGGCCACCCATCTTCAATCAACACAACAATGTTTCAATCGCCCTCTCAACGTTGTTGTTTTGTTGTGGTCACGTCTGCATGCCATTCGAGTGATTATCGAACTCCTGTGTCGTGCGTTCATGCATGATAGTGGACACGGCGGGACCAGGGTGCTCCGCTCGGCAGGTAAAAACGATCGGCCCAACTAAAACTAACGTCTTTTCGTGCCAGTCAGTCACAACGGTGCGTACCAAACTGCCCACATGATCGAGTCATCATCAGAAGCTCAACGCGGTGAGTTGCTCAGAAACGCGCGGCAACTAGAAATATTCGCGTTCGGGATATAGAATGTGTTTGATATAGCAGTGTCGTTGTCACTTACGCGATTGTGAGCAGGGTGCGTCTCAGAAATAGACTTCATTATTTCGTACATGGCTGATGTCGATTGCGTTATTGCGTGCTGCGGCTATATCCCATCGGCTGCTCGTGAGCCGTCAATGCCCTCTCACTTTCCGCCGCGCTGCGGTGTGCATCGAAGCTGGAAGCCGTTTGATGAGCGACAAAGACTTTAGGTAATGTAGGCGTGAGATAGCGTATAGGTGAAGTTTGGTAGGCGAATGGATACATTAGCAAGATTAGGTGGTAGGTAGCTCGGAGCGCCTGCCGATAGGCTCGCTTGGCACCTATCTTGCTCCCTGGAGGCGCTGATCAGCAACGCGGCAGATGTCGACAGCAGATCTCTGGGTACGGCAGTCGAGGTCTTGCGAAGCTGCGGCTCTGGATCTTGGAGTTGACAAATGCTCGATGTGCCATTCTGGTTAGCAGATCTGGACTTTGAGTGTGCCGATTGGCGTTGGCATCTGTGTGAGGCGATCGCTCGAGCGAGCTTTGACTCGGGGGGAGTGAGTAATGACTCCGGCTCGCAAGAGACCGAAGTGCGAGAGACATGGACAGACAGTTCATGATAAGCATCTAATCAGATCCTTTGTTTAGCGATCAAACTGGAAACTCTATTTTGTCGGTGCAAAGCCTGGGTGGGAAAGTGTCGAGCACGAGTCGCAGCATCAAAGGGCGAGGCAGGCAGCCTGAATCAGAAGGCAGCGAGTAGCGGAGGGTCAAAGCAAAAAGTCAGGACAGATGGTCGGCATGGTAAACCTCCCGCCGTCAGTAGTAGCACGCCACCGTGGCACCATGTGATCTATCAGTGGTCAAAGAGTGGTACTCGTGGAATCGCACAATGATTCAATGGGATGTTCATTTGAGGTCGGCAGCGATTGGCTTGAAGTTATCAGGGTTTCGCGTCGGAAGGGTTAGAGAATGGTTGAATAGCGGAAGGATTGGGGAACAGACAGCGATTGAGAAGGTCAAACTCTAATAGACGACAAACAGCAGTTCCCTTTCAGCCATCAGAGCAGGGGTATGGCAGCGGGATAGAAGGTAGGTCAATTACTTATGGGTCGCTCCGGCATATCGAATGTGGTGAGGTCCCCCCCCGCAGAGTGCTGGGGCCTTTTCGGGTCGGGCTGCAAGTGGTGGTGCTTTGTGCTGCTCGTGGTTGTTGCTTGCTTTCAGGGAAAACAAGCTCTCGGTGCTAGTTGCTAGAAAGCTGCTAGTTGTCGAGGCTAACTAGCGGCAAGACTGCTCTCTCCTCTTGAACCTGGATTCTCCATCTCTTGTTTGCACCTGCTCCTGCTCCTGCTCCTGCTCCTGCTCCTGCTCCTGCCCCGACGAGTTGGACATCTCGTGCTGCACCGAAATACCGTTGCCGTTTGGCTTTCAGCAACCCTCCCTGCCGCCCCCCTTGAAGCCTTGGCCCCCAGCGTCGCTACGTGCGTTAGCTCTACCACTCTCCCTGTATCTGTTCGAGCTTCAGCAGTCCCTTCTGTTGTTCTGTTACTGCCCCATCTGCTGCGCGCCCGCTGCCAAACGTCGCCCAAACACTCGGCCAACCGCCTGCGCTATCCAGCCACTTTGCACTGACACTCGACCCTTCGCCGCCCATCGCCGAGATTGAGCTTCCGCAGATCCTTCGCACACGACGCACCACAGCTGCTTCTCTTCCCACAACTCTAGCCTGCACCCACTCCCACCAGTCAAGATGGCGGGAAAAATGACTTTGTACAAATTGGTCGTGCTTGGAGACGGAGGTGTCGGCAAGACTGCCCTCACCATTCAGGTATGTGCTCGCCCGCTGCTCCGAGGAATGCGACTGCCACTGCCACCATCAATGCTGACGACATGCACAGCTCTGCCTCAACCACTTTGTCGAAACATACGACCCGACAATCGAGGACTCATACCGCAAACAGGTCCAAATTGACGGCCAATCATGCATGCTCGAGGTCTTGGACACGGCCGGACAGGAGGAATACGTGTCGCTCAGAGACCAGTGGATCCGCGACGGCGAAGGCTTCGTCCTGGTATACAGCATATCCTCGCGCGCCTCGTTCCAACGCATCAAGAAGTTTTACAGCCAAATCCAACGCGTAAAGGATTCTGCACAAGCTGGTTCGCCTACCTACCCTGGCTCACCCAGCCTCTCGGCCCCCGCCGCATCCGGTCCCGCTCCCGTCATGCTTGTCGGCAACAAGTGCGATCGCGTCACTGAGCGCGAGGTGTCAACTCAGGAAGGCGCTGCTCTCGCTCGTGAACTGTCCTGCGAATTCGTCGAGGCTTCAGCTAAGAACTGCGTCAACGTCGAAAAGGCTTTCTACGATGTCGTCCGCCAATTACGCCGCCAAAGACATAACTCCACCGGTGGCAGAAGCGGCGACCGTAAGAAGGATTCTGGACGCTTGCACACCGGTAGCAGCGGTGGCACTGTCAAGAAGTCCAAACGCTCTGGCGGAAAGTGTGTCATCCTCTGATCGCCTTCATCTTCTGCACATCATCACGACGACTATACGACTTCGCAGAGCCTTGTTTCTATTCAATCATGTCCTTTGCCTTTATCATCCGCCATGGCGACGGCCGACTTCTTTCCTTGGCCATCATACCTCCTCCCCATCTCCATCCTCTCTTCTTCCATGACGCTTGATGGTTGTCCAGGACATGCCAACTTCTCCGTCCCGAGGCCGTGGACTTGGCCTCTTCAACGCCTCAGGCTCACGAAGAGGTGAAGAAAGACCATGCATACGGGAACTCTCACCCAAGCCGCTTACAACACTTGTTGCTGCTTGCTGAGCTGTCTCCCGCCTTCTGCTTACGGCCTCATCCTCCACCGTAAGACATATCGCCTTTGGCAAGACACCACTACTCGTGCAACTCTGCCTTCCGCGATCTTTATCCGGTTCAGCTAGCATCACAAGAGAGCGGGCCCGCTTACATTTCACTTCTATGTATAAACGTTTTTTCAAGGACGTCTTTCTCTTGCACAGTGACACGCGATGGTCGCTGTTGTTTCTACAACCCCCGATCTTTCCTTTCTCTCGATATCTATCGTCATCTTTTGTCCAGCGAAGGCGCTCGAGGCGTAATTATTTCTTAATCCGGTTCGATGGGTGTCGGAAGACAAGAAAGGGAGAAAGGTGGAAAAAAGGATGGAAAATGCTTGGATATGAGGGTTTGGACAAAAGGTCTTTTCTTATCTGGGAAAAAAGCAATCTCTCTGGGTTCTTCCTTCTTTTCTTTTTTCACATATGCAAAAAACACCAACATACTACTCCTCACCTTTTACGCGTCCCTCTCTTGACTTCCATCACTTGTTTTGTGTAGCCCTCTTTTGTCTGGATGGAGCGATTCCTGCCGATGCATTGGCCCCCAAGCTGGAGAGTCGGCGCTGCAGAAGCAGAAACGATCACCCTCTGAACTGGTTACGGCATGATCACCAAGGATGGCAGGTCTTCCGATATGTTCGAATAGTAATCAAAGAATCTCCCTTGCTCCAACCCCTATTGCTGGCCGCATCTAGCCGGCGTGGTATCCAAAAAAAAAGTATGTCTCCAACAACGTGCATGGTCTTTTGCGCTAGAAACAACTCCAATGGACGATCTTTGAACGGTGGGGTTTTTTGCTGCTTTACCCCCCCAAAACTGTATATGAGTTTTATTATCCTCTCATTTCTCAATCATCGTTTGCACGTGGGGGGTTTTCCATTCTGCTTCTGGATCTTTCTTTGTTCTGTTTATCTTGTTGCTTTGTTCCCAGTCAAGCCGGATTAGTGTGATGATGGCTTAGTGGCTATACGACCGAGTTTGTTGTTGTTTCTTGCAGAATTGTACAAGGAAGAAGATCAGAGGGTGGAGTGAAGACGACAAATCACAAAGGCGACGAACAGTATATTGTAAGCTCTTTTCGAGACTTGGGCAAGAAAAAATCCCTTTTTTGATAACATCTGCTACAGAGAATCTTGAAGTATATTTAACCTTTCTAACATCCTCAAGAACGGTTGTATGTATTGGGGATTCGAAGCGACGAGAACGATTATCTGCATGACATCCAAATTCTGGGATTGTACCTTTTTCGCTTTTTTTTTTTTTGCTGCAATGGCGGATTAGAAAGAAGAGGGTACCTTCTAAACCCAATCGCTCCAACTACCTCTGTACCGAAAAGGCTCCTGACCTTTCCTAGCGGGTGAGTCTCCTGCAGCAGCAACACCATCCCAATCCACTCCCGCAGCGCCAAAGTTTATGTGGTCGACATTTCCCTCAGCTTCGGGTATATAGCCTAATTCGCAAGACGAAAAGCCCACTTTGGGTTGAGTTTGGTAAAAGGAATCGTAGGCTGGGTCCAGAGCTTGAAGGAGAGATGTGGGACTTGCTAAAGATGAAGCAGACGAGTGATGCAACTCGGACCAAGGATGAATGCAAGAATCGCCTTTACACGTCTTGAGCACCACCAGCAGCGCATCCAAGCGATAAACGACATCCTGGAACGATCTTCCCGCCAACTCAAACTGCTTTGCCAATTCTGCATCCGAGAACAGATTGTGCATTTGACCGGGATCATTGTGGAGGTTGTAGAATTCGTGTTCGCCGGTGCACCACACGGAGTAGTACAGACTGTAGTTGCCACTCACCAAACGCAAAGCTTTGTAAGTGTTGTTAGGGTAGGAGAGACCTCCGAGTGGTTCAGCGATGCCGAATTTGCCCTCTGGCAGACCGATACCCCAGAACTCGACGTTGATGTGTTCGCCGCGAGTTGCGTTGGAGTTTGAGGCAAGTAAAGGGATAGCAGTGCCGTCGAAATCAGGGCGTGTGGCGTTTGCGAGGGAAAGAAGCGTAGGTGCCATATCGGTGTGTGAAGTCACGATATCTTTTGTGGCGTTTGCAGCAATACCAGGACCGCGGATGATGAGTGGGATGTGGATATCGGTGTCGTAACCACATTCTTTGCCGGGATGCATGCGGTGCTGACTAGCGTGGAAACCATTGTCGGTGGTGAAGAAGATGTAGGTGTCTTCAAGTACACCCTTGGAATCCAGAAGGTTGACCAAGCGCTCGATCATTTCGTCGACCGACTGTAGTGCGCGTAGTCTGGCACGTTGGAATTCGTCGTTGTAGGCAATCTGGGTGGAGTTTAGTCTGGGTAGTTGGGCTATCCAACTTGCTCCGCTTGGCTGTTTTTTTATCGATCTTGTTAGCTTTCTCATCGCTTTGATATCCAAGAATGTGCTAGATTACTCACAACTTCGGGATTAAAGTCTTCGGTTCTTGGAATCTTGTAGTCCTTGAACAGATGTGCGTGACGAGGTGCATACTCGGGAATCGCAAACTTGTTGGCTGGTCCAGGGGCAAGCACTTCTAGCTCATTGATGGGGCCACTGGGTGGATGGGCAACGATATTGCTGTGAGGAGCAATAGGTGCAACGGTGACAAACCACGGAGCATCACCCTCAATAGCTTCCTCGAGAAATCCATATGCCTTGTCAGCCACAACATCCGGCGAGTATTGACCCGAGTAATCCTTTGGCGCCCCTCCGTTCCTCGACATCCTAGCATGCCAGTAATCGTAGGTGAACGGATCAAGCAAAAAGTCGGAGCCATTGAAACCCTTGACAAAAGGTGCATTGTAGTTGTTGATGGTATGCGCATTCCACAGTTTTCCAGTATAGTAAGTGTTGTAGCCAGCCTCTTGCATCCACACAGGCAGATAGTCGTCATTGATGCCTTCCTTGACAATCTTGGGGTATCCTCCGTAAGGCGGACCCACATCAGTGACATTGGTGTTGTGAGCAGCTCTTCCAGTCCAGAGGTTCACTCTTGAAGGACAGCAGATGGCGATTGTGCAAAAGTGGTTTTGGTAGGTTGTGCCTTTGTCGGTTATATGCTTCTTGAGCAGGGGCATGTGTTCAATTGAGCCCATGTGGCCATCTTGGTCGTCAGTGATGATGAAGAGGATGTTTGGTTGTTTTGCTAGGGCGGAGCTGACGAGAGCTACCCATGCTGATAGCTTGGGCAGACTGAACCTCATCGTGCGTGTCAATGAATCAACACAATTGCGTGAGGTTGGTTGAAGTGCAAAGAGATGCCTCGGACTCGGTCGACCGATGCTCTTATCAAGGCTCGAAACAACAAACGTTCTTTCACATGAGCTTCACTTCCACGACCCGAAGCTAGTCGCACAACATCAAGTCCCGGCAATCACTTTTACAAAAGCTCAGCCAAGCAGATGAGGTGCGATGGCGTGCCGCGTAATCGTATCGAGGATAGCCGGTGGTCGTTAGCAACGACCTCCCTGGCCGTTCCAAACACAGTTTTGACGTGCATATCCATCTTGGTCAAGGGCGTCCTCGAAAAACTCACAAGGAAGAGATAACATACATGACACGTTGCCTCCATCGAGGTGCGAAGACAGGTTTAGTGTGTTGAAGGAGCATATGAGGTGTCAAGAAGCCTCGCCGACCCACGTGTTGCGTGCTGCAAGTACCCTGAGTTGGCAACCAACACTCTTTGCTCCGAACCATCAAACACACAATCACAGACTCGATCAAGTAGACCTTGTTCAGCAGAAGACATGGTCGACATTCGATCCTGAAGGGTTCATCGTGAAGATGTCACACTCTATTCTGGCTGGTCATGTGCAAGAAAGCGTATCTAATTATCTCATCATATCTCTATTCTACCCTCTTGACCCATTCTGTGTACAATGTGCATCAAAGCAGGAAAATCTGAAAAGCGCACGTTAGTACTTTTGCTTCTCAATCTTATGACAATACATTGCAGCGCAAGGCAAAGTCGTGAGAAAATCATGTCAGATTATTCCAAAGTATCCGTCATCAAGGATCGGAACAGGTCTCCAAACCGGATATTCATCATGTTGATTTCTCGCTTTTGACTTGCTGCTGAAGGAAAAGAATAGAGAACTTACCATGAGTGTGAATCGCATCAGAAAGCTGTCCAATTTGTTGTCGTAAATTGTCATTGTTCACATGGCGGTGATAGATGATCCAGAAGCGCATCAATCACGATCCTGAAAGGGTGTTGTTCGTTTTCATATAACGAGCGCCCTCTGAGATCGCGATTGGAGCGCTTCAAAGAGTTGTGTGTCTTGCATGTTGCGATGCTTGATTGCGAAGAAGAGTTGCAAAGATTTTCTGCTTGTAGACAAAAGATAACCGATATTCTACCGCTGGCTGGTCTGAGCTCCTAGGTGACCCTGTCAATTTATCATGGAATGAGTTGCTTCATCTTGAAGCCCAAGTCAATGCTGCTCAATACAAAGAAGATCGAGCTGTTGCACAGGCTGTAAAAGTGGAAGCAGCAAGATGTACCGATGACAGTACAGTCATAAAGATAAACACCGAATCGTATTTGTTCTCCTAAAATGCAGCAAAGTCCATCCCAAACGCCTCGCCAGTGAAATACATACAGAACCAAAACCATGAGTAGAGTACAGAAGACCAATCAAGAAGAGAGTGGAAACGAGCCCAGGCGGACAGAACCCTTCTAGAATTCTCCACCAGTTCTGCCACCACCTCCAAGGGCAGAAGCTCCCCAAACACCAACCAAACCCCACATGCCCACTCTCCATCCTCTCCACAGACCACCAATACCTTGTCCTTTTTTGTCTCTCTTGTTTTGTGCTACAAGGCCAGGTCTAGCGGGAGTGCTCATACGGCTCTGTGGTGGTTGCTCGCGAATACCTTCCTCGGTCATGATGCTCCAAGCGGTACCGAAGACACCCCTGTAGGGACCGACAGGAACAATGGTGTCCATTTCCGGACCACTGACAGATTTGTTTCCGCGGAACGAGTTCATGGCGGCCTTGGTGTAGACATTTTTGTGAGCAGATTTGAGATGGGAGATTTGAGCACGGCGAAGGACGGTTTCGAGAGGAAGTTTGATGAAGAGCTCAGTAGTCGAGGTAAGGAAAGTGGCGAGAGAGTAGGTTGCTGGTGTTGAGAGAGGGTCCACACGGAAGTATTGGCGGAGGACGAGAGGAGTACTGGTACTCAGCAGGGTCGGAAGTGTAGAGTGGAGGAGGGTAATTGAGAAGAGCGAGGGGGGAATTGTGAGACTCGGCAGAAGACGGAGATTTGGTAGAATGGCACGCGGCTGTGAAGTGGTTGGTGTGAGAATAAGTCTGGAAATGGTCAGCGTGCGAATAAATTGGCCAACTGAGAAATGCATACCTCGTGCGCACAAGATCGAGGGGGGCAAGCAGGAGGCCAGCAATGGCAGAAGCAGCGACTGCGATACCCAACGAAGCCAATGGCGAGGGACTGTCTGCTAGATCCAGACCACCCATGGCGCCAGCAACGACCTCTGCAGGCACAGAAGCCAGGGATGAAGGATCAGGCAGATCGAACAGAGCAGACAGCAGGTTCCTTGTCCAGCCCTCGACGGCCTTGAGCAGGACGTTGTAGATGAAGGTGGCATTAGTAGCCTTCCACATTGCGGCGGCACCAGCTTGCTGCCACAGCTGTGACAGAGCCTCCATAACCGAATCCGGTCTTCTGAGCTGCAAGACATGTGGAGCAGGCGACTGATCCCTGGACGAGCGTGACGGTGGGGTACGAGGACGACGTGAGCGGGATCTATCAGTTTCTTGTGCTCTTGTAGGCTTGGTGGGTGTAAAATAACTCGGCTCATCTGGATCCGACTCATCATCGCTCGGAGGGTATTGGTCGACAGCAAAGCGGGCAGAGGTCCTTCGTCTCAAGGTAGATTCGGCATCGAGCTGTGTGGCCAGGCGGACTTGTAGAATCGTCTTTGCAACGTCAAAGGGTTGCGCCAGGAGGACCGAGGTATATTTCCACAAGGCCTGATCGAGGACCTTACGACCCATGTCTGCAACAGAAGCCGAGTCGCCATCGTTCAAGAAGGAGGAATAGTCGAGGTCGTCGAAAACATGGCGAGCGGAGCTGCCCAGACTGCTACTTGGACCGGTCGAGGCACTTGTCGCGTTGGCGTCTCCAGGTGGCAGACCGATCGAAGGTGGGCGATAGTATGGTCGTAGAGGGTTTGGGGTGTCGCGCGACGACGACAGCTGTACTGGATGTGCCATGGTTGTGTGTGGTGTGTGTGAGAGCTGGATCGAGGCAGAGGGGCCGTGGTCGGAGAAGCTCCAGACTCTCGACTCCCGCATTTTGTTGCTGACCACTTGCACACACCTCGTCATTCTCAACTTTTACAACCAACACGAAGCTCCTTCCTTCCACGCAGTCACGCCTGTCCCGTCGCACATTCCTCGGCTCTACACAATGTCGGTCGCTGCTTCCAGATGCGTCGCTCGATCAATACAGCGCTCGCTACGCTCCTCCGTCTCAACCTCGTCGCCGCTTAGATCCGCCATCCCGCAATCATCATACCAATCTAGCCGCCTCTCGATCGCTACCTCCACACACCTTTCCTCAAGGCGGCCTTTCTCTTCTTCATCCACTTTGCTACACGGTCACCTGGACGCTCCCAAGCCCGGCGAAGAGCGCAAGGTTACCTTTGTCGACAAGGAAGGCGATGAACACACCTTTGTAGTAGCCGACGGCGACAACCTGCTCGACATTGGTGTGTCTCTATAGACTCAAAATATCCCAAGAGGCAGAACTAACCAATTTTCCAGCACAAGCCAATGATCTCGAAATGGAGGGTGCATGCGGCGGCTCATGCGCCTGCTCGACCTGCCACGTTATCGTCTCGGACCCGGACATGTTTGACAAGATGGAGGAGCCTGATGATGATGAGAACGACATGCTCGACTTGGCCTTCGGTCTGACAGAGACGAGTCGCTTGGGTTGCCAGGTCAAGATGTCCAAGGAACTCGACGGCTTGGTTATCAAGCTCCCCACCATGACCAGGAACCTGCAGGCCAGTGACTTTGCTAAGCGATAGACACATCTCATATCCCCAGCTTCCATGTTTGTATATAACAAAATTCCCCTTTCTGTATTAACACATTTTTGAAGCATATACAACCTGTTCAAGACGCCTGCACTTCCTATTCCAGCCCAGGGGCAGCACAAATTAGAACTGCCTTATACTTTTTCACATAGCCATCAGTCAAGCATTGCAGGGAGTCTCTGTTTGTGGACATCGTTGTGCATCTCTGTACCTTACAATGGAGTAGATATGGCATGTGAGGAGCAAAAGTGGAGTGAGCTTATGAATCATCGTTTGCATTGATTTGTTCAATTCCAGCCGTTTAGGATAGAAACAGAACATGCTCAAACCTTCTGTGCTCTATGTCTAACCACTGTCATGCTTTCTCGTGTTTCGTGAAGGTCGTGTTTGTGCTGCGATCAAACAGCGCTCTTCAGGGGTTCGCCATCATTGCCCTCCTGCTGCTTCAACTTCTCATGCTCCTTTCCGAGGTCTCGAGCGATCTGACCATTGCCGAATCTACCGCCAGTAGGATCGATGCTCTCCTCAGCCTTGTCTTCGTCATCCCAGCCTTGCTCTGTTCCAGAATTAGTCAGTCACTGTTCCAGGATCTTGCATCATTGAATCAGACACTGACCCTCAGGTTCGCCGCCAGACCACCTAGCCAACTTCTCCTTCCTGAAAGTAGCATAATCCCACTCCTTGTCTTCAAGACGCTCATGAGTATCAGTCCAGATATACGTCTGCGTCTCCACTTCGTCGCCCTCAACATTGCCTTTTCCAGTAGCTGCATCGCCCTCGGTCTTCAACAGACGCACACGTACGGTTTGGAGTGAGTACTGGTCACCTTCGAACATATCCAGACGATAGACATCGCCGTCGGTGAGGCCGGTGACGTAGGTGCCTCGGACCGAGTGACCTTCCTGAGGGATCACGCCGGGGTAGTCGCAGTACTTGACGCGGGAACGCTTGTGGTTGTGGAGGATGGCGGGGGTTTGGGTGATGGTTTGAATGTTGTGTTTGCTGATTGAGGGCATGCCGAAGATTACGTTGAAGAGGACTTCTTTGGCCATAAGAGTGCCTATCAGAATATTCATATTAGTCAAGGGACGAGCCATGGAAGCAGATTGATGACTTACCATAGAAGAATGCGGTGCGGTCACCCATCTTGGTTTGTGCTTCCTCGATGCGTTCCTCGGTGGTTTGTTCGAGAGGCAAGTGGTCTTCCTGATTACCGTAGAATCTCATAATGTCAGAACTGAGTTGTGCTGGAAAGATAGAATTGTGGTGATACGGAACGTGATAACGGAAGATATGTAGAAAAGTGAAGACCTACGATGATATATAAATGCGTGAAGGAGGCAGCCAACACGTCTAGAATGTGTTGAACGCAGCAAACAGACAAACTTCAAGACACAAAGGACAGAAGTTATACAGATCAAAGACTTACAATGAACGAGTGAGTGTTGTCTCCAGATCCTTTGTTGATAATGTTGCCAGAAGTAGAACTCCTCCGCTATCGCCGCGATAAGACATGCCAGCCACAGTCTATCCAAAGTGGCTCGAGTCGTGGCGGTGCTTGATGCGGCTCTGCGTAAGGCTGAACGATGCAGACTCTCAACAACAACCTTTCTCTCACGAACCCCTGATAAATTTGCGAAATTCCCATATTCCCCTTTTTGTTTGGGTTTTTGTTCAAGACAATCTGTTTGGTCTTTCGTCTGGTATCTACACGACAATAATTTAATGACCAATACCGCAACATCTGTCTCCATCTTTTGACGATAGTCGGCAACAAGCTCCTACGCCAAGCACTGGTTTCTTGGACGTCCCTCGAATCGGGTATCATCTGGTAAACGGACAGAAGCGCCTCAAAGACCGCCGAAGAAAGGAATACGCAAAAAATCTTCTAGTCTCAACGAAACAGAGACCAGCTGCCATGGGTTTTGTCTCTTGGTTGATCACACATCTAGCTCCTGTCTTTCTGGCTACATCGCCTGTTACCAGTTATGCGGATCAGATCTACTCTATCCACCGGACGCGGTCTTCAGCAGGTTTCTCTCTTGACATACCTCTTATTATGCTGGTAGCGTCAATTCTGAAGTAAGTCTGACATATGCCAAAACCGAGATAAGACCGCTCAACATTGATGTTCCCGATATTAACAATGATTCGTAGACTGTTCTACTGGCTTGGAGCACGCTTTGATCTGTCTCTTCTCTTACAAGCTGGTCTGATGGTGATTGTACAACTTGTCCTCCTTAGAGTCGCTCTGCAGAACCGTCCCCTCGCGAGTGCCGCCAACAACCTCCACCAGCCATTCGCAGGAGCCAGAGAAGGCGATACTCACGTCAAGCGACCTTTCGACTTTTGGCAATGGAAGCAAGCAAAGCCCTACTGGATGTTCCTGGCATACTTCAGCGCAACCCTGTTGGTTCTCCAGATTCTGTTCGGTCGCTTGGATTCCTACGTCGCACTTCAGGGTTACGTGGCTCTAGGTATTGAAGCTACGTTGCCGCTTCCTCAGATCATGTCGAATCAGAGAAATCGGAGTTGCAAAGGGTTCCGCCTGAGTGTCCTTGCAAACTGGCTGTTGGGTGATGCCATGAAGATGTCTTTCTTCTTCCTTGCTGAGAGCACAATTCCATGGTCTTTCAAGCTTTGTGGTATTTTCCAGGCATGTTGCGACTCTTATCTCGGAGTGCAATACTTGATGTTCGGGGAAGGGCCTGTTGACAGCATCGAGGGTCTCGCGAGAGAGATGAAGAATTTGAGCTAAGCTACGGCCGATGATACATAAAGTACGAGCAAAAGCATGATCTCTTTAAGATCGAATCTCTCTACATCTCATAGAAAATCTATGAAATACCAGAGACGTTCGAACTTTTGGTGTATGAGCCTTCGAGCTGTCATACTAGAGTTTGTTGCTTAGGTACATAGTAGTTACCTATATAGGACATGAGTTCCGCAATACCGAAAATCTGTAGATTCTCAGCTACAAGAGGCAGCAGCATTGGGATCTTCTGTACCAAACAACAACAAGTCTCCTACCACAAGCATGAGCAGTCTATGATGGTCAACACTTGATTTTCTACAATCGTTGAGGTATGTTCATACCTATGAAATGGTGCGCTCAAGTCGAAGGATCAGTAAGCCAAGGTGAGGGATGGCGCATGGACCAGCGATTTCGGCATGCCAAGGCGCAAAAGACGAACGACAGGCCACTTCGCATCGATCAGATAAGATCAGTCCATATCCATCTACCCTCGGCCTCGACCATCACATTCCCACCATGACGACTTTGGCATCTCAACCACAAACCTCGGCCTTCCGTCCGACCACCATACAGGATGGCCAGTCTGTCGCCCTGTTCCGTTCTGCTGGTGACGCCGCTCCTCCCCAGCTAAAGAGGTCCTTTGGCTCGTTAGACAGTGTAATCGACGACCACCTGTAAGTCGCTATCTTTGCCGAGTCGACTCGTGCATGTCCGTGAATACCACCAGATCGACTGACCTTGTCTTCTCAGCTCGCCCGTATCAGCAGCATCTCCAGAGGAAGCACCACCCGGCAAGATGGCCATCCCTCGAGCCGTGAAGCGTCCCTGCGACGACTCGACTGTCGCCAATGGTCCACTCAGCAGAGAAATCACCCTCAAGCCTCGACCAAAACCCGGTCGCAAGCCCATGGCCGATCAGAACGACTCGTCGGACAAGCGGAAGACACAGAACAGAATTGCACAACGCCACTTCCGCGACCGTCGTGCTCAAAAGTGCAACGATCTCGAGATCGAGAATACACAGTTGAAGGAAACCCATCGTGTTGAGATGTCCTCGTTGCGGGAACAGCTCATGCAACGTGATGCACACATTGCAGCTCTCTTGGCGGAGAAGGTCGATGCCGTTGCTGAGAGGGCCCGCGTCGACTCAGAGTGTAATCAACTCAGAGAACGTAATGCCGTGCTGCAGAAGGAAATTGGTAAGTACTTATATTCTTCTACCGGACGAGAGCTATACTAACCATCCGATTCAGATGCCGCCAAGCTCCATCATGCTAATGCTCATGCTTCCCATCCTCAGGTATAATCTGATCTATGATGCTCACTCCCTGAAGGCCAATATACTAACCCTATCCCAGCGTTCCGGGCTTGCATCAAACTTTGTGTCATCAGTCCATCAAATACTCACACCTCCATCCGACAACGACCCCCACGATGAGTATGAAGTAGACTTCACAAACATCTACGCAACCCGCAAACCATCCGCCTTCGCCTCCGGCCTCGGCACAGACGAACACTGCGGTTTCTGCAGCGACGTCGAGAACTGCATCTGTCGCCAACAGGAAGAGCTCAACAACAAGAGCCTTCCTAGCCTTCCTCCCATTGATTCATCACGCGCCGTCACTCAAGTCAAACCTCATTCTGATGTCACCACCCCTAGTTTCCTTGAAGCGCGCACCGAGGCTTCAGGACCAGGTACTTGCGACATGTGTCTCGCTGACCCCGAGAAAGCCCGCCAATGCCGCGAACTCGCCGAAGTCGCCTTCAAAGAACAAGAGGCTTCTTCCTCTTCTGCCCCTGCAGATGCATCCCCCTCAAAGGGCGTTGGTACAGTAACCCTCCGCCGCCTCAAACAACTCAACACTGCGAAACCTTCCTCTCAGCAGCAGCGAACTTCCTGCAGCGACTTCTTCCAACAAGCTCAACAGAGGAATGTCAGATTGAGGCGCGACGACTATCAGCAAATCAAACATGTGTATAGGTTTGAGGGCAGATCTGAGCATTCGCCTTATATGGAGATGGATACGCAGGATGCCGCTCATGCTTTGGCTGCGCTGAGCAGACAGGATACCAGGTCTGGGATGGATCGCCAAGCTTAATTCTGGGTATGTGGTTTTCTTGATGAGTCAAATGTTGGGGATGATACAAAGCTGCTTTTTTTTTTCGAGGCGTTTCTTGGGAGGAGTCCTGTTCGGGCCGCTTGATGCTTATCGCACAATGCTTCTGTGAATTTTCCTTTACATGTTCGTTTTTGTAGATATTTGGGTTTTTACATGTTCATGTATCCGTCACTCTTCGTAGTTGCCTGCACTCACACTGCGGTCACGGCGTCCCTCGAGCGACACAATAGAAAGTCCAATCTCATGTGTATACTCGATGGTCCGTGGGGTGCTTCACGGACAATCCATGAAAATGACTTGGAGATTACCGTTGTTATCGACTGTTGTAAGCACTCTTCAAGATTTCATGTGGATGAAAAAACAAAACAAGGAGCACCATGTCTAGCCACTTTGTAAACCTACTCGTGCCTTGTCCCCTAGTCAACTTTGTAACGCTGTTACTGACTTTATGGCTCAAAGTCGATCGGCACAAACTAGGCACTCGGTAGATACAAGCCTACACAATCGTGGCCACAAGGTTCACTATACGAGTTTTTCTCACCCCGATGTAATTGACACTAGATACGCAGGCGGCAGGCGAGTAAGAAATTATGCACTGGAAAAGTTATAGCAAGGGTTGGTCTCTGGTCTGAGACACGATAGTAGCAAGCAAAGTTGGGCTCTCTCTTTGTAGAGGCCCCAAGAATCTCCCTTCCATGGCAAGAACACACTCGCCCTGTTTATCATCCGTGAAATGCTGGCGGAATGCAATATCTGCATAGGAGAAGTGTTACAATCACTTCTGAACCATGACCATGCCGCGTTGAACCTCTCCCTAATCTTTCGCCTCTGAAGCTTCTTCAACGACTTGGAGAAGCTCATTCACAAAGCCTTGCGGGTAGCTGATGGTGCTGGGCTGATCGTTGGTGTCCTTGTCGTCCTCGGCGAGATGACTGTAATTCTCACTGTTGTGAGGTTGAGTACCTTCGCCGAGCTCATCAGGACTACCGTCCTCATCGCCAAACAACATCTCGTCCAGGGCGAGGCGCTCTTCAATTGATGGAAGTGTACGGGTCGGTGATCTTGACCTTGATCTCAGGTAAGCGACTGGCTTGCGAAGGCTGGTCTTCTGTACCGGCGGCTTCACAGGCGAGCTCTGGACCATCCTAGAGTCTGCATACGCCACCGCAGGTTTGAGAGGTGAGCTCCTCTGCACAGCTGGTGGCGCTGGACTAACGGAACCATTGTCTTGATCGGCCAATTTGAGAAGACGTGCTTTCTCCTTCTTCCTCTGTTTCTTGGCGGCGCTCTGCTCTATCTCGAGCTTGATCAACTTCTCGCGTATCTCTGCTCGCTTCTTTGCAGGATCGAAATCGGCAAAGTCGTTGTCGCGATCGAGCTCGCGAGACATTACTTTGCGAACAAACTCCGCAGGGTCGCGGACGAAAGCTTCCATGTATCCGATCAGATAGACACCGCAGTCGCAAAAGTTCGTTTGCTGAGGTAGACCACGAGCTGTCAGTCCTTTGAGTGCGGTATACTCGAATTCCAGACCTCGTTTGTCGCGACCTTCGTGGACGACGTATTGCTTCAGATTCTTGATCTCCTGAGGGTGAGTGCCGCCTAAGGAATCGAGGAGGATGAGAGCAGGTCTAGAGATAGTCAGCGTATGTCTTCACATCGGAGGAGGGGAGATGCAACGTACGTATTGGGGTCCGTCTTGGGTAATGGAGGTGCCTGCTTTTTGCCCTTGCGCGTAGTTGGCTTCAGCTTGCCAAGGGGAGGTAGCTCATCCTCCTGTTCCTGTGAACCATCCAGAGAAATGCGTTTCACACCCTGTGACAAACCTTCGTCCTTAACGTCTGGAGGAGATTCAGGGATCTCAATCTCGTTCTGCGCTGTTGTCTCAGATTGGGTGGACTCTAGGACGGTTGGTTGTCGTCCGGCTTCAGGTTCTTCTTGTTCCTCATCCAGGCCATCCAGATTCAGTTTTCGTTCAAGCTTGTCGAGATTGCAGATGATGACCAGGAACCAGTGATACTGAGTGTTGATTGGGACCGCGACGTACGGATGACTGAACAAATCAATGTTTCTGGTCCAGCGCTTTACACCTTCATAATTGAACCCTTTCTTTTTCGACGGCATGCTGGTGAGAGTCTCGTAAAAGAACGAGTTGAATATGTGAGCCTTGCCCTTCAACCCTGGATTCTTCTCTTGCATCTCTCGGAGGCAGAACAAGATGATGTTGTCGTTGAGAAGCTCGCCATCGTCCAGTCGTGCAATGTCTTCAGCGTCAATAGTGGTCCGGTTCGGTCCCTCAGCAGGGTATACCAGTGGAGCATCCCACTTTGGGATACCGTGTTTTACGGTCCACCGCTCAACCTCGGGTTCGGCGGGTTGCGCGGCTTTACCACTGTCTTTGCTCCGAAGTCTTCCACTGGATCTCAGGGGCGTGACTTGTTCGGTTCGAGATTTGGGCGGCGGCAAAGAGTGATCTTGTGCTGCTTTCGCGACAGGCTGGTTGGTATAAGTAGACCTCATCTGGCGATGGCGAGGTACTTGACTGGAGGCCTCAGGAAGCGGAGATCCGCTCTGTGCCGCCAAGGTGCGTTCTCGGATGCCAGGTTTGCCTTGACGATGGAGCATAGCTGCTAATTCAGGATCGGTCGTCGCGGCTACTGGTACGACAAACGCCTCAGAGTGTTCACGTACATGCTCGAATCTCTCTCTGTAACAGTATTAGCTCTGGTGGGTGACGCAAGTGTTGTTACTACTTACGAGTCTAAATCCTTGTATTGCGCTCTTGGACTCATATCGTGGACAGCCTCCAGAAAGGCATTGCGGTCTTTGGCCGAATCAAAATCGAACCAAATGCGACCTCTTGAGAAATCGCCGCTGCATCCCTTGAATATGACAATCCTCGAGCCTTTCAAGCTGTGGTATACAGTGGTAGCGTGTTTACTGCTGAGTTGGATTATTGCATCTTTGTAGCGAAGCATCTCGCCGTTCTTGGTGAATTGGATGCACTCGTCTGTCGAAGAATAGATAAGTTCTAGATTGTCCCAACTGCCGCCCATCATGCGAAGTGACGACAAGTGGACGATGAGTTTTGGTCCGCCTTCTTCTTCGGGCTTCTTGCGTTTGTTCGGTTTCGTAAAATGCGTAGAAGTGATAGCGTTCGGAGATGGTGACCGGGCAGCTCTCTCTGCCTTCCGGACCGAGGATTGGACTGTGTGCCCGTATGACAGTTCGTCGGGGCTCGATTCATGTACAAGTTGTGGGGATCGTATGGTTTGGGAAGTGTTCGAAGCCGACTGCATCTTGCTCCTGAGTTTTGACGAAGCCTGGTGATTTTCTTGACCCAGATCGGGTTTTCCATCATCTCTTATGAACAATCGGGCTAGAGGAGGTGAAGGTGGTGCGAACTGGCCGGTTCTGTCAAAAGCAGATCGAGGGGCGTTGTGCTGCTCGTCGAGAACTTGGACATCATCGTCATCATCGTCAACCGACACGGGATTAGTCGAAGCGCCATGCTGACGGGGCGAGCTATGTTGTGTCGTTCCAATTTTGGGTTTGCGACCCTTTCTCTTGGTGTTGTTCAATCTCGCATGCGCATCACGGGATTCTTCGTGTCCAAAGAGATTGGATCTTTGACTGTGGTTCTCTTGGCTGTTCAAACTGATGACGCTCGGCTGTCGTCGGACGTCGACGGGAGATTGACCTTGCACATCACGGTCGAACCATCCGTCATCTGATATGTCCTCAGCGTCTTCCGGAAATTCATGACCTATCTTCTGGCGTTTGCTGGACCCAGCAGAGACATTATGTCCACGAGAGGTATAAGTAGCCAGAGCGCCTGCGCCAGCGCTTGGTTGGTTCAAAGTGTTTCTTGGCCTGACGTTACCAAAAGATTTAATTTTCATGGTCCCTCTGGAACTCCACTCGTCCTGTGGTACAGTAATCCTGGTTGAGCCTTGGGTCTTGCTGGAGAGTGTTAGTCAAAGAAGTTGTCAAGCACGGTCAAGTGTGCGTACGGATACGATCCTTGAAACAATCTCCTCTCGTCGGCACTGGGCGATGTGCGTGGTGGTCTCACTCGCTGATGGCCTCGAATCCTGCGACGCAGTCAGACGACGTACCAACAAAGGTCCAGGTAGGGCTTACTGTGTGTGTGATGTGCTTTGTTCTTGTGCCAAACTTGTCTGGGCGTGTGATTGTCGAGAAGCGGGTTGTGTTTCTGAATGACTGATGCATGGTCAGACGACGTACGGCGACAGCATACTGTGTGTAGTGTACTCTTTCGGAGATGCAATGCGTTTCTTGTGGCTGTTGGACAGCGTATCTTCTCTTTTGCTTCGCGGCCTTTCCTCCGGGCTGGGACGATTGGTCAGATGAGGATGCGGACAATAAGATGGCTACTGCCTACGGTCTCAGTGATGCAACTAGTGCAGAGTGCGGCGAGGATCGAGTGCGAAGACGTTTGGAGGAGGAGTGGTGCACTGGGCTGTTGAAAGTTTGTCAGGTTGTACGAGTCGACAGATTTCCTGGTGGGGCGTACCTCGTCGACGATGTGTGGTGATTCGACTGGGCTCTGATGCCTTCACTCGGAAGCTCATCGTCCTGTTCGTCGGTCAAATCAGTGTCCATATCATTCCTTCACTCATGTAGCGCCGTCTCACCTTGGTGTCCGAGTCGTTTCCTACAAGCGTGTCGTAGGTTCGCTTTGCTCCTCCGATGAGACTACCTATAATGCTGGCCATTGATCATGACGAGAACGAGAGAACATGTGCACACAGTTGTCGCAGAAAGGCACAGAGTCGGAAAGCGCTTTGTTGGTGAATGCCCGCACGCGCAAACTTCTGGACTCGCTCGTCGTTGATGATTCGATTGTTCCCGACGCCGCTGTCTCACCTTCTGTCTGCCCTTTGACCTGGACCTGTGGCCGCCCTTTCTCATTGGAGTGCTGTCTTCATATATTGCAGCTTCTCTAATCCCATACGCCTATCGACAACACCTGCTTCCCTATGTCTTGTTCCATCACTCGATATCTCGGACCGTTGCTATCCGGATGCGGAAGTCATTGATGTGCTGGTCATGCGCCCGATGGAACCCTCAATCTCATGACTCGTAACAATCTCAGAAGATGAACGTGAAAACTCAACAACATCAACGCTCAAGATCTGAATATATCGTCGCATATATCTCTGCATACTCATAGGTTCCTTGGATGAGATACTGACTTGACCATAAGATACTGACCCAGAAGCTCTCACAAATGCGTCTCGTAACTGAGCATAGCACCTGCACTTTCAAGAGAAGCTTTCTGGCACGTCATAGGCACCAAAAAGCTGCATCAAGTCTCCAGCACTTGGTAATAGTTTGTTGGTAGTCAGGGACCGGATTGGATATTGAACAACAGATGCCGACATACCACTCTACAGCAGAGCGAGAATCATCCAAAGCTCGTTCCCAAACAACACCAAGCAGCGAAAGCATATGATAAGAAACGCGAGAGAGCTGCCTGTTGTCAACACTCACGCGTCCTAGATACCTTTCATTTACGACAAAATGTAACGCAAGCAAAACCTTGCGGTCGACTCTCGTATCTCAACAGCGTGTGCTGCATCACAGCTTGATAGTCAACAGATCTTGACCTCATAGCAAGCATGGATGGTGCAAGGCACGAACAGAAGTGGCTTCGGCTCGAGGGTCCACGATCGGCAGCCGAAAATGCCGGCTTCGTGCTGTCTTCCACTCACAACCGTCGCCTGAAACTCGTGCCAGTCTAAGAGTCCAAAAGTTGTTCGTCGGTGCTTCTTTCTTTTCCAGGCACGTGGAGATTCTCATTGGTCTTGCCTCTTGCAGAGCGTCATCTTGCTCAAACTACTCTCTGCTATCTTTCTGCCGTCCATCTCAACCTCGTAAATGTGGTGTTATATAATGCAACCTATGTCCTCTTGATTATGCGCTACCTTCCGACCACCGCAACAACTGTTTTATTATCAATCGCCATCATGTTCGCGACACTATTGCTCCTGGCGGCTCCATTCGTTATGGGCCAGTCAGATATTCCTCTCTCTCAGGACATCCAGAGCGTGCTCGCTGTCAACAACAACTCCTTGTATCATTATCCTACCGATCTGACTCAAGGAATCATGCCCAAGAATGTCCATTCCCACAATGACTACTGGAGAGCCAAGCCCTTCTACACTGCCCTGTCCAATGGTGTCATCTCGGTAGAGGCTGATGTATGGCTGTACAATGGCACCCTCTACGTATGTACACTCTCTTGCATTGAATCGATATATGCATACCATGAATCTGCAGTTCTATCTTTGATATTGTTACTCACCTGTAGCAGGTCGGACACGAAACTTCTGCATTGACCTATGCACGCACGTTTGACTCACTCTACATTCAACCCATCCTTTCTGTCCTCAAGAAGCAGAACCCAAGTTCTCCTTTCGTGACTGCTCCCACCCACAACGGAGTCTTCGACACATCGGCTGGCCAAACTCTCTACCTCTGGGTTGATGTCAAGACCAACGGATCCACTACTTGGCCCTACGTTGTCAAGGCCCTCGAGCCTCTCCGTCAAGGCGGCTGGCTCACCAAATACAACGGAACCGGAATCACTAATGGAACCGTCACTGTCATCGGAACCGGTAACACACCCCGAGACCAGGTCGAAAGCCAGAACAACCGCGATTACTTCTTCGACGGCCCTCTGTCTACTCTGAACAGCTCGGCAAACTCCAACATCACCCAGTTCCTCTCTCCCATCGCAAGTACCAGTTTCTTGCAATCTTTCGGATGGCCCAAGGATGGCAAGCTCAATGATACTGCATTGGCCAAGCTGCGTGGCCAGATCTCGTCGGCCAGCGCCAGAGGTATCGGTACTAGATACTGGGTGAGTTTTTTGCACTCTTTCTTCGTCTGACAGCACTTGTTGACATCGCCGCTCAGGAAACGCCCAACTGGCCCATCAAGGACAGAAACGCCATCTGGCGTCTGCTTTGGGATGAGGGTGCCACTCTCATCAACGCTGATGATCTTGAAGGAGTCGCGAACTTCTGGGAGGGTGACTACTAGGAATGTGCTAGATCTGATCATCCAAGATCTGGACTGCTGAATAGCTTCTTCTCGTCCTAGAGTATGACAACTCGGGGATGTCCATGAATACTCAAAATCTTTAATCATGCTTCTTGTCGCCATCTTGATTTGAGTTTATGGTATATGTTTCCACATACAAGCAAGCCTGACAACTCAAGTTCTCTCCCGACGACCTTCCTGTTCCCAAAACTTATCCATCAATCTCCACACCCTCTCCTTTTCCTCTCTATCACCGAAAACCACATCCACCGCACCTCTACTCAAATCCCAGAGCTGCTCCCTATTCAGCCCAAAATGCTTTGCCACGAACGCATACTCCTCACTAAGGCTTGACTCAAAAATCCCCACATCATCAGTAGACAACGCAATCTTTCCTCCAGCTGTCCACCACTCCCCAAAATGATGAGCTTCAAAGCCACCTCGAGACAACTTACAAAGCACATTACAACTCAAACACAACTCCAAGCCCAACTGTCTTTCAGCAATAACAGTCTTGACGTCTTGCGGCACATGAATCACATGACCCAACCTCTGTGGCTGCCACTCAAGCATCATCTCCAACTCTTCTGAGCCATCTTGAGGCATCTCTGCGAAATGCACAGTAATCCCCAATCCCAATCTCTTCGCTTCTGCAAAAGCAGGAGAAAGGTGAGAAATAGGTTTGCGGGTGGGATTACCGCAGAGATCGATGCCTACGATGCCCTGATCGCGATACTTGGCAGCCAAAGCCACTACTTCCATCGCTTCCTGTAGCGTATTTTTGCGATCGATGGAGAGGATGAGTTTGACGTGTAACTTCTTCTCCTTCCCAGTCGCATCTGCATCCAGCCTGTTCTGTTGTGAAGCAGCGAAGTCATCCATGGCGTCCAAGACAATAGACACGTAACCTTCTTTATTGATTCCAGCGGTTGCTATCACTCTCGGTGTCGTCCTGAGCTCTACATAACAAACCCCATCGTCTGCGAAATCTTGCAAGACTGAAGCGGTCGCGTGACGTATACTCTCCTCATCGCAAACCAACGCGTAAATGTACCGATCGAAAATCGGGAAGAAACTACACCATCACATATTCACATCAGCCATATATTTCACAGACTTCTGATGGATGATTGTGTAGGAATTCTCACCTGACAACATCAATACCTCCGTCTTTCACACTCGGTATAGCTATCAATGGATCTTCTAGTGCCAAACCAGCATCGGCGGATATCTTCGCTAGCCAGATGTCGTGGAGGCATTGTTTACTGATACTGCCTGTCAAGTGAGCGTGAAGCTCGACTTTGGGCAATGCTTTTGTGAAAGCGAGATCGGGTTTTGCTGAGATTGACATTTGGTTCAAGGCTGAGTGGATGCGAGTGGATGTTGGCTTCAAAGCTTGCTTTCGGCTGCGATTCATGTAGCAGTCGAAAAAAAAAACATGGGAAGGAATAACCGAGTAGTGTTGGTCTTCGATATCAAGTTGACCATATTTTTCAAGTAAGGAGAGGTTGGGACCAGATTCGAGGAAATCAATGTTTTCACTGAGAAAGAATATTAAAAACTAAACGATCCCATTGAAAGTGCAAATAACAGTTGTTCGTCGCCAGCGATTGAAAGCAAGCATCGCAGCTTATCGCTACCATCATCATAATCGTCAATCACACATCGGTCCAACTAACCCCATAGCGCATCCTTGCCACGACCACTGCCGTGGACAACAGGAGGTGTGAGGATCTTGTGACTCCAGGCTTCTTTACCGTCAATGAAGAGGCGGTATCTGAGCTCGGACTGGTCAGAAGTAGCTGGTGTGCTGATACTGAGAGCGCCAAACTTCGAGTTGCCGTCGGGCATGTACCTATCAAGAGTCAGTCGTTGCTGAAAAATGGAAGCGAGCTTGAAACACTTACTTAACACACACGTCTTCGTTGTCGGTCTGCTCGTATGTGCGCACAGGAAGGTAGAACATGCTCAGCGGACTGACGCTGAACTCATGGACAGTCGCACTGATTGGCCACTTCTTTGTTCTCAGCTTGCCTGTGCGTGTGTCCAGACCAGAAACCTTGTCTTCGGTGGGTGGTGGGAAGGAGGTGGCGGCAAACTCGTGCCTATCGCCACTGAGGACTACGACGCCAACACCGCCACGAAGACCAACGTCCCACATAGCCTCCAAGATGATCTGTCTCTCGCCGAGATATCCAGCCCAAGTGTCCTCGCTTCCGAAACGCCAGTTCTTGGTGAAGGGAATGCTGGAGACGACGACTTTCCATCGGACGCCAGTCGGAACAGGAGCTGCAAGCCAATCAAGAAGATCTTTTAGCTGCTCACTACCGAGCATGCTCTTCTTGTAGCCAGTCTCAGCTTGAGATTCGCCGTACGAGCCATCAGTGCCGTCGAAGGGTTGGCGATAGCGGCGGGTGTCAATCATGAAGAACGATGCAGGTCCCTGGTCGAATGTGAAGTAGGTCGCACCAGGACGAACAGGGTCCGGGTTGACAGAAGCCTGGTAATGATGCCATGGATCCACAGCAGCCTCGTAGACTCCAGTAGTGTTTTTGTCCCAGTCGTTTGCAATTTCATGGTCATCCAAGACATGGATCCAGGGCAAATTGGCCTCTGAGCTCACGGACTCCCATTGAGGCGAAGAGTAGACTTGACGATACTCTCTGCGATAAGTCTCAGCATCGGTACCAAAACGCTTGGGTACGTCGGCGTAGATGAAGTCTCCCATGAAGATCATGAAATGAGCCTTCAGCGAGGGCAAAAGTCTAGCCAGATGTTTGAGGCCTGGGAGCTCGAGTGGGTGCTGCAGTGGGTTGTAAGGGAATCTGGGCTTGAGGCAGGATGAATGCAGGAAGGTGAAGACATCATTGTTGCGAGGAGCGGTGCGGCCAAGTCTGGGTGCCGTGACGAAGAAGCCGGTGTGGTTGTTGGATGCAGTGTACTGGTATGTAGTGTCGGGTCTGAGTCCGGTCAGGTGGAAGATACCAGTGTAGTCGGTGCTCTCGTCGACATCGATGCTGTTGTGAGGGTGCTTCCAGCTAGCGTCGTGGTCGCGAATGCCATCGTCAGGCGACTCGCCGGCGTATCTGTAACTCATACGCAGAGGATGTTCGGATGTACGTGGTTCTCTGACCAGAAGCTTTGCGCTGTTCTCAGAGACATGGCCGAGACGCACAAAGGAAAGATTGTGGGAAGGATGGAAGAGAGGAGCGCGGTAAACCATGTCAGCCACCATGGCTAGCAGAGCGACGTTGGTCAGGAAGGTCACACCGGACCAGAAGAGAGAGCTGGGGCTTGGAAGGCCGGTCAGAAGGCTTCGCAGGATCTTGGGGTCCTTTTCTTCAAGCACGATGGTCTCCTGGACGTCAATTTCCTGAAGAGGTTCTGCGGTTTCAGCGTCGATGAGGACCTCATCTTCACCCTCGTCGCTGTCGTCACGATCAATGGTATCTCTGGTGATGATATCAAGCTCATCTGCGACGACTTCGTAAGGGCTTGTGTGAGTGAATGAATAGAAAAAGGATGTGGCATAGATAGCGAATGCAGTCAATATGACAGGAGGAGCGACATGGCCCGGAATCTAGAGAGGCTGGTTAGCGAGCGTGCAAGAGTACCAAGCATTGTAGCAAGAGTAAGCGAACCCAGCGGAGAAAGACATAAGTGGCCAGGCGCAAGACGGTAGAAGACAGCACTGTCACTGGACCTGCAATGCTGAGCGACATGATGGAGGCGCTTCTGGGAGCGAGTTACAGGTTGTCAGCGAGAAGGTGAAGTCAGCATTCCAAGATCAGCAGGTAAAAAGAAGCTGACCTTGTTGTGAGGGTGAAAGACGGGCAAGACGAGACGCGTTTGCGACATGCCAAAGTCATTCACATCGTCATCGCATGTGACAATGCGGAGAAGGCGCGTTTGATGCAATCTCGATGTAAGATCTGTGCAGGTTTATGCACACTTATGCATGAGCAGTGTCTACACGAAACACAGCGGGCGGCTCGGGGGTGAGTTGCGGCAGCGTCTCATGAACGGCAGATGCCGGGATAGACAGCAGCGCCATCGTGATTCGCGACTGGCAAAAAAGTGGTCGACCAGTTGGACTCTATACACATCACCACTCACAGCCATGATGATGCCGAGCAGAGGACTGGCGAGCGCCGTGCGTCAGGGTGCTCGTCTCAATCGCAGATTTGTATGTTGAGACACTTGGCGTGGACGACTATTTGGACTCACACATGCTAGATATCTACACCTTCAAGGCCACTGGCTGCACTCAACTCGCGCACCACAGGTCGCATCTTCCAAGGATCCGTCATCTCGCTCGCCGCACATGCTCGTCTTGCCTCAACGTCAGCACCTGCTGCAACTCCCATCATCTCTGCCGCCACGAACGCTCCTCCACCCACATCCGCTACCGATGCCCTCGCGACCAACAACAACCCTTTTGACATTGCCGATGCCACCGACTATGCCAACCTGCCCGAGAGACTAGGCTTCTTGAAAGATCTCGGTCTTGACTATGGATGGGGTCCCACCGCTTTGATCGAGTGGTCGCTGGAACATGTCCATGTGCTGTCTGGCATGCCCTGGTGGGGCTCCATCGCCGCAACCGCTTTCCTCTACCGTCTGTTCCTGGTTCCCATGTTCATGAAGGCCAACGAGAATGGCGCAAAGATGCGCGCCATGCAGCCCATCACACAACCCATGAACGCCAAAATGATGGACGCCATGCGAAACGGCGACAGAGTCACTGCCATGACTATGCGTCAGGAGTTGATGCAAATCAACAAGGCCGCCGGCGTCAGCACTTTCGGCATGCTGGTCCCCAGTGTCGTCCAGGGTGTGTTTGGTTTCTGTGCTTTCCGTCTGCTGCGCGCAATGTCCAATCTTCCTGTCCCTGGCCTCGAGACTGGCGGTTTCCTCTGGATCACCGACTTGACTCAAACGGACCCTTACTTGCTTCTTCCTGCCATTATGGGCGGTACCCTACACTTGGTCATGCGTATGGGCGGTGAGACCGGCACTCCCGTGACCGAAAGCATGAGACCTTTCCTCCTCTACGTCTTCCCCGGCATCGTCCTCATCACCACCGCCTGGCTGCCCGCCGCCCTCAACGTCTGGCTCTGCACAACAGGTATCATGGGTGTAGCTCAAGTCCACCTCCTCAAGCGCCCCGAGGTCCGCCGCTTCTTCGGCCTGCAACCCATGGTCGACCCAGCACAAGCCAAGCGCGACGCCATCCGCGCCGGCCTCATCAAAGAAGAACCCGCCACCATCGACGTAAAGGCAAAATCCTACCCTGCCGACCGAAGACCAGTCTACCAAGCTCCCAACGTAAAGTTCAGCACTAGCTCTGCACCTCCCAAGAGCAAAGCCGCTTCCTCAGCATCTGCTGCCTCTGCTGTCATCCAAGCCCCTCAGAGTCCCTTCGATGCCGTCAAGGAAAAGGGCTTTGGTATGTTCAACAAAGCCGGCAAGTCATGGGATGCCATGAAAGAAGGCATCAGCGACCAACTTCTCAGAGTGCGTGGATCAAACAACAAGCGCCAAAGCAAGACCCGCTCCGCTGAATTCATGAAGGCCGCTGAAGACTACGAGCGCAAATGGCAAAAGTTCCACAAGGAACAAAAAACTGCCGAGAAGAAGAAGTAAAAGTCGTAAAGAACTTGTACATATACGCAAGAAAAACACTCTCCAGCACTTTGGAATGGCGCATGTGGGACTATCGGGGCTTTGAAGGGATTTATGCATGAGTATGCGTGTGTATTGTGTGGTATATTCTCTGGTGTTGTAAAATCTGTAAAAATAGTATTCAAAATCATTTCTCCATTGCATTGATCAAGTGTCTACAATTTTGAACTCGCTCCCAAAAAGAATAGGTTTCTGCCGTCGGATTGTCCACTTGCTCGAACATAGCCACTTTGGCCAATGGGTTCTTCGCTTCTGCTCGCCAGTCTCTTCAATGTTGTCGCATCTCCATGGTTGGCGACGAATCTATGTCCAGAGCTTTTGAGTCTACCCACTACATGACCTAGCACAGGCTCGTTCTTGCGATCAAAGTCTACTGTGTATGTCTAAACACAATCAGTAATGGGAACACCGCCATGGTATAGTTGTGAGGCGCTTACCTCAATGATGGCTTCTCCCTCGGCAGTTCCGTCGACGGCTGGTGTTGAATTGTGCTCCAAGATGGAAGGAAGAGGATTATGAGCAGGGTACGGTAAGTTGTCTGCGCGAGGATTCGAGGATAGACAGATGACATGCTGATATGTGAGGACGCCCCCGTTTGCAAGTATGAGACCACGTGTGCCGTTGCCTGCACGCAATTTGCGTGTCATGACTGTGATTGCCTGAGTCGGAGTCAGCTCTGCTACATCTTTGCAGCACCATAGGAGGCGCTCACATGCATAGAATAGTTATTGCCTGCTCCCCCGAAACTTGTCAGACCACCGAGCAGTGTGATAGGCTTCTCAGGTTTGAGTATGTTCAGACCAAGATGCAGACAAGCGAGCTTGGGCACGATGGGAAAGCAACTGTAGAAATCAAACATGTCGATGTCAGTCTTCTTGAGTCCACACGCCTCAAGTCCAGCGTCTAATGTGCGGCTGATGGCAGGACTAGAGTGAAAGTTCGGCCGTTCCCAGAAGTTATCGCTGTCTTGTGTACCTGCTCCACCAAGCAGGTATATCCATTTATCCCGCGCAATGCCTAACTCGCAAGCATGCGAGACAGAGGTCAAAATTACTGCTCCAGCGAGGTTCACTGTGTTGAAAGCGTTCATCAATAGAGGGTCTGCTTGAGGTCAGTCTTGCATCACATAAGTCTTGAGTAGCCGTACACGGAGAACATATCATGCGATTTTTGCTCGAGACACGACCGATGGTGTCTTCTGTCTCTGCTGTTCGAGGGAAGTTCCAAGCCAAAGGGTTCTTGGTAGCAACTTGAGCGAATTCAGCATATAGCTTTGCACTTTCGGTGTGGTTGTCTTCCAAAGAATGGCCTCTCTGAGCACGAAGACCATTTTCATAGAGAGGGTAGACTTGGATGGGTGCTCCGATCGTATGTTTCGCTCCAGTTCCTTTGGCCATCTCACGGGTCGAAGGAACAAACACTTCAGTGACCGGCTTGTCGACGGGAGTCCAGTTTGGGGGAGGCATTACTCCTGCTTTGGCACAGGCAGCTAATGATGCTAATGCCTCGCCTCCGGTCACTACCGCCAGTTTTGTCTCTCCCTTTGCGATTCTGCGGGCTGCTTCGTCGACCAGTTTAGCAGGTTGGTTGCCTGCATGTGGAGAGCAATAGGTGTGAGTGGGCTTAGTACGAAGTTTCTCAGCGAGTAGACCAGGCAGGTCTGGATATGGCCACGTCCAAGTGCGTATAACATCTATGCTGTCGATTTTCGTTTTCAGACCTGCAACGACTTGTGAAGAGAGACCGGTATCTTGAAAAGCAATGGATATGGCATCGAGCATCAGCTCGGCAGGCTCGGCAGCGTGATGAACCGCGAGATTGCGGTTGATGATGTCGCCCACACCCACAAGAATTGGCACCTCAGCCATAGCCCCGAAGCGATGTTTGTAAGAGCCTATAGTGGTATCAAGACTGAGTCGGTCAATGACTCGTTAGGCAAACTTGAACGAACCAAGTGCAGTAAGTTGAGCTATGGTCAGTGGTCACGCTTAAAGAAAACACAGCTTGATGAGACCGGTGAGCGTCAACTCCAGGTAGACACGAGAGATTGGAGTGATATGTTGACCAGATGAATATGTCAAGTTGCTCGGAGTGGAGAAAGCAGGATGCCGAGGTCTAGAGCTTGATAGGCTGTTCAAGCTGTCCCGATGTGATTGACTTGAACATCAGAGTGTTATCGCACGAGAAGCTCTAAGACCAAAGCTCCGTCTGTTTGGGCGCTAATGGGAGACGTGTGCATTCTATATGTGGAAAGCTAGTCAAGCTGAAGATGTTGATGCTGCATGTATTGACGAGCAGGATGCGAGCGGGCAAACGGCTTCGCAAGCGAGCAGATACCGATACGGCTAGGTGCAGACAGCGGTGATGCTGTATAGGGACGGGAAGACGAGGAGTAACAGTAGCATGTTGTAGCTGCCTGACCTGTCAGCATGTGATACCTAGGGAGGCTGCTGTATTTGTTCACGCGTGATGGGCAACAGGCCGAAGCACGAGCAAAAGTGATCGCCAATGACGTTGATTGTTGGCAACCCCCACCTGCACTTCTCTCTACTGTCCTCTCGCGGAGCCGGTGCGCCTCATCATCAGATAACGAACGCTATTTCCATCTGCGTCACTTGTTCTAACTTTCATCCTCCCGTCTTCGACTCAATAAACACAAAAACCTTCGACACTGCTGTTTCACAAGCATCCAACACTTCTTCCATCGACCACGACAACACTCGCACCCATCCCTCCTCGCCCAAGCTATCCTTCTCGGCCTAGATCTAGACCACCAGCAATCATGACCGCACCTGGCTCTTCTCCCGATGCTCCTAAGAGACCTAAGGGTATGTCGCGCTATTCCCACCCTTGCCCTCCAGCTAGCTAAGTCGTGTCGCAGGTATTCTGAAAAACAACAGCTCGTACATGGGCGAGCACTCCTCTCGCGGTCCTCCCTCGCCAACCAACACACATGCTGCCATCCACGCCGACACTCCCAGTAACCCTGACCGTCCTGCTCTCAACCGCGAAATGTCTGAGAAAGAGGTCGTTCAAATGAATACTGAGATCAACGCTGGTGGCCGTCGCAACTCTTCGAATCCTCGCAGCAGCGTTTCGCGTCGCCAATCCGCTGCTGATGGAAGCCATCAAGGAGAACACCCCTCACCCAGGCTGAAGTGGGATGAGGGCAATCTCTTCCTCAATGAGAGCCAGATGGGTGGCAAGATGAAGATTGACGAGCCGAAGACACCCTACGTTGGCCGCTACGACCCTGACGAGGATGAAGAAACCTCTGCTCTCAACCCTGATGACTTGATGGTTGACGAACTGGACAAGGCACAGGTTCTTGAAAGTGATGGATCCAGCAAGAAAAAGCCCCGTGAGGTTGATATCCCCGATCTCGATCTTGGAGAGCCTGAGCAGGATACGATCGAGCGCAGACACAGTGATTCGGAGAAGAGAGTCATGGTGGATCCTGATCAGATGGACATCGATGGCGCGAGACATGGAGAGACTCCCGAAAACATCCCCCAGGAGGAGAGGGAGAAGCACGAGAAGTTTGAAAACATGAGGAAGAAGCACTACGAGATGCACAACATTAAGAATCTGCTTGGGTAAGTGTGACTCTATATGGTTGCTATCATCATTCAAAGCTGACTTTGACCTTAGACACGATACCGAGGAACTCGACGACGAGTAATCGATTATAAACTATGCTGCAATTGACGCGACCAAGGACTGGTGTCTCTCTTCTACTTTCGCATTTCCTTTCGCATAGCGGCGTTATACATCTGGGATGCGTGCATGAATCGATTTGAGGAATTCTGGTGACGGTGGTTAAGATTGATGACTTTTCTTTTACAACCAGAACATGCCTCTCCTCGATTCCTTTTCTGCTTTCTGCTTTGTTGATGTTTTGTCTCTTACTTGTGCTTGCATACGAGGTGGCTCGTCTCGTTTCGGACTTGATTGCGATGACTCTGTGCAACTCTACATATCTAACCATAGCTCATCACTACGTTACAAGCATCATCATTGACAAGACGTTGACCTAGGCAGGGTTGGCCTTGAGACCAATCTGTAGACGCAACTTTTCTCTCTTCACCATCTCGTTTCCTTCACGGTCAGCCTCAAGAGCACTGAGCATAGCATCAACGACGGTGACTGTTTTAGCCAGCAAGATTAGTGACATACGAGGACCGGGGAGCAAATGCGAACTAACCACTCAATTTAGCCAAAGCCTTTGGCGTTTCGGGAAACTTTTCAAGAGTTCTTCCGTTCTTGAGACTCAAAAGCGGGTGCAGTTTGTCATCTGCGCTCACCAGCTGACTGTTGGCTACCCTGGCGACATTGTTTGCATTTCTGTTTATTGTGTCACTCCTGGTCATCTGAATGCATCCAGCTCTCTATCTGCCTATCACCATGTGCAGCCGTTTGGATCATGTGTGATGGTAGAGATAAAACATACACTGCTTTGGTCTTTGTTTCTAGCTTCTCGAGCATGCGGACGGGGTCCTTCTCGCTTCCAGCAGCGGCAGCTGGCTTGGCTTGCTTGACGGGAGTGGTAGATTGAGACATGATGTGATCGCTTTGGTGGGTGGATGAGTCAGAGCGGTGTGTTTCGATGGCTTTTGGTTTATCTTTGGGCGATAATTGACCGAATGAGGAAGTCGGATAGAGAACACAGTCAAGTTATGGAAGGTGGAAAAGACAGATGGAAATGGATGTCGGATGACGAGTGCTTTTGATTCTCGAGTACCTAGCTATGATGAAGAGTTGGAAACATGCTTGTTCCTGGTTGCGCGTGCGAACCTGTTCCTGAATCCCTGTCATGCATCATGGTTGGCAGACGGGACATGCTGAAACTCTGCTGTCAGCTGTGACGAAATGGAAGCCCTGATGGAGGATCGGGGAAGGAACAGCTCCACCTCCACACCTGCCGTTTCGAGCGGAATGCGATGGCCCGGTGATTGGTTGATGTTAAGTCCGAGCTCGAGCTCGGGTCATTGATCAGATGAGATGGCGGTGCCTGGGGCAACTGCATTGGTCATATACACTCGAGCACCTGCCTGCTGATAACACTCTTCGTATCTGTTCCTTCCTCTCCTCCAGCATACACCTGTCCTTCCGATTGCTCGACCATATACTATACCGTTACTACGCTCAATCATCACATCAACACAGCCATCATGGTCAAGAACATGCAGGGACTGTCCCGCAAGTCGTCAACACAATCCTTCCACCACTCGATGAACTCGCCGCCGCCATCATTCGATATGACTCCGCTCCTCAAGGAGAGACTAGAAGCCGAATTCAACAAGGCCGCCTACGCAGACTCCTACCGTGCACAACTCGAGCTCGTACACGAACACAACAAGCAATGCCTCCGCCTCGAACAGATGAAGCTCGACAACATGCTGCAATCTGCCACCCTGCACGCCCAATCTTCCTCTTACCAACAAGTCTCCGAGACACCCGCCCCCATCTTGGCCACATCACAGAATGCCGAGTCCTACGCTAAGCCCTTCTGTGACTTCTTGACCGAGAACCCTACCGTCTTCCATGCCGTCGACAGTATGGCCCAAGGCCTCAAGCACTACGGCTTCACCAAGCTCAGCGAAAGAGACTCATGGCGTGTCGAGCCTGGCGGCAAGTACTTTGTCGAGCGTAACGGCAGCAGTTTGATCGCCTTCGTCGTCGGTGATGACTACAAGGCTGGCAACGGTGCCGCTGTCCTCGCCGGTCACGTCGATGCTCTCACCGCTAAGCTGAAGCCTGTCAGCAAGCTTCCCACAAAGGCTGGCTATGTCGAGCTCGGTGTCGCTCCCTATGCAGGTGGTCTCGGCCCTACTTGGTGGGACCGTGACTTGAGCATCGGTGGTCGTGTCCTGGTCAAGGAAGGAAACAAGATTGTTACAAAGCTGGTCAAGCTTGGCTGGCCCATTGCAAAGATTCCCACCCTCGCTCCTCATTTCGGCGCCCCTGCCAACGGTCCCTTCAACCTTGAGACACAGGTTGTACCCATCATTGGTCTTGAGTCGTCAGCAAAGAACCAGATCGAGCCTCAAGCAAAGGCTGGCACTTTTGCCTCTACCCAACCTCCTCGCCTCGTTCGCGCCATTGCGAAGGAGCTGGGCCTCAGTGATGGCTCCAACATCGTCAACTGGGAGCTTGAGTTGTATGATATCCAACCCGCCACTCTTGCTGGTCTTGACAAGGAGTTTATCACCGCTGGTCGTATCGATGACAAGCTGTGCAGTTGGGCCGCACTTGAGGCTTTGAAGCAGAGTGCCCGTAACGGTACTACTGGCTCTGGTATCATCAAGATTGTTGGTCTCTTCGACGATGAGGAGATTGGCAGCGGCCTGAGACAAGGTGCTCGCGGGAACTTCCTTCCTACTGTCATGGAACGCGCTGTTGGTAGTCTTGCAGGCCAGCACCCCGCTTCAGACCTTATGGGCCGCACATACGCAAACTCCTTCCTTGTATCTTCCGACGTCACTCACGCTGTCAACCCCAACTTCGAATCCGTATACCTCGCCAACCACGCCCCTGAGCTCAACGTCGGTGTTTCGGTCTCTGCAGACAGCAACGGCCACATGACTACTGACGCTGCCTCTACTGCCATTCTCACGAGATGTGCTGAGAAGGTTGGTGCCACTCTCCAAGTCTTCCAGATCAGAAACGATTCCAGATCGGGCGGCACTGTTGGACCCATGCTCAGTTGCGCTACTGGTATGCGTGCCATCGATGCAGGTATCCCACAATTGAGCATGCACAGTATTCGTGCTACCACCGGCACTTCAGATCCTGGTCTCGGTGTCCAGATGTTCCAAGGCTTCCTCGACAGCTTCGAGTCGGTTGATGCCGAGTTTAGAGATTAGAAACCTTCTATATATACAGCAGCAGAAGGCATTTGGACTATACACCGGGCCTCGTTCCAGATATGGACTGCCATAATAACCACCTTTTACCATCATCATCATCATCATATTCATCATCATCATCATATTCATCCTCATCCTCATCCTCATCCTCATGCCAACCTGATCAATCTTCTTATTAAGGGAAGGAGCTGATCGTTGGAAGAATCAGAGACACAGTGGGACTTAATCGTTATTTGTGAGTGTACATCTAGGCTTTTCTTCGTGGGTCGAGACGGTGGAGCAATAGATGCTTGGCTCTGACATCTTGGTAAACCTTTCCTCAAGCATCTCTTTCTGCCACACGCAGACTCAAAAAGACCACAGGCGCAGCATTTTGAAAACATCCGTCTGCTGATGCTAAAATGCTAGGAACCACGCTCTTGCCATAATGTATCGCACACCAAGAATGGACGGGAACTCGTTCTTTCTGTTCATGGACACTCGCCGAGTCGGCGGCCTCAGAACTCTTGGAATCTAGCGCGCTTCTTGACAGGCACGGGACCATGGACAGTGGTGCCCTTGAGATAGGCCACATCAGCAGTTCCCTGGAAGTCATCGCCAGCACAGTCTACCAAAAATGTCAGCGACGGTCCTATTGAGCTGTGAAACAGAGGACTTACTTCTCCATTCTTCAACAGATTCGTGTTCATGGTACGCGCATGCCTGACCTTTCTTGGCTTTCTCCTCGCGACCCACGCAGAACTGGCAATTGCATCTGAGTTTCTCGATGACATTGCAACAGGGGTCTGCGTGAACCGTTATACCGGTATTGCGACACGAGAACTCATAACCCATGCCGCGAGCAGCCAACGCGCTCATCGCAAACTCATCGTCGGTGTCTTCAGGGATGTTCTCATGGCATGCGAATTGATCGAGGATCCAACGCACAAGACCACAACTCTCTGGCAGAGAAGAAAAGGCCTTGACTGCATCCTCGATAGCAGGACTGCCTCTGTGATAACTGTGTTTGTGGATGAAAGTCATGATATCCTTCTTCATTGCCGGCACATCCACCCTGTCAGCGAAGACATACAATCCGAACAACATTGGATAGTCGCTGCTCTCAGCAAGTTGACCAGAATACATCCAAGTCACGAATGCCTTTGCCTGGGGTGCGCTGAGATCCAGAGTGACGCTTTCACTTCCAGCTTCTGAGAAGGAGCCGCGCAAGAGAGCATTGTAGTAGCGTGAGAAGTAGCATAGTAAAGACTCAGGGATCTGAACAGTGAAGTTGTCTTTGCATCTGCAGACGATTCGTTTGGTGGGTGTGAATAGGATGGTGCTGGGACCTTCGGCGGTCCAGGTGTTGCTCTGCGGGTCGACTCGCGTTCCCATGTTGACGGTTGGCCTCGGTAGTCGTTGTAGTTGTGCGAAAGGGAAGATAAAAAGATGGGGTAGGAACGTGGTTATATCTAGAATCGTGTTTGTCTGTGAAAGAGCTGGTGACAAAGGCAGACAGGGAGGTCGGTTCTAGAAAGCTGTGGGCAAACAATTCACGATGCGTGTTGAGAGTGTTCTCTAACTCTTTGCGTGGAATCTGTCACTGACGATCCATGTCGATTCCCTTCACATTCTGCCTGTCCATAGAAAAAGATTTTTAGCGCGTGAGGCTATGAGAAAGCACAGAACTCTTGACAAACAAGAAAGTATGCATCGATACACGATACATCCGAGGCTTTCTCCGGTCATACTATCAATTGAACGACTATTGTGCACTTCTATATCTAAAATGCCAAAATCAAACTGCATTAAGTCTTTGTATCTGCACCAGGAAATCCTTGCTACTGTAGATGTCGATCTACAAGTTTACAACAGGTTGTGACTACAGATGGAGACGTAACCATATAAGCTAGAACAGCAGATAGTAGTACGAACGGAACACACTGGACACCATTTCTTGTTCAAGAAGCGACTCGCAGCATCAACTTTGTCTTGATAATCTGTCTTCTACGATCGTAAAACAATGAAGTTTGATTGGTTCTATAGACTTTCACTGTGTGTTGGAAATTTCTCCTCAGTGACTTCGGTCTATTCTTTGTTCATCTCGTGGTACTGTGTCCATTTGTTTACTGTCTTATCTAGGCTGTGCATCCGATGCATCTCGAACCATTGACCAGCCACTTTCTTTGACTTGCTTGCGATGTTGGAGTGAGGGAGGTCGTTCTCAGGGGCTGCACTTTGAAAAGATCGCCCAATCGTCATCGTAGTAGTAGTTGTCATCTGGTTTGTCGCAATCATTGCCACCGCAAGCTGATTTTGTCAGCATATGAACGCATGTCAGTTCGGACAGGGTTTCGACCTACTAGTATGCCATTCGGAGTCGTCTTCATGTTCGTGGTAGTTGCATGGATTTGGAATGGCGACTTCCGATTCCTTCTGATCATGTATAGTAGCAAGCTTTCTCATTACTTCGTAGAGAAACACCCTAGGAATGCCTTGATACTCGTTCAATGTTTGCACCACGTAGGATGCTCTGACACCACGCCATTCGCTAGCCCAAAGATCTGCCATGTAGCGGAATAGACCGCAGCCTTCTGACAGGTGTCCGATGTATGGGGTTCCGTCGTGCTTCTCGATTACTGAGGAATACACGATTTTTGACATGATGGATCTGCGGAGGGCCAGTAACTTCTTTTGGTCTGCAAACATATAGAGCTGCAGCACATCTTCCGGCTCCTCGAGGAGTAGTGTACCTGTGTATAACCAGCAAACCAAGAGGTACGTGGGATGGAACGGAAGATCTACTCTGATAGGATCTTCTTTAGCCTTAGAGGAAGCACCCTTCAGCACCGTTGTGTAGTGAGTCTAGAAGTAGCAGAGGAGTTCTTTATGAACGGACGCGCGGAATGGTTCACCATTCAAACCACTTCCGCGGCTGACAATTTTGATCATGTCAGCTGAGCTGGAGATGACATAGCTGGAACCAGTCAGTTAGAGTCTACGTTGTACGAACAAGCATGTGCATACGTGACTTGTCGTGCGTTCCAGGTGTTGCGTCGCCATTCTTCCTCTCTCTTCAGTTGTTCATCGCGCATTTCCTGGTCCGTCTTTCCGGATTTCTTGCGCGGCTCAGGAGATTCACATTCGTCAGAGGATGACATGGCAATCTTTTTGCGTTTGGGTGTCATTGTGGATGTAGATGAGGCGAGAGGCCGGTATGCTTGAGGTATGCGTGGGAAAGGTGAGGTGGCGCCAGTGAGGGCTGTCTCGCGGTGGGTAGTTGTTGAGATGCAAGTTCGAAACCCGCGCAAAAGAGATGAAGTGAACGGTGAAAGCTGTGCAAGCTGTAAGCCGAAATAGATGGATAGGACTCTCGCTCCCTTCGGATGGTTACGCACTTTCCTACTCGCTTATAGCGAAGATTCGTGTTGCGTGATACTCCAGCCACAAGATTGTCGCGTAGTGAAAGTCAAAATGGTATGTGTTAGAGATGACGAGCGTGATCTTGTTTTGCGGAAGAAGTGAAGCGAGACGATGTGAACCAAGTGAGGATTGTTATCGAGAGTAAGCCACGGTAACGGGACATACTCACACTTCTGCAGATGCGCACCACTGTGTACCATTGGAGTTTGTCTACGACTCTGAAAGGAGCATGTGCTCTCTCACTTGCACGAAGCAACACAACTAGCCGTGATTTGAGAGAAGGAACAACGACTAGTGATATCCCACACTTCCAACTCTGCCTTTCGATGATTCCGTTGGCCTACCAGTCTCATGCCCTTTGTGACACAAGGCTGCTCAAATCGATACGCGCAGTTTTGTCGTCGATGATGTGGACTTAGGATCTAGCGTTCTTGTAGCATCGAGCTCGAGGTTCTGATACACTGCGTGGAACGAAGCTGGTGGTGCAAGCTAGCACATATCATTAGCTAGGTCAACTCGTACGTCCGCTTGATATTCTTACTCTTCTTCCACTCGTGCTTGTCGTCGTGTTCGTGGTAGTCACAAGCGTTCGAGCTCGGCATGAAGGAATCTCGGTAGCCTGAGAGAAGCTGGGCATAGAAGTCTTTAGGAAAGTCCTCGCGGACATAGCCACATCTCTTCCAATACTGCTCGGTTAGAATGTTTGTTTTTTCGGGCATTCCCCATTCGGCCTGAGCTTCTTCGAACAGGAACAGTCGAAGTCCGGAGCTTTCGGGGAGGTGGGAAACAAGTCTCGCCACCTCACGGCCAGCTGGAGGAACGCGCCCAGCTATGGCTAAGCAAGTCATGATGGATCTGCGAAGAGCGATGATGTCGGTCTGGTCGGCGAAGATGTAGAGAGTGTGAAGATCATCGTTATGCTTGCCCCTCCAGTATTCGACTTCGACGCGTCCAGTGTAGAGCCATTCTACAAAGACCTGAGTCTGTCTGTGGTCGAGTTCGAGAGTGAACGAGTCTTGACGGCTCTCGGCGAACTGGCCTTTCAAGGCAGCTGCATAGTAGGGCGAATAGAAGCAGAGAAGCTCTTTGTGCACACCTGTGCTGAACTCGTGGCCACCGTCGTCCTTCTGGCTCTTGACTTAGGTCATGTCGTGAAATTTGCTGATGATGTCGCTAGACGAACGTCAGTGCTATGATGTGCCATAAGCATCGAGTGTACTCACCTCACCACCCACCAGCGCCAGATGCGCTTGTCGTAGATCTCCATCAGCTCCATAGTGGTTGAGCTCGAGGTGTTGTGCATTGGATGTGCTGGACTCGTGGTGTATGAATTTGAGATGTTCTCGCTGTAGTGACCAGATCAGAGAAGTCATACGACGTAGCAGAGTGAAGCGAGGAAACTCTCGACGAATCGACGAACCACCCTGGGACTTTGCTTGAACAACACAATAATTGGAAACTTTTTTCTTCTGATACAGTGAAATAAGAAAGCATACTACCAGTCAGGGGTTGCACCTTGTGAGCCCGTTGCCACAACCCTGTAAAATTACACGACCAGTTTGGGGTAAACAGAACCAAATAAAAGACAAAAGGTATCTTTGAAACTCGCACACCGAATGTTTTGCCAGGCCTCTCTCCGAGAATTACCAGGCTTAGCGACGTCCAGTGCCCCTGACGCTGCCCTGCATACCCTCGATCTCGGTCTCCAATTGCTTGATAAGCGCGTGGCTGGTCTCGAGGTCCTTGTTGAGACGGTCGCGCTCGGCAATGAGCTTCTGCTCCCAGGCACGGAAACGCTGCTCCTCGACCTTGACTTGCTCTGTGAAACGCTTGCGCAGAGCCTCTTCCTCCTCCTTAAACTTGGGGTTATCAAGCTTGCGTGGCCTGGCTTCGCCAAACTTGCGCGTCTCCATTTGCTGTGCGCGGTAGGCCTCGTAGTGGTTCTCCTCTGTGGTGTGGATCAGGTCGAGCATGTGGGCGCGGATCAATACAGCGCGCAACTTCTTGAAGTCGCAGTGCTCCTCGTTCTCAACCTCGGCGACGCCCCAGGCGTATTGTCTACCCTTGACGCTGCGACCGTCGGGAGTAGTGACATCCTTCTCGGAACCGATGACGGCGAAAGGCATGGAAGTGATAAGAGACTGAGCGTGTCTGAGGGCGGACTCGTCATCTTCTTCAAGAGGAGGCGAGTAGATCTTGATGCCCTGAGCTTGAATGATGTTGCGGATCTGTGGGGGTTAGATTGTGGGGAAATGCAGGGCAAGATGGAAACGTACTCTCGACTTGAACTTCAGGAGGTCGTTAGGGCTGAGTGTGTCTGCTTTTGCGATAACGGGAATGAGGTTGACGCGGCTGGACAGACGCTTCATGACTTCGATGTCGAGGGGCTTCAAGCCGTGGCCAGTTGGGCGGATGAAGTAGAGACAGGCGTGGACGCGCAAATCAATGCGCTCACCACGACGGGGCTGTTGCTCCTGAAGCATGTATGACTCGTGCTGATCGTCGAGGAACTCGATGATGGGTTGCCATGAGTCTCTGTTGTTGACGTAGTCGCCGAAGCCAGGAGTGTCGATGACGGTAAGGCGAACTGAAGGGCTTGTCAGAGGATGGTCGATGCGAGAGATGGTACAGTGGTGAGAGACGGACCCTTGAAGAACTTCTCCTCGAGCTCGGCCTTTGTGATTTCGATCTCGACAGTCTTGTCAATCTGCTTCTGGTGACGGCGACGGTGGTCTGCGTAGTTCTTGATGGTGGTAGAGAAGAGAGTGTTGATGAAGGTAGTCTTGCCGAGACCAGACTCGCCAGCAACCTGAACAGTTGTAAGTATTTGGACAATGCGACGGGAGAGATGTCGATGAGCTGACCATGATTGTGAAGGCGGCGCCGCGCTTGGCGACAATCTTGTGGCTATGGAAGGCATTAGTTGATGGACGATCGAGTATGAGAAGCGACCATGTACCGTTGGTTGGGGAGCTACGTCAAAGTCAGTCATAGATTCAGGTGGTCGAGGCAGGGTATCACATACGTTGGCAATGCCAATGGGCGAAGCAGAGTCGGCCATGGTGGTCGGTATTGTGTGTGGTGGATGTGTGGGACAGCGAAACGAGTGGCAGGCAAAAGAGTAGCGACGCGAGATCTGGCGCAGCTTTCGGGAACGACGGTGGAACGAGCAGGTGGAACGACAGGTATAACAAGGCAGGTGCAAGAGAGGCTCGTGTGTGCTTGGAGCAGGTCCCTGGTCTCCTTTCCTTGTGCTGAGGAAGCCACGACCAAAGAGTCCGTGCACGCGCCCGCCGAACCCTTTTGCGGGGAAGCAGCAGAAGCCTCCGACAAGCCGACTTTTGCTGCGTCAAAGCCAGAAAAAATGTTGGAAGTTGCGATCGAGACATTGACAAGATGAAGACTGATTTCAAGGTGCGCTCTTTCCACCTGGACATGCAGGAATGCTTGAGCTAATGTCGCCTGCAGTTCTCCAACCTGCTCGGTACCGTGTACAGGCGAGGAAACCTCTGCTTCAGCCCAGATGGCACCTGCCTGCTGTCGCCCGTCGGCAACCGCGTTACTGTCTTTGACCTTGTCAAGTACGACCTTCCCACATACTTGCCTGTCCATACGCATGTACTGACTCGGACACTAGCAACAAATCGCATACCCTTCCCTTCGCTCATCGCCGCAACATTTCCCGTCTCGCCTTGAACCCCAAAGGCAACCTTTTGCTCACCGTCGACGAGGACGGACAGGCCATTCTCACCCACCTCCACCGTCGCGTATCACTATACCACTTCTCCTTCAAGGGTCCCGTCTCGTCGCTTGTCTTCTCGCCCTCCGGTCAACATTTCGCAGTCGCCCTTGGCCGCAAGATCGAAACATGGAGGACGCCTTCCACTCCCTCGGACACCCAGGATGGCTCGCTCGAGTTCGCCCCCTTCGTGAAGCACAGAGAATACGCCGGTCATTACGATACAGTACAGAGCATCGAGTGGTCAAGCGATTCGCGTTTCTTCCTTACTGCTTCCAAGGACTTGACCGCACGCATCTGGAGTCTGGATCCCGAAGCTGGCTTCGAGCCTACAACTCTGGGTGGTCACAGACAGGGTGTTCACGGCGCATGGTTCTCGGCTGACCAAGAGACGATTTGGACTGTATCAAAAGATGGTGCTCTTTTCCAGTGGCAATACCTACCGCCCCGCAACGCCCCTGAGGATGAGATGGACATCGAGGAAAACTTCCGCTGGAGGATCGCTGAGAGACACTACTTCATGCAGAACGGCGCCACTTTAACTTGCGCTTCGTTCCACCCGGAGTCGAATCTTTTGGTCGCAGGTTTCTCAAACGGTACCTTTGGCCTTTACGAGCTGCCCGACTTCAACCAGATCCACAACCTTAGTATCTCCCAGAACGACGTCGATTTCGTCACAATCAACAAGACTGGTGAATGGCTTGCATTTGGTGCTTCCCAACTTGGTCAGCTTCTGGTGTGGGAGTGGCAGTCAGAATCATACATTTTGAAGCAGCAAGGACATTTCGATTCGCTCAACAACCTTACATATTCGCCCTCTGGAGATCGCATCATCACATGCGCTGATGATGGCAAGATTAAGGTCTGGGATGTCGCCTCTGGATTCTGTATCGTCACATTCACCGAACACACATCAGGAGTCACGGCATGCGAGTTCGCAAAACGAGGTAATGTTCTATTTACAGCTTCTTTGGATGGCTCAATACGCGCATGGGATCTGATAAGATACCGAAACTTCCGCACCTTTACTGCTCCCGAACGTCTTTCCTTCTCTTCTATCGCGGTCGATCCTTCAGGCGAGGTTGTGGCTGCTGGTTCTCTCGACAGCTTTGATATTCACATCTGGAGTGTTCAAACTGGTCAATTGCTTGACAAGCTCTCTGGTCACGAAGGCCCTGTCTCGACATTAGCATTTGCCCCCAATGGAGGTGCCCTTGTGTCAGGCTCTTGGGATCACACCGTTCGCATCTGGTCAATTTTCGCTCGCACTCAGACCAGCGAACCTCTCCAACTACAAGCAGATGTCCTTTGTGTCACAGTGCGACCAGACTCGAAACAGATTGCCGTTAGCACACTGGATGGACAATTGACTTTCTGGTCTCTTTCAGAAGGAACACAAGAAGCTGGCTTCGATGGCCGCCGTGATGTCTCTGGTGGACGTAAGCTCACAGACCGTCAGACTGCTGCCAATGCTGCAGGCACAAAGTCGTTCAACAGTATCAGCTACTCAGCAGATGGTAGCGTGGTTGTCGCATCAGGCAACAGCAAGTACATCTGCCTATACGATGTCATGTCAGGCGTCCTGCTACACAAGTACACCGTCAGCGTAAACCTTTCTCTCGAGGGCACGCAAGAGTTCCTCAATTCCAAGAACCTGACCGAGGGCGGTCCAGCAGGCATGATCGACACCACAGGCGAAAACTCAGACCTCGAAGATCGCATGGACAACTCGCTACCTGGTGCTAAACGAGGAGATGCAGCCAACCGTCGCATCGGTCCCGAAGTCCGCGTGCCAGGTGTAAACTTCGCACCCACCGGCCGCTCCTTCTGCGCCGCCAGCACCGAAGGCCTGCTCGTCTACTCCCTAGACACCACAATCGCCTTTGACCCCTTCGATCTCGATCTAGACATTACTCCCCAATCCACCCTCAAAACCCTCGCCAACAAGCAATACCTCAAAGCACTGGTCATGGCTTTCCGCCTCAACAACCCTAAGCTCGTCATTCGCGTCCAACGCTCCGTGCCCGCTGCCGATATTCCCCTTGTCGTCTCTGACCTCCCTATCGTATACCTCCCCCGTCTTCTCCGCCATATCGCCGTCCAAAGCGATGCCTCTCCCCTGCTAGAACTCAACCTTCTCTGGTTGCAAGCACTGCTCAAGTCCCACGGTGCCACACTCAAGAAGAACCAAGGCGAGTACGCTGAGGTCACTCGTCTTGTCCAACGCGCTGTTTCTCGCATCCAAAAGGAAATCTTTTCAGTGGCGGAAAACAATGAGTTCATGGTTGAGTATTTGCTTGCACAGCCTGTGCGTAAGCAACAAGATGGCATGAAGTTATTGCAGAGTGTGGATGGCGGTGCTGTCAAGGAGGTCGAGATGGCCGATGATGACGAGGACGAGGATGGCGAGGAAGGCTGGATCGGTCTCGAAGAGTAAGTAAGATATCGCTATCATTTTGGGCATTTGTTTGCATAGTTAGAGGACAAGGGAAAATGGGGGGAGTCTTTGGTGTCACATGTGTCGTCGGCGTTTTATCTTCTCTTCCCATAGCAAAGAGAATACTGTATAGAATATTTTTTTTTTGCTCCATGAACCCATTTATCATTCGGACTTGACACGTGCCTCACTACACAATATGACATTGCATACTAGTGATCAGAGATAAGCACCTCGAACAACGTCAGAGGTCAAAGATCAAGCCACGTGGAATGAGAAAAAAGGACAAATTGTATCCCAGAGCGATACTCAGTGATGAAATCGGGGCCCAAAGAAGACGAACTACCGTACAAGAAGAAAAGGCAACACCAATGCAACGCCATGATCTGATCCCCTAAACGCGATGAGCTTTCCTTCTCCTCTCACACCCACACCCCTTCCAGACGTACTAAAACAAGACAAGAAACGACGGTAAAGCGGTACAAAAAGAAATGCTGGTTTTGCTGTTCGCTGCTGCTGCTGTTGTTGTTGTGTTGCAATTCTTTCTACGCATCACTGTGTCGTGCGTACAAACTCTCTCTATGCTTCGCCTTTAAGTCTTTTCAGCTCTTGCATGGCTGCAGTAACCTCTCCAAGAATCTCATGCATGGGCTTGGAAGCAGCCAAAATACCAGGTCTGAATGGCTGAACCATATGTCTAAGTGCCAATGTTGTAACGCAAGTCTGTTTTCAAAAGTCAGTATATAGCTCCAAGTGTGTTTTGGTAATGAAGGGCAAAGGTAAAAAAAAAAAAAAAACTCACCTCGATTCTACTGATCTGGTGCTCGACGAAATTGATCACGAAGCGATCGGTGATTTCGCCTCCGCGCTGCTTCATGCGTTCCAGCAGTGCTGTCTCAGGTGCTTTGAGAGCAGTCAATCCAGTGGTTTCGAGACTGGAGCACAGCATTTCCAGACGCAGGGATACGTTCCAAAGATCCCAGACGTGGTCGGTGTCGATGCTGAGTTGGCTGTCTGCACTCTTTGTTGCAGCAGTACCGGTCGGTGATTCTATGCCAACGTTGTTGTTGCTGGGTGCAGCGGCAGCTTGTGCCTTGACGAGTTCCGCCTGTGCTTGCTGTTGTTGTTGCACTACCAGACGTGCTGCCAGCGAGTGAGGGTACATGAGATAAATATACTCGGGGTTCTCGAGACCTTTGAGATTGCGTTGTCCGAGGTCCTTGACCTCAAATCCTTGGCTGCTGAGTGATCGCAGCTCGCGGCGGATGGCGTTGCCAATCATCTCATCTCCCATCGCGTCGTCAGAGCCTGTAGAGCCGTTTCTGTCAGTCTCGATGTGCGTTTCGAGTAGACGTTGAATTTCAGCGATGAAATCTGATGATACGGTGATCTGTCCACCGTCGGCGACGGACTGGATACGAGCAGATCTGTTGACCATGGGTCCAAAGTAATCCATGCGACCGGTGACGGGATCTTGTTCGCACACAGGACGACCAAAGTGGATACCCATACGGACAGACAGACCACGGAAGATGCGGTTGCCATCGGTATCAAGCACCTCTTGACCATGAATGCTGTTGAGGATCTCTTGCGGCCAAGGAACTTCCAGAAGTTGACTTTGGATGGTGAATGTCCACAACAGCGCGCTGGTTACTGTTTGGAAAGCGACCATGAAAGCGTCACCTTCAGTCTTGACCTCGTAACCACCGATGATGCGCAAATGCCTTCTCATGAGCTCGTTGTGCAATTTTATCGCACTTCTCATGGCAATGGGATAAGACTCCCAAAGCATAGTACTGTTCTTGATATCGGTAAAAACCAAAGTAACCTCACCCTGAGGAGGATCAATCTCTTGGTCCAAACGAGCGAGCTTGGAGTCTCCGACATTATCTCTGCCACGCTTGTTGCGCCTCGAGATGGTCATGAGTTCGTCCGGTGCGCCACTAGGACCCATACTCATGCTGTGGGTTCTGAAGCGAGCGCGTTCTCTCTTGCGCAAGTCACTCACGCCAAGCATCATGACCATGATCTTACCCGTAGCACCAAATGCAATGGCCAAATCACGCAGTTTCTGTGCAGCGCGCATTAGGTCACCACGTTCGGAGCGAGCGACGTCCACTGCAAAGTCCATGGTCAGGTAGTCCCAGAGCTCACGAGATGCAATGACGATAATCTCATCGGACTCTTTTAGCGATATGCGGGCTGTGTGAGGGCAAGCAACGACGCCTGGCATGTGTGGGACGAAGCCAAACGCTCTCGAGACTTCAAGAGCATCGTTGAGCTTTCCTTGACGTGAGACATAACCTCCTGCCTCTCGGATACGGATGCGCTCGTCTGCTTCTGCAGGTGCGTGCTTGCGAGTGATGACTCGATGACCGCCCTCCGAGTCGATGAGAAGAGCTTGAGCATCTCCTACATTAGACACATACAACTCCATATTTTGAAGGTACATGATCGTAGCCACAGCACCCGAAGTCATGTCGTCTTCGCCTAGCTCCAAACCGGTTACGCTTGCTCTGTGAAGTATCGCAGCGCTTGGGTGGGCACGAGCTTCAATTGCTTGGGTTGCTGCTGTGGCAAGGTCCTTGTTGAGCGAAAGATAAGCTCTCCTCAGCGCGTCTAGGGGAGAATCGTCACTGTCTTCCTGGAGTTTTGCGAGCTCATCCGCAAAGTGATGTCTGAACTTTTCGTAAAGGAATTTGGCCACCTTGCTGCCTCCCGTGGTTAGGGTGGCTCCGTCGAACATGCCAAACAGTAGTCGATCTTCGTGACCCCCGAAGCTGGGGATGACCATATCTAACGTCGACAAGTGCTCGTGACGTCCAAGCGTGTCGGCCATACCGTAAGGGATGTGCGTGCCGATGATGGATCCAGCAGTACGCACACGTCTGTCAGGGCCTTGATCAGGTACAGAAGGAATCGTCAGAGTAACATCCATGAGACCCAATATCCTGAGATGCTGCAAGGTTGAGAAGTCCGTCAAGTCTCGTGTCTCACGGCCCGGTACCACGTTGACATTGGGCTTAATCTCGAGACGCTTGTTACCAGACATATTGAGGTATCTCAACTGATGGTTCCAGTTCCAATTCCAATCGTACGGCCAGTTGGAGACGTTGTATTTCAGTGCGTTACTGCCAACATCCAAAGTCTGAAGCTTTTGGATCTTGCCAAGTTCTGCAGGCAGGACGTTGAATCTGTTGCTATTCAAGTGCAGCACTCGTAAGCCAGACCCCTCCTCGAAGTCTTCTGCCGGTAGTGCAGACAAGTCATTGCCAGAAAGGTAGAGCTCAGTCAAGTGTGGCCATCTCCTGATTGTCCTTGGCGGTATATCATACAGCTCATTGTAAGAAAGGTTGAGCACTCTAAGCTCCGGAAGGAGGACGATCTCATCAAACACATCGTCCGAGAGGCGGTTGTCGGCCAGAATGAGGTGACGCAACGTCGAAGCAAATGTGGAGGCAAGTCTGTTCGACATGGTCGAATCTTTGCGAGGTCCAGGCGTAGCGGCACCACTGCTGAGTCCAGATTCAGTTGATCCTCTTGGAGCCAAAGACGGGTGTCTTGATGATTGAACACCATAAGTCGAGGCGACTGAACCTTTGCGGCCAGCTGGTGATCCACCAGGCATCATGCCATGACCAACTTGACTGGGCCTTCTCATTTGGAACGCCTCGAGCTTACCGAGTTCGTCGAAGTCGGGAGTTTGTGGCCCACCAGTCGTTGTTGTGGGTGTAGGTACCTCAGATATCAGAGTTGGCGGAGGTGCACCCGGCTTGGGAAACTCGTTCAGGACGTTCGATGCGATGTTGAGCGACTCCAGCCTACGAGCGTACCAGATCTCTTGTGGCAGTCTGCTGAGGTTATTTTCCCGAATGTCAAGGTATTTCAGATCTTGAAGTCTACCAATATCCGAGGGCAGGTTGTTCAACATGTTTTTGGCCACACTGAGATGTTCCAGTCTGGTCAGTTTGCCAATCAGGGGTGACAGTGCTGTGAAATGATTTTTGTCGAGGACCAGTTTTGTGATGTTCGAGATCTTTGCGAACAGGTCATCGGGGAGTTGCGTCAACTTGGCAGAAGCGAGGTTCAGCACCGACAGAGTAGGAACAGGGGTAGTGAGCCCGAAACGGGTGACAGGATTGTGATCGAGAGAAAGAACCTTGATACGGTGGAAGGAAGCTTCGTACGCAGCGATCGAGTTGTGTCCAACCAAGAGATGCTCTAACAGAGGTAATTCGGCCATGACGTCGATATTGTCCAGCGCGTTGAAGCGAATATCAATCTGCGTAAGCTTGACGAGTTGTTTGAAGGTCTCAGGGAATGCGCCAGATAACTTGTTGTTCGTGGCGAACAGGCGTTCCAGATTGATAAGCTTTCCGACCTTTGGCAGTGCTGAGATGCCATTGAAACTGATGTCCAGATCAACAACAGTCCTGAGCTCGCAGAGAAAGTCGGGGAAGACATCGAGATTGTTCGACGCCAGATTCAAACTGCGGAGAGCTTGATAGCAGCCGAAATAGGCAGGCAGACTCGTAAGCTTGTTATTGGATAGCTTGAGACTAACGAGGTTGTGTAACTTGTGTAGGTCTGCATGTTGCATCTGCTCAAGCCTGTTGTTCGATACATCAAGCATAGTCAGCCTTGAAGCCAGGCAGATACTTGCAGGCAACTTCCAAGCTTCGTTGCTGGTATATTTAATCTCTCGAAGGTTGCTGCAGCTCTGGATGAAGTCCTTGGGAATATCAAGAGACAAATTTCTGGATAAGTTCAGAGTGATGATCTCTGTGGCTTTTTGGTACAGGGTGATAGGAATGGTGACCAGATCGCGACCTGAAAGATCGATATGGTTAAACTTCTGCTGGCCCTTGAAACCAGGATCGCGCTCCAAGCTGGAGTATCCGCTCAACTTTCCAGGCAAGAACGTGAAACGCACCAGATATCCATGGTCCTCACGGCCTAGATCTTCTGGTCTGTCTTTGTCGTTGTAGCCAGCCATTTCCAACATGTGCTTCTGTATCGCCAGTGGTCGTTCTCCAGCGGCAAGTATACGACTCGAGCCAGTCTTTCGCATTACGATCTGGTATGTGTCGAGCTCGTCCTGGAGGAATGTCTTCTTAGCCATCATCTGGATGAGTTCGCTAGCAGTCGTGTTTAGGCCAGCTGAGATGACGGCGAAGGTGCTGTCCGCTCTGAATATGCGCATGAAGTACATGGAGCCTGGATCCTCATCTCTAGGAACTTGACCTTCATCGTCGACTTCACGGAGAGCTGCGACATTCTGGTCGGGCACTCTTTTGACCGCCCAACTGTCGGGTACTTCCCACGTTCCAGCTTCTTCCTCGGCGGGTTTAGGAGGTTCGATTCCTGGGAAGCCAGTAAATATTTCGCTAGTAACGGGTGGTGTCATGGGTTGACTGCGGTTGACAATGCCTTCCATCTGGCTCATATCGGTGTCGAGGTGCCACAAAGCTGACGCATTGCGAACGGCCTCAGGTCTTGGGGCGTTTGGGTCCTTCTTGTTGAACTCGGCGCTTGGTTCGGCGCGCCTTGGTTTGAAAGGAATTCTCGTATGCTCTTTCTTCGCCAAAGCTAACGCCATTGGCTTACCATCCGGTCCTACGGGGCCTTTCTTTCTTCCAGCTGGTGCAGTTGGTGTTTGAGATGCAAGCGAGCCCGTCGACGAGGGCATGTTCTTCAGTGTGGTTTCTGCGGTCTTGTCGTGCTTCTTGCGTCCCGTCACTCGATCGAACAAGGAGCGTTTGGCGCTGTGCGATGTTCCGGGGGAGCGTTGGCCTTGTGCGTCGCTTGACTGGCTTTGTTGAGCACTCATCATACTCTTCATGCTGGGCGAGGGACTTGTGGCGCGCGCTCGTGCTCCATTAAGGCTTGCAGGGAGAGTCGAATCCTTGCGGATAGTGCCAGCACGACCACTCATAACGGAAGCGCCGTCGTCAATGTCCTCAAGGCTGGTCTTGTGTCGGTGTCCGGGAAGATGGAGGCGATGGTGCCTACCTGAGACGGAACCCTTGTCTTTCCGCGTCTGCTGCTGTTGCTGTGCAGGAGCGATCGACGTTTGCGTGGGCTGCGTGTGAAACTATCGCATTCGACGTTAGTCAATCAAGTCGTCGAGACATCGCGACAAGGACAAAACCTACGTTTGCCGGAGCTGGCTCGAAATCCCACGGCGTTACTTCACTGCTGGTGTTAGGTGTTCGTGGGCGCGATGCCGATGGACTGCCAGGACGAGTCGTCTGTGTAACTTGAGTCGCGTTGGATGGGTTGCGACCTCTTTTGTCTAGCTGATCGGGTTGGTCCTTGGGCGGCGGCGCATTGGGGTCGAAATCATCTCCAAAGAAGCCTTGCAACTTCTTGTGGAATTTGCCAGTGATGCTGCGTTTGGACGAGCCGGTCGAAGACATTGTCGTTGTACTGGCCACGGACGGCCTTCGGTCTTCGCCATTCCATTCGAGCGACAGGTTGTTGATATTCTGCGGGACGAAGCCCGGGGACATCTGTGGGAGGTCATCGCTGGATGAGTTGTAGAATGAGTTATTGAAAAGGTTCGACGAGAGGTGGGTAGGGCGATTGTGACGACCATAAGGCGGCGGGGTGAAGTCGGTTGGTTGCTGGCGCGAGATGGAGGGCACTTGGCCGGAGGACTCGAGGCACGACAATTCCTTGCGATGATCACCAAAGTCGGGCGTGTCCCATGCCAGTGCAGGACCGCGGGAGTATGCTGGATTGACGATGGTGTTAGGTGAGACCTCGACATCGGGTTCTCTAAGGGGAAGCGTCAGCTCTAGGCTTCATGCTGAAGCAAACGGAATCGACATACCGAGCCAGTCGCTCGGGCTTTGACTTTTTGGGAGTAATCTCGGCCATTGTACTGGTCACTTTGATCGAATCTATTGGCGTCTAGTGATATGCCGAAGGGCTCCAGAGTATTTTGGAGCAGAAAGAGGGTGTCTGGCCGGCTCAAGGCTTCATGCCATCAGAGGGTACTCGATGTCCCTTGTCCGGTCCTTGTCGTCGGACTGGACTCAACCCAACACGGTGGTTTTTTGGCGTCAGTCTTTGATGTAGACAGACAGGCGCGAAATGACGGACGAGGCTGATCGAGACTCGACCGGACGTCGTCGGTGTCGATGATGGAATGCTGCGGCGACTACGGGTGGGGGAGTGGTCGAGTCGCGTTCACAGGTGGAGGTGGTAGGCAGCTCGTTGGCATGGAAGAAGTGTCAATTGCGTCACGAGGAACATGGCCGGGCGCGGCAGTCGTTGCAAGATGTTCAGAGGAGGCACAGGTGGAACTAGGAGGAAGAAGGATTGTCCGAGGCAGCGCGGCGTGTGGGCATAGTCGATAACGAGATGTATCGACGGCTGCTAACAACGAGACCGCAACTGCCTCCATTGGATCGGCCCTAAGAGCGGGGCGATGCCGATGCAAAAGGGTCGCCCCGAATCCACGAACCGACGCGACCCAAGACTTCGAGCCTCCATGAACTATATCGTATCCATATCACATCTGCCTGGCCAGCAGTCTTTGTCTGCAAGCTGCTCGTCTGCAGTCTATCTACTTGCTGCTGTGCTGCTACAACTTCCGTGTCTGCAAGCCATGCTGCCTACGCTGCTCTCTGATCCTGCAATCTGGCTCACGGTACTCCGTATCTCGCCTATAACGCTCTCACGAATCTAAATCTCATTGGAATGAATATTTGCATTGCACGTTGGGCCATCCCGGCTTTTACCTGCTACTTTACATGGGTTGCATGCCTACCCCTTTACCTCTCTTTGAATTGTCCTTGCCAACTGTCGACTGCAGCATTAAATCATCTCGGGACATGGAAATCACCACGCCCGCCGTTGATGCAAAAGCAAACTTAACAAACGTCGCCCCGTCAATTCGTTGATTCGTCGTCTTCTGTCCACCAATGTTCTTGATCTTCATGCACGGCACGGCAGAAGTGACTTCCTATTTCAGAGCTAGACTGGCAGACATCAGAAATGCATATATTAGCTACATGTCTCGAAACTGCCATAACCATAAAACAACATCCGGACGCCACAAAATCCATGCAAACAAACGGTCAAAGAGTATACAATATGGACATGTCCATCATTCTGCCGATATTCTGGCAATTGCGTCTTCTGCTGGACTGAAAAGTCATACAAATCGTCATGTTTCATTGATTCCCAAAGCCTGTAACAGGGGTCGATGCATTCGTTGCACTATTCGACATTGACCGTCTCTGGCCATCCTTACCAGTCCATCCAGCAAACAAAGTTCTCAGTCTGCTGTATTTGGCTTCCAGCTGAGGCATGTTCGGGGGCGCTGTAACATAAGACGGAGGGTGTGGCGCGGCTCCAGATCTGGACTGGCTGTCGGTCTGACTACAGACATAGCCCAAGTTTGAATGTAGTCTGAGGTTGATCCTAAGTGTCGCACAAATCAGTACGGATGGCTGGAAATGGCATGCGGCTAGTCTTACTGGCTATACTCTTCTGACGCAAGGGCATCAGACAGACCCTCTTTCTTGAGGTGAGCTGCTGCCTGTGGGCTGGTTGCACCGCCCTTGCCCTGCGCCTGCAACCTATGCATTTCCTGCAGCAATTCGAGATTGATCTCTAGTAGCAGCGATATCCTCTCCTTCTCTTGCGACATATTCACAGGAGATCCGCCAGCAGATGGAGAATGGAGTGGTCGGGTTTGCGGAGCAGCCATTGGTGATTGCTGGGGCGAACTCTGTGCGACTGCCGAAGCAGCATAAGGTGGGACACGATGCGAAGGAGAGGCTGTCATGGGCATTACGGCCGACGGTGACATGGCCTGTGAGTATGGCGGCGCGTAGGCTGAGCGAAGCCAAGCACGTTAGCACACAGGCATTCATTCTATCGTTCAAGAAGCGACTCACCGCCAGCCATGTGCTGGTACTGCTGTTGCTGCGAGCCATTCTGAGCATAATTAGGCGTTGGTTGGCCTTGGAGGGGGAAAGGCTGCTGCTGTTGGAGAGGGAGAGACTGGTTGGTCGTGTATGGAGAGAAGGACTGGCCAAATGAGGCCGGGTCCATGGCGGACAAGGACATTAACGTCGGTAGCCGGCAAGGTATACTAAGTTAATATAGCTTCTCGTCCTTACAGGGCGAATCGTTCCGTTGATTGGCGGGCCAGGCACTAGTCGAGATAATGAAAATGGAACCTACAGAAAGCCGCAACCAGAGAAGCACTCTGGCCCACTCATCTTGACTTTGTGGAGACAACGATTTTCTCTGCTGCCGTCTTTTTTGCTTTCTCAACCCAACTGTCCACGCCCACAGAGTGCAATCTTCTGCGATAATATACGAATCACGCCATCCGCTTCGCTGCATCATGTCCGGTAAAGTACTTTCCCATCCATGCACAAGCGCATCCGCGTCGCGCAATACAAGCACTCTCTAGATTCCGTTGCAATGTTCCGACGACGGTCCAGGCTCCAACAGCTCGGCTTCAACATGCTTGCACAAGTCAGTCTTGCTCCAACAGCAATCAACTGACGCGTTTGTGCACCAGGAAGAGGAAGAGGTGCCTACTTCAAGGCCAAGTATGCAACCAGAGGAGGTCGTGGAGGCCATGGTGCCGAAAATCACTCCCAATCGTCTTCTGCACACCCATCCACATCCACCTGGGCACAGTTGTCGCAAGTTCTAGATTCACTTGATGGACAACCATATGGTAGGTTTTTCTGTTCTCTTTCTTCTGGTCGTACCTTCTCATATCCGAGCCAGGTTCGTACAAACGTCTACAGAATGCACGTTTTCAACACAGCTCGCCGGACTTTACGCTATCAGTAAACCATGTCCAGACAGATGCATATGCGCCGCCTTCAAAAATCAGCGTATCTATGGATTGGGTAAGTCAAAGCTCTCACTCAAGATTGTCTCCGACATCAAGTCTTTTCTCGAATTATGAAGGTCAACCTTGTCTGATCGAATTCAGAAAACTACTGGTTTACCTGACGAATACGCGGAGTCCGACATTCGTCAGATCGCTTTGGCCGACTATCTCTCCAGAGCTGCTGCTGCCTTCATCCGCACCAAACACATGGACCAGTCTGTAGGTTCCGGGAAGTCTGGCTGGTCAGGTCCTAAAGGCGGAGCCTTCGCCATCAACGCTCCAGCACAAGAAGTCCTGCCTCGCACAAGCGCTCTCATTTCGTCCAGCGGGAAAAAGAGCCTCGAGATGCGCTTCACAGTCTCTTTGCCTGCTCGCGGCCGTACTATCTTGGGTAGAGAAGCCAAGTCGATCTTATGTGTCAGCCTTCCAGAGTTGATCAAGAACACTATGCTTTACACGTCTCATGTTCCTGAAATGCTCGAGACTCATATTCGTTGTGTAGAGGACCAAGCGTACATGCGAGCTCAACTTGAAGATAAGGGCTTGGTTGCTTTCATCGGCAATGGCTCAATTCTCCCAAGAGCTAGTGGAGCGTCCGCTCGCGGTATGAGTGGTAAGCACGTCGTACCTTTCCAATCGCCAGATGATCTTGAAGTCACATTGAAACGCAAGCACGGTCACAAAGTACATGGAATGGGCATACCAAAAGGTGTTACATTACTCACTGGTGGTGGCTATCATGGCAAGTCAACTTTGCTCGAAGCTCTTCAACTTGGCATCTATAACTATGTTCCTGGCGATGGACGAGAGTTGGTCGTCACTAATCCTGCTGCGGTGAAGATCCGCGCCGACGACGGTCGCAGTGTTACAGGAACGAATATCAGTGCCTTCATCAAGAACTTGCCAGGGAAGAGAGAGACAGATGCCTTTACCACCGATGATGCAAGTGGTTCAACTTCTATGGCAGCCAACATCTCTGAAGCTCTTGAACTAGGAGCACAAGTCATCATGGTTGACGAAGACACATCCGCTACCAACCTCCTCGTCAGAGATGAGCGTATGCAAATGCTTATCAAGAACGAGCCTATAACTCCTCTCGTATCGAAAGTCCGCGCTCTCTACGACCAGCACGGTGTCAGCACTATCATCGTGGTCGGAGGACTCGGTGACTGGTTAGATATCGCCGACAATGTAATCGGGATGGACTCTTACGTTCCTCGACTGCTCACCCAAGAAGCAAAAGAACTAGCCAAGGAAATGCCTAGAAACGTCGTGCAAGACAAGAAGTACGGCACGATATCCGGTAGAAATGTCGGCTTCCCGGCAGCCATTCTCCACGACAAAACTCCGTATGCCAAGAGGAAGGACTTTATCACCATCTATGCCGACCGAGCTTTGCAGGATCCCTCGCAAAACGAGGCAGGAATTGACATATCGAGTGTCGAGCAGCTGGTCGGAGTGGGTCAGACACGAACGATTGCTCACTCTATCCGCGCGCTTGCTCTTACAAAGGATTCCGAATCGTGAGTAGCAATCAAAGAACACATCATGATCAAGGGCATCGGTAGCTAACGTGGAGGCAGTTCTCTAAGATCATCGTTATCAGGCATCGAGGCTGAGATTGCATTGGAAAAAGCTATCCCAGAAAATCTGCCTGGAGGAGATCTAGTCGCAGTCCGTCGCTTCGAGCTGGGCGCAGCCATCAACCGTATTCGAGGCTTAGAGTCACGAGCAGCAGCGAAGGAAGAGGCTCAGACGGGAGAAGGACCAAAGAAGAAGGCACGCATGGACCTTTGATCAGCCAGTATGAAGGCTTAGATGTTGCTAGTAGGAGGATCACGGAAACAATAGGGAAATAATCGAGTGCAGGTCGGGGTGGGTGCCTGACTTGTGACAATACTCAAGCTTCTCCGCAAAAGGATGCCGTTGCTGCCAAACATAGCCACACGAACATCAATCAGCTGTGCGCATCTTTACTAGAAGGGAGGCCAATCGTATCTACGATGATCGCAACGGAAAACACACTAGTCAGCAGAGGATAAGTCGGCACAGAAGATTGATCCTTGTACCACTCATGTGCCAAGAGCTTCTTTGCATAGAACACTGGTTGGAAGGAGCATATGACTGGGCACTGCATTTTACTTGTCAAGTGATCAGAGAATCGACGTAGAGTTGGTTGTAGGATTCATGCGCTCGGATCGCGATGCAGTGGCTGCAAGCTGTCATTGAGTCAAGGGTCTTGGTTGCGGTCTTGGGAGCACGCCGAGATGGCCCGATCTTGCCGGCGAATCTCTTGTCGATAGCTCTTTCGTACGAGTAGAAATCGGGCTTCGAATGGATGTACTGTAGAGTACTGTATGCTTTTCCTGGCAAAGCTGCACGAGACCAGAAGATACAATTGATTCCTTCGAGATTGCTGCGCCTTCATTGACGCTAGAACAGCTTTGCGCTGTTTAAAATCATTGGTCGAAAGATACCCAGAGATGGGCAGCATTCTCAAGATGCAGGCCGGGGATGCTGTGCTCGGCAACTCGGCATCAAGATGCACTAGTCCAATAGAAGCAATGATCAACTGCAAGTGTTCCTTCGGGGCGTTGTGTGGTTCATTGTTGTAGGATCATCATCACCAAGGGAGACTCGAGGTGGCGTGGGTCAAGACGATTGTTGCTTGGTGTGCCTGCCTGTTAGAAAGCACCCAAGATGTGACACGCATATAAGAGCAGCTCTGGTCGCACCTTCTGTTGTAGCTCCAACTCAATCACAAGCACTTTCGAGCTTCATCACTCAGTCGACCATCACATTCCATCAAAGTCAAGCAATAATCCAAACCATTATTTCGCCTGCTCGCCACTTATCAGTCAACTGATAATTTACTACTACCCTTCACAATGAACAACGAAGAACACATCCGCCACCAGAACTCGGACTTGGGCAAGTCGCCTATTCGTGGAAGTGCCAGCGACCACGATCCTCTGGTCAAAGTCCAGCCTCCTCGCCGCGAGGATCTCCAGCCTTCTTACGCTTCGGTCATCAAGCCCGACACCGAGGATGATTCCCAGCACGGTTGGTACGGAGGCATGATCAATGGTCTTGGTGCTGTTCTCGGTAACCTGGGAGCCATTCCTTGCTGCATTGTCTGCCCCAACCCCTACAAGCCCGTCTCGCAGGGTAATGTCGGTCTGGTCACCAAGTTCGGTCGTTTCTCTCGCGCCGTCGACCCTGGTCTCGTCAAGATCAACCCTCTCTCCGAGTCTTTGATTCAGATTGATGTTAAGATCCAGATTGTTGGTAAGTCTCGCATTTCCATCCTTCCCGTGTGCAAAGTCATGTTCCGCGGATAGATGTGGAACCGCACAGTCCTTTCGAGTCGGTGGCAAAACCCAAAGAGAGCCCATAATGCACCGACTTTCTATGGACTTTGCAAGCGTCCCGAAAAGACTGTACATTTTCTTGGGTCTAATTCTGCCGATGTCTTCTCGTGGGAGCGGCTCAGGAGTGACGGAGCACATGGGAATGAACCAACTCACTTAGCAAGAATACTAACACATACACAGAGGTCCCTCAGCAGATTTGTATGACAAAAGATAACGTGAACCTTCACCTTACCTCAGTCCTCTACTACCGCGTTACCTCGCCCCACAAGGCCGCATTTGGCATCTCCAACATTCGCCAGGCCCTCATTGAGCGCACGCAAACCACACTCCGCCACGTCATTGGTGCTCGCGTGCTCCAAGATGTAATCGAGCGTCGCGAGGAGATCGCTCAGAGCATTCGCGAGATTATCGAAGACACCGCTTCCGGCTGGGGTGTCGAAGTCGAATCCATGCTCATCAAAGACATTATCTTCTCCCAAGACCTGCAGGAGTCACTTTCCATGGCCGCCCAGAGCAAGCGTACTGGTGAAGCCAAGGTCATCGCCGCCAGAGCTGAAGTTGAATCCGCCAAACTCATGCGCCAGGCCGCTGATATTCTGTCTTCTGCACCTGCCATGCAAATCAGATACCTCGATGCCATGCAACAGATGGCCAAGTCTGCAAACAGCAAGGTCATTTTCTTGCCTGCTCCCAACCAGACTGTGCAACACCAGATGCAGATGGCTGACGCCGTTGGCGAGGGTCCTTCCTCCTACCAGGCTGTCACTCAGCAGCCACACGACAATGGTTTTGGGGCAAACACCGAAGGCTTCCAGAATGCTATCAACAGCCGCGTTGTCGAGAACATGTAGAGCGCTGAGTACGACCGCAGCAGGCTTTCAGAACAGTGCGTTTACGGGCCAGCTGGCCACGGCAAACCACTGTCGCGCAGCAGCAGTTGAGTGAGCTGCTTTTGAAACGAGAACGATCACGAGACGTTGTTTTATGGATACCCCTTTTCTGTTTTCTTCTTTCTTATACCATACCCAGCCGTCGCTTTCGCTTTCGCTTTTCCAAGAGGGCTAGTTTGTAGTTCTCTTTTCTGTATCTGACGTAACCAAATATCAGTTCTTCTTCAGATGTTCTTTCCATGCATATCCCCTGTGCTATATCCTGTCAGTTACACCACGCTCTCACGATAAACATCGGATGGAGCTGCAGCTATCAATACGCACATGTTTCTCGAGTAGGTACGAAGCATCCACCGAGAGTTGTGATGTTATCGGTCATCTGTGACGTCTACTGAGATCTGTCATGGATAACTTTCTTGTAGCTACTTGATTGATCGCCTAACTTGACTGTCTTTGTAACGGAGGTCATGATCTAAGCGTTTCGACCAGGGTCGCATGCTCAACAAGCAATTTCGAGATGATATATCATATCGCGGCCGCTGCAGTGATATTATGGTGATTTAAACTGGTTGCATATACAGAGGCAGATTCAACTAATATAGAGAGAAGGTAACAAGGGTATAGCGTAAATGTGTGGCTGCCAAACGGTAATCTTGCGATTGCGAAAGGCGAGTTTGGAAAAACGGACTTTAGTTGTGTATATTCGAGACGGCACTTGCTCATAGAGAAACAAGATAGCTTTGAAATTATCGGGCTCATGGAGCAATATAGATATACATGTTTAGCAACATAGAAGAAAGATGATGTTGAGCGAACTTCTCAAACGTGTAGTACATCTAAAGCTAAGGGCGATATATGTATGATTCGAGGGCAACAACGATCTCGACGTCTGCAACACATGGCGGCCAGATATGTTTGGAACCAACACCTTTCCCATCCCTAGTCATCGAAGGCAACAACGCTCAAAAACCCCTCTGTGGTGCACCACTACTCGCGAGAAAGTCATGATTCATATCACTGACCCACCATCTTCCAACTCTTGAGCAAATTGGGAGGTAGTACGATGCAGGAAGAAATTGGTTCATTCAAGGCATGCGACCTTTTGCATCAACGAATAACGAAAGAGTATGGGATATCTCTGAGAAGAAAGACTACAAAAGAAACTGCTGATACAGATAGACTTCTATTTCCGCCCCCAAAGCCCACAGACCGAGAGATTGGAAAAAACACGCTTGCTTGTGAAAAAAAAAGGACAGAGGAAAACGAAATCGTAAACACAGACTCCTTCATCTGCTGCGATCAATGATGGGTCCACCTCGACCTTCTTCTCTTTCGTGTCTGGCGACCTGATTAAGGAGACTGCCAGGGACGTACTTGGATTCCTCGTTGACATTGATCAGAGGTTCGCGAGCATGTCTGTTGCCGCTCGCGACACCTTTTCCTATCGAGGCTTTACCGTCATAGCCACCGCGGGCATTGTTCAAAAGACCATGGCCTGTGAAGGCCTCGTCTGTGGTTTCATTTGCAGGTCTGTGTGCTAGCGATCGTTGACGACTGACTCCTGCACTTGCTACAGCAGGGGCGTTACCTCGCCCACCGCGCCAATCCTGTGAAGATGGAATCGTGTAAGGTTGATCTGGTGTGGTTGCGTTGTCGATCAAGCCTCCAGGTCCTACTTGGTCCGGGTGGACGCCTCTGCCTTTCTTCGTGTGTTGAGGTGGTGGTTTGTATGTGGGTGTGAGGTCGACCAGTGGTTTTGCTGGTTCCCTTGCGCGGGTCGAACCAGATCGCTTCAGTCCGTCTTCGGCTGCTATCAGACGCTCGCGCGTAGAAGGACGGTGTTTGAGATCAGTGACATGGCCATCGGTGCGGCGTGTAGATCCTGTTCTCTTGACAGAGGACTGGCGGTTGAGTGTCTCGGCTTGGTTTCCGCTTAACAAGGAGGGACCAGTGACCCAAGGGTTCTTAGCAGCGGCTTCACGCTCTGCGGCAGCCTTTTGACGAGTAGAGTAGCTTCTGCCGAGCAGGCCTTCTCCATTGAATGCCGCTTGTTCCGCACCCTCATCGAAAGAAGGTCTTCTGTTTCCGGCCAACTTGCCAAGAGGTTCATCGTCCGCCAGTTTCTGCTGTTGCGACAAAACAGAGGGATGACTTGAACGCTCCCGCACGGACGGCTTTCGAGCAGGAGCACCAGAAGCAGTGTCCTGACCTCTTGATGACGAGGGCCTATCAAATTTCTCGAGGTCTACAAGTGGCTTATAGCTACCTAGCTGATAGTGTGCATCCATTGAACCAGTCGAAGGTTGTTGGGCGTGGGATGGTTGTTTCGATTGCTTGGTTGCTTTGCTAGACGATCGACCTAGACCTGATGTGGGCTTCTTCTTGCCCTCATGCTTGGCATGGTGTAAATACCAACTGCGCCAGCCCTGTACAGCCTCGTAGAAGCTGGTAGCAAGAATTTCGTCAGAAGTGCAGAAGAAATGCACATATACTGATTTCGAGTCTTGTTGGAAGATATTGGACTTCTGTTGGCTTTTGATGGCGTAGCAAATCTTCTTTGGAGGTTTCAGCATCTTGGCTGTGAATCTTGCTGTAGGGTTGTAGATGTCGAAATCGGTGAGATGACCGATGTTTGTTGTTTCAGACTCTTTGCTTGGTTTGGCCGCGACGAGTTGACCATCTTGACGAATGGTAATCAAACGCTTGCTCCATGCGCCTGGTTTTTGCGAATGTTGCATCAAGAAGGATGACTCCCTTGGCCTCTCTCGCGGGACATTGGCGAGGCTGAGGTTACTCGCGTTGCTTGTCAGAACACGAGCAGGCACAATCTGCAAAGAACCGGAGTGATCATCGTCCCAGGAGTTCATAACATCGAAAACATATTCATAGCGTCTGAGTGGTCGTGTCACGTCGACCTTTGATGTGAAACTCTCCAGCAGGACGGATGTCTTGAGGTCGATTGGCTCGGACAAGCAGTTGGCGGCGGATGCTATCAAGTCTGCAGCAGAAGTGGTATGCTCGACTGGAAGATCGATCCCTTGTCCATTGCATTCAACACGAACACGCTACGAGGAATCAGTCATGGAATTGAACACTCATCCGAATCGACTTACTCTTCTCGCTTCAGGTGCGCCATTGGGTGCTGACAAGGGCGCGTCTGTCATTGGGACTATGCCACCACCTCCTGGTCTGATTACTGGAGGCTCTGTCGATCTGGTGGTAGCATGACGAGCATTTAGCGGCTTCTCTGCAGTACGACGAGATTGACTCTTCTTCTTTTTCCTGCCAAATAAGCCAAAACAGCCCGCTGTCTCTTCAGCAGACACATCACCCTCTTCCTGAGGGGGTATGAAGTCTACGACCTTTGCGCGAATATGTGTAGGAGCCTGGGCTCTTGCGAGGGCCATGGGATCGTCTCTCAGAGACGCCTTTGCCTGTTCCAAGCTCTTTTGTTGGGATCGCATGCTTCCGTAGCCATCGTCACCAGAGTCAAAGGCGCCGGCCTCTGCATCGCGTGAGCTATCTCTACCACGACTACCACGAGTGGAGCGAGTTCGAGTCGGGAAGATTGCTGGTTCTTTGGCGGACTCGGAGTGCGCTAGTTGTTCTTGGGCATGAGTAGCACCAGGACGAGTTTTGTGGTAGCGAGACCTGCTTCTACCGATGCCTGCGTCGGTGGTAGTTTGCGGAGCGGTTGTTGGTGCATTGGATGAGGCAGGGGCTTTGCGCTGCGAACGATAGCGCGCAGGCTTCCCGTCCGGGTTGTCAGCCATGTCGCGTGTCCTTGTCGCTGTGGTGGGAGGTGAAAAAATGGGAGGATATGGATTGTTTTCTGGCGGTTGCGTCACATATGCAGGAACATAACGGTGCAGAAGACACACGAGTCGAGGGGTTGGCAAGCCAAGGTCAATGGTTTGGGATGTTGAGAAGAAGAGAGTCGCCGGCCTGCTACGACTGGATATTATGGATTCAAACCTGACGTGTGTCGAAAGGCTAACGCGAGTCTAATAATATAAACAGCAGAGGGGGGTTGTGTTTGGGAAATGAAATTCGAAACATGGAGTCCAGAAGACCCTCGGATCTGCAAAACAGCAACAAGTCGCGACCTTCAATTGTTGCCAATAACGCCCCTCTATTCCTGTCACACGACTGCTCCTTCATGCCTTCCTCAGGCCTTCGTCGGCGAGTCGACACGACCCCAAGACCATCTAATCATGCCGATATGCGAGTGACTGCCTTGGCCACCGTGCTCGGCGAGATCCATGTCGAATCTGCCAACTTCTGCAAACCCCAGCTTGTCAAACAGCCCTCTGGCGGGCCCCTCGGACACTGTGTCCAAATATATGCTAACCTTTTCTCGATCCGCGGCTTCAATCGCTCTCTGTACGAGCGCTGTCGCCGCTCCCTTTTGCCGACTCGTCTTCATCGTTCCAATATTCATTAGTACTGCGCGTCGTCGTCAGCCCTTGTCAACAGAGTCAGCCAAATGTCGTAACCAACAATAGTGTCTTCGTCCACGCAGCACGTCATTGCGGAGCTTTGTAACTCGATGCCTGAACTCGACAACAAGGCCTGAGTTCATTCCCGCTGCGATCGAGTCTTCGTACGCTTCTTGCACTTCGGCCTGATCGCTGTCATTCTTCGATCTGAACATCCGAAATCGTACGGAGCATACCAGCTCTTCTGCCATCTGTTCTTCGCCATCCGCCTCAGCCTTGGGCATACCCCATTCTGCAAAGCTGACTATCCTGTTGCGCTCATCTCGAGCCACAAACCACGCTTGTTCTGGATCCTGTATGCTCTCGGCAATACGTGCCGCCTGGTTGAAGTTCAGTGCCAACAGATTCAACGATCCTAGACAAAGCTTGATGAATGGCGTGAGCTCGTCTTGAGAGTATATGGATGTTATGGCGGGTACGTCGGCAAGTGTCGCTTTCGAGATCTTCCAAGACATTGATGTGTGTTGTGAAAAGAATGCTAGAAGGCTCGCCAGTGTTCAGAGTACCTACCTATCCATCCCTTGGTTGAGCATGATGAGCATCGCTACGTATTTCACTGGAAGATAAGGCCGCATGCATGGCGATAAGCACCCGCAAGGTCATCTTGATGCATCAAGCATGCCTCGGCTCGAAAAAAGCCTCAGCAAATGTCGTGCTCACGGCATGGTCACTCTGTACTTTGGACCTGTACAAGTCAGCTTCGACTTTCTGGATGCTGTTATGCAAGATCTTCGTGTCTGTATAATCAGTGGGGCAGCCATGTGGAGCGAGCTGTGGAGGCAAGCCTTCTGCGGAAGCACCCGAAAGTCAAACGACACTCCCGCTCTCCGTCTGCTGTCAGGGGCCGAAGTCGTGCATCCTGCAGATGCAACACCAAAGGTCCATCCTCTTATACCCGACACTGGGAAGCTTGCCGTGCAACACCAGTGTTTGCTACTCAGCAAACAGGCCCACATATACAATGTAGACCCACCGCCAGCCATAGGGCTCAGGTAGCCACAACCCATCGCAACTCCTGCCAAGTTGACTCTTGGCAACGTGCATTCAAAGACGATAGTCTATCACTCGGTGCAAACCCCTGATGAGACAGAACGACGGTAAGGCTTCAGCTACTAGCTGACCAGATACGAAAGTATCGGGAGAATTTCAACTGTCCATCTGCCGTTTGGTTTTCACTTTTTCCACCTTCGTGTTCATCCTGATACCCCTCCACAACCATGCATCACGTCAAACCAGCGGCCGTCGCCTTCCAAACGCGGTCGCGATCACAGCCAGGCAGGATGGATCCGCGGCGAAGGCGATTCGTCATGATTGCTGTTGTTACGCTGGTGCTATTCATCCTCTACACATGGACAGGACATCCTTCGTCAGTGTCCTCGGCAGTGCAGGCTGGGCTCGACTACTTCATGCATGTGCCAGATCTCCCTGCCGCAAACTCAACACTGGGTGTAAGTATGAACTGTTTGGAAGGCGAAGACACATGCTGACAGATTCGAACAGTTTGGTGCAATCGTCGCCGTCTCGCAACTCACATCGACACGCCGCAATAGCTTGCTGCTGGCAGCAAACATCACCGAACTCGACGTCACCATCCCCGACCAACCCGTATGGACCGACGCAGACGTAGAAAAATTCAAGACAAAGAATGGCTCCTTGATCACGCGCGGCTCAGCAATGGCATGGATGGGCCATCTGAACGTGCTGCGCTGGTTCCTCGACTCTGGGCTGGAAACAATGCTAGTCATGGAAGACGATGTAGACTGGGACATACACCTCCGCACCTCCCAAGTCCCCAAGGTAGCAGCAGCCATGCGCACCCTCCTCACCGAGCAGCGACTGGGTCAACCGTCACCACAGAGCTCTCGCGAGAAGATCGTTACACCCGACCAAGCGCAGGGCTACTGGGGCAACCCCAACGACTGGGATATCCTGTATCTCGGCCACTGCGGCGACATGTTCAAATTCTCCCAATGGACAAACGAAACAGAAATCCCCCGGGTGGCCGTCAGCGACCCTACCCTGCCGTCTCCAGAATACATGCACATCCTCACCCGCCGCTTCCTTGCCGAGATCGGCATCCCCATCAAAACACGCGTGGTCCATAAATCCATATCACCGCTCTGCACTTTTGGCTTTGCGTTGTCTCGAATGGGCGCTCAGAGATTGCTCCACGATGTCGCGGGCTCGGAACCAGAAGGAGGAAGCCAAGCCTACGACGTCCGCATCCTCGAAGCCTGTCGAGACTTGTCTTTCCGCTGCTGGTCCGCCAACCCAGAATTGTTCCACCACCAAGACGCCCCCTCCGAGATTGCCATTGTCAATGCGAAAAAGGGCAAAGATCACACTGCGCATGAGCATTCCTCCAAAGCGTCTCCTCCGGGTATAGGTGTGGATTCAGAAGGTAGATTACAGGGCGCAGCACCGAACATTGCTTGTGGTACCCGAGGAGCCAGTTTCTGGACGCAGGATCCGGAGACGATTGAGTATTTGAGGGAGGTGGTGGGGAGACAGGGGCATTGTTTGAGGGATCAACATGCTGAGGATATGAGTGTGTGGCCTCATCTTTGAGATCTCTTGACTGTGTTTTGTTTCTTCTTCTTCTTTTCTTCTAGATCTTATTATTTTCTCTTATTAGATATCTCTGTTGATTTCTTCAAACGAGGATCTCTGTCATGAACATGATCACGAACACATGGTGGAGATGGTAGCTCTGAGATGATAAAAATCGTTAGAATTTTCTCCTCTACATTGGAGGAGCGTGGGACATGGCATGTCTCGTACTTTGGCTAGATAGAGAGAAAGCGAACGTGGAAAAAGAGAACAGACATGAATGCAGTGGTATTGAAACGAAGGGTGTGGTTAAGAGCAGCAAAAAAGATAGCAGTGTGAAGGGGACCATTACAATGAGGAAGAAAAAGGTGTGGATGAGAAAAGAGATCGAGTATAGGAATAATCGAGAGCAGGTAGAGAAAAGCAGCCCGAGCCAGCGGGTTTGGAGTCTCGGAGAGCAGTCATGATCTTAGTCGTCGTCCATGTCGGGGTTTGCGACAAACAGGCGTACACCGCTCATAGTGGTCGTACGGTCATCGACACTGCCTCGTCGTCGCAACTCGTCATTCGTCTTTTGTTGATCGTAGTTGTAAGATACAGGAGCGCGAGTGGGTAGGCCTCCTACGTCTCCGAAAGAACGCTCTTCCTGGATGGAGCCGCTTGAGCCACCGTTGCCGCCGGGATGTGTAAAGTAGTCGTTCCTGAGACCGCCTTGTTGGGGAGTGGCATCAGAGTATGAGCGGGTTGTAGCGATCGAGTCCTGGCGTTCCCGCGGTTCGGGGTGCTTGTCGACAGGGCTGGTGTTGCTGGGTGGTGTGCTGCCGTTGCCGAAGCGGGCAGCAGTAGGTGTGGGACCGGCATAGTAGCTTTCGCGCATGTGGTGACCAGAACCCAGACTGCTGCGTCCAGAGTTGTTGCGTTGGTGGTAACGAGCAATGGCGCTGTCGTCGTCGCTGTTATCCTCATCGACCTCACTGGCACTAAGACGCATGGGTACACCAGCTCCAGACAAGTTGCCAGCGGCCGAGTATGCTGAAGCCTTGACAGCACCGTGATGGCGGATCTTGCTGGCAATACCTCCACTGCTTCCACCAGAGCGAGCGTTGCCAGTGGCCGAGACGCCGCCAACAACTTCCATCTGGGCGCGCATCTTGGCAGCTCTCTGCTGGGCCAGGATACGAGGGTCCTCGAGCTGGGCACGGTCGCACCAGACGGTGGCCTTTTGTTTCCGCATCAGGGAGACATATGACGAAGGCGAGTTGTTGGAGCGAGACGAGGTTGATCGGCGAATTGACGAAGCGTATGACGAAGGAGCGGCAGGAACGCGGCCGTGCACGCTGCTGCTGTGGGTGCTCGCTGTCGAAGTGGTGGCATTGGACAGGGTACGACGAGACTGGTTGGATGGCGGAGGATGAGGATGTTGCTGGTATTGCTGAGGAGGGATGACATTGGACGAAATGGTCCGCGAGCGAGAGTGGGCTAGATAGTCGATGGCGGGCGTTCCGGCTGGCAAAGGCCTTCGGTGCACGTTGAACTGCTGTGCCGGGTAGTCCAATGATGCGGCCATGTTGATGAGCGATGTGTGAGGATGGCGAGAGACCGGGTTACGAGCAGATTTGGAGCGGCGCGGATGGTGGTGAGAGCGGGGATCGAGTTGGGCGAACAGGTACCGATACGAAGATGATGTGAGGGGTCGCGCGTCAGAAGCCTCCAAAAAGCGTTGGCGGCTGTTCCGGTAGATAGATGGATGTGTTGGCCGTCTTGTTCAGAGAGATGCGAGATGCAAGAGACAAGAGCCGATAAGAGATAGATGGACGCTGCTGCAGGACGAGCGAAACAGGATTTGGCAAGGACAAAGAAGCGCGAGCCGGCACAGGCGGGAGATCGAGATATTCTATACCAGTGCGCGCATCCAGAGTGGACCCAGAAGTTGCAACCCAAGAAAGCTCAGACCGAGCGTAACCAGCATCCACCCACGCACCTCGCACGTTACAACTCTGACCAGCATTATCTGCGCCAACTGCCACTCCCACGCGCTCCCTCTCTTGGACCATCCCATCTATTCATGTGACACCCGTGCCCTCCGCTTTCTCGTATCAGACATCTGAATATCCACACCGTCTTTCAACCCCTACATTTCGCCATATGCACCTCGCCAATCACATGCCGACTTGCTTGCCTGTGCCTGTGCCTGTGCCTCTGACTTCTGAATCCTCCCATCCCGCACCTCTGCACCACGCGCAAATCATTCACACTGTGCGAGCTCTAGCGTGAGCGAAAATCTAGACTTGAACTACCGGGCTACAGCTCGGCCAAACTATCCAGATTGTAAGGGTGCCTGTCATGTTTGCAAGACGAAGGCGTCACCCAAAGCCTCAACAGACCGAAAATCCCGCGTCCCGTTGCGAGACCAGAGAACCAACTGTTTGGACATCAGGAGTCCCCAGCCTCCAGCCCGATCCTCGAAACAACCCACCCTACCACCAACGTCATCTGTGGCTGCAAAATGGTGGAGATTTTTGCTTGTACAACTTTATTCACGAGAGCCCGTCCCGCAGCCCGCCAGCTTTCGCAATCATCAACGATAATCTTCTCGCTACGGAGTGACTGCCGTCCATGAAATCGATGATATCGCCCGATCAGACGTCGCGTTTCTACGCTATCCGACCCGTACCGCGCAAACTTTCCAGTCTGACAGGCATCTTTCCTTGATCGATTGCAGCTCATCCAACTGCTACCGACCTCTGCTCGGTACTCCTTACCGAAGCTGGGTTTCTTGCCGTCTTCCTTGACTTTTCAACAGATACCATGCTCTGCAGCCCCCACTTTGTACATGATGGTTCTATGCCGTCAACACGATCCATCATGATCCGATTTGCTTGCGTTTTCTCCGTGCGCCCTTCTCGCTACCTGTTGTCCCGATTCAACATGCTGTCCCTCCGAGTTTCACAACATCCTTCGAATCTTCAACCTTCCGAGAGTTGTACCTTGTCAGCCACAGATACTACCCACGTTTCATACACCAATTTCCGCGCCTTTGACAAAAGTGCACATTCCCCTTTTGCCAAAACCGAGCACCGTCGCGCGTGCTATTCACGTGGGCGCGTCGTACCAGATACGACCACAGTGATACCGTCTGATCTGACTCTCCATAAATAGCGCTAGTATAAAAATAAGATAAGCCTCCAAAGCGAAAAGAGGTTGACAGCGCTGCTCTCTCTCGCCTATCAACAAGCCCTCGGAATCTCCGGGCAGAAAGTCGCTTGGCATGCAAGCAACCGATCAATAGAGCGCTCCATCTCTCTACACGTTTTCCCATTGCGAAGCCCAGGAGCCAAACAGTTAGAGAGGTTCGTATATCATCCACTATAGGAGTAACGGCTATCGCGAAACCCGCACCCAGCCTCATGCGCATGTGCGACTTTGCATCGACCCACCTGTCGCGCCTCGCCGCGTGAAGAGAACTAAGGCCTCCCCCCCTATCTTCAACCTCACACCTTTCTCTTAATCCGGCTGATGCACGAATCGCACCGAGTGAACGCCAGTCGGGGGCACGAAGATCCGTTTCGAATTGCTACTCAGACAACGTCGACCGGTCTCGCAAGCACGGATTCCAAACTTATAGCGTCTTATAGGAACGAGCGGTCTAGAGATAAGGAAGAGTCAAACTAATGAGATCCCCAGCATTTCGGTCACGAACTGAGACAGAAAATTTGAGCCTCATGCGACGAACGAAATTCTCAGGGTCCTTCGGCTGTTTCGAAGTGCCAATGGCTGCTATAACATCTGCGAGCTAGGAAACATTTTTGTCTCTCTTGACTCCTGTCACACGTCTCAGCTGGAAAGATTTCGGCGGTTTCAAGAACAGCAGTGTCTGTATATTGGAAGAGAGTCAGTCCTGTAACTCACCTCCGAGGACCTTTCAAAGCCCACGACTGGCTTCGCCAAGCACAAAAAGCCGAGCGGCCAGTGAATCATTCTTCGAGCTCCACACGAGGTCTGGAGGATGACGAGAAACTACCACTCTATTATTCGAATACGGTCCGCCGAGAGGGTCCTGGGGAGAACAAAAGTAGGGCTGCTGTCGATCAGCAATAACCTCTATGGGATACGAAGTGGAATATAGATAAAGGCTGCCCTCGGGGCCAGGCGTCACGCACGAATACGAGTCTGGGCTCTATCAATATCGCTACGAGAAAAAAAGTTCTCCCTCTATATACACCAAAGACCTCGCCGCCACTCGTAACGTTCTTCGCTTCCAGAGTTGCTATCGGACCAAAGGAGAAGTCCATTCAGCCCTCTAGGAAAGTGTTCATGGCAAGCAGTAACCACCGTCGACGATGATGTCTGTGCCGGTTGTGTAGGAAGCTGCGTCCGAAGCTAGGTACAGGTATGCACCGCGCATCTCATGGGGCTCACCCTCACGACCCATGGGAATCTTGCTCCTCCAGATGGCTTTTGTTTCTTCAGGCACGAAAGTCGTAAGTTCTGTTGCAGTGTAGCCAGGAGACACAGAGTTGCACCTTGCAATCTTGACCCATTCGATAGCCAAACACTTTGTCAAGTGTAGTACAGCGGCCTTTGCTGCATTGTATGCTGATTGTAGTTGAGGGAAGTTGACGATGTGTCCTGACATTGAAGCAGTTGCAATGAAGGATCCGTATGAGTAGTTCTCGAGTTTGTTGCCGTTCACGTCGGTTCCTTCTGCGGCCTGCCGCCTCCAAATCTCGCCGGCTGCGCGTGCGCAGTAGTATACGCCGTCCAGGTCTGTTGTCACTACCTTGCGGTAGTGGTCAAGCTCTCCGTCGATCATGTTGCCTTGGGTCCATGGAATACCGGCGTTGGCGACAAAGATATCCAGGCGGCCGTTCAGGTCTTGGACACTTTGGGTGAGGCCCTTCTTTACGTCTTCGAAGTCTGTCACGTTGACTTTGTATGCCTTGCCTGTCACGAGTCTTGTCAGCATTCTTGTCTGCACACTCTTGATTTTGCAGTTTACTCACAGCTGACACCGTATTCCTGCTCGATCTCGGCGGCACGCTCGTGGGCCACAGCATTGCTGTTGTACCAGATGGCGATGTTTGCGCCGGCCTCGGCATATGTCTTTGCAACCGCAAGACCGATACCAGCAGGACCTCCACTAATCACCGCTGTCCTGCCCTTCAAGCTGAACAAGGATAGAATGCTGCTTTGCTTTGGCGCAACAGTGTTGTTGGCAGCGAAAAGACCATCTTTAGTAATACCACCGTCCATGATTGACCGCACAGATTGTCGAGGCAGAAAAGACGAAGACAAAAACGATGATTTGGGAACAGCTCGTCTAAAAACAGAAAACAACTGAACACAAGACATTTTGTTTTGGCAGGCTTCTTGCTTATCTTCTTTCCCTCACCACAAAGCTTGGACGCGTGTTTGGCAAAGGAAGAAGTCAAGGCAACTCTAATGAGCCATACTTCATCCTTTTTGTCTTGCTGGTAGAAATGCCCCAGATGTGCTGTCGACGATATTCCCCGGCTTGCAATCAAAGGTGGGGGCGGGGCACGAGCAGGTGCACTTTCCTTCGATTGTTCCGATTCGCCATGGTATATCGTCTTCCCTTGGTCTATATCATCTTCTGCTTTACCCGGTGATTCGTTTCGTCTTGAATCGGTGGCCAGCAAGCCGTTTTTGTGTTGACTGATCCTTTGTATATTCTGCCGGGTCAAGAGCGCCCGGGGCCGAGGCGAGTCAGGGTCCAGGGTCAATGTCGGGCCCGGTTGAATGCAAGGATAATTTTGCAACTTCCCTTCAATGATGCTCACAAGCCATCAGCCATCAATCCGCAGCTGGTTATCGCCAGCCTAAACCATGGTCGATGAACACAATCAAGTGATTGCCAGCGACATCGTTCCTAAAGCTCCAAGGGTCTGCATATCTGCCCCGTGGAATGTTCATCATAGACAATGCTCTACACACGTCTTGCTTCATTGACATAACAATTGAGCAGCAGGTAATCTATCAAGTTGTCTCCCCTCGATATCTCGAGCATGAGAGGTAAGACTGAACATCACCCTTGCGCAGCAAGGTGGGTAAGTTTCAAATCAACAAGTCAGTTCATAAAGATGTGTGTCTGAAGGACTCATCGAGCCTGTGGTGAGCAGCATTCCTCGACCCTTGTTGTGGCGACCATTCCATACCTTAGGCCAGATTTTGTTATGGAACAATCACACCAGCCCATTGGTTTGTGCCAACTGTGCAACGTCGATACTTGGACAACAAGGTGAAGATCATTACACCATGAGCCGAACATGAGACCAGCAGCTTCGAACGACCGAGCATACGACGATATTGCGATTCATTGACTAGTGTATATATCGGAAAAGCGTTACCAACCATGCTGTCTTCCGCGGTCGTTGGCATCGGCGCAGGTATAGGCGCACTCTTTCTCTGCGCCGCTTGCTTCATCGTCTACCAGATATACAAGCGCAAACGAGAACACAATCGCGAGATCGCCGAGATCGAACAAGGCTTCCCTAACACGCGACCTGTAGAGGTCACGCAGCTACAGCAAGGACCTGGCGCGTGTCAAGTACCATTCGTACCGACCTATGTGCCATGTGGAGGATGGGGTGCGCTTGCATCTACAGAAACGATAAATACTCTGCCACCCTTCGCAAAAGTCAACAATCGTATTCATCCAGCTTTCATCTTCCCGGAAGAGCAGACACGGACAGGATGGAACTTTCCTGGACGAAAACCGAGGATAGGACGTATGCCGTCTAATGCTAGAAGGTTGCAAGCACTTTCAGCCATCATTGAGAGTCCAAGAGGAGGCACACCTAAAGCAGGTTCTAGAAATTCTCCAGCTACGACCAAAGGAGGCGCTGTCAGGGAAAGAGAGATCCAGTCTGCTTCTGTGGAACAGTTGATTGCAAAACCAGAGGCTGCTCAGACATCATCTCCTCCAATACCTTCTCGCTTGTCTTCACGACCAATACAGCTTAACGATGTGCCTCCACCAAAACCGCGTACCAGCGAACTGTCATCTCGACCCCGAGCTGCTCGATCGAAATCGTTGGGCACTGTCTCCGACCCGAACAAGCCGAACTCGACAAACACATTTGCATCTGCTCCCGGACCGGCGCCAACAGGACCATTGCCGCCTCTACCACCATTATCAAGAAAGATCAGCCGTCAAAGTGACTACAACCCTGCAAACCGTCATAGTGCTCTCGGCATACCGTCAGCGAAGCACAATGAGAGCACATCAACCAGCTTGAACAGCAGCCCCGAGCGCAATTGGGAACGCATTGTCAGTTCCGAGAACATCAATACGATACCAGAATATAAGAATCTCCATAAGTCAGACGACAGTGCAGCAGAAGTGGGAGCCGAACTATCTTCCAACGGTGGCAGTTCACAACCAGCAAGTTATATTGGCCACAGAAGAAGTCTTGTTCGTCTAAGCATCACATGCAATGGCAGTAATCGCAACTCTGTCACCAGTATTACATCTACTCTCGACAAGCAGGCAAATAGACTGTCGATACCGCAAATTCTCAACGTTGATCGCATCAGCATAAGTTGCATTTCATCTTCAGGTTCTCTCAGCAGCGGCAATGGTGGTGTTACCATGGTCAGTACACCGAGACGACACACCGGATCTTCCAGAGTCTCAGCAACAGGATCTCCATCAGAAAAGCCAAAGGCGAACATCCTACGAACTGTGTCAGGCAATGCTGGTTCTCCACAGAGACCGATGAAAAGCGTCCTGAGAGACTCGAGCCTCGAAGCCATATCCAAATGGGAAAAGTCGGTCATAGGACCCAAACACTCGATCTTGAAGGGCAGTCCCAGCGCGAGAAAGGGTCATCGTAGACAAAACTGCGTTCGCTTGTCGACACTCGCCCCCACTGTCCTAGGTCCGGGAGGCCGAAGTAGGTCGACCAGCCCTTCCATGGATGGAATCCAAGAAGAATCGCTAGATCGCATGAATGGTCCGATGGCTGACAAGCACTTGAACGGCGATGTGACATTGCGGCCACGAACTCTGGATCCCTTGAGACTGCGTGCATCACTCACGCCTAGCTCCCCGACTTTATCTATGGTGGCCTACCAGAACGAACCATTGCCTTGGAGTAGTGAAGTAAGCTCTCGACGCGTATCGTATAGATCGCCAGGGGCAAAGTCTGCACTATCGCGAGAGGCATCCTTGTTCAGCATACCCAGTCTTCCGAATATGAGTCATGTAGATCGAGACGAAGCAGTACAGCAAGGGTCAGAAACGCCCGCCATCGAATTTACACGTCCATCGGCCAAATGGTCAGAACACGAGCGCAGTCCGCCCTTTGGTCTACATGTCACACCGAGTAACTCAAAACGTTCGGTCTACAAGCCTGAACCCTCTCCACCATTGCCATCGTGGTCAAACAAGCACGATCCGGCTTGGCCGATGCTGACCACCAACCCTCCTGCGAGCGGACAAGAGTACAATCCAAGCAGAGACATCTCGGTCTACTCTTCCGACGAAGAAGACAGCAGCTCTCCTAACTTTCCGTTCGCAGTCAGAGAAGAACCTGCACCTTGTGCTTCACCGCTATCTTTCTTGGTCGACTATGATGACGAGAAGGAGAACGGAGGTTTGGGATCACCGTACCATGAAAAGGAGATAGAGCCACCCTACGCTCGCGCAGCTGCTTTGACCCAAGGCATCCGTTCGCCCTTCGAGTCAATGCCAATCCTCCGTCCCCATGCCTCATTCATGGAAGATCTGGACCCAAGCTTACCCTCTCCACCTCCCTCACTAAATTCCAGCATCTGTAAAACACTACCCCTTCTTTGTCGTAGCCTCAGCAATACCAGCAACGCTCTAGCCAGCGCAAAACCGTCAAATCCGCCTAGCAGTGCTACTCGATAAGCACGTCGCAACAGCAGCACAAGTCCCCGTCGCCGCAGTGGAAGTTCCAGCCCCCATCATCATAGCGGTGGCATCGAAAAGACTTCTTCCCGTGGTAGCAAACGCGTAACAGGACCGCGTGCTCAGCCACCTAAGGATATACGCAAAAGTATAATGGCACTACGACGAATGAACTCATATGTACAAGTTTCGGAAGAAGAGTTAGGTAAAGGATCACACCGATACTTGCACCTTGGGCGCGAGGCCTCTGTACAACTTCCCTTTGACTTTGGATTTTCATCGGACAATGAAGACGATGGTCCCCCCAGGGACATTCTGCTAGAACACGATGAAGATGGAGAAGAGACAGAGGGAGGAAGCAAAGAATGTCATTTTGTGACCTACTCGCCAACAAAGCCCACTCTGAGTCTCCTCACCACACTCCCCGAAGCCACTCGCAACCAACTCTCAGTCTGGGAAAACGGAGAAGGATACTGGGCAGAACAAGAGTCCCGCGTCACTTCAGCTGTCACTTCCAGTCCTTCTGACACACCCACTTCTGCTCTTGACAAGATGCTAGGGTGGCAAGACTCTGTCTCCACGCCGACGCTTACACCGTCACACAATTCTGGACAGTCTCTTTGGGGCGTGGGGAAAGCAGAACTGCAGGTCTTGCAAGAGGGAGAGGAGACGTTGCTTTGGGATAAACGCAAGAGCAAAATGATGGAAACGCCAAAGAGTGTGGTGGTTTGAGGAGGATGTTAAGGAGCTTGTTTGGATGGTTGTTCGTAGTGTAATCGGACTTTGAATCATTGCCTTTGGCATTGTGAGGGCTCAAGGACTAAAGTCAGGATGTAAGGACAATGGCGGGATTGTTTTTTTTTGTTAGCATAAAGAGGATATAGTTTAATTGTTTAATGTTGAGCTTTGTATTCGGTGATCCAAAGCATCAGCGTGATTCTTGAAACCACGCCAGAAGTACAGTTGTTATGCATCGAGAACAATCGACATCAATCGAAAGTTGCGCGCAACGGTTCATCAGAAGATTCATCAAATCTGACCGCGTTTATTAACTTGACTATCACTCCTCCAGCTCTTCATCACCATCAAGCATCCAATCATTCTTCGTCAAATCGATTTCAGCCATCGTATAAATATATCTCCTCGTCTTATCAGAAGCCAACTCTGCAACAAACGGCCATATCTCCCGAATCGTAAGGTTTCTAGCAGCCTCGCAATGCTTACTCAACCCCGTCAGTGGAGCATCCAAGTCATAGTCGACGTGAGCAAAACACTCTTCCACGCACTCTGCACACCAGGTGCAGTGGCAAGAAATTCTTGTGACGCAAGCTTCTTCTTGTTCGAGAAAGATGCCGCATCTTTCGCATTCTGCTTCTTCGGGGATGGCGTGGATTGTGAATGGTGCAGTAGGGGAGGGTTGCTGCTCGACTTGCTGCTCGTTGTTGATGAAAGTCTTGAGGGTTTCGAACACAGACGCCGAGGGTTGAGAGGGTTTGTGTTCTCCGGTGATGAGACCTAGGAGTTTAGTCATTAGCGGGACAGTTACAAAGTAGTGGATGATGGCGAAGATGATGAAATCCAGAACCAGCTGGGAGAAGGAAGAAGACATGATTAGTAGTTGAGAAAGCGGCACAGCCGTCTTGGAAAGAGGGAGAAGAGGGTGAAAAGAGACAAATATGTATGATCACGCTCGCGTGGAAGTAAGTGGGTTATATGTAGGCAAGGTTGGATGACAAAGACATTCGAAGGACAATGCAATTTTGTGGCGTTGTGTTCTGGCATCTTTGCTTGATTGTGTGCTTGATTGCGTGCTTGATTGTGTGCTTGTTGTGCTGGTCTGGCTCTGTTTTTGGAGAGGGACAAAGGTCGCTTTCATTTCCACAGAATTTGTTTGCTTTGTGCCTTGCAACTTCCATTGTCTATGTCACTTTCTCGAGGTCTTCGAACTGACTTTGGGAGTCTATAGTCTGGTAGATGATGGGTGAGAGATGTATATTGATATTCGAGGGTGATGAATTGACAGTGGGTTCTGGTGATCGGATGCAACGCAAAGTATCGATGGAAGCGACGTCTTCGCAACAGCTTCCCCATGGGTGTTTTTGTCCAGGCGTATCTTTGAAGATGAGGAGCAGAAAATACATGCAATAAGCTGAGATGCATGCCGAGCGGTACGAGAACAAGGTTCATGGGAGAGAACAGGAGAGATCAGCCGTGTCACGCCCGATTGGGCTTGGCCCATCTGACAAAGAGACGACCTTTCCTCCAATCTGCAATCCTTTCTTTGTTGATGACTGCATCAACATCGAGCATATTGCTCGGCTACACGATCCAATCAGCAGACATATCCATATCACTTGTGCGAGTGGTGCAGACTTCGAGTCTTGAGATTGGCGACTGGGAGAACCGGTAGTTGAAAGAGCCTGCTTGAGATATGCAGTCGCGCGTGCGATAGTGCGAGGTAGCACTTCCCTGCTGCTGGTTATCTTCTGTAGTGCATTGAGCGGGGTAGCGACCGACCCGGCCAAAACACTATATAGAGGGAGTATGAAATCCACTTGTGCGTCGTGTCTTTCGCAAAGTCCAACCCCATTGTAGAACATTTGAAACTCCTCCATCATGTCTTGCCCCATGCGAGCTCATGCTTCCGATATCGACGACTCGTCTACCACTTTCCAGAACATCTGCCCATTCCCCAACCACCAGAGCATCTCTTCGGTCTTCTCGGCAATCTTCCAGACCTAGATCCTTCGTTCCCTTTCAAAAACATATGGAACCTCCAAAAGCGCTATGGTCCAATAATGAAACTGAAACTTGGCGTTGAACAAATAGTCCTCGGAGACCAGCAGCACATCAACGAAATCTGCGACGAAAAACGCTTCCACAAAGTCCCTGGTGGTGCCCTAACAGCCATTAGAGCATTGACTGGAGATGGCCTGTTCACAGCATATGATTCAGAGATGAACTGGTGGGTAGCGCATCGCTTGCTCGTTCCAGCTTTTGGACCCATTGCTCTACGTCATATGTTCGATGATATGCTGGATATCTCATCTCAGATGGTGTTGAAATGGGATAGATTGGGACCGGAACACGAGATTGAGTGTGCTGATGATTTGACGCGTTTGGCCTTCGACACCATTGGATTGTGTGCCTTTTCGTATCGATTCAACGAGTTTTATACGGATAATGCTCATCCTTTTGCTCAACAGATGGCTGATGTGTTGGCTGAGAGTGGTAGACGTGTCAGCCGGCCAGGGTTCGTCAACGACTGGGTCTACCGCAGCAGTGAACAGAAGAGACAGGAGAATGTCAAGAAGATGCACGAGCTGTGCGACCAGATTGTGACGGATCGAAAGAAGAACCCTCAACCTGAGAACAAAGACCTTCTGAACACCATGCTCAACAGTGTTGACAAGGAAACTGGCGAACGGCTGTCAGATGAGAATATTCGGTTTCAAATGGCAACTTTTTTGGTCGCTGGACACGAGACAACCAGTTCGACCCTGTCGTTCACCTACTACAATCTGTTGAAGAACCCTGAAACACTTCTCAAAGCACAGCGACAAGTCGATGAAGTGGTGGGTGACAACGTTCTCGAGTTGCAGCATCTGCCAAAGCTCACATATCTCGACGCCTGCATCAAGGAGAGTCTTCGCCTTGACTCTCCAATCACTCGCTGGAGTGTTTGTCCTCGCCAAGACACCGCATTGCAAGGCAAGTACGAGGTCAAAAAGGACATCCAGCTTGTGAGCAATCTCAAGGCTCTCCATCATGACCCTACTGTCTGGGGCGACGATCATGACGAGTTCAAGCCAGAAAGAATGCTCAGATCCAATTTCGAGAAGTTGCCTCCCCACAGCTGGAAGCCCTTTGGGAACGGGATGAGATCGTGTATTGGAAGAGGCTTTGCCGAGCAAGAAATGCTGATCAACATTGCGCTTGTGCTTCAGCGTTTTCAGTTGCAGTTGGCTGATCCAACCTACAAGCTTGAGCTGAAGTCGACGCTGACGATCAAGCCGTGGAACTTCCGGATCAAAGCTCTTCGTCGAGCAGGCAAATCACTCATGGTAGGCATTCCAGGAGGCGTGCCTGCTGAGGTCGCAAAGAAACACGAGCAGCAGCATGAGCAGGTACAAGCCGCAGGCGCATCGTCCGCAGCGTCCTTGTCGATCTTCTTTGGAGGTAACACGGGAACTTGTGAAGCTCTTGCGGAAGATCTGAGAACAAAGCTGGCCGACCATGGTCTCAATGCTTCCATTGCGAGTCTGGATACACTGACTGAACATGTTCCGGATCAGCCAACTGTTATAATCTGCTCTTCATACGAAGGTCTACCACCCGATAATGCGAAAAAGTTTGTAGCCTGGCTCGAAGATACTAGTAGCAAGAAGGACTTCTTGAAAAGTGTCAAGTTTGCAGTGTATGGCGTGGGAAGTTCGGTAAGTGTCGTTTGTCGCATTCGTGGATGACTGAGAGTACTGAGGATGCGACAGGACTGGGCTAGCACTTTCCATCGAATTCCGAAACTTGTTCGGGGACTCATGAAGAAAGCCGGAGCTGAACAGATCGTCGATATCGGGCTCTCAGACGTCAAATCCGATCTGTTCGGTCCATGGGAAGATTGGGTGGACCAGCTCATACAGGCGTTGGTTGAGTCGACTGGTGCTCGGTCCGTTGCTAGAAGAGTTTAAAGGCTTCCTGGAAGAGACTTCCTACCAACACTTCCTCGAGAAGCGCTATAGCATCCTCGACATCCTCGAGGAGACTGCAATAGCGCTGCCGTTCAGTGCATACGTCGACATGCTTCCAGCTCTGACGCCTCGCCAGTACTCTATCGCTTCATCATCTCTAGAGCCAAGTAACAATCCTCAGCACAAACCGCATGCAGACATCGTGTCTCTATGCTTCGATGTTCATACTTCGCCGGCGCTTTCGGGCCATGGCTCTTTCTTCGGCGTCACATCCACCTACCTCGCTTCTCGCCGCATAGGTGACCGCGTTTCATGCTTTGTGCGTCTCACGAACGTTGGCTTCCGACTTCCGGGCAGTGTTGAGACGCCCGTCATCATGTTCGCAGCTGGCACGGGTATTGCGCCCATGCGAGCTTTCCTGCAGGAAAAAGCGGCCATAGCCAAAGCTGGAGCCAGAAAACTCGGGCCTGCGATATTGTTCTTTGGTTGCCGTCATCCTGAAAAAGATTTCATCTACCGTAATCAATTGCTCGAGTGGGAGCAACAGGGTGTTGTCAAGGTTGTACTAGCGTTCAGTAAGGGCGATACTGGTCCGCGTTATGTACAGGACGCCATTTGGGAGCATCGTGAAGAGGTGGCCAAGATGTTCGTTGATGGTGGGAAAATATACCTGTGTGGAAGTGCTGCGAGACTAGCTAAGAGTGCTGCTGAAGTATGCAAGAAAGTGTGGTGTGAGAAGAATGGGAAGTCCATGGGGGAGGCAGAGCAGTGGCTTCAGAGTGTCAAGACTGATCGATACATCAGTGATGTGTATTGAGTCGGTTTTTGGTCGTCAGGTGATAGCTCGTTCTTCCTAATGAGTTGTTCATATCATGGTTGAACACATTGTATTGCCACGGACGAAGTATAGTATTGTCATCCAGGAGATTTATAACGGTTGTGATGGCCCACTTTGTGTTCAGTATCATCAAGTCATTGTCCCGTTGTCGTGAAAGAATCAGGTGAGTTGCAGCCCTCTTTCGGAGTCGTTGGGCGAAGGCGTGATCGCAAAATCCTGGGGTTGAGAAAAAAGCTTGGACGCCACCCTTCCCGCGACGGCACCCTGTCCGCACTGGGGATGGTCAACACGCGACTTCGGCGATTTCTAATCCTCCTTTCCTTCCCATACATCTTGCATTTGTTTGCTTCATTCTTTTATTTTTAATTCGTCTATATTAAGGAGTTTCAGAAATGATGCATAGGGTAGCATTCTCGGCAGGCCATTCGGCCAACACTGCCAGCAAGATTTCGAGCTCGAGGACTTTTGCATCAGTCAGCTCTGCTACTAAAAATCACAAAGTTGTTGTTGTTGGTGGTGGATCTGCTGGTCTAGCCATCAGTCACCAGTTGCTCCGTACTGGAAAATTCACACAAGACGACATTGCTATTGTGGATCCTTCGGCCTACCATGATTACCAGCCTGGATGGACACTGGTCGGTGGTGGTCTCAAGACCAAGGAAGAATTGAGGAAACCTATGGACAGTCTCGTGGACTCTAAGTTGAAGCAGTACAGACAAGGAGTCAGCACCTTCGCTCCTGAGGAGAACCTGGTCACTCTTGGCAATGGCGACAAAGTGGGATACGAGCACCTGGTTGTGGCACCTGGTATCGGCATCAAGTACGACAACATCAAGGGTCTACCTGAAGCACTGGCAGACCAATCAGCGCCTGTCTCGACTATTTACGGTTACGAGACCTGTGACAAGGTCTTCCGTAACATCAAGGAGTTCCGCGGCGGTGAAGCCTTGTTCACTCTCCCTACTGGTGTCGTAAAGTGTGCTGGTGCACCACAAAAAGCAATGTGGCTCGCACTGGATCACTGGAAGAAGGCCGGTCTTTACAACCCCGACAACGTCGCCAACTCACCTATCAAGATCAGCTTTGCAACCGCTCTACCTGTCATGTTTGGTGTGCCCAAGTACAGCGCGACTCTGGAGGAGCTGCGCAAGCAGCGCGGTGTCGAGGCTATGTTCCAACACGATCTTATCGAGGTCAACGGTGACAAGGCCATCTTTGCACGCCTGGATGGTAGCGAGCAAGTTTCCAAGCGCTTCGACCTGCTTCACGTAGTCCCCAAGATGGGACCTCACGCTTTCATCAAGGACAGTCCCTTAGCAAATGCAGCAGGTTTCGTCGATGTTGAGGATGCTACTCTTCGCCACAAGAAGTTCGCCAATGTCTGGTCAGCTGGCGATGCCTCTTCATTGCCTACAGCCAAGACTGCTGCCGCCGTCACTTCTCAGGCCCCTGTATTGGTACAGAACATGGTCCAAGCCATCGAGGGCAAGGAGCTCAACGCGGCATACGACGGATACACGTCTTGCCCCCTATTGACTGAGTACGGCAAGGTCTTGCTCGCCGAGTTCAAGTACGGTGGTCAGCCCAAGGAGACATTCGCCAAGTTCGGTGTTGACCAAGCCGTTCCCCGTCGCGCCTTCTACCACCTCAAGAAGGACTTTTTCCCTTGGGTATACTACAACAACATGGTCAAGGGTACTTGGGGTGGACCTAAGGGCTGGGTCTGGTAAAGAGAATCGTTTTCAATTCTTGTTTCATTCGCATTGCTAGGGATTGGATGGAGTCGAACAGGTTGGATGGCGAACTGTACATAGACAGGTGATAGACAAAAGTCATCGGGTACATGGGTGCCATATGCAAGCAATCGAGATACCACGAATCTGAGATCAGGTTCCAATCACAATTTTTTCAAGTCGGAGTTGTGCAAGCAAGAGGGTTCTTTGTTCATCGATGGCTTGACACTTTGATGACAGCTTTGACAAGCGCAAGCCCGTGCGCAACACGTCAGTGACAGGATCGCGTCTACCGTCGCGTGTACGCCACCAAAACCACTTTACGAAAGCACTTGTTGATGCAGCTGAGTGCGGAGAAGGGAATGGCGAGCCAGGAACAAAACAGCCTCGAGAGTGAGGACGGTATATCCTTACTGCATGAGAAGATACTGCAGGTGAGTAGTCGAGGCAACTACGACCGGTTGGCGGGATCGGCAGCTGGGATATGCAGCGCGGCGACTAACAGCGACGTGCAGCAAAACACTCTCTTCTCTCTGACCCAGCCATTGCAACGACAAAACCATGCTCCCAATCCGAATCAGCAGACACGCCCTCGCCACACTTCAAACACAAAGATTCAGCGAATGAAGCCTTCATCCACTGCTCCTGCCGCCTCAGCCCCACCGGACATGGACGAGAGAGACACAGACCAAGACAATCACGTACCCTCGCTAGTCAAGCATACAACATTCCATGGCTTCCCTCTCCCTATCGATCTTGATGGCGACACGCAGCCAATGCCCTCTCAATTCTACAAAAACTTCACCAGCGGTCTTGGTTCCGAAGGAGACACGCAACTCGACGACGAAACCGCTCCAGACGCTGAACAAGAGACGCCGCAGATTGACTTGATGCAACATTGGCCACAGCCTACTTATCAAGAGCTATCTAGTGACGAAGAGGAGGACAAAGACGAAGGTCAATACTTCTTGAGCTCCGTCGCAAGACCTACTTTCCCAAAGACCCCTGCCACAGCTGGCCGCAAGCGCACTCACCGTGGAGATGTTGTACCTTCTACTACAAGCACAAAGACTCCAGGCTCTGGTGCTATGTCCGCCTTCGCTTTTGGCAATGCTCCACTCCTGAACGGTACTCAGCTGTTCCAAGCAACACAATCGCCCTCAAGTCCTATCCCCAACGTCCCGAGAAGCGATCCAGTGTTGAGTCGACCAAGCCCGAATATCAGACAGAGTTCGCCTGGACAGCATCTAGCTTTCTCTCCGCCGCTGAAGGGCTTGGTACAGAGTCCTATTCGGTCCGTCAATCTGGCAGGCAGATTGGGTCGCCCAAGTACAAGAGATGGTCTTTTCCAAAACAATGCTGCTATCGCGAATGGTCTGGAGGACCGAGGCGAAAACGAGTGGGAATATCATGACCGCGAAGGAGTCAGCCTAGATGATCATGTCCAGGACAGCCCGGCGAGCGGGTCTATGGACGAGTACGATGAGTTTGCCCAGTCAATAAGATTCAGTCAGCGACAGGCTTCATCCTCGCCTCAACCTGACCAGTCAGACCAAGAAAACGATCAAGTCGACTCTTCGAGTCGCACCTCGACTCACTCCAGTCAGCACAATCCGAATCTTGACATGCTTCACGCCTCTGTCCCTTCTGGTCGAGAACAGAGCTCACATCAACTTCCCACCACGCAGATGCTGGGCCGAGATGCTGGCACTAACGACTATGCGGTTGCTGATTCACAGCCTACGCGACAGGACGAGACCCAGCTGCCATCACCTCTAGTGGAACCCTCATCCATGTCGTCTTTTGTGCCTGGCTCATATCCTATGAGTCAAGCAAACCAGCGTCTGAACGTCTTGAAGCGCGATGCTGCAGAGTCGTCGTCTATCCCCAAGCCACCACCGTTGACTAGTCAAGTCGCCACACAGACGCAGAATCGTCTACCGAGTAGTCCTCCTCAACTACCTGCTGTGCCTGGAGAATTACAAGAGGAGGCTCTGAACATTACAAGCGAAGCTCGAGATGGTGATAACCATCCAGGTGCCTCGTCACCATTGCCCGATACACGACCTGCGCCTTCGCAAAGGACCAAGGATCTGAGAGAAGACAATAACAAGCAGAGCTCTACTGTCCCTGATACCGATCCGGCAGACGAGATTATATCTTCCAACCGTCATCAAGATCCACCTGCTGATGCAGCCGATGAAACGCAGCCAGCTTCGAAGCCTGTCACACGCACTGAGAACGACGCCTCACCTGCTGTTTCTTCACTCCCGCAGTTTGAGAAGCTTCGTGCGAGTCAATTGCAGTCTCAAAGTCAAGCTCAAAACTCAGTATCGAGTACAGAGAGTCCTCGCAAAGCTGCTGGGATCCTCGGCTTTGCAGACATCGCCACAGACCCTACACCGCCTAGTGCTGGTGCCAGCAAGGACATGGACCTAAGCATCGATATACTGTCAAATGACGATCACGATTTTATGGATATCATGACATCGCCACCTGCAAAGAAAATGCGCTTGTATGGAAGGAAGGCACGAGGACTGCACAGGACGAGATCGAAGGTGGACGACAAAAGCCCAGCTAAGCCTCAAGCTGCTGTTCAGAGTCCGGTCAAACCAGCCGCCAGGACAGTCATGTTTCAGGATGACATTCCATCCAAGGAACAGCAGGAAGTCACCGCTGAAGTTGCCAGCAATGCTGCAGATGTGTCTCGACAGACTAGACCTGTAGAATTGACACATACAGAGACTGCAAGTACCATCGATCCCAACTCACAACCACACGAGCCAGTCGAAACACCACAGGAGAACCTACCCAAGGCAACCCCAGAGTGCATAACAAATCAGATCGCGACAAATCTACCAGACAGATCTGCCGACACTGAACAAGTCGAAGCGACGGTTGACGGAAGAATGCAGGAGGTTTCGAATTTGCGTCATTTTACACCACTTCGCGAAAAGGACCAGTCTACTCCACCTTCTGCTAGGAGACGAGAGCAAGCTGGTGCATCTGCGGTAAGAAAAGCACGCGATACAATGCTAGCTCCCAAGTCAGCCGAAGTGAAAACGCCTGTTGGTAAGGGCAGGCTTGTACGGCCAAAACGGAGAAACTCTGAACAGAGCCCTTTGCGAACTCCAATCTTCAGAAGGCAAGAGGCTGTGAAAGCACCAAAGTCAAAGCTCTCGCACGCGCAGCGCCTCTCACCTAGCGATATTCCCCAACAGGAAAAGGTCATCGCCCCAGCAGACTCTGTTATTCAGGCAGGAATTGCTCAAGGCAGTACAACTACCACGACTGAGCAGACAGACGTCGCCACCGATGTGTCTATGACCGATGCCGCTTCTGAGCAGGACCATGATCGTGATGAGAATACTGAAACGACTGCCGAGGTCACTCGACCTGACAGAGTGTTGGCTTTGTTTAAAGGCACTGGACAAGCATACTACCCAGCCACATGTTTGGGAGCAGCAACTTTGGACGGACTCAAACTCCACATTCGGTTCGACGATGGCACAATCACACAGCTTGACTCTTTCTTGGTTCGACGCCTTGATCTGCGACGCGGTGATCAAGTCAAGGTTGATCTCCAGGGCATGCGCAGCAAGGTCTACGTTGTCGTTGGCTTCCAGGACAAAGTCGAGGATGTTGAGCCCGAATCCTACCCAAAGACTGATGTCCATGGCTTCGACACATTGCAACTGGTGGTTAAGGATCGAGACAGTGTGTCGGCATTACCGCGTACGTCGACTGTGCTCAAGGTGCCTGTTACTAGCGCGTACCTCACGCAAACTATGTGGGTTCGCTTCGAGGGCAGAGACTACATCTCCTCCACAGCGAGCATGACAACTGTTGCTACTGGACGCTCATCCCGACCGCAGACACCTGTACCTCAAAACACTACTCTTGCAACACCGGCCTCGAGAACTAGAAGAGGCACAGTGACTTCAATACACACTTCGACAATCGCTTCGGTGCGATCCTTGGCACGTCCTGAGTTCGCCTCACCACTTCCAGCCGGTCGAGGTATACTCTCTGGTATGGCATTCGCAGTGTCATACAGCGCAGATTCGCCCGAGAAGAACCGTGTCCTTGAATACATACAAACACATGGTGGCCTGGTCCTAGACAAAGGCTTTGATGAACTCTTCTCTGTGCGCGATCTCGGAGATGCTCCTGAAGAAGCACGTTCACCTTCTTCTTCAGCAACTAGTGAGAATAATGCCCTGAAATTGTCAGCTCGCGCTCAAACTCTGGGCTTCGTCGCTCTGATTGCAGACAGGCATTCTCGCAGAGCCAAATATGTCCAAGCGCTCGCACTTTCTCTGCCGTGTCTTTCAGGCCGCTGGATTCTCGACTCGGTCGCCTCAGGAGCACCACTACCCTGGAGCAAATATCTTCTACCAGCTGGCGAATCTGCGTTCCTTTCTGGTGCTGTACGCAGTCGTACTCTCACACCATATCTCCCGACTACCGTCAAGCTAGCACAAACGATCCAAGAGCGTGAAAGACTACTCCAAGGCGGTAGGGTCCTTCTCGTCAGTGCAGGAGCAGGCGGCAGGAAGTGGGAAGCCAGGCGAGCTTACGCTTTCCTCACCGTCGCTCTAGGCGCCAGTGTCGTTCGCAGAGTCTCTGGGCTCGATTCCGCCAAACGCATTCTCGATTCTGAAGAAGGATGGGGCTGGGTATACGTCGAAGGCACTATCGAAGAAGCGGAAAATATACTCTTCCGCAATGGCAGTGTTGAAGACGGGGGAACTGCGAAGAAAGGACGTAAGAGGAAGAGAGAGGATGATGGCAAGGAGAAGATGGTTGCGATTGGTCGAGATGGCAAGGTCAGGATCGTGGGCGATGAGTTTGTGGTTCAGAGTCTGATTCTGGGGGACTTGATGTTGTGAGAGTGTGTTGTTGATTTCTAGCGAGGCGTTTCCGGGGGCTAAAGTGGGTAAGAATTGGTCTATCAAGAAATGCATAATAACTTTCCAGATCAGAAGCGTTGCCACAGAAGTGATCTTACTGGTCACCACAAATACTAAAAGGAAGCATCAAATGGTTATTCCGTGACTACACCTGCTCCCTCACTTTCTCAATCCCGCAGATTTCCTTCACCCAAAACCAACATCAAAACATCACTGGTCTTTCGATCAAGCCACTCTCAGCCGCACAACCTCACCTTGAAGTGCTGACTTTGGTCATCCTCACTTCCACTCGGACGCACCCATACGTTGTCAATCTTCTGAGAACAACCCTTGCTCGCGACCTCCCTTCAACTTGTCGTCGGCATGGAAAGAGCTATATATGACGTCCCGACGGCATGGTCAAACCACATCTGGTCGATACCAGCAGTCTCGTAATTCATACCTCATAATTTTCAACCAGTCAGGGGAAGCTAACGACTCGCAGCGCCGCCATCACCAAGTCTACCGAGATTATCAAGCTCACTTCGAACAGTTCTGATGTCTTGGTGTCTGTTCACCGCGAGTTGCTCTGTTTCTTCTCCTCTTACTATTCCGCTGCACTCAACGGCGAATTTCTCGAGGCGCGAAAGGATCAATTCGAGGTGAATTTGACGGGCAAGCAGCTCAAGGCTTTCGCGACATGGCTATACACTGGCGACATGACGGAGAGCGCGAGATACAACGACACGGATCTGTACGTCTTCGCCGACCAAGTGGACATTCTGGCACTTCGCCGCGCGGCCCTGAGCGAAATCGTTCGGAAGGACAAGCTGCTGACCTACGATCACCTTGTCTACATCCATTCGAATCTTGCTCGAGGTTCACCACTCCTTAGATGGGTGACAGATCACTACATCGCTCATTGGCACCCGGATCACGATGAAGACGATTCATGTCCCTTGGATAGCGACACAGATCCCGACCACAATCTGGCTCGATTCGTCTACCAAGTTCTGAAAGGGGTCGCAACTCGGGATGACGTCGATCTACCTGGATGCCGTTGTTGCAATGATGTCTGTGAATATCACGAGCACCCGAGCAAGGAAGAATGGGAAACGAGTATGTCGACACGACTGTTTTTCTTTTGGCTTCGGCTTCGGCTTTTGACTGACGGTTGTCTAGCCTGCGGTCAAGATGAAAACTCGGAAATGCCAGCCTCGCTGAAGGAAGCAGACCAGCTCGAGAGTTCAGACCAGGAAAACTGAAGCCAAACGCATATCTCCATGCGAACAGCAGCTTCAGTGGACGTTCCGAAAAGAAGACGCAGAGAAAGCGCAGGAAGTAGCACGGATGCTTGCTGTTGCACGGAGGAGCGACGAGGAAGAACGAGGGTGAAGAACGAGAAGGAAGAACGACGAGGAAGAACGACGAGACATAGAGTTCTTGAACTGGGGTTGATGGCTAGTTCGCTCCTTCGCCACGAATTACGCCGCCGCTCTTGACGGTCGAAAGCGTAGAATGAATGTCTCAAGGTTAATCTGTCAGGTGGGGATCTCGAGAGTTCCGCAACTTGGATCTACATTGGTTACAAAGGACGATCAGAGAGCACAAAACAAGAGACCATTATTGCAATCCTCACCCTTGCAAACATTACGAGCACTTGGTGCGGAAGAGTGGAGACAAAGTATGTTAGCATGCCCGTTTCCAACGTGTCTTGTTCATATGGATGCAGTTGATACATAGATATTGGCAAACGACTTGTGGTGCGTACTGGCTGGGTGTGACCGGGAATGCCTGGATATCATTGTGACGAGGGAAACGGGATGGAGAGAGTAAGAAAGTACATCTTTCGACCGGGTCAACTTCCACTTTTAGTTGAACGAGAATGATACATAGGTATATGGTCAGTGAGGAGAGATGAGAAGCCGATTGTGATTTGAAAAGGGCTAGGGACTACGCTTGATTTCCCTACTGTGTATTTTGCTTTTTTGCTTCAAGAACCCCCATTCTACAGAGAGCCCATTTGAATGCATCCACGTCTTCTCAGACCTCCTAGCATTACGGGATAATGTCTGGTCTGGCCTTCATCGCTCTGTTACCACTGTTGATGTAGTATTGTTCCTCGGGCTGCCTCGACGTTGGCAGCTGTCCGCAAGCTACAACCCATTGGTCAGTCATATATACATCTTGAAAGATTTGAGGATACATACTCGCTCTCCATTCTTCCTCGCTGGCGTGTTCGTGATAACGACACGGGTTGCCGCAGCATGGACATCCAGCGAGTTTCATGGCCTTTGCTCTGACGACACTCTTCTCGATATCATCGAGAAACTCGCGGTGTAGGGTGACATCGAGGGCGTCAACCGGGTCGTGCTTGTCATCTTCTGGCTCCCAATGCATAGCATAGTGATCGGCTATGCGCATGCGGAATGGAGATGTGCTTGGGAGAGATGACATAACCACACCCACCTCGCGGTACTTCTCCATCCTGTCCGGCTCGGTCAAAATTTGACGGCGCAAAGCCAGGATATCCACGTAGTCGGCAAAGATATAGAGTTTTACACGATCCTCTCGATCCCAGCTATGCAGCTCAAGTCGACCAGTGTGAACCCAGTTCACGAAAACGTGAAGCTGTTTTCCGGTGAGGTCGACCTGGAAAATCTTCTGATGAGCTTCGGCGAATCGACCATGTAAGGCCGCATGATAGTATGGAGAAAAGTAGCAAAGTAGTTCCTTGTTAATTGATTGTAATACGCCATAGGTCGAGCGAAGATTTATGGTAGCGCGTGATGTAACCTTGATACGACTGGATGATATTAGCAAGGCGTCCATCAATGACACTATTCGTGTTATCTTACTCCACTATCTGTTTGGACCATACGTTTCTCTGCCAGTCATGTTTTCGGTCCATGCTCAAGGTCGGACACGAAGGGTGGAGCATCATGTCGAGCGAGATAGTCGGCAAGGTATCGCTGTGAGATTCTGTATAATCGGAAGATTCGATAGTGTGAAAGTCGAAAGGGTAATATGTCGGATACATTCACACGCTGCAAGTTGTGTTCACATTGTGGTAGGCACCAGCCCGACGGGATGAGAACAACCTGTTGGTCGATGTCTCACTTCGCTTCGTCGTCACATCTGCTTTAGCAGTGGTCTCGTTAGGGTGAGATGTGTCGTGCTTTGTCTCACAGGCAGTAGAACCACAGAAATACCCCAGACTCGGTGTTTTGTGGAACCGAAAAAAGAATCAACGACAATAACAGCACAGGTATAGGCCGAATCTGTGCATGGACCTTCAGCATAATATGGAGCTCCAGGTCGAGAATGTCATTGGGTCGTCGACTATATGATAGATTCGGATGCTGAATCGTCCTTTGAGAGTATGGAGCAGTTTTCTACAGCTCATTGAACCAGGGAATCGCAGCCATGGCTCCGGGCTTCTCTACCGTACGTGCCGCTGCCGAGTTGGCGAATTCGATGATCTTCTCGGGCGCTTCGGGAGTCTCGCCTCCGTTCTTCGCGATCTCGACAGCGAGACCACCAACAAAAGTGTCACCAGCTGCGGTGGTATCAACAACCTTCGCCTTGCGGCCAGGTGTATGTCCTGAGCTTCTCGACTTGGCAGAGTGGTAAACGCCCTGACTTGTTGTTAGTGTCGATTGTCGAGATATTAGTGATTCTCTCACCTTGGCTCCAAGAGTGATGACGACCATGTCAGGGACACCACGTTGGAAGAAGGATTCACAGATTTGGGGCAGATCCTCATCCTTCAACTCTTCTTTGGCTTCGCGGAGAATGTCGGCTTCGCTCTCGTTCATGATCAGGCAGTCAATGTATTGATATAGATCCTCGGGCAAAGTTTGTGCAGGTGCTGGGTTCATGATAACCTGACCAGACGTCAGCATGTATTGGTCGATTGACAGATGATTAGTCGTACGTATTTGCCCTTGGAGTGTGCAAGCTTGATGTTGTGCACAACCTGAGCAAGAGGCATCTCCAATTGGAAGACCACGACGTCTGCATCTTCAGGTACCAGATCCTTGACTTCTCCAGCTCCGGAGAAGTTGGCATTCGGGCAGAAGAGAATGCGGTTCTCACCAGTCTTCTCTTCCACAATGATATTGGCGATTCCAGTCTTTTGACCAGCGACCTTTTGAATATGAGTAGTGTCGATAAAGGTTTCTTTCATGGCAGAAATGAAGTCTGAACCAAACGAATCTTCGCCGACGAAGCCAACCATGCTGACCTTGATGGATTTGCTGTCAGCAGGTGTTGAGCCATCGCTATTGCGGGACAGTCTAGCACATGCTACTGCTTGGTTTGCGCCTTTACCACCGAAGCCAGTATCCGAAGAGCTGGCTTCAAGCGTCTCACCTCCTGCTGGCACGCGAGGTGTGCGAGTGATGAAGTCAATGTTCAAGGAACCAACAACAGCGATAGAACCTGGCATTGTGGATGGTTTAGTCGTGATGAGAGACTGTTCGATGTTTGGGTGATGGCACGTCCGGTGGACATGTGTTAATAGTTGTATAGGATCGGCTTCTCCAAACGGAAGGAAGGCCGAGTGCAAGAAACAGCTATGTACGTACGCCAAGAAATCGCGTATACCAACCCCCTCCTGCAGTCCACACCTTCACTGTTAGGCCCACTACTCTACGAGCACGAGACATTATTCACAGACAAGAACGATGCTCCTCCTTGGTCTAACAGGCAGCATTGCCACCGGCAAGTCAACTGTCTCGAGAATACTTTCGGCACACCCATATTCGCTCCCAGTCGTCGACGCGGATTTGATAGCACGTCAGGTCGTCGAACCAGGAACAGCCGGCTATAGCAAAATCGTCTCACATTTCGGCCCATCAACACCCGACCTCCTACTTCCAGCAGATTGCTCTACAGGTGGTGAGAATGGACCCAACGGCAAAGGCAGACCGCTCAACCGGCCAGCCCTAGGACGTCGTGTATTTGGTGAGGGTAAAGAGTCGGATAGGAAGGTTCTCAACAGCATCGTGCACCCAGCTGTCCGTCGCGAGATGTATAAGCAGATGCTCCAAGCATACTTGAAAGGCCACTGGGCTTGCGTGTTGGACATACCCTTGCTTTTTGAGAGTGGTTGGGAACCGCTTTGTGGAACCATCATGGTGGTCGCTGTCAAAGACGCTCAAATCCAGATGCAGAGACTGCTTGCTCGAGACGCACACTTGACCGAAGAGGATGCACGAAACAGAGTCGCAAGTCAGTGGGACGTCAGGGACAAGGCCGCCAGAGCTCTGCGCAGGGGAGAGAAGAGCGGTGTTGTCGTCTGGAATGACGGCGATCAGGAAGAGCTGAAGCGCGAGATTGATAGAGTCATGGAAGTCGTCAAGGCGGGCTCTCCGGCTTGGTGGTCATGGTTGCTCTTGCTCTGCCCGCCCCTGGCTGTTGCTTCAGGAACATGGAGCTACCTCAACGGCGTGTGGGTGAAGAAGAGCTGGGAGAAGGAAAAGCTGAGAGAAAAGGCAAAGCTGTGATACCCTTTCTCCATTCATCGCCGACAATACCCTATTCGTCCTGACATTTCAATGATTATCGAAATTCTGCATCCCCTTTGTTGACGAGCTTCACTTTGTTTGTTGCGCGCTTTCCACTTTCATCACTCATCTCACCCAATCTTAAAGATCTCACAACAACACTCTGCACCTTCCGCGTTTTGGTCTCTTCTTGCATCGACTTTCACGCTAGCGGTCTAGGTCAAACATCGTCAACATGACTGGCAGCATTCAAGGTTCTGCAATTGACGACAGTTTTGAGACTCTCACCAACGCACCAGACGCATGGGTTTCTGGCCGCTACGCTGGACCGCCCCCGGTCGACTATCAACACTACGTTGAGCCAGGAGACACGCGCAGTGCTGTCGACGACAGATGCTTTACCGAGTATGGAGCAGTCGAGCATGTTCATCCTGTCAGCAACATGATCAAGCCATCAAAACCAGGCCAGAAGCGCCACCGATCGCGGCAGACATCAACCAAGCCGGCGTCTCATGGCAAGCGTCTCCCTTCGCCCTCGTTCCGCATTCGCAGTAAGGATGGTGATAGTGTGACTTTGAGTAACCCGTTCGTGTTGCGCAAGTCATCCCGCCCTCGGCCTTGCGAAGAAGCGGAAGCGTCGTCCCAAACAGATAGTCAGAGTCAGCGATCTTCGACAACGGCTGCACGCTCTCGCACTTTCCAAATCCGCATCAAGGGCAAGAATGGCGAGGAAGTCATTCAGAACCTTGAGAGACCTCTGCATTTTGCTCCGCAATCTAGTGACATGCGTGACTCGCAAACAACGACGGCTATTGAACACATATCTAATCAGGGAGTGGTCAAGTATTGGTCTGCCAATCAATCATCCTCGAGCCATGAGCGCAAACAGACGCGCAAGAGTAAATGTGGGCAGCACTCGATCCATTCTCCAAGCACGGCGCTGACTGGTCACAAACAGCAGGACCTACAACTTACACCGACTTCATCGTCGAGTCGAGCACGGCGGCCCCCTCGACGCCCGGTAGATCTGTCAAAATGTCTGGAGCTCTGCCAGGTTCCTGTCCCGCACCCACCAGGGACTCTTCGAGATCGCATCTGCTGTCTCCAGAGAAGCCCGTCAGCCCTATGCATGACTCTGTCATGTCGGTCAGCAGGTATCCCAGCAAGAATCTATCTCCATCTCTTTCGCAATGCTCCAAACCCTCATCTCAAAAGTCGTCCCGTATCTCTCCGCAGGGTGAGGCAATCATAGTACCAGAGGACTCTTTGGAAGGATCAGTGACGGCCCCATTCACATCCCTTTCAACACACTGCGTTGTATCCTCCCGACCAGTGTCTCCAGTCTCGCTTGCCGAGCCGTCCGAAGCAAACGATGCAGCTAGTGTCTCCGATCTTGTCACCTCACAGAAGTCTTCCAACAAGATCGTTGAAGCGTCATTGTCCAGCGTATCGTCTGCTCCATCAACGTCCTCTCGCATCTCTTCGAAACGTGTCGTTACGCTGACCGACTCTTCGGTGCGAACGCAGGAGGAACAGGACGACTCACGACCTGTTACTGTGTCGCTCAGCAAGCATAAGGAGACAACGCAAGAAGCGTATTACAACTGGAAAGTGCCAAAAGACTCCTTGTACTCCATCTCGACCAAAGACTCAAGGTCCACGCCCTATCACCATGATCAGATCACTCCAGACGAGACTGCGCGTCTTTCATCTCAGACTATCAGTCACTCTGGCGGAGCGCCGCTACAGAACGTAGACGCAGACAGCGACATCTCATCCCTGACACGTCCAGAGAGTCGTCAGTTGTTGCCGCAAGATTACCAACCACCTCCGCGCTCGACGTCAGCAGATTCGTCCAGTGTTAAAGCAAGCACTGCTGGATGGGTCCTGGAAACCGCACATTGTCTCCCACTGCCTTCTTCGCGCTCTTCTTCCTCAATACCAGAAGGCGTTCGATCATCTTCAACATCCAAGCGACATTCCGTGCGCTTGGCGTCGCAACGTTCTGCACCTGACGAACATGATGGGAACAAGTCTCCCTCAGCGCCTGCTGCAGCCTCCGCGTGGACGACCAGCAACTATGCCAGACGCTCCTCCTCTCATCGGACAGACCAAGGAGCCGCTGAATGGGATCAGCCTGCAGAATGGGAAGAACAGCTAACTTCAGCGCATCACTCAAAGACATCACGGACATCGAGCTCACATCAGAGACGATCACGCAGATCCAAGTCTTCACCCCGGGATACTCATGGAGCTCTTGAACATGACTACAATGAGCAAGCGTCATGGGCTGAGATAAGGAAAGACTCAGAGAGATCAGCCAGGTCAGCATCACCGATCAACGTCGAAGAAGACTTACTCGACTACCTACCACCCCTCTCGGATGATGAAGGTCGCCTGCCGCCACCAATGCCAATGCTTACCACCATCTTCGAAGAATCAGAGGCAGATCCATCACACCTTGGTCCAAGCATGCAAACACAAGGATCGACACGGTTTGCCAGACCGGGCGCCATCTCACCTCACCCGCTAAGCTCGATTTCCTCGGTAGCAACAGCACGCAAACCACCAACGATTGAACCGCATCGACTCGAATACCAGAGACCATACGTAGAGAGCAAGTCGAGCTCGAGTGCTTCTTCAGGTGCACTTGAGAGCAGTCGTCGACATAGCCGTCGAAGCTCGAGACCAAGAATGTTGGACGAACAGGCGTATTACTCGGCAAAGGAAGGAGGTCGTAGCCGTGGTAGTCGGGGAGAGGAATCAGGGAGTGCACAGCCGCCTAGAGGGAGTCGCGGCTCGGCAAAGCCATCAGGCGGAGGTTGGAAGTTTTGGTAGGAGGAAGGATCTTTTGGTCGAAGAACAGGATGATCTGCTTTTCTCGTCGACTACTTGCTAGCAAAAGCAATATTGAGTTTTCTTTGATATGCAAGAGATCAGGTCGTGAATTGTTACCTTTCTGACAGCATAGTTAGAATGTTCCTGCCAAACACGTCGCTCACGGCTTTGAACAAAATCGATATTGGCCACGATGGTGTCACCCTTACCGGGCACAAAGCTGAGGACCAACCATGCATATGTTCAGTGACCTATTTTGAGACAATCTAAAATGACCTGCAATGATTGACCTTGTGCTCGATAGCACGAAGAAAAGGGATACTCAGTTCTAGATCAGGGTTGTACCGTCAGCGCTCGGTGACGGGCGTGAAAATGGCCTTGAAGCCCGGCGCATCTTCTTGTCCTCATGCGCAACCCAACAATGTGATGAGCGCGCAATTCCCAACACGACCAATATCAAGACTCACAGGGCACAATGGTGACATCCCTTTACTGTCCTCGCGACAACTCGAGCTAACGCGCATCTCCCAGGCCAAGTGCTCGCTCTCTGCTACAGCGCCGGATCAGGTCAATACGTACGTCCCGCCCTTGGACAAGACGACCAAACACACGCCTGACGACCGTCATCACAGCTCTTGACCGGTAGCACCGACCGACACATCCGCCTCTTCAACCCCGCCACCGGCCTCGAAGTACAAAAATACAGCGCCCATGGCTACGAAGTCCACGATATAAGCGTCGCGCAAGACAATGATCGCTTCATCAGCGTAGGCGGCGACAAGACCGTATTCCTCTGGGACGTCACCACACACCAAACGCTGCGAAGATGGAGTGGCCATGCTGGCAGAATCAATGCTTGTGCCTTTGCTGGCGAAGGCGATGCGTTGGTGGTGACAGGGAGTTTCGACAGCACAGTCAAGATATGGGATTGCAAGCAACGGAGTGAGAAACCCATCATGAGTTTTTCGGAAGCGAAGGATGCGATTTCTTCGATTGCTGTTGCTGGAGCTGAGATCGTTGCTGGAAGTGTGGATGGCAGGGTCAGATGCTATGATGTGAGGATGGGTGTTGTGGATCAAGATGTCCTTGGTCATCCAGTCACTTCTGTGACGCCTACGGTCAACAACGACTCCTATCTTGCCAGCACTCTGGACTCGACATTGAGGCTCATGGACAAGAGAGATGGCAAACTACTTCAAGCGTTCCGCCATGAGGAGTTCAAGAATGAAAAATATAGATTGAGGTCTACATTGGCTGCTGGAGACAGCCTTGCCATGTCTGGCTCAGAGGATGGATATATCTACGTCTGGGACTTGTTGACCGGGAACTTGGTGCATAAGCTCAAGCATGCTGCTCCTGCTCTTACAGCTGGCAGCAAGCAGTTTGTTTCCATGTCTTCGAAGAGGGATGTGGTGAACTCGGTTGTTTGGAACCAGTTGAGGAAGGAATGGGCTAGTGCTGGTGGAGATGGCACTGTGGTTGTTTGGGCCACTTGACGATAGCTGACTTTTTCTACAATGAAACGCTTCACTCCTCCTCCTGTCGCGTTTGCTCGAGCTCGCTCACCTGTCCTTGTTCCTTCCTCGCGCAAAATTCACTATTCCTTTCTCGCTACCAAAAAATTGTATCTGTTCTGGATTCTCTTTAAAGCTCACCTTTCCTTGTTTCTTTTCTTCGCTTGCACACAGCCATGCATCCTAACGAACCGTACCGAGTCATTGCCCCATCCCCAAGATGACAAGTCTCAAGATTATGCAACGAGCTACCCCATTGGGCTTAAGCCCCGGCAAAATCTCGTGTCAAAAGAAATCCTTATAGGAGTACGTGGACTCCTTTGCTCGGCGGGCTTCACCTAACATGGCATCTCACTCACATCGTTGATCTGGGGGGGCCCACTTCGGCTTTTTTTTCTTCCTTTTGTGCCTCGCTACCTGTTTGCTGGAACTTTTGATGTATTTTGGTGGTGGACCACCAAAAACCGTCGAACATGCGTTTGACCAGCAGCGTGGATGCCATGCCTTGGAAGTGCGAAAAACGTACATTGCCGATACAAAGCACAGCCAATCAAACAATTTACGGAGTGTTCTAGCGTTGTGATTCCTTGTAGGATTTTCCTGTTGTATCAGCCTTAGCAGTCTCCAGGCTGTTGAGACTTGAGTCGGTTTGGAATGTTTGGTATATCGTAGCGATGGACGTCAGATTTTGTGCTCGACTCATGGGCTGCAGCTTTTTGAATGGTGGTGGTTGACTTGAGTTTCGGGTGTGAGATAGCTTGCACAAGTGCAATTCTACCGTCTTTTTTTTTGATCCATCGACCATCAAAAATTGATCTTTAGGGCTGGGCTGGCTGGCAGCAAAGATGCTTGTGAGAGAAAGGGCACACTAACGCCGTAACAGGCATTTGCGGACCCCTCTCCATTTGTTCCTTGTCCTTGTGACGTTTTGATAAGCTACCTGCCTTACATCTCGTCGTTCAAGCACAGTACTTTATCCAAACCACACACCGTCGTCACGCGGCAGATTGCTCTGACTAAAATCATTCGGTATACGCAATGTGTCGCTGAGTTGGGTTCTGCTCGGCAGCCACGGCGACACCGACGGCTCCTCATTTTCTTTTCTTGTCGTTTTTCGTTGTCATGCATTTGCGTTCTTGCGATTTTGCGATTAGGCATTGCCGAAAGAGAGGCTCGAACGGGGTTAGTGTACCACTAAAAAACGCAGGTTGATGGCCGGCAGAATTCTATGAATAAAGGGGAAATCTTTGGCGAGGGTAATTGGAAACACAGCAGAATGATACGTACTCAAGGGCAGAAGAGATGTTGGGCAAGCGAGTCAGTCAGCAGAACCATTTCCTGCAGAGACGCTTTTGATTGGTTTCCGCAAGAAGTAGCAGATGCTTCATGAGAATTTCTTGCAGTACGATGATGATGTTATTGCTTTCAAAGCATGTGGCATGTGTTTTCGCTGATGGGCCAATCGCAAGGAAGTGAGTGCTTCCCCATGTCTCGGTGTTTTGCTAAATCCAATGACCACTCGAGTAGTCATCGCACACGGCAATTGGCAAGTGCCTGTCTTTGATCCGAATAGATAGGTAGCGAAGTAGCGACGTAGACGCTAGGGTGCTGGGTGCTCCGAGTAGCGCAACCATCAGAAACTCCGGCAAGACCAAGGCACGGCCCGTTGACCACTAGATCTCACGGCTCCCAAATACCGCATCACCCATCTCGTTGATCAGAGAAACTCAAACCCCGAGCCTTACACACTGAATCTCACGGAAGCCCGGTCTTGGCCACGCATATCGTCGCTTGCGTTTCCTTTTGCCTATTCCTTGTTACTCTAGTTTTTTATGGTTGCCGTTTCGTGCCATCCTGCGACCTTGGTTCGCTCTATGTTGCCGAAGATCAAGTGTCAACGGTTTCTTTGTTTCTTGCTCGAGCGCATGGGTGGACGACAGCCGTGTAAGAGCGCGGTCTACCGACGGGGCAGGCAACGCTGGCAGTTTGGCAAGCTAAGGGGAGTAAAACGAGAAAAGCCAAGAGGGCGGGCGAGCATCTCCGGTCAAAGCTATTTCTCTTGTAACGCTTCCACGATTGGCGATTGGCTGGCAGTGTTTCGGCTTATAGGGAAGGAGGTGGGGGTAGAAGTGGCAATGGGATTGTTTGTCGTTCTACGGAGACGTGCGAGACAATGAGCTGGTGGATTGTGTGTCTCCTGATCGTTCAGGACATTCGAAGTACATGTACGATTTGTTTGGCTCCAACAGTCCCTGCTTTTGTAGTATGCAGGTTGCAGCATCGTAGAGTGCATTGCATGATTGCTACATCTTGTCCGAAGCTCAAAGGAAGGAATGGGATGGGTATGTATCGCTTTACTGCGCCGCGCCATACATCTCCGGCCTCGCGCATTGTCGATAATGAGGGGTCTTGTTTCAATCGGCGATCGAAGGCTTGACCGTTTGCTCTGGCTTCGCGCTCTTGTTCTTGGCCTTGGCTTTGCCGCCGCTTTTCAGCTATAAAAACAAAGATAACCATGTTTTCGATCAAAGTCGGTCAAACGGCTAGAGTGCGCCCCTCGAATGCTAAACGGCAATTGCGTTTTGCGGTAGGGGCAGCGCATGCAGGACTAACCCTTTCCCTATCCCCAAGGGGGTGGCTCCGCTCCTATAGCACTATTATACTCCGTACCCTTACACCCAAGCTATATCTCGCCCGCCGATATGCATATCTTTTCCGCGCGGCTGTAACAAATGCTACGGTAGTAATGACCAAGGTGGTTTCGCTGGCAGTGCCTAGTGCAGTCTGTAAGACAAGCCTACTGTACAGTACCTCTGAACCAAGGTTCATGCAATGCAGCCTCGGTACCTGAGTTACTTGGGATCTGACTTCTCGGCTCTCCGTATACTTGAGTACTGCGAAACACAAAACACAAAATGCTCACCCGTGTTTTTCTGCTGGGGCAGAAGCATAGAGTTTGACACGGCTGTCTGTAGACGACCAAGTCGTCATAGTAACACAAGCATCAATCCATGGAGGCTTGGATCTGAACTTCTAGGTATACGATCTTATAGGCCAAGAAGGATTGATAATGAAAAGTCGTGCCAAACGTCGCTCATTTCAAATATAGTTATTCATTATCAACGGCCTTCTCCGAGTGCCTTGAAGTAGATCGCAGAAGACGTTCCGTAGGTCACATCCTGCTGCAATGTGAATACCTGCTCCATCGGTTCATTGATCCTCCAACAGTTCATAGTCTCGCCGCCGTTAGTTGCCCGAGGTGCTGCAACCAGGGGCGTCGCCTCAAAGCTTTCAGCTGCTCGCGCTTCCATGAGTGCCATCCTCTTGCTTGTCTGTTTGGCTTGTGTTTTTGCGCTGGCGCAAAATTGAGCCAGGTCGTGCAGGACGGCTATGCTGTCGCTGACGAGAACCATAGTGCGTCCAAAGTCTTCTCTGAGACCTCCGGCGCTGAGCGTGTCGATGGCCGCAGTGATCCCATAGGCGAAGAAAGGAGACAACAAGTTGACCGGATCTTGAACCTTGCCTGATCCATGAGAGCTGATACTTCGTATATCGCAAACCATCTCGAGCAGTTGGGTAGCATTTGTGTGTGCAATTCGAATCTGTCGTACCGTCGTGTGGGGTGACAAAAGCTCGTGATGGACATTGCGTGCTGCCTTCAGCTGAGAGATGTAATACAATGCATGCATGGCAATGAGACTGCCCGCGTAACCATGCTGCGTCGCCTCGACAAGTCTTTGCCTGCTATACTGCAGATGATGCGGCAATGATGATCTCCAGTCGAACAATTTGGCCTGAACATCACCTAGCAATGATTCGTGGCTTTTGACATACGATCCCGAGTCTGCAGTTTGCCGAGGTCGACGGAAAATGAGTTTCGTTACGTCCGTCCAAAGGGAAGCGATGATCATGGTATGTGCCGCCGGGCTTGGTGGTGTCGACTTTGGGTCTAACGATTGTAGACCCATACCTGGTTGGAAGCAATCAAAGAGTGGTGCATCAGAAGCCAGGCCCTCTTCATAAATTTGTTCGTTGCAAGGGAGTCGAATGTCGATATCCTCAAGTTGTATGGCACAGAGCAACCCTCCGCAGAAGCCATGATAACGCTGGGCAAAGTCAGTACATGTGATCGGTCGAGAAATCTCTTAGTACTTACGTCCACAAGGAAGGCAGTCCAGAAAGTCCGTCTGCGACACTCCTTGAGTTGCTCACGCGAGAAGCTGAAGTATCGTCGAGTGAACTCATCCAGATCTTCCCCACATCCGTCTTCACTGTTGAGCCGCATTGCGCTGATGATTCTGAGAGCAGAGCCACTCAAATCCCAGCCCGTACTGTCTCTACCAATAAGATGGTTGTATCCGGCTACAAGCAGTCGAGCCTGTACTATGGCCAGGCTAAACTTACCATCGATCATGGACACTGCTTGACTAGCCCTGTCTACACAGATCTTGGCAAAGGAAACAAACTCGTTCTCGGCAAAGATAGAGCCCAGAGCAAGGACGGCATAAAGCACCATACATTCTCTTTGGCATTTGTCGCGACACTGTCGCACCCAGCGAGTGAAGGCGCCGCGAGGAAACATGATGCTCACCTCGCGTGCAGATTGTGCAAAGAACAATTCGACGAAGCGCATGGTGGCTTCAGGGTCGTAAAGATACGGGTCTTGATCCCAAGACGAAGGAGCCAATTTCTCTGAGAGCTTTCGGGGAGGCGGATGGATCATGTCCTCAAGGTCTACTCTTTTGCTGTCCTTACGCTGCCTTTCGATATCAGCGTCTCTGAGAGAGTCCGCAGAGACGTCCGACCTGCGTCTTTTGACACTTTGGGGAGATTCTTCACGGTTCCAGGTTGGTGGCAGATTCAGCACATCTTGTTGTGCTGCTTGCGCCGAACGCCTGCGCTTCTGATTCGGCGCTTCGGCCATGACAATGCTACCAGAAGATTGACTTGACCACTCGGCTCTTCCCAGAGGCAGATTGGGAATGGCCAAGGTGATATTGTTGCCGAGCTCCGTCTGTGGTTGGGGGACCGTTGGCCTGCTGTCATTCCTTAGCAGACCGTCGGCGCCTGATCTGGGAGACGCAAACCTGTGGCATTCTCGCTTGGCCTTCTCGCACTGAAGACAGCTCTTCTCGCCAGGCTCGCATTTGATCTTCTTTTCACGGCAGTTCCTGGGTACAATTAGTCATTGTGACTTGTAAGATCATTCTGTTCAACCTACAAGCATGCCTGCGCAAGTCTCTTGCGAGCCTTGCCGGCCTTGGTCGTCCCCCAGAGCGGATTTACTGGCTCTCCATCGATGATAGTCGGACAGGTACTACCATCCTTGAAAACATAGCACATACCCTCTCCGGGTATATGCCGTTGGCCAACGCACTGTAGACTATAGTTGCTAGCTGGAGGCGCATTTCGCATTCCTTGGGTTGCATTTAAGCGTCTAGCTATGTCGCCTTCGTTCTCTTGGCGATAAGGTGAAGCTGCTTGTGAATGGGATGGGTCCACATGTTCCACGCCTTGCGGATAATGGGATAGCTGATCCGGTACACGTGAAGCCTGATGATCTGAGAGCTTGCGAGAGAGAGGGGGTGGCGGGGGCGGGGCAGGTAGAGAAGGTCTGGCACCGAGAGGGACAATAGGCGTGGGTTGAGAGAAGCGATCAGCTGTAGACACATCCAGAGAAAGACGATGAAACGGTGGTGGAGTGGGATTAAATGGAACTGCTGGCACTTGGGACGGCCTGCGTTGACCATTGACAGATGAACCAAGACCGTCGGACCAGCTTGGATGTGAGGATTTGTTGACCGATGGCCAATTGTGAGAATACGATGGCGGACCAGTTCGTAATGACGGACTCAAGAGTTCCTGGAGACCAGGAAGCTGCTGGCGTGATTGATTCGCATCGTTGATGTTAGCAGGCAGGTACGGCCTCGGGGCACTTCCTATGCTGCCAGGCTCCATCGGTCTCAAGGCCTCTGTCTGCACTGTGGAAGGTCTGCGGAGCTGGTTGTCGTCGTGCGTCCATGTTTGCGGTTGCCGGGATAGAGTAAAAGCCGACGGACGGTCCTGAGTTGATGGCATGGTGGCTTGGAGAACAGATGGTCATGGAATCAGAATGCTGACCAGGTCTCGGGATTGTATGTATGTGATGGCAAAATCAGAGCGAAGGTTAGGACTACGGCCGAGATTGGGGCCAGGAACGATAATAGGGAGCAACGGTGACAATGAAATCATACCGTGCGCGAGAAGCCGGTCAGAAATAGCCGGAGCTGACGTTAAGAGGACAGCGCCACCTGGGAGATTAAAGTTTGCGGGACTAAACAACCGATAGGGACAAGTTCGCTAGGCGGGAGTGGTGCTGATCTCTGAGCTTGAGCTGGTGTGGAGAGAATTTAGATCCAATCCTTCAAGATGCAGGATCGAAATACCAAGACCGTACCGTGCGATCCGCCACAGTATGTTGAGCGTCAGAGCAGAACGCGTGCTCGATTCGTCTCGTCACGCGAATGCAAGGAATAGTGTCTCAGACCTTGTCTGAACCGAGCATGCGAAATATATATGCGATAATCTAGGGTGCCTCGGCGACGCCTTGCAACAACGGGTATCTACATGTACCGGACAGCTAGGGTCTGATCTCTACTCGACGCCGGCAACAAACTAGGGCAGGTACAGCGAGCGGTTCTCTCTCCCGGCTTATCACATTGGAGTATCCTGGTGAGACTGTCCAGGCAGTTGGTGATGCCTACTCCCGAGACCGATCGGACAAGCGCCTCGCGCGGGTCTAAAGCTAATAATCTCGATCCCTTGCGACGTGCGATTGTCAATCTGGACAGCAGGCGATTCAAAGCGACTACGTCCACGAATTAGACCCGCGATTGGCGAGTCTACCAAAGTCACGACCCGAGTGGGCTCAATCTGCGGCAGCACGCTTGTATACAAAATAGGGCACAGTGGGTAGGAGGAGTCGTCCAACGAGTCAGTCCTACCACAGCCTACAGGGCCCGCCGGCCAAGCTCCGAATAGGCAAAACGCTTTGGCGTGTTGAGAGTGTTTTGCGTCTCCGCCTCCACACTATTGTCGAATGACTATTACCTACTTGGCTCAACGTAGACAAGATATGGCGTACTAAGGATCGGGATGGGCGGCATTCTACCCTGCAGGGCCGTCCCATCCTTGGGTCAATGTTTGTCACTGCTGAGTTCGTTCCGCCATGGCTCTTGTTCTAGGTCATGGTCTTATTCGCTACCCAAGTCTCGTCGGGCCGTTCATGTATGCATTTGAATCAAGCGAGGGCAAAAATCACAAGTGAACTGGCCCTATCATTCGACCGAGAAGATGCGCAAACTAGCACTACTGATCTGTCGGCCAGCTAGTTGTTCACCTGCCTAATTATATCGTGATCTGAAGTGGTACATGTTTGGCGTATCACGGAGGCGCCCCAACCTCCATGATGCATACAATGTGCAGCAAGCTTGCCCTCACAACATTTCCCCTCCAACGGAAACCCGAGATGGCAATTACCACGCGGAGACGGTCAAGACCACCGTGTGATACATATATTAACGACGACCGCATCGTAGGATCTTCCAGTACCACCTCGGCAAGCTTCCATAATTCTCCTGCATGACCAACGGCATGAACTCCCTTCCAAGGCAGTGCCGTGATGTACCCTGCCGCATGTGAAGGTGGTGACTCCTACATGAGCGTCTACGTTTCTGAATGCGTTATGCGATTGTCCCCCAGCGTGGATGACTGATCGACATGGTGATCTGCCCTGTTCGAAAGTCGTTGTCGCAGCCCTCATGCAAAACAGCATCCTGTACGTGCGCAACGAATTTATTAGAGTTAGCTAGCGGGGTTAGAAGTACATGCGAGCCTGTGACGGATTCGCACCAAGGCCAACACCGTTTCTATCGAGTGGCACTTGGAAAAAGGTGGCGGCCGTCGGGCTCTACTAGCCGTGGCCGCCGGGGAGCATAAACAGGATCCTGTCCAAGATCACGCGATACGTGGCTGCATCGCGGATAATTCATGACAAGAATGCCTCGTGTCAACGACCCAGACGGTACACCGACAAGATGAGATGGAGACGGAGTCGGAGTCGATGTCCACCGACTGCTGTGTCAGCCTTTGCATTGCCTGCGTTCATGTGTTGCCAATGCGCAATTCCGACGACCTGGGTAGTCTGTCGTGATTCCACATCGCTGGTACAATCCAAAGTGGCTAGTCCCTCGCCATCTCTTTCCTCAAATCTTACAGACTGCCTGCAGCTACATTTCATGGCCTTGTCATCCTGCTACGTAATCTCGACATGCTGTTCTATTGAGAGGAGAGCAAGTTGTATTGTTCGGGAGTCTGGACTTTTGATCGAGTATGGTACGTCAACACATGTCACTGGGAGTTGCACAGTGGTGGCTACGGAGCTGTCAAGCAACGAGGCCTTTGGACAACGTGTAGAACCTTGAGTGACAGCAGTTTACCTGAATTCCAATGGGGAGGCTCAAGTTAAGGTGAGGTCATTGCCTTTAACTCACGGCGCCCTAAAGACTATTTGTAATTCATCTTTGACGATAGCGAACAAACTCAAGTCAGTCTTCCTCCAGATCCTGGTGTGTTTGATGAACGGTCGAAGGGTTCTGCCAGGATACACCGGTACCGTAGATCCGTTCCGCCCTAATTGTTTTGACTCAAGGGAGTGCCGTTACGACTCCACGAGCTCGGCTCCATGCCTGAAGCATGATCAAGCCATGAGTAGCAGCAAAAGTCAATTGAGATTAGACTTTACAATCCGATATAGAAAATACTCGATGGAGGATGAGAATGAACATGTAGATTGGGTTGGTCCACACCGCAGAAAAACAAGATATACTACGCATCCATTGTTTAGCGTTATATGGTCCATTGGTCTCTTATCGCACAAGTGCATGACGAATGGCTGCTTCATCATGCTCAAATGACCCGAACTCGCCCGTGAGAGGTTATCGTCTCAACAACCGCAGGATGCAGCCGAGGGAAGGGCCTGGATTGTCTGGATCGCTGTAGCTGGGAGACAATCAGAGCAAGGTTGACTAGTCAACTCTCCTCAGACTTCATGGTGGTGGATCGATGGATGGAATTGGTTCGATGGGAGACACACCATCGGTGATGGATCAGAAGGATGTAACGAACGACGCAGCCAACCCGAGACAAAGACACCGCGACACACCTGATTCCGACCCGCACATTGCCAACGCCAGATCGTAGACGAACAGAGCGTTGAGATGAGAAGAGGGATCACAATAGACCAGTGACGGACGTTTAGCAGCCATCGTCCTTGTGACGCGACCTAACAAGCTATCGGACTTGCATCGCACAGCACTGCCGTACGAGACTCGATTGGATCGAATCGAAAGATTGCACTGCCAATCATCAACTGAGGAGTAAATCTAGCAAGTAGCGCCATCAGCAAGGTTTGAGCGAAGAAAGGGAGGATGCTCGCTGGCTCATCGATGGGTATAATCAGCCGACGAGAGTTTCGGCAAACTTCAGTAAAGTTATGTGCGAATTGGACTCAGGGCACCAAGAGAACAGAAGTCGTCGACAGACAGAGTTTCGTGATACGCCGCAAAATTTTCATCAATGATACTTCCGGCATAAGAGGTGAGTCGCAGCGGCTGTTGTTTAGGTTGGCAAATACCGAATCATGCCGTACATGGTCACGGCTGCTATAGTTTAGCTACTGGACACCGGATGTCAGAAACTTTGGAAGGTTTGTGACTTATATCAAAAATCTTGTCTCCAGCGCAGAGTTCCGTCCAGACATGGTGCCCACGTGTCGTGTAAAGAGCAGACGAATCGCACCTGCACTTTCTTGACAGTACATGGCTGGCATAGCGTTCTAGGGCCTTGGTACCAGACTACCAATGTTGAGTCGCTACAATATTCCAGCAGGAATGCGCATAGAGATTTGCAATATAATCAACAGATGCGAGGAATGCACGCACGATAGTGATATTGCCAGCCAGGCCGGTAGTCTGTAGACGACTTCTCTGCCGGGTTGCTGCGCATGTAGCCGATTCACGGGTTCGAGGGACGGCATGAAAAGACAAAAGGTCGTGACGACACGAAAAATGAAGGTTCGTCCATATGGCGCAGCACACCAGATTACCAGGATCCTGATTCCTGAAGCGAGCAGCCAATGCCAGCCATGCTTGTTCCACAGCACCTTCGGAAGCGAGGAAGTTGTCAAAGGTCTGTCTCACCGAACAACGACGAGCAGCAGCAATGTGGCCGAGCAAAGTCAAAGACGAATGGGTCAGGACCTGGTGAGGAGCAGCAGTTTGACTTGAGGAAGTAGAAGACGAGCACACCATCATGTCGACATAGCGACGTGCTTGAGCGCCAGGAGCTTATCAGAGCAAATGATAGAAACAGATTGCTCGATTCTAAGAATGACGGTATCAACATAGCTCCGCAAAACAAGAGACGAATATGTCCAGACACGGCGAGGGGCAGCAATTTCAGCCCGATGAAGCTCAAGATACACATGTCTGGACAAAGCTAGAAGCAGTAATCCGGCTCAGTCAAGCAGTGGAGCAGTGTATGCGCATCTCCAATCAAGGTGAGCAGCAGCAACATGGCCCAGCTACGTCGATGACAATCACGTCTGCTGCAGAGGCACATATATAAGCTACCAAGGCCAATTGATCTGATTCGACGGCTCAGACATGGCGAACGCGATCGAACCGACCAAAATGCTGCCGAGCAGAAGAATAAGAGTGACAAAGAGAAAAAGAAAAAAGGATGTGGCCCTGAATATGAAACCCAAACAAGCCATAGGTCACGGCAATAATGGGCGATTAACGACGGGCGATTTCAGTCTAGAGACCTGGCATATGGGGTCGCCTGACAGAATGCCAAACTATGATAACCACCGGTATATCAAAGATAAAACCTCCAAGCGGTGGGTGAACCAGGTCCCATGAATTAGAAAGAGAAGAAGGAAGAAAAGAAATCGGAGAGCGAAGAATTTGTAGTGAACGGAAGCCGGGGTAATTGGAGGCAAATGATTGGTCGAGGGGCTAGCCGCGGCTAATGGCCTCCGGGCTTCGAGTTGTGAGTTGCATGCAGCGACGACGTGCAATTGCTCTTTGATACGACAGATCACACATTCACAATGCTTGCCCAGAGACTCGGTCTGCAAACAGCGCGCCGCTGTACGTCTGCTTGACTATGCTCTACAACACCATGCGCTAACACAGCAACAGTGGCGGTCCGCCAATCTTCGCTCCTCTCGTCGCGCGCTCCCCAGGTGCTCTCTTCCGCCGCCCTGGTCCAGCAAAGGTACGCGCAGCCCCTCCATGCGCATCACTAGCTCTCTCAATCTCACACAATGCTCTCTGAACAGACACGCCGCCTTCCAAAGCGTCTCGGACTCGGAGGCCTCGCAACAAATCCTCGCCAAGCAGCGCCTGAACCGCCCCGTCTCGCCTCACTTGGGCATCTACAAGCCCCAGATCACCTGGTACGGCTCTGCCCTCAACCGTGTCACCGGCGTTGCTCTGTCCGGTACCTTCTACCTCTTCGGTCTCTCGTACCTGATCGCTCCTGCCTTCGGCTGGCACCTGGAGTCCGCCAGTCTTGCTGCTTCTTTCGCTGCTTGGCCTGCCGCTCTTGCCATTTTGGCAAAGCTTGTTGCTAGCTTCCCTTTCACTTACCACTCGTTCAACGGTCTGCGCCATCTGATGTGGGATATGGGTAAGGGAATCTCGAACAAGCAGGTCCAGGTCACTGGTTGGACTGTCGTTGGTGTCAGCGTTGTCACTAGCTTCATCCTGGCTCTGATCTAGAGTCGATGTCTCTCTCTCTCTTTCTCTGTTCCTATATCCGACTTTGAGTCTCCTTTCATGAAAATGTATCCTTCAACTTCATTCTACTATCTATGAATGTGTTGTGGACGTGACATGTCTTGGACAACGAGTTTGCCACAAAGTTGATTGTGGTATCTTGTTCATGCAGCTACACAGCTTCCAACCTGCTTTTCACTAACCATCAGCTTCCAACCTCGCCCTCACATCCCTGACCAGCGCCTTTGCCTCTTCCACCTCAACTCCATCCTGACACAATTCATTCGCCAACTCTGACGCCCGCTGCCAATCTTGCTTGACGAAACTCCACTTGGCCAGCCACAACCTAGCTTTACTCGTCGTCTGCGTAATCCCAATGCCACCTCCGGCACTCGACAGCGGCGCTCCAGGCGGCAAATCATCTTCATCCGGCCCTTCCTCCTGCGCAAGCGTAAGCTCCATATACGCAGAAGCCTCGTCCATATTGTTATCCTGCTCGTACAGCAGAGCAATCTGATACAAGATCTCTGGATCCAAAGCCCCTCCCACTGCTCCAGCGAGCGGATCTGCAGAAGATGCAAAACTGACTGCACCACCGCCATTGTCGAGATAACTGCCAGCAACGAGCGCACGCTTATACGATCGAATCGCATTCTGCAATCTACCGCAGTTGGCAAACGAATTCGCCACCGCCATCCACATCTTCGGATCCCAGGGCTGCAGCGCCACGGCTCGTTGAAAGTAAAACAGCGCGTACGAATGCATGTCCAAAAGCTCATAGCCCTGACCTAACCCATACCAAGCTCTGTAATCCTTTCTGTTAGCATCCACAGCGCGTCTGTAACTTTCTATCGCCGCTTGTGTGTTTTTGAGCTCAATGTATTCGTGGCCCATTAGTGTCCAGGCGGAGAGGAATTGGCGGTCGAGAGTCAAGGCGCGGCGGAAGTACATGACTGCTTTTTCGTGCTCGGAGCATTGCGAGTAGTAGTTTCCGATGATGCAGCAGGTTTCCGGGCGGAATTTGTCGATGGAGGAGGCGACGGAGGCGAGGTGGGCTAGTTTTGGGCGTGAGGGCATCACGTATAGGATGTTCGAGTAGGAGTCCATGGAGTCTAGTCGGTATGGGTGTCGTAGGAGAAGGTCGGCGAATAGGCCATCAGCTTCCTCGAATTCTGCACGCGAAGTCAGTAGGATGTAAGATATCGTGATGTATGCAAGACTCCTCGCCTTTGGAGTGATAGTGCAGCAGAGCACGCTGAGTCTGTAGGAAGGCCGAGTTGGGGAAGATGCTGCTGATTTGATTGATCTCGTTGTAGACCTTCTCTGTTGATCGGAAGAGCTCTTGGCTACAGTAGATGTGGAACATGAATGTCATGATGTTTTGCGGCAGGTGTTCGGTTATACCATTGAGCTAGACACCACTGTTAGCAGGTCTCCCGAAACTGCATGTCCGATACTAACCTCTTCGGCCGAGCTCAACAAGTCTGCAAGTTCTTGCCATGCTCCCCAGTTCCATGGACAGTGGTTTACACTCTTGAGGAGCCACGCGTTTGCAAGAGCCTCGTTCTTGCCCTTCAACAGAACAACTCCATATAGATATTCCAAGAAGCCTTGCGATTCTTGTGTACTCTGGAGACCTCCTCGAGCACTCAGATAATCATCGAGGATGCCGGATATCCTGCTGAGCTCCTTGTTCAGAGTGACAGAGCCATCCGTGGGACCCAGAATCATCTCACTGTCTTCTTCCTTACGTTTCTCGCCAGCCATATACTTTGCGTACAAGGCAAGGAAGAGCGAACGTTGGCTGAGCTGTGGTAAGCCCGGCAATGAATTTGTTGGCTTTGGTTTGGTCTTTGTGGCAGCACTCGTCGTATCTCTATTGATTGGCTGTTGTGGTACAAGACTCGGTAGCAAAGTAGCAGCGCAACGATCGAATTCACGACAGTCAAAGAAAGATTTGGCCATCAGAAACTTTGGGTATTCTCTCCGTTCTAGTCGAGCCTCGTGGGGATCTGGTGAAAACTGGAAATTCGACCATTGATCGGCTTCAGCAGTTGGAGAGTTCGGCTCCGTATCACAACCTGTATCAAGGTCCTGATCCGAGTCTGGGAATGCATTGAGAAGTTCTGCAGCCCTGTTTGGGGTGTTAGGATAGACAAAATCCATGCGGGTTATCGTACCCACCATTTTGCAGAACGATATAGACATCGGTCGTTGCATGCAGCTACAGCTTGATGTAGTTGGGTGCGTAATTGTAATGTCTGTTCAGCAGATAGAGAAGCCATGCTGGTGGTGATGTTGGAGAGATGGCGGCTCGGCTTGGCCAGTATTGTTTTGTTGATGTTTATGTTTCACAAAAAATGTACGGATATCATCAACGTCTGCTTGGTCGCAAGAGTGGTGTGTCCTATGTCCAGGACAGACGAATCGAAGACGGGCAAAGATGACTAGCTGCAGAGCGAATTGTTAATTTGGACTGAGTCGTGTGCAACCGGAGGAGAAGGCAGTCGAGATTGGTGGGGCTGGCTCTGGCGGCGGCGCAAGGGGAAACAGACGGAGGTCAATTTAATACGCCAACACATCGGACGACTTTTGTTACTTCTACACGCTCATTCGTCTTGTCGCCATTTCTCTTCTCGCCCGCTCCTTGTCCATACTACGCTCTTCAGCTCCTCGTCGTATCTTGAACAGCCGACCGATTGTCCCTCCGCGACTCTAACCCACACACTCTTTGCGCCGTCCCATCCCTACCGCCAACATGCCTGTCACCCTTAAGGAGTTCGAGTCGGTCTTCCCCCAGCTCATCAAGGACCTGAGCGAACACTGCAAACAATACAACCTCCCTACCCAGGCTCTCACATGGTTCGAGGAGTCGCTCCAGCACAACACAGTCGGCGGCAAGTGCAACCGCGGCATGTCTGTCGTCGACACATCCGCTCTGCTCCTCAAGCGCGACCTCACCGAGGACGAGTACTTCCGCTCTGCCACCCTCGGCTGGATGATTGAGCTGCTCCAAGCCTTCTTCCTCGTCTCAGACGACATCATGGACTCGTCCAAGACCCGCCGCGGTTCCCCTTGCTGGTACCTGATGCCCAACGTCGGCATGATTGCCATCAACGATGCTTTCATGCTCGAGAGCGCCATCTACATTCTTCTCAAGAAGTACTTCCGTCAAGAAAAGAACTACGTCGATTTGATGGAACTGTTCCACGAAGTCACCTTCCAGACCGAGCTGGGCCAGGCTTGCGATCTGTTGACTGCCCCCGAAGACCACGTCGACCTCGACAACTTCAGTCTGGAGAAATACACCTTCATTGTCATTTACAAGACTGCATACTACTCGTTCTACCTCCCCGTCGCTTTGGCTTTGCACTTCTGCGGCATGGCCACTGAGAAGAACCTCAAGCAGGCACACGACATTCTGATCCCTATGGGCGAATACTTCCAAGTCCAGGACGACTACCTCGACAACTTTGCCGATCCCGAGACCCTCGGCAAGATTGGTACCGATATCCAGGACAACAAGTGCAGTTGGTTGGTGAACCAGGCCTTGAAGCGCGCCACCAAGGAACAGCGCGCCCTTCTCGAGCAGCACTACGGCAGAAAGAACAAGGACGACGAGGCCAAGGTCAAGGCTCTGTACAACGAGCTGGAGCTCGAGCAAGTCTACCACGCATACGAGGAAGAGAAGGTCGGCGATATCAAGAAGCACATTGCCGAGGTGGACGAGAGTGAGGGCCTCAAGAAGGAGGTGTTCGAAGAGTTCCTCCGCAAGATCTACAAGAGAAGCAAGTAAAAGATACTGGTCCACAGGACGCGCGCAAGCTATGCCACATAAAAGATACCTCTAGAGCCATTATAATAATTTCTTTCCAAATCTCCCGCCTGGGGAATGTACTCCTCGACGAAGTCGTGACTGGTGACGGTATGCTCAGTAGATGTATGGGAAAAGCTTGTAGGGGGTCTGTTTCCTGTAGTTGACCCATTGTTCACCGTACTGGAAGATCGGGTCAGCAAAGAAGCAGTATGTGAGGTTGGAGGGAACTTACTCTCTCATGGCAATATCTGTTCAATTCGGGGATGCCGTCATGAATGAAGTTGTACGAGAAGAAGGCGCCGACAATAGCGCCCCAGGTCCAACCGCCAGCTGCCAAGGCGTATCCAGCACGCCAAAGAGTGTATCCAGCATAGTTGATGTGTCTGGCGAAGCGGAACAAGCCTCCGGTGTAGACCTTGCCCTTGTTTGCAGGATTCTTCTTGAACTGTAGCCTCTGCCATTCGGAAAAGGTCTCTGTGAAGATGCCAACGGCATACAGAGCAGAGCCGACCATCAGAGGTGTTTGCGGAAAGTGTTCGCCGTTGACCGAAGCAGAAGTCAAGGCGCAGGTGAAGAGCAGAGAGTTGACCGAGTTGAAGACGGTGTTGAAGACCGAGACCTCGACGGCAGACACAGGAGGGAACTCTTCCTGACAGATGCCGACAAGCCAGTAGTTCTGCTTGATGGCGCTACCCGCAGCCATGGCGAGCAGGATCAAGCGGTAGGGGGATAGAGCGAGTCGGTCGATAAAGGTGCCAGTGACGACGGGTGGGCCTTGAGCCAGAGTCTTTGCTCCGAGCTTATGAATAGCCGGAGCTGCGATGCCTTTGGCGAGGATGCCATATTGGAGTACCGGGTCGAGACTGCGAAGGCCGAGGAAGAGACCTGTGCCTAGAGGGCTGCTCTGCTTGATCCCACGAAGGATCAGCTTGTTCTTGTGTTTCCTGTCGTCTGAATTCATGTTGGGCGTGGGTTGGGCAAAGAGTCGGTCGAGTTGACTGCGCAGAGTAAACAAGGGTAATTGACCCTAGGCCACCTGTGCCCCGCACTCCGCAATCACATGTCTGGAAGGATGCCTTCTGGTGATCATCTGTTGTCAACAAAGCAAGGCCAAGCTGAGTGCCCAACGCTCGATGGCAACGCCAGACGCCAAAACATGGATGCCTGGCGCCGACCCCACTTTCACGCGCCAATCTCGAGACTCCGGCGCGTCTCCCTCTTGACAAAGAATACCCACCACTTTTGGACTATTGGTTGTATCTCATCTTCATTGTTCGATTTTCATTCTTGTTGGTTATTACTTGGATACTTGCCACCGTGAGAGGCGTAGTACATGCTTCTTGGAGCCCGCTGTACTCGTCATGCGATGATATCAAATGTCCTTCAAGTTCGCTCACATCTGCGACTATCTTGAACGTTGCGAAGGGATATCTTCTTACAACCCACCCCTTCCTCCAGCAGAACTAAAATCGAGACTCTACCGCCAACACGCTACCTGGTTTGCCTCACACCATCAAGATATCGACGCCTTGGATGAACATGGCACAACCGCATTGCTATCGACTTTCCTTCCATGCCGGAGAAAGGATCGCATCTATGGTTTACAGTCTGCTTCCCTCTTGAAACTGCTCGGCCGGTGTCTTGGCTTGAGCGCCTCTGCCAGACATGAACTCTCCTCATTCCAGACTCCAAATAATGGTGACCTTGGGGATTGCTTGCAGCGGCTTTTGAAGGTCCGCGGCCCGCCACCTCTTCCCTTTGTCACTCTACAAGAGGTAGACGATGCATTGCACGCTCTTGCTTCAGCAAACAGATTCTCTGCACCGTCGGTCCGTCAGTCTTTTCACCCTTCGTCAAGCATCGACTTACTCGCCGATGTCTTGTTGCGTCTCCACGCTGTAGAAGCCAAATGGTTCGTACGGCTCATCCTGAAAGAGTTCGCCCCCGTCACTCTGAACGACAGATCAATCATGACCTCTGTTCATTTCTTGCTTCCTGACTTGCTTTCGATGCAAGACAGTTTTGAGAACGCATGTTATGCTCTAAGAACTACTTTTGTCGACTATCCGAGTCGTCCAGATCCTCATTCGAGGAACATCCTAAGGCAAACTGCCATATCGTTGTTCAGGCCGACTCCTGGTGTCAAGGTCAGCCGTCCGGGGTACACCAAAGCCAGGTCCATTAAACAATGTCTGGAGATGACCGCTGGAGGAAAGTGGCTATTGGAGAGAAAATACGATGGAGAATATTGCCAGGTTTGAGAGCTCTCTGCCATGTACTTGGGATGACATCCGCTAACACTTTGGGTGACCAGATACATATCAATCTTGCTCGAGGCGACAATTGGCTGAAGATATACTCGAAGAGCGGCAGAGACTCTACCGAAGATCGAGCCGGTCTGCGAGAGACCATTAAGAAATGCTTACGCATCGGTAGCGACAAGTGCAAGATCAAGCGCGCGTGTATTCTGGTTGGGGAAATGGTGGTCTTCTCCGACACCGAGAACAGCATTCTTGGATTCGATCAGATTCGCAAACATGTTTCGCATGCTGGCATTTTCCTCGGCGCTGAAAACGACACGCCAGGCCGACCGGGTGAACACCTGATGATCATTCTGTTTGATCTTCTGCTGCTTGATGACGAAGACATCTTATCGCGATCTGTCGAGGAACGCAAAGCTCGGCTCAGCAGCATTTACAAGCGGATTCATGGTCGAGCAGCACCAGCCGAGTCTTGTGTCATGGACTTTTCCCAAGGCAACGCTGAACGAAGGCTAATGAACCATTTTGCGGCCTCGATCGCATGTCGTCACGAAGGTCTAGTACTCAAGCGATGTGGTGTCTCGTATCTCTCGCATGGCTCGATAGCTGGCATTAAGCTCAAGAAAGACTACATTACTGGACTTGGAGACGAAGCTGATTTTGCCATCGTTGGTGCATCATATAGTGCTCAAGAAGCGAAGAAGCGATCGGAGCTACGCTTGAAGTTCACACACTTTCATCTGGGTTGCCTCATTAACAAAGCTGCACTTGATCACGATGGCATCAAGCCTGTGTACAAGATCGTTGCGACAATTGCATATGATCATTGCATGTCGACGGAAATCTTGGAAAGGGTCAACGTTGAGGGCAGCTTGCTTGCAGAACCATACAACGAACAGAGCTCACCATTGACCATCGAATCTGACAACACGTCAAAAATGGAAGTTTGCTTTCGGGACCCACTGGTTTTTGAAGTACTCGGCAGCTCATACAGCAAACTTCCCGGAGGCTACTTCATGTTGAGACATCCTCGAGTGAGAAAGCTGCATCAAGATCGGACATGGAAAGATTGCATCACATTCGATCAATTGCAACTCGCGGCTGCCGAAGCTCTGGACACTCCTCAAGACTCGGAAACACAAGAGAACGTCAAATGGATAGCCAAGCTGGAATTGAGCCATAAGCGGAGGTTTGCGAGACACAGTCTCAACACGACACCGCGATCAAGCGTCGCCAACACGACACCTCGATCAGCGCAGAGTGACTCGACTTGCTCACCGCATACTGAGAGTGTATCGAGGATTAAACCCCTAGCTGTCTTGGGGACTAGATTACGCTTGAGAGCGACACAACAACATCTTGCCACTCCTGGTAAGCAAGGCTTAGCTCTGCCTACTCCGCCTGAGTCGTCTCCGCTGGATCGATCAAGAAAGTCACCGACGGTACTGGGCAAGCGAAAGTCGGCTGAAAGCAGTGGCAATGAGGGGAAAAAGCCTCAACTCGGAAGGTTATCCATTCTTCAACAAGGAAGAGGTCGTGAGATTGGAGAGAACCATGTTCTGACGCCGCGCACACCCCTTGCGGACATCACTGGTCAGGTCATTCGGAGATTAATCGATTCAAGCAATGACGAAACGCACACAAGCTGGATCGAGGGGCACTGCAAGTTTGGACGGACCGGACCACTAGCGCCAAAAGAGAGATGCATATTGAGCCAGTCAGTTGTGTTTCTAGCAGAGATATCAAAGGCAGAGAAGGAGCAAGTCAGGCGAAAGGTGCTTGAGCATGGAGCAGTGATGATAGCCGATCTGGCATATTGGGATAGAGATAACCACACCCAGCAAGACACGGATTGTGTATGTGAGAGCCAGGCGTACAAAGGGCTACGGAAGATGGTGCTGGTGGACCCTCGAGAGACGTCACAGTATCGAGCATGCTATGCAGAGATTGAGAGGTTGAGATTGCACAGAGTCGAGATATTCGACTACCGTCTTGTCAAGGCCATGTGCAGCAATACAGAGGCAAGTTGATCAGGGAGTATGCGAACGGACAAAGCGTGCACAGGTGGAGCATGGGCTTGGATTTCGGTAGTTGGATATAACAGACAGGATAGCAACGAACCGGTATTAGTCACGATCAGAGTATGCAGAGAAGCCAACGCAGAATATGTAGCACAGGCAAAAGACGTTGCAAGCATGACGGTATTGATATTCGGAGCCGGTCGCGAGTCATGGAGTTGCGGCAGCTTGATTGGCTGAAACCAGGAGAGTTGATGTCAGGGTCCGGTCGGGTATTAATCCCAAACAACAATGTACGCGTGCACTGCCGGCCCAAGACAATCAACGAGTCCAATGCCATTGTTACGCCTGCCGATTCGATATCTTTGCTCATGAGCAATCTTAGCATGGACGACCAACGGCCGTGGAGCAGGAGCGGCAGCAGTCCTCAGTCGCGATCCATGTCGGAGCCCAAGGCGAAGCGCTTCAGCCTCACTTTCCCTATTCAGACCTCCTTGTCGCCAACTTCCTCAACCCTGTCGCCAGTCCTCCCTTATACTCCATTGCTGGCCGAGAAGCCAACGCTGGCTGCTGGTCCCACCGATTCTGCATTTCTGACTGCATTGGCTGCTCACGAGCGTCGCGTACTGGAACTTAGAGAGGAGTTGATCAAGGCCGAACATGAACTGCACCGTCTCAAGCAACAATGGGCTGCTCATGAAGCCCACAAGAAGCGCCAACATGATCCGCGCAAAGTACACAAGATGCAATCGCTGCACGCCACCTCGGACATGCCGCTCGTTGCACCCGCCTCCCGCCAACAAGACATGGACCGTCGCAGAGCCCTGCTCAACAGCAACAAGAACTCGACTCGTACTGTCTTCTCAGGATCCCGTCACGCTCGCGCTTTGTCTCTGTTGTCGCCCGACGCGATGCGCTCGCCACCACCTCGCCCACAAGCTGCCCCTCCACGCCCTGAGCCAGACGCCGCAGCACGTCCACCACATCCCACTCGCGTGCCCACCGATGCCGACTTGACCACCGAGGTCGTACGCACAGCAGACGATGCAATCGATCTGGGCTTACCTCGCGAGGTTCTGCTCAACACTGGCAAGAGAATGGCTTCCGACTTCCGCGACGGCCTGTGGACGTTTATTGAAGACCTCAGACAAGCCACCGTTGGCGACGAAGGCATCAATGGCACAACTTCGCGAACTCAATCTCGCTCTCCGAATCCATCGTCAAAATCTCCCAGATTACAGCCTAGAGGCAATCTAAAGCCCTCGCCAAACACCCAGCCTCTGAAGAGAAGTGCCACAACGGGAAGTCGCCGGACAGACTCTCGCTCGCCTGCTCCTTCCACAGCGGAAGAAATAGCCTATCTCGACATTGGCAATTCCTTCTGGAACGAACATGAGTCGAAACCCGCCCCTATCCTCCGCAAAGCCTCCAAAAAGTCTACAAAAGCACCTTCTGTCAAGGCCAATCGTGCCTCGACCAATTCTATAGATACATGGGAGAACTGGGAAACCACTGTCCCAAATGCTTCAGACCCCAAGCCTTCACGATCAAACTCCACAATCTCTGAACCTCATACCTCATCAAGTCCCGACGACGGCACAGAAAGCCCCAGGACCAGCCTCAGGTAAGCCTAGCCACACCTGCCACCACGAAATCATAAACTAATACACACACCAACAGTTCATCCAGAGACGCCACAAAACGTGATTCGCTCCCTTGGCCAGCACTGAATAAGCTCGCACCCAGCAATCTCGTGCGCACGGCTTCTCACCTGATGAATGAGTGGGAAAGGAGTTTGACGCCTTCGCCCGGGGGTTTGTCACCAGTGACTGCTGATAAAGAGAAACAAGGCGATTACCTGGGACGAGCGGTGTCGCCGGCGGGGAGTTTCAAGGAGACGAAGAATGATTGATCTGACGACTGAGAATCTGATTCAGTCGAATCTAGTTTAGATGTTCTAGATAGAGATAATGTCTGGATTGTAGATATCAAAGGCTCGAATCTTACGATTTACATGACTTGATCTAACAACTATGTGATGGCGAGGGTTGAGGGTATTGTTTATCGAGGTATCTTGAATTACACGACTGCGAAGCTTAAGAGGAAGTGACGATGAAGGAGAGATTGTGTGGAGTAGCTGTATCAAAAAGACACCACATCAGGAAAGAAGGAAGGAGACGTTTGTAATGTTCTGATGTGTTCTAAAGTGTTACTGTAACTTCTTCATATTTGATCTCGAAATCTGTAGAAAGTCCAAGAATCAGCCATCGATCTCATCATTCGAAACTGCATCGACTTACTGCAACAAAGAAGCCAAAACATATATCAAGCAGCGAATATGTGTGTCGACCAGCAACACAATCCGCATTTTTCCAAAACACCAAAACAAAGTTCCAACCCCCTGAATTCCCATCCTCACTCAAGGAATCTTATTCCACTCATACTTGTCCTTTAAATACCTCGCCGCAGGTCCATCCCCACCTTTAGCACTCAATTCCATCCAATGCTGTGCAACAGCCATGGCCACTGGATCGTACCTCTCACTGGACCCCTCTGCATCTTTTTCCACATCTTCAAACACATCTTTGGTTTTTGAAAACGGAGCTATGCAGATCCCCAGTAATTCAGGATGAGTCAGGTACAGAGTGGCAAGTTCGCGTTGGGCAGCGGGAATGCCTTCTTTGGCGGTGAGTTGAAGGAGAGTTGCCGCATCAGACATACCCAGGTCTGCGATCGAGGGGTCGGAGGGTTGGGGTGTGGGAGGGGAGAAGGCAGCGGCGTCGCGTTTGGCTTGCAGAGCCGAGGTTAGATGTGAATGGCCTCTGGTGAAGGTGTGGTGTTGGATGATCCGGTCGGCGGTCTCGATCATGGCTGTGTTGTTTTCTTCCTTGAGATCAAGGGCGGCAATGGTGGCGTTCCAGAAAGCGCGGCCTCGAGGCGTGCTGTCAAGCACATGGAGAGGCACCAGTGAGGCTATGTATTGCAAATCCCGAAACAGAGTCTTTGGTCGTGATTGCACGTTTTGGAACAGCTGGCGGAAGCTCGCTATGGTACTGTCATGACCTCGGGAGGTTCGTGGGGCACCTGTGGTGTCGGTTCTGAGGCCCAGTCCACGATGAGTGAATAGGCCAGTGTCGGGCTGTGGGGTTGAGGGATGATCTTCTAATGCACTGTCCGCCCAATGCGCTTTGAGCATGGATTGGAGCTCGAGAAGAATATCAAGTTTGACGTAGGGACTCGACTGTAGCTCGAAGCGTCTCAAGAGCATCCGAAATACGTGATTGAAATCGAAAGACGGCTGAGCCACATCATGCTCGTACCCCATAGACTCTGGCAGCCTGGCTTCAGCTGGTACGCGAAGCTTGAGCATCTTACGCATAGCCTTGTCTGTTTCACTACCCGATCGAAAGAGGTCATGGAAGTCACTCAGTAACAAGCTTGTCAAATTCTGCTTCAACTCGTCCAGGAAAGAAGCTTGACTCTGCTGCAAGTAAGAGTGGCGAGACATCGGTCGTCCGGTCGACATTGGGGACAATGCTCTTGAAGGAAAGCTTGTAGCGCTGGACGGTGATTGTGGTCCGGCACTGAACGTCGACCACAGCGTACCAGATGAGTTGTGGGTGAGTGTGGGACTCCGACATGCAAAATAGTCATGCTGAATTGACTTTGGACTTATGCTTCTCACTGCGAAGCTGGGATGTATGGCAGTTCGAGATGGAGTAATAGATCGACCCCATTGCGACCACGCGTGAGCCTCGTATGGTCCTGACACTTTGTGGTCGTACATTGATCGAAGTTGTGCCAACGCGCTGAGATCAGAGTTTGGTGTTCCAATCCTGCTGTTAGCTTGACCAGACAATGCTTTCTGGGTTTGAAACAGCTGACTCGACCAAAGTATCGGGTTGTCGACCACGCTTTGGCCCACGAAATGGTCTAGACATCTGGTAAGCTCGGAACAGAAGCGATGGATTCGTTCTTCGGCTCTGCAAACCCTCTCCACACCACGCGCCTCCATCCAACTAAGAGTCATGTCGATCTGAACGTCGCTAAGCTTGTTCGTGCCTCCCTTCGCTACAGGCGCAGACAAAAGCTCGAGTGTTGCCGCTTCCGTCTTCAGCTGTATGTTGTGGTTCAAAGATTTTGATGCACTTCGATGTCTGAGAAGAGGTTTCTTCTTGTCCATCTTCGGGCGAGTCGACGACGCCATGACACGCAGTGCCGTGACCACCTTACGCAACTCCTCGTAGTGACCTGCGCGCTGGATATCTGCAGTGTACCACATCTTCTCCCGTAATCGATCATTGATGTATGAAATCGAACGTATCTCAGCCTGTTGTAAGTCAATTGTGTCGTTCAGTTTCTCAATTCGAGCTTCTCCCGTTTGAATCTTGAGACGACACACATCGATGGAGTGGCGGTATCCAGTTACGATGGTTTGAAGTATCAGTGATATTTGTTCGGGAGAAATCGAGGCAGTTGCTTTGGCCAGTCGGAAGAACAAATGTGCCTTAGCAAAGTCTCCTTGGTGGTAGCAATTCGCTCTTGCGCTTTCGAACTGAGCTTTCAACAAAGCATGTATTGATTGGATATCCTGCGGTTGGAGTGGTTTACTCGCAACTGTTGCAGAGGAGAAACTATCCAACAGCGTTTGTATACCAGTGCTAATGAATTCCAAGATCTGGGGATCGACATATTGTTCCGCATGGAGCTTCTCATTGGAGACGATCATAGACGGAAGGCAACAAACACCGGAAGCATCAGTCCAGATGGTCGTACCGTGATTGAAGCACGTTTCCAGACTCGTCCATGACTCAGAGAACAGGTCACAGCTTCCCGCATCTGAACTACAGCCGCTAGACACGGCCAACTCAATGCAAGCTTCCCTGAGTTTATGACCGAATAAATCTCCGGTAGATAGATCTCCATGGTCCGAGAGGGGCCGCATAGGGACCGAATCAGGAAGAGCAAGTCCAGGCGCGATACGCACATCTGGAGCAGCAGCACAATGACCGTTACTTGGAGACGAAGGCCCCGAAGGAGACATGGTCCGGAACAAAGACAATCCGGAGATGGATGATGCTGAAGATCTTAGCGTGGAGCCGCGGAGGACGTGAGCGTCGCTATTGAAGTCTCCACGAATCTCGGGGTAGAGAGTACGAACTGCGCTCATCACTTCCGAAGCGCACACTGTGATTTGTCTGATGTGATTACCATTGCTATCCGGAATCTCAATACCTGGTTCTTGAGGATCCGAGACAATTTGAGACTCGAGCGGACCAAGTCGGAAGAGCCCTACGACACTTTCGACCTCCGCAACAAGGTTAGGCATAATGAGAGAAGTTTGCTTCCTATAACACATAAGATCGACGTACGCAAGAGGTGGAATCTACTTACCATGAATAGGCTACCCCTTCCATAATCTGTCGTGCACGATGTGCCAATTCGTGTAGTATTCGCTGCCGGGCGGTTGATGAGATATGATGCGAGAGCAACATGCCATAGCTCTATGTCTACGTAAGAAAGACTCTAGTAAATCATCAGCTCATCTCACTCACCTCTGGACTCGTAATTAGTGATGACAAATAGGATGCAAAAAGCCAGCGTGTGCATAGGAAGTACGGAGCCGCTTGTTGCTGTTGGGAGGAAGCGTCCAGTCTTGCAACGATGGACTTGCCTAAATCCAAAACACGTAAAGGGATGATCCTTGTTAGCTCGTTTTCTTTGAGGATTGAGAGCATCTTCTCAATAGCCGTATAGAAGAAGTCGTCAACGGCCTTCGGGTCATCGTTGGAGTACGTAGAGGAAGGTTGACTTTTGTTCCGGAACGATCTCCTATCTGCTTGAGACAGTATGAAATTCCCATCTCTGAGCGTTTCCAAGAGCCAATTCTCCAGGTAATGATGGGCTGTCCTATCTAGCTGACCAAGGTGCGCGTTCATGACGGTGACCACAAACCTATTGCTCCCCGTTTTCTGACGAGACAACAGTCCGGCACAAATGACTCCCCAAGCGTTTGAGAATGGTCCGTGATGGATATGATCATTGGCGGAGACCAATTTGAGAAGAAGGCCAAGGACATCAGATCGAGAAAAATCCAGAAACCTCTTGATACTCTCGTACTCGGTCCTGTCTGCCGACCTTCTGAGCTGATGCCCGAAGCTCGTTTCTCCTAAAGGGCTCTGGGAATATGTCCTGGATAAACTTGCGAAGACAGCATCCGGTAATTCCTGTAGTCGGTCGATTAAGAAGGGGGGATCAAAAGAGATGCGAGACAGGAAGTTCAGTAGAGTCCTCCGAGTGTCTGGCGACAAACTGTCCATGAAGGAACCATTTCGATAGTCCGGTGGATGGTTACACAATCCTTCCGGTAAGGGTGACTGCGCATCCCACTCATCACAGGCCTGCTTGAATGTATGGAACGTGTCAAAGAGCAGCGAGAACTTGTTCCGGTCCCCGGATTGAATCGACTCAGTGAGTTCATTTCGCAACTCCTTTGCACCTTGGACAATCCGGTTTCTGGCCTCGCACGATGTTTCCAGCCAGTGTAATCGCTGTTCAATGTAGTCGCTTCTACGCTTTTGGTATTTTTGGAGGCGCCTGAGGTAAGATAACTCGGACAAGGTGGTCCGTGGGAAGACTTCTTGTTGCGCCATAATAGTGACCTAATTTATTGTGACACCGGTCTGATGGTGAGCGTTGGGAACATTGGCGGTAGAAACCTACTCAAGCATTGTAACATATCGCTGTTTCGTCGGCAGAGGCTCAGAAGGATGAAGAATATGGCAGTTGTAAAGAAGCGAAGACACCGCTATAATGTATAATGGTTAGCCGCCGTTGTATCGTGGACAGATGCCAGCTCATTCAACAGCAGCTTGTGATTGGTACAGAACTGATGCAAGCTGCCGATTGGTTTTAGAGCAGAGGAAGATGTCCGGACGAGTCTCATACGCACGAAGGAAATCGACAGTGAAGTGGGAAGGATCAAATGCCTTCTTGATCAACACGATGCCATGTAGTAACAGGGTGATTCAGGTGTGCGGATGAGATTGGTAACACCGGTCACAGCGTTGTCAATTGCTGACCACAGCGATACAAAAGAATGAAGGATGAGAAGCATCAGCGAGAAGCTCGAATCGTCAGCTTTGGATGGTAAAGTGTGGGTGCCAGGGCGAGAGCTTGCATCACGAGCTCTCATGCCCCGGACGAGTGGCGTGGCATGCAGCAGTTGTGTAGCCTATCAAGGCACTCCGAGATCAAGCATTCTTGTTGCAAGATTTCTGGTAACGCATATGAGAGGTCGGTTGTGACATGGCAGGAGCATCAGAAACAGCGAGGTGCATGATCGGTCCAAATGCCAACGCAGCGTGACCGGATGCGCATAAGAACGGGTGGGTCATCCAAAGAGACACTCAAGTTCACACCCCGAGACAGATTTGAATGCCATTTCCTTGATTAGCGAGCACTTTTCGCAAGGCCAAGCGGCCTTTTTGACGACCGCCTTGAGGGTGTTGGGCGAATAAAAGAGCGATCCCGCGACGCGGCTCCCTTGGTTGATTCGTGCCCCGCTCGTGTCACCACCCAATCATTGTAGCGCGTCATGTGTTCCAGAACATATCATCACTTTTTCACAAAATCGGCTGGTCGTAGTGACTGGAGTGCGGATGAAGTATTATTATATGCAGGACTGAAGAACTAACATCATCCACAAACGACAATGTGACAATATCCATCACTCGTGCATCATGAACACATCTTACTCGTTCGAAACCTTGACAATCAACTTTCCACGAACACGACCAGTCTTGAGCGTTTCGAATGCTTTAGGTACGTCTTCCAGGCTGAATGTCTCAGCAATGACTGGCTTGACCTTGCCCTCAGCCATCCACTTTCCAATCTGCTTGAAGTCGTCCTCTTTGGCGTGACATGTCAGGAACTCGTACTTCAACGAACCACCTCCCAAAAATCTTGGAAGGAGGAAGATGGGCAACAGACGGCGGAAGAAGTCCATTGTCATGGTTGCGCCAACGTTGACGACCTTTGCGGTTGGCTTGGTGAAATAGTGAGCCTGCCAGTATAGCTCAGGGGAGCCGACAAAGTCGACGATGAGGTCGAAGCGCTTGCCAGCCTTTGTGAAGACCTCCAGAGCGTCTTGAGTGCGATAGTCAATGACCTCATCAGCGCCGAGACTCTTGCAGAGATCCACATTTGGTCCAGAACATGTGGTTGTGACCTCGCAGCCCATGGCTTTGGCCATCTGAATACCGAAAGAGCCAGTGCCTCCAGAACCACCGTTGATGAAGATTTTGTCACCGGACTTGACGTTGGGGACGATACATTGGTAGGCGGTCAAACCAGCAACGCCAACACAGGCAGCTTCCTCAGGCTTGACGCCTTCCGGAAGAGCGATGGTTCCATCACGGCCAGCAACCAGGTACTCAGCCATAGCACCGAAGAGAGGAGGCTCCGTCTTGCCGAAGACAGCTTGACCGGGCTTCAAGTCGCTTCTCGAGGTCTTAACGACCACACCAGAGAAGTCCATACATGGCGATGCTGGCTTAGTGATGGCCATCTGGCCGACGACAGGTGCTTCAGGCAATTTGTAGTCAACAGGGTTGAGAGCAGCATAGTGGACCTTGACAAGAGTTTGATCCTTGCCAAGCGAGTTTGCAGATTTGGGTAAGGCTGCGTTGTTGTTGAGCTCAAGACTCTTCTCGATGGTGCCTTTGATGGTGGTCCATTGAGAAGCTCTCATTGTGGAGGGGATCGACGAGGCCATGCTTGCGGTTGTGTGTAGATGACGAGTCAGTGGAAACAGCTGCCAGATGGGATTGGTCTTTGGTGATTAGTGTCAAGAGGGATACAACAAGTCCGTAAGTCCTCTGACGCTATGTCTCTCGGGTTTCTGGGCGGCGAAATGGTGAAGTGGTGAGATCTTGGAATCTCGCGAACTCTTGATTTCGCTTGTGATTATGACATAGGTTGAGCACTGACCAATTTCTGTAGGAGGACCCTTGAGAAATCTGGGCGCCCCTGCATCTTCCTGGACACCAGCTCGTCCGAGTCTTTCACTGTCATCTTCGTAGACAATCTTACCCAGCCTGCAAGACGACAGCATCTCGGACATCAAATCATCAACTAGAAGCTCGGAAGTAAAATGCTTCCGAAAATGCTAAAGACCAGATCTCTCGGTTGAACGGACTAAAGACGCCTCAGCCGTTTTCCTTATCTCCTTCGCTAGAGAGAACTTGTACCTGCCTACCCGCTTTGCAAAAAACGACACTGCATCCGCTCTCATGCACACAACCACATGGCATACCACTGTCGATCATTGGCATACGATACGTACCTTTATTGATGTCTCAAGATTCCAGACAAGGCCCAGATTCTTCTCGAGATCTGTGGCTGATCATCCAAAGTCCTCGCAAACGGGTATCGAGTTGGTTGCAAGTCTGGGAAGAAATGCCTCATCGCCAAAATTCTTCAAAATGCTCCTGATTCTTCAACTTCTTCTTTGCGGAATAACGGAATCTCTAGCATACGCGTATCTGTACACACGCTCGTGGTACCTTTTACCTCCCTGCATGCTCTCCACGCTCCCTGAAACAACGCGGGTCGTAGTGGCAACGCGCCGTTCGGCGGTAGCTGGGGGACTTCAACGTTGGGCTTGACCAGAACGTAAGTCGATGCCTGTAAGGGAGAGAAAGTCGTTTTTTCCCTCCATGTCTATCAGTCAAGATGATCCATCTCTTTGTCATTATCCTTTTCTTATTTCACCTTCTTCCTCAAGTCTCTCTTTCGTGCAAATTGCTTATATATCCTCGATCATTCTTTGTCTGAGCAAGTCTCTTGACAATCTTTCATTCCTTACCTTCTAGCATCCAAGATGAAAAGCACTATCCTACTATCTGCCTTCTCTCTGGCCTCTCTAGGCTCTGCTGCAGCGCATGGAGGTCATGGTTTCGGGCTTCAACGTCACCAGGCTGTTCAAAGTAGCAAGTCCAGTACAGTCACTGTCAAGACATCGACCAAAGCCGCAACAACTACTCTCAAGACCTCTTCAAAGCCAGCCAGCAGCTCATCGAAGGTGAGCTCAAAGTCCTCTTCGAAAGCTAGCTCGTCCTCGAAAGTCAGCTCAAAGTCTTCATCCAAGGTCTCTTCCTCCACCAAAGCCGCTAGCAGCTCGACCAAGCCAGTCTCTAAGACCTCTTCTTCGACCAAGGTAGTTTCTACCAAGTCAGCAACTCCATCCTCATCAACCATGAGCCTTGCCTTTAAAGCTGGACTTTCAGGCTACCCCGGCATCGAGACTCTCGACCTCTTCAACCAACAATGGGTCCCCTACATCTCATGGTACAGCAACTACGAACCAGTTGCCCCCAATATCAACGCCTCAACCCACACAGTAGTTGGTGCACCCATGCTCTGGGGTAAGGGCGACCAATGCCTGACCAACAACCCCGACGGGCCCGTCGACAAATGGCGCCTCGGCAACTTTACCGAATATGTAACAAGCGGCGAAACGCACCCTGACGTATTCTTTGGCTTCTACGAGCCAGACTGCGATTGTCCTTCTTCCAGCCACATCACAGACGTTTCCGTTGGCGTGCAGAAATGGAATGAGCTTATCAAGCCTCTGCGCAACCGCGGTATCGCACTGGGCTCACCACCAATGTGCACTCAACTCGATCAATCCTGGCTCACAAACTTTGCTGCTCAAGGCGTTACTTGGGACATCACCAGCATCCACGTCAACAAGCCCACTGTAGCTGAGGGCATCAAAGTCGTTGAATACTACGTCAGCAAGTTCGGCAAGCCAGTCTGGGTCAGCGAGTTCACCTGCGTCAACGACCAAAACTGGAGTTCGTGTGGTGACCAAAGTACCGTCAATGCTTTCATCGATGGTATGGTCAAGTACTTCGAAGGGAACGACATGGTTATTGCCTATGGAGCCAACAACGGTGAGGGTGTTCCTGGTGTGTGGAACTTGATGACTAGTTCGTGGCCGCCGCAGTTGACTGCCACCGGTCAGCATTACCAGTCTGTTCTCAAGGCACTTGCCAGCCAGAACACAAAGTGTTAGGATTGCTTTCGGACATGATTTTTTTCTTGACATTCCGGCAAGGCTTTTGTTTTTGGAAATGTTTTACGGTTCTCATGTTTTGATACGTTGAATATAGGTTTTAGATAGAGGGCAGGACCCAGAACTCAGATCACGAACTCTTCACGCCATTGACCTTTTCTCTACGTACACGTAGTCTAATTCATCGGTAGCCAAATACGCAATGAACGGTGAGCAGCACTTGAAGCAGTGAATCAAATATCAAAGTAAAAAAAGAAAGCTGTGTTTGATCGAACAGCAAGAGTTTATCCCATCTCTAAGCATCTTAAGAGTCTTCCTTCCACGTCCTTCTGAAAGCAGTTCCAAACTCCTGATCCCAGTCCGTGAAGAGAAAATGTGTAAAAGTGTAAGAGTAAATGCCAAGTTCAAGGTGACAAGGCGTAGTGAAGACGATAACGATAGCAGCAAATATGGCGGTTCCAGTGAATGAGGCGACTTTGGGCAGAGATGCAGCATCAAGCCAGGCGTGCAGTTTGGCGAAAATCGTGCAGTGTCAATGTTGGCGAGGTTTCGATGGCACCTTTGGTGAAAAGACTTGTGGTAAGAGTGCGGCTTGTGGTCATGCTCTTCCATTTGCCTGGATTTCTGTCGTTCCTCGAGGTCAGCGTCAGGTCTGGTCAATCCATCTAGGTATTCCAAACTCACATTTGTTCTTGGCCAGTTCGTCGTGGTGAATTTCGTGAGCACATCTCACAGATAGCAGAACTAACTCAAGCTTTCCTACGCTTCTGTCCAGCTTGAGCAGTAGCAGCAGCAGCAGCGTCCCTCTCTGCCAACTGCTCTTTCAACTCTCTGACTTCATCCTGCAACACCCTGATAGCCTCCCACAGCTCATCCACATCCTGCTGCTTAGCAACATCGATCCCCGAAAAAGATGCAGCAGCAGCAGCCGCAGCGGTCGGGTTTGCAGCATGAGCACCGTTACCTCCTGCAGTCGCACCTCCAGATGAAGCAGCTTTGGTCTTGTGGTTTTCGCGATACCGGCGTTTGGCTTCTTCGCGCTCGGCATCGGTGTGGTATTTGCGTGGTCGTCCTCTGCTGCGTTTGTTGGGGTCTTGGGTTGATGGTGTTGTGGTGTTGTTGTTGGTGTTGGGAGAGATTTGATGGTGGTCAGTGGGTTGAGTGATGGGGCTCTGTGCTGACATGCTCATTGGAGAGGACGAGCTTGCAGCCATCTTTGCGTCGTTGTCACTCATTCTGAACAGTGAATTTTGTCTTCCTCTTGCTGTCGATAGATGATTTGCAACAGATTGAAGAAGTGTGAAGGACAGTAGAATATAAAGTCAAAAAGCTACGAGTTTGCGATTTGATTGATGTTTGATGAGTTGCACTTTTGGTTGCCGCCCTCTCTGTAAGTAAGAGAAACAAAGAAAAAAGGCCGAAAAAGATAAAAGGAGAGATGAGAAGAAAAAAGGAAATTCTTTGTTTTCTTTGCATTTTTCTTCAAGAATCCCCCGCACTTCTGACGCAATCGTTGAGTGATCCGAGCGTTGGTATCTTCTCATCCTGCCCTGTCTGTTTGCTGTCCCTTTTGGTTCCTTCCTTTGTGAACTTCGATACAATCGACACAAGACCAAACATCTCAGAGAACACAAGCAGATATTTCTTATCGCTGCGCGTCTGCAATGATGGTACATACGTTCAGATTTGGCAGCTACTTTTATTCCATTGAGATGATACCCCTGTCAAGCTGTTTGAATCCACCATCCTTTCTTTGGTTATGAGCAGTGTTCATTAGGAAGTGTGGTAGAGTTTCGCTCTCTCGGTAGACCTCAAGCTCATCGTATCCTGCAGGAGCGGTAAGAAAAAAATCCGAGACTCTGTCACACTACAAGGGCATCCCCCCCTATCTCCGTGAGGTTCATAATGATTACACACACTAAACATTTGGGCATACATAGGGACTGCGCTACCACTCAAAGCAAGCCTTGCGTGATTAATATATGCTCGGATACAGCTACTGTTTACTCTACACCATGTACAAATGTACAAAGAGGCTGCTTAATTCTTCGTATGCTCCGTTTCTTCCTCCTTCTTCTGATCCTCGCAACCCAGTTCGAAGTGTTCCAGCGTATCCTGGACCCGTTCATCATTCGTTAAACATCTCCGTTTGAACAGAACTGCTCTAATCCTCGCCAGCATCATAGAACTCGGGAACAAATCTGGAACCTGTTTGTCTGCGCTTCTGACGATCCATCAATGGCTCGGTTTCGTCGTCGTATTCATCATCCTCTTCGGCCTTTCTCTTTGCCGGAGTATCGTTCGAGGAGCTGAGTCTCGACCAACGCTTCTTAACGCCGTGCGAGCTTCTCTCAATATCATGCTTGGACAGGAGTCGTGTACTGCACAATCTGGCTCGATCGCGTTCGTTAAGCATCGACTGCACCGGATCTTCTTCGATTTCCTTGTAAATGTCGGCCATGGCCTTGTCCTCTTCGTCCGTCCAGCGCTCGGATTTCTTCTTCGCTCCATTGGTAGAGCTCGGAGCGGCGCTGTCAACACGATCGTCGCTCGCAACGGTGTTACGACGAGGGTCATTGATGGCTGTGAACTCCTTACCGAGAGATCTGATGGTGAGAGGAGTATTGGAAAGGACGTTGTAAAGCGATGCGCCGACAGCAGAGTTGCTGGGAGTGATGGTATCCTCGGTACTCTGGACAGTTTCTCGCTCGCGTCGATGCTTGCAATATCGAATGGTAATAGCGACGGATGTGCGATCAGTGCCAAAATGGGTCTTCAGCCGCAGTCTGCACATATCTGCGCGTTGTGTTGTGGTCGTATTGGCGTGAGTCGGATCTGTTTCAAGATCATCCATGATTCTGATCATTACATCGTTCTCCTGCGGGGACCAGGCGATGGTTCTCCTGATGCTAGCATCTTTCTCTTCGACAGACTCAACCGTTTTGACACCGCGTGGAGTTTGTATACGGGCTTTAGGTGCGGTCAAGACTGTTCGATGCTGTGTTCCATCGTTGACAACTGCGTCTGAGGTTTTCAGCCACCCCAAACTTTTCCACATGGCCAACAGTCGTTCGCCCTTCTCCTTGGGTTTGCTGCCTCCGAATTTCAGAATTCTGAGCCAACGACTCTGGTCTTGGATCGTCGAGTCGTACTGATTGAAAAAATTGCACTTTGTCTGAGCATAATCCTCGGCGTTCCAGCTCATGGCGGCAGCAATGATTCTGTCCGGCTCGGGAAGCTGATCGATACCTTCAGCATTTAGACCACTCTCCAACCAGTCCAGTGGTTTGATTGACTGGACTTGTGGCAGAGACATCAACAAACCGTGGTAGTCAGCAGGGTAACCGACCGGAGCACGGCTCATGACTGTCAGCCAGGTATCGTCAGCAGTCTTTACTTTCGGTGTTCCATCACGAGAGGCGGTGGCCCGAGTTCCGTGCAAGACCGAGTTATCGCGCTCCGATGAGAGCTCGCTGATCACTGATCTATGGATCGATTTCCTGTTGCGACTCTTGCGCACCAAAGGATCCGACTTTGCAACTCGAGTAAGCGGTGGCTTGCTAGTAGGAGCAGCAGCCGGCTTGATGACAGGGACAGAAGCTGGCTGGATAGTAGGCTCGGGAGCGTTGATTGAGGGTCCCGTAGTTGGAGCTGACGAGTGTCCACACGCTTGCAGCGATTAGCATCTTCCTCATTACTTATGAGGGGGGTAACTTACTCGCCAAACGTTCCTCCTCGCTATGATCATGGTACTTGCAGTAGTCATGACAACATGAGCAGTTCTCGCCTTCCCTCTGCTCTACGCGCGAGCGCTGGAACAACTTCTTGAAGAAGGCATTCGACTTTGGGTACTGTGATGGATCGTCGCTAACGCCATCATCGTCTGAAGGATCCCAGTGGTTGAAGTATGTGTCTTCAACATAGCGAGACAGAGGAGAAGATGCACCGACCATCTCCTCGATGACAGAGATGTGCCCATAGTGGAACAGGTCGGTGTCGTTGCGCTGGTCGTCTTTGCAGGCTTTTTGTAGCTGTGAGATGGAGCAGCGCATGAGGGCGACAGATCCAGCGGCGTGGCCCAGGAAGTAGAGTTCTGTGAGATCATACCAGCTGGTGGTATCCACTTTGCCAGTGTATAGCCATCCGAAGAATAGTGTTAGGAGGGCTCGGCTTGTCTCGAGCACATAAGGGTGTTTAGGAACAGTGGGAGAAGGGTGGAGTTTAGGGCAGTAGAAGGCCAATAGAGATCGTGGAACCATGAACGACTGTGGCATGCGTTCGTTGGTACAGATCTCGACTTGCTGCTGATCGCTGCCGATCAGGCGCCTGGACAGAAAGGTGAGTAAGAGCAGAGTAGGAATGGATGAACGGCACTCACGTCAAAGTCTGTTCAGTCCAGATGTGACTGCTCCAGGCCTGTGGCGCAGCCATGGCGACGAACGTAATTGATGTCAGGAAACAAAAGAACAAAGCAAAAAGCTGATACTTATCAAGTTGACTGTGACGGAGTGTTGTGGTAGTTATTGAAAGTGGGGGTGCAAACAGACGCACGCGATAGATGAAAGCGAATGCGGCACAGCTCGTGCATCGCACTTGCTCAATCTCTTTGACCGCATCTTCGTCGGAAATCCCATCCTGCGTCAAGTCAATATAAAAATGCAGCCAAGACCAGACTAGCTCCGCAGTCTCACCACCAAGGCGATATCTGATGCCCAAAGCTATGCTGCACTCAGAAAGTTTACAACCTCAGTCGCTCTGGATTCCGAACGCGAGAGTCTTTATGGTATACAGATTGTAGAGAAAATAAACACTCTATTCGGGGTATCTCAAGTGCTGTAAGTGGAAATCTATGATATAAAGTTCTAAATCGTAGGAAGCGGCCTCAAATGCCAGAGACCGAATTCTTGGTGTTGACACGATCAATATCGTAAGGACCGGCCTCATACACCGAAGCAACCTCTCTGACGGTATCGATCGTTCTGGCTCTCGTGAGCTCCATTGGATCTTTGACACCCTTGGCCTCAGCCTTCTCCACGTCAAACTCGTCTTCGCTTCCCATGCTACTTCCTCTGGCTGTTGTTGTTGTGGTTGCTGCGGCCTTTGCTTGGAGCATCAAGACTGCTTTCTCGGCAGCAGCGGCATATGTGCACCTAGCCCTAATTCTCGCGCCGAACTTGTAGAAGATGAAAGGCAGGGGTACACATAACAGGGCGAGGAAAGCGGGAATGGACGAGGCCCAGTGAATGCCGAGGCGATCATACATCTGATGTGTAAAGAGAGGGAATGCGGCACCAAATAGAGAGCGAAGGACAGTGTTCGCGGCGAGAACGGATGCGGCGTAGATGACATATGCATCGATGAGGTAAGATGTGACGGAGAGGAAGACCAGAGTAAGTCCGAAGCCGAAAGGTGCACCGGCCATGATAGGTGAGATCCAGTGGATCGAAGGGCCGTTCGTCCAAGCAAACCAGAACATCCCGATTGGGAGCGCGACAGAGCCAAACATGCCGATGATGAGACGTGCTTCAGGGGGGGCGAATCCGCCATGTCTAGCCGCTGCTGCCAAGTACCATTTGTGCGAATAGAGAGAGAAGCCAATAGCGGAGAACATGCCAAACGCGACACCTGAATCAAGGGTCAATGTCTGTACAGACACAATCTCTAAAAGTGACTTACCGAGGAATGCCAAACCACCGACACCTTCGCTCCAGCCGCGATGGATCTGGAAGACTATCGGAAACGCAGAAAAGAGAAGATATAGGGTTCTGTGACAGAACGTTAGCGCGGCTCTCAACCATGAGGCAGGTAAGCGAAAGGAGGAAGGGAGAGGAGAAGCGTACCCATAGATAATGGCGATATAGATGGACAGAAGCAGAACAATCGGTTCAGTAAATAGCAAGATCCAGGGGCGAACGAGGACGGTCGAAACCATCTGCTTAGCCGAGATGGCACCTCGTTCAGCATCGAACTTGGATGAATAGATCATGCCAGTTCTCTTGGAAAGCTCCTCTGCACGGCGTCTAAGTAAGACAGGAGCATATGTCTCTGGCACAATAAAAGAAGCCAAGATCCACAGTACGCCAGCAAAGATGGCTAGCAGGCCTTGTACCCAGCGCCAGCCTTCGGTCTCACCCAAGAAGCCTCCCACCAGAGGTCCGACAGCCGGGCCGAGACAGGGAGCAAGACTGAAGATAGTGATGGCAAGGCCGCGCTCTTGAGCCGAGAAAATATCTGATATGACACCTCCGGCGTTGGTGAAGGGCGAAGAGCCGAAGGAGCCTGCGAAGAATCTCAAAACGAGGAGGCTCCCAATGTTGTTGACCCCAGCACAACCAGCAAGGAAGGCTGTGAACAAGGCAAAGGTCGAGAAGAAGACATATTGGCGGCCGATAGTTTCGCTCAATGGCGCCCAAATCAGAGGACCCAGAGCGAAACCAAGGACGAAGAGAGAGACGCCAGCTGTGACAAGCTCTGTCGAAGCATGAAGGCCGTAGACGAGTTCCCGAGTCGTTCCTGCCGTTGATCAGTATTGCGTTGAGCACATGGTAGTTGACGAGCGACTAACCGCTGAAAGCACTCGAGGCAAAGGCAGTAGCGAAACATGTCATGGCAACAGTCATGGTCACGATCCACTTGAAGGAGGTCGACCAGTTCAGGGGGTTGCCGGTGTCTTCAGGTATCCAGATGACTAGGTAGGGGTCGTCTGTGGTACCCGACCCCTCGTAGTGATGAGCCAAGACATCTGGGTTGATGCGAGCTTGATCACGAACAAGACGGAAGAGGGAAAAGGAGTTGGGAATGCTGGATTGCAACTTCTTGGAGTCGGGGGAGTCCATTCTGGGGATGACGAAAGGGAGTGAGGTGGTAAAACAGGACCTACATGTCATGGGTCTACACGATGACTATATACAGGAGGACTAGGGCACTCCGTCGGGAACAGACAAGAACTGGCCGTTTTGGGATGAAGGTTTCTCTCTAGCATGCCGAGGCGTGGTTGGCATACGGTATGTCGGAGGTTGGGGTGGCCGTGAATCAACAAAAGAGTCGCTGAGAGTGATAGAAGGGCCGTGGAATCTGGAGAGGATGAGGAAGTGTCAAGCGAGTCGCAAAACGATGAGCCTCGGCTAAGACGATTTTATGCCAAGCTGTCATCCAGATCGAGGAACACTTGCGATGCACGGAACGTCTTGAAGGAAAGCCTTGCGAGAGGGAGATTCCATGACGCGAGGTGGACGTTGAAGCATGTGATGATTGAGATTACGTGGACAAACATGGCGACATGACAAGAGTGGTGGAGGGCGGTGGCCGACACAAGATTGGTGACGGGAAGAGGTTGACGAGGGAGGCCAGGAGGTGGCTCCGGGATGATCAGCAGAACATCGGAACAAACAAGACAAACCAGCATTTCACATGCAAGACGTTCGCTGATCGAAGGCGAAAGCTTGAGCCTCTGTCGCATTCAATATATCAACCAAGCATCGCAAACATGAGCGGCGCATTGAGAGTCATCGACGAGTCACCGCAGGAGGGCGACTACACCAGCCTCGAGGCGCATCAACAAGAAACACCAGGCAGCTTCTACGATGCCAGAGCTGTCTTGCACCACCGCGTGCAGAATGCTACTTTGAAGGTGTCGGAGCACGAGCTGGCCAACAACCCTGCCTTGCAAGCATTGCGCACTTCTGCTGGTCCCGGCGCTGCCCCTCACGCCTCTCCTCACTCGCACACCAATGGCGACGGCGAGGAACCCAGAGTCGACGTCACCATTACACGCATCCAGATTTGGGTCACTTCAGAGTAAGCTGCTCTCGTCTACCCTCCCTCATCAGCTGCTTCCATACTGAAAACAATCAGCTTCTTCACCCTCTGGAGCTCCTCTGCTGGCCATGGTGTCCAGATTCCCTACCGAACCATTTCCCTGCACGCTCGTCAACAAAACGCTCTATACCTGCAACTTTGCCTTAGCGACATCTCGCAGACCGCCGATGACGATCTTGAGACTGTTGAGCTCCTGTTGACACCCGAGCCTCTTGCCGAGAGTACTCCTACCGATCCGGCTGAGAAACTCTTCACCGCTGTATCTGAATGCGCCGACCTACACCCCGACCCAGATGAGGATGACGAGCAAGAACAAGAACAGGAGCCTGAGCCGGGAACTGGTGGCTGGATCACTTCCGAGAATCTGCAAGACTTTATGGATGAAAATGGCGAGTTTCGTATGCCCGAGGGCGGAAGTCTTGGTGCTGGAGCTGGCACAGTGAGAACTGCTGATCAGTTTGAAGATGCCGACGAAGGCCATGAGCCCGACGGTGAAGACGCCAAGTGGCGTAGAACGAGCTGAGCCAATGCTGAGAAGACATGGCTACAACCCAAACCCACACACCCGCCGTTGGACACCCTGATCAGTGTTCATTACTCATGTCGGGGTGCAGCCGCTCAACGCGCCATGTATTTGCGTAGAGCTGGCCAAGCCAAGAGACTCCTTGAACAGTCAACCTCTGGATAAAGAGTCGAAGTATCGCAGACCGGACGAAAACTCAAGGAAGCAATCATAACTTCGGGCGTACACCACATCATATCAAACACTCCATAACTTGCTCCTTTTGGATCCTTTCATAGCAGAGATTTATGGCGAATGCCAAAATGGAAGAGGCCTTTGAAGCGATCAAGCCTGCTCACATTCTTGCCCATCTCGCGTTGGTTTCCAAAAGTCGAAGTCACAGGCGCCCCTCTCTCTTCGAATACTCGTGCCCTGCTGCGTATTACCAAAAGATAAGTGCGATGTTCGATGATAAGAAATCGGTCAGATTTGATTCAGCCTCAAGTTTCGAATGGCAGGGTGATACCCTCGACCATGCCAGACGAGAACAAAAGACCCGTAGCACGACCACAATGTGCTCAATGTACTGGGAAATTATGCTGGTAGACAGCTAATGGTATACTCTGTCCTCAGATATTACGAGTAGAGGTTGCGACCCTTGCTTGTGGTGTTACATCGCTTTTTGGCTTGAACAATGTCTTGCCTCAAAAAGTCGACCACACATCAGCGTTCTAAAGCTACTCAATTGCCCGATGTTATACAAACAACCTAAATAAGTACTGAGATAACTTGACGGAATGCAGACATATTGAAAGAATAGATCTTCGATACAACTAGCAGATCCAGCAGTGGCATACAAGATAGCACGATTGGCATTGACTGGCATGTGTTAAGCACATCGAAGGCAACGAGCGCTGTGGTTCTTGTTCGAAATCACCGGCCGTTCCCAATCTACTCCACGCGTTGGCATCTCGTACTTCACCACAAATCCCGCTGCTGTATTGTCGTAGAATCATGTTTTCAGCACGTACGGCCACAGTCAGCTGAAAACTGGGCATCCCGTCCGCTCTGCCATACATAAGCAGTTGAACGGCAGATTAGTACTACGGTGGGTGACCACGTGGGAATCCCTGCTGCTGTACGTTTTGCACTTTTTACATCTCCTCCACTCCATCTGCATGGCTATGCATAAAGACGACCTTTGCTGAAGAAAAACCGAATACGAGGTTTTCTTGACTCTCGACATGTTTTGCATAAAAAAAATGCATACAGAGCAGTAAACCACGTGGTGGGGGAACAGCACCAAGATCTGCTAGGAGATCGGTGACAGGTGATCGGCGTGAGGTTCATCGATCTTTTTGAGAACAGGGGCCGTGGAGCTGGTTTGTTTTGTTCATGACATCGTGGTTGTTTTGATCACTTGCAAGATGCTCGATCTGTACGGAAGCGGCTATCGGAGGGCGGTCCGATTCGATCTCGTAGTGCCTTTCTCTGGAGAGGCTTCGGTCATGAGGAGTTGAAATGCAGATGGCTCAAGGTCAGATGCATTGATAGGTTCAAGTGTCACTGTTATTTGTTGGCATAACTGACAAAGGAAATGTGCATAGTGAGAAAGCAAAAAAGGAAGAAGAGTACGAACAGCCTGGTCTAGATCAAATGATGCGTGGTTTGGGGAATAGCATTCCTATAATATATAGAGACTATTGCCATATGTGTGGAATAGGTGACTGACATGATAGCTGTTCATACTATCCAGGAGCAATATTCGCACGGGTGGGAACGAATTCCCATCTTCGATTCTCCAGCCGAATACGCAGACATTGCTGACGCTGTAAAGAGACGAGGAACCACAGATAGGAAGAAGATCAGAGCTCTCAGCCAACTGGTGCAGTGCTCGGCTGGAAGCAGCGAGCGGACATGCATATGTTTGTCTAGAAGCGCCACAAAAACACGGTCGAGAACGTTGTGACACGGTCTGGACAAAGCACATCGACGATTGCAAATCGTCGACGGCTTGCAAAGCTGAGACGAACACCAGCAGCTGTAAAAACAGAGCGAGTCAAGCGATAGGAAACATCAAGGCGCGACAAATGAGAGTCTGGTGGGTTTCTAGGGTGCGGGAGATTGTGAGGCAGCGAGTGGGAGAGTTGTGGTTTGAAAGCGTAAATAATGCACAAACGTTAAAGCGAGGAGAACGGGCAGCGCACAGTCGAAGCCGGATGCAAGAAGGCAGAACAGCCGGCGAATCTCACTTGGAGGAGCAACTTGTGGCAGCGCAATTGTGAGTGCGAGGACGTCAATATACCAGCTGGGAATGGAAAAGTCTCTGATGAGATTCGTTGCATGTTCGAGTGGTGGGTTGGACGAGATTATGTTATTTGAATGGAGGATTGAGTTTGGGAGTCGAATGTGGGCAGCATGACGAGAGCCAAGCAGGGCCAGAAGAAGGCTCGCTGTTTCAAGCGGCAGACGCACGCTTTGAAGGTCCCATAGCACGACAAGAGGAAGGGCAGGTAGCAGTGCTGCATCTCGATCCACCTGGATATCCGCTCTCGACGACGAGCCCAGTCGAGCGTGCCCATATCGTCTCTGTGCCTCAGCCCAGCACCGGTCGCCCGTGCCCGCTCCCGTCGCACTCGCCGTGCTTCTCCTGCGAAAGCTGCTGATGCGTCCTTTGTCCACGGGCCCCTCTGCGCGTTGCTTTGCTGAACTCGACGAGGCCAAAGGGCTATGTCCCACCCGCCTTCCACCAACGACGGTCCCGACATGCGTTCCTACATGGCGCCGCCGCCTTACAACGACGATGCCGACGACGACGATGACGCCACACCGAGCGCGACCCCTGCAACCAACGCCCACGACGCCGCTGCCGCTCCTGCTCTCACTGCCGCCGCCAAACTGCAGGCACGTCCAATACTGCGTCCCTCGCCGCCACACAGCTCCACCACGCCCTCTATAAACGAGCCTCCTCAGTCGCCAGGCCCCGACACGGCTTCGGTCAGTCCCGACGAAGAAGAAATTGCTCGCCTGCGTGCTGCTGTCACGGCCAGGATGACTTCTAACCTGCAACGGGCAAAGGCCAATCTAGCCGCTCAACAGCACCAACTGTACCAACCTCAGCCCGACACGCTGTCGCCTGCCGTCGCTCGTTCGAGCTCGTCCAACCAAGTGCCCCGTCGACCCTCGCCCATCAAGGAGGAACACGGCACTGTTTCCCCCCTCACCGCTGCCTTTAGTAGCCCTCTGGCCACCACCCAAACCGCCTCTACCGAATCCACATCTTCGTCATCTCGCACCATTCGTGGAAGTGCTGCCGCCACACCTGCTGCTATGCCCTTGCGCACTCCCTCGTATCCTTTTCCATATGTCCCTGGCACTCCGCGCACATGGTCGTCAGCCTTCCACCAGCCTTTCACTGCTTTGTCGCCAACTGTCTCTGCCGCTCAGTCCGGTGATAGTAGCACCCCTGGCGGTGCTGCCATGTCCGGTGCAACCACTCCCGCCGCTACTGGTGCCGCCTTTGCTCCCCAAGGCTTCGAATTTGGACCCAGTCAGGATCCTCGCTTCCCGACCCCTAACGTCTATGATCTTGTCTTGCAGCTCAATTCGGAGCCCGGCCTGGACGCTTGGTGGTCAACAGTTGCAAACATAATGAATGATGTCTACAAGGCGGACCGTGCGAGTCTGGCCCTCCCTGCAGACTCGAATGATATCGAGAATGTGCCATGGGGTCAAAAGGCTACTTTCAATGTTTCTGGCCGTGAGGACAGTTCGAATGAGAGCCAGGCTTCAAACCACCCACCGCCTTCTATTTCATCACTGGCTCCACGTTCAGATCCGTCCACTTGGAATCGTATGCGCCCAAACCTTGAAACTCGTCACTCTTATGCTGGTCATACTACGGCCGACTCACCACTCCGCCCGGGCTCTGCTCTACGTCCAAACATGCCTTCACGCACTGTCAGTCATGCGCCCAGCCTGATGAACGCCCCTATGCCGTCGCCAGGCCTTGACAATCGCACAACCAACTACCGCAGCACATCCGTCAGTGACCCCGAGTTCAGTAGTGTCGGCGGCTACAGTCAGCCAGCCCAATTAGCAGTCTATCCTGTCCTCAAGGGGCTAGAAGCTGAGGTTGATGGTCTCATCGACTCAAGCGGAATCAACAGGGTGCTGGAAAGGGGCAAGCTGATAACACTGACCCGCGACTACTCGAATAATGGACAGGATAGCCGGAGCTCTTCCAACAGCTCACAGGACGAGAGCACAGTTTCTGGCCAACGCTCGACGAAAGCAAGAGCTCAACAGCCGCCACCTGCTCTACCCGCTGGCAAGGCCTCTCAGCTCTTTGGCAACTCCCGCACCCTCTTTTCACAGCTGGACAATAATAAGCGGCGTAGTTCGGTTTACGAAGAATATGAGCAATACCCACCTTCGCCTTGGGCTCAGTCTCCAGCACCCTCACCTGCTATGCAAGCCGATCCCGAGAACAATCCCTTTTTCACCGCAGAGGAAAGTGTCGAAGACTCGTTTAACCCAAATGACGCTACTCATGATTATTCACATCTTGAGCCTGTCGAGGCCATTGGCGTTGATCGCGCTCATACCGTTGTGCACATCCCTCTCATACATCCATCACTGTCGCCAATAATGCACAACTATCCTACGGAATCACCTAATCCCGAATCTCGTCCTGCAAGTCGGGCACAATCCGTGTCACAAGCATCGTCTGGCGACCGGAGAGCACCGATCGCCATTCTCTCCGTTCTCAGTCCCGCCGTGCCGTACCCTCAGAACCTCGTACAGTCTCTCAAACTGCTGGGACCACATCTGGCCACCTCGTATTACATGGCCCACCAATACACTAATGCACACAACCAGGCTATGGGTGTCCGCCATCGTAGATCTCTCTCGGGCCATAACGTTGGCTTTGCACCCTTGAATATTGCGCCTGGAAATCTCGATGATCTCATTCGCGCCGACCTCGATGAAGTGGCAGGTTCCATATCTGGCAGCATGACTAGTCCCTCTGATTACTCTGGTCGATCACGCCACAGTCCTTCTGGTTCTATAGTTGGTACCCCTGGATGGGATCCTTCAGCATTCGGTCTCAATTCAAACAGCAGATCAGTGGTCAACACACCAGCTGGATTGCGTGGATCGGAGATCATCGACAGTTACTTCGACGCCAAGAAGATGCACCGTGTAGCAGGTACTGCTGGTAACCAGACTTCAACTACCACACCTGCGAAGGACAGAAGTAAGAGAGTATCGGTGACTACGGCCGACGAGGAGCAGACGACACCCAAGAGCGAAAGAAGATCCAGGCAATCGCGTTCCCTCAAAGAAGATAAAACTCCACTCAAACTTGTTGGCCGTGAGCAAAGCCCTCCGCGTACCGCAGAGAACTCTATTCTCAGGAAGCCTAGCTTCCGCAGTAATGCACCTCCTCCAACAATCATCGCAGAAGGTGAAGACAAGCGCCACTCATATTTACACTCTTATGGTGCCGACTTTAGTTCATCGTTCCAAGGACTTCCGGCTGCAACCACGCCTGGCCCCAGGACACCCGGAATTCTCACTCATGTTAGGGCGAGCTCTGTGTCTGACGAGATGCCTCCGCCTTCCGAACGTTTGTTACGCACAATCATCGATTCGCTGCCCGTACAAATTTTCACCGCTGCTCCTGGCACTGGCGCGCTGACATGGGTCAACTCGAAATTCCTAGTATACCGTGGACATGATTCTAGACAAGTTCTGAAAGAGCCGTGGCAAGCGATACATCCGGAAGACAAAAACAAGTACATGGATACCTGGAACAGATCGCTTCGGACAGGCCAGCAACTGCAACAAAAGATTCGTCTACAGCGATTCGATGGCAATTATCGGTGGTTCTACGTCCGAGCTGCACCTTTGAAGGATAAGAAGCAGAACATTGTTCATTGGATCGGTACAAACATGGACTTCCACGAACAACATCTGGCCGAAGTGAACCTTGCCCGCCAGCAAGAGACTGCTGCTTCCGAAGCAAAATACAGAGCATTGGCCAACTCGAGTCCCCAGGTCGTCTTCACCGTCAACAAGTCCAAGGGTGTCACTTTCTGCAACTCTCAATGGCTGAACTATTCTGGACAGCGCGAATCTCAGGCTTTGGGCATCGGCTTCATGGAGCACGTTCATCCCGATGACATTGTCAAATGCAGGTTGCCCGCCTTCGAAAACGACTCAGCCAACGCTACCAATGTCCCGACCACGATGCCACCGGAGCCACACAGAACAATGTCCTCATCTGCTCAATCGTCCAGTGCATCGTCAGATACTGAACGTGCACCTACAAGTCCAATGAACACGTCACCAACCACCCAATTGCCTCAAGCAAGACTTTCCCAGTTGGCTTCCACTGGCATTCTCAAGGTTTCACGAGACGCCGATGGAAAGCCTTCATACTCTACAGAGGTTAGACTGCGCTCGAAGGACGGCGAGTACAGATGGCATCTCGTTAGAGTTCTGCTTGCAGAGCGTGATCTTCAGGATGACGAAGAAGAGACTTGGTACGGCACTTGCACTGATATCAACGATCACAAGGCTTTGGAACGTGACCTGAAGGAGACGATGGACGAAAAGTCTCGCTTCCTGAGTAACATGTCTCACGAGATCCGCACTCCTCTGAACGGCATCACTGGTATGGTCAACTTCTTGATTGATAGCAGCTTGACTTCGGAACAGATGGAGCACGTCAACATCATCAGAGCTTCTACTGAAGGATTGCGTGGTCTCATCAACGACATTCTCGATCTCTCCAAGGCCGAGGCTGGCATGATCCAACTTAATATGGACTGGATGCATGTCCGCTCTCTTATCGAGGAGGTCAACGATCTGACATCTGCAATGGCAATTGACAAAGGATTGGAGCTCAACTATCTGGTCGAACCTGATGTACCCTCCCAGATCAAGGGCGATCGTTTCCGCATCCGCCAGATTCTGCTCAACGTCATCGGTAATGCGATCAAGTTTACCATGTCCGGTGAAGTGTTCATCCGCTGTAGCGTGCCATTGGAAGAGGAATACCAGCCTACTGACGACTCGATGTATGTTCAGTTCGAGATCATGGACACAGGCCAAGGCTTTACCGAGAAGGAAGCACAGTACCTCTTCAAACGCTTCAGCCAGATCGACGGAAGTAGTACCCGTCAACATGGCGGAACAGGACTTGGGCTTGTCATCTCTCGTCAACTCGCTCAACTGCACGGAGGTGACATGTCTGCGAGAGGTGTGCCTGGCAAAGGCGCTACGTTCGCTTTCGTCATCAAGACCAGTCTGCCGGCCGGGGACGATAAGCCGCCTCCACCGCCTGCAACTCCTGGCGTTGCTCTGCTGCCTACCACACCTGTGACACCTTTACCTTTACCGACAATAACGCAAGACCCCAGGCTGTCAAACACACTGAAACTTCCTATCAGGAATTCACCCAAGTTACTTTCAGATGCTCCAGACGAATCGTCGCCAGACTTTGATGGAATCTCCCCTGTTGCATCTTCTTCTGGTAGCTCGGATCCGTCAATCAGGGGTACCGTTGGTAGTGCACAATCGGTCAGGTCTTCTGCATCTTCGTTCGTGCCCGATCCATCTCTCATGTCGTTATCGCCACCAATCGAGTTGTCGATCCCTACCGATGGCAAGTCCAATCTGGCTCCTAGGGATGCTAATGCGCCATCTTCCGCCATCAGAATGGTCTCACCAGGTGGCAGCCACCTGCCACCCATGTACTCGATCTTGGTTGTATGCCCGCTCAAGCATGCTCGCGACGCAACGGTGCAGCACATGGACATGACATTACCCAAGAACATCCCTCACAAGATCACAGCGAGGGAGAGTGTGATAGAATGTCAAAAGATGATCAGCGGAGACGATCCAATGATATTTTCGCACATCGTGCTGGTCCTGCAGTCGGTGCCAGAGATCATTAAATTCGTGCAGCAAGTGCTCGCTTCACCCCCTCACTCCATGACGCAATTGGTGCTCATTACTGATTTGCAACAACGACGAAAGCTTATAGAGCAAGCACCGCACTTCGACGACACTGCGCTAGCCAAAGAGAGAAGGATGCAGTTCATCTTCAAGCCATTGAAGCCGAGTAAGTTTGCCGCCATCTTCGATCCACGCAAAGAGCGTGAGATGAGCACCGATCGCAACCAAGATTCGGCGCAGCAGGTGGCCGTCAGTCAGAAGCAAGTCTATGAGGAAATGATTCGCAGATTGGGCGACAAGAACAAGCGAGTCTTGTTAGTGGAGGACAATAGGGTCAATCAAATGGTGAGCATAGCAAATGCCGATGCGATTCAGACATGGCTAACGGGATGCAGGTTCTTCTCAAGTTCCTCAGCAAGGTCAACGTGAAGGTCGATACAGTATTGGACGGAGTTCAATGCACCGAGAAGGTGTTTGCCAATCCTCATGGATACTACTCGATCATCTTGGTACGTATATTTCGGTCTTCTAACGATCATCAACTAACATGACCAACAGTGTGATCTTCACATGCCCAACAAGGACGGCTACCAGACTTGCCGAGAAATTCGCAAGTGGGAGAAGAAGAACAAAGAGCCGTATATCCCAATCGTTGCACTGTCGGCCAACGTCATGGGAGATGTCTACGCCAAATGCGTAGACGCAGGTTTCAACAGCTACGTGACCAAGCCGGTCGACTTCAAGGAGCTCAGCACGGTCATGTTGACATACCTGGACCCGTCGGACCCCGATCAACCCATCGAATTCATGAAGCAGAAGAAGTAAAGGTAGACCTGGCGAAATGTGCCATGGTCGGTATAGATGGCATTGGGCAAGATGGCCGTCACAGGTGCAAAGGGGCGTTGAAAGGATGTGTTTTTAATGGAATGCTTTTGTTTTTTTCGGTTGGGTCTGCTGTCCTCTTCTTATTCATGCCACCATCGACTTGCTAGGTTCTTTTTGCGAGGAGCAAAGGGCAAAGAGAAGGAGTTTTGAATGTCTTTGGATGGCGAAAACAGCATGGAACCGGGTCGTTGTGCGTTTCTCTCTTTTTTTTTTCTCTGCAAAAATCTTTTGTTGTGTTATTTCTCTTTTTTCTGCCTGCACGTATGCCCTGCATAGCGATACATTGGACCTTGTTCCTCGTTATATGTCCTTCACTTTCAGCTCATTGCTTTTTATCGTGTCTCGTTCCCTTGTTTGCTTGCTCTTCCATTCCGTGGATTCGGCTCTAACTTATCTTCCTACCAGTCTGCCATGCCTACACGCTTCCTCTTATGACTGACTTGACTATTTTTGGGTCAGAGTAGTGGCATGCTCGATCTCGCCTCAACTGGTGGGAGCCACCTGACTCGTGATGTATGTGTAGGATGACTTAGACTATTAAGATGGATAGATAGACAAGATGCAGAGGATGTGCATGGCCTTCGCGTGTTCTTGATGGCTCAAAGTGGAAGGCCGAGGTGCTTTAGTGTGGGGACGACCGGGCCGGTTAATGACGTTAATCGTGATTCGGGCGCGCCGGGAGCAGCGGTTCGTCCGTGAATCGTGCCTGCCTCTCTTGCAGGAACCTAAACAACACGCTCTTTGATCCAGTTATTCATACCTGCCTGTATTGGTCTTTGTCGGAGCGTAACCCAGTCGCAATGGATAGGCAAGAGTATCCAACCATGGCGGTATGTCTCTCCGCGCTGCGCCGACCCGCACAACGAGTCGACGAGCAGCAACAAGCTAAGAGGCTTTGCGCAAGGGCTGATATATACAATTGCAGGCCATTCTTGAGCCTGGCCAGGCCATCAACGTTCTCAATGACCGCGTGCGACAAGTCGGCCGTGTCAATTCCGACATCGCCGACTGGCTCCAAGTAAGACGCCCAATCGACCGAAGAGATAGCCACGACGAGAGCTTATGACTTCCAGGAACGAAGGAGACTCGAGGAACAGTACTCGAACGGTCTGCGTAAGCTCGCGAGGCGATCACCGCCCGGCGACTCGATTCAAGATCTTGGGTAATCACATCCAATCGCAACAACAACCAGACAATGACTGACATGCGTTACCTCAGCATCTTCTCTGGAACATGGACCACCCTCAGCTCTGCTCTTGAGTCGCTGGCCGAATCGCATCAAACGCTGGCCCAGAGGATTGAAGTCGATGTCGAGCGACCACTACGCGACTTTGGCTCGACCAATCGCGAGATGCAAGCCATGTCAACCATCCAAGGCAATCTCACTTCTATGGCCCGTGATGTTGAGAACGCACAGAAAAAGTCGGAACGTTTGAACAGCAAGGGCTCCAACAACGCGTCTCGTGCCGACTCTGAGCTCGAGGGCGCACAGTCGCAATGGACTTCTCAGTCTCCATACGTTTTCCAGTCGCTGCAATCTCTCGACGAGGCCAGACTGAACCATCTGAGAGATGTGCTTACTCAGTTACAAACACATGAGATCGACACGATCGAGAAGACGAGAGAGCCGGCCGAGGCTGTGCTGAATGGCTTGTTGAACATCGACGCGGCGGATGAGATCAAGACATACGCTCTGCGTGTCTCTAGCGGAGATGTGGTGCCTAAAGAAAACAAGATCAGGAACCGCCAATCCATCTTTGTTCCTCCTTCGCTAGCCCCATCAACTCGCCAGGATGATGGCGCAAGCATGCGCTCGGGAACTGGTAAGTCTGATAAAGCCAAGATCATGGCGAGCAGAGACTGACAAGATGGCAGCACCAACAGAGCGATCCTCAGAGCCCGAGAAGCAGAAATCTGGCTCCAAGGGCGGTTTGAAGAGACTGGGCACGTTGCTCGGGCGCAACAAGAACCGCGACAGCAAGATGATCCCTGACCGCGTGTCCGAGTCGCCAGAGCGCAGGCCATCCAGGCCATCGGCCTTCAACTCGCTATCCAGTAGATTCGGACGCAACCATGACTTGCCCACGCCGCTAGAGGAAAACGAAGAGACGACGCGCCCTCGCTCTCCCCTTCGCACCATCACCAGCAACACCGATTCATCGTACCGCGCTGGCACTTCGAACGGCGACAAAGAGTTGCCGCCTATCGATGGCTCTGCCCAGTCGCTGGCTGCTGCTGGCCTTGCTCCTGAGCCAAGCCACCAGACTTATCAGCAGAACCACGCTTCGCAGTTGCAGGAGCCTCTGCAGCCCTCGCAAGCATCCCTGCCTCTCCAGTCTCCTTCGCAGCCATCCGTTGCGCAACCTGTTCAACCTCTGCAGCCAATGCAGCCCATGCAACCCACACAACCTATGCAGGTGCGTACATGTCATCCTCATACAACACCCAGTCACTGACTTCAATAGCCCATCCGCGACAATCAAGGCTTCTCAGAGCCGCCGCCCGCCCTCGATGCCATCTCACAAGCCGAGCGAGAGGCGAGCGAGGCCAACGACCTTAACCAGCCCCAGTTCAAGCTGGACATCCGCAATGCTCCCATCGCTGAAGAGGGTGGGGACGCTGCTCTGACCAGCATGGCCAACACTCTCAAGATGCAAGCTCCTCCCCCAACCTCGCGTAGGGCCGGCACTGTTCGTGGCCGTCGTGACATGCGTGCTAGTGTATATGGTCAGTCTCCCGTCACCACCCCAGACGTCACCACCGAGGAGGGTCCCGTTACCGTCTCGCCTCCGTTACAAACAACCCAAGAGACAACACGCGCACCATTGGAGATTTCGACCTCGTCTCTGCCGACTGCACAAAGCCCTTCCTCTCCCATATTTACCTCCACCTCATCTACCTTCTCGCCCTTCCATGGCTCTGCTCAAGCCACTGCAGCCAGTATCTTTGCACGTCCAGCCTCGCGCGTTGGTGAGAGCGACTACGACGCAGGCTCCATCCGCTCCGGTCGTTCTCTCAGCAGTTCGCAGAGCCAGACTAACAAGCACCCTGAACTCCATGAGCCTGGTCTTAACAGCTCCATCATTGAGACTGTGAGCGCTTGGTTCGAGCAGGGACAACTTACTCGTAGCGTCACCATTGGTGAGATTGCTCTCGCCTACAACCCCACCGACTTCTCATCCCCCTTCGGCCACGAAAGCATTCGTGTGGACGGTTTCTCCAACCTGGAGAAGGTGGCCCCCAACCCAGCCTTCTTGACCGCCGCCACCGAGCAGCCCGGCGAATACAGCGTCAACCTTGGCGGCATCTCCAAAACAGCAGTGGCATTCAAGTACCAAGTCTCCTCCCCTGGCGCAACAGCCGCGCCCCTTCTCTTGAACCCAGCTTGGAAGATCGAGCCCACACAAACATCCGCCATTCTCAGCTACAGCCTAAACCCTGCATTCACCTTGCCTGCTGGTCAAAGCAGCGTCACTCTACAAAACGTAGTCCTGATGCTCTACCTCGACCCCACCTCCAAAGCCTCTACCTGCCTCTCCAAGCCAGTCGGAACGTTTGACAAGACCAAGAACCTCATTTACTGGCAACTGGGCAATATTACCCTCTCCTCTACTCCTGGCAAGCTGCTCGCGCGTTTCCAAACTCCAGAGGGAGAAGCCAAGGCAGGACACATTGAGGCCAAGTGGGAGGTCGTCGGTGCAGACTTGGGTACTGGATTGGGCGTCAGCGTCAAGGAGGAAGCCAAAGAAGCGGATCCCTTTGCTGATGAGAGTCTTGGGAGTGCGGAGAGCTGGAAGAGGTGTGCAGAGGTCAGGAGGGTCGTCACTGGTACTTATCAGGCTAAGTAATTTTTATATATGTCTCCTATAGTACTTGCTTTTCAAAAGAGACGGAATTGATAGGCGCTCAAGGAAGAAGAAGAAGAAGAAGAAGAAGTAATGTTGTTTGTTCCTCTTGATTGAGAGTTCTTTTTGTTATCACCACATTGTTTTTTTCTTTTTTTTTCTTTTGCCTTTTTTGATACATTTCCGTTGATACGATCTGTGTTTCCTTGTCGCGTTTTTGTGTTTCTGTATATTCCCCCCCGATGACTAATCGAGTTGTTCCGTTTTGTCCCTCTTGTCTTCCTTGTTCCCTTGATGCAGCACTGGAAGCCATCAAGATGCAGAGTTTCTTTCTAGATGGCAGCGATGTCCAGAGAGAGAGAGAGTCGATTACCGGTACTCTGTCACTACTCACCTCTCTCCCGACCATAAAGAAGGCGAGACCAGAGCTATGGAAATGCACAGTGTGTTTGGTAGACAAGGAGCATCCGCAGAGAGTCCATAAGATCTTGGCTCTCTATGGACTTTGCTGCAGCCCGGAAAGCACTGTGCATTTCCATAGCCATTTACATGGTATACACTTGCACATGGGAGATGGAAGACAGACGGAAAGAATGTGATTGTGCTATCTCAAAAAGAATGTATCAATCTCCCGACCAACAACGGTAAAGGACAGACATCAAGCCACAAGCCCTATAGGAGGAAAAAAGACCGAAGAATCAACTTCTCACGACTTGCCAAAAGAACGCAAAAGCTTGCGCATTGATCCCTTGGTTCTGCCTTGCTCGTCGTGAACAGTAGACCTGGGTGATGCTTTGTTCTCTCCTTCTGGTGATGGCTGGTTACCCGATGGTGATTCAACGCTCTTTTTCTTCGACGGCATGAGGGACCCAAAAAACGTGGATGCTCTTCTCACGGGAGTCTTTCTTTTGCCACTTTCCTCCTTGTCTCCGTCTCCATTCTCGTCTCCGGACCTGTGCGCTTCTGAATTGTTGCGTGATTTTGCCTGAGCACTACCGGCATTGAGAGCTCTTTCGTCGTTCCTCAGACGACCATGAATGGACGCATGAGTGCTAGCTGGAGCAGAATCGGCCTGGAGAAGTCTTTCGTAATAAGCGTTGGCCATGTTGCGTCTGACCCAAGCGGCAGTGTGTTGAGCTTTGGCTAGATGCTTATCGGCATGAGCGTATGCGAGTTCGGCTGCTCTGCACGTGTTGCGAGCCACCTGGGAGTCAATTGTGAGGTTCTTGACTTCTGTCTCTTGCTGTGTTATCTTGGCTTTGACGACTACGACAGCAGGATTGTCGTCGGGATTGCTATCGGGTTCTTCGCCAGCATCTTTACGACATGAGACAAGGTGTGCCCGAAGTTCTTCAAGGTGCGCGCTCGCCTGAGCGAGGACAGCAGTTGCGTTGTTGGACGTCACCCGGCTTCCGTCGAAGACAGCTCTGGTCTGTCTGACAACGGCATCTCTGATTGCAACATCAGCATTTGCTTCTTCTTGAGTCTTCTCGGTGTGCTCTGGCGTCGTTGATCTTGTCACGTCGCTGCGCGGTGGCGTCTCGGCGTCTGCTGGTGCTGGTGTTCCATCCTGGACTGGAGTGGATACAGCTTGGTCTGACGTCTGTACAACCTGAGCTGGAGAAGGCGTGGCTGGTACTGGTGCCGTTGAAGTCTGACCTGGTGTCGTTGCAGCCTGCTCTGGAGTTTCCTCGACCTGGACAGCGGTATCCTCAGTAGGCTCTGGTGGTGTGACATGGGCCTGGACCTGAGTATTTGCGATGCGCTCACGCTCAAGCTCACGCTCACTAGTAACGGCTGGTGGGGTGATGACCGATGCCATGGTGGGTAGACCGGACATGGTGCGTGAGGAGGATGGACAGATACAGTAGACTTGGTTGCAGTTGGGACAAATCCAAGAAGGGTCGTCGACAGTGGATGGACCAGAAGGGCTGAGGGCGGTTTGGTGGTTCATGTGAAGAATAGATGATGGAAGAATTGGTGATGGATGCTTGTGCTGAGATGGACAAGGGTTGGACGAAGCCAGAGGTTGGGAGAAGTAAACAGTTTGCGAAGCTGACGGGATCGGAAAGCGCATTGGTTGTTCTGCTCTTGCATGTTGAATGTGCAAAGCTCGAAAGTCGACAGGATCTAAGCCCAGTCAAGCGTCGACACTCAGGGCAGTTGTGGTAGGCAAGAGTTCTCGAATCCTTTGCAGTTGCTCCTTCCTCGTATGCCATAGAGTGTGTGGACTATGAAAATGATGAATGCCAGACTAAACATGTATCCGGAGTATCCAGAGTGTAATGCCTTCTAGTGATCACTTCGTATCTCCCCAGCTGTTGTATAACGTTTGCCAGCATCATAATGATATTCAAGCTGAGTTGGGACAAATGCATGGAAATACGTGATCATATGCATCTGTATACCGCCGTCTCAACTCAGCCTAGGTGCCATATGATCCCGGCAAGCGTCATGTTTACAGCTGTTCGCATTACATGTCTTTGCACATGGAGACAGTATTTTGCAAAAAGCGAAACCATCATGCCCACATCAAGCGACCAGATCTCAGGCCCACCAGAAGCGCCTCAAACTTTCATCCTGGCAGCATCAAGCATCTTCGGCAACCCTGCCTCTTTATACGTCTTTCCCTCGACCATCTTGGCCAAACCTTCAGTGCATGAAAAAATGAATGTCATGCCTCCTCCATTGAACCCAGCAGCTACGTACCAACTCTCCTTCTCGGGCACTTTCCCAACGAACGGGAAGCCATCTTTTGTCTCCCCTTGTATGCCTGTCCATAGATGTGTGATGGTCGCTTTCGAAGTCTCCCAGCCGCGGAAGACTCGTTGCATGTAGGCAGTAAAGTAATCTCGGACGTGGGGGATTAACGTGTTGTCGTCTGTGTTGTTGTACCATAGGGGTTTGTTGCTAACGTAGCAGTTTTTTCCGCCGCCGACGACAATACCAGAATCCGGACGTGGGTTCAAGTAGTCAACTCGCGTTACCTCGTCACTAGGATGTGGGAAGTAGATGTTGTAGGTGTTACTTAGATGTGGTGAGATTGGCTGGAAAGGGGCGATATGGCAGGCTGACCCTTTATACGGCACTATCTTGTCCTTATAAACTGGGCAGATGGCAGGTGTGTAGGCGTTTGTGGCAAAGATCACTTTTCTGGCGAGGATATTGCCATGAGCGGTATGTAGGACTGTGACTGAAGGGTTAAAAGAGGAGATGGACAGGATGGGTGTGTGGGTGAACAGGCGTACGGCGCCAGAGTCGACGAGCTTTGAGAGCAACTGCGTGACGAATTTGTAGGGCCAAAGACTGCAGACTGGCATACTGATTGCAGCTCTTGCACCTTGGATAGAAGTGACCTGTCTTCTGTCAGTACATCCCCCACAAATCATCCAAGAGATATAGATCGAATGTACCTGCTCCGCAAATTGCTCACCCACAAAATCAAAGTCTCGTGCCCATTGATGTCCTTCACGTATGGCGGTACGATAGAACTCCTCAGCTTGCTTTGCATCCCCCTCATCAATGTAGACATCATAGCTTCTCCGCATCTCAAATTCGCAGTTCAAGCTTTCTCTGTCTACCGCATCTTTCATGGCGTATTTTTGATTAGACAAGAAAGCAGCCATTTCATCCGCAGCTTCCAGACCAGCATCTCTGAGCCAATTACGCATCGTGAAGGCTTGAACTTTTGAATGGCCCTAAGTTGTATGTTAGTCCAAGCACAGTAAATGTCAGGTGCGACTCGATACATACCCCATTGCGACCCGTAGCTCCCGAGCAGACTTCTCGAGCATCGAGAATGACGATTGATGGCCTTTTCCCAGAAGGGTCTACAGCGTGCAGACGAGAGAGATGGTACGCTGTGCTGACGCCAGTCATACCAGCTCCGATGATTGCGATATCGCATGATTGGGGCAGTTCTTCGGACGAGCAGTATGAGTCTATAGGGTGCAGTTCTGAGCGCCAGTATGAGAAGGTATGGTTCGGCTCGGGAAAGCCATCGTTAATTCCTGATTGTATGGTTTCATCTTTGGCTTGAACGCCTTTGCCGAAGAGGGACCAGATGGTGTTCATGGTTGGGCCTCTGTTTCAGGTCAAAGATGGGAGGTTGAGTGTGGATGACACCGGTGGGGCAAAGATACACTAGACGTTTATTGTGAAGAAGGCGGTGCTGACATCTGGCTCACCGCCGATACTTGTATTAAGACCATTGCGATGCTGTTGCCTACCTGTCTGCGACAAGGACGTTCCTGCGTGAGGGGTTCCTGATGTAGCTGCATGTCACAGGCATTGGACATTTCCACCAACGAAATACATCTCACAACTACCGTTCGAAGCCTGGCCGTGTAGCTCTCTAACCCGATATTTTCAAGCTCGAGAGACTGGCGTGTGATCAGGACCTATTTCTATCCTCAAGAGTCAAGGCTGAAGAAAAGACATGCGGCTCTGTCGGCTGAGGCTTTGAGATTCCGTTGTTTGTCACTGCCGATCATGACGGAACCATTTCACGCACATGCTGCCATCCAGCGCTTACATTGGACAAACCCACCACACCCTTGAGTTGTAGAAGCACCCTTTGTATCAAAAGGCTGCAGGGCACCGCCCACTGTCGAAATAGAAACATGTTTTTCTTCGAGAAAACATAAAGTTAGGTCTTTTGTTTCTCTGTTCAGATTTCTTTGATTTGATGTTTTTTGTCCACGAACATATATCGCTATCGTTATCGGCATCTCAAGGGCTTATCACACGATTGAATACCTGTTGAACGCTTTACTTCTTTGCAACGAGCGAAGAACAAGCAGTCGAGAAACATACACACACGATGCAGCAATCACAGTCTTCGGCGGTGCCGCCGCCAGAATACACACGAAGGGATCCAGCACCATTGACACCATCAACACTGCTGGGCTCCTCCCGGACGCCATCTCAAGGCCCTTCTTCTCATGTTCGCCCACAATCTCAGACCCAGACGCAGCCTCAAATACCATCATCGCAAGAACCTCACACCTCTACCCCTCCAACATCCACAACAACCACTCCCTCCTACGCCCGCCCACCCTCACCAACCCCCAGCACCCAAACAACAGCCTCCACAATCCTACCCTCATACGCAGACTCCGGCAGCTACAAAGGCTTCCCCAGCGAAGCCGCTTACATCGCCGCATTGACTGAATGGGCCGAGCACAAGAAATACATTCAACCCAGTGAAGAAGCACAATCGCTGTCTGGATTCTTTGGGTACAAGACTATGGAGGAATATAGTGAAAGAGGCGGCGAGGCAAAGGCGGCGAGGAAACAGAGTCAAAGTGGAGGGGAAAGAGGAGGAGTTTTGGGATTCCTGAAGAGGATGGCGAAGAAGGACGAGGGGGGTGGGCATGGGGAGTGATGGAGGATGATGGATGGTGTTTGTTTGGCATTGTAGGAGTTTTGGACAGATTTTGGGTTTGGACGTCACGCATTGATCGATAGATGGTATTGAAGACAATTTGCGTATTCCAACAGTCATGGTCTTTCCAGAAAGAACATTATGGTTTTCCTGTAACAGAGAGCAGTGACTGAAAGAGCTACCCGAGTACCTACCTACCTATTGAAAAGCTCACATGTCGGTGTGGCGCGCTGGTGTGGCTGGTGAAAATCAAGGTGTGGTCCTAGCTTCTGGGCGCGTCATCCGCGCTTTCACATGTCAGCAAATAACTCGACTTTCAATACACCATCCTGACTCTCCAACCCTCATCTCGACAACTACATTGCGACTGTCCATCACACATTAAGATGGCTTCCATCAAGACACTCAAGGAGATTCCTACTCTCACCAGCTTGTACAAGCTCAAACACCTGACACCAGCCGCTTCGACAGTGTCTGGAGCCAGCAGCGCTTACAACGACAGAATCTGTATCATCCGCACCGACATCACGAAGCTAGAAGTCGACGCCATCGTCAACGCTGCCAACGAGTCATTGCTGGGTGGAGGAGGTGTCGACGGCGCCATTCACCGCGCAGCTGGCAGAGAGCTTTTGCGCGAATGCGAAACACTTGATGGTTGCGACACAGGCGACGCCAAGATCACCAAGGGCTACGAACTGCCATGCAAGAAGGTCATCCACACTGTCGGTCCTGTCTACTGGCGAACCAAGAAACAGGGCAGGCACACCAGTCTGTTGCAGTCATGTTACCGTCGCTCGCTGGACTTGGCTGCAGAGAATGGCTGCAAGAGCATCGCGTTCAGTGCGCTGAGCACTGGTGTCTATGGCTACCCTAGCAACGAGGCAGCTGCCACTGCTATTGGCGAAGTCAAGAAGTGGCTCGATACGGATAGCAAGGCCGACAAGCTTGACCACATCATCTTCTGCAACTTCATGGAGAAGGACCAGGATGCCTACTACGAGTGGTTGCCGTGAGTTCTTTCCGAGGTTTTTGTTTTATCAGCCACTGACTTAGCACGCAGCAAATACTTCCCATCGACTGAAATCAGCGAAGACCAGAGCAAGAACGAACATGTCAAGATCGAGGAACAGAAGGAACAGGACGTGGACGAGAACAAGTCGCTGGGCGCACGGCAGAAGGATGGCGACGACAAGATGCTGGACCAGTACAAGAGCGAGCTGGAAGTCGAGGCTGATGAGCAGACCAAGAGCGAGGAGAAAGGCCAAAGTAAGGGCGAAGAGAATGGTCAAAAGTTGGCCGATCTGCCTGATGTTCCCACCGTGGAGCCTGGCGAGCACGGCTTGCCTGAGGCTAAGAAACTCAAGCTTGACGACGACTCGAAGATCTGAGAAGCACAGGGTAACGGTCTCGAAACAGAGTCGTGGACAAATTGGGAGGAGAGAGACAACGGCCACGAGAAATATGCCATGCAGTCATGATATAATGAAGAGCCTTCTATGGCAAAGAAGAAGGAGCAGGAGAATGAAGAGCAGTTATATTCCATGTTTTGAAAATAAAGATCGGCGTCAATGTCAAATCTTGTGACGATTGCGCGGCCGATCAAGCTGGGGAAATGGCGGCCCGCGGGCTGCAAGTCGAGTCGAGTCTCGCTCGTCCTCAACCGGCAGGAAGTCGTCTTGATCATCTAACAAGCTTCCTGGCCGCATAATGTTTCTAACGTCGCTGTAGTCCGTCTCTAATGTATATTCTTTCCCCTTTCCTTACGGCTGTTGTACATAAAATCTGTTGATCTCGCTCTGCTGCGACTGGATTCATGGCCTCCGCCGACGACCCTGACGCGACTTTAAAAACAGCCATCGACTCCCTGGGCGACGACGACTCCTACACCGTCCACCGACTCAAACATGCTTCTCCCGAACATCTATACCTAACTACTCGTCGCTGCTTCATCGGTCCCATCCCAGAAGGCTGGCTCAAGACCCATCGCAAAGAGTGGTACAAGCACTATCTGGGCATCCACCACTCCTCCAAAGCCCCCTCCTTCTCTGCCTCCGACGACGTTGGCCGCCGCCGCCGTCTCACCGGCCTCGACGCCCCAAACCCCTCAGCCTTGTATCGCGCAAGCTTCCCGCAACCCGATAACGCCCATGGAGAAGCACTGCGAGAGGATGAGCATGGTGATCAAGACGAAGACGAGGACCAAGATCCTGGCAGGCCCCGCAGCGCCACCAAGAGCCAGAATCTACATGTAATTTCTAATGTTGAGCACGTTGACGATGGTGCAGAGTCAGATGGTGAGGCCACAATCAGAGCGCCGGCCGCTCTCAACATCCCAAGAGGAGGCCTGAGCGATCCTGCACTTCTGAAAGAACAAGGAGAGAACGCCGAAGAGGTTCTGGCTTCGTATACTACAGCCCACACTGTAGCTTCTCCTTCGACGCCGACTCCTCTGGCCACACCCAGGCCTGGCGCCGCTCCGTCAGACTACATGGATTCGCGTCCAACAGATACCTTCCGAAGACGTGATACTTCAGACGCTTCTTTCGTAACAGCTTCAGATGGAGGCTCAATGATCCTAGACGAGCCAGGTGCCGCATTCCACGATCACTCCGAGTCATCTAGCGATCATGATACGACCCCAAAGAACAGTCCTCGTACCGGCGGCGAGCGAAGTAGTGCTTCTTTTGAAACCACCAATTTAGCCACGCCAGGACCTACTACATCCGACACCTCTCTCCTCGCATCACAACATGCTCAACAACTATCCCAGGGCGTTGTTGAAGAAGACGCATTGGGCGCAGCGCTCAATCTAGAGCCACAACGAGATCCACCACAGGCCGCAGGACAGGAGAATCGCAACAGCCACGAAATTCGGTCACCCGGTCTCGTCAAATTCAACATTCCAGAGAATCCAATGCTGAAGCAGGAAGTCCAAGTGCGAGCCAAGATGGCCCAGGGCATGCGCACATCGCGACTGTCTCGAGCCTTTACTCGAGGAAAGCTGAAGGATGGAGAGATTGTTAAAGTGGAGAAGATGCTTGTTCGTCTGGACATCACGACCGGCTCAGAGCAGCCCAATGATGATTATGACGAGAAAGATAGCCAGCGAGTCGAGACACGGATCACAGAAAAGTGGAGAGAGTTCATGGTTGTATGTCGAGAGAGCCACGAAGATGGTGCTGTCTTGTGCCTGCAGATGTACAAGACCAGAGTGAGTAATCAAGGTTTGACAAGTGATACATACATTGACTTTGACCCTAGGTCATTCCAGCAACGAACCAGAGCAAGACCAAGAAGCGCTTCAAGCACGAGATATTACTGGATCCTGCAAAGCTCAAGGTCAACCTGTACAGCAGCCTCGACAAAACCCTTGTGCTCTGGCAAGCCAAGGGGCCGCAAACGATTATTTGCTTCCTCCGACCTCGCTCCGCACCCAGCGCAGTAGAGTGGTACACTTTCTTGAGAGGTGTACTCGGCCTACATCGACCACGCACTCTTCAGATCAACATACCCGATCTGAGTGTCGGCCTTCGACTTGATAATCCATTTGAAGAGTTGGTATCAGAAGAGGCCCTGGAAAAAGCCGCAGATGGTGACGAGGCCGCCATCTGCAAAGCCATGCAAGCTGAACGAGCCATCGCCTCAAAAATCATTGATCGTTGTCTGGAGATGCTATCACAGAGCAAAGAGTGGGACGACGTACTCAAAACATGGGGCCACAAATCGAAGATTGGCCTGGCTTGGAAGCGCTACGACCGACTGGAATGGGTACATGGTATCAACGAGCATAAGATGTACGGCACCATGGCATTGCAACGAACTCATGAGCTGGAGTTGCGCCCTAAGAAACATTACCCTGTTTCCGTCAAGATGGTCAATGGCGAAAACATGCAGGAGCCTGCTCCGGTAGAAGGTTTCCTCATCCGCTTGACTTCTCAAAAGGGCACCGACCAGAAATTCGGAAAGTTGTTCTACAAGCGGTTATACTTCAGCACGCAGAACAACTACCTACTCTTTCTTCGACCAGCGAAAGCGAAGCCTCCTCCGCCACCGAAGATGCCTATGAAGGAAAATTGCAACATTCCCAGTGCGAAGCAAATTGCAGAAAAGATTCCATTAATCTACGCAGTCAATCCATTCCCGATGCATGCCGGCACGGTCGCGTGGCTATCAGACTCCGCTAACGATGCAGAAGACAGGAAAAGACACGACAGAGATGCGCATGACGAAGCAGAACGAAATGCGCAGTCTTTGCTGGATTGCGATGGGTTCATCAACCTTTCCGATGTTGTGGAGGTTCGTAATGTGGTGAGAGGAGCAACACCAGCTGATGAAGCCGTGGATGAGGGCCCACAGGTCGACTTCGATGAGGAAGTTGAGGACAGCCACCACGACGATGGCACAACCAAAGAATTTGATGACGCACGAACGTTCGAGCTGCTCATGCGCAATGGTCTGGTCGTGCGACTACAAGCGTTCAGCAAAGCGACGAAAAAGGAGTGGATAAGACGACTTCGAGCTTTAGCCAAGTACTGGACACGACGGGCTTCCCAGGATCTGGCTCTGTTCAAGCTCGTCCGACAGCAAAATCTGGACACGCTCAATATCGACATGCAGGCAGAAGCGTACGTCGGTATGTTCGCGCACAAGTGGGAAGTGACCAAGTCATTCGCATCGCCTGAGCTGTACAATGTTTGCGGCATATCGAACTGTCGCGCAATCCATCGATCTGGGATTTTGTTCCGCAAACCCCGAGTACATGGTATCTTCTCACGCTGTCATGTCATTCTCTGTCACGGGCACCTTCTCGTCTTCGAGGACACGGTGCGCAGTGCGACAGGCAAGAAAGTGTCTCATATCCACCACCAGCGTATCGCGTCTATCGATCTTCGTGGTTGCTATCTTTACTCGGGACTGATTACAGCGAACGACTTACTGTATTCGAATCGCACGTTTGACAACAACCGACCTGGAAATGATGCGCTCCCTCGCATGTATCTCGAAGACGGATGGGCGAGTGCAGATGATGATGCGATGACTACGTTTGTGGTGTGGACTGGGCAGCACAAAGGCTGGTTTAGGGCAAGAGAAGAGGATGGCAATGAAGGACAGCAAAAGAGTGGCGGAGCACGTAACAAGTTGAAGCGAGTGTCGCAACTCGGCACGACAGGCAGGGCGATTGTGTTTAAGGCGAGAAGTCGGACGGAACGAGACCACTGGGTGCTGGGCATCGAGACTGAGATGGAGAGACTGTCTCAGGCGGAGGAGGTCAGAGTGGTAGGGGAAGGTGCTGCGGCCCAGTCGTGATTAGTGGTTAGTGACGAGTGCGAGAGTCAACAGGAGCATCCTAGGGTATAATAGCAGGGTCAGGACGGGGTTTCTGGGAAGACATGGGATTCTTGTGAGGACATGGGATTGTTGAAAGATTAATGTAATATTTGGCTATGGCAGGTGTACGCGACAAAGGCAGTGTGTGTCAAGGTGACGGGCTAAATCGGCAGATGGAGCGGAAGCGGGCAAAGATTTGCAGAGTTGAGGATTTGGACGTGGGCCTCGACCGGGCTTTTGGGCCCACGGCGTCGGCGTCAGTGGCCGTCTCTCCCAGGTCGAGGTTGGCAAGGGCGTGGCAGAATGAGGGTGCAGGAAGCGACTGCGAAACGCCTTTGGGCTCCTTCTGGTTATTCCACATTCCACTCGTTGATAGCACAAGTCGTCGCGCTGACCCTCCCCCGTCCGGCACAATTGGGAGGTGCTTCATCCATGCCGCTAGAGGCCGAATAAACACCAATCATGGCGTCGCCGGAGCCTTCTGCGTCCGCACACCCTCCACCCTCGCTCTACCAACCTCACTTTCCCAGCGCCGAAGGACGCAATGCCCCCAGAGATGTCCGCTCTCTGCCTTTGCGCCCGCGCAGCATCGGCCCTGTCTTCGACCAAGCTCACGCGAGCTTACCCATCGCCGAGTTCGATCAGGAAGCCCACAATCTCAGCTATACCCATCCCGATCCCGATTCTGACCCCTCTGCTCTTCCCGAACAACCCAAAGACTTCCAAGATACCTACCTGATGCCCTCGCTGTCTGAGAATGAGCGCCTCCGTCTTACACTGTATTGGTACTATACTCACGCCAACAAGATGCTGGAAGACAAGGAATTCCTGCTTGCTCTGCAGCAAAAGCTCGATCTTGTCCAAGCCTTTATGGGCTGGGATTTTGCCATCATGGGCTTGATGAGCGAGCATGTCTATACACGAGTTGCCACTGCAGGCTTGCCTTTGGCTGTTCTGCCGCGGCGCGAGGCTACCTGCTCGCACACGATCAACCAGCCGCCTGGCACCGTCTTCATGCTGCCCAACATGGCCAGCGATTGGCGCTTCAAACGCTCGCCACATGTCGAGGAAGGCGGCCTCCGCAGCTATGCCGGTGCCGCACTCCGTTGCAAGGCCGACACTGGCGAAGACGTCGCTCTGGGCAGTCTTTGTATCGCTTCCAACTCCGAGCAGCCTCCTCTGTCCCCCGTCCAACAGGACGCTCTGGTCCGTTTCGCCGACATGATCTCGAGCGAGATCGTAGCTCGCGTGCGCGAAGGTCGAAGACAACAGCGTCAAATCATGGCCGATCTCATTGCTCAAACACCCCAATACACTTCCCCCGCATCCGTCAAGGATCACGTCTTTGGAATCCTTGCTCAGGTCTATCCTGATACCCATCTCGACATACAGGACGCTCCACCTAATAACATGATCTCCTTGCCCCATCATGCTCCGGTCGATCACAATGACTTTCAAGGCGGCCTGTGGGAAGACTCGGAACTCATCGAACGCCTAATTGTCACACATAATCACACACAACTCGCTACTGACTCTACCGTCCGTGCGATCGCACACCCGTGTCAAAGGATTCCCACTACCAAATACCTTGTTCTTGCTTCAAGGAACGTCCAACTCGTCTTTGATGACATTGATTCCTGGTTCGTTGAGAAATGTGCGAGTATAATGGCAGACTCCACTCAAGAAACCCGCCTGAAGGAGGCACTGACAGCTAAGGATGCCTTCCTCCGAGGCATAACTCACCAGCTGAGAACACGTAAGACCCCTATCATCTGCTTCCGATTTCATGTCTGACAATGACACAGCCATCCATGGTGTTTTGGGCTCGTGCGAATTGCTTTTCGAAGAGCTGGCGAGCCGAGACATGCTCTCAGCTGGCGTCTCCGGATTGAACCCTTCATCCGTCCTCGGTGCTATCCGGGATTCTGGCCGAGAATTGATGTCTACTGTCAACAACATGCTCAAATTGAACCGTTGGGCCGAAGAGACTGGTGGCTCCATACAACCTGCTTCACTCTTGAGCCTCAACGTGATTGAAGCCGAAATTATATACGAAGTGCAGCAGTCAATCCCTGAGCACGAGCTGTCGCAAATCTCTGTCATGTTCGAGAATAGACTCGGTACTGACGAAAGCATGGTAGTCATGGACCTATTTCTGCTGAAAGAGTGTGTCCAGGCACTCATCCAGAACGCTTTATCGTATACGGATGCCGGAGCCGTCATTGTCGTCATTATGGCATCTGCTGACTACACGAAACTGATTTTCGACATCAAAGACACTGGTTGTGGTATCGGCGCCGGAGATCAAACACGGATATTCGAGGCCTACGAGAAAGTGGACACTCACACAAGAGGAGCTGGACTGGGTTTGACTTTATCAGCCAAGATCGCGAATGCCATGAACGGCAGTGTCACGTTGGTCTCCTCAAAACAAGGCGGATCTGACCATGGATCATTGTTCCGCGCCCAGTTTCTCAACCCAGGCTTTGCTTGTCCAGCATTTCGTCCGGTGCCCTTTGACGCAAACCTAAAAGACATTTCTAGGAGGTTTCATGTCGTACCGCCCAAGTCGGAGCGACCAGAGCTTGTGATGCATTTTGCATCCTATTTAACGCACCATGGATTCGAGGATTCGGAGACGCCTGAGGGCTCCTTCATCGTATTGACATACACTCCGGACGCAGACGAGTTCCGTCGATACGTCTCGGAAATCGACACGAGGCAAGTCGCAGTATGTCTAGTCCCTGCTGGTGCATCAACAGAGAAGCTCCATGGCGCTCATGAGGTGCGTTTCTTCTCGGGACCTTTCTTGACCTCTCGTCTCGAAGAGATTACTACAGAGCTCGACGCAGTCTACAAGCGACTTCACTCTGATCCTGAAGCTGGTGAAACGGCTACCGGGTTGGCTAATCGCGAAGACGCTCATCGCACGTCCGGGACAGAAGATAGCGTTGATCCAGCAGACGCAGAACCGATGGCCCTTTTGGTTGACGATAATGTTGTCAATCTACGCATCATGCGCATGTACTGCGAGAAGCGCAAGATTCAGTATCTCACCGCCATGGACGGCACCGAGGCAGTCAATGTGTTCGAGTCATCCATCGACACACAGCCTATCAACCTCATCCTTATGGATCTTCAAATGCCGGTATGTGACGGCATTGAAGCGACGCGGCGAATCCGCGAAATCGAGAAAGAGAAGGCGCTACCCAGATCAGCATTGTTTATAGTAACAGGCCAAGATACGCTGGCCGACAAGCAAAACAGCTTCGAAGCTGGAGCTGATGAGTTTTATGTCAAGCCCTTGGGTCTGAAGACACTGGACAAAGGCATCAAAGAATACTTCCCGGCTATTGCGCAAGTAACGAAGACTGCCTCTCAAGCAGCTTCTGAAACGAAAGGAGGGGCTAGCAGAACTTGAGCTACAGGCCACCAACATACATGATCGGGAATAAAAGCATGGGAACCGGCGTTACACATGGAAAATTTCTGGTTGGGCGATACCATCAAAGTTATAGGAGGTAATCATGTGGTTTTGCAAACGGGCACATGGGAAAATGTGAAGGGGGAAATTGCATTACAGCATTTGTTGATGATATTTATTCTCGCTTGGTTATCTGGCATGTTGTTTGCTATCTGGTGTTGGTTGTTTCTTCCATCTTCTTCTGCATATTCATCGGCTGTTTACATCTATTGCATTTGGTTCTGCAGAGTTTTCCCTAGCATCTTGTCTTCAAGCTAGGGTAGAACAAAGTAGCTTAGATATAATCCCAGTTCTATCACTATCATCATGCATCCCGTGGACAGGGTCGCGATTCAGGAGCTCTGCAGGTGTCAGATGGACCGTATTGGGCAACTATAGCCGGGCCACCTCCATCCTGAAGTTTTTGGAAGACCGATTTGTCTTGTGGTAATTACCACACCAGCGACGGACGACCAAATCTGCAGCTATCGAAGGTAGTGCCACTCTTCTTCGCACGACTGAAGCGTGTCTGTCCAGCATCTGAACCATATCTCCATAGACACGGACAACACCTCCTTTATTAGGCTCTGGAAACGTCAACATCTTTCCGCGAGTGAAATTTTTGGCGTTGATTTTACCCGTATTCACAGCTTTTGTACCAATGTAGGTTGTGTTGTTTCTTTAGGTAGGTTGCACTAAATGTATATTGATAGCCGCTCTAGTTGATAAGGTGGGGCTCAGGCAGTCCGCCCGTCCCCTTCTCCTGTGGTGGACCCTTCGGACTGCAATTGTGTTGCGGCACACTGGAAGCAGTCGTGAAGAGGTTTCTCAGCAACTTTCCTCCGGACACAGCTATACTCTCTAGTGCTTGACTGGACTCTGACATCCAAAAATCTTTGTACTCGCCATTTCTCACTGTCCAAAATGGTCAACCCACCTTCAGGCTACGCCGACATCCACACCTACGCCAAAGACCTTATAGCATTCCTGCATGAGCCACTCTCGGTACAAATTACAGGCGGCATACACGTCAACGACGCTTTCATCTACAACGCATGGTCAAAACTCCCCGCTGCATGGACGAAATGGTGGGACTCTTTGCCTTCACCCCAACACGCTCAAAAAGACCTCATCAACAGTCTTCGCAATGAACCTTCAGCTAGACTCGACGATTTACCTGGCCGACCAGAGAGTTTGCAGCAGTGGTTGCAGCGGATACGAACACTCAGTCTTGAGCGCGAGCAGTTGGTGCTTCCTGCCTGCATCCCTGAAGTTCGGGTTCCAGAGGTGTTGGCGCAGAAAATGGTGACGAAAAAGCTGGCGGAAGTCAAAGCGGGAGCGAGGTATATCAACCACATCTGCAAAACGCAGAATATCACGAGAGTGATTGATATAGGCAGTGGACAGGGGTATCTGTCTTTGACTTTGGCCGCTGCTTGCGGGCTCAAGGTGTTGGCCATCGATGGCAGTGCCTCTCAGATCCAAGGGTCGAAAGCTGCAGCTCGACAAGCTGGACTGAAGGAAGATGAGGACGTTACGCATCTCGTTCGCTACGTCACTGGCACTGACGAACTAGCAGAGGAAATCTCAGCTTGGGCACAGGGAGAGAGATGCCTCCTCGCTGGCCTTCACGCTTGTGGCTCTTTATCCGAACACATGCTGCGGCTTTCAACCCTCGTGCCTGAGATTTCTCATGCAGCAGTGGTGGGTTGTTGTTTCAACCACATCAAACCACTCTCTGTTTCTCACCCCGATGGCTTCCCGATCTCAACTTTCATGCGGGAAAATGAGCTAAAACTATCGCCATCGGCATTGGTGACTGGATGTCAAGCTCCCACTAATTGGCCACCGCAACCGCCGAACTCGGTGTTTGGGAGAAAAGCTTTTTATCGCGCTGTTCTTGAGAAATTACTGCACGATAAGCAAGTTTTGGCGCTAGGGCAGCAGCAGCAGCAAAGACCGGTTTGGGGGATTAGGACTGGGGATTTGGCTTCCTTTTATGCTTATACTTCTCGTGCTTTATCTTCTTTGAACCTCACTCTTGGCAAAGACGTCACTGAAGAAGAGATTGCAGGGTATGAGAGGAGGTTTGAGAAAAGAAAAGGAGAGATAGCGGTGTTGCAAACGTTATCGGTATTGCTGTGTAGAGTTGTGGAAAGTGTTATTGCGATTGATAGAGTGATGTTTTTGGAAGAAAGAGGTATGGAAGAGGTGGATGTGGTGCCGGTATTTGAATATAAAGAGAGTCCGAGAAATTTGATGGTTGTCGGGAGGAAGGTGGCCGTAGCGGATGAAGAGTGGAGTGATTGAGACGGATCTCTTCACCTGGACCTTGACTGATGTAAGCCATAGAAATGCAGAGAGAACTCAATATTGGAGTGTTGGCTAGAGAGATGAGTGGGATGATAAGCTTTTCAGTGGTAAATGAAGTTTGCTAGAGAGTCCGGTTTTGTAGATCGGAATGATTGTGATGTGAAAGTCGATTGAATCTGAAGGCACTCGCGCGTTTGGTGGGGTTCTTGATTTTGGTAAACTCATTGATGTACTCTTTGGCGAAATCGGGAATCACAGTGATGGGTGTTTTGATCTCTGTCGCTGGTGAAAGTAGTTCGCTTGGAGGTGTGGGTTTGTGCGTTGCATTGTGTTGATGTAAGTGCCAACCATCTTCAAAGGCACTCACGAGTTCTGCATCATTGTCACTCACGATGCACTGATGTGCATGTTACTTGTCAGAGAATAGCTGCGGTAATCTTGAGCCTTTTGATTGTTGAACGGTGTTTGCTTGAGATTTCTGTTCTGTGTGTCAAAGTTGTGTTGATGTGAAGTCCGATTGTCTTGGATCGTATTGTTGATTTGACGCAGACTGAAAAGTCTCAATTATGTTCCCGATCGTTCTGAGTCGCATCGTCACTTTGACATTGACAAGAATGTCTCGTCAGTGTTGTGTTTAGTGACTGTGAAAAGGTCTCGTGTGCGATCCGCGTCCGCGTCCAAATCTACTGCTGAACCACAGCTCATCCATATCCAGCCTTTCGCCTAGCTCTGGACATTCTAGCATCGATCTGACTCTTTCACACAAGACAGCTCTCCACGATCCAGAGTAAGCGTCTTGCCCGCGAAGTCACCTTTGTAAAGCTGACTTATGATCTCAGAAGAAGCCAATCACCATGCCATCCTCAAGCAACCACGACACAGACAAAGAACGCCGTCTCATCGGCGTCTTCATATGCACATACGTCCGCGTCCACTACGCCAATGAGCATTTCATCAAAAACCACCTCACCAGAATCTTCGCCGCCGTGCTTGAACTAGACGAAGACGTCCTCAAAGACCAACTCCAAGACAAGTACGGAGATGAAATGGTTCGCGCCGAAGAGGACAAGATTGCCAGATGGAAGGAACGCACCAAGAGTGGTCTTGTGGATTCTGCTGCCGAGCTTGTGGAAGATGTGGCTAGAGAGACGGTGGGAGAGTTCGGAGTTGCGCAGCAGGAGTGCATGTTTCGGCTTGCTTGGGACATGTATACTGTTGCCAGAAGGCTGGAGGAGCCCAGCATCGAGTTTATCTGATGCTGAGCGCGAGAGGATTGGCAGCGCCGTCTCCCAGCAAGTCTTTGGTCGTTGGCAAGGGAAACCACAGAGAGTGGAGCATTGATGGCTCAGCGCGAACAAGACCAGGAGGAATTCGAGGACTCATGTCAGCCTACAAAGCCTTGGTCGCCATGAGAACAGAGGATAGAGAGCAAGCAACCACATCATCACTTGAGTTGGGAAGGCGAGAGAATGATATGACAAGATTAAAATTGGAAAAGTACTCAAGAGATGTCGGGATCTTCTGACACCGCCTACACAACAGATTATGCGTAGCCAGTTCTTATAGAACCACTTGTCCGTCTCCGCATCGACCTGATCGCAAACCAGCAATTGAAATACAGCACAGACTTGCACATAACGTGAAGTCTGCACCAGATGCCGGCAAGAACTGTCTAAAAGGCTGCGTTGAAGGAAAAGAAAGCGAAGATTTGGCACGCGCGAAGGAAGTTTTATAATCGTGACTGCCGAAGTGAAACCGGAAGTGGGCGTGGTCGGAGCAGAATGTGGGGTAGGGGAGACGAGCAACAAGCAACATTCATGCTTGGCTGACCTCGTCGTACCTGCCTGAACGACAATAACAATCAATTCCAGGCCATCTCACCCGTTGGAGCAAGTCGCTGCTTCCTGAACTGTCGAATCGCCCGTCTCGAATTACCACACCTGCATACCGACCGGCAGCGCATTCACTACACCATGGCTTCGGCCCTGTTCTTCCTCGACCTGAAGGGCAAGGTATGCCTAGACAGATAGCTGCTGTCGCAAGCCCACGCTCACCAAATGACAGACCCTTCTGGCGCGCAACTACCGTGGTGATATCCCTATGAGCGCCGTCGACAAGTTCCCCATCCTCCTTTCCGAAGCCGAAGAAGAGAGCTCGGCCGTGCCCCCCTGCTTCAGCGACGAAGGCATCAACTACCTCTACATCCGCCACAACAACCTCTACCTCCTCGCCCTGACCAAGCGCAACTCAAATGCCGCCGAGATCCTGCTGTTCCTCCACAAGATTGTCGAGGTCTTTACCGAATACTTCAAAGAGCTGGAAGAAGAGTCTATCCGTGATAACTTTGTCGTCATCTACGAACTACTCGACGAGATGATGGACTTTGGCCACCCTCAAACCACAGAAAGCAAAATCCTGCAGGAATACATCACTCAAGAATCACACAAGCTGGAAGTGCAGGCACGACCACCTATCGCTGTCACAAACGCTGTCTCGTGGCGTTCAGAAGGCATCCGCTACCGCAAGAACGAGGTCTTCCTGGACGTTGTCGAATCTCTCAATCTACTCGTTTCATCTACTGGCAACGTTCTGCGCTCTGAGATTCTGGGTGCCATCAAGATGAAGTGTTATCTGTCTGGTATGCCCGAGCTGCGACTAGGTCTCAACGATAAGGCCATGTTCGAAACCACTGGTCGCGCTACCCGAGGAAAGGCAGTTGAGATGGAAGACGTCAAGTTCCATCAGTGTGTCCGTCTATCACGATTCGAGAATGACCGTACAATCAGTTTCATCCCTCCGGATGGTGAGTTTGAACTCATGAGCTACCGTCTCAACACCCAAGTCAAGCCTCTCATCTGGGTCGAATGTATCGTCGAAAACCACTCTGGCAGCCGTATCGAATACATGCTCAAAGCAAAAGCACAATTCAAGCGCCGCTCTACCGCCAACAACGTCGAGATTTCCATTCCTGTACCAGAAGATGCCGACACACCACGCTTCAGGACGAATATCGGCTCCGTACACTACGCACCCGAGCAGAGTGCTATTGTATGGAAGATCAAGCAGTTTGGTGGTGGCAAGGAGTTCTTGATGCGTGCTGAGCTGGGTTTGCCGTCAGTGCGTGGTGATGATGAGAAAGGCGGTGGTATGATGGGTGGCTTCGGTGGTAGTATGGGTGGTGTTGGCGACCGCGGCAAGGGAAAAAGACCGATCAACGTCAAGTTCGAGGTATGTCTTGTAGTGCTTGAATCATTTGTCACATTGGCTGACCCGTCTCCAGATTCCATACTTTACCACATCCGGCATCAACGTCAGGTATCTCAAGATCATCGAACCCAAGGTAAGAAAGTACCTTCGCATCCTCCAAGCAGACATCTGACTCAGAATTACAGCTACAATACCCTTCCCTGCCATGGGTCCGCTACATCACACAATCCGGCGACATTGCTGTCCGCCTACCAGACACGCAATCATAATGACAATACAATAATGAAAAGCTTCTTCTATACCGATATCACTGTCTGATGGTCCGTCTTTCCGCGGTACTCTCACATCGAGTGTCACCAACTTTCGCTCCTATAAAAATGCACAATGGAATACCATGAAATACAAGTTCCAGTGAGAGCCTGTTATCGAAGGTATATCTATGAGGCTCTCCTTGGAAGTTATACCTTCCAGACACTCCACTGTGCATATTTATAGTAACTTCTACAGCACTCCTTGGCAGCTGAAACAAGTCGGATCTCGAAAGCTGCTTCCTCCTCTCGACATGCTTGTTTACTCCTATCGAGATGCACAAAGGATTGTGCAGAAGCTGTGGTTTCCAATGAGAGCCCGTTATGGACTGCGAATCTCTGGGGCTCTCATTGGAACTGCACTCTCCTGACCACTCCACTATGTATTTTTATGGTGACTTCTGCAACACCCCCTTGGCCGCTGAAACCAACCAAATCACTCCTTGCGTTGACATATTTGTGCAGACATGCACGATACTGTTCAAGATCCTGATCAGGGGAAAGAAGAAGAAGGGGCGAGCACCCGACAGGGGCATGTTTGAAGTTTGTCATTATTCTACCTCCCGAGCCCTCAAAGGCACATCTCTCGTGCGTTACATCCGTCTTCTACAACCCCAAACGCCCTCAGGAAACAGCCAAACGCGTCATCGACCCGGTTGTTTCGTTCTACCTCTCCTGTCGACACAGCACACAGCGACAATTGCCCACGTTCTCCGTCATGATGGCATGCAGATGATCAATGAACAGCTTGATCGATCTGTAAGCTTTGCCGCTGGGATGGCCGTGGATGGTCAAGTCGGCTGCTTTGAACAAAGCGTAGCCCTTTGGTGGCTCGCCTTCGAAGTTGACGGGTTGGCCGCCTAGATCATCGTGCGTCACGTCAGTAAAACATCCCCTTGTATCGAACTCAGGAGAAAGAATACTCACTCCACTCCCCAAGTAAATCTGCACGCTTATTGTACGCCTCGGTTAACAATCTCAAAAACTCCGCGTCACGGACGCGGGCTTTCTTGTGTTGAGGGGGCCAGGTTGACTCGTCTCCAACACCATCGCTGGTGAAGTGATCTTGATCGCTGACGTCGAAGTTCTGGACACCTGGGTTGGTGCTCAGAGGGTTGGGTTTTGGTGTCGAGGTGCGAGCTTTTATGCTTGGGTCGCGCTTGATTCTCCATTTGGAGGGGTCGGGGTCTGCCATTGTTGGTGGTTTGGTGGTGGTGATGTTGATAGATGGTAGAGGTGTAGATGGATTTGGTGGAGGAGATGGGGAAGGACTTGGTGGAGCAGATGGGGGGATATGTGGATGTGGTTGTTGTTGTTGTTCAAGAGGAGGGAAAGAGTTGTGTGAGCTTGGGAAGGTGTTTTGTAGCGAGGAAGAGGTTGCCGCGACAATGGGAGGTGGACAGAAGGTTCCGGATTCATGGTATGGCTTCTTTGGATCTCCTTGAGTCTCTGCGGATTCTTCTTTCGAAGACAGACTCGATTGATTGATGATTTGTGCAGCAGAAAGAGATGATGTTGCTCTTAGATTATTGTGCTTGTCTGCTGGCATATCATTGTAGGTCACTCCCAAGCCGTTCTGTGTCAAACAATCGCCGCCTACCGGTGTGTTGAGATACAGGCAGGATACTGATCAGTCTTGAGCTCGTGGGTGGCTTGAGCACAGGGACTACTAAGATAGTATAGATCGTTGTTCGAATATGATGAGGCTTTGGAAAGGGGCAGCTTCTTAAATAATTCTCCCAGGGTATCAGCCATTGTACAGATCTTGGTAGAGTTGTCTACTTCTTCATCCCCAGTTTATCCGCCTTCTACTTCCTATCCAGTCTTATTTTCAAGCATGCTTCATCGATGTGATGGTTCGGGTATTGTTCTGTGCCATCATCGATTGCAGCCCAGTAGTTCTGGAAGGAGTCTTCTCAATTCTTGAGCAGTCTCGCAACTCCCGAGCGAACATTGGTGCTGCCTTTGTATGCTACAGTGTCTTTGAACCAAGATCGCTTGGCACCACTGATATTCAGTTGGTCCAGCTTGAGAGTGTGCTGCTGGATGGTCAATAGTATCTTCTTCCAGGATCCATATATCTTGCATTCGGATATCTTCAAACGACACAACGTTGGGCCCAAGTCCTCCAGTAGATCAGTTATGGTGTCATGACTCATGCACAGAGTAGTCAAATGAAGCTCTTCCAGAGGTAAGCGGGAGAACACATCGGCCCAGGCCCTGAACGTATCATCATCCTCGGCGAAGATTCCAGAACGGATGTGCAGAGTCTTGAGATCGGGTGTCAGTGACAGCAGATCATGAATCGTCCCGTGGCCTTGATCGTCTCCATAAGGACTAATCCCGAATGGCAAGTCGAACTTGAGCTCCGTAAGTGAACCCACAACTTTCCAACCCTCCCAGACATCAGAGAGATAATTGTCCATGCTCTTGTCCTGGTCGAGACCGGCTCGAAACTCCAAACCCCGTACTTTGCATTCACTCTTGTTTGCTGCTCGGACGAGAAAGCTCAGCATGCCCATGGAATCTGCCTGCCAGTGGTCCGTGTAGAGGAGAGGCGCACTCCAGACCTCACTGCGACCAAGTGATTCCTCTTCGTTTGTGTCTACGGCAAGTACGAAGCTGTGATCTGACTTTGCGAGTACATTGAATGCTTGGGCAAGTAGCGAATCTGCTCGACGTTGGTCGAAGCGTTCAGCATCGCATCTCTGAGCAAGAAGCTGTATTTTTTCTGCAAAGTCGCTGTAGTGACAGTCTTTGTTTTGCATCAATTCGTCTACCGTGTCGTAGAAACATTTCCCATCGTAGCAAGCACTTGACAGTTGAACTCTACGGATCGAAGAGCCAAAGATTGGGTGTTGACAGATGTTGACAAAGGTCTCTAGGCTGTACTCGGTGTAGAGGACGTGGACATCAGTGAAATAGCGTTTGGCAAAGGCTTTTGTAGCGGAGGCGTGGATTCCCTGAGATATGCTGGTGAGACGTAGGGCGATGAGGTCTTCCTTGTCAAGATCTGGATTCGTGCAGATCGCGGAGACCAGCTCGGGCGGGAGAGAGGAGAACGAGGCTGGTCGATCCATGATTGACGCGTCTGTGGTGTTGTCAGTACCTCCACACAGAGCTTAGTATTATCAATGAATACATTTGATGAGGATTACCGAAAGTTGTTGTTAGTGAACCAAGGGGACAACCAGTTGTTGTGGAAGTTGAAGAGGTGTTACTTCGACGGTGGAAAGTGCTGTGCTGGAGCGCAAGAGGTGACGACGACTGTTGTTGTATGAAGCAACAAGTTCAAAGAAGAAGAAGAAGAAGCTCGACTTGTAGAGCTAAAGAAGTTGTCAAAGCAATCATGAAAGCGGAGGGTCCAAGATGTGAAGGTGAAGTGAAACAGAGAGAGTGTGTGTGAAAGATTGGATTCGAGGCGAATTGGAAGTCACGTCAATGGCCCCTACCTACTACACTGACCCCATCTCTCACAGAGGGGGTTTGCATCCAGTGAAGTAACTGAGCATATTCCTATCAAAATTTGATGAGACATTCGATGGCTAAACATGTGTTATATCTCGTCAAGCACGAGGGAGGAATGTTCGCAAAGTGGATATCAGAGTATATGAGATTCTGTCTGTCAGCAAAGAGCCCTATCAATGCTCAATCTCAGACTCAGACAGAAAACGTTTCGCTACCGCGTAAGTGGTTGCTGAGAAAAGAAAGAAGACGGCGAGGTCGGAAGAGATGTCAGTGGACGCCAAGAAAGCGGAGGCCCCACAGTGCCCCTCGTTCCGCCTTCCTCTTCGAACATGCCACTTTTAGGCTAAAGTAGACTTTCCCTTCGCCAGGCACATGGCAGCGTCCAAGAGTTTCAGAGCCGCTCACCAGACACAGCCTGTACAGGCCGAACACGTAGGCTAAAGCCTTTGGAGATTGCTCTCCATCCTTGTCACTTTATAAACACTGCTGCCGACCCGCAGGTAGGTCACGAACCACTTCTACCCTGATTTTATTCTCTAGCACACCTCCATCATGTCTGACAAGGAACCTCTCATCACTCACCTCTATACCGCTGACCCTTCGGCCCATGCTTTCAATGGCAAGATCTATATCTACCCTTCGCATGATCGCGAGACCGACATCCAGGACAACGACAATGGCGACCAGTACGACATGAACGACTACCACGTCTTCTCTCTGGACTCGCTCACCGGCCCCGTCACAGATCACGGCGTGGTCCTCAAGCAGGAGGATGTCCCATGGGTCTCCAAGCAGCTCTGGGCTCCTGACGCCGCGACCAAGGACGGCAAATACTACCTCTACTTCCCTGCTCGCGACAAGGAGGGCATCTTCCGCTGCGGTGTTGCCGTCTCGGACAAGCCCGAAGGTCCTTTCGCTCCTCAAGAAAACTACATCAAGGGCAGCTACAGCATCGACCCTGCCTGCTTCGTTGACACCGACGGCTCAGCATATCTCTACTTTGGCGGTCTCTGGGGTGGTCAACTGCAGTGCTGGCAAAAGGAGGGACACTTTGACGCTGCCTGGAGCGGTCCACAAGAATTGACTGGTGAGGGTGTTGCAGCACAAGGCCCTCGTGTCGCCAAGATGACCGGCGATATGCTCGAGTTTGCCGAGACTCCCCGCGAGGCTCTGATTGTCGACGAAGCCGGCAAGCCCATCCAGGCCGACGACCACAAGAGAAGATTCTTCGAAGCTGCATGGATGCACAAGTACCAAGACAAATACTACTTCTCCTATTCGACTGGTGATTCACATCTTTTGGCATACGCCGTTGGCGACAGCCCGTACGGGCCCTTCACCCAGCGTGGAACCATTTTGGAGCCTGTGGTTGGCTGGACCACTCACCACTCCATTGTCGAGTTTGAGGGCAGATGGTACCTCTTCTACCACGATTCTTCGTTGTCTGGAGGCAAGAACCACTTGCGCTGTGTCAAGGCAAGAGAAATCTTCTACGACGAGAAGGGTGACATTCACATCTAGATCACTCATCTGCATTTACTTTATGATACCACTGTTTAAAACGATACACATTTTGTACACTCCACAGATGTTTTCCTTTCCTGCACCAAGTGATTGCCAACAGTTCTCAGATTCACTACGAAACCTTCGATCTTTCACTACACGTGCCAAGCTTTGATTCACTCACTCCTTCCTACCGCCCACAACTGACATCCATCTTCTTCAAAACTCTCCACCCAACTCTCCACCCATCTCTACCCAAACTCTTTATCCATCTCTCTTCCCAACTCTCCTTCTTAGCTTTCTTTCCAACTATCCTCCCCCACTCTCTTCTCAACACTCTTCCATACATCAGCATCCCATACATCGATCATCCTCTACCTCGACCATGTCTCTGGAAGATCTGCCCACCGAGTTGATCGCCGAGATATGTGAGGTCGCCGACAAGGACGCGCTGATGGCTCTTCGGCTCACTAAGAAATGCATCTCAAGATCGGCGACAAAGAGCTTCTCCGACCAGTTCATGAGCTCTCTCTCACTCATCATGACTACTCCCTGCTTGCAACGACTCATCGACATTTGCGAGCATCCATTCTTTGGCCCTGGTGTCCGGAGAATCTTTATCACTCTCCGTCGCATGGGTTTGTGCCGCTTCAAATATCTTGTGGACAGATGCCGTTACTTCACTAAGATTGCTGGGCGCCAGAGTGAGGAAGTCGCGAAAGCACGCCTTGTTTTACGACGCTGCACAGACCGTTTCCATGATGAACAAGCGCTGGAGAAGGAGGGCGGAGCGACTGAGTTACTCACGCGGGCGTTCTGTGCATTAAAAACTTGGGTGTCTGACGTGGAACTGCTCATCGTGCCTATTTACGGACCACACGCCGGTGCTATCTTTTTGGATAGTAATAGGTATGAACCTCACGATGAGAATGCGAAAAATAACAGCCTGACGAGCACACTTCAACCATGTCTCGAAGCTACCCGCATCAACAAGATGGGATTGTCCAAGTTCGACGTCTCTGTGAGGAAAGGGTGGAACACTGACAAGAAACTGGGCCTGGACCTCAACCTCGACAGCTTCAGCGAGGAGGAAATGAAGCGCTTCTCTATGCTGAGATCCATCACGTTCGAACTCAGTTGGTCCGTCAGATACAAGACGAAACGTGCGATGGCAACTATTGTCTCACAAGCCTGCGAGCTAGAAGTTCTCCGCCTCTCACACGGTGACGCTTACTGGAGTCGCTATGATAATATACCCAGACAACTCGAGCTAAGCCGCAATGCTTTGCAATCCGTCAAGTCTGATAGAATTCAATCTATCAGCCTCACAGAGATCTTGTTCTCGGAGCAGCCGCTTCTCGAGTTTCTTCGCCTCCACCGCAACAGCCTCAGATCCCTGCGCCTTACTAGCTGTGCACTCCATCATGGCTCGTGGTCTGGAGTGATTAGCTACTTACAGGAATCACTACCGCATCCTAGTTCGCTGAAGATCGAACGTTTGTACGATATAGACTCAGACGCGAGAAAATGTCTAGCCATCGCTGGCTTCGGAGGAGAAGAAGGAAGAGAATGTGTGGAGGGGGAAGAAAAAGTACAAGCGGCTCTGTCGGCAATGATCGAAAGGCCTCTCGACGACCCCCTGACTCCTCCTGGAGATGTGCACGACGATGAGACTCTTGACGAGTGAGAGCGGTAGTAGGTGATGGCCACCAGGTTCGTGGGACTTCGATGACCAACATCCCAGAGTTACACGTCTCGAGCGTTCGGATCGAGAGGTTGCGAAGACAACAGGTCATGAAGACGGAAGGTCACGAAGACGGAGGTCTCGAAAGTGAAATGGCACGAAGACGAAAGGTCACGAGGATGGAAGACATTACTAAAGCAGAGAGCCCTCCGTAGGGAACAGACTCTACGTCTCCATAGTAGAATCTCTCCAATGAAAGCAGATATTCCAAAAAATCAACCACTAATTGTCATTGGCTCAGCACACTCAAGTCCTTTACCACAGTCATCCGTCTCTCGCTTTGCCACCTCTATTTCAAAATATCGTCTACTTCAATAACAAGTATCATCATGAACCAGATCTAGGGTGGAGTGTCTCCTGATGTCGTCCATCTAAGATTAAGGTAATACGCGTGGTCTCGAAGGCAGAATGCAGAAACTAAGCCGCCGCACTAGTGCTAGAGATACGATTAAAGTACCCATTTGTTCGATTATTGTTGCCGTGCGGCCAATCATTGAACCGCTCTCCTAGAAGGATAATCCCGATTCGTGCAGCTGGCAAGGATGAAAGCTTTCCACACTTTAAGATCCATAGTGACCACTTCTACAAAAGACAGGGGAAAAAAAAAAGTAACAACGGGAAAACAAAAAAAAGAAACAAAAAAAAAGGATACAATATCGCCTATAGAAATCGCATTGTTCTACCACTCTACTACAACCCACTATCAATTTGATCAACAACAGCTTTCCCCGTAAACTCGCTCCAATCCCTACAGCTCTGCGCCATCACCCCCGGAATAGCCATCTTCTTGACATCTTCTGGTCGTTCTAGAATACTCACGTACAAACCAGCGCTCACGTGCCATGCGATGTGGCAATGGAAGGGCCACACACCGGGATTGTCTTGATCGATTTGGAGCACTACGTAGGCGGGTGTATTCGCGTCTTTGGCGGCTTGCACCCAGATGGTGTCGCGGCGTTGGGGGTTGGAGGGGTTGGTGACGGTGTTGGAGTATTCGCCGAAGCCTTCTGCGAGGACGTACCTTGAGAGAGACGTTAGTCGGGAGTTTATGAGAGCAAGGGGGAGGAGACTTGCATGTTGTGGCCGTGCATGTGCATGGGGTGTCCACCGAAAGCAAAGTAATTGTACACGACCAGACGAACAGTCTTGTTGGACCCAAAGTTCATGACGTTATACTCTTCGGGGAAGTCAAGGTTGCCGAGTTTGGCTTCCAGAAGCACAGGGTTGTTGTAGTCGCCTCTGAAACTGACATTGTTGACAAACCAGAGATTGAAGTCGGTCTCGTTGGTGCGATACTCGATAATCAAGTCTTCAGTAGTCGACGGGTTTGGGTCGGGTGTGATGGGAAAAAAGGGCTTGGTGACCGAGAGGTCATCGTTGTTGCAGTAGGAAAGCTGGGCTGTGGTGACAGAAGTCGTGGAGGTAGGAATTGTGGTGTTGTCCGCGTTTTCGTAGTAGATGGCTGCCACGGCTTCATTGACAGTTCCGTCGGTCAAGGAGCAGTATTGGAGATTGGAGCGCATCCAGACGCTGTCGGTGGGTGAGCCGTCTGCTTCGACGATAATATCGGTACGTTGGCCTAGTGTCTTGTTAGTGCTGCACAGCAAGAGACTTGGATGGATTGTACTCACCAACTGCGAGGGTGACAACCGCAACATCATAAGGCTCGACGGGGACAAAATCATTTGCAATGACAGTCATCTTGTGACCATCGATCGAGAACTTTTGCATGGCTTCAGCACTCATGTTGATCAATCGTAGTCTGTGTTTCTTGCCAGAGGTGAAGGCGAATTTGGAAACACCAGCATTGGCGGTGCAGTTGACATCTTTGTAGCAAGGAAAGTTCATCTTGCCATTGATCAAGTTGTTATTGGAAGTCGGTTGAGGAGTGTTGTCGCCCTTTTTGGACATTGTCTGTTCGACAAGAGTGTAGTAGTCTTCATGGTACCAGTCGCTCAGGATTACCGGGCCAAGGTCGATGTCGTAGTCCACATTCTTGGGACCATAGATGATCATGGCACCGGCTGCGCCACCTGCATACTGTGCACCTGATCTATAGTCAATAAATGGTCGATGACGATAGACTGGGGTGGATATACTGAAGTGGCTGTGATACCAGCTGGTTCCATATAGATCGGCCTGAAACACATATGTGAAGGATTTTCCAGGGGCGATTGGGCATTGCATGATGGTTGGCACTCCATCAAACCACGGAGTGGCTTTTTGAAGAAGGCCTGCTTGTGATTAGCAGCTAGTCTGTCGTATTTACCAGTACCGTTCTCACCATGCCAGTGCATCGATGTTCCCTCATCTAGCGAGTTCTTCACAGTGATTGAGATCATGTCGCCCTGAAAATGTCAATGACCAGGATATAGATCAGGTTTGAGGAAATTACCCAGTTGGCTTCGATGGTCGGGCCTGGAAATTGTCCGTTGACGAGAACACCATCCTTGAACACGCCATCAGGTGCAATCCGACCAGCGGATATCTCAAAGTCGTAATAGCGAGTGACACCAGTGTTGGGTGTATCTGTGTAATAGTTTGTATTGTTGGCCGTTGACTTGCCCCATGGAAACCCAAAAGGAAGAGGGGTGCCGCCATCAGTGCGGAAGGCAGGAAGGGTTGGTGCGTCGAAGCTTCCGAGAACAGAGTTTCCATCCTGCATTTGCGCTCCCAGAGCATTCTGCAATGTCTGCATGCCATTGGACACAAAAGCTGGGCCATTGAAGGACGCCCCGTTTGCTCCTCCTAGCAGATTCTTTGGCGGTTGAATTGCAGGAATGGCAAACTTTGCCTTGTCGGGCTGGTAGATTTTGGTAAGGTCATTGTTGGATAGAGGAGAAAAAGAAAAGGCATGAAGAATCAGGCGACCCCAGGACACCATCGTGAGCAGAAGAAAAGGATTATTGGATCAGAAAGAGGCAGTCACAGACCACGAGAAAGAAAGAAAAGTCGACGTAAGGAAAGAATGGAGCAGCGAAAGAGAAACAGTTTTGTGAAAGACAGTGATACTTGAGCCTCATACAATTATAGAATGGGACGAAACCGATACAGATCTGTTACGATTGATCCGTATGTCTAGCAGGGGTCGCTGTGGAGTTTGCATGATGTTTAGTCCGAGCTCATGCTCGAAGGTCAGCACCTAGTAAGGGTTAGTAGTATGAGGAGTCAGGACTAGGCAGGGGAACTGTTGGTCATAGGGTGGCTCACTCGCCAGTCTGCAGTTGGGCAAAGGAGGTGAACATAAGCTGGGTACGGTCTCCGAAATAGTGGGTAAACGGGTTTCAGGAGGATGAAGTCTTGACATGGTGTGAAGAGTTGACAGGGCTATGCGGATGTCTCGCTCGATGACCATTCCAAAGTCCAGAGAGTGGCGAGGGAGCCTAGCATGGTGGTTTCTTTGATGTGTGTGTGCATCCAGCAGGTCGATCTGCTCCTGCTATGTGGTAAGACGACGACGACGGTTACAACATAAGCAAACAAGCTTTCCAAGGAAGGAAGGAGTGCTTTAGAGCATTTTTAGAAAGTCCGAAGTGTGAAACGCGACTTGTTCTTATGGTCGCCGTGGGCAGATGGAGGCGATTCATCTCTCAGGGCTTGGCGCCGTCTGTACCGCCGAAAGAAGCTATAGATCCAATCGGCGCTGTCGATGCAGGCAAACTAGGCATTTGAGAGAAGGAGGAAAGATGGTCTAGTTGTAATGATGCAAAAAAGGGCCAGGAAGTGGTAGGAGTTGTTAATGCTTCGAGGATGGGTGGTGATGCGGAGCGGCGTCGGATCGTCGGCTGTTTGAGTGGATGCCGCAGATCAAGAAGGAGCTGTCTGGACTGTTGACACTTGAAACACACGCGCCTTCCGGTCTTTGTCTATGGCCCTAGGAGAGATTCAGAAAGAGAAGGAGAAGATGTTGGCGACAAGCATGGCAGACGGCCGGGACATCTACAAGGCATCTTCAGTGGCCGAAATCCGAGCCACGTTGGCCGAGCTGGGCCAGCAAGAAGCCACTGTGACTGCCCGTCTGGATGCGCTGCTTGCCTCGCAACGCGATCTCTCACGCCAATTGACCAAGCTCGACCTCGCTCGAGCTCATCTCGGTTCCCAGGTCGTCCACATTCGATCCATCAGCAATGGCATGCTCTCGTCGGCCGCATCCACAGCCGCTCGCATCTCGGGCGCCGTCAATCAGCTCGATCGCGAGCAAGCCGCCGTCAAGTCGACCCTGAACGTCGTCGACCAGGTCGCCGAACTCAAAGCCTGCGTCTTGGGTGTCAATGGCTCCATGGGTGCCGCTCAGGACTGGGAGACTGCTGCCGAATACCTCCACCGCGCTTCGCAAATCCCCGACCATGTCATCGATGGTGCCTTCGCCCAAGAAATCGTTCCTACTGCCGAAGTCCCCGATGCCCCGCGAGTCACCCTCACCCAAGCCTCGGACAGTCTGTGTGGTCTGTTCCTGCGCGAGTTCGACAAAGCTGCCGCCCAAGGAGATGGCCAGAGGGTCACACGCTTCTTCAAGCTGTTCCCCTTGATTGCCAAGTCGGAACAGGGCTTGGATGCATACGGTCGCTACGTCTGTACTGGCGTAGCAACACGAGCGAGATCAAATCTGAGTGCCACAAATCAGCGTTCTGCTGGCCTCTTCTATGCAAGCGCCTTGACAAAACTCTTTGAGCAAATTGCCCTCATCGTCGATGGTCATTCCCCTCTTGTCGAGAGACACTACGGTCAAGGCTCCATGGCCAAGGTTATCGAGCGTTTGCAAACAGAAGCAGATACCCAAGGCGGCATTGTACTGGATGCTTGGGCCGACGAGCGCAGTCTTGCAAGGAAGATCAACGATGTCAAATCATATGCTTTCTCCTTTCTTGTCCAGAGTTTCCTTCCATCCCAAAAGTCTTCTGCTGCAAGGTCTTCATCGCCCGCCTCGAGTCGTGCTAGTGAGGATGAGACTGTCAACATGAAAGAAATCGACGCGCTTCTCAGTGAGACTGCCATGATGCTGAGTCGATGGGCTCTCTACACCCGTTTTGTCGCTACAAAAATTCATGTAAGTTCTGATCAGCTAACCTCTATAGAGGTCAAGATGCTAACAACACCGAAGCCTGGGGTCGAAGAACACATCGCCATGCCAGATCTCCTGGTCAACAGCAGGCTGAACAAGAAGATTGCAGATGCGTTGATCGAGCCCTTCAACACCATGTCCACTTTCTTCTTCCGTCGCTCCGTCGAAAAGGCCTTCCAGATGGACGAATCGCCCTTTGACCTCACTCTCAATCCCAACAAGCCTCTGGGCTCCAATCCACCATTCATCACCTCTGCCGTCGACGATGTCATGTACATTGTCAATCAAGTCATCCAGCGCACTCTGGCCACATCGCAAAGATCTGTTGTCGCCAGCGTCATGCCGTCGGTCAGTCGTGTTCTGACAGGCGACTTCTTCGGCATGATTCAACGTAAGATGCGCGACGAAAGCTATCCCAAAGCCGCCATCCAAGGAGCTCTACCTCCAGAAAGCATCATCATATCTTTCTTGGTTCTCGTTAACAACTTGGACGTCTCAACCGACTATCTCCGCCGCATCATCAACACCAATCTCGGTAAAGTTGACCCTAACAACCAAGGTCAACAACACGCTGCCATACCTGACCTTTTCCCCTTCGCCCACGACGCCGTCTTTGTAGAAACTGCACTCAGCAACATCCTCACCACCTTCGAATCCAAAACCAGCGACCTTATCTCCGAAGCGATCGAAGTCCTCCTCAAGCAAGTCATGCGACCCCGCTTACGTCCCGTCTTTGTCGAAACCTTCCGCGATGTTGAGTATTTCCTCGACGTCGACACGTCCGAAACCACAGAACCCGATTTACAAGTGCCCCAACGCTTCGAGAGGGGCTGGATGCAATTCACCCGCCCCATCAAACGCATCCTCACCGAACGCACCTACGACGCCCTCATCACCTCCACTTTATCGTACCTCGCCCGCGCCCTCGAAAAGCGTATCTGGAGCTACTACGGCCGTGTCAACGAACGCGGCGCGGCAAAACTCGAACGTGACATCTCTGGCATCGTCAATGCGGCAGTCAAAGGAGGAAAGTATTCACTCAGGGATGCTTTCCAGAGGTGTACGGAGATGACGTTGATTCTGAATATGGAGGAAGATGAGTGGGAGGAGGTGAGAGCGCAGAGTGTGGAGACGCAGAGGGAGGCTGGGTTGGAGTGGCATCTGGATGCTAGCGAGAGGGCGAGGACGAGGAGTATCATGACTGATTCGAGATAGCAACAAATCACAAGTCACACCCGGAGAAGGAAGGTCTCAAAATAGATATAAACAGACCTTGGTGCATAACGATTTGCCTCCTCCACCTCTGACTTGATTTGTTCTCTTTCTCCTTCCACGCGATCACTCTTGCCTTTGTCCATCCCCCTCTCATGTTTAACTATACATCCATCCTTGATCCATCATGCACCTCTTACACCCTCTGCCATACACTACACCACCGCTAGACTGTCTGATGCACCCAGATCTAGATTCCAGCCGCTGTGCCTCCGGACCCCCGCTGCCATACCTGGACATTAGGGTACCTAAAACTCGTTGCTCAGGGGTCATGATACCAAGATACTCAGGCTGAGGAACAAGAGCATCGTGCATAGCCGCAAAGGTGGTAGTCATGGAGCAAGGTCCGCTGCGTAGAAAGGAAACGTTGCAGTTTGTGTACGTTCACAAGGTTACAAACATTGCAGTTGGTGTACATTCACAAGGTTACAAAGTACCTTGAGTGAAGAAAGGAGGGTAGTCATGCTTGGATCGTGAGTTGGGACTCAGGAATGACATTTGTTATCTACTGGAACCTCTTTTTCCTTTCTTGGTATACTCCCGAGCTGTCCTCGGGGTTGGTCGACTGTTGGACTATAGGCTCGTGCTTCTTCTTCAGCTTTGTTGTGTGTGTAGATGTTTATGTAAAGACTGGATGTTCTCCTGAAGGAACATGAAACCTGTGAGAGTTGTTCAGTAAGAGGTGACCTTTCTGAGAGGTGGTAAAGGGGTGAAGACAAACAACTTACCACACGGGGTCCATGAACCGGTTCCTCGCTTTTGTTCCTTCGTTTCTCTCTCGCATGTTCCATTTTCCTTTCCCTGATTGTTAGGCAGTTGTGAAAGTTGCTTTGTCGTAAAGCAGAAAGCAGAGATCTGTGTGTGATCAGTCTCTCGCAATGACTGACACAGGGTAGAGACATACAACGCTCAAAGGCTGATGTCAAGGTGAGTCTTGTGCTGCTCTTCAGCGCAAGGTGCAAGTGCAGTTGGGGATGCGGACAGCAGGATTGTTGCGTCGGTCGGCAAGGACAGCTGCGTCAACATCGCGAGGGACGAAGCCGATGTTGCGAGCATACTCGAGGGCATCAGGGTCATTGGGGTTCTTGCAGGGCGGGAATATGATAGGATTGGTCAGCCACTCATCCATCTTGACGCGGTTATGTTCGATGATTGCATCGCGAGCGTCGGCTAGGGTTTGGGCTGCGACCTGAGCACGAATTTGAGCGTCTCTGGCGTTGTTGGCAGCGAGCAATTCGCCGATGTGGACGGTGAACTCGACAGCAGAGCGATACTTGCCGCCTTTAGGGTTGCCGTAAAGCTCCACGACGTTTTTCTGCTTTCCGGTTGTGTGCTCCCACAGGGCGAAACCGCTGGGCAGAGTTCCGACGAACTCGTGACGGCCTAGAGGCTTGTTAGTCGAGCTGCCATCATGGAGGATCAGAATGTGTACTGACCGTATGCGTTCACGAGTTGATTGTTTTCGTTAAATGCTTTGGTCAAGAAGACGAGATAGCGAGCGTAGCGAGCATCTTGTTGCTGGATTTGAGTGTAGTTTGCATCTGAAGATCCTTGACCGGTACCGTTACTACGCAGGGTGCTGAGGTCGAGCCGGATGGGAGCTGGTTGAGCCATCTTGTCGGTTGCTCGCGTAGAACTCGGTGCAGGTATGCAGAGGAAGAACCGACAAGATTGGGAAAAGCAAGCTGTTTTATCTGGCCTGCCGAGAGCCTCTCCGTCGACCGCTGCCTTCCGCTTTCCATCGACCGCTGCTTTGCAATTCCGTGGGCCATTGTCTCCGTGGCGACAATGTCAGTGGCACAATACCTTTGAGCGATAACGCAAGGCTGCAGTAGTAAGCTGGCAGTTTCGAGATGATCGACAGAATGAGCCGGTCGTGTCTGTCATCAGTATCTTTGTCTATGATATTATGGCAGAGATTTTCGTGCGTAGCATCAGTATGGAGCAACGAGGAGTACGTCTCCTTCGAGAAACATGGCTGTACTATTGCCGTCAAATCTTTGGTTCACCAACATGTGTCAAGTCGTTTGTAGGAGTTAATCATGCAGTAGCTCACTATTGCCCTCAACCAACTCGACGATAGGAGAGATGCTGCGTCGCGAGCCACGGTCAGGGACGCCATTGCTCTTGTACGGTGTGGTCCTTCACGTCTTGGATACCACGAACGGAATAATACGGCTCCTGAGGCTCCTCGGGCTCCTCGCTCACGTGGCGGGACTTGCGCTTGGAAGGTTTGGAGAACGCGGAATTCATAGGATATATCCTTAGACTGACGATAGCACGGCCTGTTTCTGAAGCTGAAGTCGGAGACTGCTAACATGTGGCGATGGCCGCGATCTGGTTCGGCTTGCTCGGCTCGTCTCTCGACTCATGGCTCTCACTACTGTTGAATTTGACAAGCATATCAAACAAGGAAGCTGAGTGGACTGACGACAAGCATTGGCATATCTCAGAGCATCATAGCGGGCGATGGTCGAACGCAATTAGTAGTTCGAAGTGCAGGACTTGGAAGCCTGTGGCTAGGTGATACATCAGTACTGAGAGAAGAGTAATAAGAGCGATAAGTTTTTGGTACCTTGTAAGCTCCGACGTGTCCAAACGAGTGGAGGAGAAACTGCAGAAGAGATGATAAAGAGCAGTCATGGCAAAGAATGAATATGCGTTCTTTCTCTCGAAGATAACAAACACGATTTGGTCCGACGGCAAGAACGCGGAATGTACCTGCCCTGGAGGTAGACCTACATTAGACAACTCAGGATCAGAGCACACAGCTGCAGATGACGGGGTTCTTCTCTGGCGATGATAGCATTCGGGATGTGATGAAAGGAATATGGTTTGCTTGAACGATGTGTTTGACCAGCTGGAAGGACATGGCGGAGGCCTCGAGTAAAGTTGCCTCCTGGGAGAATGTCGGCGAGACATGATGTCCGTGCACGTGACTCCAAAGCACAACTCCAGTGCGTCACTCCTCTTCTTCTGATGATAAGAGCTGTGCTGACGCTTGAAGATGTCTACATCGAGACAAGAAGTCGAGCAATCCATGGCCAGGCTCTCGTCTTACCTCCGAGTCTTGCAGCAGCGACGTCAAGTTGATGGACCTGATCAACGGCTGCGAACACTCGACAGCTGCAAGCCAATGCCGCGGGATTATTGTTACCACATCAGACCGGGTACAGGAAGTCAAGGGATCATTCACCATGATATACAACATGATGTAAGGCACGAGTACAAGGCACAACAAATGTTTGATGAAGGACAAAAGGTGAATTCGGCTCTTAACTGCTTGTACAGAAGAGCAATCTTTTACCCCCTTGTTTATTCCTCCTTTCTTTCAGGCTGCTACCTTGCAGCATAATCTCAAGATCATCTTGGGAAGAGATAGAAGACGGGCTCAGCAGTGCTGACGCGGGTCTGTGAACTGCAAGGAGTTAGATCATATCGTCGTATGGGGATCACTCAAGACTCACCTCGATGTGAAGTGCTTCAGCAGCCGCAGTTGATAGCGGTGTTTTGAACATGCATCTGACTGTTGTTCTGAGCGTTGTTGGGCTGGTAGTTCTGGATCTGGACGCGAATGGTGTTCTCGTTGGCGCGCATGATCTCCTCCACATGGCCCAAGAAGTGAGAGCCAGAGCGGTATCTGATGTTGCGAGGGGAGCCGAAGACCTCGTTGATTGTGACACCTTGGCCCGATGTATCATGGGTCCACTCTGAGAAGCCATGAGGGAGGGCTCCAACGAACTCCATTTCGATACCTGAGGACAACGTCAGTCGGCAGCATCCTCAAGCAAATGGTGCTGACTTACCCCAGTACAGAACGCTGGTCGCACTCTCGTTGAAGCGCATGGTCAGGAGCTTAAGCATGTGCGAGTCTGCCAATGGGTAGTAGATGCGTCTGCTAGGTCCCAGAGTGGTGCCATCGCTGGTCAGCCGGCTGAGGTCGAGCTGGAGTCTGGGCTGAGCCATCTTGATGATGGTGGTGGTTGTCGTGTACTCGCGTTTAATGGTGGTTTGGTTCTGGGAAGCGGCAATAAGGGAAAGCCCAGAAGGGCGAATAATTATGGCTGGCACGGGTCTCCGTCGACGCTGATCGGCGCCGAAACTCTCAACTGAACCAAATTCCCTCTAAACCACTACAAAGGATTATATGCCTGGTGGAAGACTCGGCGACCTCAAGGACCAATGCTACGTGCTACCACTAACCTTGAGATATCTCCAAGGGAGTGGAAAGAGGCTTGATCCTCAGAAAACGCTACTACCTTTCTCAAGAGCACTGTATACTTCTACAGTATGTATACTCCTCGCTGCTGCTACCTGGAGAGTACCACAGGAGTCACGGATGTGCACATCTCATGACAAGGATCTCAGACTATTCCAGGTTCTTGACGTGCACCAAAATGTATATCTACCATAAGGTTGTACTCTGCGACCCACGCCATGGATACCGAGGCGTCACGAACCCACTTGTCGAGGAGCCAGTTACTGATGGAGGAGAAGTCCATATAAGGTATCCAGATCTACTGTTCAACAGATCAATCGGAAGTATGAAAGATGAGACTGCAAGGAGATTATGCAGCACGTCACGAGGGACTGGTACGACAGCGAATTTACATGAGCAGAGAGGAAGATTACTGGCTCCAACTGAGTGTCTGATTGATGGCTGCGATGGACTGTGCCCGGCCAACAAGGTTTGGCTAGATATCTCATTGTCTCTCCATTGTTGTCTGCAGAAGTCGGTGAGCTGACGCAACAATGTATGTCGTCTGCAGCGGAGTGGTGCTCTCAGTCTAGCTGTCGTAGACCCGAATCGTTTGAGGAAATCCATTCGCTCCTACCTACCACACCATCAGAAACGACCCTCAAACAACTCATGAGAAGACAAAAACATACCCGAGCTCACTGAGGAAAAGGAAGCTGACAGTACTTGCAATAGCAGAATCTAGGTCTGTTCCAAGCCACATTCCTCTCCACGATGATCCAGTAGCAATGGGGAACAAACTCCCTGAATGAGCGAAACAGCTTGTCGGTGTCGAATCCTCTTCTGGAACTGTTGCCATGGCCATAGATGTATCTGTCGGGAGATCTGCCTTCCTTGGTTGGAGCAGCGAAACAAGTCATTCCTTGAGGTAAACCTCCGATGAACTTGACGCGGTTGCAGTCTGCTCGAGCAATGAGTGTCAGTCGATGCAATCGGCGAGCTTGTGGATGGGGAGTCTTACTCAATTCGGCCATCATGGCTGATTTGTCGGGGTGACGGTTGAATGCTTCGGTCAAGAGTTCGAGAGCCTCGTCGTCGGGTACGGGAGTGTAGTTCAGCTTTGGGTTTGGGAGATGCTCGGGGTCATTTGAGGAGTAGACGATGGTGCTGAGGTCGAGCTCGCGGACATCGAGGTGCTGCTTGCGGAAGAGGGCATGCGGCATCGTGTCTTCTTGTGTGGCTTTTTGATACGTTGGGAGAAGAGATAGAGAGGGGAAAAGGGAGTGAGGTGAGGGATCCGAGGCAGGCGGTCGTTGCTCGTGGTAGAATGTTCCGGTCCAGGTCCTAGAGGTTCTCCATGGCTCTGTTGGGTGTTCAGGCTCACTTTCGTGAGGTGTAGCTGACCCTTCATCCACGTTGGAGGCTTTAGCCTTCACAAAAGCCGGGTTCGTTGATGTGAACGTCTCAGAGGCTCTCAGAAGGTTCAATAGAGATATCTGCTGTGGATGTTGCTATCAAAATGCATGGTGTCTTTGCAGATTCAATTACGAGCAGTGAAAAGCATGAGTCAGACCTGCTTTCACCAGAGGCAGCCAACTTCTTATCAGCATTGTGACTGTCCATAAGATAGTACCTTGCAGGGGAAACAGCAGTTGGACCACTCTCAAGAAAAGCTTATACTGTACCAGGTGACGATGAAAATGCACAGAATATTGAAGAGTCATGCTAGTATTCAGTGAAACACACAAATGCCTGCTCTCCCAGACCATCTTTGCCAATGCGAATATGTCATGCCTTTTCATAAGTAAACATACATCAGTTACGATTTTCGGAATGTTTGGGCTGTCCATTCTAGCGAGTAATTTTCCTTTGCTTGGAAAGTATGCCAACAACCAGCGCTGTACTCGCCAAAGCAATTTGAACAGCTGCAGACAGGAAAGCAAAGTCAGCTGATGTCTCTTTGAAGAGATGTTTCGATTGACTTACCAAACGTCCTTCTGAAACTCGCGACAAAGGCACGAATGATGAGTCGTCTCAAAGGACCATGCAATGTTTGTACGTATGCAACATCACTCAGTACTTTCCTCGCAATCTATACGGCCGAGTTAGCTGGATTCTTCGAACAAAAACAAAGACCGGATATGGTATACCTCGTCTCCATCGACCACTCTTTGCAGGATTCTGTGAAGATTTGCCCTCAATGCAGATTGGAAAATAGCACTTGCAGCACTGACACCAGCTACTACACTGATGTTAGAGCTGAGGTATAATCCTGTGGTGGCGATGGCGATCTGGTCTTTCTCAACACCTGCAGTCAAGCCAACAAACAAAGCAGAGTTTGCCATGCCTGATGCGCAGCCACCGAAGAAGATGACCAATGAGCCAGCTGTACTGGTGTGACCTCGCCAGAAAGTCAGAAGCAGGGAGAAACACAACATGGCCGATAGACTGGCGAAAATAGTCGGGGGTTTGTAGCGGCCGGTACTGTGCACTTGTCAGTTGACTTGAGCGAAGAAGACATCTTGGAAAGAGAAAACTCACCGCTTGATCCAAGCACCGACAGCAAGACCACCGAGTGTATTTCCAAACACGGCAGGGACAAGATGCGCGCCAGCCTCGCCCATACTTGCATTAGCAGTGACCTGGAAGTATAATGGCACTAGGAACATGAGCTGAGGTCACAGGTTAGCATTGAATAGTGAACATGAAGCGATATGAGCACTCACAGAAACTTGGATACCAGTCTGAATGAAGATGATCATATACGATGTGATCACTGCATCCTTAGCCAGCAACTCCAATGGAAATACAGGTTCTTTGGCCCAGAACTTCTCTGTGAGGACAAAGAATACTCCGGCAGTAACGCCGATTGCAACCAGAACAGCGATCATGGTGGTGCTGGCCTTTTTGCTGCCTAGATCGAATGCTGTGATGCACGCTAGAATGGCGACTGACATGAAGAAAGCACCGACGAAATCGATGCGCTTGAGTTTTTTCCAGATGCTTTGCTTCAATTCGACATTTTGTTGTGGCTCTTCGAGTTTCCACCAGACCAGCACGATGGAGAGGAGTAAAAGTGGACATTGTCCGATAAACGCCCTGTAGGATATCAGTAGGGTCGTCGCATGTACCATAGCATTACTCACCATCTCCAACCAATGGTTTGAGTCAGATAGCCTCCTATTAGACCGCCGCAACTCCTTCCTACAGTGGAAAAGACATTGACGTAACTCCTGTATGCTGCCACTTCATGCAACGGTACCAGATCTATACAGGAGGTGAGCGGACACGAGATCTTCCAGCTGGGGAGAAATGCATACCAGTCAGAAGGATAGAAACCATAGAGACCATTCCAGCACTTCCGGCACCCTGAATGACACGGCCAAAGATCATCTGTACCATATTCTGAGCGATACCAGCAAGCGCAGTACCAATCAAGAACAAAAGATACGACGTTTGCAATATCGGCTTCCTTCCAAAGATCTGTGACAGTCTTCCGTACATTGGCTGTGTGGCGCAAGTTGCAAGGCCAAAACTCGTCACTATCCAACTACCATCGATCCAACTGCCCTTTCCCATGCGGATGAATTCAGAGGTTATGTGCGCATAAGTTGCAAAGACCAGCGTAGTATCGGCCTGCGAGACAAATACGCCGATTAGAAGGACTGAGATGATGCCAAAGACGGAGCGTGCGGGTTGTCCATCTTGCTGACTCCCTGATGCCGAGGGCGTTTGTTGTGTTTCCAAGTCGTCTCGTTCCTCATCCAACAGCGGTGTTGTTTCCTGCTCGGCTGTCCTTTGGGATGCGACCTGCGCATTCGAGTCCTCTGCCGTACGGATAGACATGGTTGACCGTCAAGACCAAACAAGAAAGTATCCAAGAACGATTCAAGAAAAGACAGGGTCGAGAGCGAGCACGTGGGGGTCAAGAACTAATGGAGACGATTTAAGGTTGATAGGTTCGTACCGGTGTCTATAATAGGCAGCGAGGCCACGCATGCTTATATGCCCCCCCTTACCTTCCTGGCGCCATATAAGATCGCAAACTCTGCAGCGGAGTCATCTCAAATCATCGCGCCATCGGACCGCGACAACCAGGGCTGGAATGTCGGGTTATTGCGTTTGCGGATGCTGGCTTGTATATCGCGATAACAGAATGGTGCAATCGTTGGTTGAGCAGTCGTGCTCGAGAACCTCGGGACTTTGGAAAAGACCTTATACCCTTTCGAGACGAAAAGGTGGGGGGGTTTTGGCTCGGGTTCCGCGGATTTTGTGTCAGGGTGCTGCTGCTGACAAGCATGTTTCTGATGAAAGTGCTTCGGAGATGGCAATGACAAAGAGGATGTTGTGTCATGATACTCTAGGGATATTCTTTCGAGGCATATCTATAGGATGATACATGTCCGAGAATGATGAGAGCATGTGGTGGTGCAATATGCTCGATCTTATGTTTCCAAGCTTCTGGTTCTAAAAAATGCTCAGTGTGCACACTGACGAGTAGAGGGATTTCTAGATCTGGCCAATGCCTTCATTATATGTCGCTATATCAGATTCGGAAGGTGTAGTTCATCTAGAGAAGTAACAAAAGTGCTCAAGTTTCATGTTTAGATACGGCAGAAGTGTAGTGTCGTCGTTGCCGATAGTAAGAAACTAAAGCTGTACATCACATATGGCCACTCGGGGCAACACTTCCGTACCAGCATAGCATAATCTAGAGAAATCATTGACGACAATGCGATAACATGACTGGATTTCATCCAAAGCCACCTGTATTTGCCGTATACTACTGAGAATATACTATCTGGAGGAGGCTCGCAAACACGGTGAATTAATCCAAGACCATGAAGCTTACTAATACTCGAGAGTCGATACCCGCAACCTACACCTCTCTCCTCTTGTCGTCCTTTCCAGGGGGCCTCTAGACAAGGATCAAAGAGGATCATAAGCCTCTCTCCTACTCTCTCTCATCTCCCTTAGCAGCTCCATCATCATATCTGCTCTTACGATCCTATCTTCCACCATCCTTCCCGCTGTCGAGACGCCATCTCCCGTAATCTCAGTTCTGCTTTTGATACTCTGCGCAATCATCCCGTCTTCCTGTCCAACACCCTATGCAATTCTTCTCTCTAGTTGCTGTATTATACCTTTCTGTTGCACGAGATCGAGTTTCAGGTCTCTGATGGTTGCATCTCTTGTTCTGATCAACATGTCCTTCTCCTTGGCCGCTGCGTCTTTTTCTTCCACAGCTTGTCTCGATTCTTGGAGCTCTTGTTTCAACTCTGCAACCTCCATCTGTGCCTGTGCTTGCTTGCGCAAAAACGCATGTGCTGAGCGCGTGTACACTGTATCTTCCGAATGCATAGGCAAAGAAACATCATGTATACCCCTGCTTCTCTGCGTCACCGAGGGACAGGTAACAAGTAGCAGGCAGCAGCGACATGGAGTTGTCGTTGCGGTTGGCGAGCGAGGTAAGGTGCGTAGAGACAACATCTTCTTTGCTGTCTGTTACTGCCGTCTTTTGTCGTCGTTGTGTGGCTTGCTTTTGGTGTGCAGATGTTGTCTGTTGCTAGTACTCGGTGGTTAATCTCTAAAGTCTCGCGAGCAAAAAGTGTCATGGGAAGGGTGAGAAGGAAAAAGAAAGAGGAAGAGAAAAAAGCAACATGGGTGATATATACCTGATGGTAGAAGGGAAAAGAGTCATACCGAATAGAATAAACTCATGAGTAAGTCTGCGTGGTCAGCACGTGGGACAGAAAGTCACTTGCCAACATCATAGACATTGCCTATACCATTTGCTAAACGTAAGAACGACGAAAACATCATCAGATGGGAATAACGAGCTGTATTCAAAAAACTTTCTGTAGCATTTGCATTGAGGTGGATCTGGATATAAAACAAGCAGGCGGTGGTGAGGAGGGAGTTTTGTCGAAAGGAGGGCATTAATAATAAAATCAACAGTCACAAAGAGGTCTTTTACCACTCTGTTACACCCCCATCTTCTCAGCTGTGGCCATAAGACTGCCAATGAAGGTAACAATAAGTCTGCTGCGCACATTGCAAATATCCTCTGGCACAAGCCAGATAGTAGCCCCCATCTTTCTGGCAATGGAAATGGCAAGCTTGGCATTGGCATATGCTTCGTCGTCGTTGCGGCCAGAGGCAACCATGTCATAGTCAACATAGCTGCTCTTCATACCATTAAGGACGTCAAGCAGGAAAATGCCATTGCCGAGGGTGCTGTCCTTGAAACTGCGGATGGCAGACGACTTGCCGCCCTTCTTGGACATGCCGTTGGCCCATGCGACCATGTCGGCGTCGCTGATCTCGCGCTTGCCCATGCGTTGGGCGAGGGCACCAAGAGTGTTGACAATGTCCTTGCGCATGAGTTGCCAGACCAGACCGAGGGTCAGCGTGCGTTGACCATCGGTGATATCTGCACCTTGAATACCGACGAGCGAGAAGCGGTTTTGCTTGCCAATCTCAACAGCGTAGTTTGTGTTCTCGACGGCCTTGAAGCGCATGAGCTCGTTGCCATTGGCGGGACGCTTGTTGGCGTGACGCCATTGTACAGAGCCGGGAATGACCTTGTCGTAAGCTTGTAGAAGGATGGTACCGTCGCGGAGATCGTCGAAGAAGGAAACAACGGTGGGTTGGACGTCCAGACTGTTGAGCCAAAGAGTAAAGACACGGGCCTCACGCTCGCCCTCGGCATCAAAGTCCTCAATATCAGCCTTCTCTTCCTCGGTGATGGGCTCGAGACCAGGGTGGGTGTTGAACAAGTTTGCGACGAAAGCAAGGTTGAGTTTGGGGTTACCGGCGACCAGCGACTTGGGGGTCAGGAATTTGCGGCAGTCGAGCTTGTCGGCGTTGTCAAGGACTTGTTCGGCGCGTTGCATGAGGTCGTTGGTCTGGAGTGGCGAGCGGGAGCAGATCTCGGGCTTGAGCTGGTTGAGAAGGACCGTGTAGTTTTCGCCATCCTTGACGTCGCTCGAGAAGTTTGACACGCTGCATACTGTTAGCCAGACACTTGGACTTGTTAGTCTCGCACTTACGTTCTGTGCCACTTGGCGTTCTTCAAGTGGTAGTTGAACCAGCGCAACAGAATCTGCTCGGCAGGGAGACGCAGGAACTGCTCCAGAGTCTCGTCGTCTTCCAGCAGTCTGTACAACTCGGGGTGGAGTCTAATGTCAATCTTGCCGAGCAGACCTCTGCGGATAATCTGCCAGATCAGACCAAGAATCAAGTGCTCCTTGACCTCAATGATATCACCAGAGCCAATGTTGACGACCGAACAGCCAATACCCTTTGCCGACTCAATGACGATGTTGTTGTTCTCGGTCATGTGGAAAGCGTTGAGAGTCTTGATCTTCTTGCCGGGTCTGTTCAGCACACGCTCATCGATTGTGTCGGGCACACTGTCGTTGATGAGCTTGGCCAGTACCAGACCGTCCTTGCACTCGTCGAACATCTCAAAGGTATCGGTGGGGAAGGGCAGCTTGTTGCCAATGTCGGCGTCTCCGGCGAGGACGGCGTTGATGTGACGGGTGAACTCCTCGCGCTCATCCTCGTTGATGGTGTGTTGCGAACTAGACGTGGCACCTCCGACGTGGATACGGCCGCCTCCGGTACTCTGGCCGCCGCCGACGCTGCCCTTGGAGGCGTGGCCAGGCGAGGGTTGCTGGCCTTGTAGTTGGGCGTTGCTGAGGCCGCGCGAACGAGTGGGCCCGGTGGCCATGCTCTTCTGAGCCTGCGACGGTGTGCGGAGCTTCGAGATCAACTGCACGCCTGTCAGTCGTGGATTGAATGGGGTGGGACGTCATGGTGGTGTACATCAACATAGTCGTCCAACTCGACTCGTCGCGAGCTGTCCAGCTCAACCTCCTTGAGAGCCTGTCGCACAACATCGTAGGGCTGGCGCTCCGAGTTCTGCGTGGCCTTGATGACGGTGGCCTCGTCTATGTAGCCCTTGTCGTCGACATCCATGTTCTGGAAAGCATTCGACAGTTGGAAGATCTCATTCTGATCGAATTGGGGGTATTTTCTGGAATGAGTCAGTCTCTGTGTGTCAATTGCGCGCGCTGGACTCTGTACCTTTGCAGCTTGATCACGTTCATGATTGCGGTGGTGGGGGTGAAGGAGGAGCTACCGGGCGACGCGGTAGATGGCGGGCGGAGATTGCTTTAAGTGGATTATGAAGCAGCGCGGAATCCGGATGCCTGAATGTTCCATCGTCAGTTTCAACGGCCCTTGACTCGACGTATTCGCGTATGAGGTGCGTACTCAGCCTCAATTAATGCTACGAGATATTCGAAAGACTCAGTCGGAGGCAGAAGGATAAAAAGACACGCGGTGCGTGACGTCGACGTCTTGGGAGCACCACTCACCCATCCCTCGTCGGGCTGAATTGCTCCGCCACCTATGAATGTCCAAACTCAATTTCTTGCCATCATCTAATAACGATTGTTCTTTGCTTCTATTGATTCTAATGCTCTACATCTAAATCAAGAGATAGAAACTCGTGAGCACGCTTGGTCCCACAAATAGCCCGATCCAAAACACCACGTTTCCAAGCAAGTCTCGGCCCTTGAGTAGCTTGGTTCGGCTGAGCATCACCAAGGGCATCTGCAGCAACTGCATCGTAAACAGATACCCGCGCACCTTCTTGAACAGACATGCCATGACTAGCTCGTGCACCAGTGCCGACAACAGGAACGTCATAAATGTTGCCGTTCCCCTGGACAAGTGGAAAGCTGAGATGGATGAATGGTAGACGTGTCGAAGCAAGAAGTTGTGAACTGGTCTGTTCCAATCTCGGGCATACTGGTCCCACGACACACTGTTCCACCAGTCGCCGTAGAACCCTCGGTCCGCGAAGCATGTGAGTTCCGCCAGCACGTTGAGCACGCATTCCTGTATCATCGTCAGTTACTACCTTCGTTTGATCATATTTGCTTGGTCTCAACTTACCCAGATGACATACCACGACAACAGCTGCTCCAACAACAGTGGGAACAGCATGTCGCTCACAATCCATGGCATCTGCTTGGCTCGGTCTTCTAGAGACATGCCTGCCTCCTTCATCCGGACCGTCTCGGCTACTGGAGGATAGATGTATGCTTGAGAGATGACCTGCATCACACACATTGTACCAAATGTTGCCATACTCTTCTCCAGCACGTACCACCAGTTGATGCGCTCCTGTCGAGGGTATTCAAGTTCGTATACCAGTGTGGGTAAAATGGTCCAGTCGGCAAAGTTGCCAATCGTCAAGTTGTTGGGATACGCCTTTTCATCAGACTGTGCCTTGCCCTTGAGCTCTTTGTCCAAAGTCGCAATCTCCTCCTCGATGACGCCCTGAAATGTTTGCATCTGGTCCGAAGTGAGAGGCTCGCCAGACTGCATGGCGGCTGCAACACTGGCCACCTTGGAGGTTTCGTGGTCCAGATTGGTCGAAGTGCGATACGTTGAAGGACGGCGCTTCTTGTCGTTTGAATCTACCCTCTCCAGCGCGCTCGTCACTGCAGGACTAATAGCTTGTTGAGGGGTGGATGGCGCAGATTCGCTAGGCTTCGTGTCACGGAGGTCGCGCAGCTTCTCTCTCAGCATATTGCGTCGTCTGTAGATGACTGACAGATGACCATTGTAGAAAGTGTAACTATGCTGCTTCATGAGGAAAACCATGGTGTGCAGAACCATAAAAATAGTATGGGACCACGGCCATTCACGGTAGAACATCCACCAGACAACAGAGCCCAGGAAGAAAGTCTGCCAGATGTTTTGAATGATCCAGCCTGACCTGTTCCAGCTGATGTAGTTGTTGACAATGGCCTTCTGTAGCAAGAAGCCCAGGATTGACGAGAAGACCATGACACCATCGGTAATGCCCAGGATCAAGACGTCGTGGCCGAACATGATCTTGAAGACCTCGTTGCCTCCAAAGATGCTGCCATGTTCTCTCCAGTTGGAGGCAGAGACCTTGAGGAACATGAGGACCATGGCCAACCAGAACAAGGTGAAGAAGCCGTGGAAGGGAGACTCTGCGCTCAGAGGGTTTTGTCGGTCAAAGGTTGTGAACTGGCGAGTGAAGACGAGGTCACGAAGAGTCCTCGATCTCTTGGATGGGTCTTGTGAAGCCTTTTCTCTTTCCATGCCCTTTCTAAGGATATCACGAATGTCGGGATCATTGGCGGTGAGGGTATAGTGACCTTTGCGATCAGTCTTTTCTAGGCGGACTTGGATGCTTTTGCGACGAGAGTCTGGCGATAGTTCACGAGTGGTTGTGTCGGACTGTCTTCGTATATGTCCGACGCCTGACCTGGAAGGCTTGAGTGAGAGATCCTGCTCTTCTTGTGAGCCAGTGGCAGTATCGCCCAGAGGACCACCACTGCTGCCGTCGATGATGGTGTCTGGGTCCAGCTTGATCTTGTCGTAGTCTTCGATGTCTTCATCCGAGGTCAACGAAGCAGAGCTTGAGCTGTTGGAGGTATCTGCGTTCTGGAGATAGGTTGTCTGATTGTGACGTGGCTTCAGAGATGCAGTGCCGTCCTTCGCGATGCTGCCGACCAGCTCATGGGCGTCGAGAGTGTCATTTGTGGTGAGATGGGGACGACGGCTTGCTGTTGCCTTGACGTCCATGATGATAACGAGTCGTCGTCAGTGTAGGTGGGACGATTATAAGGATGAGATGATGGAGAGATGGAAAGTGTGAGAGGTAAGAAGAAGAGGCTAGGTTAGTGAAATGAAGGGACGACAGGCCATGGCACAACGTAATGAGAATCTCAACACGACAGGGGAAGGCCAACAGGACCGTGTCAGATCCTAATATCACGGATACGTGTTTACGGCGGACACGTAGGAATTTCGACTTTATTCCGACACAAGTTGGCATGGTTCGGTCGGAACTGCTGGTACTTTTTGGTGCTTGGCTGACGATCTGGCCATGACGCGACCGGTGATGTAGCTGCACCTCTGCACAGCAGGACTTTGATCCCGAGCCTCGGTCGACGACCCATCCGGATAACCACTAGCCAAGTGCTCGTCCATATCCTCGGAATAGAAAGCATTCCAGGGTCGAATGTTTTCTCTGGAAAATGAATCTTTGTGCATCCGAGACAGCAGATACGTTGCCATGTCGTGTACCGAACGAACCTGGCCAATCGGATTTTGCTTCAGGGTCTTCGCCGAGAGCTTGCAACTTTTTATTACTGTCGAAACACATGATCTTTTCGAGGGATGAACGGACTACAGGGACAAGTGCTAAACACAACTTGGAGTGCATAGCATCACTGGACATAGATTATATCGATAGCTCGTAGCATGTGCCGAAGAGTGGTTGGAAGATAAGGTAGACCTCAAGTGCTGAAAGTTTGGCAAAGAGCTCCCCGCATCTTCTCCGCCTTTTTGAACTCGAGCAGAAAAATCACAATCGCGACTTTTATCATCAGTATCAAGTCACACAGCCCGACATGGCCGACATTCAAGCAATGGACATCGACACAGACACGACCGAGCAGGAGATCCTCCTCGCTGCCACCAACCATGACCTAGATTCGCTCCGCCGTCTCTTGCGCACGCCCAAAGGCTCCGCCAACGTCGTCGACTCGGACACCGGAATGACCCCTCTCCACGCCGCAATCGCTGCATGCGAGCCCGACGAAGACACTGCTCAGGATAAGAAATATATGGACATCGATGAGGCTGCTACACTCAACGACTCTGCTCTCGACGAAGACGAGGCCCTCAAGATTGTCAAATACCTGCTTGAAAATGGTGCCATCTGGAATGACTTGGACGACAACAACGAGACTCCTGGATGTCTGGCTCTGAGACTTGGCTTGAAGAAGTGCTATGAGGCTATGGTCGAGGCTGGTGTTCGTGCTGAGCTTCTCTTGAGCCGTCTCGACGGTTTCGAAATGCTGGCACAGTACGAGGACGACAGTGAAGAAGAGGAGGAAGAGGAAGGCTTCGAGATTATTGAGAACATGAATGGCGACTCTCTACAAGAATCCATGATCGAGGTTGAGGAGAGCGCCCCCGAGCTCGTTGGACCCGACGGCACTGTACCTGGCACCGACAGTGTGCCCGAGCTTGTCCAGGTTGACGAGAATGGCCAAGAGACAAAGGTCGATGTCAACAGCGAAGACTACCTTGCTTCGGAACTCACCTTCAAGGGTGACAGACTGCTGGACGCCGACAAGAACGGCGTCATGATGTCCTGGGAGACGGATATCATGCAAAAGACCGTCGACCGCCTCTGCCCCGAGCCCGGACTTCGTGTTTTGAACGTCGGTCACGGCATGGGCATCATCGACGGCATCTTCCAGGACAAGAAGGTTGCAGTCCACCACATCATCGAAGCACACCCCGATGTCCTTGCTCGCATGCGCAAAGACGGCTGGTACGAGAAGCCTGGCGTCAAGATCCACGAAGGCAAATGGCAAGACGTTATCCCCCAACTCGTCGAGCAGAACGAGGTCTTTGACGGCATCTACTTTGACACTTTTGCCGAAGAGTACAAGGCTTTGAAGGAATTCTTTACCGAGTATGTCATTGGTCTGCTTGACCCTGAAGGTCGTTTCGGTTTCTTCAACGGCCTCGGTGCCGACAGACAAGTATGCTACGATGTTTACACCAGAGTTGTCGAGATGGACCTCTTTGATGCTGGTATGGATACCGAGTTTGAGGACATTCGAATCCCAGATCTCGATGAGCAGGGTGAGTGGGAGGGTGTGCGCCGCCGCTATTGGGCACTGGACAACTACCGCTTGCCCACCTGCAAGTTTGTCGGTTGAGCAATACTTTTCGACCACTATTGATCGGTCTGCCTCCGCGCTGAGAGCAAGGCATTGCCAGGACTGCCTTCGTCTCCCAACACCTTCTAGGCCGTGTCATTGCCTGTGATGGGAAGTCTCTGGAGCCCTTTCGTCCTCATATCGCTAGGCACCAGTGTGGGGTCAAGCAAGCCAATCTGAACAAGTACGCTCGCTTGGTCCCAATAAAGCTGCTCTTGGTATAACCTGCCGCCACGGCCGCTCACGATGGACACGATAGGCACTTCCACCGACTTGTTTGTCGGTGGTACCTTTGGCAACAGCCTGTATATCTGATCAGAGCACTATGTGGCATGGGAGGAGTGCGGTTTCCTACCAAGCTATCTCCTGTGTATGTCCGAACGATATCATCATCTCGTCCACCACTCTGTCCGCGCCAACAGTGCGGCTGAGAAGACGCATCTCCAGACTAGGAAGGTTGTCGCATCTGTCGACCTCACCATAGAAAAGATCAAGCTCTTCTCTGTCAATGCCACCTGCCGAGGGTAGCTTCGGCCCATGATTGACGCAGGGTAGTTCACTCGATATGGAAACATCGAACTTTGCTTTGAATTTGTCTGTACCATTTGTTTAGTGACTCTACTCCGCTCAAATCTCATTTGGGACGGGTAGAATTGACAGATCTTACGTCTGTTGTACTCGTCCACGAGATCTTCCAAATCAACGATCATTCCAAACCCCCTCCTCAGATACGTCAACGTCCTCCCCCAACTTAGGCCGGCAGCAAACTTATCGTACTCTTCCAAATCGCTCTCTGCAAAGCCAGGACAGGTGTCCGGATACACATACGTCTTGGATGATGCAGTACCGAATGGCTGAATAGAAGCAAGATGGCAGAGTAGCGACATTGAAGCTGGATACTTGTGTGTTTGGGGAAGGGACAGCAGTGCGATAGTAGCAGATTAGAGATACACAGTGGGGAAGGGCGGATTGTTGTGCCACAGAGAGAGTGTGTTTCGCTGCGTCCCCGAAGGCTATGATGGCGTATTTATGGCCTTGTTCGAGGTCGTCTGCTAAGTGCTTGACTGCATAATTGAAGTCATTGACGTTTCCTGTGAAGGGGGTGTAAATTGTGTTGAAGCCTTGTTCTTGGAGATGCTGCAGGAAAACGGGATCAAATTCCTTATCGTCGGACAGGATATGTACGAGGTGAGACATTGTGTTAAAAATCGATTGGAGTTCGTCTTTGGTCGCACTGCTCCTGCGTATAAGGGTTCCTGCAGGTCGAGATAGCCGTTGCAGTCGTGCCCTCTTCGGAAGAACTTGCCGAGCTCCGAGTCACGATGACGCAAACTGCAGATCACGCACGAGTCAAAATCGGTCGTGAGTCTGGGGTTTCTCGATTTCGAAACAATTTGCTGCTTCAATATTTATCACCCCACCACACCCATCAGCTACCGCCGAAAATAGGATTCGCCATTCCGTTTCATCGTTGGCTTCGCGACGCTTTCAAGATAGGTCGCAAGAACAAACCGCACCGCCAGTCAGGCGCGAACAAAGACCGAGGAAAAGTTGGAAGAGGACGTCACAAGATGGGTCAAGAGGGTTCGAGTCCAGTAGACGAGAGTGCACCCTCCAAAACTCTGGAGAGCAGAACCGTCGATGGACTCGCCAAATACATCCGGGATGGACATGCAAAGCGCATCGTTGTCATGACTGGCGCAGGCATCTCGACAAGTGCTGGCATCCCTGATTTCCGCTCGCCCAACACTGGTCTCTACGCCAATCTTGCTAGACTCAACTTGCCGTATGCTGAGGCTGTTTTCGATATCTCCTTCTTCAGGGAGAATCCTACCCCCTTCTACACGCTAGCTCACGAGCTCTACCCTGGAAAATATCGTCCAACGGTCACACATTCGTTCATTCGTTTGCTGCATGAAAAGGGTCTGCTACTCAAGCTATTCACGCAAAACATCGACTGTCTGGAACGCGAGGCTGGTGTACCCGACGAGTCCATCATCGAAGCTCATGGCAGTTTCGCACGTCAGAGCTGCATCGACTGCAAGAGCCCATACCCTCAGGAAGATTTGAAGGAACATATTCAAGCCAAGACCATTCCGCGTTGTCAAAAATCTAGCTGCAACGGTCTGGTGAAGCCTGAGATTGTCTTCTTCGGTGAACAGCTACCTAGCGCCTTCTTTGACAACATCGATGTGCCAACAGAAGCCGATCTTTGCATCGTTATGGGCACTTCTCTGCAAGTACAGCCTTTCGCAAGTCTACCCAGTGCTTGTAAATCAGGCGTGCCCAGAGTCTTGATCAACATGGAAAGAGTCGGAGGTCTTGGCTCACGCTCCGACGACGTCCTACTGCTAGGTGACTGTGACGCAGGTGTTCGAAAACTCGCAAAAGCCATTGGATGGGAGGACGAACTCGAAGACATCTGGGCAAAGACGGATCCCGAATACGTTGCTGGCAGGCCCATCAAGACAAAAGACGAGATTGCCAAGGAGGCAGCCAAAAAATCACGCGACGAAAAGTTCCAGGATGAGGTCGACAAACTCACAAAGGAAGTCGACAAGACATTGGATGCATCCAAATGGCATCAGGAACAAATCAGAAGGGATCACCTTGATGGAAAGGCTGAATCCACGCCACAAGACCCAATCAAAAGTGAGAAAACCATGCGCTACGACGAGAACGCCGATGACAAGCAAAAGGCACCTACCAATGGTCTCGGTCATGTTTTCCCTCACATCAACGAAAAGTCTTCGCTATGAGATGGCAATTCTCTCTTCTCTCTGTTTTTGTCATGCTCAGATACAATGATACCCCTTTTATGTAACTCTACATTAGCTCTCTCGGAACCGAATTCGCGCGGGCTTTTGTGATACATGAGCTTTCGATGTATAATCATGCTGTGGTGCCGTTAGCGGTATGGGAACTTGATCGACAGGCGCTGCGTTATATGTCGCAGCATTCAATAAGGTTGTCATGACTCGCGGACTTTGTCAGCCGCTTCTACCACAGTATCTACAAAACGCGCCCTGTCCACGACATCATGGTCAGGATCAAACATTTGTTCTCAAACTTTCTACTTGCGATTGGTGTCTCTTGTACCACTCGTGTCGTGACAAACCGAAACCATGCTCAGGTGAGTGTTACTGCCTCTTATGCAATTCTTTACTAGCTGCTTTTTTCTTCTTTTTTTTTTTGCTAACTGTTCACAACAGACGATTCTCTAAGCTCATGACCCGAGTCTTTGGATCTACTGCTTCAATACCCCAACATGTCGAGAGTAGAGCGCCGACTGCCAAAATAGATTATACGTCACTCGGACACTCGAAGAAAGAGCTGCCCGCATGGACACCAGCGAAAGAAATAAATGTTACCGCCTCTTCAAACCCAAACTGGAAATAAGGCCAAGGAACATAAATCGACCCTTTTGAGTCTGGCAGACCAATGTTTTACAACTACACTTTTCTCATCTCGAGTATTGCCCCCCGCCCCATCGGTTCCGTCAGCACAATATCCTCCGATGGCAAACACAACTTAGCTCCATTCAGTTACTTCCAAGTCGTGGACCATGACCCTCCAGTCTTTGTCATCGGCTTCTCTGGACGCGCTGAAAGGCCCAAAGATACTTTGCGCAACTTGAAGGAGACGGGCGAATGTACTTTCAACATTGTTTCTGAAGATATTCTTGAAGCTGTCAATGTAACTTCAGTGGATGCACCGTATGGTGTCTCTGAATGGGCGCTTTCTGGGCTCACGAAAGCTGATAGCACTACTGTCAAGGCTCCCAGGGTCAGGGAATCAGTGGTCTCTATCGAGGGTAGACTTTGCGAGATCGTTGACTACAACACTTCGAGAAAGCCGGTGGGTGCTCATGGTGCTTTGGCCGTTATCGAGGCGACTAGGTTTTGGGTTGCTGAAAGCGCCGTTGATGAAAACGCAGTCATGTTGAGCTGAATCTGTTGCGACCTGTTGGCCAGCTTGGAGGGATTTCGTATGCTCGCGTTATTGACACTTTCGAGTTGCCGAGAACCAATTGGATGGCTTCAATGGCGAACTAGGGCCGGAGCTTCAAGGGTTTGCAGAGAAACACGATGCTGAACCTATAGCGCACGGATCTAAGAAGAGGTAGACCGCGTCATTCCTATATGGTCTAATGTGGTGTGCAGCCCAGCATGGCGTCTCAGTTGATTAGCTGGACGTTATGTCTTGTGTTCATGTTTGAAATATCAAGAGAAACATTCCATTCGTACTCAGGTATAAGAGATCGAGTGGTATTACTTCTTCACCAGTCCGTCGAAGATATATCGTATGCGAGCGCAGGCCCAAAGAAGCTACTCGCCTGATCGTCATGGAGTACCTGATCAGCCATGGTAGCCTCATTGCTCTCTATAGAGCTTCTCTCTCTATTCGTGTCTGGTGAATCATATGTGACGTCCGTGATGCGCGGCTGAATGGAAGATCCAAGTCCGATACTCGACAGTCGAGACTGCAGCAAAGGTAGAAGTGTCTTGTTGCCACCTCTGAATCTGCCAATGATGTTTGTCAGATGAACAAGCAAATCCTGAGGGCCGAGCTGCAGTGACGAGGTCTGCGATTGTTGCGGGTTCAAGGTTATGATATCGGCGACCGAGTTCGTGACTTCGAAAAGCTTGATCTCCATCCCAGGACCATGGGCTTCTAGTGTATCAATGGACATGGTGGAGATATTTGACAGCAAGTCCTTCGCGAGCGAGATAGGAAAGAAGACACTTCGGATATCGTCGGTCGAGTTTGCCGTCATGACGACCTTGTTGATAGCCATTTTCCAAAACATCAGGCGAAGCCATTGTTGTGTCACCGACAGATCAGCCTTCTGTAGATCGTGGTGATTCTGCGTTGAGATTGGAATCCTCATCAATTCGTTGTTGAATGAAATCAAGCTCTCTGCTGTCAAGCTGCCGTTGGAGCCTTCGCAGAACGACTTGAACATTCTGCATAGCATAATGAGTGGAGATAGCACAGAGGGCTGGCTCTCTACATCCAGCTCTGGCATATCAGGATCGACTGTCATGACACAAGGAATGTCATGTTGTGTCGCGTGCGCTCTCTCAGTGATGAAAAGAATCCAGAACATGCGAAGGTGATCCTGTTTCTCGTTGAGTATGATCTCGTCATAATGAGAAGGCCTATGTAGATCGAGTATATAGGCGAGAGTAACGGCTTCTCTGAGCAGCAGTGTGCTGGTCGTCAGACGACCAAGGTTCGTGTAAGCGACGTGCATAAAGAAACTTGTGGCCAAGAAATCCATGCTTGGGCTCTCGCGATAATCATACTGTCGTCGGAGATCCTCAATTTCTGTAAGCATGGCAATGGGCTCGAGTACATCCCCACAGGGGCCAAGGACTGAGAGTTGTAATTGGACCATTGTAGCTGCGCAGACACTACAAGCCAGCATGTATGCGCATACATCAGACTCCGTAGCCTGTAGTCTTGCCAGGAGCAAATTCTTGTTCACGATTGGCCAGACTGAAAAGAGCTTGTAGTGATAGATGTCCAGATATGGCTCGAGGAGGACTGGTTTGATGCGAAATGGCCACGGCGGAGTTTGCGGCGCGTCCAGAGAAGGTGGCTGGTCATCAGAAATAGCTGAGAAGTCGATATTCAATTCCGGAGAGTAAAATCCATCGATTGTATACGAAGATTGATCAGCGGTCGTGGGTGTCGCTCCGAGATGATCGAGGCTGGTTTCGTCGTTGCGATACGCGAAGGCGTTGCTCCGTTCGGATTGCAGTCTCTCAAGATTGTGGCCTTTGACTGTCTTCAGCCGGTCAAGTGTCTTCTTGCGCACACCTTTTGGACCAGATTTGATTCTTTGCCTCAAGCGTGTACATTCCATGGACGACCTCGAGCAGGCAGCGCATGGTGCTTGGCCGTCGCACTTGACACGTCGTACCGAACACGCATCGCACACACGTCTCCTATCCATCATCAAGCGACCGGCAGCTGAGCACAAGGACGCACGGTGAGGAATTCATCATCGTTCGAAGATGATGTTCGAAATATCGAAGTGATGGTTGTCAGAATTGGAACGCTCAAGCGGGGTCGATCGTGTTGTTGTCATGTTACTAACGAAGCAAGAAGCTACCACTCCCGGAAGCTTATGCAACCTCAACCCTCAGGTTTCTCTTGAGACTCGTTCCTCGTTTGCACCATACTGAGGGAAGTGCAGACATAACTGCCATGTCTTCTCCAGGTCGTCCTGTGTGACGAATTCTCGTCTATACATGTACAATCTGAGCACCGAACCACGAACTTCCGGCTTCCGAGCATGCGCTACTGAGAGGCTCTCCATACCTGAGATGCACAGCAATGCAGCTATCTTCATGATTGCGGGTACTGAGACGACTGTAACACTACTCAGGTGACTTTATGTCCTGTCAAGCAGCAAATAGAAGTGAGAGTATCGAGGAGGAATGGAGGCAGCTGGTACGTGGGACGCAGACTATTTTCAAAATCTCCGTCATGAGACTGGTTCTCCGAGGGAATCGCGACAATAGTGAGCTGCATGAGGCACCGAGTAGACAACATACATAGGGTCACGTACGAGAACACAATACACGGGGATCTGATCATATTCTGGACTACTCAATCATCTATATACAATCAAAGACGAGGCAAGGAAGCAACTTTGCCTTGAGCAATAGCAAAGGCTTCGAAAGGCCTCAGCTTCAGTAGACCATCCTGTGCGTCCACACCAGTATAGTTGGAAATCAGTACATCCTTCATGTTGAAGCCAGCCGGCAACATCCAGTCTACCTCATGCTGACGGAAATTGCAAACCACCAATACGCTTTGCTTTTTGAAAGAACGTTCGTATGCAAAGACATCCTCATGCTCTGTATCAACCATCTGGAAGTCGCCATACACAAAGACGTCCAGCATCTGTTTGCGAAGGCCCAGTATGCTTCTCCAGTACTCGAAGGAACTTCCCTGCACACCGACTTGCGCCTCAGCATTGCAAGCATCGTATGTGTCGTTGACGCGGAACCAAGGCTCGCCTGTGGTGAAGCCCGCATGCCGATCCGCTGTCCACTGCATGGGCGTGCGTGCATTGTCTCTTGATTTGATATGATATTGTTGTTTCGTGATGGACTGCAAATCTTTGTCGTGTGGACGGACCTCGCAGAGCTCGTTCCAGTGGTTTAGGGTTTCCAAGTCCCTAAACTCATCCATGTTCCAGTGCTCAGGAATATTAGACATGCCGAGCTCTTGACCTTGGTATAGGAAGACGGTCCCACTTTGTAGTCCTAGGAACGTGGCAAACATCTTGGCTGCTAGTGTACGGTGCTCAGGGTTGTCGGATGCCCATCGAGAGACTGTTCTGGGTTGATCGTGGTTCTCGAGGTAGAGAGCGTTCCAACCGCCATTGCCGTACATGAAGCTCTGCCACTTTGAGACTATGTCCTTGAGCTCTGTCATCTGCCAGTCTTTCGGGCTGAACTTGCCGCCAGGGCCGTGATCCATATCGACCACATCAAAGTTGAAGATCATGTTCAGCTCTTTTCTGTCGTAGCCAACGCACTTGAGAATCTCCTCTGGATCGCTGATCCATGGCATCTCACCGACAGAGAACGCGTTGTATTGGTCAAGTATGCCGCCCAGCTCTTGTAGGTACTCGTGAATGCGAGGTCCGTTTGCGTAGTGTTCACAGCCGTGGTGGAATGTCTGGTTAGGGTCGGATATCGTAGCATCAGGGAAAGATTGGTCCTTGCTGATCAGGTTGATCACATCGAGACGAAAGCCATCGACGCCCTTATCGAGCCACCAACGAACGGTCTCGTAGACGGCAGAACGCATCTCGTCACACTCCCAGTTGAGATCCGGTTGTGTCTTGTCGAAGAGGTGCAGGTAGTATTGGTCTGACGGTTCATCGTACTCCCAAGCACTACCGCCAAAGTATGAGCTCCAGTTGTTTGGCGGTTGGCGGTTGCCTTTACTGTCATGCTTGGGGTGACGCCAGATGTACCAATCGCGATATGCGTTTTGCTTGGATGACCGAGATTGTTGGAACCATGCGTGTTGATCGGAAGTGTGGTTGACGACCAAATCCATCAAGAACTTGAGTCCTCTCTGATGCAACCCATCGATCAAGCGGTCGACATCCTCCATTGTTCCGTATCTTGCATCGATGTCCTTGTAATCCGAGATGTCGTAGCCCATGTCGACTTGAGGGCTTTTGTAGATAGGACAACACCAAACGACATCCACCCCCAAAGCTTTGATGTAGTCGAGCTTCTCGATGATGCCGCCTAGATCACCGAAACCATCTCCGTTCGAATCTTTGAAAGAAGATGGGTAGATCTGGTAAACGCTGGCCTCTTTCCACCAAGCGCGTTGCACCTGGTCAGTGCCGGACGGGTGCGAGGAAAGCGCCATGGATGTGACGAGTCAGAATGAGTGCAGAAACGAGAAGGGATTGTAGACAATGGAAGAACGAGAAACGAGGACGACAGCTACCTAAGTACCATAACAAAACACCAGAGATCGGCACCGCCCACACAAACCATCAATGTCGCCCTGTGGGGCCATTTCTACTCCATAAAAGTTGAGAGGCGGAGCATTCCTTGTCCTCGTGTGTACCCTGGGGACTCATCGCGAAGACTCTCGCAGAGATTGTCGTAACCGTTGAGCGTCACAAGATACAGAAATCAGCCACGAGCACAGAGTTCAAGGGTGGCGGCAGCAATGATTTTCGCAAAGCGAGTTGCAATGACTCTCGTGTCAATTCTCGCGATGATTCTCGCATCAATTGTCGCATTCAAGCTGCTGTCCCCGGCACGCGGTGAACCTCGCAAAGATTTTCGCAGAAATTGTCGCGTTCGCTCCCCGCCACTTCCGATGACCGCTCCCGTGGGGACTCCACGCCCTTTCCTCATGAACCTCAATGCCATCTTGTGACTTGAGACCCGTCTCGCCGGTATAGTCTTTGCGCCACCGAGATGACTCCGGTATACATGCGTTGCTCCATACAAGTATAAAGAGATGGATCGCCAACCCCAGAGTACCCCAGAATCAACCACCAGCAGATCAATCGTCTTCCAGCCATAACGGGCCTTCCTCCACAATCAAGTCAATCCTACTTACCTCTTATCCCTATCCCAAATAATGGGTGGCCCAGCAGGTGTCGTCGCAGCCAGTGGCAGCGAAGTATACAAGACCCTCCGCAACAATGTCAATTCCAAATGGATGAAGGATCCAGGACTCCGCAGACTCAACTTCGGTGTTGCTACCATGTTCGCATCTGCCGCAGCCAACGGATATGACGGCTCCTTGATCAACGGACTGCTTGCCATCCCTTACTTCAACCACAATCTCGGAGATCCCAGCTCAAGCCTTCTCGGTTTGACCCTTGCCGGTATCAGTCTCGGTGGTCTTCCCTCTTTCATCCCGGCATCATATGTCAGTGACTTCATGGGACGTCGCTTTACTGTCTTCCTTGGCTCATTCATCATGCTGGCTGCATCTGTCATCCAGTGTGCCACCTCCGGCATCTACGCTTTCCTCGGCACTCGTATCATGCTCGGTGTCGGACTGGGTTTCTCTCAAACGGCCGCACCACCTCTCACCACCGAGATCGCCCATCCCAGACACAGAGCCAATGTCACCAATTTGTTCCAAGCTACCTGGTACTGGGGCGCCATCTTGTCTGCCAGCATTGCGCTTGGCACCTTGTTCCTGGACAACAGCTGGAGCTGGCGCATCCCTTGTCTTCTTCAGGGTCTTTTCCCGGCTATCCAGTGTCTCGGTCTCCTCATCGTACCCGAATCACCTAGATGGCTGATCTCAAAGGGTCGTGATCAAGAAGCTCTTGACATTCTGGCCAAGTACCATGCGAACGGCGACAAAGATGACGAGCTTGTTCAGTACGAGTTTCAAGAGATCTGCCAGGCAATCGAACTGGAACGTCAGGCAGCAAAGACAACCGGTTGGTCAAGTTTCTTCGCTACCAAGGGCAACCGCCATCGCTTCCTCATCTGTATCCTTGTCGGCTTTATGATCCAATGGGCTGGCAATGGCATTGTAAGCTATTACCTGGCCCCTATCCTTAAAAGTGTGGGTATCACAAGTTCCGTGACTCAAGCGGGTATCAACCTTGCACTTCAATTCTGGAACGCCATCCTTGCTTTCGCCGGCGCACTCGCCGCTGAACGCTTTGGACGCCGACCTCTGTGGCTGCTCTCTGCCAGTGGCATGCTGGCTTCTTTCATCGTCGTCACAGCTCTCAGTGCCACTTTTGCCGAACACGGCATCAAAGCTGCGGGAGGTGCAACAGTCGCTTTCCTCTTCATCTTCTTCGGCTTCTACGACATCGCATTCACGCCTCTTTCCATTGCTTATCCAGTTGAGATTCTGCCATTCCATCTCCGCTCCAAGGGTCTGTCTGTCAACCTTACCACGGTCTTCGCCGCCGGCTTCTTCAATCAATATGTCAACCCCATTGCTCTGGACGCCATTCAGTGGAAGTTCTACTTTGTCTACATTGCCACACTTGCAGCTATGATCCCGATCATCTGGTTCGTGTTCCCAGAGACCAAGGGCAGAACTCTGGAGGAGATTGCTGTCGTCTTCGACGGAGCAGATGCGCACAGAGATTTTCACTCCGCCTCATTCCCTGACGAGAAGACTACCGAAGATAAGGAGTTCACTGCCAACATTGAGTACGTTAAGTGACGTTTGAGCGTGAGGATGTAGGAGATCTCGGCGTTGCCAAGATAACCAGGCGGAGGGATATGTGTGCGGGAGTGTACATAAATTGTATTTCGAGACTGTTTATACTCACCGCGTCCATATAACGAAGTTTGAGTCAATCTCCGCCCATAGTAAACCCCTTCTGTATCGTGACCAGATCTAGGTGGCTAGGCAACGCCCTGTGAGGCTGTGGAGGTCCGAAAGGCATCGGGTGTGTTCGAATATGACGGCCTACGGATTTAGCTATCTCCGCTCAGGCCCTTTACTATAAGGTTGACAGTCCCTGGCAAGCAAAACATATCGACAAACGGCTACCAGCTAATTGAATACTTACTACCATTCTTGTTGCATGTTGGCTACGTCGTAGACCATCTCACTCATCATCATCAACAACATCATACATGGCCCACATTATCGTTACAGGCGCGACGGGCCTAGCTGGCTCTGCCTTTCTCGCAGAATGTCTTGCATCTCCCGCAATTGCTAAAGTGAGCATCCTTTCACGCCGCCCTGCTGAGTTCGCGAAAGCCGATCCAAAAGCCCACATTGTCATTCACTCGGGCTACTCCTCATATCCGTCCTCGGCTCTTGAGCAAATCCGTGGTGCAACAGGCTGCATCTGGGCGCAAGGCAAAAGCTCTATTGGTATTTAAACCGACGAATATACAACATTGACTCACGACTGGCCACTTGCTGCTGCCAAAGCAATGGCCGACCTACCAGAGCACGGAGGAGATTTTAAATTCGTCTATATCAGTGACGAAGGCGCCGACACCACTGAGAAGTCTTCTCAGATGTTTGGAAGAGTCAAAGGTCTTACAGAGAAAGATCTACTTGCTATGGCGACTACGAAGCCAGCACTGAGTGTTTATAATCTTCGACCTGGTGTTATCGATCCGATGGGCAACGACCCGAGGAACAACAAGCCTTTCAGTATCGTGGGTGACTTGCTGGTACCAATCTTAGGGCCAGTGCTTAGCCTTGTCTATCCTTCTATGCATACGCCTACGAAAAGCTTGGCTGAAGTCTCTGTTCGACTTGCCGTTGGAGACGGTCAACCGTTAACAGAAGCATGGGGAACAGAAGCAGACGGACGGACATTGAGGAACACGGCTATCAGAAGGTTCGCAGGCCTGTAAAACTCGACGTCGGTAGTCTACCGCTGGGAAAAGCTGAAGTCAAGTGGGTGACATGTTCAAGTAGTCATCCTCGTGATAGACTGCGGTCACGATGCTAGAGTGGAGGACTAAGCTTAATGTAATGCGCATGAAAAGTTGACATTCGAGTCTAGCATTATACACAAGTCATTTTCCACAGTCAACTATTTGGTGCTGCAGTTTCCAACGAGCACGTTCCTCAAATCTCTTTCTTGACCACGAAATCATACTGCTTGAACTTCCGCACTTGTGCGGGTGGTCCTTTGAACCGGCTAAGCAGGTTGATGATACTGGACCAATAGATTGCAGCGCAGAAGATTCTGAGCAAACAAGCTCCCCAGAAAGTTTGGGGATGAAAAAGATGAGGCATACCGGGAGCCAGTTTCTGAGCTTTCGTCACAAGCGGCCGCATGTTCTCCTCGTATTGCTCGAAAGCGAGGTCATGTTGGTCCGGATGGCTGATCAGAGAGCCGGCGAGATGATAAGCACCGGCCAATGCAAGTGTTGTGCCCATTCCTGAGAATGGAGAGGCGCAGTGTCTACGATGATTGTCAGTAAGTGTGGATGAATCGGACAGAAGATGACGTACCCGGCATCACCCAACAACACGACCCTGCCCTTGCTCCATTTTTCCAGCTTGACTTGCGCTGTACAATCAAAGTAGAAGTCATCTGCTGCCCTTACAGCATCCTTGAGCCTAGACTCTTGCCAGAAGATACCGTTCAACTTCTCCAAGACTAGTCTTTTTTGCAATACAACATCTCTCTCTGAGCCTCTCATCTCTCGCGCAATTGCTCCGCTCTTGTCGGCAAGGAGAACAAGCATAGTACTTTTGTCCTTTGTACCCGAAGGACGGAGCATCACGCTCATCCCCCTTGGTGAGTGGTACCAGGATCTCCACTCTCCGTCTGCGGCCTCCTTTTTTGTGCTGAAGAAAGCACCATACATTTCCAGTTGTTTCAGGCAGCCATCTTGCGCCTGTCCCCAGGCCAGCTGTCGAGTTCTGCTGTGAAGACCGTCTGAACCGACGACCAAGTCATATGATCTTTCGCCTGCCTTAGTGAGTCGAACATGCACTTTGTCGTCGTCCTGATCCAAGTGCTCGATGGTGTCATTGAAGACAAACTCGATACCCGCTCCACCCCTTGCTTCGACGTCTTTGCTGACCCTCTTCGCCTTTCCCAAGAGGATCTCTGCAAGTCTGCCGCGTAGAATCTCGACATCGGAGGTTCCAGTCTCTACTTTTCCAGTCTTGTCGGCTGCGTATTGCGCCCAGATCCTGTTGTTTGCATCGACAATCTTCACGCCTTCTTCACCAGTAGTGGTTTCCTTGATCTCGTCCGTAAGTCCGAGTATGTTGATGATGTGTTTGCCAATACCACGAATGTCGATGTTTTGACCAGAGCCAAGGGCGGCAGTGTTGCGTTCGAGGATAGTGACCTGAGGAAGTCTCGCGACAGACTGAGGAGAAGAAAGCAAGAGTGTTGCGAGCACTGGTCCTGCTATTCCACAACCGACGATCAGGATGTTTTGACGCGCCCTAGAGTTTGTGGTACCACTGTGAAGAGGTGGGGAAGTCGACATGGTCTCAACTGTTTGCAGCTGGTCTGCAATTGGTGATGAGAAGTTGATTAACTCTATCCTGGATTTCAAGTAGTATGAAGTGGTATGTCCATAATGCAGAATATGGGAAGTTGCTGTGGTTTATGTAGAGTGGCTTCGGGGTCGACAGTAGTCATCTCGGGACCGAAGGTACAAAGCTCGGGACCGAGAGGGCACGTTGGGTTCCAGGCTTCAGCGAAAATCCTCCAGCCACGTCTTCATCGATCCTTACATCGATGTGCAGACTCTGAGTATCGGATGTCATCTGTCGCTTGCTCATCTTATGCGAGCGGCCACGCAACATCTGTATTGACTCCCAAGGGGTGTGCGTCACAAGACATGGCCGCCGCTGCATACAAAACTTTGGTGACAAGTCAAATTAGCCAGCTTGTGAGAATAACCACAGTCACTCGTGCGGCCGTATTGCATCACAAATCGCTTCTGAATTTTATAAAACGCCGAGCGCATTGCGTGTATCGAATGAAACCAAATGACGAGATAGTTAATCAACTGATCAACCAAATGAACTGGTGGGCCGCGGACCTAGACAAGCTCCTCTCATAAGCCATGTCAATCATCTTCGTCTGCGCGATCGAATCCTGGCCAGTAACCCACTTCCACGTTCATGCCTGCTGTGCCCGAACATGCGATACGAGCTTGCGTGCACTTGTCACAAGTCAGAAGATTTACAGAGAGTCAACAGTCGTCTGAGATGCCTTATCAGTTGTCAAACCCAGGACGTGGTACCGGTGCTACTGCATTGAGATATACGGCTATGTTTGGTGCTGTGCTTCGACAGAACATGATCCCGATACTTCCTGCTTTGGCATTCCTTTCAAGGATGGCAAGGACAGCCGAGGTATGCATTATCTGCATTGCATTTTCCACCAGACGTAGTACAATCACCACAGTCCGCACCGCCACATCTAGAGTCTGAGCAGCTGCTGATATCGAAGCAGAAGGCACACTCCTTGTCTCCGCCTTCGCAGTATCCTGTGCCCCGACCTGCACCATCGCTATAGCCATCGCAGCTGCAACACTGTAGTCAGCAAGAGCTAATCATAACCCAGTAGAAAATTGGCTTACCTGGAGCAACTTTGGCTGATACCTTCATCATCGCAATCGCCACAGAGGTCGAGACACCCGAGCAAGCAACCCGAACAGAAAGCTCCGGCGCCGCTATCTCCACCGTTAGGAGCGCATGTGTTCGAGCATCCATTGCGACACTCTGCACAGTTCTGACGTTGCGAGTCGTCGCAGGCAATGGTGACTGCGGCGAACAAAGCCAGCACGGAAATCCACAGAGTAGAGCGCATTGTGATTTGCGTAACTGATAGAGAGTTGACTTCGGATAGGAGGAAAGAATGAGTCCTTGTGATAGAGAGATGAGGAGATGAGGTGCTCAACTCAGTTCAATTGCGTTCGATCAGGGTATATATATCCATGTAGCATCGCAGCATGATTGGACTTGTTGCTCGATTTGGAGAATATTGTTGCAAGTGATACCTGTCTCCTTCAGGGAATCCGAGGGAGAAGGATTCCTATCTTTTGTCTATCCTTCTGGAAGGGGTATGGATCTCTGCGATGTACAACCCCAGATTCACGATGACGGTGCCTAGGCTGATGGCGCTGGTCCCATTCTGGCAACCCGCATCAGAAGGATTCCCATGCTCTATACATTACCCCAGAGTTAGTCAAGATCCACATGATTCACAAATTCAAGAGGATGATGATCACGCTCCTGATGTCGATGCAAAAGGAGTTCGTTCTGATTCTGGCAACCCGTACAAGAAGAGTTTCTCAGTTCCTCCTTCCTACTTCGATTGGTCAGAGGTCAGTCTATATAATCTTTGAATCCTACGGCAAAATGTTGATCCTATACCTACACCCGGCATACCTGAGGTGGAATTAGATAAACCCGCGGACAAAAAGTGTATGTTATATTCTTCGGTGGCAAATGGTGTTTGCACGGTATTAAGGTAGGTATTGAAACACACGGCGAGGACTGTACATGTCTGTTCGATATTCCGTCGCAACCAACGGCCTTATCTATACCTACTGTGTCCTGGCCGCTGACGTGACTGAATTGAGTAATTGTGGTCTGGCATTTGCCATCACCTCTTCACCATACATGATCACCGCTTTCGCTGGTTCCAAGGCTGCGGAAGGATTCTTGCTCCATGTCAACTGGCGCTTTCGGTACCCAGAAAGTGTTTGGTTATGCTCAGACAGGGATGTTGGCAGCAGGTGTTGGACTGATGGGTCTTTCCTTGATCTGGATCTGCTTCATCAAGAACTTGAACCTATCCAAGATGAAGCAGACCAAAGGTGTTGTTCTATGATCCATCTGTAGATCTTTTTGATAGGATCCGAAGTAAGCGAGGCACGCATGTATCTAGCCGACAAAGCTTAGGAAAGCGTATCTTTTAGTTTGTGGTAGGCAACGATGAATATTTCTGTTCAATTCACCCGACACTCACGTTGATTGTCCTCACCCGTGTCATTTACATGATCAGGCTTGTGCGCTTGAAGATATCCCAAGCCAGGTAGTTGTCGAAACAACGCGCAAGCACTCTGCGTGCGGGACAGACACAGCCTCAGGCCAAGTCATCACTTTTCTGATTGGTAGCCCATGGAAGAATGATGCGACACCATAACAGTACATGTCGTTCGTTGACGAAGATTGGGCATATCAGGTTGCAAAGTATTGAGGTGTGCCTTTGATCTGGCAAAGCCTCCACGTTTGCGACAGCTGTGATACGGCGAGTACGGTGAATACGACATATACGGGATGAATACGGCGTTATACGACTATCTTCATCTATACACCTGAGATTCAAGGAGTGATGGCTGCCTGCTGAATCAGATACAAATACTGCTGTTGTCCCTGAAGACCTCTGAGGAACCATCTGTACATGTTCTGCCCCATCCCAAAACCTTCATCACCTTCACACGCAAATTGCCTCACACTCTCGGCAGAACAGACCAGACATCTCTATCAAAGCTACCTAAACAACAACTTCGAACCTCCCACAACCATCATGGGTCCCATCCAGGACACCTCGAACAGCGCGTCCGCATTTTTCAACGGCCGCTTCTTCTCCACCTCTTTCAAAAACAAGATGCACTGTATTCAACTCACGCTCGTCCTCACGATAATCGTTTTGACCGGCGTCCGCATCTCCATCAAACCCTCCTCTATGCCAGTCACCAGATCAGATACCCTGGCAATCGTGATGGGTATCAAGACTATCGTGGTGATCGGATATCAGCTTCTTACCACTCACATGTCGAACCTTCATCGCTGGAGAAACTTGAAAGTTTACTTGGTGCTCAACAGCATGGAGGTCGTGTTTTGGTTTGTGGTAGTTATCATTACGGGTATGGGCATGTCGAGGTATGGTCAAGGGGCTTATTGCGGATTGAGCGTCTTGATGCTCTTGATCTCGTTGATATTGACGTAAGTGTTCCCCTCTTACTGCGAGTAACGTTTAGAACATTCACTACGAGGATACAAACATGGAAGAATTCGTTTGCTGACTCCTGATTTTGGACAGGACGTTTGCGCTATGGACAGCCATCACCACACGAAACTTGCGAAGAGAAGCCACATACGCGAGACATGCTCTCGTCGCGCATCACAGAGGCCAGATGCAGTCTGTGTCGAACAAAGCAACAGAGCCTTCTGCATATGCGACCTCCGAGGTCTAATATTCAAGGTCCCTCGGTCTGCCGGGTCTCTGTATCAGGGAAGCCATTTTCTTGTCACTGGCGTCGAGTCTCAAAACGCGCTTCGATCGTTCACTATAGATATGACCTTAACAAGAAGTCGGGTTTGCACCTCAGATATTGTGTTCAGGAGATGGGTTTGATTGATTCTCACCCTTATGCTACGAGATAGTAGTATGCTTTGAAGAAAAAGTCATTGACTTGCATCTGGCATATACAGAGTTGGCCATCCCAATACTCCCTTAAAAGCATGATGCATCGCCAGTATCGCATCACGGGGACAAATGTAGTATGGATCATTCAACGAGTTTGCAGCAATGAATGTTCACGTTCTAGATTGTGTCTGAACGTAAAACTTGAGCTACAATAGATCAGTATTGCCCAGCCCATGTCCTCTGCTTCGCTGGAGCGCCGGGACCATTGACATCATCCTTGACAAATGATGGCAGGATCAAACCAGCCAGTTCAAGCAACAGAGCCCCAGGTAAAAATGGCGCTAATGGTCCAGCTGCCGCATCCATAATGTCAACTTTTCGTAAGGCCCAACACTGCCTTGGCAGTTGACATTGCCAGATCCACTGCTTGACGCATGAACACCGCGACCGTCTACGCGAAGATACGTGCCGGGAAAGTTCACAGAGGCAATGGCCTGGGTGCCGTCTGGTTGTCTCTCCAAGCGGAAGAGCTCGTACGGTCCGGCACCGAATTGACAATTGACAGTCCCATCACCGTTGCCACTGAAACCGTGGACGTCTCCGGAGTCCATGCGGAGGAAGACGTTGGAAAACGCGGTCGAGGCGATTGAAAAAACGTCATTAGGCTGACCGGGTTGATTGATGATGTTCAAGGTCTCGTAAGGACCAACGTAGTTCTGACAGTTGACAGTCCCAGCTCCCCTTCCCTGGAAGGAAGATATGCCGCTGCCGTCGATACGGAGGTAGCACTGTGGGAAGGTAGCGGAACGAATCGAGACGTTCTGCATGATGAAAAAGTGATTGGAGTGTGGTACTGAAAGTGAGCTGATTTGTTTCGGTGATAGAAGTGGTGTGGACTGCGAGTGGCAGCCGTATCATATAGACGAATACCACTCGCAGCATGTGATAGAGAGCCCATAGCTACATGTTTGACGAGGCATCGGATGACCAACGAATCCTTCTGAAAACTCCAAAGTTGTGCTTGGAAGAGACATAATCCGCAGACTTAGCCTACCTGACAGCTCGCATAAGTTTGGGCTCTGCCTCCACGGCATGGTTCGACAGATGCATATGCATATGGAGTAGCGCCAAGTTCAGCTGGTCGTTCTGGATTTTTGAGGATTATACTGCTGTGACTGGTCACAGCTTCAGCTGCTCTATGTCACTGCCGTGTTGACCATACAGCCACAAACTGGGAATGTAGTCGGTGTATGGAAACGTAAAGCCCCAATTGAATCGCATCGGGGCATTGCCTGAGACGACGCCTGCGCTTCATGCAGTTCAAACCAGCGCAACACCTAGAGAGCAACAAGCCTGCTTTGACGTGTACCTTACTGTAAGAAGTAGTCCCATCAAAGCTGTGCCTAGCAGGACTAGATCTGTGCCTAACTCGAGAGAACAAATTCATGCTCTTACAGAAGGGATGCTCTGACGAGTCTTAGACCGCCAAGCACGCCATGCTCGAATCAGCGATAAATGATGACCAGTGTTTTCTATTGACAGCCCTATATTAAGGTGAGTAGTATGGACACACGATGTATGGCGCGGCCGTCAGCGAGGCATCAGATTAGCTTCGAGAGAAATGGCGGCCCCTTCCAATGGTCTTGCTGCAGTTCCATAGAGCTTGTTCGCCATGACAAGATGCGGTATATCAAGAACCTGCGAGTGGGCATTGTGTCGGTTGGTATATCTGAGATAAAAAAAAAATGCAACTATCTTCCACGACACGGCTCGAGTGCATGCGCTTTGCGCGTCCTCGTCCAAGTCTTCGTAGTTTCCTGGCAGCTATGGAGGCTGGCTTTTCTCAAAGTCCTCATCCCCCTAGTTTCAGAAATGTTTCCGAATCTTGGCTTGCAAGAATAATGACATTACAGATGTATGCTGCTAATCGATCAGACCAGCCATGTCGTCAGAGTCGGGAATGAAGATGTAGCTAGGTGAAAGATCCGGAGGGCGGACATTCAACACATCGAACTCGACTTGCTCTGTGATTTGGGGAATGCAGGTCAGTTAACGGCTCAAAGTCTGCACTTTTACGTCTGAGCTAGCTTCTCTGAAGTCGCTGGTAGCTCGATAGATCGGCTCGCGAGGAAGTCGAGGAGTGTGAATACCCTGCCCCTGAGCTTTGGATCATGTTGCTACGATGGGCTTGGTTGGTGATGAAGATCTCTTCGGTTGCTGCGGTGGTTGTTTGTTCACAAGTGATCATCACGGCAGACTGCGCCCGGTCACCGATGTTGTGCATATTGATTTGCATGCCAGGAAACACATTATCAATAATGTCGCAATCAGTGATATCAGGTGGTATAGTGAATAGTTGTACTATCCATTTCCACATAGTGTCTCCTACCCCGATGCCAGGGAGAAAGGGGATAGAGCTTGTATTCGTTTCGGATCAAGGCCCACATACCACAAGGCAGAATGGTAACACACAAGCATCACAACTCCAGAGAAGCATCTTATCACAGGCAGATCATGCATTGACAAGACAATTTGTAATAGTTCGTGAGTTTTCATTTCAGTATCTATTCTATTTCTACCAGCAGACCGAAAGGTGTTGGGATTTTGATCGTAAGTGATTCTGTCAGATCACCTCTCTACGAAGAGGCAGCGGAACCAGTGTACTGCGAGCAGCAAGAAGCGACACCGTTGACTTGGTCTGCCGTAAGGATGTCATTGCGAGCACAGGTGTACTTTGCCTGCAAACAAGCATCCTGAGCCTGAGCAGACTGGCCAGCCGCGCAAGCCGCAGAGGCAGCCCTCAACTCGTTGGTGCAGTAGGCTGCATTTTGCTTGCACTCAGGGTCCACGTTGTCGGCTCCAGTGGAAAGACCGTAAAGGACGTTGCTCACACCGTTGGTGATGGAACCAACAATGCCACCAGTGACGCTGTTGATGATGGTCTCGACATCTGAGGGGAGGTTGGCGTCTGAGAGGATGTTGCTGGCGGCTGCGAGGACATTTTGGGTGTTGCCACCGGCGTTGCCGGATTGGTAGTCAAGGAAGCCAGCGAGAGGCTGTAGAAGGGCACCGCAGACGAGGTCATCGGTTGATGAGGTGGTCTGACGAGTATCCAATGGTGCTGCGAAGGCCATGCCGGCGAAGGCAGCGGTCATGAGGGCGGTGAAGTGAACCATTGTGTAGTCTTGATGTTTGATTGAAATGTGGTCTTAAACGAAAAGTCGAGAATGTGAGAAAGACTGATGGTTGATGGTAGACGAGGAGTGGAAGAGTTGATGATGAATGCTGTTGGGAGAGGACTGTACCTCCTTCTTATACCTTTCGCCATTGCCTATTGAGCACCAACATTTCTAGTTCTCGGTGAGTGAGCGATGTTACCTTGTCACGCCTCGCTCATTCAACCTCTTGCGAGAATGTTTGCTGGCGTTGATGAGAGAGTAACGTTGAAGTGGATAAGTCGAAGATCTTAGATGTTCATTGGCAAGATGGTCTGCGATCAACAGCAGATCCAAGGGAGGGCATCCCCGTGCCCAGGCAAAGAAGCATAGATCGGCCACAGGGTCAGTGGCGACGAACAGGGTAGCAGTAGAGCCTTGGACGTCGAAGCTCTGTTTGTCATGTTCCTGGTCGATGCGACAGGGTCTTTTCCTTATACAGCCAACGCAACGTGGGTCCGGAAGACTGTGCGTTCAAACAGATCGCCATGATCCAGCATCCCCGCAATCATGACTCTGATGTGGCAGATCACTTTTTCCGGAATCGGTATGCGCAGGATTTGCAGGCTCGTTTTCCCAGCCGTTGCGGCTGTGTGAAATGCTTTCTCCGTCATATACGGCTTACCGTTAACAGAGCCGCGCAAGCAGATCTAGCGTCTGGTAGTAGCAGACCCGCGAGACCTCTATTCCGTATTCCGCTACGACTCGTCGGAAATGAATGCGTAAGGAGCCCTGAGTAGATGTTCGACATTTCTACTGTGTAGTGCAGCAGTCCTGGGACATACAAGACCGCTTGATCAGATGGCTATGGATATACGATGTTGATGTTGGTGACGTTTCAGCGCGACAAACAGGCTTTAGGAGACACAGACGTCACCGATTGTACGTTCTTGAAAGTCTGTTTGAACACCGACGCTCCAGAAGCCAGTCTCCTTGTCTCTTAGAACTCGTTGGGGACACACAGCAGTCTTTCAAACATATAATGACCAGTCTTCCAAAAATCGATACCGGATCCCCCGAGGACAAACAGTCCGCATCCAAAACGCAATCCAGCGAAGAAGAATGCCGTCAAGAATCCTCCAAAGCCGCGCAAAAAGCTATCGAGTTGGAGAAGCAAGCCAAAGAGCTCACGCAAGCAGCTGCTGGGGCCGGCGACTCTGACGAGCGACAAAAATTGCTGAACGAGGCTCTCAGCAAAAGCATCGAAGCGCAATCGTTCGGCAAAGTCGCAAAATACCTTGGCTCGGGCGCGTTTCAAGGGTTGTTGGCAGGAGGCGGGGTGGGCACTGGTGCTGGCGCGGGACTGGGAGCGTTGACGGGTACGCTGGTTGGTGGTGTGTCATCTCTTGCTCTTGGAGGGTTACTCGGTGGCATAGGTTCTGCCATTGGTGCGCTGCATGGACCATGGTTCAAGCCGGAAGAAATCATCAAGGGAGGCATTGAGAAGTTGTCGGGCTTGTTACCGGGTTGGAAAGCAACAGACGACCAGAAGCAAAACCTTGAAAAGATGATCAACCAGGTCAACGAACAAAAGACGCCTTCCTCAAAGGACCTGGAAGCCATGGCAAGCGGCGGACAATGACACCAGACTTGCACGCATGCATAAACCCCGATCTCGACATAACCCAGCGGAGCAACTAACAGGAGACGGAGGCGAGAATGAGGCGGGCAAAGTAGATCACGGCTTTCAACTATCACATATATGATCATACACCGACTACAAGACACCATCGAGCATACGGTCGAACGGAACGGATCTCGACCAGCGCAATTATCGCTGCCGTCTAAACACACAAAACCTCGAAAGCACCCCAGGAAGTGCCAGCCGGTGCATTACCACAGCCGACGCTGTTCCCTGCAGCGATGCCATTGAATGGCCATCCATAAAGATTGTTCGTGAGCGTAATCCCACAGCCCTGTTGACTGTGTCCGAGAATATAACCTGTTTACAATCATCAATTAGCATCATGCTTGTCGAAACGGATGACGAAACTTACATCCAACAGTTCCAGTCTTTGGTGTCGTTGACAGAGTCGCGGAGATGGCTCCTCCGAACATCAGACCAGCAGTCGGGATTGTGCATGTGCCTTCTGAAATCGTGAAGGAGGTCGCTGTGCCTGCACTGCCGTCGGTGGGTGGTGCCTTGGGACACAATTAGTGATCACAGCAGACACGCAGCTTCGATCGATGACTCACTGTGCCTGGCGCAGCGCAAGTATAGCTGCTGTATATGGTCACTTTTGCCGTAGCGGGACCGCCCACAGGAGCAGCACCCTTGCGGGCCTCGAGATGAGGAGGGGCTGCCAAAGCAGAGACGGAGAAGAGGGACAGAGCGAGAGGACCTGTGACGTGCATGTTGGAAGCCTGGAATGTCTGAAGATTATTGTGTAGTGAAGCAACAATGAGTTCTTTGGAAGAAGTAGAATGACAATCCAATGTGCACAGCAAGGCCTGCTCTTATAATCCAATATTGCTGCAGTCGGAGCTTCATGTCGTCCGTCAGCTATGTGTCCGCAGCTGCATCTGTCGAGGAGTTCATCAATGTCTCCAATCGAGACCCCGAGATACAATGTGTTGTCACCGGCTGACAGGGTCGCTGTGGCTTGTTCAGACCAGGTTCCGACCATATCGTCAGCATGGCGTTCAGATTGACCGCATGCACCTGAAGCTTGTATGTGAAGCTTAGATGGCGGTCGCATTATCAGATGCGTTCGGAGCTGAAGACCAAGCAGCAGGTACCTCAGTACCCGTCCCGACGCGTTGCATGCTCTTCCCGGAGCAGCCAGTTCGAAACCATTCCAGATAGATACAATGTGGTACCTTCAGCTTAGGGATACATTCTTTTTACTTTCTCGCAAGGGTCGTATTCCAGAAACAGGACTGCATTGCCGACACGGCGACCCGAAGTGGAAGAGGTACATATAACGAGGTCAATAAACTCCCGATGACGACCAGGGCCTCGACCTTCCGACTTCAGCTCCGGCTTCGGCTGCCCCCACGAAATCAATCGCATCTCCACCTTCCGGAAGGCAACGTGATTTGGAATAAATGATGTTGTTGCAATGTCAACCTTCGCTATACTGTCATCTTCGCTCTGCGCACTTCTTCCAGCTTGTTCTCGAATCTAGTTTACTGACAATTGGTTCTGATAGAATGAGTTGACCAGTAATTCCGCAACAATTCGATCATCGCGTCAGTCATTAAGCTACATCAATCAAGCAACTACACCGATCCTGTCAAAGTCTGGTGCGTAAGGCGAGATACTTGACTGCCCAGAAATCGTGATAGTGTTATCACCCGACGTCTTGAACCCAGAAAGTCTGACCAAGAAGCCCTTTGTAACATCCTTGTCCCAATTGTATCCAGTCAAAGGGAAGCTGACAGACTGAGCAGCTCCGCCGTTGACACTGATACTCGCTCCTCTGACATTTCCATAACCTCCACCAAAAGCATAACCAATCTCGCAATCGAGGTAGTCGAATCGAACATCTTGCGTCGCTTGACTTGTGCGAATGCCACTGAAAGTAAGAGTGTTGCCATTGCCATTGCCGACATTTCCGACTTTCTTGCCACCAGAACAGCCCGAGCAAGATGCGACTGCTGCGCTGCCCGCGAGTTGGCCAGCTTCGGCTTCGTAGTACTTGAGTGTCGGGGCAGCTGGTGTTGCCTTCTGAACGTTGCTCAAGCGAAGAGCGACGGAGCCATGGCCGTTCACTGTGGTGAAGTAGCTGTTTGCATTCGATACCGTCTTGCCAGTCCAGAGGTCAGTGACTGTGGCGGATGAGATGTTGAGAGCTGCGAAGTTGATGCTCAAGCTTCGCTTAGTGTTTGTCAAGTCAATCAGGAGCACAGCTACATCGCCGTTGGCCAGTGGTCCTGCGAACTGGTCGTTGTCGCCGGTGAAGCGTTGAGTGAGGACGACAGGCTTGCCCAAGGTGTCCTGGTTGATTGCGATCAGGCCCTTGTTCTGAAGGATTGATTGAGTCGAGGTCGACATGGTCGTAATTCTTGTCGAGATCATGAGGGGACTCTTGAACATGGCCCAGATAGCGAAGTGAGAGGCTTGTTCATCGGTAGTCATGCCGTCTTGACCCACCTCCAGCAGATCCATATCGGAGAAGTGACCGGGACCGTTCAAGCCTCTTAGGTTGACGTTGATCGCCTCGTTGTAAATGCGAGACACGCTCGCCCAGCCCTGAGTGATGTCGTCGCTGACACGGAACGATGTGGACACTGCCGGCGTCCACTCAGCAGGACCTTGCAAACCAGTCGAGCTCGAGTACGGAACACCCCACTGGCAAGTCAACATGCCTTTGATCCCGACTGATTGGATGGCGCTGGAAAAGGCACCGAACCTGGAAGGGAAGTCTGTTCGTGGGTCCTTGGGTGCATTGGCGTCAGCGGTGATATAGCAGTTGTCGACCTTCATGTATGCGACATTCCAGCCAGCAAGCTGTAGTGCGTCTTGCTTTTCGTGGTTGAGTGAACCAGGCCGGTCAACCCCAGTGTCGCAGGCTTTGACACCTTGATCAGTGTACATACCCCATTTCTATTCCCACGTCAGTCAAGTGTCGTCACAACCTGAATTTCTGCGACTCACGAAGCCTTTACTGTTCGCGAGGTTGCTCAACGGCAGTATACCATTGGGGAAAGCTCCAGCGTCATAAGTTATCGAACCATTTGCTTGACGCTGTGTGCCTTGCCATCCACAATCAAGTCCGAATATCGTATAGCCAGCGGTACCGAAGCCTTTCTCGGCGAAAGCGTTGATAGTGTCTTGAACAAAAGTCTGATTGATAGTGCATGCAGCAGGGTTGTAGGTGTTGAAGCCCATCGGCGGCGTACGACCGAACCCATTGTCCAAAGCCGCAGCTTGGGAGACAAGCACGCCAATAGTAGCGAGAGAAGTAGTCTTGATGTACATGATGGGATAAGGTGGTTGCCCTGATGTGAGCAGCTCTCCAACCCCAACTTATACCTCGTGCTTTTGACTTTGGATCAGCGAGATCAGCAGGGAGCCCGGTGTCGTATCTGCTATGGCCGTTCATAAATCGGCTGTTTTCATGTGCAGTGTGAGCATTTTATCCGACTGCCACCGGAGAATGCGATAGATTGTATACGAGATCGTGTGACTCTGCAGGCAACCAATGCAGAGTTACGCAGTCGTTAGCTCTAGGTGCGCTGTGTTTCAAGAGCTTGTTCCTGCATCTACGCGACCGCCCCCGCGGGTTAGCACAGATATTGCTTGATCAAAACAAGGCGACGGCTGCCGTAAGGTTCCAAGTATAGTGGACGACATCTGCCTAAGTTCAGAGAGATGTTCATGTACGAGACAGATCAGCAAAGGGATGTGCGAGGGAAATGGGCGGGGTGCGGAGGCTGCGGAGGCTGCGGAGGCGGGTCCTGTGACTATCTCTGTTAGTAGCATCAAAATTGTTATTTTGCAGAGTGGCGCAGCATCAGTCAAACATAGCTTATTCCAAATACTCTTCTGGCTCCAGAGTGAGCTGGCGTTGACAAGCTCTCTTCCCGTTAAATCTGATTGACGGAAGAGATGAGTTGCTTTGCAGAATAGATCGTGAATGACTGACATTAAGCGACATTATAGACATCATGGATTAACACCACCTCCACCACAGATTCCCAAGTAAGAAACGTCGTTCAATACATCTACCAAGATCGAGGGCCAAAGAACTCTCCCTTAGCCAAGTGAAGGCGCGTGCAGGCAGTACCCTCGCAACCCATACTCGACACCTCGTTACCCCACCAATCAAGACTCACCTTGCCAGAGTATTGCACACTGAAGAAGATGATGATGGCAGAGATACCGATGGCAGCAGACCAAGAAGCGCTGAGCACGTAGTTGTACTTGGCCCAGCATGCCAAGTAACGAGTCTTGAGCCACACCATAGCCATGAAACCAATGGGGACTTGGGGCCAGACATAGGACATGTTGTAAGGTGCCCAGGTGAGAGCGCCGTAGATGATGGCGATGGGGTGGATTTGACGCAGCCACTTCTTCTGAGGGAAGGCGCGAGTAACGTAGTAGAGAATCGGAGGCACGACGAGACCGACGGGGAATCCAATGAGGAGCAGAGTGTACAGTCCGCCCTGGCCAAAGACCTTGTGAGGACCCAGGGTGCCCCAAAGCACGGAAGCGGTGAAGAAAGTGTTGTTTCCAGGGCAGTAGAAGCGGTTGGGTGCGCTGGTGGTACACACATCCTTGATGTGAATCTGGAAGTTGAGCACACCAGTGCAGACGACGGTAGAGACGAAACATGCTACCATCTGAGCCCAGAAAGCGTGACGAGGAGGGATCTTAGTGTAGTGAGCGAGCTTCAGATCGTTCAAGAATTGAACGGTGTGAGCGCAAGTGACGTAGCCAAAGGACTTGAAGAAGTTCATTGCCAGAGCGTTGCCTCCAACCCAAGCTCCTCCGATGAACTCGGCCAGGACGTTAAGAGTGACTTGGATACCAGTGATGGCTCTAATGATACCAATTGGGATGATGAAGACGAGGCACAGAGCAAGACCGTAGAAGACAGTACCAACAGTGGTGTATGTTGGCCATGCGGCGATACCGGCGCAACCAAAGGCGACCGAAATGCACAGGCAAATGAGGTACCACCATTCAGGGACTTCGGGGTAGACAGACATCAAACGATTGTGAACATCGTTGTACTCTTCCCTCTCACCACGATGGAAAAGGTTCTTGAAGCCCATCATAATCTCATGGCGGTGATACATGAAGGCATACGAGATGGTGGCGGTGTAGATGGCGAAGAAGCATGCGTAGACAGTCAAGTTGGCAGCACTCAGGTAGGCAGGCGAGTAAGCGGTGTATTTCTCTGCATCAAACAAGCCACGGTGGTCGAGAGTACGAGTGACATTGTACAACTTGCCATAGTGGTCGAAGACCTTGTTGGAGTTGATGGGAATGTAACCGGTGTTGAAGGTATTGGTATACCAGATACCAAGCACAGCGAAGCCGGAGATAAGCACACCAACAAATCGGTTAATGGTGTTGAAGAAGGGTACCATCAGAGGATCCATCTGATCCCACAGTAGGATGTTCCAATCGAATGTAGGGAAGGGGTTGAAGCCAAGTCCATTGTTCATGCCGGTGACAGTCGATAGATTGAGGTTGTTTGGAGCAATCCAGTTGATCCAGTTGAAAGTGCTGAGGGCTCCAAAGATGAAATTTGGGAACCAGAAATAGAAGAACATGGCAGTGAACGTGAGGACAAAGAACTTGAGCCTGGACATTGTGAAGACCTTCTTGAAGGGGCCCATGACGGAAGGATTGGAAGGGTCATGGAAGGAGTTGTTCAGGGCCATGGTCACAAGAGAAGTGGGCCAGACGCAGTAAGCGGGATAAACGAGGAAGCGACGACAAATACCAGCGAGGCCGAAGCCGATGAAGTTGGTGCCCATAGCGATGACGAGTTGATATCCGAATGAGCCAGCCCAGCTCTGATTGAACATGTGAGGGAGGAACTGTACCCAGACGACGTAGTCGGTGTACGGCAGATTGGCGCCGACCTTAGCCATGATGGTGATGAGCATGTGTTCCTTCTTAGAGAAAGGTCCAGGATTCAGACTGTGGCGCGTTCCGAACAGAGTGAAGCCCTTGTCAGGAAGCCATCTTGCGGCAGCAACCCCGACGGGATAGGCCAGGAGTTGAGCGACGTTTGCTTCGACGGTGATAGAAGGCTGTCTGATGGAGAACAGCTGGTTGATGAAAGCAAGCAGAGCAACAAAGACCAGTCCAATGATGTATGCGCGGAGGGAAGCGCACGGCATGTTGGGATCGTCGGTGTTGTCGACAACGGCTCTGACCTCGGCGTACGGCGAGTTGTTCACGATCAAGGCGGCCTCGATCTTGACCTCGGCGATGAGGTCTGCATGCTTGTCAGGGTTGACGAGAACATCCTCGTTGAACAGGAATTCCTTGATCTTGTCGAGGATGCTGTCCGGGAAGTTGGGATCGAGCTCGTGAATCTTCCAAACTTTAGCCATCATGTCTCTCGTCTGCTCGAGAGTGAAGCTCTGTGCTTCCTCTCTTGCATGGATATAGTCATCGGTCGTGACATTAAGGTCACTGGGAAGATGTCAGAATTCGTGCCAACGCATAATCGCCATGACCCGAGCGAGCAGCGAAGACCACAGCCACTGAAGTCTTGCTCTGTCTGGGAGGTAAGACGTTAGTGATGAATTCTTACTCTTGGAACTCCTTGTTTGGTAGGTTATCGCCCGACTCATTCTTCTGTATATCAAGTCAGCATCAAGGTCCAGCCCTGAGCTGCCCTGAAGGATGTATCTCACCAGCTCAACGACTTGACCAAAGACAACATCCTTAGCAACAGGCTCAATCTCCACCTGACCAATTCTCTTCTCTGGATCAGCCATGATATGCAACAACCAGGTGACTGAGACGTGTTGTGAATTGGATGATGGAAAGGATGGCCGATCAAGAGGACCATGTATAGCGAGCTTTATATGTTGCACACACGTCCAGACCCGTTGATCACCTTATCTCTGCCAAAAGCTATTTGGTCGCAACCGCCTGCAATGTGGTTGCATTCTGACACCATCGGCCAAAGGAATAACCTACCTATCAGTGTGGCGTTCGTGCTCTGCATGCCCTCGCCTGATCCTGAGGTGCATTCTACCGCGGTCGTATTTCTATCAGCTTGGCGGACTGATTTGCGCGACCGTAACTGGCTCCAAGACTCTTGGTCGAGTAAGAAGCAAAGCAAACAGGAGGTCGCAACTGTGGTGACAAGATAGCGACAGCTTGGCGGGCGGAACTCTAACGATCAGAAGCCTATCTCCTGATATTGCTTGGGCGGAAGCTACCATCCCACATGCCTGAACAGGAAGGTTGTCACAACGTCGATGGCGAAAAGTCCGGGGGCAAATAACCGCAGAGACAAGCCACCGCTTGTGATTGTCGGTGTTGAAGGGGTCCAGAGTCTAGGCGACCTGATTAGGAGGCGCAGTGTCGCAAAGAAGGGGTCGAGCACGCACGGAAACACGACTCGCGGCTGAGATCGCACCAACCCAGACAACGGTGGTCTTTCCACACCACGGCTACGGCTACGGAGGTGGTGTTTCTGCTTTTCATTTATCTCGAAGCCCAGACTGTGCCATGTTGGACGACCCCGCGCTAGAGACCACGTTGTTGGAACTTGTGCGAGTGCATGCGCAAAATTGCGAGATGAAGCCTTGGATCGTCTATCACGGCGTCTACGTTCCTATCGCTTCCTTCCTCGGACGTGTGCGAGGAAACAGGAGATAACGCGTATATAGTAGCTTGGCATACTCCGGACAGGACTTGGCATATCCATTCAAGCGCTGCCCAGACTTGGCATTTGGGTTTACGGCCGGCGTTGCTGCATATTTCGCCTGAGGTTACTGATTAGACAGTAGTGATTGGTGACTTGCGTTCGTGCGTATCTTTTGTGGGGGTTTCCAATGCCCAATCAGGGAGGTCGTAGACCGCAGCCTCGGGTCCGCGCATGCTGGTTATCAGTATCGGTCTCGACGGCGGAGACTATCATGTCGGCAGAAAATTTGGGAAAGGCAATGGATCATGAAGAGTATTCTTTCCTCCTTCTCTTCTCATGTACTCTACATAGGGTTGCAGAGTATAGTGATGGTAATGCAAGTGTATCTCCAGCCTGAAGGCAGGTGCGAGCTCCAGCAGCAGCTATTGAACCACAACGTTCAAACATACTCTTATGGGTCAGGAACATTATGCATCTTGGGGACTTACAGGATACTCTGGTCGTCGGCGAAAGTAGAAGAGCTCGACGTAAAACATGCCAGTACGCGCGAGTATCGGAGCTGACGGACTGCTCTTGCTGAGTCGTGTGCATTGGCGACATTACTATCGTAGATTGCATCATAATGCCGGTATCAAGGGCGCGTCCCAGCGTGCAAATGAAATCGAAGATATTCCGCAGAGGGGTGGGTGGCACCTCAGGCTCCAAGCATTTCGTTGACGAGTTGCAAAATACGCGGTTGGGCCTTCTCGGGAGCAGCCACCATCTCGCTGTTGTTCTCGAATCTCCTTCCAGCGCCAAAGTCGATGGGTTTGCCATCTAGGTCGGTGACCTTGCCGCCTGACTCCTCAAATATGAGGAACCCTCCTGCATGATCCCACACGTAAGACTTGTGGCCCTTCTTGCTGTAGAAACGCAACATGACGTCGCCACCACCAACAGCCATGGCGATGTATCGCATTTGAGAAGACCACATGTCGGTACCAGGCCATGGAGCGCCCAGCTTCTCGGCTACCTTGCGATGAAATTCCAGATCGACAGACTTGCTACTTCCTGACTCGACGAAGTCAAGATTTTCGGGATTGGTGGAAATGTCGTCCCGTGTGCTGATCGGCTTTGATGGCTGGAGTCCTGCATTGCTCAGCGGCCTGATGATAGCACCTCGACCTTTGATAGCAGAGAGCATTTGACCATTGCCAGCATTGTCCGCATTCTCCTCGGATATCTTGCCAGTGCTGAGATTCAGGTTGGGGCAGCCAATGACGCCTACCTTCTGCTTGCCATCGACAATCAAGGCCAAGCAGACGGCATATTGTTGATTGCGCATGAATGTGGCGGTGCCGTCGATAGGATCCAGGATCCAGATGCGACCTTTGCGGCCTCCTGGATGGTTGCCCAGATCGATTGTGTCCATCATTTCTTCTGCTGATGCAATGCTTCCCAATCGCGTATCCGCCTCTTTGTCTTGCAGGTGTGTGGTAGAAACCAGATCCCAGACACGTTGGCGTAGTTGATCATTCTCACGAAGTGCAGTGGCCGTTTCTTCGCCGATGAACGAGTCTTGGGAGAAGTTGTAGTGTATGGCAGCAATCATCAGCGCTTGAGCGCCAAAGTCGCCAACGGTGACCGGAGTGCGATCGCTCTTGTCGAGGGCGCCCTTGTCCAAGTCGGCGAGAATCCTTTTGGTCAACAGAGACGCCCGCTGCACCGCCAGCTCCGCTATCGTCCGCTCGTGTTCGTAGGAAGCATCCATCGCGCTTTCACCAGTGTCTTGGAGATGACCTTGCCGTTGGGGTTGATGTCCAGACTGCTGTCGGCATCGTCATGCTCGAGCCTCGCATCGCTCCTCGGCAGCATGACGGGAAAGTGCCGGATGCTTGGGCCACCAACACTTCAGGTACTTGCAGTATTATGTCTACACCAGCATGGCGCACACCTGGAATATACAACACTTACATCAAGAGAATACAGGTGAAAAGAACACCTACCCAAAGATCGTGGTATACGATACACCGACACCGTAAACACCACACGCATGACGTCATATGTCGTGTGGAACACCCTGTTCGTTCACATCTCTGTGCGTCCTTGGATCGCTGCTGGAGATCAGGCATCGAGTATTGTTTGAAAGTGACTCTGACCTGAAGCAGCTTCTTGGACCTCGTTTTCCGTGTTGTGTTGGATCTGTTTGGACGTCGTCTCGTGCGTATGCGGGATAGTGTAAAGTTGCTTCGTATCGTGAAGCTGGATACACAGACTAGACAGTCCTCAATGCGGTCATGACCTGTCCAAGGTCGGAATGCCAAAGACTTCCAGCCATTTGATAATGATCATTCAAGGGATATGTACAATGAGAAACCCAAGACTCCATGGTGATGCTATTTCTTCCGTTCTGTGGCCTCCCAAATCGTGGTATCATTCGCTTGTCTCAAACAAAACTCCAGCCTCGCGACTCTTGATGCTAATTCTTCAGACGTCCCAGACTTCCTAATCTATGTTCTCGGTACCGCCATATTGAGAGCCGTCAGAAGCATTGAGGCTCAAAAATGGATGCTCGAGTGCTTCATCGGCTGTTATGCGCTTGGAGGGATCAAGCTCCAGGCAGAGAGACATGAAGTGAACGGCTTCTTTCTCCTCGTCACTCAGGGGAAGGTCAGTCTTACGACGCTCGGTACACCAAAGTAGAATCTTTTCCCAGCTGTGGCCGTTCTCGCTGATGGTAGGGATGTTCGTTTGCAGGACTTGACCGTGCAGTAAAGCCGCTTCATTCATGCGACGCTTGCCGAAAATGCTGCACAGCTCTATGAAGGCGTCTATGTCGTCGGCAGAGTGGAAGAAGGGGAAACGGCGACTGAGAAGGGTGAGAAGGATGATGCCGCAGCTCCAGATGTCGATTATACAAGTCTGAGAAGTGCATTTCAACAAGACTTCGGGGGCACGAAAGCCTCTCGTGCCGGCGCGATTCGCTCTGCGAGAGTTTCGCGAGTCTTCTTTCGGGTAGGTAGGAGGTGGTGGTAGTTGACCGGCGTCTCGATATTGTGTTCGGATGGACGAGTAGAGCGAGCTCTGGTAGCGATATTGGCGGTCCGAGTGTGAGTACTGGCAGTTGCAGTGATGCCAGTCGGTGCCTTCTCGCTCGGCCAGACCGAAGTCAACGAGCACACCCTTCTGAGTAGTGGGCGAGTAGAGGAAGTTTGTGGGCTTGATGTCGCGGTGGATGATCTGGTGCTGGTGGACGGCGCGGACGGCAGTGAAGAGTTGGTTAAAGTAGACACGCATGTCGTTGACAGTCATTTCGCGGAAATAGTCGCGGAAGTCGCGATGCTGGAAGTAGGGCAGGACGGCTACGACCTGATCCTGGTGGCGGAAGGCGGTAATGAGCGGACAGACGTTCTGCGAGTCGCGGAGGTCGTACAGCAACTCGAGCTCGTTGAAGATGCGCATGGGCGACGAGGTGACGTAGATTTTCTTGATGGCGACGTAGCGAGCGCGTGGGCGGTCGCGTGCAGTCTTTGCTTGTGGCGAGAGGGACATGTCGTTCCAGTCGTTCTTGTACTTGTCGTAGAGGAGATCTTCGGCTTTGTAGACGGTCGAGAAGGTGCCTGAAGGAGGGTTAGACAGAGTACCGCAGACCAGGTGATGGAGTAGTGGGCACCTTCTCCGATGCGATTGATCAGACGAAAGCGCTGTGAGATGTTCTTGAACGACTGCTCGAAGCGTGCGATGTCTTCCTGCACCGAGGCCTCGACTTCCTCATCGCTCCCGTCGGACTCGGTGGCCTGGCTCTCATCCATGCTGTTCTTGCTTTCGTCCATGGCATCCTCGGTCTCGTCCTCGCTGCGCATGTGATAGTCGGCGAGGATGGCCTCGCGCACCGTTTTGGTGCCTCGCATGCTGGCCATTGTGCGATGTTGTGGAACGGGTCGACGCGAGTTTCGATTAGACAAGGAACATGTTGAATTGATTTGTTGATTGTTGTTGTTGTTGTTGTGCTGCGAGAAAATCACGACCCCTCCGATGATGGAGTGGCCATCAAGCAGTGGCGCCTTTCCCGATCGGGCAAGACATCAACACGAGAAGCGCCTTCTCCGCAAACATCAACAGCTTCCATTTCTTTGCTCCTTCCATTCTCCACCCGCTGCTGCTCTTGCTCTCTCTGCGACCACCAGTGATCGCATCGCATCGCCGCTGTCCACTCGACCCTTAGGGTGTGCCTCGCCCAACATGGAGGCTCTACAGGATTTCGACATCAACCACGCCCTCAAAATCTTCCTCAACAATCCGCTGGAGACCGACACGCCCGACGCGCATCCCGACCTGCTCGAGTGCGAACACAACCCCGACGACTTGACTCCCGCTCTCGTCAACTCTGTCCTCAACCCCATCGTCGATGCTGTGACCGACAACCCGGAAGCTGTTGCGCGCCCGGCCAACTTTGACTCGCTGCAGTTCCTGCTCAAGTGCGCTCCCACTCGTCCAGAAGACGCCTCTCAGACACATGTGCCTGACCAAGACCTCAGAAAATCAAACCTCATCCCCACCCAGTCGCTCTCCAAACTCCTCGATCTCATCCTCTCCGCCCTCTCCGCCGAGGCCGACTCCGTTCACAATGACATCGAAGCCGACGAACAAGACTCGATCCCTCAGCACAAGCACCTTCTCGAGATGCTTTCCTTCCTCCTTATGTGGTGCTTCACCAGTGTCGAGACAAGGGTTCTCTCGGAAAAGTCTGCCGCCCCTGCTACTCGTGGAAGAGGGGCAAAAGCTGCTGCTCCGAAAAAGGCTGCCAAAGACGCTCCTTGGGACCCCACAATGCAGATACAGTCTGCCCTCAACACAATGGCAAAGGTCATGAAACTCAAGCTCGCCAAAATCTTCGTCACAACCTCTGAACGCGACACCTTCATCGGTCTGTTCACACGCCCTGTCTACCTCATGATGGAGAGCGAAGCAAGAGTCAAGAATACCGCCATCAAGATGCACGCCTTCAAGGTGCTTTGCATTGCTATCAAACATCACGGCCATGCTTCCGGTGCCCAGACAAATATCATTCAGAGTCTTCTGTACTTTGAGCATCTCTCCGAGCCCATGGCTGAATTGCTGAATATTCTCGCCGAACAATACGACTATGCTCAGCTTTCCGAGGACGTCTTGCGCGAATTGAGCAACCAAGAATTCAGCAGCAGTGACTTGAAAGGTCCCAAGTCTGTTTCGACCTTCATCACAAAATTCTCTGAGCTGGCCCCGCGACAGGTCATCAAGCAAGTCATGCTGCTCGCAAAGCTACTCGACAGCGAATCCTACACCCTGCGCTGTTCCATCATTGAGGTCTGCGGAAACTTGATTGCCATGTTGAGCAAGCAGGAAGGCGAAGAGCGCAGTGAAAACCACAAGGGCCAGATCAACGCATTCTTCGAAGTGCTTGAAGAACGCTTCCTCGACATCAACCCTTACTGCAGATGTCGTGCTATCCAAGTGTACATGAAGCTTTGCGATCTCGAAACAAAGTACCCCAAGCGCCGACAGACAGCAGCAGATCTCGCATGTCGAAGTCTCGAAGACAAGAGCAGCAACGTCCGCAGGAACGCTATCAAGCTGCTTGCAAAACTCATGCAGACACACCCCTTTGCTGTCCTTCACGGCGGTCAGCTGTCGTACTCTGACTGGCATTCGCGTCTGGAGGTCTGCGAGGCCGAACTCAATGCTTTAAAACCTCCGCAGGAAGCTGCTGGTATGGTGGAGCAGCAGGAAGCCACAGTCGACGAGGAGCTCCTAGATGATGCCACACAGATGTCGCCGGTCAAGGAGAAGCCCGCCATGACAGAGGAACAGAAACAGGCTGCGTTCGAGAAGGCCGCTGCTGAAGCCGTCACATCTGAAATGATGAGCAAGCTTACCTTGACTCGTCGCTATTACATCGAGGCACTCAAGTTCATCGAGGTACTCCATGAGGCCTCGCCTATCATTACGCAACTGCTTGCTTCCAAGAACAAATCCGAAGTTATCGAAGCCATGGACTTCTTCGTCGTTGCAGACGGGTACGCTATCGAGACCGCCCGTGCAGGCATCCGGAAGATGCTGCGACTCATCTGGACCAAGGGCAACAGTGACGAAGGCAAGGGTGTGCAAGCTCATCTCATAGAATGCTACAAGGGCTTGTTCTTCGAGGCACCACCCGGCTACTCTGCCAATGATGCTGCAAACTTCATCGCCAGGAACATGGTCAGTCTGACATTCGGAGCGACAGCTGCCGAGCTGACCAGTCTGGAGCAATTGCTCAGCATGATGATGCAATCAGACTTCATCAAGGATGCTACAATCCAGAAACTGTGGCAGATCTATGGCATCGAGCGCAGGGAGATCTCGAAGAACCAACGTCGTGGTGCCATCATCGTACTCGGTATGCTGGCTCTGGCCGACCCCGACATCATCGTGAAAGAGATGGCAACATGCCTTCGTATCGGTCTTGGCACGTACGGCAGGACAGATCTTGTCCTTGCCAAATACACATGCATCGCTCTGATGCGTATGAACAACCCCAAGCACACCAAGGGCGTTCAAGCTGCTCCTACTTCGACACGACTACCCAACGACCATGCCGTGCTACAAAAACTGGCCGCCATGGCAGACGTCAAGTCTGCAAGCAAGGAGTGGTATGGTCTCGCCGAACAGGTCATCAGTGCCATCTACGCTCTATCCAAGCATCCTGACGAGTTGGCCTCCGAGATTCTCAGGTTCAAGACCAAGAGGGTCTTCTCACCAGTTGGGGCATCTACCAAGTCTGAGTCAGTCGAGGTTCAAGACGATGGGGATATTGAGATGAGTGGCATGGACGAAGAGCCTACGGAAGACGCGCCTCCGATCAAAAAGGAAGAGGAAGAAGTCGAGATGCCGAGAGACGAAGAGGCGGGTTTGCCCTTGTCCCAGCTGCTCTTTACGGTGGGACACATTGCAATCAAGCAAATTGTACACCTGGAACTTTGCGAAATGGACTTCAAACGCCGGAAGATGGACAAAGAAAAGCAAGCAACTGCCGCTCCGACACCAGCCAAGAAAGGCAAGGGAGCCAAGAAAGATGCTCAGGACGTCAAGGAAGAGGAGCAAGATGATCTCGACCTGATCACTGGTACAACCGAAGACGACTTTACCGACGCCATTGCACATGTCCGCGAACGAGAGCTACTTTACGGTCCCCAGTCACTGTTGGCCAACTTTGGCCCGCTGGTGCGCGAGATTTGCATGAACAACACATCATACGCCAACCAAGAGCTGCAAGCCCAGGCTGCTTTATGTTTGGCCAAGCTGATGTGCGTGAGTGCAGAGTATTGCGAACAAAACCTGGGACTGCTCATCACCATTCTCGAGAGAAGTCCAGACGCTACAACGCGCAACAATCTGGTGATTGCTCTTGGAGATATGGCAGTATGCTTCAATCACCTGATCGACGAGAACACGGATTATCTGTACCGCCGTCTGTCTGACAGGTCATTACCAGTCAAGCGCACTTGTCTCATGACGCTGACGTTCTTGATTCTGGCGGGTCAAGTCAAGGTCAAGGGACAGCTCAGTGAGATGGCCAAGTGTGTCGAGGATAGCGATGACAGAGTGCGGGACATGTCACGGATGTTCTTCAGCGAGCTGGCAGGCAAGGACAATGCCGTGTACAACCAGTTTGTCGACATGTTCAGCTTGCTTTCTCGTGACGAGGAGCTTGACGAAGATCAGTTCCGACGCATCATCAAGTTCTTGTCAGGCTTCATCGAGAAGGACAAGCACGCGAAACAGCTTGCCAACAAGCTGGCAGCAAGACTGGCACGGGCGGAGAACGAGAGGCAATGGAACGATGTTGCGTATGCACTTGGACTGCTACAACACAAGGACGAAGAGATCACCAAGGTAGTTGGTGAGGGGTACAAGGTGGTTCAGGCGCAGGCTTGAGAGAGGTGATTTGATTGAATTGGCGTTGGTGGAGGGTTACGGATGATGAATTGTATAGGCTTTTCTTTCTTGTTGATACCCATTGAAAATGAGATTGTTTCGTGTACATGTATCGCCCGCCCAAGCGTCTGTGGAAACCGTAATGGAGCGGGTAGAGACTGAGCTTTCAGGTTGTTGTGTTTCGGCAAGAGTCGGACGTTTCGGAGAGAGAATTGGCAGGCGTGAGCGGGAGTCCGCAGCTTCTGCCCGAAAGGCCGGGCTTGGCGTGCGAATCGTCGCTGCTTCCGTTGTAAGCAAGAGCTGCTGGAACCTCAACAGAGCGAGATTGCTATAGCCCTCTGTCTCATCCGACGTCTGTTCCTTTCCTTTTCCCGTTTCGCTCCCTCCCTGCTGTCGCCATGTTCTCGCACATGATCCCCCGCGCCTCGCGCCCGCTGCTCCGCTCCGCAAACAACACTTTCCGCGCCTCGCCTTCAACCCTCTACCTTGTCGACAGAGTCCAATCAAGGAGATCATACGCCACCGAGACCGGTACGCTCGCATCAAGAACATACACATGGGAGCTCAGGCTGATCGCTTTGCGCAGAGGAGAAGGACCTGGTCATCATTGGTGGTGGTGTTGCCGGTTATGTTGCCGCCATCAAGGCCGGTCAGGAGGGTCTCAAGGTAAGGGCTATTGCTCCACACACGACAGCATGGACGCGCCCACTAAACAGTCGCTACTTCTAGGTCGCCTGTATCGAGAAGCGTGGCTCGCTCGGCGGTACCTGCCTCAACGTCGGCTGCATTCCCTCAAAGTCTCTGCTCAACAACTCGCACCTCTACCACCAGATTCTCCACGACACCAAGAACCGCGGTATCGAAGTCGGCGATGTCAAGCTCAACCTCAAGCAGATGATGAAGGCCAAGGAGACATCGGTCAACGGCCTGACCAAGGGTATCGAGTTCCTGTTCAAGAAGAACAACGTCGAGTACATCAAGGGCACCGGCGCCTTTGCCGACGAGCACACCGTCCAGGTCAACCTCACCGAGGGCGGTGAGACTAGCGTTCGCGGCAAGAACATCCTCATCGCAACCGGTTCCGAAGCCACTCCTTTCCCTGGTCTTACCATCGACGAGAAGAAGGTCATCACCTCGACTGGCGCCATCGCCCTCGAGACCGTCCCCAAGAAGATGGTTGTTATTGGTGGTGGTATCATTGGTCTCGAGATGGCCTCGGTCTGGTCCCGTCTCGGTGCTGAGGTCACCGTTGTTGAGTTCCTCGGCCAAATCGGTGGTCCTGGTATGGACGCTGAAATCTCAAAGAACATCCAGAAGACTCTTGGCAAGCAGGGCATCAAGTTCAAGCTCAACACCAAGGTTGTCGAGGGTGACGACAGCGCTGCCGACGTCAAGATCAAGGTCGAGGCTGCCAAGGGCGGCAAGGAGGAGACTGTGAGTGCCTGATCTTCCCCTCCTCGCTCGTACACAAAACTAACGCAGTACACAGCTCGAGGCCGACGTTGTCCTCGTTGCCATCGGTCGCCGTCCCTACACCGCCGGTCTCGGTCTGGAGAACATCGGTCTCGAGACCGACAACCGCGGCCGCATCGTCATCGACCAGGAGTACCGCACCAAGATCCCCCACATCCGTGTTATTGGAGACGTCACATTCGGTCCCATGCTCGCCCACAAGGCCGAGGAGGAGGCCGTCGCCGCCATCGAGTTCATCACAAAGAACTACGGCCACGTCAACTACGGCGCCATCCCCTCGGTCATGTACACACACCCCGAGGTCGCCTGGGTCGGCCAGAACGAGGCCGAGCTCAAGGAGGCCGGTGTCAAGTACAAGATTGGTTCCTTCCCCTTCTCTGCCAACTCGAGAGCAAAGACCAACGCCGACTCTGACGGTATGGTCAAGTTCCTCGCTGACGCCGAGACCGACCGCATTCTCGGTATTCACATTGTCGGCCCCAACGCCGGTGAGATGATTGCTGAGGGTGTGCTGGCGCTCGAGTACGGTGCTTCGTCTGAGGATGTTGCCAGAACTTCGCACGCTCACCCCACTCTCGCCGAGGCCTTCAAGGAGGCTGCCATGGCCACTCACGGCAAGGCCATCCACTACTAAGAAGTCGGTGGCATTTAGAACAAGGATGGGAGACTTTTCGAAAAGGGGAGGCGTTCTTATCTGCAGCAGACGTGTCTGTTAGTCTTTTTCCTTTTCTGCATCACACTGAGTTAATGGCAAATCTGTTTTTACGTTGCGGTCTTGCCCTTGTGGATATGCATCTTGTACAATTACTTTTCACACCAAGGTTTCATCTTGCTTCGTGTCCTATTGTAATAATCGTCAGGTGCAATCACAACCAACGAGATCAAGTACAGACTTTCGTGAAAAACAAGTTCACCGAGGAACAAGATTGATGAACATAATCACAGACTACTCCAGAAGACAAGGCGGAAGGAAAACATAAGGGACATGAGATTGAAGATTCTTTTTGCTTCGCTTTTTGCTATCTGACTCCAACGACAGACTGGGGATCGGCTGACGCTTTTTGCACGCAAAGACCAGTGCTGAAACTAAGGAGTGCAGCGGCCCATGTAACGAGGGTAGAGACAAGTGTCGCGGACAGTGTGCTGTTTGCACAACCAGGCGAGGAAGCGTTCGAGACCGAGACCGTAGCCACCGTGGGGAGAGGATCCGTATCTGTATAGGATTAGCAATCAGAAAAACAAAGAGACGGAGGGAAAAAGAGGAGAATCCCAACATACCTGCGTTGATCAATGTACCAGTAATAAGGCTTGGGATCGATGCCCTCGCGCTCGTAGGCAGCCATCAACTCGTCGTAATCGTCCATTCTCATGGAACCACCGACAATCTCACCGACACCGGGCATCAAGCAATCCACAGACTCGGTAACACGACGGTCATCCTTGTCCTTTTGCATGTAGAAGGCCTTGATCTCGACGGGGAAGTGGGTGAGGAAGATGGGCTTGTTGATGATATCGGTCATTCTGCGCTCTGCAGCCTCAGCAATGTCGTCGCCGAACTTGTGAGCTTCGCCTTCTTCGTTGGGGATGTTGTGTTGGACGAGCCAGTCGATGGCTTCGCTGTACTTCATGCGCATAAAGGGGCGTTGGGGCATTTGGAAGTCGGGGTTGAGTTCCTTGATGATGGCGGCGATTTTGGGGTCGCTGAGGGTGATTTCGATGACGCGGCACATGACTTCTTCCAGGTGGACGAGCAGGTCGTCGAAGGTGATGAAGTCGAGCTCGGCTTCGACGTGTGTGTACTCGGACAAGTGGCGGCGAGTGAGGGACTTTTCGGCGCGGAAGGACTTTTCGATACAGTAGACATCGCCCATGGAGGGCAGGACGGTCTCGAGGTAGAGCTGGGAGGATTGGGTGAGGAAAGCGGGTTCGCCGTAGTAGTCGAACTTGAAGAGGGTGGCGCCGCCTTCGACTTGGGTTTGCACGAGGGCGGGAGGAGAGACCTTGCGGCAGCAGACCTCGCGGTAGACCTGGTGGAAGGCGAACTCGACGGCGTCGCGGACAAACATGACGTTGGAAGCGACCTCACCACGCAGAGTGAGATGGCGGAGGTCGAGCAGAGTCTGGGCGTCACCCTTGGCCTGGACCTTGTTGGTGATGGCCTCGTCACCGCCAGGAGCCTTGAAGAGGACCTTGAAGTAGTCGGCGTGCAGCTCGCGGTTGTCGGGAGCGTGGGCACCTTCGGGGACCTGGGCGAGTTCACCGACAATCTCCATGCTGCTCTCGCGCTGCAGGGTGATGGCGTCGTAGGACTTTGCGAGGTCGCCCTGGAGGATGCACTGCATGAAGCCGTAACCATCGCGCAGGGTGATGAAGACCAGGCCCTTCTGCTGGCGGTAGCGGTGGACACGGCCGAAGACGCGGACGCGCGAGCCCTTTTCGACGCCGTTGCCTCGCAGCTGGACCATCTTGTTGTCGAGCTTCATCTTCTTGGCCTCGGGCAGCGAGGCGTCTTCCTTGATCTCAATCTTCTTGGCCTCTTCGAGCACCTTCTGACGATCCTCCTCTTCCTTTTGCAGACGGATGGCCAGCTCCTTCTCCTTTCCGGCCTTCTTCTTCTGGGCGTCGGCGTAGTTGGCGGCCTTCTTCAGGGCAGCCTTTGCGGCGGGCTTCCATTCGGGGTCCTCTTGACTCTTGCGAACTTGGTATGTAGCATTGTCGGCATGTTGGAGGAAAGCGAATTGGACAGACTTGAAGGGGGCCTGCTCGGAGCCGGTGGCCGACTCGGCATCGATGCCCTTTTCCTCGTCGATGTAAATGGTGGATTTGTCGGCCATGATTGCGCGTCAAATGGTGTGTGGAAACAAGTGACGTTAAGTTGAGCTTGGGTCGAAACAACAGACGGCGGCAGCGAGGGGAAAAGAGTCACACGGCGATGCAGCAGCTTGCACGCTTATCGCCCATGACTCGAGCGCGCACTGATAACGAAAGTTCATGACTCGGGCGCGAGACGCGGAGACGGGGGACGCTCGGGCGCCGTCGGTGACCACAAGCCGCGACTGCCCTGACCTGGTCCACTTGGTCCAACACCGACAAGTCGTTGCTCTGGACGTTGGACCAAAGTGCTTTTACAACAAGGAAGCCATGTCGCGCATCCTGTGAAGCCCTCATGACCCGCCATGCCACACTCGCGCAGCTCCACGACATAGCATCCTGAGCGACCCGCCGAAGCCTCCAGCTCCTCCGCAGACCATGGACGTCTCGGTCCAGAAAGCGCTGGCCGACAAGCTGTATGACCGTCGCAAAGGAGGCGCCCTGGAACTCGAAGCCATCATCCGCGACTCTCTGGCCGCCAACGACCACGTTCGCATCGAAAAGATCGTCCACCAGCTCTGCCACGACTACGCCTACGCTGTCCACCAGCCCCACGCCCGCAATGGCGGCCTCATCGGCCTGGCTGCCGCTGCCATCGCCCTCGGTATCGACGTTGCCCGCTACCTCCGTGATATAGTCCCTCCGGTTCTGGCCTGCTTCTCCGATCAAGACGCCCGCGTACGCTACTATGCCTGCGAGAGCATGTACAACATTGCAAAAGTCGCAAAGGGCGAGATTCTCATCTATTTCAACGACGTCTTCGATGCTCTGTGCAAGCTGGCTGCCGACACGGAGCTGTCGGTCAAGAACGGCGCTGAGCTCCTCGATCGCCTGGTCAAGGACATTGTCGCAGAGTCTGCTGCTTCCTACGTCTCCATCTTGGACAACGACCTAGATCCAAACAACGAGGACCCCTTCGCCGAACAGCCCACCGCCTTCTCTCTCGCCAGATTCATCCCTCTCCTCCGCGAGCGCATCTTCGTCATCAACCCCTTTACCCGCACTTTCCTCGTCAGCTGGATCACCCTACTCGACTCGATCCCTGACCTCGAGCTGGTCGTCTTCTTGCCCGACTTCCTTGGTGGACTACTGCGCTTCCTGTCTGACCCCAATACAGATGTACATACCACCACGAAGGTCTGCCTCGACCGATTCCTCGCAGAGATCAAGAAGATCTCGGCTATCAAGAAGGGTATCGCTGAGAGCAAGAGAAGCATGGTCGCCGAGAGTCAACGAAAGCCTTCGATATCCAGCAGGGATGGACTGGACATGGCCGATCAAGATGCCGATGCACAGCTTGAGAATACTCAAACAAATCACGACAAGGCCAGCTCAGACTCGGCTTCTTTTGTCAGCTCCACTATCGATGAAAAGGACGACAACGATGCCGGAGACGAATGGATCCCCGGCCAGGACGTGCAAATTGAACACGCAAAGATCCTTGATATCCTGATCCAGTTCTTGAACGACTCGGCAGAAGAAGAAATTCAGATGACCACGCTTCGCTGGATCGAAGGCTTCTTCGACATCTGCCCCGAGGACATGCTCGCCTTCGTGCCTCGTCTGCTTTCACAAGTCCTGCCAGCTCTGTCGCACCACGTCGATCAGGTCCGCCAGGCCGCCAACAGAGTCAACACGGCTCTCATGGCTCACATCATGTCGCTTCCCGAAGATGGCCAGCAACAAAAGACCACCACCGAATCAACACGCAGAGACTCGATCCCAATACGCTCGAGAAAAGTCATAAGCCCAGACGTGCTGCAAGAGATGACAGCCTCTGACTCACGTCCCGCATCTACTACCCCACCTCCACAACCATTACCTGCCATCTCCACAGAGCTCGACTATGAAGCTGCCGTCAACTCTTTGACGTTACAATTCCTCAACGAGCACGAGCAGACTCGAGTGGCCGCACTCGCTTGGCTGATCATGCTACACCGCAAGTCGCCGCGCAAGACTTTGGCTATTCATGACGGAACATTCCCCGCCCTGCTGAAGACCCTCTCAGACCCAGCGGATGCCGTTGTCACTCGTGACTTGACATTACTATCACAGATATCCAAGAACAGTGATGACTCGTACTTCACGTCGTTCATGGTAAACCTCCTGAAGCTCTTCTGCACAGATAGAAAGCTGCTCGAGATCAGGGGAAACCTCATCATCCGACAACTGTGCTTGAACCTCAGCGCAGAACGCATCTACCGTACCCTGGCAGACTGTCTTGAGAAAGACGACGATGTCGAGTTTGCAAGCATCATGGTGCAGAACCTGAATAATAATCTCATCACCGCACCCGAGCTGGCCGATCTCAGGAAGCGACTACGAAACCTTGAGAACAGAGACGGTCAGACCTTTTTTGTCACATTGTTCAGAGCATGGTGCCACAACGCTGTAGCAACATTTTCGTTGTGTTTGCTTGCACAAGCATACGAGCAGGCCTACAATCTGCTGCAAATCATCGCAGAGCTCGAGATGACTGTCAATATGCTGATTCAAATCGACAAGCTGGTACAGCTGCTCGAGTCTCCTGTCTTCACATACCTCCGCCTTCAGCTCCTCGAGCCAGAGCGTTTTCCTCACCTCTACAAGTGTCTCTACGGCCTTCTGATGCTCCTACCGCAGTCCTCGGCATTTGCGGCCCTCAAGAATCGCCTGAATAGTGTCAGTGCGATCGGCTACTTGCATATTGCCCCAAGGACGTGAGTCACAGTCTCTCATTCTCAACATCCATATCACGATACTGACTCCCTGCAGTGCACCTACGACACCATCAGTCTCCACCTTTGATCGACCAAACCGCTTGAAGTCACGAGAAGACCCTGGAATCAAATGGTCAGATCTGTTGGAGAAGTTCAAATCGGTACAAGAAAAGGCTCGCCGATCACAGCAGAGAGCCCCACGCTTGACCACTCTTCCCAACGGTCTTACCCTGCCCGACATGGATGACGATCTCGAGTCACCTACCCTCAACAAGGAAGCTTCTGCACCGCCGAAAGAAAAGGTCACTGGTAGGCTGAGTGGACTGGGCAGACCAGGCAGTGCAGCCAGCATTACCCGGCCTAACCCTACGCCGCAACAGGTACAGGGGCATCAGAAGAGTAGGAGCAGTCTGAGTCAACTGGGAAGGTTTACGAGAAGTACAGCTGCAAAGGCTACTGGCGGCGCGCTGAAAAAGTAGATGCTGAGGTGACTGAGTCCACCCAGATGGCTGGAGAGGTGTTCATATTGCGCTTTTAGCGTTGGCGTCTTTGGGGTTTGTTGGTCATCTTTATAGCATTTTCACGATTATACATGTTTTCGCGGAGCGTATGAGTCAGCCCTAGATCATTGATGAAAAAGTTGACCATCTCAAGAACCTGGTGACGGCTCGCTCGTCATAGTGTTCGATGTTGGACTACTTAGGTCGAGATACTGACATGTCTTTCCATCTGCTCAGACATATCGTCTCCTGGCCCCGTGATCAACTAGCAGTCATCTCCTCGGCCAATCTGAGAGGTGTTTGCACAGCCGATGGATAGTGTGAGGCTTGCAAACTGCTTATCTCGAGCCCAGTAACACTATCCATTTGCTGCAATCCTTAGTATGTAGACCTGCAGTTATGTGCGTGGGCTATTCATTGGCCTTGAATTACCCCGTAAATGTTGTCGACATTTCGGAAAGTCCTAAAGATATTCTTTTGTCCAAAGACGGTCTGGGAAGCGGTTCCGCAAAGGGCTGCCTGCATAAGCGCTTGATTTCCTCCTGAATCACAACGACCCCTGTTGGTTTCTGCATTAAGCGCTCTCAAAGCGATACGCTCGCCGTCTCCACGGTCAGCGCGATGCAGCTGCTGATGAGCCAATCAATGCGCCAAGAAATGGCGTTCTCGGTGCTCTCTCTTCATCCAGCCACGTCAACAATCTTAAGCGCCGACACTTTCCCTCTTGTTTTTCCTTACACTCATCGCAATTCTGCCATCATGGCGATGACATACTGAGAGTTGAATGCTTACGATCATAGCATGATCATACAAAGGCAATGGCCACAACAACGAGCCGAGTTTGCCAATTACCTCACAGCCAAAGCGGGCGTCATCAAGCAGCTGGTTGCTCACCATCTGTCCCTTCACCAACATCATACATGCAAGATCGCTCCGGAAACAGAATGGAGATGTGGCTCCTTCAATATTTGCATACCTGTCACCATCAACGATGATTATCGAGTGGCGTTTCGGTGCCCTTTGCCGTACCGCTTCAATTTGCTTAGCTCTCCCGATATGGCCAGCGAGAAGATCCGAGGAGAGGCTGCCACCATTGCCTGGCTATCATTGGACTGTCCAGATGTACCCTTCCCTCGATTACGAGGATTTGGACTTCCTGGTGGCCCCTCGTTCACACCACTTGCAAACGCTTCCTGGAGCCGACAAGCGTACGAATGGCTTCGCCGACAAGTGCTGATGAGGTTCTTCGTCGATATAGACAGTTGGCGACCTTTTGTTCCATTTTCTAGCCCAGGGCTCCTCAAAAGCGGGTACATGATATCAGATTATATAGAGCCCCATCAAGGGAAGATGCTCAGTGCGACGTCGCCTTGCTTTGAGCTGCGTCATCGCCAGACTCTCTTTCGTAGTCTTGCCAACATCCTGCTTGACCTTATGCGAATACCACTACCACGCATCGGATCTTTCACTGTCAGCCACATGGGTGAGGTCACGCTGAGTGGTCGTCCACTGACTGCAGCGCTGGCTTCATTGGAAGCCGAAGGCGTGGCTAGCGAGATATCTCCAACTACTACCTATACATCCACCGACACCTACATCGACGATCTACTGCATTGTCATGACACGAGGTTGCGGGATCAACCGAACGCGGTCGACTGCAAGCTTGACGCTGAAGGCCAGATGGCGACTGTTGTGGTGCTCAAGGCAATCCGATCACAATTTATCGATCGGAAACTACGACAAGGACCGTTCACACTCCAACTTACAGATATCCACGGATCGAACCTCTTCGTCGACGATCATTATAACATCACTGCAATCGTGGACCTCGAGTGGAGCTGCTCGCTACCGATTGAAATGCAACAGCTACCATTCCGGCTTAGCGGACACGAAGGGGACGACTTTCTCGGAGACAAGGCAATGGAGAACGAACAAGCATATATCACAGCGTGCAAAGAATTCCTCGCCATACTTGACGAAGAACAAAGTCGTCGACATCTAACACGACTTTCTATTGACGCCGGCAGTATCATTAGCTCGGCATTCGAGAAGAAATCGCACTGGTACTTCGCCGCTTTGTGTTGGCCCCGAACAGCCTACAGTCTTCTGATTGACCACCTTCAGCCAATGTTCGCGCCATCCCATGCAGATACAGAGGGAGTGGCTATGTTCCAAAATGTTTTCGCACCCTATTATGCAACTAACGCATCGAGATTCGCTGATCAAAAAGTTAGGGACAAGGCTGAATACGATCGAACGTTACGTGAGCTGACCCAGAAGTGACTTCAAATCGTACAGTGGCGGTTTGATCATGCTGTTCTTGCAAATCTGAAGACATCGAACGATCACTTTTGAGCGCTCTGCCGGTCCGCCTCAGCTTTCTCCAGTTTTTTCTGGCTCTTCTTTGACTTGAAGGCATCCGAGAATGTCATCATCAGTTTTCTTTCCGGTTCTGGGGGAATATTGACCCGGACAGCAGTTGAAGCAGTCGTAACGGACTTGCTGTCTCCTGAGTACGCGGAAGAATGAATAGGTCGGTCTGTACCCTATATATCTGTGGATAGAGTCTGGATGCATGAATAATTGATTAAGCAAGCGACAGGAAGAGAATGACTCTCAAGGTATCGAATAGACGGCTTTGCCTGTACTTTTTGGGAAGGTCAAGATGTTGCCTGAAGTTTAATGCCGAAGAAGTGTTGATCGTAGACAAGCTGCCAGTCAAAATATTGCAAAAGTCGAGTTGTAAGGCTCGACAAGATCGCGAGGATATAGTCTTCTGTGAACGGGCAGCAACCCCTATATAGCTTTAGGAAGCTCATTCGCACTACCATCGCTCAAGTACTGTTCGCCTTTGGGGGAGCGCATACAAATAGATAACGATGGCTTGTGGCGAGGTGCATACAGGCGCCAACACATACATGCGGCACTGCTACGAGAGCAAATCCTCCGCTGCATGCGCATATGATACAGTGTTGGTGCTCAAGTGCACATGCATCATTTATTGGTCAACCATGAACGCGCGGCTAACTGTTTGGTGTGCACATATACCAAAGGCGGCTGATAGTCGACTCGAGAGCCATCGAGCATAGAGGATCATTCCAAGATCTTCATGCTTGTACGGCAGTGAAACAAACAAAGTTTCCTCAGGAGTCTAATTGTCGTGAATCCCATCTTTCACCCGCACAGCTTCTCGAGCTCCAGGCTGGCAAGGACAAAAGCACTGGTACCAATCAGGCTATTGTCAACGGTCGGTCGATCAAAATAGTACTGCCAAAACCTCGTCAGCATTTGCCATTCACCGGTAATCAGAGTGTGACCTACTTTCGCATCGATGCTCTGTCCACTCAGACTCGCGATCGAGCTCGTCCCACCGAGATTCAGAGTACCGTTTCCGCCGCGATTTACCTGCGTCTCGAAAACATTCTCCCAGAGTCCAACGGCTGCTTTACGAGCTCTATCTCGAAGCTGTGTGTTATGGATGATATCTAGGCGTACAGGTCTCAGTAGAGAGTATGCAGTCATCAGACTCGCACTTGTCTCAACGAAGTTCTTGGAAACATTGATGGAAGCGCCAGGGAGATCTACCACTTGCCAGACAGAGTATTTGCCGTTGATCTGCAGCCCGCGCTCAAGAGCGACGAGTTGAGCATTTATCAGATTAATGAAGAGGAGGCTGATGTCGCTGCGCACGATCTTTGACTCTAGTGTCATCGAGGAGGAGGAGGACAGTGATTGCAAAGTTTCGATGGCGTTGAGCACACCTAGTGTGTACCAAGCCAATGATCGGCCCCAGACGGATGGACTCGCACCAGTCTCTGCGTTCGCCCATGCGTGCTCTCCCAGCGCATCGTAGCCATGCACCCACAGCCCCGTACCGTCATCGCAGATGGCAGACAGAATGTCAAGTTGCTTTTGCACTGCTCCAGGTCAGAAGACGTCCGAGTTTTGACTCCGATTTGCTGCACTGTTCAAGATGGCGAAGGAAGGGTATGAGTACATGCCATCTGTATACGACAGATTGCGGTATGCAGTTATGTTATTGCGATTGTCGTAGTACCAGAGTCCTCCATTGTCGTTTCGGGGTTGTGCTGCCAACGAATCCTGTGACGCAGATATAGCGGATGCCAGAGCTTCATCGCCAGTTTCTGCATATTGATACATCATCTCAGTACCGATAGAAAATCTGTCAAGCGGCAAGCCCACAGCTGCCGTGGCGTTTGTGGATAGCGGAATAGCACTTGCAACACTGTTGCGTAGGTATGTTGTTCATTGCTGCTTGTCGACCGTGTTGTTGGTTGCGGCGACTCCCTGTCGTAACGCTTGATAGAAGATTCCCAGTTCGATGAGTCCTGTGCCGGAAGAACTTGCAGCTGCTCCTTGATTGCGCACAATATTGCTTGCGATCATTGCGGATGCTTGCCCGTATGCGCTTTGCGGGCATTGGAGTGCTTGCACGATGATGTCAGAAGTAACAAAGAGTAGAAATAGCTTTATTGTGACCATCATTTCTGCTGTCGTCAATTGTTGTACCTTGCAAGAGAGTGTGAGAAACCTGTGCTAAACCCTGGAAGGTCGTTCTCATTTTTTGACGCTACGGAGCTTTAATGACGTAGTGGAAAGTTTAATTTTGATATGCAAGGTACTGACTGCTACCTACTTATCTACTACACAGAAGATAGCAGCATGAGAGCTCCAAACAGTTGTATCACGGCTGGCTCGCTTGGGATTATACGACAAAGAAGCGCTAGGACAAGGACTTCCCATGATTCATGTTGGCAGATTGGAGCAAGACAACGAAGTGTCGTCGGCACGAAGTTGAGCCCGCGGAGCATGTTCACCGACCAAGAGTGGCTTGGGGATATCGGTCGCTTTAGGCTCGGTAAGGGCCTCTTGGGATGATACTTGACCATAGCAAGATGGCTCATGATCGGATCACTTAATGCGAGTTGTAAGCGACGGACGGTAGTCGTAGAGTATCTGTAGGACGGTACAGAATTGTGGTCGCAAGTGTGCGCAGGGTCGTCGCCCTGTCGAACGTTCTTTCGGATCAAACTTTACATAGCTCATTCCATTCGGCCCACTCTTTCATGACCGACCACTACCGAGGCACTCCCGACACGGTACAGTCGAAAACACCGACATGAAGCTAGTTTTACCTACTCGCTTGCTTAATTGCATGGTCCTGAAAGACCCTGCATATTTCTCTTAGATCACCCTGGTACCGTGACTAGGCGCTTCGGGCCGTACGCTTCTTTGGCGATCACTTGTTCGGCGGTTGTTGACTTAGTTTCCCCTGTCATGAAGCCTATTAATCCATCGCGCTGAATAGTCTTTTTGAGCGTCCGGTGTGTCCACTGCCAGCAAAGTCTCGTAAGTTTTTTCTCCTTTTCGCAACTGTGGTGCTCCTGTCGATCATAATGCCCTGGTATGAACCTGCGGAGTTTAAACTCATGTACCCTGTGACTCTCGGATTACCCTTCTGAGCCACGGATGACTTCTTTCGGATGGAGAACAACGTCTCTGCAGTTCAAAGCTCCTTTATGACAATCCGGAAACTCAAACTCGACTACACATGCATTTTCCATTGGCAGAATCGAGGCGACGCTCAATCATGGCAGATGAGCACGATGACTCCAAGTCATCAGGACCCGCACCTCGCTGCGAATCCGACTGGTTCGACGTCGACGATCAGCTAACGAGATAGATCCTTCAAGATCTCAGTCAACTGGGATATACACCATGAAGGGGTTAGATCCCAACGCAATTCCCAAGGCAATCGATGGCGACGGACTTCAACAAGCAAGAAATATAAGACAGACGAGTCTTGCTCACAATGTTGAGGTAGTCCTGCATGACCAACAAGCCCTCGGGAGCTTCCTGTCCCTGATCCAACTCTTCTTGTCATTCGTTTGACACATTTTTTGTCACTCCTTGATTACTCCCTCACCCATCGTCATTCTTTAGCAGTCATGACCTTCCGAGGTCTCAGCATGGGAAGCCTTCTGGCGATCGTGGCTGTTCTGCCTCTCCTGGCTCCAGCTATCTCTATCCCTCGCTCCTCGTCTCATGTCGAGTTCGAGTCGAGTGCTAACAGCTCTAAGGATACGACCCGTCCATTCAACGCTGTCTTCTATCCGCCTTTGGACTGGGCCCCTCCCCTGTAAGCGGGCGCTGGTTCCTCCCAGAATTCCTCCGTTCAGCCTTGGGACAAGGTTCTCTCTCCATCGGACAACAGTACGACCAACTCGGGGTCATCTGGTATCAATTCGACCGTGATCCATTCGAACCTTACTGCACCTCACTTCGTAAGCTTTGCAAGCACCTCTTGCTCTGCTCTAGTGCCGTCCTACCCGGATGAGTTCTGGTACGAAGCCATTGATCACAGCAACGCTCAAAGTTCATTCCTCAACAATAAAGATGCGTATATCGTTTGGCGCAATGTCATCTCTGATTTCGGCGCCGACAACACGGGAAACACAGACTCTACCGACGCGATCAGGAACGCGATCAACCACGGTGGAAACGGTCTTCCCGAACGAACAACGAAAGACACGTATGGCGAGACAATGAAGCCGGCTGTTGTGTACGTTCCTGGTGGAACTTATCTTATCTCCTCGACCCTTGATCTATACGCTGGAACAGTCATCGTTGGTGACCCACTCAATCCACCTGTCTTCAAGGTGGCATCCACTTTCTCTGGTACCAAACTCATCAGTGGGCGTGATAGTACCTGGGGATCAGCCACCCAGGTATTCTACATTGGTCTCAAAAATGTTGTCATCGATTCTACAGGCTTTGATAAAGACAGCAACTTCATCCTAGTGTACTGGGCTGTCAGTCAAGCTACCCAACTACAGAACATTGTTTTCAACATGCCCAAAAACTCCGCCAGCAGTGGCCACAGAGGTGTTCAAATGGGCAAAACAGACTACAACAGCAACATTATCATCAACGACCTGACCTTCAATGGCGGCTATGAGGGCATGCATCTCAATGGTCAACAGTGGGTTTTCAAAGGCCTGACGTTCACGTCGTGTACTACTGCCGTCAACATTGTGAGCTGCACTGATTGTGTCTTCCTGGGAACAAGTGTTTCTACTGTAGGCACTGGATTCTCTGCCTATGGTGTATCTGGTAGTCTGATCATCATGGATTCGACCGTCAAGAAATCTGGTCCTCTTGTGCTCGGCACAAGCGGCTACAAGGGCTATCAGTCAATCATACTAGAGAATGTCATGTCTGATGACGAGAACAAGGTCACTGTCAAGCTTGACGATAACGCTTCTGCTGTGGTCGGGAGCGTTGCCGACACCTGGGTTCTTGGACAGACCTACAAGTCTAACGATCCCACCCCCGGTAGAGGTGGCAATGTTCGGACCCAACGAGCCGAAGTCCTCCTCCAGAACGCCAGATTCTTCACCAAGACCCAGCCCACATTCCAAGAGTACTCTGTTGATCAAGTACTGAATGTGAAATCTGTATCAGGCTTGGCAGTATATGGCGATGGCCAGACAGATGATACCGCCAATATCAATGCTATTCTCAAGAAGTATGCCGGCTGCAAAGTCATTCACTTCCCGGCTGGTACCTATATCGTCACTGATACCATCCTTGTCCCTCCTGGCTCCAGAATCCATGGCGACGCTTATGGTTCGGTAATCAGCGCAACAGGTGGTAGATTCTACAATCCCAACTCACCCACGAATGCTGTCCAGATCGGAAATGCAGGCGATGTTGGCGTGGCACACGTCGTCGATATGATGTTCAGCGTGGCCGATGTCCTCCAGGGATGCAAGATTCTGGAGGTCAACATGGCTGGTAGTCAGCCTGGTGACGTGGGTCTTTGGAACACCCACATCCGCGTTGGCGGTGCTGCCGGGTCCAAGGTCCAAGACAATTGCAATGGCAGTCCTTACAGCTGTAAGGCTGCATGGGGTATGGTTCATCTGACCAGCACCTCTTCTGCCTACATCGAGAACATGTGGGGCTGGACCGCCGACCACAATCTTGACACAGGTGGCAGTCCTACCATCTCCGTTGCTCGTGGCATGCTGATCGAGGCTACCAAAGGTACCTGGTTGGTCGGTACAGGCTTCGAGCATAACACATTGTATCAGTACAATTTCTATCAAGCCGAAGATGTGTTCACTGCCATGCAACAAACGGAAACGCCGTACTTCCAAGGGTACAACGAGGATGTCCTTGCCCCTGCACCTTGGGCAGACAATCTTGTCGCCTCTGACCCTACTTTCAGTAACTGTGGCTCTGATGATACCTCTTGTCGCATGGCATGGATGGAACACATCAGCAATTCTTCGAACTTGTCCTATACGGTGGTTGTGTTTGGGCGTTCTACGATGGACATAAGATCCCTGCCAATGGCGATGTCCAGCAAAATGCCATCAATGTCGACAAGGAATCCTCCGCCGTCTATCTCTACGGCACAAACGTCCATTGGGTAACGAACATGTTCCTCAGCGACTATACCGTGATTGCTACTGAGAAGACCAATGAAGGAGGTTGGGGAGGTGTCGTCGCCGCCTATCAATTCGATGCCAGCGCACCTAACAACGGGAAAACGGTGGTGGCCAGAGCACTGGATCACGAACGGTGGTCTATTGGGGTCAGGACGACAGAGAGAGAAGCCTCGGTGAATATTGTGCTTCTGGTCAAGGTATCAGTATCATTGTTCTTGCGTTCTTGAACAATTTCGGCAACGGTCAAACTCCCGATGGCAACTTTGGAAACGAGTGTTACATCGACAACAGTGGCAACGGCGACTGCGGACAACTCGCCAATGATATCAATACATGCCACGATGCCGGTGTCAAGATTATTCTCAGTATTGGCGGAGCCGAAGGAACCTATGGATTGAGTGGTAACGGTGATGCCACTGGCGTCGCCTATTCTCTGTGGAACGAATGGGCCCGCCCCAATGGCGTCGACCCATCTGCGCCTCGGCCCATCGGCGACTCCTACGTCGATGGCTGGGACCTCGATATCGAGAAGAACCCGAACGGCAGTTCACAGTACCTGGACGAGCTTGTCACTGCTCTTCGTTCGCACTTCGCTAGTGATCCGGATCATCACTACTATGTCACTGGCGCCTCTGAGTGCCCTATTCCCGAACCCTGCATGGGCGATGCGATTACAAAGTCTCAGCTCGACTACATTTTTATCCAGTTCTACAACAATGACTACTGCTCTGCTTATCAAGAGTTCCGCAAGGACACTGACGGTGGATTCAATTATGATGACTGGGTCGACTATATTCGGGGCACTCCTTCGCAGGACGCGAAGCTCTTTATCGGTCTTCCTGCGTTTAAGCTTGGCTCGACTGACGACGATAGTGGTTCAAAGTACTACATCCGTTCTAGCGAGCTACCCACTCTGTTGAACGAGTACAAGACTCATAACAACTTCGGTGGTGTGATGCTTTGGGACGCCGGGTACTCCGACTCTGTCAATTTCAACGGATGCAACTACGTGCAAGAGGTTGGTCGTGTCATGGCTACAGGTGCCGGATGCTAGAGCGTTCCTAAGTGGAAAGGGTCTAGATAGCAATAGTAAGCCCCGCTTACGGGTCTGTCTTGGTGATGAGAACGTAAGATTCCTGTTTATGTCTATAGACCTTCTCATTATTAGTCATTTATCTCGCGCCTCCTTATTACAGACAGCTACACTACCACTCTAGTGTAATTAAACTTATGATACGCATTTTCCTTCACCCGAACCGCCTAAGAACCAGTACCATAGGAATCTATATAAGAGTTGTCTATATGATATTTGAAGCACATCAATCTAGAACAGTAGTAATTTCGTAGCTAATATGTGCAAATAGGGGTTTTAGTAAAGCGCTGCCTTAGCGAGTCGCCTAAGTATATATATTATTACCAAGCGTTACAAAAGAATGGTGTTCATACTTGGCTCTAAATGGGAGGACGTTAAAAGCTTAGGAGAGGTCTTGGAGATGCAGAGCCTAGTAGGATATAGAAGAGTAGTATTCCACGTCATAGCACCAAGATTTAGCCTCTAAGCATTTATCCATGCCACATCGTCTAGCTTCTCACCGCGGCTACAATAAGGAAGGTTTGTCGGGTCATAACCAGGCGAGACCAGCGTCATATAACCACGGCAGAACCACCAATCCCCATAGGAGCCACTGTTACTCCAGAAGCATTGGAATTGACCTGCGTCATCGACATCGCAGGAAAGAGGAGTCCAGCTTGAGGCGTCAACAATATCGGCGGGTAGATCAAAGACGTAAGAGGCTGCCCCTGCACCGCCGCCCCAAGGCCCCCAGATAGCCTTGCTCGGATCCGTATAGAGAGTATATCCGGAGTCTGGTTGATACGTACGAGTGACTGTGATGAGCTGACGAGGTCCAGACTAGTAGAAGGCGCCTGCTTGTGATTGAGGCCCCAGATTAAACGAGCGCTCATAGTTGTATATGCCATAGCCGAGATCACTGTACGCATACTGCGTCGAGCCATCGCTTCTGCGAACTTGTATCTGTGCATTGGTAGGAATGGGAGCTGGTTGAGCAGTCGTAGTCGAAGTTGTGCTCGTTGTGGTCGTGGTGGGCACAGTTCCGGTGGTCATTGTTGTCTGAGTGGTACTTGTGACAGTCACAGGCGAAACTGCAAGCGAGCATGCAGAGGTGACAATCGCAGGTAGGTATCGTGTCAGCACATTTGGCACCGTGATTACGTCGCGGGCTTCGACGTCAGGAGCGCGCTTATGAGCAGCTCTCGCCGCGGTGGTGGTAGTCACAGTGACGAAGGTCGTAACAATGGTCGAAGTGGCAGCGGTCAAGATGGTTGAAACAGTCACTGGGGTCGTGTAGCCGAGAATGCTAGAGCAATACGGCGCGGCTGAGTTAGCAGGCCAGAGGATATCTTTCTTGGCTTGATAGACCGCTGCATCCGAGCTAGCGGCACCAGGGCTGGTTGCGTTGCTGTAAGAGAAGCTGTACTCAAGACGGAAATGATCATTTCCATAGTCCTGGCCTCGATTGGTGGCGGAGGAAGCTGGCCAAGATTCGCTGTACATGGCACAAACCTGACCTTGAATATTCTTGGTTGAGTTGATGTACAGGATGTACGTGTTGAAGAATTGGCAAGTCTGCACAGGACTGCCGTCGGTGGGAGGATGAGTAACTGCGTAATTGCTCTTCTCTGTGCATGCCTCTACGCAGAGCGAGGCATTGAAGGCCCCAACAAAGATGGCGCTTCCCATGAAGCTGTCAAAACCATACTTGTTTAGCGGTGCGCTTATAGCAGCTGTACCCAGTGGCGTGGGTGCGCCGTAGCCAGGAACCCAGGCAATGGTATTGTTGACATAGCCATTGGACCCTGCCACCGCAAGTTGCTTCGAACCATAGTTCAGGGCGTTCCCAGCGTTGACCGGTCCTCCCCAGAATACACACTTTACCCGAGTTGCAACAGGAGGATTGGCACATCCAGGAATGCCAGAGTTCTCAAAGTAGACGTTGACCGAGATGCAGCCATTCATGGCATTACATTTGGCCGCACAAGCGTTCGTGTCGTAGCTTTGCAGGACAGAATATCCCATGTAACCGTACCTAGGTTATGGTGAGCTTCTACGCGCAACAGTTCCAGCCGCAAATGTGGGAAAACCTACGCATTGTTCGAAGCATTTAGATTTTGAAAGGTCTGAGTATAGCCTTGTGGAACTGGAGCTTGAGATGCCGACGAAGCAAAGGCTAGCGAGCTGGCAGAAGGAGATCCTGTTCCAGAGGATTGCGAGATGCAAATCGCATCACGTTTCTCAAGAGCAGCAGCAGCTGCGTTAGGCTCCTGAGTCGTAGCAATATCAAGAGCTGAATCGATAGTGGTGGGCGACGCGTCAAGTGCAGTGTCTATAGCAGTAGAAGTGATGTGCGGCAGGGCGGCCGTGTAGATGGTAGTAGGATCGTATGTTACGATTTGAGAGGAAGCATCGAGATCCGTTGTGTAGGACGGCGTAGGAAGAGCATATGCTAGGTCGAAGGGAATGTTCTGAGGGGCGGCTTTGGCGCGGTGAGCGATAGCCAATATGGCAAATATGATGGAGCGCATGTCGAACACTACTGTTTGTCAGAAGTCAAGTCAATGGGTAGTGGGCGGTGCTGCATAAGAGGCCGGTGGGTTTGCCTGTTCATATAGGCATTGGATGTCACACAAACCAGAACAATTGCGCAGCAGCTGAGAAACGTCCTGCCATTAGGCTTGCTATCATTGACCTTGCTCGCAAATTGACCTGTCGAGGTGAGCTGACCGGAGATGACCGTGGTACAGACAGGCAATCAATACGAGAAGCACAGCTCGTGGCAGTAATGATCTCTTAACGGCGAACGCTCTACGATGAACCTTGACACGATGCCATCGCCAAAGCCTTGTCGAATCAATCCGACAGACTCATATTGTGATGTTGTCCTGAATCTGCTCCTGAGACGTTTTTGCAAAATGAACGCTGCCGCCGTTGTTCAGCACCAAACCTGTCAACGCTCAGCTCGGTTGAGAGATACTTGAGGTGTGCTAAACCAACCCATTTCTGGACGTCCATGTATTCGCATCCCAAGTCGGTCCTCTAGACTTGCTTTGACAGAGCAGGTGACTATCGCATTGATGGATTTGGGACCTGCGCAGATACAGAGCTTGTGTCTTCTCTGGCCCTTCAGGCCATCTTGGGATCTTGCCACCGAAAAGCTGCCCTTCGGAAAAATTAGATGCAGTCATGAAGGTCGAGATTCTATATCGCGAACCAGACTGTCTGGGTCTACATCCTGTTTCCTGGATCCTTGTCTCCTTTGCCGTTTGACAAGCCATGTTCCTCCGAGAGCAGTGAAGCGCCGGACTTCTGTTCGCGGTCCTTGGTCACAGAATTCGAAGGGAACGATGAACGCCAAAGTCAAAGAGAGACACGGATACTCATTACTACAGGACTCATACGCCACCTCTGTCGTATGGAGAGATCATAGCCGGAGGCACCATGGCTACTAGGATTGCCGAAGTCTAAGCACTGCTAAGCTCTCTCAACGAGGTACCGACTGCCAGTGTAGCCATGTTTGCCGTTGGCAAGGGAGACGTTAGAAGGTTAAACGAAGTCTCGGAGGCGTCTAGCGCTGTTCGCACGTAGAGCGTGGAGTTGCAAGCCACGCCGAATTTTCAGCTCTGTGTCGCTTGATGAGGTAAACTTCAGTTTCTTGTCCACACCATGCCAACAATATGTTTATAACGTGGTTCGTGTAAAACTCTTATTAGATTTACCAACTGATATGCATGCATTTTATAACTCTTTATGTAGTTCCTAGAACCTCTAGGTAAGTCGAAACTAGAAAGGGTCATTTTTGTCGCTCAAGATAATTAAACACAACGGAAAAAGACGGTATTCTCGGTTTCAAAATTCATTAGAATTTGCCACCCCCAACTTCGAACTCGATGCTCAGAGCAGCTAATGACTCGCGCTATTACAACTATACACCACTTACTACGGTCAATCTACACTGTTTACACGTCGATATGGATCAATGTACTGCCTCAAATGCGCTACTAGCAGTAGCAGCTGGTTTTAACGCTCGGCGCACGCGCTCGCAGAGCAGAACTCGCGAATCGAGCCTCTCAGGGCTACCATCCTCGCCAGCTCAACCACCAAGCTATATAGGCTCGAGACGTC